TAATAATCGGGGATTAGATTAGGGATGTACACCCGAACCATTTTTCCGCATTTATAAAGAAGAGATAAAGAAGAGCTAATAATGAGTATAACCACCTTGGCTTTAATAACAGCTTCGCAACGAGCAGGCATACTCTCTATGTAGCGTCTACACTCTTCTTTGGTAAATGTATTCCATTCTTTTTCGACTCTTTCCCATAGCTCATGTACACCTGCTGGTTTGGTCTCATATTGGCTTAATTTCAGTTTTAAATGATGCCAAATATGCTCAATTGGGTTTAAATCTGGACTTTGTGCTGGCCAGTTGAATATGTGATCGTTATTGAACCCGTTCTCTTCAAACCATACCCGAGATGCTTTAGACGTATGCTTAGGATCCTTATCTTGTTGAAAGTAAACTTCTGATGGTTCATAGCCATAGTACCTAAGAGAATCCATCATAGTTGTGCTCAAAATATGAACGTAATCATCGGCTTTCATCGTACCATCATGTATCCAGCAAGCATATCCTGGCCCATCGTAAGTTATGCAGCCCCAGACCATAATACTGCCACCGCCCCCTTTAACTGTCAAATCAAGGTGATGAGGCTGTAAAGCGTCACCATCTCAAGACCAATACCATTTACAGCCGTCAGACCACATCATATTGACTTTTGTCTCATCACTAAATACCATACGTCTCCAGTCATCGATTGTCCAATGTTTATGAGCTTGAGCCCACTTCAAACGTGCAATCATATGACGCTTCGCGAGCAAAGGCTTCTTCTTTTTGATCCTGGCATGAAAATTCATTGATTTTAAGACTTTAAGTACACAGGAATAAGTCATTTTATATCCTACACCTCCGAGGTACTTGTGTACTGCTTTTGCTGACTTTAAAGACCCTTTAATGATTTGCTTTCGTATATAAGACTTGGTGGTGTTTGGAAGAAGAGACTTACGTCCCCCGGGTAATCTTGTCCTATTTGGGAAAAACTTGTTCGCATAATAGCTTAAAGTGGTTTTCTTTAAATTAGGAATACGAGACATTATTTGAGAGTACGAATATCCTGATTCCAAGAGAGCCTTGATGTTGTTTTGAGTATCTTTACTAATAGCAACAGTCATTTGATGGTAGAGAAAAAATAATTATGAATAATGAGTCCTCTGTCAAAAAAATAGGGCTCTTTTTATAGTTTTTAGATTTATTTTATCTTCGGATATCTACGGAAAATATTTAATATCAACTCGGCTGCCAAGGCCGACAAGAAGATAACAGTTTTGAGATTACCTTTTTTGCGGAAAAATGGTTCGGGTGTACATCCCTAATCTAATCCCCGACTTATTCATTTTTTAGCCAATCAAATTTTTTTAAATTTATAATAATAAAAATAGACGATTTTCTCTTTTAAATACATTTTGTTCTGTGTTATTTGCATCATTTGTTCTATAGTTATAAGTGTTTTTGTTATTTTTGCTAAAACACCCGAACCATTTTTCCACTCACTGTATATGGGCTCTAACAAAAAGAAAACTTAATGAGTATGAGACACCACCTAAGGGTATTCATGAGCTTTTTGAAAGAATCACGGACGTATGGTACAATAAGATCACCAAAGAAGATTGTTTAAGGGTTATAGACTCTATGCCCGACCGTTGCAAAGCTGTTATAAAGGCAAAAGGTCATTGGACTGGTTATTAGTTGTTCAATGTTTAAATTAAATAAAATTAACTTACGGCCACAAAACTGTCCCAATGCATATCCAATTTTTTATTCAATATTTTACGCTGAGTTTTAAATTATATTACTATTTTTGGTAATGGCTTGATAGAGAATTACTTAGGCTATCGAATGATGTCTTCGATATCTTTCTAGCATGATTACAAAAGAAGAGCGAGTCAGTTAAAGAGAAAAGTGCAAAACATTGGGACAGTTTTGTGAGTCACTGTATTTTTAATTTTTTTTCGAATAAAAATTATTCTTACTTGTGCCTGTGTCTCACGATTTATTTCTGTCCTAACCCATACAACATGTATAGATATTGGAAGCCTTGATTATTGGAAGGTGGTTGGAAGAAACGAGCTGCTGCTTCTTCCTTGCGAATTCGATTTTTCTGACGGTTGAGATACATAGACTGCCTTAATGCAGCTACCTTGTTGGGATTGCGCCAGGGGACCTGGGAGTTTGAATTATCAAGATTTTGAGAAGCTAGTCCGTTAAGTGGAGGAAACTCAGCATTAACAATGGTTTGTGAGCTATAGTTTTCTGTGGTGGAAGTATGAATAGCCTTAATGTTGTGGTTTAGGTAGGTTTAAGTAATTAAATAGAAGTCAAAGAAATAAAAATAAAAGAAAATAAAACAGAAGAAGTACGTTGAGACTTGTCAATAAGTTTATTAAAAGTTAATTCAATACAAGTATTGTTATTAGTTCTAAATTATACAAAATAAGGGTGAATAATGTAAGAGTATTTATATATTTTGTGGATAAGGATGATGAGTATTAAGAAGATAAAAATATAACAAATTGTATTTGATAATATAATTATAGAATGATTACTAAGAGTTATAATTATAGATTCATGTCTTTAGTATATATTTATTTTTATAACTAATACGTGTATTCTGAGTAGAATCAATTATTACGCGTATTTGTATTATTCTTAGTTTACCCCAATTTAACTTGTATAAAGTTGTTTTTATAAATTTATATTCAGCAGAACAATAATAGAAGAAAGTATATTTTTTAAACGTAAGACTTTTTATTAATTAATTATTTTTCTATACAAGGGTAAATATACTAAATATGTTTATAGAGAGAATTATTATACAAATGCACTATATATTCTATTATGACTATTTATCTTATTGAATTAAGTTATAAATCTTACAACCATGACATGCACTCTGTTCCTGTCGCGAAGTAACCCGTTCTCTACAAGATATAAATAAGGATCCATTTTGCACTCATCTTTTAAAAATTCAGTTTTTTAAGCCTTATTTTTAAATTTTATTGATAATAAAAGTTTTATACAAAGTTTTCACAGATTTATTCTGTCTTATTCTTTTGTTATCTTTGTCTTATCAACAGCTCTCTAGAAAACTGCCAAAATCAATGTATGCATCAAATCTTCGGTGGACGACCTTTCACCTCAAACAAAGTAATATTGCATCTAACAAATTTACCTAACATAAAAGATCGTATCTCAATATTCCAAGTACAATTTCTTTTCAGATCCTCCTTTCTACCAAACGATGCATTATTGACGAAATTGCTATCATACATACAGTCTCTGTTGATTAAGAAGAAAATAATATAAAAGAAAAATATAAGAAACAATAAAAGTCTGTGAAAACTTTGTTTAATTCTTTTATTTCCAAAAAAGCTGTCCTTTTAAAATTATACAAAATGGATCCTTATTTATATCTTCTGGAAACGGGTAAAACTTCTTGATTTAATATTATAAAACCATAGACATATCCAATAGATAATTATGAATCTTGTTTAACCTTGATAATGAAGAACCTGACTGATCAATTAATCTCAGCTGTCAGTTATGTTTCAAATGCTAATCTGATTCAAATAATTAGTTACCAATGGTATCTCAAATTAAACTAAATAATTTTTTTTTTTTTTTTTTTTTTTAGAACTTCAGAATGATCTCGAATTGATACAATATTGTTTCTTTATTGAAACACATATCTCTATCATCTTCTAATCAACTCCTCAAGCTTCTATTCTATATAACTCTTTAGAGATTGTTTATAATTGTGCATAACCATACTGAAGATAGTGCTTCTTATAGGTAATTAATTTTCAATATTAAGTATTTTATATATTGATCAGCAACTATTCTTCTTTCATGTTTAAGACATCTATTACATAACATCTCTGTAATTTTATAGTTTCATTCTAACACAAGTGTGTCTCATATACTAAAGTAGATTAGTATCGTGTACATGAAGTGCACCACTAATATATGATAACATCATCCCTCTTTGATAATGATTGAATATCTATACTATATTTTGTAATACATCATCATATATACAACAGTCTCAAACTAAACCGAAATGGTCCCAACTATCCAAATCTCCTCTATGGATATCAGTTTGCAATGAAAATCTTAACACTACGTCTGATAAGGATTTTAGTAGAAAACGAAAAGGATTCCTACTTGACAACTACCACTCAAAATTACAAAAACATTCGAAACTTCTATCCCATTGTCGTAATAATCTGATTGTCGACCCTATTCTTACGATACCAATGACAAGAAGTGAACGGTTTCGTTGCGTGCGATGGCGACTTGGTTGGTTACCTCTTGGTAAACCCAAAGCCTGCCCCTTCCATCCAAATGAACTCTTCACACGCTCACATAGTTTTTCTTGTTTGCATATGCATAACCGCCTTCAGATACCCCAAATCTATTGAAGATCCACTCATTCTCTTATCTCTTGAACCTATTAACATCAACATCCCTTACTAAGAAAGTAAGACAATCAATTGATGCCTGGCTCATACGCTGGCCTTCAATATGTGCAATTCTGCTTGAGATGGACTATCTAGCTCACTCCCAAATCTCTGAACCCTCTGACCATCTTGGTGAACCCTTTGTCAATCATCTTCTTTCAATACAACGAATTTCTAATAGTTAATTATCATCACTTATACATATACTTTAACATTTTCCCTTTTATCCCAAAAGGGTTTTTCTTTCCTTTTTTTTTCCATAGCGATCTGACCAGAGAAAAACAGTTTATAAATGCTATGTGCTCATTGGTCATTTTTTAATTTTTAAATAAAAATTCTTCTTTAATCGTATAACAAATATACTACTTTTGGTTACTTGATTATTCTTTGGTTACTATTTATTAGTGGATGTAAATAACTTACTTTAAAAGTAGTTCATCTATTGGTTTTATGAATCAGCCTACAGGCAAATATGGTATTCTATATGCAATATGTTACATATTAATTATTATAATGTACAACAATTATAATATAATACTTGAATCCATTTGAAGTCTTATAAGCTATCGTTTCAATTTATTTATAGAAGCATAATCTTTGTTTCATTTTTATTTTAAAACTTAACCTTTATTGAAGAAATTATATGTGTATATAAAATGTTCGGTTGTTTTAAATGGTTACTGAACAATAATAATATATTAATAATCTCCAAAGGCACTTTCTTTTCTACATTTATTTATATACAATTTACGGTTAAGTGTAATTGCTTTAATAAACTAATTAGGGCGCATGTCTTGAGCTACTTACATAGTAAAGTGTACCTTTAATAATGACACTACTAATTTTTAATGTGATAAGAAATGACTTTTAGTTCGTTTTATTTATGCCATTAAATAGTCGATACATAATTAATAACATATAAACTTTTTATTGTGCATTTATCTTAATTATGAAGAATATTTTACAATGAGCTTTGTTGGAACCAATGATATTGTGGTAACATGCTATTCAAATAATTAGTATAACTTTTTTTTTTCAGAGTCTTCATATTTATTATTATCGTAACATAAGTAATTTTCAAAGGCCAATATGTATATAATAAAAAACAAAAAGCTCAAGATATTCGGGCCTTCATCAGCTAAGAACCTTTTATACAAACTTATAATTTTCGTAAGCAGATCTAAAGATAATTACAAATAGGTTAAATTGTTGTAACTATTTGTTTTACATCTATTTTTCTTATTAAGAAAATATAAGAAAATTTTCATCATTTTCAATCATCTATATCACAATAATAGAAGTAAGAGTACATATTTTCTTGGAGTTATTACAGGACATTACTTGATCGCATGATGACTAGTGCTATATTTACTGAAGGACGTTGAGAGGCAGGCACGTATTAATTTTACTTGATTCGTATACTTGCTCTAATTGTAGTGGTCTAATAAATTGTTGCTCTAAACCCAAGTGTTTGCCTTGTTCATATTACTGTCCACAATTATTCAGTATTTACAGTAATTAAAAAGAAAATAAAGATACTACTGATCCACTTTTTATAGCAAGGTTAAGGTGGCATTTACTAAAGATACTTTTAAGCACCAGTGTTATTGTAGTATTGGCGTTTTTTTTTGTTTTTAAATTTTTATTACTACTCTCTTTAATGATATTCGTCAATTCCATGTTCTTAAATAATTACAATAGTCGAAGGAAAATATAATACAATTTTATGATAGTTTTTATTCATGCTTATGACTATAAAGGAAATAAATTTTAAAACAAGACTATCACTTCTTTTCTCACTTATATATTCATTCTCTATGAGCTGTTAAAGGTTAATAACTATCAAGCTTTCGTGCGAGTTATTAATATTTACCATTGATGTGTATCTCTAAAATATATTTTTATACATATTTATATATATACATCTATACTGCCCTTTTTTTTTTCTTTTACATCAAAATCTTATGTAATTAACCTACATGAGTGTAAATTGCACAGTCGTATTTGGCAATTATTTATAAATTCTAAGTTTAATAAATCTTAGTTATTTTTACTAAAAAATTATGTCCAACTTCAATCAACAATTATGCTTGTATAAAAGAATTAACAAACTCTACCTATCAATTAAGATGTGATAAACTGTTGAAACATTATCTTTCTTGGAACTTTAACGATTATGAATTGCAATAAGTGTTTCTCATTTAATTTGCAAGTTTTTTGCTACGACCTACATGATGTCAATAACAAGTCCGAAAAAAAAAAAAAAAAAACTAGGGGTTAAATAAAGTAGTAAGAAAATACAAGTTGACTACTTTTTTCTTTTTTTCTTTTATCAATATATACACATATTATCAGAATTAATATGGCTAACGTGGACCAAATTAACTTTGTTTTACATGATTTGTTCATTCAAAGCGTTAAGGTAATTTTTCATTTAAACATTTTAAACCAATCTCCCAAACTACTAATTGACTAGTAAATGGTGCTTTATGTAGGAACTTTTACAAAAAAAATATTATTCTACTTCACCTTCAAAAGTAGTAAAGATATTAGAGGTTGGTTGTGGGTAAATATATCTATCGAGAACTATTAAAAAAAAAAGTGGGATATCTATTTTATTATTTTATTGTTTTAGCTCAGGAGACTTTGCTTTAATTTTGAAAAACAAGTTAAAAGATAAGGTTGAGATAACTGCTATTGATCCTTCTGACAAAATTAACTTGGCAAAGAGCAAGTCTACAGGCTCTGATGTTCATTTTGAGGAGAGTGATATCTTTACTTACAAGATTAAAGAGAAGTTTGATTTAGTTTTATTTACTAAATCTCTTCATCACTGTAATCCTGTAGAAAAGGTAATATACCACGTATTAACTGTTTAAAGTATATAGCTATTTTTGGTTGCATAGTTATAGGATTGGTAATAATAATTATGTAGGCTGTTCAAATTGCATATGATTTACTAAATCATGATGGTGTATTTATTGCCGAGGAAATTAAACCTGATATGGTTAATGATAATGACCTCATTTGGTTTTTTAATCGCTTAGATCTTCTCCGTATAGCTGGCCGAATGATTTCAGTCGAAGAAAAATTAAATACTGCTGGACATTCCAAAAAAATGCTTACTTCAATGTTAAATCCCAGTTTGCCGCTTGATCAACGATGGTTCCGCTCAAGGGGACAGAATCATCATCACGATGAAAAACCTTTACATAGAGATGATCCTGAAGGAATAGCGCACTCTCATGACGTGCTGTCAGCTATTTCTAACCAATTTGGCCCAGATAATATTAGTATTACTCCTGTTCCGTATTTTTATCAACTCATCTCATTTGCTGGGTATGTCACATTAGTAACTGTGATTATTTTTTCTCTCTATTATTTGTATTTATATATGTATATTTTAGATTAAAGAATGACGAAGCGTGTCCAGCTATATTGAAGGAGCTTCTAAAACAAGAACAAGATGCTATTAACTCATCCTTTGTTCAACCCTTAGGCGTAAACATTGTTGCATATAAAAAAGATTTTACTACAACAAGCTAGTTATAATAAAATATCATTTATTATGGTCATTAAACATAAAGTCTATTTGTTCTAAAGTCTTTCCTTTTGTTTCAGGTATAAATCCAATACCAATAAAAGTAAGGATTGAGCAAATGCCAAAGAAAAAAAATACACCAGAGATAGTATAAGTTAAAAAAAAAGGAACACAATAGGTAATAATGATACTTCCCGCCCAGCTAATAGCATATGTAAGTGAAAGCCCCTTTGCACGACATCGTATGCTAAATATTTCGGTTGTATATACATAGTTGGCTACACTCCAGGTCCCTGCAAATGATGCTGAAAAGAGATACATACAAAAAATAATTGTCCAACTTGCATACATGTCAGATACAATCACAGGAAGGTTTATTTTACCATCTTCTACAACAATAGCATAAAAATGGAACATGAATCCAATAACAAACATACAAATGCATGAAATAAAGGAGCCAATTAAAAATAGTGACCTTCTGTCCCACAAATCAATCCACCATTGTAATGATAAGGCTGTACATATCAGCGATAATAAGCCAATGCCCCCAGTTGATGCTATGGAAGCAGATACGTTACTTAGACCTGCATTTTTAAAGAGCTGAGGCGCATAATATGTAATCATAATATTTCCTGTAAAGCATGTAGCAATGGATATAAAAAAAGCATATATAGTTCTATTTATACTGGATCCTTTTTTATTAAATAGTTCTGCATAAGAATGTATCTGTCCCAATAATCTCTCAGCCTCAATAGTTGTCTTTATCTCCAAAAATTCAGCTTTAATAGTTTTATGATCCTGAGGTAAGTTATATATTCTAGAAAGCACTTGTAAGCCTTCTATCTCTTTGCCTTCATTTATTAGCCATCGAGGTGAAAAGGGAAGGAAGCAGATTGCTATAATATAAATAAAACATATTACTAATTGCATTAACCACGGCAATCGCCAACACCAGTGTGATTGAAGATAACTACTTCCAAAGGTGACAAAATATCCCATCATTTGACCAAATGACACTAAAAGTGAAAATATACTTATTAACCGGCCACGTATGTTAGGTGGTGCAATTTCAGTCTGATATAGAGGTATTGCATTGGTCATAATCCCTGTACCTAGACCACCCATAAGTCGTCCAAAAATGATTAATGAGATGTTTAATCCCAGAATCTGGCATAGAATACCCAACCAAAGTAAAATGGATGCTAATATCATCGAGTACTTTCTTCCAATACGATCTGAATCGAAATACGTTAATATTTATCTTCATGCACATATAATACAAACTTACCACAAAAATAACCTGAAAAAAATGCACCGCACATGGAAGTAGCAAGAAAAGATGTAAGCAGCATACTTTCGTAGTATGGTAGTGAATTATTAATGAAATATTGTTTTTGAAACGTAGGTAAAAGGATTATACCGGATATTGAACCTGTATCGTATCCACATACAAATCCTCCAATTGCTGCTATGGTAGCATATAAATATACTGGTTTTTTAAATAACGTAGTTTTTAATATAGGGCTATGCGTCAATAACGGTGTTGTTTCTAATATAAGGTTGATTGTATCTGGCATTATACAGATATATAGAATATATAATGTAAAACTTCGAAAAAAAAAGCTTAAAAGTGTTAATTTAGAACTTTTTTTTTATCATTTATAAAAAAATATGCGGACTTAATGAGATAATGGGACTGTCCTGATCTATTTTACCCTAATCCCCTACTTTATTAAAAAAGGAGGAAAAATTAAATAATTCAGCATGTGTTTATTTTGTAAAACTAACCGATTTTTCTTCCATATTTAGGATAAATCATGTATGTCAATTTAGTAATAAAAAAAAAGTTAAAGAAGTACATCAAGAAGAATTAATTTGCACTCGTTTTTTCCCATTTGTCGACAATTCCTTTTGCCTCTTTGCACTAAACATTTCAAATTTCTTTTCATTGAATTTATTCAAGGCTAAATTAAGGCGAACAGCCATTCGATATTCAAAAGCATAGTTTGTATAAGTCAAGGCTTGTTCCCATAATTTTTTACTTTTAGCATAATCGCCCAACTTCCAACTTGTAATTCCCGCTTCTATAGTAAGTGATTAGAATTTGTTATGAATTAACAAGCTATGTATGTTACCCCAATAAGTAAAAGGTATAGTCCATGTCTCTAATTTTAAATATTGCATATTGTCTATAATCCAGTTTAAGTACGGAATACTATCATTGTGTCGTTTCAGAGCATTTAATATAGATGCTTTTATGAGTAACAATATCGCTCTTTGCACATAATAGTTCGGAAGATTGGCAGAGGGCATCAGTTCATGTAAACGTATATTATAGTCAGTTTTTTCTCTTTCATAAATTAACTCTATAGTATTTTGAACGATGTCAAGACATATTTTTAGAGCTTTTTCCTCCATATATCCATATGCATTCCAGATAAGTAAAAATTCTAAACCAGGCAAACAAATATCTATATCTTGATATCCTTTCCTTTGAAGAAATTTTACTTTCTGTTGCACATACACATCGACACAGGAACTTATATTTTGTAATGGTTGATATTGCTCTTTCGATTCAAGTAATTGAGATACTTTTGCAAATGCTAATATGCTGCCTGTATTATCCCCCATCATCCTTTTGCATGAGCCAATGAAGTATTGGCAAAATACAGGAGACAGGCTATGATCTTTACTTATAACTAGTTTTTCAAAGTATTTCATGGATGATTCCCAATCTAATTGTAATGCAAAATTAAATCCTATTTCATAGAAACTTAGTTGGGATATAGCATGCTCCCCCCAATCATGACGACTCAATTCTATTGCAAAAGTAAATGACTGAGTGGATAAGGCTAGATTACGAGATATACGAGATATATATGCTGCGTAAATTAAAAAGAAACAAGAGTTAGGATTCTGTTTCTGTGCAATTTTCAAACATTCAACCGCGGGTAACATAAGTTCTTTAGAGTAAAGTTGAGGCACTAATGAAGAAAGTATACAATAATATGTCAACAGACTATATAATATGTATATGATGAGTGATTAAAGATACGGCCAAAAAACAAAAAAAAAACTTACATTAAAGAAGCTAATGATGCCCGAACCCCCTTTCCCTCAACACAGATTTTTAGAAGCGCCAATCCTAATTGTATATCACTTTTGAGACCAAAGTTAGGGATTGATTTAAGAAGCTTATGCCGTAATATTGAAAGTAGTAAATGAATGGTACCGATACCGAAGTACATACCGGATACTGTATCACGATCTATATATTTTGTATATTCTTGTCCCATTCTTTTATGTTCCTGCCAAATTATTGAATAGTAGCCAAAGGCTATATACATATATACATGTATATGTAAATAATAAACAAATAAATTATAATTCCTTGATGAAATTGTGTAGTCCCTTTACCTTTTCTTAATTTTAAACTACATTTTAAATAACCAATTGCATCCTCTTGTAACATATATAATATTCCCATTAACAAGCAGCTTTCTGCCTTAACAGCATATGCTCTTAAAATTCCATTGGATATAAATTGATGTTTATATACTTTATCATTTTCTATTAAAAGTGGGGGATCTGCAGAAGGAAGTCCATATTTAGTTGTTGATATAAAAGTCGGAAAATAAGTGGACCATAAACTTTGATAGTAGGGTTTCTTAACGATTGCATCATTAGTTTGTACTTTTGATATATTGTATACTAATGTTAATGTATCTATTGCTAATTCTTTATCGTCTTTATTAAATGTCTATTGTACATATGCCTTTTATTATTAGTTAAATATCATTTTTATTCTCACAACATTACCATAATTGCTTTCATGAATGTCATAAGGCCTAATCCTAAAGCGTATAACGGATCGCTTTATGTAAAAAATAGCTTAGTGTAATATTAAATAGTATATTCTGTTTCAAACCTATATGCCTTCGTTTGTAATAAAGCTTTAGCTTTTAATAGTTTGTTATCAAATAAATAATTTATTCCTTTTCTAAATGGTTCATCTATTGTGTTATAAACAGAAACGGATTTTTATTTTATTTTATTTTTAGCAGAAAATGGAAGAATAAGGAGAGAAAAATATAGCTATACCTGCTTCTTCCTGTTCTCGCGGCCCCAGTTGATTCACAGTTACATCCTTTATACAGTGAGGATTTATTAAATAACTACTGTTATAAAGGTCCATATCAATAGGTATTTCAAAAGAATATAAATCACTCATTGCTTTATTATGTAATTTTAAATCTGCTTGCTTTACTCCTTTACTTCTTGTTATTAGCGCGTTTGTCTGTAGAGTATCAATATTGAGAATAAACAAATCCATTGCAGGGAATTGTGGCATTTTTGTATGAGGAGATGTAGACCTATCACTATAATTCATGGTATTGTCTTTCATTATTTTGATAAAACTTACTGTATTGCTCGAACAGCAAAGTTTCAAACTAGAAATAATATGACTTTCAGCCTTATTATTTTTTTTTTTACACTTTTTTCTTTTAGAGACAATAGCCTAATATTTTTATTATTTTTAGGAAATAAATATATTATAGCTATGTTAATAATTTCTTCCAATTGCAAAGTACAATCTTTGTTGTTTATGACAAGATATATAATTATATGTGTGTTGCTGACCAGTAAAATATATTTAAAGAATAATAATAATAATAACAATAAAAAGAGCTAAAAAGAAAAAGAGCTTGGGATGAATTAAGTACAATCAAAATTTATGTTTTCTCCTTTAAAATTATTGTTACAAAAAAATAAAGATTAATATTAATATCTCCTTAATTTAATTTACATGCAAGTGCTTATGATAGAAAAAATGCAGCCTAAGCCAGAACTTGTTTTTTTTTAGCAACTAAAATTTGATTATTATTGTAATCTAGAATGATGCGTTATAGAAGCCTTACGAATATTCTGTTATTTATTCCCCTTTCATTTTTTGGTTTTGACAATAGCAAAAAGTATATAGTATATTAGATAATTTACACATAAAGTTAAAACACATTTTATCAATATTATTGTCCCATTCTTTTTTTTATTTTCTTTTTCTATTTAGATAGAAAATCACCAAGTACAATCAATCTTTAAACGTGTAATTTTTTCCTTTTTTTTTTTTTCTTTTTTCTTTTTTCTTTTTTTTTTTTTTTTTTTTTTTTTTTTTACTTTTTACTTATTGCCTTTTATCTTTTATCTTTTGACTTTTATACTTTTTGCTTTATTTTTTTTATCTTAATAAGGCATATTTTTATGTAGATTAATGCATATTTTTATTTGAATATGAATATCTGCTATATCTTAAGTTAGATTAAAATAAAATTTATGTTAAATATAGAAAAAAAATTATGCAGAAAGCATTCTGTAATCGAATTCTAAAGAAACTTCGAGTAATTTCTTTGCATCTGTTAATTTATGATTCAGACAATATAGAGTATTAATTTCTTCAAAAGGAAGTTAGTGATTTCTATTCAAGCATATACATACATATAAAAAGGTAATCTTACTATTAAATTCTTCTTTTTTTCTTCAAGTTATTTCTTATCATTAATCAGATATATACAAATGTCACTTAGTCATCGTTTATTCTCTGACGCTTTACGTGATATGCAACGTGCCATGGCAATGTTTGAACAACCTATTGCTAATAATGGTCGTCGTGCTCTTCAAAATTCTATTTTAAATAATTCTGGCTTTGGTCGTTATCCTGCTACTGATATGGTCGAGACTTCGGATACTTATGAACTTCATGCTGAAGTCCCTGGTTATGATAAGAAGGATATTAAGATTGAAATGCCCAACGATCATACTTTAATCTTGAGTGGTTCTACTGAAAAGGAGACTACTACAGGTTCTGATAAAGAGAAAGCTGCTGATAAGAAAGAGGATAAAAATAAAGAAAAAGCTACTGAAAATGAACAAGCTCTTCAAAAGAAGGATGATCAAAGTCAACAAGTCACTCAATATTCTGCTCCTGAGTGGTGGGTTAATGAACGTGTTTCTGGCAGTTTCAGTCGTTCCTTTACTTTCCCTACTCCTATTGATCAGGATAAGATCAAAGCTTGCTATGAAAATGGTATTCTTAAGGTTATCATACCTAAGAATTCCAAGGGCCAATCCAGATTCATCACAATTGATTAAGAAATAGTCATTTTTTTTTCTTTTTTGCTTATTTTCTTTTGTAATAAAAACAATAATGATTTATTATTGCATTAATGAAGCTTTATACAATTGTATCGATTCTATATTTAATAATGTTTTAAATCCCCGTAATTTTAATATTATTGAAAATGCATATATACCACTATTTTTAACATATTTCTAACAAAATATTTACAGTATTGCTCAGAGTTTATTATCCTTTTACATTACTGCCTTAAGACTAAAGATTATTTGCTAGTATGCAATATTACTATTGATTAAAATATCAATTTTGACTATTTCTTTAATTTTTTCCATCCAGAAATGAGCGGTGTAGAAGCCATATTCTCGTATTTATGCTTCAAAATATATACGATAGTAATAATGACGTTTAACTTGATTCTAGAAATAGTATCAGTTATTTTTAAATATGCAATGCATATCAAATATTCTGGAAAAATGTTTGGAAATGAATAATAAATGCTTATAGAATACTAAAATACAAGACAGCTACTTGTAATAATGACGGAGTAAATAACGAGCCATAAATATATACAATAGACAGTTTTTAATAGATCCTTTGGAGTATGTGGTATACATATAGAACTTCATTTGTATAGATTTATACAAGTTATACGTTATAGATAGGTTTATTATTTAACCTCTTTAATATTCATTCTGTGAAATGTGTAAGTCGTTGTTAATATGAATGTAGATAAATTATGTATTTTGTGCGTGTTATTGAGTATAATTAATGAACTGTATTTGTTAGATATAGATGTATTATATGTAAAGAATAAACATTTTTTTTATTTCCTTTTAGTTATTGTAATAACAAGCATAGAATCTTATACCATCAATTATGAACGTATTAGAATCTATGTAAAATTTAAGATATAGTTTCCAATATATTTGACATTTCAATAAGGGATATATGGTAATTTGGAGAAATAGCTTTGTAAGGTGTTATCTAGAGAATTTATGGAATGTTTTTTTCAAAATGCAATATATTTTGATAATTAGGTTATTTTATTTCGTATGCTCTAAACTTAATTATCCTTTTGATTCATTTATAAAATTATAAAACTAAAGAGGCATATCAGTACAGTTTTTATTAACTATATAAAACCCAGTACAGTCGAAGAAACTAGGTTGGGTCAATAAAAAATTTTTTTGGTCATTTCCAAAATAAATTGGGACAGGATTGCAAAATTGTTGGTCGTTCCTTCAACAATCCTTGTTGACTGCGACTCGGACTCCAATGTGATATTTTTTCCTTTGATAGAAACAATTGAGTTTGCTATTCTGGTGCTGTTGTTAAGTTGCGTGCTTGGCTTGAGGTAATATCGTTCAAATGTATTGGAATTGTGACTCCAATTAGCGTGTTGCTTGACCTCCGAAATCGTTATTCCATTTTCAACTGCTTTGGTGCTTGAAGCTGACCTGATAGAGTGTGGTTTGTAAGAACTAGTGTCAATACCCGCTTTTTCCATTGCTTTTGAAACCCATGTAGCTACAGTAGAAGGACTAGCGGATTTCACCTTGTCTGGTTCGAGAATGAATGCCAAAAACAAACTATGGTCTATAGGAAGGTTATTGCGAAGATGGCTCGACCTTTGTAAAAAGTCGAAAAGTGTGGAAACAAGGCACATGTCATTGTCATCTGCCAATCCTAGTATAACATATTTCACTTGAGTCTCTTTCGCTTCTCTGAAATGTATAAGAACTGACACTGGTTCTTCGTTTCTAAGCTCCATTTGTACATCTCTAAACTGCACTCTGCCAACATCTGATCTTGGTCTTGCCATAGGCGTCAAGCATAACAATAAAATTGTTTTTTGTTGTAATTCATATAAGTCGATAGATTGATTTTTTGGCCATTCTTTTGCGATATAGTCCACCAGTATATTTGTGTCCCATGTTTGGAGATTTTGCTTGGTAGGAATGTTGACTTCTGATCTTCGTTTTGCTTTAAAGAATTCAACTATGGGTTCTTTTGCAGCTAACGGTCCCTTTTCTGGATGCAACACTTTAAAGACAGATGCTAAAGCTGATCTCAAACTATTTAGGTATTGGTATGAAAAGTGTCGATTTTCTAACAAAAAACGTAATACATTGGCTTCGTCGTATGTGGTAGGTTGTATTGGTACTGGTTGTGCTGCGCACCATTGTGGCCATTTCTTCCACCCAGTATTATAGTTCTTTTGTGTTTTACGTCTCTGGGCATGTGTCAAAAATTCCACTGTGACCTCTTTCAAGTGACCAGCGGCTTTCCTCTTGTTGCAGATAAGTGCCATGCGGTCATCTTCCATCTTCTTATCTTGAACATCAGAGGTTTGTTGATGTGTTTCATCTGCAATAAGGACGGGAACCAGAACTGGATTGGCCAATACGGTGTGATTAATACTGCCTTCTGGATTCGTTGCTGTTTTATTATCTGCATCACTTGCGGTATGAACTTCCATAGAGGAAATAGGTACATTCCCTGTTTTTTCCACGTTTGTTGAAAAGCATCTGTTGCTGCTGCCTCCGGATCTGGTCGCATGCTCCAAAAAATTGGTAGTTTGGTGTTCATCCTGTCTGCAAATGCATCTACTGTTAAAGGACTCCATCTCTGGTTGATCATTCGAAATAGTCGTTTCGGTAACAGGGCCTCGTAGAGTAAGTTTTTTGTTGCGGTGTAATGCTGTCTGCTCAGCCAATCTGCTCGAATATTCTCCAGTCCTGGTATGTGTTCGTATTCGACTTTGAGATTGTAGTGGTTGCATAGATCTTGTATCTTCACTGCTAGGCCCTGTAGTGTCCGAGATGCTGTGCCTCCCGACTTGCTGCCGTATTTCAAAGCAGTCATGTTGTCTGTAAATACTTTGATGTGTTGATTCTTGAAGTCTTTGGCATGTAGTTTTAGAGCAAAATATATCGCTGTCAGCTCCCTTGCATTGATTGACATGGTGCTCTCTTCGTTTGTCCATGCTCCAGTGATTTGCATCGTGCCAGAGCTCACACCCCATCCTAGGTCTGACGCATCTACATATATTGTTGCCGCCTTCGGTTGATTGGGTGCTAATTTCTTTATTGGCAGGCCGTTCTTCTTCACCATCCAACTTGTCCACCATTGCAGTTCTTTCTTGCTGTCCTCCGATAGTGTCATTGGTGCATTCCAATTCTGTAGATGTCTGCTGAGTGTTAGGGAGAGATCCCTCTGTATGTATCTGATGTGTAACAGGGCTTCTCCGATGGCTGGAATCATGGAAGTCATCTTCCCCATCATACTGGCATACCATCGACAGTTATATTGGTGAGGTGTGGCTTTTATAGTGTGTTTGGTTCGAGCCATGAGTTTTGAGATCTTATTCCCTGGGACTGCTATCTGCATGGTCTTCGTATTGAATTTGAAGCCTAGGAATTCCTGTTGTTGAAAGGGGATTAGGACACTCTTCTGGAAATTTATTAGGAAACCCAATGATTCCATATGTGACAGTACTATTTGTGTGTGGTTCGTTGCCTCTTCCTTCGTCGCACCCAGAATACATATGTCGTCTAAATAATATACTAGGTGTATTCCCTGTATTCGTAATGGTTCTATTGCAAATCGCATCATTTTGCTGAAAACTCTGGGACTGACACTCATCCCAAATGCTAGAGTTTTGTACTGATAAACAACTCCTTTGTTCTGGAAAGTCAAGTATTTCTTTGAGTTTGGGTGAATTGGGGTGACCACATAAGCATCCTTTAGGTCCAATTTGCAAATAAAATCGTTTTTCTCGATGATTTCCCTCAATGCAGGTACCCCTTCCATCTTGAAGTGATGACACTGGATATAGTTGTTGATCATTTGGCAATCCAAAATCGGTCGACGTTTTGTCGCTTCCTGTATTGTGAAGAAATTGGATAAATAATCTGTGTTCTGTGTTGGTGATACCTCTATTATCCCCGCTTTGATAAATTTGTTGACTGCCTCGTCCACTGCCAATTGTTCTATCTGGTCTAGCTTTATACGACGCAATCTCCAAGATGTTGGTTTTTTTAGCAAAGGTATCTGATAATCCTCTCATATCACTGACAATGGCCATGGGTGTTTTGTGATCGACTGCCAATTTTTGAGAAAATGTTGTAGTCGGCCCCCTGGCGTTATGCCGTCTGCTGGGATGCTGTAATTCGTCATTGATTTTATTGGGGGGTTGGATGTGTGGTTGGATTGGTGGGGTGATTGTTGTTGGGCTAAGTTGTTGTTGTGTGGGGCTCCCCACCGTTGTGAGGTACCCTGTCCAAAAAAAGCACCTCGTGCTCTGCTATTACCTCTTCCATATCCGAAACTTCTATTTCCTCGTTGATATCCTCTACTTGAGAATCCATTTCCTCGTCCTCCTCCACGATTACTACTGGCTTGTTGGACGAGTTTTCGTTCAAAGTTGGCTTGGTGGTATTTGTTAAGAAACTCGTCACTGTAGGCGTTCTTAGATTTACTATCCTCTTCTGTTGTTTCCAGGTGGCGGATACTAAATGGGATGTTAAGTGCTTTGTCTGAATATTCTTTTGCTTCTCTTTCTTGAGCTTTTGCTGTGGCCAACCCAAAGACTGCCAGTCGTCGACTTTGCTCCCTGCATCTGCTGATGATGTCTTTTGCTTCGTCATGGTCTGCTTCTTCCAAGACGTATTGAAGTTGTTCAAAGATTTCCATAGCAACCTTTGCTTGGAATCTGGTGTTTTCTGTGATTTTATAAATGGAGTTGACAACCAAAGCTGTTTCTGTTGAGTGTTTTTTGAGATAAGGGGCAATTGATTTGTTGATCTTCTCGGGTGTTGTCCATTCTCCCAAAGCGTATCGTTGGGTTTCTCTTCTAAACTTTTTGAAATTTTCAGTAAGTTGATGCGTGGGAGTGTTTTCCAATTCCTCGGAGACCTGTCTTGGGATTTCGACTCCATTGATTCTTTCTTCTTTCTCAATGTCCATTTTTTTGACGACATCTCGGACAATTGCTTCCATTTCGCTTTGGGTGTATGTTCGTTCATTGCTAATAGTTGAATTGATATCACTCATAATTTTTCCACGAATGCGCGGCTTTTGAAGGTATAAAGGGAAAAAGGGGATTCTAGTATATTTTTTATTTTTATTATTATTTTTTTATCTATAAAAGGAAAATAAAGCGCGGCTCTTGGAGCTTGTTACCACATTGGAGTCCGAGTCGCAGTCAACAAGGATTGTTGAAGGAACGACCAACAATAAGAAAAAGACTGTAAATGATTCACCAAATACAGATAATTCAATAAGATAATTAAAAGCAATTCATTGAAATATATTCAGAGTTGTTGATATGTTCACTATTGTTATCAGTATTTTTTTATAACTAATATTTTCAATGATTTTTTTCTTTTTTACTTTTTTGTCTTTCCCCCCTTCCCTTTACACTCTAAAAAGGGTTTTAATTTCTTAATCTATTATATTGAACTAGCCCGAGCAATAACATAGTACACATTCCATACTATGTGCTCACATTAGGCTAAATTTTCAAAAAAAAAAAAAAATTGATCGTAGTATATTTCGAATTACTACTATTAAAACGCAGTAAAGTGTGACGTCTACCCTTCTATTTTTTAAATACATCTTCTTCATCTGGCAAATTAATTCTTTTCTTCTAAAAAGTGTATTCTAGTTATTATAAAGCAATTACAGTAAGTATATTATACAATGTTATATTATATTATATTATTATTTTATTATTTTCTTTCCATCATCTATAATCATTTATAATTTTTTCTTTTTTACTTTTTCAACTTAATTTTACAGGTTTAATTGCTCTTTCTTTTTTTTTTTCTTTGTTAAACCTGATTCAACTATTTTTTATTTTATTTTAATTGCGTAAGTAAATTATTTTATTTATGAACATGTAACGCCTTTCTCTTTTTCTTTTTTTTTCTACTTAAAGGCATCAAGAATGTATAGAATTTACACACTTTTTTTTTTATGAAATTCTAACTCTTTCGTTAATTATATTTTTATTTTATTTGCCCCCTTTTTTTTTCTTTTTATATTGGCGTTATCTCTATCTATCTCTCTTCCTCTCAACTTCAACTTATGAACTGTTGGTTTTAACGACAATTTTTTTATGATATTTTTATTTTATCAACTATCAATCTTATTTTAACTTTAAAAAAATATTCATGTTAGTTCTTCTCCTTTAAACTCCTTTTTTTTTATTTACTTTTTTTTTTAAAAAAAATATTCATATAAAAAATATATTAATTTATTATTATTATTATTATTCATAGATGACTGCTGTTGCGACAATGATGGCTTTTAGACTAATAAAAACATGAAACGTTCAGCTAGTGATACTCAACAACAAATAACAATTCCACAAAATACATTGATTGATGGCACTAGTAATAATAAAAAACCTCGCTTTTCACAAACAAATTATGGGTAAGATTTTTTTTTATTTACAGCATGTGAATAAGACATTAATAAAGGAGGATATAATAGAGATGTATATACTCAATATGGTATAATGTCTCAATATGGAGCATCTAATCCATTTACAAATGGCAATGGCAGTTCTCCTTATGCTGCTTATGGACAATCTGCTGCGTCAATGTATAGTATGGGGTATAATAATCCTCAAACTATGATTGCATCTCAATGTGGTGCTGGCTATCCTCAACCATTTGTTAATCCTGTTGCAGCTACAGGTTATCCTAATGCTACTAATGCTATAATGTCAGCTGATACAAGTAGAACAATTTATTTAGGCAATGTTTCTAATGATATGGATCCACATGATATCCTTAAACAAGTTCATACAGGTAATATCGAGTCTTTTCGTATTGTGTCTGATAAAAATTGTGCCTTTTTATCTTTTGTGGATCCAGCTGCGGCTCAAGTATTTTATCAAGAACATCTTACAAAGAAACTTATTGTTAACAATACGGAGCTTAGGATTGGTTGGGGTAAAGCAAGCAACTTATCTACACAACTTAAATTACAGCTTCAAGGAGGCGCAACTCGTAATGTTTATTTAGGAGGTTTAAATGAAAATGATAATGAAGACACTATTCGTGCAAAATTATCTTGTTTTGGTCCTATTGAACAAGTTCGAGTTATTCGTGACAAAAATATTGGCTTCGTTCATTTCTTAAATATTAGCTCTGCTATCAAATGTGTAGCTCATTTACCAAGTGACCCTGATTGGAAAAATAAGAAAGTTAATTATGGTAAAGATCACTGCGCAGATCTTGCTGATCAATATGGAGCAGCAGCTCTTAGTCTTCAAAACCCTTATGCTGCAGTTGCTGCTGCTAATGGATTTGGATTTGATCCTTATGGTTATGGAATACAAGCTGCTAATCCAAATTCAAATCTTCAGCGTACCTTATATTTTGGTAATATTCATCCTGAAGCAACTTGTGAGGATATTTGTAATGTTATACGTGGTGGCAATATACTTCAAATTCGTTATCTTCCTGATAGACATATTGCATTTGTTACCTTTACCGATCCCAACATTGCTTTGAATGTATTTAATCATACTTCTACAGCTGGTCTTAATATTAGAGGAAGAAAAATTCGAGTTGGTTGGGGAAAACCATCAACAATCTCTAATCAAGTAGCTATGGCTATTCAAAGTGGTGCTACTCGTAATATTTATATTGGAGGTATTGATGAAAAGATTACAATTGAAAAATTACGTGAAGATTTTGCAGAATATGGTGAAATTGAAATGGTGAATATTTTTAAAGAAAAAAATTGCGCTTTTGTTAATTTTACAAGTATTACAAGTGCACTTACGGCACTTAATTCCATTAAATCGAAACCAGATTATACTGAGTTGAAGATAAACTTTGGCAAAGATCGATGTGGTAATCCCTGGAGGCCCACTAACAAGACTAGGGAAAATAATATTAAAAAAGATGAAAATGAAACTTCTTATTCAGAAGAAAACAATGTTAAATCAAAAAAGACAGAACAAAACAATAACGAGAATTGCCCAAATGGTAATAAGAATGAGTAAAAATGATGCTGTAAAGAAGATGTTTTATTGGCTCTCCTTTTTTTCTTGTATACGTACACCATATTAACTTACCAAAAAATAAATAAATAAATAAATAAATAAATAAAGGAAAATAAAGAAAAAGAAATTTACATCCAATATCATACATATTATTCTTAACATTACGCTTTAGTTTTCAATTTTTGAATTATTATATATTGCAAATAACTGAAATAAAGTAATTTATTCAAGTAAACTTAACGTAGATAACCTTCAGTTTTTTTTTTTTTTTTTTTTTTTTTTTTTTTTTTTTTTTTTTTTTTTTTTTTTTTTTTTTTTTTGTCTAATGAAAGAAATAAGAATATAAAAATATTAAAAACAAAGTCAATAATTAATGATATGAAATGCATAATAGGTTAGAAAAGACTTTCTCTAATAAGAAATAATGATAGACAAGTAGTTTGTAGCATCATTTTCTACCTCAAAGTCGTCATTTAATGTGCAACAGTCCCAAGTAGAATATTAAATAAATAAATAAATAAATAAGGAATTTTTTTTTAAATTTTAACTCTAATTTTGCATGTACATTTGTATTTTTTATTTCAACCGCTTTTTTTTATGGTACTTGATGCTGGTCTAATGAAATGATTTGATTTTTCTATGTTTGTATTTATCCTTGCTGTCTGCAATATTCTTTAAAGTAGTATTGTTATAGTTGATAATTTGTATAATCTATTTTTTTTTTTTTTCAAAATTTCGTTTGTTTACTGAATATGCTTCTTTGCCATTGCCATGTTCTAATTGAACTAAATGTTTTAGTCTCTTTAATATACTGTTGCACCTAAAACGTCATATTCATTATTGTATTAGTATAATATGACATCACAGAGAAGTATAGTTATCTAGTTTTAATTCTTAGCAGTAGCAGCCTTACCTATAAACTTTTTTTTTACCACTACTTATTTTTTATTTGGTTTCAAGTTCAGAAAAACTAAAAAGTCGTTTTTTTGACGCTAAGTTTCTCCACAATTACTTTTCATCCATCTCCAAACTCGGTATCATTGAAAAGCTATACAATATGTTCACATCCTGATTTTTTATTCTCTTTTTTTGATCCGATAATTTTTTGTCCATTCCTTTCTCGGTATTTTACGTTAATTTCACCTTTGACGAGTAACATCTTAAAAATTAATACTTTTATTGACACTATCTTAATTTTTTTTTTATTCACGCTTTCAAATACCCTAATAACTGGTATTTTTTTTTCTCCAACTCATTAAGCTTATTTCATCCCAATTGTCATTATTAACTGCCGGTATTGCGTAATTACCTATTAGTAAAATAAACATGAACATAAATGTTGACATGGCTTCAGACTTGAACCAGATTGCTGGACTTTAAGCAAAGATAAGCGATCACAGTAAGCTCATGGAATGTTTTGCCGTCTTAGAGGAGCAAATTGCCTCCTTAAACAGCAAGAATCAGGCCCTTGAGCATGAAAACGCTAAACTCTGTGCCCGCCTGTCTGAATTCTCTGTCAGTCCTGTTGTTACTCTTGCTGGGGGTTCTCACTAGCGCCACTGTCACCACTACCGCCACTCCTGCTACTAAAGGTACTGTCGCATCTATGTGGAGTATTGTCACTGCTCATGCCCTAAAGGCTCCTAAGGGCCCTGCCAAGACTACAGAGTTTAAAAATATAACTATGAAGCACCATGAAGCCATCGTGTGCAGCTTCGATTAGGTTATTGGACCTATTGTGTACACAATTCAGACATGTCAATTGTTTTGAAAAAGGTAAAGTAATTGAAGTCTCGTCATTCATATTCTACTGACTCTGTGCACCCAGCTGGTCCAGCCACTGGTGTCAATGTTATGTGTGACCATTTTGCTTTTGTAAACTCTGAGTCTGGTCTCTCCCCTCCCCCAGCGGTCGTCCTCCAGTTTTACCATCTATTAGTTCTTCTTTGCCTTTTATGGGCGCCTGAAGGTTGTATAACGAATATTTCTTCATAAACCATTCAATCTACTCTGAAGTTGTTGCCTCAGCGGAAAGTCCCTGGTCCTCACCATTTTCAGACAGAAATACTTCTTTTTCTTCGTCGTTCTATGGCTCGCCTCCTCTCGAAGCTGTTTACTCTTTGCTTTCGTTGTGTATTTACTCTCTTTCTTTGGAGTCAAGCACACCTCGTTCCTATTCACAAAAAGAACAATGTCACTGATTCTGTCAATTTTAGAACTAATCTCTTTGACCTCGATCATACAAAAGCTCTTTGAGATGCGTTTGCCTCTCCTTCCTTAAAAAGTGGCCAAAGGTAGATTCCGTCCACCATGTAATGATATTGGAGTGTATGTGTATGTGAGAAAGAAAGAAACCAATGCTGTTTTGTCCCAAAAAAAAAAAATGATATCATTGATAATACAGCTCGTCGAGTTTTCTCATATTTTAATTTTTTGCCACAGAATAATATATGATATTTAAGGATAGGAGCTTGTGAATGAGAACTGCTGGAAATGCATGATACTACCTGATTGAGATTTGGGTTTATTGACTTGGTTGGAAATTTTGCCTCGACAATTGCTTTCTAAGAAAAAAAATACTATTATAAGATATCTAGCCTCCTCAACATAATAGACTTCTCTATAGTATATTTGGCTATCCTCCAGCTGTAGATTTTTTATTTAGTGCTTTAATAACTGCATTCAGTATCTATCTTTGAGATTATTAGATAAAGATTTTTCGTTTCTATAATTAAATTTTATTTTTGTTTCTTCAGTCCCAAATATTTGAGGTGTCTGAACGAGTGGGAAAGTTTGATTGCTTTTTTTTTCCCAGTTAATGAATACATCCTTGAGAAATAGTGATTGTATAATCCAATGATGAAATATTTTCTTCCATTTATTTGCAAAAATATGACATATCCGTATGTTTTGGTGACTACCTAGAAGGAGGTATATAGATTGAGGAGAACGACTTGGTAGGTGTCACTTGAATATTATATTATGTACGAGAATTTCTTGTTAATCATTTCACTAGTTGTTGAGGTATTCAAGTAGTCATACGTATTTACATTTTTTTGTAGAAAAAAAAATATTTTCTAAAAGTGATATTATGAATGACAATTCTCTTCTAAAGCTTGGATGATCTCCGAAGACAAGAAGAAGTTTTCAATATTGGCTTTTTGGCTTTTTTTCTTTTTAAACTTGAGTTAAAAAAAAAAAAAAAAAAAAAAAAAAAAAAAAGTGAAAATCTTCTTCTTCTCCTTCCCTGTAAAATATTCTGGTGCCTATTTTGTGTTGGAATATCTGCCATGATGTGCTGTGACTTGAAAGAGGTGAAAGGAAAATAATATGATTACATACATAATAATAAAACGTGGCAGCAAGAAGGATGGTATGTACGACGTTTAATGTATTTTAATTTCTGCTATTTTAATTGGTCGTTTTGAAAAAATAAAATAAAATAAAGTAATCATTTTTCAATTCCCACTCATTTAATGCATGGAGAACATTAAGGTCTGCAGAATTGCATTTTAACATGATTCATTACACAAACCATTCTTAATAAATACATTGGTTGAATAAATGACTGTTAATAAGTTTATTTATCTGCTTCAAAAAAAATGAAAATAAAGATTTGTATTATATATGGAGGAGTAAATAATGATTTCTAGTTATCATTTATGATTATAATTAATTCACTTTTAGATATTTAATAGTGACATTTTCTGACTTTATTGAGTTTTAATTGTTAAAAATGTGGGGTAATTTGTATTCTTACAAATGAATTTTTGATTTATCATTCAGAATGAATCATTTTATAATGTCACGTCATACAAATACCGTTTCTTCCGCGGAGGAAATGAATATATGCAAAAGTAGTAGTAAAGCAGCACAATATGACAATGTTAGTCATATCATTCTTGTAAACAAGCAGAATAAGGAAGAAGAAGTTATACTATATTTTTTATTTTATTTTTTTTTTATCTACAAGCGACTTTTATTTATCTACTACATCATCTTTGTCTCTATTTTTACCATCAAGAAATACAATGTCGCATAAATCTTTTAGGATATACGTTATTTTTTAACTCAGTTTTTTTTTTCTTTTTTTTCTTATAAGCTTCCTGATAAGATACGAAATGAAGAAATAGAAATACATAGAAGAAAAAGAGAGCGAGAGAGGGAGAGGAAATGGGAGAGAAAGAGAAAGAGAAAGAGAGAGAAGGAGGGAGAGGTAGTAATGAAGAGTAACAGAGTTGTATTTTAATAAAAATAAATAAGAAACAAAAAAGGCGGAGAAAACCGGGTTAATTAGTTTCCAAGTACAATCCAGAAGGGTTCAAAGGGCCTCTTGAGGAATTTGCTATTTGTACCCCAAATATATATTTACAAGTACTTTGCCCTATTCTCTCTTTTTTCTTTTCCTAATCATCTCTTTTTCTTTTTCGTTTTTTTTTCTTTTTCCTTTATGATACTGAAAATATCAAAGATTTTATAATTATAACATTAACTTAAACACTCACGGTTTCTCTTTCTTTCTCTCTCTCTCTTTCTTTCTTTTTTCTCTCTCTCTCTCTCACTCTCTTTTTTTATTTTTTATCTTTTATTTTATTTTATTTTTTTGTATTCTTCTCTTCTCTTCTTTAAAACCCATAAAAGAATGGAATACGATCCAGCTCATAAAACTTCTAGTGTTACTAGTACATCAAGCAATACTTCATCTATTTGGGATCCATTACCTTCTCTTTATTATACAGGACGTGCAGAGTCTGTTTCTAGTAGTGCATTTGAATTTGATGAACCAGACTCTTTTTTGGATGAAGGTAGATTCATACTAGTACAGATGTATGTAGTATTTATTTATTTATTTATTTATTTTTTTGATTTGATTTTATAATAGGCTATCTATTATATGAAAAAAAGAAGGACAAAATGATGGTTACATTGTCTGAAGATCCAAATACTACAGATTTCTTGGATTCTTTTTTATGTGGTGTAGAAGAGGTATGATTATTTTCATAATTTCCCACACTGTAAAAATCAGAGACATTAAAATAATGTGTTACATATAGGAACAGCCAAAAAGTAAGAAGAGTCACGAGGAGCCCTCATCTTCAGATGTGTGTCATGGGAGAAAAAGATATCATGATCAGGTAGAAGAGAAATCAAAGAACCGAGAAATTTTAACCAATGATCAAAAGAGAGCAAATCATATTGCTTCTGAACAAAAGAGAAGAAATACGATTCGAGGTGGATTTAAGGAACTCACTGAACTTATTCCTACTTTAAAAAATATCAACCATTCAAAGAGTACCATCTTATTTAAATCTGTTGATTATATCAAGAAGCTCGAAAAGGGTAATAAGGTCCTTAAAGAAAGACTCACTATCTTACAATCTCGTGTTCAACAAAAACTACAATATCAACAATATAAAAGACAACAGCAACAGCAACAGCAACAAAACAATCATCACTTATTACCACCAAATACCATAGCTGCTCTTCTCATTCATAAAAATCAACAAAAACAGTTAGAATTACTTCAAGAACAACTAAGACTTCAACAAGCTCTTTTATCTAAACATCATCTCTTTACAAATTATCATTCAATTTCTATCCCTGCTATGGATGATACTCCAACTACTTCTACTCATAATTCCCCTACTCTTTCTCATGCATCATCTTCTCTTGTAAATATTAATAGCATATCATCATTCCATAATGCTCTGGTCATACCTTTAAATAATCATTCAAGTGCTCCCAGTTTTACTATTCCTGCAGATGAAGAAAATTATCACATAAATCATTATTCAGAGCGTTTATTAACTTCTGGTAAATTGGACCATTTAAAAAAATATTAATAAAGTCTATTTCTGGTTTTTTTTTTTTTTTTTTTTTTTTGTGTGTGTTATTTTATGTTATTTTATTTTATTCATTGTCATCATGACGTGAAATGAAAAAGTTAACAGCAACTAATTCAAGTTGATTCTTTTCAATAAGTGTCTGATATTCCCAGTTGTTACGTTTTTCAATAGATAAAGTACCAAAATCAACAGCTTGTGCTTCAGGTTGCTTGTAAAGTAAGAAAATGTAACGATGATCACCTGTTTTAGGTGGAGGGCCAGGACCAAGATAAGGCTCTTGTTCATTTGCTTGAGAGAAATCAGCAGAACCTAAAATATATTTACACATTTATAAATACATGACTTTTGCTTATGTAATATAAATATAAATTTACCTGGAATATTAGTAATAATCCAATGACGATAAGGTCCCCATTTAGGATTCGCTTTAGTAGGAGCATCAGGATCCACCTATACATAATATATCAGTTAATCATCCATTTTTTTTACATATTATAAACGCGTTATACTCTATATTTACCACTAAGAGAGTATATTTGGCATTTTCATCTGGTGCAACAAAGGTCACTTTAGGTGTTTCGCTGGATTCAGAGGGTTTAAGGAAATTACCAAGAGCAACGTCTTCACCATTAGGGAATTGAACATTGATTATAGTAGAAGGAGTAAAATCTTCGGGGACAACTATAAAAGGAAATTTAGTATAGCTGTATGACCATTTAAACATAGCATGTTATACTTACTATTAGGTGTAATATCGGCCTTCTTTAAAGCTTCTTTCAAGCTCATTTCCATTGTAACAAGTGGCATTATATGTATATATAAAGTTAAAAGAAAGAGAGAGAAAAGCTTAGAAAAAAAATGCTTGCCAAACTTTATCATCTTTAAATCATTTTCTGTTTGTAAATCCGCTGTAGTTCCCTTAGCTGACTTTTTTTTTTTTTTTTTTTTTTTTTTTTTCTCGCGATTCGATTAAGTGAAACAAGTAAAGAAAAGTGACGTGTTCTTCACATTAGGAGTAGTTTGGTTTTTCCCTGTATTCTCCACTTCATTTTTTTTTTTTCATAATTCTTATTCAATTATAATGTCTTCAACAAATACACCTACACAAACCACTACTGCCATCACTTCATCTGTAGATAGAAGACCTGTTCCAGTTAAACTTGTTCTATTAGGTATATACATATATACATATATATATATATATATAAAGAGAATCATTACAATAAATCATTCAACTATTTTCTAATGTTCAAAATCAACATTTTAATTTAGGTGAATCTGCGGTTGGTAAATCAAGTCTTGTCGTTCGTTTTGTTAATCGTGAATACAGTGAAAATAGAGAACCTACTATTGGTGGTAAATTTTACTGAGCACTTTATTCATTTTATATAAATATATACTAAATATGTTCATCTATTTTTTTTATTAGCTGCTTTCTTAACACAAAAATGTACAGTTGACGATGATAAAATAGTAAAGTTTGAAATTTGGGATACAGCAGGACAGGAACGTTTTCATTCATTAGCTCCCATGTATTACAGAAATGCACAAGCTGCTATTGTTATGTATGATATTACAAAGGCTGTAAGTTTTCTCTCTTGCCTTTTATTATTCTTATGTCGTTTTACTCATATATATTTATATATATTTATATAGTCAACTTTAGATAAAGCAAAAGGCTGGGTTAAAGAACTACAGCGTCAAGCCAATTCTCAAATCGTTATTGCTCTTGTAGGTAATAAACTTGACTTGGTAGAAGAGCAATCTACAGACGATGAAAATTCAAATAGTAGACAAGTTACTTACGAAGAAGCTTCTGCTTATGCATCTGAAGCAGGTCTTTTGTTTTTTGAAACAAGTGCAAAAACTTCAGTTAACGTAGATGAAGTCTTTACCGAAATTGGTAACTAGAGTCACCATTACTAAGCATAATCTCATACTAATTATACTTTTTTTTTTTCTTTAAAGCCAAAAATATTCCTTTTGATTATCTTATAAATAACAGAAATGGATCACGAGTTGCAGGAGGAAATAGTAATAATGCTAGACTTGATCTTTTACGCGAAGCTGGTGTTAATGGACAGAGCTCGAATGGCTGTGCTTGTTAAATAGTTACAACCTATTTTCCTCTCCCTTCTTTTGTATAGTATATTATTATTGTATTTGTCTTTATATAAAATATAGTTCACAACTCTGTGACAAGTATATAATACCTAAGGTGTATGCAGCCATACAACTCCTTATACTACATCATCATTTTATTAATATAAATATGTATATTTATATATATTTTATATATGTGTATAATAATAATAATTTCAATATCAACTATTCTCTATGTTATTATAGTCATCATATTTTCTTTCTTTCTTTCTTTTTTTTGTTTTTTTTTTTGTTTTTTTTAGTAGGAAGAATAGAAAGAAAAATGAAACTTGATGCTATATAATATAGATACGTATATATTTATATGAGTCTACATATATGTACCAACTATATATTAGAAAACATAAACTATGATTGTTAATAAAGTTAGTTTCAGTCCAAGAACAGACGTTAGGGGAAGCGCCTATAGGAGTTAGATAGCATTTGTATTATAAGAAGGAGAGTAAAGGAGATAAGATCATGTAATAAGCATTGAAACTGAATGAAATATAAATAATAAAAATAAAAAAAAATAAAATAAAAAACATTTAAATATCACTTCTTTTTATATAAATCTATATCTTTCCATTAAAAATATTTTTTAAGTATCTTGTTAATTTCTACTCACTCCTTGGTTTTTTCTCTCTTTTATCGTTTCCATTTCATTTCATTTCATTCCTTTCTTTCTTCTTCTTCTTTCCTTTTTATTTAATAATGACAAACAACACAGCTATAAAATCAAGTAATAATGGTTCGGTAGTTCGTATGCATCCTTTAAAAAGACCCAGAGCACCTATTGCCTGTTACCGTTGTCACCATAAAAAGGTACTCTCTCCCTCTTATATATATATATATATATACATTTTACAAAATAGATATAGAATAAGTTAATATATATATATATATATGTATATTAGGTTCGATGTGATGGTATACATCCTAATTGTACTCGATGTTTAACAACAGGTGTTATTTGTGCATATCCAACTTCTCGTCGATCTCGCAATACGCAACCTACAAATGTGGACCCCTTCATAGACAATCTATCTCAGTTAGAAGCTAGAATTCGAAAAATTGAAACAGATCTCGAGTCACAACGCGCTCTAGTTCGTACTGTCGTCTGTGCAAACAATAATAACGATGTATTAACACATTGCATGCTCAAGACTGAAAAGGACCTTCAAGAATCTCGATCCATTGTGGCTCAGTTAAGACTCGTAGGTGAACAGAGAGTGGCACGTGGAAGAAGAGCTGCAAGAGCAGAGTTGAGTTCTGACAAGAAACTCATGTCATCTCAAAAGAGGAGGCTCAACACCGAATCAAATACCGCTAAATCATCTATAAATAAAGATAAAAGATACTGTCATTCATCATCATCTTATCCTACGACGACGATGACGACGACGACGACAACAACAGCAGCAGTAGCAGCAGCAGCAGCAGCAGCAGCAACACAAGCAGCTACGACTACTACTACTAATAATAATAATAACGATGATGACATGATCAAGGTCATGATGAATAATTATTCTTCTTCTACTTTTTATTTCACTACAGCAAATACAAACTTAACAAATCCTTCCTTAACCTATTATTTTACTCAACAACAGCCATTCTCATTGACGGATTCATCGTTTCCAACTTGTTGGCCACTTTTAAATGATAATAATAATCATAATGAGTTTGTGGATCCTATGATTATAGCTGCAGCTATGTCTACAACATCTTCGTCTACAGATGATCCTCTTTTAACTACTTCAAATTACACAGAAGATAGTATGAACCAACAGCATCATCATCTTCTTCATCATCATCTTCATATACCTGGTTTACAACCATCTTCTTCTCCAACTTCAACGTCTTCTTCTTCAAATTCTTTTAGTGGTACCCAGCAGCAAGCAATCTATACCCGACCTTTTATAGACGAAATGATCATTGCAGATATTCAACCATAATAAACTTTTTTTTTTTTTAAAAAAAAATAAAACTCTCCCCCCTTTTTTTTTTCTAATTGTTGTGTGCAATATCTCAAAAAAAAAAAAAAAAAAAAAGGAAATTTGTTAATATAATAAAGCTTTTATTATAATGATTATTTTCTTTTTCCATATTCAAGTCGACGTACAATATGCCACATCAAATCAGGATGTGTCCAATAAGAGAAATGAGCAGTAAGACCACTTAGATAGCCATTCTTATTTACTAGACCCAATAGACACCTTTCAGGTCTCAAGACATAATCAACCCGATTCTCTAATACGTTAAATTCTTCTGCTGCAATCATAGTAGCATTTCGTGTCATTGTTGTGCTCAATAGTAGTTTTTCTGTATCATTCATTTTCTTTTGTCTCTTGTTCATCATCATCTCTTCTTGCCACTCCACATCTATAGAACGTCGCTTTTGTGAAATAAATAGATTTTCATTACTCACAAGTAAATCACAAGGAGTCTTGATTTCTTCATCCTCTTCTTCATCGCTATAGTAATCCAATGAAAGCTTTGGTGTTGATAATTCATCCTCTGAATAAGATGCCTCTTGTTGAGAAACGAAAATCTTTGATATACATGTCATCCATTTTAAGCCCTTATTATAGACTCGTTGTAGAATGTGATCATCTGAGAAAAAGGTAGCTGCATCACGATAGGCATCTATAAGAACAGCAGGCTTATTTTTATAATAAGAGTTTAACATTGGCTCAAAGCGGTATGCCTATCAAAAGAATATATGTATATATTTATAAGTCTATCCATGTTTATACCTATATTTCCTTTTCTTTTCTTTTTTATTTATTTTATTTTTTTTTATTACCAAGGGATCAAAGGGATGAAAGATATTTTCAAACAGAATTGATGCATCAGGTCGATACACTTTAGGATCTTGATTACGAACTGTTAGAAAGGCACTTAGAGGGCTTCCAAGTGTAAAGAAAAAATCAGGTTTAAAATTCAAGGTAGGAAACAAGAAATCTAATTTTGAATTTATTTCATTTTTAGGTGTGACACCATAATTATTGGCCAAGATATCCCAAGTAATGATACCACCTAATGAATAAGCCAAGATGGCCACTTTACCATCAAATAAAGGATATTCTTTTAAAAACCTAGCATAGGCTTCATTAAATTCTCTTGTGACGTGATTAATAATACTCTGTCCTCGTTCCTTGGAGAGATAAAAGAAGGCATCAGCAAGATAATCATTATTAACCATACGTAAAAATGGTATTGATTGTAATGTGATATCATTCATAGCCGTATCTGTCTCTTCGTGAATATGTTTATGCCATTCAATAGGAACATAGTGAACGTTGATTTCTTTACCAGGCAAATTTTCTTCCACTGCTTGGTTTGTTGTATTGTAAAGGCTTTGTACTAGTAAAAAGAAAAAGACAAAAAAAAAAAAGTCTGTTAAACATATCATTATTCACCATATAACTTACAATGTGATTGAAAGAAACCAAATCGTTCTGTTTGCTATTTAGATAATATGAATGATTATTCAATAATTAGTAAATATGATATTTTTTCTTTTCATTTACCTGACCAATACCCTACATATATAATATATTATTATTAACTAAATGATATAATATATGTTAAAATAACTTACATGAATTACAAACGCGACATGATCAATGGGGCCTTTTGACTTTGGTGGCTGTAATAATGTATTTGCAGTTATTGTTGGTACTGCAGTTTTTGTATTTTTCCAACTTTTATTAGATAAAAACTGATAATTTAGATGAAATAACATAATGAAGTATATATGTGTATATATATAAAAAGAATAGGTTTATGTATTTCTCTCATTCTGAACATTTGCTTTATATACCATTTCTTGTTCTTTAATAAGATCCCTTATTTTCTCTCTCTTTTTTTTTCTTTCCTCTTCCCCTCCCCCTATTCTGTTGTTTCTGTCAATCTCCTTTCTTTTCCCCCCTTCTCTTTGCCATTTCCTCATACACATACTCTCCTTTATCATCATAGCCACTCAACAAAGTCTATGTAAAGAATATAGATTCGTATTATTCTCTTTTCTCCTATTTTATGTACTATCTCCTTTAATTAATTATCGATCTGGTTCCTCAGTCACTTTTACAGTCTTGGAGAAAGAAAAAAAAACTTGTTAAAATCCACGAGATATTTTGTACTGAACATAAGTCGGAGTACATCGGGTTCTTTACAAAAAAAAAAAAAAAATGTGGGGCAAAATAGGACAATAACTCTTTTTTTTTTTTTTTTATACATATTTTGAAGACAAAATAGAAAATGATATGCACAAGCATGTAGTTGTCTATGTAAATTAAAAAGGGTCCTTTTTTTTTTCTTTCTAAAAACCAAAAAAAAAAAATTCTTTAAATTACATGCATATTTTATTTTATTTTTTCAAGTAAAGAATGTATTTCTATTATATCATTTACACGCTATAAATTTAGATGCTTTTTTTTTTTTTTTTTTTTTTTTTTTTTTTTTTTTTTTTTAGCTCGGATGGGATTTTCAAACCTAAAATTAAAAAGACGGAACCCCGCATTTTGATGTGTGAATGTGAGAAAAAAAAAAGAACTAAATTATTTAAATAGTATAATTTTCTTGTTCTTCAATCTTCTCCTTTTTTTTTTTTTTTTACTCTTTTAAAATATTTTATTCCAAGTTATTATAAATGGTTGCTGATAAATTCGATTCTATTAAAGTTGGTACAGGCGAAGACCTTGTTACTTTAACTCGTTGGGTTATTGCTCAACAACAGGTAAGAAGAAGAAAAAAGAGGCTCTCTGTATTTAATATTTATGTATATGCAATGCTATAGGAAGCTCCTGAAGCTACAGGTGATCTTACTTTACTATTGACAGCGATTCAATTCGGTTGTAAATTCGTTGCATCTAAAGTAAGACAGGCTGGTCTAGTCAACTTGTAAGTGAATAATACTTGCTCAATATCCATCTAATATATATATATATATATACTTATCTATATTCTATAGGTTAGGATTGACGGGCACAGCTAATGTTCAAGGTGAAGATGTGAAGAAATTAGATGTATTAGCAAATGATATCTTCCGTAATGCTTTAATTGGTTCTGGTAAAGCATGTTTACTTGTATCTGAAGAAGATGAAAATGCTATGATTATTGAAAATCCTGAACAAAGAGGCAAATATGTTGTTACCTTTGATCCTCTTGATGGATCTTCAAATATTGATTGTGGTGTTTCTATTGGTACTATCTTTGGTATTTTTAAAGTGGTATGTTATTACATGTTTATTTAACCCAAAAAAAAAAGAAAAGGAAAGGATAATAATATAACGGGTTCTATTAGAAAGATGCCGATAACCCAAGTATTAAAGATTGTATTCGTAATGGACGTGAGTTAATTGCTGCTGGTTATTGTATGTACGGTTCTTATTGTGAAATGATTTTGGTAATTTTTTTCTTTTTAAAAAAAAATAAGAAAAGAAAACAGACATATTAAAGATAATTACTCTAGTCTGTCGGTAATGGTGTAAATGGCTTCACATTAGATCCTTCTATTGGTGAATTTATTATGACACATCCAAAGGTATAGGCAAAAAAAAAAGAGAGAGAGAGAGAGAGAGAGCGAGAGAGAGAAGAGTCAAGCTATTTATGCGGATTTCAATCAGTTACTAATATTTTACTTAATAGATCGTCATTCCTCCTCGTGGTAAGATTTACTCTGTTAATGAAGGCAATTACAAATACTTTGATGAACCAAGTAAGAAATATGTGGATAAAGTCAAACAGAAATATAGCGCTCGTTATGTAGGTTCTATGGTATCCGATATTCATCGAACTTTATTATATGGTAAAATAATTACATGCTTGCGTGTGTGTGATCCCTATAAAATTAATATATAAATCTATTTAAATTAGGTGGCATCTTTGGTTATCCTGCTGACTCAAAGTCAAAGAAAGGAAAACTTCGTATTCTCTATGAAGTCTTCCCAATGTCTTATTTGATTGAACAAGCAGGTGGCAAGGCTACAACAGGTACAAAAAATTGCTTGGATTTAGTTCCTGAACATATTCATGATCGTTCAGGTATATGGCTTGGCTCAAAGGAAGATGTTGAAGAATTGGAATCATTTTATAAAAAATAAAAAATAAATAGTGTATCATATTATTATTTCTTTGTGTAACTGAATGAAACATCATCTCATTACTTTCACACGCCTACTTTTATGAAACAAAGGGTATTCATTTTAATTAATTTCCAGAGCTATTTTTATCTCAATACTATAGTTCGTCCTTTGCAGCAACGATTGATCTTTATTCTTAATAAAGTCCTTCCATTATTCTAAACTTGGTTTATAAAACAATATTACTTATGAATTATCATCATTAATCATTAAAACTGACTGGTTCCTTGATTGCTTGGAAATGGAACATTGGAAGCCTTTAACCTTTTAAGAGCTGTGATCTCTCTGTCTCTCTCTCTATATTATATATATATATACATATATACATGTATAATTGTTTGGAATAATATAAACAAAATATACATGTATGTAGTTGATAGTCTGCTATAATTGCTCTGAACCAGCATCATTAAATTTTCATTCATCACTAGTACATTCCTAATGGCAAAAGAAAAGTATATAAAGCCTAGTTAGTGCTGTGAGCTTAATAAAAGGTCTGATTTTTATGTCCCTAACAGCATTATCAACTTTGTGAATATACAAAATACAATTCTTCCTAAAATGTCAACAATTGGTATATAAACAGTTCTAACAAATTCTTTCCTTTATGTTCATTTCAAAGTTTTCTTTATCTATTTCTCTATTTCCCCAACAAAAGGTTGCCAATAAACTCGTATAGTTTCATAACCCTAATAATGCTTCACTTAATAAATTAGCCTAAAATACCGCATAGAGTGTTCCTCCTACAAACCCAATTTCTGTTTCGTACTAATTATGTAATCTACTTGCTACTGCTATTACTAATACATTACTTTCCATACTACTTCCCCCATATTCAAGTTCAAATATGAACACCCATTGGTTAAAAAAAAATAACTAAAACATTGTGCGCTGGCAACTTTGCGTTATAGAATTTATTACTCTAGACAAACATTCATTCAAATAAAATAAAAAAAAATGTCAAACATTTCTTGAACAGAGACATAAATAGCTACGAAACTGAAAGCTATTCAGCACTGGTCGGCAACCTTAACTTACTACTGAACCCATACTCTGGCTGCCTCTGACCTATAGTGAATGTATCTATGTTATTCAATGGTATCTTGGCTGGCTGCTTGATGGTAGTAGTTGTCTTTATCATCTGTATACTCATCTTAGTCGATTGCGTATCACTGAATTATACATAGTTTGCACACTCGTTTATGCCTATCAACAGCAATCACTAAGAGCTCATTTTCCTTTCTTTTGAATCTTTTGCCTCAACATAAGCCTAGAAATCTCTCCAAGATGTATCTTTTTGGATTTATCGTTGACTAACTATCCGTGTCATTCCCCATAAAATAGGTTATATAATATCTCCCTCCCTTTCTTTCTCTCTCTCTTTCTCTCCCTTTCTCTTTTCTACCTCTTGTCTCTTAAGAGGAGGTTTTTTTTTTTTTTTAAAAAAAAAAAACTTTTGTTTTCTTTCATATATTTTGAACAGACCTAGTTAATCCAATACGCTATAGATATTATGTATTTTTGATGATTTTAAATTTTTCTCAATAATAAATGAAAAATATTTAATCGTAAAAAAAAAAAAAAAAAAAAAAAAAAAAAAAAATGATGATTGATTTTAGATTGATTGATAAGGAAAGTCAGAAAAAATAGTAGTGCACATAGCAAATAGTATAACAACAACAACTACCCATGTCAATTATGATTGCCAAAAGTAAGCAGCGGATGGTAAAGGCGGAACAAACAAATAAACAGTTAACTTTATACAATAATGAATCAATCATATATCAATGATCACTAACATAACCTTAAATAATCATATGTTGTTGATAAATTTATAGTTGATAAATTTTTGTCTGCTACTATAATAATTAGAATTGATTATAATATGAAAAAAAAGAAATAAGGGGAAGGAAGAAGCTACATTTTGGAGGTTATTATTTTATACTGTTCATCATTTCTCTTGTGTATAATAGAAGACCTATAATGATACGTTCATGATACAATCTCAAATTCTTGTATGTGTATTTTTTTTTTTTTTAATTGGTTAATATACAAATATGTGCGGAGATTAATACTGATTTGATTACAAAAAACTATACAATCAAAAATAAAATTTTTTTTTTCTAACCCTTTACTAAAAAAAAACCAACCTTGTTATCAGATTGTTTAATCTTTTATCTTTTTCTCCTTTTTTCTTTATTTTATTTTTTTTTTCTTATTTTATTTTTTTCTCGTTTATTTTTTTCTTATTTTCTTTTCACTTTTTTTTTTTTTTTTTTTTTTTTTTTTTTTTTTTTTTTAATTATGATGGAAACAATTCGACCTTCTACTTCTACTACGCCTTCACTTACTCCTCCTCCTTCTTCTTCCTCTTCTCATCCTAAACATAAAATAAAAAAAGTTGAATCCGTTTCTGCTACTGAATGTGCCAACTGCGGAACGACAACAACACCTCTTTGGAGAAGAGGACCTAATGGTGAAATTATTTGTAACGCTTGTGGTCTTTATTTAAAAGCAAGGAATACACTTAGACCACCCACTTTAAAACGTGCTGTCCATAAAAAGACAACAACAACAACATCATCATCATCTGCAGCAGCAACAGCAACAACAGCATCTACAACAAATGATTGTGGTAGTGGCACTTGTCCTGGTGGAGGTCAATGTAATGGTACTGGTGGCTCTACTTCTTGTGCTGGATGTCCTGCTTTTAATCAACATCAAGTAAATCGCCAGGCTCTTATTTGTGCTAATTGTAGAACAACAACGACTCCTCTTTGGAGAAGAGATGAACAAGGAAATACAATTTGTAATGCGTGTGGTCTTTATTATAAACTTCATAATGTACATAGACCTGTGAGTATGAAACGAAGTGTTATTAAGAGAAGGAAAAGAGTGATTGTTACACAAGCAAGTGATGAAGAAGAAACGATGGAAGAAGATGATGATACCCTTTCTCAGAAATCTCAAACAAGTCATTCCAAGACACATGTACCCGAAATAGAAGATTATATAGCATTAAAGAAGAAGAAAATAATAGATTTACCATTAAAGAAACAAGAAACTCATACTATTTCATCTTCGATGACTAATACAATGATAAAACAACCTTCCAAAGAATCATTATCACCCTTACAACAAATGACATCACCTATAAATCAAACTTCTTTATCAGATAAGATTATAAATCAACATCAATCTCCTTCACCTTTATTATTTAATCCTTCCCCTCAACACCGTTCTTCATTATCACCACCACCACCAACACAGCAACAACAACAACAACAAAACACAAACTTTTTACCTCCGATTTCTTTTGAACGTCAATCTTTTCGCTTAGAATCCTTATTTGGTCGTAGAGAATCGAATTCATCCTCTTCATCTATGATTACTAATACATTACCTCCACTTTCGTTACCCCCCTTAACTCCTCCTTTATCGCAACCATTATCCTCTTTTCAACAGCAGCCTACTAAAACTAGTTATGAATTAGCTGACTTTGATCATGCATTAGATCGTTTAGAACATCTAAGAAGACAAGTTAGACCAGAGCAAGCGTATGCTCTCTCTCAATTAACTCAATCTCTAACTGATTTAGCATCAAAAGCTGAAGCATTATTATCTTTAGATTCATTAGCGTTTGGCCGATAAATGATGAATCCATATGTCTAATATGTGTATATGTATGTGTATATGTGTATATGTATGTGTATATGTATATATATTTTACCGGTTACCCTATTTCCCTTTTTTTTTTCCTTTTTTTTGATAGTATATCACTTTTTATATTATAATAAAAAGCTTCTTTACTTATTTATTATTAACATATAAGCTCTGATAGTTAACTTTGGAATTTTTTTTTTTAACATGTGCAATATTATTTATAGAGGAAAATGGTGTTGTGCGAAGTCTAACCAACAATGAAGAATGATTAGCCTAGTAAGACTACTGGTTCTTACTACTCAAACCAACTTAACTTGTAATGGGTAGTACATTCACATTCACTAATAAAGTTATTGTTAAAGCATATGTAGTCTTTATTAATCCTCTTCATGTCTTTTCTATTTATTTTCCCTTTTATGTATATCATCTAATATGACGTTATAATAGAAATCGCGCCACATCATCCTACACTCGGGGAAGGAGGGGTTTATTATGTAAAAATCGGGGAGATACGTTATTATTTGTAGACAGCTACTTTTTTTTTTATCATAATCTAAATACACACAGTCACCTTTTTTTTTTGCAGGAGTTATTGAGAAATGCTTCACTCTTCTATAGTAATAATAATAACAAACTCATTAAAACATAGTTGTTCCTTAGTGCTAATAATCTAGACAAGTGAGTTTATAATATATCAAAATTTATACCAAACAATACAACCAAGAGCCCTAATAGTAGTAGTAGTAGCAGCAGCATGTACTCTAAGTACTTAATTATTTTGGCTTTCCCCTCCCTAATGTCCTACGTTAAACGAGGTTACTGTTCTCCGCTAGAGATTCGGTTATTGGAATAAACATCAGTTATATAAGCTATCCATCTGCATAAGGGCCCCTTCCACCTCCTCCTTCCTTCTCTTCCTCCTCATTTTCATATATTGGTCTTCCCTAAATGCATGTATCATTTGCAATGACTTTACTTTAGTTTAGTGACCCATTTGGGGGGGGAAAGCCTTTTTCTTATTCTTTTTCTTTTTCTTATTCCTGTTAAACTCGTCACCTCTTCTCCAGGGCTTTTGCTCAAATTGCTGGCTTGATTGATTTACTGTTTAAAGTGTATTACGATGAAAGTAAGAATTATTGCAGTATTGATATTAAATTTTCAAGTAATTTAACTTTAATTCCTCCACTTTATTTAATTTTAACCAGAATAATTTAATATATATTTTAGATGTCATTATATAATAAATGTATACAAAAGGTATTTATTCATACTGGGGAAAAAGAAAAAAAAAAAAAGTGTAATCAAGTAGATGGAATAGCAGAGTATTTTTGTATTAGCATATCAGATTTCCTTTTCCACCACCATAATGCTGCTTGTTTATTATTGTCTGAAGGTACAGTTCGATTCCATTGATAATAAGTACTTGTCTTTTTTAGACGTATTGTTTTCCCAAATAATTCTTCTTCTTCTTCATCTGCTGCTATTTCTTCATAATTTCTTCTTCTTCTTCTTTTGAGTAACAAAATGGTTATTATGATTGAGAAACATATTATTAGAATAAGAATCGATAATAATTTATGTTCTATTATTTCAACTTTGTAATCAATAAATCAAATCAAATTATAGATAAATATTATAGCGTACCTATTGTATAAAATAATTTTCTAAATACTTCTTTTATACATTCACTACAATGTATCAAAATAGTCATGAAACAAACAATAATAATAATAAAGAGAAAAAAAAAAAAGCCTTATTTTTATTTATTTATTTATTTATTTATTTTTTTTTTATTTTTTATATTTTTTTATTTTTAAAATTATATAAAAGGAGAAATCATAAAAATGGTAATCTTATTCAGATGATATAAATGCATCATAATTATTATTTCTTCATTTGATCACTTTCAATTTTTTTGGGAGTATCATCACGTCCAGCACCTATGTTTAATACAAGAATATGAGTTAAAAAATTAGATATATATATTTATATAAATAGTCATATAAATGAAGCATTACCAGTTTGTTCCCAAGGTGAAAGTGCTCCTTCAAAATTTCTAAAGGCTTGTGATAATTCAACAGGCTCTGTTACTACATGCTTCTTTTCTTCATCATAGCGTACTTCAACATAACCTGTCAATGGGAAATCTTTTCTAAGGGGGTGACCTTCAAAACCATAATCTGTCAAAATACGTCTTAAATCAGGATGTCCAGTAAAGAAGACACCATACATATCATACGTCTCACGCTCTTGCCAATTAGCCCCACTATAGAGAGGTACAACAGAGGGGACAGGGGACGTTTCGCTAGCATATGTCTTTACTCGAATACGTCCATTGTATTTCATACTTAACAAATTATAAACTACTTCAAATCGATTCTCGCGTGAGGGGAAATCGGCTCCTGTAATATCCATACAGGACTTGAACTGGGCATTAGTATGATCACGCAAAAAATGAATCACTTGATAGACGCCACTGGGGGCCACATAGAGTGTTAATTCATCTTTGTATACGCTAAATTGTTGAATGAATTTGGGTAAAACAGACATGAGGTACTGTCCATATTCATGAAATACATCATTGCCCGACTTGAAGTTGGGATCAGCAGAGACTTTGCTATAATTTTTAGTTTCTGATGCTATATAAATTGATTGTTAATTTTTACTATTTTTTTTTTAAATTAAATCATTTTTTTACCTTGTATCGAAGTTGAAGCAAAAGAACGTACAGCATTCATACGAATAACTTGAAAGCATAATAATTATTTAGAACGAAACATATATATATATATATTTATATCTTTATATTTATATTATAGTAATAAATAAATATTACCTGGTGTTGTCATTTGGCGACGCATCATGGTTGCACTCAATAATCGTAATGCCATTTCGTCCAAAGAAAAAAAAATGAGTGGGGGGAAGTTTGAAACTAAAGCAACAACAATAACAAAAAAAAAAAATGTTTATTTGCCCCGGATTCTGTGCCATTTCTCTCTTTTTTTGTTCTGCTGGCTTCCCCACCACCGTCTTTAAAAAGCCTAATTTGTGACGTCGTGTGAACGGAATTCTAATTTATTTTACTACTCTTCTTTACCTTTATCTCAAAAAAAAAAAAAAAAAAAAAAAAAAAAAAAAAACAATTTCTTTTTCTTTTTCCTTTTTTTTTCTTTTTAACAATCAAAACTTTGCACATGAAAGTAGATTTAGAATCAACGAATGTGAAAAAAAGAGATACAGCAGCTGAATTTAACAGTTTAACAAATAAATGGATGAATAAATGTATAGAAGCAGTGACGTAAATTATAATTAGATTGGTTATTTTGTCATGTATACGTTTTAATAACCTATATATGATGATAGATTATCTACCTTGATTGAAATATTTGAACCTATTTTACCTGATCTAATAAACGAAATAAAAGAATGTCATTCACAGGGAGAAGATTATATGATACAAGAATTCAAGGTAAAATAATGATGATGTAAGGATTGAGAAAATAAAAAAACCCTCCTCAAATTAAACAAGTTATTTAGAAAGGAATAGCTATTATTATACAGGATAGACAGTTGATAGAGAAACAGAAAAAGCTTGATGAATTAATAGAAGAAGCAGAGAAGAGGGAAAGAGTGAAAACACAACTTGTACCGACACCAGAGCAAGTAACAAACGGAATTATATATAAATCAAAAAAAGACGAACTTCATCGATTACAAGAGACATTAAATAAAGTAAGCAATACATTCAAAAATAAATAAAAGTAGCCTATTTACATGATTATAGCTTATTGAAGAGAATTATGAGTTGATGAATAAAATAAAAGATCAAGATTTACAAAAACAAGAAAAAGTATCAAAATTAGAATCAGAATTAAGTCAATTTGATGAGGTATTTACACATATTTTAAACAAACAAGATATTTTATACGATTTAGAGCTTACTAGTAACATAAATGTATATACATAGAATATTTCAATTGTAAATACAATACGAATAGAAGAGTTAATTGATTTAATGAAAGAAATGGATTTTGATATTACAAAAGCAGAGTTATGATAATAAATTATTTATCAGTCATAGATAATAGATCTTGTTCAGATTGCTTATTGGCAATGTGAATAGGTGGTAGCTTGTTCTTTGGAACAAGCAAACGTTGATGTAATTGTAATTGTTCCTGTAGTAACAATAATTGTTTTTGTTGTGATTTATGTGCTAATAATGCATTTCTTGCATTAGCTTCTAAAGAATTTAATGCTGATTGTTTTGGTGATGACATCTTTTGTTGTTGTTGTTGCTGCTGATAATGATGATGATGATGATGGTGATGATGATTTGATATTGTTGTTGTTTTAATGGCTGGTAAATGGACGTTACTGTTTTGTTCTACTTTAACTCTTAATTCTAGAGTTCTTATCTTTTCTCTTAAAGATTTGTTTCTCCTTTCTAAATGACTTATAAATTCAGCTGCTTTAAATAAAACTGTACTTTTTGAATTATTTATGTTCTTTAAAGTAGGAACCAATTCAGTTAACTCATTGAAACCATGACGAATGATGCTTCGTCGTTTTTGTTCAGATGCAATATGATTGGCTCTCTTTTCTTCCTCTGTTAATAACTCTTTATGTGCTTTTGCTCTTTTAGGTTTTACAATGGATAATTGTTCTGTTTCTGTTTCTGCTTCTTCTTCTTGATAATGATTACGTTTTTTATTTATAGTTGGCATAATAGTATCCGTACTCTTTCTTAGGTATATTTTATTAGTTACACTATTTTGAGTCACAAGATCAGTTGCCTGTTTAACTCTTAACTTTTTTTGTTCATCCAAGCTTTTTAATATCGAATTACGTCTTTTTTCTTCCATTTCTTCCTCCACAAAGAAAGTATCTAGAAAGTTTGAAAACGTCTTTTGATCATTTTCATTTAAAACTGTAGTTGTATTAAGGTCTTGTTGAAATAAATACGGGCTAACAAAAGAGGCAGTAGAAAACAAATCATTATTGAAACTAAACTTGAAATCTATTTAATTTATTGAATAAATAAAATATCATATGAAAATAATGCATTAAATAATTATAGTAATAATACCTTCAAATGGTACTGGTTCTTGTAATAAAGATTCATTATTTTGATGATAAATCCAGTCATCATTATTATGATTAAGATTACTTGACATTGATGAACTTGATTCCATTTAATTAAAAAAAAAATAAAATAAAATAAAATAAAATAAAATAAAAAATAAATAATAAATAGGAAAAAAAGAGAGAAAGAAATAGAAAGAGAAAAAAAATAAAAAAAAGGGAAAAAAATAATAATATACATGTGTGTACATTCATATTTATATGTGTCTATCAATTATGTTATTATTATACACATATTTGTATATATATATATATATATATGTGTGTGTGTGTGTGTGTGCGTGTGTGTATAGGTAATAATAGACAATCCTTTATTATTATCTGCTTCCCCCCTTATTTCTAATCAAAGATAAGCACATTTAATATTACTCTTTATCAACTTACTATTGCTTTATTTTCACATTCATTATATAGCCCACGTTTTTACTTCATAATTAAAGTGACACAATGGGTTATAAATTACAATTCACATGCTATTATTATAGCATACTACTAACTCTAAATTATAACGACTGCTAAATGCCTAAAATCAGATTCACGATGCAAAGTTATGACTATATGATAAAGGGGGGGAAAAAAATGCTTTCTTCCTCTTTACTATAATAATATACAAAATCTTTTTTGACATGTGTATTTATTATAGGATTTTATTTAAATCTGATATTTATATATTTATTACATAAAGACAATATATTTTTATATATTTGTATATACATGTATAGATGTATACACATATATATTTATATATATATGTATATATTTATATATATTTTTACTGCAATAATCGAATAAAATTTATTTATTTGCAAAAGAAAAGGACTAAAGTCTCTTCATGCTATTCATTATAAGTGGCAATTTTGATTCAAAGATGCCACTATTTGACGTGAAATAGATAAACTAATAGCTTCAATTGTTACCATTGGATTTACACCTACTGCTGTTGGGAATACAGACCCATCGACAATGAATAAATTCTTTACTTCCCATGTTTCACCTGTAGGTTGAATAACAGATGATTTAGGATGTGTTCCCATGCGGCTATTATTATAAATAAATAAATATTTTAGTCTAATATATATTCATATATACATATGTATATATATACCATGAACCTAGTTGATGTACGGATGCAAGTGGGGTCGAAATAGCACTTACTCCTGCTTTACGTACTTCTTCTAACCATTTTATAAACCTGGGATTATCGATACAGCTTTCTTCATCTTCTCTAAATTCAAAGGGCAATACATTCGCCTGACTCGTATAGAGTTCGCGTGCTCCTGAGGTTACCAAGATTTTTATAGCTCGTTCAGCTGAAACCATCATTGACTGCTCATCATGTTTAGAAAGTGAATAGTCATATACTGGACTTCCATTCAGTTTAAAATAAGAATGAGAATCAAATTTGACAGCCCCTACTGAATCCTTATCACGAACAACATTAAGAAGTGAAAGAATTGATTTATGTCTCAACATCAAACTTTTGTGCTGTGCAGACCCATACCAAGGGAGTAATGTGGCTAACATTCCAGGAAGTGTTACACCTTCTTCAATTTTAGCTCCATAATAGTCACCATGGACATTATCAGAGGCGTTACAGACGCGTGTAATTAATTGTCCATCTGACTGTCGAATCGTTTCATTATAAACACCAAAAGTAAATAGGATAGGTTGAAGCCGTAAATGCCGTCCAATGTTAGGATTACGTAGACCACTCGCTCTTAATAAACTAGGCGTACAAAGTGCTCCACAGGCAACAATCACCCTTTTGGCTCTAATCTTGATGACTTGTTGGTTTGGTAGTTGACATTCTACACCTGTTGCTTTCTGTCCAGACGTTAAGATACGAATAACGCGTGTTTGATCAAGGAATTTTGTTCTGCCAGTATCAAGAGCATCCTTGAGCCAAGTATTAGTTGTACTATTCTTGATACCTGATTTACATCCCATCATACACCGACTGCAGTAATGTGCTTTTCCTCCTGTATTCACATGTACTTTTTCAATATGATAACCAAGCTCACTTTTTGTTTTTTTTTAAAAAAAAAAAGGTCATTACATACTCTATAATCGTCTAATCTAATCTATCTTCATAATATATACTTTACCGACATCCTTGCTCAAACTTTTGAGTTGTCTTTGTATCTAAAAAGTTATCTTGACTTGCCCCAATTCGTTGAAAGACAGCTTCAAGATCTGTATTAAACTATATATAAAAAATAAAAATACATTTATATAAAAAAATAAATAAATATATAATTACAAAACAAATAGTTTATTTTTATAACCTGTGATGAAATAAAATAAGGCAAGCCTTGTTTTGCCCACTCTTCTCGTACAAAATGCTGGGGCTTTAAAGAGACCAGATAGTTCACCTCTGTTCCTCCACCCATCGTTGACCCCGCCAAACATTGAATGGATCCATTCGTAGATAATGTGGCCGTTCCTGTATCATACATATTCTTGTAACACTCTTCTTCAGCTTGAACTATCTCTGATTGATGAAAATAGCGTCCCTTTTCGATTACTAACACTGTATATCCCGCTTTTGCCAATTCAGCTGCAGCCACACCTCCACCTGCACCACTGCCTACTACCACCACATCCACGGTGAAACTATTATTATTTTGAATGTTGCTCATGATTGGAATCCGTTCATGTTCAATTGGATCATAATCGGGATGAGTTTCAAAAAAGACATCACCAGAGGCACCATCATGTCCAATACTTTTGATTAAAGGTGAGGCCCTTTGACTATAGGCATTAAAGAGACACAGACTAGAGAATGTCTTGTATAGATGACGTAATGGCTTCACGTTGGAGTTCTTCCATTGCAACATCACTTGTTCACGGCTCCTTTGTGTCAAGGCCCCGAACTGTTGCCTCCAATGCCCAGTGAGCAACAAAGTCCCCACCTGTGTTCCCAAGAGATCCAAGATACGTAGTAAATCTCCTCGTTTCTCAGGAGGCACATAATGGCTCATAAACTCAGTCACTATGCTTGTGACCTTTAAAGAACTAGCAGAGAGTTGAGCAAGTTGATGGGCTTGTGCTGTCGTGACTTCATAGATATCTTCTTTACCCTTGATTCTCTGTTGTAGTTCTTCTTCTTTGTCAGTAAGTGGGCCAAGAAAGGTATCAAAGATAGCTCCTAACGTTTGTTCCTGAGGCTGTGTAAGCACTAAAGGTGAATACATAGTCATAATATGTATATATATATGTATATGTATATATATATAAAAGAAAAAGAAAAAGAAAAAGAAAAAGAAAAAGAAAAAGAAAAAAAAAAAAAAAGAAAAAAAAAAAAAGGAAAAAGCAAACAATAAGAAAAGACAAAGAAAATAATGAATTGTTTTATATATAGAATAAACTTATATATATTAACGTGGGTAAAACTATTATAGAACGTAATATCCATATAAGAAATATTTGATATGACACATGTTGAATTTATTAACAAAAATATATTACAGAAATATATAGGAAGAAGGGGAAAAAAATTATACTGAAATCTTAAGAACTTTTTGCCTTTTTTGACAATTTGACTTTACCCATAAGACGCTTTTGTTCCTTTTCAGATATCTGTTGTGCACTCTCCAATTTTCTCTTCTTAGATGAGTTCTCATTCTTGATACTTACAACTGAACTCATTCCACTCTTTTTACCAGAAGTGAGTGCCTTAACACGATCTCCAGCAGCAGCCCATTCTTCATCTGTACCACCAATAGCATATTTACTAAGGTCAAGTGAATCAATAAGCTCACGCTGTTTAGCCTTTAATTCATCCAACACTTCTTCTCCAGCTTTTTCTAAATCAGCTTCCAAATCTTCCTTGACTGGTTTCCATGCTTCATCATCTGCTGCATCTCGCTTATGACTTGTTTTATCTGACTTTTTGAGTGCAGGCACAGTTTCTTCATAAGCCTTTGTTTCTACCTTGGCAAAATAGTTTGATATCTTTCTAACAATCTTTATAAACAAAGCGAGTACTTGGTTACTAGCCAAATTGAGTTCATCTTGAAGTTGATCAACTGATTTGCGTTGAAGGCCAATACCAAGCAAGATCGCACTTTGAACTCCAGAAAGTTTAATGTCAGTAGGCATCTCACCCCTGAAATAAAGCTCAGCTATTGTAGGAATCATATCCAAGATAACATGATAATCAAGCATATTGTTTGAATAGGATTCTAAACGTTTTAAATCATAGGGACTAAATAAATGACTCAGACTTTCTTTGTCTAATTCACGAGTTTCTTCTTGTTCGCTATCTTGTCCTTGTTTGGCACCGTCAAGAATATTCAAAGCATTTACAGCTGTAAATTCGCGGAAATTATAGGATAAAAGATGAATGAATCGCTTTGAGAAATCACGAGCAAAGGCATCAAGCCATGCTGCATTAGCCACTCGTGAGTCCTCTGTATCTGTCAATGCCTTGATCATGACACATGAATGCTCGCCTGTAAGATCATTGGCTGTCTGACGTACATAAAGTGGAACAAAGCCTGCACGTTTCCAGAATTTATGGAGTGAAGCTGTAAGACCATAAGAGACACCAAGATAATCAAGACGCTGTGCCCGTTTTTCGTCTAGCTTTGTAAGGAGAGGAGGCATCTTACTAGGATCTCGAACTTTGACTTGATCCGTCTTGAGATTGGCGTTTTCAAGCTCATAATCCTCAACCAATGGCAAAGATTCGTCATCCAGGGGTTGTGTAGATTCACTTAAATCATTGGCTTTACCTTGGTAGAAGTTGGTTAATAATTCAAGTGCTCTTGAACCATAACCCATTTTGGCATAGTCAGGATGTGTAGCAATACGTACAACACGAGCACCAGAAAGACTAGCAAAGTCATCGTCTTGGTATTGTTGAGAAATAAGCCAAGGGATCATATCGCCTGAAGGTCGTTGTCCACGAGAAAGAGAATTAACAACTGTTTGGCGAGAGATTTCACCTTCAAGACATACTTGAATAACAACCAGAGGATCAGGCAAACTATTGGTCTTTGCATTTACTGGAGGAAGTAAGACAAACAAATGATGAGCTGGTGCATCACTCATTAATTGCAAATCATTGGGTGAATTTTTATAGTGACTGGATACATAGAGTGCCATCATACGTTGTAAGAAAGTTTCTGAAACAGGGTGGTAAGAAAATAAGGTATCTCGGTTGACATAGTACAATTCACATTCTGAAGGATGAGGACAACCTTGAATGTTTTTAGAAATTACAGTAGCATCAAGACAAAGAAGCTTATTCAACCATTTCTCCACAGGATCGTTAGGTGCATAACGGATGGGCTCATCAAGTGTAACTTCCTTTAGAGAACGGCCTGTTAATGCACCATCAGATCCTTCTACCTTCTTTGCTTGAAGATCGCGATTTACAACAATACCTTCTGTATCATCCTTATCCTTAATTGGAATTCCTCTAGATTGTTCACGCAATTGTTGGATTAACTTGAGTGAGAGTGAACGGCCAGTACCTTCATAACCATTAATGGTAGAAGCCATAAATACAAGATAAGGACCTAAAAGCTTACGAACCAAAGGCAAGGGAATTGCAGCTGCTTCATCAATAACTACAAGTTCAGCCTGTCCAAGGACATGTGCATCTTGAGGTTGAATATATTGAATTGTTTGACGATGTTGTTTAAATATATTCACACGAACAATAGCCTTATTAAAATCAGGGTTTGTTGATTGAACAATATCATAATCAAGATGCTCCTCATATCCAAGGGCATCAAACGTCTTGAAGACAAACTCAAATAATGTCTTCAAATTTTCTGGACTAGGTGACGTGACAAAAATATTAGAGTAGCCATAAGCAACAGCAGAAGCCATAGCGATACCAAGTGCAGCAGATTTACCACGACCACGAGAAGCAGTCAAAGTTACTGTGCTACGAAGTGATTTTTCAGAAATTGCTTCAATAAATGTCAATACTGCCTTTGCTTGATCCAAGGTACGTGCTCCCTTGACAAGAGATGCAACAGGTTCAGTATCCGCCAAAGATTCTTTCAATTCAGCAAGCTCAATTTCTTCAGGTGTTTTTTCGTCAGATGATTTGATTGCTAAAGGCTTTACATTCTTACCCATACTAATAGGTAAAACATTTAATTCATCATCTACAACTAGACATGTCTCACAAGATCCAAGTGATAAAATAAATCGTTCATTAAAACGTGCAACAATATCGTTGTGGGCTTCGGTACGATATCTACTATGAACATCCTGTATATAAATGTAAATACATTGCATGCACTGGTGGAGCTTTTTTTTTATTTTTTTGTGCCTAAACTTACCATAGTCATAGTATATAATTGCTTAAGTGAACTCATACTCTTTAATAAAAGAACTACCATACCTCCACCTTCAACAGTTTCAATTGTACGTGCTAAAGTGTTTGGTGTAATAGCTTCAAAATCTTGAAGAATACACATGCCATAAGTGTTACCGAGAATATTTTGTGTTTCCTTATAATAGGCGTAACGAATATTAGTAACGGTAATAAAAAGTTCAAAAGGATCCTCTTTGTTGACATCTCGAATTCCTCGCTTAATGTCGTTTTTGATTTTCTTCTCACGTTTCTTACGATGACTATATATATGTGTACATATGTGTATTAGACATAAGCAAAATTAAAATATATATATATTTGAATTTATTTTTTTTACCTTGTAAATCCCAATTCTTTCTTATAGCACCATAAAACAGAAGGTCGACTAGTAACTTGGGCTTGGGATAAAAGCCAGTGTAAATTTACAACCTAGCAAAAAAAGATCAGTTTTTTTTTTAATATATTTACATGCAATAAATAATATATCAAGAATCTTTACCTGGTCTTTTCCTTTATCACCTACAATGACAAAGAAAGATCTATGCTTTGTCTGTACACAATTCTTGATGAGTGTATGTACTCGAGAATCAACAACTTTCTTAACCATTATTGATACAAAGCTTGATAAAAAAAAATTAAGGGATATTTTTCAAATAGAGCAAATCTGAGTGGCGTTCGAAAGTAAAAGCAGTCAGTGAAGTATTGCGTCCAATTAAAACAAAAATTGCGTGGAGATTTTTAAACCCAATATAGTAATAAGAAGAAGATCATTGACAATAAGCTTTTATCCATTTTGATTTTACTTCAGACACTTAATAGTTAAAATACTTTTTAAATATAAATCCTTTTATTTTATTTTTCAATAAAAAAGTATATAGTATTATTATATTCTGAATTATGAAATAAGTATTCCTTAAGTAGTTAATAGAGTAGATAATATTTCCAGCAAGCAATAATATTTGCTTTTATTTAAAGAGATTAGATATTGCATCTTTATTCTAATTAATTTGTTAACATGGCTATATTTAGAGTTTTTAAACACTATTAAATAATGATGCTTAGCCCTTTGCTAAACTATTTGCCTATAAATAATACTTTGCTTTAATACATCATCTATTTAAACTCTTATGTAGAACAATTCGCTTACCAATATCGAATCTTTCCATTATTCCCTTTAGTTCCCCTCTCCCATTTTCCTTATCTTGATTTGACTTGGGCTTGGGTATAAAGACAAACTGACAATAGAACTGTATATATCTATGGGACATGGTTATGATATATTCATTTGGTTAGATGAATCTTTTGTGAAGCTTAGGTAGTTTTCCCAAACCGTCGACAATAGCTCGCCTTTAGTTTCTTCTTCAAACAACCAAACTATTGACCGGTGGCTCGAAGGTTAATTTTCGTCTCTTTGGTAATTTTTTTTTATTTGTTCTATAATTCTTTACAAAGAGAGAAAATTTGTAATTATTATTTTATTAGTAATACATATTGATTTTAATATAAGGGAAAGAATATGCTGAAATATTCTATATGCTTACGGCTGAAATGTCCCATATGCTTACGACTAATAGTATTGCAAGTTTTCGGGTTAGGAGTTTGTTGGGTTAATTATCAATCCAAACAAATTAAAATTATTGCTTACTAGACTTGAATTTGGACATATCATTTATATTTGAAAAAAATTAAAGTAAACAATATATCTGCCTTATACTTCCTACTGCGCTTTTCAGGTGGACTGTTAATGATACATTAATTCTGGATCCGTACACAATTACAAGTTATATTTTCACTTATTATATTGTGCCTAAACTATAAATCATCATTGTAACATCATTTCTGCCCTTTTTCCTTTTTTTTCCCTATATCACTACCTTGATTAATTCAGTTTATAAATATAGTTTTCATTTTGAAAATATGTATTCAGTAATCTTCAGATTGGCTTATTATTTTATTTTATTTTATTTTTGCTAATAGTTTTGTAGTATATTACTGTTAAAAATAAGTCTTAAAGCAGTTAGTATAATTAAATTGTTTTTATACAATATAGATATATATTTTTATAGCATTTATCTTTTCGAGAAAAAAAAAAAAAAGTTCCATGCCTAAGGTTAGCAAATTTTAGTAGAACTAATACATATATTTCTTTGGATAAAAGCTACTGAATCAGCTATTGTCATATGTTCCTTGTTAGCTTGAACATTAAATGAACATTAATAGACATTATAGGTAATATAAATTTATTTTGATCAAATATTAAATTGGAAAAGTCATTAAGTGATAAAATTAGTAGAGGATGGATTGCTGGAAAATTTCTTTCCTTTACAAGATAGTCAACAGGTATTATCAGCGAGACGAGACTGGGGTATAGATAGTCTTCGGCGCCTGTTTTCTATAGCTGTGATAATTGATGACTCAGCTCTAGCAACCACTCCAAAAGCTATATTCTGTTTACATAATAAAATGAAGTTAGTAAGAGACTTATAGCTTAATTATTAAATTCATGTTTATCTTTAATTGTAAAAATTTTGATACAATAGCTGATGTCAAATATAGTTGATCAAGTCGGAAGCATATATCCACTTTTGAGAGATTTATGAGACAATACATTTTTAAATAATCTATGTCCATTATGTACCTCATCATGTGTCGTCCTTCTGCAAAAATACCATATACAACAATTTTTTTAACTAAATTTAGAACTAAGTTGTTGTATGCAGCACATATTTATCGTGCCAACTTAACCTGGTTGGATTCTACGGCTGAGTTGTATTCTATAGGCTTGACCTCAGAGATCAAGACAACAAATTTGATATTTGTCGGCATACTATACATTATAAAGTCTGGTTTGTATGATTTTAACTCATAATTTTTCGTGTTGCCACCATTAGCTCTATATTTCATATATGTGTATATATGAAATTAGATTAATTATTCGTTCAACTAATCTTGAATATTTATATTTCTAAATTACCAGTGAGTCTTGGAGGAAGAATCAGAAGAGAGCACAGACTATAATATTGGAACCAGAAAATGATATACGTAAGAATCCTCGATCGAACAATTAGGTGAACTAGGTATCAAAAGTGGTAAGCTAAATAGAAGTAAATGACAATATGAGCAAGGTACTTTAAATACCGTTGATAGATATTTACATGCAGATCGCATCTCAATTTTGCAAGCAAAATTTTTCCTTCACTCACTGGAACTACCTGAAGACATTTTATTACAACCTTGTCATGAGCTGACTTATAATGTCATGTTTCTTGATTAAACATGCAGATCAGAAAATTATTCAAGAAATTTTATCTAGATTCCCCTGAAGCTTTTTTGATCCACTTTATCAAACAATATTAAAGCTTCTAACATTTCATTATCTATAACATGTCTTATTCAGTCGTAACTAACACTTTTCTGATTTACATCTTATCTCAGACTTCTTTAACAATTCTTATAAATACCTATCAATTTAAATTCATAAATAAAATAATTGACTTTAGAACTATTGTTCGGTTTCGTTGACGTTTTTTTTTTTTTTTTTTTTTTTTTTTTGTCTTTTTATTATTTTTATTTGATATTTTACAATTAATATCACACTTTTATTATCATTCATAATGCATATATTGTTTTAACCTCTTGAATGTTTATTGTAACAAGAAGGGCTATTTTACGAAACAATTTCCAGATGTCTAACACTTTTGTATATGATGAACCAATATTGTTTGTAGTCAATTTTTTTTTCAAACTACTCTTATTATCAATAAACATTTTATGAGCTTGTGTTACCTTCCATCAGCCATGGGAGGCACTATACAGACGGGGCGATTTTCAGTGCTATTCATAGCCCGGCATAAAACAGGCTCCCCACATTTCTGAAAAAAAAAAGGGAAAAAAAAAGAAAAAAAAGAAGGAAATTAAACATTCGTGCCTTTTATATCATTTTATAATGAAATGTTACACGAGTGACTACCATTTGCATCTTTAATATTATAATAATAATTATAATAATAATAATAATAATAATAAAAAAAAAAATACACGTATTTTATGTTATGTTTTTTTATTAGATAGATTAATGATACTTTTTTACTTATCGACCGACTAGGACAGTACAGTATATTCTAGTACTATGTATTCAAGCAGTTACTATTAATCTTTATTTTTTATGAATGAAAGATTTAGTTTAATTGCTGTTTATACGTATTATAAAAATCACACATAGTAAATACAAAATATTCAATAAAATAAAATAATTCAGGAACAATAAGGAACCAATATTGTATAATAAAAAGAAAACGACAATAAAAATAAAGATAAAAATATAGAGATATTTGAGTCATAAATGCACTCCATTACTTGAAATGAGCTGTCAATAAATGATCTAATCTGATCTGATTCAATCTAAACCTTAGCAAATGTTCAAGTTCTATTATATATGATTTATATGATTTATATGGCTTATATGATTTATATAGTTTGCCCCTTATTAAATCATAAAATGAGGATGATGTAATAGCATAGTATAATATATATGTGTGTGTGTGTTGTCTATGACTACCGTTGGCCTTCAGCTAATTAGATACCATTTTAAGCATTAAAATTAATATCAGAAAAAAAAAAAAAAAGTTAACGTTGTCTAGGTGATAGTAACTATATAATAATAAAGTAATAGATATATATCGTATAAAGGTAACTATATAATTCATGTTTTCACTAAAAAGGCATAAAATACATAAAATACATATAATAGAATTAATAATAAGCATATAAACTAGTTTTAGCTAATTTTAGCTAATTTTAACTAATATTATTATACTCTGATTGATATTAATTCATTAGTATATTCCAATAATATCTCAAATACACATTTGGTATACATATAAATATGTTATGCTATTTCATTACAAAAGACTACTGTTATTTATCAGGGGAAGAAAAAAAATAAGACTGAACAAAAAAATAACCCTCCATTTTGTAAAATCAAAAAGGCTATTTGTTATATTAGCCAATCAGAAAAATGGATGTTATTTTAATTGAGGGGGGAAAAACTTATCAACTAATAATATACAATTTATCATCACTGAAATCTTTTTCTTAATAATTAGGTATAGTATTCATAACGATATATTAGCTTTTTATATCATTTTTATCCAGTACATTTATTACATTTATTAAGTAGGATAAGGAATGCTCCATTCTTATTCTAACTTTGCCATTTACCTTTACTTCTTTATCGTCTGCCTTCCTTTTTTTTTCTTGAAAGAAGCTATTTTTAATTTTTTGATTGTAATATTTATAATACAAGCATGGGAGGTTGCACTCAAGATTGTAATTGGAACACTATTTTCGGTTGGTACAATGATTTTTTTAAGCGTGCCCTTTAATGAACGGCCATAGTTTCTCTGAGTAGATAAATTGAAGCCTTCTTGTCACATATATTATATTGTTCAATAATGGTTTTTTGTAATGCTATTGCTCTATCAAAATTTCTCGCCGCTATTATCTTTTCAACTTTATTTAAAGTAATATGAGCTTGATTTACTGAATATTTGTAGTGGTAAAAACTAAGATTTTCAAACCTTCGAATGTTTCGCAAAGTATTTTCAATAATTAAATCAAAGAGTTTTTATTTTCTGTAATAGTCTCATTTTAATTTATCAGCTTTATACTTTTTAATGACATTGATTATGCAAAAAAGAAAAGTATCACTAAATGATTCTTTATCTTGTTCCTCTAGCAAATCAATATCCATAAATTCACGTACACGCAATGATGAATCGTTCCCAATTTGCTTTGCTTTCTTTATCTATTCTTTATTTGAGTTAAAATGGTCCTCTTGCTCGTCTTTTTCTATATAGTCATTATATAAAAAGTCTAAGTTATTTTCCCTATTAGTAATAAATTCGCTAAAGCTATTCATGTTTATTATAATATTTTGAATTAAATAAAGTAACTGAATCATTCAGATTTTATTGGGTTATTTATTTATTTCAAATCCTCTGCGCAAAATTGATTTTTACCTGAATGCAAACTCATATTGATTCAATCTCAAAATAGTGTACTCCGTCATGCTATTATCGTCTGAATACCAATTTGTTATTCTTCTGTGGAAGAAATTTTCTTCCTTTATTACAATAGATAATCTTATCTCTTTAAATACACCATATTAAGGTAGACTAGGGCTCAAAAAGAAAAGCGGGGTTCTGTTTCAAGAAAAAAGATTTTTCCTTTTTTTTTTTTTTTTTTGTTGCGTTTATTAATTAAATCATTTTAACTCATTCCTTTGATTTTCTTTTTCTTTTTCTTTTTTTTTTAGTTGTTATTATTATCACTATTACAAACTTAATGTCAGCAAATTGTAATGAGGATAATATATCCTCTTCTTCAAAAGAACGTATGAGAACAAGACGGTTGGACTCATCCAATAATAAGTTCGAATTAGAAACGATAGAACATAAAAAATATCAAAATGCAAATAGCACAACTGAATTTAATGAAGATTTTTCAAGCCAATATTCCCGATCTATTTCCAAAAGCCAACCAGGCTCTTTATTAAATGATGAAGAAAAGCCTCGTTTAAAGAGAGCTTTAAAAGCTAGACATGTAAAATAGATAGATATACATACATATATATATATATATATACGTATATATGTATATGTTAAAACATCAAATGAATTGTATTATTTATATACTATATATTTAGTTGACAATGATTTCATTAGGCGGAACAATTGGTACTGGCTTATTCTTAGCATCAGGTTCTTCTATTGCAAATGCTGGTCCAGGTGGGGCTTTAATTGCTTATGCACTCATCGGTATCATGGTCTTTTTTATGATGGAATGTTTGGGTGAAATGGTAATTTTGATAATAATTTTTGATGAAGACCCATGTTACGTAAAAATAAAATAAAATAAAATAAAAATAATAACTTCTTTCTTTTTAGGCAACTTATTTACCAATATCTGGTAGTTTTAACAATTATGCGGGTAGATTTATTGATCCTGCACTTGGATTTGCTCTTGGTTGGAATTATTGGTACAACTGGGCTGTCACTGTAGCTGTTGAATTGGTAAGTAACAGATCAAGTTATACAAATCGAAATATCCTTATTTAGTTTTATATTTGTATCACTTTTTAATAGACGGCTGGTTCCATGGTAATGGCATTTTGGTTACCTAATTTTCCGAGTTATGTTTGGTCTATTATCTTTTTGATTTTAATTTTATCTCTAAATTTATTTTCTGTTAAAGGATATGGTAACGTATAAGAGAATATTATATACATATTATATTCTATTTTCTAAATATTTATTTTTTTTTTTAAAAAAAAAAAATAGGTGAGGCGGAATATTGGTTCGCTTTAATTAAAGTATTGGTAGTGATTGTGTTTATTATTCTCGGCATTCTTGTTGATGTAGGCGTATGTGGTGGTCATTATTATGGTACAGAAACTTTTAAATACGGTGGTGTTCAAGGGCTTGGAGTGTTAAGTACATTTTTGACGGCTGGTTTCTCCTTTCAGGGTACAGAACTTATTGGTGTAGCAGCTGGGGAAAGTGAAAATCCTCGGAAGAATGTTCCTAAAGCCATAAAGCAGGTCTTTTGGCGTATTCTCTTATTTTATATTTTGTCTATTTTTATCATAGGCTTAATCATTCCCTATGATGATCCTCTTTTATTGAGAAGTGATGTATCTGATATTTCTGTCTCTCCTTTTACTCTAGTATTCCAAAAAGCAGGTATGTCTGCGGCTGCACACTTTATGAACGCCGTTATTTTGACAACCGTTCTTTCTGCTGGTAACTCTGGTCTTTATGCTTCTAGTCGTACACTTTATGATCTTGCTCTTGAACATAAAGCTCCTCAATTCTTTACAAAAGTCACGAAGAATGGTATTCCTATTTACTGTGTTCTCTTGACTGCCCTTATTGGTATGTTGGCTTTCTTAACCTCTCTCTTTGGAAATGGTGTTGTTTATAATTGGCTGCTATCTATCTCAGGTATTGCAGGTTTTATTGCCTGGCTTGGTATCGCTGCTTCCCATTGGCGTTTCCGTCGAGCATTTATTGCTCAAGGTAAGAATGTGGATGAATTACCTTTTAAGGCTCGTCTCTTTCCTATTGGCCCTCTTTTTGCATTTGGAATCTGTTTATTTGTTGTAGTCGGCCAGGGTTATGACAAGTGGATGGCTGATCCTCCTGTTCCAGCTGATATTATTGCTTGTTATATTGGCTTACCAGTTGTCATTATTTTATTTGTTGGTTACAAATTTATCAAAAAGACAAAACTTATCCCCTTATCAGAAGTAGACTTGGATTCAGGACGTGAAGAAATTATAGCGTAAGTTGACTACATATTATATATTTAAAGCTAAACTAAACAATATATACATATTTTTTTTTTTTTAGTCATACAATTGAAATGGAAGATCGTAAGCAATATGATCCTTTGGAAGGAGTTAGTATCTTCAAGCCGAATACTTGGAAACGTATCCCCCATAATTTGAAATCATGGAGAGACGCAGTAAACAATTAAAAAAAAAATAGGCTTACTTTAAATTATATCCTATGTTTTCTTCTCTTTGTTATAAACATTATAAAAATGTATATAGAATGAATAATAAATTAGATTAATTTTCTTTATTTTTTATATTACAGTGCTTACAGCACCAAATGGCAAGTTTTTAAAATAAATAAATAATGATTGTTTTGTTTTAAACTCAAATAGCAGATTTGGCCAACAATAAATTAGCAATTTTACAGTATTTTATTTAATACTTTACGAACGATATTTGAATGTCTTGTATAAACTCATTTATTAAACATATTAACAACGTGTTGAATAAAGTCTCTAATGTTGCTTAATGAAATATTATCACGAGCGTCCCTTATTCTTATATCCTTCTTTTCGCTAAAATAGCTATGTTCTACTTGGTCTTTGGCATTAGCTGCCCAGAACTATTCTATTGGAAGAGAATAAAGGAAGATACATTATTATTATTATCATTATTATTTTCTCCATTTTTTTTTTTTAATATTTGTCTCTTTATACCTTTCCAAATTAAAACTGTTTAATTGGTTTATATAACATAAAAACCTTTAGAACCAACAGAGTTGTTGGTTTGGGTGTATCATATTTTCTGTTCTCTCTTCAGCAACTGATTTATCAATTATAATGGTACATTAATAAATACAAACAGACAAAAGAATATAGCGTTTTATTTTATAGATTGTGTTTGTTTATATGTGAAATTGTTTAATACAAAAGAAGCAAGAATAGTGTAAGAGTACTTTAAATTAACTTTGAATAATCTATCATTTAAATGTATGCTATTTGAGCTAAGAGAATTATATGTTATGTATTTAAATAATGACAACATACATAAGAAAGGTTTGGCCGAAATTTGAAGACTCAACTTCAAGTGGTTCAACGAAAAGGCAACAAAAGAATATTAAACTTGACTTTACAGTGCATCTAAAGGCTTATATAAATTAGTCTAGAAAACTTGAGAACAATTACATAACTCGAACATTTAATGCCTTTTTACGTCATCCATAAAGACCTGGATGAATGGTATATTTTATGCCTTTATGGTTTAGTTTTTAGTTATCTGCAATAAATAATCAGATTACTCATATTTGTCTATGCGCTATATATATATAGGTATAAGCATAATCTAAGGGTTACAAAATAATATCCTTTTTTTTATAGAGCAATTCGAGCATTCAAAGTAAAAATAATATGTGATTGTTTCTTATGTCTTTTAGCATCAAATATTCTTATAAATCAATTAATATTGCATTATAGATGTTCTTCACATTATAAAAGTGTCTAAAAAGCATATCCAGCACTAGTAGCCGTAGAGACTTTATTCAACACGTTGTTAATATGTTTAATAAATGAGTTCATACAAGACATACAAATATCGTTCGTAAAGTATTAAATAAAATACTGTAAAATTGCTAATTTATTGTTGGCCAAATCTGCTATTTGAGTTTAAAACAAAACAATCATTATTTATTTATTTTAAAAACTTGCCATTTGGTGCTGTAAGCACTGTATGTGTAACACTAACAAATCTTGTACTACATTCTAATAGATTATTAAATTTTTAAATTTGTCCCTCCTTCTCCTCCACCTTTTTACACTCCTTTTTTTTTGGAAGATACATACTTGTTTAAAATGGGAGCCAAAGTAGTTGATTATAGAGTATCCACGTTAGTTGTATTATGTAAAGACTGTGGAAACGATGTAGGTCTTTATCCTGCACGTCATAAGTGTCGGCCAGTCGATAGACCAGCGATGCCTTCACTTCCTATTCAATATAATAATAATAATACGATCTCTACTACAGAATCATCTAAAGCAACATTATTAAATCAATCGCCATCAGTTGAATCACCGTCCACTACAAAGTCAACTCAACTCGATAAATCAGAACAAGAAGATTCAGTTTATTATAACAATTTTGCTGCTCATTTACCAGAATCAACTGACTCGAATGGTAAAAAATTATGGGGAAAAATAAAGCAGAATGAAAAATGGAAGCAGCTGAATGAAAAGACTAAAGGTGAGAAGAAAGAAAAGAAAAGAAAAGAAAACGAAATGAAATGAAACAAAAATTAAATAAAAATAAAAAACAAAAATAAAATAGACGATAGAACGAAACAATCGGGTAAACTATGGGGTAAACTACTTCAAGCAACACAAACTATGGCTGAGAAGATCCCAAGCCGTGAAGACCGTGGAGCAGGTAGTAAAAAGAGGTCCGTAAAGTTATAATTAATTTTTAACATATTCATATAGAGTCAGATGAAGATGATTGGGAAGGCGAAACACATGTGTCAAGGATTCTTCGAGACTATTATGAAAGAAAACGTATGCGTTTGCCTGAATGGTTATTAGTAGATAATACTATTCAAAAATATCATACGCAAAGTGATATATCTGAGTCATCGTCTACAAGTGTAGGAAGGACGCCTTCTAGAAGGAGATTATGGGAACAAGATCCTAACAAACTTTCAAGTAGAGAAAGAGAAAGACAAGAATTACGTCAAAAACTACCTATAGCTAATTCTGAGAATAGCGGATACAAAGAAAAGGCTGCTAGGGAAGAATATAATTATAATATTGATCAGCAGCATAACTATAGAAAAGAAAACGAAAGAAGCGATTATTATAATTCATCAAGTAAAGACAATAGAATCAGCGATGAACGAGCTACTCGAAATATATACCATGATAACATGAATTATAATTATCAGCAACAGCATTTAAATAGTATTTATAAGAGAAATAATGATGATCGAGATTATTCACCAAGAGTTTATGATCCTACGCGGTCAGATAATCGATATGATCAACATCAGCATAATTCGGCTAGTTATTATAAGAGCAACTCAAGACACCAGCAAGCGATCATGACTTCAAGAGAACAAGCTGCTCAATATCATAATGGCCTGCTAAGTATTACTAATGGCAGAAGAAGAGAACCTAATATTGAAAAAGAGGAAGGCTATCATTATAGTAATTCTGGATATTTTTAATTATACATCTATATAGCAATATTATCTATTATATACCGTCTTAATATATTTATATACATTTATATACATATATATTTGTTTTTTGTGTACTTTATATTAATATTCAATTATATGAATTAATAAAAATAAAATCTTTTCAAATCCGTATGTATTTTTGTTATAGCTTAAATTAGTCACTATAATTATAAATACAATGAGTTGGTATATTTATACCAAAAAATGGTATTTATTTAGAAATGAAAGAAGCCTTAGCTTTTCTAGATATGGTGTCATATTCAACTCTTGTCTCATTCTCTTTATTTAGATCTTCTTTAGTTTAATATAGTCTATTGTTTATAGTGGTTACATATAACCGCTATTATGAATTATACATTACTGTTATTGATCAACGATAATTATGTTTTTTGAAGTCTAGATGTATTTCATATATTCTTAAAAATATATATGTTCTCTAGTTTATATACAAGTTAAATTAATGTATTTCACAATTTCTTTATTAATTCTTTTCCATAATTAATGGAAGTCTTAAATAAAAATTAGCAATTATGGCAGCAGCAACTAGAACACACAATGTAATAGGCCCATAAATGTCTTCCAATGTTGATGTTGGATAACCATTTTTTAAATGATAAGCTCTAGAATGGAAGCGTGCCAATGAATAACTATACATTATATAGGTTTAATTAATATATATATATATATATATCTTTCAACTATCTCATACAAACTTACATAGAAACCATTACTGTTAAAGCAATAAAAGTACTGCCAATTATTTTTGATACTGTATCACCACCATTAACTAACCTTATTGCAATTGTTAAAAGTAAAATACAATAATGTAGCCAAGCCATAAAAGTACGTTCGTTAGAAAAAAATACTTTTGAATCTCTTCTCTTGCAAATAGATGTTTTATTGGTATTTATCTCTTTATTAAAAGACACACCTCTTTTCAATACACTAAGAAAGCCATCTGGTGCCCAATGTACTATATCTTCCTCAGCTTTATTGTTCTTTTTCCAAAACTTGAAAAATTTATGTGGAAACCGCAAGTTGTCTATTTCAGTATGTTCTAGTGTAGGTGATACTAAATTTTCTGGGAAGTTAATAGATAAGTGCTGAATATCTTGATTATTAATTTCTTTTGTATTTGATTTTTTCGTATCCATTAATGTATATGATTCATGCTTTGGTTTAAATTCTAGTATAGTGGATACTTTAAGAGGTATATCATTCTGAGCAAAGAGCGATTTTCTATGATGCCCATTGATGAGAGCCTTAAAGCTCTGAGATCGAGAAAGCCCAATATTCTGTATAACAGGCTTCTTTATATCTTCATGAAGCATTTCAATCCAAAAGGGAGTATTAGAAACCTTGTCATGAAATAAGCAACTTGCGCCATGAATATATTTGGAAAATCGAGGAACTTGAAACACAAGATGACTTTTTAAAAGATTGTTCAACCAATTGGGAATTTCCTGCCCTAGATGTTCCTGTATCTTAATTTCTAAAACTGCATAGGGGAATCTCAAAATGTCAGACTCTTTGACTTTGCGGAATGGGTATTCAATACCAATGTCTTGCCTTCTCCAATTAGATGATCTATTCTCCGTTACCCGTCTTTCCCTACCATCTATATGATCTTCTCGAATAAAAGTCAGATTTGAATCTAAACTAATTCTTAAACGCTGGTCGCCTGGTAGTTGAAAAGCAGTGCGATTATAGAAAACACGGCACATAGGCTTCAATTCTTTACGTTTGATAGAATCATGAATTCCCTCAGCAATAAAATAACTATCTTCAATTGTCTTGGAATCCATCTTTTCTCTTTTCTCTAAATCCTCTTTATAGTTTTTTGCTGTATATGTTCCACTTAAGTATGCATTGGTTTGATCCCCCTTGATCCTGAAACGATCCTTAATAGATTTACCATACATCCATGGAGCATGATGTGTCTTCCGTTCAACATAAACATCGTCATTAAGTTCACTACTTTTTCCATACCAACGAATACGAATGGCCTCTGCACCTTCACTACGATCCAGTCGCTCATGATAAAGTTCAAATAGTTCATTGTCAAAATAAACACTAGAAACAGCTGCATCTGTTGATTCATATTGTTTCTTCCTGTTAAAGACATAAATTGGCAGGTGTAATAAAATAATTGTCTTGACTTGATTGATATTATCTGGGTGAACCCAATATTTATATGTAGCTCTTTCAAAGGCCGTTTGTTTAATATCTGAACTATTGTCATCAACACAGGATAGTCTTGCATTACCATAGTGTCGACAAACTTCATACATTTCGGAAATTCGCACGACCAATATATCGAACCTTTGTTTATCCAGTGGATATAAATATAATAATTTATCAAAAAAATACGGTGTAAGTATGCCACCAGCTACCTTATTATCATGTTTATTTGCAATCTTTTCAAAGGCAATAAGATTTAATTCATGATATTTGGTTAAATCATCTATGTCAATCAGAATATCTGCCAAGCTATCTGCCACAGAATTATAAGCATCTTCTGCCGGTTTCGATTTACTATACCCTCTCAAAAGATAGTTGCAATAATCGATACGGCTTGTCATTGTCTGTAAACGGATCTGAACAAAGTTATATACCTTTTTTAGCTCGATTTCAAATTGGTTGGCAAATGAATCATTACTTTCTTCCGTTTCTTTTAATCGTTCTTTGAGCTTGTCATATTGAACATATGAATCCCTCCAGGGCTCAAATATTTTAGCATTAAATTCTACACCAAACTTCATTATTATTTATAATAGCTTTGTTAATTAATGTATTATAATATGAGGGGGCCTTTTTTTTTAATAAGTATTGAATTAAAGAAGTAGCAGTATTTAAGAAAAAAAGAGTAAAGAGAAGAAAAAAAATATGAAAAAAAAAATATGACTAGAAAATGTAAACTTTGAAGCACATATTTACGTTTTAAATAATACTAAAAATATGGTTTTTTTTTTAACAAATATAAAATTCGTCAAAATAATTATAAACGGTCTTTTTTTTTTCAGAAACGTTTTATTCTACAGTGAGTGCAGATAAAGATGATAAAAACAATACTATAGCTTGTTTTATTTTATTACAAGTTTCGTTTTGCATTAACAAATGCAAATAATGGTTGATCTAAAGGATTATGTATGTTTTTCGTTTGTAAACTATTATCTAAAGTAGTTGATATACCACTACCAATAATCTGTATTGGAACATCTTTTTCACCACCTTGTTGTTGACTAGCCATGACTTTAAGTCGAGGAAGTTTAACTTTACCTGCCAATAATGGATAGCATATATAACGATAAGTAGCTTTAGAAAATGGTAACACACGGCCTTTAAATTGTTTGTAACCAGAAAATACAAATGCTTCACTCAACTCTACAGAACTAGTGTAATCTGCCAAGTACTTAGTTGGATTATAAACGGTATAAGTCAAAGTAAATGGTTCACTCAAATAAATTTTAGACGGTATATCTAAGAAATATCATTAAGTAACTAAAAATAAAATAAAATAATATATACTTTACCAGCAAGTATAACGAGATCTTGTTGTTGGAATTGAATAGAAGGAAGTTGAATTATCGATGTATTATATTGATGTTCCTTTATTCCAGATCTTTTATAAAATATGAATTCAGTTTATCCTTTTAATATGCATGAATGTATTTTTTTTTTTTTTTACCTCTTCCATTTAATTACAATTGTTCCTGCAGGAACAGACGCTTGCTCCTCTGTAATATCTGTGGTAGAGAGTTGAAATAGATAATTTGCATTATATACATGTCCAGGCTTCCAAGCTGATTTAAATAAGAAGTTAGAAATATAACAATATTATATTTTATGTGTTTCTTACTTTGATCCTCAAAATTATCTATCTTTGATATTAAAGATAAAGAGGTATATGGATGAGAAAAAATCTAATAAGATAATATAATGTTATAAATATTATACATAAATGTATATATATATATATGTATATTACTTACCTTATTTTCTTCTAATGTTAAGTATTGAATATCTAGATCCCATGTAGAGAAACAACGAATTGAAGCAACCAAAAGCCATCTTTCTGACCTTTCTAAGATAGGAGCCATTGATTCTTTTAATCTTTCTGTTTGTGCACATAATTCAAAATTAACATCAAAAGGAGCAATAAATGGAATACGAAGTGATTCTGATTTCTCTACATATTTTGTAGTTTTCCCAACAATTGTGTATTTGATCTAAATAATAATAATAGTAATAATAAAATGAATATAAAAGAAAATATGATGACTTAAATCTATTATACTTTACAGTAACATTAACTAGTCTAGATCCTATAACTAGTCGACCACGAATATAAATTGGTTTTATTATTGATTCTCCTGGATTGATAATACCCAAACTTATTTCCTTCTCTTCAGTATCATGTTCTTCTGTAGTAAACATAATGTCATCATTAACAGTAGATTCGGAATTTTTGATTTCAACACATAAAATAGCTTCAATAGACTCCGTTTCTAAGTTTGTCATTGTCATATCAACTTTAAAGAGCTCATCTAATATGGCAGGCGCAGCATGCTCAAATGTCAAATCTATACTAGGCGGTTTCTGCATAATACTATAAATCAATAGTAGGTTAAAATAAAAAAAAATTAGCCTATAGTAAAATGTGAATCTTACTTTGCATATGACAAATGACCATGACCATCAAGGGTTTTAAACACAAGCTTTTCATCTAATGATTAAAATAAGAAACTGCTTACAAGCGAAATATATATTTAAATATATACCTGGAGCATGCTCTAGCCATTTTCTCCTTGTGATTGGATGATCCTCTGCTATTTTATCTAAATCGTATTTCAATTCTACTTTCCAATTTGATGTAATAATATCCAAATAGACATTCAATATCTATTAAAAGATGTTAATTACATAATAATTTATCTTTTTATTTTATTTTATTTTTTTATTTTATTTTTTTTTCTATACCTTCAACTCACCACAATCTTGTGGTATTACGCAACCATGAAGTACTTTTATTTGATCTTTGAAGACTCTTAGATCAGCTTCAGCAGTGAACCAATTTTCATAGTCGCCAGGTTCAGTAATTTTTGATAGGCTATTTGAAAATTCGATCAATTCAATGGACTTTGGTTGATCTTTATCAAGACTACTATCTTGTAAAATAAGATTATATTGAGGATCACTAAAAATAATCCTTGCAGCATTAAATCGGAATGGCATTAAAGGCGATGCCTTATTTGTTTTTAATGTGATCTGATACTCTACAGGAGCACTTACGAAATTCGTCTGTTGTTTTATCTGTACTTGACATGTCACAAAGGCATTGATTTGATCCATATGAATGATAAGTGGCATATCATTCGATTGATTATTCAAGATATCCATCAATTCTTTTTGAATATCATGTCGCTTGTTTTCTGCTATTGGTAAATTATCTGACATTAATTCTACAAGTGATTCAACTGCTTTTTCCCATGAACCTAATTCCTTAGCACATCTTAATGACCATCTTAAAATAGACGTAAGGACCATATTCCATTTTTCTTTTCGATAGGTCTTGCCGATACGTTCAAAGAACTTGATTGCCATATCAAACTTTCCCGTTTCGTAGTAAGTGCCAGCAATTTCTGCTGCTAAATAAAGGGTCATCCTTCCATTTCGATAACGTTTAAATTGTTCATAACTCTTAGTTAACAACTCAATTGTTAAACTCGAATGATCTACGAGCCTTTCATTCTGCAAAAGTGAATTATTAGCTGCTGTATCAGATCGATCCATCTCTAAAAACTGTCTTCGTCTTTCTGCACAGCACATGGCAGCTAAGTGATAATAGAATCCTGGATGTTGAAGAATAGCACCTGGATTACATCCTCCTGAATTCCCATTACTAAGTGATAAATTTCCTGATGAAAAAGATGTTGGAATAGGAATTTTATATCCCGCATAAACTGCTGCATCAACAATATCCCCGAAAATACGGTATCTATAATATGTATATATACACATATGCATTAACAAAAAAAATATAAATCATAATATTTTACCAACATACTGTTTCGATAGCCATGCCCAATATTCAAAAGTATGCTCACCCATACCCCAATTAGGTGAATAAGATTGAAACATATGCAAATGTCTGTTTAACTGTGCAACTGCAGCCAAAGGATCGTTCAAGTAAAGGTTAAATTTACAAATTTTTATATTTATACAATCTGCTAAACTCCGTGCTTCCTTCCATCTCTTCCCATTTGGTACCAAAATAGCATGTTCGACATTTTGTGAAGAATTAGGTGCGAACAGTTCACATATAGTGTTATAAGCAGCTTCATAGGATCTAATGAATAAAAATTATAAATTACCCCACATTATATATAAATATTATATTATAAACTATTACTTTAATGCGCCATCTATTTCTTGTTTCATTTCCTGAAAAAAGGCAATTTTAAAATCGTATCGTAAGATCCAACCAATAATTGATAAAGGTTGAGGTTCTGTTGAAGATAAATCGATTATAGGTTTTGGCATAGTTAAAGGTGAAGGAAGTTTTGATTTCTTTTTACGAATCTTTTTGAGTCGATTACTATAAAAATAGAGTGCTGGCTCATATAGTGTTCGATATAAGCTAGTTTTTTTTTAAAAAAAAAATGTCTAAGTATACAAATGGATATCTAGTTTTATCAATGATTTTGTACCTGTTAACAAACTCTTGTACCTCAGAGGATGAACCAGGTGCTATCGTAAAAAATGAGCTTCTTGTATCTAAGCCGCATTGCTTCCTTATAGATGATAAACGTTCATCTATTGCTGCATCTACCCAACTAATATTAATTCTTTTCTCTATTTATTATTTCATATATTTTTACCAGAAGATCGACGCTTTAATATGATTGCTGCAGCAAACTTAATCCCTTTATCTTGAAAATATTTTCTATAATGTGTATAAATAACTAACCTCGTACTTAAAAAAAATTCCCCCCCACCAACTTTTTTTTTTTTTACCGTCTACTATTTATTTCTGCTGCTAAATTCGTATCATTCTCACGTTCAGCTGGATCAATAAGTACCTGTGAAGATAAAGGACCTACTTCACGTTGAGCTTTTTCTTCGGATTCCCATATATCATAAAAACCAACAACTACACTAGGTAAATATAAATGCTTTTTAATCCAAAGTGGTGTCATGACGCCATCAGGATAAAGTGGTGAATCTTGTGAAAGGGGTGACAAGTTGGAATGAGGTGGTGGCAAATTAGGTGCTGCTGGTGGTGCCCTTTGAGGTAATGTATAATCCTATTCATAATGCGCGTTAAGCAATAGTTCTATTATTCTTTATCTTTTTTTTTTACCTTTGAGACGGTAATCACTCTAAATGGTGGTAGTGTCTGGTTATTTGATAGATATTTAGGAGCTTCATACAACGTATAATCTGTCTTGCTTGTAAATATATTCAAAAGTAGATTTACAAGGTTCGATCGAGTTGTTGGCTCGGTATCTTGAGTATCCACATCAACTAGTTTTGCTTCATTCGTTATTGTTAGTCCATACAAAGCCAATACAGGCGTTGGATGAAGCAAGTACTCGGGAGGATATGAATACATTGACTGAAATCTCTAATATCTTGGGATTAAAAATAAACGAAATGTATACACATAAGAAAAAAAATAAGCAATAGGGCAGGTTTTTTCATAGTTTTTGATAAACTAATGCAATAATCGGAGATTAAACTTATGCAATAATAAATATGGTGGTAAGTTCAAAAATTTTCTTCTTTACATAACTAAAAAAGAAAAGATGGAAGACGACGAACTTCAAGCTATTAGAGCCAGACGTTTAGCAGAATTACAAGCACAGAGCGGTGGTATGAGTCAACAGGTATATATGAGATTGATTTGTTTTAAAAATAAATGTAGTAAATTTATAATGACATTTTAATTATGAAAATAATAATAGAGTGCAGGATTTGGCGTTGGAATGGGCTCTTCATCTGGAGGATCTAAAGAGGATGCTGAAAAGAAAGGGTATTTTCAAATAAAATATAAAAATGATGATTCTCTATTTATGTTGTTTTGTTTTATATAGACAAATGGAAGAAATGCGACGAAACATGGTAACGAATTATTACAAAAGAAATGAAACATTTATTTATTTATTTTTATGTGTAGTTGTACCAAATCTTGGATAATTCTGCTAGAGAAAGATGTAAGTAAGAAAGCCAACAACAACAACAACAAAAAAAAAAAAAAAAAAAAAAAAAAAAAAAAAAAAAAAACTTAAATTGCTTCAATATAGTGGCACGTATTCAGATGGTAAAAGCAGATAAAGCTCGCGCTGTTGAAGATTTATTGATTAGAATGGCACAAACAAATCAATTAAGAAGCAAAGTTACTGAAAAGCAACTAATTGATCTTTTAAGTCAAATTAGTCAGCAGGACTCGAATTCAACACAAACACGTATTGTTGTAAGTATATATGTATATGCATATAAAAAATTATACTAAATTATTTAATTGTAGTATAACCGCAGACAATATGATGATTCAGATGATGATTACGATTTATAAAGAAAAGTAGAATTTATAAATAAAATTTATACTAGTTTAAGAGATTAAGAAATAAAAACTGGGTATGATGAACTGTATAAAGTTGAAGAAAAAGGATACTAGTAGTATGAATTGGCATATATATTAAAGCAGTCATTATAAATAATGTTGAGCAAGTAACAAAAAAAAAACATTACGATTGAAGAATGATTTTATTTAAAAAATTAAAAAATGACTAATGAGTACATAGCATTTATATGCTGTTTTGCCCTGGTCAGATCGCTATGGAAAAAAAGGAAAGAAAACCCCTTTTGGGATAAAAGGGAAAATGTTAAAGTATATGTATAAGTGATGATAATTTAACTATCAGAAAATCGTTGTTGTATTGAAAGAAGATGATGGTCAGAGGGTTCAGGGATTTGGGAGTGAAGCTAGATAGTCCATCTCCAAGCAGAATTGCACATAGAGAAGGCCAGCGTATGAGCCAGGCATCAATTGATTTTCTTACTTTCTTAGTAAGGGATGTTGATGTTAATAGGTTCAAGAGATAAGAGAGTGGATCTTCAATAGATTTGGGGCATCTGAAGGCGGTTATGCATATGCAAACAAGAAAAACTATGTGAGCGTGTGTGTGTGAGGAGTTCATTTGGATGGAAAGGGCAGGCTTGGGTTTACCAAGAGGTAACCAACCAAGTCGCCATCGCACGCAACGAAAGCGTTCTCTTCTTGTCATTGGTATCGTAAGAATAGGGTCGACAATCAGATTATTACGACAATGGGATAGAAGTTTCGAATGTTTTTCTTGTAGTTTTGAGCAAGTAGAAATACTGTATAAGAGAATAAATTTAAAGCCGCGGGATATGTTGGTCATATCTTATATAAAACCTAGATTTAAGAAATACAAATTTATAAAAAACTAGAAAAAGACGATCAACTAAGCATGAGTGTTTTTCATGACATGTTCTGATTTTAATCTGTTATAACTTCTGATTACATGTTTGGCGTATATTTAATGTGGCTTTGAAGACAATCTTGATTTGTAAATAACGACAGTTTATCAATTATTATATCCTCTAAGACTAGAAGACCTCTAAATAATATATATATTTAATACACCTTTTCCAGAAACTATTCGTACACTTTAAAAAGAATAAATATAAAAATTAACACATTAGACTAATTAATATTTCGAGCACTTTGAATTAAAATGGATCAACTTATACACGAAGATGGATAAGGCAAATCATTCAACAAGGAAGGAAATGAAGTTAAAGTATTTTGGATAGAGGTCGACAATTTTAATTATCCTATTGCAGATGTTACAAGTTATAGGGAATATTTAGATTTAAAGCCTCCCGAGAAGCCTCATAAGGCTAACAAAGTTGTATCAAAAGAGAAAAAAAAGGTAGTAAAGGAAGAGTTTGAAAACAACAAGAAAACGTATCGAAACTACAGAAAGGAAGAAATGAACTAATTCTTCTTTCTCGTGGGTGAGAAGGGTATGTCCATTCGTGGGGTAACTAAACAAATAAGTGTTCCTGCTAGTACAGCTGCTTCATGGTACAAAAAAAGTCTTGAGGATCCAGACGAACTTGTCTACAAAAAAAAACCCCTGGAAGCGGAAGGCCCGTGGGAAGACCTCCTATCTTGAACGATGCCCATCGCGAGTACCTTATCAATTTGGTTGATGAGGATGATTCAGGCATGACTCTGGATCAAATAATGGATAGATTAATCAAGGGCTTTGAAGGGCTTGAGATAAAAAAAATTTGCCTTCCATCCTTTTGTAAAGGAAAAGTGCAGAATAAGCTGTATGAAATTTCATTTCTACCCTGAAGATAGAAACAGTTCTGAAAAGATTGAGGAGAGATACAAGTGGGTTAAGAATCTGTTGGATAATACTGATGTTGATTATCAATTTAACTGTATTTTTATTGACGAAGCAGGATTTCATGTCAATATAAAACGCTCTTTTTCTTGGTCTCGTGTCGGCAATCGTGCTATTGTTAAGACACCAAAAACTAAGGCCAAAATAATGACTAATTTTGGGTTCTATTTCTGCTTATGGAGTTGTAAACGTAATGGTTAGAATACCAAAAGTAACAGCATCCAAAAAAAAAAGAAAGCTTGGAAAGGAGAAAGAAGAAAAAAACAGTTCGGTTAGCACAATTACAGGCCATTACTTCAACTTTATCGCCAATACTATTAATATCTTGGATCAGTACGAGAAATTTAAAGGGAATTATCTTGTTGTGGATAATGTTCCAATCCACAAGCACCAAGAAAGAAGGGGTTATATCGAAAGTCGAGGCTACTTTTGTTTGTATCTGCCCCCATAATCTCCTGAACTGAACCCGATTGAACAGTTTTGGTCCGTCTGTAAAAGCAAGCTCAAGAGAGAGCCGCTCTTGGAAAGCGAAACCCTTACCAGTCGCATAAGTAATGCATGCAACAGCGTACTTCAGAGTGGTCTGAAAGGGTTCTGTAGGTATTCGATCCAGAAGTTTGATGACTGCTTGGAACGTAAGCCGCTTTAAAAACTCTACACATTTCGTCTGTGTTTGAAATTTCATTTTTTTTTTAAAAGTATACGGAAAAGGTGTACTTCCGAAACATTAAAAAAAAAGAAGTATTTTGGTTTAATTGGTTGGAGTAGTTCCTATAATAAGGGGAAAAAAATAAAATTTTTAAGACTGCACATTTTACATTTTCAAAGAAGTGCATATAATAATATCATTTAGTAGCAAATAGCAGTCTTTTTTTTTTCTTTTCTTTTTTTTTTGGCTTTAAATATGATTATCTAATATGAAAAACTTGAAAGTTTGATTTTGGCAAAAGTTTTAGCTGATCTTTAATTATTGTGCTTAATGTTTCGGCATTCTTCTTTGACACATATAAAGAAGTTGTTTTTGCTTTTTGTTTTTTTTTTAATATATATTTATTGGTTTGTAAACACTTTTAATAAGAATGAAGTGGTTTACTAATGGAAGCTTTACGGCTTTCCTTTTATCTAATCTTTTAGTTTCAGCAGTAAAAGTCCCTGCTCATCACCTTTATAATACTCATGAAATACAAGATGAATTAGTAGAAAATTTTAGAGAGCCTAAGAATATCATGTTTGCATCCAGTTTTGGTGGTTCATCTCACGCCACTTGGGTTTTATCAATATTGGATGAATTATATCATAGAGGCCATAATATTACTTATGTTTCAACTGTAAGATAAATACTTTGTTTGATATTCATTTTTACTAATTTTTTTTTTTTTTTTTTTTTGTAAACAGAATCTTCATGCAAAGTTTGCTAAACCATATCCATATTTTAATACTGTTGTACTTGAAAAAGAACGCAGTGTATTGGGAAAATCAGTAGATGGAAAACATGTACCGATAGGTGATATTATTGAAGAACTTTTGGACTATGCAAATCAAGAGTTTGGAAATGGTAATTATCCTTTTTTTTTTTTTTACATATTATTTAAAATTAACAATAATTAATTTAGATTATGCAACCTTTAAGAATATTATGGTAAATCGTAGTATGGATATAGCTATTTGTGATTATGGTGCTGCTTCTGGTTGTTCAGAAGCAGCTAAGGATACGAAAACACCTTATATTGTTACAGCAGCGTTTGGAATGATTTCAGGTATATATATATATATGCGTGTGTGTATTTATATAATACAAATCAATTTATTTATATTTTCTTTTTTATTAGATGCATCTGCTCCTTATATTAATAATAATGTTCTTTCAATGCGCGAACCTACAACGATCAACATGACACTCATGGAACGATTTAATGATAGAATTATAACACCTATAAAACTCGCTATAAAAATGGGACCTAAAGTAAAACAAATAATTAGACAATATCGTGAAGCAGGCTGCAGTGTAGACAAACTAGAACTTGACCCTAGCGCTCATCAAAATGCACTCAAGTTAATTAATAGTTTATATGGTATTGAAGCTGCTCGCCCTATGGGTCCTCTTGTTGAATTGGTCGGCCCTATTGTACCTCGAAAATACAATCCACTTACACCCGAATTAAAAACTTTTCTTGACACCCATAAACGTGTGCTATATATTGCCTTTGGACAGCATGCCTCTTCTACTTCAAAAGATTTGGAAATGATTTTGATTGCTATCATGGAAAGTATTGAAGCAGGAGCTTATGATGGCTTCTTATGGGCCTCTCGCGATCTTAATGATCGATTCCCCAAGAAAATTATGACTCAATCAGGGCGCATATATAATGTTGCTGATATGTTTGCTGGTTTACAACCAAATGCTCATTTCATTCAATGGGCCCCTCAAACTGCAGTCGTCATGCATCCCTCTGTCTCTGTCTTCTTAACTCATGGTGGTGCGGGCTCTTTATACGAAGCCCTTTACGCTGGTAAGCGTCTGATTGTTTTCCCCTTCTTTGCTGATCAATTTCCCAATGCCAAAAATGTTGAACATAATCAGATAGGTGGTTTCTTGAACCCTGAAAATACTCAAGAAGAAGCAAACGAGTTATTACAGCGAATTGGCTATGATGTTGATGGTACTTATCAAAAGAATGCTAATCGTTATAAAGCATTAGTCCAAATCCATTCAAAACACGGTATAATTCGTGCTGCTGATCTTGTTGAAGAAGTCTTATTTGTTAATAAGGATGGCTTATTACCTTATCGCTATGAAGTTAGTAGACAGATGTCCTTTATCAAAGCACATAACATTGATATCTATGCCCTTGCTGCTTTTATCGTTTTGGCACCTATTGTTTTGTTTGGTGTTATTATGAAGAAGCTATTCTTTAAGAAAACTACATCATTGATAGATAAGCAGAAATTAAACTAATTACATTAATATGTGTACATAGAGCTTATACTTTTAAAATAAATAATATAAATAGAATTGGTCAAGTAGAATGATAATATCTTAATATATTTGAAATAAATAAAAGAAAAAAAAAATAAAATGAAACTTTTCAATAACAAGAGAGTTATATAAATATATGGTATACCGTCATCGTATAAATAAAGCAATATAAGTGATAAAAATGGTGGGAAAGAAGAGAAGAGTAATTATAGTCATAAATAGGAAAGAGTTTCGTATAGTCATAAATTTTTTCTATCATACAGTGCTTATTTGGTCAAACACAGACCAACTTCTAAAGTATATAAAAAAATTACTTATTTTATTATTACCTGGTATATGTGTATATGTATTTATATATACACAAAGTTATTAAATTCACTTCATATAGTAAATTCAGGAGAGTATTTATAATTAGTTTATTGTAATTTAAGTATAAGTATTTCTATATTGTTAACCAAGATAAATAATTGTATTATGTAATATACTTGATTCATCAATATTTGTTTATATACAAATATATAAAAAGGAGATGGATATTTAAAACATATTTGATAATAGAGGAGAAAAATGTGAAAAGAGGAAAATAGGAGGGAAAAATAATAATAAGGTCATTCAGCTTATACATGTAAACATAACATAAAATTATATTTACGTATGTACATTTTCTTATGTTGTATTTTTATTCCAAAGATGCTTTTAGTTTTGTTTATCGTATTTTTAATAAAACAGAATATAACCGCTTTGTAAATTGTATTTTAAAAGTTATTGTGATGAAAGCCTACTTTCTAAAGAAAGAAAGAAAGAAAAAAAAGCACACTGGTAAAAAAAATTCAGGGACACATTAATTTTGCTTTACGATTATTTTTATAATTGAAGCTTTTTTTGAATCTAATATAAAAGGAAATATGCAAATTTAGAGTTGTTGTTTCTTCAAGTTCTCTAATTTATCTCCTTGTACATACATCAGTAAAATCTATGATATAAATAATTTTCTCTATTCTCCCTTTTTTTACGAGTATAATAATATTTAATATATAAATATATACATATATATTTTACCTTTTTTTTTTTTTTTTTACGAAATTCTTTTGTAATAATAATAATAATTTATTCATAATGAAATATGGACAGGAATTGAAAAAAAGTATATTTATACCATGGCAGCTTTTTTACGTATCCTACGATGTCCTCAAACAGGAACTTAAATCTCGACAGCTTGATCATGGTTGGACAGATAAAGATAAACAAGATTTCACAAGTCTCTTAGATAATGAACTTTCCAAAGTATACGATTTTATTAATGCTAAGCTTTCAGAAATCGATGCACGTATCCTTTATTGTGAACGTACCATTCAGACATTACAAAAGAAACCTAGTATATCTTCAGATACCAATTATAGTATTATGGACGAGGCGCTCACTGAAATCTTGTTTGATGTGAATGACCTCTCTCGTTTCACTCGCGTCAATTATGTTGCTATTCAAAAAATTCTAAAGAAGCATGATAAATGGACAGGACTTAATCTAAAGCACGAGTTTATAACTCAGTTACGTAAAAAGCCATTAGATAAACAACGCTTTGATGTCGCTATCGTCTACATCTCAGCCTTACATGATATTTGTCGTAATCAAGGTGAACAGTCCTCTGGGAATAGCGGTGCAGATAGAGATCAAAACGCATTTAAGAGAGCTACTGCAAAATATTGGATCCATCCTGATAATATCACAGAAGTCAAAGCCATCATCATGCTACATTTGCCTGTTTTGATTTTTGATAAAAATAAAAAATGGGAACCTTCTGATTCAGTCATTTCAAGTACGTATTTTGATAACACAAATTTTGACTTATACACAAGTCGATTACAAAGAGACGAAGAAGCTGAAGCAATTCGATTTAGATGGTATTGTTATATATATATATATAATATGTGTACATATATTTAATTAAAAAAATCATAGTGATGATATTTAGTTGTTGCTAAGAGTCTCTTATCCTTTTTTTTTTTTCATATTTAGGTATGGTCCTACAAGTAGTGATACTATTTTTATCGAACGTAAAACACATCATGCCTCTTGGTTAGATGGTGCATCAGTAAAAGATCGATTTAGAATCAAAGAAAACCAAGTAAATCATTTCATAACTGAAGCTTATACAGCTGATCAAATAGTTGATAATTTGAAGCAAGCTGGTACTACTGAATCCACAATAGAAAGTATTCAGTTTATTGCCCATGGAGTACAAAAGTCATTTAGAGAGAAACGATTAGAACCGATGATTAGAGTATTTTATAACCGCACAGCCTTTCAGCTACCGGATGATCAACGTCTACGTCTTTCTCTTGATACCGATTTGACCTTTATTCGTGAGGATCATATGGATGGTATGCATCGTCGTCAACCCACTTTTAATTGGCGTCGCAATGATGTTGGTACTGATTACCCATTTTATTATATAAGAGAGAATGATATCCTTAGATTTCCTTACGCTGTCCTCGAGACCAAACTACAGACACATTTGGGCCAACAGCCACCGGCTTGGTTAACATCACTTATTGAATCTCATCTCGTTCATGAAGTCCCACGGTTTTCAAAATATCTACATGGTGCTTGTCATTTTTACCGTGAGAAACTTCCATTGCTGCCTTGGTGGCTAGCAGAACTTAATGTCGATATTCGTAAACCACGCGCAGAAAACATTGGTCTTACACGATCACGAAGTTTCAAGCCCTTAATTGATGGTAAATACCGAAGAGCTATGATTGAAGAAAAAGAAAGAGCTAATCAACAGGCTGTTGTGAGTGCTGAACGTACTTCATCAAAGTCCAGTAGTTCGCTTTCAACAGTGAACCAAGAAAATCCAAAGGAGGAACTAGTATATAAAACTATACCTACACCTACACCTATACCTATACCTCCTCCTATCAAATTCGATAATGCCTCCATCACTTTTATACCTTCTCAAGCACGAAAACTGTATGATTATGATAACGATAACGATAACCAAAAACAGTATCAACAACAAGATTTAGAACTTGGTACACCTGTTACTGGAGATGAATTCGAAGTGAAACGGCAAAAGGTCAAAGTTCGAGTGGAGCCAAAGGTATTCTTCGCTAATGAACGTACATTTATTTCCTGGCTTCAGTTTTGTGCTTTACTTTTGACAGTTGCTCTCAACTTGCTTAATTTTGGCGATACAATATCACGTACGGTGGGCGGTATTTTTATTGGCTTATCTGCTGGTATATCGATCTATGCTTTATATCGATTTGAAAAAAGAGCCTGGATGATCAGTCACCGGGTTGGCGGTCGTTATGATGATATTTGGGGCCCTGCAGTTTTATGTTTTTTATTAGTCGTTGCACTTATTGTAAATATATAAATGCATATATATTTTTTTCTTTAAATGATACATTATACGTCATTCTAACTGTTTATTATAGGTGAATTTTTATCTTCGATTTAGATAAAACAAAGAACCTGGATACATAAATACTATGAACATTTCTATATACATATTGTAACTTTTTTTTTCTTTTCTTTTTTTTTTTTTTCTCTTTTTTTTTTCTCTTTTTTTTTTTTCTCTTTTTTTTTTTTTTTTTTTTTTTTTTGTTAGAAAATAATTAATCTTAATATGAAAAATACAATTAAAATAAATAATTGAAATCTACTCTATTTATATATCATAATTATTTACGCTCTTTTATTTAAAAACTAACACTATCAATCATAGTTCCCAATGCTGTAATAATATTATTGCCCATAACTGCTTCAACTTTTTCTTCCAAATGACGTTTAGGATCTTGTTTACCAACGTGCCTTGTCTTAAGTTGTTCAGGTGTCATCATTAACTCTTCCTGTACAGACTTATTATATGCTTCTGCTAATGTTAACATACTAGAAACATTCTTTTCGTTCACTTCAGTATGTTCAGTAAAGTTCTCTATCGTTAAACCATCTGTCCAATCCTTTTTATGTAAATTGAGTAACATCTTTTCTTCTAATTCGTTTTTACGATAGTTGATAGCAATAGAATAATAATGTCTATTAAGGCCGTGAATTAAAGCTTGAATCGAAGGCTTATTCAAATGACCGATATTGGAAGTTGTTTGACGTGGTTCTTGTCCAAGCATCACTGTTTGGGGATTGATCAAACGGAATGCATCAATTACTACTTTACCCTTAACAGATTGAATTGGATCAACTACGACAGCTACAGCTCGAGGGTTTAATTGTTCAAAACTCTGTTGTGTATTGATATCGACACTGGATAACCAACATCCAAAACCAGGATGAGAGTGGTACCAACCTACAACCATTTCAGGTCTATCTAGATTATAAGCTTTTTTTTTTTTTGATTGATTGAATCTCAATGATTGATTTACCTTCCAGTTTGCTTTAACATGTCCAACATCTTTGTTTGAAATACGGGATCAACAGCTTCTACAGAGACACCAGTACCACTTTGAGGCATAGCAAAGACATCAATAACTCGAACTGTGTAATCATCGACAAATTCACCTAACATTAAACCCATAACTTCCATAGGAACACCAGCACGACCTATAACAATCTATTAAATATACAAAAATGTACTGATGTTTGTAATTGATTTACCATGTTTTAACATCTATATATTTAAAAATAGTTAAGTTACAGGTTACAGAATTGTGTGGATTTACATAAACTGATTTATTATACCTTTAAAAGAGCAAGAGAAGAAATGTAAACCATTTCGGCATTATCAACTGTAGGTGTATCCATTCCGGGCTGCATGCCCTTTAAGTCTGTTAGTATATTTTTCCTTTTCTTTTAAACACATACACACACATATATATATAAAGTAAAAATATGTATACCTGTCCTAAACCAGCGGCAGCAGATCCGAATAAACGTTGAAGTCTTTCCATTTTTTTTTGTATATGTAATTTATGTATATATTAAGAAGAATAAGCGACGCGTAACTGTTCGGAAATAAATAAAAAAAAAGGGAAAAAAAAAAAAGAGTCAAAAGGGAGAATTGTAATATAAAGTCCGATTATACGTCATCTTTATTTGCACCACAAAGTGAAAGTATTTTTATGCATTATGTAATTCAGTTGTAACCATGGAGCTTTTTATTTCTTTCCCTTTTTGAATGATGAATTTGTTGCTATTGATTCTTTTATAAGCTACTTTAAATAGTAATGAATACTATCCATGTCATAAGATGGTAAGTGTTAGAAAAGATAAAAATAAGCTTACATAAACGATATCATGTATTACGTTGAATGTGGGGGAGGATCAAATTTTATTAACCAATAACAAAACATGTGAATATTATATCACATATTTAAAGAACAAAAAAAAAAAAAAAAAAAAAAAAAAAAAAAAAAAACCTTCTTTATTGTCTTTCTCTTTTATTTATACATTTATATGGAAGAAAGGAAGCAGCAGCAGCAGCAGCAAGATATCATTCCTTTTGAAGAGTATAAGCTCCCTCCTTTAGGTCATGCTATCTCGGGTGCTGTTGGATCTACAATTGCTAATTTATTCATATATCCTTTAGATATGTAAGAACTATATTATGCAAACTCTTGATTATTTAAATACTAATTATACTGAATGAATATAAGAGCAACAATTCGACTACAATTAAAAAAAGAGGGTGAAAAGAAAAAAACGGGTATATTAGATACAATTAGAAACATATACAAAAAGGAAGATGGACTGCATGGCCTTTATGCTGGATTAGGCTCAGATACATTAGCTACCGTTTTGTCTAGCTTTATTTATTTCTATTGTTATACTGCTTTAAGAAATGTACAAGAGGTGATGAATAAAAGTATAGGTAAGCCCTATGCTCGTCTAAATACTGCTCAAGAATTATTTTTGGGAGCAGAGGCTGCCTTGATTTCGAGATTGTTTACGACACCTGTATCAAATATAACAACTAGACTTCAAGTAAGTCCAAAAAATGGATTCAAAGAGACTGCATTTGATATTTTTAAGGAAAAGGGGCTCACTGGCTTTTGGACTGGTAATTGTTAATATCATATAAACGTATAATTACTAATATAAGTATTCTTAAAAAAAAAAAGGTTATCGTGCTTCTATAATATTGGTTACAAATCCTTCTATTACTTATTTTATGTTCGAGAAAATAAAGGCGACCTTTTTACGTACACAGAAAAAGACACATTTAACTGGATTTCAAGTGTTTTTATTTTCTGCATTAGCAAAAAGCATTGCTACTATGGTGACTTATCCTTTTATATTTACTCGCGCTAAAATGGTAGGTGATAATGGTGATAAAAAAGGTATATTGGAAACGATAAAATATGCTGTTCAGAAGGATGGTATATCAGGACTCTATAAAGGAATGCAAGCACAAATCATGAAAGGATTCTTTAGTCAAGGTATTATGTATATGATTAAGGACTATGTTGCCACTTATTTAGCTCTTGTATTTTACCATTCGTTTAAATTAAAAATGAAAGCTACTGCTGCTTCCAAATAAATAATAAAGCTCAACCCTTTTTTTTAAAGAATGTATTTTATTATTATTATTATTGCTATATAAAATGCTTAAGCTTGCTATTGAATTAATTGCTCGTATTTGTTATATTTGATAGATTTAATGAATGGGTGCCACAATATGTTACAAGTTTATGTACTAAATGTATAGTTTGATGGTTAAGATCTATTATTAGAAGTATAGCAGTTTAATGATACAAGTCAACATTTGCACACAATGAATATACAGTAGTACTTTTATTTGGACAGCGAAAAAAAAAAATAGGTATCATATGTCAAAAACAGTAGTAGTGTGAAAAGAAATTTCATAGTCTTGAATTTAATAGAAAAATCTAGTATTTCCTGCATCTAAATAATTTCTGAAGAAACGATCAACTTTTGTTTCATTACTTACAATTTGTTTCTCAATGTTTAAAGTATTGAATATAGAATAGCTGTAAAAAAAAATGTTGTACAAGGACTAATGCAAGAGAAATGCTTTATACAGCTTACGTTCATGATCTTAACGGTAATCTTTTCGAAGTTTCAAATTTTACTGTCGGATAAAGAGCAACAAAGGGAAAAAAAATTCTCTTAAAAAAAAAAAAAAAAAAAAAATGCATATGTATCTGTTTTTTTTTTTTTTTTCTTCCTGACTTAAAATTAACAATGCCCAACTGGACCAAGATTTTGAACCATCCCTTATTTAACATGGGATTCTTTTTACTTGTTCGTCAAGTTACAAAAACCATGGACTTGGATAATCCCGAATATAGAAGCATGATGCGTGGTCTTTATTTGGGATCACAAATTCTCATTTTTGTCTTGTCTTTGTATCTCATGTCTGTCATTCGTAAAAAGAATGGTAATAAAAATTATACGTGTTAATACACAAAGCTTATGTAATATATAAATTTAGATACAACATCTTTGCGTTACGTTGAACCAGGAAGTCAGCAATGGGATGGAACAGAAACGACAGATAAGTTGATCAATACAACTAATATGGGTAAGTAAAGTGTATATTTACCATTATATATATATATATTTAAGCTAACTATTACATTATCATAGATTATGATATTGAAGAAGTCAAGAAACAAATGAAACAGGGCTTTACTAATATCGCTATTATTGCTTTCCTTCATCTTAAATTTGGTTATGTTCAACCTTTAATCATTCAAAGTATTTTGGGTTTCAAGACCTTCTTCATGTCTAAAGAAGCTCGTATTCATTTCTTTCATGGTAAAACTACCAGTGGTGAACTTCGTCGTCCTTTCCGTATTGAAGCACCTTTCAATATGATTAATGAAAAACGTCAACCAAAGACAGACAAAGGTTCTATTAAACGCGCTGAAAAAGCCCTTAAGGCTCAATAAAGTATTTTATTTTATTTTTTTATTTAGTTAATTTCTTTTTACGAGAATTAGACCCTTCATCCCCCTTTTTCCTTTGTCGCTTCCCATTTATATCATCTACCACAAATAAATAAATAAATAAATCCATGATTATTAAATGATATAAATACACCATTTACCTCGAGAATTAGTATTAGTAGATGAGTCCTTATCGATCTCATTTTCTTGTGTAGCAGAGTCCAATGCCTGTCGCGTTTGAATCACTTTAATTGAAGCAGCTTCAATAGCTCTATCCATCCAATGCTTAAATATCTGTGATTCCTGTGCTCTTGTATTTTGCTTAACTGTTAAAGATGCTGTTCTGTTATCTGTCTTCCAGCTATAACCCTTTGAAGGATAAAATTCCATCATCTTTTGTGTTTCTTTAAACGCACTATTAACATGAAATAGACTTGTCAACTAATTATAACATTAGCGTACTCGTTCAAGTATTGCTTTTGATGTGCTTACCAGTCTATTTGCAATAACAGAATAAATAGTTGGTGATTGGTATACATTGGCACCCATTATATAATAAGTAGCGATCGGATTAACATCATCATGTTGTGGTCCACGTCTATATCTTTTTTGAATAACCCAAATAGGCGGCTGCTCATGAACCACTGCAAATTCAATACCTGTCATTTTACTAATAATATATACATTTAGTTTTATTTAATATTTATAGCTATTTTAATAGTTCTACCGAAGAGCTTCTAATGTTACTTCATATGGTTGTCTTAGATCATTATATTGAGTTTGCATTGCCAGAACTTGATTATTACAATGTCTATCCCAAAACGGAGATAATGCAAAATAATCTAATACCATTTGTTGATTTTGAAAACCACCCATTCTCTTCATAATGTTAGATGTTGAATAATGAATAATATGTTCACATTATACCTCTAACCAATTTGTATCACGCCATTCTACACTTGTTAAATCTTCAGTTGCAGTTATATGTTGCATTTTTTTTTTTTTTTAGGTTAAAAAGAAATATTTATTATTTTTATTTTATTTTATTTTATTTTTGTGACTAGAAATATAAAATGTAGTAAGGTAAGATATACACACACACGTTGTAAATCACATTCATTTTATAAGAGTAGTGAATTTATTAGAGTACATAATATCTTGAACATATTGCTTTACTTGTATCAAATTAGAGAAAAAGGGAAGTAAAAGTCTTAGGAAGAAAAAAATTGCATAAGATGAAAGTTAAAATAAGTCGACCAAGTTAATGATGGAATATTTAATAGGTATATTATTTTACTGTGAGTTAAATAGCTTACCTCAACAAGTTTTATTTGATTGTCTAATGTAAGAATTGAGTTCATATTTTGTTGATATATTGAGATTATTATCGAAAAAGCCACCTACTTGGAAAGTATAATAAAGAGCCTACAAGTAAATATAGGATAAAAGGTTGACCAAAAGGAAATCAAGAAAATTTCCAATAAAAAAAAAACATCTAGTACGCTCAATTCATATTTTAGTATGAGGTAATAGCTGCTAGTGGGCTATACTTGATGATGGTTTCATTAAAACTTAAAAGAGATATAAACAAGCTGTATCATTTATAAAACCTTAAAGTGTAAATACTGTGATAAAAGAAACGATCATACTACATATTAAGAAATATAGAACGCTAACTTATTTATAGCCGTAAGCATCTATACTCGCTGCTCCAAACTTAAATATGCTTAGTGTATGAGCTGATGAAATTACTCAGTCTGTTATAATAAAAATGATGTATACTACAGTTAAAGGAATGATCATTAATAGCACACTGTAGATTAATAACTGTATTTATATATTAACGTGTAACAGTAGTAGATATAAAGTAGATAAAGTATACAGGAAAAAAAGGCTATTATTAAAAGTATAAAAAATATAAATGTGATGTAGCAGCTCAAGGTTTAATATTATTTTAATAAAAGTAAAAATAACTTGCAAGTATCAAAATTAATACTAACAAAAAAAAAAAAAAAAAAAAAAAAAAAAAAAAAAAAAAAAAAAAAAAAGCAAATAGATGTTACTCATCTATACTGTGTCAAAATTGAAAAACTTTAGTATAGAATCTTGAAAGAGGAAAAGTGATATAAGAGTTACACTATTTGGAAATAATATGCCGAAAATGAAATGAGTTGTTACATGCAGGGTTATCAGATACCTTGTTTATCAACTATCATGTTTAGCTATACGGTTATTATGATAAGGTTCTTGATGTGTTTATAAACAACAGACTCGGTATGTAATTCATCTTTTCTAACGGACACTATTAATTACTACTTGTTAAAGATATTAAAAGAAGTACCTATTATTATGCAAATATGATAGGAAAAAAAAAGCTATTAATTATTACCTTATACATAATTTCAAAAACATAATAGAAATAAAATTGAGGAAGAGGATTATATATTGATTATAAATTAATCTAATACTTCTTTTCGCATATATAGAGTACGGATCAAAAGTTTATAAAGATTGAGAGAAGGTATGACTATTAACAAGTAAATTACAGAGAAGACAGCATATTATATTGGCTAGGAATTACTGACACAACGTTATACAATAACGGAAAATAATGGATTTAGCAGAAGTATTTGTCTATTATTTCAAACAAGCAAATGAATAAAAAAAAAATCATCTTAATGGCTTTATTAGAATATCTAGAACAGCATGTTTTTTTTTTCTATTATCTGTGCTACAGTGTTACGAATAAGGAGTAATAAAAATGTTATTTCTTAAATTGTTATTGTTTACTCTCTAAATACTATTTATTAATAACTTTGTGTACCCCTTTTATTGATCATGTGTCTATTTCGGATATTAAAATAAAAGGTTTAATGCCTATAAAAGCAGAATGGAAGTTAAAACATTACTTTTCTTTACCTCTTTCTGCCCCCCCTTTTTTTTTATTAGCCTCACAATATGCCACTTCCCTTCAATAAAGAAACGCGTGCAATAATTGAAAGAAATTTAAGGAAGGAAATGAATTTTAAAATGCCTTCAAAAATTTCTCCTACTACAAGTATACAAGGGTCTATAAACCTTATTGCTTCTGGACTAAATTATATAAATGAACTTAAAAAAAGACCTGATCTCATCAAGTTTAAAATGAGATTAGACAATAATTCAAATGAACATCATCATGACAATGAGAAAGATTCAGATCATAATGTAGAGACTAAAGATCATAAGCACTCAAGTGTAGAACACGATAATAAAGACAAACAATATGATATGTATTGTTACGATAAAGACTACCAAGATCAGACTGTAGAAAATACTACAACAACAACAACTAGCAAAGATAATAACTGCTATAAAAATATACATTCAAATTACAATAAACAATATAACCGACTCCAAAGTAAGTTGATTTGAACATATATATATAATATAAATATATACATACATATCTTCTTTTCTTTCTAATGGGTCATTTAATATAGGTTTAACACCACCTTCACCATCGAAAAAAGACCTTTATTGTTATCCTTGTGATATTTATTTTAATCAAAGTCATGAATATCAGGATCATAATGGTTTGGTGCATAATATAGAGTATACATTTCCAAAAACAAACTATATTTGTAAAGCTCGTATTAAGCCCGATCCAAATGACCCAAGTTTCTTTTGTCGTGTTTGCGAAACCTCTTTTGAGAGCCGTCAAATTTTTAAAAAGCATCTTAAAATAAAGCATAAAATGGCAACTAGATCTCCAAGGTCACATTTTAATTCTAATCCCAGAGTTGATCCTGTAGTTGATGATCCAAATAATTATTGTCGTTCTTGTAATAACAAATGGCCAAGTCGTGGTGAATATAGACGTCATCTTAGAGAACACCATAAGATGAAGTTAAAACCTTTAAGAAGACTTATCGTTGCTAGACCTGGTGTTATTCCTGATCCAGATGATCCAAACTTATATTGTCGTTCTTGTGATATCTCTTTTGAATTTCGTACACTTTACAAGACTCATCTAAAGTATAAGCATAAAATGGATATTAAGACAGAATGGCAAAAGAGAAAGGAAGCTGCAATGAAAGAAGCAAATGGTGAGCCATTACCGCCACAACAGCCTGCTATTATCAAAGATACAAAAAATTATTATGATCGTTATCCAGCTTACATCGATTATTATAACGATCGTATTAGTTATAACAGGAACAGTTATGCCGACAGAGTACATTATAATTAGTATACGCCTTTTTTTTTTTTTTTGTGAATATAGTAACAAGTTTATTTGTGTTTTTGTATTTATACCCTCATTTTGTTTTTTGTTTTTTTTTTGTTTTTTTTTTTGTTTTGTTTTTTACATATTCACTTTTATTTATAAAGACTATTATTATATATTTTATCTAATATACTAGGTATCTTACATATATATATAAACAAAACTATACTATATTGAACACGTTTAGTATTGCAAAACATCGATCATATTTAATACATTATCTTTACTTGTTTGACTCTTTGAGAATAACAGGCAGAATTCCTTTTTTTTTTTTAATGATGTTGAAAATGATATCAAAAAAAAAAATTGTATAGTGCTCAAGTATAAATTTATGCATTTGCTTTTCTATAATGATTAGAAAAATATAATGGTATTCATTATAATCATTTTTGCAAATTTTACATGTATTATTTAGATCAAGAAATATCAACTATATATAAAATTCTATAATTCTACTAATGGTAACAGTTATGGTAGTACAACAATAATATTCCTAATAAATAAATAACAACATTGTAATTATTACAATTACAACGATTAATGGTATTGTTGTACTATTTCGAAGTTATACCGAATTCTACAATTGTACAGCTTGGAAATAATTTGAATAATTTATTTCAATAAAAATAATGGACATCTTTTTTTTTCTTTCTGTCTACAGATTAATAAGTTTAAATATATAAATATTATAAATACTTTAGAACCAACATATGATAACATCACAAGCAACATTTGCAAAAAAAAAAAAAAAAAAAAAAAACAAAAGGATTAATAAATAAGATACTAAAATTCTTCTTATTTTATAGAAAAAAATAAAAAAGAAGTTATATTGGAGAAGCTGGGCGTCGATCCCAGTGCCTCTCGCATGCTAAGCGAGCGCTCTACCATTTGAGCTACATCCCCATTTGCTGTTGAAAATGAGACCAGAAAGTCGCCCATATACCTTTAGCACCCTACAGACACCCCACCTACTTAATTAGGAAGGTCGGGAGCTCTCTTCTTGCCTTATTTGTCATCTACTTTCTAAAATTGGTAAAAATTAAAGTGGCGATTTTGAGTTTCAAAAAATTATATCGGAACTTTTGACTAGAATTCCAGTTGGAATTTGTAAATCCTTTTGAAATTTTATGATTCTTTATAATTTAAATAAATATATTTTTTTTTACAAAAAAAAAAAAATGTTTATTTTTATATCGCTAATTCACAATTAAATAAGCTATATGATAATATTTTAAGCAATAGTAGCCATTACATAAGATTTAAAATAACGTTTTACTACTTAAAGAAAAATAAATATTGAGTAATTTATAATTGTTAGTAGCGGTCCATTTTATATAAAGTTAATAGTAATTATATGAATAGTTGATTTCTTTCTTGAAATTAATATATTTAATACAAAGAACTCTATGTTACTTTCAAGTTTTTGTACTTGTTGGTAACATAAAAAACAATTATTGTAGAGATACAGAGCTCTCATTAATAGATGATGTTAATAATAGAGTATATACCATTTCTTTGACAATAGTATTATTTCAAGTAAAATTATATCTGTAAACAATGTCAATACTATATTGAATAGTATTTAGACAATTGATACGAATTTTATAGATAATCATCATATAATCAACGGTCCTTTTAATTTTGATACTTACTGCTTTGATTTTGAAGAATTATTTTTTTCTGTCATTTTTTATATGCTAAATCATATGACAATAAATAACTGATTTTCTGTCTATATAATAAATTAATTAATGCAATTTACAAACTAAGAAAAAAAATATATAAATACTCCTAAACAATTATTGCTTTATTTTATGTCTTTCTTTCTTGTTATAATCATTATAGTTTTAATACTACTTTAACACAATCATAATACTAGAGAAAAAAAAAAGGTTGAAATCATAGAGAAATATTTGAATTTGCTTACCTCAATGCTTTATAATTAATTTAAAAACTATCATATTCTTAAGTACATCTAACAATAATGATTCTAGTGTCATACAAGCTAGTTATAATATGCTTATATTTCTCCTCAACAACCTGGTATTAAAATTAAATAAATATTTTCTCTCACTCTTCTTTTACTTTCTTTCTTTCTTTCGTTTTTTTTTTAGGAGAAATATTATTAATCATACAACCAACATTTGGTTATATAACTACATAATATATACAATAGTATCGACAATAAAATAAAAGGAGTCAAATTAGGAGCATAGATAAAAAAAAAAGGCTAATAATAACCCTTTAACTGTCTTTAGAAAAATAAATTCTTACTTGTTACACACAGTTGTATTATATCTTTAATAATGTTGTCTTTTGAACACAAAAAAAAAGTATAGGATGTTCCTTTTTCTCTCTTTTTTTTCTTTTATTTTTTTGTAATTTTAACCTCAATGAAAGAAATTCAACCTTCTTCTAATTACACAACTAATCAATGCTATAATGCTTCCAGCGAAATTACATTACCATTTGAAAGACAATGGAGTATTCGACAAGCAAACAGTAGACTCCAAGCTTATGGATTACAAACAGCGTTAGAGAATGATCTTAATTGTCAAGTATTACGAGAAAAGGAAAAACAAGTTCAAGGTTCAGCTATCCCATTAGACAATCTAAATGGCTCGACTGAATCTCAATTCAGCAGTAACAATCCATATCTTTCAGGCACAGCAATGATTCAGCAACCCAGTCGATCCCCTGCTTATCGAAATCCAAAACACAAAACTTATGGCTTTCAGGACCCCTTCGCTGAGGCACCTATGGAAGCTTGGCAAGAAATAAAAGATTATAATTTACGAGTGAATGGACTACCGACGTTGGATCAAATGATGCGACTTCATACTTATAGCCCTCTTACACAATCCAATTTTGCAACTTTTTTACGGCGGCGTAATGTGCATCAAAATCTAAATTTTTTAATGGAATTAGAGACGCATGATAAGCTTTGGAGAGCATATCTTCAAAGTATAGATCGTCAGAATAGACAACGACTTTCAAGGTTTTTAGAATCTGCAGCAGAAAAGGAACCATACTATCAGAATAATAGCTTACCAACAAGCCCTTCTGGTATTATATCGTCTTCTATGGCTTATTTAGAAACATCCGATACAGAGGATCTCTTAACAGCTTTACCTCCTCTGCCTTTAACACCACGTTCATATAACAGTCAAGTTGAATATTATGCCTCTCGAGGTGATGCATCGTTAAATCGACATGATCTTATTCAAAATGCAACTCGTATCTATCGCACCTATTGTTCACCATTAAATGATGCAGCACAGACAATCCATTTACCAGATGACCATCGTCGAGCACTAGAAGAATTAGTTGAAAACAATAAAAGACCTGAGCCAATCGTATATGATTCAGCTCGATCCCATGTCTTTGAAATTTTAAATGTCTTTTATTATCCACTATTTGTAGATGATGTCCTTCATAAAAACATCTCTATCGGTACTTCTCGTTTGTTTTTAGGACTTGGAATGATTATATTAATATTAGGTTTTTCCCTGGAGTTATCATCGATATTTTTAGATACAGGTACTATTTATTTACGTTGGATTGCTTCACTGCCTTTCTTTATAGGCTGGTCATTATTGATTACTAGTCTAACGGATTTTTCTTGGTGGTTTGGCATATTTAGTATAAAGTAATCTATATAAATACATATTTATACATATTCCTCCTTTTTTTTTTCTTTTTTCTTTCTCCCTTTTAATATATGCATTTATTTTATTTTGTTATAGTGAAATTCAGTTTATGATTTATTCAGAAATTCAAGATATTACCGTGAAAAGATTACATCGTAAAAGAGGATGGATTTGTTTAATCCTTATACTTTTTTCTTCTTTAATTACAACTGTTATTTTTGTCTTTATTCCCTCTCATCGTTTATAGCATATTTATTTATTTAATTTTTTCTTATTATATCCTTATTCTACTAATAATTATTATCTATAAAATATAGATACTTATCCAGTTCGGGTAAAAATACATGTGTGTATACCTTTTACTAAAATAATGTTGCAAGGGAAAAAAAAAAAATCAAAGTGTATCACTTACATGAAAAAAAAAGAGTGCTACACAATACAGGAAATTAAAAAAATAAAATAAAATAAAAAATAATAGCATGTCGTATATAACAATTGTTTACTAAGTAGGATAAACCTTCAAGACAGCTATTGAAACGTTTAATGGAATAACGTGTAAATTCTTCAAGAGATAATTGGGCAATTTTGATTGTTAGTATCTACAATTATTTGAGGGAAATAGTATATCTTTTCTTCATGTATAAATCCTCTTTTCATACTGTTTTTAAAAAAGAATAAAGTCATGAGTAAATGTATTTTTATTTTTTTATTTTTATTTTGTAGTCATGCTATTCAATTGGGTTTTGTCTATACATGTATGGGCGCATTATCAATAATCAGATAATATTCTTCTATTTCAGGGAGCTTTTTTTTTTTTTTTTTTTTTATCTTGGCAAAATTTTCCTTGGTGAATTTGACATAATAATGATTAATTACTATGCCCCCCCTTTTTTTTCCCTTTTGAAAATGATATGGATAACTTCCTCAAGCTGATCATGATATGGGTCTTAGCAGAGGTGACTCCCATATTCATTCGTGTTCCTTTTCCTTTCCTCAATATTTGAATCTTGCAGTATCTAGATCCGATTTCCCTCACATGTCTGTAAGACATTTTCTATATCGAGGGTAAAAAAAAAAAAAGTTCCCATTGAAAAGCAATTATACAACGTGGCCCCCACTCAGCTTCATGAGATATCTATAATTCTAAATAGCCTATCACCAGTAAAATAGAAGTGTATCTCGTCTAAGTTTATCTTTTGGCATGTTATGTGTTCTCGATAATGACTCAAGCAAGATTATTATTATTATTATTATTTTACATTTTACGTTTAAAAAAAAAAAATAGACGGATGGTGTATATTGCTATATTATTAAAATAAAACAAAACCTTCTCCATGCTCTCCATATGCATATATATATATATATATTAATATTTTATTTATTCAATATCATCATAGTTAGGAGACCACATACGGCTCTTTACAAAATTAAGGTATTCATCAGGATGAAGAGAGTTGACATCATCAGAGGTAGCAATTTTATCCTTGACAGCTTGTTCAATGACAGAGGAAGCTACAACAGCGGAGATATCACGAATACGAGATAACTCGGGATATAATAAACCCTTTGCACGTTCCTCATCCGTCAATGAGTCAGCAAGAGCCTTAGAGGCACGTAAGATGAGACGATTTGTAATAGATTCGGGACGTCCGAGGATAGCACCAAGACCTAAACCAGGGAACATATACATGTTATTACCTTGACCTGGATAACGTGTTTGGTTTGTTTCGGGTACAAGATAAGCAGGGAATGCAGTTCCGGAGGCAAAGATAACATTGTTGTTGGTGGCCTTCATAGCATCCTCAAAGGTACATTCAGCTTTAGTAGCTGGATTAGAGAGAGGGAAAACGATAGGTTGTTTATTGATGGTAGACATACGCTTGAGAACATCCTTATTAAAGGCACCTGGACATGATGAAAGACCAATCAAGGTTGTAGGCTTGATGTAATCCACAATATCCTCAAGGTTCTTTAATTGTAATCCATTGTTATCTCGTCTTGCATAATAGACTTTGTGTTCCGGAAGTTTATCTCCACGATCAGCTGTTACTAAACCCTTGGAATCACAAATGTAAAACATATTTCTTGCCTCTTCCTCACTCAAGTTGTATTCACTCTCCAAGTACTCTTGAATCTGCTGAGCAACACCAATGGCTGCTGATCCTGCACCATAAAAGACAATACGATGTTGATTTAATGGAACCTTGGATTCAGATTCAACCTTTCTAAAGGCATTGATAAGACCGGAAAGGATGACAGCACCTGTACCTTGAATATCATCATTGAAACAGAGAAGCTTGTTTTGATAATTCTTGAGGAGTCCAAAGGCATGTTCAGTAGAGAAGTCCTCGAATTGAACAAGTAAATTGGGGAAGTTGCGTACTAAGGATTTAAGAACTTGATCGACAGCAGCATAGAATTCAGGATCTTCAGGACGCTTTTGACGGACACCCAAATAAAACTCGTTTTGTAAATTACTTTCATTATTTGTACCAAAGTCAAGAACGATAGGGAGTGTCTTGCGAGGATCAATACCTGCTCCTGCTACATAAAGTTGAAGTTTACCCATACTAATAGGCATACCATTTATACCAAGATCACCTAAACCTAAAATACGTGAACCATCTGTTATCACTGTAATGTCTGGTGTCTCTCCTGTGCGTTGTTTATAAGCTTGAAGAATTTCATCCATATGAGGAAGATCATTCAGTGTAAGATAAAGTCCATCGGGTGTACCTAAAATAATAATAATAGAACAATGAATCATTTCTATTCGTTTTAATATAATATGAATAACAAACCTGGTGGAGTTAAGAAAGGATAAATAGATGAATATTGAAGACATGCTTCTCCAACTGTTGGTGTATAAATAATAGGGGCAAATTCCTATAAATAGTAATTTTTTTTAGCTCTTTCTCACTCTCACTCTCACTCTCTCTTTAAAGGAGTTTGAATAATAATTTACCTCAATATGGTCATTAACGAGCTTATAAAATAAACGTGTATTATTGTTACGTAATTGTGCCATAAAAGTATATTTTTCTAATGGACTATGCTTTGAACGTAATGTCTTTAAAGCTCTATCTGCTTGCTTTTGAAAGCTTTCAACAATTGAAGGGGTTTGTCCTCTCATATTCAATTGCTCACGCAAATGCAATGGTAATGCAGTACCTGTGTAACAAAAAAAAAGGTCCGTGTTAATTTGAATCTTTTTATGATTGCATGTCACTTTACCATTGTTATAATATGAGGAACAAGCAAAGTCAACTAATTTAGCTTTATTGAAAGTTTTAGGGGGAACAAAGGTTTCTTCAACTGTAGGCATAATAGCAGCAGTATTTTTAGGTACTTGAGTATGTAGTTTTAGTCTATAAAGTGAATGAGGTCTACTAAATAAACTTTGTGAACGTGCTATTGGATTAATAGACTTGGAGAATAAAAAATTGGAGGACTTTGGAAATAACATGCTTATATTTATATATGTCTTAATTTTTTTTTTTTTCGCAGATAAGAATCAGTTGTAAAACAAAAAAAAATATAAAATAAAAAAGGTAAATTTATTAAATTCGACTTTATTTTTTCAGCTTTTAAGGGGGAGCGTAAAATATTTATATGAAGGTTTTTTTTTTGTCAGCATAGCAAATAAGGAAGCTTGTATAAACCGAGTCATGATGATAGAAGATGATGCTTTAAATAAATAAATAAGATAAAATAAAATAAAATAAAAAGAAAGGATATATATATATATATACATATTTATATATATATATATATAGATAGATATATATGATAATCAGCCTATTAGATTCTCTCTATTTATCGTATATAAACTACTATTCCCTTCAAACAAGTAAACCTTGGTTTAACCAATTTAAGGAAACATGTACGGTTTGAATTTTCATTTTTTTTATTTGCTTGTTGAGGGAATTAGTAAAGATATGTTTATAGCATCGATTATTCTCTTTACAGTGAATACATGGATTTAGTTCATTAGAAGTAGTTGTTAATATACATCGATAATGAATAGAAAGGTCTTCTGTTAATTGCTTTCTTTGGTCTCCTTCTTGCCAAACCAACTTTATTTGTTTCCCTCGATTATCATCCTCCGTAAATAAATTGATCCATTGTGAGCAATAAATTTTCACTAATTTAAATTCAAGCTCCCCATCATCGATATTAGATGAAAGTTCAAAATAATTTTCATTGAATGTTTCAAATCGTAGATATTCGGATCGAGAGCAGAAGCCTACGCAGTTTAGACTTGCTAACGGAGCTGTAGAAGGAATTATGTCTCGATTACATAAAATAGCAAAATAGGCAGATGGCGTGTAGAATTTAATTGTCCAGCTTTCTCGTTTTACTCGAGAAAGTAATTCACGTTTAGAAAGAAACGTTAAATAGCAGGATGATTTCTTCCCTTCTTCTAAAAGCTGATGAACACAAGATAAGGGTAAAAATGTAAATATATTTGAAATAATATCGGCTGGTAAAATTGCCACTGTCATTGTTATTAAATAATAATAAAAAAATAATATATAACAAGAAGAGAGGAAAAAAAAAAGGGTGATAAATTCACCTTGTTCTTTCCTTTTCTTTACTTTTATTCTTTAATATATACCCCAGAGATCAAATTAATCAATAATTTCATTATGATAGTATATATTATATAAACATGTATTTTTTTTTCTCCAAAACCCTTGTTTTCGTTTTTTTTTTTTTTTTTTTTTTTTTTTTTTTTTTTTTTTGTTTTTCAATTGAAAAAAGTATATAATGAAGAATCGCTTAAAAAGAAAAGAAAGGATAGTAAACTATGTTTGTTATATAGTCACTCTTTTTTTTTTTTTTTTTTTTTTTTTTTTTTTTTTTTTTTTTCATTACTCTGTAGAGCTGAAGCAGGATTAAATAATAACCGGATAAGAAGATAAAAAGGCAATATCAGTCAGTCCATGTTTGTGCGTAATTCTATAATCGTTGAAAACAAACTCTAGTTGTAATCTCGAAAATCGCTATTTTTATCTACTACTCTTATTAATAAGCCTCATTTATCAGATTACAGTTATGATCTATCTTTGTGTTTCTCTTCTTGTATCACAGTTTAGAATTTATGCGTTCCTGAGAACTAAGCAAAATTCATTTTAGATGTATAAAATTCGAATAGGCATATTAACAATAGTCATTATTTTCAGCTATAGTGGGAACCAAAAAAAAAAATAAAAGTTGTAATAATTATCATCGTCAAACAGATCATGAAGATTACGAAAAGAAAAAAGTATTTGTTTTGTTAATAGAATTGACTAGTAAAAAAGTAAATTTCTCTGCTAAGAATATCCATATTATCTTTTCTCTCTCAAGAAAACCAAAAAAAACAAAGCCTTTTCTGTTTTGCCTCAAGTTATATTCATACTGCTATATAATGTTTTACCTAATAACAAAAAAAAAAAAAAAAAAATCAGCCGAAGCATTACTGCTGTACAACCGAAATTTAGATTTTAATTAAGAGATTCAAACCTTAAAGTTATGGCCTTATTATTTTTTTTTTTCCAAATTCGAGGATACATACTGTAGAATTGATGAAGTGCAACTTACCATCCCAAAAAAGATAGATTCATATATTATTCTTTCTCTTTCTCTCTCTCCTTCCTTTTTTTTTTTTTTTTTTTTTTTTTTTTTTTTTTTTGCCGAAGACTTCCGTTTCTATTATGTTCATTTACTCTTTTTAACCGAAACTCATCAACAGTATACATATCTTTTTTTTTTCTATGAATAAAGCCAATTTTGAAAAGAGTTTATAAGCAGCAATCATGATGTGATGTTAGGGGAGAAAAGTATATAAAAAAGCATGTGTATATAAATATCCAAAAAAAAATAAATAAATAAATATTAATATAGGCTTTGAAAATGCAAAAAGAAAAAGTTAATGCATTTTTTTTTTGGTTTTTGTATGATTTGTTGTAATATAATAAGTCGTCGTTGTCGTCGTTTTTTTTTATATTTATACATGTATGAAAAGAGGGGGGTATATTGAGTTTTTCTTCTTTTTTTTTCGTTTGTTTGTTTAAGTTGAGTTGAAGGGATATATATACACACAGAGATAAAATAAGCATAGGTTAGAAAAGTTCAAAGGATGACCCCTGAAGAGAACGAATAGATTTGCTTATTGTAATAGAAGTACGCTTTTCATGATTAAAACAAGACAAGAAAGGGTCTAACAAAGGCGATGAGGGTGGAGTAGAGACTGGACTATTATTTACTGATGAAGCAATAGTAGTGGTATATGCTTGATTGTTAATGTCTTTAATACGACAAGATTCCGAACAATATAACTAATAGAAATGTGAATAATATACACACATATTTATAATAAACTAAACTTACATTGTCTTCAATACAGCGACAATCACACATGATACACCAAGAAAGATCCATTTTGTTTGTTTGTTTTTTTTTGTTATAAATATGTAGAAGAAGAAAGAATAAAAAAAAAAAAATGCACAATATATAAAAATTCCAAAAAAATAAGGTTATTTTTTCCTATTTTTATATATCAAAAAAGATCTCCAAAAGTAGAGGATGATTCATAAATTGCATGTAATATAATGAAATTGTGGAAAAAAAATAACCAAATCGCTGTTTAAAAATAATATCATCTTCAATCAGTTTATTTATTATTTTACAGCATATACATATACTATCTTTACTAAGAAAAATCTACATAGAAAAAAAAAAGCATCTTGATATTTATACTTTATAAAAGAAGAATGGCTGTTATTTCTATTAAACTTATTTTATATTAAGAAGATAAATATTTTGATGATCATGATACAGTACAGATAAATTAGTCAAGAAGATAAGCAATCTTTTATTATTCATCTTTGTTTATGTAAAAAAAAAAATAGTCTTATAAGCTCTTTTCAAAGGCAAATAGATAAAATAAATCCATCTTTTTTTTTTTTACCCATAAATATTATCTGACTCAGTTTTATGTAACACTCCACCGAGCAAATGACTTTTTTTTTTCTTTTTTTTTGTGCAAAATTACAGAATACGATTAAAGAAAAATTTTATTTAGAAATTAAAAAACGACCAATGAGCATATAGCATTTATTTGCTGTTTTGCCCTAGTCAGATCGTTATGGAAAAAAGAAAAGAAAACCTTTTTTTTGGGATAAAAGGGAAAATGTTGAAGTGTATGTATAAGTGATGATAATTAACTATCAGAAAATCAAATTACAGAATACAGTCATTCTAATGCCAAAGGACGGTTTTTTTTCTAAAAAAAAATAAAGGGGGGGGAGGAGTAAATTTTTTTAGAGGACGGGTTTTTTTTTTCTCAAAAGGCTGTTTTTAATTATCCAAAAGGCGGGTTTTTTTTTCTCAAAGTTCGTTTTTTTTTTACAAGATATAAGATGACCACTCGTTTTTACTATGAAGACGGTCAAGGTAGAATGATTGATGAGCAAGGAAACGATGCTATAGACTGGGTTGAGAAAGTCACACCTTTCTATTTAGAAACTTTAACTCGTATAAGAGAGTACTGTGAAAAGCAAGAAGATGAACAGTTATCATCTCAAGAGGACCTAAAAAATCTTGATATTGATATGGAAGATGTTGTAGCCACAATTAAAAAGCAAACAAAAAGTTATCAAAGACACCCTAATGAGCAAAAGCTTCTATTTGTGTATTATAACCGAATCAAGCTATTCAATGCAGCTAAATCCAGGCGCTTAGCAGACGGTATGAGCGAGCGAACAGCACAAAAATGGACCAAAAAAAAAAAAAAAAAAAAGAAACTCAAGAAGGAATATTTTTGAGAAGCAGACCAATTTGGTTAATAGACCAAAATCACAATTGGATGATAGACAAAAGCTTCACCTTCTCGACTTTTACCACAACTGGTCACAGGCACGAATCGTTGATGCAATGGACTCCCTCACACAAAAACACTCTAATCTCAGTGTGAAGAAGAGCACTGTCCATAACTTTCTGAAAACTGAATGCAGTCTTTCCTTCAAAAAGCTGACAACTCAAACAGTTGCTAATGCTAGAAATAATCCAACCAAAATCCAAGATCGCAAGGATTGGGTTATTAAGTGCAGTGCAACGGATATGAACTATTTGGAAAATAATACGTGTGTTTTTTGTTGATGAGTCTGGGTTTAATATCAACATGAGGTCACCTAGTTGGATGGTCATTGAAAAGGAAAACCAGCTTGTTACAGACACTCATACCGGCAGAGCTGTTTCTCACACTGTATTAGGTGCTATCACGACAAAGTTTGTTGTTTCAATGGAACTTTGAAATCCCCAAGAAGAAACTTCAAAACGAATCAAAATTGACTTCAGTAATCGTAAAAGGAAAGCACCAGGTCAAACCGAGAAGCCAACTTCAAAAGGCACTATCACTAGTCATTATGTGAAGTTTCTTGAAAAAACCCAGGATGAGATGGATTGTTTTCCCGAGCTAAAAGGCTACTATGTTGTAATGGATAATGCACCCATTCATACAGCGGGCCAAATTGATTAAATGGTAGCTGCAAGAGGCTACAGGAGTATCTATCTTCCTCCTTACTCTCCTGAGCTTAATCCAATAGAGCAGTTTTGGTCAATTGTCAAAAATAAGGTCAAGCGAAGTTCGTTCGAAGCTACTGAGGATTTGGCTACTCGGATTGCTGAAGCTTGTGATCATGTTCCCCCCTAAGCACCTACAAGCATTTACTCAGCATTCTGTTAATTGCTTTGAGATTTGCTTACGTGGTGAACCATTATAAACATTGTTCATTTCAATTAATAAGAAAATATAGTGTTACGCTTTGAAAATAAATAAAAAAAAAAAAAAGCTTGAAGTAACGAACTTATAACATGCAGCTTGGATCTGACTTTTAAAAAAGACGTAATAATTATTATTCGTTTTTTTCTGTGGTCGTTTAAAAGCAACAAACTCTTTATACCTGTTTAAAATTTAGCAATTATGGCAACTTGTCCGTCAAAGTTTCGTAATGTCAAGATCAGTACAGAACAGCTTGATGTTGATGAATTCTTTTATATAAATCCTGCAGTAGATTGGGGATTCGAAAACTATTCTCGTTGGTCCACAGGAAAGAACGAAAAAGCCAAACCTGCTGCAGTTATAAAAAAAATACGAGGAATCGTTTTTAAAAATAAAAGACTGTCTAGGTTTAAATGAAGATGTTGTTAGCTATGCTGGTGATTTGAGCAAAAACTTGGTACTTATAAATAAAAATATTCACAGTAAAATATTAAAACTCTTCCTAAATTAGTTATTATAGAGCAAGAATAAAAAGAGAAAAGGGAATCAAATCGTTAACATTGGAACTAATAGTGGTGTTGCCATTAATAATGGAAGTGTAGTTATAAATAACTATGAAAGCTCAAATAATAAAAAACAAAAGGTAAAAGTTAGAATACACACAAGTATTATAGTTTGTTATTTACTAACAAAAAAAAAAAAAAAAAAAAACTTTATGAATTATAGGTTGACCACACAGATGAATCAAAATCTTGGGAGATTGAAAAATTTAAAGAATTGCTTGATGCATGGCGCCATTATCTAAGCGCGTCTAGTGATAAACATGAGTACTGCCTCGAAAAACATCATATCATCGAGTGCGGTTACTCTATCAAATGTAATCCCAAGATCCCTGAAGAACTATATAATCAAATTGGTTTGTCTGAAGAACATACCATTGAAAGTCCTTTCATATCTTGTTTTTCATATTGTAGCAAAATACTCGATTATATGAAAACTAGAGCCTGGAAAGAAGTCGAATCTGCTGTAACTGATTCCCAGGATGAAAAATTAGAGCTTGTAAAAGAACAAGTAGATTTTGTTGAAGAATACTTCCGTTTCTGCTTATTGTTATTCAAAAAAAAAAAATAATCTTTACAAGCGACTTAATATTAGTGAATCAAACTTCAATAGACTTTTAGTTTGGCCGGCAGTTGAAGTTTCGATTGAATCGATGGAACTACTTGAATTTATACCTGGAGAATACCTTCTGAAGTCTTCTCAAGAAAAATACAACGTAGATGGATGTATAGTTGATGAAGAAGATAATGAGATGTTTTTACTTGAAACCTCTGGAAAGTTGATGTTGAAGGAAAAATGGAGGTATGGTTACGATCATGTCAAGTGTACATTTGGTGCATTGTCAATTTTTAATGCAGCTTTTAAAAAATATTTTTTTTGCTACCAAAGAAACGGCAATGAAACTACAAATCCCTTATTTACATGCAATGGGTAAATAATTTTATTTATTATTTGATCCTAATAACTAACCATATCTAACTACTATAAATAGGGGATTCGCTTCATTTGTGGGTGTTGGAGCTTTGCTCAAATAAGTTATATATTTCGAATAAGGTTTTCAAGTGCCAAATACCGAAAGCAATGGATGATACTAAAAATATCATTGCCATGGGAAATTTGCTCTGGTGTTTAAAGGTATGTCTGACTAGTATTATTATAAGTACACCAAAATTCAAAAAAAAACTAATTTTTTGATAAAAAAAATAGATAAAGCTAGAACGTGTTCATAACATCTTGAAGGCTATGAAGGAAGAACATGATAGTTATGAAATACAAAGAATGCTTAAAGGTAGTAGTAGCTCGCGCCTTTCGCTGGTCGAAATGGTAAACACCGAAATACAAAAGCCTGTAAAGGGCGAAGGCTACGGTATCTTGTTACCAGAAAAAAAAGATGAAAGCGGCTGTAATATACAGTTTACTAACATCAAAAATAAAACACAAATGTAAATAAAAATAAAAATAAAAAGGAATACATTATAATGTATAGCTTATCATATATTGAATATTAGTATAATATGGTTATGTTATAGATGTCCTCAACAATGGACATGCTTCGGCTTTCTTTTCTTTTATTATAATAAACAATAGGGGGCTTTTTTTTTGGTATTCTATATGTATACTTATTTATGGTGAAAATCACATTAAGAGATGTAACTGTAAAGTATCCATTCTTTGTCAGCCTAGCTTCCAAACTTTAAATGGCAATATGTTGAATGTAAGCTTAGATGGTTTAACTGGTTATGGCCAAATAATATCATCTGCTTACGAAACAGTCGCTACTTCCTATAACAATTATTATGTTAAGGGTTTTTGAGAACATAGTTATCAACTATTGTATAAATGTCCTTACAAAGTATTTCAGAGTAAGTTATATTATGTAACAGAAAAAATAAATAAATAAACTACATAATTGATATTATTGTAAATATAGAAACTTGAAAAATTAGGACTATCAAGCAAGATTGTCTACAATCATTTACTGCTTTCTAAATGGGGAGGTATGGGGGGGGGAATAGTTTATTTTGATAGAATATATGCTTCCTGAAAATGTAAACACGCTCCCAAATCTCCTACAATTTTTAAACAGTGATGTCGTTCAAATTAGAAATCAATTATCAGTAATATATATTTCTAGAGATATACTCACTAAAGATCCTTCTGTAATTCTTCCTTTGCTGAGACACATACTAACTTACTATGAAACTATATATCAAGAGCATGCTTCACAACACGAACATCAAGAACAGAGACCCAATAATATAATAGTTCCAGGGTCCTTTTTTTCTTTTGTGTTGTTCACCCCCTCCTTCCAAAGCATGAAATGAAAATTTATCAAAATGAATAGTCAAAAATTGTCTGCTATATTCTCTGGGGTACTACTAATCCCGAAAATAAATAATGAAAACTACAATTGAATATCATAGAAAATACTTTTATAATTTCTTTGATCTTTATAAGTTAACTTAGATTGACTAGATTCTTATCATAATAGAACATATATGAAGGGAGAAAACTGATTTAATCCCATGTTCTACGGTCTTTCATTGATTTTCCTCAATTATGTACATACTGATGACTATACCTGTAGAATCGGTTTTTGTAGGAGGAACAAAAAAGAAAAACTTCACGAACTTCATGCTCTTTTGTCACTGGATTACATCTAATATGTTTACTTGTACTACAATAAATATCAATTCACTCTTAAAAGGTTTTAAAAGCTGTACACATAACATCTACTTTGTATCTATTTTCAATACTTTATTGTTCTATTATATGCAGAAATCGATGAAATAAACAAAATGTGTATCATTAATCAATTGTGTGTTTTTTTTTTAAAAAAAAAAGTGTATCTATTTCTTCTTTGAAGGAGCAGTAACATTGAACTTGAAGTAAATGATATCACCGTCTTCAACGACATAATCTTTACCCTTTTGCAAATATTTACCAGCAGCTTTAACAGCACTTTCTGAACCCAATTCCTTTAAATCTTCATACTTCATGACTTCAGCCATAATGAAACCACGTTCGAAATCAGAGTGAATAACACCAGCAGCAGCAGGAGCCTTGGTATTCTTACGAATAGTCCAAGCACGAACTTCATCAGGACCACCAGTAAAGTAATAGATCAATTGAAGTGCAGCATAACCCATAACGATGATCTTGGGTAAAACAGAGAAGGCATTGTTTTCCTTTTGAATTTCTTCCTTTTCCTCAGAGGTAGCAAGGGAGAGACGGTATTCATAAGCACCAGAATAAGGAATCATAGGATCACCTGCAGAGTTTTGATCGATCCATGCCTTAATCTTAGGAAGCCATTTGTTCTTCTTACGAATATAATCTTTTTCACTCAAGTTGGCAAGATAGATAACTGGCTTTGCAGTAATGAGATGAAGGGTGTTGATAATTTCAATTTCCTTATTTGTCCAGTTACCGTGACGAACATCATTACCAGCTTGAACCCATTCAAGAACCTTTTGAACAATAGCTGCTTCTTCTTTCTTGGCTTTGTCTTGTGCATTACCACCATTACCAAGACGACGTGTGACATTGTTCAATTCAGTTGATTGTTTAGTAAGGAACTCTTCATCCTTTAAACGTAATTCTTCACGGATAATTTCCATATCACGAATGGGATCCAATTCACCTTCAACGTGAATAACATCAGCCTCATCGAAAGCACGGACAACATGGAAAATCGCATCTACAGCTTTAATATGAGACAAGAAAGCATTACCTAAACCTGCACCAGAGGCTGCACCTTTAACAAGACCAGCAATATCAATGACAGTCAACTATTATTATTATATCTACTATTTAATACTCCCTATTTTAAACAAAAAAAAAAAAAATAAAATAAAATAAATAAAACTACTTACAAAAGCAGGAATTTCCTTGGCAGGCTTATAGTGTTGACATAACCAATCAAAACGAGGATCAGGAACAGCAACGCGAGACTCCTCAGGATCTAATATATTTTTATTTTATTTATGTTTTCCATATATTATTATTTAGTTCATTTCTATTTCATTTTGTTCCAATACTATTATTCTAAATAATATACATACCAATGGTACAGAAAGGATAGTTCTCAGCAGCAGCAGAGGCGTTAGTGAGAGCGTTGAAAAAGGTAGACTTGCCGACATTGGGAAGACCGACAACACCAATCTTCAAATTGTTAGATGGACGACCAAGTAAAGCCTTTTCTTCCTTAACAGCCTTCTTAGGGGGCATGACTTTAATAATAGCAAAAAAAAAAAAAAAGATAGTTAATATTAGTACATTAATTTTAAAAAAAAAAAGAAAAATCTCGATCCTCTTCCTTTTTTTTTTTAATTAATTAAAAGGACGGTTTTCATTAGAATTGTAGATTACTTACTGTAAAATGGACAATAACGTTAGAAGGTCTTTATTTTTTGATAACTTTTTTTCAATTATACAGAAACTCAAAAAAATTTTGAAGCTGATGTCACGAAGATAGTCACAAAACTCGGAAATTGAAATGATTCCCAAAAAAAAAAGGAAGCACATATACAGTATTTCAGATTATATAAATAATAAAACGTTATTAGTTACGTTTAAACATAAAAAAAAATTCCCCAATTAGGCATAAGATATTGACTATATATATCAGAGTTGCTCGGGATAAATCATGAGTAACAGGAAAGGTGATTACTAGAAAATCCATTTGGGATAAAAAAAAATATGAATTATAATATTCTCGGTTAAAAAATAAGACTGGGTTGAGAATTTTTGTTAAATACATTAATATAGATTTGAGGTATTATATATGTTTACTGGAACAGGTCTAAATTTTCTATTCGACAAAGAGAAATTATATTTATGACAGCCTATTATTGCGAATATATGTATTCATTTAAAGCATAAATGGCAAGTATATCTGATACGAAATTACTAACAATTGTTGTGAAAAGAGCACACATAGTATCTGTCTAGAATAGACTCCTTATACAGTTTTGAAAATATTACATAAATAAATAGATAAATAAATGTATTTTACATTATCAGGCGAACTGAATTATAAATTGATATTTTCTTTTTTAGAATACTTTTTTGCAACAAGTATAGTATTTTTAGAGAGAGAGAGAAAAAAAAAATAATATCTTGATCTGAGATTACTTGCAGGACTAGTAAAGATAAACTTTACTATTATACGAAGAGTGTTACATATACCTTATTAGTGCCTATATCCATAATGACTTGAAAATACCAATTGAATCCAAGCCTGCACTTTTCTATTTGGAGAAATATGCCATAACACTAAAGTAGATAAAAGTAAATATTCTCTATAAAGGGATATACACCAAGTATTAGAACTTTGATCTTATATTATGGTCCAGTGGAAAGAAATAAATGATAACTTTTTTTTTTCTTCATATATCTTGGACTATCCTGAGTTAATCCATTATGTTATAAACACTATGTATTTATCAATAAATAAAAAATAGTTAATCGTATGCAAGAATGATATATATTTACATGCATTTGATATTCTTATACTGAGAGGCCTTCCCACATTTATAAACGAAAGTTATATTAGAAGTGATACTTTATTCAAGAAAAAAAAAAAAAAAAAAAAAAAAAAAAGAGAGAGAGAGAGAGAGAGAGAGAGGAGGGGCTAATATTCATTGAAGAAACATATAATCTTTATTTTTATAATTCCTTTTTTCTTTTTCAGTAGGCAGTAGTTATATAATTTGAATTCTTTGCATACTACTATATAAAGTACATACTTGTACTACTGTTTCTGATAATTGATAAGCATATTGAATTTTTGCCTATAGCAATTGCGAAACAATTTAGACTAGCAATTTTATACCTTTTAAAGAAAATAGGATGGCAATCTCAAGACCTATAATATGAGGTAGTTTACAGAAAAGATCAGTACTCTCCCTTTTTTTCTTTATGGAAATAATAAGCATTTTTTAAATAAGATGATTTAACATTTTAGGTTCTTTAAAAGATCGCATAGGTAACGACTAAATGCATTACTTTACTTCTAATAATATTTCTATATCTAGACATTGCTTTTTTATTCAAAACTTTATTTGTATTGTCTCAAGTTTATTTAAATTAATAATCGAGAATTTGTCTTATTTTCGTATTGTATGTACATCATCATACCAAAATATTTATATACTTTCTATAATAAACTACGCTCTCATCCTTAATGTCCATTCTTTTTTATAAAAAAAGAAAATGTCATCGGCCAGCTTCTTATTCCTTTTCCCTTAATCCTACAGGGTATTTTTTTTTCTTCTAGTCTCTCGTTATTATCCTATTCTTGAACTAGCCCAGAGCAAAGCACAATGAATATGTTTAATATCGATTTTTAAAATAAAATATTATTTTAAACGTATTATAAATCAAAGAAAAAAAAAAAAAGAAAGAGAGAAAAGAAAAAGGGCAGTTATATACACATGTACGTAAATATACATACATATATGCGTATACAGAATTGAAAACTAACGGTAATAACAGTAATAATAATAATAATAATAAAAAGAATTATAGTATAGAGTAGAAAAAAGGTGTGCAATATGTGTAGTAAATAATAGAGTGGTAATATATATACATATATGTATATATATACACATAGACATAGACAGAGACATATACATATTTGTATATTAATTGTTGTCAATAGTTTTAACAGTAACTGCACTGGTCGGAATATAATTTTAAAAGCTTCTTTTCCAGTATGAATTTACCTTCTTTGTATTTATTGTCGCTGTTATAAGCTTTTACCTAGATTATGTTATGTATTGATTAATTTCCAATTATCAGGTAAAATTTATAAATGACTAACATATGTCCAACCAAGTAATTTTGAACAATGTATACAGGATATATCTCGAACTCTATGCAAACCAGTCGTCATTTCTCTATCTTCTACTTTACCGAGTTTAATATTAACCCTATAATAGATAAGAAAAAAAAAAGAAAAGAAAAGATGAATGCAAAAAAAAAAAAAAAAAATAAAATAAAATAAAATAAAATAATAAAATAAACAAAATTTCTTTCCTACACTGTTTCAAACAAAAATGCTTGACCATGTTGACCTTGAAATTGCTATCAAACAAAAAAAAAAAAAAAAAAAATGAAATAAAAATAAAAACATCTATATAAATAGATATATGTATGCATTTACTGTTGATAAAATTGTTTCTGTAGTTGCTAGATGAGTGCCGCATTTAGAACATCCATACACTCCAGCTTTCCCTTCAAGATAAGCACGGTACAAAAGTCCCATAGTCTTCTTCTCTCTTTTATTTTCTTAGTTTATCTATATCGAATACACTGTAATGAAAAATATATATATTTATATATAACGTATACACAAACACAATTTAATTAATTAATTTTTTTAAAAAAAAAGAAAGAGAAAGAGAAAAAGAGAGGAGGGAGATAAAGGGAAATTTATGTTTAAACAGTTATTTTTTTTTAAAAAAAAAAAAAATTAAATGGCCGAATTGAGTGCATAAATGTCTGAAATAGACTGTATTTGTTCTGGTCTCGTCAATAGGAAAGATATAAAGAAAGTAGGAAAAAAAAAGTCTTTTGGAATTAAATGAGGAGAGATAAAAAAAAAAGAACAATAAGTGTGTAATTAGGGAAAGAGAGTCTATTATAGACATCAATCAGACTAGTCTAGTCTTGTCATTAAGGGAGGGGTTTGGGTATTGTAACAGCTGACATCCATAATTTGGTTACGTTGGAGATATATTATTATTTACATACCATCCAAATAACATAGTCTTGTCTTATATAACATAGGGAATTAAGCTAAAATTCATACGGCGCTTGCATTAATATAAATTCAGTAATAATCAATTACAGCTAAACCAGGTACGAGTATATAAATATCTGTATATTTATAATTCAGCTGTCAAATCAAATACAAGTGATAATTAACACACACACATATAAACTAACTTGATATATTCTATTTCTATAAATCAAAATGACAAATAATCTATACAAGATAAATTAAATATCTATTATCATCAATAAGTGTATTATCCATGGTTAGTCTAATGATTAAATATGAATATACACAATAGGATGTCAATTTAGACTAATGAAAAAAAAAAGATGAATGTCGATAAATACAAATGTTTCTAAATAGCAATCACTTTGTAACAAAAAAAGTTTGGCTTTCTATATTTCTATTAGCATTTCTATTTCATTAAAGGTAATATCAATTATTATTATAAAATATGATTTCACAAACATAGTATTAATAAAGTTTACAGCAAAGTTATGCAAAAGGCATATAATGGCTTCAATATTTATTAATTCAAAAATGAATGATGAAGGACTCTATAAAGTATTAGATTTAAAGGTCCTTTGATATTTATTGAAGCAAAGGTACAGTATGTTTCCTTACAAAATAGTATTATGTAAAAATAGGATGAAGTTTTAACTTACTATTAGCCAATATAGGCCATCAACTATATACATACATATATATTTAACTGAGTGTAGTATACAAGTAGCTATAGAATGGAGTCTATAAAAACTTACTGATCAAAAAAGAGGTTCCTTTAGACATAATTTATTGTTTTTTTTCTTAGTTAATATACTAATGTTAAGCTAAAAGTGTTAATAATGAATTCATATTCAAGTCGAGCTGACTCAATTTAACTATGGAAACAAGCTGCTAATAAGTTGCTAAGGTTACAAATAGTTTATCTAGTTTTTTCGTCATTACAAGGGCTTTAATAGTATCACTACTAATGGATACATTTGTCGTAAAGATACACCTAGATAATTAAAAATATATTTTTATCTTTAAATAGAAACTACATATAGTCTCATGATGATAGATAGTGTCGCTTATCATGCATTTACTTGGATTTCGACAACATTCTAATTATAAACTACATCCTTAGTACTTTATTAATGGATCGTCAATATTCAAAGTAATATATAAATAAGCTTCGAGTTTATTTAATTGTGTTAAATTCTTATGCAGTGAAGTAACAATTTTTTTTTTTTTTTTTTTTTTTTTTTTTTTTTTTTTTTTTTTTTTTTTTTTTTTTTTTTACTGAATTTTAGTTAACTCTAAAGAATTCCAGTGACTCCAGTTTGGAGATCTCTCTGTATTTGACTGAATCTTTCCTGAACATTCCTTTACCAAAAGATACGATAAGTAACCTGTCTTTATGATGCTCAAATTTCTCTGATTTCAAGGATTCCTTTACTTTTATAGTAAGCATCACATTAGTTTACCAATCGTTTTTATATTTTATATTCTTTACTTTATCCTTGTATGTGATTTCTAACCAACTATTATCGTTTACACTTGACGCTTTTCTTCCTGTTCTTTCACTTTTACTTGTTATACTCTTTTACCACTATCAATTTAAGATAATTATCATCTTTTGTCTGACTCTTTATATAAGTGTAAACAAACTTTGGCTGTTGAATGTCTATTAAATTCCTATATTTACTGAATATGTATTAAAATAAAAGTCAACATACTGAAAATAGGTTAAAACATTAACAATTTTTAGCTGATGGGATATATATATCTGGAAGGAATACATAGAATTTGTGCTACTCTTCTCCCCAAGTTATGCTTCTTGATCTAACATGAGTCGGCTTTGATATATTATCTTTTTGAATAAAGTTTAATTAGGATGATCGTGTGGATGTAACATAACGATAAGACAGCAAGTCAAAGGAATTTAGTAACTGATAACCTAGATAGAGTATGTATATTTTGGTGAATAAAATAAGAATGACTTTGTGTTAATAAATTAAATAATAAATAAATAAATAAAAAAGAGGCGTATGTGTGTGTGTGTGTGTGTGTTCATAGTAGTCTTCTATGGTCAAAAGAAGAAGATAATGGTAGTTCACTATAAAAAGGATTGCCTAAAAATAGATTTGTCTAAAATGGATATACGACCTTCTAAGGCTTTGTAGTACGATAGTATATATAATTTATAATAACGGCACTTGAAGTTTTTAAATGTGACAGGTTGCTAAAAAGCAACAAGGTAAATTTCATTTCACGACATGTTGATATGGTAATACGTTTTTTTTTTTTTTTTTTTTTTTTTTTTTTTTTTTTTTTTTTTTTTTTTTTTTTTTTTTTTTTAATATTCTATAACTTGTGCATCTATAAAAAAAAGACACGAAAAAATTGCAAGATTCAGAAATCCCAAGATGAATTCAAAATTCTATAATTTCAAGATCCCAAGAATTTTGAACTCTTGAGACACTCTTTTCAAAGTTTATCACTATTTTAATAACGTCCACATTTGATAGCCACCCTATCCTTTATCTTGTAAAGCCTCTCTGCTCATTAAATAAGTGATTTATTTGAAAACAAATTATATAGGCTGTATAAAAAAACAAACAACATGAAAATTTACTAAAAAAAGTTATTTACTTTTTTAGACGATTTCCATTAGGGCACAATGATAAAGCGCTTTATTTCCTTTATAAAAGAAGAACGCTGTTGTAATATGGGAAGATTATTTTGAGTCCCTTTTCCTCTTTTCTACTTTATACTTGATCTTTATATGTATATATCAATAAATTGACACAAAGTGTATTGTACATAGATGCTCGATTTCTTATTTCTATTACTCTTTCTTTAAGGACAATTATTGGAAAATTTTCTTTATGTTAAAAAGAATGAAATCCCAGCCTTTTTCATACACATATTTTTTTCCTTAGATTGTATTGTATATTAAAAACTTTATTATTGCTATAAAAAGGAAAAAAAAAATAGTGGTTGTTAATAAAAATATACAGTAACAGGAGATTATTTTACAAGTCAGAAATGATATATAAAAAATCTGCGTCCTGACGTTTTCTTCTTCAGTAAAGAAATACAATTATAGGGGCAAGATTACTGTTAGATTATTCCTTAATTACAACATTTGATTTTATCTTCTTCTCTCCTCACTTTATTATTTATTAAATTTCTGTCTGTGTTACAACATAATATAGTTCGGGATGATCACCGACTGGCAAACGTTTATTATGTATGAGGTTGACATATTTTACTGAATATCACAGCCCCTGCTACTTTCATTATAATAAGAATAATAAATAAAAAATAATGATTACATACATAGTATGTGAACCGACGTCTTTGAACTCCTTCTTGTAAATGAACACAAACCAGCAAATACACAAACACGTCTGCTCACATATCAAGGAAAAAAAAAAAAAAAAAATTAAAACTCGTTATTTTTTAATTCTTTTCTTTCCCCTTCTTTTTTTTTTTATTTTTAAATAACTTAAAAAACTATTTATATATACTTTTATTTCTTTTCCTTTTTTACTAATTTTTATTCTTTTTTACACTAAATATAAGAGAAGAAAATAAAGTCAAGCATCCTTCTATATCATAAAATAGACTATAAAAATATTTAAGCATTATATAAAACATCAATTTTTATTTTATTTTATTTTATTTTTTTATTTTATTTTTTATTTTTATTTTTATTTATTTTTTATTTTTATTTTTATTTATTTTTTTATTTTTATTATAATTATCAAGGGAAGGAATATGACTACTTCAGGAACTCAGTCACCTTCATCACTCATTGCAACATCTTCAATAGATCACAATACTAAACAAATTAATATTTCAAGGTAAATATACTATCATTATTTTCGAGTCAGTTTCATTTTATGCATTAATAATATAGTACATTATGGAAAACAAGCAATAGGCATTTTCAAGAACAGAATAACGATTCATTAAATAATAATCATGATAATTTGAATTTATTACGTCGATCCCGTGCTGAAACTATGCCTACTTCATTTCCTTATAATATATCAACTCATCAAAATAGTGAAGATAATAGAATTAACTTGCATCATTGGAATCATGATTCTACAAATACTTTATTGATTCAAAGCCCAACTACGCCTACAACAGATCAGTTATTAAAAGGAGATGCTAATAACACGATTGCTAGTACTTTTGCTTCATTAGGTTTGGACGAACATCATATATCATTAAAAAAACTATCTGAAAACATGATTCATACCAGTCATTCTTATTCTTCTCTTCATACTTTATCTGAAAATCAACAAAAGGATGATTGGTATGATGATAATAATAATAAGACAAATGAGTCACTTGCTTATTTTAGTAGTAACAAGGGAGAAGACTTGCGTTCTTCTGTAGCCCAACTTCGACTTTCACATCATATGAATCGACCTCGTGCTATGAGTGCTATTGATCCTCAATTCTTTATGAAACGTCATCAACAGGAAGATACAAGTCCTCTTTTAATGTCTCATAATCCATCCATTTGGCATTCTTCTGAATTTGTTTCTCGTCCATTCTTACGAAGCTCAAGTAGCAGTGCAGATTTAATAGAAATGATGGCTCGTCAACAAAGAAAACCTAACGTATCTCTTACAAGTTCGCCCAATAGTGGTATTCATCCTATCTTGAATGAAGAGGACAGTGGTTGGACAGGGGTAACTTTTTTTTTATTTTGATCTTTTCTTTCTCTTTCTCTTTCATTACCCCTCTTTTTTTTTTTTTTTTTTTTTTTTTTTTTTTTTTTTTCTACTCTAAAATGAGTTTTAATGTTTTTATTTATCTCTCTCCTCCTCTTCTTCTTTCTCCTTCAAATTTTTTATCTCCTCCTCCTCCTCCCCCTTCTTTGTAATATCTAACTATAAATACCTTTTTTTTTTATACAAATATATAGGATTCATTCAAAGGAGAAAGCCCATCATCGTCATCTTATGAACGACAAATGAACAATATAGATATCATTGAAAATATAGACACAACGACTTCACTCTTACAAACTCCCACGCGTTCTTTATGGCTTGGTCAGTTATATGATATCACTAGTCAAACATCAATTGAGTTGAATGCTCTCTTTTCACAATTTGGTGTCGTTGAAAGTATTCGACTCTTACCAGATCGTGATTGTGCTTTTATAAATTTCGTTACAGTTGAGGATGCTATAAGAGCAAAAGATATCGTCATCAATAAATTATTTTGTCGTCTTTTTTCACATTCAAACTATCCTGTCAAAGTTGGTTTCGGAAAGCTGACATCAGAAACACCGCAACAACAGCATATCTTTCAGTCACCTATTGCAACATATGATACAACACAGGGACCCACTAGAGCTTTATGCAAGTTATTAAAATACAATCTTTTTTTTTTTTTTTTTTACTAACTTCTTCTTATAGGGGTGGGGAATATTCCGATAAATACAACACAAGCATCATTAGGATCTATCTTTGCCTCTTTTGGTATGATTGAATCTATCCGTGTTTTGAGTCATAAAAATTGTGGCTTTATCAACTTTATTCATCAAGAAGATGCCATTCGGGCAAAGAAGTCACTTCATAATAAAGAAATTATGGGGCCAGGTACTGGCTTAGTTAAGATTGGCTTTGCTAAAGTACCTCCCTCCCCTACTATCACACCTGCTACTCATAAATCAACTCTTTTATCTTCTAAAAATAATAATGTAGCAGATGATTTACAACATTCAACAACAAGTGTTGATGTCGTACAACAACAACAACAACAACAAATGGAAAACTATTTTCATTCATGGTCTTCATCAATGACAATGGAAGACCAACAACAGCAACAATGGATGGTTTATATGATGGAGCAAATGATGGGCAATAACTCTAATAGTGTCATTACTGCTATTGTAGCTGAGCGTAAGTTGATTATGCAAGAGTTTGGTGAAGATGATTCGGATGGTCCGACTTTTGACGGTAAATTTATTAAAACTTTGTTTATTTATTCATTTGTTTGTTTATTTTTATTTATTTAATATTTATTGTAGCACTTCATTTGCCTCAAAAATATTATCATTCTATTCCTGCAGCGCCTGAATTAGGTCAATCAAGAAAAGTGGATATTTCTCGTTTAAGAGATATTCGAAAAAGGCTAGATACTGGAAGTATTACGGTGAAAGAATTAGAAGTGATTGCACTTGAATGTCTTGACGAAATAGTTGAACTCTGCAGTGGTAAGTTGTCAATGTCTTTATATAAAAAATAGGTATATGTGTTTTATATATTCAAGTATCTATCTATTCGTATGTATAGATTATATTGGCAATACCATCATTCAACGTTTATTCGAGAAATGTTCAGAAACAACTAAATCTCTTATGTTAGAACAAGTGGCTCCTTATTTAGCCTCTATTGGTGTCCACAAAAATGGAACATGGGCAGCACAAAAGATTATTGAAACCACTCGACTTTTACTTTTACCTTCTCAAACTACGTTACTCTGTAATCATATTAAACCTTATGTACCCGCCTTATTATTAGATCAATTTGGTAATTACGTTGTTCAATGTTGTTTGGGTCTAGGTCCTCATAGAAATCAATTTATCTTTGATGCAATTGTTGACTCCTGTTGGGAGATCGCTCAGGGTCGATTTGGTGCACGAGCAGTTCGCGCTACCTTAGAAAGTCCTCATGTGACAAAGAGACAACAGGTAAATAACTCTGTATTGTGCTTCCTTTTTTTTTCACTGACTTATACTAACCTAACTGTTAACTACTAGAAATATATAGCTGCTGCATTTGTACAACATGCCTTACTTTTAGCTACCAATGCAAATGGGGCACTTTTACTTATTTGGTTTTTGGATACCTCCGGTATCCCTGGTCGTTATCGTGTCTTGGCTCCACGTCTTCTACCTCATTTAAACAAGTTATGTATTCATAAATTGGCTTCCTTAACCATTCTTAAACTTATCAACCAACGTCAGGAACCAGAAGCAAGAGCCTTGATTCTTGATGCTCTCTTCTTCTCAGCGTCCTCTCAACAGGAAGTACCATCCCTAATTGATGATGTTCTTCATGATCAAGTGCATGGTGTCAACCTTATTCAAAAGATCCTTTCAAGTTCTTATATTGAATTACGTGAAAGACAGCGTATTGCAGAACGTGTCAAATATTATTTGACAAAGCTGAAGCTTCAACACATACAGGGTTATAAGAGATTAGTAGAAGAGATTAATATGGTCATGGTTGATTCTGCTCCTGGGGCCAGCTTAGGTGTTCCTACTCAATTTTCAATTAGTCCAAGTTTAGCAGCAGCTTTACATGCAAAATACATGCTACAAAACGAGGATATGAATGACGGGGAAGATAAAACAACGGCAACGATGGTAGCTAACTTTTATGCTGCCGCTGCTGCCGCTGCCGCTGCTACGATAGCATCCAATTCTTCTACTTTGAAACAAAGCAACAATGACTCTCATGAAGAAAAAACCCAATAATAATAGGATACCCCATACATACCCCACAGCACACACACTCTCAAATATATATACAAATATATATATATACTCTTTTACCCTTCACTCTCTCTTTTTTATTATAGAGTAATCTTATTTATTCTTTTTTTTTTACTTACATATATCCTTTCCTTATATACTCGTATTTTTACCATCCTTCTTTGGACTATATATATAATATATATATTCATTCTTTATATACTCACTCACTCAATCGCACACACACACACACATACATATATTTATTCATTTGGCATTTTTGTATCTTTACACTACACTACACATCACTTTCCTTTTCTTTTTATAACCAAAAGAAAAAAAAAACTTTCTCGGTATTTATAGCATGAAATAAGTACAAAACAAAACAAAAATCTTCTTCCTCTCTTTTATATACATATATATTTACATGCCATCTATTTCTTTTTAATAATTATATATACACAATTTTAATAATTTTTTTTACTGTTAAGGAGGCATGTTTCTGCATGCATGTGTATTACACCTTTTCCAAAAATTATTCGTACACGTTGAAAAAAAATAAAAAATCAAGCAAGAAAAAAAAAAAAAACTCAAACACAGACAGAATAAAATTTTAAGCATATTTTTTTTTTTTTTTTTATTGGTGCATTTTTTTTTTTTATTGAACCAAATGTACGAAATCTGTCAAGCTATTAAAGTGACTTACGTTCTAAGCAATCATCAAACTTTCGTATCGAATACCTACAGAACCCTTCCAGATCACTCTGAAGCATATTATTGCATGTATCTCTTATACGACTAGTAAGAGTTTCGCTTTCTAAAAATGGCTCCCTTTTTAGCTTGTTTTTACAAACGGACTAAGCTTGTTCGATTGGATCCAGTTCAGAGAGGGGAGGAGGAGGGGGGGGGAAGTAAGCAGGTAAATACAAACAAAAGTAGCCATGATTCTCGATATAATGTCTTATATCTGGGTGCTTATGAATCGGTACATTATCCATAACAAGATAGTGTTCTTTAAATTCTTTATACCGATCCATAATATCAAGAGTACGAGCGATGAAGTTGAAGTAGTAGCCTGTAACTGTGCCAACTGAACTGGTATTTTCTTTCTTCTTTTTTTCTTTCTTTCTTTCTTTCTTTCTTTCTTTCTTTTTTTTATTTTTATTTTTTTTTTATCTCAAGCCCTTCAAAGTCTTTGGTCAATCTATTCATCCATTGATCCAGGATTATGCCTGAATCATCCTCATCAACCAAACTGATGAGGTACTCGTGATGATCATCATTTAAGGTAGGAGGTCTTTCCACAAGCCTTCCACTTCTGGGCTTTCTTTTGACGACTAGTTCATCTGGATCTTCAAGACTTTTTCTATACCATAAAGCAGCTGTACTAGCGGGAACACTTATTTGTTTAGCTGCTCCACAAATAGACATACCCTTTTGTGTCCACGAGAAAGAAGAAATAGTCCATTTCTTCCTTTTTGTAGTTTCGATATGTTTTCTTTTTCACGTCCGGCTCCTCATTACCAGACTTTTTTTTCTTCTCTCTTTCGACACAACTTTGTCAGCCTTATGAGGTTTCTCAGGAGGCTTCAAGGCTAAATATTCCCCATAACTTACAACATCTGTAATAGGGTAATCAGGATCATCAATCTCCATCTGAAGTACTCTAACTTCATTTCCTTCTTTATTGAAATAGTTGCCTCTTCCATCTTCATGTATAAATTAATTTATTTTACACTATTTGTTGATAAGACAAAGATAACAAAAGAATAGACAGAATAAATCTGTGAAAACTTTGTATAAAACTTTTATTATCAATAAAATTTAAAAATAAGGCTTAAAAAACTGAATTTTCAAAAGATGAGTGCAAAATGGATCCTTATTTATATCTTGTAGAGAACGAGTTACTTCGCGACAGGAACAGAGTGCAGATATCTTGAAAGAAGAATATTTTCCCATAGAATAATTAAAGTTATTGTGTTAGAGCTCTAGTCTTTGCCCTGACTGAGAATTAATCTCAGTTAACTCTAATAAATATTAAATTATTGGTGCTTGATCTAGCCGGTTATTTTTCTTGAAATAAAATAATGAAATCTCGTTTGTTCATACTTGTGAATGATATAGGAACGACACTTTTGACATTTAGATTTATATTCTAACCAGCTTCTTTGTATTATATTCATTCCTCAATGTACTACTTGAATGAATTTCATTATATTATATAGTGTATTCAATTAGAATAGAGTTCTCATAGATAGTATGTGATTATATTTATAAATTAGTATATTAGACAATACTATAATAATAATGTGTATATATAACTAATAGGTAAAATCTATAATTCATATATCTTTATCATTAATAACTCCTTAGACTATGTTTTTCTTATCATTATTTCGTAGAGTTAGTATTTATTATAATATTATTTTTCTCATCACAAGAATGTCTTATAAACTGAAATCAAATAATATTGTATGCATAAAGTGTATAACTAATAACTATAATATCATTCGGCCCTTCATGACTCTGATTTGTATATTATAAGATATTATGTAATACATCATTATATACACAACACTGATACCTCCGCTAATTCACCGTTCAACTTCAAATCTATGTTCCTCTAAAGAAGAAATGTTAGACACAGCGGCTGAATTTTATCAAAACTTATACTCCCCTGATGATCTTGACCAAACGGCTATCGACACAATCCTCGATGCACTTCCAGAATCCCTGAGGTTATCTCCTAATGCTGCTGAATCCGTCATATCTCCCATCTATTATGATGACCTGCTTGATGCTTTTTCTCGCACACCCAGAAAGTCTTCCCCTGGTAAGGATGGGCTTCCATATGAAATTGTCCAACTCATCATCAAACATCCTCAATGCCGTGAAATTGCTTTGGCAGTTTATAACAATGCATTGTCGGCTGCAGGTATTCCTGATACTTGGCTACAGTCTTGTGTCTCATTACTCCCAAAAAAAAAACCTCCTCTTGACGACCTCAAGAACGACCGCCCCATATCACTTATCAACACCGATGCCAAAGTATTCACCAGAATCCTTACTGCTCGTATGATTGACACCGCTTCTACTTTAATCAATCTTTACCAAACAGGTTTTGTTCGTGGTCGTTTTATCGCAGATAATGGACTTCTTATGTCGTTGATAATGGAACATGCCTCGGATTCTCGTTCTACTGCCATTGGATTGTTATTTGATCAAGAAAAGGCATATGATAGGATTCACCCCGCTTATCTTCATGCCGTACTTCTCCGTTTTGGGTATCCTCGTACTCTTGTTGATTGTATTGATCGTCTGTTTTTTTTGGAAACAGCCTTCAAATAAATGTCAATGGCTTCCTCACTCGTTGTATCGCTCAACAATGTGGATTAGAATAAGGTGATCCTCTGAGCCCCATTCTTTTCAATTTAGCATTTGAACCTCTTTTACGACTTATCCAACAAAAGCAGCAACTTCTTGGCTTCTCATTACCTTCATCTCCTCTGTCTACACTTTCGATATCACCACCATCTCCAGTCAAATTAATAGCATATGCCGACGATATCTTGGACAAAATTTTGGGATTTACCTTTGTCTCACTCGTGTCGGAATATCTGGTATTGATATCTACATGGCAAACTTCCATACAAATTTTTGCTCAATCGCTTGATTTCTGATTATTTCACTACTTCTCTTTGTCCTCTCTGTATCATTAACACCGACACACTTGACCACTTTATATTCAACTGTCCTCTAAAACTCCCAATATGGCAATTTGTTTGGCACAAGTATGTCGATCCCTCCGTACCTCAAGTTTCTTCTTCAGTTATCCAGCTAACCCTTACTACCCTCAAAATCAACTCCAAAGAAGATACCAAGACTGAAATACATGCTATAGCCTCTACACTTGAAGCTATATGGATATCTCACTGGTCTTCTGTATTCAATGATACTCCTTTTACTGTTGAGTCGGTCATCACTTTACTAACAAAAAAAAAATTCTCAGAACACGTCAAGAGTTTCTTGTCTCTCATTGTATTTCTCATATTCCCCTTCCTTTTATCAACTTAGACTGAACCTCCTAGGTTCTCTCTTCTCAACTACACTCACATTTGCATTTTACAAAAAAAAAAAGAAAGAAAGAAAGAAAGAAAGAAAAAAAGAAGAAAGAAAATACCAGTTCAGTTGGCACAGTTACAGGCTACTACTTCAACTTCATCGCTCGTACTCTTGATATTATGGATCGGTATAAAGAATTTAAAGAACACTATCTTGTTATGGATAATGTACCGATTCATAAGCACCCAGATATAAGACATTATATCGAGAATCATGGCTACTTTTGTTTGTATTTACCTGCTTACTTCCCCCCCCCTCCTCCTCCCCTCTCTGAACTGGATCCAATCGAACAAGCTTAGTCCGTTTGTAAAAACAAGCTAAAAAGGGAGCCATTTTTAGAAAGCGAAACTCTTACTAGTCGTATAAGAGATACATGCAATAATATGCTTCAGAGTGATCTGGAAGGGTTCTGTAGGTATTCGATACGAAAGTTTGATGATTGCTTAGAACGTAAGTCACTTTAATAGCTTGACAGATTTCGTACATTTGGTTCAATAAAAAAAAAAAATGCACCAATAAAAAAAAAAAAAAAAATATGCTTAAAATTTTATTCTGTCTGTGTTTGAGTTTTTTTTTTTTTTCTTGCTTGATTTTTTATTTTTTTTCAACGTGTACGAATAATTTTTGGAAAAGGTGTATAATATGCATTTTAAGATAAAGAGGATAACAGTCACATAAACCTTTTTTTTTGCCTTAGGACCCTTTATGTATTTAATGATTTTCGTATAACTCTTGTAGTTCATACTCAGCAAACAAGGAAACAAAAACTGGATAATAAAAATATAAAAGTAAATAAGAAAAGTTCAAATATTTCTTCTTAATAATATATTAATTATTATTATACAATTTTTTCTTCTTCTTCATTATTGTTTATTAACAACCAATACTGAGTTTTTTTTTCCTTACATAATAATATTTACAGCAAATAATAAATAACAGTAATAAATAATGCGGAGTGTATAATTAGTAAAAAAGCATCACAATTACATAAAGAGAAATTATCAATAATGTGAGACGAAATATAAACCCCATTTTTCCTGTTTCAATGCATATCGAGGAAGAAGAGGTTTCTTGATAATACTGTGACTATTAAAATGATTTTCGTCGTCATAAATAAATAGATATCAGTGCTACTAATGAAATAAACTTACATGAATTAATCTAAATGTAGGTAAAATACGATGTTCACTTGATGATAAAACAATGATAATATTTCTTGAACCAATTCTAAATTCTGTAAAAATTTCTCCAAATTCTTCATTATGATTATAATGGCTTCTATTATATGTGGCGTAGGTTATAACTTTCGGTCTTTGTCCTTTGGGGCGATTCGGTAACGAAATCATATTTATATTTCTAATAATAATAATTCAAGTACATGATGTTACTGCTATTGCAATAATAAACAACTTTTTTTTTTGTTATTACTTTTCTTGTTCTGATTCTTCTTCTCCTCGACCATAGATAGGTATAATTTCTTTCGTATCATCACATTCCCTTTTACAGACCGGACAAGTCACTTTTTGCTCTTGAACTTTTAATGTTTTAATCCAAAAAGCTAAACAAGGCCAGCTAATTATAATTCTTTTTATTATTACTTTTTTTCCATCCCCTTTAAATCGTAATATGTATGTACCCCATTCTACTACTTACCAATATAAATGTCCACAAAAAGTTAAAACAGGATATGTGGCTGTATCAAAACTAAATAAGCATTATTAGCTCTTTATCATTGTTATCATGCGATTTGTATCACCACAATAATTCTTACCAAATATTACACTCATATAAACCTCCCGTATCAGTTTCTTCTATTAATGAACATTCTTCTTGTTGCAATCTCATCATTCTTTTTTTTTTCCAATTAGTGAATCTTGTAAAAAATAAAATAAAAAAATGAAATGAAATGAAATAATAAAATAAAATAAAAAACAGGGGAAGAAATTCACTGGTTTTAAATATTTTTGTATTTTAAAATTCGAATAATAAGGGATTATTACTAATAAAACTGCTATTGTAATATAAAAAGAGAATAGTATAATAAAAGTAGAATTTATTCCTCTTATCTTTTTTTTTTAAATATTTTTTTAAATATTGCATAGCTGTATATTATTTAACTAAATTAATTTAAAGTTTTTTTTTATTATGAATGACTTCAACTAAAATGCTTTTTTTTTGGAGTCCAATAACTATCATAGTTAAATGATATACAACTGACTTCTTCTTCGGGGTATTATTATGCTTAAAAAAATAGAAGAATAATAACTATTAAGTTTTAGCTTCTTTAGCCGCCGCTTATTAAATTAATTCTTCTTCTTTGGGCCTAAAAAAGATAAAATGTTTGAAATTAGATAGTTTTAAACTTCAAAATGATAGGACATGATCAATTTTACTTTTGAAACAATAGCACGATTTTTTTTAATATGTATTATACAATGATATAGCCTATAAAATAGTTAAAGAATAATATAACATTATCTTCTCTAAAGATTTATTTAATACCTTACACTCTAATGATAGCATTGTAATATCATCTACTTTTCCTTCTTCCTTCTTTTTTTTTTCTAATAACAACTCTTTAAAAATTGCCCTTATTCATAATAACGAGTATCAACAATGAATTGTAGCTGAAACTAATGCATGCTATTCTTCTTAATTGTTCATATGCAAAAATGCCTAATCCATAAATTCTTTTACGATTATTGTCTACTATGTCTACCATCTTGGTTATGGTATGTGTAACAAGTCACTCGATTGTAAACTGGTTTACATAACAATTATATCTTATTAGTTAGTGGCTATCTCCAAGTTCTTGGACAAACTTTTTTTTTTTTTAATTTAAGTCTTCAAAGAACGAGCGTTGTAAGTCAATAATGAAATTAGTTACAAAAAAAAAAAAAAAAAAAGTCTGGACCAGAATACAGTATGAATTCTAATACCATAATTATTTGAATAATTTTACTGAAATAACAGCACATATGGAAATGTACTTTTTCTTATCACTTTCTCTTTGAATATCTTTTGATAAGCATACTATTTGATCAAATTATAATCGTTTGAGCTGTTTTCTTTTCCACCCTTTCTCCTGATGACATAATCCTCTTTTCTATCCTATGTAAAAATTAAATGATGATGTTTTTTTCATTAGATAATCAGGAAATTTGTTTTAAATTAATATTTTACATACATAAAACAAGAAGCAAATAGTTAAGAAATTACTAGAGAGCCCTTAGATATACGATCTATCTTATTCAAAACTGTTGCATTTCTACTGCTGTTTAAACTAATTCAGACTCATTCTTTTTGGACGTATTATTGTGGAGAGAGAGAGAGAGAAGGGAAATATATATATAAGACACATAAAATATCCTTTTTTCTTTTTTATGTCAAAATAAAAAGAATAGATTGGATAAGTTACCTACTACATTCAATTTTTGCTTATCACTCAGAATGTAACCAATATAAAACCGCTCAATCCGAGCAAATCAAATAGCTCAACTATTTATTTAGACTAAGAATCATTCATATATAAAAAGGCAAGACCCTTTTTATTAATAATATTCTTTCATTTTCGATAAATCTTAATTTATTTATTTATTTATTTATTTTTTTTTTTTTTTGCTCCACATTGTTGATTATTATGCCACCAAATATTGTTGCTTCTTCTTCTATTATTACCGCAGACGTTGCTTCTGTGGTTCCAAAAAAGGTTAAAAACGAAGAAAAAAGAGTTTTTAGTTGGGAAGAAGTATATTACTTTGTTTGTAAGCAATTCTATAGAATTCAACCAATAAAAAAAAACTCTTCTTCTGATATATATATATGTATATATATATATAGCTTCAAATCAAATAAAATGCATTCATCGTAATGAACAAGTACAAGCAATATATAACCAATGGATGAAGGACACTTTAGAGAAATATGGTTCAATCGAAAGTTACTTATTATCTACTAAATTAAAAGAATTTGTTAATACTACTACTACTACAGAAGTAGTAATCGATCCATATCGGCCCAAGGTCATTATTCTTCCTAATGACTTTCCTTATTCAGTGGATAAAGGGATTCAACATATCTTGCTTTGGTCACAGACTCCATTAGCTCGTAATTATATAGAAGAGACCTTGGAATCAAATTACGGTCGTAAATCGTATGAATGGGTCTATTTTGTAAATCCATCTGAAATTCAAAGTGTACGTAAATTACCTCATGTTCATGTCTTTTGCGTTCTCGACATTCAATCGGATCACAGAAAGAAAAATAAAATGTATTATTTAATAAAACACAGAAAGGGAGAGATTTGTTTTTTAAGTTCAAGTGTAACGTGATTATGTAATTATTTACATTACCACATTTTATGACGTATAATACAATAAAAAGCGTTTTTGACATCCGTTTAAAGTTCTAGACTTTGATCATTTAATTTATATTTATTCAATGTATTATACCAATTCATCTATATATATATAATATACAACAACAACAAAAAGAAAGAAATAAAGATAATATCTATATCTATATATATGATGATTACTCATTTTCTACTAACATTTTAGCTAACTTATCAAAGACACCTCCTTCAGGACATTTAACTGGCTTATAGCTGATGTCAAGCACACCTACATCAAGGTCACCATCTTCTGAAAGCTTCTTAAAGGCTCCTGGTGTTAAATCAATCCATTTCCCAATTTTACAAGCTGCACATTTATCAACAATTTGGACTACAATCTTTTTGGATTTTTGTCGGTTATTTGTGATTTGCATACATTTGTTACATTGTTCAAAATTATGCATAGCCTATAATAAATGAAGTTATATGTTCATAGGATGTTTGTATATGTAAGTATATATATATATGTGTGTATATATTATTTATTTACCATAGCGCCAATCATGTCATTCACACCGGCATCAAAACGAGGCAACCCATTTCTACTAAAGCAAGCAGCTTCCTTAAGGTCATATCCATTGTACCTATATATATATATATATATATATATATGTGCGTGTGTATATGGATATGAATATGAATAATATTAGAACACATCAAATATGTATATTATTTACCATGTCACTTTATCTCGTTTTCCTATTACTACTGACTCGTGATCTTTTTCGGAAAAGTTCATCATTCTTGCAATACCTCGTCTACCATCAGGTGTACCATTCACAGCTTGCACTGATATTAAATATATCAAAATCAGAAAATTGACAGAGTTAATAATTAAATGCATTTTCATTTTTGTCTTGTTTAACACAGTATCCGTATCTATTTATTGATAAAGAAAGGGAAAAAAAAAAGTGGCAAAAAAAAAAAAAAAGGATTTAAATTTATATATTTTGGTAAGTTTCCCTCGAGAAACACATATTTTCAGGAGACATACACAAAATACTTGACATGTTGTTTAGTGAATTATCGTGTGTCTGTGCGTGTAAGTCTGGATCAAATTGAGAAACAAAGGGGGTCTCGACAAAAAAAAAAAAAAAAAAAAAAAAAAAAAAAAAAAAAAAAAAAAAAAAAAAAAAGGAGAAAAAATAAAAAGATATATAGGATATATAATACATTGTAGATTATAGTAATAAAAAAAAAGTAAATAAATGTTTCTATTTTATCATTTGATTGTTTAGTTTTATGATATAGTTTAATATGTGTGTGTGTTTTACCGAGATTATAGACTTTTTTTTTCCTCCTATTATTACCGTATAATTAATAAAATGAAATAAACCTGCATTATATAGAATTCCTTTTATGCACTTTATTACTTTTTTCTTTATTTATCATCCCTTTATATTGTCCAGTAAAAATGGTGGTTTCCTTTATAGAATCAATTGTTTATTAGTGTGAAAAAAAGAAAGGGAGGAAGAGGAGGAAAAGGGGTAGAAGGAGAAAATAATATGAAGAAAGCTATTTTTTTTTTTTTTTTTTTTTTTTTTTTTACTGACAGTGAAATTCGGTAGTTCAGGTTATATGCAGTCAATACATATTAGTATCATTAATATACATACTACAGATTTTACATTTATTATAGACTTCTTTGTTGATTTCATTTACACGAAACTTAATAATAGCTTTTTATTTGAAATTGAAATAAATAGTTTCAAAAGAATCTATGATGTCTACTATTTTCTATTTTGGCTCTAAATTCAGTTTTGTATGAATTTACGTAGTTGAAGATTCATTTAATAATAATAAAGAAAAAGAAAGAAAGAAAGCTTATTTTTTTTTTTCCTTGTCCCTTTAATTCCTTTCCATCCCTCCTTTTACATAATTTCGGTTAAATCTCGTATTATATTTAGAATCAAAAAAGAAACCCAATGAATATATTTTTCTTCAATGAAATATACTAATAATCAATTACGATTGCATATCAACAAGAAGTATTTTTTATTACCTTTTTTTTTTCTTTGTATTCAAACCTTCTTACTCTTGAATAATAAAATAGTGAATGTCATAACGATAAATAATAGTTGCAATATACATAATATACAAAAAAAAAAAAAAAAAAAAAAAAATATATATATATATATATATATTTGAAAAAAAGATTTATAACAAATTTTTATTTTATAAAAATTTAAACATGTAAAAAAGAAATTAAGAACAAAAAGAGATTGATATGATGTGAAATGTCTAAGGTAAAAAAAAAAAAAATAATAATAATGCTATTGTATGCTACATATGTTTATATATGAAAAAGAAAATGTTTTTTTTTTTTTTACGTGCTTAGAGTTCTTCATCAGTAGTGTAGACTTCTTCACCACGCTTACGACGTTCCATACGCTCCTTCTTCTTCTTACGGAGTTCCTTGGAAGTCAACTTCTTCTTCTTTTCAACAGCCTTAATAGTGTTACCTTGAGCATCAACCATATCTTCAGCTTCTTGTTCCTTGATAGCAGTAGTACCGTTACCAGTGACCCAGTTGTGACCAGAGGGAGTCAAGCGACCATTGTCGACCTTCCAAACTTCAGTACAGAGGGCTTCAGAGAATTCACGGTTGTGAGTAACGATCACGACACCACCACCGTATTCCTTAATGGCTTGAGCAAGGGCACCAAGGGATTCACGATCCAAATAGTTAGTAGGTTCGTCAAGAACCAACATGTGAGGCTTGTTCCACATGGCAGCACCAATGACCAACTTGACCTTTTGACCACCAGAGAGACCACGAATACGAGAGTGAGTAGCGAATTCGGCTTCGAGACCAATTTCAGACAAGTGCTTTTCAATTTCCTTGGAGGTCAAGGGACGGTTAAGACCCATCTTGGCAGCTTCAGCGGAGTCAACTTCAGCGATCTTCTTACCGAAACCCATGTCTTCAAGCTTTTGACGAGAGATCCAGGTGTTATCGACAGAGGAACGACCGACCCAGGAGACTTCGTATTCATAAGATTGCTTAAGCTTACGACGACCGACGAGGGCTTCGACGACACGCTTCTCACCATCAATGACAAAGACTTGTTCAGCCATCTTCTTGTTGGCATCAGCGTTCATACGATCATTCTTGTCAAGTTCTTCACGATCTTCACCAGTAGCGTAACGCCATTGGATGTATTCGTTGGGGGTCTTGTCCAAGTGCTTCTCGATGTGGTGGAAGGCGTGTTGGGCGACATAGGCGATACGCAAGTTAGGATGCTTCCAGACGGTACCGACCTCAGATTCAATTTCACCAGTCAACAACTTGATCAAGGTAGACTTACCAGCACCGTTAGGACCGATGACGGCAACACGAGAGGCCAAGGAACATTGCATGGAGATGTCAATCAATTGCTTACGATCAGAACCAGGGTATTGGAAGTCAACGTTCTTCATCTTCAAGATGGCACGTTCCTTGGTCTTGATACCTTCGAGGTAACCAGGTTCAGGGAACTTGAAGGAGATTTGAGAGGCCTCAAGGGAGTAGTAAGAGGCGGCACGGGGGACCTTCTTGACGAATTCGGACAAGTTACCCTTATAACGCTTGAGCTTGTAGTTGGGTTCGTAGTGAATGATATCAGAACAGACATGGTCCAAGAAACCAGAATCGTGGGAGACGATGATGGAGGTGACAGACTTGAGACCAAGGAGGTAGTTCTCCAACCAGGCAACGTTAACAACATCCAAGTGGTTAGTAGGTTCGTCCAACAAGAGGATATCAGCATTCATCAACATGGCACGAGCAAGGGCAAGCTTCATCTTCCAACCACCAGAGAGTTCACCGATAGACATCTTGGTAACCATTTGTTCAGTGAAACCATAGTCCAAGAGGATCTTACGAACTTCTTCAGGGTCCTTGGTCTCAACACCTTCAGAGGACAAGATGAAGTCAACAAGGGGGGTCTCGGCCTCAGAACCATCAATATCGTGTTCGACATAGACGGTCTTGAGTTCAGAACGAGGGGGGAAACCTTCAACTTGTTCGTTAGCGATGGCACGCATCAAGGTAGACTTACCACAACCGTTAGCACCACAGAGACCATAACGACGACCACGCTTGAGACGAAGGGCGGTACGGTTCAACAAGATCTTGGCACCATAGGCAAGAGAGAATTCACAGTTACAGAGATCTTCACCTTCATCATCTTCTTCCTCAGGGTCCTTGGGAGTAACAGCTTCCTCACACTTGTTCAAGGCAGAGGCAGCAAGGTTTTCAGCATCTTCAGCAGAGAGGAAGGACTTGGCATAAGGGGCGAGGGCCTTAATCCAGGCTTCCTTGAAGAAGTTCTTGGAGACACAGAGGGAGAGAGCGACGTCGTTCATGAAGGTAACGGTAGTGTTGAGGAAGTCATCCATGTTTTCAGGCAAGAGTTCCTTGATGGAGGTCTCAACCTTGACCTTCTTTTGATCCTTAGTGAAGACTTCGACACCAGGGTTACCAATACGCTTAAGGGTAGCCAATGCCTTCTGGACGACACCACGACATTCAGGATCAGCAACGATATCTTGAACCTTTTCAAGAGCAGGCAAGAGAAGAGGCAAGAAAGGAGCAGCGACATCAGGATCATCGACAAGCTTGGACATGTTATCGATAATCAAGGCAGACTTACGCTTGATAGGGGTAGCACGTTCATTCAAACCACGGTTCAAGAGAGGAACCATGATGGAAAGGGTAGCAGAGTCAACCTCTTGAACGAAGGTAGTGGCACCAAGCAAGTGAATGGTCTCGGGGACATTCTCAGGGTGGTTGATACAGGTAATGACAGCAGGAATGAAACGTTCAATATCCTTGTTATCAACAAGAGAACAGATAACGCCCATAGTTTCAGTGGCCTTCTTCTTGACATCAGTCTTGGTATCCCACATACAGTCAGAGACGACAGGGATGACATCAGGAATAGCAACAATGAATTCAGCAGAGTTCTTCTTGGCAAGGAGTTCCAAGAGTTCAAGAGAGAGCATCTTGGTTTGCCACTTGCAAGAGTTACCGAGACCTTCAAGGATGTAAGGAACCATGAGAGGAGAAGCAAGAGGGTTCATCTTTTCAACCAAGTTCTTAGCAGCAGCTTCAGCGGCAGCCTTAACAGCAGCTTGCTTGTCAGCTTGAAGTTCCAAAAGGTTGACAAGGAAAGGAACAACGAAGGGTTCAGTTTGACTATCGATGTTTTCGTTGGTAAGAGCAACGATAGCAGCAATAGCACCAGCACGAGCACCGGCATTCTTCTTGCTAGCAATGTCCTTCTTGAGAGCATCGATAACGGACTTGAGAGAGAGGATACCGTTAGCCTTAACAATGGCAGCAAGTTCAGCGGCGACAGCTTCACGTTCTTCATCAGAAGCAGCGGCGAGCTTCTTAACAATATCCATGGCCTTCTTGGTCTCAACCTCAGAAGGAGTAACAGAGACGACTGACATCTTCTTACTCTGGATTTCGCTCTGAGTATTATTCTTGGCGGCAGCAGCAGCTGGCATTTTGATTATAAATTATAGAGAATGGATTAGAGCGTAAAAGTTCAAAAAAGAATAAATCAAAGAGGGAGTCCACAAAAAGGTTTTGTGAATAGGAACAAAAACGTTAAAGAAAAAAAAAAAAAAAAAAAAAAAAAAAAAAGGAATTCAGTCTTTTGACAATTAGGTTCTGTTAAATGAAAATTTTTTTAAAAATTTTTTTGTTATAATACAAATATACAAGTATTGTTTCGGTTGTTAACCAATAAATTTTAACGGGCATTAAATATCTTGATTGATCCACTTTCAAGTGCTACGGAAAGCTACAAGTATATTAAATGTGTACCCTGAAAAAGCAGTCAAAATCATTCTAAACGCCACTATAGATACCTAATAAGAGGCTTTACTAGTTCCTCATTTATTGCTCACTGAAAAAAAAAAAAAGACCTAAATTAGCAATATTATCTTAGCTTTGTCTTTTGCTCATATTAAAGAAACAAGATGTAAGTTTGTAAAATTATTAATACTATATTCATGTATATGTTTATCTATTGATTGATTTATGGATAATATTAAAAATTTGTTATTGAATCGTAGAGAGTAAAATTTTGCAATTTGTAGAAAATTACAAAACAATGAGTTCCCCATCTTGTTGATCTCACTTCTATTGGTTGATCTTCTGTTTATAGAATGAACAGGATCCTAACAAATAGCATGTACAAGTGTGTGAACTGGGTGTGTTTATTTTTTTTTTAATTTTTGTTTTGTATTGTTTTACTTTTTTTTTTATTTATTTTTTTTACTTTTTTTTTTATTTTTTTATTTTTTCTATTTTTTTATTTTTTATTTTTTTTATTTTAGAAAAAATTATAGTGCAAAAGTTTATTGTATTGTCCTTATTTGTCTTGTTTCAATGAGCAGCCCAGTAGTTATATACATGTATATATTTATTTGATTAGGTTTGTGCCAGTACTTCACAAGTAAGTTTATTTCAAATATTCCTTAATGTGAATTATTTTATATATCAAAAAATGGTAAAAATAATATAAACAAAAAAGAGGTAAATCAATGTCCATTTAATAAAGTAACTATTAGCATTCGAACGTTTATTCTCCTCTCCTCCCTTGTTCTAAGCGGAATGATATCTATTATTATTCTTTTTTTTTTATCTCACTAGTTTTTTTTTTTTTTTTTTTTTTTTTTTTTTGGTTTTATTAAGACGTTTGATAATATTACAAGCCTACATTACTTTTCTGTCTGTAATAAGTCTTAAAGAGAAAACATTGAATTTAATTGGTTGAATTTGGTATAACTGTAGAATTCATTTGTTGTTGTTGATTATTACTAAAATCTTTCTCTGTATAAGATTTAACAAGATTATTAAAAAATCTTTAAGAAATATAACCAGGTTTATATATCTTACCTAAACCCCAAACATGTGTTTTCAATTCGAGATGTTCGATATTAAGCGTGTCCTAAGTATGAAGATCATGTAAATATGCAAATAATCTGATTATTTATAACACACTTTACATATAATTTACGAAAATCAACTTTCAAATCGGATAGTTGTTGCTTTGTTGCAGCCATTTCTTTTAATTTAGTAACGTCTCTGTCAATTGTTTCGATTCTACGTGCATAATCCTTCACCTATATATGCATCTATTTTGTTAATAATTCTTGTAAGAATTTTAAATCATATTATATATTACCTTTTCAGTTGATGCTTGGAGCTCTTGAACTGATATTAAAAGAGAAGCAGATGCACTATTATATTCACCTAAAAGGTAATAATAACCTGCTGCACTGGCTGTAGTAACACCTAGTAAAAATCCAATAAATCTTTATTATTATTATTATTAGCAACTTGGTTTAAATATGTATATGCATTCTCTATAAAAAGCGCATTACCCACTACGAGCAATACTAGGCTTAGTTGTTGTGTTAGCTGAGCTAGAATATAAACGTTTTTGGCATGATGAAGAGATTTGAGATGTTAAACGAAAAGCAGGATTCATTCTATAATTTTTAAATAGAAGAAATAAATAAATGGGAAAAAAAAGTATAAATAAATGAAATATATATATATTTTTTTTGTACATTCAATATAATATAGCCAATCTCACATTATTATTGAATATAGATGTTTAACAAAGAAAAAAAAAATACTATGAATAAAGGTTACAAGTAAATTTATAAAGTTAAAATAAAGAACAATAATCCAGGGCCCATTCATGAAATCATACAACCGCCGCCACAACAATTACCACCTCACATAAGCACTAAAATAAGACTAAATGGACTTGTACCTTTCTTTTCGTACCCTTCATATTGGCTGAACTCAAAAAAAAAAAGAAAAAAAAAGATGTCGTCACATTGCGGAATTTTTTTCTTCCACAATAACAAAGTAATTTTCAGATTTATCAAATAGTAAATATTCGATACTAATAAGCTCAATTACTGTAAGAAACTTATATACTCTAGTCAAACAATTACTCAATAAGCTGTTTTATCATTATTTATTGAAATTGAGTCATAAATAAATATAAAATATTGATTTACTAGAGTAGGATTTTTTTTTTTTTAAAAAAACGTCTTAATTTCATCCAAATATGCCTTGCGTTTATCAGATCTCATTCAATCCGTTGTTTACACATATATTGTCGTTTATATCTTTCTCACTCAGTTCCCAATCTAATATAATTTTTTATTGAAACAGTTGTCTATTAAACCGCCTTGTTCATTATATGATGGCTCCTCATCGACTATCCTCTGGTCAGAAATATGTATCATTCTCCACGAATTAGACTATATGTTTTATGATAAGCTCTCTCCTCCTACCGAAAATTCTAGTTCCAAGTTGCTGCATATTCAAATTGTTTGTTAGAGATATTATCAATTGCTACAAGTTTTTTTTTTTTTTTTTTTTCCCAAAATATATATCTTTGTGGTGTTTACAAGCAAAAATTAATATATGACTAAATGATGCTTTTATTAGAAATAGGGTAGGCCCGTTTTTGTTATTAGTCTATTTATGATGATGTAGTTGTTTCCAATAAGCTAGTAGCTGCTGCAACTGATACAATCCGTCATTATCATTCCATAGTGCTAAAACGAATTGTCTGACTGACCAGAAGCATGCATTCTGTTGCTTAAAAGCAAAGTAATAAGAAATTATAAACTTCAACAACGTCAATCACGACAGTTTTTGTCATATAAAGTGAATCAACATAGCAGTATATAATAAAATGATTTAAATGATTGCTTATTTAAATATGAATCATTCACAGTATAGAATTGCGGGTAAAGTAGGTGAGTTTATTTATTTATTTATACCATTGAGAATTAAAAGCAAATAATGAGTAGGTAGACAAGCAAGCAATTATTTAACACATAGTGAACCATCAGGTAAATGAGAGAGTGTTCATATAGAAACAAATTGCACTTGTGTATTTGAAATCATTTACATTAAAGAGACTAGTCTTCTTTTACTTTACCCTTTTTCGAATTTTTTTTTCTTTTATATAGAGTATCCTTTCATTTGCTTGTAGTCATGTATCTATTATCTAAATATAGACCGCATTCGACTATTCATTAGAGCACTTCTATATCAAATATCATTGCCATCAGTTACTATTCTTCGTTGAATATCCTCTTTTCATTCATTTTAAACAAAACAAAAAAAATTTTTTTTCTTATAGGATTGTTCTCGAGTCACCTTCCCCTCTTTATTTATCTCTTGAATTGCCTATCTTTACTTTACTCTATGATATGTAGAATATATTTCATAATGTACACTTTCCTTTCTCAAGTAGATTCTCATGCTCCACTTGGGTAGTAAAATAGTTGCTTTATATAATCGTATAGAATAAAAACTATTTCTGTAAATAAATTGATAAGCCCTAGTTTTTTTTTTCATTTTTTTTTAATGATAAGGCTGTTATCATTTTAGAAAAAGAAAAAAAAAAGACGCATTCTTCTTATTTGTTATTCACTTGATAAAGAATAGTTATTTTAAATTATATTGCTTGAAAACACCTTTTTCTCAACAAAGATCAAAAGCTATTACAAAGCAATGTGTCAATTGTAGACTTGAAACGAAATTGCTTCTAAAAATAAAGCATTTCAAAGTAAAAAAAAAAAAAAAAAAAAAAAAATAAATAAATAAATAAAAAAGTACAATTTATAATATATCTGTTAAATAGGATTGATAAAGAAGAAGAATGATGACTCAATTATGTCTATAAAAACGAACAGAACTTTTGGATACCCTTGAAAATAAGAAATGTGGATATAAATTCCGCGGAAAAAAGAAAAAAAGGATTTAAATACGAAATAATAGTCATTCTCATTATTTTAGAAACGTGTATGATTTTAGTTGTCAATACACGTTTATTTCTCTTCTTTATTTGCACTTTTTTTTCCTTACTAATCAGTATAAATAAGTCTTTTGTTATTCTTTTCTTCTTTATAAAACTTTAAAATAATAAACTATAATATATCGGAGCAATTTGTTCCGTTCAAGCCGATAGTAAACTCCGAAAACCAAATAAGTGAAAAATAAAATAAGATAAATAAATAAATAAAAAAACTCCACTATTGCTCCCCCACTTTATCGATTCATACTTTACGTTAGCCCCAGACTCTCATCTATTGGTCTAATAATAATAAACAGACTTACAATAATTAAAATACTAGAACATGAGTTTAATTAACATGCAATAGCTAATATGCTCTAAAAGATGTTTTTTTTTATATGTATACATGTGTGATTATTATCATCGTTCTATGATTCCTTATTTCAGCTTTACACTTATTCAATTCATAAAAGGGCGTGATTATTATTGAATAATATGACATTATTTATTCAATAACAAAATAGTCAAGTCATGTTTGGTAAAGTAAATAACAAAAATTATAAAGTCGGTTTCTTATGCAGCAGAGAATGACTGTTTACCCCTGGAAGTTAAATTCACCCTATCATTATGTATCTCTTTCTTTTCTTTTCCTTTCTTTTCTTTTCCTTTTCCTTTTCCTTTTCCTTTTTCTTTCTTTTTTTTTTATACGCATATATAAGACATGGATTTGATTTTTATACGAGAGCTCTCTCAAGTCAATTATAGTTTATTGTTTGTTGTATAAACTTGAAAATGTCTACATTTATCAAATACCCCTTTTGCTGAAATTAAATCTATTAAAGTCTTTTTTTTTTTTACAAAAAAGGTCAAACCATAAAAAAAATTTTTTTTCTTTTTTCTTTAAACAGTTGTGTTTTATTTCGAAATTGAAACAAAAAAAAAAATTGTTTTATATTACCTATTTTTATAATAAATAAAAGAGGAGAGAAAAGAGGAGAAAGTAAAAGTGGGGGGGAGAGTCCAAAAGGTTTAATTTTTTTTTCTCTTTTTTTTTTTTTAAAGAAAAAAATCCAAGAAAAATAATTCTGGTTTTTATTTTTTATTTTTGTTAAAAATATTCGTATTTATTCCTTAAGTACTGAAAAATGACTGGAAAGAAAGAGAAAAAAAAGGGTCAGAAAACTTTAATTAAAATTCTAAATTGGTTATTTCCCCAAATTGTGCGATATAAAGTGGGGGTTAAAACATGTGCCACGTTTTTTTTTTTTTTTTTTTTTTTAAAAACTCGTGTGATCATTGTTGGTTTTCTTTTTCTTTTTTTCTTTTTTTTTTTGTAACTTTTTTCCGTATTTTACAAAAATAAACAGTTATATTTATTTCAACAAATAGGATTTTAAAGTTTAAAAAATTTAGTTATTTTTGTTTTGTTCGGTTTCGAAAGACAGAGAATTGGCGTGTGTGTATTATACGGAAAAAGTAAGCTATTACATAAGTTACAAGTAGTACTAGTAACAAAAGCATGAGAAATAATGTACATCAATGTGAGAAAAATAGATATTAACATATATGCTGAGTCTATATTCATTTATTATTTCGTACAACACCAAAAAAAAAAGTTTATTAATTTTATTATACTACCTCACTCAAGAATAAAATGACTACTACAACTACAAGATTTGTGTTTTATCTGGATGAAGAACATGTTTTGCGGAGAACCCTGAAGAAGGATAATAAAAAAACCAATCGTTATTTACCGATCAATCCCGACTCTATTGATACATTTTTTTTTTTTTATTCAATTAAAAAAGTGGTCTCATATTAAGTATGATTCATATTCATTTGGGGGGGAGAGGAGTAATAAAAAAAAAATTTACTATTTATTTTATCGATGAATGAAAAATATGGAGGAAAAATTAAAAAAGTATAATTCTTATCATGATTACACAAAAATGCAAATGACGAAATGGTAACCTTTCATAAATATGTCAAATAGACCGCGGATTGACAACCAAATAGGATAATTCTCTCACATGAAAAAAGAAGAAATTCACATCTCTATTTTTTTTCCCCCACATTCTTGTATTTTAAGGGACAAATGTAACCATAATAAAATAACCCAATCCCTCTCTTCACACACACAAATAGATGCATATTCATATAAATAAAAGTTTATTTTGTTAATATTTGGTCAATCATGGCCTTTACTTCTTTAGTTCTTTGTTTTGCATTTTCAATACATTGCTTTAATCCTTCTTTATCAATCGTACTTCCTCCATTTTTATAAACTCGACATAATTGATAATCAAAATCCATAACAAGTGTCATTGTTTCTTTTGTTAAACTTTCTTCTGTATCATTTGGATCTGATAAAATCACATCAGGTTGATTAAATACACAAAATGTAGATGATACAGGAAATCGTGAGAGTTGAATAGGTGGAAGGAATTCTTTAGGATCGGATTCAACTATCATAGATTCGGTCACTTCTGATTTGGGTAATTTTACTAATAAAGTTGATTGTATTCTAAATAAAAGCTTTCTTTCCTTTTTTTTTTCTTTACTTACAATTTGTTAATGCAATACTTAAAGCTAATAAACTAGCATCTAAAATATTTCCATCGTAATTTAGACATACAATATCTGCATATAATACCCAAACTGCTTTTCCTTCTTCTATACATAGACTTTCTAAAGGAAAAATGGCTGACCTATTCCATAAAATAAATCAATGAGTTTCCCCCTTCTATCTTTCATTTTTTTTTTATTTTACTTTGAGAAAAGTTGGTTAATAAATTCGGATACAGATTGTGCTTTTTCAGAGGGCGCTCCAGGTTTGAATTTAGGTGAACATAATGGAGATAATTCAACATTGGGAACTATAAAATAAAAAAATAAAATATTAAAAATTTACACAATTTATTTCTCTCCTTTTTAACTAACCTAAATAACCTTCTTTAGGAACATCTATTCTGGGTTCACATACCTCAGCTTTTATACCACAAACTACAGTTGTACCACCTAAACGAACCATAGCACTTGCATTAGCTGTAGAGATGGCACCTGAAGTAATCATAGTCTTTCTAAATTCATTTAATACTCTTCCATCAGGTCTAACTCCCTGATCGAGAAATCGTTTTAAATATTCATGAGGTTGAATTCGTTTAAAGATTTCGAAATTATCTGTTGCTACAGTTGTTTTAGTTGACATGTTATATTTCTATTTTACGCGTTTACAAGAACAAAAAAAAAAAATAAAATAAAATAAAAAAATAAAAGTAAAAGTATAACGCTGATGAATAGGCTTTTTTTTTTCTGTGAACTACACAATCATGTTTATAGAATGTGACTGTCAATCATGTGGCTTAAATTTAAGTTTAGGAGTAGCATAAACAAACAACAAACATAAAAATCGTGGAGACAACGGAAATCATAATCGGAATAATGATTTATACAGTGGGGTGATATTGAGCTAAAAAAAGAGAGATCGTTTGATAAAATAAAATAAAGGAGGCTTTTTTTTTCATTTTGTTTATTATTATGACATTACTACTTTGTTAACACACCAAGTTTAATAAAGCACAAGCCATTAAAAATAGGTGTGAACTTTTTTTTTTTTTTTCATAGAGAAGATGACATAAAATAGAGGAGCAAGTGAGCTCATATATATTAAATTTCATTGTACGTGTGAATTTGTTGATTGCTGTTTTTAGTTAATTGACCTTATCTGCTTTTGGGATTTACACTGTCTCATTTAAAAACTAAAACCAACTAATATTTTTTTTTTTTTTCATGTCTTTCTCTTTCAACCTTTCCTCTCTCCCTCCCCTCCCCCCAATTTCCTAATCTTTGAAATCAGCCAGTTGTCGCTCTTTTACCGAATATGGAATTCCTATTTTTTTTTAAGCTTTATTTTTCTATAAATACGCGATATGTTTTCCTTTTGTCTTTTTTTTTTTTTTTTTTCTTTTTACCCCCCTTTTTTTTATATATAAATATTTTGATTTAATTTCATTTTAATTTCAAACTGATTCTTTAATAATAATAATAATAAAAATGGCTTATCAAGCAGCTTCTAGTCTTTTATGTTTATCTAATTCATTACCTATTATTACACCGTCACAACAACAACAACAACAACAACAACAACAACAACAACAAAATAAAAAACGACCTATTGCAGCTGTCGATAAAGCAAATACACCACGTCCATATAAATGTCCTATGTGTCCCAAGTCCTTTTATCGTCTTGAACATCAAACTAGACATATTAGAACACATACAGGTGAAAAACCTCATAAATGTACTTTTCCAGGTTGCGAAAAACGCTTTTCTCGTTCAGATGAATTAACACGTCATGTCCGTATTCATACTTCACCTAATAAAAGAAGAGAACGTAGACAGAATAAATCAAAGAGAGCTCGTACAGCTACACCTGCTCCTTCTGTTACTGCTGTTGCTCTTACCGCTCATCATTCAATGCCTCCCTCTCCAGCTTTATCTACAACAAGTTCACATTTTAATGACTTTCAACATCATTCGGATTCTGATGCAGAGTTCCTTTTTACACCAGAGACATCTCCTCAAATCTCTCCTCGTCTCATATCATCAAATCAAAGTTTACAAAAGTTGGTTCCTCTTGAATGTAAACTAACTGAGCCTGTTTTCATCCGACCTCCTCTTCCTGGGGGTGAGACTCAACATCATGCAAGTTTATTAGATCTTCTCGATCGTCCTCCTCAAGCTCGTGTCTTGCCTCCTATTGTTACAAGTCAATATGCTTACGTTGATAAATCTCTTCCTTCTATTCATTCTGTGTTGCCTTAATTCACCTTCTCAATATGCATATACGTGTATATAAATGTACATGTATATTTTGTATAGATTTTGTCTTCATCTTCATCATCATTTTAGTATAAATAGACACGTTTTTATTTTATTATTTTTCTTCCCACCCCATTCTTCATTTTATTGTATACCATACCATACATTTTTTTTTTTTTTTTGCATTATGTGATGAACTTAACATTGTATATAACTTTTTTTTTTCTCTCTCTCTCTGTGAATAAATTTATCGATTTTCCGAAACTATATTATAAATCAAAAGTTTTTTTTTTTGGTTATGTTTTACTCCAGGTCTTTTCTCCCCGCAACACTTGATATATAGAATAGTCATCCTCTTTTTTTTTTTTTCGCTCTTTTTTATTATCTTTTTTCAGATCGGAAAAGTTAAAACAATAATCATGATTTTTTTTTAATCTCCTCAATAAAAAAAAAAAAAATGGAATGATATTAAAGAAGAAACATGTGTATGTATATACATATTTATCTAAATTTCTTCAAGTTTTATATTAGGTAAAGGTAATTACTTTTTTTTTTTTTTTCTTCCCCTCTCTCCCTCTCTCTCCTCCTCCCCCCCATCCTTCTCCTTCTCTTAAGATAAAACACAACCCCACTTTTTTTTTTTTGTTTTGTCATAACCATAAAAATTGATGTGCAGTACAGTACAGTAATAGTCAAAATAAAATATTGTTTCTTTTTATAATTTCATTGTAATTTTTAGCAAAGATTTTATTTCTTTTTTTTTTTTTTTTTTTTTTTTTTTTTTTTTTTTTTTTTTTTTTTAAAAGAACGACGGAAATTTAAATAAGAGTGGAGGAGGAGGAGGAGGAGGAGGAGGAGGTCCGTGTGTTTGTTTTATAATCACTGTGTGTAGTACAAAGAAATAATTATTCTCTCCTTTTTTATTTTATTTATTTATTTATTTTTTTTTTCTCGGAAAGGGGAAACAATAAGTGTCATGACAACCGTCAATACTAAATCACCTAGTAAAGCGACCGATCAGAAGAAAGAAGCAACTTCAGTTGTCATAGAAACACTTGGGGCCACCACATCAGAGACGAAGGAAGGTTTAAGAAAGATAAATCATTATTTATTACAACAAGAGATAGGACATGGTACCTTTGGTACTGTTCATCTTGGCATCCATACTGTGACCAATAAGAAATATGTGAGTTTTATTTATTCATTCATTCATTCATTTATTTTTTTTTCTTGGTGAAAAGTTGACTTTTTATCATATCCTCCTTTATTTTTTTATTTTTTTATTATATTATATTTTTTTTTCTTTATAAGGCTATTAAAGAGTTTAGTAAATTACGACTTAAGAGAAAAAAACAATTAGCCATGTTAAGACAACATCACAGAGGCAAAGTGTTGGGAGAACAACTTGGTTCGAATAATCCATTAGACCTTGTTCGTTCTGAAGTAGCTATTTTAAAAAAATTAAACCATCGTAATGTAATTCAACTATATGAGATCCTAGACGACCCTACTCATGATTCTCTCTATATGGGTAAGAAAAAAAAGAAAAAGAAAAAGACGTGTCTTAACCAAGATATTAAATCACCGTAATTAAAAAAAATAAATAAATAAATAAATAAAAAGTGATGGAAATGGCGCATAAAGGTGTAATTATGCATATTAATCTAAATCAATCTGCTACACCTTATACTGAAAAAATCTCTCGATTTTATTTTAGACAAATGATACTTGGTATAGAGTATTGTAAGATGAACATTTTTTTTTAAAGTAATTATAACGATTGATATTAACTAATACATAATAGTGCACTATAACGACATTGTTCATAGAGGTATATACATACATTCCATTTATTTGATTCTTACATACATACATAAACTAACCAAGAACCTCTTCTCTCCCTTCCATTTTTCTTTTTCTTCTTTCTCTTAGACATTAAACCGGATAATCTCTTATTAGCTGATAATAATGTACTAAAAATCGTTGATTTTGGAGTATCTGAAATGTTTGTAAAGGGAGATGATGCACTTCAATCTACAGCAGGTAGTCCAGCATTTATGCCTCCCGAACTATGTACAGCCAAAAGGAATCCTGTCGTATCAGGTAAAGCCGCGGATATTTGGTCAATGGGTGTTACCCTTTATTGCTTAGTTCATGGTCATGTCCCATTCGCAAATGATAATATATTGGATTTATATAAAATGATTGAATGTGACCCGCAAGTAGTAGTTATATACAGATTTATTATTATTAGACAAAACAAAAGCAAATAATCAATCAATCATTCATTCATTCATTCATTCATTTATTCTATATACAGGGTTAAATACAATAAGAACTTGAGTCCATCTTTGATAGATCTTTTACAAAGACTATTAGAAAAGGATCCATCAAAAAGAATTCTAATGCAAGAATTAAGGGTAATTCATCAAATACAAAAAAAAAAAAAAAGTGAGCTATAGATATACATACATACATACCTACTTGAACATGATTTAATTAGAATCATCCATGGGTGACTCATGATGGACAGGAACCCATGATATCTCAAGAAGAAAATTGTCATTCTGTTTTGTCAGAAATCACAGATGAAGATATTCAAAGTGCTATTACAAGTGTAAGCCATATCTTTACAGTTGTAAGTGTCATTTGATACCAATTCTATCTTTTCTTTTCTTTTTTTTTAACCTTTTTTTTCTCTCTCTCTCTCTTTCTTTCTATGATCGTATTATACTCTACAAGATACAAGCAGTAGCGAAATTTAAACGTCATTCAAAGCCATTCTCTTCTACTATGATAAAAGAGAATGAAGACGAAGAAGAAGTAGGAGGAAAGAGAAGAAGTAAAGATTCTTCTACTTATTTTTTACCAGAGGATGAAAACTTGCATAAAATTTATGTTTATGAATCTCAGCAAGAGATTCAACCTATTCTCATTGATGAAAGTAGTAAAAGACTAAAGCCTTCTTCACTATTAGAACATGATATTTCATCTACTTTTTCATCTACAATGTCATCCAATTCATCTGTATTTAATACAACACAACATCATTAACCCTAATTACGTTGTCTCTTTTTTTTTTTTTAATTCTTATAAATAAATGGCATCACATTAAGTTTGAACTAAATATAGGCATCCTTTCCTTGTGTGTTGTTATATTAAAGAAATTATAGTACACTATATAAATATATAATATGTATACATAGGGTAATATTGTTCCTATCTTGATAAAATTTATTAGTGTTAAATATTATTATTTTATCAACAGCAATAAAATAATAGTCTACATTTTTTTTTTCTTTTTTCAAGTAATCTTCTTTCCTTATTAAATAATGTCAAGTTCAATTACTTACGCAGAGCCTAAAGAAGTTGAACTCTTAATTCGAGACAAGTCCAAGTTACCCGGTAGAGATTATGCTATTATAGATGTTCGTGGTGACGATTATAGAGTAAATAATGAATGACTTGTGAATTGTGTTATGTTTTCGATAAGACTAATTCTGTAATTTATTCAAAGGGAGGAAATATTCCTGGTGCTATTAATGTGCCAGCAAATGAAATGTATGATAAAGTGAATAACCTTATTACTGAATATTCCAAAGTTCCCATCATTTATTTTCATTGTGCACTTTCACAAGTGAGAGGTAATTGACTCAACTTTCATTCTTTTCTTAGATTAAACTTGACCTTTCTTTTTTTTTTTTTAATAGGTCCTAAATCAGCACGTATTTATATGGAAACTTTAAAGAATTTAAACAAAAATTGTGATCAAAAAGTACTCTTTTTTCTTTTTTTTTAAAAGCATATTCAAAGGTTGTAACTTATTCGTTAATGGCTATGTTTTTTTTTTACAGGTTAAAGTTTTACGAAATGGATTCGAAGGTTGGCATGCCAAATATAGAAAAGAGAAAGATCTGATTGAAAATTATGATGAATCTGTTTGGTTATGGGCTATTGAAGACGATAAATAGAAAGAAAGATTATATTTACAATATTTTTATTACATTGGGTTCTAAAAATTATTTTCTCATTAACAAATAAATGTTTTCACCAACAGTTAAATTTTGTAAATGTCTATAATCGCCTTCTAAACACATTAAAAGACCTCCAAAAGAAACATATACAGAGCTATATGTATATAAAGAAAAAGAGGAGGAAAATGTCAAAATCCATCATTTCATAATTTTTATACATGTAAATAAATAAATCAATCTTACACTTGTTGTCCAGCTGCAGCTCCCTTATTAGAATCTTCATATCTATAAACTTTACCAAACATAACATATTCATATTCATCACTTAAATCACGTTCTCCTGGTGCACGTTCACGCCAGCTTTCTTTCTTTTCAACTCCTTCTGTTGTAGTTGCTTTAGGTTCAAGTGAAAGTGAAGATGCCAAGACTAATGAAAACTTTTCTCCAACCTTCAAGGGGTAAATTTCAACATTAAAATCTAATGTTAAATCCATCTCATAATTTTCAGAACGTGCTACAAGACGTGAAACTATGTTCAAAAAAACACATACATTTATGTTATTCATACATGTTTAAAAAAAAATTATGCTTGACTTAATTATACCTCTATCAAATCGCTTTCCTTGAGGGTCCATATCTCTGATATCAAAGATATCTTGAAACAAAATGTTCTCGTTGGACATGTTGGCTTAAATATTTAATTAGAATAATAAAAAAAAAAAAAAAAAGAAATATGTATATTAAAAAAAAACATTTTTGATGAACTCTATGCTGAAGCACAGTCACATAGCCTTTTTAAGGTAGACATGATGAACTTATGGGAGGCTTAGCCTACTTTATTACATTATCTTTTATTTTTTTATTTTTATTTTTTTTTTATTTTTTTTTTTTTCATACTATAGATGTCTGTGCAAATTAACGAAGCAAAAGTACTCTTTTTCTATATATATATACATATAAAGCAATACAAATACCAAAACTTCAAAAGAACAAAGACTGAACATTAATTTCATAGGCAAAAAAGTCCTTTAAAGCACTATATAAATATATAGCCGAACATGCAGAAAAGGAAGAAGAAGCTGTTTGGCTAATGGTATCAACAATTAATAAAATTACTCTTACAAAAGGCAGACCCACTCGAATGTAAGCAATAAACACATTGTATAAGAAAAAAGAAAAAAAGAGAAAGAGAAAGAGAGAAAGAGAGAGAGAGAGAGAGAGAGAGAGAGAGAGAGAGAGAGTGAGTGAGAAAAAAACCCCCCGATTCACAACTTCCGCTTTTTAGTGTTCTTAAACATGGCTGTCAAACACCTGGCGTGCATCGTTGTTTATTTACAAAAAACAATCAACAAAAACATAAAGATTTAATTAAAGAAAAGAAAATTAAAGGTGTGCATAAAGTGATTGACTTGAAGCATCTCAAGAAACAATATAATACACCCGATTTAAAGCAAAAGTTAATGGAGGAATTCGACATGTTTATGGCTCAAAAGCAGATCATTAGTGATCTATACAAGGTTTTGGGTAAAGAAGTATATAAAAAGAGAAGGTAGATTAAAGAAAAAAAAAGAAATCGAATATACAAGGAAAAGCAAAATCTGACACTATCTATTTATATGTGTATAAAAGAGAACCCATTCCCATTGATATTTATAAACCAGATCTACAAAAAGAAATTTTACGTACGGCCAAATCAACTTACATGAATTTTCATACTGGATCGTGTTATGCAGTTAAAATTGCCACCACCATGCAGAGTTATCAAATTGCTTTTGAAAACTTTATGTCTGCTTATCAAAAAATTATCGAAGCAACACCGGGTGGTGAAGAAAACATACGTTCCTTTCAAATTAAAACTGCTAATTCAACAAGTTTACCTATTTATGATGTAAAGGAAGATTACATTGAGAAAATAATAGAAGAAGAAGAATAAAATATAAAATAGATACTTTTAAAACTCATTTTTTATTTATTTATTTATTATCCGAGACCTGGTTTAATCGCCAGTAATTTATTATTACTATTGTTGTTTATTTATCATGTCTTTCTTGTCTTCTCGTTTATTATTAACTCCTTCAATTCGCTTCTATTCTTCTACTAGTTCACTTTTTCTTAAGGAATTTATGACTTCACAAGATAAAGGTCCCATTCAACTTTCAATCGAAAGCAAAGTAATTCCTTCCCCCCCTTCATAAAAAAAAAAAAATTAAATTCTCAATGTAATTCATTTAGATTTCAGAAGCTTTGAATCCTACTATTTTAGAAACTATTAATGAGTCACAGTTGCATGCCCATCATGAACCTATGAGGGGTAATACCAACAAAGAAACCCATTTCAGGTATAATATTGGCTTTATATAAAGGACTCTATCAAAATGAATAATAAAATCTTTATTTTATAGTGTCACAGTCGTTTCTGATGCATTCAAAGGAAAGGTAAATATTATTCATCAGCTATTTATTTTACTTAATTTTTTTTTTTCCGTTTTTCTTCTTTCCTTCTAGACTTTAATGCAACGCCACCGCTTAATTTATGGATTGTTGGATGATGAACTTCAAAATAAAGGCGTACATGCTTTAACACTCAAGACAAAAACACAAGAAGAAATAGATAGAGAATAATAATAAACCATTTATTCTATAATTTAACAGTAATGTCTTGTTGTTTTTTACATTGTTCAATGGCAGACGCCATTTTTTCAGATCCACTATTTAAATAGAATACATAATCGAGCGCACGCTGTTGTACATCTGCAGGTAAATCATTAAAGGGCCCATATAGGGGTCCCTTGGCAAGATTGACAAAAAAGAAAGGCACCAGTTTTGTTTCAACCTCTAATAATGTGCTTAATTCAAAAAGATCTTTGTCACCACGCTTCACTATATCACATAAAATATTTAAAATTGTCTAAGAGAAATAATATGTTAGCTTTATATGTATACAGATATATACACATATATATACATGTACATGTACATATATATATATATATATTTACCCTGCTTGTTTCTACATGATTGGAACGTATTTGCCAAAGCATCTTGGGAAGACTTCCCACCCAATCTGTTAATATATTGGCTAGTTCTGAATGCTTTGTAATAGTAAATTGTCCATTATAACTTGGCGTAGATTGGATCTATATAATACAAGTAATTAAATAAAATAAAATAACATGAAGCAACTATTTAAATTTAGCTTCTTACCAAATAAATACGTATAATAAAGTCTAATAGCACTCGTTTGGATGATGAAGTAGGCTGACAAAAATGAAAATACCCAAGAGTAGCCTTGAACATACTGATACTCTCTTCATAACTTAGACAATTCAAAAAGCCCCAAATGGCAGGTAATAAAGAAATCAAATTTTCTGTTTTGAAACTTGATGATAACCTATTCTTGTCTCCTTCAGCATCATCTAGACCAAGAACTCCCAAGACATGATCTACTACCCTTTCTGCCCAATCAGGTAAATTAAACTCATCATCATCTTCTTCTTCTTCCTCTTGTACCAATTTTCTACGCTTATTACCGCTTCGTTGCTGTGTATTATTAGTGTGAGTTCGTTGCATGGCTTTCGCCAATAAAAACAAGGATGTCAATTCACAAAGCATAATATTCATGGATTGCAACACTTCATCCACCTTGGCTCCACGATTACCGAACGAATCTGCACCAAATGGAAAGTAGACAGTAAAATGCTTAAGCAATGTTTGTAAATGATGATGAAGCCATTCCTTAGATAATGTCTTAATTTTCTCGGATCCAATCATAGCTCTCCATAAAACTAACGACAATTTTAAGATTTCATACAAGAGTTCAAGTGCTGGAGTAAATGAGATTGTGCTCACAGACATAAAGACAGAGGGTGCAGCTTCTAGCCAAGAGGCAACCAAAATAGGTTGAAATGTCTCAATCAAGTGCTTTTTAAATAAATAAAAAAAAATACATAAAATAAATAAATAGTGAATAAGAAACAAGCTGTTATCTTCAAGACATACCTTAATGTGACTTAATCTTTCCTCAGTACTAAACTCTTTATGTTGCAAATCTATCGCTTCATTTGTAGACATATTACTTTGATTTGTTGTATTTGTGTTATCAAAAAGATGTAAATGTGAAAATGTAGCAAATTCAGCTGATTTTGATAAATAAGGAGCCATGGTATTTACCATACTATGTATAGGTATAAATCCAATCTTTGCTTTATGTTCCTTCCACTCTACTATTTGTTGATTGTCTACTGAACAATACTGTGACATTCTATGCCTAAACGCATCCTTTGTATGTTTATTGTTGTCTAAATAATTCAAGAAAAACCAAAAGGGGTCATGTCTACTTTGTTCAGAAAGACCAGCTTCCAAGAAATTTGAAAGACTCGTCAAGAGACTTAACTTATTTTTATGGATATGTAAATGTGATTTATTAACAGCTGCCTTCATACTTGCTGTTGTGATGGGTGTTGTACCTGATGTAGATACAATTGAATTAGTACTGCCGCCACTTGTATTCATGTTATTCGAATCGACAGTAAGTAAACTCATATAGTTGCCCGTAACACGTCCCCAAAACTTGGTCACTACTATATCAGGTGCAATCTGAATCCATAAATTCATCAATTTGACAGCATCTAAACGAATGTCTTCAAAGATATGTGTCATGGCTGAACAGGTATAGATGATTAAAAGTGGCATAAATGGCTGAAGTTCAACTCGATCAATATCTATAAACGTCTCCTTTAAAAAATTATATGTTGCTTTCCTCACTTCTCGGTCCTATGTAAAAATAAAATAAAACAAAATAAAAAAGTTAAGAATAAGTATATGTATATGCATATATAAAACAAATCTCTCTCTCTCTCTCTCTCTCTTTCTTTCTTCTTTTCTTTTTTTTTGTTTACATCGTCAATAAAGAGCTTGAGGACTCCATTAACAACTTGACCCAAGGAAGAAACTAGCAGTTCTGGATGACTATTACAAAGTTCTAATAAACCAGAAAGTGCCTCTATAAAAATAATTCTTAGTAATGTCTTTACGGAATACTCCAAGATATATAATTTTTAATTTTTTATACCTTTTTTAACTCCAGAGTTATAATGCTTTAATTGCACAACAAGATCTGACAAAGTAAGATTTCGACTTGTTGTAATCTCATGTGATTTATCTTCATTTATACTTTGATTGGGAAGAATAATACCTTCAAAAAATATAAATAAATAAATACTAGGGATTATTTTTTTTTTTTTGTTTTCAAGCAATGTATTCAGTTTTGATGATTTTACTTTTTGATTTAAATGAAGTGTCTGTATAGTTGTCGGGAAGAGCCTTCTTCTTTCCCACCTTGAGTTTCTTTTTCTAATTAAAGTAAAAAAAAAAAAACAAGAAGGACCAAAGTGTTAAGAAAAAGGATCAAATAAACTTGGTTCTATTTTTTTTTTTTTTACTTTGAAGTCTTCATTTTTGGCGGCTTTCTTTTTTCTAGCGTTAGGCATTATTACTTTTAAGGGAAGAAAAAAAGGACCCTTATGAATCTTTCAAATAATAAAAAAAAAAAAAAAATTAAAATCGATCCTATTAAGTGACTTGTTGTGACAGTTTTTATGCGTTTATAATGCCCATATTTTTATAATAAAATAGCCCTTTTAAAGTATATAAATACTTAATTAAATATTAACATGTTATTTATTTACTTTTCATAATAATGTCAGTTTTAACCCTTCCTGCATTCTCTTTTTTTTTGTTCTATATGTTCTCCTTTAAAATTTTACGTCTTTCTGTATTATATTCATCAATTTTTGATCCAAGTTCAATTTGAATCTGAGTTTCGTCCTCTAATAAAGAAAGAGCTTCATTATCACACCAAATGATGAGTTCAGCCAGTTTATGACGCACATCCCAAAGATATTTCTGCATTGGTGAATAATAAGCGCCTGTGTTATCAGCTTCATTTTTGTATTCTGTAGGGGATTGGAATCCAGGTAAATCAGGATATTCTTCCCGAGCCTGTTTAAGACAATTATAAGCAAGTTCAGGAAAGTAAACCTTGCCCTCACCCATTAAACTCTCTTTTACTACAGATGATCGTAATTCAAGAATAGCTTCTAATATCGCAGTATCAGCTGTTTTTAATAGTTCTTTTACTTTTTCAAGTTTTTCGATGTTATTGAATTTCTTTATACATATTCGATTTTATTAATATACATGTTTATATAAAGAAATCTCTATATTTACCTCACATGATCTTTTCTTACAATCTTCAATATTATCCTTGATAGTATCTACAGTAGGATTATGATCTTTTAAAGCCTAATTTTATTCATAAAATAAATAAATGTGTATAGACTTCTTTTCCTTTTTTTTTTATTCTATTTTTCTATGACTTACATTATCTAAAAGTACAGTCATCTCTTCACGATATTTTTCGAGATTACGATAATCAATTGAATATTTTTCGTTCTGCAGTTCAACTGTATGGATTTTATCTTTTTCTGCTTGTACTTGCTTTTCTGTTTCACTTACTAATTCTTTTGCTTTCTTTAAACCTTTTTCTGCTTGTTGTTTCTCTGTTTTTAAACCACACTAGTTTATTCAATAAATAAATATAACTGTTTATTGAAGAGAATACAAATACATACTGTACAAAAGGTAATCAGCCATTGAAGTGTCCATGAATTCAAATTGTTAATTTGTGTTTCCCACATGGTGCTAATATAAAGATTAAGTAATTTTTTTTTTGGGAATAGATGTCCTGTTCATCTTACACTTTTGAAAGTGCATCTTGATGCTCTTTATCAATTGGCTCCTTCATGATTTCCAATTTTTTAATAGCTAAAAGGTTTTCAAGGTAAGGCCTCTCAACATGAGAAATGTTGGCAATGGCATGAATAAGCTGATCAATACTTTCAATTGACATTTATTTGTTATATATGTATATATTTATATAAAAAAAAAGAGAGAGATTTACAGTAGAAAACAAAATAAAGTTACCATTAATAAAAGCTGGGATACAAAAAAAAAAGATGCTAATTGGTACCCCACCTTGATAACCATACAGCTTTTCAATATAAGCCTTTTTTTTCTAGAAAAGGTTTAATTCTTAGTTTGTATTTGATCTAATAAAATCTCTTTATCTAAACCGTTTTTTTTTCCAGCAAAAATAAGACAGTAGCACTTTACTAACAATTAATTCTTATAATAAAATCTATTTTAAATTTTTTTTTCTTTCTTCTAAAGTCATTTATTTATTGTTCATTTTAATATAATTGTAGTTGCATCCTTTGTAACCCTCTCTCTCTCTCTCTCTTTCTCTCTCTTACTCTTCCCGTTTTTTATTCTAAATCATGACAGACAAACGAGGAATAAGATGTAATACTTGTCATGACATATTTAAAAACAAAAGAGGGCTAGAAATGCATAAACAACGTTCCACAACTTGTATTTCATCATCAAAATTTAGAAAAGATTCGGACCTTGATTTACTTGATGTTTTAACTTTAAGTGAGCACTATGATCCACAACATCCACATGAACTTTCACAAACCTTTATATCTCAGTATCATGTTCCTCAAGCACTTGTTCAACAGTACCACACTCTGCAGCAAGATATTCAATCTAGTAGTGATCTTATTCTATCCTGCTCTAGTAGTCAGCTATCATCAACTTCACAAGAGAGTTCTCCTACTCGAGCTTTTCTACCTGAACAACAAAAGTCAAATAAGATACTTTTAAATGGATTTTTAAAAGAAGAATCGATTACTGCATCTTTAGTCTTGAAAATTGGAATAGTCTATGTCAAGTATATAACTCTATTTTCATTTAAAGCTTTGATTTTTATTCTACAATCCTTATTTACCTTTTCAATTGCATTCACTTATTATCTTTATTCAATGAAAAGGGCGCCCGAAAATACTGTATATTATTTAGTGTTAAATGATAATAATCAATAAACAAAACAAAAAAAAAATACTTTATGAAGAATGTATTTTTCATATTGAAAAGAACACGTACTACTACTACTATAGCTTTCTATAAATTGTCAATTAAGATAGGGGATATAAGTCATTCTTACTTTCCGTTTATTCCTTGTCACTAAAAAGAAGGGGGAGGAGAGGGGAGGGAAGCCATAGATCAAAATAACATAAGAATTGTGTATAATTTTATATGTATAAATACAAATAAAGTGTAAATGAATAGGGATATAAATATAAATAAAGTATAACTTTTTTTTTATGTGTGTGTGTGTGTGTGTACATTAATAAAGAGGAGATCACAAGCTACTTTTTATGATCCGTAAGTAACTGTGGAAAAAGATCTTCAACAGATTTTGTACAAAAAGAAAACATGTCATCGTCATTATTATCTAATAAATCATAAATATCAAAATCAATTTGCTGTTCATTTGTCATGAAGAAATAAGGGTGGTTTGAGGAGGGAAGTTCGATTGTTTCTTCTTGAGCATGCAGAAAATCTCTAAAGTCTTGAAGGACATAATTATCTTGACTGTTAACTATCAATTCGATTGATGATTGATGTAAAGTAGTTGTACTGTTAAAAAAGGAGGAGGAGGAAGAGGAGGAGGAGAAGGACGACGGAGGTCTTCCTCTATGATCACAACTCTCTTCTTCATAAGGCGATTTCTGTGGTCGTAATGGGGGAGAAGGAAGAATAGAATGTTGGTAGTTATTCAACATGTTACTATGGTGATTATCTTTGTGCGGATTACTACCATCGTTGCTTGATTGTTTACTATTATCCATTTCTTTTTTTTTAATTGTTAGATATAATCTGATCTCTGTTTAACTTTGTATATACACGTACATGCATATAAAGTATATAAATGTATATATTTATATCACCATAGAGATGCCAAAAAAACAGTGTAATATAATAACAACAAATTAACCGAGTCTTTGGCTAATTTATTTATTGAAATAATAAAAGAGTTAATTCTCTCTATCTCTCTCCTTTTGATAATTTTATATTTTCATTCAATAAATACGTGCTTTCCTCTGCCTTAGTATTTATTGATTTTTTAAAAAAAATAAATAAATAAAGAAATATTTGAAGGGTTCCTCCCTTTTCTATTTATTTTATACTTTTAATTTTTCTATTGTTTTTTTTTAAAAAAAACAAAAGAAAAAAAGGGAGAAAGTTTTCTTTATTTTTATCTCTTTTTGCGTAGCTAGAAAAGAATAGAGAATTGTGTGTATATGTAGATAATAATAATAAAAGAGAATAAATGAAAAGAAAAGTGAATACGTAGTCATGATTTTTAAAAAAAAAGGATGTGCTGCGGCGGCTGATCTTAAAAGTAACAAAAACAATTATTTGACTGCTAAACAGTTTTTTTTTCTCTCTTTTTTATTTATTTATTGGTACCTGTTTACAATAATATGCTTTTTATGTATTTTATCCTCTTTTTCGTTTTTAATTAAATCAGAAGATGAAAACCACAAGCATTATTTATGTTTTATATTATATTATTTCTTTTCCTAGTATATAATATAATTAAAATTAGCTCTTTGCAATGACTATTTATTACGTGGTTGTTATAGTAACCATTAAATTAAGGTTCTATTGTTCCTATTTCTATCTTCTTCCCCCCTTTTTTTAGAAAAAAAAACTCAGTTGGTTTCCTTATTTAGCATGTTTAGCCACTTTTTTTTTTCTTACACATGAATTAAAAATATACATATTTGCACATATACTTGAAATATTTGTAATTGCACATTTAGTAAGAACATAATGGTTTTAGATAAATGGTCAGTTCGCTTTAAATAAACTTTACCAATCTTATATAATATAGAATGATGTATCTATTCAAAACTTATTATAGACAAATAAGGTTTAATGTTACAGTATAAAGTTCGCAATATACAAAAGTTGTTAGAGCTTATATTCATTCGGTATAACTTGGATTCAAGACCTCCCCTTCTTCCTTTTTTTTTATTTTATTTATTTCTTTAAGCAGGATAAAACATATGACTTTTGATCTTTTTCTTAATTTAAATTTTACATACATACTATAATAACTCTGCCAATCAAATTCTTATTGTAGATATAAAAGGACAGTTTAGGTACGAATAATAGATTGAGCAATTACTATTAGACATAGGCATATAAAATCGTCAATTGTTTTTTTTTGATTCTGTAGATCAAACTCTATTCATTCACAAGAAGAGTAAAGCTACTTGAGAATTTATCATCAACAATTTGATATTCAAATAATACCTTAAACTACTAGATGAAGAGTATTATCTTAATGCCTTATTTATTATGTAAAATTTTAAAAGCTCTACACATAAATTTCCTTTTTTTTTGTCACTTTGCACACCTCTGTTTAATCTTATAAAATTGTGCTTTTAGCAAATTAAATAATTATAAGTGCAGAAAATCAAAAAAGATGTTCATTAAATTAGTGAAGAAAGTAGCAACACAACTACTCCTCAATAATTATTATGAAAGATAGAAGAAACAATTGTCTGGAGAATATTAATAAATGAATTATGTCCAGTAATTCAGTAGCACAAATAATAAGTCTTTGTATAATAATAATACTAATTTACATCAGTTTAATGAATAGCTTTTTTTTTTTTTTTTAAATAAATAAATAATAGCAACAAAGCACGCGTTTCAGTGTACCTTTTAACGAATAAATCTGAAGAGAAGATTTCGGAATTTGACTTTGCCTTGTAGTAAAAAAATAACAAAACTGGATCAATAATGACTAAAGTATGTACATAGATTGGAGGTTATAAGGTATAATCTAATCTTGTCAATGTTTGTGATCCACCTTGTTATAGATAGCTTTAAATTAAAGAATGGCTGCGCGATTGTCTAAATATAAATTTCTTCTGAAAATATAGAATCTTTTCTCTTTGATAGATTTTAAAGTAGTCATTTGAATAAAACAAGGAAGAAAGCGGTTATAAATGATTTATTATACATTTGCTTAGGTTTCATAAAAGTATAGGTAAGGTTATTTACAACTGAATAATATTTACTTGGCAGTGTTCATAAAGTATACAATACTCTTAGTAAAATTATACAGCATGAAGAAGTATGTAAATATGTTAAAACTCTTTCTGTTCTCCAGGTATTTTTTAACTTGGAGTTAAGTAAAGGGTAACAATTAACTCTGATTATGCCAGACCGTAGTGATAATTGGATATTCTAAATAGAGACTCTCCTCATTACCAACTTGATTTGGCTACTGTTATTCTTGCTAAAGATAGTCAAATTTTATTTTTTTTAAACTGTCTTGGAGTAAACAGATGTAAACCATCACTTAATAGTTATCATGTGCATTTCTCTAGAAGCAATAATGCTACTATTATCTTACTAACGCCATTTAACATCTATTCTCATGCCCAATTTTTATAGCTTTTCTACTATTCAATCATTTTACTAAATAAATAAAAAAAAAAAATCCGCTAATTCATTTTTTTTTCTTTTTTTTTTTAATAATTGTATAAAAAAAAATGTCATATTGGAGATCTTTACTTAAAATAAAGATCGATGTCGAAAATGATCCAAGATTATTACCTACATGGAGAAAAAGAACATTATTGGGACTTGTATGCTTTATCGCTATTATTCCTGGATTTTGTTCAACTATTTATGTAAGTTATATACACACACATATATATAAGCCTTATTTCTAGTTTATATAACACCATATAATAGTTACCAGCATTAGAACAAGTCATAGTAGAGTTAGATAGTCCTTCTATTATGGTTACTCTTAGTAATTCACTTTATATGCTATTTATGGGTATTGCTGTAAATATATACATTATGATTTGTTAAGAAAAAAAGATGTTGACTTTTTTTTTGTTCTTCATTGATAGCCCATTTTCTACAGCAGCATTACTGATCATTGGAAAATTCGTAGACCAGTTTATTTTGGTTCCATTATTATATATACTGTTGGATCATTAGCTGCTTGTTTTGCTAATGACATTGGTGTTTTACTTGGAATGAGAATTTTGCAAGCAATTGGTATATCATCAGCTTGGGCTATTGGTGCTGGGTAAAAAAAAATCAAATCAAATTAAATCAAATCAAATCAAAAAAAGTTTTTATGTTGCTTACATAATATTATAGTTCAGTAGCAGACATGTATGAAGTATATGAAAGGGGTAATGCCTTAGGTATCTATTTTACCGGTCAATTTGCAGGTCCTTTATTTGGACCTATCATTGGTGGTTATTTAGTTGAAAGATGGGGTTGGCGATCTGTATTTTGGCTTTTGTTTGTCTTAGGCTGTATTCTTTTGCTTCTTGTCTTTTTTGTTATGGAAGAAACCTATCGTGAAGAAAGTGTCTGGGGAAAAGAGTGTAAAACTGTCGATAACTATATAGATAATGAAAAGACACAAAGAATGTCAGTAGCAGCAGATCAAGAATTAGCTTCATCAGAACAGAATACGATTGTGGAGTCTAAAATGATGAATCCATTATCGTCACTTGTAAAAAAAAAAAATCTTTATAGTTTTATACATATATTTATATACGTATTCTAAAACTTATATTTATTATTATTATATAGGCTTTACTTAGACACCCATTTGTACTTGTGTTTTCAATGGCAACAGGTTTCGCATTTGGTGGTATGTTTGCCATTGAAAATATGCTTCCTCTTCTTTATACAAAAACCTATGGATTAAGTAGTGGACTTGTTGGGTTGACTTTTATTTCCCCAGGATTAGGTGAAGTTTTTGGTTCCTTGCTTTCAGGTAAATTATCCGACTATTTCTTGAATAGAGCAAAAGCAAAAAGAAATGGCATTGTTATTCCTGAAGATCGACTTGCTCCTAATGTTTGGCCAGCTGCCTTTATCTTAAACCCACTTTCTTTCTTTTTATGGGGTTGGCCTGTTCAGTTTGGCTGGAGTATATGGGTATCGATTATTATGTTTGGTCTTCAATGTTTTGCTATGGTACAAATCTTCAACCCTGCTATGTCTTATCTTGTTGATGCTGTTTCAGATCGTGGTGCTAGTGTAACTGCAGCTGCTAATCTCGTAAGAATGATATGGTCTTGTGTACTCAGTTTAATTGCAAATCCAATGACTAATGCAGTAGGGCCTGGCTGGGTCACTTTCTTCTTTGGTATGCTTAATTTTACTTGGGCTTTTTTGCTTTTATTAATGAAGATTAAGGGACCAAAGATTCGTGCTTACTCTGGCTATTAGAACTGATATTATTATTATTATTATTATTATTATTATTATTATTATTACTATATACCATATTGATATTTTTTTCTATATTTAATAACATAAATGATTCCTTTTAGAAATATGTGTACTGTTGTATAATATACAAAAATTAATCTATTTAATACACGTGGTATTGACTGACAGAAAAGAAGTGTAACAAAGGAAAAAAAAAAGAAAAAGATCAAATTCTAGTCGTATACATATTAATTATAATAGTGTAATCAAACTAATAGTCTTCATTGCATAAATACATATTTATGAAAAGTGTGTTTATTTTATTTCGTACAGAACGTATATCTTTGAATGGTATTTTTATTATGCACAAGTTTTCAGTAGAAGTTAACTAAAAAGGATTGATCCACGATTCATAATATTTTCTCGATTTTTTTTGAAACCAAACTTTACCTTATAAAGTCAGGGCAACAAAAATACGATGTGTTGATTTTAAAAATCATGTTACACGGCTCTTCACTTATATATTTATTTTCGGGGTAAAGAAAAAAAAAAAAAAAAGGGCTATTCTTCATAAATTAAATAAGTAGGTGACATTTGTTCAACGTGCTTTTTGTCTTTTATTATAGAAAATACATTATACCTTTAGATTGAAGAAGAAGAAAAAGAAGAAGAACAAAATATAAATATACAACAAAAGTTTATTATTTGATTCCTTTCTTTTCTTTTTAATAAATAATATGTCTCCAACGATACCCATTCTTTGTCAAGTACAAGCACTTTATTCTTTCAAGTCAAATGATTCTTCATCATTGTCATTCAATAAAGGTGATATTATTACCGTTTTAAATAAATTAGCTTCGGGATGGTGGGATGGTTTGTAAAGTGACATATACTTTCTTTTCTTCTTTTTTTTTTTATATATATATACATGTATATATATATATATTTTTAAGGAAAAAAAAATAACTAACAAATTTATTTAGTTGCAACGGAGCTCGAGGATGGTTTCCCAGTAACTATGTCAAAATCCTAACAGACGACGTCATTGTAGAGGTTAGTACATATCATGAAATTAACTTATTATTATTCTTATTCTTATTATTATCATTATTCCTTTTAAAACATCAACTTTTTTTTTCCTATTATATATAGGACAGCAGTAAAAATACAACTCGTAGAGAATATAGACTTAGTTTGACGTTTAATAATACTTTAATATCTGATCAACGACAAAATGATGACTGGATTGCACAAAGAACAGAAGATGGATCAAATATTTATTATTTTAACCCATGTACAGATGAAACAAGATTTGAACAGCAAGAAGAAAATATATCAAATTTGATGACAAAGCGATTACCTTCGTTAATATCATTAGTTGTACCTGAAAAGAATCCATCTTCAATATATCAACAGAGTGAATATGGATCAACTATCTGGTCTAACCAGAGTAACATAACTCTAAATTCAATGAACGATGATTTTGAAGTAAGATATATAAATATATATAAACGGCTTCATAAATAATATTTATTTATATACTTACATATATTATAATAACAGCAGCAACAAACATGTATTACTACTGAAATGCCCAAATTATCTTCCCGTCGATTATCTTTAATACGTCATACCTATTTTCATAAACAACCTCTTACTTGGCCTACAATTTCATCTTGTATAGCTACTGCTCTACAACAGCTCGTCACAGCCGCAAAAAATAATCAGTATCATCTTTATGCACCAAATGCTGCCGAGATTGTAAACATCATTCGCTTTATGCTCATCAGCTCTTCAACACTTGACAAGAACAGTCCTAATGTTAAATCAAATGCAATACTACGAACACAACATCATAGTCTCATTGCAAGTATGGCCAAACTTGTTCTTTCTACTCAAATTCCTCAGAGGTTTACAGATAAAGAACATCAAACACTAATCAACAAAATTTTAGTTGAATCCAGTGAGCTCTTGTTAGCTGTGCGTAACTTCATTAGTACTTGTCAAACGAAAAAAATCCAATTAGTCTCAAATGAGTTACAATGGATTCCTCCAAGTAATGTTCAAGAGGAGCACCATCTTCCTTCCACGCTTTCCATCCATAATCAACGGTACAGTCTTCAACCTAATCTTGCAGAAAATATTGATACCTTGGGAACTTGTATTCAAGATTCAGCTGAAATAATTATCAAGTTTATTTCTTCGATCCGTCAAGAGACATTATTACACGATATTACTTCCATAGCCACTCGACTCTTTACTCATTTTCAAAACTTGTCTAATCAGACAAGCTTATTCTTGGGTTACCTTGATGAAACAGATTTTAGTCAGGTAGAGGAGCAGTATAAAGAGGATATGGTTGAACTTCAACAGGGGAAACATAAACTTATCGACAGTCTTGGCCTTTTATTGTTTCATTTGCAAACTTTAACAAATACTCATGCTACAAACGGAATCTCGGATCGTTTAAAGGTGGCAAAACAGGCAACAGGCTATTTATTTAAACCTATTGATTCCATCTGTCAAACTGTAATTCGATTGGCAAATAAAAGTAGAGGGACAACAATCAGTCGAACTTCTTTATCCACAACAGATTCTATTAAGAAAATAAATAATGATCAAGAACAACATATGAGTCATCATTCAACTCTATTATCAGAAACGCTGGAGCGTCATCATTCTGAGTCTATATTGCCATCATCAAAATTAAAGCAACAACCAACATTGTCAGGCTCCTCATCTATAATGCAATCTTCACAACAAACTGCACCATCTAAACAGATACTATATAGCCGAAGATTGAAGAAATTCTTCGGTGATGATACGTCAACCGTTAAAATGACTCCTAAAGGTGAGACGGATCCAAATATAAACTCAACTACTACTACTACTACTACTACTATTATATCGACAGTAACGGATATGACGAATGATGGACGTCCAAGTTATCTTGATTATGATTATCAGCCTAACGATATCATCTTTAACAAGGAAGGTCAAGTCAAAGGTGGTACATTACCTGCTCTTGTTGAACGTTTAACTTCACATGACTATTTAGATATGAAATTTATCAATACTTTCCTTTTAACCTACAGGTCCTTCTGTAGTTCCATTGAGTTACTCAACTTGCTAAAAAATCGCTATAACCTCGTCTGCTCCCCCGATCTCACGCCTGAAGAGTCCTTGATATGGGAAGAAAAGAAGCTTAAACTAGTAAGATTGCGTGTCTTTAATGTTCTCAAAAATTGGCTTGAACTTTATTATTACGATGAGGACAATGCAGATCAACTTCTTGATCATCTTTTAGAATTTACACAGAATCATATTCGTACCACATTGAAATTTTCTAACGGACAGCTTGAGTCCCTTATTGAACAACGTCGAAGTGAGCCTAGTGGACGCTTAAAGAAGATGATCCTAACTTTACCTGATCCGCCTGAGCCTATCTTACCTAAACCTCGCCGTCGCTTAACATTACTTGATATTGACACATTAGAAATGGCCCGTCAGTTGACCATCATGGATTTCAAATTGTATAGCGCCATTCGTCCCATCGAATGTCTTAATAAGGCATGGTCTCGTGAAGACGATACTACAACAGTGGCTGTCAATATTCGTGCCTCCATCAAATACTGTAACCAAGTCACCTCATGGGTCTCAGATGTGATTCTCAGTCAACAAGACATCAAGAAACGATCTATGATTATTAAATATTGGGTTCAAGTCGCAGAGAAGTGTCGCATCTTGAACAACTTCAACACCTGTATGGCTATCTTATCTGCCTTTGATAATAGCTCTGTCGGTCGTCTTAGACGAACATGGGAAGTCGTCGGAACTCGTACCACGGCAACGCTGCAACAGATTAGAAAATTGATGGGCGCTATTCGAAACTTTGTTGAATATCGAGCCATCATTCATTCTATCAACCCACCTTGTATACCATTTTTGGGGATTTATCTGCAGGACTTGACATTTATTGAGGATGGTAATCCAGATGAGCTCAAGGCAAAAGGTCAGCCAGTCTCTTTGATTAATTTTGCAAAGAGGGCTAAAACAGCAGAGGTGATTCGTGAGATTCAGCAGTATCAGTCGTCATTATACCAGCTAAAGTCAGTAGAGGAAATACAGAAGTTTATTAAATCAAATTTGATTAGTACGAGAGATGAAGAACAATTATATAAAGAGAGTTTGAAATTAGAGCCACGGTAAACAATGGTTAAAATTAAAAAAAAAAAAGGCTATATGTTTATTTATTATTTCTCTCTTTAATATAAATAGGGAACGGGAAGATGAAAAGATTACACGTCTTTTACAAGAATCAGGATTTTTGTAACTTATTTATAATTGTTTATTCATACTTCATTCATTTCCATCAGTAGACTATGTATATTTATTATTATTTCTATTATTACTTTTTTTTTTTTTTTTTTTTTTTTTTTTTTTTTTTGGTTTCAGAATAATGAAATAAAGATGAGAAAAAAAAAAAAAAGAGATCATTTTTTATTATTATTTTTTTTTTTTTTTTAAGTTTTATTAAAAACAAACCTAAAATGGCTGCTTTATCAGAATACGAAAGAAAACGATTAGAGAATATAAAGTAAGAAGAAATATAAATTAAAATACAAAAAAAAAATAGCCATGTCCGTATAACTTTATTTTAAAAAAATAAAATAAATAATATTATAGAGCTAATGAAGAACTACTACGCAGTTTAGAAATCCCTGTATTAGCAACAACAAAGCGAAAAGCGACCTCTTCACCAAGTAATAGTAGCATTAAGAAACATACACCTAAACAAATCAAAAAAGAACCTCGCATGCCCACTCGTTCCTCTGCTCGATTGCGTGGTAAGAGTCCAGAAAAGCAGATTGAAAGTGACATTGTCAGTCTTGAAACAAAGCAACCCAAAACAATCGATGCATTAAATGAAATAGATAAAAAAAAACTAGTAGACATTATGAAAGATGCTCTTCGTGATGTACCTAATACACAAGTTAAAAAAGATAGGATCAAGACTGAAAAGGGTGAACAATCCGATCAAATCTTAAAAAGTCAATTAGAACATTTAAAGATCCAACATGAATGGGCTACTGTCAAAGTGACACCTAATCGTATTACAGCTGATTTGTAAGTCATAAATAATAAAGCCAACGATTTTTTTTTTTTTTTTTTTTTTTTTTTTTTTTTTTTTTTTACTGAATTAAATTTTTATTTTTTATACAAATTATAGATTTCATCCCTCTGTTGCAAAACTTCTTGCTTGTGCAGTAGATACAGAAGGCTATCTTGGTATTTGGGATGTTAATGCAAAAGAAGAGGAAACTGAAGACCCTGTTGTATATCAATATAAGCCTCATACACGAAACATCACGGATTTGCATTTTAATCCTTCTGATAATTCTAAATTATTAACATCTTCTTATGATGGATTACTTCGAGTTTATGATATGAATAAAGCTGAATTTATGACTATGAATCTTGGTGGAGAAACTTATCCCATTACATGCTTCGATATAACTCAAACAGGCAATATAGTAAGTGACTCAATAAATTATATATGTTCATTTGTAGTCATTTATATATGTGTTTATTAGATTTGGTTTTCTACTTCAGATGGTGAAGTAGGCGTAGTTGACTCTCGAACAGGAGATACACCTTTGATTCATGCACCAAAAGAGAAAAAGATTGGCTGTCTTCATTTAAATCCAGTAGATCAAAACCTATTAGCGCTTGCAAGCAATGATAGAACAACAACGATCTGGGATATTCGTATGTGGAATAAGAGAAAGAGGGAAGTAGGAGAACCATTACAATCAATTGAGCATGGATACTCTGTTACAAGTGCTTATTGGTCACCTAATGGTGATATCCTTGCAACTGCCTCTTATGATGATTACATAAGATTATTTGATTTAAACAAAAACAATAAAACAGTTGAATTAAAATCAGCCATTAAACATAATAATCATACTGGAAGGTATATGAATATAATAACTAACACGTATATATTAGGATTATTTTACTAATACATTATCTATATACACACATTTATATATGTATGTATATATATATAAAAAACCAAAAGATGGGTAACTAATTTTCGTGCAAGATGGAATACAAATCAAGTAAATGGTTTAGATGTTCAACATTTGATTATTGGCAACATGAATCAAACCGTAGATATTTATTCAGGAGAGACAGGAGAGGAGATTATACAGTTTTATGACAGTGAACATATTACAGCAATACCAAGCGTGTGCCAATTCCATCCAATGACATCTAATCCAATCATTTTAACAGGTAACGCATCAGGTAGAATGGTATGTTGGAGTTAAGAAGTTCCAAAAAATAAACGCTCTATAAAATTACCTGCACTCCACCTTTGATCTTGCTGTCTTTTTTGTTGCTGAAACGCTGAATTATTTAATAAAATTTGTCTACGTTGTTCCATATGAGGTATATTACTATTACTACTACTACTACTACTAGTGGTCATGGAAGTAGAAGATAAAGTACGCTGTAATAACATGAAAGAAGGTTTATTGTTTTGTTGATGACATCGTATAAGACTATCCATCATTGGATCTTGATATTTACGTACAAAGTGATATTCTCGACCCATTCTTTCTATTTCCTTTGTTAATTGAAATTTATTTTTTGAATGAGCCATATCATTTTCTTGATGCTGTTGTAATAATAAGTTTTGCTGAGTACTTGTTATTTCTGAGGGCTGTTGAGTAATAGTTGTTGTTGTTGGTTGGTGGTCTATAAATTGTGATTTTAATAACTGTCTCTTTTTGTTATCAGGTGTCACTAATATATCATCTGCTGTGACAGTAAGTGTTTGTTCTATAGGTGCAGCGGGTGTTGTATTTGAAACAGGGAATGTAGGAGGCTTTTTATCGGATATCAACAAGGGAGGTGTGGTTGGAGGAGAGATGACAACTTTTTCTACCTCTTCTTCTTTATTAGCAGGAGTTAAGCCTGTTAAATTATTTTTATTGCGTTCTGATAATCCAAGTCGATTTAAAGATTTATTGGATTGAGAGCGTTTCATAGTTGTAGGCTTCTTTTCTTCATTATTCTCAGGATCAATATTAGTACTGCTATGAGCTCTTGCCATTGGAGCTAATTTAGAAACATGAACTCGACCACTAGAACGTCTTTTAACGTGATGTCTTGTAGGTCTCTTTGGTATTGTACCCGTACTTGTAGTAGGTGATGGTGGAAGGTCACCTACAGCAAACTTTTTATTTGGTTTTTTTGGCTGTTCTTCGTTATTGTTCATCTAAAGAGAAAGGAAGAAAAAAAAAAAATGAAAAAAAAAACTCATAATGTCAGTTTTTTTTTTTATTTTTTATTTTTTTTTTTTTTTTCGAATTTCAGAAACCGCGAATAATTCTCGGAGAAAAAAAAAGACAGTAATCACATGTGTGAATTCATAGAAACGGAGGAGGTTGTATTCTATTCTATTTAAATAAACTCGGAAACATCCTTCTTCATAGTAATTAATTTTTTCTTCTTATAGTTGCTAAGCAATAAAATTGAGAATAAAGTTGTTAAATTATCATATTGAATTTCTCTCCTTAAATGTCAACTCGCAATTATAACAACTATCTTTCCTTTTTTGTTTCTTTATAAATATTTAAAAAAGTTAGTTTCCAATAGTCTCAATATTACAATTGCTTTTTGATGTGTTATCATAATGTCGAGACTTCATAAAAAGAAAGAAAAAAAGGTAAATAACATAGTACAAATGTTATTGATGCCCCCGATATAAAATTATAAAAGGAAGAGGGAAGGAAGAATAGGTAACAATGCGATTTCTTTCTGTAGTATTTTTATATTAGACGAAGCTGAATTTAAAGCAATGCTTTAAGCTTATTTGGCTTTAAATGTGCAACCTATGCATACTTTCATTAATCCAGATGTAGCAATATATTATTTAATTTATGAAAACGATTAATTCCTTAAAATTAAATAGTTAGAACAAAACATATAAGCCTCTTCTATAGATAAATTATTGCCTTTAATAACATAATAGAATATGGTATTGATATCTAAAAAATTAAGATCGAAGCCTTATGGTATGTAATAATAGGTATACATCATCTACCTCAAAGGAATAAGAGTAACATATTATAGGGATACTTTTTTTTTTTCCTTAGTAAGATAAAGGGCTTAGTTTTAGAAGAAATAATTAATAAATTTGGACAATCATATAGTTTATAAATGTATGGTTTTAACTTCTTGAAAGAATAAATGATATATCAAATCGATTATTCATATATTATCCTTTTGTTTTTATAATGGCTTAATGATACTTGTTATAGCTTATTATATAATAGCAGACTTTATCATAGTATACTCTGAGCCTTAATTTAATCTTAAATCGACTTGTTCAAAAAAAAAAAAGTTTAGTCAAAGCGCATGTTTTTTTTTAGTTTACTTCTTCTTTCTTTCTTATAAATATTTATTTAAACTTTCTGAATTTGATTGATTAACATCATTAGGATGAGTGTGTCTATATTCCTTGATACATTACGAAAACATGATCTTGATCAGGTAATGAATATTTTTAAATGATTCATAAAGATTTCTTCAAAAATGAATTAATTTAATAACCATCTATTTTTTTTTATTAAAAAAAGTTTTATTCAACGTAAAATGATAATAGATATACATATATACTTAAATGTGTATATATTATTGTGTTCATCTCATTCCTTTTATTTTACATTTATATAGATTTTCAACACATGGCATAACTCATCTTCAAAGCTTAGCTCAGGTAAATTGTTTTAAACTTATTTATTTTAGTTAGCGAAATCCTAATTTTTTTTTTTTTAGCTTTCTTTAGAAGACTATTCAAAGTTAGGCATAACAGACTCAATGGATAAAAGAAAGATATTTGGATTAGTACAAGCTATTCGAAGAGATTCAGATTTATATAATGATACATCTACTACTAGTAATACAACTAGTTTACGCCGACCAAATACTTACTCTAGTCGACTACCTATACCTGAAAGCTTTACTAATAGTCGTCTTAGAAGACAAAGTATTATTGGAACCCTAAAGCCATCTACTTCACAAACATATATAAATACTACCGATGCTACTAATACTGCTGCTGCTGCTGCTGCTGCTAATAACACGTCAACAGCACCTTCTTCTCCACACCCTCAACAAAGATATCATACAACTACATTAGCCAGAAACCGTACAATGTCAGATGCACCACGGCCTGATTTCTCTTCTTATCAAAGAAAAGATCGTAGACAAGAATTGAGAAGATCTCTTTATTTAGATAATATTAATTCTGAACATGATGAAGACATAATCTACAAAACTTCGGCCCCGCTTTTAGATGCATATGGTATACCTACAACAGTAACAAAAAAGCCTAATCAAAAGGTCGTAGGTTTATTACCACCTAGTGATTTAAATCAAAAGATTCGAGTGTGTGTTAGAAAGAGACCATTAAATCGAAAAGAATTAGAAAAAGGTGAAAAGGATGTAGCGCCTACAATTGGTACTAGAAGTCTACAAATTAATGAGCCAAAGTAAGTTCCCATGAACAAATAAAAATTTATGCACACACATGTATAAATATCCATTCATACATACATACATAAATATATTAAATTATTATTATAGATTGAGATTAGATTTAACAAAATATACTGAACAACATTCTTTTACATTTGATGATGTCTTTGATTCAGATTGTCCAAATGATAGTGTATATCAAAGGACTGCTCTTCCACTTGTTCACTATATATTTAAAGGCGGTAAAGCGACTTGTTTTGCATAGTAATGTATAAATTTTTTTGTATCATGAAACAATTCAATCGTATTTATATACATTTACATATATATATATACACTCTAGTGGACAAACAGGGTCTGGTAAGACATTTACAATGTTAGACCCTAATCATGGTTTATATATTTTGGCAGCTCAAGATATATTTAACATGCTTCGTAAGCCTGAAAATAATTATTTAACTGCTTGGATTGGTCTATATGAAATATACCAGGGACAGCTTTATGACCTCTTGAATGATCGAAAAAAATTATTTGCCCGTGAAGATGGAAAGAAAAACGTTATTATTTCTGGTTTACGTGAATATCCTATTGATAATGTAGATAAATTAATACAAGTTTTTGAATATGGCAGTAGTGTTCGTAGTACAGGTAAAGTTATAGTTTGGAAGAGATAAAAAAAATTCTTTATTACTTATATATATTTTCCCTCTTCCTTGCCTCTCCCCTCTTTTTTTTTTTTTCTTTTTTTTTTTTTAGGTTCTACTGGTGCAAATGATAGTTCGTCTCGTTCTCATGCTGTACTTCAAATATTACTTAAACATGCAAATAATAGAAAAAAAATTCATGGTAAATTATGTTTTATCGATTTAGCTGGCTCAGAAAGAGGTGCTGATAGAGGAGAAGCAGATACAAAGACAAGGTAGAGTTACATAATATATACATATATAGCTATAGCTGTAGATTTTAAAACTTATATTTTATAGAATGGAAGGAGCAGAAATTAATAAAAGCTTATTGGCGTTAAAGGAATGTATTCGTGCTTTAGATCAAGACAAAAAACATACACCATTTAGACAAAGTAAATTGACTCAAGTATTGAAGGATTCATTTGTGGGGAACTCTAGAACCTGCATGATTGCTACTATTTCCCCTAATGGTTCTAATAGTGAGCATACATTAAATACTTTAAGATATGCGGATAGGTAATTTTAAATCATATAAATATATATATATATATTTATGATATACAATAGTATATTAATATCTATCTAGAGTAAAGGAGTTGAAAGGTGAAAAAGATAGACGGCATTTATCTCCTACAGAAAGAAACTCAAGTGGATCTGGTAATAGTGTTCCTGAAGAAGAAGATGATAATGATAATGATGATGATGATGAATACTTTAGCAATGAATCTGATATATTAGACGAAGACGCCTTTACGAATGAAGAAAATCTTTTTGATATTGATTTTCCTCACGAACAAAATCCGTTGATTCGTTCAACATTTTCATCTAATAATAATAATTTATCTCAAAAAACACGCTTATCACCATCGCCGCCATCTTCTCCTCGTTATGAAACATTATCTTATAAGCAAAGCAAAAAATCTTATGACAACAACAATGAGACATCGTCTCGACCCTTATCTTTACAACAAAACCGCCAATCGTATACATTACCTCGGTCATTCTCTATGTATGCATCACTCGATGAATCCAAGCATACATCCCAGTCATGGAAACAACAAGAAGAATCAATTAAAAAAAATGACTTTCCTTTACTCCCATCCTTTAGCCTTAACAAAATGGATGAGCTTGTCAGGTTTCATCGTGCGGAGATACATGAAATGGCAGATTGTAATAAGCAAGAAATACAACTTGTTACTAGTATAACACTTGATTTAACTACCTCATCAACAGATAAGGAACAGAAAAATCTACAATTCTTTCAATATTTGCAAGACCTTGATGAACTTTTGGAACGCAAGTTGGCTGCTATTGAAGCTCTTAGAGATCGTATCAGCGATGCTGTGGGTCAAATTGATATTTAATAAATTAATAATCTTATTACCTAATAAAAAAGGAATATACGGAGTTTTGTCGCGTCTTTTTTTTTTTTTTTTTTTTTTTTTTAATGAAATGTTGAATATGTTTATTGAAGTTAATATGTTGATTATTACGTACTCGTGTACATATACAAGTAAGATAAAGAAAAAAATTGAAATAAAAAAAAAAGGGGAGATACAGTTATTTATACAAGTGAGATAAAGAAAAGAGATAAATACATATTATATGCATATATACATACATGTATATGTGAGGGTAGAGGAGAGAGAAAAAAAAAGAAAAAGAAAAAAAAATGATAAATGTTTAAGAATCATGTGTAGCAGTAGCGGTGGCTTTAGCCGCCTTAGCAGCAGCTTTAGAAGCTTTAGCAGCCTTAGCAGCGGCTTTAGCAGCCTTAGCAGCTTCCTTACGGGCTTTAGAGTTTTGCTTTTTCAAAAAGACAATACCATCTAATAATTGATGAGCACTCTTAATCTTTTTAGGAGTCTCTGTGGTAGTAATAGCCATCATAATAGGGGCGCTACCGCTTTTGGCTGATGAGTTAATATCGATAGCGTCATGTTCTCGCTTTGCCAAGTACTGAGAGGATTCAATTGCTCTTCTTGGGTTCTTGATCTTTTGATTGATCTTGTTTTCTATTGGAACAGAGTATGTTGTACAAATAAAAGCAGTAATGACAGCTAAAACAATTAAAAATCGAACACAAGATTGCATAATATAATAATTTTACAGAAATATAAACTTTTTTGAGTGAAAAAAGAAAAAGGAAAGGAAAGGGAAAATGAAAAACACTGGATTATTTATTTACACGAATTCTGTCAAATTCTTCATGCTACCTTTTTTTTTTTTTTTTTTTTTTTTTTATTTTGATTCGGATTTAACTATCTAAAATAGGTAATTATTAACGTTCTTTTTTTTTATTTATCCTGGAAATCGTAAAAGTTTAAAACTGTTAGAATTTAAAATGATTCCATAAAAAGAAATCTAACTTTATTCTAATAAAGAAGAATTATACTGTTTTCTAAACTAAGTTTTACAGATGAAAATCTTATTTTTTTTTTAACTTTGATAAGAAGAAATAAAAATTAGGATAGAAGACAAAATATCCTGTTGTTTTCAATATTATTCATGAAAATGTATCTTTATTATATTCAGTAAAGTAATTGTTATATTCATTTCTTTTCCTTCTACTTTGACATGCTTTCAAAGAAAAGGATCACCTAGAGTATTTTATTGCTAGGATACAAGACTACTATATTTAAATTCTTGATCACTATAAACACAATCACCATAGTAAAAAAAAAAAAAAAAAAAAAAAAGGAGTGTTTTCAAACAAGATAAAGTTTAATCGTTGCACATGATTTAGCCAGCTGTAAAACAAGTTTTAAATGACGTGAATTCTATTGTAATAAATGCCTTTATCTTGTTTCTACGTTAATATATTATTTATGGTAAAATTCAACGTGTTCTAAATGTATATTATAAATGTTAAACCGTATAACACTTAGAAATAGCGGGAAGTAATGACATTATTGTGTAAATGTGTGCTTATTTCCATATTTATGAATGTAAACATTAATTTTCTTACACATGTCAAAATGAATAAGCAAATTTATGTTTCAATAAGTCTACTTTAAATGTAGTGACTTGATAAATGACGCTTATTCAGATATATAACAAGTGACAAGAATAATAGCACATTATAGTTATTACAGATAATTTTAAATACTTAAAAAACTCGTCTGTGTATTTAATCCCTTAAGCCAAAAAAAAAGCTATCCGAAGACACTTCTGCCTGTTTGACTTAAACGCTTATATTAACTAGCATCTTTATACTGTTATTTTTTTTTTTTTTTTTTTTTTTTTTTTTTTTGGACAAAGTAATATCTTTGATTTTCGACAATCTAGTCGGTTAATTCATATACTTTGTGTTTATTTTTACAAAGTAATTTTTGAAATTGTTGATGGGCGTAATTTATGCTCAAAAAAATATGTTCCTTATTTCCTTACACTCTTTAATATTAACATACATGTCATGCTTATAACCTTCTCTCTTTAGACCCTTTTTTTTTTCTGATTTCCTAATATACAGTAATAACTATTATACAACATTGATACGAGTTCCTTTCTTCATGGCTATATATAAATATATATGTGTGTGGTTGCTTTATTATACATTGAATTAATTATCTAAACAAAGTTTAGATGTTGGAAGGATAAAGCATCTATAAAAGAATTAAAAATGAGTAATAGATCACTTTTTTTTTTCATTTACAACATAAATACTTACAACACGAACGGAGGCACCAAAGACCTTAGGAGGCAAGTTTTTACGGAAACGAGCCTTAACAACACCGTTAGTACCATGAGCACGAGCGATACGTCCCCAAATGACACGAATCTTGGAACCATTGACTTCACGTTGAGCACGGTAAACGTAGGCAACACGCTTACCAAGGTAGAATTGAGCATCCTTAGTAGTCTTGACACCTTCAATTTGGATCAAAGAAACGTTAGGGTTTTGGTTACGCTTAGCACGTTCATAACCCAAAACACGACCCTTGCTGTACAAACTAAAAAATGTAGATGAGTTGAATGTTCCGACATGATTTCTCTGTACTGATTCATGGAGCATCTCAATCATCATATTCTTTATATCCATTCCATTACTTAATTTTTTTTTCTCCATCCAATCCATTCCTAATATCCCATGAATATATCGTTATATGCTTACCGATTGGATCCAGACATGTCTAAATATAGATGATGAAGAGAAGGGTTACATTAACCTATACAAACTTCTTTAGATTATCCTCCCTCCTTTCCCCCACTCTCATTATACACTTTACTCACACAATCACTCAAGGTCAGCATAATTGAAAAAAAAAAATCCAAAAAAAGATCGAAAAATTTCTCCGAAAACTATGTTCGGACCGAACATTCTCATACTATTAAATGATAAATTTATTAAAAAAAAAAAAAAAAAAAAAAAAAAAAAAAAAAGTGGCCATAATGAGCACAATAGTTTGAATAGCTGCATTGCCTGAACCAGTTCGCGAAGTTAAGAGTTAAAAAAAAAAACCTACTAAGAGTCAAGAGGGAAAATGAAAAAAGTATTGAAGAGTAAAGAAAAAAAATAATAAGGAGGAAAGTAAAACGAAAGAAAAATAGATAAAAAGAAAAAAAAAAAAATTAAAAACAAGACAGAAACACTAGCATTTTTATCATTGCAACCATTTCACCAAACTAGCACCGATATCAGTTGGAGGGGGAGGAAGATCTTCACCATGGAAAATATGATCCAATTCATGTAGGGTCACGCAAATTTCAGACCAACGTACAGACCAGAAAGAGATAGATGGAACATTTTTTGGTTTTTTCAGGGGTAATAAATTGAGTAAGAAAGAAAGAGGGTCTTTGATGGATCTGGGACAATTGTAGACGACGGTGTATGTGCAGACATTCGGTAGCATGAACATGAGAAAGATTAACTGCAGAACAGAAAGGACAGGGACGAGATTTTCCCCCAGGGAGCCAACCAAGACGCCAACGAAGTACCTGACTATGCTCCATACATATTATTGAGAGCTATAAAATAGGATCATTCATCAAGGTTGGACGACAAGTAGAGATCGTTTGGGCATTTGGACCATTACAGAAGGTGTCATGGCTTTCTTATATAATCTGTTGTTTCAGCAAATTAGAAACACAATGATTCAATATATCCAGCACAGGTTCACATTTTTTGCCAAAGTGGGCTGGAGAATAATATATACCATCGTGATCGGTTTGCAGATGTTTGTAAAAGAGGCAGTAGTTTTTGTATCAAGGTATCATCAGGTAGTTATGTGTTCTAATTATGTATTTGGTTTGCAGTATTATTGATTGAACATTCTCATATAGTTTTTACACTTCAAATTCAGACGATGAACAAAAACCTTTTTGTTTTGGGAGAGGAACCTATATGTTGCTATGATTATAAAACTGCTATAAATCCATTAAGAGACACAGCTTATATTATTATATTCTTAACAACGTAATTTTATTCTAGTGAGTAAACATAAATATTGGAAGCAGCAGATTATACTAAGGCACTCTATTGCATCATGGAACATACTTTTTATCAGTATATCAGCAACAGAATTAACCTTAGATCATTTTTTGAACGTAATTATTAGATACATTTGACAAAGATAGAAAATAATAAAACGGATATTTTTTTTACCGTGCTTACTGTTCCTTTACTCTTTTTACGCTTTATAGCCTTTAGTATAGTATAAGAAATACTGACTGTATATATTTCTTAATTTCATTTTATTTAGGTTATTTTTTTTTTTTTTTTGATAGTATACTGTAATTCATTTTCATGTCACTTATAGTTTTAACGCTTTTTCTATAATTGTTTACAATATAAATAATGCTCTACTCCTATAGTGAAACTTTTAACTGCAATTATGCATTTACAAGCTTTTTTTAATGACAAGAACGCTTTGACGCAATTAGTCAGGTTTGTGTGACAAGTAGATTGTCCGTGTTCTAAAACATATAAGAAGCAAATGCCAATAATTCAATAGTGATTGTAAAAGAAACAGTGATATTAGTCAAATTATAAAAAGATAGGACGATACAAAGCAATGGATAATATCTTAATGCATAATATAATTGATTTTAGAAATATAAAGAAATAAGCTTACATATCTTTACCTATATTTTTTCTATTATGATTTCATTCATTTTTTTTTAGTCCAAATATAAAAGCTGAAGTAGTAAAGAGAAGCTGTCTTATCTTGAAAGACAATCTAATTTTTCGAATTAGCAAGAAAAATAACAGAGCGAGACTATCAAAGATGAACAAAGCACTATATAATATTTTTCTTGATAGATACTCAGCATTAAAGCCAATGCTTTAATATTTTTTGCTATATTGAAACAATATTTTCGCTTCTATTTACACAAAAAAAAAAAAATACTAATAATCCAGTACACAAATCTTTGCACTTGGAATAAGTGCTTGATGGTGTTCATAAAGCTTATTAATATCAAAAACCCAAGCTCATCAAGACTCATATCATCATGCAATACCTTAACCTCTATTTTTATTTACACATACTTAATACTGTTGCTGACCCTGTTTTATATATCCTCAATATACTACCAACGTGAATGCCAACGTCAGTCCCTAGGCGAGTATATCGAAAAGTTTATTGAATACTTCTTTAGCGAATAATTCAAACTATAAATGTGATACAATAAAGTATGGCTATCAATCCTCAATCATTATTGCTGTTGTTATTTACGGAATCGACTTTTCTTTGTTGGATACAAATACATTATTTTACAATATGTAGTATAATATTCCTTGTTTTTTTTCTTCTCTCTATTTAAAATTACTCACACTCAATCGAGCTTTACTAAATTAAATAAAATTTCCATATATAGAAAAAAGCTTATTTGCGAAAACTACAATATATTTATAGTAATATAATTCATTGCATTGCATACTTGCTGAAATATTAGAAGTTAAGCGAGATGATTTTTTTTTTATTTCTCTTTAAATTATCTAGATTAAAACATACAGATATAAAGATAAATTAATTGATTTATTACAACAAAAAAAAGATAAAAAGTCTCGGGCAAAGTTGTTTTGAATGAATATCAAAGATGAACTTGGTCAAATAGGATTGTGAAATTCGTCCTATAATGAATATATAAAATATGTAACACATGGAAAATAAGAAGTGTATAATTATAAGGAATAATCATCGTTTATATATTTTTTCAATATTTATTCCAAGTGATAAGTTTATGTTGCTAAGATATAAATCTCATGTCTATATCGATTTGTATACATTTTACCTTATACATTATCTAGGATAAAGTTATAGTTCATGTGCCCTTGATTTTTTTTTTCTAAAATAAATTTTACTGATAGACTCAATTAACACAACCGCCTTTTTTTTTTTTTTCTTTTCTTTTTTTTTTTTTTCTTTTCTTTTTTCCTTTTCCTTTTCCTTTTCTATTTAAATGGATAACAAGAAAAGGGCACATCATATTTCAGCTCCTATTTCACCTAATAATAATAATTATCATCATTTAGTAGACGATTTGACAGCTGACTGTACAGCTTATCCTCCTCCTCCAGCCTATCAGCCATCTTCATTTCAGAATTGTACTGATAAAAGTATACGTCAAAATCAATCATGTGGTTTTTACTATCATTCAACTCCACCTCCACAAACTGTCATCATTTATAGACAACCTGCTCGATCAAAAGATGCTTGTTGTTGGGGATGGTATGAGAAGAGAATTTTTTTTTTTGTTTCTTTCTTTATAGTAGCCTTAAATCCTAACTTTTCATGTATAGTTTAGCAGCTTTATGTCTTTGTTTCGGTGCAAAAGAATGTTGCTCGTAGTTGTATTTTTTTTTCTAAAAAAAGAAAATACATAGATGCATGTATTTAAATATACCCTCTTCGTCTTCTTCTTCCTTATCCTATATATTTGTAGCACAATCTCACACGTGGAAGTAGTAGTAAATAATAATAATAAAAAATATACATGTATTTATATATTATACACATATAAAAATATACAAATTTTATTATTTCTTGGACTGTTGTTTCCATAGAAAAAAATTACAACTGTAATCTTCTTTTGGACCATCCTGTGGTCCAACAGGTTTTGAACAAATATAAAAGATACGACCCAAATTAGGGCCCTTTTTAGTTACAGTCCTTTCAATACATGGTTCATTATGAAATTTACACTTTGGTATTTCTTTTGGCTTAAAGATAGAATTCCATGTGGATTTTATTGTTTCTTTTTGTTCTTCTGCATGAATGTGATTGCTACTAGTTGCTTTTAAAATGTTACTGTCCTTTTTAATGAAAAAATTATCCACAGTAATATGATTTCGTTTAGTCTTTTTATTCTGATGACTGTCATTATTAGTATTAGTATGAGTATGATTTCTTTTTAGTGTTGTAATAGCTTGTTGTTGTAGAGGCTGTTCGGTCCTTTTTAGGAAATAGTTTGATAACTTGTTTTGTTCTTTAAATTCAGGGAAATTGGTAGACAAAAGTAATGAAGAATTGGTTCGAGTATCATTCTCGTTGTGATTTGCTGCTATTTGTGGCATATTTGATAAAAATTCTGCATATACTGGACAATGATCAGATCCCATTATATTTGGCTGAATATCTGAATATTGAAGCCACGGTCGTAAACCTGAGGACGCTAGTATATAATCTATTCTAGTTCCATAATTACTTGGTCTTGCATTAATCCTTGTATTCCAGCAGGTATACATTTTTTCACGTTTAGGATGATAGTGTCGTGTCGTGTCAATAAATTCTCCTTTTGGCTCAATCATATTATCTAACCAACGTCTATGAGGCAAATCTTTAAAATCGTCAATACCATGATCTAGCATGCTTTGTTTTGGATCACAATGATCGATTTCTTCGTGGACTGCATTCACATCACCTACAATCAGCACTTGTTTTCCCCTTTTATTCATAAAATAGTCGGCCCGCTTTTGTACACAAGCATGATAATCCATTTTAAATTCTGCTCTTGTTTCATTAGAGTAATTTGGAAAATAAATGTTAAATAGCACAAAGAATCCAAAGTCCAAAATGATACAACGACCTTCTGCGTCTAATATCTCTGCTGGTGTATTTAAATCATACACAAAATCATTATTGTCGACACCATCTAATACACCTGTAATTCCTTCATATGCATGAATAGGCTGTGGCTGAAATGTATCTTTGACATAGACTGCAACGCCTGAATAGCCCAACTTGACCTTTGAGAATGAAAAATAAGCATGATAACCTGGAACAATCGCCATATCCCTTGTTAATTTTGAACGTTGACATTTAACTTCTTGAAAACTTTTTTTATTTCTATATTAGTATTATTACACTTTTACATATCAAAAGACTAGCTCTTATTTACCAAATAATATCCGAATTAAGCTCATCAAGTAGGTACTAAGAATTGAATAAGATCATTAATGTATGTACTGATGAGCTTACTAATCCTTTCATTTTATTCTGTTTTTTTTGTTATTTTACTTTATATGATTTCTTTTCTGACCAAGGATAATATTGTAATGTTTTTGCTAATCCATTAACATTCCATGTTAATATTTTCATTTGCTTCGAAATCGATTATAAAAAGGGAAAAAAAATAAAAATAAAAATAAAATAAAAAAGTTGTTGAATTATGCTTGAAAATAATGATAATAATCGAATTACCATTTTTAGAACTTCTTTTTTTAAATCTATGACAGTTTCAAAATAAAAATGAAATGAAATGAAAGCAGCAATCATTTGTAAAATTAAACACGCTCAACGTGCATATTGCCATTAATAAGTAGATAGTAGATCATGATTTGATGTATTAAAGGTATAAATTACATCTAAACCGCAATATTGACAATTTTCATAATAGGTTTAATTTATTTCATGATCTTTCACATCGTGATCAAATTCAGTGTAAAGTGCACAAAAGATGGAGTCTAATAAAATCTATATACATGTAGCATTATCTAATAATAGAATAAATACAATTTATTGTATATACATTATTATTGTAATACACTTGGTTCACCAGGAATCCATTTACGAAGAGGTAAAGGTATATGAACTGTGCCATCTGGACGTTGATGAGTTTCTAAAAGAGCGATAATCATACGAGGCACTGCCATAGCCGTGCCATTTAAAGTATGACAGTAATCTACCCACTTTTCTTTAATATGCCAAGGGACTCGTACATCTTTAGTTCCTACTTGTTCTTTAAAATCTTTTGATAAATAGCGAATATCTAATCTACGTGATTGATAATTTGTACAATTTGAAGTAGACGAAATCTATCCACATTATATTCATTATTCTTTTTTTTTTTTTTTTTTTTTTTTTTTTTTTTTTTTTTGTTAAAATAAAACACTCTAGAACTTACCTCTCCCCAACCATTTTTACCGGGTAACCAAGCTTCTATATCGTATTTTCGATAGGCACTTGCTCCTAATTCCTCAGTTGGCATATCCAAAACACGGAAACAAAGCTCTAAATCACGAAACATATCTTCTTGTAATTCTCTTAATTCTTCTAACATTGCTTCACTTTGTTGAGGTGTAGTGACAGTAAATAACTCCACTTTAGAAAACTGATGAACACGATAAAGACCTCGCTCCTCAGCAGAGCCATGTCCTGCCTCAGCTCGGAAAGCATGACTAAACCCTACCATACGTTTCGGTAATGCCTCTTCATTCAACATTTTCTTGGCCATTAAGCCTGCTAAAGGGATTTCAGCTGTCCCTACTAAACACATTTGCGTATTACTTGATGGTGTTGATACATCATAAATCTGAGACGCTTCCCTTTTTCGTGGTTGAAATCCACAGCCATAAGCAATTGATGTTTTAACAATATCGGGCGTCAAGACGGGTTCAAATCCTCGTAGTGCTGCCTTTTGCATTGCATATTGGATAAGAGCCCATTCAAGCCAGGCGGCTCCATTTTTGAGATAATAAAACTTGGATCCCGAAATAAGTGAAGCCTGTTCAAAATCAATCAAATCTAACCGTTGTGCGATGGATACATGATCTTCAAGTGCGTCCCCTTGCAAAGGTTTACCAACGGTCTTGATCACACGTGCGTTAGCTTCAGATCCTCGAGGCACATCCACATGTGTTTCATTGGGGATCTGTAACGCTTGTTCAAGGAGTTCAGCATCCACTGCTATTAACTGATTCATTATTTGCTTTAATCGTTCTTTATGATTTTTAGCTTCTTGAACGTAACGATCGCAATTAGAAGATGATTGACGAATCTTTTGTTGGATGGCATCTCGATCCGCACGTAATTGATCAGATTGGGATTGTAGAGCTGATCGTTGTTCATAGAGTTCTTTTACACGATATACTGGATCTGTCTCATAGTTACGTGAGGTCATGTTAGCTGCTATAGTAGCCGTGTTATTTGCATAATATTCAAGATTAAGTTGTGGAGAAATGATGAATTGAGGATTGACATTATTAGTTGTTGATAATGTACGTCTTGATAATATTCGTATAGATTGCTTTACAACTTGGGTTAGACCGAGGTTAGTTGTGTTTCTTATCATCAAAGGCGTAATAGAGATAAAAGGAGAGAGAATTAATGTATCCGGCAAGGACAAGGGTGGAGGAATGACAGGTTAAATTTTTGAAAGGGCGAAAAATTGCAGAGATCTCAACAAAAGCACCACCAAAAGGAAGATTTAAAATTATTATATGTGCAAAATTTATAAACTAAACTGACTAGTAAATAAATTATATATGCATCATAGGGTAAGAAGAAAAAGAAAAAGAAAATAATAATAATAATAATACTGGCTTTTTTCCTTGAATTTCACGGCCTTTGACGTACAAGTATCGTTTTTTTTTTTAACATTTTATAGACTCAGGTAATTAATGTTAAGCTACAGAAGCAAGGCAAAAAGAATAAGAAGACTGTGATATTCCTAGTAAAATATCAAAATATAAAAATACTAGTAAATTTAATGAGACCGAACAATAGTTCTAAAAAGTCGAACATTTTATTAATGATTTAAGATGAGATCTATTTATACAGCTTCTTAAAAGATATACATTATTTCTACCGAAACCATTCATTCTTGGATACTTGAAGATATGAAAGAGATATACAAGAGGTAACAAGAACTATTATCACCCACTTGTTTTTTTTAAAAAAAAAAAAAAGTATACTTGTTACCTCTAAGGTAGTAAGATTTTACAAAAAAGAAGAACTGTGCATCCAATAAAGTTGCCCAATATCTTAAAGGCCACAAAGTTTCTAATTCCTGGTTCAGTCAAGTTATGTGAATGAAAACAGAGTGGAGCCCAAAAGTCCCAGGATCTCAAAGGCCCAAGATTTCAAAGACCACAATCCTGATATCTAACCTCTTAGCTCAAGTACGCTATGTGCTTAGGTTTAGCAATTCCTTCACAACACTAACATCTTAAAACAGTACTATTAAAGCCTTACAGGCCTTTGCTCACCAAGGGTGCACTATTTCAAATACAGTCATCTATCTTATACCTACTTTTATTAGTTTATCTTGCAAACATAGGGAGGGGGAGGGGGAGGGGGAGGATCTGTTGGTCATTCACTTTTCGTTATGCTAGTCTAGACTAATTATATCAAGACACAATAATCATAGACTCACGAATGCTATCTTAACATGAAAGGCTCTTGTTGAATCTTTTGTTGTTGTTGTTGTCCAGTTTATTTCATCCTTTGTTTGCTACTATTCTTTCTTTCTTACGATCAGGTGTGTTTTATCCATGATGAGAGGTGAAAAGTCAGCTTTATTATGTCGTGGTAGATTGCGATAGCAATAAGCAATAACGGCTTCTGCTTGCCAAACATGCTTCGTTATGTGCCAATGACTACAAAGTTGAAAGGCGAAAAAAAAAACGATACTTGTACATTAAAGGCCGTGAAATTCAAGGGAAAAATATAATAACGATATATATACATGTATATTTTTTCGAATTAATAGTATATAGATACAAATATAGAGAATATTTATAAACAGCATCATATACTTTTCTGTTTTTAATCGTAAGTTTAATAGCAGGGGACTTTGAAACAAGATAATTTTTTATCCGGATAGTTGCATAAAAATAGTCGCCGAAGTTCATCTTTCTCTTTTTTTTTTTTTTTTTTTTATATATATATATATATATATATCTATTTATTTATTTATACATATAAACATAATGGAAACTACTACTACTACTAGTGCTAGTGCTGAACAACGATTAGATGAAAACGCAAATCGTTTGCCTGAAGGATTCTTTCCAAAGCCTCAGCAAGATGTGTCTATGGATCAAGCAGGTCTGAACAAGGGACAGCATAAGCGTCGCATTATTGTCATTGCTTATGATCATTCTAATTACAGTGACGCTATGATTGCAAAAGCAATTCATCTTAGTTTGATAAATCCAACAGATGATATTCGTCTGATCAATGTAGTTAGTCAGTCCGATTATCGTACCATGTTTAGTTCTATGTTATCTTCACAACAAACTTCAGGTATTCATGAAGTCAGTCATAACGATACTATTGTACACGACGCAGCAGATGCTATGCTATGGGAAATTATTAAGACATTAAAACAGTCTGGTGTAAGTAAAACTATAGCAAATATTATTGCGTATCGTATTATAAACTTAGAGATATATATTTATATTATAGTTTGAAAATGTTTCCTCAGAAGTTCTTCAAGGCGATCCAAAAGCATCAATTACTGATTTTTGTCGTATAGTAAAACCAGCTTATTTGCTTACTGGTTCTCGTGGCCTTGGTGCTGTTAAAAGGTTTGTATATTGAATAATGGATAATATTACTTATTTTAATCATTATTATACAGGGCTGTATTAGGTTCTGTTTCTAGTTATTTGACTAAACATTGTCCTTGTCCTGTATTAGTCATTAAACTTGATAATGAAGAAATAGAAGCTCGTAAGGAATTACATAAGAAAAAAGAAATTTCTCTTGTAGGAATTATGAGTAAGTTTAAGAATATATAGAAAGCTCCAGGAATCTAATTTTTTTTTCTTTTTTTTTTTTTTTTTTGTATTAGATAATTATAAATTCAATAATTCTCTTAAATAATGCAATAGTATATAGCTCTTTACATATAAAAGATTAATATTTAATGTTCGTTTATCTTTTTTTTTTCTTTGTACATTAATAATGAAATACATTTTTATATTTTTCAATAATAAATATACTCAAAAGTTAATATCAGTGATAAAATAGGGAATTATGTTACGACGCTTCTTAGAGAATGCTAATATTTATAGCATACACACTATTAAAGGTATTTTTTTAAGAAAGTGCGAACTATATAGCCAATGATTAGTGAATACCGTATAAATTGTAAACTGAGTAGTAATGAATGAAACCATTTATCAGATTCAAACTATTTTTTTTTTTAATGTTTCTTTTACTAATGTTTTTTGCTTGTTGATCATTCTTTTAATGTTTCACTTGATTTTTTTTTTTTAATATTGATCAATACAATATATATATATAAAAAAAAAATGTGAATTTCTTTAATTGTCGTCGGTATATCTACTACCATATTGCAGCAAGAGTTTTACTTGAGCAAAGCATCATGGACTTTTTTGCAGTTTTATAAATCACGAGATTTGCACTTTTGACAAGCTCCGCTCGTGGAATACTGGTCTATTTTTATTATTAATGTTAGAAAAGATAGTATTCCCTTGCTAATAGGAAGAAGAACTTGTTGTTTTACTTGACAAGTTTTTATTTTATTTTATTCCTTTTTGTGAATATTCATCATTATAAGATAAATATTGCAATTTACCTTCTTTATTATGGAGCTACAGTCTACAAGAAGTTATAGGTTTTCAAGACATGTACAGACTATTATTGTAATAAAGTATTTTATTTGGTTAAATCACGAGTTTATATACTGTCAAGAAAAAATGAACCATGTAGATACAAATACTGTGCTCAAAGTTTATTTATATTAGCATAGATGACTATTTATGCTCCTGTAGCATTAAGCTTTGAAGAAGAATCTGGCAGATAACAGCTAAGCACAAAATACGAAGAACAACAATACTGTTGAAGATATGCTTAGGATTTGTTTTTATTCTATCTCATGTACCCATCTTTTATCTAATGCTACTAAACATATTGTGTATAAATGTATATATCATACTTGTAATACAAGTTAATCTCTTAAAAACAAAAAAATGCCCTACTTGTCCTTAGTAGATTAAGATAAACAATATAACCTTGTACATAGAATTTCACCTAACGGCATCTTCATTTTATACATAATAAATTGTTAATAACACTGTCAGTAAATTGATTGACCCTATTTTATTTCATAATATACTAATATGCTTTACTTGTACAATTGTATTCATATTAAACTGACTTATTATGAATAAGTTCAATAGGCATGATTCTACATGTTAACACATATTTACTAGTAATAACTCATCATTTAGCAGCTGATCGAACGTAATAAAGCCTTCCTTTAATAATATTAAAACGGAATGCAATTCACTATGAATGAATATTTGCTGCAAAGAATCAGTTTAGCTGAAATAAGAAAAAAAAAAAACTTTAACCTCAGATAAAAGTCATTTAATTTTAGGTTGTTGTAATCTAAAATTAAGATTCTTTATTTATTTATTTATTTCTTTTTTTTTTTTTTTCCCTTCATAATTCATTGCTCATGTACCTCTTTTGGGTGCTAGTAGTTCTAATATATGAAGTTATAGCCTATGAACAACACTGTATTGATCCTGCAAATTGTCAATTCTATCCTGTACATGGATGTTACGCAACTGATATTGGTCTTGTTTGCAAGAACCGAAGTAAATTATCTTTTATTATTAAGAAAAAAAAAAAACCTGGAGAAATTCTTATTTTTTTTTTCTTTTGTAGATAAAGGCGGATTTGAAATGAGTATAGATCCTATATATACATTCATATATACACCTCACAGTATAAAAAATGATACTGGCTTGCCTTGTCATACTATACCCATTACTGATGAATTGATAAACTATGTTGACTATCGAGGACCTCAAGTGATTGATGTCCAAGATTTAGAACTTATTGGAAATTGTAGTAGCATGTCTTATTGCGATAAAAAGACAAGAACCTGTCAACCGAAATTACCCCTAGGGAGCTTTTGTCAGTATAACATGCAATGTTATTTTGGCATTGATGGCATTCCAGGTCATTGCACGAATCATACTTGCTCTATTCGACAAGATATCCCTCAATATTATTATAATACACCTCGATGGACAATGGGCGATCAATGGCAAGCTGCTGTCATAGCTGTTCTAGTTACGGGCGGTATGGTGATCGTTTTACTCATAGGCCGTGCTCAACTAAAGAAATTAGTGGGTCAAATTAAAGTGATAATAGAAAAATGGCAAAATTCAGCTTTCACGCAACAAGAAAATAATATACCATTTGTAGCCAATGAACAAGTGTGGAATGAGCATCATGATCAAAGATGGTGGAAACAAGTACCTGGAATGAATTGGGTTTATAGTAAATTAAAACGTGGAGGAGGAAGTGAAGATTATTATCAATTAGATAATCGAGAAGAAGAAGAAGAGATAATCACAGAAGAGCCTCCTCCATATCAAGAAAATTAGCTCTCCCGTTTCATATGTATTTCTTATCTTGATACTAATAGTAAATATATAAATGTATTCATTCTATTTTACTTGAATGTCTTGTTTATGAGTAGTTGAAAATCATTATAAACAAAAATTTATTCTACTTGAACTAACTAACTTACATACATGCCTTTCTCTCGAATGTAAATAAAACAACTAATCTTTAATTTTGATACATGTAGTTCATTTACATAAAGTAGTTTAAACAATGTTAATGTGTTGTATCAACCCATGTTTTTATAGATTATATCACTGCCATGTTAATAAATTGTAGTGTCGCATCTAACAATAAAATAGTGTCACATATACAAGTGTTCATTAAATAAGACGACCCGCAAGGCAGTCATGAAAACATTGAAGGGAGTAGCATGCAAACCCTTCAAAAGATGGCTGGGCAATAGTATTATTATTGGCAGCATCATTTTGCCAAAGAAAAAAAAAAAAAGGTGTATAGTGCTGTTATTCAAATTTAAAAAATTAGTCCGGTGAAATGCAGAGGACTTTATTCTATTGTTGTTGTGCCTTAAAAAAAAAAATATTTATTTATTTATTTATGTTTTCGTAATATATTAAAAACTTGATATATAAATTACAAAATTCCATCGATATGATCACATCAGTAATTGGACTTAGGAGGGACCGAAAGAATGCAGGTAATATAGTATTAAACCTGATATTGTAAATAGATATATATATATATATATATATATTAACATGATCATCTTATTAGTTTCAAAGGATTTCAATTCAATGATGCTATACAAGAAGCCACCAAAAGGTCGTGGAAGACCTTCAAAGGGAGGACAAGCACTTCGATCAAAACGATATTATATTAAAAATCATTTAATGGTATTGCAAAAGAGACGACTAAAGAGATACATAGATAAAGTGAAAAAATGGATAGCTAAATTTGAACATGATTCAGTACTTATTCTTAATGAGCTTGATCTTTACTGTAAAAAGGCAGTAAAGATGCTTCAAGTATTTGGAAGGTAACTATTTATCAAAAATAAAATAAAATAAAATAAATCTTGCTTATAACATGATTTAGAAATCATCTTTTATATTATATTAATTCAGCAAGAGAGGATCACTATTTGGCCTTTATGAATGAAGAAGGGGAAGCATTTATGGACTTGCTTTTTGAGAATGCTAAAGAGCAACAAAGTAAACCTTCACATTCAATGTTAGATAGAATAGAAAGGGAATTAAGGGAAAATCATTTGCCATTATTGTTTACATTATCAACTCTATTATCAGCTTATTTATTACTTAATTATGCAGAAAAAGTAAATGAACGAATGGCAGATGAAGATAGAAAAGAAAAGATTAAACAAAACTGTCTTGAGATTTACAAAGTCTCATATAGTCATATTATTGCATATTATAAAGATAACACTGATGATGACAATAAAGAAACAAAAGTAGTCGATCTGCCAGAGTTCATTGAAGAAAACAAAGATTATGGAGGTGATGAAGGAACTGTTAATGAAGATAAAGATGAAGGAACTGCTAATAATGAAGCTAGAAATGAGGGAACTGTTAATGAAGCTAGAGATGACTTTGATTGTATGGAGACAAAATATAACAAAAAGGAAAAGGCTTGCAGTAATAAAGCATTGAAAATTAAGAAAGAAAAAAGAAAGCGTTTTCTTAAAAGAAAATAAAAATGTCCTAATAATAACTCATTAAAAGTTGTGTTACCTCCTCGTCAAATAGATAACTACTGGACTTCAAATTATCTTTTTATAAATAGAGTAAAAGGGTAGTTAGTTGTTCGTTTTTTTTTTCTTTTAAAAAAAATAAAATAATGTCTTTTTTCGATACTCTTCCTTTTTCTTATACAGAAGTCAATACTCGTAATGGTATTGATACTGTTCAATTTCTTGAAGCTACTAAAGGCCTTGTTAAACTTTTTGGTACATTCTATATTTATTTATTGGGAAGGGGGGGTTTTTATTTATTTATTTATTTATTTTGCTCATCATACACAATGATGACTAGATTTACTTGGATCTTCTGCATTCTCTGTTGTTCAAAGTGATATGAATGGTAATATTAAGGTAAATTAAAAATAATTGGCTCGAGTGTAGTCTATAGTACCTATGCTTATAATTTATTAGAAAATCACAGATCGCTATATATCAAATCCTTCAATCAATGAAACCCTTCAAAAATTGATGGCTACTGAAGCCCCTGAAAAGAAGAGAGTAGCTACTGAAGGCCTTCTTTGGTTGACCAGGTAAGGGAAAAAAAAAAAGAAAAAAAAAACAGAGAGAAAGAGAGAGAGAGAAAGAGAGAGAGAGAGAGAGATAAGGGAAATTATTCCGATTTGATATTAAAAAATAAATCGAAATAGAGGACTTGATTTTACAGCACAGGCTTTACGTCGTAGCATTGCTAATCCAGAAGAAGAATTAAATGTTTCGTTTACTAAAGCTTATGAACAAACATTAAAGAAATATCATAACATGCTTATTCGTCCTGTATTTGCTGTAAGTTTGAATAGATATAATAATCGTCATCATAGTGATATTGAATATACATGTTTATATAGCTTGCTATGAAAGCTTGTCCTTATCGTAAAACTTTTTATGAAAAGATTGGTGTTGTTTCGGATGCTACACTTGATCAAATGAAGCATTGGCTAGAAGCTCTCGAGACTATTATTTGCATTATTCAAAATGAATTCAAGGAGAATCCCCAATATATTAAGGGCATGTAAATATGCTATTCATATTCTCTCTCCAATTCTATTCATATACTAGTAGTAATAAAAAAAAAAGACATTCTTCTGTACAAAAGAGGTTGATATTATTCTATTATTCATGTATTTTTTTTTCTTTTTAAAAAAACAAAACAAAACAAAACAAAAGCACATGACGATGGTAGGTTGAATACTTATAAATGTATATCTATCTTTTCTTCTCTATTGAATTTTTTTCATTGTATTATTCATTTGTTGCCCAACAGACATATTAACTTGATTTAATGGTTGCAGGTTTTTCTCTTTGAATGCAGCTAATTGATTCTCTACTTCAGTCAAATAACGCTTCGAGAATACATCTATATAGTAACTCGCTCCATTCCAAACGCTTACACCAAACATGGTAACCAAACAAAATGAATGAAGCCAAAATGACTTGTAATAGAAATAAGTAAGCGCACATGTTCCTAGAGTATACCAAAACTGCCAAAAGATAAGCATAGGTAACTTGTATCTTTCACCAAACATGCAAGCTAATCTCAAAATAAATGGTTTCTTCCCTTTTTTTTTGTTGCTGTCACTACTGTCATTTAATAAGGTCGAGTAGGAGGTAGTGTAGGATCCCTTTTCGACTTTATCTCCTCGTGCAATAACCACAACGGCAATGTAAAAGATCTGCCACGCTAAATAAAATAATGTGGAAACGATTAACGTGTACCACCATCCCATCGTGGATGGCATCTGAGAGGCACCAGGAAAATGAAGATTCCGATAAGCAAGTGCTATCTCGGGATCACGATGCAGCACAGGTAGCCAACGTAACGTATAGGTCACTAAAGCAGGGAAGATATGGATAAAGACAGAGGTGACTTTATCTAGTGAATGAAAGACTAATGAATTGCGCCAAGTAATAATAGCCCATATCACAGGTCCATTCGTTAGTGTGAAGGCAGCAGTATAAAGCAAAGTAGAAGAAGGGAAAGCCCATAAAAATAACAATGTTAAGAGATTAACATAATAACACAGGTCAAAAAAGAAATAATGCCATCGTTTAGATCTATAAATAAAGTATCGAATCGTGATAAGATAAAAGGATTGAACGGTATAATAGATTGGAATATAGATGGGGATTCGTGCAGCAATGACAGGTGTAATCCATGTGTTACCTACGCCAAGTACAAATGAAACCTTGTCTCGTAATCTCATTGTCTTGGCATCTCGATGTATACGATTATTGATTTGAGTATATTGTCGAAGAAGTCGCTCTTGAATAACGGCCCTTTGTGCTTCAAGATGTAACTTCTGTTTCTGTAGCCGATTCTTGGTTATTGAAGTCCATTCAGAAGATAATTTAGTTTGAATTTCATTCTTAATTTCATGAATTTGTACAGTAACCTGTTCTAATGCTAACGATAGTACGTCAATCGTATCATCTCCTGTAGCTGATGTGTCCCAGTCATCATCTAAGGTCGATAACCCATCAGTATCATCATTATAATAATTGTCTTCATCATTTAATGTTGTAGAAGAGTCATTTTCATTTGAACTGTAAAGTTTTTCTTCCATTGTAGTGTGTGTGTGTACACAATAGAAAGAGAGGAATAAAGAAAAAGAGAAAGAAAGAATGAATGAAAAGAAGCATCTCTATTTAATACATGTAAAAAATTAAACTTTTTTTTTTTTTTGACAGTTGCTTCAAATAAAACGGAGTTCCCAAATTATAAATTAAACAAAAATCAAAATGCTTGGCTTAATAAACACTTTGGAATAGCTTCTTTTATTTCCTTCCATGATTCGAGTTATTCTATCTACTGCTTGCTTTTACTTTTTTTTTTTATAATTATGTATATTTTATAAAAATGCCTTTATGTTATTGAAATTTCATTTTATTGATATCTTGTAATTCATTCTTTTATGTTCATTATTATCAAAAAAAAAAAAAAACTTCTCAATTTTTCTTGCTTATATTTATCACTGTTATTATTTTATTACATAATACGACTTGTCCCACCAGTAGTAATAAAAATAATTCAAGTACTTTCCAAGTCCGGTCCGAACTTTTTTTTTCTAGTGATATTCGGACTCTTCCTATTTACTTGGTTGTTGGGAAAAGGAATCAAGAGGTCTGAAGCATAGCAAATCCTCCCTTTTCTTATCGATTGTAGACATGGTAAGGCATCATGACTTGTTTTTTTTTATAAAAAAGAAAGAAAAGGGACACGCAAACTCCATATTCGAAATTAAAGAGAGATAATGAACGATGGATGAAAAAAGAAAAAAAAACTCCTATATAATGAAAGAGAAGAATTTTATGACATATATGCAATAAACACAATCGTTACGACGTTCAATTAAAAAAAAAAAAAATCAATTATGTTTTTTCTTTAAAAAAAATCAAATGATATAAAATGGAATTCAACTTTTACTATATTAATTCATTACGAGAACCTTGCTTCTCTCCTTCCCGTTCTCTTTTAATTTTGAATATGGAGCATAAGGAGACGTGCATGATTAAAGCGGTAATCTAACTTTTTACTTTCTTCTTTTTACTTTGAATTTAGGACTCTTCAAAGACCCCCGTCAAGCTCGCTAGAGTTACTAAGGTTCTCGGCCGTACCGGTTCTCGTGGTGGTGTCACCCAAGTCCGCGTTGAATTCATGGACGACACTAACCGTTCCATCATCCGTAACGTCAAGGGTCCCGTTCGTGAGAACGATATCCTCTGTCTCTTGGAATCTGAACGTGAAGCTCGTCGTCTCCGTTAAAGAGTAGCAGACAACCCATTTTTATTTTATTTTTTTTGGCAGCATTCAACTTTCCAAGAAATAAAAGTCTAAATTGCAGCAGAATATTCTGATGTAAATTTTTTTAAAAAAAAAATAGACGATACGCTTTATATATTTGTATATTATGAACATTGGGTGAGATAATACATTGTAGAATAGTTGGTGTATTATTTATGGATTCATGAAAGGAAAAAAAAAAAAAAGAGAGAGAGAGAGAGAGAGAGGGAGAGAGAGAGGGGAAAATTAGTAAATGAGGAACAAGATCAAAGATATGTAAAAAGATGAATTCCACTTGAATAAATTAATTAATGGAAGGAGTTCCTAAAAAGGATCTAGGTCTTTTATAGGGGGGTCCTTTAATTCCATTTAATGTCGGTCTACGATGAATTGTTTTTTGATTTGGTGTAGCGATGTTTCTGGGACTTGAAGTATTTGTAGTAGATCTATATAATCAGTAATATGAATATAGGCCAATAGTAATTCAATCTATTGAGAACTTACGTGTTGTTTGCTGTTTCTGTTGACTGTAATGGTATGTTACTATAATGATTATTATCACTTAACACTTTTTGCATTTCAAGTTCACGTTTCATTTCATTAAAAGCCCATCGTTCAGCCTAAATAAGACGTATAAGTGTATGAATGTATGAATTAAAAAAAAATAAAAAAAAATACCTCTAACTGGGCTCTCTGTTGTCCCAAAGTTATGGCAGATTCAGTTATCTTACGTTGATCTTGTAACATTTTTTTCTTTATTTGTTGTTGTTTAAGGAGATTACTTGATTGTAATTCGTCTAAAGAATCTTCAGAACTATAAAAAAAAAAAGGTTGGAAATAGGTACAAAGCTTATTATTCTATAATGCTTACTCTGATATGATATATGCATCTTTAGGTGTTGGGTATAGAGTATTAAAGAAATCACCTTCTTCAAATCGTTTGTAAATTCTCATCTTTTCTTCATATTCAGTCTTTATATCATCTATTGTTTGAAGTAAGTTCTGAACATTTTCCTCCAATGAACTTATTGTATCCGTATACTCTTTAATATCATCTTCTGTGTATTCTTTAGGCTGATTCTTTATCTGATGATCCCATTCCTCTTTCAATCTGTCCAGCAGATTTTCTACCTGTTTAGCTGCTTCTTTACCTCCACAATCCATTGGCAAACGAAATTTGGCAGCCTCATCATAAGAATCACGACTTTTCGTTTGTTTCTTTATCTCATTTTCAAATCTTTGTATTTGGGATTCTAATAATCGACGTACACCTGTATATAATTTGATTAATGCTGCCCTTAACTCTTCACTCTCTACTCGCATTTTTCCTTCTTTCTCATTCGACTTGGTTAATAAATCTGTATACATTGCTCGTGTTTGAATAACTTGATCATTATCTGATTCATTGTTTGTAGTTGTATCAAAATATTTGTTCATATTTAAATATGAAATATTGACTTTATAGTTATTGTTCATTAACTTTAATAGTCTTTCTTGTGTCTTTGCTAAATCTTGTTCGTGTTTCTTTGTTTCATGCTAGAGAAAAAAAAATGAATATATCAAAGGTATAGATGTAACTATTTCTACTTACAGCATATTGTGTTTTCATATATTGCATATTATTCTTTGCTTTTGATATCTCTTCTTTTAATCTATTCATTTGTGCTTGTTGTTTTTTATAATTGATTTCAGTTGTTCTATCAAAAAGAAAAAAAGGGAATAGAATTTAATACCAAGATATGATTGATATAAAATATGTTAATTACTCTAATTTGTCTTTAATCTCTGCGTTATGTCTTTCTTTCAGTTGTAAATTACGTTTCAATTGAATCTATTAAACCACATTTAACGTTAAAAATAGTATACATTGAATTATTGAATTTACCATTTGAGTTTCTAAAGTTTCTCTTTCTTTCTTTAATTGATTAACAACTGACACAAGTTCTTCCTTTTCTTTCTCATCAGTCTAAAATAAATAAATAAAATAATGATTAATTTATGGTATGGTGTATTACATTGTTTTACATACTTTTCGATCATTTAATAGAGAATAAATACAATTAACTATTTTACATTTATCAGCTATTTCTACTGAATCAAATAAAAGAGGGACAGGGTATCCATGACTTGTTAATAATATATTTACGTAATTAGATGAAGCATTAAAAGAATCTGGAGTGCAAAATCTAAGGAGAGGAAAAAAAAAAAAAAAAAAAAAGCAATAAACCTAAATTTTGTTGTTCACCATTGATGACTACTTGTATAAACATACCTTTCCAATTCAGCATGCTGATCAGCGATATGAGTAGGAGATGTAGGAATTTCTAATGAACTAAAAGAAAAAAAAAGTATTTAATATTATTTAACTTTTTTTTCTCGTCCTTTATTTTATATTTTACTTTATATCAAATGAATCATTATCTATTGTAGTCATTATTTCATAAGAAAACAAATAAGGAACAACAACAAAAAAAAAAAAATTTTAATTGAGTGTAGTGCTTAAAGAATAATAGGGCGGAGTTTTATTATTATTTTTTTAATTTAGCTTTCTTTGATGATTTTTTGCTCTTTTTCTTCTTCTTTTTATCTTTCTTTTTACCAGCTTTAGGATTCGATGTTTCATCTTTATCTTTCTTTTCTAATTTATTTGATGATGAGTTCTCAGCTTCATTATTATCAGATAAATGGCTTAGTAGATTTTCATAATCAGGCACATCACTTTCGTCAGAACTGCTTTCATTAGAGTCACTGTCATTTATCATTTGTGTCGAATTGCTTGAACTATTTGAAATCATTCTATTCTTTGCTCTAATGATATTTTCTGTAATTTTATCGATTTCTGGTGACTTTTTTCTTGTTTCTTCAATCTCATCTTCGTCTTCTGCATAATCATCTATAAACCTTGAAACAGCAGATCGTCGATGTAAATCTTCATCTTCTTCTTCATCTTCTTCATCTTCATCTTCTTCTTCACTTATGGATATTACACTCTTACTATCAGTATCATCATCCGTTTCATCATCTTCACTTATTAATTCAATTCTTCGTTTACGATTATTATATAATACACGCTCTTCATCATCTAGAAAAAAAAAAAAAAAAAAAAGAAGGATATTTATCAAAAACAAGTCTCTCAACCTTCTTCATATATGTAATATTTACCATCACTTATTTCAACAGGTTCTTGTTCATTAGGAAATGTATGACTATCATCTGAATAAATAATAGATTCATCATCATCAACAACAAAATCTGACAAATCCCTTTCGTCTTCATGATGTGATTCTGTATCAGATACTTCAAAGTTATCATTATTGGGACGATCTACAGTAAATGTAATCATACAATTTGAACAAAAGTTTTCTTCATCTAATTCCCAACCACATTGTGAGCAACGATAACTATACGTGTATAATGTTAATGAGATTCTATGTATATATATATATATATATATGTATATGATATTGACTTACATGACACCATCTTCATCTTCATCACGAATACAGTTTGCTTGGTTATCAATAGGATATAATTGTATCCAATCCGCACGAGTTAATCGAGTTGAGGGTATAGCATTGGCAGGTCTAAAGAAGTTACCTATACAACTAATTAATATATAAATGTATATAGAATAGATCTTTTCGAATTCTATGAATTTACTTAATTGTTGTAAAGTAATGATATGAATAGGTTGACGTATAGCGGGTACTCGACATATAGGGCATGATTTATTATTCTTTAACCATTCAAAAATACATTGTCCACAATAGCAGTGACCTTTTTTTTTTTTGGTTTCTAATTAATTTTTTTTTATATATGAATTAAATAAAATTTACCGCAGTTTAAAGAATGAGGATCTTCAAAGATGCCTTGACATATAGTGCAGGTTATCTCTAAATAAGATGAATAAGTTATTTTTTACTTAAGTTATATTTCACGTAAAGAAAAGACAAAAAAAAATACCATGTTGAATTTTTTCTAGTTTATCAACATGTTCAATTGACATTGTGATCAACAAATAAAAAAAAAAAAAAAGAAAAAGAAAAGAAAAAGTAGACTTGAAAAAAAGTAAATTCAGGCTCCGTTCGATAAAAAAAAAAAAAAAAAAAAAGTCATCAAACGCGACACTATAAAGTATTTCCAAATATTACGTAATTAACCACTTCAACTTATTATGCTGCACAGACGACTTGGGGGGAAAAAAAAATAAGCTTAAATAATAATAATGATAATGAGTTTATTGAATTACAAGAATTACATTAAAAAAAGAAAGATATAATAAAGTAAAGTAATATGTTGATATTAAAGAAAGTCCACTTAGATTTTAATAGTCGTAGTTACCAGGGATAACTCTTTCACAACCATAGGTAGAAATACCAATGTTACAATCTTCAGAGTTGTTACAGCAACGAATACAGAAGGTATCAGCATTAGGACCAACCAAGTTGACAAAGTACTTGTAACCGTTACAGCTGGCACAAGGAACATCATGGTAATCGTATTGTCCACCATCATCAGAGGCGTGCAAGTCGTACTTTTTACGATCAAATCTACCAGTGACTTGAGCATAATTGTCAGTCTTTAAGAAGTGAGCAGCTGTGATAAAACCTTCAGGGAAGACCTCACCACCCAAACCAGGTTTAGTACAGAAGGCCTTGCCTCTGCTTTCAGTAGTAGCTACAAAATCTCCAGGATGAGGAGGCAAGAATGAACAGAATTCAGTTTCAGACTTGACACTAATCTTATAGTAAGGTTCAACTGGCTTAGCATTGCTACTGAAAACAGCAAGAGCAGCAAAGAGTGCAAGAGCGAAAGCAGATTTCATTTTGTTAGTATTATTATTATTAATATTAAAAATAAATAAATAGATTAATGTGTAGAATAATAATGTAGGAAAAAAAAAAGAAGAAGAAGAGTCTTCTTATATACTACATTGAAAAAAAAATGGTTGTCTTTAAGGTCTATAATTAAATCTATTCCTATTCTTTTTTCAGTTGTATGAATCAAAAATACATCATAAATCATCATTGTCATAAAAATAGTATCAAAAAAGTGTACCTTATTGGTTTATTTTATTCAGTATACTATGCTTCTAAATCTGTCACTTATTCATGATTTGACACATTGACAGTAATAGTCAATAAAAAAAAAAGGCCAAGACAGAGGGCAGAGTCTTATAATTAAAAATAGTAACAAACAAGATAAGAATAAGTAACTGTCAACGTGAAGGATATTATTAAAGTCTTTTGATATCAATAAATAATAATATAAAATTTGAGTTTATTATTATACGCATCTTATTGAAATTAAATTAAAATAAAACTAAAATAAGATAATAAAGAATAGATGAGTGAGCGATAAAGAAAGGGGGGACCAGTAAAAATCATTTGTATTGAAAACAAGCTTGTTAATAAATTTTTGCTTTTTTGACATACAGTAGTAGCAGTAATAACCGGTACAGCAAACCACAAGAAAAAAGTTTAAATACAAACATTATTTTTTTTTTTTTATGAATTGTAATGGTCAGCATATTTTTTTTTTTATTATTCTATTACAACGCCTATATTTAGACTTTTTTTTTTTTTTTTTTTTTTTTTTTTTTTAAATAACCGCGTTACAAAATAACCCCTCTTTATTTTTATTGTTTGAACTATAAATATGCACTTACAATATCTTTTACTAGGATTAAAAAAAGTTTATTTATCAAAATAAAGCAACCAATGAGCACGTAGCATTTATATATATTTTGTTGCCTTAGTCAGTATTTTTTTTTTTTAAAAAAAAAAGAAAAAAAATAAAGCTCTTAAAAATCCAACGGTATGAGTATACTAGTCTATTACAAGGACAACCAGTATATCAGTTTGAGAAAGAAGTGTTTGATGAAATAAATAATCCTACTCCATTACATCTTCTACAACAGTTTTTTTCAACTTGAAATTGAGACTAAGTTAATTTTTTTATGCTTATTATTTTATTTATTGACAAAACAAAAGAAAAGCAAAATAATCTTCTAGTGAACAGCTCAGACCTGTTATTCCATTTTACTCAACAATAAAAAAAAAACAAAAAACTTTCAGTAAAGATCAATAATATTTGTTAAAAGTAGGAAAACAATAATATAGTGAGCCTTTGTCGAACAATCAATTGCTGATTTAAGTTTACTATAAAATGAGGAGAAAGAGAGAGAGAGAAGAAAAAAGGATAGCATTGATTTAGTTACGCATTAAAATTATAATACTGTTTGTGATATTGTTTTAATACTCATTAGCAATTACCTGTTTAATGCTGTGTTGGATATTTGCTTTAATATTGGCTCATTCATCGTTGGGGATGTGGAAAGTATCTTGCTCACTATTTCAACGGCAAAAAAAAAAAAAATTCTCAAGTGTCAACATATATTTCTATTATGTTACTTGTGTCTTGATGGATCTTCAGAGGATATTAGAGTTTTATGGCCATTCGAGAGCACATCTATATCAAGGGGTCCACAAAAAGCCAGGTAAAAAAATGGTCAGCACCTTGATAAATGGTAGGAAGAAGTATACTATATATTGCTTACCATTTTTATAGAATGATATCTAAATATCAATATAGATCTGCCATTTCTGTAGATAAATCTCATTCGCTCAAGCCATTGTCAACCTACATATTATTCTCACTTGTCAAAGCTACAGAATAATATAGCAACGCGACGCTAATGCTTTCAAGAGCATTTCCAATCTCTCACAGTAAGAAGTGAATGAATAAGACTGACTTGTAACTATTTTTTTTTTAAGATTACATATTCAATGTTATTTGCTGATAATTCATTTATTGGCGTATTATTATAGAGATGTATAATAAATAAAGACTCAATAATTTAGTTCTATTTTAAGAATAACATATATCAATCAATAACGCGTTTATGTCTTCAATGAATTTATAGAACATGCATAAAATAAAAATAAAAAACTTGATTACAGGAAGGAAATCAGGGACAACAATGATAACATTCAATCGCAGTTATTATAAAATAACTCAAACTTTTTTGAAAGAAAAAAAAAATAAAATAAAAAATAATTGTCTAAATTAGGGAAAATAAATAATTATATATAGTAATCGAAACCTTTATTATTCAAATGGAAATATATGTGACTATGCTTTGAGCAGTATTCATCTAAACAACGTCGTCGTATTGAATGTATTTAGATTCTAAAACTACGAAATTAACCATTTTCTTTTTTTTTCTTTTTTTCTTTTTTTTTTTTCTTTTAGTTATTTTTAGGTGGTGTTAAGTTCTCTTTATTATGTTTAGTAAACACAAACTCAGGAAATAACTATTACGTAATAATAATAATAGTAGTAGTAGTAGTAGAATACTGCTACAACGGAACGTATTATTATTACTATAACAATAAAATGCATTATTCCCCCCCCCAAATAATAGCTTTTTTTTCCCCTTTATAGGCATATTTTTAAGCTTCATAACCATAGTAACGTCTTTTATTTGCTATTATCTTGCTGTTATAAAATTACAAGTTGTGTGTGTGTTTTTCTCTCCACTATTAAATAGACTTTATTGGTTTACAAAGTATGAATAAACAAGATAATTTTAGTCAACAAAATAATAATCCTCTAATTCATCACTGCTATCATACAGTTTATTATCAAAAATACAAGAATTACATTTTAACCATTTCCTTTTTTTTTTCTTCTAAAGACAATATTATCATAATCAACAGATGATATCTATTATCTTTAAAGAAAGGAACTTGATCATCATAAAAATAAAAACGATCTATGAGATATAGAGAGTCTATTTCCTTTTTTTTCCCCTTATTGCTATCCATATATTCTTTACGGTTTAATTGAGTTGAAGAATTTGTTGCATAGATATGTAAAAAAAAAAAGAGCTAAATTATTAAGCATTTTGAGGCTGTTAAAGGCTTTCAAAGAGAGCGAGAGAAAAAAAAACATCTATAATTAATATTGATATTATTTTTTCGGTCATGATAAGATATTTTAAAGAATAATGAAGATACATATATATTGTACATCGTGTATGCATGTGTGTGTGTGTGTGTAGACGAGGATAATAGTAGTATTCCCCTATTTTCCCCACACACAGTAAGCTGATAAAACTGCTTAATAATCTACATTTTTTTTTTCTCTCTTACTCCATCCACCCCTCCCTCCCTCCCCCCAATCTGAACTTTTTTTTTTTTTTTTATCATTATTATTATTTGTATCAACTATTATTATGAATAGCCTTACTACTTTTCGTAAAATTCAAGCTTTTCAAATAGGCAACGACTTTTCTAAAGTAACAAAAGTTGTTACAGTAAATTACCAAGATTTACTTTTAAATTTAAAGCCTAATAATGTAATTGTTAAAAATATTTACCTTGGTATTAACGCTTCTGATGTTAATTTTACAAATGGAAAATACATTCCTGACATTAAACCGTAAAGACATAACAGAAAACAAAAATATATATATATATATATATACATATATAAATATGTTTATACTATTAATTTTAAATCTTGTTATTATTATTATTTAATTAGACCTTTTGATGTTGGATTTGAAGCTCTTGGACAAATAGTTGCAGTTGGATCCAATGTTTCAAATGATAAAATGGGGTTATTTGTTGTTTATACTCAGTATGGTGCCTTTGCTGAGTTTGTAGAGATATCTCAAAGAGCTATTATTCCTGTCCCAGTAAATATAGCTGATATACTTTGTACTAAAAAAATATATATATATTTATATACATATAATAACATGAATGTAATAGAATGATAGGCCTGAACTTTTAGGGCTTTTAACTTCAGGTTTAACTGCATCTATTGCATTAACTGAAACAGGTCGTATGACTCAAGGCGAAACTGTCCTTATCACTGCCGGTAAATAAATACAGTGTGTCTTTTTTTTTTTTTTTTTTTTTTTTTTTTTAAAATAATAATAATAATAATAATAATAATAATCACTACTTATTATTATGTATAATAATAGCTGCTGGTGGCGCAGGACAAATTGCTGTTCAATTAGCTAAATTGGCTGGTAATCATGTCATTGGTACGTGTTCAAGTGAAGATAAAGTAGACATGCTCAAGGTATGTATATCATAGATGTATTATTTTATTTTATTTTACTTTTTTTTTTATCTCCCTTTACTAACTAACTAAAACTATGTTTCCTTAGAGATTGGGATGTGATAGAGTCATTAATTATAAAAAGGAAGATTTTAAAACAGTCATGAAAAAAGAATATCCTCGAGGTGTAGATATTATTTTTGAAAGTGTGGGTGGCTCATTTTTTGATATTTGTCTCAAATCACTTGCTGTGCGTGGACGATTAATTGTGATTGGTACTGTTTCTACTTATACAGATGCCAATGGCATGGCAGGCGATAATGTAAATACATTAAAACTTCTTGGTACTTCTCGTACAGTAGCTGGATTTTTTCTGCCCGATTATAAGGATCTACACGCTTCTCATATGGCTCAATTAATTCATTTAGTACAAGAAGGCAAATTAAACGTTTTTATTGATCATGGTCATCTAAAGGGGATTCATCAAGTTGCTGATGCCGTTGCTTATCTTCATTCTGGTAAAAATAAAGGGAAAGTGGTTATTCCTTTGATTGAAACTGGTAATAATAGAAGATCTAAGATCTAAAAAAAATAAATAAATAAATAAAAATAAACAGTCACAAAAGTCACAATGCATTCATACTTTCGGAGATTTTTTTTTTTTTTTGGGAGAGAGAGAGAGAGAGGAGATTCTGCTTTTTTTTTTTACACACAAGATAATAACTGAACTTACATCTTATGAGTTTCTTTCTCTTTCTTTCTTTCTTTCTTTCTTTCTTTTTTTACTCTTTTACTTTTACTTTATACATTAAATCATGAAAGAATATCAACGTGAATTTATTGAATTTGCACTTGAAAACGATGTTTTAAAATTCGGTTCATTTAAACTTAAATCAGGTCGAGTATCACCTTATTTCTTTAATGCCGGTTTATTTAACAGTGGTAAGACATTGGGAGCGATTGGTAAATTTTATGCTGCTGCCTTGGAGGATGCAGGATTTAAATATGATGTTCTCTTTGGCCCTGCCTATAAGGGTATTCCCCTTGTCTGTGCTACTGCTTTATCTCTCTCCACGGATTACAATAAGGAGGCCCCCTTTAGCTTTAATCGTAAAGAAAAGAAAGATCATGGTGAAGGTGGCAATATCGTAGGTACTCCACTTCGGGGTCAAGTTGTGGTTGTCGATGATGTGATCACAGCCGGTACAGCTATTAATGAGTCCATTGAAATTATCAAGCAAAACAATGCTCAATTGACAGGTGTCCTTGTCGCTGTCGATCGTGCTGAGGTTGCTCCTGATGGTAGTGGCAAGAGTGCTATTCAGGCTGTTGAAGAAAAAAATAAAGTTCAAGTTCGTGCCATCATTTCTATGGATCATATCATGGAATATATGGAAGAAAAGGGCACCTTTGAAAATGAACTCAACTTGATGAAAGAATACAAAGCTCAATATGGTATTAAAAAGAATTAGAATCATATAATTTATTTGTTTGTTTTGTAATATAGAAATAAAATGCATATATGTATATGTTTATATGTATATATAAAAGAAGAAGAAAAAGAATAAGAATAAAAAAAAAAAAATCAATGCCAATCTATTAACAAGTGTAGTAGTAGTAGTAGCAGTAGCTCAGTAGAGTTAGATAATAAATGACAATTCAAGTCACGAAATCTTTTTTTTTTTTATTCTATTTTTATTATTATTATTATTATTGTTATTATTTCCTTCATGTCAGTAAAAGACAACTCAGAAATAATGAATGATAAATTATCTTATGAGTTAAATGAAAAAGTATTATGTTATCATGGTCCTTTGATTTATGAAGCAAAAGTAAATAACTGCAAAGAGGGGCTTTCTTTTCTTTTCTTTCTTTTTTTTTTTAATATGTACTTAATTGAAATAATAGATTCTTGATCGAAATTGGATGGATAAAGATCCAGAATTGACAGGTCCTTATTATTTTGTACATTATAAAGGCTGGAAAAGAAGGCAAAGATAGTTAGAAGTATACATGTTTTAATATTGACCAACTCACTTACTTGATAAATATATACACATTAGTTGGGATGAATGGGTACCCGAAACAAGAATATTACGTTGGTCTGAAGAGAATCTTAAGATGCAATCAAGACTAAAATCGTTTTATCTTTCTAAAAAAGATGGCAAAAAGATGTCTACATTAAATGAGGAAGATAATGATTCATTAGATGGCAGTAAAAAGGCAAAACTGGATGAGGAAGAGGAGAGTTATTTAAATAAACCAGAATTAAGGCTTGATATACCCGATACACTCAAAGGCCAACTGGTTGATGATTGGGAAAATGTGACAAAGAATCAACAATTAGTTACACTACCCAGAACGATTACAGTAAATGATGTTTTAGCAAGATATAAAAGATTTAAAAGAGATAAAAAAGGAAATAATCAATTGTAAGTTCACTATGATTATGTAATGGATTCTTATTCTTACTATAAACACATATAAACAGAAACGAAGATTTGTTAGAAGAAGTGTTACATGGTTTACGTATTTATTTCAACAAGGCATTAGGATCCATGCTATTATATAGATTTGAAAGACATCAATATGCTAATATTAGAAAAGATTACCCTGATAAAGAGTTAGTTGATATTTATGGCGCCGAACATTTCTTGAGATTATTTGGTAAAAAGAAAAGAAAAAGGATTATCAAAAAAAAAGAGTCATGTTTACATTTCTTTTGTTATAGTTCAAATACCTGGTTTAATTGCACACACAGACATGGATCCTGATACAGCTGAAGTCCTAATGAGTTATTTAACAGACATTTTAAGGTAATTAATACTAAGGGTACTTTTTTTTTTACATATAAATTTATATTTTCATATTAAATAGATTTATGCAGAAACAACAAAAGCAATTATTTCAAGCAGAATATGAGAATGCTGCACCAGGTTATGTAGCTTTGTCCAATGTTGATTAACTTTAGCAGTGTAATTTTTAATAAATCTTATTACTCTATTCTATTCTAAATAATAAGATGGATTTTTATTTGATTTATAAAAGGCTGTACACAACAACCTATCTTCATTGGTATTCATACTGTATTGCCGTCTATTCTTTATAAAGATAAAAAAAAATCCTAGCATAACATGTATTATTGAAAATTATGCCGACTAGGGAAAAAAAAAAAAAAAAGTCGTTCATTTTATCCTCCAATCAAAATACATATAAAAAAAATCTCAAAATTGACTGTTATTACAGCAGCACACCCTGTTAACAATAGCTGTCATTTACTAATATCCATTCTAATACACAAATGCTCCGACGATCAACAGTCTTTTATGGATCGATTAGGAGATTTGCATCTATCAGTGATCTTCATTTACCTTCTTCTAGATCTACACAAATAATAAATAAAAAGACTAATTTGATCGGTCTAACCTTGGAAGAATTACAAAATGAAATAAAGAGAACAATACCACAAGCAAAGAAATACATTGCTTTACAAATCTGGCAACACATGTATAAAAGAGGAAAAACTCATTTCAATGATATGCCAAACCTTCCAAAAGATCTTCGAGCAGAATTGATGAGCCAATATGAAATTAATTATGGTGAAGTCAAGGTTAGATTATTGTATACATATACAAACATACAAAACGATTACTTTGTCACAGTTGTATTTAAAGAAAGAAAAAAAAAAACTAATCAATATTATTAGCTTGATAAAATAGCACTTGATAAAACAAGAAAGTTTTTGATTGGATTCAATACTAAAGAAGATCCTAGAGCCATTGTAGAGACTGTGATTATACCCGAATCTAAACGATCTACTTTATGTGTTTCATCTCAAATAGGTTGTTCTCTCAAATGTAGTTTTTGTCATACAGGAACTCAAAAATTAGAAAGAAGCTTAACATCTGGAGAAGGTATTCTATAGTGAATAACTATATATATATATATGTATATATGTATACATTGGTTTCTTTAACTCTATTCGATTACTCTGATATATAGTTGTAGGGCAATATATGATTGCAGCCAGTCATTCTGATGATTTTCCTTTAAATATTGAAAATAAAAAAAGAATCATATCGAATATGGTTTTCATGGGACAAGGTGAACCCCTTTATAATTGGAGGAATGTAAGTAAGGCAATCAAAATATTGACAGATGCTGATGGATTAAATTGGTCAAAATCAAAAATTACAATATCGACATCAGGCGTGGCACCATTGATTCCTAAAATTGCAACAGAATTAGGTGTTTCACTGGCAATCTCACTTCATGCGACTCATAATTCAATAAGGGATATTTTAGTGCCTTTAAACAAAACATATCCGTTAGAGACAGTATTAGAGGCTTGTAGGATGTATGCTCATGCCATGAATAATCACAATAATAGAAAAAGAATTACATTTGAGTATGTCATGTTGCATCAAGTTAATGATTCACTTTTTGAGGCAAAAGCTTTAGTTAAGCTTTTAAAACAGTTACCAGCCCATGTTAATTTAATGTAAGTACAATTCATATAATTTATTTTGCATGGTTATTTATGTTACAACCATGATAGACCTTTTAATCCTTGGCCTGGAAGTAATTATGAGTCAACAAAGATGGAACATATCGAAAGATTTGCACAAACAGTAATAGATGGGGGTGTTCATTGTACCATTCGTCGACCAAGAGGACAAGGTATGAGAAAGATATACGCTCAATAGTAGGTAATAAATTAACGTTTATTTATTTTAGATATTATGGCAGCATGTGGCCAATTAAAAAGCTCAGAAGAAAAAAAGAAGAAAAAGAAAGTTTTTTAATTTTACTGTAATAAATTGGTCTTTTAACAACAACACAGCAAGTATTCCTTTAAATAGAAAAATTAAACAAAAATAGTAAACTTGTAAACCCGCCATTTTTATTTGTTTATTTCTTATATATAAATTTGTATACGTGATCTTATACCTGAAGAAGCAAGGCCAAATTAGTGTAGTACTTTTTTTTTTCTTTTCTTTTTTCTTTTTTTTTTCTTTTCTAATAGAAGAAGAAGGTTCCTAGCATAGTTCACCTGGGATATGTAAAAAAAAAAAGCTTAATTTATAATTAACCATTCAAAATGATGGATAAGAAACACAGTTGTTTCATTAATAAAAAGGCAAAAATTAAAAAGGTTGGAAGGAACAAGGGTAAAATGCTAATTATAAATTCAATTTAATTGGCCACCTTCGATCTCCTTCTTCTTTAAAAAGAAAGAAAGAAAGTAGCAGTAATAAATTATTTTATTTTATTTTTTATCCCTTTTTTTTTTTTTTTATTTATTTATTTTTTTTTTTTATAAAGTAACAATGAAATTCTACATCTTATTGTCTGCTTTGTTTATCGCTGTTAATGCACAGGTTCGATCCCCAACATACTTATATAACGTGACGTCTCCAAAGGTTAATGCACCTTACGTTGCTAGTCAAGCGCTTCCTTGTATTTACGATATTGCAGATAATGCTACTTCTGACAGTAAATAATAATAATGCATAGTAGCTGGAGAGAGAGAGAGAATTTTATTTATTTATTTTTTTGTTATATAATAGATCTTCAACTTTCAATTGTGTTAACTGGTAGCAACGATTACTATAAAGTTCTAACTGCCTCTGCTGATATTAGTCAGGGCTTTAGCTTTCGAAAGGAAATAGACGGCGCTACTGTCTATGAACATCAATTCAATGTAAAGTATTATTATTATTTTGTTGAATCCCATCTAAAGGAAGAGATTAATTTGTTTTCTTTATATTCATAGTATAACATTCCTTCTAATACAACTGCTGGAGATTATATAGTAAGTAGACGAGAGAGTGAGTGAGTGAGTGAGTGAGTGAGTGAATGAAGATATTTAATATTATGTGTTATTTAGGTCGCCTTTGTTGATGGCTTCTCTCAAACAAATGTTAGTATTCCAATTACAATTGGTGCAGCACCTAAAACTCCTTCATCCACAGCCCTTGCTTCTGGTACAGCGTCCTCTGTTCCTAGTAGTTCTACCACATCTTTCCAAAGTATCTACAATCAAATTAACTCAGCTAATACCACTCATGTTCAACATCTATCCAAGCTCCTTCTTTTGGTCACTTTTATTTTTACTTTAATACAATTCTTCTAATGATAATTTAATATTATTTATTATTATTAAAAAAAAATTACATACATACATACATACATACATACATATTATTTAATGTAATATGTCTGTAATGTCTAATATTTAAGTACAAATGTCCCTAACTTGCATATTATGTGTCGGGCCTTTATTGTTACTAATATCTGTACTCTACGTGTAATCATGATTGTTTAACGTTACACATTTATTAATGTATATGTGTATATATAGATGCATGCATGCATGCATGCATGCATCTATGGAAAGCTTGAAAAAAAAAATAGTACGATTTTTATTATTCACTCAAAGAGAATATAAGTGAAACAATAGTTCTCTGTATGAAATCAAGATGAGTGATAATGACAGCTCTAGTAACAAATGACGTAGGGAAAAAAAAAATTAAATTCTAAAAAAAAAAAAAAAAAAAAAAAAAAAAAAAAAAAAAAAGACGAATAGTCAGTAAACATAGGAAGATAACAACAATAATAATAAAAAAGGGCCTATAATAAAGTATTGAAAGCAGAAATATCTGTATATCGAAAATAGCAAAAATACTGCAAATAATATATTATTTCATTATGTATAATAAAAGACATTTTATTAAGATACTAAAAATATATTTCTTGGGATAAAAATAAAATTGCTGAAATTAAATTCCAAGGTATCTAACTTTTTGACTGTTGCATGTCAAGAAGATAGCTTGATGACATGGGTCGTGTTATATCTTGAGGAATATAAAGTATTTAATTATGCAACAGAGTGTAGATCTTTCTTAGAAATCAACACTTAGAGACAAGGGGCTGTTATAGTTAGCAATGATTGTTCTAAGAGATAAAAAAAAAAATGGAAAAAAAAGGGTCTTGGTATTTACTATTTAGCATATTCAAACCTTTAATTAAGACTTGTTGCAATTGACAAGAAGAAGTTAAAGGAAAAATATGAACGTTCATTATAAAAGGAATTGAAAAAAAAAAAGATTGTGTTGTGTTGAAATAATTCAGGAACATAATAATAAACTTTACTGTTAGTAACGACTAGTAGCTGTGTTACTTTTTGTAAACTAAATATGACAAAAGTTTAAATTAAGCAGCGTTTTTTTTTTTTTTCTGTTAACAGAATTCTATATTCAATATCATTCTGTTATTGTTTATAAGGCCCATTTCCCGTGATTTTGAATAAGCTTATTATTCTTGTTACTTGCGATAGTAATGACGTTTTATTATTTTTATTATTTAATTACACTTTAAATAGAATTCCTTATGTACAATAGAAGAATCTAAAAAATGATTAGACGAATTGACTCTGTAAATGATGATACAGAAGGCCGTAGTAAAAATAGATAACGATAGTAGCTTGCCATTCTATTCTATTGCTTTATTTGAAAATAATCTTAACATGTGTTCACAAGAATTATAATGTACAATTATAGAATTCTTTTGTATCCGTGATCCCTTTTTTTTTCTTTTTTTTTTTATTTGAACAGGGCTCAACTAAAATGCATCTAGTATTTCAAGTTTAATAAAGTCTACTCTACTCTATACATGCACATATTAAATGTTACTTTAATGATAGAATTTTATCGGTGTATCTTAATAAGTTTCTGTGCATGTCTAAGTGCGTATTTATATAATTATATTATTATACACCATCTGTTTTATAAATAGGATTGATGTCATCTAACTTTCTTCTTCCCTCCTTGCCCTTCTCTCTTTCTTTCTCTCTCTCCTTCTCTCCTTCTCTCTCTCTCCTTCTCTCTCTCTCTTTTTTTTTAAGTCAATTTCTCCCTTTCCTTCTTCTTTACCATTATCTCCCTATTGTATAATTTACCCACTAAACTCCTTATTGAAAATAGATTTAAATATATACATTTATGTATTAATTAAAGTATAACTTCTTAGAGCCATCACAATAAGATTATAATATGTATTTATATATTTAAAAAAAAAAAGAAAAAAAAAAGAAAAGGAGACTATTACACTAATCATGTTGTATGTTTTATATGTATATTTATATATGTATATACATATTTCTTGTTATTATGAAGAAGAAAGTGAAAAAATAAAATAAAATAAAAATTAAAGAACATATATATAACTATTATTATATGAGAACAATAATGATAGTAAAAAAAGAAAAGATGAATCATAGTTAGATATAGAATTTTTAAATAAAATTTGAAAAAGTACTGTTGTTATTAGCTGTAGTATAATGAGAATGAAAATTATTATTTATAATTGTTGAATTATTGACCGATAATAGTCTATTATTATTATTACTCTTTACTAGTAATGATGGCTTTGTCGTATTGAATCGATTATGAATAGCTGCTGTTACTGTTGTCGCCGTTGTTGCTGCTGTTGTTGCAGCAGCAGCTGTATGACGATGAATTCGAATATGTTGATTCAAGTTATCAGACCTTGAAAATCGTTTATGACAATTTTGATAAGGACATTCAAATGCTTTTATTATTATAATAAATAGCAAGATTAGAAGGAGATAAGATAAGGCAAAAAAAAAAAAAGTCTTTATTTATTCACTTACGTTTTTCTAATGTATGAATTGATCGAACATGTCTTTTAAGATGTTCAGAACGTTTAAATACTTTCCCACAACCATCTGCTGTACAAGTAAACATACGATTACCACAACCGGGTATACTGGATACGCGACGACCACGAGAACGAGGCTGTTTCTTATTTCTTGTTGTATCTTGTATACTTGAATAATTCATATCAGATTGCTTTTTATGATCAGGCCCATAATTATGATTATTATCTTTCACTAATAATGGTGGAGATACAGGTGTCATGGGACGAATATGAGTCGAATAAACAGGCTGCTGTACTGAGGACGATGGATGATGACGATTATAAATAGGATGGTAATGATTGTTACCTTGACCAAAATTATTATAGTATTGAATAGGATGATGATGATGATGATACTGATTATTAGATTGTTGTTCCATTAACAGAGTATGTTGATGACGATACAAGTCAGAGGATTGTTGATGATTCATTGCCTTTGTATGTAAATCAACATAAATTGGATCCATAAAAGAAGAGATTGAGACAGGACTGATACCCGAGGTAGTAGTAGTGGTAGTAGTAGCAGAAGATGAAGATTGAGGTGACACTGTTGAATCATGACTTAAAGCTGTTTCCTTTTGACTATTCGTTTCCTCATGATTATCATTATTGTTTGCTGTTGTCATAGGCATGTAACAATGATCAGGGTTTGTTAACATACTCGTGTAACTAAACCTTCTCTCTTGTTGCCTCTTCATGAAATCATAAACAACTTCACTGTTCTCTTGTTGTTGAGCAAGTGAATTGGGATTTATAAACTTCAAATTTTGTTGTGACAAATGAGAAGAAGGTTGGCAATCATGAACCAAAGGATGTTCTTGATAAGATTGTTGCTGAATACAAGAAGATGACATAAAATAAACAAAAGAAGGTATAAAACGAAGAAGAAAAAGAAGAAGAAGAAACTATCTGTTTAAATATATATTCATTTATATATACATATAAATATATATAAACACACATACACACACACGCACGCACGCACACACACACACACACAGTTAACTTTTATATGTTTTCTTTAAATAATAATAATAATAATAATAATTATAATTATAATTATAAAATTAAGGGTTAATTATAATAATACAAGTTGAAATAAATATATTATAGTTTTTATTTTAAGGGCTTTTTTTTTATTATTATTTTTATTATTATTATTATTACGTTCATTAGAACTTATTTTAAGCTTGTCTGTTATAAAGCCAATTTACTAGACAACACATATTACTTTCTTCTCTTATAGTACATTTCATTACTGCATTTTTTTTTAAGGAGTCCAATTTAGAATGATACACTTCTTTTTCATGCAAACAAAAAAAAAAAAAAAAAAAAGTCCAAAGAAGGAAATCGAAAGACTGAAGGTCAATTCTATTAAAAAACACGAGTTTTTTTTTTATGTTATGTTATGTTATGTTATATATAGTCTAGAAACAGTACATCCCTTTCTTTTTTGTATATAAACATATGAAAAGCTTATTTTATTACGTATTCAGGGAGAGAAAATAAAAGATGAGTTTTCCCTTTCTATAGCTTTATTTACATATGCTTATAAAATAAAACAAAAGACATTTGGTAAACAAAAGAAGCATTTTACAAATATATATAAATATATATAACTACTATTTAGACATTCAATCCTTTATAGATGTATACATCTTTAATGCATCAAATATTTCAATATCTAGTATGCATATATAGGCAGTAAAGATTCCCCTTTTCCTCCTTTTTCATTTCTTTTTGACTTGACAGCTACCTTTATATGTATATATAGTTTCTCCTATTAAACTCTTTGGTTACAAACTTTGTATATGCATATAAATATCTATTCTACTAGGTAATTTCAACTACTCTAAAATTATATAATATATATATATATATCTACATACATACATATATACATAGTCTTCGTTGGATAATACAACAGTATATGCATATATACATCTTATTATAATGTTCTCTAATAGCTATAAAATTACAATAATAAGATATAGCTGTCTTTTTCTTTTCGAGCAGCTCCTTTTTTTTTGTCTATATTTATACATATTTAATTTATGTATAAGAACTTACTTTTTTTATATGGATATATATCTTTGAATATTAATCGAACCTTATTCATAACTTGACCTCTTTTTACTCGGGTGGTTCATAGTAATGAGACTGGCATGTTCTTTTAATGGAAATATCTAACCCCTTCATTTTATTCATTTTGTCTATAACATTAGCTTTACTTATAAGAATATAATAGATAAACTTAATTCTGTATTAGTGGAAAGTTTTGATCAAATTACTAGAAAAAAAAAAAAAAAAAACTTTTTTTCCCCCCTTCCCCTCCCCTCCTTTCTTCAAATAATTTATTGTATATCATCATACTACTACTACTACTACTACTACTACGAAAAATTTAAGCTCATACTGATCATCGCTATATAAAGGAGGGGAAGGCCAATAACACCAATCATGAGTTGATAGCATTAGAGCGAAAAAAAAAAAAATATTTTTAAAGTACGTATTGTATTTCATTAGGGAAATCAAAGTTGGTTCATAATTAGTGATATGTCTAGATTTTACAACTTGGATCAAGAAATAGGGGAATATCATTTACAAAAGGTTAGAGCATTAAATACAAGAGACAAAAGAAGATTATGAATGTATTGTTTAGGAAAGATTACTTGTCACCCCATTTCCTACTTTTCATTACTAATAAACCTTTAGTTTTAACCTTTTGTAGCAAGAAAAAGTACATGTTTGATAACAATCGTGATAGGTTAATCAAAAAAAAGAAAAAAAGAAAAAAAAAGAAAAAAAAAATAAAGGGGTCTAACCAAAAGAAACAAAGTAACAATATCCAATTATGATTTCTTATTTAAACTTTTCTATTTCTATCTGCCTATTTTTTATTTTATTATTATTATTATTACTGTCAAGACTAATATATACTAAATATAAAGTACCTAAGGGGAAATAAACATATTGGAGTTATTTCATTAATCTAATCTTGCAGTAATTCATACATTATTATTAAAAAGAAAAAAAAAAAAAAAGCATTAGTGCAATGAGTCAAAATTACAATATTTTTAGTTTTACATTTGTTAATGAAGCAGATAACGAACAGATTCAGCTTGATCAATTAAGAAAATTCCTTTACACTTATAATTTATCGCAATATCTTGATACTTTTATCTCTGAAGGATTTGATAGACTATCATCTGTAATTTTTTTTTCTTTTTTTTTTTTTTTTTTTTTTTTTTGCTGTGCAATAGTCTAAAATCTATTGTTTTTTTCCTTTTTTATTATTTATTAAACAAAATTAGTTATTTGATATTACTGAATCAGATTTAATAACACTTTGTGTTAAAAGAGGACATAGACGAGTATGTAAAAAAAAAAAAAAAAAAAAAAAAAAAAAATAGACATGCATTATTATCAAACATACTTATTATAAATCATAGTTACTCCAAAGAGCTATAGTAACAGCTAGAGGTGTTCCCCTTGCTACGCCTATTATTATAAACCATGACATTCATGAACAAAATGGCAAGTAGTATCTATTGTAGAGTATAGTCCCAAACATCCTAATTATATATATATATATAAATATATATAATAGATATAATACCAAAGAGTGCTCTCATGTATTATGATAATAACTACATAGATGCTAATCATAACCATCATAGAACACAATCTACAATAACGGAAAGGGAAATACAATATTATAAAAACAATCATAAACGACAAAGACAAAAATATACTCTATCAAAACCAACAACAGCATTTGATATACTAGTAAATGAAGTAGCAATAGGATATAAAGATAAACTTGTATCTTATGAGATAACCTTATTGGCTTCTAACCTTTGGGATAATATGACTCTATTTGAAAAAGAAAAGTATGAAAGAGAAGCATTACGGGCAAATACAAATGGCTGCTATGCTATAATGAATAACAGTAGCAGTAGCAGTAGCAGTAGCAGCAGCCGTAGCAGTAGCAATAGTATCAGTAGTAGCAATAGTAGCAGTAGTATTAGTAGTAACAATAGCAATAGTATAACTAATAACGAACTTAAAAATGAGGTACATATATATATACTATATCTAGTTTTATATATATTTTTAACTTATGGTTCTATAGGACCATTATCATTCAAGACGTATATTGTCAATAAGAGGAGAGATATTGTAATCTAGCTTTGTTTTTACTAATAATGTAAACAACAGATAAAGATGATGACTATATTAGTAGTTGTATTGAAGACAGGGAGGATAATAGTGATATACCATATAACTCACATATCCATCTCAGTGAATAACATATCGAAATTATTTATCTTATTATATCTTTTATGGTATAAAAGGATATATATATAAATATATACTTTTTCATATAATAATGTATTTTTATATACAAGGTCGTTTTATTATCATTATGAACAGCAATAGGATAGTGTTAATAAAATAGAATAGATATCACAAGTCAGTCTTTCTTTATGCTCTCAATCGTCTTCCAAATCATCAATATTATAATGTAAAACATCTCCAACATGTGAATAATGTTGAGCCCTCTTTTTCTCAAATTCTTGATGTCGTTTCCGAGCTATATTTAAATAAATTATTCATTTTACTCGCATTCTATTTTATTCTTACTTGCCTATTTCCTCTTTATCTTTATTTTCTTTTTCATCAATTTGCTTCCATTCATCTGGTTCTTCACTGCCACCAAATGAAATACTTTCTTTCCTACTATTTGAACTACATTCATTATCCAAACTAAATTCTTCTGGTTCTTCACATGCTGTTGCTCTTAAATTGTCAGGGAGAACTATATAATATTTATTTATTTGTCTTTTTTTTTTTTTTTTTTTTTTCATCTGTACGTTTGTATGTATGTATATATATATACCTTCCCAATTGATTACCTTATCCTTAACAGGATCATATTTAATAAACGGTGTATTTGGTTCATCAATTTTCATGAATGCTTTATCTTTTTGCTTTTCGGTAATTTTTAATTTATTTTCATCCCATCTTAATTTAAACCTATTATGCATGTTATGTATGTATAAACGGATATCAAGCTATAATTTTACTTTGGTACAGGCAATTGATGCGTTTCACAATCATCATGGGACTTTTGTAGAATACCTTTTGTCGGTGAAGTTGCTATATCAGAAGAATAATAGGGAACACGTGCTTTTGACATTGATAAAAAAAATAAAAATAAATAAAAAAGAAGAGAAAAAGAGATGAACTAAATAAATTCCTGCAGAAAAAAAAAATTAACAAATAATACTTTAACAAACTCCGCCTTTTTTTTTTTCATTCGATTCAAATACTTCAGAGGCTATTACTATGGTTATTGATTTAAATGATTACCGTATTCTCGGGTAAAACTGAGACTGGTAAAAAAAAAAAAAAAAAAAAAAAAAAAAAAAAAAAAAAAAAAGAGTTTTTATTTTTATTTTTACCATCTTTAAACCCTAGAAGATCAAAATTAGCTCAAGTCAGAGTTATAAAGATGAACCCAGGAATGATTTTTTTTTGTATCTGATCTTTTATTAAAGTTCAAGCATACGAAAAAACTGAATATTGTAGTAGTAGTAATTGACAGCCAATAGAATTACCGTAATCATATTTACAAAAAAAAAAAAATAAAAAATAAAAAATAAAAAATAAAAAATAAAAAATAAAAAATAAAAAATAAAAAATAAAAAATAAAAAGAATCCCTTTTCGTTTAGAGGCCGACTAGCGACTATGAGTATTTTATTAACAATACAACTTGGATATCTTAATCTGCCTTTCATCATCAAAAGATCCATTCGTACACTTGTAACAGATGAAGAGGATGAAGATGAAGAAAGAATTAAACCTCGATGGCCCTTCAGCCAAACTATGCTTAGTTTATCAGGTTTTATTCAAACATTACCTCATTTATACCCAACATTAGAAAATCATATATTGCAGTTAGCTCCACAATCAAAACAGTTTGAAAAAGAAACTATTCGAATTTTGTCAGAGACATTCAAACAATCATCCGCTCAAAACGGAAACACTATTCACGGTGTCATCCCTTTAGATCACGAATTGTTCGGCATCTTGTCTAGTACAGAAGAGCCAACCGTTTTCACTTTACAAATTATAGAGCATGTCATTAATACTACTACTACTACGAATCGAAGTTATACTTCTACTAATCATAATTTATTACTGCCTACATTAGAACGTTGTATAAAACCAGTAGAGATGGTAGAAATATGCCAACGTTGGCCACAATCGGAGGAACAACTTATTAAAATAGCAGGTCATGTTTATCAACTAGCAAGCTTATATGGTTATTGGGATTATTGGCGTATATTTGAGGGAGTGTGTAGTAGGTTTCAAATAAATGCAGAACAACTCGTAAATAAAAGTAATAAATAAACAAACAAATAAACAAACAAAAAAAAAGGAGGGGTATAAAAAGGTCTATATATTATAATGTACAAGATCTAGTGTAGATGACATTATCAGATGTGCCATGATGATGATGTTGAAATCCACTACTTGTACCACTAGCATTGACAACTTGTAATGAAACAGAAGCATTTCTTCTTCTTTCTTCATCTTCCTTTTCTTTTTGAACAAGTTCATCAGAAGGCAACAAAATAGATCTATCAATAGAAGCAGGCAAACCTATATACACATATACCATGAATATATAATAATCATAATCATAATCATAATCTATACCTCGATGCCTTCCTCTATACATAAGTAAAATAATGACTAGCTTACTCAAGACGTGATATTGAGCTACTTGTGAGGTAGCAGTATTCGGATAACCAGTAGACGCTCCCACATTACCAAAAGCTGAAACACATTCATAAATAACAGTTGCGATTGTCACAGGTGAGGGCGACATGATTGATTCTGCTTCAATTACGCAAATCAAAAAAACACCCGTGATAACCCAACAGATATCACTTGTCAATTGTCGCTGGATTTGTGTAATAACAAAAAATCAGGTCCCTTAATTAACCTTTTAGTACCTTGAGCAATACTTGTCATGGTTGAATGTCTTTTTAATTTTATAAAGGGAGCTTCTGCTAGCTCTTCTTCAGAAAACTTTACTGATTCATCATCTTCTCCTTTAAAAATACCTAATGCTCGTTCCTATTATATATAAGGCATAAAAATTAGAATTCGACTTTCTTTTCTTTTCCTCTTCTTTTAATTTTTTTTTTCTAAACGTACTTGATAGATATTACTATTTCTCATAGAAATAGCTACAGGATAAACACTGATATACATTGCAACAATATAAACAAGTTGAGCACCAGGATTCAAATCAGCAAGATTAACTACAGAAAATCCAGCTAGAAAAAAAAATAAAATAAATAAAATTAGTATCATGTTTTTTTTTATCTTTTCTAATAATAATAAAAACAACAACAACAACTAAATAGAACATACCATTACGCGTCGCAACTGATTGAAATAAACCATCTAAAAATCGTGATCCCCAACTAATACCTTCCAAGACAGGTAACCAATAATTTAAAGCAAGAAAGCAAATCAATTCTACAAGTGTGATAGCGACTAGAACAATCAACAACCACCATGTCTGTGTAGCAGGGAAAAGAGTCGTGTAGCATCGACGGGGATGATCTAAGAGGTATCGGAACGTCTCGCGTCTCATCACTTTATGTTCTGGGGTCAAGATATAGCAAACCCAAATGATGAATCTCAAGAGAATAGCAAATGCGGTATTACCCACTAAAATTAAAATGATACACAATATAAGAGGCGCTGGTGCATTCTGAAAGGGGGACATACTATCGTCTAAATGATTTAGCCCCAAATTGGTAAAGGCAGATAAGCTAATAAAGAACGAAAAGAACCAATAGTTGACAGGCCCAGTATTTGCATTGGACGTATCAAGCACCTCTCTAGCATAACTTGAGGAAGCTACATAAATACGGAAAAGGAAACCAAAGATGATAATAAATCCCAAATAGTACATGGGGACAAGACGAGCAAGCATATCAAGTGCACGATATTCAGTACCACCGATACGATAACGTTCATTTCTAGTCAACTGAGATTTTGCACTTGGCTGACTCATGATTTCATATTCTGAGTTCGTACGATGAAGTCCCTGCAATTCTAATTCCTCTTGTCGATTTTGTAAAAACCTGCGACGTTCTCGTTCTCGAAGAACATTTGTATCTTCACTAAAAGTAATTTGCTGATTATTATTACTTTGATGTAGACTTTCTTTTGGACTTTCTACAATCACAATAGTACCATCATCTTGTTGTTGTTGTTGATGATGATGATTGTTTATAGAAGAAGAAGATGGATAAGAGTCATATAATGACGGTGTTACATAATTTTCGGTTGAATTATTGTTTTGTGCACTTGAAACAGACATATCATAAGGATGTGTAGTAGAACTAACTTCGAGTTCAAAATCATTACTGATGTTATCTTCTATTTGACTGCTATTACTATTATTATTTCTATTTCTATCGTTCTCTTGATTCAAATTATCAATTTGAACAACAGTAAAATCATGATTACCATCTTGTTCTTCGTTATCCGAGTTAAAGTTAGGATGATGCATAGGTTCAGGTTGCCTTGTGTCTAATGAACCTCTTCTGAATTTACTTGGAATAAATAACGAAAGTCTCTTTGTATTTTGAGAAGGGGGAGTAGAATGAATAGAGATAAGAGACATACGACGTCGAATTGGACCTGAGATAAGACTCGTCGCTTTATGATGATGATGATGTGATCTTTGAGTTGATTTGAGTGTTGTACTACTGCTGGTATCGGATAATATGCGTTGTTGTCGTTCTTCCTCAGCGGCCTGCATCTCTCTTGCTAACTTGAGTCTTCTATACTCTTCCTTCCTCTTTTGATTATATTTCAAGACTTCTTCAAACCGTTTTGAAAAATAATATCTTCGAACCATGACTACAACAAAGGAAACGGTGACATGACAACCTAAGAAGGAGCTGATATAGAGTATGATCATATGGTAGGTTTTCATTTCTGACATTGGGATTGTATTCAAACCTGTATCAGTTGCACCCGTTGTAGCCATGAATAAGGCATCGATATAAGACCAATTTGTGCCTGGTAGACAATAATATAAACCAGAAGAAATGAATATTAACAGTAAAATATAGAGATAATGAAGTTCAAGAAAATGAATTCTAGTATCCCAGAATTTATATAATGACTTGTTTACTTGATCTAGCTTTTCTTTTAGTGACATAAAAAAACTATAATCTATTGCGGTTTAATAACTAAATAAATAAATAAATAAATAAAATAAATAAATATATTTATATATATAAATCTATGTATGCGAATATACATACATACATACATACATACATACAATACATACATACATATATATATGTATAATATATGTAATATGTATATATAAGAAAGGGTATATATCTTTTTTTTTTTTCTCTTGTCTAAAAAAAAAAAAAAAATAATAATATAAAAGAAAAAAGAAATTTTTATAAATTATAAAAAAAAAAAAAAAAAAAACGACTTGGCGGCTATTTAATTGATTGAATGACAAAATTGTTTTATTGTTTCTCAAAATCTATGAAAGAATTATGGGTTGACAGCTAAAAAAAAAAAAAATCTTTTGAAAAAGGAAATACTTGGGCACATTTCACTTTTTTTTCGTTTTTTTGCTTTTTACCTGGAAAGTAGTGTTATTTTTGTTTTATATTTTTAGAAATAAAGAAAAAAAATAGTTTGTTCTTTTTTTTTTTTTTTTTTTTTTTTTCCTCCTTATTCATAAATAATAAATTTCAAGTACAGAAGAAATAAAATACCTTAATTTTTATACTAACGAATTTAACATGTACACCTAGTAAAATAAAAAAGACCAAGTTCATCTAGCTATTTATCAATATTTTATAAGGAAAAAAAAACGAAAAAAGAAAAAAAAAAAGAGGGTATGAATTTATTTATCTATTATATACAAATGTTACTACTTGTATTCTATTTTTTGACTTTCATTTTTAGCCAATAATCCATTATAATACATTTGAGCTATTTTTGCGTTTGGATCTTGATGTTCTTCCATAATATTTAGTAATTGTTTAACAGCGTCCTGATCATTGACTTTTATACATGCACTAATCGTTCTATAAATGGCTGAATGACTTAATCTATAGCCTTCCCCTAACATGTCATAACATAATGATAAAGCTGAACGTAATTGTTTTTTATCTGCAAATCCAATAATGACTCTACTCATCTCTATCAAGCAACTTGAATTTAATCTTTGCTGCCTAGATTTAACATCTAAAAAAAGTTGTTCAGCAAATGCTAATTGTCCATGTCTTTGATAATAGGAAATCAACAATTCAATTGTATCATTGGGTATCCAATCTGTAGATGGTATTGTTATCAATAACGCTTGCCATAATCGATTTAACGTGTTAAAGATATCTGGACTGGCAGGCTCTGTCGTATAAAATTCGATAAACTTTGCATAAATATAATAAGTAGCTTCTAACTTGTCTTCCAAGATGAGTGAAAAGATTCGACTTGCTGATTTTATATCTCGAAAGTGCAAATAGGATTCAATCAGAATTTGATAACTATGAATATCTGCCTTTTTTTTTTCTCTTGACAAGTGTAATAACTCCTCTGCATCAGCGAGTTTTTTGGCATTCAAACACCCTGCAATACCATAATGCCAACAATGAACATCAACATCATCCCCAGCCCAATTATAAAATTTTAAAAAAAACGCCTTCATGTTTGGATGCCCCCTGAAGGACATGGTATGAAAGGCCTTTTTGATTTTAAATAAAGGTCGATGTCTATTTTTAATTTCAAGTGCAAAGAATTCATTAAACCACCGTTCTAAACGTGCATCTTGTTGATGGGATCGATGACGTTGTCTAGAGAGACCCATGATTAACTGAAGATAAGTTTGACTATTGGGTTGAACTCCCTTTTCTTTCATTTCTTCAAGTAAACTTATTGCCTCTAATTGTCCCTTTTCTCGTTTTTTAAATGTCTTTGCATACTCTCTTATAAGCTTATTATATTCATAGAGTGAAGGCGTCAATGGCTGTTGTAGGGATGACTTTTTAGTTTGATCTAAAATGGAACTGGATAGTTTCCGTCGATAGACGTTCGGTTTAATAGTGTTTGTAAAAAGCGATCTAAATAGACGTTGGCACATAAATTTGCTACTACAATAACCTGACATAAACCTTGTCTATATATTAAATAAAAGAAGAAGAAGAAAGTTGAGAGAGTAGTAGGGGTAAAAAAGTAAAAGGGGGAATATATAAATATAATACGTATACAATGAAAATAAACAAAAGAAAAAGGAAAAATGTCATCATTTATCGTAGTTTCTTTTTTAGTGACAATACTTTCAGAGTAGCAACGACCACCTCCCCCCCTTCATAAAAAAAAAAGAGAAAAACCAATTAAAATTCAGAAAGCCTATTTAGTTCGTTGAAATCTATTTATTTTACATTTATAAGAAAAATGGCTATTTTCTTCTCTTGTTATACGATCCTTCATTAGCTTCTTTCATTGCTATTCTTCTCTTTCTTTCTTGTTCATGAGCTTGTCTTCTATAATATTAAACTATTAATGACTCTTATTATATAAAATGGATTCATCTATCACTTGCCTCTTTTCTTTTTCTGCTAATTGATTACGAACTTCAGGATATGTGGGCAAAAGTGATGGATCTTGTGCTCGAGGAGCTTCTTGAAAATAAGGATGATTTAAAGCTTGTTTAACAGTCAATCTTGATTTTGGATTATATGTAAGCAAACCAGCTATTAAGTTTAATGTTTGTTCGCTATATCTTGGAAACACTTCTTTTAAATTGCTATAGCTATTATAAAATTGTTATTATATCTATCTTTCTGGAAAAACAAAACAAGAAGCATATATATATATATATATATATATTAATACCTTTGTTTTGGTAATTCAAGTAGTTTTATGCCAGGTAATTTACTGAATCCAGGCCAAATGGTATCATTAGGAGAGCCTAGTAATTTGACAATCAAATCTAATTGTGCCTGTTCTGTATTTCCTGGTAATAATGGTTTATGTTGCATTAATTCTCCCATGATACATCCTGCTGACCATAAATCAATAGCTGTTGTATAGTTGATATCGCCAAATAATACTTCAGGTGCTCTATACCATAAAGTCACTACATTGGGTGTCATTGTTTTTCCTGGTAAACTTAATGTTCTAGCTAATCCAAAATCAGCTTTTTTTTTTATAATGCAATTAGCAACATTCAACATACAAGTATATTCTTCATTTGAATACCTATTTTTAATAAGCCTGTTGAAGTCAATAATAAATTCGACATTTTTAAATCTCTATGAATGATGGAATGACTATGACAATACTCTAATCCTCGAAGTAATTGCAACATTAAACATTTAACTATCATAATTTTTGTTAATATAATACACATTGTTCTTTCTTTCTTTCTTTTCATTTACTTTCAGAAGGAGTATAAGGTGTTGATACTGTGTCAAGTAAACTACCCAGATCCTAATAAAAAAAAAAAAGAGAGAGATGATCAACTCATTGTGTATAATATATATACATGTATATATAATTATTTTTATCTTACTTGCTCACAATATTCCATAACCAAGAAAATAGATTCTAAACGTGGTCCAACCGCTACATCGATCACATTAACGATGTTTTGATGTTTCATACGTTTTAAAATACTAATCTCTCTTAGACTCGATATTGGCATACCGTCTGTTTCACGTTCCATTCTTATCTTTTTCAATGCTACAATTTGCTTTGTTTTTGTATCCTTAACACGACTTTATACATACATACATGTATATATTAATGAATTGACTATATGAAAATAGATAAACTTACTAGACTACACCATAAGTGCCTTCTCCTACACGATTTAACTTTTCGAAATCTTCAACATCTCTACAATTACCATAAAACGATCCTTCTTTACAATCAATGCGAGTTCCTTTTACTGTTGTAAAATGAATGTTTTTGTTTATTTTTGGTGATTCTGTCATTGATTTAAAAAAAAAAAAAAAAAAAAAAAAGAAAAAAAAAACGGACAATAGATTGTCGATTTATCTTTGAGTCAATTTTGAATCAAAAGATAATACATGATTGTGACGTGTAAAAGCAATTGTTGAAAATTGAGCTCCCAAAAATATAAAATTACATGTATTTTTTTTTTTTTTTTTTTTTTTTTTTTTTTTTTTTTTTTTTTTTAAAAAAAAAAAGCAAAAGATGCCTAATTTAACCATTGAATTTCGTCAATTAGTTGAGAAAAAAGCAATTACTACATCTCGTAAATCACCGACTAAAAGACAACGAAATGATGAAGACACATATGACCTTTTTACAAAAGAAGCTTATCGCATATATCAACATATTGACAGTCTAAAGCGTTTCCTCATTACTATTCGACCCGCTTATTTAACTACAAGTAATCGACCTTCTCGTTCACGACCGACTACAGTTGAAATGGTTAAAGCCTCCGATGCGAATCATCATGATTCACTCTTTGCCCTCTTTTCAGGTCGCATTCATAATCTTACTGATCACGAACGAGACGAAATCGATTTTCAAGCAAAACTTATTATTCGTCGTTGTATGGATCGTGTTAAAGAATTGGAGGAATCGGAAAAAATGAGACAAAGCCAAGAGCCAGTCCATAGTCGTTTCACTCATTTCCTTAGTTCTATCTTACTACCACCGTCAACAACAGAGGATATTCTTGGTGTTCATCGAAGTAGTATGACCTGGTACTTGAATCAAAAATTAATACAGGTATCAAAGATACAGAAGGAACAACAAGAAATTCGACTTGCTCGTGAACTTGAAAAGAGTGAAAACCAATTATCAAAGTCTAGATTTGGGGATAGTCATCCATTATTAGATAGACAGAGACTTGATAATGAACAAGAGCAAGGACAAGGACAAGAGAATCTATTTGAAGAAGAAGGCTTATCACAAGAACAGCTTCAAATATTAGAAAAAGAAAACTCAGCCATGTTGGAAAATTTAAACAATACCCTTAATCAAGTGAAAAATGCAGAAAAGGCCTTGTTGGAGATCTCTACGCTTCAATCTCAGTTAACCAACCATCTAGCTGCTCAAACTATTCAAACCGACAAATTGTATGCAGATGCTATTACCACAACAGAAAAAGTGGAACAAGGCAATCTTCAACTTATCAAAGCAAGAGAAAGAAATAAAAGTAGTCGTAAATTTATATTAGTCTTTTTGATTAGTGCAAGCTTCGTGCTTTTATTCTTGGATTGGTATTCTTAAAAAAAAAGAAAAAAAAAAAAGAAAAATAAAATAAAATAAAAATAAAAATAAATAAAAATAAAATGTGTAAAGAAGACAGAGTATATTCAGCCAATAAAATCTACTCTTAACTAACTACAATGACTTTAATTCCTCCTTCTACCCCTTTTCGGTGGTAGAACCCTATAATTCAGCCGTTTTCTAGCGGAGATTTTTTTTTTTTTTTTTTTTTTTTTTGAATATAGCTTTATCATTCATTCTTAAAAAAAATATACTAATTTCAGCTTTATTTTTTTTATTTATTATTTTTTTTCTATTATAATTTATTATTATTTTTTTCTTTTTTTGTTAGTTTATGTCAAACTAATTTTGAATTAAATTATTAAATGTCGACTCATTCTTCGACTCGAACTCGTGCAGTTTATGGCACTTCTGCTGTTGATGTAAATAGTCTTAAACACACATCTTCTAGAAGAGATTCTACTGCGCCTCTAATGAGTACACCACCTATTTCTGTGAACATAAGAGACGATCCACTTGAATCATCGTCACTCAATCGAGGCTCATGTGATCACCATATGAATAACCAAAGAATGGGGCTTTGGAGACGTAGAAGGAATAGTGAAAGTTCCGATGGCAACGATGATGACGACGACGACGACGACGACAACGACAATGACGATGTAGATAAAAATAAAATAGAACTCAATACGAGTGACGAAGAACAAAGTGAATCCGATGAGGAAGACGAAGAAGAAAATACTGCAAAAGATATGATCCCTCGTTTAACAGGGACTCGAATAAATGAATTTAGAATACATGGTTTAAATAATATTGCTAAAGATACCAATGATGAACAGCTTTTGTTACTGGAGGATGAAGATGTTGAAATTTATATTATGGGATACACATACAATCGAGTTCATTTATTACTATATCAATTATGTTCTTTATTATCATTAGGGATTGTTTGGCTGATTGCTCGATGGGTTCCTAAATGGTATATAAGTTGGGTTGGTGTTCGAGTACCGTTAAAGGAGGCAGAATGGCTTGTTTTTAAAGTAAATATTCATCAGCAAAAAAAAAAAAAAGAAAAAAAAAGTCCTATTATTGATGTGTGTGTGTGTGTGTGTGTTTATTATTATTATTGTTATTATTTATAGAGTCAATATAACGAAATAGAAATAATTAGACCTCTTCGTGAATGGTATCAGGGAACAATTGGATCCGTCTTTTCTTATGATCAAATCAAAGAAGATTTACTTCAGTTTAATTTAGATGAAGAACAAGTTAGAAAGTTACTTGATATGGATGAGCCTTTAAATCAATTAATGATGGTTGAATATAGATACATTCGATTAGCATTTCATCCTTTATTACATAAATTTTTAATTATTGGGTATAACATCAAGTTTACATGTAGATTTTCACATTCTTACTTTACATGTGTGTGTTTATTTATTTATGTCATAGATTTTGGAAGGATCAAACATGGAATAGCACAAAACATTTTAAACAAGGATTAACATTTGAAAGATATCATGCTCGATTATCTGTCTTTGGACCTAATTTGATTAATATACGAGAAAAGCCAACATTGAAATTACTTACAGATGAAGTGTTAAATCCGTTTTATGTATTTCAAATCGGTAGTATTTTACTTTGGTGTATGGATGACTATTATTATTATGCTTTTTGTATCTTCATCATCAGTGCATTTAGTATAATTTCAACTTTAATTGAAACAAAACAGGTGAATATAATAAGTTATACATACAAGAGGATAAGTAACTTATTTATTTATTTTTTTTGGGGGGTTATAAAAGACGATGAAGAAAATGAAGGAAATGTCATTTTTTGAATGTTCTGTAAGAGTATTTCGTAGTGGATCATGTAAAGTAGAATACACATATAAAAGGCCATAATAAAACCTGAATTAATCAATTTATTTATTATAAAATATATATATATATAGGGCGAAATATGAGTTCAGTTGAATTAGTACCTGGTGATTTAATGGATATCACAAATATACATACAGTTCCATGCGATGCAATGCTTGTATCTGGTGACTGTATATTAAATGAGTCAATGTTAACTGGTGAATCTGTTCCTGTCTCTAAATTACCAATAAATGATATAACACTACGAAAGATGAATTTATCATCATCAACTATTCCAGCAGAGATATCAAAGCACTTTTTATTTATGGGAACAAAGATGGTTAGAGTAAGAGGTGGAGATAATGTGTCAAATGCTACTGCTATCGTTGTCAGAACAGGTTTTAGTACAGCTAAAGGCGCTCTTGTTCGATCCATGTTATTTCCCAAACCAAATAATTTCAAGTTCTATAGAGACTCATTTAGATTTATTGGTGTTCTATCCATTATCGGTAAAGAATATATATATATTTATATATAACATATTTACATGTTTACTAAATCTTTACATGTATATAGCTCTTATTGGTTTCTTAATTTCTTCCATTAATTTTATTCGTCTTGGAATTGACACGACTACTATGATATTACGAGCGCTGGATTTAATTACAATCGTTGTACCTCCTGCTTTACCTGCTACATTATCAATTGGAACTAGCTTTGCTATAAATCGATTAAAGAAATTAGGCATCTTTTGTATTTCTCCTCCACGTGTTAATATTGGTGGCAAAATTGATTGTATGTGTTTTGATAAAACGGGTACGCTGACAGAGGATGGTTTAGATATTCATGGAATTCGTGCCATAAAAACAACGGAAGATGGTAAAAAATTCTTTGAAGAAGAATGTAAATCGATATCCCATGTAGATCCAAATAATGACGACGATAGTTATTCAACGAAATCCAAGATTTTACGTACCATGACCACCTGTCATTCATTAAAGATTATAGACGGAGAACTCTTAGGCGATCCACTCGACCTCAAAATGTTTGAATTTACTCAATGGGAATTGGAAGAAAGTGGAGGATTATCATCGATGGGGTTAAAGTCTAGAAGTGAATTAGCCTCATTACATGCCAAGAAAAGTGCTAAAGTAGGTATTATGCCTACCGTCGTACGTCCACCCGGAGGTCGACAAGATATTAATTTACAAGTAGAAAATGCAACGCCGCCTATCGAGTTTGGTATTATACATACATTTGAATTTATTTCGTCTCTTCGAAGAATGAGTGTTATTGTTCGAAGGCTAGCTAGTCCTACTATGGAAGTATTTGTAAAAGGTGCTCCTGAAGTGATGAAGGATATCTGCATCCCCAACTCGAGTAAGTTTCAAAAAAAAAAAAAAAATATTATAAATTTAATATAACTAACTTTTCTTTTTTTTTTATCCCACAAAGTACCTGAGGATTATCAAGAAAGACTTTATAAATATACACATTGTGGTTATCGTGTTATTGCATGTGCTTCAAGGCAACTTGTAGATGTAAAATGGCATAAGCTTCATAAATTAAAAAGGTTTGGTTAAGTTTAGATAGAGTAGATTTGTAAAAAAATATCTTATTATTATTTTTTTTAAAAAAAAAATCAGGAATGAAGTCGAATGCAATTTGACTTTTTTAGGTTTTATTATCTTTGAAAACAAACTTAAACCTCGTACAACAGCAGCGATCACAACGTTACGTAATGCAAACATTAGACAAATTATGTGCACTGGTAATTTTTTTTTTTTTTGCATTTTCCTCTTTTTGTGTGTGTAACGATACAACATATTGAATTATTTCGATTTATAGGTGATAATATATTAACAGCAGTGAGTGTAGCTAGAGAATGTGGGCTAATAGATTCGTCAGCAGAGGTTTATATTCCCAGATTTTTAAAAGGATCTTCTACTGAACCTGATTCAGAGCTCTGTTGGGAAAGTGTTATGCATGAAGGCAATAAATTATCTACAGATACACTACAGGTATTTAATATTAATATTATAATTATTAAAATCCATATTGTAGTTCTAAGTTTTTTTTTTCTTTTTTTTTCTTTCTTTCTTTTTTTCTTAAATATGTATAGCCTTACTACTTTGAACACATAAACGATCATAATATTCCATATAGGCGGTCACAAGAATATTATCTAGCAGTTACAGGAGAAGCCTTCCGTTGGATGGTGGATCATGCACCCATTGAATCACTTCAACGTATGCTTGTAAAGAGCGCTATTTATGCTCGAATGTCCCCAGATGAAAAACAAGAGCTTGTCATGGAATTACAAAATATTGGATATTGTGTTGGTTTTTGTGGTGATGGTGCTAATGATTGTGGAGCATTGAAAGCAGGAGATATTGGTATCTCACTTTCCGAAGCAGAAGCCTCTGTTGCAGCACCATTTACAAGTAATACAATGGATATTGAATGCGTGATTGATGTAATCAAGTAAGGCAAAAGTTAAGAAAGAAAGAAAGAAAAAACACTCACACTCTATAACATATTTTTTTTTCTTTTTCAGGGAAGGAAGAGCCGCGTTGGTAACAAGTTTTAGTTGTTTCAAATATATGGCACTTTATAGCTTGATTCAGTTTACTTCAGTTACTCTCTTATATGCCTTTGGTAGCAATCTCGGTGATTTTCAATTTTTATATATTGATTTATTCCTTATTTTACCAATAGCAGTTTATAGTAAGTTATAGCATTTTATTTATTTTTTTCATTTATATATTGATTTATTATTATTATCATTATTTTTTTTTTAGTGGGACATACAGCTGCATGGCCACATCTTCATAAAAGAAGACCTACTGCAAGTCTGGTTTCTAAAAAAGTGTTAACATCCTTAATAGGACAAATTATTATCAATTCTGGATTTCAATTTATATCTTACTGGGCGGTACATCAACAATCATGGTAAAATATGTGCATAAAAAAAAAAAAAAAAAAAGCCAAACACACTAATTTACATAAATAGGTATAAACCGCCTATATTTGATCCTGATGGAGAAAACATCATGTGCTTTGAAAATACTGTCTTATTTCTTGTTTCTAGTTACCAATACATGCTAATTGCAGTTGTCTTTAGTGTTGGACCACCTTATCGTAAGCCACTTTGGACAAATGGACGATTAGTACTGACACTTGCCTGTTTAATTGGTTTAACATCTTGGTTTGTGTTAGCACCACCTCAAATTGCCATGCGTTTTATGGAACTTGTTCAATTGCCACTCTCCTTCAGATGGTTTATTTTATTGTTATCTGCAATCAATTTAACGGTCAGTTTACTTTGTGAGAAGTACCTCTTTGGCCAACTCCTGGAGGTATTTAATAAATGGAGATCAACCAAATCAGGATATACAATCGTTGGTAGTAAGTTGCAGCAGCGGCAGCAACAACAACAACAACAAGGAAAAGTTTATCAACGAGTTATGAATGAAATGGGTATTCATAATTAATTTATAATAATAAAACGTGTATATTTTGTTTATATTATATTTAAAATAAAAAAAAAAGGGAAGGGGGAGAATGAGAAAACGTAATATATGAAAGAAGGGGAGGAAGGGAAAACAAAAACAACAAAAACACATAAAAACAAAAACAAAAGGGAGTGGTTGCGTATAAAGGGGGTGTAGAGAGGCAATATAGACATAGTGACGCAAATGAGGAGTAAAGTTGTATTATTATGTCTACGCGAAAATCTATTACAAAAGGGTACTTAAACAAGTTTTGGTTTACACTTTTTCTTCCCCCCCTTTTTTTTTCTTTTTCTTTTTCCTTTCTCTTTTGCTTTTTTTTTTATACATATTTATATATATATAATGGATTATCAACAATATAGTAGTGGAGAAATAGTAAGAGCCAATCCAAATCAGTTTACATTTAATAATGACGATCAGTTTCAATATACAATACAAGATGATATATTCAAATCAGCAGCAGTAGCAGCAGCAACAACAACAACAACAACAGAAGAATGTTGTGATACTTGGAGCCATCATGATTTATCTACTACTGCAAATCAGACTGATCATGCAATAGCAGGTTTTATATTAAAACTTTACAAGTAAGAGCCCAAAAAAAAAAAAGAGAGAAGAGGAAGTTGTTGCTCTGCTTATCATAGCGCTCCTCTTCCCTCCTCCTCCTCCCCCCTTCTTTTTTTTTCTCTTTCTCTAAATTCTATATTATTTAGATATCTTCAAACTCAAGACGATGAACAGAAATATGTACGATGGAGTAACTTTAATGGGGTTGATATGTTTATTATTGATTGTATATCTAGTAAGTTATATAAATATTTATTATAATAGCTGAGGGAAAAAAAAACTTGGGAACTCAATATGTGTTATTCTATAGAATTTACTGAGATAGTTTTACCTAAAGTATTTAAACATTGTAAATTTGCATCCTTTGTTAGACAATTAAATGTAATATAATAAAGCAATACATGTTGTGTGTATATGTAAAAAAAAAAAAATTAATATTATTATGATGCAGATATATGGATTTCGACGAGATTCAGATGGTCGTAAATCAAAAGATATGAAAGGGAAAGATAGTTGTCGATGGTATCACTCCTATTTTCGTCCTGAACGTCGAGATTTACTTCACCTCATACGCAGAAAGTCACCTCGTCATTCACGTACTACTAAAAAAACCGTCGTCGTCGTTGAGAAAAGGACGGATCGAAAAGAGCAAAACAGTCCAGAATGGATCGATGGCTTATCAGGTAACGATAGCTTCCCCATCACGACCTCCTCCTCCTCCCCCCATTCACGTCATTTTGAAGAAGACCATGATGGCATAAATGACGAAACGAGAGAACCTTCTTCAAATATCGCTCCATCTTATAGTAGCAGTAGTGTCAGTACTACGAATATGGATTATCATGATGATCATGACTTGGTTCAATTCACTTTTCAAAATTCATTAAAGCTAAAAGAAGAAGAATATGATGATAATCAAACTTTATCTTCATATTTTAAAGAGAACGCCACTAATTTCAGCAGGAAAACCCCAGTTTTTGATCTACCAATTAATAATAATAATATCATTTTTGTTCCTCCGCCTCCTACTAGTACTCCTGTTATGGAAACGGAATCAAAATTTAAACACTTTTATTCGTCATTGATTTCTCGCGAGCAAGAAGAGGAGAACATTCCGATTGACACAAAAATTTGGCTTCAAAAAGAATTTATACAATTACAGGAAACGTATTCAAGTATGTGTAAGACATTAACAGGAGAAGTAACAAAGGCGTATGAAATTATAGAGTCACAAAAGTTAAGGATTGAATATTTAGATAATCTATTGCTATTTCTTCAGCAGCAGCAGCAGCAGCAGCAGCAGCAGCAGTCGCCGCAACTTAGTGTGTCATCACAACATAATTCTACCTTTATACAACAACAAGAACCCATCTTTTACGAGAATAAATCGACGAATTTTTTAATGACAGAATATGATGATGATAATAATAACAGAGCTTACAATATTTTTATGCACAATGATAATTTAATGATAAATCATCGATATTTTCCTCGAGATCCCAACCAAGAACTAGCACAGAATAATCTTTTCTTTTTTTAAGATTTGGATCTATATTGTATAAACAGCGTTTTTTATAAACCGAAGAATTATTATTATTATTATTATTTTTTAATAGATGCAGTTATAGATTTTAAATAAATTTGAATCAAAAAAAAAAAAAAAAAAATGTTTTATAATATTTTCAATTACCCGAAACATTTATTTGATCCTTCATGATTGATAGATAAGATTATCTCTTTATATATACAAGTTATTCTATATTTGCTATCGTTGTATATAAATGCAGTGTTTGTAATTCATTAACAAACAAATAAACGCCCATCCAGAAAAGAAAGAAAGGAAAAAAAAAAAGAGAAAAGCTTTTAAATGATATATCAATACATATACAATATTATTTGGATAGTAATTTTAGGATACACAGTAGAATTACCCTTTAGTGTGTGTGTATGTGTGTATTATATAATAAGTCGAGTAATATGCATGTCTGATGAATGCATTTTTTTGCTATAAAAACTTAATTATTACATAATTGAATAATGACGCTTATATACAACACGTCGTCCATATATAGTAAGTTTTTTTTTTTATGTATTCGAACGGGTAAATCAAAAAAAGACATACATATTTTAAGCAGAACAAAGCAAATCGAAATCAATAACTATAAAAAAATAAAAAAAATGAATTTAATTCACAGACCTTGTTTTAAAATAATGCAGATATAATTACGAGTTCTCTCTTTTTTTTCTTAGTGTATAAAAAAAAAGTATTACTCTAAGACTGTTTTTCTTTCATTTAACAGTAAAAATAGTAAGTATCCAAACTTTTATTTATTTATGTAAAATTCGAAATTAAAAAAAAAAATGACAATTCTTCAAATTAGGAAACTTTTTCTTAAAAACGCATAGTGATAACAATCGTTATATGACATAAATGCATTAAATAAAAAAATATACTTTGATTCAAGGATAAAGAATATCGTTCTTGATGTAATTTAAAACCTAGCAAAGAATAAATCAGAAAAATAAAAAATAAATAAATAAAAAAATAAATAAATAAATAAAAAAAGAAAAAAATAAAAAGGTATATAAAGACATGTATTATTTTCTTTTCTTTTTCTTTTTTTTTCTTAATATATTATAAACCTTTTTTTTTCCTTTACTAATTATAAAAACAAAAATACACTTAATGGAAACTACTCAGAATTTTGATCTCAATATGGGATCCCAAATCATTGAAAGTATGAATCTGAAAGTTGATATACATTGTTCCACATATATTAATTGACCTTTTTTTTCTCTTTTTTAATGCAGCCAACTCTCAAAAAAAGAGATTAACTCCAGCTGAATCTGATAAATTCCAAGACAAGCAATTTGATGCTGCCCAGGGTAATGCTTATTCAAGAACGACACCACCATCATCATCAAATGATGTCGATAGTTTTTTCAATCAAATGTTTAACTCTTACAATGAGTCTTTCAACATGGCTGCTATGCCCCCCACCCCTGAGCATCAAGAACAATATAGTACTGATCTCATCAACAGTTATCAAGAGGCAGTTCAAATTCAACCCTCTGATGCCCAATTTGATTATCATCATTATAATCCCTATTATAATACATACCAACTATCTCAAAATGAAAATGATTCATCTTATGGTTCAACTCATCAATCCTCTCAAGGCTACAATACCATCTATTCTACTGCCACAACTGCTCACTACCAAGCAGCTCAAGGCTATAACAATTACTATGTACCTGCTAATCCAGTTGGAGCCGCTACAACAACAGCAACAGCAACAGCAACAACAACTCGTTCAGGTAAAGGCATGATTATGCCTACCAAAAGAGCATCGAATTCACGAGCCACTAAAAAGAACAATGCAGACTTGATTGCTCAACAGATCACTGGAAATCCGTTTGAAGGTATCATTAGTAAAGCGGCCATTATCTTTATGAATAAAACCAAGCTTGCAATTGATATGTGGACTGAGGCTGAAATCACTCAATGTCGTCGAGTCATTCTATTCTGGCGTCGACAATTTATTAATCGAGATGGTATTCTAGGTAAAAATGAACTTGAATGTGGTTATCAAGTCCTTAATGCTAGTCAATACGCTCGAGAGGGTTCAAGTCAAACATCCCGAGATCGCTTAATGATCTCCTGTATCTATTGGCCTAAAAGAGGAGAGCACTTTATTACCTCTGTTGATTGTATTAATCTTATCGAGGGTCTCCTAGATGTTGAATTCACGGTTGAAGAAAAGAATCGAGTTCGACGTAATTTAGAAGGTTTTAAACCTATCACGATAAACAAATCTGATCCTGAAAAATGTGAGCTCTTTAAATTGATCATGGGCTTCCCTTATCCTAAGCCAAGAAATATCGAAAAGGATATCAAGGTCTTTTTGTGGACTTCCTTGCCTAAAGCTCTCAGAAAAATTGCAAAGAAGTTCTCACCTAGTTACTCTAGTACTATTATTCGTAGAAAATGAAGAAATTACTCACTACTATTTCGAACACATATTATTATTTCTATCATTATTATTATTATTACTACTACTACTACTATTATTATTATTACTGCTCTTTCTCTCTCTCTCTACACACCTATATATAAGTTTATGTTTTTTTTTTCATCTTAATACATATTTAATAAAAAAAGAATATTACAAACATAAAATATGGAAAAATTTGATTTATTTTTATACATGAAGGTAAAAAAATATCAAAATTCAAGTGGTAGGTCCTTTTCTCTCTCTTTTTTTTTTTATATTTTTTTTATATTTTATTTTTTCACAACCTTTCTTTTAACGCTATAAGAATGAAAAAGAGTAACGCAGTGGCTAATATATACATATTTAAAATCAAAGTCAAGTTAACAATAAATGTTTTAGCAACGACCAGCAATTTAGAAATTCCTTCGTTGTACGATCAATTCCAGCTGCTAATGCAACAAAATAGGATCGATAATTAATTAATTAATTTAAAATATAACATAAAGCAATCCAAATATATGACATCAACTTTTGTCAATTTAAAAAAAAAATATATACTTTGTAAATGGATATGAAGAGTCTAGAAGAAAAAAAAAATATGAAAAAGGATGCATTAAAACTTGTAACAGATGTTGCATTTATTCCAAAGAAATTAATTGAGATATAACATAACAAAAGTCTTACTGAAAGACAATCGTTTATTTATATATACACCTTTTCTCAAAATGATGTCGCACTATTAAAATTTAAACTGTCGTACTTTTCAAGAAAAAGATGGCGCATTTTTAAGAAAAAAAAAAAAAAAAGTGTCGCACTTTTCAGAAAAAATATGCCACACTTTTTGGAAAAAAGATGTCGCATAAGAATCAGTACTCCTTTTCTCTTGAAGTACTTTTGTAATGAGCAATTCGTTTTATTTTGAGGATGGGCAAGGGAACGTTTTGGATGAAGATGGAAATGATCCAATGGATATCACTGAGAATGAAGATCCGTACAAGTTAGATGTACCTACATCTTATAGCGCTTATATTGCAGCTAGCAACAAGTTTATGATGGAAGTTGTTTAGAATCCAAATTGCTCAAAACAGAAGATGACTAAGAAACAAAAAAAAAAATCTGATAAAGAGCAAACGTGTCAGTAATGAAGTTAAGACACATGCTGTTCACTTAGTGAATGTTCATCCAAAAAAAAAAAAAAAAAAAAAAAAAAAAAGCGCTAGAGCAGTTGTTTTAGATTTAGGCTTAGAACTGAGAAGTGTACAACGGTGGCATAGCACCTGGAAGAAAGACCCAGACTCCTTGTTCAAAACTGTCGGCCGACCAAGAATAGTTGAAGCAGATGGCGACCTAGCAGTAGCAACGAAGAATACTGTTACAGAGTTTTATTACAAACAGCCTACCACTACAGCTGATCAGCTACTTAATCGGTTGACTAGTACTCTTGAGGGTCTATCACTCTCAAAACCTACTTTATACCGCTATTTGAGCGATCTCTGGTTCCTCACTTTGAAGAAGGTAAAACTAGTGTCTTCAGGGCGAAACAGTACAGATAGGATTCAAGCGAGAAAGAAATGGGTGGAGGAGATAAAGAGCATGGGCGTAGATTATATGAACAACTGTTTCTTCATCGATGAAGCAGGATTTAATGCAAATTTGAGAAGAACTCAAGGATGGGCTCCAAAGGGAGAATCAGCTATTGTTAAGATACTTACGGCAAGAGCAAACTTGATCTCAATCTTGGGCACTATATCAAGTAAAGGCGTGATCAAGGTTTGTCTGAAGAAAGCCTATTCCCCCTTCAAAAAAAACGAAAGCTAGCAGGAGGTGCTAAAACACAAAAAAGATGTACAATAACTAATGACTACCTGAACTTCATTGAAGATATCCTTGAAGAGATAGATAAATATCCTGAAATGAAGGGACATTATCTATTGATGGATAATGCTCCTATTCATATATCTAAGTTGATTAGAACCACTATTGAGTCTCGTGGATATAAATGTATCTACCTACCACCCTACTCCCCTGAGCTCAATCCAATCGAGCAATTTTGGTCAGTTGTCAAGAGTGGTGTTAAGAGAGAGTTTGTTATCAAGAAAGATACGCTTCCTGCTAAAATTGCAGATGCTTGCAACAGTGTATTGCTATCATCCTTTGAAGGTTTCACTCGTTATTCTGTAAGGCCGTTCGATGGCTGTTTGAATAGTCTTCCCATTTAATGAGAATACGATACGACATCTTTTTCTTGAAAGTTGATGCTTAGACCTGAAGAACAAAATAGGAAATATTATTATGCCCACCCTTCATTCTCATTTCTTATTTACTGTGTCCGAGCTATAATCGATTAATGAAACACAGTTAGTCTATCTTTTTTTATTTATTTCTAATTATAGCATAATAGCAGTTCTTATTTTGTTCTGACGGTCTCAAGCAATTATTAAGAGAATTCTTTTCGACCTAGAAGTGCGACATCATTTTGAGAAAAGGTGTATGTGTGTACGTATATTTCTTTAGTATAAATACAAAAGAAGTTAGTCTTTTGTACTTGGTATATTATTACTGTCATTTTTTCTTAAAAAAAAAAAAGAAACATGTCCTTATTATAAGAGACTATTTATGTTAGGATACCCCATATTATCAAATTTATACAAGAAAAAAAAAAAAAAAAAAAAAGAGTCCAACAATACATTCTCTACTACTATTTCACAATCATTCAGTTATATGAAGTTTTATATTATTTTTTTTAAATAAATAATCTTTAAAGTTATTTTGAAAGTAAGAAATAATATTCAGTGTAGCTCATTTTTATTTATTTTAATTTGTACACATTTATTTAAATCAAACAAAATAACACATATATAATTGCAAGAGAGCCAAATAATAGGATATCTAAAAAAAAAAAATTATAGTTTTCGTTTATAAGATTGAGTCAACCAGAAGTTTTGCAAATCGACTTTGCTCTCTTCAAGTAAATTGATAACAGGGAATAAATTAGTGTCATTCAGATGAGTTGACATCTTGAATTCCTCAGCTATTTTCCAGTTTAAAGACTTTGCTTCTTCGTGGGGGTCGTAACTTCTTGGGTCTTGAAAGTACATGTAGATACTTGAATCGTCTTCGATTATTGGTTGATTTATAAAGGACATAAGAGGATAAGAGTCACTTGAAGATAGTAAAAGTTGATTAGATAAATGAGTAGCTTGTGGTTTGAAATATAAAATATCATGGGTAGGTGTCTTTGCTGGAGAATAAGAAGGCATCTGTTGTTGATAATGAAGATCGTTTGATTTAGATTCTTTTAAAAGAGGTTTAACTGTGGCATAAGAAGAAGGAGTGTGATCACTCAGTTGAATTACTGAAGGAGATTTTCTCTCTCTTTTAGAAAGATGAGTAACCAATTTTTGTATATCATCTACTTGCTGTGATGACGATGGAGAACTAGTATTCTTTTTTGACTTATTTTCTACAGAGGAAGGATGAAAGAATCTTGAAATAGATTTTAGTGAATGATTCTCTTGTTGCTGAGGTGAAGATAATCTACTAGAGTCCTTCTTTTCTTGATAAACGACTTGTGGACGTGGCCTTAAGAATTCCGATTCAGAAAATACTAAATCTTGAACTTGAAATGTATTATGTAATCATTTATTTTACTTATTTTATTAGCTTACCCGCTTTACCATTTGCTGAAGATTTTCCCTTATTAAATAATCCAATTTTAGAATGATGTTTATTCTTCTTGACTGATTTCATCTATTAGAGAAATGTGTATATAATTACTATCGTTAAAGCATAAATGTATTTATTGTTATTACTGACTGTAATTCTGTTAATTTCTAGATTAGGTGATACAAATTTCTATATTTTTATATATATGAACATGTATGTCGTTATTTACAAAAAAAAAAAAAATCGATTTTAATAAGTCTCACATTTAATAAATGAAAACCGTTTGTCTTTGTTTGTGGAAGTAAAGAAGATGCCTGTAAATCTTCCTTTTTCTTTATTTCATTATTTGAATAACAAGGACGTTGTTTATTAATTTTTGAGTGAAGTTGATTTTGATGAGTCATTGGAATAATGTGATATTTCCTCTTTATTAACTCACTAATTGAAGTAGAAATGTCACTTAAATTATTATCATTTATGATACATGATTCTGGCATAGGTCGACAGCAGCTATCATCATCATCATTGTAGAATTCTATAAATGATTCTTGTTTTTGAATATAATCTTTTATCCTATTTAACTTTTCTTGTTCATTTAACAACATTTTAACAATAATAAAAAGAAAAAAGAAGAAAAAGAAAAAGGAGATTTTATTTTATGTGCCATATTTTTGAATAAAGCCTAATTTATATCCTATTTCAGCCATTAAATGCCATGCAAGAATGACATTCTTATTATTTATAAAAGAGTATTTTGTAGTTGTATCTTTACGATTAAATCCAATAGAAGAATAAAACAAGAAAGATGATATTGACTTAATCAATGTTCCATCTTTAATCAAGTAGCTTTGAATAGGCTTAATATCCATTATTTCTTCTTCTTCTTCTTCTTTGCCTATTACAGGACTTGGTGGAGAAATGATATATTGAATGAATACATCTTGATAATAAAATACTAATTCATCTATCATTTTCCATGCTTTATTATCACAGTAGTCAGTAAAATCAATAAAGATGACATCTACTTTCAAATCATTTATATAGGCTACAAAAGCAGATGTTGATTCTATAATAGAATGTTGAATACAATTCAATTCAATTGCTATGTTTATAGCCAATGTTGAATTTGATATAATAGCCAATGACATATCATTGAATCTTTATTTATATTACTAATTACAACTGTAACTCTTTATATATACAATACATCCCTTTAAACTTAACTTACCTTTCTTTAAACCTTGCTTGAAGACTGTTATTACTTTTTATATCATATAAACCTAATAATTGAAGTATATCCACTTTTTTTTATTCTATATTAAGCAATTTTATATATAATTATAAAAAGACATTTATTTACATTTAGAAGAATTGGCTGTTTCTTCCAAAGCAATTTGACCTGAAGATCCTTTTAATGTAACTTGATCAACATTTGGAATGGGTTGATCTGGCTTAAATGGACAATATAAAATCAATACCTTATTGGTTATCATGTTTAAAATAAATAAAAAAATAAATAATAAAAAAAAAAAATAGGTACAGTATTCTTATTTTAATTCAGACGATGTTAGTTTTTTTTTTTTTTTTTTTTTTTTTAGACGAATGAAAATTAATTTTCAGGTGTTAAGCTTATCTTTTTTAGACAAACAAAGAATAAAATTTACAAAAAGTGAGATGTATGTTTAGACTTTTTCACCTACTAGACATCCAATAATGTAGTATATTCTAATTGATAATTGCCAAATAATAATTTCTGGACCTGTAGGCCGAGAGACAGTGGATGCAGATGGATCTCTGAGACTGAATTTATTTAAAAGCTTGGAGGGCAAGTGAGTGTGCCTAATTCTATAATCTTAAGCCAAATAATCCTTTATAAACATTTTGCTTACAACACAACTGGTAATAGCCTCAAGCGTTTGAACCATAAGCAAAGGTCGAAAACAAAAAAAAAGACAACCTCCTCTCGGCGGGATCCCACACCACACCCACCACCAGTAATAGGATAAAGTTTGAAGCAAGCTAAACAAACAGCAAAACGACAAAAGACCACAAATGATAATGTGACCAATCTTCATTGTAAGAAATACTGTGGTGATAATCATTCTACAGCAAGATCTCCCTTATGCCTATACAATATAACACCTGAAGACAGCTAAGATTGTTTTATGATGTTTTCAATTTTGGGAAACTGTGCTACAGAGGGTGAGTACAGATAAAGATTGTATCAAATCAGGCTTATGTATTTCTTACTTTTAGATTTGTAGCATTGCTGAATTAATACCAGATGGAAACAACCAGATCCTTTTTTGGAAACTTGATACAGACTGATGGTTTTGTTGTTGATTTTTTTTGTTTTACAAAAGATGTCAAGCCAGTTACGGTCCTTCTTTGCAACGCTTTGAGTTGACTCTTCATGACTTTACTTTACTAGAAGTAGCAAAGGATTATCATCCAATTTTTGTTGACCCTGAGCGAAAGTCTGTATTCACTGCTGTGAGTGGTTTAAACGAGTCTAGACACCCAATAATCCGCTGCAGTACTAAAGAGTATTATCATCTTACTGCTTCGACTGTTTCTTTCTACCCAGCAGCAATTTTTGAAAAGTCAAAACGGAATCAAGAATTCCCACAACCAAGACATCAAACCCGGAGCGTTTTTTAGACTATGTTTGATATCTGTTTGACAACATAAATACTTTATTCAACTTTTACAATTCCAGTACTGCAAAAAAAAAACGCTTCCAACATTATCAAGGGAGGCAAAAAGCGCAAAAAACTATGGTCAATATGCTTATAAACGGTGACACCAAATATAATCAAAGTAGGAGAAGCAAGAAGATACAGAAAAAGAAGAAAAGAAAGAAGAGACCAAATAAGAATGATGCTATCAAGTATAAATATTTTCTACTTGAATATATTCAAACAGTTATTAATTAATTTTTTCTTTAGAAAAAAAACTGAATAAATAGAGGCCTATCAAATATAAAAAAGACAAGACGAAAGTTCCTCTGATAGTATTTAAAAGTGGAATGTTCAATAAGGAACGCCAACAAGATCAGGACGCTCAGATGTAGGGTGACAGGTATTTTATGGCGCGCGCTGAAAAGGCGAGAAGCGGCTGGACAACTTATCACAATCACAATTGACGAGTTCGGAACATCCAAAGCATGCAGTAGATGCCAAACTCTAACCTTAATGCCAGCCTCGCCTGCTACTAAATTGAATGTGCTAGCCTGTTCTTCTTGCCATACTCTTCTTTGTCAAAGAGACATTGATGCCTTCCGAAACATGATGACAATCTCTATCAGCATTTGGCAGGGACGAGAAAGACCAACACCTTTTCATCGCACTACCACCACCACTACCACACCGCCACAGTCATCGCTGTAATAAACACAGCTTACCTAGTGTATTTAGATGACCACATTCACTCAACTTCTATTGTTTGGATGCTTTACAGGTAAGCTAAATATCTGTAAGTTAATTTTCATTCGTCCAGAAAAAAACTAACATCGTCTGAGTTTAAAATAGAAATACTGTAAAATACCAAATAAATGATGATCATTGTCGGCGGTGATTGAAAATTCATTTCGACCTGTACAAAAAATAAGATTTATATTAAAAGTTTTTTTTTTTTTTTTTTTTTTTTTTTTTTTTTTTTCACTTGTATTATTAGAAAGAGGAATCAAATAAAATGGCACTTGATTTAAAAGAATATGACGAAGAACAAGTTCGTCTTATGGAAGAAATGTGTATTGTCGTAAATAAAAATGATGAACGCGTTGGTGCTGATTCTAAAAAGACATGTAAGTTATTCATTGTCGTTATCATCATTTATTTTATTTTTATTTTTTTTACTAACAAGCTTATAAATATATAAGGTCATCTCATGTCAAACATTCAAGAAGGTCTTTTACATCGAGCCTTTAGTGTCTTTTTATTTGATTCACAAAATAGACTTTTACTTCAACAACGTGCTACAGAGAAAATTACCTTCCCTGACATGTGGACAAATACCTGCTGCTCCCATCCTTTGAATACTCCTTCTGAATTAATCGAAGAAAATCAACTCGGTATTTTTTTTTTTTCTTTTTATAACAAGAAGATCTTATTTCTATCTAACAATTGATATATTTATATAAAATAATAGGTGTTCGTAATGCTGCACAACGTAAATTGGAACATGAGCTTGGTATTAAGCCTGAAGAAGTACCAGTTGACAATTTTAAATATTTAACAAGAATTCATTATTTGGCTCCCAGTGATGGACAATGGGGAGAACATGAAGGTAAAAAGTGTATATAATATATGCGTGCATGTATGTATATTTACTTTTTTTTTTCACCGATTTAGTTGATTATATTCTCTTCATGAAAGCAGATGTTAATTTGAATGTTAATCCAAATGAAATACGTGATATTAAATGGGTTACTCCTGAAGAATTAAAGGCCATGTTTGCTGATCCTAGTAAGTATCCAATATACACAAAAAAAGAATTCTTTTCTTATATTTTATTATTTTTTTTTTGTAGATATTCCTATGACACCTTGGTTTAAACTTATTTGTAATTCATTCTTATTCAAATGGTGGGAACAACTCGATGATACACTTCAAAACTTGAAGGCAGATGACACAATTCATCGTTTAGGTTTTGATTAAAGAAGTATTTATGTTTAAGTCTTTTTTGTTTCTTGTGATAACATGAATAAAATGCATCTAATTCAAGCACTTTTCTTTAAAGATCCAAGAAGTTCCTTCTTATCGTACATATTTGAGTGTTGTACATCATGTCCATTATTCAGAAGGCGACAATTCACCCTGATAATAATTTTATATTCTTCTCCTTTTTTTTTTTTTTTTTTTCTATTAAATTATTTAACTTTCTGCATATGCATATTTAATTCCCTTTTTTTTTTCGTTATACATGAAAAAGAATAGTAATTGTATTAACAAATGGCTAATACCGATGCCAAGCGGTATTTCTTTAACAAGCCATGATTCTTTTACACAAGATTTATTATTACAATTTGATAAAAAGATACACCAACTATTATATGATCAGGTATTTAAATAGAATAGAATAGAATAGAATATCACTTAGAATTCTCTCTCTAGAACAATCATAGTCATATTCATTCATACATATTATCTGCTACTAGTAGTACTAGCACAAGCACAAACACAAACACAAACACAGGCGCAACTCCATCTATAACTTCAAATCAAGCTATTCATAGTCCTACTTTATCTTATTTAACCTTTAAAGAATCTCATCCATCAAGAGATAAATCAACTAAAGAGACTAGATCTGCAACGAAATTACTACGAAAATCATCTATTTATCTGAAAAATAAGTTTTATCATCATACTAAACAAAGACACAAGTCCCTTTTCAATTCTTTAACATTAAGAAATAGAAAGAAAAAAAGACAAAAAAATTCATCTGTACCAATAACTCATAATTTGCAAGAATTAGAAAATAAAAATAGACTTTTATATCAACAAGAAGGGAAATTTATTCTTCAGCAACCGCCTATCATCATCACTCAATATCCACCAAAGCCGCTTAAATATTCCCCTGTTGAATTCATTCTTCCTGAGACGACGACTACGACTGTTAACGATAAAAAGCGTCGTCGATTATCTCTTCCTTTACTTAAATTATCTTCAACAAATTTAATACAACGTCAAAAATCTGAATCGAATATTTTAATAATTCATTCAACTGCAGAAGAGCCTGTTCAACAAAGATTATTACAAGAAAATTCCTTCATTACTCAACTACATTGCTCTTTGAATAAGCAATGGAATAAGCTTATTTCCAACATGACAAAACCTCAAAGTAAAAAGAAAAAGAAGGGGAAATCTCCTTTACTCTATACTAAATAAATAAATATCATCTTTACTCTGTTTAAAATTCGATGAGCCAGATAAAGTTAATTTTTTTTTTTTTTTTATTTAAAAAAAAAAAAATTATGCAATCTTCCCTCCCTTGCAACTGATTATGTAAGATTACAAATTTGATTCATTATTTCCCAACACATCCCTCATTTCGGGAAAAAAATAAAATAAAATAAAACTTTTTTTTTTTTTTTTTTTTCAATTATTTCCATTTCTTTTTTCCCTGCATAGAACAAAAAATGGCTATACAGACGCGATCTGCATCGCGCAACAAGACTAATAATGAAGAAGAACAACAACAACAACAACAAAATGATGGTCCACCTCCTAATCGTGCTGCAAGACGAGCAGCACAAAAGAAAGAAGCCAAAGAAGCCAAAGAAGCCAAGAATGCGAAAACTAGTAAACAATCAAGAATAAACAAAAGAAACCCTCGTCCTTTGACTACGACACCAAACGAAATAAAACCATTTACTAATCCCAAAACAACCCATTACGAGTATGTTAGTTCACTTGAGGAGCTTTATTATTATTACTACTTATTTCTAACTTAATATTTCTAACTATAGGTTTGGTGGTGTTTTGGGTGCTACTGGAATGATTCTATTCTTACCTGTACTTGTTCTTACTTTTGCTTATGGATGTGATAAAACAGGATACAATCCTCTACAACGTCTTTATCATTTTGTTATGCAGTTTGATATAAATAGGATGATTGATAATCTCAAAAATTGGCATTATGGCTCTGCTCTCTTTTATTTGGGTATTGTATTGCAATTAGCTGCTTATTCACATGCACTTCCTGGTGAAGTAGTTGAAGGTGTTCCTCTTCGTGATGGTAGACGTCTTAAATATAAAATTAATGGTAAGATTTAAGATACACATATATAAATTCGTGTGTGTGTGTGCTTTAATTTATATGAATTTATTATAGCTCTTAGCTCATTGCAGTCACTTTTAATGATTGCTATTATGGCTCTTCGTGGCCAAGGCTGGTTTTTGTTCTTGTGGGTCAAGTCTCATTTTGCTGATATTGCATTATTTTCAGTTGTATTTTCTTTGCTTGTTTCTATCTGCGTGTATATTAGTAGTTTCTTTGGACATAAAATGCTGGCCTTGGGTGGTAATACAGGAAATCCCATTTATGATGTAAGTAGAATATGTCCTTTTGTTTGCTTGCTTGCTTGCTTGCTTGCTTACTTGATTTACTAATTTTTTTTTTCATCAAGTTCATGATTGGACGTGAATTGAATCCTCGTATTGGAGAATTTGATATTAAATTTTTTACAGAATTAAGACCTGGATTAATTTTATGGTTATGCTTAAATATTTGTTTTGCAATTTATCAATGGGTCGAATTAGGTAGAGTGACATACTCTATGATCTTGGTCAATGTATTTCAAGCTTGGTATATTTTGGATGCTCTCATTAATGAGTCTTCTATCTTGACTACGATGGATATCACAACAGATGGATTCGGCTTTATGTTAGCCTTTGGTAACCTTTGTTGGGTACCCATGATGTATAGTCTTCAAGCTCGTTATCTTTCTGATTTCCCTGTTGACTTAAGTATTCCTTATTTGATTTTCATTATTGCCCTTCAAATGACTGGCTATTACATCTTTAGATCAGCTAATTCTCAAAAGGATACATTCCGTAAAGATCCTAACCATCCTAAAGTTGCAGGTAAAATAAACGAAACGAAACGAAAATCATGATAATACCATTATTGACTTTTTATTTTTATAGGCCTTAAATATATTGAAACGAGAGCAGGTTCTCGATTAATTATTTCAGGTTGGTGGGGTAAGGCAAGACATATCAATTATTTAGGTGATTGGCTCATGTCTGTAGCTTGGTGTTTACCGTGTGGATTCAATTCGATTATCCCTTACTTTTATTGTATCTATTTTGCCATCTTATTAATTCATCGTGAACGTCGTGATGAAGATAAATGTCGCAAGAAATACGGTGAAGATTGGGATCGTTATTGTTCTATTGTAAAATATCGCATTATTCCAGGCATTTATTAAAAGAAATAAAATAATGCATTGAGTGTAATTATGTAATGATTCCTTTTTATGGATAATATCTATTACCTCCGCTTGTTTGTTACTACCTCTTTTTTTTTTTTTTTTCTTTTTTTTTTTTTTTTCTTTTCTTTTTTTTTTCTTTTCTTTCTATTTCTGTTTGATACTGATTATATAAAATGTTGAATCCATTAGCTCATGAATTTACTCCTATCTCCTCATTCCAGCCTTCTGAACAACCTGACATGAAAAAAAATAAAAATCTACCGACAAAAAAACAAAAAGAACAAAAAGTGAAAAAGAAATCGATTGCTACTACTAACAACATTCCCGTCAGTCCAAGTAGTAAAGCTGATAAAGCAAAGTCAGAAAATCCCTCATCCAAAAAAAAGAAGAAGAATAAAGATTTGCAGGCAAATCAATCAAAACGGAAATCAACACACACTAATCAACAAAGATCATCCGCAGCATCAACTCAAGATCCTTTTGCAGAAGAATGTAAATTTATAACTATTGAAGCAGCTATTGATCCTATTCATCGAATTGAAACTATACATGGCAGTAATCATACAACTAGTAGTAGTAGCAGTAGTAGTAGTAATAGTAATAAATATTTGCTTGAACATGGATATAAACGTTATATTGACTGGGTAATAATAATGTAAACTTCCATTTTATTTAGACAGTGTCATCTAACTTTTGTTATAGATTGATCGTTCATTAAAAGCATTTGATACAATTACTTTAGTTGGAATGGGCAATGCAGTAGTAGATGTTGTATCATTAATATCAATTCTACAGGATCGTAAGATAGGAACGCATGATGGTAAAACAATATTGATGAAAAAAAAAAAAAAAAGAGAGAGAGAAAACTAATACTTTGCATAGATGTTGAAACATTTAGTATGAATACTGGGAATGGTAAAATAACAGCTTGTATTCAAGTCAAACTGCATTCATATTATTAAGCTTCTCCTTTATTATTATTTTTTTTTCATTATCTCCTTAAAAAAAGAAAAAGAAAAAAAATACATAATATGCATGTTTAATAAATTGAATTCTTTTCTTTTTTTATCCTTTTGAAAGTCGGAATAAATAATATTATTTCAGGTATAAATTTAGTCTTTCTCTTCCTCTCTCTTTTTTTTTTTTTTTTTTTTTTTTTTTTTTTTTTTTTTTTTTTTTTTTTTTTTTTTTTCCTACTTTTATCGTTTAAAATGTCATTTCTAACTATTCCTTTTACACGATTAAAAAACATAAAACCACTTGATGATGAACCTCATGAAATGACACATGTTGTTGATTTGGATTCTTTTATTACCTTAATGGATGGCCGTAATAGCTTAAGTAACTTACTAGAAGACGACGACGACGACGACAATAGTAGTCTAAGTAGTGATAGTATTAATAGTGAACAAGATAGCATGAATCATATACAATATAAAGTAATAGAAAATACCCCTTTTACAACCACAACCACTACTACTACTATGGATTTAGAAAATGGTGGTTTATTAAATAAACAGGTAAAATAATACATATATGTATGTGTGTGTGTATAAAAGTTAATAACTTTGTCTAATTAGAAAAATGGCAAAAAATGGCTTTGTATGGCTTTTTTAGTTCTAATTTTATTGCTTTGGTTAATATGGACAATTGGTCTAAGTCAGATGGGACCAGGTAAGAAGAAGGGTTAAATTAAATATGGCTGCATAAATAAATAAATAAATAATGATATTTTAACAGCCAGTGAAATTGCTAAGCAAGAGTCCTCTTCACTTCAGCATATTGATTTACCTGACTTGTATAATTCTTCATTTTTTGTAAAGAAACCATCTTTAGTGTGGGTTAAGAATGGTAGGAATAATGTTATTATTAGCACACATACTTAGTTTAGTTTATATGTATATAATATAATATGTTAGATCCAAGAGACGGGATTTATACTTACACAGATCCAGATACAAATGATATTCTATTAGCATCAATAGAGGATGGAGAATCAGAAATATTTGTTAGAGCATCAGATCTTGTAATGTGAATGGATTTTTTTTTTTTTTTTTGGCTATCATTGGAGAAGACTTGTATAATGACCTTTATTTTATTTTAGAAAGTGGGTGATGGATTTTTAGAAGTACAATCGTTTGAAATATCCCAAGATTCAGAATATTTATTATTACGTACAAATGTGACAAACGTATATCATAATAATAAGCTAAAATAGATGTACATTACTAAAATTATTGTTTTTTTTTTTGGTTTTTTACGATAATAGCAATGGAGATATTCAACTCATTCAAATGTATACATTTATAAATTAGCAGATAAATCATTATTTCCTTTAAATAAATTCTCTACTATTGATCAAGTACCTGTTATTTCATATGCTACATGGAGTCCAACAGGTCACAAACTGGTAAGTGAAAGAAAGAAAATAAAATTCCCTCCATCAAATAGTTTGAGTAGTATATGGATTCATATTTATTTATTTATATACATATATATTAAAGGCATATGTGCTTGGCAATGAAATTTTTGTTACTGATTTGGAAAACTTGACACGCATTACATTTGATGGGTCAAATACAATCTTTAATGGTGTACCAGATTGGGTTTATGAGGAAGAGGTCTTTGGTACAGATTATGCTATGTGGTGGTCTCCTGATTCAACTCATCTTGCCTATCTTAGATTTAATGAAACGGCTGTGCCTGAATTTCATTTACAATATTATACCGCTACAAATGATAGTTATCCCTCTGAATTAACAATTAAATATCCCAAGGTAAATGATTTATATTTTCTCTTTCTCTTTCTTTCTTTCTTTCTTTCTTTTCTTTTCTTTTCTTGCTAATAGATGTTATATATATTAGGCAGGATCACCGAATCCTTTAGTAACACTTCATATTCATTCACTTATATCAGGAACTACAGTCATGGTAACAAGCAACTCCACTTTAAATGCTACAGTTCAAATGAGCGACAATTTTTTTGAACTTAAAGATACAGATCGTATCATAACGGATGTTATTTGGTCAACAGAGACCAATACCCATCTCCTATTCAAACAAACAAATCGTGTCCAAGATATAGAGATTACAAATCTTGTTACTCTTGGTACTTTTCTTCAGAATGAAACTGTTGTAGAAACAATTAGAACATATAAGCCATCAGATGGTGGTTGGATTGATCCTGCACAAACGATGGTTTATATACCTGATAATGATACAGCAATTCCACAATATTTAGATATCATTGATAATGGGAATGGTTATATGCATCTTGCTTTATTAAAGGCAACCCTAGATGCAAATGACTCTCCCTTTTGGTTGACATCAGGCGATTGGGAAGTGATTCCAAGTACGGTCGAAGTAGATCATGAACGACAATTGATTCATTATATTTCGACAGAGCGTTCCTATCTAGAACGTCATCTCTATAGAATTGATCTAAGGCATCCAAAGGATAGACTATGTCTCACATGTCCTGATCAAGAGGATGTACATGCTTATTTTACAGCCTCATTTTCTCCTAAGCACGGATATTATATTTTACAGTACGATGGACCCGACATTCCAACTACAGTTGTGAAAAAAGTAGATGATGCTGCCTTTGAGGCTGTCTTACAAGATAATGAAGCCTTAAGGTCTTTATTATCCAATTATGAGTTGCCGCGTACTCGTATGGTACCTGTCAAGAGTGGTGGTATAGATATGATGGCTATGGAAGTTTTACCTCCTGATTTCTCTGTTTCAAAGAAATATCCCGTCTTATTTCATGTCTATGGTGGTCCCGGATCTCAATTAGCTTCTTATCGATTTGAATTATCTTGGAGTACCTTCCTTGCAAGTAAATTAGGATATATCATTGTCACAGTATGTATTTTTTTTTATCCATGATATATATAAATATATATATAAAGACTTTTTCTTTTTCTTAGGTAGATGGAAGAGGAACGGGTTTTAAAGGAAGAAAATATAGATCAGGAGTAAGAGGTAGATTAGGTGAATTAGAAACGATTGATCAAATCAATGCAGCAAGACATTGGGCTACTTTAGAATATGTAGATCCCTCTCGAATTGCTATTTGGGGATGGGTAAAAAAAAAAAAATCAAGCTTTTTTCTTATATTTATATATGACATGTAAGCTAATTTTAATTGTTATAAGTCTTATGGTGGTTATATGGCATCCAAAGTCATAGAAGCCAACAGTGGTTTATTTGTTGCTGGAATGGCTGTTGCACCTGTTACGGATTGGCGATTCTATGGTAATAATAATAAACAAAAAAAAAAAAAGGTGAATAACTTTTTTTTTCTTTCTTTTATGTACAGATTCAATTTATACTGAAAGATATATGCTAACACCAGAATTAAATCCTCAAGGTTATGCTACTAGTGCAATCAGTAACACAACTGGCTTTGAAAATGTACGTTATTTATTGATACATGGTACAGGTGATGATAATGGTAAATAATGAGAATGAGTCAATATGAAAAGAAAAGCGTAATCATTCGTATGATTTTTTTTTTATTAGTTCATTTTCAAAATACAGCTGTTTTGGTTGATAAGCTAACACAAGCCAATAATCATAATTATCGAGTCCAATTCTTTACAGATAACAATCATGCTATTCGATATCATAATGCAAATCAAAATGTATATTACACATTGTCAAATTTCCTATGGGAAAGGTAATATATATATACATATAAATGTATACGCTTTCTTTCACTAAACCTCCTCTCACTCACTCTCTCTCTCTCTCTCTCTCTTTTTTTTTTTTTTTTTTTTTTTTTTTTTTTTTTTTTTTTTTTTTTTTTTTTTTTTTTAAATAGTTTTGGAGGAGAAGAATACTTGCATGTTCGAAAAGAATTAAACGGCCATTTTTCAGGACCATTACTTACAGGAGAACATTAAATAATAATGATAATAAAGTGTGTATTTATTTTTATTGTTGCTGACTAATAGCCATATAACGTCTTTTAAGGAATTCTAAAATAGCTTCAGTACCTTGAGCAACTATATCAGGACGAGGCACTCTAAACCTATTTTACGAGAAAAAAAAATAAATAAATCAGTTAATAAATAAATTCAATTGAGAGTACTTGATTATTGCTTACCTGTTTCCAAAGACAACAAGTTCCTGAAGTGATTCAATTTGACTTAATCCAGGTGGCAAAAAGCCAATATCATTATTACTCAAATCTAATACCTCTAGTCCTTGCTTAAAACATCGCTCAGTGATATTACTCAATCTATTTGAACTCATCAAGAGTTTCTTGAGTGAGGGTAATGCTTTAGAAAGAAGGTCTTCAGGTAAAGCCGTGATCAAGTTATGATTTAATATTAATTCTTCCAATTTTGGGAACGAACTTTCAACAGAACACTCAATTGTCTTTAAACGATTGTTGGCCAAGTTGAGTGTCTTGAGGTGAGGGTAGGTAGTGCCTTGAATACTAAAATTAAAAGACATAATACGGTTGTATTCCAAATCAATATGAACAATAAAGTTAGATATCAGGTTTAAACTTGAAGGGAATACATTGAATGCATTATGATCTATTATAAATAATAAAAATGTTTAATTATTTATATATTCGAATATATATGCTTTCTTCCCTTATAAATATACCTAAAAGAATGGTCCCTGGTATATCATTATTAGATGGAGATGTAAGTATTTTAGTTGGTAACTCTGATAGCTGTTTGTTTGATAAATTGAGTTTTCTTTTGCTATTCAAAACAAGTTGTGAAAGGCTATGATTTAACTCGACTATAACAGAACTGCTGTCTTCATTTTCCATTTTGTCATCATCTTGTCTGATTTGACTGAGAATAGCCGACGGACCTGATCCCTCCTCGTCTCTCTCTCTTTCTGTATCTTGCTGTTGTCGATAGCTGTTTTTCAATGAGTCGATTAATTGAGTTTGACTCATTGAAATATAAGTTCGCATTGGATTCCCATCACACAAAAGAACGTTTAGGTGCTCTAATTGACCCAAGTCATAAGGCAACGTATGTAATTGATTACCTCTAACATCTAAACGTTGTAAATACTCCATTTGACCAAGTCCAGATATATTTTCAAATTCATTCGATGATATATCCAATGTCTGTAGCATAGGCGTCCCCTTTAAAAATTCTACTAGTTCTGTTTCGTCATGAAGCTTATTAGTGGATAAGGAAAGTTCAATTAATTTAGGCATCCTATAATTCTTTGTCAGGGCAGTGATGAGATTGCTGCCAACATCTAAGCGAACCAATTGAGGCAAAACAACTTTTCTTTCTGGATCTATTGTTATTTATCAAGTGCAGGCTTAATATATCCATAGGTTATGTGTTTGGACAATGAGTAATGTTTATAAATATACCTGGAAAGAGCATTCTCAAGTTATTTTGATTTAATTGAAGCTCTTGTAATTTTGGCCATCTTTCAAACGAAGTTAAAGTCATAAGATGATTATGGCTGATATTCAACTTTACTAGCTGCATGTTATCTTGGGTATTCACTACAAACTGATTAATTTCATTGAAACTTAAATCTACAAATTCCCATTTAGAGTCCAACACTATTTCCCCTTTAATTTGATTATGGGAAAGATTAAGTTCTTTTAATTGCTTCAGCTCATAAAGAACGCTAGGTATTTCTTCAAATTGGTTATAAGGCATCCATAGTGATGTAAGGTTTTCTAGTTGACTCAAGGATTTAGGTAGACATTTTAATCTATTATCACTAAACTATTAAAGTATTAATATCTCTCGGAGGTTTTTTTTTTTTTTTTTTTTTTTTTTTTTTTTTTTTTTTTTTTTTTTTTTTTTTGTTTTCTTTTCTTTTCTTTTTGCTGTCGAATAATAATGATTCCTTACATCAATTCGTTTTAAGGCACCAAATTCATTCGTCAAACGTTCATCTATTTCTTCAATGGCATTACTACTTGCAACCAGTTTTATTAGATCAACTTCATCATACCAAGCATTGCCCAAAGAGGAAAAGTCAATGACTGAAATAGGTTCTGAATGGTACCTAATGTAACACATCTTTTTTTTTTAATCAAGATAATAAAAGTTTGTTTCTCAATCATTACATGTTCAATACTTCTTCAGGTATCTTTGTTAATCCTCGATTTGAAATATCCAATTTCCCTGTTGATTTCGCTTGCTTTATGAGGACTTGAATTTTTCTTGGACAAGTTGGTTTGTCATCTACTTCTTGTTGGTGGCTATAGCATTGTGCCCCTGTCATTATATGTGAAGGACTTTTGTCATTCTTGGTTGTCAATGGTGTTAAGTTTACTTTCTTTGCCATACGAGCCCTTTGTTGTGCCATAAAAGCCTTAACACCCTCGGAGGGGCCCACGCTATTTTTCCTGGTTGACTGTTGAACACGACTCGATGGTCTATTCTCTTCTTCATTTCTAGATGTTTCTTCTGTCTTTTGTTGTTTTTGTAATCGTAACAAGGATGCCTTTGTAGGTCGAGGTTGAATTGAAGGCTTTCTTGTTGCCATTATTTTATATTAAAAAAAAAATGTATGAACAAAAATAAAATATATAAGAAGGGAAGGAAGGTTTCTTTTTTTTTTTAATATATTTGTGTATATATAAATGAATATTAAAAAAAAAAAAATGCAGATAAAAATGCAAATAAAAATTTATCAAGCAGAAAAGGGCATTATTTGTATGTATAAAGTTGTATACACAAATAAGGTTTTATTCTTGAAACTATAGAACTAGAAATGATTGTATCCTTGTTGCACGTTCTATCATGCAGCTCTATTTCCTGTATTCAAATAAGCATAGTGACTATAAAGGAGGGGAGCAGGTTTTTTCTTTCTCCCCTTGAATTACACTCTTGTCTCCAAAATAGAAAACAGATAGGTAAAATTGAAACCGTATGATCACCTTTACTGCTACTGCAATATACTATTTTATTTGCTTAAAAATAGCATCCATGGGCGCTTACTGAAACAAGTGACAAAATTATTACTGACTTGATTGAGCAACTTGACCTGTTTGTGCAATTTATTTTTATTTTTTTTTATTTTTATTTTTTATTTTTTATTTTTTATTTTTTATTTTTTATTTTTTATTTTTTCTTCTTCTTCTTCAATGGTAGGCTGTGGCAATTTATTAAAAAGTATCAGTCATTCATTTAAAAGACGATCATCATCAACTTCAACACTTGTCAACTCTTCTTCCTTTCGTTCAGTTTCTGAAATAAAAAAGATGGAATATTCAACTACTACCGTTTCATCATCATCGATTAACAATGACCATAAACGACAACAAGCACTTGACTTTATTGACTTTCTCAATGCTTCTCCATCACCTTTTCACGCTGTTCATGAAGCTTCAAGACGTCTCGAGTTAGCCGGCTTTGAACGTATTAGTGAAAAAGAAAGTTGGGATTTAAAGCGTATGGGGAAATATTATTTCACACGTAATGGTTCTTCTCTTGTCGCTTTTATTGTTGGGGGTCAATATGAGCATAACTCAAGTGGGTTTTCAATTGTCGGTGCCCATACAGATTCTCCATGCTTGAAAGTGAAACCCATTTCTAAAAAGGAACAAGTAGGCTATCTAGAAGTTGGAGTTCAGCTTTATGGAGGTGGTATTTGGTATGGAGATAATGTCTCTTTGTTTCTAATAGATGAACCCTATTTATACTTAGTTTATAAAAAAAAAAAAAATAGGCATACTTGGTTTGACCGTGATCTTGGTATTGCAGGACGTGTGATGGTACAAGAAGAAGACGGTTCATTTAAACATACACTTGTTCATATCAAAAAGTACTCCAAGTAAATAACGAATGCTATGTGTCTTCTAATCCTCTCTTTTCTTCTCCTTTTTATTTATTTATCAGACCTATTTTGAGAGTACCTACTTTGGCTATTCATTTAGATGGTTCTGTTAATGAAGCCTTTAAATTCAACAAGGAAACTCATTTGTTACCTGTACTAGCGACAACAGCAAAATCGTAAGATACAATATTATATATATATATAGGATGAATTAATATTCATTCTTATAAAGTGTTTTGAATGCTGTTAAAGAAGAAGATAAATTATGGGGGTCTAATCAAGTAAAGAAGCACCATCCAGCATTAATCCATCTATTAGCTGAAACAATGAAAATAAATAGTACATACATAGACAAGGTTCTCATTTCCATTCATTAACTCACTCCTATTATAGCTCAACAAATATATGATTTTGAATTATGTTTATTCGATACTCAACCTGCCACTCTAAGTGGTGTCTATGATGAATTTATTTCCTCTGCTAGATTAGATAATCTCGGCATGTCATACTGTTCACTTATGGTAAAAAAAAGAAAAAAAAAAGGAAATAAATAAATATAATAAGATGATATAAATTTTTGTTTTATGTTAGGCCCTTATTCAATCTAGTAAAGATATTCAAAGATTATCAAATGGACCCAATATATCAATGATTTCACTTTTCGATAATGAAGAAATTGGTAGTACTTCAGCTCATGGAGCCAACTCAAATCTTTTACCTTCAGTTATTGAAAGAATCATATCTTCCCCAATTAGTAAAAAGGCACCACCTACAGACACAAAAATTGCCTTTGAAAAAGCTATTCACCGTAGTATGTTGGTGAGTGCAGATATGGCACACGCAGTTCATCCTAATTATGCGTAAGATTTAAATTTTAAAAAAAAAAAAAAAAAAAAAAAAAAAAAAAAAAAAAAACTAGTAATAACTATACTTGGGCCATATTAGAGAGAAATATGAAGAAAATCATCGACCTCAAATGCATAAAGGAACTGTTATAAAGATCAATGCTAATCAAGTAAATTATAACAAAAGAGAATTGTCTATCTATTATTTATGTATTTATTTTAATATTGATAGAAATATGCCACTACAGCACCTACTAGTTTAATTTTACACGAAATAGCGCGTCAAAGAAATATTCCAATTCAGGTAAAATAACAAATAAAATAAAAGTATGATTCATATACTGATATAGTATATGATTACAATAATAGGAATTTGTTGTACGTAATGACTCTTCCTGTGGATCTACTATTGGACCTATGTTAAGCGCTAAACTTGGACTAAGAACGATTGGTATGATGATACGACAGCTTACATAAGAATATATATATATATACTAATAAACACAAAAAATAATTAGATATTGGTAATCCTCAGTTAAGTATGCATTCTATTAGGGAAGTAGGAGGAGTAGATGATGTAAAGAATGGAATAGATTTATTACAAGTAAGTTTCTCTTATTTTGTAGTTTATAGTCACAAATAGATAAATATAATAATCAAATAGGCTTTCTTTGATTTATTTCCCTGTGTTGACTCAATAGTAACAGTTGACTAATTAATCTTCTCATACAATAATTGTTGTCAAAAATACTCTATAAAGTACTCCGAAATAAAACACGCATGTGAGAAGATATATTGTTATCTTTTATTTTATTTTATTTTTCCCTTTCTCTCTTTCTTTTATTACATATTAAAAAAGAAAAGAAAAAAAAAAAGGTGTATCATCTGCATTTATAAGAACCTCTTTCTCCCTTTCTCTTTTTTCTTTATTTTTTTTTATAAATACATTTATATATATATAAATATATATATAAAAATAGTGTCTTTAAAAAGGAACGTTTTTTATTATTATTTTGTTTTTTTTTTTGTTTTTTTTTCAATGACTTTGACTCGTTCGAGTTCACCTAATCAACCAACAATGACGACAAATAATAACAGCAACGACAATGACAACGACGTTAAAGGTATATAGCCTATCTTGTTTTATGCGTATTATTAATATAAATATATATATTCTCTTGAAAAAATAAAATAATAGCTGAACAGCAACAAGAAGAAGATCAACGACAACAAGAACAAAATGAACAGTTACCATCTACTCCATCATCATCAGTTGAAAACCAGCGACCATCTTATAATCGACCACGACCAATGTCTATGGCAAGTGACGAACACATAAGTGTTTTAGATCCAAGTATTATGGCAGATAGAGAAACTAGTATGCATGTTACAGCATGGTAAATAATAACATAATAAATCAATTAATTTTTTTTTTTTTTTTTTATATACACATGTGTATTAATATATTTTTTTTTATTGATAAATTTGTTATTAGGGTTAGGGCTAATTATATTAAAGAAAAAGATCATAATGTACCTAGAAGAAATATGTTTGAGCATTATAAAGCTTATTGTATTTCAAATCATTTGACACCTGTCAATTCAGCTACTTTTGGTAAACTTTTACGTTTAGTGTTCCCTGATTTGAAAACAAGAAGATTAGGTGTACGAGGTCAATCAAAATATCATTACTGTGGTATTCGTGTCAGAACACTGAATGACCCTCCTCCTCCATTACAGCAACAACGACTTCCTATGCTAGAATTGTAAAGGAAAAAAGAAAATAGAAAAAAAAAAAAAAAAAAAGATATATACATACAATATATATATATATATGAACTGATAAATTTACACTAGTTAACATTTTATTATATAGAACTGGATCTACTACTACGACACCAATCATTGATAATACTACAACAACTGGGAAAAGTCATAGTTCTAAAAAACAACATCATAAAACAAATCGTATAACACCCACTGTCATTGCAAGTAGTAGTACTACTACAAGTCGTAGCAATAGTAGCCGTCATAGTAGCAATGCTATTATTCCTGGTGACAATAATGGTTCTCCTGTTATGTTACAGACTTCTGTTAATTTGACTATGCCTGCTATGCCTACTATTCCTTCTTTCCGCTTATTGGAAAATCAAATAGATAATTCACTTATCACTTCCTTTACATCATTATATGAACGACATTGTAAAGATATCTTTCAATTGATTTCTATTAATCAAGTTGAAAAAGTCAAGACGGTTATGCAAAACTTTTATCAAGAAATGCCTGAACCTTATATGCGTATGATACGAAAACTACCAGAAATGACTGAAGCTGTTTGGAGATGGGATTGTTCACTTTATGATGTAAGGGAAAAAAAATTATCTTTGTCAAAAAAAAAAAAAATAATAATAATAATAATAATAATAATTCCTCTATAGACTATGATTCTTACTTTTTTGCCTACTGTACATCATCCATTACCACCCGAAACAATTCGATCTTTAAGAACTTATACAAGAGAACTAAAGGAATACCTTGAAACTTGTTTAACTCGTTTCCCCCCATCTTTCTTCCAAAAGAAATCTGATGGTAAATCTTTATTTACTATTTTATCTTTTCTTTTTTTTTTTCCTTAATCATTATATTATATAGTGGCACGTATTTTTGCTGCTAAATTCCGTAGACAACTTTCGCTTAACTTTGCTGCACAGACTGCATCTTCTGTATTAAATTCACCAGATTGTATATCGGTCATGATTCAAGATTGGAATAATTTTGATGTCGATAGTATTTTAGATCAAACTTTATGGGTTTGTGATTGTGATACGACTGAGATCAGACATATTTGTAAGGCAAAAAAGAAAAAAAAAAAAAGCTTAATTTTAAATATGTATAGCTTAATGATTTCTTTGATTTTTTTTTTATAGTGCGTAAAGAGATTCAAGATTTGCTGACAAATAAATCTTCTATTGAATATTGGATGATGTGGATTGGGAAATTATTGGATAAATTCTTGAAACAATATATACCTGTAAAGTTTATTTTATTCAACAAAGGGATAAACAGTGTCATGCTAATATTTATTTTTTTTAGACAACATCAAATGAAGCAAGTCACTTTTTAAATAAAGCGAAGCAATTGATATTAAAATGGAATTTCTATGAGACTTTGATCTTGAAAGATCTCTCACTTCAACAAGCTCAAAGTTTTGGACCCTTCCATAACTTGAGATTGTTTCTTGATGATTATATTTTATACCTTATTGAAGAAACCATTGCCCAAGTCAATTTTACTTTATTGCAGCAACAGCAACAACAACAACAACAACAACAGCAACAACAATATAGCAATAGGAATAGTGATATGGTATGTATACATATACACATATTCATATTTTCATTTTTATTCATATTTACATGTAGTAAATTTACATTACAATTTTATATAGTGAAACCATGATTTAAACTCTATTGATGGCATAATTGTCTTTTATACTATTTGCACTTTATGATATCCTACCTACTTTATACTTTCGCTAATCTCTATCTTTATATGTATGTATGTGTGTATATACATATTATATCATATCATACTATTATTATTATTATTATTGCTTGTAACATATAATGTAAATAAATATATACTTTCATATCTTAGCTTCTATATACATCCATTGATAACAAAAAAAAAAAGCACTAATATATATCTATTTATTAAGATCTAAAGAGAATATATAAAAAAAAAAAAATGATAAATTGCTAATAAAATCGATTATCACCAATATGATAAAATAGATGGAAAAGAAACCATATTTATTTATTCATTTACTCTAATCTAAATAACGATGTATATATGACCATCCTCAATAAGGGAATTAAAAAACAACATAAATAGTCATGTGATTATATTTTATATCTTATTATGATGAGGCTGATTCTAATAAGTCTTGTACAAAATGATGACATGAATCAATATGTATATTGCATAGAAGATGAATTTTAGTTTAGTTTTGTTATAGAAATAGAAATAAAAGTGTATCGTTGTAATGGCTCTGTTACTTTGATATATTCACCATTTTATTAATCAACTGAAAAAAAAGGAGTAACAATTTTTTTCCAAATTTAGTAAATTACTTTCCTCCCCTCTCCTAAAAAAAAAAATAAAAAATAAAATAAAATAAATCATTTATTCATAATACACAGATATTTTTTTTTTATCCTTTTAGTGGAATTATGCTTCATGAATTATTATTTATGCTATTAGGACACTCTGGTGATGTCTTTGTTGCTTATCCATCCCAACATCCTTGGACATTTATCATTCATCCTGACTGCCCTTTACTTCATCCCTCTGAACGCGAAAGTTTAAATCGACTAGGTCAATTAGGATGGATCTATTCAGAAATCAACCAATTTGTCAATAGTATAAACGATTTTCAATCATTAACTTTAAAAAGAACAAATAAACCCCATGGTGCCTATATTCGATCACTTACAACTTCTATAGAAAATCTATTGAACGATTATAGAAACGAGATTTTAGAAATGGAAAAACGTATTCTCAATAAGGAGGATGATGCTGGTGGCGGTGTGATCCCTTTAGCCCTCTTGACTGTGAATTTGAATCGATGGCAGATTTTATTACCAGCGCTATCTAACTTGATTCGATCTTTAAAGCAGAACCCTATCAAATATCATGGATGTCGATTATTCGATTTGTTAATAGAAGAATCAAAGACGGGCATTTATGAATGGCGTATAGAGATTGAGAAAATGATTATACATTTACATGACGTCTTATACCGTCAACTTACAGTTTGGATGGTATACGGTCAATGGGTAGACCCTGATAACGAATTCTTTATATTACCCTTTTCGGAAGAAACGTCTCTGGAGAAAGATAGGGAGGCGCTATCAACAGCAGGTTGGCATCGATTATATGTCATTGATTATGATCGTGTCCCTTTGCATTTATCACGTTCATTAGTAGAATCCATCCTTTTTGTGGGAAAGGCGATTGCAACTGTAAATGAAATCAATAAGCTTCCCCTCTCACTTTGTCAACAAGGGGACAATGTGTCACGTCCTATTGACTTTATGACATCCTCCATGGGGAAATCAAATCGTCGTTCTACTCTCTTCTATCAACAAAAGAAATTACAAGTACCGATTGATATGATGACTAAACACCTCCATTTACTATCTTCGCTTCATTCCTCACAGCATACAACACCACCACCATTACCTTCATCTCCCTGGATTCGTTATCCTCAACAACTAGAATTGATCGTAAACCAAATTAGACGATCCACTGCAGATTGGTTGTTTTCACAAGTTCTGGTTGGTGAACATGGCTTACATCGATATCTTCAATCATTTCGAAATGTATTTTTATTAAACTATGGAGACTTGTCTACGAATTTCCTTGTTGAGTGTCTATTATGGCGTCAGCGTTCATTGCATCGATCCTACTCTGACGAAGATCGTCAACGTCGTCGTCACAATAGCAGCAGCGGCAGCAGCATCAGCATCAACAATAATAATAATAATATACATCAAGCAAGTAAAACAGATTTAATATTAAGACACCAAGAACTGAATGCTTTATTGGGTAAGGCTTCTATAGGCACGGAAGCTGAAGACCAACTGATGGGCTATAGTTTATTAGTCGAGGATAAAGAAACAGAGCAATATCCCTTTTCAAATTTGTTGTTAGAACATGTACGCATCGTATTAACCTTTCATCTCGAATGGCCTATTGATTTATTTTTAAGTAAGGATCATTTGAAAAGATACAGTCAGCTTTGGTCGTTTTTGATTAGTTTAAAGGGCACTGAAATGGCCTTGAAGGATTTGTGGAAGACAGATCGTTCGAATGAGGAAGTTATCGGCAAGCGTTCCATTCAATTAAATGAAAACGATGAATATACTGAGAGATTTGTATGGCGTGTAAGATCATTGATGCTATTTTGGATCAAGACATTTTGGAGCCATATTCAGGTAATAAACCCATTATATATATAATATGTTGTAAAATAAAAACTGATCATCATCATCATCATCATCATTAGCTTCATGTTATTGATTCTCATTATCAACAGCTAATTGCAATGACAACTCCGTCAACTGTAGCCAAACGTCGATCTTGGCAACCAAAGGCAAAACTAGACTTTGAAGAGATTCTAGCCGCTCATGAAGAATTTTTAAACAATATTATGCGTGGCTGTTTATTGGAATCAACAGAATGTGTGAAAATCATGTACGCTATTTTAGATACTTGTCTTGGTTTTTGTAAATTGATGGAACAATTGACTGAAAAGGGAGAATTAAGAAGAAACAAGCGACGTAAAAGAGCAGCAAGAACAGCTAGTGACATTGTAAATCAATGGACCAATAATGATGTTAATTTACCATGGATGGAAAAAGTGAAAAGTATTCAAGAGGTATAAAGTATAATTACAGAATTTTCGCGTAGTGTGGTATTCATTATTATCTTTATTCTTTTTTTTTTTTAAATCAGGAATTTAATATGTTGACTCAACAATTTTTTGCATTAGCTTCTTCACAGCGATTAGATGTTAAAGTAAGTGGTCAATTAGACGCTTTGCTGACACAATTAGATTATAATAAATGGTTTTCTAAAACTCAATATACCCAAATTATCATTAACAACACGTGAAACCCTTATTATTGCTATTATTTTTATTAAACACACACACACACATACACACCCCCGCCCCTTCTAAATTAAGTATCTCTTTGTCTCTCTCTGTCTCTCTCTCTCTCTCTTTTTTTTTTTTCTTTTTCTTTTTTCTTTTTCTTTTTTTTTTTTTTTTTTTTTTTTTTTTTTTTTTTTTCTTCTTCTTCTTTTTCCTCTCCCTTATATAATAAAATGACTGATAATACAACAACAAAAGAAACGAATAATAAAAGTAGTCTTTCAGAAGCTGAAAAGTTTTTAGAGTCTTTAAATTTACCAGATTCACAGACACAAGCATCCAATGAAACAACAGAGACAGATCCTAATGACATCATGTCTTTTCTTGATGAAATCTCGAACTATCCAACAGAGGATACTACCTCTGAGGAGAAACTAAATGAAGACGACGTAAAGAAAGGGGAGGATATGACAACGAAAAAGAATAGTATAGAAAATCAACACCAAAATGAAGGAGGAGGAGGATGGAAAGCTTGGAGTACTAGTTTTTGGAGTCAAGCAAGTGCAGCGGTAGACCAACTGAATCAATCCTCGGCTGCTAAAAAAATATTAGAGAGTCAAGTCAAGAAGTCCATACAGAATTTAATGAATAAAGAAAATATCGAGAAATTAGGTACTGGTCTCAAGCAGTTGACAACGACCCTTTTGGAGACAGTCGCACCTCCCATCTCTGAACATGAACTCGTTGAAGTTTGGTTATCGTATGATATCGTGGGCTATGCAGGATTAGAGGCACTTGTCTACCGTGCATTTGCTAGAGTCATGGAATATACTGAATCAGGTCAAGTCGTCGTTCGTAATCCTAATCAACAACAACAACACCACGATGAAGAGACGACGACAACTGCTCTTAATTTAAATATGTGTGATTCAATTATAGACGGTACAAAACTAGCTAAAGCTAACATTGATCATTTAATCAAACTCCATTTTACTCCTTCTTCTTCTGAAAAATCAACTCAATATAGTCCTCAGTCGGGTGCTCTCCCTGTCATTCACTGTCCTGTCTTCATGTCTATTCAACCAGTTAAAATGACAATGTCTGCTATAGATGATGATGATGTGGATAATCAACAATTGATGTTTATAATCTTGATGGTCGACCCAACAAATAAGCTTCGATTTAAAACATACTCTCAATCTGTACCATTGAGTTGGCTAAATATCCCTTATGAAGATAATGAATGGGTTGAAGATAAATTAGCTGACATCCTTCGTATGTCAGTTACCTCCATTGCTCAAGATTATGTCTGGACTCGTATGTCGGGTAACATTGATAATAAACGGAAAAATGAAGAAGTAATAGAAGAAATATAATAAACTATGTTGTTGTTGTTTTTTCCTTTTCTGTGTTTTATATTTACAATGTATATATATATATAAATACATATATATATGTTTGTATGTCTTTTTTTTTTTTGCTGTTGTTGTTGTTAACCAAATAGATCTATATAGTGTTAGATAACATATCTATATATTTTGTGCATCATATACATATACATATATATTTTTTTATATATATATAAATTAAGTGATTTAAATGAAAGGTTCCAAGTTCATTTCAATAGCAGTGGTAGGATTAGTCAAATCAAAGCTTTCGAGAACAATAGGATGAAGGATACCAAATGAACCAATTCTCATAGCCTTGCGAGCACCTGTTTCAGGACAAATATATCTTAAGAAAACAAAAGCAGAACGACCAGGGAAGAAAGTAGAATCGACAGCCTCTTCAATCCAATAACCCAACTTATCCTTATCAGCCTTATGAATTCTAGGTGTACTGAGAATGGTCATGATACGATCTAAAAGACCATGAATAGCCTAAGGTAAGGACAAAAAGACAAAATAGAAGGGTAAGTTGACATTATTATTATTTTCAATTGAACAATAAAAGACTTACTTCGAAACCAGATGTTTTTGAAGTGTAAGTAGCACAAAGATGTCTTTCATTTCTAGCTCTACGATCACGACTTTCATCCTTATAGCCAACATCAGATACTTCAAAGATCTTGATAGGTAAAGCCAATTTTTTATTGGAATTCAAAGTCTTCAAGAGACCAGGTAAAAGAGAGGTACGAACAACTTGATATTCAGCCGTCTTAGGGTTAGCAAGTTTAATGGCTGTTCTACTATCATCAGCACGGTTAAGGAACTTGAAGTTTTCATCATGAGAGCACTATGTTATATGTAAATAGATAGAGTATATAAATATAACAACACTATCTTGACTCATTTACATTTCCTTCCTTACCAAAATTAAGGGAGCAACTTCAGTAAATCCAGCCATAGCCATCTCTCTACGAACATGATCACTCAATTTGTTCACAGGCAAAGCAGAGCCAAAAGTATTTACATTTGGCATCTTCTTGGGCAAGTTATCATATCCATATGAAATAGCAACATCTTCCATAATATCACATGCGTGCAAAATATCCCAACGAGTGGGTGGGACATTGACGATGATTTCATTGTTATCCTCAGCACTGACCTTAGCATCCAAAGACATCTTATTCAAAAGATGACACATTTCTTCACCAGAAAGTTCGAGACCAGTACAAGAATTGATGTAATCAATCTTAGCACTTGCCTTACGAGGTTCTAATTCAGGATAAACCTTGACTGTATTATTAGGATAAATAATCTCGACAGGTTCAACACTGATAGGAGACTTAATATAAATTCTATACTCCATACTCATTTTTTTTAGAAAAAAAAAACTTACGTGAAAGGCTCAGCACAATATTCAGAAAACATAGTGACCAAAGTATTTAAAGCGGTGCTAGCTTTGTGTTCATCTGTAGCGGTTATTTCAATCAAGACATTCTTAGTGTTGAGAGTAATCTTTGAGTGGTCTGAGTTGATGATAGGAGGAAGAGAACAAACAACACGGTTTGAATCAAAGACGACAGGATAAACAGGAGAATCACGAATGATATGAAGGTATTTACCAAGATGCTTATCTTCCTATAATAATATAAAATGAATAAACATAATAATAATAAAAAAAGATCCAATCATATATATAAATATAACTATTTACAGCATAAAGTTCCATTAATTCATCACCATCCACTTCAACATCTTTGTTTAAGGGAACAAATTTAATTTCCTTGTGAGGTAAAGCTTCATATGTAAAGGGACCTTGAATGGTATCCAAGTCATGTGTACCCATAGAAGCAAGAGTTCTCTTACTATTTAAATAGTGTGAGGGACTGTTTTTTAATGAGTCATAGTTACTTCTTACCGACAAATGTTATTGTGGAGTTTATCTTGAAGATCAATGAAAGAAGCATAATTTTCAGGTGTAAAAGTGATATTACGCAAAACTGCACCGACAATATAAGGACGAATTGTTTGAGTCTAATTGATTATGTTAATAAAAACTGCTATATATGTATATATATATATATATATATATAACATGCATAGACGCAAATATACATACAGATTCTAAGACACGAATTTGTTGAATTTTGCCGTCTGCAGGCTTAACAACTTTATAAACAGGAGGTTTAGCTTTGCCTTCGAAAACACGAAGAGCACGAGCAAGACCTTCTTGACACAATAAATCGTATCTAATAAATAATAAATTAGAATAAAGTTATTCTAAACGTATTATGTGCATTTTACCTATTAGCGGGAATGTCAATTTTCAAAAGAGGTCTTTCAGACAATGCCTCAACATCTTTAGCACCTTCCCTTTCAGCAATTTCTTTCTCAGAAGTCTATATAAAGTAATTAATTATATATATACAAATATTATTCATTTATCATTGCAGCCCTTACATCTTCTTCGAGTTCAATACCGAAATGAAAACAAAGCTCAAAGAATTCTTCAGTAGCTATAATAAAGTACATTAACTACTTTTTTTTTTCATCTCTAACTCATCTAATGCTTACTATAATTTTTTCCAAGAGCTTCAAAAAGAGCTAACTTATCGATATTAACAGTAGGCATTGCTAAAAGTTGTTAAGATGAAGAAAAAAAAATAGATACATACACTAACATTGACAAAAAAATTATGAGAAAGTTAAGTGGCTTATCGACTATCTCAGTTTGAATAACCGAAAATTCTGTCAATTTTTGACAGATATGATCGTCTTGATATACAGATTTTAATATCAATAAGGCTCTATTTTCCTTTTTTTTTTTTCTCATTTAATGTCCTCCATAAAGAAAAAAAAAATGTCCTTGATATAATATACGATGTTTTTTATAGGTAAACAAAGTAAGCTAAATAACATTACATAAGACTATTCATAATAGCATGTATTATATATACTCATTTTATTTTCATCAAGTAGCAGTCATATATTCTCATTGACTTTTTTTGTATTTTTTTTTTTTTTTTCATACTCTAGAATTTCCAATGTTTATCAATAAATAGAGACGCCTATAATAGTAAAAATAAGAACGAGCAAAAGAAGATAGGATATTTCTTTTATTACTATTAAACGGAATAATACCATTTTGGACACTAATTTACGTCAAATAAAGGGAGAAAGAAAATTGGATGTTTATATATTATCACCTTATAAGCGTGTATTTTTATCTTTTTTTTTTTTTTTTTTTTTTGCAGAATTATAAATTCATTATAAAGTGATCATGCAACATATACTTTTTATCAGCAATCATAGTTCAAGTTGACGTCTACTTTGATATCCAGCATCAGCTATAATTATTATATTAAACTCTGATGCTGTTGTTCTGATTTGTCTTAAAGACAACTTACACTTATTTTTAGATATGTGTCAGCAACACAGCCAGCCTAATATCATTAGAATTCAGACAGGTTGTGCATTATCATTTTCATTACACAAAACAATTTAATAATTACTATCTTGCCGGGATTTCTTTTTCTCTATTTTGGTATTTCGTTTGAGGTAGTTACTATGGATGTTTGTAGCCTTAAGGACGGACGGTACTACTAAAGCTTTAGTGCAAAATTCTTTAAAATATTATTAAGTGTTGTTTCATCTGGTCTTGTCTAAAGTAGTATTGATAAGACGGTATAAATCAACGTTACGACCTCAATTGGAGTATGCTTTAGCTTCTCTTTAATCTAACAGCGTTTTGCTATTATAAACAATGAGAATCAACTCGAGATACTTGTCTCCGTGCAATCTTTAACGGCTTTACTAAGTTTTTTTTTTTTTTTTTTCCCTGGAGTAATGAAACATATGAACTATCTACCCTCTATCCAAGAAAGATGTAATCTACTTTAGCCAAAAGAAAAATTTAGCTTTTTGCACTCTCCAGTAATGTATTTTTTTTTCTTTCTTTCTCCCGTGAAGATGGTCGTGTTTTTCTCGATCAAAATGTTTAGCAAGCGTTGCAGGATGAGGAGAATAAGCGTTTATACATATATTGTCTAGTATTTTCCTTGAATCTTATTATTTAATTTCTTATTAAACATAATCATTCTATTTATTGGCATTGAGAGTGATTACTTGACATGGTGAAGTACCTAAACCTTATTCATTCAAGATAATGTAATAAGGTCGATAAGACTTATATCATGCAATATCTCAGCCCACATGTACCTAGTACTGCTACTCCTCCTATGTTTTATCATATACTCAATATACTATCCAAACATAGCGTCTAGGTTGACCATATTGAAAAATTCATTAGGTACTTTTCTTCAACAAGTATCATGTCAATTCATAAATTTGACACAGTATAGTATGACAATCGAACCCCGATTTTTTTTTCTCCTTCATTGGACACCAAAAATACTACTTTCTAATATTCTCACTACTATCTTTATTATTAATACTAAATCCCTTGTATATAAATTAAAAAAAAAAAGAGAATTTGTTTTCTATAATCCTCTAAAATATGAACTGATCTGGGTGAATTTAATAGTTAGAACAGCCGCACTCGGTTAGATTTTACTAAATTAAAACCTCTTTTTGAAAAAAAAAAAAAAAAAAAAAAAAAAAAAGACGATTTAAGTTCGTACAAAGAAGACTGAAACAAGGATTTTTATTGGTTTATTTATCTATACAAAAAATGTCGTGACTTTTAGAAATGGTTCGATTATTTATGAACGCAGAGGATTCTTTTTTTTTTAATAAATTCATACTGGTTTTTTATTAAGTACAAAAAAGATGCATATATTATATAAAACTTTATTATACGTAATAAAAAAAAAAAAAAAAAAAAAGAATAAATAAAAAAACTTAGTGTAATACAATCAGTCAATTTCCGGGATCGGTAACTGGCCTTTTTTAGATTTTTACGAACATATCCGGATTATGAGTATATTTTTATAAATATTTATTTATTTTATTTTATTTTTTACATTCTCAGTTTTGAATCATGTAAGCATTTACACATGAATAAACGTTAAAAGAAGATGAATTATTATGTTTGTAGCAGTTATGTTGTTTAGTGGTTTATTATCCTTTTTATTTTCTTCATATCATTTTAGATGGTCTTGTTTAACGATAAAAAAAAAACAAAGAGTTAAAAAAAAAAAAAAAAAAAAAAAAAAAAATCGTACTCAATTAATTCTGGAACTGAGATGATAATTATAGATGTATGTTGTCTTGAAAATTCCCCTGCTTTGAAGATATAAAGTTTATTTCTATTAAGAGTTTTCTTTCCTTTTTTTTTTTCTTCTTCTTCTTCTTCTGCTTCATCTTTCTTTTCTTTTCTTTTCTTTTCTTTTAGTTGCATAGAAGGAAGTGCCTTTTTTCTTTTATTTATTATTCAATGCATATCTCTATCAATAGCAATAGCAGTAGTAACAGCAGCAGCAGCAGTAGTAGTAGTATTAGTCATATTAGTTCTATTAATTATCCTTACGTCAATCCTAGTAATTCAAATTATTATCTTTATACAAATAGCAGCACTATCACCAGTACCAGTACCAGTTCCAGTACCAGTTCCAGTACAACAGACCCGAGTTTATATAGTCTGAAAAATACAAGTAATGCTGCTACTACTACTACTACTACTACTTATTTACCTTCATTATCAACTGTCATTAATAGATATGTAATGAATCATCAATCTTCCGATACTTTACTTCCAGAGAGGTCATTTATGATCGATAAATTACTTCATGTCTCTGCGGACTTTATTGACTCTATCTGGTTTAATAAACAATTCTCTTCTTCTTCTTCAACTATCAACAAATACCCAACAGTTTACTTTATTCGTGAAATATTAAAGAGAACGAAAGCAACATATGCTATGCTTCAACTTGCTTTATTTTATATCTTTCGTATAAGAACACTTGTTTATGAATGTATCTTTAAGAATAGTAACGACTTTGTTTGTTGCAGTAGACGTATGTTTATAGCAAGTCTAATGATATCTTCCAAATATCTGAATGATAAAAACTATCGGAATAGAACATGGGCTAAATTTACAAATTTACCAGTTAAAGAAATTAATACAGCTGAATTGATCTTCTTGAAACTTATTAATTATCAACTTTATGTCAGTAAACCAGTCTATGACAAATGGATTGCATTATTACATGATCGTATTCAAAGGAAAAGTAGTAGTAGTAGTAGTAGTATTAGTAGTAGTATTAGTAGTAATATTAGTAGTAATAGCAGTAATAGTAGTAGTAATAGTAGTAGTAGCAGTAGTAGTAGCAGTAGTAGTAGCAGTAGTAGTAGCAGTAGTAGCAGTAGTAGCTATACTCAACCTATCGTTAAGCCCTTATCTTTACCAAGAAATGATATACTACTCGAATTCTCGTGTCCATCAAAATTATACTATGATCAACAACAACAACAACAATATTATTATATTAATAATGCTTCCTCATCTCCTGCTTCTCTTTCATCATTCTCTTCGTCAGACGAATCTACTACAACTTATAGCAATGATAATACCCCACATTCACTTTTATATGGTAAAAGAAAATATCTTTTAGGCGACCCTGCCATGTTAGCTAGAAAGCATTTTCGTAAAATGTAGAATTTGTATATGCCATTAGATTTATTATATTATATTATATATCATCATCATCATTATACCAATTTTCTTGTTTCTTTTTCTTTCTTTTAATAAAAATAAAATAATAATACCAAAAACAATAAAAGCAACAAACTTGATGGCTTGTCAAAGACTACTATTGTTAATAAGCTTACATGCTAAACAAAGGAAATTTATTTTATGTACGCAGGTACGGGTTTTATATCATTATGAAGACCGCATTATTACAATAATTGATAATAACTTAATTTTTTTTATGAGATGTATTAATAATAAAATGCAGTGCTCATTTATGTGTAGATGCATACCCCTAATTTACTATTAACTTGCTTAGATAATGTGACAACATTTTTGTTATTACTATAAGACTTTTGTGTTACTTCTTTTACAAATAATTTATTAATATTGATTTGTCAAAAAAAAAAAAAAAAAAAAAAAAAAAAAAAAAAAGGCTTTTTGCTATTTCTTCAAATGTTAAAACTTTTAAATAATGGGAATTCATGGTCTTTCATTCTTTATTAAATCTTTTCCACGTATTGTAACTAATGTTCAATGGGAATTGGATTCAACATCAAAGGATCACTTTATTATTGACGGTAATGCCTTTGTATATCACATTGCATTTGAAAATAGGATCGATTGGACTCATGGAGGTCAATATGCAATGATTGCTCAGGTCGTTGAACATTTCGTCAAACAACTGCAACGTGCTGGAATCGATATGACATTTTTATTTGATGGTGCATTACCACAAGATAAAATAGAAACAAGAATTAAACGACAGAGATCATACATTGAGCGATGTGTCACTACCTTTGCTAATTTAAAACAAATTAATGCAAGCAATAAAAATTCAGAAGGACGATATGAAGGTATTCAGTATTATGGTGATCTTTTTCTTATACCCCCTTTGACCTTGGAAGTGATTATCCAGACGTTAAGAGAATTAAATGTAAAGATCAAGATGTGTGAAACTGAAGCAGACAGTGAAGTAGTCAAGATGGCGATAGATCAAACGGCATACGTTGTCTCTCAAGATTCAGACATGTATGTTTATCCTAACATAGGGAAAGGATATATTCCTTTAGAGTCACTTGTTGTTCCAACTGCAGAATCAAAACATATCTTGGCTAGCGTTTTCCGTCCTGAAGCTTTAGCAGCTTTGTTGGACATTGAACCTTCTTTATTACCTTTATTTGGAACCCTCTTAGGGAATGATTATCTAAATACAGATTTAATAAGATACCCAATAAGCCAATGGTATATTTTAGGGGGGATCGCTCAGGTTGCTAAAATGAATTCAAGTGGATGGCCAAAAATGATAGCTGATTTTATTAAAAGGAATAGTCATGATGGAATAGCAAAAATAATTAAAAACATAGTGGGTCAGTTGAAGCCGGTTATTTTAAAAAGTAACATGAAATTAAAAGAAGAAAAAGCGGATCGTCTGGAAGATAATATTGTAGATTCAATCAGTCGTTATGACATGACAAATCCACTCCTTCAGAAATACAAGCAAGCAATCATAGTTGATCATTCGAGCCCTTCAAGATTACAACTCATGCTTAAAAGGTCCAAACATGATTCAATTGGATTCAGTCGACAGACAATGGATGTGATTAAAAGTAAAACCTTTTGGGCAAATATATTTATTGAAGATATTGAACGAGAATTTAGTTGGGACGTGAGTCGCTATTTAAGACAAGGATTATATGATACAATTTCAAATCGCTTACAAGAAAAAGAAGCATGGATGATAGAAGAGCAAGTACGAGAAAAACAACATTTGGGTACAGTGCAAATTACAAAAGTAGACATGGGACAACGTACGCAGAATAAACCGGATGACTTTTATCATTTTCACTATAGTCATTCACGTCATTTAGAATCTCATAATCCTGTCTTACATCCACTTATTCTTTGTATGCGGTATATGATCTATCATTGTTCTCGTTCGATTCATCATGGACGTCTTTATAACTATGAGATTATTGCAATGATAATAGCATCCTTAAGATCACTTGCTCCCGCTTTAGGCTTCACACTGGAGGAGGTTCCTTTACCCACTACAGGTATTCCTGCCTTGAAAAAGCGAGCCATTCATCTCTCTGCGCAGTTTCAAGGTATCATCTGTTCATCCCATCTCCTCACTCAAATACTTGATATTCCAGATCATTTTCAAATACCTCATGTATTTTCGCATATCTATAACGGGCTTTATTTTCATTATTATATTGAAAATGCACGCGAAGGAGCAAGTATAGCTAAAATGCTTTCTAATCTGTCACCCAAATTCAAGACTCTTTTCTGTAGATTGTATCATTCTATCATGATGGACCTTGAAGAAGAGGTCTATAATGTCTTTGACTATGGCATAACGACATCTATAGATCAATGGTATTCTGTTTTGGGTAATAAGCCTAAAAGATGTATCAAATCTGCTGATCAACGACCAGAAAAAAAGAAGAAGTCGACTCCTTCAACAAAGCTAACACTGAATAACAGAAATACAAATGCTTTCAATGTTTTGAGTTTTGGCTGCAATTTTGATGAATAATGATGATAATGTAAAGAAAAGATATCTATCTATACGTGTATATGCATATATAACATTTATACATCTTTATATTATATACATATATCCCTTTGAGATGCTTGCTATGTTAGCAATAAATTGTCTAAAGCTATAATTATTTGGTTAGAGTATATGAATGATTGTTATTCTTATTAAAAAAAAAAAAAAAAAAAAAAAAAAAAAAAAAAAAAAAAAGTTTATATAGACACACATTATCAAATTATTATTATTATTATTATTTTTAAGGTATGTAAAAATGTATTATCATCTAATACATAAACAAATCAGGAAAGAAGCCATTGTTTAAGGTCTTCTTATTTATTGTTTTAAATGATCCAATCGTATCCATTTTATCCTCCTCCTTCGCACACCCACACACCCCCAAAAAAAAATTAAACTCTACAGGTTAAAAATAGCTTGGGGGGACACTAATGGATCTAAACAGAACATCGAAAGAGTTAGTAAAGATCGATAATTTATATAACAAATTTTGATTTATATAAGCTATAATGCCATAGCTTATATAATCTTTTTTCCTTTTTTTCCTGACAAAAGAAACAACTATCGAAAACATATATATTTATTCCTTTTATTTTTTTTATTTTACATTACTCTTTTTTTTTTCCTTCATCTTCTCCTCCAACCCGAATACCTTATATCATATCACTATTCATCTTTTTTTTTTCCACGCTTCAATAGATACAAGATTGACAAATACTATTATGCCTATTTTATTGAATACTTCAAATACAGCTATTTTAACAGAGATACTCACATGTCCAGCATGTCATCAACTATTGAAAGACCCTATCACTCTTTCATGCGGATATACAGTCTGTCTCGAATGTGTTCCCTTTAGTCATATTCCAGCAACACGAAAACAAGTCTTTCATTGTCCAGTAACATCTTGCAATGTCTTGACTCATCTTTTTGGTCCTCAGCTTCTTATCAATGTTGCAGTAGCAGAACTGATAAAAGCCTTTGAAAACCATTGCCTCACTAATCGCAGTCCAAATGGGACCAATGCAATAAACAGGAACAGGACAGATACAGACACAGATACAGATACAGATACAGATACAGACACAGACACAGATACAGTTACAGTTACAGTTACAAACGCAATCATGGCATGTATGCAATGTCATCATTGTTTCCTTCCTATTACTTCAGATTGTAACGATATCATCATTACTACATTGTGCGGGCATACATTTTGCAGATGTTGTGTCCTAAAAGCAAAGATCAAAACTAATTCTTGCCCTACTTGTTTACGTCCACTTCCTAAATACCGTATTTTATCAGAGCAACCCCCTAATCAGCTCATTCATGATTTAGTAAAGCGATTTGGATGGTTCGATCTTTTATCATCCAATAAGAAGAAGAATAGGCTCCTGTTGGATTTACAGCTGAATAAATTCTTAACTGAGACATGGTGGCATCATTACAACACGCCACTATTCATTTCAGATACAATCATCCTACCCAATCAACGTCTTCGATTATCCATTTTTGCTCCACACCACTTGCATATCTTTCATCAGTCACTGATCCCTTCATATCATGGCATCCTTTTAGCCTCTGTTCATTCTGCTCAACCTCAGATGGCTCAGTTTGGCACTCTCTTGAAAATTACTAACTTAGTGCATCGGTCAGACATGATTCTAGTCGATGTGGTTGGCCTCTATCGATTTAAGCTTGAGGCCCATTATGAAAGGGAAGATGGGATGGTTATAGGCGATTTTAAGGTTTTACAACAACAACAACAACAAAAAGACAAAGACAAAGACAAAGCCGAGGACGAAGACGAAGACGAGATATCCTTCATTCATAACCGAGAAAAGATGACAACAGGGGCTATGATGGAACAAGAAGGATCAAATGAGCTTTTTAATGCCATTGAACTCGCTGATATAGTTTTACAACTTATTCATCATCTTGGTTCTCCATCATTACCTACAACGGTTCATAATGTATTCGTTCTACATACCCAAACCTCTAGTCTCTTTGGACCCCTTTGGTTAGAAAGCGTTAAATCCCTATATGGTTCTGCACCTTTCAAGGAGGATCCAGAGGCTGTCTGTTGGTGGGCGGCTACTATCTTGCCCATTTCCTCTAGGGATCTATACCATCTCTTGAGAACTGTACCCATCATCAATCGCCTTGAATTCATTATCTCTTGGATACATAACCTTCAATCTCAATGGAAAAAATGTCGCAATGCGGCTATTCATGCTTTTACTCAAGTTCCATAAAATACACACACACACACATTAGTTGATGATATAACATTTCTATTTCTATTTATACCCTCTAACAATAGTATGTATCGCGTAATTATATCCTTTTATTTGCTATTTTATATTTATTATATATTTAACAAAATTGCATCTGAATATATCAATAAAATATTAATATCCACAAACATAATAAGTGTATACATGGTATATGTTTTAATTTTTTTTTTTTTTTTAAGAATAAACTAAAAATAATCGTTATATTGCTTTTCTGGTACACCTTTTGCTTTAAGCTCTAAAACAAATGTATTCTCAATTGTTTCTACTATATCTTCAATTGCCGGATTCACTTTTTCACCCAAAATTTCACTTGCTAATGCAATAAGATCTACATAATCTTGTGGACGGAATCCATGTTTATGCACATAATAGACTTGTCCTTCATCAATGGTATTAAATGAAGTTGAACTATCATCAGCCCAATCTTCATTCACAAAGGGTTCTAATATGGGCTCTACTATAGAAATGCTTTGTCGTCGTACATGATTGATTTCAGGATTATTACGATTTAAAACACTCAATGCAATTGCTAAATAGGATGCATATTAAAAAAAAAAAAAAAAAAAAAAAAAAAAAAAAAACGAAATATCATTAAATATAAAACTTACTTTGTTTATTAGTAACAGAGGAATTCATTCTTGAAGCTATAGATCTGTTTCTTAAAGCCTCAATAATATAATCCAAATTCTGTCGTTTTTCTTTATAGTTTTTTAATTGTGTTAGGTTTTTATGAATTAATTCCAACCATTTTTCTTTTGTCATATCAACATTGTATTTGCTAACATGTAAGTTATCACTGTATAAAAGGAGGGGATGAGTCAGACTAGTGCAAAGAAACAATAGTTTAAGCTTATCTATACCTTGAGCCATGCCCCACACCATAAATGAACTTGGCTGCAACTATCACACAAGCCATTAAAACAGTGGTTGGATGTGATCTCCATTGAGAATGGATAGGATTTGAAAAATTAACCTTGTGTTTTTTAAGATAACTTTTAAATATAAGTTTGGCATAAAAATAGCCTTCCACTATAATCATCTTGGGTTAGTTTCTTTTATATATATATATATATAAATGTCTTTGTTAAAGGCTTACCTGTAAGAAAGAACTGAGAACAAAAACGACTTAAATAAAGTGGTGCATTTAATGGAACAAACTCTATCTTACAGTAATGATGATAACATTTCATTATTTTTTGTGTTTGAACGATAACATTCATATGAGCTGGTATCCTTGTCATTGAGTTGGAAATTTGAAGACTAAGTAAAGATAATAAATCTCCAGGGATATAATTTTGTATTTCCAAGTACGGAATTTGACCTGTTTTCGCCCATCGAAGTAAATCATTTAGTAGAACTGGATAATTTAACTGAAGACAAGCAAGATAAATAATCGAAAGCGTCATTGAATATTTTAACGTAGGCCATTTTACTGGTACTGCTTCTTTTTCAAAAAGACGTCGAGCTCTAAGATTTTGAAATGAGTGATGCTCATTCTCTTTCTTAACGTCTTCGTCACTTTCTTCATTACTGCTGTCTTCATCATCGACTTGTTCAAGTTCTTTTTCTTCTTCTTTTATCTTTTCATCTAATTTTGTTCGACGCGTACTTGCATCTCTCATCATTCCTTCTTTTTCATTCGCTTCAAAGATATATGCTTCTTCAATTGTTCTTTTAGAACCAGATAAATATAAAATCCAAAGTTCACGAACTATATTTTCAAGTTGAGAAGGGAAACCAAGATCTTGAATGATAGACCGAGTAAGGACTTGTAAAGCAAATTGGAAAATACGTATAAAATCACTCCTTTGTTGTGCTGGACTCCTTTTTGAGTTGATATCATTCTCCATTATCGTCCTCACTTTCTTTCTTCGTCTACTAACAACTTGTGCAGTCTCCTCGCCATGTTCTTCTTGAAAGCCAAGTACTTGATGACCATATTTACAAACTAATCCTGCCTCGCTTGTTTTTTTGAATTTTTTTGTTTTACAAATAGGACAGATACGTTTTACTTTCATCGTATATAATATGTGTATGTGTGTATGTATGTGTGTATGTGTATGTGTGTATGCGTATGTATATATATTTTCGTTGTAGAGTTTCTTTTTTTTTCTTTTCTTTTTCTTTTTCTTTTCTTTTTCTTTTTATTGTTATTACTGTTTATTTATTTAAAACTTTTTAATATCTTTTTCGTCAGTAGCAGAAACAGTATATGAGTTTTCGTCAAGGATCTTATCTAATTCGAATTTAAGTTGATCGACCCAACTGGCTTCAATAAATAAATGAGTGTCGTCCAAATCTTCAATAACAAATTTGCCTCTTTTATTTAAATTAAGTACAATTTGTTTTACTGTGGTATCACACTCAATCAATACACCTCTAACTGCCTTTACCATTAAAAGAAAGAGGAAAGAACAAAAAAATAAAAAAAAAAAAATAAAAAAAAAAAATAAAATAAAATAAATGTATATGAATACACACACACACACACACATCTATATACACATTCATACATTCATATATAGATATTTATACAGATATATATATATATAACTCCGAAAATGAAGCAGTCACTTGAATCAAGCCACTTTGGTATTTTTTTTCGTTTTCCCTATTAGCATTAAAAGTCTACAAGACTCCTATTTCAAAACTAAAATATTTATATATTTGTATACTTTTTTTTTTTTGTAATCATGTCAAGTAAAGTACATTAGGAAATTTAAAATAGGATAAAGCTTTTTTTTTTATTTTAATAATAATAATTTTTTTTTCTTTATATAGAAAATACTTCACTTGCTAGTCTTATTGCAGATCTTGAATCAACAGCTCCTAAAGGTACAAAAAAAAAAATAAATAAATAAATAAATAAATAAAAACCATATAATGGCATGTCCTATTTGTTACTGACATGTAATATATATATATATATATATATATAGACTACGATCCTGAGGACATTGTTGAACCTTTAAATGATAATCAACTAGAAGATAATAGTGAAAACGAGAATGATGAATCAGCTGCTCGTGATCATTACGTCTCAGTTGGTAAAAGTAAACTGCGTAATGATCAACCTTTATTAGACGATCCTCGTTATGCTGGTAAACGTACAAGTCGTAAAGATATTTTTTCAGATGAGGAAAAGGATGAAGATGATGAGGAAAACCAATCCGAAGAGGAAATCGATAATGAAGAGAGCCGGAAAGATATTGATGCAAGCGATAATGATGATAGTTTCGATGATGATGAGGATTTATTAAATAAAGCCGAAACCTATGTTGAAGAGGAAGTCAGTGATGATACAGACCAGTCAGAAGAAGATGACTCTGAGAAGGAAGAAGGAGAAGAAGAAGAAGACGTAGAAGAAGAAGAAAATGACAATGACGATGATGATGATGATGATGATGATGATGATGAAATCAATACCGAGCTTAAAAAGATTCAAGAAGAAGAAAAGTAAGTTTACTTTATTTATTTATTTATTTAAAGTATAGTTACTAAGGAGAAAAAAATACACATATAGAAATATGATTTCTCAGTTATCTAAAAGTGCTCAAGCTGATGTTGAGAAGGGTCAACATGTTAGACAACAATTGGTAAAGTTGTAAGAAAAAAGGAAAAATATATATATATATATAAAAGTGACTTATATTCTTTTAATAGACATTATGGGACAATTGCTTAGAAAGTCGAATTCGTATGCAAAAAGTGATAGATGATGCAAATAAACTTCCTCAAAAAGATGCTTGGTATGACTTTTTAGCCAAGACAGAAGGCATTGAAATTGAGTTAGAAGAAGTGAAAAACGATTTACATGAAATTATTGATGATTTAATGGATATTCGTTCAGGCTTATTGACACAAAATGGAGCAGTAGAACTTCCAGAAGACGATTATAATTCAAGAAAAAGACATATAGATGATGACGATGATGTCTATATCGATACACTATGGAAAGATATCTCAAAGTTAAATGAAGTGTAAAGTAGTCTTTCTGTTTAAAACCGCTTAAAACTTGATCTTCCCTAACTATTTTTTTTTTTATTCTTTTCTTTTCTTTTCTTAGTTTCACGCCTTATCGTAACAGCACATTAGAAAAATGGAGTAATAAAGTTCAAGCAGCAGCAGGCGCACGTTTGAATAAGAAATTCAAAGCATTTGATCAAAATGTGATGACTCAGATTGAAACTATTATGGCAGACAAGACCAGTCTGATTAAGAGAACACAATTACAAAGATCAGATTATAAGATATTGGGTAAAATTAGTGTGACAGTTGAAAATCAAAAAGAAGAACAACAACAAGAAGAGATTGATACGGGAAAGAAGGCTGATCGTCATTTAAATACCTACGACGTTGAAATCTTTGATGACCAAGACTTTTATCAGCAACAATTACGTGAATTAATTGAATCTCGTATGGTCGACACGAATGATCCAGTAGCTATTGGCATGAGATGGGCTGCTCGTAAACAGACCGAGAATAAAAAGAAAAAGGCAAAGACAATTGATAGAAAAGCTAGTAAAGGACGAAAACTTCGGTAATAGAGAATACATACTTTAGCTTTATTTTTTTTATTTTATTTTTATTTTTAACCTTTATTTATCTAGATTTAACGTTCATGAAAAACTTCAAAATTTTATGGCACCTATTCCTAATGGTGAATGGCATGAATCGATGATTGATGAATTATATTCTTCTTTACTCGGTCAAAAACTAAATAATGAAAGTATACAAGAATAAGTAAATTATGATAATAAAGATGATTAGAGATTTATAATAAAATAAAAAGAAAGGCAGTTGTACATATTTTATTATTATTATTGTGTTGTATATTAATTAAAATTCTCTTCTACAATTGGGCATTGACCAGCCAGGATGACCTTGGCGACATCAGCCCATAATTTCTTAATATCATTTGCATTATGATCATCAAAATAAATTCGACAATCTGCAGTAATGGCACTATATTCTAGTAAGTCAGTATGAGATCCTGTAAAAGAATCTGTAGGTTTGTAAACTTCTCTAAAGGTCCAGCCCATATCAGCACGTTCAGGGAAAGGATGAGGAGCAGAAGGATCATCAGAGATGCCCAACATTTCCAAATCCATTAAAAAGCTTGATAAACGATCACTTTCACCACCTGGGAAAGAAGCAAATTGCATACGATTACCACGAATACCACCGAGACCCATAGCAGGAACATCATGTGAAAGACGAAGACGTGATGCTACGATAGCACATGTAGAACCACAACGACCATCAGATAAGATCAAAACATCAGAGGGCTTCCATTTTGTATTCTTGAATTCCTTTATAGTGATTGTATTATACCAAGCTGCACAACTTAATGTAACAGGTTGAGAGAATTGGACATTTTCAGTTTTACCACGAGTATAAGATCTTGTAGTTGTAAACCAACTGCTTCCACTGAATCCATCTGAATGATAATCAATCCATTTTGTGTTCTCTTGTTCATGAGCCCTTTTGATAACACGTTCAAGGAAAGGAGAATGTTTGATATCAGATGGGTAATCAGGAGTAGAACCAAAGAAGGTATTGATGAGGAATTCACCTGCACAAGCATCACCACCACCATTTGAAGAAAGATCTAAAATGATTTTCTCTACTCCCTTCGATTCAAAATCTTCAAGGCCAGCAATAAATTGATTTACAAAGTCTTGTCTATCATTTGATGTAATAGAGAAACTTTGAATATCAATCACACCCACATTTGTATAATCATCTGTAAGTTGAATGAATTCAATATAAGGACCACGACTGTTACCAATACTATTCTCGTTTGTAGCAGAAGGCTTCCCCCTAGCATCTAACGCAAACACTTCCCCTTCATGAATTGCTTTAAGTTCATGAATATCATAATGAATAGTGGACCGTTTTGTTATATTTTGGTGAGAGGATTGACAGAAAGTTGACCAATAGGTACTTGCATTTTGAAAGTTAGGAGGCACTTGCGCCACCCAAGGCACCTCTACAGTGAAAGGTTCATCATATTCTTCTTGAATAGGTAAAGTGCCGTTTGTAGGACAACGCATGGTATAATTGTGAAATTCTTGAGCAGGTAAGAAACGATGATAACCAAGATCATCAGCACCATCATCCCAACCATGAAAATAACTTTGGGTATTCATAATATTATTGAAACAGGTATTAGCATCTTTACTTTCTCCGTTATTATTGACAGCATAATTTACAATCATATCCATTGCCTCAACACCATCAATTTGAGTGACTTCACAGCCTACCCAAGAAGGTTGTGCATCAGGCCAAATATCATCTTTTATATAAGCCACATTAACCACTAAACGTTGATTTCTTAAAAGAGCATTTAATTGAATAGGTTGCCAAAAAACAAATTGACGATAACAATACGGTGAATAAGACTAAGTTAAAAATAAAAGTTGAATACTATGTAAATACAAATATTTATTTTTATTATTACCAAATGAGCATCTTGAACTTTATCTAGCAATAAAGCCACAGCTTCTTGAAATTCTCTATCTGAGCTCCAATTTTGTTTTAAAATTAAGTCTAAACCATAAGTTATATTTACAGCTGGAATTGATAATCCTTCCACTAATGGCGGAGAAGCAGCAATATCCTGAAAAAAACAAAACATTATTATTCTTATTTGTTTAAATTCTTTTTTTTTTCTTTTTTTTTTAAACTATTTAAAAGACGATAATTACACTAAAGACATAGAGCTGATTTACGACTTTTTTAACTGTATCTATTGTTTGCTTAGCAATTTCAATATCATATTCAAAATAATCTAAACAAGCTTTTGCATCTTGGAAACTTGCAGTTTTATTTCCAGCAATAATTGAACAAGGATCACTTTTATCAACAGCAAAGACAACGGTAGTTAAACAGGTAAATAAAGTCAAGGAGCTAAAAAACCTTTTCTTTTTATAAAAACAGTTTGATAGCATAATATAAAATGAATGAAATAAAGAAAGAAAGAAAGAAAGAAAGAAAGAAAACAGGAAATTAGACTACAAATTCATAAATTATTAATATCTAAAAATAATTTTTTTTTTTTTTTTAATTAAGCTAATATTCTAAAAGCAGTAATTCAAACTTGTGAGACACCTTTTGCAAAGAAATGAACATTATTGTCTAGAATCTTATAATGCATAGAATGGTGTGGGGTATTTTGTTTAACAAAACAATCTAATTGAGGTCCATAAATGATGTCTATTTGACCATGAACATCTCTTGCTAAACCACTATGTAAAGGCTGTACTTGAAGTATAAGATGAGAGCCATATAGGATTTGTTTAATAAAATTATCCTGTTCATCATTATCTTCTGAACCTTCTTCATCTGCATGCATTATAGTTACTAAGGTTCCTTGACTATTTTCAACAAGTGATCTCAACTTTAATATAAATGTTAAGACTTGATCTAAAGAGAAACCATTGTATAATAAAACACTAATGTCATCCAAGATCAATAAAGTATTAGGTTGCTTTCTAACGTAGTCAGCTATCTTTTTATAAAATGATTTCAAGATCTCATCATTACTACTACTATTCATCTTGAAATCAAGTGTATCAGTAGGTGCAGTAGGCGCTTTACTTGATGGATAAGGTGTTTCAGTTGTATATTCATTCAAATGAGTTAAACCATCAATAAATACAAGTTTACCAGATTGTTTGAATGTTTGCAAGTTTATACCCTAATCAGAAATTAGCTTTATAAAAAATAATAATAATCCAAGAAGAAATAAACTTACCAGTTTACGTCCAATTAAAAAGTAATGATTAAAGATCTGAGCTAAGCCAACCAAAACAATATTTCTGTTACCCTTAAGTTGATTAACAATAAAATGATGAATTAAAAAATTAGCATCTGCTTTTAAGGTATCCATAATAGCAATATGTGCATTATTAGGTGGTAAGTTTTGGGGGAAAGCAAGAGCTGCATCAAGTGTAGCGTAACCCATAATGATTACTAATATAGAAAAAATGAAATAAAAAAAAAATGTATAATGCGTTTGCGCTGGTTTATTTATTTATTTGTTCATTTATTTAATTTTTTTTTTTTTTTTTTTTTGTATATGTAATACTTTATTAGCCAATAGTATTAGATCATTAGTTGGTTTGGTAAAAAAAAAAAAAAAAAAAAAAAAAAAAAAAAAAGGGATATAAGACTATGAATGGGTTTATCTTGCATTAGTATTATGATATTGTAATAATTCTATTAAATGCTGAATAACTTTTTCTTCACTTCCATTAGTTAATTTATCTTCTTCTTTGGATGAAGCAATAAACTTTTGAATCAAAGGATCACTCTACATTAAATATTACGTAAGCATAGAATAAATACTAATTTATGATTCCATATATACTTTAATATCTTTGGCTACTTCAGTTATATTATCTTGATTCGTTCTTTCTATAGTTCTTTATAAAAAGAGTAAGCTTTATGATGAATTAGATTTTAGAATAAACTATAGTTTTAACTTACTTGCAAAACTCTTCAATTAATGTGGATAATGCTTTATTATTATGTTTAATAACTCGATTTGCTGCTACTGTTGCCACTGTTGCTGCTGCCTTTGATACCTTATTAAATAATTATTACTATATGGAAAGGATAAAAATAGATGAATTGTATACTTTTTTAATGTCTTGTTGTTTAATATCATCATTTATAATCCATTGATGATTTAATATATGTGAAAGTGTATCAGGAGTTAAAATAGGCGGCGAGCCCCAGTGATCATCTAAATTTTGTATAATTTCTGAAATGCGATCTTCTGTCATTGTAGAAGCATTAGATTCAGTCGATAATAAACTACTGTTACTAGCTTTTTATTTAAAGTATTTCGTAAAGGCTGTCTATCTTGACTTTTTGGTAAAGTAAAGTACATGTAACAATTAAATTCAAAAAGGAGAAAAATGTATGTAAGTTAGATATATAGAAGAAGAAGAAGGAAAAAAGAAAAAAGAAAAATAAAAAAAATAAAAAAATAAAAAAAAATAAAAAATAAATAAATAAATAAATAAAAGATAGAAAGCCTAGACTTTATACATATTGAAGTCATCATCATCAATAATAATAATAATAATAATAGTGTTAATAACAGCATTTTCTTTCTTATAAAAAAAAAATAGATACTAAGCCAAAATTGTATTCAATCCTCGTACATGTTCAAGTAACATTTTATTTTATTTTTCATATAAACTATTATGAATATTGTAACGATCGAAGCTTTTAAGGAGACTAGATTTAATATCCATGCATACAAGTATTTAAACATATCGATTGTATTTCTATACTTCTTGTCAATGACTTTAAGAAATAGAATATAATACATATTACTACAGAATCAACTAATTGATGTCATGACTTCTTAAATAGAGTATGGTTCAGAAAATAATAATATAATTCCGATAATACTTGATATCACCACTACTGCTGCTACTACTACTAATATTGCTGCTGCTACTATTAATATTGCTGCTGCTACTACTACTACTAGTACTACTACTACTACTACTACTACTACTACTACTACTAACCACTACTAACCACTACTAACCACTACTAACCACTACTAACCACTACTAACCACTACTAACCACTACTAACTACTTATTTATTCTATAGTCAACCCCTTTTTTAATTTTTATATTAAATGTTCATCCTTTGTAAAAGATATTTACGATTCCATTTGTTAAATCCTGTTTGCTTATTTATTTTAACTTTGGATCTATTCAATTGAAATCATCCCTTGAACAAAAGTTTCGAATATGTATGTAAAAAAAAAAAATCCTTTTGCTCATCTCTAGTTGATTGAACATGTAGATGTTTTTTTTTTCTTCGAAGGATTATAATCATAAAAATAAAGTTATTCATTTAATCTTTAAGCCGTAAAAAGTATCTAGTTACAAAGTGGATTTTTTTTTTATCAACTTTCTTCTAACCTTGCATGGGCAATTTATAGTTTAACAAGTCAGTATATGATGTTGTATTATATAAGTATTGGTTATACTGAAATCAAAAGCATTATAAGAATGGTGAATATATATAGCTTGTATATCAATAAATGTGCATAAAGGAAGAATGAAATAATAGACAAGTCTTTAAAGATAAATATTTTTGTGCCACTAATATTTAGAGAAGAAGAAGAAAAAAAAAACTATATAAATGATGTTCAAACATTTATTATATTTCGTATACATGACTTAGTGTTCGTAGTAAATCAATGGATTAAAGCATGAGAAAGTGCTTTATCACTGCGTAAATATTTAGAAAATAGAATGATGAATAAACAGTTATGTCATACATGATTATGATAGATAAATAACTTAATGGAACAATAAAATAGAGCTTGTTATTTATAAAGGTCATAGTAGCATTATACAAGAATAGTGTTGTATAGTAAGATAATAGAGATTATAGCTTAATTTCGTCAATCCTTTAGAATATTCACTTACAACTTCTAATCTTGACTAGATTCAAGAAGACTAGTGTAGTACTCCATCTAATGAGTCTTGTATATCTTTTTTTGTATTAGAGAAGATTTTATATTATTCTATAGCATCATTCACAACAGCTGGTAAAGGTAATAATGTGCATGTGGATATGTCTCTATTTACATTTAGATGATTACTAGTAGCTCCTTTTATTGATCATACCTTCTGTCTGTACACAGCTAGTTACACAACGTTAAAAAAGAAAAGAAAAAAAAATACGTGTTGTACATGTAGTTTTAATTCTTCTACTTTGCATGTCTATCATATAGATAACAAGTCTTTTTATTTATTGATGCATATGATATTCTATAGAAAATAAGGATGACTACAGATGATATTCATATTTACAAATAAATGAACAACTACGGCTGTTACGAGTAAATATAATGAAGTGTGCAAGATAAGAGAAGAAGTAAAAGCTGCTGTGATATAGAATTGAATACTATTTATAGTACACATACTATGTCTATTTAGTACTGTCCATAGTACGGATTAAGCATACAATAAGGAAGAATAGAGTGGGACTGATTAGTATTGTACATTTCACTTTGCTTTGAATAAGAATAGGATCATCAAACTACTGCTTGTATTTTGTTTTAATTTTTAACATTATTTACTTGTATAGTCTTTCAAATCACATAGATCATATATCCACAGGATGATGTAGTCTCAGGAAGAAGATATCATCTGAATTAATCGTAAAATAGATTAAGAATTATCTCTAAAGTGAATGAGTGCTTGATACTATTCTATTTACACAATACATATCAATTTTAATTATTGGTGATGCCTCTATAGCTTACAAAAGCTGTCCTTAATAAAGGAGAAATATGAGTCAAGGTACCCATCAAAGAAGAACCATTTATTCACCTTGCTGTTTATAATGATTTCCTTTATGAATACTATAGAACAGAAATATCCTTTGGGAACCTTCCAGGAATGATAGATTCTCTTTCCCATTATTCATTATATCAAACCTGATCTTTATAATAAAACACTATTTTATTTAAGGAAAAGTCTTCTAACAGTTCCGCCAACAACTTTACTTTTTATATTATGAAATTAACTAAATTCATTTCTTTCTAACCAAATGCTACTATAGTCAGTAGTAATGAAGTCATTTCTTTATGGGTGGTGAAAAAAAAAATTAGTCATAGTCTGTGTTTTATGTATTTTAGCATTCGAGATTGTCATCGTTTAATGCTGATGGTTATCTTATTAAGGCTAATATATATCTTTTATATGAAAATAGTGACAAAAAAATTAAAGGATATTAATTAAAACTTTGATCTTTCTTTTCATAATGAACTAACAGTTTTGTTGGTCGTTTTAACTTTTTTTTTTTATTATTTTCCACTAATTGCTAGGAAGTAAGTCTATTCAACTCTGTTTTAACGATTGGAGGCAACAACTGGACAAACTTCCTTAAAGTAATAATATTGGCTTTAAATTCACACTAATGTATTCCTTTGAATTCAAAAAATGAGCTTGAGGACTTGATTGTTAACTTTGTAAATCCCATGATTTTATTCCCACGTATTGATCAGCTCTATTAAATGTTAAAGGACAATATAGTTCAAGATAATAGTTTATCGTCTGTTACAAAAAAAAATATATTATTTGAAATGATGGTATCGTTGAATGGCACTCATGACTCAACAACATCACTCAAGTCATTGCATTCAATTCTTTCCAACATCAAAGGTCATGATTAATGCTAAATTAAAGAAATGGATCACGCTTCGTAGTTCTAATAATCTTTTATAAATATTGATTATTTACATTTTATCCGTTTCTTTTTTTCTTTTTTTTTTTCTTTTTTCCTTTCTCTCTTTCTTTCTTTCTTTTTTTTTTTTCCTGAATATCAAGAAAACTGTTATTATTTTATGGATACATTTTTAACTGAATATGATAAAAATCTAGAAGAACTAGAACGACAAAGAGAAAAGCTTAAAATAGTGATTCAAAAAATGGGGCAAGAATGGGAGGAGAGGTATAAACAGTAGTAATGATATTTCTTCTTTTAAATAATAGCAACAACAACAATAATATATAATAGTGGTCCTGGTATAAGTTGGCTAGGGCAAGTAGAACTTCCAGATGCTGAAGTAGATTCTTCGGAATTAACTGTTTTGGATGACACTATTAAATCCTCTTTGACAATAAATGCGAATCAGCAAGCATTATTATTAACTCAGCAGCAGCAGCAGCAGCAGCAGCAACAACAACAACAACAACGGATAACATCAGCAAATACTCTAGTTCCTTCGCCAGAATATCTTCAAAATTTATTAAACGTAAATGAAGCTCTGCTGGCACAGAGTATTGCTAGTAGTGATGCAATTACGCCAATAGATACAAATGCAAAAATAAATTATAATAATAATAATATTATTTTTTCGATAACTGATAATGATGACGATGATATACCCCCTTAAATATATTAACCTTTCTTCTCTTTTACTTTGACATTCTTATAATACATGTACATATAATATTTATATATATATATATATATGTGTGTGTGTGTGTGTGTGTGTGTGCTTATGTAAGCAACAAATGATATAGATATATTATGTATGTTTAATTTAAGAAACTTAACATTATTTCATGCGTATTACAAGCTTAGATATAGAGTATAATAAATAGTGTACAAATTGATTCGAGAAAGACTAATAATGATAACAAGTAACCTTGTGGCTTAAAACAACAACAGACTTTATGACAATAGTGTCTTTATTTCCATACTTAAATATAATGTTTCAGTCATCGAAAATTAATAAATGAATATATTTTGTCATTTTTTTTTAAAGAAAAAAAAAATTAATATGCGTCTATTCATAAATCATGTCAATACATATAAGAAAGTAAGTAAGACAAATATAAATTATTTCTCTATTATGGCGTACATAATAAAGCCCCTTTCTGTATATGAAAGGAAATTATTTGAAATTATTAACCATCATTGCTTTATTAATTCCATTCGTCATATATTAAAAGATGGAGTTTCTTTTTTTTTTCAGTAATTATTTGAAACAACTAAGTTATATTATTATTAAAAAAAAAAAAAAAAAAAAAAAAAAAAAAAAAAGTATTATTTTCGAGACCTATTAATAGTATTAAAATGGTCTACTATTTATAAAATTGAATCTCTTGAATATCTTACAAGTTTGGAAAAAAGGCGGAGGAGAGTAAACTCAGATATTTATTTTTTTTTTTTTATTCTCCTGGTAATTATCTTTTGTAGGAGATTAATTATAAAAAAAAAAAACCTTTTTTTTTTCTTTTTATTAGTTTTTATTATTATTTTTTTTTTTTTTTGCTGTTGTTGTTGTTTGATTGTATTATTATTATTATTATTAATAGGATGAAATTTGAACAAGAATTACAAGAGAATATATATGAACCTTGGAGATTAGAATATGTAGCTTATAATGATATTAAACAAGATATAAAGAAAAGACAAGAAGAACACAAATGGAACAACAATGATGAAAAAGACTTTGCAGCAGCTTTACGTTTAGAAGTGGATAAAGTAGACATATTTATTAATCGAAAACAGAAAGAGATTGAATCTCGTATAGCTTACTGTGAAAGAACATTAAGAAGTCAACAAAATAAAGATATACCTTTTCCTGTTCCTCAAAACCTGTATGATACAACTGATGATACCTTAATTGAAATTCTCATGGACTTGAACGACCTTTCTAAATTTACTCGTTATAATTTTTTGGCTTTGCAAAAATTAGTTAAAAAGCACGATGAATACACAAAATATAATGCTCAGCCTCTATTTCTTGATATGATTCGCTCAAAATCATTTGATAGACAGCGTTTTGATGTCTTGCTTGTCAAAATTTCTGCTTTACACGATCTCTGTATGCTACATGGCAAACGACGTACAGCTTCTATACCTGCTAGTTTAAACCAGAATAATGAATTCGAGTGTCCTACTACGGCTCGATACTGGGTTCATCCTGATAATATTACAGAATTAAAAGCCATTCTTTTGTTCCATTTACCTGTACTTATTCCAGATACAAATAAGCCTGTTGAACCAGAGGATAGTGCTGTTTCAAGTCTTTATTTCGATAACTCTAATTTTGATCTTTATCAGGAACGACTTCAAAGAGATGAAGGTGCAGAAGAAATTCGATTTCGTTGGTATGGTAAAATGGATACAAGATCTATCTTTATTGAACGCAAGACACATCATGCGTCTTGGTTAAACGGTGCATCCGTGAAGGACAGAGTCTGTCTCGATGTAGATAAAGTCAATCATTTTATCTCGGGTACCTATACAGCTCAACAATATGCACAAGATTTAAGAACAAAGGGTCTCTCAGAGGAAGAGATAAAGGCAAATTACTTTATTGCGTCAGGGATTCAAAAATCAATTATCGAAAGAGAACTTCATCCTGTAATGCGTGTCTTTTATAATCGTACTACCTTTCAAATACCAGGTGACGAACGTATTTGTGTTTCCTTGGATACAGAGTTGACCTTTGTACGAGAAGATGGTTTACAGGAACGAAGGAAAGGTCTTTGGCGTCGACCCGACATGGGAATAGATTATCCCTTTCATCATTTGAATTCAGCTGATGTATCTAGATTCCCATTTGCTGTACTCGAAGTCAAATTATCAGGCACTCAGCGCGGCCAAGAGGCCCCTCAATGGCTTACTCGACTGTTAGGCTCTCAATTAATGTACGAGATACCTCGTTTTTCAAAGTATCTGCAAGGGACCTCCCTTTTCTGGAGACCCCATTTACCTTTATTGCCCTGGTGGTTAGACCAATTGGACCTGGATATTCGTCATGCAAAACAACCCACCGGCCATTTCTCGGGCCTCTCTAGATCCAAGAGTCTAAAGCCTTTAATTGATGGTAAATATCGTATAGGTTACTTGGAATCACAACTGGAACGATCTTCAGTTTTGAAACGTTTAGAAAGACCCAAGAGGGATGGATCCCTTACGCGTATGCTCTCTACTCGTTCTATGCGTTCTACTAAAATGCCTCGTGGCACTGAATTGGATACCACCTCGGCCTCTGCCTTTGCTGATGGCACCCACTTGAAACGATCCTCTACGACTGGAAATGCCCGTAATTACTTTTTATCTCCCTTTGATAGTAACCGAAGTTCACCTGTATCAGTAATCGATATCAATAAGAATGGGAACCCCTTCGCCGATCCTATCTGGTCAAACTCGGGTAGCTCCCCAAATAGTTCAATCACTTTTAATTCGACTGATATACATATGAATGGTGGAGTCATAACTCGTAATCGAACAAATCTCTCAGACGGTCGTCGTACAACTGAGTTTAATGATACGTCATCTATAGAGCTTTTAATAGGCGATAAAGACACATCCTCCTACACGACTGATAAAAAAAATCATAAAGATAAGATGGGTGAAGAAGTCCGTTTCAATGTTTATTTTAGTGAAGACGTTCGAGCCCTTGAAGAAGGTGCAGAAGAAGGCGAGAAGAAGAAGAAGAAGAAGAAGAAGGGGAAGGAAGGTGGAGATGGAGGTGGATCTCGTATAGAACCCAAGATCTTCTTTGCTAATGAACGTACCTTTATCCATTGGTTACATTTTGCAACCATTATTTTAACTGTAGCCTTAACTTTGTTGAATTTCGGTGATGGTATCAATAGGATTGTAGGTGCTGTATTCTTTGGGATTGCCTTTCTTTTTTCAATTTATGGCTTTGGATTCTATAGATGGCGTGGTCATCGTATCTCTACTAAGCCTCATTTACGTTATGATGACTCTATTGGCCCCATATTTCTATGTATTTTATTAGTGGGTTCCTTGGTTGTAAGTCACTTTAATATGTATTTGCACGTGATTTTTTACTTGATGTTAATATTATTATTTTTTTTTAAACAAAAAAAAAAAAAAAAAAAAAAAAAAAAAAAAAAAAGCTTAATTTTGCTTTGAGATTCAACAGTGCAGAACAAAATAATAATTATTTAGGTTTAAATAACACAGCAACAGCAACAACTGATACAGCAACAGCAACAGCAACAACAGCAACAAATATGGTAACAGCAACAGCTATGACAACAGCAACAGACATAGTAACAGAAATGGGTACAACAACAGACATAGCAACAGCATTAGATACAGAAACAAATACAGATACAGATATCGATGCAGATATAGATGCAGATATAGATGCAGACATAGATACAAATGATTTATTATAAGTTTATCATACCCCTCTTTTTTGTTTTTAATATGTATATATATTTATTTGTTAAAATAAAAAAAATATTTACATGCTACCTCAGCTTTTCTTTTCTCTTTTTTTTTTTTCATAATACGTTTATTTATTTATTTATTTTTTACAATAAATTTAACCTAATGAAACTGTAACTGAGAACGGTTATTGAATACATTCAGATTTGTCTTGATCGGATCATAAATGAAAGAAGAGATAATTAGAAAAAAAAAAATCTTTGGGGTCAAGTGGGGAAAGAGTAGGGTCGATTAACAATTTTGATCCAGATTAAAATAGTAATAACAGTGGGCGTTTTTATATGGTAGAAGAGGCAGTAAACAGGTTCCATCTCTTATATTAATACTTTTTTAGCGGCTAGTATATTGCATTATTAATTGAGGCTTCAATTATATATCATGTGCAGATATTTTTTGAAGCAATTGACTTGTTTGATTCTTCTCCTATTTCATTATTAAGTTTTCTTGTTTCAATAATAAACAAAACATATCAGTTTTAAAAGAAAAAGAAGGCTTTTTTTTTATCGAAAATTTTAAATATCCAAACCCAAATCTGTTTATTTTCTCTCTCCTCTCCTCTTTCTTTCTGATAATAGAAATTACTTTTGCATGATTATATCTAATCGATATTTGTAACAAGCTTAATTGTATTATTATTATTTTATATATGCATATATATGTGTGCGTGTATGTCCAATTATTAATGATAACTACAGAAGATCCCCTTTTAAATTGCATAAAGAAAAGAATGGGAATTTGCCTTTAAACAATTATTAAAACAATATGATCTTCCATGTGGACATAATAACTTTTGATGCATGCCAAAAAAAAAAAAAAAAAAAAAAAAAAAAAAAAAACGACATGTCTAGTTTGTAAATCATCTTAAACGTTTGAAGCCTCACCTTCTTATTTAGAAAATGTAAATGTGCAGTAAGCTGATCAAAAATGAATATGATTTCATAATCAATGATATTTGAAATTCAGAATTTTTATATGAAACAAAGCATGTTGAAAAACGTGCTCTTTTTTTTTTTTTTGCATGTTGGTAAATAATAATAATTTCCCTATACTATCGAAAAGAACTTGTTCAATGATGTATATAATTTCTTCATTAACAAAGGCTATTTTTGATGATGACTAAAGCGTAATGTAAATTATTTTGCTTGTATAAAGGTTAGATGTTTCTGAAAAAAAAAAAAAAAGAAGAACTTCATCCTCAGAAAACCTAAACATACTCCAATTTATTTCGTCAGTATTATGATTACGCGGAAAATTGAATACCGATTACTATGACCTTATTTTCACTAAAATTAGCCGTACCGAGGATTAATAGAACGTGGTATCGTTGTCATGAAAGGGCAGAATAAGTAACAGAGGATTAAAAACAAAAATCTTATAACGATAGAAATTTTCTTTCAGTCCCTAAAACAGTATTATATATTTTAAGTGTTTACTTCATAGCCTGGCCAAACCATTCTTTTTTTGTTTTTTTATTTTTCTTGTATTTTTTATTTTTTTTATTTTTTTTTTTTACATAAACGGGTTTTTATATTTTCTTGGTCCTATAAATAAATAAACTTTAGGAGATAGATCAGTTTCATTAATTCTCGGCTCAAAAAGACTACAGCTATTGCAGGCCATACACTGGCATCACTTTAATGCTGAAACTAGTGTATAATTACACAAGAAATTTTAAAGAAATCAGTTGTATGCATATAAGACCTTTTTTTTTTTCTATTAAAAATTTTAGAGCCAGAAGTTACATATGATCATTTTCCTTCTTCCTTGTTCGTAATAACATTAGGAAAAAAAAGAAAAAGAAATGTCCCTCCGACACAGCTTAAGATTTTCTTCATTCTTTTTTTTTTATGTCTAAAAATTATTTCCTTTAATAAATCTTCGTTTGTTTGGAAAAGCCTGCATGTATCCATCTCAAACATTATATAAACCCTTGAAGTTATAGTTCTAGTAGTGCATCTTGAATAGAGGATGTTTATACATAACTTATTGTTTATAAAGATTTGAAAAAAAAAAAAATAGATACAACACGTAGTTTTCTGTCAAAACTAGAAAAATGCTTCCTTTTTTGTCATTTCAACTTTTCCCATATATGTATTCATATTTTATAAATATATATTTATATAGATACTTTTCTATGAACAAGATAATGGTTCTCTTTATTATGGAAAAAAAAAGCCTTATCTTCTTTTTCTAATCCTGGATATTAACTATTCCATAGAGTGTACTGTGTTTATAAATATATATATTTGTATACATATTTGTTTTTTTTTTTTAGTTTCTTCTGTATCTTTAGCCCTTTTTTTTTCTTTGTTGAAAGTTTATTTTATTTTATTTTTTTCCAGGACTTTATTCAGGGAATTCAGTCTACATAAAACACTTGATAGATTTATTTAAATATATTATTATTGAGATTACATTGACTGCTAAGATCGATTATGTAAATGTTAATAACAAATAAATAGAGTAATATTAGAAAATAAATAGTAGTTGAATAGTTAAAGTTTAAGCTTGATTTGCTACTTTTATAAATGAATATTACATTATTACCACGCCACTAAATAGTAAACATGTTACTACATAAAGATTACATTTTAAAACACACTCTATTGTGCTGCAAAAGAAAAAGAAACAATAACTTAAAATGTCTACTTTGCTATTATTTAACGGGTAGTCAAGTGTTATAATAATTAAAGACATTTCTACAGCTAATCTGTCAAATTTTTATTAATTATTTAAACTTCTTTTTTTTTCTTTTTACAAGTTATATAGTTGGAAAGCTAATCTTTTGAATAACTGCATGTCATTATAGTATCTATCTGCTGTTTTCCTTTTAACCAACTTTTTGTACATTTCACATTGTCTAATTTTAGGTGTTTCCAAATCGCCGTTTCAACTCAAGAATGAAATTGATAGACGCTTTTTCAATGTTAGGATATGCGACATTATTGGATGAATACAATTAAACTAGATACCTAAAAAGAAAAAAAGTTTTGCTTATAAAAATACTTATTCTGTAAAGAAAAGAAGAAATTTTATTTATAAATGAAAATAAAAGACTGAAACCACCGAAAACGATATTTATGTTCCATTAAAACTAACCTACTAAAAAAATAAAAAAAAATTTATTTTTATTTTTTTATTTTTTTTTTTTTTATTTTATAACAATTCTCTCTTTTTATTTTATTAATTTATTTATTTTATTTATTTTTCCCAAAAATATACATATTTATCTACTCTGTATTACATTCCCTTTTTTTTTTTTTTTTTTTTTTTTATTTCCCTACCTTTTTAAATGAAATTCGGTGACCATTTACAACAAGAAATTTTTCCACCTTGGCGTCTATCATATATTTCTTATGATGTCTTAAAAAAGAACTTAAAACTCGACAACTTGACCATCAATGGAACGGAGAAGATGAAGATGAATTTATCAATAAACTCGAAAATGAATTAGAAAAAGTATATGATTTTGTATCTGCCAAATTAAGTGAAGTAGAGGCAAGAATTAGTTATTGTGAACGTACAATCCAGACATTTATCGATAATCCTAGTTGGTCTTCAGATCAAAACTGGACTCTTATGAACGATGCGTTGACAGAAGTTTTATTTGATGTAAACGATTTAGCTAAATTTACAAGGCTGAATTATATCGGCTTTCAAAAAATAATTAAAAAACATGACAAATGGACTGGACTCAATCTTAAACAGGACTTTATTCCTCAACTGAGAAATAAACCATTAGATAAACAAAGATTCGATGTAGCCATTGTCTTTATTTCAGCGCTACATGATATTTGCCGTCAACGTGGGAAGCCTCGTCCAAGTAGTACCTATACAACCAACTCTCAAATTTCTTCTACAGACAAGTCTATTGTCAAATATTGGATTCACCCCGATAATATTACTGAAGTAAAATCGATTATCATGCTTCATCTACCAGTCTCTATTTATAACAAAGAGAAGCGTTATGAGGCCTCTGATTCTGCCATCTCTAGTATTTATTTTGATAATGAAGAATTTGGTCTTTATACAGGCCTCTTACAGCGAGATGAAGGCGCTGAAGCGATTCGATTCAAGTGGCACGGCCCTACTTCAACTCCCGATGTCTATCTCGAACGTTGCACATATCATGCAGAGTGGGCGGATGGACAATCGATAAAGGAGCGTATCGAATTCGTGAGTGATGATGTATCCAAATTTATCAAGGGTGCCCTTACAGCCGAGGAATACACAAATCGACTTCGAGCAAAAGGAATGAATGCTAATCTTGTCGATGATTGCCAATTTATTTCCTCTGGAGTTGAAAAGTCCATTGCAGAAAAGAAATTAAAACCTATGTGTCGTGTGTTCTACAATCGTACTACCTTTCAATTGCCCGAAGATCCTGATGTCTGTATTCATGTTGATAATGACCTGACCTTTATTCGTGAAGATAACTTTGATGGTATCATTCGTCGAGGACTAGATGACTGGCGTCGTCCTGACGTTGGTATTGACTATCCTTTTAGTTATCTTGATGAATCAGATGTCTTGCGTTTTCCCTATGCTGTATTAGAAAGTAAAGTAGAGAAAAAGCCCCCCGCATGGCTTACGAAACTTTTGTCATCACATCTTGTCCATGAGGTGCCTCATTTCTCTAAATATTTGCATGGTGCATCTTATCTTTTCCGTGATCGTATCCCACTATTGCCCTGGTGGCTCTCTGAGATGGAAATAGATATTCGTAAACCACGTGCTACTAACTTTGGTCTCTCTCGATCAAAGTCCTTTCAACCACTCATTGATGGTCAATACCGTCGTGCTATGGAGGCAGAACAATTACGTATGGATCTCGTGAATGAAACAGTACAAATGGAAAAAAAGAGTATGGAAAGTTTGAATAGTGGACGATCATCAGAGAAATTGATAAATAACAATGATATCAAAAAATCACCTTCAAACGATGGCGTTGAGCTTATAGACGTGAACACAAATATCGTGACAAGATCAGATAGTAGCAATTGGAATAATCGACCTCATCGTATGCAATCTACCTTAGTAGTTAAAGGGGATGATCCTCTTAATTATGGTCCAATAAATAGAAAGTCGATTAATCCGGATGAAATGAGTGCTCTAGGTGAAGAAATCATCTTTAATAATGGTGATATTCGTCTTAATTTAGGAGAGACATCGAGTGGTAAAAATGAGAAGGGAGGGAAAAAATTATTCGAAAATACCAATATGTATGTCAAAGACCCTAACAATCCTAATAATGTGATCCCAGTTAAGAAAGTTAAAGTAGAACCTAAAGTATTCTTCTCAAACGAACGTACTTTTATTTCATGGCTTCAATTTTGTGCTTTGCTTTTGTCCGTTGCTTTGAATTTACTTAATTTCGGTGATTTAGTATCTCGTATCGCTGGTGCTATATTTATTGGTATTTCTGCAGGTATTGCTATCTACGCCTTATTCCAATTTGAAAGACGTGCTTGGTAAGTGATATTAAGAAAAAAAAAGAAAAGAAACTTGGACTATATTTACTAATAAAATTTAATTACAGGATGATTAATCGACGTATTGTTGGTCGTTATGATGACCTTTGGGGTCCTGCAGTTCTCTGTATACTTTTAGTTGCTGCCTTAGCTGTTAACTTTTATCTTCGTTTCCGTTAAACCTTTAAATTTTTTTTTTTTTTTGTATTATATTGTTCACTTGACCTATACCTAATTATTAGCCATTTTCTTTTGTTTTTGTATTATTCTTAAATAAAATACATTACATAATATGTCATTAATATATGTATCTATTTTTAATAAATTATATTAATTGTACTTTTTTAATTTTATTTACTAAAAAAAAATAATAATCACAAAAATAGCATTCTATATTTAATACAAAATGAAAAGAACCCCGTACTATTTAAATGTAGGATTACATAATATATTTCCTTGATAACTCAATGATGTCAATATAGCTTTTAGTTAATTAACTTTACTTCTTGTGTACATAACTTATTAATTTATTTATAAATAATATTAACAAGAAAATTAAGAAATGACTGTTATAAAAGATAAACAGTAGCAGATCAAAATGGTTATTATCCTTGGAAAGAGAAATTTCCATAAATAAATTTCATTGCGTCATGTCATACTTGTCTTTAAAGTGCAATTATTAATTTTAGTTTGAAGAGAAAAAAAAATACTCCCCCCATACTATGATTTACTATATTACTTTTTTTTTTTTCTTTTATTCAAAGATGCGAAACTATGTTACGAAATTATTATTTAAAACTAGCATCGATTTAAAAATAAAATAAAATAAAGGCTGAGCCTCTTTTTCCTTTTTTTTTTCCTTTTTCTTTTTAAGCCGTGTTAAGTGACAGATCTGGTGGGCTGAAATATTCTGGAAAATTATCAATGTAATCAGAAAGCTCACATAAATGATGTAAATAGTTAATGGGATAAACTAAATCCATATGAAACGACAGATTTGCCAAAATATAATCGTCCACAGTCAAATCTTTCATAGCGTAATAAAGTTCCAATATTAAATAACTACAGATACTACTAGCAATCGTTATTGGACCCAAAATTTGCACAGGGTTTAATTTGTATGCTTCTCTTAAACCAATAGAACTTATACAGATCATGGCAATACTGCAAACACTAATATACATATATTAGTTAGTTATTAATATAATAAATATACATATATAAATTTATACATTTATATGCATATATTTATATATGAAAAATGTTACATTGGCTTTGTCCCTTGAAACTTGAACTTTATTTGAAAAGTATAAAAAATAACACCAAGCATGCCAAAACAAGTCATTATCAATACAATTAAACTATATTCTTGAAAAATTCTTGAAACTTTATATATATATATTAATGTTAATTCTTCAGTATATACTATCAGATATATAATATGTATATGTATTTGTGTAAATACCTAAGTTTGAAAAGATAAACGCAATAAAAAAGGAATAAATAGCAAAAGTGATAGCACGGCTTAAACGCGTAAGTTGATGATATTGTGTCCATAACTGCCAAGCTGCAATTATTAAAAAAACAGTAGCTAAGGATAATAAAAACCACCAGGTACGTTCACTATTGAATATATTTATATGTGTGTGTATGTATGTATAAAGTATGTCATATTATTAAAGCTGACTTTATATACATCCAAAACCTACTACCTTTGTCCTTGGTAATTAATAAAGTACATAAATAATATTGACATAAATGATATAAGTGATAATTGACTTAAAGTTATTAAATAAACTTTTCTAATAAATTCTAATAAAAGAAAAAAATAAAATAAAATAAGCACACATATAATAACTTTATATTTGTATATTGAAACAGAACTCATTTGTGAATCTATTGAACACCGCGATACACTGACTCCAACAAGTAAGTCAAATTCTTGTTGACTTGCGGATCCAAGTCGCTCATAAAGTTGATGTTGAATTGAAATTGATTCATAAAAATTAGTATGTGGAGTTGTATGTACAAGTTCTGAATGTAATAAATGTCTATTACTATTACCAATAGTATACATAATTAATTAAAAAAAAAAAAAGAGAGAGAGAGACATAAATAATAATAATAATAGTTACTATTTATTTAATATTGGTGTTGTATATGTTCCCCTTTAATGTTAGAAGAAGATACAAGTGATAATAATAGTGTATAAAGATATATATATATATATATATATATATATATATATAAATATTTGTAGCAATTAATAAACTTTGATATACATTCTATGCTCTATTTTATTCCATATGGTTTCTTATATTTTCATATTGGCTTTTAGGGTAATCAATATGATTAGGCATTTGATCTATCTTTCCATTAAAAGCTTTATAAACAGTATTTACTAAATTACGAGCATCATTTGGATTACGATCAGCACTTAATTCCCAAAACATGGCACCACCTAATTCTCTTTGTTTGATATAACCACATTTGGCGGCAATCACTTCAGGAGTATCATAGGTAATAAATTCTCGAGCTTTAGGATCGTATGACCATGAAATCATACGTTTAGTATCATTATATTCAGTAGCACCTGGCTTAGGTAACACCTTGTAATCAAAGTTACCTTCTTCCCAAGTTCCTTTTGGAACACCTTGATAAGGACGATCAGGACCATCTGTATTAGAAAAACCACGACCATAGAATGGCATACCTATGACTATTTTGTTAGCAGGAATACCTGCAGCCATATAATCATTAACAGCTTGATCAGTATTAAGGGCACCACCAAACATAGCTGCTTGATGACCAGTCTTAGGATCCCATGAACCGGCATAATCATACGCCATTAAATAAAAGATATCGACATAGGGTTGCATTTGTGCTAAACGAAGTTTTTTATAATTATTAGGTCCACAAGGTACAGCAACGGTTAGCAGTAGACGAGGCTGGTCTAACTGCTCACATTGTTGTTGATAGACATCTAAAGCGATACGCATTTCATATAAGAGATGAACATAATAAAAGGCCTCTTTATCATCTTTAGGATACTCCCAGTCGATATCCAAACCATCAAGACCAAAATCTGAAATTAATTTAATACTAGATTGAACAAATCTTTTACGTTTGGCAGGATCACTAGCAACAGCACCAAAATTACTTGACCAAGTCCATCCCCCTACACTGAGTGATACTTTCAAATGACGATGCTTTTGTTTAAGTAAATAAAATTGTTTGAAATTACCGTAGAGATTATTGCCTTGATCATTCCAACTATCTGCTTTACCGTTTACACATTGATCTATTCATATTATGTAGACGAAAAAAAAAATTATTCATACACACATATATGTATTATATGAGGAAAAAAAAGGACCCTTTCTTACTTGCAGGAAAATGCTTTTCGATGTCAGCCCAACTATCCTATTTTTTAGGTTACATAAACAAATAAATAGATGCTTTTTTTTTAAAGAAAAAAATGCTTATAATGAGCATTCTTACTCCAATGACAACTGTTCCGTCTTCTTGTAAATTAGCAAATGCATATAAAATGTGAGTTAATTTATTTGCTTGAACTGCAACGTCTACAACGTTATAACTTCTATCATATATTCCCCTATTTTAAACAGAATGAGTAATGAGCATGAAACGTTTATATACAATTTGAATTACCAATTTGGAAAATAACCAGCAATAACTGGACCATTAGTAGCGGGTGGAGGAGCTTGCATTTTTTTTTAACAAAAAAAGAAAAGAAATAATGAATATTGAAAAGGAAAAAAGAGGAGCATAATTAGTGTTAAATTATATGATATTTATATATCTTCATCGGAAATAAATTGTAGTAAAAAAAAAAGTTCTAACAACTACAGCAAAAGGGACAGAAGCACTATGACAGCAATGATGACAACACGATATAATATATGTGAATGATCATCTCCTTATGATATACAACAAATTAATATGTAAGATTAAGTAATTTTGCCTACTTAACAAAAAAAAACGAAATATAACAAAAAGAAAACTTAATATGAGGAAATAAGTTTCCATTAGAAATAAACCTGTATTGTTTGGTCATAGTAGATATCAAATGTTTCTATTTACAAGTCAACTGATATACTACTTTGATTTATTACATATTCCTTTAAATTAAATCTCGTAAGAAAAAAGTGGGTTACTATAACCAGACATTCAAGCTCTTTACAAAAAAAAAAAAAAAAAAAAAAAAAAAAAAAAATTGAGAATAAAAAGCTTAGTGCTATTAAGCAATTCTGTCAAGCAAGTTTTTACGTTTATATTTTAGTTTATAAAGAATTATATTGAATCAAAAATTATTGAAAGCTTATTACCAAACACTTTAATAACGCATGCTTTATAATGATTAAAATTTATTAGAAAATGACATTCTATAAATTAATATATTTATTACAAACAAAAGTAAACTTTTTTTAAGGAAAAAAAAAAACAAAACAAAAAAAGATTACTAATTTTAACATTATAATAAGAAAAGGTGTGGTGAAAATAAAAAGATCATGAAAAGAAAAAATTATATACGTTTTATGTTGAAAGTGGGGGAAAATGATGTGATTTAGTCAACTTCCTCCATCTTGGAGACTTCAGCGTTGTCTTCAGCAGGAGCTTCGGTAGCAGGCTCATCAGCAGCAGGAAGCTCGTCTTCATCAATAGAAAGACCAAGAGAAACCATACGGTTGATACGAGTAGCGAAAGAGCTAGGATCATCAAGACTGAAACCTGAAGTCAACAAAGAAGTTTCGAACAACAAGGTAACAAGATCCTTAGCAGTACGATCGTTGGCATCAGCAGAGACCTTAGCCTTAAGAGCCTTAATGATGGGGTGCTTAGGATTAAGTTCGAGTGTCTTCTTAGAAGCCATGTAGCTGGACATGGAGGAGTCACGAAGAGCTTGAGCCTTCATGATACGTTCCATGTTAGCAGACCAGCCGAATTGACCAGTGGTCAAGACACAGGGAGAATCGGTCAAGATGTGAGAAAGAACAACCTTTTCAACTTTATCACCGAGAATTTCCTTAACAGACTTGCAAAGGTCTTCGAATTCCTTTTGTTCTTCTTCACGAGCCTTCTTTTCCTCTTCATCTTCTTCAATTTCAGCACCTTCCTTGGTGATGCAGACCAACTTCTTATCTTCATATTCCTTCAATTGAGTAACAGCATATTCATCGATAGGATCAGTCATCAAAAGGACTTCATAACCTCTCTTCTTGAAACCTTCAAGGAAGGGAGAGTTTTCAACGGCAGCACGGGATTCACCAGTGATATAGTAAATATTCTTTTGCTTCTCGGGCATACGAGTAACATAGTCCTTGAAGGAGGTCATTTCATCACCAGACTTGGTGGAGTGGTAACGCAACAACTCAGCGAGCTTGGCACGGTTTTGGGTATCTTCGTGAATACCGAGCTTAAGGTTCTTGCTGAAGGCTTCATAGAATTTATCAAAGTTCTCCTTATCTTCAGCAATTTCGTTGAACATCTCAAGACACTTCTTAACAAGGTTCTTACGAATGACCTTCAAGATCTTGTTTTGTTGAAGCATTTCACGAGAAATGTTAAGAGGAAGATCTTCAGAGTCAACAACACCCTTAATGAAACTAAGCCATTCAGGAATCAATTCTTCACAGTCATCCATGATGAACACACGACGAACATAGAGCTTAATGTTGTTTCTCTTCTTCTTAGTTTCGAACATGTCGAAGGGAGCACGCTTAGGAACGTAGAGGATAGCACGGAATTCGAGTTGACCTTCAACAGAGAAGTGCTTGACAGCCAAATGGTCTTCCCAATCATTGGTAAGAGCCTTATAGAATTCAGCATATTCCTCAGCCTTAATATCTTCAGGGTTACGAGTCCAAAGAGGCTTAGTCTTGTTAAGTTCTTCATTTTCAGAGACCTTTTCCTTGATGGTCTTCTTCTTCTTTTCTTCCTTCTTATCATCTTCATCAGTGACTTCTTCAATCTTAGCACCTTCTTCAGAGACAACTTCTTCTTCGTCATCAGAAACTTCCTTTTCAATTTCCTTTTCAACAACAAGTTGAATAGGATAGGAGATGAATTCAGAGTGCTTCTTGACAATATCCTTAATTCTCTTTTCTTCGAGGTATTCAAGCTAATAAGAGGAGAGGGGGGAAGGGAGGGAAAGAAAAATACAGTTTAGTCAAAACCCTGTTGTCTTATTATTTCATTCATTTTAAATTTATCCATATTATAATTTATATTTACCTGATCTTCCTTCAAGAAGAGACGCATTTCAGTACCACGACCAAGAGAGGGATTGACGGTATCACGAGTGATAGTGAAAGAACCACCAGCAGCAGATTCCCAAATGTATTGTTCATCATCATTGTGCTTGGTAATAACTTGGACCTTATCAGCGACAAGGTAAGCAGAGTAGAAACCAACACCAAATTGACCGATCATGGAGATATCAGCACCAGAAGAAAGGGCTTCCATGAAAGCCTTAGTACCAGACTTGGCAATAGTACCCAAGTTGTTAACCAAATCGGCCTTAGTCATACCGATACCAGTATCACGAATAGACAAAATGTTGTTTTCCTTGTCAGGGGTGATACGAATGTAAAGTTCCTTCTCAGAATCAAGAACGGAAGGATCAGTTAAAGATTGATAACGAACCTTATCTAAAGCATCAGAAGAGTTGGAGATTAATTCACGCAAGAAGATTTCCTATATATACGAATATTTAAATATATATGTATAAATACATAAACATATTAGTAAAAAAAAAAAAAAACAAAAAAAAGGCGCGTTCTTTTCTCTCTTTATTTATATATATTATTTACCTTGTTAGAATAGAAAGTGTTGATGATCAAACTCATCAACTGAGAAATCTCAGCTTGGAAGGAAAAGGTCTCGGTTTCGGCAGACATTCTTGTTATAAATAAATAATAAAGAAAGAAAAAAAAAAAATAAAAATAAAGATTCGTTTTTTTGTTTTTGGTTTTGGTTTTTTTTTTTTTTTCTTTTTTAATTAGAGAAAAATTAGGAAGGATATAGAAATTCAGCAAAAAGTTTTTTGAAAGTCACGATTTTCTTTCTCGCAAATTCTACTATCCATAATGTTAACGCATCAAATTTATTCTCCGCTGACAGATCAAGCATCTTTTATCATTGATATAAATATAACTAAGTTTATTGAGTAATATATCCTGTCAATCTGTTTAAATTTAAATTGTCGTTCTTAATCTTTTTTTTTTTTTTTATTTTAAAGTATATCATTATTAGTATTATTTTTTTTTTTTTTACATAAAGATCGTTGTAAATATAATTATGATAAAAGCAACATTTGAAGCAGTAGATGTTATAGGATAAGAAGGCTGATATACAACATACTTCAAAGTAGTTAGTTATCTTGGTTCATGACTTGAAATGATGCGTTACTATTTACTCAAAAAATAATTTTTTAGTAACAGTAACAACCTAAAATGTATGAATGAAGACTAATATAGCTCTTCATTACTCCAATCTTTGTTTGTTATCAAGATCATACTTCTCTTAATATTACTACTTACCTTGTAATATATTTTATATAATCCTCTTCATTTTTCTATATTAATTTTTAGGTAAACTTTTATATTATCAAAGTTTTAATAATTTATAGTAAGCTTTCATAGGCTTGTCTTTTGTTTTTCCCTATTCTCTTTCTTTACTGTTTGCGTATCAAAACACTGAGAACAAGCTATGTGACTAATCAGTCTAATCATATACAGAGCCCATCTATTCATCATTCCCCTTTATTATATATTCCATCAGATCTTATCAACATCACGTTTAGCTATAAACTCAAGATAAGAATGTATAAACTTACCGCAAAGAATATCTCTAAATCGTTATCACCTGTTAAAGAGCAAGCCATTTTAGTTGCTGAGGCCAAAGAAGAATGCTGCAATAAACTTGTTTTTACTCACATGGATATTAAAAAAAACGTTTGTTGCATCTTTCATTTATTTTATTTTTCTTTACATTAGAGTCATTGGTATTAAAAATTGCTGAGAATATAATAGTGGTGTTTCTCGATACGATCTATAAACCCCCCCCCTTTTTTTAAGCTTAAATGCGCAATTTAACAAAGGAAGTACTATATATACAGTCGTATTCGGTTCCTACTTGGAAGAGGTCATATTTAAATACAATCCTGTTATCGACCTATACATTTCATAATAAGCCGCTAATCAAAACTATTTTCTCTAAACTATAGTTCATTCTTGTTGTTTCTTTCAGCTCATTTTATAGTAGCATATGTTTGAATCATTTCGAAAGTCTGATGATGATGATAGTGACAGCAATGGCAATAATTAGTGCAAATATCGCATATACATATATATATATTTATATATCCAGCTCTATCATCTTTCAAGCCCTTGTATGAAACGGGTTTATAAATCATCTTTTTAAATGACACTCCTTTTATTATTAGCCACTCAGTATAATCTGCACTTATCTTCTTTATTAAATATTGTAACGAAACTAGTTCCTTTTTCTTTTTTTATGAACAAATAAAAGAAATAAATGTTTTTTATATTATCTTAAAAAAAAAAAAAGGTTTCTCAAGTATATAAAACAATGTTTAATTTTATCTTGCTAATATTTAAATAAAGATAAAAATTATGAGATAATAACTAATAAGGAAGATCCAACAATATAGTTTTTTTTTTATAAATGATCTCGCAACACTCTTTCGGTCAGTCTTGACAATTAGTCTTTTGTATTTTGTTCATCAACTGTGAGCAACACTACTTTTATTGAAAACAATTACCCTAAACGTTGTGTTGTCGTCATTATATTTAAACAAACTATATGTAAATTTAAGTCTGAAACCGATATGCTGTATGTTTTTAATAGCTTTTTTATATACAAGTATCAAGGCCTTTATTATATTTACACTGTATCAAAATGCATATACTAAAATTTTACTCAGAGCAACTAAATTATGCATTTTTTTTTTTTTTTTTTTACATGAATGTGGTAAAAATGTGTGCCTGATTTTCACTATACCAAATCGTACCTTCTTTTCGGTCGCCATGGTATTCTTCAAATAATCCTTCTACAAAAGTTTCTCTAATAAAACAATCTAAAACATCAGGTATTGTCAAACTATAATCACGCCAAAAACTTGCGCCTGGTGCATTTCCACGTCTACCAACAGCATGTAATACAAAATCTGGAGATCTATTTGTGTGGCTATATGTATATAAATAAAATAAAATATAAACATGAATTCTCCTTTTCCCCCTTTTTTTTATTTTATTTATTTATTTATTTATTTATTTTTTTACCCAAAAATTTGTCCTAAACCATATTTATGCTTTTCTAATAATTCTAAAATGGTATTATCCTTGACAATCAAAACTGAATCAGCTTCATAAGCAAGTTTATCTCCAAAATACATGATAATTTTTCTTTCAAATTGCTTTGTTGTTTGAGATAAATTTGACTTATTAGGTATCATTCTATTTTTGATAATTTTGACATGACTAGGAACATTATAATAAGCAGATAAAATTCTTTGTAAGTTTCCTGTTGCTTGAATAAGCATACGCTCTAAAGGTGAGAACTCACTCGGTAATCTTAAAAATACATTTTTAGATGAAACTATAGAAGAAGAAGAAAAAGAAGATATATAATTATGCATTATCATAAAAACAAAAAAGGACTTACGTTCTTCTGTAAATTGAAAAGGTATTTTTTTATAATTGCATATATCAGCTGGTTCAGGTAAAATTTCTTTCATTTTAATTGACTTTTTTTTTATTTTATTAAAAGAAAAAGAGGAAAGAAAAAAAAAGAAAAAGAAAACAATTAATGTCATGAATACTTATGGAATTAAGCCCCTTGTAGGTTTTTTTTTTTTTTTTAGAGTTACTGAGTATAAATTTTTTTTCTCTCTCTCTCTTTAATGTATTTGTTCAATAAAGTCTATGCTACATAAAAAGAATAGCTATTGTATAGCCTTGTCAAATTATACTTGTAGAAAAAGACTTATTCATGTACACTAATCATAGCTACTTTTTATTTTGAATTAAAATAATCAAAACAACAATAGCGCATACAAATGGTCATAAGATGGATAACTAGTAGAAGAGAGCCTGAGGAAATGAATATTAAAAAGAAGATAGAGTATATATAAGCTGCTTTCATGCCTGCAATAAAACAATACATATCACAATCGCTTTTCTTTTCCATATCACAGTCAGTGGTAGATGATTGATAAAAGGGAATATTTAAATAACAGGTTGTAACACAACTAACAGGACATTGATTTTGAATGGATTGGCTGATATATAGTCTTGACTGTATTTTAAATATAATAGCTAATACCATAAAGACAATACCGAAAATTAATGTGAAATAAATAAGGATTCTATAATAACTCCATTCCGTCTTTTGTCGTTGTTGCTGTTGTGTTTTTGGAAAGCTTTGTGAATCACAAGTAGCGGTGTTACTTTGATCCTGTCTTCTAAAGTTATAATATTGGCTTGAAATCTGATTTGAAGGATAGTTTTCTTCATAGAAGCGTAAATGGGTCGTTTCTGGTACTCCAATAGATGTATTTTTTATGTCCTTTTCTTCTGGATCTAAATAATATGTATTATCTTTATGATGGATGATATAATCAGATAAAGTCTTTTCATCTAATCTTGTATAGCTAGTATCTTTAGAATACAGCATATTATATACATATATTTATATATGTATATGTATATATATATATATAGGTTTGTTAAAGTATTATGTATTTTTAACAAAGAAAGATAAGAAAAAAAAAAGGCGGGGAAAAGGGTCCATTAATTAAAGAAGAACAAAAAAAAAACACTAACAATAATTAATTATAGATAGCTTCTTTAAAAGGATAATACAATTATCGCAAGTTAAAAATTTTACTAGACGTATTTGCTGATGAAGTTTAAATTGTCAGATTTAGAGGAAACAGTCATATGTTAGGCCCTTCCCATATGTCGATATTAAGTGCTGGTGTTTTATTCACTAAATGTTCAATATATAAATGTATAAAAAAAAAACATATCTTCTGGGCACAAGAGAAGGTGTGAAAAAAAAGGGGGGAAAGGATAGTACATAGATTATATCCCATGTAATTGTGACCATTGACTGAATAAAAAAAAAATATATGTGTATATACAAATAATGTTGGGAATAATGATTATGGCTCGATAGTCATCCTATTTTGTATTAGTTCAATGAGTTGTGATGTGTGCTATAAAAGTAGTTAATGAAAAAAATTTTTTTCGACTTGCTAACTTAGAAAGTGATCTGGGATGTCGTTGAGGTAGTATATTTAGGATATACGAAATGGGGTAAGCAAATGGTTATAGGAACATATAAATAAGAATATGAGTTAAGGCATAGTATGATATGGGTTTTAGTAAGCTTGCGCTGTTGACATGATCAAAGCTTAGGTATTCGTCACTGAATGCTGTCGTATAAACCAAACTATCTTTACTAAGAAGCATAGAATAGGATCCAAGAATAAAGTTGGACTGCAAGTAGGTAATAATATACTGTGCTTGCGCTAAAGTATGTAGTACTGCTCTTACATGGAAGGCATTTGGCTCATATGTTGCATTACTTTAGTTAAGAAATAAATAGATGGGACCAACAAAGACTGCAATGCCTATTTGAAAGAAGAAAAAAAATGAATGGTAGTTATCGATCCAATAAAAAAAGAAAACAATGAACAAAAAAAAAAAAAGCTGAACAAATGTAGAAAGGGGAAAATAAAATGTAAAATTATATTCAATTATATAAATGTTCATTATGTGTTTCCACAGTAACTGGATATTTGCCAGATTTGCTGAAATATAAAAAGATACCAGCAATACTCTTTGGCTCTGGTTTGCTTAATAAGAATATAGTAACCAAAAAAAAAAAAAAAAAAAAAAAAAAAAAAAAAAAAGACGACAAACAACCCATCAAGGATTGCTTATAAATTTTATTACCACAAAACAAAGCTATACCTGCCTTATGATCTTTTTTTTTCTTTCTTTCTTTCTTTCTTTACATATTAGCGAAATTGAATAACTGATTAGTGTCCTGATTTAAAGCGTGAATCATGTTTTCTGTAGAAGAAACATGAAAATCAGTTGGAGAAGAAAGTACACTTGTTGAAAATAAAGATTCGCCATTAGCAGAAAATGAATAATCAGTAAAGAACTTGTTGAAATTAGCATAATCAGTGTTTGCATGACCGCATTCATCTTGCATTTTAAGGCAAGATGCATTAGGAGCAAGAAGCATATCACCGATTAGAGGGGCATCGAGCTGCTCTGGCTTTATGGTACGATTTGTCAGAGTATGAGTAGGAGGTATTAATGTTTGAGTAAAATCACTTTGTTGTGTATGACTAGCAGGAGATTGAAAATAGTCTAACAATGGAGTTTCTAATGCCTGAGAACATGGTGTCATCATGGTTAAATAGATTTGTGTCATTGCGATTTCATCTGTAATAATAGGTGGAGCGGTTGATTTTCTATGATTTGTGTCATTGCTATTTATAAAAGTAGTCGTATTTACAAAATGGTCGCTACTAGGTAACAAAATTGGATCATGCATTAAAAAGAGATTATGATCAAGATTAGCAGTGGCGGTTGTCAAAATCGGATCAAGAAATTCATTGCCTAAATCAGTAAAATTGGTGGTCAAGTTTAAGTTTAGATTTGGATTAAACGTATTCGAAGTAGTAGCGATTGACATGGAAGAATAAAAAGTTTCTGATGCCCTTGCAGAAGATAATGTTGAATCCTGCTTATTTATATTCCAATTATTACTATTGCTTGAAGAAAATTCAAAAAGCACATCATCTTGATAAAGAGAAGAATGTGATATGGATGTTTCTTGCTTATTAGGCGAATATGTCCTTTGTTTTTTACCATTTTGTGAAGTTAAAGTAGGCTTCACATCAATAAATGAGCTCTTTTTGGATGTAGGCACGCTCACATTTTTTAGTTTTTTTGACTTGGGGCGAAAAACATAGTCTGGATACCTTTTTTTAAGAAAAAAAAAAGAAAGAGAGGGAAAGAGAGGATTAATTTACATAGACTATAAAATATCATATTAAAATTTTACTTTTCAGCATGAGCATTCTTTGCAGCAGTGGCCTTAGCGATATAAACTGCCTTTTCGTCGGGTGTAGTAGCATGCCACCAATTTGCAACAATTTTAGAAATTTCACGATGATTCGCAGCAGGACAAAATTTTCTGATAAGCAATTGTTTCTCTGTTCGATAGGACATAAAACTATTCACAGGTCTAGGGACATGATTTGGCTTTGGTTTACGGAATCTAGGACGTCTTATGCGCCCAGGTGGAGCTCTCATACAAAGTTCATTTAGCTCAATAATATCTTTTCGTTGAGCTTCAGTAAAATATTTACTTAAATTGTCATGATCCAGCATAACTATTATATGTATAAAAAGGAATGTAATGGGGGAAGGGGCTACAAGCAAACAACAGAAAAAAAAAACAGAAACAAAACAAAACAAAATACACAGAATAAAGTAAACCTTTTATATACATAAACATTTATTTTTTAATATTTGATTATATTTATATTTAATTTGGTTAATAACAATACACCCTTTTTAATGACTTGAAGGTAAACAAAAAGACGTAATAATTATTTTTATCTAATTTTAACAATGAAACGCTTAATTATCATATTATCTCATCCCCCTCCCCTCAAATTGATATATTTTTAAATTTAATAGATTAAACAATGAAATATACAACAAAGCATAAACTGTTTTATTCTTATATTTAAGCCTTAACAGCATACTTGCGGAGAGGGAAGTGAATCAACTTCTTTTGTTGACGAAGAGTCTTCTTGGACTTTTCAAAAGGAGTCAAAGCTCTACGCATGGCACGAGTCTTCTTGACACGGAGATCAAGAGGAACAAAACGCTTCTTTTGATAGAAGAGGCGAAGTTGTTCACGTTGAGTTTGGTTGATAACAGTCAAGACACGGGCAACGTTCTTACGAGCTTCACCACTATATGTCACAAAACTATCCGTTAATAAACCTCGTTTTATATAAAATATTAAACTTACATTTCTTGTTGTCTACCACCAGCAACCTTTTGAACACGAAGGTTAGCGAGTTGTTGCTTTTGTTCTTCAAGAACCTTGAGAAGCTCAGCCTTGTTCTTGTTGCGGAGTTCGTGAGCTTTGACGACGGCAACCTATTTTTTTTATATAGACAAATATATAGAAGCTTTAATCATCATGTCAAAAATTGAACCATTCCTTTTTAACGAAAAGAAAACATATTCTTCCATCAATCAACATGCAATATATAATTTCAGCTGTATAAAGAGAAAAAAAAGAGGAGGGGGGAAACTAGTCATAAATGTCATAATTAAATGTACGTATTTAATTTCATTATTTGAATGACACAAAATTCGTTTAATAAATCCAACAATTGAAATAATATCGCCATAGTTTTTATGGAAATGTGTAGAATTGAATTATGAATGAAATGTTATATTTGAGAAATGCGAGTCCATATTATTCTTTTAAATTTTGATTTATAATTTTTGCTGCCTCTTATTATTATACACGCGATTGATGGATGAACATGTTTGGTTGCTTTTTCTCGCTAAATAATCTTTAGAATGGATGTTTAATTTACCATTGTATTGATGCTTCGAGAGTAAGAGGAAGTTTCTCTTTTGGCTATAATCGCATAGTATTTTTGTTACCCCGATTTTGTGGATGTACATATTCACAAAAATAAAAATAAATAAATTATTATTTAATATGTATAAGTTGCGAACCGGAATAAACTGAATTCCGGCCCGAGAATGATAATTCGTTGTTAAAATATGTCAGATCGTTTAATTGTCTCAATTTATGCAAGACGATGATTAAACTAAGAAGTATATATCAAGTTAACTGTATCTGCTGCTATAGGATTCAGTGTAATTTTTTTTTAAATAAATACATTGATATTCTTATGTTGTTTAATAACTATATTTTTAGCCTCATGCTTTGCCTTCAAAAAAAATAAAATAAAAATAAATGATATATACTTATTCGAGTCAATGAATTAAGGACAGATGTTTAGCTCTACAGAAGTTGAAGATATTGTTACTCGCCTACGGTAAAAGAAAGAGAGAAAAAAAATGTCAACAATTTCATTTGCATAAAAGACAATGACTGGGTTTTTTGGTGGTCAGCTTGGATGTCCTTTACTTTTTTTTTTTTTTCAAAGTAATTCAATAGCTTACATAAGATGCAAAGACAAATTCAAATTCGAATATTTCGAGTTTTTCATCAAAAATTGATAAAGTCAAATGGTTGACTTACTGGTGGTTTCTGGGTACAAATGAAAATAAAGCATGTCCTGGATTTTAAGTATTCCCAGTCTTCTTGAAGTATTGATAGAAACATTTGCAAATCCATATTCCAGCGAGATTTTCATTACCAAACTTGAGTTAAATCAGATCGCTATTACTAGATATAACAGAATCATCAATCAGTATGTTAAAAAGTATTCAACAACTATCTGGATATCTTACAACAAGCAATATAATGATAATGTTTTTCCCTCCCCCAACAAACCCATTGTTCATACAGTCGAGCAATGTATACCACGAAGCAGGATCTTTATTACCAGAAATAGGTGCAGAGATGAAAATGTAAGAAGTTGTTACAGCAAACTTAGAGTGAAAAAAAAATTGCTGATTTGCTCAAGTTCATCAAACAATGATATATAATCATCGAAAATATATGTTTTAATAAGCAAGAAACGTTAAATGTAAGAAAAGAGCTGATCAATATCCGCAACTCAATGTTATATAGTGCTATCAATTCAACGAATATGGCAAAAGTGAGAGACACTTTTTCTCGAAATAAATTTAACATTTTCGATGACGAAGAAGATGATAATGTGAACTGTTATTTGTGCTTTTCACAATAATCATCTTGTTTATATACAATATGATATTTTTCTTTTTGTGAGGTAATGTATGATATTTTTTTTTCTTAAGATATCCAATATAAAGAAGATTGTTAAAGATGCTCAAGATATTGATTATAGCTTAATGGTGTATATAGTATAGACAATAATGAAGTCTTGGACTTACTTTTCATTATTTGTTAAAGTATATTATTATTTTTTTTTCATCTCACTGCCACTTCCCTAAAAATAAAAAAGTAGCTCCTCCTCCTCCTCCTCTTCCAAATTTTAATTTCCGGAGAATTATTATTCACACAATAAATTAAGAAATAAGCATAGAATAAAGCCTCTCTCTTTGAACGAAGTCGTATCAGCAAAATGGTAATAATTTGTCCATCCGTTCATCCATCCATCCTGTATTCCTCTACTGTATATTTTACTCAACAATTAAATGTGATATATATATATATATGTATATAGGTCAAGCGTACTAAGAAGGTTGGAATCACTGGTAAATACGGTACCCGTTATGGTGCTTCTCTTAGAAAGACCGTAAAGAAGATGGAAATCACTCAACACTCTACCTACACTTGTACTTTCTGTGGTAAGGATGCTGTTAAGCGTTCTGCTGTTGGTATTTGGAAGTGTAAGGGTTGCAAGAAGATCATGGCTGGTGGTGCTTACACCGTTTCGTAAGTAATCAAATTAATTATTTTTGATTATCGTTAATTGACTTGCATAACTAGTACCACTGCTGCTGCCACTGTTCGTTCTACTGTTCGTCGTCTTCGTGAATTGGCCGAGATCTAAGTAATTCAAAAAATGCATGTTATTGTCATTCCTTCTTTTTTTTTTTTTTTGTTTAATTAGATTCCAAATAAAAAAAAAGGAAGTCTCAGCCTTATTACAGCACAGAAAAGAAATGCAGGATAATTATTTTGGAATTATAGAACTTTATTTATTATGTTTGGAGTCATATTCTTTAGAGGAGCATTATATATTTAGATTATATTATGGAGAATAAGAATGTAGATCTCATAATTCATCATCACTGAAAGTATTAAATATTGACTCAAATGCTGCAACGGCTTCTTTATTATCGTCATTGTCATCCTTGTTATTTTCTTCTACTGAATTACTGTTGTTTACATTGTTAGTATTGTCTTTATTACCATTATCATACACAATTCGATCGTTCAAATCTACATTATTTTCAATTGGAGGATCTATTGTTATCGCTGCTGCTGCTGCTGCTGTTATTTGTTGTCGTTCAGCTAAAATATTATTTAAAAATTCCTCGGTTAGAGGATATCCTGCTCGTCTACTCATATTTGCTGAGGTTTGAATAAAAAAAGTAGATGTGTTTTGAGTGATTAGCAAGCGGCATATTTCTGTATATCCATGATTAGCTGCGTAAAGCAACGGTAAATTTGAAGTATTTGGAAGATTGTTTACTGTAAAACATGGGTCAGCTTTTCCTTCCTCTATCAAATATCGAACAATATCTATTTTTCGTTGTTGAACTGCCAGATAGAGTGGTGTCTCTTCTAAGATGTTTACTACATTGACATTACAATTGAGTTCAATTAATTTTTTCACAACTTCTAAACGATTCCATGTAACAGCGTGATGTAATACAGTAGCAAAACGAGTTCTACCGTTCACATCGGCACCTCCTTCTATAAGTGCATTAGCTGCATCTAAACATCCAAAGCTAATAGCAACTGCTAGTGGTGAAAGCCATCGTTGATTATGTGAATCTATTGGTACTCCTTTTTTTATCAATAGCGGAATAGCTGAAGCAAAGTTATTTGTTGCTGCCAAATGAAGCAAATTATTCCCTTGATCATCAATTACAGAAACATCTGCTGGACTACCATTGTAATTTATAAGTAACTCAATACAAGGTAATGATCTAGCAAATATAGCATTTGTAAGAGGTGTATGACCTAACGAATCTTTCGTGTCAAGCAAGGATCCGTTTTCGATTAAAAGCTCCACAGCATCATATAAGCCTTTAGCACAAGCTGCGTGTAAAGCTAATTCATGATGAGGGCCATTAAGGAAATTAACATCCATGTTAGGTTGAAGCAATAACATACGAAGTGCCTCTACACTTTTATTATGTGCAGCTAAATAGAGTAAACTATAGCCCTCTTTATTAACTACATGTACATCGCTATCTTTTGACTTAATATATTGATATAGTGCTTTGATATCTAATGAATCTAAATTAATGGCATTCCAAATATCCAGTGTTTCTTGTTCAATTAACTTGGTCTTTTTATTTGAAGATTGCGTAGCTTCTTGTGTTGCATATCGTTTTTGGCTCACATTCATAGTGGTCTTACTGGGGAAAAAAAAATAAAGTAAAAAAAAAAAATAAAAATAACTCTATTTAATAACTGCGCATACCTTTTTTTTTTTCATTAAAACACAGCTCCAGTCCAAAGAGAAAATTTAGTATAGCCAAGCAAGAGCAGAACATAAAAGCCTTTCCTCCTAAACTCGATTAAATAGTGTTTTAAAAGAAAAAAAACTCTTGAGAGCAGGAGAGTAAAAAATATAAAATAAAAAGGAAAAGAATACAATATTTTAAAAAAAAAGTGGATAATACAGGTTAAGAGGAAATTCATCGTAGGAAGGAAAGAGAAAGGTGTAGATATAGTTATATGTTGTAAATAATGAGATATAAGAAAGATATTAATTAGCATAGGGCATTAGACTAGCCATAATTGTTGCATACGATGTTTCCTTTCTTTTTTGAATGTAAGCGGAAGAAGTTGATTTAGTACACAAGAAAGAATTGGATTCTCTTTAGTATAGTAAACTCATACAAAAATATATATGTTCAAGTTAGATATAGTGTACCACTCTATAAAGTCGTAATTGAGATAATACATAAATAGAGCACGATTAAGTTGCTAATAAATTGAAACCACTATATTCAGAATATACAGAAAAATTCAACTATTTTAGACTATGAAAGTTGGATTCTTATGCTCATAAATAAGTAAAGACAACTCACTAAACCTTGTTGGTGACAATTCTATAATGTACTCTCAATATTATTCTGATATACTAAAAAATAAAGTGAAATAAGAATTAGTATACATGTAATATCAATAATAGAAGAAGTATAATCAATCTGAAGATGAAGCACAAATATGGATCTCTGTACATAATTAAGCTTATAACAGACTAAAGACAGTCCTATTTCTAGTTATATAAATTTAGGATAGAAACAAGTGATGTATAGTGCAATATAACCCAAATAACAGTGGTAATGAATAAAATAATAACAATTTATTTGATGGATCACTATTAATAGTCATATGCATACACTATTTAGATGGTAAACAAAAAAATGGTTAGAAACAGTTAAGAGTTTTATTATTATTCTGATAAGTAAATACCATAAGTCTTTTAGAAATAACTTATAAAAAGATACTTAATTCCATACATTCTAACTCTTGTTATGCTTAACAGGAATATATGACACTGATAAGTTGTATTATTCTTACATAAAAGCATTGTAACTGCAATATTTTATATAGAATATATTGATTAAACATTAAGTAAAGATTAGTCTAATTTTATGCTAGTATTTTTAAAGCATCCTCTCTTGACTCAGGATAAAGAAATTTATATAATCATAATTTTCTTTTTGATGATTTTTTTTTTCAAAATAAAAATAGCTTTGATCATACTTTCTCGTTTTTACCTTCATTATTGTTTCCCGTGAATGATTACTCTTTTAAGTGTATAATTAAATTGTTACTAAATAGTCTTCTTAAAAAAAAAAATTACAATATCACAATAAAAATGGAAAAAGAAGTACATTTTTTCATAACAGTAAGTAGGCTTTACAATGTATACTTAGAACGCATAGTTTCTTTCACAAAAAAAAAGTAAGATATAAATTATTAAAGAACAAAACACAATTATAAATAAAACGAAAAAATAAATATATTATTCAATAAAAAACAAAAAAGAAATTCCGGCCTGCCAGATTCGAACTAGCGACCTAAAGATGACAGTGAACTACAGTCTTCCGCTCTACCAACTGAGCTAAAGCCGGTTTTTGTTGAAAATGAATTTTTTAATCAGACTATAGCCTTATACCTTCCTAATTTGGAAAGAATCACGTGATATTCCGAGCATCTCCGGTGAATTCTTGTTTTAATTTAAATTCCGTTATTAAGATTCATTTAGTCTATTGTAAATAGAGCTTTATCAATTTTATTTGGACTTTACTTGATTAGTTGAATAATTTATTGAATTTGAAAATAGAATTAGAGGTGATAATAAGGAATATTGTCAATGAAAAGAAATGAAAGAATTAGTTATTCTGCTATAAACACCATCGATAGCTAATCAAAATGATTAGAATTTTTGACGTTTTATATCATCCTCTATTGTTGAAGTTGAATCCTACATTATATGAAGATTGTTTATCTATTCTTTGGAATACTACTTTAAATAATATGTTGAATGGAAACAATTATACAAACGATTTTACTAAATAAACATCTTATTATGTATAAAGTTAATGTACTTTGTATTATTCGATATATGTTTATATTAGAAAAGAAACCTTTTCTTTATTTAAAGATTATTTAAGTAATACTATTATTATTATTATTATTGTTAATATTCTCTTTAAGTTAGTGTTATAGAACAGGCTCTAGATATAAGCATAAGTAATATTATAAAAGATGAATATTACATAACACGGGATAAACTATAAGCCTGAGCATATAATAAAATATATCATATCTTACTGTATATAATATCTTGTAAACAATATAAAACTTATTGACATTCAATCATCTAAACGTGTCAACTAAATAGGACATCGTATCATTTCTAAATACTTATTTTTATAACCCTAATAAAGGATTCAAGTCATCTTTGATCCATTAAAATAGATATAAGGAACCTATACTTAGATCAAACAATTTAAATCTTAAACCAGATCATTATAGCACCTAATAGATAACATATAGATCAGCACCTTGAATCAACAAGATACATGTATTTAAATACTAACATTATTCCATGACTCTTGTTCTTTTATAGTTATTTTATTTCTTTGATTCAGGATTCATTAGTAATTGTTTAGATACGAAACAGTCTTTATATCATTCTTTTTACATTGAATAAACAGTCTCAAACTATACTTCTTTTTCGTCTTCTTTTTCTTTTCATTTCTTTTATTCTTTAAATACAATCCACACCATCACACTATGTATCATTCTACATAAATTGGATTATGAGTTCCCTCCTCCTCTTGTTGATCCCGGTCGCAAGTTATTGAACTAATTACCCAAGTAATAGTGTGAATCTCTCTGGTTTCTTTTTCCTTTTCATTTTGTCGCTTTTTCCTTATCATATCTCTTCTTTCTATTATTTTGCACTTTTCTTTTTCCCTTCCTTTCTCCTTTCTTCTTCTTGTGCTTTAGATGAGTTTTTACTCTTATAACACCTTTATAAATGGCTCGGACAATAGAGCATATTTCATTGCTACACGCTCATTGCAAAAAAAAAAAAAAAAAAAAAAAAAAAAAAAAAAATTACACAGAAATAAAATAGAATTTAACCGTAGTTAATTTGAACTTTGATCAGGAATATATGCCATTCTTCACAAATTAGGTTATATATTTCATGATAAGCTCCCTCCTCTCCTCCTATTGAAAATCTTGGTTCCAATATGCTGCGATTGTTGTTTAATAACCGAAAATAGTGTATTATCCTTACTTCTTTTCCCTCTTCATCTCTCCTTCTCTTTATTTTTTTTTTATCTTGTGTCTCTTACAAAGGGTTTTAGTTTCTTTTTTCCATTATTTTATTGAACTGATCTGGATATTCCAATATCATTTAGATACTATGTGTTCGTAAGGATCAAAAACTTAAATAAGTAATAATAATAAAAAAAAAAAAAAAAACTTAATCGTATCCTAAGTACTGTAAGTGTGTGTGTGTGTGTGTGTGTGTGTGTGTGTGTTTTTAAAAACAAACTAAGCTTAGCCTACCATCTTTGAGCTGTTTCTGACTTGAAAGAGTAATATTCGTTGATGAGCTCAGCAGCTATGACGGCCTTTTGAATTTCTCTTTTTTAGATGAAGGTAACTTTAACTGTCACATATTGTTTAAAATTTAATTTTAGATACTACTTAATACTATTTTTAGGTAAACAGTTAAAAGATTATTACCAACTTTAGCATTTTGTACAATCACAAGTCTTTCAATTTCCGCATGCATTTTTTTTTTTTTTTTGTAAAATTCAAGCTTATCATTGATGACCAAGACATTTAATTACTCATTTCTTTCTCTCTTTAAATTAAAAAGAAAATAATGTACTCATACAATCAGCAACAAGTAAGTATATATAAAATAAAAAGTTTATATTAAATATAGTAAGTATTTTGAATATGTACTCCTCCTCCCTTTTTTTTTCTTACCTTCTTAATACCAATAATCATCAATATACATAATTAAAAGCGTCCTCCACCTTTTAATAATTATCATCCACCATCACAGCAATATCCAATTCATAGACAGTCAACAATGTCTTCTACAACCACAAACTCTTACAATCCATCATTACAAAGAAGCAATACTTTTAGTAAATGTTTAATTATGTATGCGTTATGGAACAGCCTTAATAATAAACTTTATAGCTCCTATGGTTAATAAAAGGGAACAGTATTTATGGAGTGTATTTCGAAAGGTAGATGCAGATAATTCTGGATACATCACAGTAAATGAATTACAAGCAGCATTAGTAAATGGTGATTGGAGTCCTTTTAATATAGAAACAGTTCGATTAATGGTTAGCATTTTCGATACTGGTAAATAACAAGTCAATTAAGATAATGTTATGCATGCTAAATAAGTTTTTTTTTTTTTTTTTTTTTTTTTTTTTTTTTTTTTTTGTTTTGTTTTATTTTCCTTTCTTTCTTAATAGACAATAATGGCTGTATTGACTTTCGTGAATTTCAAGGTTTATGGAAATATATTGAAGATTGGAGTGAATGCTTCAAGAAATTCGATCTAGATAACTCGGGAAGTATTGATCGCTATGAAATGAGCCATGCATTAAGAACGTTTGGATTTAATGTCAGTGATAGATTTGTTGGAATATTAATTCAAATATTTGATAAATATGGTTTGTTCATATCTCTGTTGCTTTACTGTTAATGCTTCTTATTGATTAAAGTGTATTAGGACATGGAAACATTACATTTGATAATTTTGTCCAAGCATGTGTTATATTATCAACTTTAACAAAGTTGTTTAGGGCAAGAGACTATGAGGGTAGAGGATCTATTATTATAAATTATGAAGACGTAGGTTATACAACTCACTATTTTAATAATAACAAAAAGGCTTTATCTAACTATATTAATTGAATAGTTCATGACTATGATTATAAGTAGTAGACCAAACATGAAAGGAAGTTAATGCAATGTTGTATTAAGTCAACATACTCTCTCTCTCTCTTTTATTATTATTTCATTTCATTATTAAATAATAGCCTTTTATATTCCATATACATACATCTAAATCAAGAGGATGCATGTTAATATTTTATTTTCTTGTTCAAAGTTATTTAAAAGCGCTTTTATTATATATCTCCTTATCTAATGCTATAATAAATACTATTAAAAAATAAAATAAAAAGAATGGTTAATGCATGATATTAATAATAGATGTGTCTTTTTCAATATAAAAAAAAAATTAAGCCAAAAGTTGACTGTAGAATATTCTCAAATAAAGGTCTTTTTAATAGAAAATGGATTTGATCTATGGAATCTATTTTACTAATATTAAATCGTTTTTGAATGTAGAGGAAATCACGAATACATATATAAAATAAAGAGAAGAAAATAACTTTTTGGAGCAAAAGAAGGGGCTTAAAAGGAAGGATAATTCTCTTGTATACTTAACACTAGTTTATCTGTTTGCTCTATATTATGCTTTTCTAAATTATCGAGAAAGATTTTCCTTGGTATTCTTTCGCCACAAACTCAAACTTTTTTTTCATTCTCAACCTTATTTCTTATTCTGCATCAAAATTAGTATTATTTATGTAAAAAAGATTCTTCTACCCTTATAGATTTATAATTTATTGTTACAGGTAACATTCTAATGCTTCATAAATAAAAATAAAAATAAATAAATGGCAATGTAAAGACGAAAATTCTTCGAATTCATTCATGACTTCAAGTACAGAGGAAACAATTGCTATTTCTTATATTTAGAATCTATTATACAGTTTTCTTTTCTTTCCTTTTTTTTTATACGAATCAAAATTAAAATTTAAATGCCATGTTTATCTCTTTTGAACGAAGCGAAAGAAGGAGCTTCTAAGAAGAATAAGAAGCAATATTCAGATACAAAGAAGAAGATTACTTTTAGGAAAAGTTTGATGCTTATGTTTAGACATATCTTACTTGCAAAAAATCTAAATTCCAAAAGGAGAAAACCATGATAAGAATTCAATTTGCTTAATTTCTAGAGTGAATTTTCGACCTATCCTTGCTTTTCTAAATAAAAAGAAAAATTGCCATCATGTTGCCAAGTGTATCACATACTTTGCAGATAAGTACACTCTGACCTTTAACGTGAGCAACACTATCCAGAGAATCAGTACTAACATTGACTACAAGTACGATAAGTATATTATTCATCAACTGGTACAGTTATAAGAATTAGCAGCAGCCTTTCTTTTTCTTTTTCCATTTTTTTCCTTTTTTAAGCATTGCCGAAAAACATTAACTACATCACATCTTAGCCCCTTGAGCCATATCTAATCTTTACCATAATTTCTGGTTTCAAATACTACCAGCGATACTTTCTTCTTATATACATCGAATCCACTTAATTTATTAAAAAGAATTACTAATATAACAGGATTAAAACTTATCTATACTTTGGTTATCCGTGTCAAATTCATATAATGAACACTTGTAAAACTTCTTTGTATAACTTGGATAGTTTCTGAGCGGGTATTCCAATTATTGACCCACTCATTTATCCCAACGCCTTACCAAACAACATACCATAATATGCTTACAAATGCATCGTCTTGTTGCAGATGCCTAAATCTATAATTGATTCCCTGTCTTCCCCTTTTAAATTAACTTTCTAGTGAAAAACCTTACTGCATACAAGCAGTTATCCCTTGGAAAATACGATGGTCCTCAATATATCTTATCTTCTTTGAACTTGTCCAGCTTCAACATAGCCAGCCGATTCCTCTCATTTCATCCACCCCTGGTTAATGACTCTTAGATTGGCACCCCACTTCCCTCCCCTCCTCCTCCTCCTCCTCCTCACTGTTAGTATAATCCTTTACTCACTCTCTTCTTGCTAAGAAATTTTCTCGTTCATATATTCAGTTTATCGACCCGACCCGGCCTGGACAAACTTGATATATTTAAAAACATCTCGTGTTCATTGAGGTCATATATGTATAAAAAATATAGTTTCATCATAACCATTCATTTTTATTATTTTAAATCCCAGACCATCCAATAGAAATTCAAGTAAATGAGTGTAGCTCTTTTATTTTTTGTATTTCCTTGGCAAGTTTATTTGTATTTTGTACTTTTTTTATTTTATTTTATTTTATTTTTTTATTTTCTATTTTTTATTTTTTACCAAACATTAAAGAAGAAAAGAAAAATGTCATATAATCAGCCTTATGGAGGTGGATATAATCAAAATCATGGAGGTGGTGGATACCAACAAGGTGGATACCAACAAGGGGGATACCAACAAGGTGGATATCAACAAGGTAGTTATCAACAAGGAGGTTATCAAGCAGCTGCCAGACCACCACCACCACCACCACCAGCAGCACAGCAACAACAGACACAATCACCTTATATTGGATATAGTAGACCCGCACCACCACCACCTAATACTGGATATCCTCCCCAACAAAGCTATGGTATATTCTTAGTTTATAATAATAATAAAAGTGTATAAATCATTAGTATTACTATTACTACCACTACTACCTTTTATGTAACTTAGGTAGACCGCCACCACCCCCTCCTTCAAGTCAGCCTTTAGGCCCACCACCAGGAGCTGACCCTCAGCTTTGGAGTTGGTTCACAGCTGTAGATACTGATCATTCAGGTCAACTTTCAGTACATGAACTTCAGCGTGCCTTAGTAAATGGAGATTGGAGTCCATTTAATATCGAAACAGTTCGCACAATGGTTAATATGTTCGATAAAGGTAACGCACATAACATATATATCATAAAAGGATAGAAGGGAAAAAAGAAAAGAAAAGAAAAGAAAAGATAAATTACTTATAGTCACTACTTTTGCAGATAATAGTGGTACGATTGACTTTCATGAGTTTGCTGGATTATGGAAATATATTGAGGACTGGAAAAGATGTTTTCAAACTTTTGACGCTGATAATTCAGGAAACATTGATTATAGTGAAATGAGTAAGGCGTTAAAGACTTTTGGTTATAATTTATCGGATCAGTTTGTTCGCGTTTTAGTGCAGAAATTTGATAAATACGGTAAATAAGCAATCTACATAAATATATATGTATATATATTTTTTTAAAAAAAAAAGAATTGTTTACTTACTTCAGTTATTTCAAAAGGCAACGGCAATATCACCTTTGATAATTTTGTTCAAGCATGTGTTACAGTTAAAACACTTACAGATTCTTTCAGACAATTCGATACAGATAACGATGGTTGGATTCAAATTAATTATGAACAGGTAAATAATGAAAAATCCATGGGTTAACTTTTTTTTTTTTTATTAATATCGCAAACTATAGTTTTTGGAATTAGTCATTCGTCAGCGTTCTTAAATAATAAAATTATATGTAGTATATATATATATATATATATATATATTTATATGTATTTATATATGTATACATACATTTGTATCATCAGTCATAAATTATGACTGCAGCCGCAGTACCCAAATTATTCACTTTGTTAAATAAATTATTATGACCCTAATGATGTGCACGAGATATGACTTAACACATTACGCTTATCCAATCTGGACTAAGAAATACACTATCAAGACTAAAATAGAAAAAAAAGAAAACCCCTTTTAGGAAATGTGTGTACAATTAAATAGGTTTATTTACTGAGAAAAATTAAAATTAAGATAGCCAGTGAGTACATGATATTTATACCATATTGTATTATTTAAGCCAGTTCAAGATATATGAAGTTTCAAAAAACTCTCTTGAGAGACAAGAAGTGAAAAAAAAAAAAAAAATTACACTATCAAGTTCAGTTGGACAACTAATCAATTCATTTTTTTTTTGCCAGCATGAAGAGGAGGGAGGAGGAGGTGTTTTATTATGTAACAAATAATATATTTCATAGAGAATGGCACAGATAATTGGACCCCTAGGCTTACGTTGAGGCAAAGGACTCAAAAGGAAGGAGAGTGAGTCCTCAATTGATCTGAACAAACACAAACGAGTGTGCATATATAAATATTCAGTAATACGCGAATTGACTATGATGAGAGTGTATGAATGATAAAGAAAACATTTGAGTGTATCACCAAGTAATCAATCAAGACGCCATTAGATAATGCGGCTATGTCTGCTATGAAATATGAGTAGCCAGAGTGGGGAATCAATATTAAAATAAGGCCTACAAGTGATGAGTAATTTGTAGTGGCAACTATTCCCTATTGCATGAGTCCCTTTTTTTTTTTTTTTCTTTTTTTTTATCAGCAATTTCTTATGATGCTTTTCAAAGATGTATCCGTTTAGAATATTAAAATCTTCGATACAGAGTCATTAATATAATGTTTTAAACAAGTTTATACCACAAAGTGTTCTTATTTGAGTTTTGAATATGGAGAAGCAATGTAGAAAGTAATGTATCAGTAGTAGTAGGTAGTTTGTTAATATGGAAAAAGGGAATTAAGCTTGTAGGAGAGATATCCTGTCAGCTATTGCAGACTTATCTATCAAGTGAAGCATCAAATTTACTGACGATCGAAGAGATCCACTAAAGAACCCTCTAATACAATTATTTTGACAGGATTCTAATTATTTAAGGCTTAGGTTACTAATTACTAAAGCATTTGCTAGTTCTAAACAAACTATCTAAGCGTAAAAGCAAACAGCAAATAGACAATCAAAGCCTTAGAAATTAATACCTACAGATACAAGTTGGTTCATTGTTTGTAGCAATTTATTGGTATTATTTTGTACAAGTTATGAGATATCCAAGGCTTCTACTCCTGATTTGATGGGAATACCCAAGTATAAAAATGAAAACTAAACTTCTTGTTGAGAGGGGGGAAGTACTAGGATTACCTTATAAAATACATGTCCTATGGCTTCCTGAGGAATCAAGAAGAGCGCATTTATTAGGGTTTTAGCGATAGCCTAAGAGTTCACTATAAACTTTACATAATATTAGCAGGGAGAGGGGTTTAGGTTATCAAATGCCTCAATAAGAACACTATCATCAGTATATATCTACCCATTTCATCTTTTAAGCAGTTAGCTGTACATTCTATCAACTTTAAAGTCTTATATTGCTATCTTACCCGGATGATTCAATCATAATTCTTTCCTTATTATCCAAGTGTGAAATCAAAAATGATAAAAAACGATATAACTACATTATTTATATATTTAGGGAAACCTACAAAACCAGAGGCACTTTCTTATTATAAAGTAATTGGTAAACCAGCATAACCATAAAATATGTATCATTAATTTATATTGCTCTGTTACATCAGTAAAGCTGACCGTAATTACTTTAACTGCCTTCATTATGTTTACAGGTAAGGATAGATTGTATTAGAGTATAAATGCCCCTAATCAAGCAAAATTTACTAATTAAGTCAGTCCATGCTTGACAAATTAATCGTATCAAGGAAACTGACCATGATCAGACGACAGTGCGACTGTAACCGCAAAACTTCCTTCAAGAGTTTTTAGAATCAAATACTAAGAAACAATATATTATGTTCTACACGAAAGTTGATGCAAAAAGATACTTAAGAAGAAGAAGAAAAAAAAAGATACATGTTTTACAGTATCCGTAGCTTAGCCAAGTTTTTAGCTAGCACTTTCTTTTTATGAGAAAAGTACATATTATAAATGAGAGGTTAGCTGACACACCATCATATGTCTAAAATAGGTATTTTATTTATTAAGAAAATTTAAACCTAATGAGTATATTAATAGCTACATATCAAAATTGCCCGAGGGGGGAGGGAGGGGTTCTTTAAAAAAGTAAATGAATTAAAAACTCTTAATGGCCTCAAAGGGAAAAAAAAAGGGAAAGACACGCCGTCATATATATGATCAGTATGATTAATTTTCATTCCCATAATAAACGCTGTGACGCGTTTTGTGACTGAAGTTGAATTGTATTTGAACTAAATTTTTTTTTGAAAAACTTATAAATAGCTGTAACAAAGTAATCAAATGTTTTTCTTTTCTTTTGAATCAATTTATACGAATGCAGCCACGATGGAACGTTTTGTCATTTATTTGGCCCAGCGTTTCATTGCCAGGAATCATTGCGATTTCTACGCATCCAAGAGAGATTTGTCTTCCTTGCCTTAGGGCAAGAAACGGAATGTCTTTGTCATTAATTTGATATGTGGTATTTCGTGCCGACAGGAGACCAAATTTTATATTTTATTAAAAGAGAATGAAAAAAATCGAAACTATTATTTATGTTACATAATTTTTATAATGTAATGCCACAGTCTAAGAAAAAAAATAAATAAATGTAATCGGCATTTTCCCAAGAAGCATTATTAATGCCAGAATTAACTTCAAATGGCATCTTTTTTCTTTTCTTTTTTTTTTTTAAAAAAAAATGAATACATTTAAAAAAAAAAGCACAATTACCGGGATGCTTATAATATAATCACCAATTTAATAAATTATAATAATTGTTCAATTAATGTCCATGTCTAAGAATACGAAAATAATTAATTTTTAACTTATATTGCCATTTTCAACATAAATAATGCTGGTTATTAATTGTTATAGCGGATTATTATTACTAATTAGCTATAAGCTGAACATTTTAGTCATCACATATAAATTGCTCATTAAAACTTAATGGTGATTAAATTAATACAGCAAAAATTAACAAAATTATTATTATTATTATTTTTTTTTTTTGAAAACGATAGCCATATACATTCATGCTCATATCCCAAAGAGGAGGTAACAAAAAGACACAAACTTTCATAATTCACAATCTCTTAAGAGATGAAAATTTTGATAATAATTTGCATTAAATAAATTAAAATAAGAAAGAAAATAAACAAAGTAAGGAGTTGACTAAAAGCTGTTTGAAACTACTAAGGCATCTTGGGTAATCCTGAATTTTTGTTGATTTCAGAGAGACTATTATTTTTGTTCTGTTAGCTGTCGTCTATGTCTTCTTTTAGAAGCAGAAATAGTAGTTGTAGTAAGTATCACAACAAAATCTTGTAACTGTTGTAATATTATTCTCAAAAAAGCTACGAACATTATGCACTATGATTAAAAAGATCGTCAAATCCCGATCCTATAAATGATATTCAGAACCTCGTGTCTACATGGCCTATCTACACATGTTTGATTGACACACCCGTGAATAATATATTACTAGTATCAAAATTTAAAGATTGCCTATTTTACTGTTGAAGATCAGGACAACTAATGCAGAGAGTTTGATATTATCTAAAAGACTATGAATTATAAACTTCGAGGAATATTTCAAAACTGGGTGGGGTTACTCTAGATGTCATTCCAGTCATCTCCTAAACAGACAGCATACTATACAGCAATTACTAATTCATAAAAGACTACAATACCGGAAGTGATTGCAGATCCTCTGTCCTTTTCCCCATTAATTTTTTGCTTCCATACAAAGAAAATCTTAATATATTAATTCCATTACTATATATTGGTAGATATAATATCATACTATATGAGTTATTCTATACAAACTTCACCACCTCTTTCACAGTAAATCAGATACCTATAATACTATTTAACTTTGGATAAAAATCCTCAATAAAGTAGTCTCTTTCTTTTTATCTCATGTAGTATCAATTTATACCTTTACAGCCTATACTCTTTCTACTCTTCATCATTTCTCTTAACCATTATGCTATTTAATCCGGTCCGGGCAAAAAAATTTAATATATTGTCACATCTTATTTTTTTTTTTTTTTTTTTTTTTATTTCAGAAATTTAGACGCATTAGAACTTCTAATAATTTTAGAGAGTTATGCATTGAATTGTCTGTACAACCTCAAGTAAGTGATAGTCGTTTTTTTTTTAATAGATATTGTAAGAGCTGCCAAATCTTAAAAACATTAAATATTATACATGATTTGACTTTTTGATATTTTTAACTCTATCTATACAATTCAGTTATATTCAAGAAATTTAACGAAAAAGTCTCGTTATTTTGTCTATTCATATAATATTTATAATGAAGATATGATAAAGCAACATCAACAAATTTATGCTATATTATTATTAACTTAAAAATGATTATATTTAGAAGTTATTACTCTGTGTTAGATTTTTGATCTCCATTTTAATAATATAAGAAATGCTTATAGAGAATGATATGTCTTCCTTTTTTTTTTTTTCTATATTTATTATATATAACATTATCGCATTTCTTTATTTTTAATTTTTTTTCCCCCTCCCCTGCATATATTTAAGCTCGTATAATAAAACATGGAAGTGATCCAAGTTCAACCAAGGGATTTCTATCTTCATTATATATATGTACCAATAAAAGGTACGACAATCAGGTGGACATTTATAACTAAAAAAAATAATATCTCGTTCGGTCTTTATCATAGACTGGGACATACACCGTTACCTTCTTCCTCTGATATTATCTTAAAGGCACAATCTGATCAATCTATTCCCTACACAACAAAAAAAATAGGTAAAAGAAAAGAAGTAAAAAAAAAAAACTTTTAAATTTTGTTTTTCTGATCTTGTACATTAACTTTGATCAACAAGATGAATCTTCTTCTGTAAATAGTTTTAAAATGCAATCGCGAAGTCGATCGAAATCGATTGCATCTGAAAAGTTAAAAGAAAGAGTAGACTTGGTAGAAATTATTCCAATCGAATATATAAATTCTGCGAAAACAAAAATAGAAGGATCATATACTGTACATGATCCTGGAAATTATATTCTTGTATTTGGTAACATTTTTTTTTTTTTTTTTTGACAGTATGGTTACACATAGAGCATACTGATCTTATCCCTTTTTTTTCTTTTTTCTTTTTAAATAGATAATACATTTTCAAAAAACACACCCAAAATTGTTACATTTTCAGTAGCTTTAGTTGATCCGAATATGGAAGGGGCATTAGAACATCCAAAAGCTGAGATATCTGGCTGGTTATTAAAAAAGCGAAGAAAGAAATTACAAGGATGGGCTAAGAGATGGTTTGAGTTATCAAAATCAGGTGTTTTATCTTATTCAGCATCACCTACCAGTTTAACGCGTGGATCAGTTCAAATCCTTCTATCCACTATTTCCCTAAGCCCTCAACAACGTACCATTCATATCGACTCTGGTTCAAGCTTATTTCATTTACGTTGTCAGACAAACGAGGATTATGAAAAATGGACAACTGCTTTAAAGTCATATAAGAAAGAAGAACTAGAGTATCATGACTCCAGTGCTTATGGTAACAATTCTCAGAAGCAAGAAAAAGAAAAAGAAGAAGAAGGACAGCAAGAGAATCAATACCCTACAGTTTTAGATATGAATTTATCCCGTTCATCTATTCATGCTGATTATCATAGTGCTGATACACTTTGGTCTTATATAGATACAGGAATACGCAATGCTGAATTGTTATCTTCTAATATTGCTATAATTAAACGAAATACTGATTTATTGATGAAAGAAATGCAACCAGACCCCAAGTATTACACATTAGTGAGTGAGCACGAGAAGATTGCTACCTTAGCTAATGATCAGATAATATATTGGAAAGAAATTCAGTCTATTATTCAACATCTATTAAACACTGATCCAACGTTAAGTACTTTATCCATGTCAAGATCACATTCTAAAGTGAAAATACCAGAGGATACAAATGTAAATAGACCCCAGGACAGTTTACTACGTACTAATAGTAGTGCTTCATGTTCCTCAATACAGAATTCGTGTATATCAGATCAATTTTATGATGCTGAGTCTGTTATAATTTCAAGTGATGATGATGATTATAATGATCCTCATCATGCTATATTTTCAGGTGATAGTTCAACCTTATCAACTACAACAGATGAAGAAGAAAAAGGTACCCCCTTTTTTTTTTCTTAAAAAAAAAAAAAAAATACAAATAGTATGTATATTTCTCTAACAGAAATTATTGTACAGATTCAATTTTGAATAATAATAATATCTTAGAAGAATCCCATTTTATTGACATGATATCTAGACCTTCTAATTTCCATCGACGTCAAACACTTCCCTCACCTACAGTACGTGATGAAGCATCTATCTTATCTATATTCCGAAAGAATATAGGCAAAGATCTTTCTCAAATTGCTATGCCCGTGAGCATGAATGAACCTTTGAGTATGCTGCAAAAAGCATGTGAAGATTTAGAATATTCAGAACTATTAGATAAAGCAGCAAAATGTGAGAACAGTATGGATAGATTGATGTATGTAGCAGCATTTGCTATTTCTAGTTATGCATGCGCCCAATGGAGAACAGGACGAAAGGTATATATAATAATAATAATGATAATAATAAAATGCGTGTACTTGTATTTCTGATACATTTTCTTTTCTTTTTTTTTAGCCTTTTAATCCAATTATGTCAGAAACTTATGAATGTGTTAGACCTGATAAAGGGTTTCGCTTTATTTCAGAAAAAGTATCACATCATCCACTCATTATTGCTTCACATGCAGAATCACGCCAATATAAATACTGGCAGTGTTCAAAGGTTAAAAGTAAATTCTGGGGTAAATCATTAGAATTTATATCAGAAGGTACTTATCATGTGGAACTACCAGGTAGTAATGAGCATTACACATATGTGAAACCATCGAGTTGGATGCGTAATATGATTGCAGGAGAAAAATATTTAGAGCATGTAGGTGAAATGAAAGTGATGAATCAAACAACGGGAGAATATGGTGTCATTGTCTTTAAAGAAGGGACAGGTGGTGGTCTATTTAGTGCACCCAAAGAACGTAACAATGTAGTGGGTCTATTCTATACTTCAGAAGGCAAAAAAGTGAAGAAAATGGTCGGTAAATGGAGTGATCAATTGGCTGAAGACGTTAATATGGATGGTCGTACTTTATCTGTGATCTGGAAAGCTACATACCCAACAAATTTGGATCATTGTAAAAAATACTATGGTTTCTCTCAATTTGCTATCGAGCTTAATGAAATTACTCCTATCGAAAAAGATAAATTGCCAAAGACAGATTCACGCTATAGACCTGACCAGCGCCTTTACGAGGAAGGTAAAGTGCAGGAGGCAGAAAGAGAAAAATTAAGAATAGAAAAGAAGCAACGTGAAACTCGTGCTATATTTGCAGAAAAAGGTATTCCTTGGAATCCTCGATGGTTCAAACTAGTAGAAGATCCCTACGAAAAACCCAGCTTTTATTCTATGGACAATCTGGATGAAGCAAATGCAGAAGTGGGGCATACATGGAAATTTACAGGTGAATATTGGAATTTTAAAGAGAAAAATGAATGGCCCTCCGATACACTTGATCTTTGGTAAATTTTAATAACGGTACTTCCATATCTTGTTAATAATACATATATGCATGTGTTTGAACTTTAAAGGAGACCATTTCTAATCGAGTATATAATAAATAACAAATATCTTTTGCCTAATATTACACACTTTAATAATATAGTAGTCAATTAATATATTTTGTATAAAAAACTAACCACAAATGGCTATTACAAACATAAAATAATAATAATAATAAACTTTTATTTATTTTCTCTAATCAATTATTTTGATAATGTCTTGGAGGAATGGCTGGGGAACCAGTAGGGTGTTCTTCATTATTCTTTTGAGTCCCAAATGCTAAAGGGTCCCTTTCAAAAGATAATTTTGATGCTAATGAATCTTCATGTTTAAAATTTTCTTCATATAAAGGTGAAGATAACATATTGGGCTTGCTTTTTTCATTGTCCAATAAAACCTTTCTTGAAGTAATAGGCCTAGGTGTAGTCGGCAAGGGTGGTGGAGAGTGATATAAGTGTTGAATGTCTTTATTATTATTGACATTCATTTGAGCTATATCTGGTCTTGGCTTGGTAGGAAGAGCAGGAGGTTGTCTTTGATCAATAGTCTTTTCTGTTATTATTTCTGCAGGGTGCTCATCGGTTGGTATAAAACTATTTACGGTTTCATCTTCAGTATTAGATTTTATCGCTGCTGTTACTGAATGCGTATTTACTGATGTATTATCAGTTGGTAATGAGGCTAATAAATCATTAGAAGCAGAAGGGGGAGTCGAGTTTCTTCTTGGTGGGAGTGGGGGCTGTGGTTTTAAAAGTTGTTGATCCAATGACGATGATAATTGATTTATGGTAATAGTATTCGCTGTCGTTGTTGTTGTTGTTGTTGTTGTTATTGTTGCTGAATTATAGGAATCTGATATTGATCTATTACGTCGAGGTTTTATAGGTGGAGAGGAAGGTATCTGCTGCTGTTTTTCTTCTATGATTTTCACTAATTCTTTATTATTATCATATAAAGAGGTTGCTGTCTCGCTCAAATTTACAGCGGCAAAATTGGCAGTAGCAGGATCTTGAATTGTTGATGGTAATATGGTTGACGAATTTGTCGAAATTCTACTTTCTTCTACTCTTTTACGCATATCGGCTATCCTATCTGCATATATTTCCTTTCTTTCTGTACTAATCGGTTTAAAGAGGTCATCTTTGTCTTCTTCATGGTGAGCTAATCTCTTAGAAATAAAATTTTCTGCCATATTTCTAAAAGAATTCATCTTACTATTAGTAGAATTACTGGAAGATGTTGTAGAAGCTGATTGAATAGATAATGAGTCAAGATTATTGTCTTTTTCTGTTGGTAAAAGATTATTGATTTTATTAAGAAAACCCTTCTTTGCACTAATGCTTTCAACGTCATTATTATCATTATCCATCTTTTTGACACGTTTTCTTAAAAATGAAGTTTTTGACCATTTACTACCACTACTTGCAGTTGAAGTAGAACCTGCTATTGTTACTGTTGATTCAGTTAAGGAAAGTTGATCCATAGATTTAAGTGATGAACTATCATCCATAGTATTTGATACCTGCATTTCAGGTGAAGGGTGAGTCAACTCTAATTTATGTGAGGCTACAGTACAGGATTCCACATCTGTTCTATTGTTATCGTCTATATCTACATTAGAGATAAGATCAGATGGGGATTCTGCTCGACGCTCTTTGGTTTTAAATATATCACCAACAGAAGTAGGACGCTTTTGAGCTGTACTAGGTACAGAATGTATTTCTTTAAGTAAATCATTAACTGCTGTAGACTGGCATTTACTCGATGAAGAAGACACTATTGAGGGATTTGAACTTGTTCTTCTATGTTTAATATTGTCACCATTAGGAGCAAAATCTGCTTGCGTCTTCTGATTTTTTATTTCTACTTTTACATATTCTCCAAAGATACCACCTTTACCACCTGAAGAGCAAAAAGCCGTATCTTCCATGTTCGGTAAAACAAAGGTCTCAGCCATTACTTCACGGATACGAGATTCAATTGCATTTGTGATGATACCTAACTTGATCGTTTTATCGGCTACGATAGGAGTAATCTTCCACTCCATTTCAGGCATTTCAAAAAATCCCAGCCAAAAGCGATTAGTAGGTGGTGCTTTCAATTTGAACATCATTTTACCAGCCAATCTTTTTAATGATACGGCCAAAACTAAATTCATTCGGATCGGCTTCATACGTGATGAATAAGACCAATTGAAATCAGTTTCAATTTCAATAGTTAATCCACCTTTGTATTCTATTTTAGCTTCCACAATCACTTCACCTTCAGGAGTTAAAGATAGTAATTGGGGTTCAGTAATAAAAGGTACTGATTGACCCACATCAACATCACGCACATGGATTTCATCCAGAAATGAAGGTCGTTTTGTTTTATCAATCTTTTTTCTTATTTTCATTTCCACGATGTTTTTTAATCTATCTGTTTTATACATCCCTAAAAATAAGCGACCAAGAATGGCGTTAATCCAGGCAGTTTGCTGACAATTAGGAGTCGATTGTATTTGCTGAATCAAGTCATTTAAAGCAGATGCATCAAAATGTGTATTATCCATCATTATATATTGAGTATCATTTTCAAGTGCTGAGAGAGCATCTTTATATAATATATGATGAGCTTTAATAAGACTAAAGTACCAATCTTCTTTATCGATATTACGCGCACAAGTTAAATAAAGTATTCTTGAAGGTATACTTGTAATATCATCTTCGGATAACGTATAAGCAGTTGAAAGGCCAAACTTGTTTTTATCATTGTTAATGTTATTATGTTGAAGGTTGGAAGGAGTTAAACGGATAACGGCTCTACGACCATAAATCTCGCCTTCAGGCTTTGTTTCTGAGTTTGGAGGATATAAGGAAACATGATAATCTTGCAATGAAAGAGACATGATGACTTCTTGTTGTTTTTCAGATTCATAGCAGGACAAGATGCCATTTTTTAATACAGCATAATAAACGCCTTTTTTATTCTTGTTATTAGTATTATTACTATTGTTATTATTGCCATTATTATTTCCTCCACTGACATAGGATTGTATACCAGATATAATACCTCCATTGGTATTATGTCCTGAATGAATTTCGGGCATTTTAGGTTGATATTGGTTAATGAGGCGAATCCAACCCTTTGTAACATTTGCATCGTTCGGATCTTCCTTTTCCATTAGTTTAGGCGTTGGCTTTTGGTTAGGAAGTAAGGGCTTTATATTGCCCATCATATACATAATGGTGGCCAGACCAATAATCGGTAAAAGGGTTATCCCTCCTATCATATAAATTATTAGAAATTCTGCAAATGATACCATATATAAAGATATGTAAGGAATGAAAAGAGAAAAAAAAATATGCAAAAAAAAAAAATTAGGCAATAATGTAAAATATTTTAAAATATTTTAAATATTTCTGTTTTTCCTTCCTTTTTTATTTTTTTGGAAAAAATGTAGCAGTACAGTATACTATTATTGAAACTTCAGATAATAGTACAAGAAGCTATCCTGTATTAACATAGATACCTATTTTTACCATAAAGACGGAAATTGTGAGCATATATGTGTATGATATCAAGCACTCTTCTAAAATCATTGATATATTGTAATGAGCTTATATAGCGCTATCATTACCTCTTCAATTTGTTAAAATTAAAATATAATAACATGTTAAATGAAGCTACAATAAATTTACATTTATGCAATAACCAAATCATTAACCATTATTTATTAATTGGACTAATATTCAGCTTGATTAAATATTCTAGGATTTTTTTTTTTTAATTATACATGTATAGCATACATACAACAGTAATAGTTTGTATTATTTCACAAAATTAGTTTTTTTTTTTTTTTTTTTTTTTTTTTTTTTTGGTATACACACTTATTTAGATTTTTCTTTACAAGACATGATTTTTAGCAATTGTCCAATATATTGGCTAATTTGGCATTAGATTATCATTTTTTTGGTTCTAAAGTGTAATTTTAAAAAAATTACCTATACATAATGAACTAAAATAAAGGCGTAATTAATTTGTAAAAGAGTTATTCTTTATTAAATCTTGATTATTACTTTAAGCTATGTAATCCGGGCAACACTAAAACCTTAAATTCGAACTAATGTATATCCATTTAAGAAAAAAAAAAATAGTAGAAACAAAAAAATCTAAAATTTACATTCTTTAATGAAAATGAGCAAACAATAAGCAAAATAATGATTATTCACTACCAATAAAAATAATATAACTAATTTCATAGAAATTGGAAAAAATATTTTTTTTTTTATTTTGTTATTTTATACCATTTGTTTTTCTTTTTTATATTTTTAATCATGTCTGCTATGGAAGTGGAACAACACACTCCTAATGGAACACCTAATGATGGCCCTGCTGTCACTGGTATCATTTACCCTCCTCCAGATATCAGAAGTATGATTTGACATGAACAACATGCTTTTTGAGATACTAATAAATATTCAATTTTTGTTAAATAGAAATGATTGACAGAGCTGCAGCTAACTTGTCTACTAAAGGACCAGAATTAGAAAATCATATTCGTGAAAATAATAAAGATGGTCGATTTAATTTCTTAAATCCCAATGATCCTTACTATGCATATTATAGATTCAAATATCAAGAGTTTAAAGAAGGCAAAGGTAAAGATAATTAGTTGAAGAAAAAAAAATATATGGATATAATATGTAATACTAACTTTCTTTTCTTTTTGCTAGCACAACAACCAAGTAATCAAAATGAAGAACAAGCCCAGGCAACACCACCACAAGAGCCTGTTAATCTTGCACCTAAAGAGCCTGAGCCTTTTGAGTTTTCAGCACCCCTACCTGCCATGTCTGCTCAAGATCTGTAAATTTTTGTTTTAAATACGATTTTAATTATGAGATTACTAATTTTAACATTGCAATAGGGATATTATGAAATTAACAGCACAATTCGCTGCTCGTAATGGTCGTGCTTTTATTAACCAACTCGCACAACGTGAATCTAGAAATTACCAGTTTGACTTTTTACGTCCTTCACATAGTTTATTTCCTTACTTTACCGAACTTGTCAAACAATACACTAAAGTATTTTTACCACCCAAGGATCTTCAGGAGAAATTAAAGAAGAATATCGAAAATAAATATCATATTTTAGATCAAGTTAAGGAGCGTGTTGAATGGGTTGCTTGGCAAGAAGCTGAAAAGCAAAAGAGAAACGATGAAGAAGAAAAAGAAAGAAGTAAGAAATAAAGGCTGATAGACTCTATTTTTTTTTATATACTTATTTTTTTTATCCTATTTAGTTGCTTATGCTAGTATTGACTGGAATGATTTTGTCGTGGTTGAGACAGTTGAATTTACAGAAGCAGATGAACAAATGGACTTGCCGCCACCTATGAGTTTACAAGAATTAGAAAGTATGTCATTGGCTCAGAAACGTATGGCAGCATTATCTACTGAGCCTTCAGGAAATTCTGAAGAAGTTGCCGTAGAACAACAGCAAGAAGAGAATGAAGATATGGAGCAATCTGATGAAGAGCCTACTGAAGCACCAATTCAGCCTGCTGCTGTACCTAAAATACCAGATACAACTGCACCTATTAAAATTCGTACCGACTATAAGCCTAAATTTTTGGGTGCAAAAACTACAAAAACTACTGTTCCAACTGAGATTTGTCCTCGTTGTGGTGAGGCAATTCCTGTAGATGAAATGGCAGAACATATGCGTATTGAATTATTAGATCCTAAATGGAAGGAACAAAAGATGGCTATGGAAGCCAAGCAGAGAGAAAGTAATTTGTTACAAGAAGGTAATGATGTGGCTAAAATTTTGAAGAATATTTCTGGTTTGCGTCCAGATATTTTTGGTTCTGATGAGGCTGATGCATCTAGAAGAATTAAAGAGCAAGAAGAACAGGCAAAGAAAAAGGATAAAATTATTTGGGATGGTCATACGGCTACTATGGTATTAGCAAATCAAAGAGCTCAACAAACAAGTTTTGAAGAACAGATGGCACAGTTGAAGCAACACCAACAGCAACAAGCTGCAGAGTATGTTTTATATATATATATAATACATATACAAATATAGCAATATTAATTTTCATTTTATATGTATCTATATATTTTTAGAACCGCCATTGGTCCTCAAATTCCAGGTCAACAAAACTATCCTCCTGGTGCATATTCATCACCACTTTATTACGCTCCTGGCCAGTCTTATATAAATCAAGCACCAGGCATGTATGGCTCACCTATGGGAAGCCCTATGCCTGCTACCAGTGCTATTCCTCCACCAGCCGCAGCTCCAATGGTAGCACCACCTCCACCCTCTGTATCTCCTGCTGTACGTAAAGCAGAGGATGATGAAAGCAAAGCAGAAAAGAGGCCTCGTACAGATGAGCAACCAGCTTGGGGAACAGCTCAAATAGATGTAAGTATATAATTACCATTGTAAAAACAATAGGTATATATATATGTATATATTAATTATATTTTGTCATATAGCCTTCATTCTCGGTTGTAGTTCAAACACCTAATCTTCCTGATAAACCTGAATGGAATTTAACTGGTGGACAAATTACAATACACGGCTTATTACCAGATACACTTGTTTCAACTTTAAAAGATCGTATTGCATCTCAATTGGGTATGCCTGCTGGTAAACAGAAACTTTCTACTGCACATACAAATGTTGTATTAAACAACAGTAAGACTTTAATGTTTTATGGAATCACAGTAGGAACATTACTGTTACTTGAAGTTAGAAAACGATAAATGTTTGCTTATTTGAAATTGTAAAAAAAAAGTATATACAGCAATAAAAATGTTACATAATGTAAGGATATCTTATTGGAATTAAAATTCCCGTTTGTTGAATCAATAAACCTGTGTATTGTGAGTTGTTATTATATAAACATGCATACATACAGATTTATATTTGCCAGATGAGATAAGTGAGTCTATTTCACTATTACAATTAACCCTCTATTTAATTTAGAAAATATTATGGTACTTTAGCATAGCATTAATCAATATAATATTTATTCTATTATTTTATATCATATTTATAATATGCAATTTATTTTGAGTGGAAATAAATAGGTAAATACAGTTATCCTAATTGCTTGCATGTTTAACAATTCCTCAAAAAGGCATAAAATTGACAAAGCTTCTATTCAATATGGTCTGAAAAAAGATATGATTATCTTTAGTAATCCATCAAACGATGTATGCAGTGGAAATATAATATAAACAGTGATACCGGCACTTGTTAAAATGAAGCCTTAACATTTTTTTTTTTTTTTTTTTTTTTTTTTTTTTTTTTAAAACTAATATATCTTAATGGAGCATAGCTGGTTACAATTATTCGTCTTCAATATATGAGAAGTAAATAGAGCAAGACTAAATAAGTGGACCTATTTGGTTTACGTTGATTTAACTGTGTAGTTTATTGACGAAACGAAAGAAAACTCGTCCAAGCTAAATTAGTCGAGCTAAATAAGAGTTCTTACCTTTTAGATTTTTATTTATGCATTTCCCACAAGAACATAATTGTGTGTGATACGAAGGAAATTCAATAACCCCATCCCTTCCTCCTTTTAAGATAAGTTCCAAACTTCTTTACATGTGAAAATAATAATATTCTTTTTGACTTTTGTGCATTTCACTCTTCCCATTATTAAATATTATTTAGCATCACTTGTTTCTTACAAGTACTTTTTTTTCCCATTTATTCTTTTCTTTTTCTTTTTTCGTTTTTCTTTGTGCATAAAATGTCAATTGAGCCCAAACTTGTATCAAATCTTTTACTCCCTGAACTTGAACGACAATTAAAGGAAGATAAAAACCTTTGGCCTAATGTTAAAGGCCTTTATGTTATCACTGTAATGAAAAGGAAAAAGGTTGCTGCTACATGGTATAAATACAAAAAGAAAAAAAAGCATCAGTATATTTATAAAATAGACTAAATAAACAATGTTATGCTTTTTAGGTATCTTGTGCTTCAAGGTAAGAATAGAAACAAGTTGAAATAATAGAGTGATAAAAAATTAACTTACTTTACATTTGTAGGCAATGAAATTATGCCGTTAATTACTACATCTGAAGAAAAAACACGGGCTGGTATCAAAAGCAAACTTAAAACTGTCAAAATTCAAATTGATGATGCAGATTTATTGAACTTTATTATTGGAGGGTAAAAGTCTTTTATATACTATTAGAAGAAGTATTCACATATTATCGTATAGTATGACAGGAGTTAGAGCCTATATGACCGGCAAAATCAAAGTAAAAGGCGACCTTTTGTTAGCACAAAGGTTAGAAGAAGTTTTTGAGAAGCTTGATGGTAGAGAGGTATATATAATTGTATTATAAAGCAAGTAAAAGTGCATATTTAATCTTTTTCTTTATTAGAGAGCTATTGAGTTTGTTAAGAATAATGAACAAGCGTTATCTAACATTAATAAAGCTAAGATATAATTTTTTTTTTTTTTTTTTTTTTTTTTTTTTTTTTTTTTTTTCACAGGGAGTTTCAAAAAAATAAAATAAAATAAAAAGTATATAAATAAAGGTCAGGACCATTCTATTTTTTTTTTTTTCTTTTCATCGCAATTTTCTTGTAAGATTGCAAGGTATAAGGATCTGTGGGGAGCATTCAATGGCCAAGTCTGGGGTCTTCCTAGTTTGTGGAAGCTTACGAACAATACTAGTAACCTTGCCATCTCTATTTTTATACCGTAGAGTAGGTAGGCTCATAGGTTGGGGGAGTTTAACCGAGCAAGCAGTCTATTGAATGCCACTTTATTTTTTGGGACTAGTATACCCTCACCTTCACGTTGGTTAGTCCTGTTAGTATCGAAACACATTGATTTCGAGAAGCCAAGAAGGGTATAAATAGTATCGTATGTATTTTACTATATTTTACTACAAGAATAAAATAGATACACTTTCTCCAATCCTGGGTATTTATGACAGTAAGTAAACCATTAAGAATTCTATAGATTATAAATAAAAACTCTTCAATTTAATCTGAAAACCTCTTTGTTATAACTGCTGGTTATACTATCTGACCCTCTATCTATGACGCGTGGTGCGAAGGATTGTTGTTTTATTTACTATTAAATAAATCTTGTATTTTTTTCTCCTAAGTCTTTTATTTGTATTTGTATTTTTAAGGAGTAAAGTGAGAATCAGATGATAAAGTATGACAAAAATATATAGTTTATTTGTTTTGATTTGATTTGTAAAAATAATGTGAACTGGTGTGTGGAGAGAACCCTTTCTCTTTCACATATCAAAGTTTCAAGTCAAATCATGATATTATTAATTGATAAAGCTATTCGCGATACTATTTACAACTACTTGCCCATTAAAGCTAAATTCCAGCTGGCAGTCACCGACAAACTACTGTATGACTGTTATTATAATCGATTAATTACTACTGTCTTCAGAGTCCACGCAGAATGGCAAATAGAATGTGATTATTTGTTTAGAAACATCACATACATAGAAGTAGTGTTTAGGAAGATTGATGTACAATATCTTGCGAAGCTTCCAAACCTTAAGATACTTGATATCTCAAGTGTTCATTTTGCAAATAACCTTAATTTTACCAAAACGATGTTCAATAAACTTGCAGTAATCAAGACAGTTTATGTTACTGAGAATCAGATCGAAATGTTTCGCGTTGCCGTAAATTTTTTTAAAAGAGAAATAGCAGTGTGAGTATAATAAATATAATTTTATCTTAATTCCTAATAAACTAAATCTTTATTAGCCTAATTCGAAAGCGAGGAATAAAAAAAGATGCTGAAGATTCAAGTTTCCCTATTGCTAAAAAACCTCGCTTACTTTGTTCTGTACAGAAAAAGATAACTGCGCTTGAACTTTATCAAAGTCAAATTAAATATGCTATGTCTTCTTCACCATCAAGTTTTCTCCCTAGCAGCCTCTTTCTGAAGTTTCCAGAACTTGATTCATCTAATTATAAAGCTACCATTGACTGGGAACCTTCTGTACTTGATAAGCACACAAAGACCGAATCAATTGAATATACTATTATGCAGCTAAAGGAATTACTTGTCCATGCTATTGTTGTTAATCAAGACAATAGCTGGATTTTTATTTCACAACTGGAAGTATATTACAAAGACAAAACCGTTGATGCCATTGCATTTACTACAAAGCATGACATATATTCAAATGATCTGGTCATAAAGATGGATAGACAGACAAATGAAGGTGGAGGCAGCTGGTACGAGTTACAAATTAAATTTAATAAGTTCGAGGTCGTTGTGACTGGTGGCTTCAGTCATAACGATAATGATGATTCAAAACTGGTTCCTTTTCTTGGTGTTGGTGTTCCTGCTTCCTTGGCCCGGAACGAACACTTCATCCTTTTTTCGCCCGTTGAAGCTGCTAAAACAATGTCATGTACTCGCATGCTCCGTGACTATCAACGGAAGCAGAGCTTAAATAAATGGTGCTTCAAGTCCGTATACTTTGTGAATAAACATTTTCACACACCATTACCTTTAGAGTTGCACCTCGATTTTGACGGATATGTATCTATTGCGTCAAAGTTTCTTTATTTGACAGCAACTCAGGCGATTTCGATGGAGGAAGTGGTTTCTTTGAGGAGGTCCTTATACTTACTGCAATATTGGAAAGATTTAGGATTTGAAAAGGCCCCCACCTCAGAGCAAATTATTTCTAAAATCGAAGAAAACAGGGCTACAAAAAAATGTAAAAAACTGTCTGAATCAAAATGTACTTTAATTGAATGTTTGCTTTCGTATCAAGATGGGCAGTTGTTGAGAAAGACAGATTTAAGAACCATCTTTAAAGGATTGTTGTATCCTAGAGTTAAAAGCATAAATAGACAAAGAGTTAAGATGATTACTGCCCACCCATAGAACTGATTTCTAGGTTTGATGATAGATTAGTTTTTAATTCTTATTGTACAAACCATCTCTGATATTTATATTGATTTGTCAATATTGTAGTTTTAGGAGTTTTAATTTGAGAGATGTTAAGAAATCAAGCAAGTACTTTGAAAATCTGTATACCTTTTTATTATCGAAGATTTTTTTTTTAAATAATAACAAAGTTTTCTGTGTATATCTAAAATGGGATAGGGGAGTGTGAGTAATAGTCAAAGTAATATCTACAATATTAAATATCTTTGATCAATCAAGAAATAATTCACGCAGAACTACTACCCAGTGAATTAATATTACTCGTATAACAAACAATAGTAAAAAATTATTTAAATCTAACTCGCATAATATGAACCCCTCGGGTATAATACTTGTAATCATATATATATCTCTTTTAATATCATTAATAAAATAATAACTTTACACTTTGTTCAGTCTTTGTCTTTTACAAATATTTTGATAAATCAACCTTCAAATGAATTTGTATATAATAGTAAGTCATAACGAAGCTGAGTACAGAAGGCCATTTGGGGATTCCGCTTTTCATTTAATTAATCTTAGCAGTGTTCCTAATTAAGTTTAAGAACTTGGAGCTAATAAATCGAAAAGGGGTTCACATCAGAATTATGCCGTTACTGTCATTATATAATTATCTGAGATGAAAAGGGTATATATGCTATCTTGGATGCCAATGCTCTCTTATAACACTCTTAACGTGAGATAAAGTCTTTGATAGCTGCTCAATTATAACAATCAATTTCCAAAACTGCTGATACTTTGAGGGTGTACTTATTTTAATTGAAATTATGAAGAATATTAACTTTCATTACATCAGAACGCCTCACTTTATACAAATAATATGATTGAATTACATCACGACCAACACAAGTTTTTTAGTTTACTAGATCCGGTAAAAAAAGTGTCAATCGCGTAGTATATGTTTTGACAAATATAGTTGCTTCTAATATATATGCTCGGGCATAACAATAGGGATGTGAAGATGTGTATACGGTTTCCGCTAAAGGATTTTAGTAGTTAATTGGTTCAAGATTTTCAACAAATTGTCGGCGCTGTTAAATTATAGATTCAGAGTTTCGTTCTACTACTCTTGCTTGTGTGCGAATAAGCGTAAACTCTAATTTTTCAGTAATATGACAATGTACAGCAGAATCACTAATCATAAGGTCTTCAAAAGCAGCACAGAGCAAAGTTGTAGCATCTTTTATAATGTAAGTGGGGGTGTTTTTCCACATAGTTGTTGAGAAAAAGCGAATGCTCTTCTGTAAGCTTTGCACTATTCCCTTTTCTTTTTGATCTCAGTTGCAAACCTGTAACCTGGTAATATTGTACCTCCGGTTTCTTTCCATTGTTTTCAGAACTTGTATGCACTATTGATTTCGATACGTGCTTCTAAAGCAGCTTTGCGAATTTTGCAATTTTTAATCTGAAGAAGAGAAATAAACTGAGCAATCTGTTGTGGTTTATACTTTGTTGGAGCCCAGATCATATGCGGTAATTGCATTACTCCTAGTTCAATTTTATCCATAACTAATTCCATACTAGATGAAGACTTCTCTTCTTCATCCTCAGACATAGATTCATCTGTAAGTCGTTCCAAACGATACAATGTTTTGACCGCCACTCCTGTTGGATCTAAGTGATCTTCCTGTTCAATTCACTCTGGTCGATCACACAAAAAAATCGCTAGAAGTGGGAATGTAATGATAAAATATGAGATCGTTCATAGTGGGAAATACTTTTCAAATAAAAGGAAAAAAAAATAAATAAAAATAAATTATAGCAATCGCTTGGTGGTTGGACAATTTATCTCCTTTTCCTTAAGAAAAGAAGACTAAGAAATGCCAAAGCATACTAAGCTTTTTTTTATACAAGCCTAAAAAAAAAATAAGTAGGATATGGAGTAGCCAACACATTAGATACCAAATAGTATTTTTTATTACTGGTATATATAATGTTTGTATTGGTGACTAAATCATTTTATCAAACAGCCGAGAAATTTACTGCCCGTTCATTCATTTTATTTAGCATAAAATTCTTTTACTCAACGTTAGTTTTTTTTTTTTTTTTTTTTTTTTTTTTTTTTTTTTGAAGTTCCATATTTTTGTATTTTCAAACGCGAAACACTGTAAGAGTTTTCAGACGAAGACAATTCCTACTTGACAGCTACCACTCAAAACTACAAGAAAAATATTCAAAACTTTTATCCCATTGCCGTAATAATCTAATTATCGACCCTATTCTTACGATACCAATGACAAGAAGTGAACGGTTTTGTTGCGTGCGATGGCGACTTGGCTGGTTACATCATGGTAAACCCGAAGCCTGCCCATTCCATCCAAATGAACTCTTCACACGCTCACATAGTTTTTCTTGTTTGCATATGCATAACCGCCTTCAGATGCCCCAAATCTATTGAAGATCCACTCTCTTATCTCTTGAATCTATTACCATCAACATTTTATACTAAGAAAGTGAGAAAATCAATTGATGCCTGGCTCATACGCTGGCCTTCTATATGTGCAATTCTGCTTGGAGATGGACTATCTAGCTTCACTCTCAAATCCCTGAATCCTCTGACCATCATCTTCTTTCAATACAACAACGATTTTCCAATAATTAATTATCGTCACTTTTACATACACTTTAACATTTTCCCTTTTATCCCAAAAGGGTTTTTCTTTCCTTTTTTTCCATAGCGATCTGATCAGGGCAAAACAGCATATAAAAATGCTATGTGCTCATTGGTCATTTTTTAAATAAAATTCTTCTTTAATCGCAAAAAAGTTAAAGCGTTTAGTTTAAATTGCAGATCATCCAATAGAAAAATTGAAATCGTCTAATTTTAAGGTTAAACATAAAACCCAAACTCCACTTTTTTCTTTTATTTATTTATTTATTAACTTGATGAACATGGTACATGCGATTCAACAATCAACAACATTAGAAAAAAAGAAAACAGCAGAATGTTTAATAGAACCAATTACTTTTGAATTTAAAGATTCCCTCTTTGAATATTCTGTATATAAACCTTCTTCACGCTTTTTAAGAGATTTCGATACTATATTTCCTTCATTGAAGGAAAAAAAAGAGCTACTTGTAGTGCCTATTATACAGAAATGTAAGTTTGATATGGTTGGACTCACAAAAGAAGCGAATGAGGAAAGAGATATTAAGCTTGAAATAGTAAGCTAGTTTCTATTATAATATGAAAAGGAAAAAAAGAAAAAAAAAAAAAGAAAAACTACTAAATATGCATATATAAATATTTAATGAAGTTTGTTGAGTGGGGAAAATTAGTTGTTAAGAGAATAGAATCAATTGGTATGTGGGCAGATATAATGGACCCTGCATCTGGATTCCCAGTAAGAATAGATAGAGTAGCAATTAGTTTATAAAATACATATATTTAATCCTGTTATATAAAAAATAGATTTTAAGTGAGGCAGGTCCAAGTCCATATCCTGATGTACAGGGCACCTATATGTTAGCAAGCTCTCGTTTTAGTATTCAAAATGTAGGATGCTGTCATATATTATTACACCCAAAATGGTTTAGTTTTATATATCCTTCTACTCTGTTTACAACAGCTCCAGCAGATATACTTGAAAAAGTGATCAATGAAGTTAATGATGCATTTCTCTTAACTCCCTGATTGCTTTATTTCATAAATAAGGATTTGGTTCAGTTATTCAATTAGGAAAAGAATAAGAAAAAAAATAAACAATTTATTAGATAGACTTTCAATCGATGTGTTTACTAAACTTAACTTCAGAATATTTACAGCAAAAAAAAAAGTATGACACAATATCTGTTATTTTTGTATGGAAAACATGGAGCGAATCTATAAAATCTATAACACTATAATGCAAAATAGTCCAGTTACTGATTTCCAGCGTTAATTTTTACTATCTTTCATCTAAATGTAACGGAATATATAATAAATAAACTCATTTGTAGTAAATACGAGGTACTGCCGACTCTCTATTTTATAAATGTAAAATTAGATTCCATTTACGATATGTCTTACAAAATACGTTAAATTGTATCATTTTTAACATTAATGAAATATTTATACATATTTTTTTATTTATTTTACAAGATCAAAAAAAGAAAAATACATATTTATAATATACAGTTTTTATTATATTTTCTTTTTCTCGCTTTTCACCATAATGTACACTTTTCTTCTTTTGGGTTCATTGGACTACCGACGGGGCAATTAAATATATTTGCAAATTCAGCGTTATTTCTTAAAGAGAGATTGACACGAACTTTCCATGGTGCATGAGTATCCGTTCTCTATATTATATATGATTAGTAAATATATAAATATGTATACATATATATTTATATATAAACATATAAAATACATGTGTTATCTATACATACATCCCAGCCTGCTAAATTAGAAGGCATATGTTCACATCTTGAAATACCATAACCAATCAAGAGTAACTGTTCTTGTGTTAAACTTTCGAGTCCAGGTAAAAGTAATTCTTGCTTTCCAAGTTTTTCTATGTGCTGCTTATATGCAAGTAAAGCAAGAGAGACACCACCATTGTCAGCAATATTTTCAGGTAAAGTTAACTATATAATATGTAAAAAAAAATAAATTGTATAATCTAATAACAACAACAATAATAATAACTTACGTTTCCATCAATATAAACTTTTTTATTCGTTTCTCCATCTATAAAATATTCTTTTGAATATTGATTAGCAAAGCATTGTGAACGAGATTCGAATTCAGCTACAGAAGATGGAGCCCACCACTCTTCTCTATAACCAGTCTCATTATAATGTCGTCCTTCACTATCAAGAGAATGCTAGATATATATTTTATTTTTGTATATTAGCATAAAGTAAGTTTATCATATGGAATACAGCATATATATATATATATACTTACAGTGAGTTCATGACCTATAACAGTGCCTAATCCTCCATAGTTCAAATACATTGGAAATGTTGCATCATAGAAGCCTTGTTGCAAAATACCAACGGGAATAAAGACACTATTAAGAATACCATTGTAAAAGGCATTTACTTGTTGTGGATAATTGCTAGGGAGCCATCTATTTCTAGGATTTTTTTCAGTTAGAGACTTCCAGGTCTGATTTGTCTTCCAAATAGTACTAGCCGTTTTCGAATTATAGTAACTAGTCTTGTCTACATTATTATTAGCTGAAGAGTAATACGCTTTAAGGGCAGATGGATTAGTCCAGTCTTGTAAAATTGTGTTGTAGCCAACAGTTTGACTTATCATATTGATCTATGTATATATATATATATATGTATAAGTGAATCATCTTTACACACTATAATATGCTATTATTATTATTGTACCTTTTCAATAGCTCTAGCTTTTGATTGAGGATCAAACCAGCTTGTTCCAGGCAAATGATTCAACCATACCTCTTTCAAGTTATTGATAAAATTTTCAACTGCTAATTTTTCTTGAGATGCGCCAAAAGTTTCCAAAGTGTAGAAGCGACCTACTAAATGAGGGAAAGTTCTACTGATTTGGTCAGCACAGTAAATTTTTCGAGCATCATTTGAAGAAGCTGTAGAGGAATCAGGTGCTCTTTTTTCTTTGTCAATTCTTTTAAAGATTTTATCATTGACCAAAGAGTTTCTTGCATTTACTGTTTCATTATGTCTAGTAGTAGCAGTAGTCGTTGAAGCAGGACGATAAAAATTGACATAACCATTAGTGATTTTATGAATGATATAACGAATGATGAAGAATTGCTGTATTGTTTCAGGCGAAGAAGATTGAATAACTTGATCTACTTCATGAGTAAAGCTGATATCAGCATAAATGGCAGAGTTGGGACTAGCATAACCCGGCATGACAAGAGTATCCAAGTAGGTGACCCAATCGATTGCAGTAGTGACATTTTGTATATCACCCACTGTTACACGCGTTTCTTCTGTTGTAGTGGCCGTCATCCTAATATAATAATAAAAAAGGAAAGGTTAATCATTATTATTATTATTATTACTATTATATACTAAATACAGTACTTTTCTGTAGCGTTCATCAACTTTTCTTCGAAATTCCTAAAGTTAATCACTGCAGTATCAATTTCTTCGGGTGTCCAAAATGAAATATTTGTCTTCTGACTCTCTTGAAGTAAAAACTGAGCATGTGTAGTATCATTTTTGGGATATTGCAAAGTAGAACTTATATAGGTAGTCAATAATTCACCAAGGTTCATGTCCACATTAAGATCAGCTAAATTGATGACAGGAATATCATATTCATGATTAAAGATATCAATTTGTGTTACAGGGTTAAAAAAGAAGGGAATTCCCTCACGAGTAAAATGAGCCATGATTAAGGCTAGATTCTTTTAAAAGTGGGTTCATTAAGAGACGCATTGCCTTCCAAGACGACAGGAAACAAATCATTCTGAATATGGGCAATATCAGCATAGAGTGGGGCAATAGATTGAGAGATGATAGGCTGGAGATTTAAACAGACTTCATAATAATCTTTTAAGAATTGAAAATTAGATTTATCGATATCTGCCTGTTCAACCAAGTTGAATCCATCACTATTGGTTTTTAAATTCTTGGAGATATCTTCATAAGTTCCGTCAAGTATTTTAGTTATTTTCTCTCTTCCCTGTATCTCAATATCAGCTAATTTGTTATAAGCTATATATTTATATTTATATACATATACGTATATTCATATATATTAAAAAAAGTATATATTTAGTTTCATTGTTTAACTGCTTTTACTATCAGTATATTACCAGTTGTCTTATTTTGAATTGCAGGAGATTTTAACCAACTGTCACCTATAATTTAAATGTATTAATATGGTATAATAATAATAATAATAATATTGAGTTAGATATGAAATAATACATACATGTATATTGAAAAAAATCAGAACAAGGATCTATATCAAGATTGACATATTGTTTGATGAAACTACTTGCAGCTAAGCATTCAGCAGTTGTACATACATTATTGCTTATTACAGATATATTCTGCACTGAAGGTGTAGGTGGCATTTATGGATATAAGACGATAATAAAACTTACTTTTGTAATCAAACTTCATGTCCCTTTTATATATGTTCATTTTATTCATTTATTTATTCATTTATTTATTCCTTTGGCTTGGTTGTCCTACAGCCCATAAATGTTAATTTTCAGCCTTCTTGTAAGGTACCCTATAATTACTATCTAATAGAAAAAAAAAAAAAAAAAGGCTTTATTTTAAAAGCATTACATCATATCCTTATCCGACTAACAACCGATTTTTGAGCAGCTAGTATCGGTTTAAAAGTTTTTTTTATATGTATTTTATTTAAAAATGCAAGAATAGAATAAGTAGATGTGAATATCTTTAACTTATTCTAGGTATTTTTTTTTTTAACTGATAAAAGGTAGAATCTATAATTGAATAACTCCGTTGAGCATGTAGTACATTATCCGAAACTATTACTCTTTTTTCTTTGCAAGCCCTTTGCTCAAATGATAATAGAGAACAGTTGAATCAGAATAATAAATCGCTAATGTTAATTTCCTATTAGATAAATGTATAAGCATCACTTGAAAGAGTAATCAGAACATATATCTGTTTATGTTGTATAGCATACTCAATAGGAGAATCGATAATATAACTCTTGTTCAACTTGTCAAATATTTCTGTAATGCTGTATAAATTAATAAATTAATTCTCTCTGTCTGTCTGTCTCTCTTTCTTCTTTTAGAAATAACACAAACCGGTCAATCGTTAGCTTTGTTTTGTCTTGTGAGATGGGCAAAACAATCAGCTGTTCCTAAGGAAAAGTAATGGATGTTTGAAATCTTTCTCTTTTACCTGTCAATTTTTTTATTATTTACATTCATATTTCCTGGCTCATAAGCTAAAAAGACGCATGTTGCTAATTCTTTTGCTGGTTTATATTCAACATGTCTCCATTTTTTGGCTAAAACGAGATCAGTGTAAATTCTCTGTGACAAAGCTACATTTGAAGATGGAAATCCAACTGATTTGGTTTCAATATCTTTAAGCTAAATATTAAATTAGAATTTTTTATTTTAATATTATTAATTGCTCGAATTTACTTTACTTTATCTTGAAGATTCATTTTATAACCATCTTCTTTTTATTAAATAATAAAAAAAAAGGCAGCCTTTATTTACCCAATTTGGATATGCGATATTGAAAGTCACAGAAATTGACATTTTATTTGTTTTGCATACAGCTAAAATTTATCTTACTCATAAGAAGTATCAAGAAAATGCGATTGTATGAAAAATAACCTTAAAAAGTACCTATGCTATACTAGATAGACTGATAGCTTTAACAGAAAGATGATTGATTGATATGCCTATATCGAATACATTATTTATAATCATTCTTACATTTTAACACTCATTTCTTTTCATAGCCCCCCCTTTTTTGTTATATAGATTATATACATACATCATCAATGTATTGAAAAGAGTTTAGATGGCCTTGCATTGTGTCTGTCTTTATATCACATGTGTTTCATGGCTTTAGATTCAGTACTAGTATACCCTGTTTTTTAAATTATCATAAGCCCACCTTCTGTTTTGAGCAAAGCCTTCGATATAAATTCTGGTCACATACCCCATAACAATGCCATATTTAACCCAACATTTGAAACAAACTAGTAAAAAAAAAGGGGGGATTCTGTAAATTTATGCTGTATCTTTTTTTTTTCTACCTTTGGGACTATCGACGAAAATTTAATTTTAAAATATGAAGAAAAGAAGCTATATATGTCACACAATTCTAAATGGAAATTGTTAGACAGAGTTTTCAAATAAAGTAAATACACCCTTAAATCGTAAAAAAGGGCTTAAATGTTATAAGCCTATCTTCTCACAAGAATAGAGCTTATTTGCTTTGTGCTTTGTCATTTTCTTTTTAAATCAATCATATGGTCATTCTTTCTATAATACTATTACTACTAATAACTTGTTTTTATTTTCTTTTTACATAATCTAACTAAGCATAACAGACAGCAACCTAAAATATGCAATGGACGAATGGATTTATTTTGTATCGTAGTGTATCAGTAAAGGTCGATATATAAGAATTCTCTATTCTTACATCGACATTATTTATCCTAATAATAATATTTATTTTCTAGTTCTTTATCCTGTTTATTTTCATTTTTTTTTTTTGCCTATAAGACCCCCCTTTTTTTTTTCTGCTATACAATACATTCTGAACTGTTTCAATGAAGAGCTAATCGGATATTAAAATCCTTTTTTTTTTTTTTTTTTTTTTTTTTTCGTTCATAGAAGAAAAAAATGAATTCATTTCTTTTTGTAACTTAATTATGGCAAACACAACACATCCAAGAACTTTTACAAGAATGAGAGAAGAGACCCCTACAACGGGACATGGGTCGAGAACTCTTACAGTAAACGAAACAGATATACAAAGCCCAAGTGAGGAAAGTATGAATACATCGGATGAAGGAGAAGAAGTTGGTGTGCTACGATTAACTGGAGATATGAATGCAAGAGGTCGAAGAGTAATTCAATGGGACGAAAGTGTAATTGACAATGAACATTTAAACAAAAAGAAATCAAAAAGTAAATATTACACCTTTATTATTATTATTATTATTTTAGTATTATATATAACTTGTTATTATTTAGTTTGTTGTATATATCATAAACCGCATGCTGTTGGAGAATCTTCTGATGAAAGTAGTAGCAGCAGTAGTAGTAGTGATAGTGATAGTGATTCCAGTAGCAATAGTGAAAATGATAGACCAAATAGACTTTCTCATAGAAATTGTAATCATAATCATGAACAAAAGAAAAAAAAGAAAAGAAGAAATCCTCGAGAGGTTAGTCCAAATGCATATGAACGTCAACCAGTTTATAATAAAGGTATAGCAAGATTCTTTTTTTTTTGTCAAAAAAGATACAATGCTAACTTTATGAATGTAGGACATTCTAAATCTTCATCATAATATGTAACGAACATTTACATATAAATGAGCGGAATAAATTAGATGTATAAATCGTTGTAGTCCATTCAAGTATGATTTTACCCTTATTATATCACTTCTCTTACATGAAATAAAATGAAGTAAACATAATATTAACTTTATTTATTGCTAGTAATTACAACTGTTTTTTTTCTTCTTCACAAAAAGAAAACTTAAGCTTGTTGTTCCTAGTATACAAAATAAAAAAAAAATGATTAAGTACATGTTTGATGCTGTAAGAATAGAATAATAGTTACCTTTTGGAAAACATAAGTTAAGTGACACTTGCCACAATATTGACGATCTTTGTGCTTAGCCATGAAGACACCAGCACCACAGGTAGCGTTAGGGCATTCACGACGAAGACGAGTGATCTTACCAGACTCATCAACCTTATAGTACTTGAGAATAGCCAACTTAACCTTAGTGCGCTTGTGCTTAATCTTCTTGGGGGTAGTGTAAGTCTTCTTCTTTCTCTTCTTACCACCACCGAGAAGTTCAGCGTTAAGGTGAAGAGTAGAATTATCTTGAACACCATAAAGAACGAGAGCTTGAGAGTTTTGAAGAGACTTACCGGCAAAAGAAAGACATTGATATTCGGCATCAATACCTTTATATAAATATATACATTTATATATGTATTATATAAAAGTCAAAACAAAAACAATCATCAAGAATGTGTCTTATTTTTATTACATATCGGTACCTTCGCGAGCGGCAATCATGGCCTTTACATTTTCAACTGAAGTGGTAGGGGCAACCTCAAAAGCGAGGGTGTTGCCGGCAAGAGACTTGACAAAAAGTTGCATTGCTAACAAGAAATTAAAGAGAACAGAGATGCTTAATTTTTGAAGAAGAAGAAGAGGAATATAAAATTTTGGGTTTAGCAGTCGCACGTAGGTTTAAGTGGCTTATGTTGGCATGATACCTTTATTTTGCGGGAGAGATGCATAAGTTAAGATACATAATTATCCCTTATATATTTATATTATATACATATTCATATAAAATATGGAATTGGAAAATGAGCCTCGTTCAAGGTTATATGATTTCGATTCGATAGACCATGATGAATTTGACACAGTAATTATAAATAATGTTGAACAGCATTTACATAATTAACTTTATATTCAGGAATTAGCAAAACTTTACGCGAGACATTGTGAAGCCATTAAAAATAAGTCTGAAATTGAACTTCATAATTATCTTCAGGATAAGTCTTCACAAAATAAAAAAGAATATAATGATATGATAAGTGCATTACTCTATGGTGCATTAACGGAGTCACCTAATGGACGTATGGTAATTACTTTTATAAGTAGATGTTTAACTGTAACTCTTATTTGTATTTTGTAATATAGTATTTTCAACATATCTGTTTTGTTAATCGAGATCATTTTTCAGTTGTTGTCAATAAACTTCAAGTATTAGTAACTTCTGTTAAATTCCAGCAATTACGACTACAAGTTCGAGAACAGGTAACGAAAAGAGAAAAGACGATAAAGTAATCTTTTTTTTTGTCTGAAGTTCTTGGATAGATACGCAACTGACATATATACAAATATGCATATATTAAATAGATGTTCTGGCTAATTAGTGAATTAACAAATTTGACAGTAAAAAATGTTGATATTCTTTATTTATATTTAATGAGACAAATTCGTGGAGGAGATATCAGTCAATCTAATTTACTATTATGTGATCAAATCTTAAAACTATGTGAACTACATAAATCCTGGTTGGATATAAATCCCAAAGTGATCGCAACCTTTGTTTATACCTATTTAAGAGTTATTACTGATCATAGTCGATCAGTTCAACTCCTTGCACTTCAACAAAAAGAGATTCAATTTGTAATAAGTTTGTTGAGAGAAAAGGTATTTTTTTTAAGCTATACTAATTGAGATTATTTTTATATGTTAATTATTATTATTATTATTTTTTTTTTATTATATTAGTGGATGTTATGTGTTCCTATAGGAAGAGATTTGATTCGAATTTTACATGATTTATCATCAGTACCTGAATTTTCTCAATTTTGGAATGATTTATTAAATAATCCTCAGAAACTTTCACCAAGATTTAAAGGTTAGCAAATAGATGCATTTTAAAAGATTACGTTATTCATGTTTATGTATGTATATATAAAGGCATAGACACGATGTTAAAAACTTCTACGCCCAAAGAATTCCTAAAATGCAGATTGACTCCTGATATGGAATGTAAATTACTTTATATTGTACAAAATGTAAGCTTAATGGGAATATGTATATAATCTTTTTTTTTAACAATTTATTTATTTATTAGCTTCGAATCAACCATTATCAAAGAAATTTGAATTGGTTTATACAGAGATTTTTAAGTACACCCGAGTCAGAGCCATTTTATGTGGATATAATTCGATATTTAGTAGCTGGTTGGTATCCTTCTAATCAAATCCTTCAAAGTGATATTGTGCCTCGATATGTTATTATTGGAAGTTTGATGAGATCAATCAAGGTAATATGATAATAAATATGGTTTTTATTATATCGTATTTATCTTTTTTTTTTCCCTCGACAAAGAGTAAAACAGTCGCTGCCAACGTTAAAACAGCATTGATTTTTGATTGGCTTTTCTTTACACCTACGGAAAATATTATGTTTATTGGTATATGGTCAAGTCATATAGAGTTGTCTACACATTAATAATAATTTTTTTTATTTTCTTGTAGAGCCTGCCATGTTATTAATGGAAAGATCTGTGGAGCGATATCCTTTAATTACTGCTGAAATTATGGAATTCCTCAAATATTCTGTAGATAAATATTTTCCACCAATGAAAGATTATATGGTCCAATGTGTCGCTTGTGGAATGCAAATTATCTTAAGTAAAGGAGTCATACGTAGTTTAATTCCTATCTATAAATGTCCCAAAACAGATGCAACTACCAGAGGATATATGCAATCGTTATTTTCAGAATTTCTGGTCGAAGATCATCGTCAACAAATTCCTGCTTTACCAGCTTCTGTGTCGATGTTATCTTCAATTACACCATCTACAAGCTTAGAAACAATGCCTCAAAAAAGCTATCTAAAGACAGAGTCAACAGAAGTGATTAAGCAAGGTAAAACGGATGAAGGTGATAATGAGTATGATAATTTAATACAACAAAAGCAGAGTCAACCATTATCGCGTAGAGCTTCGTTAGCTGCTCCAGTTATTAAAGATGATGATGAGGTAGATGCTTTTCTTTATGGAGAATCAGATAAATCTGCTGAAACGAGTGAAAGAGAAGATGAAAAGATGAGCAATATAGAAGAAGAAGAAGAAAAAGAAGAAGAAGAAGAATCAAGTCAACCTGTGAAAGAGTCTGACGAATCAAATCAAGATATGATGGAAGGGGTAATATCAGTAATTGCTACAGAAGATAATGAATATGATGATGAAGAAGATGAAGTAAATAAAGATACAGAAGGAATTCAATCCAATCAATCATATTGGATCTTTGGTGATTCTCTGAAACGATTTAAAGAATCATGTAGTGCAGCTAGGGCTTCTCAAAAGGCAAATGATCAAGATGAATATCGACTACAAATTGTCATTGCAAAACGAAGTTTAAAAGAAATATTGGCTGTATTTTTGCGAATGGTATATACATACATACATACATACATACATACATATATATATATATATAAATAGTCTTTATATTAAATATATTAATTATAGGCTATTCCCGCTGAATCACTTGCCTTAGCAATTAGAACTCATATTTGTAATATAGTAGCAGCTAACATGTTATCTCATGCAGATTTATCGAATAATAATAATTCACTAGAAAAAAAAGAGGATGAAAATGCAGTTTTAACAGATGATACAAAGGATGTCTTTGACTTGATTATGATAGCATTTTGGAAGGACTGTGATACAGATGCCTTAAAAAATAAAATCATACAGTTAATAGGATATATTTCACATAATCAAAAAAAGAAAAGCAGACGTCATATTATTGGTATGCGATGGTGGTCCTTCATAGCAAAGTAAATACAAATGTTTATGATCTCTGCTTCTAGTACAGTTTATTCATAATTCTTTATTTTTTAATATTACTGTTTCTCTTTCTAGTAAAATAGATCTAAATGAAGACATTGACTCAACAAATATTGCAGACTGGTTTCCCAAAATAGTAAACAATTATAAAGCATATGTTATGCACGCTTATAATATTGAAAAGGCAACAATTGATCAAAATGAATACTTGAAGGAATATTTAAAAGGAGATTTACAGGTACTAAAAGAAATAGTTATTTTTTGATATTTTTATTGAAACTGTTTGGTTTGTAATTTCAGATGTTAGCTGAGCAAAATGTGATACTATTTAATAATCTTATACCTCTATTATACCGTTATTTTGCCGATGCTACATTAGGTAACTTGGAAGTTCTAAAACTGACACTATTCATGCTATTACCAGATACTGTAGGTTATTAGAATCAATATATATACATATTTATTTATTTAATAGAGTTTAACTAATATGTATTTCTTTTTTTAAGATGGGCAAAATAACATTTTGCTTACATTATGGTTCCTTACAAATTTTTGGAGATAAATTAGATAAAAGTTTCTTTGTCGAGTCATTTTCCTTAGCTACCTATGAAATGATGTGTTGCTGGCAATTATTAGCAGCAGAACTTCAAGGCAGGCAACAAACTATTGAAGATTTTTTCCAAACGCCTCAAATTATTGACGTATTGAAAACAAACTGTAAAGTATTTATAAACTCACTTTTATTCTTGTAACACTAAACTTTTTCTTTTTTAAAAAAAAATTATAGTTAAAAATGAAATTGTACCTTCATTATTTTCTATTTTATCATCCGTGCCACCTTCAAAACCCTTATTATACTCGATAATTCAAATCGTTCCTGATGAACACAATCTTGCACAATCACAAGTTCAGTTTGTAATTGCTTCGTTGCAATATTGGGCAAATAATTTGTCAACTATATTTTTAAGTTCCCTTTCAGATCTTATTATATCTCTTGTAGATCAAATAGAATCAGAAGAGGAAGTACAATCGTCATTTTCAATTACAACACTTTTATCTTTATTAAATACCTGGTGGAGTCAAAAGTCAAGTTCAGGTAATAATTGCAACAGTCATTTTACAAAAAATATTTATTTATTTATTTATCCTTTTACATAGAATTCTTTAAACGAGACAGAAAATTATTAGCAAATATTGCAAAGCTTGGTGATTTGGTAGACTATTCATGTCCTAAGGACTGGTTACCAGGTAAGAAAATAATAAAAAAGAAGATAAATGATTTTTTTTTATTAAGTCTTCTATTTATTATTATTCAGAATTAACCCGTAAAAAGAAACGTTCACTTGTATTTGATTCATCAGATGAGGAGTAAACTTGATTATGTATATTGTTAATAAAATTTCAAATTATAAACAAACTAAAGCTGTGTTTCTTTCTTTTTAATCTAATGATACATTGTCTATTATTCACTTGAAGTTCTTTTTATAATAAATTCCTATTCTTCTTGAAGTAAACTAACCTAATTGCTGGATTTAAATAAGATCTTCCTTATAACCATTTCACGAATATGTATATACATTAAGGATTATATATCATTACATTTTCTTTATTTATATATATATTCTGGAAATAAGAAATTATCAAGATGAAAGGTTATCGGCATCCAACTATACCATAGTTTATTGGGTCGACTTCGATTTATTTATTCTAGAAAGAGCTGTTATTTCATACTGGTGCTTAGATGCATTTTTTTTTTGTTCCTTTTCGTTTCTCTACCTATTATTACAGTGTCTATTATCCTTAGAACCTCACTAATAAATCATTATATAAATAGAATGTATATCCTTCCCCCCTCTGTTGCTGCTTATATAAATTCTGTCGATTTATTGACTTTATTGTAATTCATTCAAACTACTATATTATCTAGTCTTGGCTATTTGTACACTTTTACAACGCTTTGTTGGCTAAATTTTGCTGTAAGATATAATATCAGATCATCTTTTTTCAGCTCATGTTTTATCAGTATCAATAATACGCCTTAAATCAGAAGCATACTATCCAATGTCTCCAAATGCATTATCGATACTAAAATACAATGCTAACGGTGGCAAATGGCAGTTTTGCTTATTTTATTTGGCATTTTATTGTTTAGATGAATGAAAACAATTTATTTATAAGGCCACTTTAGATGGGCTGTTTTTCTGAACATTTGTCAAAGACACTGACAGAGTGTTGAATAATATTTCAAAGAGAGTAGACGGGAACATTGTTTTAGGTCTCCTTTATTCCAGTCTGTAAATCTTCCATATCCTCGAACTGGTTACGTTTTAATTTGTTCTTTACAATATCCCAGAACTGTTTAATAGGATTGAGCTCTGGTAAATAAGATGGAAGATATACGCATTGATAGCCTCTGTTCTCAATCATTGTTCTAATTTCAACAGAGACATGAATGGGCGCGTTGTCCATGACCAGATAAAAACCCTTTCATTTCAGGAACCTCATCCATATAATTCATTGTAATTAGATACAAATCTCAAATAATGGTCAGTCACAGTTCCTCTGGGTACTGGATCTTTTAGCTTGGGTGTTTTTCTTTTGCAGCCTTCAGCTACCTTAACTTTCTTTAGCTTTTGAGGTACTCTTATATCTATATTTACAACCCCCCTTCGTGCAAATTGCACCCAAGATTGTGTGCAATACTGCTACTTGGGTGGTGGATGTAGTGATCACAGTTGGAGTGTCGCGCTCGGAACGGGCATAAACAGGTCTCATATTAATATTAAATCCAGCTTCGTCAAAAAAAAACATAGTCCTGCTGAAGAAAGCTTGTATTTGAATTTGCCATGTCTTGCACCCATTTGACGCGATGATCAAGTTTTGTGCCATTGTTTCTTGCAATAGGATAACGAGTGGTTCTCTTAATTGATAAGTTGCACTCATTTGAGATGAAGGATCCAACGACAGTGCTCTTCAAACTGAATCCTTCGAATACTTTTGTCAAGTTATCAACAACGTCTTTGGTGGTGACAAAAAGGATTGTTGTCGTACAGTTCTCGAATGTAATTCTTGTGCTCTTCTTGAAACTGACTTTTCTTTCTGTTGACTCTGTTGATCTGCTTCTTGTAAATATCCCACCTAGGGCCCTCATTAAGCCTTTTAGCCCAGTTTTGTACTGTGCGTTTAGCGACAGCAGTCATTCTACCTGCAAGTTTAGCTTTATACAACTTAGTTTTAAGATAATACAAAAAGAGAGAGCTTTTTGATCGTCATTACAGTCGCCCAACAATAAGATTTTTTTTTCTGACTTTTCTGCCAGCTTTTCCAATTTTCTCTCGCCAAGATCAGTATCTTCAGGAGGTTGTGTATTTTGATAAGTAAGATAGTTTGATATATTCCCCAATTGGTGAGGATCTGCCTCTTCTTCTCAGTCCATAGCTTCATTAATAATGTCGCCTTGACCGTTTTCGTAAAAGAAGGCGTTACTCATTTCAATAGATATTTTCAATATGATTTATCTTAAGTTTATATACTCCAAAATTAAAGTTACCATTTTATTAAATAAAAACATTCAAGGTATTTATATGAGATAGATGTTATTGTTCCATATAGACGGAATGTGTAGTATGAGTAATATTAGATTTAATGATAATAACTGATTGTAGACTTAGAAGGACAATATCCATATTTGAATATTCTACTATAGACATATAATAGCAGTCTGAGAGGTTCATGATTGGCCACAATAGAAGTGAAGATGAAAAAAAAAACACTTTCTAACAATGCCAAATGAAATAAGCAAATAGCCATTTGACACTGTTAGCACTATATTAATGTTCATTTAGTTTAAGCCAGGTGCACCACGTGGAGGTAGAACATTGAAAGGCACCCATTTTTGCAGCTACAAGTAGCCACAGGGAATTTCAACCCGTATACCACCAACAAAAGCCATCGTTACTAATTTTGCCTCCATACTTCCCATCTTCAAACATTCTGCGAACCTTTGAGATGTGACGTAGGTGACGTTCCCACTAGAAGTTCTTGAAAGAGGTCTTACGGCTACTTGGTGGAGTCTTTGTTAATGCAGCATGTATGTTTCAAATAAAAAAATAATATCATATATATCAAAATCGACGCATTTTCGTTGCTGTGCCACAACTAAAATAAAGATTAACATCATGTACATGCATGGTTTGCAAAAACAACTTACATGTTTCTCTTCAATGTCTTCAGTGGAAAGCAAATATTTGAAAAATGAAAAAAAAAGTTGTTTTTTTTAGGGGTAAGCAATATTTAATTAAATACAGTTAGGGGGAGTATTTAAAGTTGAAATTGAAGTGATTGAGTCATCAACTCCTGTTTCAATGACTATACCAAGAGGTCGTGTAACATTTATAGTGTGTCATGTTATTTACTCCTTGGCATAAAAGGGCTATGGTGTTATGTATCTACAGTAACTCACAAAAATGTGACAATGATTTATAATTTTTAGCTTTCCTTAATGCACAACATAAATGAATAAAGATACATTAATAAAAGTATTTTTAATGAAAAATTGACAAAATTGATATTATTTTTATAGCTTCATAGCCTCATTTACATGCATGAATGTTCATTTTGACAACAAATCATGTCCTTTTATGCGATTTAGCCGTCTCGCTGCATAATGATTTTTTTAAATTATTTAATATCATAATTGAATTAAGAAAAAGGTTTACTTCCTATTTGATATCGGTTTTTCCTCAAATTCATAACTAATCTGAACAACATTTGTGCATCGTTTCCATTAACACATAGATCATCATATACAATAGAATTAGACAAATTCCTTACGATAAAAAGATGGATATTTTAGCAAAACTTTATGCTAAGGAGTCTTATAGAGATATTTCTACGACAATGGGCATGTCAACTAGGAAAATTAGCAAAATTGCCAAAGAAAATCAAGTTGCGATTAACGTAAAAGAAGGTAGACCAAAGAAGAATAGCCCATTACTTGGAAGATTGATTGCACGATCTTTTTATACTAGTTATTTTACCACTACAGTGGACGCTGCTTGGAACTTACATAGTCAAGGGAATGATATTTTTAAGGGTTATGGACTTTGTAAGAAAGAAGCAATCCTTCAACAAGACAATGATCCAAAGCATACATCCAAATATACAAAAAATTGGTTCAAGAAAAATAAAGTAAATGTCCTTGAATGGCCATCAGAGTCACCTGATTTAAATCTAACTGAAAACCTTTGGTCTTATTTGAAAGTACAAGCTTGTTGCCTATGATAGACCACTAAAGAACATGGATGAGTTATGGGAGCGAGTTGCTGATGATTGGTACAATAAATTCACAACAGAAATATGCTTAAAACACATAGAAAGTATGCCAAGACGTGTTGAAATAGTAATAAAAGCAAAAGGTGCTGCTATTAAGTACTAAACATTAAAGGTACGTTGTTTATTTCATTTTTCAATAAACTATTTGCATACATGTAGCTTTTAACATGATTTTTGAAATAAAATCATCATATAGTGCATATATGCTATGGGTTTCATCAGAAAGAGGAGGCTTCTATCTTTCCGCTAGTACATACCATATAGCACTTTGCTTAATAAATAAACGATTAGTTACCGCGAATTTGCATAAATTACTTAAAACTCCACACTTTTGTGGGTCACTGTATCTTTTGATTATCTCACTCTCACGACTGAATAAGATGCATATCTATAATCTACCAAATGATATTTTGATGATCATTAACTCAAAACTGAATCGAAAAGCCGAACTCAACTTAGCCCTCGCGTCAAAATCAATGTTTGAAAAGTGTAGACATATTAAGAATGGTGAAGTGTTTGATTTAGTATTAATGGATCAACTGGGTAGCTTTTTCCACACTACAATAATTAATGCCAGCATACATCTGTACATCCACTGTATTGATTACAGTGCGTTATATACACAATTAAATTGTTTCTACTATCTGGCAAGTTTGATAGTAAAGTTCTCAGATCCAATTACATCAAATAACGCTTATTCTTTTCTATCTAGTATTCCAAAACTGTACAATTCATCTTTTGATTTGTCTGTTGAAGACGAGCATAACCATGCGGTCATGAATCAAGTAGTCAGCTCTCATATTAAAAAAGGCATTGTTGTAAAAAGAATTAACAACTACAATACATACAGTAGAGAAAAAAGAAGAACCCCTTCGCTTATCAGAGAAGTGATGGAAAGTGTAAAGAAATTGAAATCACTGTATTTTGAACAAAAGGAAGAAAAAAAAAAGGCTGTACTAAAAATGAAGTTATCCCTGCTCCCTTGGCCGATATAATAGATAAGAAAATGTACCAATTGGGCAATATTAATAGTGATATGCTATTGAAAGAAGTACAAAGTAAACAAGATGCAGAAGATAATATTAAGAAAATCATATCACCCAAATTACTGGAAGCAGTTATTGTTTTTCGGAAAAACTGGATATTTGCAACACAGTTTGAAGTTTATTATAAAAATAATTTATACATTGACGAATCTGCCATAACGGCTTTGTTGGATAAGTATCCAAGCAATCTTGTCACTAAGGTGAAAAATAAGACGGAGAAAGGAAAGTCCTGGTTTAAATTATCAATCTTTTGGGGTAGGTTTGAGATGCTTTTGACTGGTGGAATATGTGGCAGCAATATGTCGAATGATGTTGTACCCTTTTTGGGGCCAAATGTGCCGCTGAAGGAGTCAGTTGACGGAGACTCTTTTACAAGCGAGAACATATATGTAAATTGTCATGCTGATGGCGTGAAAGCACGCTTTCAAGTAAGAAGTCTAAGAAATTGGACATAACTGTCATCACCATTCGAATGGGCCTGCATCAGTAGTCGATTTTATGGAAAAGGCTTTGCCACTGAAAATCCACAAAATATCAGAAATAGTACCCCGTTGATAATGTTAACATCGGTTATTCTGAATCACATTTCTCATCAAAAAATATTCAAGGATGAGCAATACAAAATAATTTTGAAGCTGTTCAAAGCTTCACAAACATTAAAGAACTGGTCATACCGCAATCAAATAAAGGACTTCTCCACAATCAAAGAAAGACTGGTTGCAAACAAGGGAAGCAAAGATTTGATAGCTCTAGCAGAATACACGTGTAAAATAAAGAAAAGGAACGGGAATCCGATGGAGTTGATTACAGTTGACAAAGTTGTATATCTCTCTGCAAAACAACATGCACATATTCAAAAACAAAACGAAAAATCACTCAATTGCTACAGATTATAATGCAAACTATATATCTACAACCATTTGTACAATACAATCAAATTGTCATGAACTGGCTTATAACGTCATGTTTCTTGATTAAACATGTGGATCATAAATTTATTCAAGGAACTTTATCTAAATTCTCTTGAAACTTTCTTGATCCATTTTATCAAATAATATTAAAACTTTTAACACTCATTATCTATAACACTTTTCTAATTCACATCTTATGTCAGGCCTCTTTAACAATCCTTATAAATACCCCATCAATTTAGATTCATAAATAAAACGATTAATTTTAGTACAATTGTCCGGTCTCATCGACTTCTTTTGTCTTTTTATTATTTTTATTGGATATTTTGCAAGAAATATCGCACAAATATATCATTAAAGACAGCAACTAATAATATGAATATGAATTAAGGAACCAAAACTGTTACTTAATGATATTACTTATATCATTATGCATAATAAAATGATTACTTAAGATACACTCATATATTGGTTTTGATATGAGGGAAGTTGAATTTGGCTTTTCGATTCAGTTTTAAGTTAGTAATTGTCCAAAGACGTAGCCAGTTCGAGGATAAGTAAGATTTACGGACTAGAATAAAGGAAGCCAGTAACAATGTTCCCGTCTACTATCTTCGAAATATTATTCAACACTCTGTTAGTGTCTTTGACAAATGTTCAGAAAGACAGCCCATCTAAAGTGGCCTTATAAATAAATTGTTTTCATTCATCTAAACAATAAAACGCCAAATGAGTTTAGTAAAGCTGCCATTTGAGTTTGGCAAAGCCGTCATTTAAACCTTTGAATAGCCGCCAATATAATTTGCAAAACCGCCATTTGGCACAGTTAGCACTGTACCTAAAACCATTTGGAATATTCTCTCTTTTCTCTTTTACTATTATCACAGCTTGGTTAATATTTCCCTGATCGGGTATTCACTCCTCCCTTACTCATTCACTAATAGTATCATAGCTATTTTTTTTCCTTGTTAACTTCTTTACTTATTTTTCGTTTTTATCTTTGATTCTAAAGGATTTTTTTTTAATTGGTAATTTAATCAGGGCAAATATCTTAAACATTATAATAAAGGGAATCACACGTGTTATATTTATATAATGTAATAATTAAATTTATTTCCAGCAAAATATAATTCTCTTTTCTTTTTTGTAAATTCAACGAAAATATGAATCAGATTAATTCACTAAGACCTATTCATCTTCGAATATTATTCCCAGAATTACTTACATTACCAAAGACAGATCCTAGGAGACTCGGTGCACCCAAGGCTATTACTCACTCGAGAGCGATTGATTTGGAGCTTTATACCTATTTTGCTCTAATTTTACGAGATTTCATTCATCCTTGGTATCGATTCATTACAACAGACGAAGAATTGACTGCTGAAATATTAGAAATATTGACTTTACTTGTACAAAAGTTAGAAAAAAGACTATGTGAAGAAGTAAAGTTATATAGGTGCATATATAGCTTAATCCCTTTTTTCGTTTTTGATTTATTAATGTATTTATATAATTGATGATCGTTATAGGTAGATTGGACAGAACTTATATTGCTTGATGTTCCAAAATTATTATCTATACATTATTATGATTATAGAAAAGCAAAAAAGCGACTTTACATGAATCACGGAGGTGGTTGTGATTCAATAAGCGAATTATTTCATGGTATGCAACCCCATTTTGCTTTACAGCCTATTAAGAATAGAGAAAAAGAGTATCTTTCTGCCTTAGCTGAATCGATTCTTAAGATATTATTAAGACCTCAGGACTATAATAGTGAATGTGTACGCCATTTGATTAGGGAAATTATATCGAATCTAGTTTTATACAACTTAATTGAATCGTTAGCAGATCCTTATATAATTCATACGATTATTTGCAAAGTAACGAAACAAATATATATAAAAAGATATCGTACTTAATGTTGTTGTTTTTTTTTTCAGCTTCTTAGCTCGTATGAAAGTTTATTAGACGAATTGGAAATTTCTGGACAATTTGCAGAAACATATTTTAGTGCATTTACAAATGGACAAACATTAGCAGTAAAAGAGGAAATAAAAAATAGTAATCAATACTTTGATCAAGCGGACTCCAAACATGAAATAAAAGGAATAAATGGGGAGAGTTTAACAAAACAGATGCAACGACTACAAGAAGAACAACGTAAAAACGAGCCGAAAAACAGTAATTTAGATGAAGACATGTTAGAAGAAGAAATTAAAAATCAACAAGAATCACGTAAACAATTTTCTTTTGGATATATTACTTTACAAGTGCTATTAACACCTATACGTACGTTTTGGTATCGTCTTGTGTCCACTATGATGCAATCTCAGGAACGTTATCATCAGGTTAATCAACATAAAAAAAGAACACGACAAATCCGGCTTATTGAGCCCCTTATGGGGTTCTTATTTATTGCTTTTAGCATTAATAGAAGGCCAGTTATAAGATGGGCATGGCAAATGTTAGCCATGTTTTTTTGGCCTTTAATTCGTGTATTCGGTGGAGGACTATTGATAGATAAATTTCTTGAACAAACTGTGTTACATGTTTTAAGTGAAGATCATGTTGTATTTTATTTACGGTTAGGTTGTGATTTATTATGGCCTGATGGTGTATTTATTCAAAGGGCAGATCCACCATCTCCATTACAGAGAGAACAAATGCGCGTAAGAGCAGAACGCTTATTAACTATATCAATACCAGGTAAAATAATAATAAACTTTTTATTTTTTGTATCCTTTGTTAATCTTTTTTTTTATCATAGACAATATTCGTAATGTTTTATTCGAAACTAAAGATTTGAATGAACTTCAAACCCATATTCATGATACCCTTGAGCCATTACAAAATAAGCAGATCAATAAGCATCTATTATATCTATTAATTGATTTAATTTTATCTAAAATTTTACCAGAGTTAACTGTTTAAATAAACCTCTTTAGAAAATCATATTTTATTCCAAATTAAAAAAATAAAATAAAATAACAAAAGACATAAAATATACAATTATATACATTTAATCTACAACAACTATTCCATTAAAACTTTCATGATAAACAGCTTTCATAACAAAGTCTAAAGGTGTTTCTTTCTTGGGATCTTCTTCTTGTTTATTTTTTTCACCTTCCTCTTGCTCCTCAGGATTATCATTCTTTTCGCTTTCTTCATCCTCAATGTTGATGTCACCATCAAGAAACGTTTTTAACATAGATGCTGAAAATCCAGAAAGTAAAGAAACGCCAGTATCATCCTGTGTTACCGGTGTAATTGTCCTTGTTGTAGTACTCAGTCCATTAATACCGCTCAAATTCCACCAAATGACCTCAGGGACTTCATAGCCAGCATCTTTATATTGCTTGTGAATAAACTCTTGTGTAGTCATATAGGTATCCACACCATTGTGAGCAGCATCGAACTCCATATCTGAAAAGACAAATAGGTGTTTTACCATGTCTTTGGGAGCTAAATTGTACTTCTTGGCCATTGGTAAAAGAACATCAGTAAAGACCTTGCATATATCAGTATTGAGGCCGCTTGAATGTTCAAAAACTGCCGCCACTTGTTCATCAAAAGGTCTGCTGATATCAATTTCAAAAAGGGATGGATTATCTGAAAAAGTAATCATTGCACCATTGAAGGGTGGCTTGGCAAGATTGGAGACAACGAGTGAGAGACCAATGGCGGCATAAATAGGCCTCTCTTCAGGTTTATCAGGGCATACATATGCAAACATAGACCCAGAGGTATCACAAATGACCAGGCATTCACTAAGATCAATTTTTTCTTATTCTTTCTATCTTTGTCTGTTGTAGAAAGGAGAGCAGTATCACGAATTGACTCAATTAAAGTATTCCATTGCCCATTAATGAGATTTTTATTGGCATTTTTGAATTTTTCAAGAGCTTCTGGTATATTCTGAAGGGCTTCATCAAGTCTCTTGTTAATTCTATTCTCATAAATTTGGTATACAAGTTGATGAGGGCCAAGAGTTGCGCCACTTACTTTCCTCTTACCGTTAGCTACTTCATTCATATAGTTGATAACAGTATCTGGGGAGTGTTTGAAAAAGAGACCTATATTATTCTGAAGACAGACAGCAGGAATATGACGGAAATCAACAGCATCCCATTTACCAGGCTCCATATAGTGCTCAGTCAAATCCAATACCTTGCGGAGAGGAGTCAAATATTCTTTTCGATAGAGATCTCTCACTTTGTTCAAATACCGCACTCGACTTTCGTCTTTTTCTTGATACTCTTCAGGAGGAAAGAGTAATTCGGCAATAGAAGTGGCCAAGAAGGTATGTTTATCATGGGAGGCACAGAGTGTGGGAGCCCACTTACCAGCCAAACTTACATTATTGCTCAGAGCATAACGATTTTGACTACCTGATTTATTTAGCGCTATAGAAATTTTGTTCATCTCTATCTGTGCCATATCTTGTTTCATTTGATCTGCAAATAATTTTGCTATAGTGAAATGTAGTGCACGATAAGTTTTGTCGTTTTCTAAAAGGTCACACACTTTTTTATTTCGTAAAACACGCTTGTTTAATCGAGCTGTACTTGCAAGTTCCTGTTGTATCTTGTTATATTCAACACATTTTTTTTTATTTTCCTCCATGTCTTTTATAGATTCCGTTCCATCAGCTTCATTTTTTGAGCGCTTAGCGGCGCGTTTAGCTTTACGAGCTTCTATATTAGGAGATATACGTGGCCAATGAAGAGCAAGATATTGAAAATCGTTATCCTTTGAGGGGCCTTCTAGTTCATCTTGACAATAAATGGTTAACAATGTACAAAGGTCTTTCCAATATCCATGTGTCTTAAAATCTCGACGAGGTAGCAACACTTCATCCGTTTCTTCTGTTACTTCAGCATCGTCCAAAATGTCCCAGCCCTCAGCTTTTGCTTGTTTTTGTTTTCTTTCTTCATTTTTCTTTGCTTGTAGTTTAGCATCTGTTCGAATTGTTCCGTCAATCAAAATATGCAAATTAGCTAAGGCAGTACGAGGATGATGAATTAACAACCAACAATAAGCATAAAAAAAAGGTGATGTAAGAGACTTGCCACGATGTATTGAACGGGTATAGAAGATGATATGCATAGTGGTTAGTGGATCTGTATCCCAAGCCTCTTGCAACATAGTTTTTAATGTCGAAGGTGAAGAAGATGAAATTTTATAATATAAATCAAGAATAGGATTATGCGTACTAAGATTTGTTACAGCACCATTATCAGTCAAAGTCATGTTAGCCATTTTATGAAAGGCGTCCATAAAAGGATGACTCTTTTTATCTGGTAAACTTTCCGGTTTATCAGTATTATCTTTCTGTCCGAGTTCTTCAATTAGCTTCTCTAAAGATTTATTATCATGAAGTTCATTAAAATAAGGAAGAAAAGAAGGGTAACTTGAGAATAATGGCATAATAAAAAATATAAAATGAGATAAATGAAATAAAATGAAATAAATGTGCACCACTCATTTATAAATAAAACGACAGATATAATTTTTTTTTCCCTCAGTTTGATATGACTGGCCTTGCTGCGGTTATATTATTATTTTTGGAAATAAAAAACTGCGGTGGCCTTGCGTAAAATTAATATAAAATTATTCCTTTATTTAGTATCTAAATTTTATGAGTATTCAAACAGCGTAAAAAATAAAAACCATCAACTTTTGCTTATTGACATACACTATTTCTGGAAATTATTCGTTCACAAAAAATAAAATAAAAAGTAAACCATCAGAAAAAATTAAAAAATAGTTTCCAAAAAACATTTTAAAATTGATTAATCGCAGGAAATAATCTCGTTCATTTTTTGAAAAATTTTTTTTAACAATGGACCAATTTATACATGAAGATGGTAAAGGAAACCTTCGCAATGAAGAAGGCGATCGAGTTGCAGTTCTTGAGATGGAAGTTGATGAATTAGAAGATACTCTTGAGGATGTTACTAATTACGACATGTAGTTGGACTTGAAGCCACCTGAAAAACCTGCCAAGATTAAACAGGATCAGGAACAAGTGGTTACGAAGGACGAAGAAAAAAAAAGATAACAACAAAAATAAAAAAACATACCGAACTTATAAGCCTGAGGTCCAAACCTACTTTTTTTACCTTATTTATGAGAAAGGGATGAGTGTACGTGCCGCTGCTGAGGAAATAAAAGTGCCTCAAAGTACTTCACAAACTTGGAAAAAGAAAGCTGAGCTTGCTGGGGATGAAGAAATGAGTCTGAGACAAACTGGAAGTGGTAGAAAAGTTGGTAGACCTCCTGTTCTTACAGAGAAACATAAACAGTTTTTGATCAATTTCATTGACGAAAAGCCATCTTCTGTATTGGAAGAAATGATAGAAGGTCTCACTAGTCAATTCGCCGGCCTTGAAATAAAAAAAATCAGCAATTCATGATTTTGTAACAAAGAAATGCAATATCACCCTTAAGCGAACTCATTTCCACTCAGTAGAAAGAAATAGCCCTGAAAAAATTGAGGAGCGGTACCACCGCGTGAAAAAGATACTTGAAACTGATATGGATTATTTCAGCAATTGCGTTTTCATAGACGAAGCTGCGTTTCATATTAACATGAAGAGATCAGTAGCTTGGTCTAGAAAAGGAAAAAGGGCTGTAGTTGTTGTACCTAAAACTAGGGCAAAAACAACAACTATACTAGGAGCCATATGTGCACATGGCGTAGTTAATACTAGAGTAAGACGACCAAAAATTCAGGCTCCAAATAAAAAAGAAAAGCAGGGGGAAGTAAACCTGTTCCTAAACAAGCAACGAAAGGGGGCACAGTTACTGGTCATTATTTCAACTTTATTGCTAGCTGCTTAGATGTCATGGATTTACATCCAGAATTTAAGGACTATTATCTGGTAATGGATAACGCCCCCATTCATAAGCACGAAGATATACAGAAGTATATTGAAGGTTGTGGATATCGTTGCATATATCTTCCTTCTTACTCACCTGAATTGAACCCTATTGAACAATTTTGGTCAGTAGTCAAAAGTAAACTTAAGCGAGAAAAGTTATTGGAGGAAGAGACAATGACATCAAGAATCCGAGATTCATGCAACAATATTTTGTTCAGTGACCTTCAAGGTTCCTGCCGCTACTCTGTTGATAAGTTTGATGATTGCTTGAATCGAAAGCCAGTTTAATGTTTCGCTTATTTCGTTCACTAAAAATGAATGATTATCGGTCGAAAGAAATTTCTCAAGACAATTTCTTAAGACCGTTGGAACAAAATAGGAAATATTAGTATGCTAGAATCTTCTTGAATCTTTATTTAATAGCAAATTCAAAGATATATAGAGGAATCAAATTCTAATACTATACTATCAATCTTCTTTTTCCCTCGGTCATTATCAGCTTACTTGATACACACATTCCTATCAAGTTGCAAACATTTTTCCTTTTCTAACATTTTAAATGTCCTCTCTTGAAGAACAATTCCACATGATGCAGCAACAGATAGTTGCCCTGCAAGAACAACTGCAGAATGCTACCACCGCCTCAATACAGTCAGCAGATGAGACTGTTATCTTACTTCTCCATTCAATGGGTACCCGACCTCATTACGACTGGTCTCCTTCAGAGGGTCTTTCTGAACTTATGAATTTAAATGCTCCATTGAACACCTCACCTTTACTTACTGACTCCGAACGTAAGACGATCATTGAGTCTTACCCTCCCATGGCCCATTTGGATTACAAAGCACCCGCTACCATCCCAACAGCGGAGCGCCTTATGAATAAAGGCCAACGTTACGAAGACAATTCCATCAAGCAATTCCAATATTTGTTATCTGCAGTTTATCGTCCCCTCGACATTCTTAGCCATGAACTTGTCTCCTCAGAAGCTGGCAATCCAAACTTGGAACGCTATTGTACCATGCTTCAGGATATACGAAAATTGTTGTTACATCTCGATGCATCAATGACTCAAACCCGTAATAACATTGCTCTTCGTGCGATTGATCCTTCATTCTCTATGAAGCCTGCAAATGAAGTCAATTACACTCTCCCTTTGGAAGTATTCCAAGACACTCTGATTCAGCAGACTGCTGCAAGGAAGGCCACTCGGGAAGCATGTTGTATTTGTACATAACATCATAAAGATATAATAAAACATAAATGCTGAATATTCATTATACAATAATGTTGTATAAAAAATATCATTATGTCAAACATAAATTATGTAATTATTAAACGTAAAACCTGCAAATGAAGCCCTTATTGAATTAATGATATGTCAAATATAATACCAGATCATGATCTGTATCATGACTGTTGATAATATCATAAAGAGGTCAATATTTAACAGAACACCAATGAAACAGCATATATAAATATCATCTAGAACTACCAAGAAAAGTATAAATAGCCAAATAGTTTGTACAAGAAGAATAGTTATTTTTTTTATATATATATATATATAATATAGAATTTTTTTTTTTCTGATAAAATATTCTCACTTGTGCCTGTGTCTCACTATTTACTTTGTCTTTTTATATTCTTAAACCATACAATAGTAGCTCAGCGTTTGTTATATGTAAGGAAAAGCTTTAAAATTATATTTTATTTGTGTAATTGTTTCATTAATTAATAATATATTGGCAGTTTATTACAGTATTGTTAACGTTATATGGAAGTTTGCTTTGTGATAAGCAACACCTTCGGCTTATTGTTTGAATTGCTTAGAACGAGGAACAGTGCCTGTTCTACAATCGAATTTCTTAAGTGTCTCTTCTTTCTTCAAAGCCTTGCGTTCCAAAATTTCTATATTACTATCATGTATTATAACTATCTCATTTATTTTTTTGTGGATGCTACGAATGCCAAATATAATATACATTTGTTAACATACATGTATAATACTTTTTTCCGCTTTATTTTACCTCAGGAATTTTTGCAAGTCTTCGGTGTTTGTCGTCAAACCTGCATAGCTGATTATGCAAACACGAATCTTTTTAGAGCAGATCGAAAGGTATCGGAGAAAATCTAAGAACAATAGTTAGTACCAAAAGAAATCGCAGTATATGTACGCTTATAAATGTCTTCTGTTTACCTTGAGTATTCCCGTCGCCATACTTGTGCTCAATTTCGAAATCGCGTTTGAAAATTGGATCTTGGGCACTTGAACACGGTGACACGTAGATCTTTTCACGAAAACCAATATTAATTAATTTCGAAACCATCATTCGTACAAGTCTGTCACGAGTTTCATCTGATTCGTCTGTGGCGCTTTTTCGCACATACTCGATATTAATCCACTCACCATGTGAATTTTGAATGTGTTTCTTGAAACACTTTTTGCTGATATTAAGGTTTTCTTGTATGTTTTTCTTCAATACATATAATGATCTTCCTCTTACTGGTGCTTTATTTCCACTGAGCTTCTTTTGAGTCTGAACACCAAAGTGGTCTTTATGTTTATTCAATAACAAAGAAAACTGGTGCAGAGAGTATATATGTTGCAATCTGGGGAAATTGAAACTTAAAATCTTGTACATTTGATTATTGGTAAGGAAGTTGTAGTCATACAGCTAATTATTGTTCGGTTCTTGTTTGGTGAAAATAGAATTAGCTGTATCTAAAATACTTTCCATTGAATAGTTAAAAACAGCAGTTCGATGTTGATGACGTTACAGTTATCACAGATCCATCTGTACCATCATTGTTTTCATCCACAATGTCAATTTCATTTTTGACAGGATTCAAGTTTGGACTCCCTGGAGGCGTTTCTGGGTAATGCTTGTATTTATATGTATTCTTCGCAATAAGCGATTTTGCTATTACAACGGGCTCCAAGTAAGTTGTTCCATAGATATACGTAACTCCAAAAGGGGATTCTTTCATTATTTTTTTGGCTATTTGCCTATTTTCGTTTGTCATCTGGAGATCCAAAACTAGACATGAAGCTTGACCTAATGTTAACATTTTTTAAAAGAAAAGAATATTGCAATTCCCTTAGAGCATCCCCTTAAAATAATTAAATAAGTTTTTTTTTTTTTTTTTTTTTTTTTTTTTTTTTTTTTTGTAGCTGACTTCCATTTTTTTTTCTTTATTACATCTTTTCCGGAAATTATTCGTACAATTAAATGATTCATTTATTAAATTAAAAAAAGTGGTCATAATGTGCACAATAGTTTAAATAACTGTATTGCCCAAACCGGTTTGCGAAGTTAGGAGTTAAAAAAAATCTTCTAAGAGTCAAGAGAGAAAATGGAAAAAGTATTGAAGAATAAAGAAAAAATAATAAGGAGGAAAGTAAAACGAAAGAAAGAAAGATAGATAAAAAGGGAAAAAAAAATCAGAAACAAGACATAGACACTAACATTTTTATCATTGCAACCATTTCACCAAACTAGCACTGATACCAGTTGGAGGGGGAGGAAGATCTTCACCATGGAAAATAGGATCCAATTCATGTAGGGTCACGCAAATTTTAGGCCAACGTACAGACCAAAAAGAGATAGATGAAAATTTTTGGTTTTTTCAGGGGTAATAAATTGAGTAAGAAAGAAATAGGGTCTTTGATGGATCTGGGGCAATTGTAGACGACGGTGTATGTGCAGACATTCAGTAGCATGAACACGAGAAATATGAACTGCAGGATGGAAAAGACAGGGACGAGGTTTTCCACCAGGAAGCCAACCAAGACACCAGCGGAGTACCTGACTACGCTCCATACGTGTCATTAGGAGCCATAAAATAGGATCAGTCACCAAGGTTAAACGACAAGTAGAGATCGTTTGGGTATTTGGGTTATTACAGAGAGTGTCATGACTTTCTTGTAGAAATTTTTGTGTCAGCAATTTAAAAACACGATGATCCAATGGATCCAGCACAGGTTCACATTTTTTGCCGAAGAGGGTTGGAGACTAATTTATATCATCGTAAGCGGCTTGCAGATGTTAGTAAATGAAGCAGTAATTTTTTTATCAAGGTATCAACAGGAAGTTGTAATGTTCTAATTATGTATTTGGCTTGTAGTATTATTGATCTATCTTTAATTGAAGGTTGGTTGTTCATATGTAATATCACTTTAGTCGAAGATGTTCGAGATCCACCATACAATTTACGTACACATTCATTTTGACCCTATTCAAGTTGCTTTATATGAGATTGATTCGAGTCACAGATCGCTAACCCATATTCCATTTGTGAACGTACCATTTGTACATAGAAACGTCTTATGATTATAGTCGTCTTTACAACTAAGTTAGTAGAAATAAATCACCGTCACTTATTAAATAATAAAAAGGCTATTCATATAAAACTAGTATATTGAACTTCACAGCATAATATTCATTCTACACTCAGTTTTCATAATAGCCATTGTTAGAATGTTCGAAAAATAATAATAATTATATACATAATTCAAACAGGATTATGACTGGTGTATTCAATTACATAATTATCCATGAGTCATACATTTCATATATACATTGATAATGTTGAATATTGTTATGTAATAAAATCTTATACAATGATAATGATAGTAACTCATAAATAACTGATATCGTTGCAACTGAACATATTCACTGAGAATTAATATTGATATGTCGTATTCCAATGATAATGATTTGCTATGTTTCTAGGAACAGTGACAGCTCAGGGAGAAAAAAGAATAAAGATATATCTTATTGAATATAGAATTATTCGAAGACAATGTTTTATGTAAAATGCTTTATTACAGTAAAGCTTGGTTAACTGAATCATATTTCCATTAATAACACTTACCTTATAAAAACATATAAATAGCCCTCGATTTTTCCCTCATAATTTTGCGTTGTACAATTTTGTATTATCTTTAATAAACTATAAAAAGTTTTCGCAGACTTGTCTTCTGTTCTTTTCTCTTTCTTTATCTTTTGCTATTCTCAATTAGGTGGTAGCAAGTCTCAATTAAAGGTAGCAAGTCTCAATTATGATTAAAGAATTTTATTTAAAAATTAAAAATTGAAAAATGACCAATGAGCACATAGCATTTATATATGCTGTTTTGCCCTGGTCAGATCGCTATGGAAAACAAGGAAAGAAAAACCCTTTTGGGATAAAAGGGAAAATGTTAAAGTGTATGTAAAAGTGATGATAATTAATTATCGGAAAATCGTTGTTGTATTGAAAGAAGATGATGGTCAGAGGATTCAGGGATTTGGGAGTGAAGCTAGATAGTCCATCTCAAGTAGAATTGCACACATAGAAGATCAGCGTATGAGCCAGGCATCAATTGATTTTCTCACTTTCTTAGTATAAAATGTTGATGGTAATAGATTCAAGAGATAAGAGAGTGGATCTTCAATAGATTAGGGCATCTGAAGGCGGTTATGCATATGTAAACAAGAAAAACTATGTGAGCGTGTGAAGAGTTCGTTTGGATGGAAGGGGCAGGCTTGGGGTTTACCTCGATTATAATAACAGTCATACAGTAGTTTGTCGGTGACTGCCAGCTGGAATTTAGCTTTAATGGGCAAGTAGTTGTAAATAGTATCGCGAATAGCTTTATCAATTCATAATATCATGATTTGACTTGAAACTTTGATATGTGAAAGAGAAAGGGTTCTCTCCACACACCAGTTCACATTATTTTTACAAATCAAATCAAAACAAATAAACTATATATTTTTGTCATACTTTATCATCTGATTCTCACTTTACTCCTTAAAAATACAAATACAAATAAAAGACTTAGGAGAAAAAAATACAAGATTTATTTAATAGTAAATAAAACAACAATCCTTCACACCACGCATCATAGATAGAGGGTCAGATAGTATAACCAGCAGTTATAACAAAGAGGTTTTCAGATTAAATTGAAGAGTTTTTATTTATAATCTATAGAATTCTTAATGGTTTACTTACTGTCATAAATACCCAGGATTGGAGAAAGTGTATCTATTTTATTCTTGTAGTAAAATATAGTAAAATACATACGATACTATTTATACCCTTCTTGGCTTCTCGAAATCAATGTGTTTCGATACTAACAGGACTAACCAACGTGAAGGTGAGGGTATACTAGTCCCAAAAAAATAAAGTGGCATTCAATAGACTGCTTGCTCGGTTAAACTCCCCCAACCTATGAGCCTACCTACTCTACGGTATAAAAATAGAGATGGCAAGGTTACTAGTATTGTTCGTAAGCTTTCGCAAACTAGGTCGACCCCAGACTTGGCCATTGAATGCTCCCCACAGATCCTTATACCTTGCAATCTTACAAGAAAATTGCGATGAAAAGAAAAAAAAAAATAGAATGGTCCTGACCTTTATTTATATACTTTTTATTTTATTTTATTTTTTGAAACTCCCTGTGAAAAAAAAAATAAAAAATAAAAATGAAATAAATAGATACATTAAAAGAGTTACTTTGTGTGATTAAGATAAGCTTACACCTAATATTCAAGAAACTTAACAAACCATTACAGTGAATGGCTGTTTAGGACACTGCAAAGTAATATATTATTGAGATATAAACAATAATACTGGGTAAACTATTAAGCAGTACTGTTTAATTCAATTGCTTATTCTGTGTCAATATTTTTTCAGTAGCTATTATAGCTTATTCATATCTTCTTTGCGGAAAGGGATGATGATGAAATTCAGTAGTAAATCATTGGATGATTTGATATCAGCGATTATCAACAGAGTTATTTCAAATCCAGATGAAGAAAAAAAGAAGGATTGAAAAACTTGTCTACACACTTTTACTACAAACATTAACAATACTAACTAAATAGTATTTGTTTTTAAATAAAACTGCTTGTATGTTTCTTTATATAAATAAAATAATTGACTTTTAAAACTATTATCATTTGATCTTGTTGACTTTGCTACTTTTTTTCCAATTTTATATTTTATTATTCTAATATCTTGATAGAGATATCACATGATATCTGCATTAAGAAAACTCAGTGAGGATGATATCCCTATATCTAATTCTTACCGATCAAAACAACCTTCTATATCCTTTTATATTTTAAGTCTTTGTCCAAGTCATTCTTTCATACGCTTGAACGGTTTTAATATTAGCTTGATTTGAAGGAAAAAGAAAAAAAAAACCTAGACTCTTTGAATTAGAATTATCCTCCACGCTTATAAACCATTAATCAGAAGGCACAAAAAAAAAGTATGAATGTCTGCATTTTTTTGGTTTTTTTTTTTTTTTTTCATTTAAAAATGCTGCCTGTAAATTTGGAACGTATAGTTTAAATTACAGATCATCCAATAGAAAAAACTAAAATTGCCTAATTTTAAGGTTAAAACACCGTTAAAAGACGTACTCACCAGTAGTTGATCATCAGTTTTATGAGTGAAAAAAAAAAAAAAAAAAAAAAAAAAAAAAAAAAAAAAAAAAAAACTAGAGAATTGAGTACACATAAGGAATTTTCCTAAGCTTTCGTCAATTCTCGAATTAAAGAACAACATGAAATCAGTAAGAAACGATAATTCAGATGAAGGTTATATAGAACAAAAATTTGAGGATCCTTCATTTATTAAAGATTGGTCAGATGATCAAAAAGCAGGTAAATCTTTTTTAAAAAAGACAATTAAAGAAGACTAGTAATGATAATAATATGTTAATAGAACTAGCATATCAGATTTTATCATGTATTCCAGTTTCAAAGACTATACAAATAATAAATCGATTATTACCTATTATACATATTGACTATATTTCTGTAAGAAGAAGAAAAGAAAAAAAAAAAGAAAAAAAAATGAACACAAGCATAATAATATCAATTAATAGAAATTACCTTATGAAATTGCTATAAAAATATTATCTTTTTTGGATGTTACAGCATTAAACAATCTGAATAGAGTATCCAAGTATTGGAAATTATTAAGTGAAGATCACATGTTATGGAAATCATTATTTTACTCGTCAGGTTGGACAGTCAATAGTTCATCAATGAATCGATATCTTTGTTGTAAGACTTTACCTTCTACTACAAATAGAATGATAGGTTCCTCAGATCAATTATTATATAACGATGAACAGTCATCTTTGAGACTGCAGCATCAGCAGAGTCATAGAGAGACAGTATCACAAACAATAGTTGAACGTCCTCTCTACCTTCTTCATAAAAGATATCATCATGACGAAGCACCTATTTATCATTATGATGAACAAAAAGATATTCGCTTTATTAACTGGAAAAGACTATACCGTAATCGATTTATAATTGATCAACGATGGAAAGAAGGTAAAAGTAAACTACGGCAATTTCCTAATTCTGGTATGTGGAAAAATAAAATAAAATAGAATCGATAGTATAACAGAATCACACATATTAACTTATTATTATGTAGACAATGGACTACAACAACAAGTATTGAACCATAATAGTGGTATCTATTGTTTACAATTCAATACAAAAATATTAGTAACTGGAAGTAGAGATAAAAATATAAAGATTTGGAATATCAAAACAGGACAATTGTTACATAAATTAAAGGGACATGAAGGAAGTGTACTTTGTTTACAGTTCAATGAATATTACCTGATTAGTGGCAGTAGTGATAGTACATTAATTGTATGGGATATTCATACAGGACAACGTATAAAAACATTAATTGGACATAGGGAGAGTGTATTGAATGTTAAATTTCACAAGAATCGAATTGTTAGTTGTTCAAAAGACAGAACCATACGTGCTTGGGACCTTGAAAAGGGAGAATCGATAGGTCTATTTAGAGGCCATCGTGCTGCTGTCAATGCTGTACAATTCAAAGATCAGATTATTGTTTCTGCATCAGGAGATCGTACAATTAAAGTTTGGGATATGGTGTATAATAGATATAGATATAAATGTCTAATAGAATTTATAACTAATATATAATGTATATAGAGTACTGGTGAATGTTTAAGAACATTAGATTCACATAGTAGAGGCATTGCTTGTGTAGAATATGATGGAAATATGATTGTGAGTGGATCAAGTGATCAAACCATTAAAGTATGGAATGCAATGACAGGTGAATGTCTTTATACGTTAGTGGGACATACAGACCTTGTTCGAACATTACAATTGGATAATAAATTGAAGATAATTGTGAGTGGCAGTTATGATGGGACACTTAAGATATGGCAACTAGAAGATGGAAGTTTAATAAAAACATTAAATCAAATATCTTTTGGAAGGTAAACAAAAAAAGAAGAAAAACTGAAGACCATAGATATTTATATTTATATTTATTTTTTTTTAACAAATTTATTTTATTTTTAGAATATTAAACCTTCAGTTTGATTTCAGTAAAATTGTGTGTTGCTCTAATCTTGGTCAAATAGTGATTTGGGACTTTACGTATGATATAGATTCACAATTTCTTCTATAAAACTATCTTTTATATTACCATTTTTTTTTAATTTGATACTTTCTATAAAGTACTGCTGAAAATATACACATATGTGTATGTGTTTTTTCTTTTCTTCTTTAAGAAAAAGTAAACAGGATAAGATAATATACAATGTTATCTCATACCGGGCTGTTGTTTAGACATTATATGGATTGCTACTCTTATTAATTAAAATATTGTTAAAATAGCTTATGATATTCTTATCCTTTTTTACAAGTATTATAAGTTGAAAACAAATAGATGGTATTTTAAATATCAAAATGTTATAGTCAGCATAATAATAGTTTTGAATTGGATTAAAAGAATGAAGCAAAACTAATATACCTCATATAAAAAGACCATTATGCATTCTCATAATTCATATATGTGTCATATTATTGTCATGCATATATGTATATATATATTCTTTTCAACTAGCTTTGTTTGCATCGATTTAAGTTCTTCCTTGAGAGGCTGTAAGGATAATAAATCTACTACTTTAATATACAAAAGATGCATGTAGCACCCCATATTAATTCATTCTCACTGGCTTGATCTAGGGGAATTTGCCAATCTCTGTCTCTATCCAAGTCGTATCAGTTTTTTTTTTTTTTTTTTTTTTTTTTTTTTTTTTTTTTTTTTTTTTTTTGTAGCATGATTGATGCCATATGAAGAAAAAAATCAGGTTAGGGATGTTGCAAGTGTAACTAGTTAAGTAGCATGGGTCGTTACACTATGAATATAGATGATGCCATTATTGATGCAGTAAGTACTTCATCTTTTGAGTTATTATGTTTAGAAACAAATTCCTTAAAAAAAAGAACCCCCTATTCGAGATTATTTAACTATTGAATTAGATGCCAAGGTTACTATCTCGCTAGTTGTCATAATTTTGACGACAGAAATTCACTCATCCACATAGACTACACACAATTATCATCTACATTTTATGCCCATACCAGCAATATAATAATTATATCGTTCTATAAATGATTAGGGTACTGTTGACAGTTTAAAAAAAGTATTGTGCAATGTTGATCAACCTGAAATTTTTATTAGAAGCAATGAAATCGGGCGAAAATCCAAGAAAAAATATATATGTATTGAAATATAGAAAAATGTGATGGATTCAACGTATAGAGTCAACTGTTTATTTTGGAACTACCAAATAAATAAACTTCCTTGAAATACAATAATAGGTCTAAATATCTGTCTATTTTTTTTTTCTTTACTGTCGAAGATACGATGTATTCCTCCAATGTTCTTCTTTGATTTTACAAATATATATATTCATATGTATACTGTTGAAATCTTGTATTTGTTAAACTTGTTGTGGAGAAATAGTTATGATAGATACTTTTCTGTAAAAGGTCCCGAGTAACTTTATTGGTGATGGGATCTTGATCTATTGAGTACCAAATTATAGGTACTAAAGAACTTGTTAAAGGTTATGGATTAGGCGAAATGGGTTTTAATAGCCATGTTAAGTGATATTGTTTTGAGGATTTACCCACATTAAAGTAAAGTAAACTTAACTAGTAGAACATATACAGTAGATAAAGTTATTAGTGATGAAAAGTGTCGTTATTAGACTTCCTACTGTTATTAAGATATTTGCTACTATAATTGTTGTAAATGTTAGTCACGAAATAATTTTAAAATTGTCTATAATGGAAGGGAGGGGAAGGGAGGGGAATCTGTTTTGTTGAAACAGAGGACACGACCGAAAAAAAAAAGATGAAAAAAGGGGATGACTGCAAAAAGAGTTGTAGCAATCTTAGTATATATTCCCTGTTACAGTATAAACACAAAGCAAGAGTCGACAAGTAACTATATTAATTGCAATATAATTTTCAAGTTGAGAATTGTTATTTCTCACTGTTAACAATACATGACTAAGTATATCTAATAAGTGGAAAACAGTTGATAAAAGTTATTAGTGAAACTTGAATACCAAATCTTCTATTTTTTTTTTAGCATTAACAAACATATTTGGAGATTGATATTCTGAGTTAACTATTGAAGTTTGGATGCTGATTTTTTTTTTTTTTTCGTTCAGCGTCTGACAATAACAATGATAAAGTAAACAAAGCAATATCATGTGTAACAAAGCTGTCATAATATCGGAAGGTTATTAACTGTAGACTGATTGAATATATAAAAAAAATACTCCTTCAGCTCTTAACAGTATTAGAATAGATTATTGATTTTTGATGGCTGTTATACGTCTGTTGTTAGGTTAGTGTTGTAAAGCGATTGTTTGTTTATTAAATGCTCATAATCGTTCTTCATTTGATGGCATTTGTACAACAGAGATGGTGACTAAACTAAAGAAGAAGGTTACGTATTTGTGCACACAATTTGATAATATTTATATATTTTTCTTTGTTTGAATTCCCTAAAAATAAAACAAAGGAAGAGGATACTAGCATATTAATTTTCCTATTTTGTTCTTCAAGCCTAATTATACAGGATGCAGATTAGGAAATTCTTAAGCGTGTATTAAATATCTATTTTCCGCCTATTGACATTTTAAATTCCGAAATATAAATTTCGTTGTGTGCAATTTGGTATAATGGCGGACAGTGTAAATAAAAATTGATTTATTACGCACTGAAACTTTTTAATTTAATTGACTAAAACAGCCTTTTATTAAAGTTAATAAAAATAAATATAAACAACAATGAGAGCCTTACTTAAAGATGAATAGTAATAATAATAGAAATTAAAGTCAATAATTGTACAAGTTCAAACAAAGTAAAGAAAGTATTTATACCTTTTTTTTTAAAAAAAAAAAAAGAATTGAATTTCACTAGATTTTTGACTTTTAATCATTATTTAATATTTTCTTTCAACAAACATAAAGTTCCTCACCTGACTTGTTTTTTTTTTTTTTTTTTTTTTTTTTAACTATTTTATATATTCTTCTTTTCTTTTTTATTTATTCATTTTTAATATACCTAGTGTTTTTATTTTACTCTTTACTCTTTACTTTTTATTCTTTATTCTTTACTCTCTTTACTCTTTACTTTTTACTTTTTACTTTTTACTCTTTATTCTTTATTCTTTACTCTCTTTACTCTTTACTCTCTTTACTCTTTACTTTTTATTTTTTTTACTATTCTATTAATGACATCAAATCATCGATTTTCTAATCATAATGAAAAGAACATTAGTGACGATGACAATAGCAGCATAGATCTAGTCGATTCAGACGATAGCACAAGTCAATATACCCCAAGACAAAGACCTGTACGTAGAAAAGTGTCAATGGCAACTCGTAGACATTCTCGAATGCTATATTTAGAAAAATATGGTCTTAATCAGCCTAATTGGCATTCATCAACTGACGATTATGATCAGCATACAAAATCAGAAAATGAAGAAGAACAAGTAGATATAATAATGACAGACGAACCAGAATCAATCACACCAGCCACTTTTGCCCCAAACACACAGACCATTGTTGATATACCTGTGAAACGTCCTGTCTCTATTCGAAATTTCGTTCAACATTCTGATTCTCAAAAACGCCCCGCTCAATTCATTAAACCTTCCAAGTCGGAAAAGATAATCGATCTTCCGCCTACTGAATTCACCCATGTACATAAACTAATTAAATCATATACTCAAAAAGTCTATATGGAGGGCTATTTACATAAGCGAAACGATCTTAATTCAAAAGGCTCTACTTGCTCTCAAAAGAAATGGTATCTTTGGTATGTAGAGTTATGTGGCCCAGTATTGACACTTTGGGATGCAACAGAACCAGAAAGTGGTAAAGAAGTATATCCTCAATACATTAATATTACTGATTCAACTGTCACTGTCGAAAAATGCTTGACAGCAGAGACACGAGATAATCTATTTTCATTGAATTCGGCTGGTGCAAATCGTTTCCTTTTACAAGCAAATGATACCGAATCCCTTTATCGTTGGATTTCTGCTATTCGTCTTTCTTGTTTTGAATGTTCCCGTATTCAAGAGATCTACACAAGAGCTTTTATCACGCGTTCTCATTTTAGCTCTCTTTTGATTTCTAATAAGGAAAATTCATTTGTTGAGGGCTTTGTTCAAGTTAGACTTCCGGGTGCTACCGGTTGGAAAAAATACTGGGCTGTAGCTTCCAACTATAAAATTGAAAAGCGTTTATTTACTAAAAAAGTGGTGCCTACGGATGGTCAGATCATGTTCTTTGAATCAAGAAAGGCTAAATACCCTATTATGGCGTTTGAAAATGTCGTACAAGCCTATACTGTATATCCTGAATCACCCAAGTTGATCAACTTGGCTACTCTATTTAAAGTAGAAGGTTCTTTATATAAGAATAAAATGAATGGATCCAGCCAACAATTAATAAGTACTTCTTCAAGTGCTTTAATAATGACTTCTACTACAAATGAACTTGTACAATGGCTGGTGGGTCTCTATGATGTCTTCAAGTTATATGGTAGACCAGGAAATTTACTTGACAATCCAAAGGATCCGAAGGCATTAAATTTTGGTGATTTGTTTCCACGTGAGAATGACGTAGAAAATACTCAACGATTATTTCTTGAGCCTCAGGAAGTTTCTTTAGTAGATGTAGGTTATCAGAGCAGTTTGCTAGCCAATAAAAAGGAGTTTGTTGCTATTTTACAACAAAAATTAGTTAATAAAAATAATAAGAATGTATCACAGCAACAGCAGCAGCAGCAGCAGCAGCATCAACAGACATTATCTAATAGCAGTAGCAGTAGCAATCCTAATGACCATAGTGGTCCTCTTCCTTCTTCTACATATGTTACAAATGGACGTCGTCTTTCAGCTCGAACTTTAATTCCAAACCAATTAAGACACAATAACGTTAGCAACACAACACAGCCTACGCAATTAAGAACAGTCACCTGTGCAAGTGATGTAAGTGATGAAGAAGATGAAGACTCGCTTATAGCCAGTGATAATAGTGATAATGAGTCCTTATACAAACTATCAACTGGAGGTTTTAAACTACCAACAACAAAACCACTTTCAACTAAAAGTATTGACAAAGTATCAATTACGAAGCCTATTACGCCCAACACGTCTAAATCCAGTTCTGAAATATCTACTGAGGTATCCCCTACTACTGCAACTAATGAAGATTTATTTTTACCTACTGTAATGGATATAATGTCAGACCAAGAACATAACTTTGCGGATAGTCTTTTAGCAGAGACAAGCAATTACCATTCAAATAAACCAGGATATTCAATGAATAAAAAGGGAGGAGTGTCTAGTGAAGAAGGTTTGAGTATAACTTCGTCTGAATCATCAACCAATTATAAAAATAATAAAGTAACTGTACCGAAATCTTCTTCAGCTTACTATTATCATAGTCAGCAGCCCAGAGGTAGTTTCCAAGGTCATTCAACGATGCAGCCATGGACTACGTATTCATCGGCAGGATCGGTGATTGAACGTAGAAATAATTGGGAAACATCTTCAGTTGATCCTTATATGATGATGGGCGAAGGAGATACGAGGTCTTTCTTTAGTAGTCATGAAGCAATTCACTTACAACAATATCAACAGCCTAGTTACTATTCTAGTAGTCTTCCAGGTGACGATACATTACCAGCAGCATCAATAGCACTAGCTTCCGAAAATAGTTTTATTACTCGAAATAGTTTAATGGATCAAGTAGATTATAAACGTAAGGTAGCCAAGAAGATGGAACGAAATGCACGTGCTTCAGGACAGCCTATGGTTCATGTCCCTGTTAAAAAATCACCACCCCGAGCAGGTCTTATGGGAATTATTGAAGAGAAAGGACGTGAAAAGCGAACAAATAATATGCCACGTGCTCATGGTTTAGTAAAAGATGAACAACCAGCCATGCATGATCACTGGATGATGGATCAAAGACAAATTATGGCGCAACAGGTAAATATATATATACATATATATAATATATGCAGAATAATCTAATATTCCTTCCTTACTTTATATATATTTTAGTGTTATCCTATGAATGGAGGAATGATGCCAATGATGATGCCTGTAATGGAGCCACCCATGATGCCAATGATGGATCCACGCATGATGTCTCAAAATCTTCCTCAGAACATGATGGGATATAATCCACATATAATGTCATCGCCACCAATGGCACCTATGATGCAACATTATGGTCCAATGTCCATGTCTTCACCAACAATCAATGTTATTCCTCCAACGAGTAATAGTAGAAGCCGTCATTCTCAGCAACCTTCAACAAATGATAAGCATACTCATACTAGACGGAACAGAGCCATATCCTCGGAAGCTTCTATATCTAATAGTATTCATAGTAACATAACCAATTCCAAACAGACATCTATTAGTTCAAAAAGGAACAGAAATTATTATTAATGTGTATTTTATTATTATTATGTAAATAAAGAAATTATAGTGACAAAAAAAAAAAAAGACACCATGCAGTCTAGTAATTAATATACACATATTCTTCAATAATTTTGTAGTATGCGTTATATGTTCTAATATAATCATAATCTTATTAAAGATGTCTCCTATCATTATCGCCTTAATTTCTTAATTCATAACATTAATTACTAAAATACTCAGCCAGGATTATTGTGGACAAAAGAATTTACTTTACTTTTCAATACACATACATATACAGTTGTTCCAGCGCCAAAGGGCGGTTTTCATTTTTTCAAAAGTCGGTTTCTTTTCTTTTGAAGTTCGTTTTTTTTTTAATAAGACGACTACTCGTTTTTGGTCTATGAAGACGGTGAGTGTAAAATAGTTGATGAGCAAGGGAATGATGCTATGGATTAGGATGAGGAAGTCACTTCTTTCCATTTAAAAACTTTGACCCGTATAAGAGAATATTGCGAAAAGCAAGAAGATGTAGAGTTATCATCTAAAGAAGACATAGAAAAGCTTGATATTGATATGGAGGAAGTTATCGCTGTAGTTAAAAAGCAGATTGAGATTTATCATAAATACTCATTAAATGAGCAAAAGCTTCTGTTTGTGTACTATAATAGAATCAAGCTATTTAATGCTGCTAAATCTGAGCACTTGGCAGGCAGCATAAACGAGCGAACAGCACAAAAAACGGGCTAAAAAACTTAAGGAGGACAAAGACTGGAATATTTTTGAGAAACAGACCAATTTGGTGAATAGAGCAAAAACACAATTAGACGATAATCACAAGCTTCATCTTCTGAACTTTTACGACGACTATACACAAGCACGAGCAGTTGATGCGATGGACTCCCTCACTCAAAAATTCTCTGATCTTAATGTGAAGAGTACAGTCCATAACTTTTTGAAAACCTAGTGTAATCTTTCCTTTAAAAAGCTGACAACTCAACCAGCTGCTGGAAATAATCTAGTCAAGATTCATGACCGTATGGACTGGGTTCTTAAGTGGAGTGCAACGGATATGATCTATGTAGAAAATTATGTTTTGTTGATGAGTTTGGATTTAATATCAACATGAAGCTTCCTAGTGGATGGTCATTGAAAGGGAAGTCTGATGTTTACAGCTACTCCTACCGGAAGGGCTGTTTCTCACACTGTATTAGGTGCTATCTCAGCGAAGTTTGTTGTTTCTATGATACTTTGTAATCCCGCAGAAGAACACTCAAAACGAATCAAAATTAACTTTGTTAATCACAAAAGAAAAGTGCCAGGTCAAACCAAGATTCCAACTTCAAAAGGCACTATCACTAATCATTATATGAAGTTTCTTGGAAAAAACCCAGAATGAAATGGATTGTTTTCCTGAACTAAAAGGCTAATATATTGTAACGGATAATGCACCCATTCATACAGCGGGCCAAATTGATGAGATGATAGTTGCAAGAGGGTACAAAAGTATCTACCTTCAATAAAATTTATGGATGAGCAGTCAAAAATTTAATTTACACCTTTTCCGGAAATTATTCGTACACTAAGTAAAAAATCAAGTTGTAAAAAAAAATAAAATATCAAGTACAGACAAAATAAAATATTGTACACTTAAAAACACATTAGACTAATTAATATTTCGAGCACTTTCTTCAGATGGAGGTCGACAATCCTGATTATCCTATTGCAGATGTTACAAGTTATGGGGAATATTTAGATTTAAAGCCTCCCGAGAAACATCATAAGACTAACAAAGTTGTATCAAAAGAGAAAAAAAAAGGTAGTAAAAGAAGAGTTTGAAAGCAACAAGAAAACGTATCGAAACTACAGAAAGGAAGAAATGGACTATTTCTTCTTTCTCGTGAGCGAGAAGGGTATGTTCGTTCGTGGGGCAGCTAAACAAATAGGTGTTCCTGCTAGTACCGCTGCTTCATGGTACAAAAAAAGGTCTTGAGGATCCAGACGAACTTGCCTACAAAAGAAAACCAGGAAGCGGAAGGTCTGTGGGAAGACCTCCTATCTTGAACGATGCCCATCGTGAGTACCTTATCAATTTGGTTGATGAGGATGATTCAGGCATGACTCTGGATCAAATAATGGATAGATTAACCAAGGGCTTTGAAGGGCTTGAGATAAAAAAAAAATCTGCTTTCCATCCTTTTGTAAAGGAAAAGTGCAAAATAAGCTGTAAGAAATTTTATTTCTATCCTGAAGATAGAAACAGCCCTAAAAAGATTGAGGAGAGATACAAGTGGGTTAAAAATCTGTTGGATAATACTGATATTGATTATCAATTCAACTGTATTTTTATTGACGAAGCAGGATTTCATATCAATATGAAACGCTCTTTTTCTTGGTCTCGTGTCGGCAATCGCGCTATTGTTAAGACACCAAAAACCAAGGCCAAAATAATGAAACTTCATGCTCCCGGCTTGTATACCATACAGCACATAGGCTCAGTTGATATACCTAGTAGTATCCATTTCTTGCGTGATCTAAGAAAGAAGACGATACCAAGATTGAAATTTATGAAAGTAAGTCTTTGAAAATATCCATGAAAGTAAATAATTAACAACTCCATGATAATTATTAGTACCATGCCTTGAAGAACGCTCACATCTTGTTGAAGCCCCTTGAAAAAGAAGCAAAATTAAAGAAGAAGAGTACATCATATAGAAGATCACCATCTTACGATGATGCCGAGACTTGTACAAAGTGGACGAGAAGCACTTGGTTCCCAAGTTCGAGAGCGGGTGCTCCAATCGTTATCCTCAGGGATATCTTTTAGTATATTGTATATATTGTATACAAAATGAGGAAAACACATAAGGACCTCAAAGTAGTATTTTCATGGAGTTCTCTTTCATCTTATATCTAAAATATTTTTTTTTTACAATATGCCTTTCTCAATTAAGTTAAAGGTAAGCTCTCTCTTTTTATTTCAACCATTAATATTAAGTGGCGTGCATAAATGCGGTACGTAACTGAAGCGTTAATAAAGATTTCTCATTTAAATTTAAAAATAAATGCTTATAAGCATTGGGGTCTTTTGAAGAAAAAGCTCGACTATTTGACGAAGATATATCGTCAGTAGTAGGGCAACAGTTATAAATACAAGACATATTGTATGAATTTCATACTTTTTTTTACAAAAATACACTCCTTGTATACTGCTCTGGAGTTCCTTGTTTTCCACAGCATTCTCTTATACGGGTCAAAGTTTTTAAATGGAAAAGAGTGACTTCCTCATCCTAATCCATAGCATCATTCCCTTGCTCATCAACTACTTTACATTAACTGTCTTCATAGACTAAAAACGAGTAGTCATCTTATTAAAAAAAAAACTGTTATAGACATTAGGAGGCCTATATTATTCTTTTCTATAGATTTATTGCTTTCATTTGTATGATCTTAGTTGATAGACATGCATCTTTGTTGTGTCAAACAGAGACACTATTTTAATGTCCTTCTATGAAACAGGCAAACGGTGAAAGTAGGTCTATTTTGAATGAATTGTTAGAAAGATTTTATTTCTTTTTGATAGACATTATATTCAATTATTCGCTTGAGAAGCAAAATAAAAAAGAGAAAAAAAAAAGGAAGGGGAGGGGAGGGCTAACTTTATAATGTTATTCATAATAGAAAGATAAAACTGATGCAGACAGTATATCTCAAGTCTTTCTTTCATTTGTATCAGTTTGTTATTGAATTATTTTGATTTATAAATATACATACTTATTTATATAAATGTATACATATTCAAATATTTCAATAACAAATGTTTGTTTTTAGGCAACAAAATCCTGGATTTGTTTTGTTGCTTAGAAACAGTAAACATTTCTGGGTTATAAAAAAAATTCTTAAAAAGGTAAAAGCTGTCAAATAAAAAAAAAAAAAATTTGTAATTTTAGTTGGTGCAATACTACAGCCATGAATGTTTAGGATAATAATAATAATTCACTATTTTTAACACATGCTGCATACATTTGAACCTCTCATCATAATTTTTCATTTTTTTTTTAATGTAATAATTATCATATTAAAATAAAATCTTCATCGCCTGTCCACACTCGGTTAAACCCTCTTTATTGCCGGATCCAAGCTCTAGCAAAAACGATGTTAAAGAGTTACATTACCTCCCCGACTTTGAGATGTCTTCTGTATTTGAATAAAAAAAAATGCCGACTTGTGGGTTTATATACAATTAAAAAAAAAAAAAAGAAAAACCGAAAAACCAAAAACAAATGTTTATAATAATAAATATTATAATTTATTAAATATACAAATATACATCTGGAAATTTTGAATTTATTAAAACGTGCTTCTAAATTTCTTAATCTCTACCATAACTGTTTGGACCCCTACAAATTGAATTCGAGAGGCACCATCTCCACGTTTCTCCAAGATATCTAGGAATTTCGTATAATAAACTATCAACTGTCCTAAAACGGCATGAAGCACTGTTGTACCATTCCTAAAATTTGAGAAATACTGTATCACTGAGGCATTAATCAACTTGAGTGATTGTCTCCAAGTTTGAGCAAAATGTGCTGAAATTCTTTCAAGATCAACTATTTCAATTACTCGAAGATCTTTTAACTGTTCTGATTTCTTCACCAATTCAACCAATGATCCGAAATAAGGTTTGAGTTGCTCATCTACAAAAACACTTGTCTGTAGAGCTAATAATTGCTTTACGTAATCCAATTCTGATTCTACTGATCGACTGTGCGTTTCCTTTATAAATATGAATATTCATTATATGTATATATATATTTATATTCATATATCTATTGTTATGTTTTGATTTATATATATTTACTTGGAAAACATTGACAATTAAATCATAATTGTTGATAAGAAAAGCAATACGTCTTAGAGATTCTGTAAATTCATGAGACATACGCGATAGAACTGCTTCAAACTCATCTCGTAATTTATGTACACTATTTAGAGATAAGTTCATTTCATGCTATATATATATATATATATTTATAAAGTTACCTTTTTGATAGAATAGCATCATCATATCCATCATTTAACACCAGTAACGATGCTGCAAATTCAGCATATCTTCTAGTGATCTAACATTAAAATAACATATGTTACTATGATATAGCTACCGTCAATTTCAAGATATATATATATATTTACATAGTGTGGATGAATATCTTTAACAGCATTCATGACTGATCTACTATTAAACATTTTCTTTAAACTTTCTACATGAAGTGACATAACAAATTGAAAACGAGGCCACAATAACATATTTGTTGCATTCGTGTATCCTTCTAATGCGGGTACTTTTCTTCTTTGAAGCTCAAGTGCTAATTGAGTATTAATTCGAATACATAGCAATAATCCAACAGCGTCAAATGAATTTTCAACATAGGCTTTTGTAAAATTCTAAATAATTCATTAATAAAAAAAAAATCTATATCATCTGTAATCAAATAATTAACTTACTAGACCCACTTTTTCAGTGGGTTCAAAAATGAATTGAAAGATAACTTTAGCGGTATCAGCAGCAGTTTTAATTTCCCTTGAAAAAAATTCATAAACGAATAGATATTCAGAACTTGCATTATCGATTAATGTTAAATTGAAGCTTCTAAAAAGTTGTTCGAATTGGTATTTCTGGAATAAATTTAAAGGTAAAAAAAAATAAGTTTTTATAGGTAGTATAAATAGATATTATATGTACTTGATCTTTTGCTTCTGCAACATGAACTAAGATGACACCAGGGTCTTGCATTCTCAATGTATCGCTTCTGTTACCCAAAGCGAATATATTTGCTTTTTCTTTAAGTGCTAATTTACTTGATCCAAATAACCCCCCTTTACGATTATTTTCTTCAACACCGATTAAATCTGATTTATCTGCAGATACAATCTATTCATTCAACATATAATAATTATGCTCGACAATATACAAATAAATATAGACAAATTATTAGCTTTACCTGTAATTTCTGTAATCCTCGACTATATCGTTCAAAATGATTCTGAAAGTACCATCTCAGCGAATTCATATAAGATTGTCTAACTTCCCTAGCTGCATCATGATGTCTTTCCAAAAGGAAAAAGTGTAATTCTTTATACTTTAAGAACACTGACTGTTGCATAATCTGAATATTGGCATTCGGAACACCTAGGAGTTGAATTCTTGAGATGAAAAAATCACGAATTGCTGACGCTGCCTTTAAACGCAACTTCTCTAATTCCGGCCCCACATTTCGTAATGCTTTAATAGGTCGGTGTTGGTTTGCTTTTACAAATCGCATCTGCTTGTTAATGGTTAACAAATAATTGAGCCATACTTCATCTATTTCGCCTTCTGTCATTTTCTTTATGACATTTGGGGGAATCACCATGCCTTGTAAAGCTTTTCCTAATTTATTTTCAATAGCCTATTTATGATGTATGAATATATACATACATGCATACATGTAATCTCTTATGCATAATTACCTTTCTATTTTTTAATTTAATACTCATTAAAGTAGACTGCTCCTGTAAGTTCTGAATTTCTCCACTGATATTTCCCAAATCGCTTTGAAACACATTTAACAATTCTTCCATATGGCCTAAGATTTCGTCACAAGACTACTTTAAAATGTTAAGAATCGAAAATACTCTTTTAATATCCCATATAAAGTAGTGTACCTGTATTTCTGTATGCAAATCAACAAAATGTTGTATATTCTCTATATCTATAGAAATGTAAACATTGTATTTATTTCCTTCATTTCCTGGTCTTTTTTAGTTATTTACAATTATTTTCTAGATCCCTTTGAACTGATATTTTTTCTTCTGCAATTTGTTTGGCATATTCACGTAAATCCATTTCATTCGCTAAAGCTTGACTTACAATATCATCTTCTTGAAATGCTAACAACTGATCTATATGTATATACATGTTTAAAATAAAAAAAAAAAAGGATAATTACTATTGTTTCCACTTTTTATTTTATTTTTTTCTACAAGTACCATCCATTTCGTCGAATGTGATTTGATTAAAGTCGATTTCACTTTCTTCTAAAAAATCTTCTTCGTTATCAGTGCTTACACTCTATATAATACGCGTTATTCATACTCTTTGTTTTTGTTCGTATGTTTTATATAATTACTTTTTGTAACTCATTTGTCGAACTTTGTAACAAATTATCTAATTCTTTTAAAGTATCTGTACTAGTTTGCTCAGGTACATTTGTTTCAGCCTCCATTGGGATAGTTGGTAATTCCTTTTGTAAATCTAGTGTATTCGTCTTTGTTTTATTATTTGATGCATCTGTAGGCAACATTTTTCTGCCAATTGTATTTGTATATGTAGATAGATGTATTATATTTATTTAAAAAAAAAAAAAAAAAAAAAGGAAAGGCGAAAATTGAATGTTAATTTTGTGCGACCGATATTTGTCTCTCCCTTTTGAAATACGTAGCAGCATAAAATTAAATAAAGAATGCTATGGATCTCATTCCACACATTTAGTTTTACTAATTTGTCCAAGTATATTCTAACAATAGCCAGTATTAAAACTAACTGTGTGTCGAGTGAATATTTATGCTGTAAAGTACAATAAATTCGTTTTATTTGAATAACCTCTTTATTATATAATAAATAATGGGTTGCTTCTATTAACTAAAAGTACACTTTTCTTCTTCTTCAAAATATTAGGCTCGTCATACTAAAATAGATATTAATTATGATAAACGAAGAACTAAATGCAATGACAGAGTCTGTAAATATTCTTGAGTTTCTTTTTTTTTTCTTGTTTGTTAAAAATCGTTCACTACAAAGGAAGACAAGCTAATTGAATATCTTTAGGTTGAATAGTAATCCCTTCAGTATTAACTGCAGTAAAATGAGTAAAAAAGAAAAGAAAAACTCCTTTACCTTGAACTGGCTCGGGTAAAATCCAATATGCTATCGATATTATGTGCTACTCACTAGTCATTCTCTCAATAAATAATATATTTAGAGAGCTTACCTTATTTTTCAATTAAACTCAGTCGTCAACAAACAAACAAACAAACAAACAAACCCCCCAGCTTAAAACCCTAACACACCCTCTTCTTCTTCTTCCTTTTTTTTCCGTTGTTGTATAATAATAGCAACACTACTACTCAGTAGTAATAATCTCTTTGTTAAAATAAGAAGAAGTCACATTACACTGATGAGTCTTTGTTTTTTAGTCTAATATCTTGACACAGTTAGAAAATTATGGTCATTAATAACAATGATAATAGAAGGAAGAAGAAGAAGTGTACAGTTTATTATTATTATTATTTTTTTGTTTTTTTTATCTATAATTGATTATAAAATATTTACTAGTTTTATGTAAGATTTTTTGTTTCAGTTTATTTAGTTGCTTCAACATCATCTTCCTTCTGTGATTTCTTCACAGCTTCGTTTGCAGCTTCAACAGCGTCTTCCTTCTTTAATTCCTTGACAGCTTCTTGAGCTTCCTTTGCAGCTTCAACACCTTCATTTTCCTTTTCATTTAAATGGTTACTACCAAGTCTTTTCTTATTAGAATATCTTCTTTTAAACTTTCTTGTTCTCTTGGGCTTTTCTTGTTCTTCATTTTCTTCTCCTTCACTTTGTTGTTGTTGTCTGCTCTTTCTACGAGGTTTCTTTTTATACTTTCTGTCAGCTCTTTTATCCTCGGTGTTTTTTACAGAAGTAGCAGCAGAGATATGAATAGGACGTCCATCTAATTCAAAATTAACAAACTCTGTCAAAACCTTTTGCATTTCATCTACTGTCTTTAATTCAACAAAACCATAGCCCTTGGAACGACCACTAAGAAGGTATAGAATGCAATAATGGAATGTAAGAGAATAAAATTGGATATAAAAAAAAATAAAGAGGGAAACTTACTTTTTTTGAATAGCGATGATAGCAGACTCAACTTGATATTCCTTGAACACATCTTTTAAGCCATCTACTTTTAATTTGCGAGGAAGGTTTGCAACAAAGACGGTTGACTTTGGTTTAGGTTCTGGTGGTACTTGTTCAGATGTCTCGATAGAAGAAACAGGATCAATAGTGGGCGTTGACTCTTGGTCACCTTTCTTCTTTTCATCCATTTTTTCTACCTTTTCTTTATCATTCTCCTTGACAGCTTTAGCCTCCTTTTCCGTGACTGTCTCTTCCTTTTCATTCTCTTTTACTGTTTCGTCTTTATGATCATTTTTCTGTGTATAATTTAGTTAGTCTTTTTATATAAAAGCCCATTTATTTGTATTGTGTATTGTGTATTGTGTATTTTGTATTTTGTATTTTGTATTGTGTATTATTTTTTATTATTTTGTATTATTTTGTATTATTTTTATTTTATTCTATTTTTTTTTTTTTTTTTTTTTTTTTTACCTTTGTTTTACGCGACTTTTTGTTGGATTTCTTCTTAATTTTCTTTTCCGTAGTAGTAGTTGTGTTCAAATTCTCTTCTTCAGAATTTTGTTGACTGCTTTCCTTTGAACTTGACTCATCTACAGTATTTTCCTTTGGCTCCTTTGGTCTAGCCATTTGCACGTGAAGTTTACGACCATCCAATTCCTTTTGGTTTAATTCTTCGACTGCCTTTTCAGCTTCAGCCAAGGAGCTATATCCAATAAAACCAAAACAGTTTCTGAAGGGTTTATACTTTCTTCGAATGATAATAGGTTCTACACTATAGAAAATAGATTCAATACATAATGAATAGCACAAATAATAAACAAACTTACACTTTGCCAACCTCATTAAAAAAGGCTTTGATGGATTCATTTGTACTTTTTAAACTCAAATTACCCACATAGACCTTTATATGTATATATATATACATTTAATATACTATTTAGACTAAAACATACATACGTGACCACATATCCATTCACTATACCTTAAATGTTTCTTCTTCAACAGAGGATTCAACAGGACTAGTGGTGCTGTTTTCTTCAACGGAAGGGGTTGTTGCAGTAGTCTTATCAGTGGAAGGTGTTGTTGAGGACATGTTATTTCTATTAAAAGCAAAAAAAAATAAATAAATAAAATGCGTTTTGACTATAATTTCTTACTTACCAAAGTCAATTTATTTATTTATTTTTTAAAGAAAATAATAATAAAAAAAAAAAAGTAAAAAAGAATATTATAAAAAAAAAAAAAAAAAAAAAAGATGGAAAAAAAAGAAATTTTTTAGTTGCCAAAAAAAAAAAATTCATGCTGATGCTGACACGTCATTTGAACGTTTTATTTTTTTATTTTGTTTTATTTTTCAGTTACTTGAAATTCAGATAAATTTATTATTTAACAATAAAGAGGAAAGAAGCTTTTATGGCTTTTTCTTTTGTAAAAAAAAAAAAGAAGTTAGCCTAGACTTTTCATTATTCATAATACTGAATTTGTTATTATTATTCGTAAAGTTAATAATAATAAAAAATCGTTCAATTTACTGTCATCTTCTTTTACTTTCTATCTCTTTCTTTTTTTTTTTAAGAAATTAAAAGAGCGAATATGATGGTAGTAATATTCAACAAGGCTTATTACCCTTTTTTTTTTGTTTCTCTCCATCTCTAAATATACCTTCAAATCATGTATTCATAATAGTTATTACACATAAATTAGAATCCTTGATCTCACTCATATTGCCGAAAAGAAGACTGAAGATGTGATACATACCCCCCATGGCACAAATAAGCGCAACTTTTGTTATGCCGATCCTCATCAGGCTATTATTTTTATATTTACCTTGTTATTATCACTATCCTAGTAATATATGCATATGCATATTTATATATTTGCTTACAAGCTAAAAAGATACGGGAGGAAAAAAAAAACTTTATTATATTTTAAGGAAAATAAAGTAGCAGCATATGGCTCAGAGAGCATGTATCATGTCGGAAGTCAAAGTGTGTGGCAACTAGGCAGTTGGGGGGGGCTAGGGACAACAAGGCAATTTAGTATTATTCCGTATCAAGTGTGTTAGTTGCATTATTGGCCTGTAAATAGCATTCTTTTACTAGTGTCGTGTGCGTTACGTTGCGTTGTGTGTGTGTGTCAGTCAGTTAGTCAGTGCCATAGCAGTGTGCATTTTCAAGCAAATAGTGTACATTTGTTTTTTTTTTCAAGTGTTCAGTAAGTTTCTCTTTGGATTCGTATTCACGTTCGAATCTTGGGTTAGATTTGACTATGAAGAGCTTTTGATGGACAATAGGAGTTTAGGGTAAATACAAATAAGGATAATATAATAACCCCGAAAAGAAAGAAACATACTAATACTATCCTATATTGTCCAAAGCAGTTTATTTTATGTTATTTTACTACCTCTTTGTCTCTTAAGAAGCCTTCTAGTTCCTTTTCTCCTTTTTTGAACTGGCCCGAGTAATGCAGTCTTTTCATTTAGGGGTTATTTTATTTTTAATTGCAGTAAAAAAAAAAAAAAAAAAAAAAATACAGCCGTACCCTCTTCTAGCATTAATGAATTTAGTTTATTTTAGTTTATTTTTTATTTTAGTTTATTTTTTATTATTTTATTTTACCTGCCCCCTTTATTAGTGTTCAAGGGAGTGGATAAGACCACTTATAATGGAGCAACGACTTATTTATTATGGTTTTATAACCATCTTCATCATAATCATTCTCTTTGAATTAAACTCATCTTTAAGCATTATTTCACTACAAAATACCTTCAATACAGACTTTGAAACAGATAATATACCCTTTCATAAAGACTATAGAACTTTAGTTATCTATTTTTTAGTTCTATCTACAGCTTCTTTTATTTTATTCTTTCATTCTTGGCTTCAGCAATTAAAATATAAACAAGCAAAATTATTCACTCATTCAACATTTTCAAACTTTAACTATTCTTGGTTAAAGTATGAATGGCACTTATTTCAGTCCGTTACTTTTTCTTGTCTTGATGTCATCAAGGTGTCACTTCTTTTTGCCATTAATATATGGATATGGTTAAATACAACTGTAAATACTTACAAGGGTCTTGAAGAGCGTCATCTTTATTTACAATCATTAGCCAATGGATCAGCTCAGCTGGCAGTCATCAACGTTGCCTTCGCTGTTATGTTAGCAGCCAGATTATCCATTATTCAACGCTATTTCTTTGGCTTTGATCAGACCATTCGTTGGCATGCATGGTTTGGTCGACTTGGATGTTTACAAGCACTTTATCACGCCACTTTTCAAATTCAATACAAGTACGATCAAACTCAATCATTCGTGTCTACGTTGTCATTCAACTTTCGTCATGTAACAGGAACTTGCATGTTAGTAGCCATGATCACCTTTATATTGGGTTCTCATCCACTTGTGAGATATCTCTCTTATCGTCTCTTTCGAATCACTCACTTAGTTTCCTTTATCAGTCTCATCATGCTGGGTTGCTTACATCATTGGTCCTTTTATGTCTTTTACATCATTGTCCTCTTATTTTGGGTGACAGATCAAATTGAACGTACTTACAAGGTAAAAGTAGGTTCCCTTGAGGCCTTACCAGCTAATATTATTCGTTTAAGATGTGAATTACCTTATGATACAAGCCAGATTCAAGCAGGACAATTCGTTTTTATTTCTTTTCAATCGTCATCGATCGTGAAGGCAGTCATCTTTTCACATCCATTTTCTATTTGTCGTATAGATGAAAACAATCAAGCTACCTTTTATATCAGAGCGAATGGGAGGGATACTAAGGGGGTCTATCGGATAGCTGAACGATCCTCGTCTCAAAGGGAGACGCCATTCCTATTAAGAATAAGTAAGCCGGTTGGAAGAGGTTATGTGAGATATCCTGGATCTGGATTTAGTGACTACAAGACAGTTGTCTTGGTCGCTGAAGGTATGGGCATAACACCATGGATCTCGTTGATGCACTACCTTGAACGAAAGAGGCATGCTATAAAGACAAGATCGGTTCATGTCATCTGGAGTATTCATAGTATAGATACATTTTACGCATTTGAACAAGAGTTTGAATATCTAGTGACATCACTTCAAATTGATTTTCATATGGAAGTATACATCACAGGACCTTTTGATCCAGAAGAAAATGTGAGTATACCTGATAACTTGACCTCTATACGATTTATTGCCTCTTGTAGACCTCATTACCATCAACTCTTTAAACATATTGATGAAAACAATCAATCTAATATTGCACTCGGTATATGTGCTCATGAAGAAAGTATCGTAAAAGCAAGCAATCTTGCACTTGGCCTTTCATGGGCCATCCGAAAAGAAAGATTTGAATTATAACACCTTAAAAAAAAACTTTTATTTATTAAACATTCCCTTTTTTTTCTTTAAGAAAAAGAAAGCTTCTTCAAGATCATGACATGATGTTCTTTATCTATCAAAGTGAATCTACTTTTCTTTCGTTGTCTTCAGGAGAGGGGGTAGGGGTGGGGGACCATAAACCATGTTCTGTTGGAGCAAGTGGAATACATGTTGAACACCTTGTATGATAAACTTGCTATTTTGGGTTCTATTCAAGAATCAAGAATTCTCTTGATATAATAGCTAGTATGAAATGATTTGCTTTACAGCATCCAGATCTAGCTAATAATAAGGGTTTTCGTTCAATACTTGGGAATCATGTTTCCTTTGTGCTTCCTGAATAGCCTGTGATGGTGACTGTATTCTTCTTGTATAGATCCCTTACAACTCTCTGGTGGTGGGACGTGAATGAAGAAGATACTTCAAGGATACTCTAGAAAAAAAAAAAAGGCTGGTATAGACTTTTAGCAGTCGTATTATAATGACATTTGAAAAAAAAAGTGTTTAGAGTCCAATAACAACGTGAATTACCTTTTGTACAATTTCATCTGTTCCTATTTAGCACCTTGAGTAATTAACTGAAGATCTGCTTTAATCCAGTTGTTTCTAGAATAATATAGTTGAATACCATTTTCTCTTCTTGTACACTACTTTTATTACAAGCGTATTTTATAAATTTCACCTCTTGAAGAACAACAACAAACACAGCCCCTTAACGAAAAAAAAAAAAAAAAAAAAAAAAAAAAAAAAAAAAAAACTCGGTCAGTCAGTCAGTTGAGTATAGTAGTGATAGTAATAATAAAAAAAAATTACCAACGTTGTACTCATATGCCAAACTCATACAAATTATGCAAGTTTGCACTCTATTTCTTTTCTATTCCAAAGGCAGCAGTAAAATTATTTTTTCAGTAATTAGTTATTCTTAATCTCCTATTTGAATGTTGATCATCATTTAAAAGATGAATTTAATAAGGATGTCTTTTCCTGAGGCTAGACATCCAGTAATAATTGTAATTGGAATCCGTGCGTACGTTGTTGTATTAAACATGGATAAGTTTATATATAGATTTATTTATTTATTTATTTATTTTTTCCCTTTTTATATAATTAATCATACTTGGGTAAGCAATGAATAAAGTTCCTCTAGTAAACCTTTATTATTCTAATCTCCGGTAGCAGTAATCATCAATAATTCTTTTAATCATCGTTTTGTTATTAAACAAAAGTCTGTGCGTTTTATTTTTATCAAGTAACATACGTCATATAAATTGTATTCATAATAAAGATAGGAGCCACACACATATAAAAAGGAGATAAAATAAGAGTTATTTTATATCTGACGCTACTTATCGGTTTTTTTTTTTTTGATCATGCGATCACACAACAAAGAGAGAAAGAGAAAGAGAGGGGAATGATGTGAAGGAGAAAGAAAAAAAAAAGTACTACACATTGTTATTCGTGTTTATAAACGCCTGATAATATTTATTTTTTTTTCCTTCTTTCTCTCTTCTCTCCCTTTTTTTTTTTTTTTGTTAAATATTCACGCGTTATTTAATCTAAAATAAGATATAATTTTCTTCTCTTATTTTTTTTTAAAAAAAAATTAATACAAACCTTTCTTTCTTTCTCTCTCTCTCTCTCTCTTTCTTTATTCATTCCCTTTCCTTTTAATCTTACTCATTTCAAATGCTGACACATTGTCAAGAGAAAGCTTCAATACCCAATATAACAGAGGTAGGTCGTAAATGATTTTAAAACTCCACGAAAAAAAAGGGGGAGGGGAGGGGAGGGGAGGATGAGATGGTTGAATATCAAGAATAATGTATTTTATAGATGATATATCGTCTTAAAACACGTCTGGCACTAGCTAATTTTAAAAGACAACATGGCTATGAAAAGTATGATTTACATACATTAGAATCTAACTTGTTAAGGAAAAAGAATATTCTTCATAAACAAAGAACCTATCATCATATCAATAAATTAACAACAACCCATAAAAAGAAAAAGAAACAAAGACATCGTTATTATCCAACCAGTTCGTTCTTACATCATCGTCATAGCAATAAAATACTCATCACCCATCCACCCGCAGTGCCTTTACTACTAAGTTATCCTTTATCCGAAAAACGTAGTACATCTCCACCCCAAGTGCATACATCCATTTTATTAGACGATGATGAAGATACAGCTGCGAATATTCTTGTTATGTTACATAATATGTCTTGAATCATCTCCCTTCTTTCTTCCTTTTTGTTATACGGCTTTTATTGTAATAAATTGTATGTATGTATGTATGTGTGTGTGTGTGTGTGTGTTTCTTTTTTTTTTTCATCTGCTGAGCTCGAGTATCAAATCACGCACGCGTTTGCGAATCAGGGCATTATCACATACGACACTTGTGGCCACGTAGGGAGATTCAACACGTGCACAACCCAAGACATGAATCACAGGTTCATTTTGTTCATATTGAATTGGTATTCGATTCTATCGTACATAAAAAAAAAAAATGAATGATATATGTATATCATTTTTAAACTCTTTTCTTTCTCTTTCTCTCTATGTATGTGTGTGTGTATACCTTTTCTAAAAATTGAATAAGATCATAACGTCTTTTTTCAAGCCATTCTTTATCCAGTGTTTTATATTCCATCGATTTTTCTAGTATTGATAAATCTATAAAATCGTCTTTATCAACTAATATATAAAGGATGAATAAGATATTCCCAGTGGAAAAAAAAAAAAAAAAAAAAAAAAAAAAAAGACGATGAATGATTACTATTTAAATTCTCAATGGAATGACTCAAGAGAACATTAATGTGTTGATCTTTAAATAAAACAACATTATTGGTTACAGGATCAATTGTGTATAAATAACCAAGAATAATCTCTTTATTTTTAAGTGTAACAGTTGTATAGTGTCCAAGTGAATCAAAGATCTGCTCTAATGTGAATGAATAAAGAGACATTTGTATATCAAAATAAAAGTGTTAAGATACATGTTATTATTATTATTTTTTTTTCTTGTAATATAAACTCCGTTTATGATTATTGTATTTTACTATTATGCAATCACTAAATTACGAATAGGGAATTATATAATTCGCTATTTATCAATTTATGGCTCAAATGGGAAACTATATCAAGACAATGGAATGATACGTTGGATGGTTTAATTCTTGTTTATATGTATCTGGAAACTATTCAAATACATTAAAGTAACGTAAATAAAAAGAAACAATTTGATTCATTTGATAATATGACTACTAGTTGAATATATATATCATTGACTGCCCTTTTTTTTTTTACTTTTATTATTAAATTCAAGTATCTTGATAACTTCATTTGTTCTTTCTAAAGAAGTGAATTCAAAATGGATTCGTACTACTACTACTACTAGTACTGGTATACTATTTATAATACATGGAGGAAGAAGAAGCCATCTAATGACCATGATGAAAATACAACTTTATTATGATTATCTTTATGCCCATTTAAAAACTGTATGTACGAGACCTATTTCTATTCATCTTTATCATTGGCACCTATTTTATGTTTTAGCTTTCTTTACTAGGTAAAAGAAATGATGCTTATTTATAATACATTTTCATTGTTACTAATAGGAAAAAGAAGATTTAATGATATTATATCACAAGTGGGTTGCAGGTATCGTTTCAAGATGTTATATGGAAGGCATTTGTGCATGTAAGAAGAAGGATACATGATTAAAGTTAGTTTATGTGTTTATAAATATTTATTTATGTATTCATAGATGGTTATGATCATTTTAGTCGATTGATGCTTAATAATAAAAAAAAAGACAGGGTAAATAAAGTATGAATAGAGAGAGAAAAAAGTATCTGTGATGAATGATAATATAAACAGGGCTGTACAATATATACAATGATAATGAGGATATATACATATACAATAGGCGTGTATGTGTGTAGTGTGTATGAGTGAGTGAGAGAGAGAGAATCAAGTTAACATGCTACTACACCAAGAAGATTGTAATACTTGATGAATCGTAAATCTTGTGTCTGGATTGACAGAAAGACAATTTCGAATTAAATCTTGTAATTCTGGTGAAATGGTGGTAGGCATCTCATATTGACCCTCTAATATCTTTTGCTGTAAACGAAGCTCAAACTCATCTGCAAATGGGAGTCTTCCTGTGATGAGAGCATAAAGAATGACACCTAAAGACCAAATATCAGTGGATGGACAAGCAATAGCTCTTTTCGATTTGATCTGTTCTGGTGCAGCATAAGCTAATGAACCAGCTGCACAGTCAAGATCATCCTGTACACACTCTGGAGATAATGGAATGGTATTGATATGTGTAGTTATTGAAGGCTGTTGATAGATAGCTAAACCAAAATCACATAATTTAGCTCGACCATCTTGATCTAATAGAATATTTTCTAATTTAAGATCTTTGTGACATACTTTGACTTCCTCATGCAAATAATAAAGAGCCTTGCATAAGTCAATAAAGATAGACTTTATCATAGTCGTCTCTTCTATGCTGCTGCTGCTTCTTCCTTTATTCTCTTGATGATCATGTAATAATCTTGATAATAGATTCCCACCTGAACAATATTCTGATACAAGGAAGAAAGCTGAATCAGTCTCCAGGACCTTCTCAAGCTTTACAATGTTTGGATGATTTAAATTTTTCCAAATAGATAATTCACGTTCCAATCGAAGTTCGTCTAAAGAAGACGATGTCCTTTTAATGATCTTTATTGCTACTTTTTGTCCATCAGAGATACGAAAGCCTAAACGTACTGTAGAGAAACCACCATGTCCAATCATCTTATCCAACACATAATCATCAATTTCATCCCCATCTTGTTCATTTTCGATTTGTACAGAGGCAGGAGAAAATGAAAAATTCGCTAAAAAGGATGCTGCTGGACTTTTGATCGATTCCCATGACTTGGAATTGATACATGTTGTATTTGAATTGGGTCGTCGATAAAGTTGACATTTATTACGGAAACTATCCGTTCTTTTTAAGTAATGAATAGTTGAAGAAGAAGAAGAAGAAGGCGAAGGAAATGGAGAAGGTTGATGGGTTGCTGTTAATCCTTCATCATAAAAAACGATACCAAGTGGATCGGTATTAATATGAAGTGGCACGGTTTTATTATTTTTATCTCTTTGACATATTTGACTATCCTTAAACATTGACTTTATTATTAATACTATGCTTTTCAAAATAAAATGAAATGAAATGAAATAAAAAGAGAAAAATAAACAAAAAAAAAAAAAAAACGCAGAAAATATGTAATTTGACTTGTCTCCTTAATCATATGAAAAAAAAAGTTTCCGAATCGTCCAATCAAATAGCAATCCTATGTCTTATCTCGCATCAAAATAGACTAAAAAACTATGCATTTTATATATTTATATACACATATTTATCTTCATCCAATCAAATCGATTAGAGATAAGAACAAAGAGACATAAGTCTTTTTTTTTTGTTGGCTATTGATAAGATCTTTATATTCATTTTCAGTATAATGCTGCATAATAACATTTTGTTCATTAACATCATTTTTCTATTTTATAAGCTTTTTATTTCTTCGCTCTCTTCTTTCTTTTTCTTTTTTTTTTCTTTTTTTTTCCTGTACCTGTTTTTTTTTTCTTTTTCTTCACCCCGACATTTCCCGACTCATAGACTATAACAAAAAAGGACACTCCATTATTCCCATTATTATAAAAATGAGAGACAGAGGGAAAGAGAGAGTAGTGAGAGTAAATCAATTACGTCACATGCTTCACTGATAAATCTGTCCAATAAAATATTAATTCCTTATCGATGAGGCTGGTAAAATCCAGGAAATATTTGTACCATAATAATAAAAGCTTAAAAAAAAAAATTCTCAGTATGTGGATATATGGATCTTCTGAAATCGGGATTATGTAATAAACTTAATGAAATGCATTTTTGTAATAAAGATTCCATTGAAGCATAGCTTAATATAATATTTGTGTTTAATTATTCTTTTCTTAATCAAAAATATGAACTATTGTACCTTCTTTTTCTAGCCACAAGTGTAGTCATCAGAATATCAAGTTTATGCTTCTTTATTTTCAATTAAAATAATAAGATGAGACCCTAAACAAGAGGGGGGAATATCTTTCATCAATGAATGATAAACAAGTTATATATGTATTAAAAGAAAAAGAAAACTCTCTCTACTATTATTCTATAAAGCAATAGTAGTAGTAATAATGATGTAAATCTATCTTATTTATTGGTATTTTAAAGTTCGTCGTTTCATACTGACTAGTGTCTATTTATTAAATACAACATTCTTCTTTTTTTACTTTTATATACATGTATAGGCTTTAATAGATTCCCATTGAAAATAAAATAGATAGGCAAAAAGTCAATGGCCTCTGCTAACAAAAGAGGAAGCAACTTGATTTCCTGATAAAAGGATCCCTTTCTACTATTTCGAATAATATAACATGACTCCCTTTTATCAGTATGAAAGCATGATTTTGATAATTGAATTATTCAGTAACATAGAATAAGGATCTTGCTTTAATATGTTTATTATCATTGAAAAAAAATAAAATAAAAATAGACGCTAAATGACATTTGTGATTATCGTCTGACGTTATTTTCATTCATACTGGATATGGTAAAAGTGACTATTTGATTCTAATATGGATCATTTCCCACTGTCATGCATCGAATAAGACACATGGCAGTAATTAATCTTATTAACAGCAACACGTCGTCGTACCAACAATATTAAAAAAGTAAAGTGTGGCAAATCAAAAGTAATGAAAGTCCAAATTGTAAGACAAATAACACTCTAATAAAACGTTTCACGGAAAACAATATCTTTTATCAAAAAGTATCATTTGAGACAAAATATGCAACATTTGTCTTTATTCGTACACTTGTAAAACTTCCTAATAAAGATATGTACGATTTATTTATTTTTCTAATAATGATATGAAACAAACAAAAAAAAATTGGTTAAAGTAAAAATTATACTAAGAAGGCAAGAGATTAGTTTCATAAATAGTTGAATGAATTGCTTGGAAAAAGAAAAGAAAAGAAAAGAAAAAGAAAGAATATCAGATATATCGTTATCTTTCCAAATAAAGAAATACGTATTTCCTTTTCAAATGAACAATAAAGTGTAACTGGTAAGGTTTACAAACAAGGCTATTATGACCTTTTATATCATAGTTACAAATTATCGATTTTTTTTTTTGGTTTGGTTTGGGTTGAATTTATCTGTAAAAATCATTTGATAAATACCCTAAAACTCTTATCTTTACCAAATAGTGTGCCTCCCCACACACACACACACACGCATTTTTTTTTTTTTTTGATGATCTTCATTATATTAGTCCCTCCTTTCCCTTTTTCTTCTTTATCGAGTAGATATTACTACAAATGGCAACGGTTTCCTTAGAAGCCCTTTATAGATACTTTTGTAGATAATAATGTACGCTAGATACACTGAAATTATAGTTCATGTGCAAGAGCAATTGTAATGTTTAATTATATAATTATCAAGTCTTTTTGTCAATAATCATAATAAAAAAACTCGCTCAAGAATAGAAAGGTAGTCGAGATATTTCTTTTTTCTATTCATCGTTTTAATTACGTAAACGATATCAAAACTATTATAAAACAGGGTCAAGTATATATGTATATATATATATATATATATATGTATATATAACTATTATACTTATTATAGCCTTGAATACATGTTATATACATATATAATATTTACATAATCAACTTGATTTTATTCAAGGATATATCGTTATTCAAGAACTTCTTGTTAGGTAATAATGAATCGCTGCTTTAAACAAAAATAAAAGGTTGAAATGCATTATAGCCAATCAAAAAGCTTTTTATTATTGTTGCTGTGACCTCCAAAAACACACACACTTTAGTACATTATTATAAACACGTGTTATTGTTATGCTGTAATAATGATTATTCCTTTTTATGTAAGAATTTCTTGTATTTTTTTTTTTTTTCTTATTTATTTTTATTTTAGGTTAAATATATATTTATATACATGTATATATATCATGTCTAATAATAAAAGAACACATTCAAATACAATATCAGGTGGACGTCCTCCTGCTTTAGATATTGCTTTAACTAGACCTTCTGTTGTAAGAAGAAATTCTGAGGGATCTCCCGGTTTGCCTCCTCCCATTTGTGTATCTGAACCTACACCCATTGAGCCTTCGAGTCATGCAGAAGACTTTATCTCTGCAAATAAACCAGTTGTAGAGGCAATAGCAAACCAAAGTGACATTCAGCAGCAACCAGTAACAATGCCCAACACTACTACTACACCTGCTAATCCTATTACTGCTAATGGGCTCATCGTACAAGAGCCGTCAACTATGCCAAAAAAGAAATCGCGTTCACGAGCATCCAGTGTGACATCAAACATCATCAATGAAATAAAGGAAAATTCAACCATTCAATCCATCGCAAATAAAATTAAACCAAAACATTCTACAGATACAAAAACACAAGAAAGAACATCGCTTGATAACACCTCGAGTATAGCAGCAAGCTTATCAAGTATTAAAAATATTTCTTTAGCTACTTCTAAAAGGAATGCTGACTTTCATGCTTTATTTCGAAGTATACCAGAGGATGACAACTTGGTTGAAGGTTAATATCTATCTATACATACATATATATGTATATATATATATATATATATATATATAAACATACACACACATATATATATATATGTATAACTGCCTTTTAACATATTATATACATTTAGATTTTGGGTGTGCTTTACAAAAGGAAATTTTACTTCAAGGTCGTATCTATATTTCAGAAACTCATATATGCTTCAATGCAAATATCTTTGGCTGGGTAACAAACGTAAGCTTACATATAGAATAGTTTATTTCGTCATCATTACTTATCTTTTACATACACGCAAAAAAAAAAAAAAAAAAAAATAGCTTGTTATTGCATTTGCGGATATTACTAATATTGAGAAAAAGACAACAGCTTATTTTATTCCAAATGCTATTCAAATATCCACTGACAGTGCAAAGGTAAATAAATACCTATAAATAATTCTTTATTCTTATTTTTTTTTTTTTTTTTTTGAATTATAGCATTTTTTTGCGTCATTTTTGTCTCGTGATCAAGCATTTGAGTTAATGTTAAATATCTGGCATCTAACCCGACCCGATCTATTCCCACCAACTGAAGAATCATCATCTCAGCTTACTAACCAAACTACAAGTCAAGAAGACTCTGATGCATCAAGTGAGGGAAGTGGCTCTTATTATGATAGTGATACAGAAGAAGGAGATTCTTTTACTAGTGAAAGTGAAACAGATACAGAAAATTTAGATCAAAATATACCAACTACGGAAGGTAAAAAAAAAAAAAAAAAGTATAAATAATCACGTTCGTTAAATATATCTATATCCGTATAGAGAATGTAAAGGATGGAGTAAATAAGAATAGAAAAGTATCTTTGGCTTCTTTACCAATCAAGAAGGACACAAAAAATATTGATGCTGCACGACGTCGTGCTATTTCAGAAATACCTCAACCTACCTATAAGTTTGAAAACGATGCCAAGTTACCTAATATCAATCATGGATCTAATGAAAATAAAAATGAAACTACAAAGAATAAATCACCTATTGAAGGAATAGAATCAGATAAAAAAGAAGAGGTGACAAAGCAAGCATATGACAAGACAGAATGTGAATGTAGTAATAAGGGTGAACATTTCCCTAATGTCGTGATGGATCAAGTTTATGATAGTACAATAGAAAATATGTATAAATTGATGTTTATTAATGATTTCATGAAGAATTTCTTGGTGGAAAACCAAAAGAGTCAAGGTAATATATATATTTTCCACATAGATACATGTATATTTACTTATTTATGTATGTGTAGATCTTGTTATGGGGGAATGGAAAAAGGGAGAAGGAGATATAAAGTCTACTAGAGAATTGACCTATATTAAACCACTTTATGGTTCCATTGGACCTAAATCAACAAAATGTTATATTACTCAAGATGTACTTTATCAAGATTTTCAAAAGTTTGTATCTGTCATGGTTACTACATTAACACCTGATGTTCCTTCTGGTAGTTCTTTTAGTTGTAAAACACGTACTTGTTTAACTTGGGCTGGAAAAGGAAAAGTAAGAGTTCTAGTCACAGTTCTAGTTGACTTTACCAAATCTTCATGGTTAAAGTGTAAGTTTTACACACACACATTATATATATATATATTTATATATATTGAAATGCCACTAAAACGATGCCTTTTTTTTTGGTTTTAGCAACAATTGAAAAGGCAAGCATTGATGGACAACAGACCTATTATAAGGATCTTGATGCAGCATTACGTGCTCATCTTAAAGAGCATTCTAACGATCCAGAGAAACGTTCTAATGGCAAACGACATAAAAAGAGAAGAAGACATAAGACATCTCGTCATTTATCTTCAACTGAACTCGGTCATAAACAGGATAATACACATGAATCCATTGTGCATCAACTATTAGGCATGGTTTCTAATAAGCTTGCAGATAATGTCACCTCTATCATCGATACCCTAAGTTCACCACGCGCAGCTCACTTTATCTTGTTTTGTCTTTTGATCATGGTATGTATCAATATATACGTTGCTAGAAAAATGGCATTTGTAGAGCAACGGTTGAATGAATTAAGTCGTTCTACTATTGGCTTAAATAAAAATCATGGCCTAGTTGAGCATGTCTCAAAGGCATCACCTCATCATCAAGAAGAAGAGGACCTTTGGGCTTGGTTAGGGCGTATTGATCCAGATAATGAAAGGGTAGAGCATGTGAAAATTCCTATTGTAAAAGATTCTAAAGAGCAAGAAGCCATTTGGGATGATGCAATTAAGATATCGAAAACAGCAAAAGAAAAACTCGATAAACATATGACAGAATTAAATAAGATGATTCAACGTGCTGAGAGTAATCTTGAGGATGTGACAAGAGTGGTGAATGAACAACGACAGAAAATAAGACAAAATTAATGTATTTACCTATCCTCATCTACAAAAAAGAAACCGAATTTGGCTTTATAAAATAGCATTGTATATTTTTTTTTTTGGAATTTTTTATTTATATAATAATAATATTTTTTTTTATTGCTTCTTTAAACATAAAATAATAGTTAAATTTTCCCATTTTCACGCTTTTGTTGTGCTAATTCTACAAGTGGCACAAGTTCAGTTAAAGAAGAAGCTTTCAATAAAAAGGGGTGTTTTAGCAATTCAGCAGCCGAAGGTCTCCTTTCAGCATCAAACTGGAGACATTGACATAAAAAATCACGAAGGTCAGCAGAGTATTGATAAGGTTTCTTTAATGAAGGAGGCATTCGATGTGTTTTAAGTAAATGCAATGCTCTATCTGGACTATCAAGATAAGGAGGTGTACCTTCCACCATTTCTATCGTGGTAATACCCAAGGACCAAATATCTATATTAGGGCCATACTTTTTTCTTAAAACAATTTCAGGCGCCATCTATATAAATGTATATGCATATATATATATATATATATGAGTTATATAGTAATAATTATGAAATATCACAGGTGTCCTTACCCAACAAGATGTACCAGCAAGTGTTGTTCGTTTCATATTTTCGTTATCAATCCTTGCACAATAGCCAAAGTCAGCTTTTGAGGAAGGAAAAAAAAAAAAAAAAAGAGTTTAAAGAAACGAATGAGGCCTTAACATACATACACACATGTATATATATATCATCTAATTTAAAACTTACAAAGCTTAATTTCACCTCTTTTACTAATTAATATATTGTCGCTTTTGATATCTCGATGAATAATACCCTTTGAATGAAGATAGTCAAGACCCTGGAGTACCTCTAAGCATACAGCGGCAATCATAGTCTCGGACATATTTTTAAGCAGTACAATATTTGTCAAACTACCACCTTCCATATACTCCATCACAATCCAGACATCATTTTTCCAAATGTAAGATTCTAAATGACGAACCATATTCTTATGACAAACCTTTTCTTTACCCATCTTGATTTCTTCTACAATCAAGTCCTTTCTTATCTGACGTCTTAAATGTATTTGCTTGATTGCAACTGGTTGTATCTTGTGAAGACCTTCTTTACAATTATAATTCCTTCTATATGCTTTATATACTGAGCCTGAAGCACTAATATGTATATAAATATAAATATTTATTCTCTTTCTTTCTTTCTTGTGATCTTTACTATTACCCTTCACCTATTTCTATCATGTCTCTATAGATTAAATATGGATTTTCTTCTATACAGAGCTTTTTTAATTCAACAATAGCTTCTTGAGTTGTCATGGTTTTTCGTTTCATATTTTCATCATTTTCTTGTTCATTTGGCATATCTTGTTGTTGAGCATCTTTTTCTAGTTCGACATAGAGTCGCTTTATAAAGGTAGACAAGAGCATATCCAATCGTCGACAACCAAATCCAGCTATATAAATATATGAAAGCATGAATGAATGAATGAATGATTGAAATCAAGCAAGTAGCTCTTTCCTCTCTCTCTCTCTCTCTCTCTTACCCCTTTTCATTATTTATTTATTTATTTGGGATTAAACTTACATGTTTCCCAGTTAGGTCCTTCTCCAATTGTCATATCACCTGCTTCAGCATCAAATCGTATATGTAATTTATGAACGGCATCAAAAGGCCAAGATATAATCATTTTCTTTGAATAAAAGATCCCTTCTATAAGAAGCATATATTAAATAAATACATAATAATATCCATCTATTTCTTGGGGGGTTTTTTTTTCTTACTTATAATCTTGTTGATTAGTTTTGTATTCTTTTTATAATTTTGTCTGTTGTTATATGAAACACTCGGATAGTTTGATTGTTCTTCTATCTCTGCAAGATAAGAAATGATCGGCTCCTTTTTCTTTAATGTTTGTTCAATATGATATGGAGTTGAATCCAATTGATGTGTTAGAGTCATTTTTATTATCAATAAGAAAAAAAATAAAAAGGCAAAAAAAAAAAAAAAAGACAAAAAATTAAAATTAAAAAGAATATATTTAAATAATGGCATACTTCTTATTTTTCTCGGCTCAAATTAATATAGGAGAACATATGTTATATATATATTTATTTAAGAAAAAATACGCTTGTATTAAGGTAATAAAGGTATATATGCGTGTATTATCATTAGTTGCTGTAGTAGATTAAATGCACAAGTCCTTGGATCGAAGAAAATGGCTTTAATTTGATCTATTGTATTTTTAGTCTTTTTTTTTTTTCAAGTAAAGGATTGACTTTAAAATGTCTACAATTATAGTTTTGCGCATATCAACTAAAAGAAAGGCTGTTCCTTTAGTGTTCTTTCTTTTAAATTGGTCTCAATTGCCTTTAAATCATCTTTTGGATATACATTTATACGTACAATGATTGAACGGAAATTATAAAAGTAGCTTTGCTCACAAATCAAATATTTGTAGATGGAATATTCACATTTTATTTATTTTAATTCCCGACGAAAATAAATAAATAAAAAAAAAAGGAGAGCAAAAATTAACATATTTATTACGTAATCAATCTGAACGGCTGATAATTATTCTAGCTTTGATTGCGCTGTCTTCTTAAACGCTTGATAAGCTAATTCACATTTCTCTACTAATTTCTCGCCAGTAACACGATCATAATCCATAATGGGATACTTTGTTACATAGGCATTACCCCATCTACTTGTTGACGAACAATATCGCATCATATAATTTAATTTAGATAAAGGTTCAAGTGCTGTATAAACGTCCGCTATAGCGCCATTATAGGGTGTAATTGTTTGTGAATTGACTCCAAATAAACGAAACTATTTTTTATCATATCATTCATTAAACATGACTTCCTCCTCCCCACACACACACACATATACACTTTTTTTTTCATACTTAAGTAGAGAATCTTACCAGATAATGAAGTATAATTCTTGCCTTTGTAATCCACATAGGTAATTCACCAATATGACTCGCAACTACACCAGGAGATGTTGTAAAGGATGCGATATGATTATTTTCTCTTTTAAATCGTTCACTAGAAACAATAGATACGAGATCACATGCCCATTTTGAAGATTCATATGGCTCCTTACTTCAAATATAGCAAGAAGTAAGTAAGTAAGTTAGTAACCCTTCTCCTTTAAATAATCAACATTTACCTTTCTATACCTTGCCAGTCATGAATATCAAAACAGTTGCTATATGCTGTGATCGAGCTCGTCCAAATAACACGCCCGTCACCTGAATTCGATAATAATTTTTCTAATTCACGCATCTATTTTTTTTTAGTTAAAAAAAAAGCTGTCAGTAATTATGTTTCCTAGTATAATCATATGTATATGCATTCCTCCCTTTTTTTTTTTTTACCATAACATAATGGCCAAATACGTTACAAGCAAAGACTTTGCCCATACCGTCTTTATTCATTTCACCTGTATTTTGAATAGTTGCATCAGAACGTTCCAAAAGTCCCACAGGATCTGTCAATAGTAAATAAAAGGTACGTTTCCAATTAATGCCAAGTGCACTTAAAATGCCTGCATTACAAAACAAATAATTGACATGAGGATATCTAGTATATACATGTATATAATTAGTTTTTTTTTTCTCCTCAAAAAAAAAAGGAACAACCATCTTTACTTGTTGATAATATTTATACAAAAGTCCAAGACACTTTGAATACTGCCAATGTCAACTAATTCAATATCAATGTGTCCAAAAGGAAATTGGTCTAAAAGTAACTGTCTTGCCTTTTCTGCTCTTGAAGCATTTCGACATGCCATAATCAAAGTTAACGACTCCCCTTCTGTTTCTAATAATCGTTGACAGATACCAAAACCAACACCACTATTGGCGCCTGTAACAATAGCGATTTTATTATATTTTTGAGATTCCATAATTTAAAAAAAAAAAAAATAAAAGGAAAATAGCCATTAATAAAATTCAGGCGACATGAAAAAAATAAATAAGCCAAATCCAGCCAATTAGATTATTTATTTAGACATAATTCATTGACAGGTATTAAAATTACATAAAATAAAATAGAAGAGAGGGTTTTGTTTAAAATCCTTCAACGCGTTCTTGAATCTTGAGCAAATCAGAAAAGATACCATAAGCAGTGGGAGGTCCACCAGCACCAGCACCCTATACATTATTTATTTATTTATTTTTTCTTTGTAAATAAAGTGACTCTATATAAAAAAAAAATAGGATATTCTATTTCTTACCTGAACAATAACACCATTAGGGAAGTACTTGGTAGTAAACTTAATAATATTATCACTTCCTTGAAGACCAGCAAAAGGATGATCAGCAGGGTACCTAATAATAACAGGATAAATAAATCTAATTCTCAACTGTTTTTTTATAAAAATGACTTACTTCATTAACTTAACACCACTGTTATTACCCTTAGGATCAACAACACCAACATAACGAAGCACTTTACCTTCCTTCTTTGCTTCTTCATTCAATTTAGCAAAGTGATCATCAAATTCGGGTAATTTAGCCATGAACTCTTCAGCTGTAGCTACTTGTCGGAGTGATTCAGGCACAATATTTTCAACATTTAAAGTAGATAAATCAAGTTCTACACCAGCCAAACGACCACAAATGGTAACCTTTCATACATAAAAGTTAGATTTATGATTCCTCTCTCTCTCTCTCTCTCTCCCTTTATGTACACACACATTTACTTTACCTTACGAGCAACATCCATACCATTCAAATCATCTCTAGGATCAGGTTCAGTATAACCAAGATCTTTAGCTACCTTCACAATTTCAGAGAAGGACTTGTTTGAATCATTCTTGGGATTAATAGAAGAATAATTGTTGAAGAGATAAGAAAGAGTACCAGAAAAGATACCTTCGATCAATTGAATTTCATCACCTGTCTTTACAAAATCAACAAGAGTAGAAAGGACAGGAAGACCTGCACCTACAGTAGATTCATGATAGGTCATAGGAGTACGACCATTACCACTGTAGTTAGCAGATAACATGTGAATCTCCTTGAAGAGAGCAAGAGGACCTGAGAAGGCCTTCTTGTTGGGTGTGACAATCGAGAGACCCTTACGAAGCCAGCTAGGATACATATTAGCAATTGCTTGAGAGGCAGTACAGTCAACAATAACAGCATGATCAGGAGAACCTTCCAGGTACTTGACAAGAGCCTCCAAGTCGGGCTTGATGCCATTCTTTTCAAGATCATCTTGCCAATGAGTAAGATGAAGAGGTGTATATTCTTTATCAGAGAGATGCATCAAGTCAATATTAGCAATAGCTACCACCTTTAAACGTTTGGCACTTGAGCGTGTTGCATGAAGTTGTGCAATCAATTCGGATCCAACGAATCCACATCCAATAATACCAATGTTAACCATTTTTTCTTGTAAAGATATTAAAAAAAAAATTGAAGACAGAGATATCGCGTCTTTGTTAAAATAAAAAAAAAAATAAAAAAATAAAAAAATAAAAGTCACTCTCTTATTGGTTTCAAATTATTCAACTATGAATCATAATATGTTTGCAATAGAATGATTTGATGATAATATCTATTATTCATCTACTTTATTACATAATCATACATTGTTTATTCTTTTTCTTTAATAAAGGATCATTAGGTAAATGAACTAAAAAACACGATATAAGTATACATGAAATGACATGATATGATATACAGTACCTGTCAAAGCTATTTTGGCTGCTTGTTCAAAACACTCTTGTACACCACGATTATGCTTAGCAGAACATTCAAAATAACGAATAGCATTCATTTCTTTTGCAACTGCTAGACCCTATTTTATGATTGTAATTAAAAAAAAATGCCACAATGATGATATACGATTTATAGATTACCTCCTTGTATAATATTATTTTATTAGTATTACTAGTACTAGTACTAGTACTACTACTACTACTACTACTACTACTACTTCTTAAATCACACTTTAAAGCAGCAAGAATCATTTTTGCTTGAGGACATTCTTTTTGTAATTCATGTATCCATCGATTGACTATATTGTCTAATGAAGTACGATTATTAATAGAGTAACAGACAAGTATAGCATGCGTATTATCATAAGAAAAGACTCTTAATCTATCTAATTCTTCTTGACCTAATAATATAAATTATTTTTTTTTCTTTCAAGGTTAATGAATTACACTATTCGTATCTTTTTTTTTTTTGTTTTCAACCTGCTGTATCCCAAAGAGATAATTCTATTGATAGCTTATCATTGATAGCAATGTCATGAATATAGTTTTCGTAGATTGTTGGTTCATACATCTAATCCCAAATAAATAAATAAATACATGATATCCAACCTGTAAGTCCTATTTTATTTTACTTGTGGAAAATGGCCTCTTGTAAATACATTCAATAAACAAGTCTTTCCACATCCACCATCTCCAACAACTAATATTTTCCTTTTAATAATTGACTTGGTTGTAATATTTATACAAGATAACATTTACAGAAAAGAATAATAAAAAAAAAGGTATTTTTGTATATTGATTGCTTTACTTTTATATATGCGCGCACTTCAGAAAGAGGGTTCACATGTACCGTAGAACAATGAGCAGAACTGAACAGAGGGAAACTGTAGTTGCTTTCAATGTATAAAATAGCCTCTGTTGAAAAAAAAATAAAATAAAAAAAAAGTAGCTTTGTTTTATACATTCACTTTATAGCTTTTTGTCTTGTTGGAAATAATAGTAATGACACCATTTTTGTTTATTGTATTTATAATAAGCTATATATGCTTATGAATTGATCTCATTAAAGGATATGCAATATAATCTGATCTAAACTATAAAATATCGCTTTCTTTTCCCTAAATGAATATCGACACATTTTTTTTTTCATTTAATGAGTCTTCTAGAATTGTCTTGAAGTTACTAGAGGCATTTTATTTTCCTTCCTTAAGCTAAACTCAATACTTTCTCTCAACGATAATCCTTCATTATTTTATATCTTTTCTCTATACTAAAATATTGGATTTTAATGAAAGTTTTTTTTTTGGAATTTGATAAATAAAATAGTGTTTTATATATCTTTATTAAAAAAAAGAAAAAGAAGTACAAGTACAGATTGTTAAATAGGAATAACACTTGTCATTATGGTCGTGATTTTTAATTGGGTACACCTTGCATATTTTTTATCTCGATAAATTCATTAAAAAAAAAAAAAAACTTGATCTTCTTCACTAATTATCAAATAGACGTCACATTTCCTTTTTTTTTTTTTGGTGGTCAGCTTTTTAGGCAATTACAACTTTTTTTTTTTTTTTTTTTTCCTCTTAAAAAGAAACTTTAGATAGATTTCTTGAATTACAAAAAAAAAAAAAAAAAAAAAAAAAAAAAAAGACAAGATTTACAAGAAGACAAAGGAAAAAAATAAATAAAAATTTCATATACTTGGTTTATTTTCTTTGTTTTTTTTCTACCCTCTTCGTTCTTTTTTTTTTTTTAAGAAAAATTATTTGCATTTTTTTTTTGTTAATTTTTATTCAACATGTCAATGTCTAATGCCGAGATTAATCAAAACAATGCACACATGGAGGAAATGAATAGTAATCCTGCCAATACCATTTATGTTGGTAATCTTGACCAGAGGTAAAGTAAAAAAAAAAGAAATTGAATAGATGAATGTCTTTGTTATTTCTAGGAACTTATATAAAAAAATATATTCATATAGAGTTACTGATACAATGTTACACGAGATTTTTGAGACTATCGGTCCCGTCGTCAATGTCAAGATTGTAAATGTACAGTTACGCTTTTTTTTTTAAAAAAAAAACATGATTAATCATTTTAATTAAATTTAGGTTAGAAGACATAATTCATATGTAAAGTAATTACAAAAAAATAAAAAAAAAGAGTTATATATAAATATATAAATATATACACATATGTATACATATATTTATATACTCATGATCTTCTAGGCAGGTGTCAATTATGCTTTCGTAGAATATACTGACCCAAGATATGCTGAACAAGCTATTCAAGATATGAATGGTAGAAAGATTTTTAACTTTGTAAATTCATCTTTTTTTTTAAACCAAAAAAAAAAAAAAATGAATTTGGTAACGGTTTTAACTTTTAATTATTATTATTATTAGGAAATTAAAGTGAATTGGGCTCAGCAGTCCAATACAAACAAAGAAGATACTAGCAATCATTTTCATGTTTTTATTGGTGACCTTGCACCTGAAATTACAGATGAAGCACTTGTACAAGCCTTTTCAGTTTTTGGATCCATGTCGTAAGTAATTTTATTTAAATAGACAAAAAGGAAAAAAGAAAAATAATTCAATACATGATGTATATATATATATATAGTGAGGCACATGTTATGTGGGATGCTCATACTGGAAAATCAAGAGGTTTTGGATTTGTTGCATTTAGAGATAAATCTGACGCTGAACAAGCTATTGCTACTATGAATGGTGAATGGTTAGGATCTAGAGCGATTCGTTGTAATTGGGCAACTCAAAAAGGTAAATAAATGAGTTATAAGAGGTTAGCAGCCATTATTTACCGTATATAAATATAGGCCAAACAGCTACACCTGCCCCTCAGCCTGGTCAACAATTGCCTTTTGAAATCGTTATTCAACAAACACCTTCCTATGTTACTAGTATTTATGTTGGCAATTTACCTCCTAATGTTAATCGTAAGAAAGAAAGAAAGAAAGAAAGATTAAAAACGAATATTTATTTTATTTTATTTGGTATAGAAACTGAATTAATTCAGCCTTTCCAAAGATTTGGATATATTCAAGAAGTTAAACTTCAAGCTGAACGTGGATTTGCTTTTATAAAGTAAGTAATTATTTAAGAGGGTTTATTTTATTTTATTTCATCAAGATATTAACCCACATTATTTATTTATATAAAGAATGGATACTCATGAAAATGCTGCTAATGCTATTGTTCACTTACAGAACATGCTTATTAATGGTAATCCTGCCAAGGTAGGTATTAAGACTTGTAGTGATAGAAATGACTTGCTAATGTACATAATTAGCTTTCTTGGGGTAAAGATCGACCTCCACAGGGCTGGCAAAATTATGGTGGATATCAACAACCTCAACAAAATTGGAATAATTCAGCACAATATCGAGGACGTAACCATCATCTTCCTCCACAACAAAATCTCTTTCGTGTCGCTCCTCCCCCACAAATGACGAATGGTTATGGTTTCCATCCTAATCCTGCTGCTAGTCTTGACCCTCATAGTGGTTCTGCTATTTCTGCTGCTCAATGGAATCAACAAGCTGCTATTGCTGCTGCTCAACATCAAAAACAATTATATGAACAATATAGTGCTAATCCAAACAACATTTAAAATATACAAAATAAAAATATATAAATACAGTATAAAAAAACATATATAAATATATACGTATACATGTTTATATATCATTCTTGTTTCATGTATGTAGATTTTTTCCGTTCAAGCCTAAGAATCTCTCTTTCTTTCTCTCCCTTCCTTTGTGAATAAAAGCGCGATAATTCTTTTGTACTTGCTTATTAAATCATCCTTATTTCCTTTATGACTTTTTTTTTCCCTCAAAACTTACATTTATGATAAAAGGAAACAAGTCCCTTTGTTTATCAATTATTGGCTACTACTTTATTCTCTTGGAAATAATTCTACTGATAAAGTATAATAAAGTTGTGTCTGAATCCTAAATTAGCAATTGAAGAGATGCATTATTATTTTATTTTATTTTACTTTATTTTTTTTTTTTTTTTTTTATTACAACAATTCACTTTATTTAATTAATCAACTTCATGAACATGAACTCTCTTCAGCAAGTGGATGAAATTGTGAAAGAATATTTATTAGTAAGTTGGGCGATGGTGGTGGTTGATGGTTGATGATGTTTCTTTTTTAATGATCCCAGTTGATATTCTAAAAAAAAATAAGCTGCTTTTTCTCCCTTTTATAATACAATACAGTTTCGAGGATTTACAGCAACATTTCGAGTTTTAGAAGCAGAAATAAAAACAGATAAAGATAAAGGTTTTCAAGTAATAATTAATATATATTTATTGTTTAAAACATTCAAGATGGAAAACCATGTCTTACATCCTCACAATAGGTAGATAAAATCATCGATGAATTATTAGGAGCTATAGCTAATGGAGATATTCATACTTTAATCGATTATTTTCAATACCTTGATTTACGATTCTTTTCTCGTTTGGATAATCGATTTCAAAGTACTATAAAAAAGTTTGAACTTTGTTTATTGAGACACTATTTAATACATGGTAAAACATTCTTTACAAACACACACACACACAAAAAGGGGGTCTTATCACTCACTCAATTATATCATAGCTATACAAAATAAAAAAAAAGATAGAGTGATTGAGTTTTTTGATGTCTATGGACCTGAATTACATTGCAAACCTGAATGGACTCAATGGTTTGGTAATAGTTTGATAGATTTGGTTATTTTTTTTTTTAAATACTCATATTCTATATACATATATAGCATTACCTTATATTAGGAATCCTTCTAATGATCCAACATTTGAAATATTCTTTACAAAGCAATGGGTTGATAACTATACCATCTCTCTACATAACTTTTTAGCAACAACCTTTCAAAATATGCGTAACTAGAATAATAATAACAATATACACTCTTGACAATTCTATTTGACTTTAACTCTTTCTATATAGCCTTGCCAACCTTATTAACATTCAATATTGACCGTATTCAACGTAAAACACAACAAACGGAAATTGAAGCTTTGAAAAATACAATAGAAAATCAAAAGGCACTACTAGAAGCACGTGAAAATGACATTGCCAAGTTAAAACATGAAGTAGTAGAGACAAGGAAAGAAATGACAGACGGCATCTCATTAATGCGTAACAGGAAAAGAACGATACAAGATAATCAGAAGAATCCAATAGTAAACAATCCTAAAATGATATCTTCTCCTAACAATGATGCTATTACTTCCATGGAAGTTAATTCTCAATCAATGGATACAAATAGTCAAAATATGGATCAAAAGGACACATTGTCAGAGGATGAAGAACCATTTCTGATTATAAGTCATGAAGAATTTGCCGAACATGCATCAGCTATTACTTGTGCCAAATTCTCTACTCAAGGGGATTTGATTGCAAGTTGTGATATGGATAATATTGTTCGGTAAATATTTGTTCAAAAAAGAAGAAAAAAAAAAGTGGGCGTAAATAGACAACTCATCGAAATTTTATTGTATCTAGAATTTGGAACTATAAAGATTCATCATTGAATCCCTTGAGAATAAAGAATAATTCATCCAATCTATTATCTTTAGAATGGGATGCAAAATCAGATAGATTCGTAAGTTAACAACTGATTCGAAAGATTTATTTATACAAGTAATAATAATCTTGAGTGGGGAGCAGTTATATCTAGGTACAGATACAGGGTTAATTCGTGTATACAATATGGAATCCAAATGTGTAGTTCAAGAATTTGTTATGGATGAAAGTTATCCATGGTAAATAAATAAGATAATATTTGAGTAGAGCATATTAACTTTTTTTTTTGGAGTATAGGATTAATCAGCTATCATCAAGTCCAGTAGAACCTATCTTTATATGTGCGAGTTCGAGTAATAAAATGCATTCAGACAAGAATAATGCTAAAGGTGCCCTTGTTGTTTGGAGTATGAAAACGAGTTCAGCTTGTGTAATGATAGAAATAAAAAAAAAGAAAAAGAAAAAGAAATTAGACACAGTAAATGAAACTGATTAACATTAAATATAAATAGTCTACTTTTGAATTTAAAAATGATCAAGACGAATTGGGCAGTAATATTATTAACACAATTAAATTAAATCATAATGGACAAATGCTTGTAACCAGTGATTCAGTTGGATTTATGCGTATATTCGGTAAGTCATACGCTAATAGTAGAGTTTAATAGTAGACTTATATGGATATCATCATGATAGACATAAGAAGTATGAAATCAATTATTGAATGGAAAGGACAGCCCTCTTGCACAGCACAATTTAGTTTTGATGAAAATTCAATTTATTCAGTTAATAATACTGGAGAGGTAATAAAACATACAAATATATGCACATGTGGAAGATTTTCAAAGAGACTCAAATAGAAGATTTTTTTCTTTTCCTTTCAATTCATATAGTTATGTCAATGGTCTATTCATAAACCTGGAACATGCATATTTAGTAAATCACTTGAAGGATTTCCACCACCACCACCACCACCACCATCACTACTACTCCCTACTAATTCTTCCTATAATGCTGTTCAGTCTTTTCTATTATCCACCTCACCTCGTCCTCAAATGGTTGCCTTTAGTTCAGATACAAATTATATCTTTTCTTCTTCTTCTAATCATCATCAACAGACCTTTGGTTCCATATATCGTACATCTAGTCAAAAAGAGGAAACATCTTCTATTCTTCAATTTGGACATGAATCAATGGATCAACAATATATTACATCTGTAGATTGGACTACACATACTTCAAATGTGACTTGTTTATTAGGCAATATAGATGGAAATATCAAAGTAACTACATTAATTAAAGTATAGTTCATTTATGTATTATACCATTTTCAAAATGTTGTTATATCCATTATTTTTTTTTCCTTGCTGAAGGCATTATTAGAATAGTGGAGTAGTAATTTATTTTATATATAATACAATTAATTTTCAGATATTAAGTATAAACTATAACAAAGAACAGCTTGCTTTCGAGCAGATGCAATCAAAAGATTAACATGACATTTCTCTTCGGGTCGAAGAGAGATTCCAATATTACACCAATCATCCATTTGTATTTTATAAGGAGACATACAAAGATCATCAATGTATTGTGTAGTACGATCATTCAAGTAAGTATGAATATCATCATAAGTATAATCCTCTTTAATGACCCCCAGTATTTTCTGTGTATAATACCAAATAGCATTTCTAAGTGGAGATGTGTCCACCACTTCTTCTGCTACAGGATGAAATATACTATAGATTATTTGAATATCATCAACATCCATAGTTAGTCAGTTAGTTAGTTATCCTTATCTACATGTGTCAAGGGGAATTGAATTACCTCCAATCCGTAATACTGATGGCTTCATTAAATTCAGCTACCAAGTCATCCCCTATACCAGGTAAATAATGATTGACCAAATCACATCCATGATCTTCAAAGCAATATTCACCAAGCAGTAATTCATTATATTCTGTATGATACTTTTCAAATCTTTCCAAGTGAATCTCTTGACTTGATTGTAAATCAATAAATCTTGATAAATTTTCAAAAATTAAATTCTCTCTATTATTATAATGTTCCTCTGTTGTAGATAAAGGAGGAGGATGACGACTGTTATCTATCATTACTTTAGAAGTCCTCTCTTCTCTTTCCTCATTCTTTTTTATTTTTAATTTCTGAATTAATTCCTCAGTTGACTTTTCTATCATCACACCAGAGACACCTAAACCTATGCCATGATCTGTATGAAACCGATCATCTTCTACGACGTTTTCCATCGATTGATTAAAATAAACAGTAGGTAAATCTAATTCGCTTTCGATAGGTTGTTGTTGTTGTTTTCCAGACATGATAAGAAATCCACCTGTCATGTCAATCTCAGGCGTAATACCACATCCCAAGATAAAACTAGATAATCCTAAAAAGGTGGCAATAATGACAGTAGCCTGTACAAGTTCTCCTCGAGTCCAAGTGATGTCTGCTCCAAATGGTGTCCCGCCACCATTCATGATCATGAGTTGTTGAATATCATCTGAATTCACTCTCCATGGTTGTCGGGATAATTTCAGAACAAGACGTGAGATAGTTCGTAATTTGTTAGGTACATAATCAAGTCCTAGTAACCAATTCGGGTCACCTCCATTATAGAGAAAATCCATCTTCATAGTAGAGACAAGATATTGGCACTGTTGTTCGGAGGCGACCATGATACCTAAATAGGATTTCCATGTCCGTTTTAAGGGACCAATAGGTTGTTTGATAATTTTCGTAAATGTGATGTGATAAATTTCAAAAAAGGTAGGAAAGAAAGTTAAGATTCGAAAAGAATTCGCTAAGCGACCCTCATCAATGAATGTCTTGATCATCATTTGTCTTACATATTCGTCTGAACATCTTCCACCTGTATAATCGCTTATGATAGACGGTATACTATTGAATGATTGTTGTGAGGTATTATGATGTAAATAAGTGGACCAAGGTGAAAGAGATAAATTAGTAGAACGTGGATAAAGTACAGCTTGTTGTTGATTGGAGGAAGATGAATTTGATTCGAGTGAGAATATATCATGAAGTGAAATAAAGTGAGAAGGTGAATTGTATGTTGGTTCAGGTATAGGGACATTATTATTATTATTATTATTAGCAGTAGATGATTTCTAATAGAATAACATGTATCATAAATAAGACATATTGACTTGATATTTTGAGCAAAAAAAAAAAAAAGGTCTATTTACTTACTTTTAAACTAGATAAGAAATCCTTACATGATTGTCTAACATCAGAATAAGGACAAGTCACTGACAATCTTAAGATGGTTAATAAATAATAAAATAATTGTTCATTATAATAGTCTGAATTATTTTCATCTTCATCTCCTATTACTACATCTTCTTCTACCTCTTCTTGTTGTAATACGTTTGTTGTCATTGTTGTTATACTAGTATCAATTAAATTAGGTGAAGAAGAAGGTGAAGTATGACTGTTATTATTACTATTACTACTACTACGAATATAAGACTTTACAACTTGAATAATCTTTTCAAGAGCTAATATTCTTTCTTCAAAAATCTCTGTTTGTAATCCTTTAAATAATGCAATACGTTGTCTACAAGATTGTAGTTGATTTGCTCTACTATCTCGAACTAAATAAATACATGTATAGACATCAAAAAAAACATTTTTATTTATTTATTTATTTATTTTACTTGTTTCTGCTATTTGCTGATCATCAAGTTGATTCCATAATTGACTCATTTCAAAATAAATAAATAAATAAATATAGTACAAGGTGAGTGCATAAATAAGTAAAAAAAAAAAGTAGGAAAAAGAAGAAGAAGAAAAAAGTACATAATAATAAAGTTTCTCACCTTATTTTGTGACTATATAAAAAAAACATTTTTGCGTGCAAATATACACAAATTGATTGGATAAATCATAATTAATAATAAAGGGCTACTACTGAATCAGTGTAACATGATGTATAAGTTGGGTACTCATGGGGCTCATCATAATAACTTTATTATACAACAAAGGTTGATACAGTCATACCTGTGAAAATTGTCGGGTTTTTAAAAAAAATGTCGATTACTAAAAAAGCAATTGTCGATTATAAAAAAGGTAATTGTCGAAAACTGAAGTATAATCGGCGGGTAACTTAGAAATTCATTGTCGGCAACAGGATTTTAACCTAAAACGAGACGCTTGCAAAATTTTTTAGAGACCATTGGAAATATTATGATTGTAGTCGTATTTACAACTAAGTTAATAGAAATAAGCTATCATTTATTTTAATAATAAAGAGTTTATTTAAACAAAACTAGTGTATTGTACTTCACAGCATAATATTCATTCTACATTCAGTTTTAATACTAGTCATTGTTAGAGTATTCGAGCATTAAAAATAATTATATACATTGTATTATGTAATAATAATAAGAATTCAATAGGTTTATGACTGTTATATTCAATTACATAATTATTTATAAGGGTCGTACATATTATATATACACAGCTATAATATTGAATATTTTTATATAATAACATCTTGGAGGATGATAACAATGACAGTAGCATATAAATAATTGGTATTATTGTTATAGCTGGAGTATTCACTGTGAATTAATATTAACACGTTACTTACCCCAGAAATAATAATTGGATATATTCTTAGTAACAGTGACAGCTCAGAGAGAATGAAGATAAAAATACATTTTTATTGTATGCAGAATTATTCGGTGACAAAAGTTGTGCTTAAAGGCTTTGTTATAGCAGTATTCACTAATCTAAATCATACTTCTATTAACATCACTTAGCTGGCAAAACATATAAATAGCCCTTATCATTTTTCCATATTATTTTCTTCTTGTACAGTTTTTGTATTATTTTTCATTCAATAAACTATACCGAGTCTTCACAGACTTGTCTTTTCTGTTTTCTCTTTCCTTGTCTTTTGTACTCAAAACATACATTTTGATTCAGACAGTTTTTTACATTTTTTTGTGGCCCTGTTTTCTTCGATTTTGGAAATAACTTGCTCTGAGGTGGGGGCCTCTTCAAATCCTAAATCTTTCCAATATTTCAGCAAGTGTAAAGACCTCCTCAAAGAAACTACTTCCTCCATCGAAATCGCCTGAGTTGCTGTCAAATAAAGAAACTTTGACGCAATAAATACATATCCGTCGAAATCAAGGTGCAATTCTAAAGGCAATGGTGTGTGAAAATGTTTATTCACAAAGTATACGGACTTGAAGCACCATTTATTTAAGCTCTGCTTTCGTTGGTAGTCACGAAGCATGCGAGTACATGATATGGTTTTAGCAGCTTCAACGGGCGAAAAAAGGATAAAGTGTTCGTTACGGGCCAAGGAAGCAGGAACACCAACACCAAGAAAAGGAACAAGTTTTGAATTGTCATTATCGTTATTGTTATGATCGTAGTTGTCCTTACAACTAAGTTAATAGAAATAAACTATCATTTATTTAAATAATAAAGAGGTTATTTAAACAAAACTAGTCTATTGTACTTCACAGCATAATATTCAGTTTTAATAATACTTATTGTTAGAGTATTCGAACACTAAATAAAGAATTATATACATTGTATTACGTAATAATAGTAACAATTCAATAGGTTTATGACTGTTATCTTGAATAACATAATTATTTATAAAAGTCATACATATTATATATCATCTATAATATTCAATATTGTTATGTAATAACATATTAGAGGATGATAATAATAATAGTAGCTTATAAATAAGTGGTTTTGTTATAGCAGTATTCACTTATCCAAATAATACTTCTATTAGTATCACTTACCTTGCAAAAAACATATAAATAACACTTGTCATTTTTCCATATTATTTTTTTTCTGGGTACAATTTTTGTATTATTTTTCTATACCAAACTTTCACAGACTTGTCTTTTCTGTATTCTCTTTCCTCATCTTTTGTACTCAAAACAAATTGTTTAAAAAATTATTTTATGAGAGTATGTAGAGCTTCAGAAGTATCGTATAAGGAAAGCTGCGATAAATATACTATCTTCCAAACGTCGAATGTCATATAAGATCCGCTTTGGACTCAATATTTGTTGTTTCATGTGCGATAAAAGTGAACTTAACAAAAGAAATGAAACTGACTTGATCCAATTAACTTCAACCTCAAAAAAATTGGGGTGTACGTAAGAATACCCAAAAATTGTGTGTATCTAGGAACCCAAAAATTCACTACATCCGTATTCAACTTTTAAATCAAATACGACCTTTTGTTAATTTGAGCATCGTTTTTTTCGAGGACGTAAGCTCTGCATTTCTAACCCAGAGAAAACAAAAATGTTTATTATTAGAATTGGCAAAGGGTTCCCTTTGGACTGCAAGCTCTAGAAGATTACTGTGTTACTAGGAATTGATAATAGTTGCAGCAGTTTTCTACACCTTTAACGACATTAAGGGTTAGGGTTTCCTTTAGCTTGTACCTACTGTACCATCAACACTGCATATTTTAAAAGACCCGAAAATGGGTAGTGTTGCTTGCTTCCATAGTAAATTCTCCTAATGAATTAACTGTCCTTTCGAGCATGTTGAATAGTGTTCTTAAATACATTTGGTCTCTAAGAAGTAAATGGATTTGATTTTATACACATTGTTACGCTGACTGCGATTCATTTTTATTTTGTCTTGCTCAATAGGATCAACATAAATATACAACTTTTTAATCCCACTATATACAGATACATAGTTCATATTGCAGAAAAGGAAGGAAAAAAAAACGACATGTACTTTATTATTGTTATTTATATAAACATTCATTATTTCTGTATAAAGTAATGTATATATTCACTATTTTTTTTTTTTTTTGCTTTTGCTTTAACTCTCACTGTCGATGTTATGTTGTCATTTCCTTTGATTCTTCTTGTTAAATTTTGAAATCATTTTTGTGTCGTCATTGAGATTGTTTTGATAGCAAAAAGTTAAAGAAAGAGAAAAAGCAAAAGACAAGTCTGTGAAAACTTCGTGTAGTTTTTATTGAAAATAATAATACAAAAATTGTACAAGGAAAAATTATGTGAAAACGTAAAGGGTTATTTATATGTTTTTTGCAAGGTAAGTGATATTAATAGAACTATGATTTGGATAAGCAAATATTGCTATAATAAAGCATTAGTCATAAATATTTTCTCCGAATAATTCTGCCTACAATAAAATCTATTTTTATTCTTTTCTGCCTGAGCTGTCGCAGTTACTAAAAATATTAAATTATTGTTTCTGGGGTAAGCGACGCGTCAATATTAATTCACAGTGAATATGTCAGCTATAGCAATACCAATTATTTATATGCTACTATTATTATTATCCTATAAGATATTATTACATAACAATATTTATCTTTATAGCTATCTATATATAATATGTATGACTTATAAATAATTATGTAATTGAATATAACAGTCATAATCCTATTGAATTATTATTATTACATAATATAATGTATATAATTATTTTTAATGCTCGAATACTCAAACAATGACTATTATCAAAACTGAGAGTAGAATGAATATTATGCTGTGAAGCGCGATATATTAGTTTTATTTGAATAACCTCTTTATTATATAATAAATGATGGTTTATTTCTATTAACTTAATTATAAAGGCTACTACAATCACAACATGGACGAAGCCCTAGCAGCCTCAACATGGCATGTGTCAACAACCTTAGATACCTTGCATACAATCCTACCGTCAACTTTACAGCCTACTGTATGTGGCTTATTGTCGTTGTTTATACGCTTTACTGCAGCCATGGTATCAGTTGACGTTTCTCCCCAGTTGACATAGAGTTCAAAGCTATCTCCAACCAAAAGTTCCAAAACTTCACCCCACAGCTTCATTAAAAAGTCGAGTTCGCTAATTTTATTGGTTGGATTTGTAAAAATGTTTGTGCGTTCTCTGTACGCGTTAATGCTAGAAAAATAAAACACAAGTCAGAAGCTGCTCATATTAAGAAGAAACTACACTTACATATGGCTAAGGACTTTAAAAATCCACTTATCAGCAGAATGTGCACCTCTTATACTTTCAATAGTAATGTAGTAAGCTTCTTCTTCTTGTCCGCTCTTGATTTCCTTTATTATCTTTTCTACTTTCTTTTTTGTGGCATCAGATAGGTTTGGAAGGTATTTCATTTTTTTTGATCCAAGGTGCTTGATAAGATAGTCCCATTGATCGTTTGTAAATAACTTTTTTTGGCTACACTCTTTCTGGTTACTAAGATCAAGGATACCGTTAAGACAGAAGCCGCAAATCAATTGCTCTTCAGCTGACAACAATTCATAAACTTCATATAGCTGTTTGCCATAAGGCTTTAATATTGATGAAATGTAGCGGTCGTTAAAAAAAATAAGGTTATCGTCTTCAACAACATTCTGTGAATAATAAAAATTGTCAGTACATATGTATTTGTAAATAAATATCATGATCTACTTGATTGGCGAGCGACTGCGGACTTTTTGATGCCGTAGCGCTTCTGGAACTTGAGGCTCTATTCTTTGTGTATATTTCTTGCAAATTATTTTTATAATCAGCTTGTTGATTTAGCTTGTTATAGTACTGCTTTTTATCTTGGTATAAGATCCAAAATTCATCAACCTCAATTGCATTCATCAACTACTCGAAATATAGGAAAAATATGTATATTAGATAATCGTGTTATAGTATTCAAGTTAAAATGAAGCTAATATTACAGGAAAATCACAGTTAATTTGTTCATGAATCCATTTAGTTACCGCTGGATTTATAGTAGCTGGATCGAATAAGGCATTTTGTAAATCTTTTTCAAACTTATTCGCGACTTGTTCCCTTGACATCCCTCCACAGAAGTTGTTGTAGTAATAGCTGTAATCAAACTCAAGATTTGCATGGATAAGATATCCTATTGAATTTGACAAAGAGACTACACTGTTTAACATTGTGAAGTATGGAAGAAAGTCGTGTTTTACAATATATATATTTTTTTTTGAGAGATTTTAAAAAAATTATTCTCAGTCACGTTATGCTGCGTACATATCTATTTTTCTCATGCTGTTGAGTAGGGATCTTTATCTCTATTATGCTCAATAACTAAATCAAAATATGAATCGTCTAGAAACCAATATCTAGAGGTAAAAGAACTGTTAATATATTAATAGGGAAGTAAAGCTATTTGTATTTATATACGCCACTACAATTTTTTTTCAGTTTGATGTATAGTGCTTCTACTCTCAATTTACCGAACGTTTGAAAGTCCGATCACTGATTTGAAAACGATTGACCAATAGTGTGAGGTTAAATTGACCTAAATATTTGAAGTTAATTTGACCATCTCTTCGAAAAAAAAATTAACATTTCTTACAAATAAATTGACCAATATTTTGGTCAAATTGATTATAAAGGTTCTTTATTTAAGCATTTAGGAAAACAACTGACAGAATGCTGGATGAAATTCATGTTTAAGGACGTCCGAATAAAAGGTTAAAAAAAAAGTGGTCAATTTATTTGTAAGAAGTGGTTCAAATATTTGAGTCAATTTAACCTCACACTATTAGCCAATCGTTTTCAAAACAGTGATCGGACTTTCAAACGTTCGGTAAATTGAGAGTGGAAACACTGTAGCTAAATAGTTTTCCTAGATTTGGTGACATAAAAGACTACATTCATGGTCCGCCTTAACAGCAACACGTCATCAACTAGAAACAAAAAAAAATCCCCATAAAATATTATAATACTCTCTATTTTTTTGACCTCTATTGGTAGCATATAAGTTTCTGTTTTTTTTCTTCAAGAGAAGGAATCCAACATTGTGCAGTGTACAACTCCTTTGTTAATAGCATGTAAGCATCCGTTTCTACGTCCTTTTTCTTATTTTATTTTATTTTTCGCATACTTGGGGCAATTAGGGAATAGTCCAGTGCTCAACTCCTACTTTGGTATCATGTAAGTGTTTATTTCTGGGTCCTTGTTGAAACCAACGATGAAGGTTATTTTGAGTACAAAAGACAAGGAAAGAGAAAACAGAAAAGACAAGTCTGTGAAGACTCGGTATAGTTTATTGAATGAAAAATAATACAAAAACTGTACAAGAAGAAAATAATATGGAAAAATGATAAGGGCTATTTATATGTTTTGCCAGCTAAGTGATGTTAATAGAAGTATGATTTAGATTAGTGAATACTGCTATAACAAAGCCTTTAAGCACAACTTTTGTCACCGAATAATTCTGAATACAATAAAAATGTATTTTTATCTTCATTCTCTCTGAGCTGTCACTGTTACTAAGAATATATCCAATTATTATTTCTGGGGTAAGTAACGTGTTAATATTAATTCACAGTGAATACTCCAGCTATAACAATAATACCAATTATTTATATGCTACTGTCATTGTTATCCTCCTCCAAGATGTTATTATATAAAAATATTCAATATTATAGATGTGTATATATAATATGTATGACTTTTATAAATAATTATGTAATTAAATATAACAGTCATAAACTTATTGAATTCTTACTATTATTACATAATACAATGTATATAATTCTTTGGTTAGTGTTCGAATACTCTAACAATGACTATTATTAAAACTGAATATTATGCTGTGAAGTACAATACACTAGTTTTGTTTAAATAAACTCTTTATTATTTAAATAAATGATGGCTTATTTCTATTAACTTAGTTGTAAATACGACTACAATCATAACAACGACAGTTAGAAAGCATATGCAAGTAACGTTGAATGTTAGGGTTGTCCGTTTCCCTGCTCAATTCTAGAGCTAAAATGTTGAGAGGACAGAAAATACCCGAAGAGAGATACTGCAACCGTTTAAGAGAACGGTCATGTTTAGTTTGGGCCGGTTTCATACTACGAGCTGCCACAGGAATCGTATCAGGCGGTTGATAATCTGTATTCTTCATTCCAGGATATCGTTCAATGATATCTACGGACATCGTCAGAAAGGGTTGGCGTAGTAAAAAGTGGTTGAGCAAAGTGCATAACTTGAGTTAAAAATGGAGAAGGCTGCCAGATATAATCCGGGCGTATTTCCAGAGAATGAAGGTGAGATACAATAGCCTCTTCATCCATATTTGTTGGTTGCTGTTGGTGTTGATCAGAAGGCTATGCTGAAGATTGAGCGTTGTTAATTAGTAGTTGTTCAAGTCTAGCAATCTGTGCCTGCTGTTGTGCTAGAATGTGTTCTAGTGTTGGGTTTGTTGGAGTTTCGGAACTCATTTTTATAATGGTACTGACGATCGAAAAAGAAGATCAAATTTATTGTATATTACAAAAAGATTATTTTTATTATTTTCGCTGACCAATTAAATAAAGAAGATTAAGTAATAATATGACTTATTTTGTATTCGAGTGTCTCATTCAATTTGCACTTGAATAATGAATCAATAATAAAATATTATTAAAAAAACAAGATATTTCATAACACAAGAAGAAGAAGACGAGACAAGTTTATATTTTATATTAAGGCAAAAAAAAAAAAATGTTAAAAATCACTTGAAAATTGTTAGAGCCTTTTTTGTATCACTGCCACCGTACATGAGAACATTAGAAAAAATATCTTTTTTTTTTTTTTTTTTTTTTTTTTTTTTTTTTTTTGCAGTCATAATAACATGCTTCTAAACTGCTATTGTACTGCAGATTTATATGGTTATACTGAAACACAACTTGTACTCTTTTTTTTTTTTGGTATATATTCTATCTATATAGTGTATTATCTATCATTCTTTAATAGGGTTAGTAATATTTTTAATACATACAACCCACTGGTCAGTTTATAGATATTTTTTCTCTTTGCTCTTGTTTTTTTAATGATAACCACAAAAGATGGAAATAGTTACTCAGGGTGTTATTTACACATGAAAAGAATTTATACTATTTTCATCTTTAGCAGTTTCCTTCAATGAAGCCTTTATTTATTTTAACATCTCCTTTATATATCATCGTTTTGCAGTACAATAATATGATATTGCATATACTTGTATATTTTTTTTTTATTTATTTATTTTCTAGTCAAATTGACTGACTGATGAATGCTCAGCCATTAAACTATATTATCACTTTTCGCTCCTCAATGGGGTTGTATTCATCCATGTTATACAACTATACCAAAACTTGATTAAATGAGTCATTTTGCAGGTCTTTCTTTCCAACTATATATATGTGTGTGTGTAAGTTTCTAATGAATTTCTTTTTTCTTTTTTGTAAAAAAAAGTGGAACTCCCAGCTAAAACTACATGTATTATTATTATTCTGAAATTTATATGAATTGTAGACTATGTTTATGATTCGCTATGCATATAATGAATTATTTATTTGCTTATTTATTTTAATTTTTTTTTCTTTTGGTGTTCTTCTTCAAGGAAAAAAAAAATAACCCATATTTTATTACAAAAGAGAGCTAAAGACTCTATTGTGACGACATATACTAGGACCATATTCATCGTATTCTGCCTTTGTGTGACAAGAATTATAAAATTCGCTCTATAAAAAAATAAATAAGTAACAAAATCTTGGAAAAAAAAACAAACCATAATGAATACTTTACAGTAGAAGCTAATAAACTTCCACCAAACCAAACAGCATGACGTTGTTTTTTGTGTGAGATAACGTTCACTTCCATGGGAGTTGCTTTCATCTCAGAACGACTCGTCAATTCACTTTCTTGAATACGCTTATCAACTGTACGTTTGATATCACGTTGAAGTCTTTTATCAAAGCCCTTAAACATAGTAGATCCACCAGATAACACGATATTTTTATATAATCCTCTACGTACATCAATAGGACTTGTTTGAATAACAGTATCCACAATTTCTGGTAAAGGTGTTAAAAAGTCAGAGCTAGCAATCTCTGGATTAAAGAAAATTTCTGGTGCAAGGAAACGTTCAAAACCAATATCCACCGTATATTTCTATTTCAAACACACAAGTTAATACATATGTATATGTATGTACATACATACATACATGTATGCATGTATACTATACCATACCTTGCCGGTGACAGAATGAATTCCTTCATATTTCTTGAAATACTTGGCAGGCTCTTGGTCATATTTTTTAAATTCTTTAACAATGTCAGGACAGACATAACTGTAATCTTCTTTGATCGCTTGAGCAATACGGAATGAGTCTTCTGGAGGAATACTTGTTTCTCCACGCTCACGAAGTAAATTTTGAACAAATGAAGTAATATCACTACCGGCAATAGGCACACTCTTGATGGAACTAGCAATAACATATCCTTCAGCCTAATAATAATAACAGTAACGAAGTCATATAGATATATGTATACACATTATCTGCTTGTAATTCACTTACCACTGGGATAACATGAGTAACACCATCACCTGAATCAACAACAGTACCTGTCAATGTCTGTTCACTTACTTTACTTGAAGTCCAAGATGCAGCCAAGGCTAAGACAGCTTGAACAGCAATATAAAGACCTTGTACATTAAATGATTCAAACATAATTTCTGCTGTCATTTCACGATTCTCAGGTGCATTCATAGGTGGTTCGGTCTATTTAAAAAAATAAATAAATAAATAAATAAATACCATTGACATAATCTAATTAAATGCATTGTATAATATATTTATATATTTATAGATTTTTTTTTAATATGTGTATATACCATAAGAAAATAATGGTCCTCAGGTTCACAACGTAAATATTTAAAGATGGATTGTTCCCAAAATCGTTCCATATGATCCCAATTATTGATTTGACCGTGACGAATAGGATAATTTAAAGCCATCGTTTTAGCTTGAGCTAAAGCTTCATCGCCAATATAAAAATCAAGGTCTTCAATGCCTCGTTTAGAAGCTAAATTGTTGCTAAAAAAGGAAGGTTTAGAAGGTAAACCAGGTCTTCCAGTACTCGAAGGTGATTCGCGTGTAGCAATTGCAGTTTGGAAAACAAATGAGGGCTCATTATTGCCACTAAAACCGAGTTTAGTGTACCTAATCCCAACATTATATTAAAAAAAAAAGGTTAATTATAACGCGTTACTCATAGGTGTCATCTTTAACTTATAAACTTTACCCTGTACCATTATCCATAACTACAACAGGGAGATTAGTCATTTTCTCTTTCTTTCTATTTCTTGTATCTATAAACGTTGAAAATAAAATAAAAAATAAAATAAAGATAAAAATAAGTATAAAATAAATATATGAATAAATGCTTCAATAAATAAATGGGTGCTTATTACGCTTATGCCTCAAAATGGAAATAAGGTATAAACTCCACATGACGGAGATTTAATAATTCATCCTGTTAAAAATACTATGGTTATAAATAAAATGAAGCACGAGTTAGAAAGTGTCTTTTTTTTTTTCTTATTTATTTTATTTATTTTTGCTTGTATTTCAATCATAATGAGAAAAGAGAATATCCTTTCTGTCTTCTAGAATGAAAGAAAGTAAGTCTAATTAGCACCAACAATTTTATTCAATTTCTTACAAGACACAACTTTAATCGATGAAGCTTCTGTATATCTGAATATTTAATATTATATGTGTGGTTTTGTTATTTTTTTTTTTAATTTATTTCTTATCTGAGGACATTAACCTGCATTACTTACAATACCATGAACATCTATTTGATTACATAATGTACAAGCATATACATATGTGTATATCAAAAAAAAAAAGTTATAATAGTTGTAGATAAATTGAAACAATTGTCACAGTAATAAAAAAGAAGGCGACGGAATTTTTTTTATTTTAGTAGCTATTTTTAAGACATTGTAATATAATAATAAGCCTTTTTTTTCTTCTTCTTTTTACTATATATTTATTTTATTTTATTTTATTTTATTTTTTTTTACTTCTAAAATATGCCCGCCCATGTTGTTTATGCGTGCAACTGTCTAAATGTCAAAATTCATCTTGCCAATAAATATTATTTAGAAGGTCATGAAAATTTTCGAAAAGATAAATTTACAAGACTAGAGGAACCTTCAATATCAGGTTGGAAGTTTGAATTAAGTATGAAGGGCATCTCAGTTGTAAGTAGATAATATATATTTCTTAATAATATACCCAATATACTCTCTATCCTGTTTAATTATATATATATATATATATATATATGTATATAAAAGGAATATACAAGCTTAATTCGCCTAAGATATATCATGGATAATTCTGAAGGTTGGGTAACAATTAGCTGTCATAATTGTTCAACAGGAGATGTTTACTCTGTTAGACGAGATAATAAACCAAGTATAATTTATCCTATTGATAAGTCAATTCTAAATCAACCTGGTGATCAAGTTATTGTACACAAAGGAACTATTGTAATTAGAAGAGATTCATTTAAATTTATTTATACTGCACATACTACATGATGAACTAAAAAAAAACCACATACATATATATATATACACACACATTACATACACACGTGTTTCTCTTATTCATAGTTTGGTTTAGAAATTGAAAGGTTACAGAAAAAGGCAATTTATTCAACTGCATTTCATATCGTTTTAAATCCAGATTTACCCATTAACAATTTATCTCTGGACAAAGAAGGTATGTCAAAATATCTATGTACAATAAAATTCATTCATTTAAAACATACATGTATATTTATTTATTTTTTTAAAGAAATACTGAATGCAGAGTTAAAAATTCAATATGAAGAAGTGAAAGAGCTATTACAACAATCATTAAAAGATCTTGAAGAAAAAACGGAAAAGAGGATTCAAGCTTATCGAGAAGAACAGGAGATATTATTAACGAGGGAAAAACAAAAAGCAATCTATGATAGTGCTGTTTTATGGCAAACGATGAAAGAAATATCAAAGACGGTAAATGAAGAAAATGAACATGTACGTCGCTTATCTGTACAGAAAGTAAGAAATAGTGTTAGCGATCAAATTCTGTTCAATCGCATCGCTAATGACGCATATTTCAATCCACTTGAGGACACAAATAAACAGGCTTTAAATAATTTAACAGAGATTCAGCAGCAGCAGCAACAACAACAACAAAGGAAAGTAGTAAGAAGATCTTCTTCTTCTTCATTATCGGCTGGTTTCAATCAACAATATGTGTTCGTGCCAAGTTCTTTTACACATAATTATCGTAGAAAATCTAGTTATATTTTAGATGAAAATGCAATTACCAACAGTCTAAATAAAACAGTAACTTCACCGTTGCATTTAGCACCTGTACATGAGATGCCTCCATTTCATAGAAGAAGGTCTTTGCTTGTTCCTGAACAACAGCCATCCTTACATCCACTTGCTCAACTTGCAGAAGAACAAACTAATTGTAAAATATCAGCATCAAGCACTTCATCTTCTTGGGTAGATGATGATGATCATATAGAAGAAGAAAAAGGAGATGAAGAAGAAGAAGAAGACTTGTTCCCTCTAGACGAGGATATAAAAAGTAACTCTAATACAGAAGAAAAAAGTTTTTCAAAAGCTGTAAATCATACAAGCAATAGAGATAATAATAATAATAGACGATCATCGAAATATATTGACTTTGTTGAAGAAGAAGAAGAAGAAGAAGAAGAAGTAAAAAGGGAAAGAAATCATAGTTTACTTATGAAACAATCATTAAAAGAAAAAGAGAATAAACAAGGTAAGATCTATTTATATAAATATAAAGATTTAATATGTTTATTTTTTTTTCTTTTTATATAGGGAGCAATTTCGCTACTTCTGTTCCTATTTCCATAAGCTATTCTCCAGCTACAAATGAAAACAAACTAAGGATCCTAGCATCATCTTCATTTAATAACAAAACACTACAAGATAAAAAGTCACGAAAGCCTTCATTTATAGGTTTTGATTACGCAGAAGCTGATAGACGAACATCGCTTACATTTTCTTCTTCACAACTTGATGACAGAAGAAGAAAATCAGTCTTGCATAATCAACAACAACGACAAGGATTGAATAGTACCAAAAACAAGTTAGAATTAGAATTGGAAGAAAATGATGATCATATTGAAGAAGGGCCTATGATTCCTCCTCATATTTTAGCCGCAAATACTGCTACAAATGAAACTGAAGTCCTTTTTGGATCTGTTCCACATAGTAGTACTAGAAATAGACTATTAGAATAATACATCTTTAGCTATCTGAAATGAACAATTTTTTTTTTTTCATAATGTGTAGTGGTATTAATAAAAGAGACAGGTAATATATAACCATGGTAAAAGAGATAGACTTTTTATTGGCATCGTTTATAATTAAACGAATGAATAATTCAAATGTTTTCTGTATTATGACAAGAATGAAATTATTACAAACTGCACTATAAGAATTCATCTTTATATGTCTGCTGCTCTTATATAAAACATTTTATGTAATTTTATTTATTTGTTTTTATTTTATTTTATTCTATTTTATTTTATTTTATTTTTTTCCCTTTATTATACACCAAAAAAAATGCCCTCAGTTGAAAATGTTAACTTGAAGCGTGCTGCCAGTGACTTATGGGTAGTTCCTTTAAGGAATACTCCTCAAAAAAAAAAAGATTAACTAACTTACAATGTAGGATTCTACAGCAAATCAAGCTTTTAAGATTCGTAAAGTAGAACCATCTTTTCAAATAAATAAAATGAAGACAGAGCCTAACAAAAAGAAGAAAGCTAAAAAGCACAAGCACAAACAAAGGAAACAAAATGTTACGACTACAACTAATACTGGACAAAAGATAGTAAAGAGAAACGATAATGATCATACTTTTCTTGAACTTGACAGTGATCAAGATAAAAAAGCTTTAAAAAAAAAACAATTGAAAAAAATGTTGAAAAAGAGGAGAGAACTAGACAACCTCCAGAAAAATGATGTTAAAACAAAGACAAATGTAAAGCCTTTAAATAACAAAAAGCTTGAAAAGTCATCATCATCATTACCACCAAAAGCGGCATTCTCTTCAAAGACTGTTATTGTTCTATCAGATACAGAAGATAATGATGATAATACTCGATTAACATTCAAAAAGGATCATAATAAAGGATTGTACGAACTAGATGATCAAACATATAAATAACATGACCATTTGTGCTAAATGTTCCGTCTATCTTTATAGAATTTGCATCAATGAAAATCGAGTTCCATTACATGTGCATCATTTAAATTGTTTAAATACAAAAAATGGATGGTTAAACGATACGGTAATAAATTACGCTTTAGATATGCTGAAAGATAAATATAACAATACACAAATGTATATATCTTCAACTTTTTTCTTCACTCGACTACAACAAGCGGCAGCGTATGTAATAATCAAATTATTTTGTATTTTACAAGTAGCTAATATAAATGCATAGTAATGCAAGCGAAAATTATTATGAAATACTGAAGAAATGGTTTCGTAAAGTTCATTTATTCAATAAATCTCTTTGGCTCATTCCTGTCTTTCAAAAGTAAAGTAAACGTATTCTAATGTTTCCAATTATATTAATCCTTTTGATTTTTGCTTTTTTTAGGAGTCATTGGTTTTTGATGGCTGTTACTAGTCTTCAAAATAAAAAGCAGTAGGTAATCTGTATATGTTATGTCATACATTTATTTATTTTCTCTCTCTCTCTCTCTTTTTCTCTAGTTTTAGTATTGTATGTATGGACTCTTTAGGAAAAGATAGAACTGAATGCCTTCAGTTATTAGAAAAGTTTATTGCTAGAAAATACAAGGATGATAGAATTAATGGTGAATGGCATCCACCGAAATTATTAACAGCAAAGATTCCAAGACAGACAAATGGCAATGATTGTGGTCTTCACTTGATTAGATCAGCTGAACTCCTGTTATCTAATAAAAAGAAAACTATTCAATTAGCTATGGTAATTGCATGTTAAAAAAAAAAAAGATAGACTATGACAGTAAACTAAATCCTTTTTATGTTTAGGGAAAATTGGATAAAGAAAAGACAAAAAAGTTATTTGAGCGAGTTATGATTCGTAATAGACAACAACTTAAAAAAGACATATTAGAATACACAAAGTCAATAAATAAGAAACAATAATAAAGAGTATCAACTTCTTCTTTTTTAACGGGTTTATATAAATATAAATATATATAGATTATAAATTAGGTATAAGTAAGTGTGTATTCAATTCATTAGGAAGCTAGATTAGGGGATTTGAAATAAAGAGACTCATCTCTTCTACTACATTAAAATACATCCACAACAGCCTTCATTTTCATGACTATCTGTCATTTCAAACGTTTCTCTTCGTACTCCTTTTGATCTATTTTCTTGTTCCTTATTTGTACGACGAATTTCTCTTACAACTTCATAAAATGTATCATCTACTTTAATACGTTGTTTAGCAGATGTCTCATTAAAGGGACATCCAAAACTTTTAGCTAAATCTCTTCCTTCTTGACTTGATACTTGTCGATCACTTTCTAAATCACATTTATTGCCAACTAATACCATTGGGAAAAAGTCGCGATCTTTTACACGTCGAATTTGTTGATAGAATGTATTTACCTCTTCAAATGATAAGCGAGAAGTAATTGAATAAGCCAATATAAAGCCTTCACCATTTCTCATGTATTGCTCTCTCATAGCACTGTATATATAAATATATGTGTGTGAGATCATCATATTCCATATGTATAAGATCATAATGTGTGGGTACCTGTATTCCTCTTGACCTGCAGTATCTAATACATCTAGTAAAGCTGTTTCATCATCAATGACACACTGTTTACGATAAGAATCTAGCATTGTAATCCTATATTAGTTTTTTTTATAACTATACTTATTTTTCTTCTTATTACCCTCAATAGTTGGATCATATTCGTCAACAAAATGTGACTGAATAAACTGGATAGTTAAAGCAGATTTGCCAACACCTTAATAAATAAATAATAATGAGTACAACGTTCTTCATTTCAATCATCTATTATTGTTCATCATCTTGTATTCCAACTTACCACCTCCGCCAACGATAACAATTTTGTACCTGAAAACAAAAGAAGAAGAAATTAGATTTTTATTTTACTTTTATTTATTTAGTTACTCTCTAAGAAAAGATGCTTTTGACATAGTAAATGAAAATTAAAAATAAAAAAAAAAAGAGAATAAAAATAAAAAAAAGAAAATAAAAAATAAAAAAAAAAGGGTAACAGCTGTTAGGAGAGAGAAGATAAATAGGTATGAATAAAGTTATTACATGTAATACATGAACACTATTTTATCTTTGCACCACAACAAACCTTGGAAATTAAAATCCGCCATAATGACAATGAAAACTATTTATTACGGCTTTGATATGAGATGTAAAGTAGATTACATATATCGTAGTTAAAGCAAACAATAGGGTGTAAAATAAAATAAATAAAATAAAATAAATAGAATAAAATAAAGAAGTTTTAAGGAAAAGAGAAAGAAAAATGAACGTATGATTTAATATAAATACTTTACCTTGTAGAGTGAGTTAGGGGAGAATACTTTTTTTTTTTTTCTTTTTTTTTTTTCCGAGAATACTTTCAGCATCTTTGTAATAATGTTGGGTCTATCTCCAAGTTTCACGAATATGAATAGTCATCTTTCTTATAACAGTAGCATAAAAAAAAATGCCTTCTCATTTTGATAGTGTACACAGTAAATTGCTCTGATTTATATAAAAATAAAATGTCATGGATGGCATCACTAAATAATAAATAAGAATAATCAAGTCCATAAATGAGCCACAACTTCATTTTTAAATCGAAATTAATTTTAGAGAAAAAGGACATCACTAAGTAAAATTGCAACTTGACTTATTGTGATAACTGTACTGACTCTTTACATATAAATTATTTAATCTTTCCTAAACAGTTTCCTCTTCTCCTTATCTATACTCCCTCTGTAACACATAGAGGAAAAAAAAACCCAAATAAAAACGTACAAATGTATATCCTTTTTTTTTTTTTTTAAAAAAAATATTTTTGCATTTTATCTACTATATTTTTCTTCAAAAAAAACAAGTTCTTTAGAAGACTTCAGCATTAGCAGGGAATTCGAAAACAACAGCCTTGCCAGTGAGCTTCTTGTAAACAGCAGAGAAGGTATCGAGCTTGTACTCGAGAGAAGTGGCGTCCTTAGCATCAAGGAAACTAAATAAAAATCAATTTAATATACATTATTGTTACAGTGCTCATTATATATGTATAAATATACTTACACCTTGAGTTGCTTAGAACCATCAACCTTTTGACGGAGTCTCTTACCAACAATTTCAGTAGGGAAGACCATATCGTCCAAGATAGCGTTGTGAACAGCAGTCAAAGTACGAGATCTGGGACGGGGTTGCTTGCTTTGAGTACGACGACTAGGGACAGCCAAGATACGGCGTTGAGCAACAATGATAACATGACGATCAGAGAACTTCTTTTCAAGTTCACGAGTAAGTCTAAATACACATAATTTAGTAAAGTAAAAAAAAAAAGAAAAAAAAAGAAAGAGTCTATCACGCTTACTTTTGTTGAACCTTGCGGAAGCCAGCGAGCATGGGAACGGGGACGAAGATAACAAGTGCCTTCTTACCAGCACCAAGTTCAACCTATAATGTATATTTAACTTAGTCATTAATTGTCGCAATGCAAAAAAAAAAAGTCGTAAAACTACAATACCTCCTTAGCACCAGAGATGGCAAGAGGACGAAGTTCAGGAATGTTGGATTCTAAGTCAACAAGAGCTTGAGCAACAGAGAGCTCGATCTCATCAGCAGCAGAGGCATCCTTAGCCTTTTGAATCTTGTGGGAAGCCATTATGTCGTCTATTTATGAAAAATTGACTGTAAATCGAGGGAGAAAAGAAATGTCAATGTCAGCATTCATAATTAAATTTCGAAAGTAGCAAAAAAAAAAAAAATCTCCTATATTTTTTTTATCCATCCATTCCCTCCTTATTCTATCCATCTACTATTTCTCCATTACATCCATCCTTATACATGTAATATGCATACTCATTTTTTATACATACGTTTTTAGGACCCGGAAAAGAGAAAGTACTTTTAGTATGCTTTATCGACTGTTATTTTTCACTTAGAATCTAATTCTCTTCCTCCCTCTCTTTTCTTTTGCCCGCCCGCTCCACATTGACATACGCCGACAATTTCTGCGACATTTCATTGGCGGAGTTCTAATTTATTATTTCTTATTATGGCTGTTCTTTTTTTTTTCATGACAAACTAAATGTAACAATAGATTTATTCATATGTTCAACATTACATCAATTATCTTTTTCTTTTCTTTTTTTCCCCTTCAACAATACACGTTAAAAACAATACTTTGAATTATTAATTGTTTTCTTTTATTAACTTGTAAAAAAAAAAGTGTCATGATTTAAGCTTCAGTCTTAACAGCTTCAGTAGCAACAGGAGCAGAAGCTACTTCCTCCCCTTCAGTCGTAGTAGCATTATCTTCTTTCTTGTCTTCAAGAGAAGCGGCAGCTAAGGCAGCAGCAGCCTTAGCAGAAGCATCATTATGAATATGAAATTCAATAGGAATATCTTCAGAAAGATTAAGGGTTTCTCTAAGTTGTTCACTTTAAAATATGCATAAGATATATTGAGTATTTTTCTTGTCAAAAAAAAATATACATATTATTGTACCTGATCTTTTCAATCTTTTCAGAATCATTAGATGTCTTGATCCACAAGGCAATTCTATAGAAAGTCTTACGGACAGAAATAACAGCACCACAAATTTCCTCTTCAGTAGCTAATTGCTCGCCAATAACAGCCAAAAGCTTCAATAAAAAAAAATTAATGATTAGCATCGATTAACAACGCAAAAAAAAAAAACTCTAGTAATTAATTTTTACATACAAGATATGTCCAATATTCATTAATAGCGTCACCTGCTTTGTTCTTGGGGAATTGGATGCTGAATTTGCCACCTTCAGCATTAGCTTCATCTTCCCATTCAGGGCGAACACCTTGCTTGAAAAGATGATAATTAGAATTAAGAGCAAGATGATTAACTTTGGCAACATTATTCATAGTACTAAATTATATAAAGATTTATCATTCCTATTAACTTGTAAATCTCATCTGTCATTACCTCCAGAAATCTTCAACTGTGTCAAAGGAGACAATTTCCTTCAAGTTGTCAGCCCATGATTGAACATTGGCCTTCTTACCAGGATTGTCAAACCAGAAAGTCCAAGTATTTTGAAGAGGATGTTTGACAGAGTAATCCATAGTGGAAGCCAATTGAACAACTTCAGGAGATAAAGTAGTAGCCATCTTTCAGTGATCCAACGTCAAAGTCAAATAAGAATAGAAAAAAAAAAAAAAAAAAAACTTTTTTTTTCGTGGCACTGAAAAAAAAAATAGCAATAAACCGGCTGAATGTCTTTAGTAGCAGATACAGAGTGCACGTTCATCATTTGAATCATTGCCTGTCTACTGCCGCTTACTTCGATATCGCGCTACTAAGCGATAAAATCACTAAAATTTTGTTGATGAAAAAAAAAAAAAAAAAAAGCTGTGACTTGATTAATTCGAGCCGGAAAGATATGCATATGGCCGATTGACGAGCTGGGCGAGTTTAGGGAAGAAAACGATGAGAAACCAAGAGTAAATGCGGGAGATGTTTGCTCGAACAACAGCGCGTGTGTTTGTGAGCTGGATAAAATGGATTACAAGTACCTATTGATGAACTGCCTTTCCCCCCATTTGACGAGTCATGAAGGTATGCAAGAGATCCATCATCAAAAGGGAGAGAATAATGGATGAAAAAAAAACAAAACAAAACAAAACAAAAACGAATTGATGGGAACAGATGTTTTTTTTGACATCTTTGTGTCTCGCAATTGCTGAAATAAATCAAATGCACTTACATTATTTAATTTTATATAGTTGAACATCGCCAATCCAGCCACTGGCTGCCAAAAGTTGATTGAAATCGAAGACGAGCGTCGTCTGTAAGTTCTCCAAAATTCAAATAGTCAATTATATGTTTAGTATGTTGGTGTGTTATTAGATGTTGGTTTATGTACATGTATGATTAGTGCATTGAATAATTCATCAACATGTGATCAAATCAACCTTTTAAATTTATGGATCTGTATATACCAGCAAAGTCTTTATTGTACGATCTAAAAACAAGTTTTTTTTTCTTTTATAAACAACAAACAAATCTTTAATGTATCATCCACTAAAGATGTTTAACTTTGACATGAATATAATTTTATGTTTTGGAATTTGAATCTTTTGACGAAAGAAAACAAAGAAATTGCACTTATCATACACACTCATAATCACATTGCATACTACACATATGACCTCTCTCTCTCTTTTTTTTTTTAATTACTTTGCTAATAATTTTTTTTTCATTCACAAATATTAGCCGTGGTTTCTATGACAAGCGTATGGCTCAAGAAGTTTCCGGTGACTCCCTCGGTGACGAATTCAAGGGCTATGTTTTCCGTATTACTGGTGGTAACGATAAGCAAGGTTTCCCCATGAAGCAAGGTGTTCTCTTGCCTCACCGTGTTCGTCTCTTGATGTCCAAGGGTCACTCTTGTTACCGTCCTCGCCGTACCGGTGAACGTAAGAGAAAGTCCGTCCGTGGTTGTATCGTTGGCTCTGATCTCTCTGTCTTGTCTCTTGTTGTCGTTAAGCAAGGTGAACAAGATATTCCCGGTTTGACTGATACTACTGTTCCTAAGCGTCTTGGTCCTAAGCGTGCTTCCAAGATCAGAAAGTTCTTCAACTTGTCCAAGGCTGATGATGTTCGCAAGTACGTCATTCGTCGTGAAGTTCAACCCAAGGCTGAAGGTAAGAAGCCCTATACTAAGGCTCCCAAGATCCAACGTCTTGTTACTCCCCTTACCCTTCAACGTAAGAGACATAGACAAGCTCTTAAGCGTAGAAGAGCCGAAGCCTCTCGTGAAGCCGAAGCTGAATACAAGCAATTGCTTGCTAAGCGTGTCAAGGAACAAAAGCAAGAAAAGTTGGAACGTCGTCGTACTTCTTCTATGCAAAAGTCTGCTTCTAAGCAAAAGACTGCTTCTGCCTAAAATTGTTTTTTTTTTTGTTTATGTTTTTTTTTTAGCTTATTCATTAAAGTTTAGAAACGTGTGTGGGTTTCTTTAAGGCATTTCTCATTTCGTTTTTTTCTCTCTCTCTTTTTTTTTTTTCTTTTTTCTTCTTCTATATCGATTCAATCAACTTTAAATAAAAGGAACAAAGACGTATATAAACTTTTAATAGAATATGACACTATTTTATTTCCATTAATTACATATTATAACAACTTCTAAGACGTTTATACATTTGGGAAAGTAAAGTAGAAGACTGAATAGAAGGGATCGACTCTAGTCGTTGAATTACTGGTTCCAAATTCTGTTGACATGATTGTTTGAGCTGAGAGAAAATAGCAGGTGATGTTTGGAATAAAGATTGCTGAAGTAAAATAACTTGCTCATTCTCATATCTTTGATCACAAGGACTACTCATGGCTATAATATCAGGATTTTTTTGCAGGTAAAATTCCAAATGACGCCAAAGAACAAATATTGCGTTTTCAATAATAAACAGTACATCATTCATCTCCTTCTTCTTTAATTTACAGCGATGATCAATCTCAGTAGATAACACTTGTAATTGTTGAGTAGGATTCAAATTATCATATTCTATACCAAGTTCTTTGGGGATAGCTGTCTGAGCAATCTCGAGAATTTCTTCATATTTGAGTGATGCAATATTTTCTTTTTGTCCACAAAGAGCATCGTATTCTGCTTTGGTTACTTTTAATTTCTTACCCATGAATGAAATACAAGCAACAAGCGTTGTTAAAGAAGGTGGCATTGAAATGGCTAGTATTATAATCCACTTATTAGTATATTCTATATATGCATATACATGTATATATACCTTTTCGTAATGTATCAGAAGAATGATCTTTGATAGAATTAAGAGTATTGGCAAAGATAGGTTTAAATAGTTGATCATCTATAGGATTTATATTTAAAGGGGATAACATTAGCAGCTTAATAAATACATATACATATATAGTGCATACCAAGAATTTTATAAGGTCTGAAAGTAGAAGACTGAGCATATGCCAATAAATTCTTTTGAATATTAATAATATATTTATCTGCTTCAATAACAAGTTCTGATATGACTTCATGATCATGATTAACAATCCCTACAAGAAAAAAAAACTTGCTATTAGTTACCCTTACAAGGCATTTTTATTCTTATTAATTTACCTGTTACTTTGTTATTAGCCCATTTATCTTCATTTTTATTGGTAGGTATGATAGCTGAGGCCCAGTTTCTTGAAAGACAGTATTTAGGAATGAGGTTTAACATTGCTGAATCAATAACATCAAGACCTCTTTTATCCAAACCCAAGAAATAATCTTGTCGGCAGCTTGCTTGGTATACTAAGGAAGTTGTTAATTGAAGAATATAAAGCGAAGTGAGAGTCATTTGATTCTCTCTATCATTCAAAATATGTATAATAAAGTCTTGTTTTTCAATCCAAGTTTCGAATTGTTTTGTTTCAACTCCTTTAATTCCACTCAAACTCTTCAATACAACATTAACAAGCTCGAGAATGAGAATTAACAAACGATTATAATGTTTCAAAGCATGTGGATTATCTAAAAAGAAAAGAAAAAAAAAAGGAAAATTAGCATTAGTGTACAATAGCATATCATACAAACTTACTTTTGAATTCTTCATCTTTAATTCGAGCATTAATAAACTTACAATCCATTAAACGACGAAGAATACCATTACTCAATAATAATGCAGCACCCTCTCGATTAAAAGCGATACGCGTAAAGAAAGACATTTTTGCTTCATAAACATCTAAAGGAATAAGTGAAGCTGTACAAATAAAAAAAGTTAATATCTCGTTTTCAGTATATATATATATATTTTACAAGTATTATTTACCATCACGATTTCTAAGAATATATAAAAGATCAGCGTCTGAACGTTCTGTCATATCAATTATATATTTTAAGAAATTATTCTTGACTAAATGTGTGTGCATGCTTGTGTCCTTGCTTTGATAAAATAAATTATAGAGCGCTTCTAAAAGAGCAAAGGCAGAGGCCTTATACTCATTGACTGAATGACAAGCATCGTCACAAATAATATTCAAAGCACTACCGTAAATAATATCAATAATTCTTGAACGAATGCGATCATTTAAATAATCTTCTTCATTTTTTTCATCATAAGGCACAATATACTGTAGTAGACTAACAAGCGCTGTATACATAATGCTACGTACTTGAATAATGGAGTTCTTTTTACGAATACATTCGATAATTAGACTAATGATAACATAAAGTTTGTCATCAGGTAATCCAATACGTCTTGTTGTTGTTCGTTCTTTAGGTGAAACGTGAAGAATAGCTTGACGGGACTTGTCTTCTTTTAATCTTGTTAAAAGGCTCAGGATCATATCACTTAATCCCTTTAGGATATTATTATCGATGCATGCATCGCTATCTAGCTTAGGTAGCAAGACGGTAAGTAAATCATAAATGATACGTTCACGAGATTCAAAAGAAAACGCATCGAAACAATCTGTCAATGTAACCTCAACCACTTTTTTCCATGCACGAAGACAGTGCAAGCGACCATTCGCAATCTCACGATGTCGGTTTTCTGCCATTAATTTTTTCAACAGATATCCCATTTCTATTTCCAATGCTGTATAATCTTGGTCTGACATATTTGCAATCTTCTTGTTCGAAATTTGATATTGACGAAGGATTCTATAAATAGTGCGAATATCGTAAAGTTCATGTCCATCTTTCTTAATTACATATTTTTTGGCATCAAAATCTTTAAAATATGTTAGGTTTTTTGCATCTTCTTCAGCAGCATCTAATCCATCTACCCAAATAAAATCCAATGAATTGATAATTTCCAAAATGTTCCATATAGGTTGATGGTAATTGTCATTGGGTTCTACATGAAGACTTTCGAATTTTTCAACAAGGAATTCAGTTGAATCATTTCCGCCATATAATGCACGAAGTAAATGATTAGATCCTAATTTATCGAAGGCTTGTGCTGATAAATGCAATTCCAAAGCAATCAATTCTATTAACCATGCACGTTGATGCAAAACGCTAACCAAAGTCAAATAATCAGTTTTGATTTGTGTTTTATCAGCACAAATCAAGATACCCTCAAAGCAAGGCTCTGTAACCGTAAGTGAACGTTCGAAGCGACTGGAAATCAGTTTAAACTGTTCAAGTAAGAAATTATTGCTACTATGAAGATAATTCAAAGTCACTGCTGAAGTAGGTTCGCGAACACATAGTTTATAAATTAATTGATAACATTTTTCAGCCAAAACTGGATGTGTGGCAATTAAAGGTTGTTCGTCATCGTCATTTATGCCTTTAGACATCATAGATAAAAGCGCAGTGAAACATGCTAATCTAGATTGTTTATATGTAGTTAGTGACTTCTGATAAAAACCTTTTAGCTCGACATCCTTAAGATCATAGCCTAACAAAAATTCAGCAATAGTAGGTGAAGGTGTCTCTTGATTTACACTTTTGAGCAGTAAATCCAAAAGATTAATACGAATGGAAGAAGGGTATTGATATTCTTCATAATCGTTGTAACGATGGATATTGCTCAATGTCTTTTCAGCAAGCCAAAATGGAATTACGTTTATGTTATATTCATAATCGTCATAAGTAGTTATTTCAGCTGTCTCGATTTCAAGTTGATCAGCAAAGCCCTGAATAAGTTCAGTTGCACGATCACTAGAAAACAAAATACCAGATAGTTGCGACCCAATACCGCCCATAGGTTGCTTGAGGTGATGAGGAAATTTGACTTCATCTATTAAATCATTACCTTTAGGGTCAGATGCTAAAGCGGAAAGGATAGATATACAAAGATGGCATATATTTTCAAAATCTTCATGATTAACCATGGAAGCGATCTGAACAATAACCTCTGTGTTGTACAACATGAGTGAACTAAGAGAACGTAATGTAGGAGGTGGTAGCGGGAAAGTGTAGTTACCAAGCTTGAATTCACCCATTGGCAAGATAGTATATGTTTGCTCCAATTGAGGAATAAAGAAATTTACAAACATGTTTTGAATATTGAACACTCGATTGAATATACGCAAACAGCGTACAATAGATTTTTTGAAATATATATCCTTGCCTGTCTTTGATTTATCACTTCCAAAGGTATTCTCTTTCACCATTAAGATTATCTTGAAAAGTTCTTGAACTAAAGCACCTCCTGAAAGGATACGAACGAGAATATCGTAACCTGGATGACTAACACAAGACAGTAAAGAGTTTTGAAAATCTTCATAGATGGTCTTACTAGAAGATAAAGATTCGTCAGCAGTAACTGTAGTACTATTTTTCAAATTTTGTGTGTAATTGGCAATTAAATTCATTTCAGTCTGAGAAAGATTCTTAACAAAACTGTAGATAGGTTCAAAATTTAATGCCATAATACTGTTTTCAATGACTTTTAAACAAACTTCAGTTAATTGCCATCTTGTCTCGGGATGAATATATTGTAAATTTTTCAAGTTAAGGAAGATGTGATCAACAACAAGTGAAATATAAGGAGCAGTACCAGGTGAACGATAAGCACCACCTAAGCAGAAAGGTATAGATGATGATGTCACAGCAAAACCAGTAACAAGTTGATCTCTTTTACTTTGAGTATGAATGAGTGAAGCCATTAAATTCAAGAACGAGAGTGTTTCTGTATATAATTTTCTGTTCTTTTCATCTTGAAATTCACGAAGAAAACCGCCTGGCTGTTCTGGCAAATAGCTAGAGGAGATTTTCTTTACAGACTTTTCGACAGAATCTGGATTTTCAGCAGATGGTTGAACTGGCAGTTGCTGACCATAATTAGACATAGTAGAATTACCAAAAAGAACATTATGGAAAGGCGTATTTGATGTTGATTCTGTTGCTGCAGGAAGTGCTTGGGTCATTATTTTGTTAACAATAACCATATCCGAATTTTCTAACGTGTTCCATACTTCTAAACTAATCTTTTCACCAATATGATTTATACCTCCACCCCAATTTGAACAGAATGCAGCCAAAAGATTATAGAGTGCTGAACGGAAACGACTTGAAGTAGGGCAACTAATCATACTAACAATAGAATCATGTGCACGAAGTACAGGATCAGACCAAATAGCTGTTCGAGCTTCCTGAGAGTACTGAACAACCTGTTGACAAAGATATAAAAATTTACATAATGCTTCTTCCTCAGAAGGAGGTATCGTGGGGGGTTCTTCTTCAGGTAATCTTTTTGCATATTGTTGGCTATAAATTTGAAGAGCTGAAAAAAGCTTACCCCAAGAGAACAAGTGACTAGAAGATATATCTAATACTGAAATACCTATCTTCAAAGTATTGTGAGCATAAAGGGCACACTTTTCACCTGTGGAAATAGAGCCTAAAAAATCAAATGTAGCTGCAAGAGCATAAGGTAATTTAAAGTCCAATAGCCATGCAACAAAAGTAGACAATGAGTTACTGTGATCCCAATATTTTAAGCCGCTATTTAAACGGTTCCTATAAATGCTAGCAAGTAATGTTAAGAACTGCTCTAAACCGTTTCGATGGCTTCCATCAACCACTCCTGATACTTGAGCTAATTCATCTGAAGTCAAGTTTTTGAGATTGCTAAATACATTTGACATGTTAAAGATAAATAATTCAGCCAAATTCTCCAACTCGTAGATTACATATTTTTGAAAATCAGAGTAAATTCCTACATCAAACTTTGTATAATCATTTGGATCAACAATCAAACCATCAATGGCCATAGCTGAGTCATCAATATCTGCATTTTGGATTGTAGGTTTTTTATCTTTGTCCATATTAGTTTGTTTAAAATACAAAAGATAGCTATTCATAAATCCAAAAACACCCTGCTTCATGACTGATTCAACAACATTAATTATGGCGCTTTGTTCTAATGGGACAGTTATTTTAGTTGATGAATTAATTTTAGTAAGAATAGATATAGAAAGTGCCCATTGAATTTGAGCAGAGACTTGTAAACTGTTCACTTTCCAAGACTTGTTAAGAATTTGTTCATTTATTTTTTTAAGATATGCTTCATTTTTTGTGAAATTGTTCTCTGGAAGTTCTTTTGATTTTACAGAAAGAGCAGCCAAAAGGGCAGTCAATAAATAGGGGCAAGTAGCATCAGAAAGGTTAATTGATTGTATATGCTTTAAAAGACTAATCAAGTCATCTTCAGGCAAAAAGTATAGTGATACAACATGATATAATATCTGAACTAAATGAATACGTTCATCAATCAAACGATCAATACGTAGAGTAGTTGTTCTTGAATCAAGTTTTGGTTCATTGTTGGGCAAGCTAGTTTGCTGCTGTTGTTGCTGTTGTTGCTGTAGTTGTGGTTTTTGGAAGCTTTGAAATAGTGAAGTTGTCTGTTGCTGCTGTTGACTTGAGTTTGCTGTTGTATTCGTGCTAGATGGAGTTACTGGCAAAGAGCCTGTTTTTGAAAGAGAACTAATCATTCCAGCTATATCCTTAATTGATTTTAATATTTTCGAAACAAAGGAGTTTGATGAAGGTTGTTCCTTGATAATATTAGCCATAAACTGGGTGAAGACAGATTGTATTTTAGGATCAAGTTTTTGGTCCTTTGCACTCTCCAGAATGATATTCAAAATGGATAAGATATAACCTCTTTCTTCATGATATAAATAAACAGCAGCATCTAAAACTGCTAAATTCATGGTAGAAGCTCGGCTAATACCTTCAAGTAGTAATCGAGAAGCTTCATACTCTTCAATATTTAATTGATCAGATAAAAAAATTGCTTCTTTAATAAAGTCTTCATTAATCTTGAACTCCTTCCCATTAATAAAAGCTTTGCCTAATGTGTATAAAGTTAATTTTAAAGTTTGTTCATGTTAGCATGTCACAAAGCTCACCTGCTTTGATCGAATTACGATGCTCATTTATTTTAGGTGGGTTATCTAATAATTTAGCAACCAATTCTTTTTTATCATTCAAAGTTTCTTGCAAATTTATAGCTGATCCTGTTGAAGTTGATACTCTCTGCTCACATACTTGATTAAGTAAGGCACGTAACTGTACTGTTAACGTTGTCATGGGGATCTTTTTTTTAATGTAGTTGTTCTTTTATGATTCAACTCTGAGTATTAATAAGATTATATAGCTATATTTGTTTATTTTGTATAAAAACTATTCAATTAAGCGCTTATTCAAAAAAAGGTATAAATGTATAAGATCAAGAAGTATTTACAATGAAGAAAAAGTCTGTAGGAAAAAAAAAAAAATAGTAAATTAAAGTACGCGAATTTTTCTGTGACTGACGCGGTATAGAAAGAGGGAAAAAATAGGCATTTCATGAAATTCAGCTGCGTATATCATCACTATGAATGAATCGATATAGTGTGCCTCTTTATTAGAAAGGTATTTTATGTACTAGTTTAAAACAGCAGACATGATAATTCATTTAAAGGAGAGTATAATAGATTCATTAGAATTCATTCTTTGCAGCAGCTGATAAACGTTCGTCGCATGTTTTTAGTTTTTTGTCTATCTAAACTATATGCATACGATATAGAGTATCTATAACTATTGTTTCACATAGTAATTAGACTAATAATATGAATTAGTAATATGTAAACAAGCATGTAATAAACCTTTATAAACTACATGTCTTCGTTACTAGAGGCTATGATGAAGGTTAAAAACTTTGCTGGGTTTAAATTTTTGGACGAAAGAAAGATAGAGAGAGCGACGAGACAATAGATATTGGGTAATTGGAGTGAATTATTGTATACCCCCTCTCTCATTTAACAATGGTATGTAGCAGCCTAATATAGCAGATAATGATAAATCAATTTGGAGAGATAAAATAGATGAATAGATTTTTTTTAAAAAAAAAGAGATAAACTATGGATGGATGGATGGATGGATGGATGGAACGACAATCTTGTTAAATATGATAAACTAAAATTTATTATGCACTACTAGGTCAACATTCCCAAGACCCGTAATACTTTCTGTAAGGGTGCCAAGTGTAGAAAGCACACTCCCCACAAGGTTACTCAATACAAGGCTGGTAAGGCTTCTCTCTTCGCCCAAGGTAAGAGACGTTACGATCGTAAGCAATCCGGTTATGGTGGTCAAACTAAGCCCGTTTTCCACAAGAAGGCTAAGACTACTAAGAAGATTGTCCTTCGTCTTGAATGTACCGGTAAAGTATTAATAATTTTATAGCTTATTAAAAGTTATATACTAATGAATATTGTTTATAGTTTGCAAGTATAAGATGCAACTTGCCATCAAGAGATGCAAGCACTTCGAATTGGGTGGTGACAAGAAGACTAAGGGTGCTGCTCTTGTTTTCTAAATGCATCAATTGTCAGCAAATTTTATTTTACTCTTATTAATCATCCATGATCGTAAAAAATAAAATTTCTCTTGTATGTTAATTTCTAGTTTATGTTGAGTATTGATTATTTTCTATGTTGTTCGAACTAATAATAAAAAATTATGTAACCCTTAAAGTCATTTGTGGCTTTGTTTTGGGTTATTTTAACTCAAGTTTTATATTGTGTTAATTTTTTCCTTTTTTGTGTTTATTAATAAAATGACTTTGACAGAGCAAAATTCCATCTTAGAACTAAAGAATGACGAGGGGGTTATTAATCAGGTATGGATCTTGTAAAAATGCTCAAGATCTATCTAATTGTTGTTTTATATAACTGTTTTTTTATAATAGTTGCCTAAGAAAAGAAAGGAAAAGAAAAAGGAAACAAATAAAGAAAAAGAGGAAAGAAAGCGTCGCTTAATTGAAGAAAATCCTCATTACCGAAATGCTAAGAATAAAGAAGCATCCGATAAAAAGCTTCGTAGAAGAAAAAGTGACGATTTTAGAGATGTAGATGATATGCATACTGCTAATTATTATTTTGAAGATGGTACCTAGATCATTTGTATATACGAGGGCCTGTTTGACAATTAACCATGTATATAAAATAGGATTGCGCAAAGTGAAGCCTTATTACTTTGAATATAAATCATTTGCTAAAGGCCGATGGTTTGGTCGTACTATTCTTGATGTTTTTTCATCCGAATTTAGAGATCGCAGTGAAGATTACTATGTAATACATAATATATTATTATTATTATTATTTATAATATAGATGACTAATTACATTATTAAATAGCGGTATGCTATTGAGAGAGAATTATTAACTATCAACAACAAACCTGTCACAGTGGATACACTTATTAAGAATGGAGATGTAATTGGTCATAAGATTCATCGACATGAACCACCTTGTACTGACGAAGCAATCAAGATAGTTTATGAGGATGATGATTTAATGGTTGTTGATAAGCCTGGAGGCATTCCTGTTCATCCAGCTGGACGATATCGACATAACTCAATTGTTCATGTCTTGAAAAAAGAGCGCAATATCGCTAAACTTTATCGTAAGTGTAAAGATTAAAAATGAATTATTTATTTATCCGTTCCTATACATATAGCGGCTAATCGGCTTGATTTACCTACATCTGGACTTATGTTGATTGCAAAGAATTCAGCTCGTGCCCAAAGGATTGAAAGAGAAATGTCTGGAGGCTTAATTAGAAAAGAATATGTGTGTAGAGTAGACGGTAAATTCCCTGAGTAAGTAATTAAGAATATATTAATATGTTTGTTATGATATAATTTATCTGTTTATTGTAGTGGAGAAATAATTTGTGAAGCACCTATAAAATGTATATCACATAAAATGTCAGTTAATTATGTTCATAATGATGGAAAGCCTTCAGTTACAAAATTTGAACGCCTTAGTTACAACGGAAAGACTAGTGTTGTGCGTTGTAAGCCATTGACAGGTCGTACACATCAAATTCGAGTTCATCTCCGTTACTTGGGATACCCAATTTCAAATGATCCTTTGTATGGTAACGGAACATCTTGGTCACCATGGATACGACCTGGTGAAAGAATGGCAGAGAAAGATGCTAGAATGTTAGTTGATAAATTGTTTGAATATTCCCCTATGGAAGAATGGTTTGATCCAGAAAATGAAAACCCCACTACAACAGCACCTAAAGCCTCCAATGAGGACATAATTTTAGACGACACAAGATGTTCAGAGTGTAGCGCATCATTAATTTTGGGGAAGAATTATGATCAGTTATGTATATTTTTACATGCTTGGCGATATGCAGCTAATGGATGGGAATATGAAACAGAACTGCCTTTTTGGGCTAAAGAAGACTTTAATGATGATGATGCACCCGCAAAGTATAGAAATGCTTTTAATGAGAATAAATAAATAAATTGTGATGTGTACAATCTTTTTTATTATTAGTAGTATTAATGTATCGGTAACAATTATTTTACTATATTTTTTTTACAATATAGTTTTCTTTTCTTTTTTTCTGGTTGACTATAGTGACCCATTATCATTGATCTTTAGCTTTTTTCCCATATCATTTACTAAATTATTATCATCGTCCTGTTGTTTGTTCACAACTGATCTTGGTACCAAATGAGTAGCAGCAAATCTATTTTATACAGATTAAAAACAAGAAAGATATTCTAGGCTAATAATAAAGGCTTACTGTGATTGATAATATGGATGATGCATTGAATTAGCAGGAGCAATACCTAGCATAGTTTCTGGTGTAATAGGCATTATAGGTCTAATTGCAAAAGTGGCTGCCATGGATTGATATTCATGAGGCCTAACCATTCTTCTACGTGCTGTTTGATTCTTTAACTTTTTTTGTGCAGGTGAATCGGCAAAACGTACTTGTAATGGTGCAGAAGACCCTTCAATTGTTTGTCCATTGAATTTTTCTATGACAGCAGAAGCAGCTTCACGATCTGTGAGTCTGCAGCACAAAATGGTTTTTTTTTAAAAAAAACAAAAAAAAAAAAAAATTACATTCCAATATATTTTTATTAGTATAATATTATTACTATTCTCCTTACCTAGCAAATCCAACACCTCTACTCAAACCAGTTTGAGGATCCCTTAAGATACGATTCGAGACAGTTTGATAAGGTTCAAATAACTCTTCAAGTTTCTAAACAAACAAAATTCATAACATTAATTTAAACTAGCTCCGCTGTAAACTCCATTTTTCTCTTATTGTATATAATTAATAAAGTGCTACTTTACTTGCTCTGTCATATCCAAAGGTAAATTAGAAATATAAATATTGGTTGAACTCTCATCTTGAAGATTTTTAAGCTTAGAACTGAATGACTCCTAAATAATACATAGAATAAAATCAGTATAAATAAAATTAAAGATACCGTGTGTGTGTGTGTGTGTGTGTGTTTTTACCTGGCCAACTCTCGCAAAAGAAGCTTGGAGTCCTGCTTTATTTAAACCTTCAATAGCTTCTTCACATTCATGTTCATTTTCAAACATTGCAAAACCGTAACCTTTGCATTCACCTGTCTTTTGATCGATAATTGCTTTTGATGAAGCAATTTTACCATATCTAACAATTATAAAAGGAAAAATAAATAAATAAATAAAAATAATTTAGGATATTTGTTATGGCATGTTCCAAAATAAGGAACCTACACTTGGCACATTTCCAAAAATGATTCATCTGTAGTTGATGCAGATAATCCACGTACATAAATGTTATGGGTATGAAAGGAATTTAAATCAGAATCGACCGACTGTTGTTCTGGATGTATATAATGTTGATAGTTTCGCTTATGATAATAATTGTTTCGATTATCTGTAGGAGCTGTTGTAGTAGTTTGAATGATATAAGGTCCAGGAAGATACTGATGAGGAGGAGAACCTGGTATAGAATTTGTGCTAGTTAATACAGGTGATGAAATATGAAGTGGAGGATAAGGTTGAGTTGTGTGATGATGGGAAGGAAGAACATATGCATGCGTAGGAGGTGATAGAGCAGCTATATTGTGTGGATATTGATGGTATCCGGTTGTAGGACTAAAAGGTGGACTAGTTGGATTGATAGTAGGTGATTGAGGATGTAACGAAGGTGAACCAGGATAGCTTTGATATCCATTCGAGTAATCAGGATAATATTGAACCGAGAACTGTGGACTAAGTGGGTAAACATATGTTGCAGCATAATTAACAGAATCAGAAACATCATATCCATTAGCTGCTGCTGCCGCGGCTGCTGCAAATTGAACTGGGTCTATATAAGCAGTATTGAAAGGAGGATAAGACGGTGAAGTTGGAGCACTTTCAGGAATAGTTGATGCATTTTGAGGAGTTGCTGGTTTTACAGTCTCTTTATTATTAACATTGTTTTTGCTCTTGCTGTCTGTTGTAACAGTCTCATTAGATTCTGAAGTTGCCATTTACTTTTTTTTTTGCGCTTTTGTTTATACTTCTTTTTTCTTCACTAATATCTTTTTCTATTATTAAAATGCAAAGATAAAGAGTCAAAAAAAAACACCTCTTACCTTTTCTCTGTCTATTATTCTAGTTTTTTTTTTTTTTGAAAAAAAAATATATATTTATAAAAGGGGAGAAAGTCTTAGAAGAGATAATAAAAGAAAAGGGTGAAAATAGACTGAAAAAAGAAAGAAAAAATATGATTTGTAGGTTAAAAGGAGGGATGACCAATGAGCTCACTATATAGGCTTTACCATTAATTTGGGGGGAGGAAAGGAGTTTCTTTTTTTTTTCTTTTTTTTTTTTTTTTTTTTTTTTTTTTTGTCATACAATTGCTGATAAAATTCCCCGCCAAATAACAAAAGACAGTAAGTCTTTTAATAAATATAAGTATAATATTTTAAGTACACACACACACTCGCACACACACAAACACACACACATAAATATATATGTATATATCTGAAAGCTTATACGTATAATAATCTATACTTGGCTGCTATATTAAAGAAATCTACTCGTTTCTGCGGATATTGAAACAAGTAGTTACTGTATTGTTTACACTACCCAAAATAATATCATTTTCGTGTTTTCAATGTTTCATTAAAAATTACTTATAAAATGACTTTTTATCTATTGACACGTGGTGACACACCACATAATAAAAGTATATTTTTCTTTTTTCTTTTTTCTTTCAACGTGAATATAACATATTTTAGGGTTCTATTTGAAAATATACTTGTTTTACTGGTTTGAATAAAAGCCATCATATGACATGCATATAGACAAGTAGTAGTGAATCATTTTATTTTTTAACTTATTTATTTGTTGGATATAGCATAATTAATCAGTCTTATTTCATGAACATATATATATATATATATATGTGTATATATAGTTATATAACTTATCATCTAAAATACTAACCAATGCATTTCTCATAAAGTATGCATAACAAAATTCATCATACTTATAGGTAGCGAATATCTTTTAAATAGAAAATAATTACATAAAATCAAGGTCAATAAAGTATACGAGGGCCATAAATTTTGTTTTTTTTTTTCAAGTCTTTGAGGCAGTACATTATCATACATTATTTTAACCCAGTGGCATAATAAGGGTCTCGTATCTCAAGGATCAATGATTTCAGATATATCAAACAATTCAGCTGTACGCAAAAGGGATCGAATTTCTTCAAACTATGACATTCATTTTTCATATAACTCATTGCGTTTTTCTTCTGCTGCATCAAGTTCTCGACGGTAAGCAGCGTAAATACCACATTCTAATGGTATACTTCTCCAATTACCACTCGGCCACACAGCTCGCATATTAGGAATACGATTATCTACAAATGTTGCGCCTGCAGTTAATGTAGCACCTTAGCGAATAGTTCTATATATATATATATATATGTTATAACAATATGTATAAAATTGTACACTGTAGTTTACATATTAAATACCTCTTACGCTTCCTTTTATGCTACAGTACCAACGGCAAATTCTGCATGATCAGCTAAATTAATAATTGGGATACCAAAGGTATTACATAAATCCATATGACGTCTAAACTTATGACAGCTAGAAGCAGAAATAACTGTTCCTTTTAAAATACAATCAAATGTAATGATGCCCACCACATGACCATTCAAGCGAGCCAAACCACATACTGCGCCATCTCCCCCCAACGAGGACCAATTTCAAACCATGAACCTTTGTCAACGACACGTATAATGATATCACGTACTTGATACATGCGTTGTCGACGTTTAGGTATAATCGACAATAAGTCATCGTCACATCGGTCTAAAGAACCCTCTGTAATAGAGCGAGTCAGTAGCTCATTTGTATTAGATGGCATACAACTTAGAAAACATAGTATCTGTTTGAAACACTCTTGTTCTGAGGAAGCAAAATTATCGAATGTACCATTAGTAATATGTACAAGAATACCACCAAGTTCTTTTTTTTCTTTTTTGAAACAATTTCAAATGCTACATTAGCTACAATTGGATGCCCAACTGCAAAGAGAGAGCCAATGTCTGCAGATATAATTGAGAAATGCGTAAGCGTTGCTCTAGCTGCTCCAAGTCCAACAGTAGGACCAAGAGCTGCAGCAACAACAGGAATTTCTGATAAACTTGCAATCATATCATGCATGCCATATAAGGGTGGTAGATTAGTTGCTCCCTTTTCTAGCAACAATGTTATAGACCCTTCGCCACTACTACCATCAATCAGTCGAACCTATAATAGTATCAGGGGGGCTTTTTATCAAATTTAATAATTTGCTGTATATCACCTAAGCATGATATACGTACAATAGGAATCCTTAATTTATGAGCTAATTGATATGTATAAAGTTATGATAAAGTAGTATTAAATGAAAGAAAAAAAAAGACTATATAATATTATATATATATATATATATATATATATATAGCTCAAGAGACTTACTGCTTTTCCCCAGACAGCGCTATCAGCATGTCCACCACGAATAGTAAAATCATCTACAACCACAATAGCATCTCTTTTAGCTAGTTTTTCTACCCTCGCCGGAGTGTAGCTAATTATAGTTCCATCTCCTTTATATTTAGTATTGCTTGCTATACTTCCTATTTCAACGAAACTATCTTTATTGACAAAAGCTTCAATGCGTTCACGAACCCATAATTTACCGGCTAGCCTTTTTGTTTAATATAACCTCTATCATGTAGATCTGCGGTCCAATTTTGTGTCTGTCTTTTTCTTAAATCGAGAATTCCCTTCTTAATATTGTTTATTTGGTAAGGATTGATGTAATGATAATAATATAATAATAATATACTATATACCTCCCATTCAGATTTCTCTAAAGCTCCGTCCATTTCATTGTTTGTATTCATCATATGATTAGAAATCTTTTGAACCCTTTCCTTAGCTTTATTTGATATAATTGAATAAATATATATATATATATATACATATAAAAAGAATAGTAAAAAATTCAATATCTATATGTCGTGTGAATAGGCTTTAGCCAGTATGCAAAGATAGTTGTTACACTAAAAAAATACACATTATCAGGAATACTGCTCCATATTTAACTAGAGATTATTTATGTGCTCAATATATTCCTTCCTTTAGTTAATATTTACAAGTTAGTTTCTCAGTGAATGCTAGTTAACAATTGTCTTACAATATACTGTACGTAGATGTTGTTGATGATGATAAAATTTCTTCTCCAGAGTAGCAGTATTCACGGGGATTAAATTTTAATATGTCATATTATAAATACAAGGTGTGTGGAGAATAATAATAGTGTTTTCTTTTTATTTATTTTACAATTATTCATCAATGGCAGCTATTAACGACGATACATATGCACGAGTATATGAAAAATTAAAAGAACACAATTTTACGAATCAAGAAATAAAAACTATAGAAACAGCTCGTGAACAACTTCAAACTCATAGTAATTCAATAAAGGCAAACAATGTAATTTAATAAAATTAATTAATAATGTAACTTTGAATCTTAGCATATAGTGGTGCCTTACTTGGCGCTTCTACAGCATTTCTGCTAGGTGAAAACCAACACTTTCTAATTTCGCTTTAAAACAGAACTGATTTTCTTTTCTTTTCTTTTTCCTTTTTTTTTTAGCCAAGAAAAGAAGATGTAACCCAATTCAAATGCTTGTTGTTACTGGTGGTGGTTTCTTTATGGGCTATCAAATAGGCACAATATCCGGTGTTTTATCTGGAGTTAAGACTATTAATAGTTTACCAAATCCTCAACGTGTACATCAAATTATTCGAGAAGTAAGGTATGTATTAAAATTATATGTACGTTAGTAATAACAAAAAAAAAGCTAATTAAAAGGTAAAGGGCAGAGGCAATAAGAGGAAGTCAAATTAATCATGGAAACCCAAATGCTATTCAACCCCAACGAGCATCACATCAGGCGTTACATAATATAAGAGATACCGAAGATCAATTCTCACCTGATTTAGCTGAAAACACAAATGGGGATGCAGGTAAAAAGAAGCTAGAGATATTATAGTATAAAAAATATATATAGTATATATTTATACTGTTTAACCTAGCTTGGGGAGATAATAAAACATCATTCAATAATGGAGAAATAGATATTTCTGATGAAGTAGATCCTCTTTCTCGGTCTCAATTTAAAAATAGACAACAACAACAGCAACAACAACAACAGCAACAGCAACAGCAACAACAACAGCAGCAGTTAAGTACTTGGGATAAAATTCGACAGGTGAACTTACCAAACAATACATGGGCAAGGATTCGAATGGAAGCTAAAAATAATCATATTAGTAATGAAGATATTGAAAAAGCAAGAGCTGATAGAGCAAGAAAACTTCGTGAAGATTCCGATTTTGAAAGAAATCAAGAAGAAATACCACGAACAAGAGAGGAAGAAGCTTTACAAAGACGTAGTATTTTAAGGACAAATCAATGGGGGGATCCATTAGAATAAATGTATTTGTAAGATACTTCGAAAAAAAAAAATAAATGAATAAATGTATATACATATTATTATATTATTGTATTTATTTTAATTTATAAATAACTTTATATATTTGTATGGGTTTTCGATCAAAAATTGCCATAAACTAGCTTTAGAAAATATTAAATATAAAATGTAAATCATATATCTCTATAATAAACTCTCTTTTCTAACATAAATCTGCTAAACAAAGACCATACCTTGCATTTATATATATTTATAATGAGATATTTATTTAATCAAGTATATAAAATATCATTTTTATTCAACAAAATTCAAGCTCTATTTTGCAGATACTCCTGTTTCTTATTTAATACTTTTAATATTACTGCAAGATGTCTACTTATAACGTACTAGATAAGTACATGCGTTGTTTTAATGTTATGGATGAGATTCCAGAGTCTGGTCTCATAGAAATTGAAACAGTCCAAAATAGCTTATACAACGCTGTCAATTTGAAATGGCACGATTGGGGACAGTCATAAATAAACAAGAAAGTAGCGTACCCAACATTAAGGAACTTATAGATTTAAGTAGCTATAAATGCTTTCGGCAAAATATTTCTACAAGTAGTGAAATATCAGAGTCACATGCTAAAGAAAAGAATGATAGCAGCTCAAAACTATCACCTGTTAAAGTGTGTCTATCTCCAAGGTTCTGAGGATTTTATAAATCTCATAATCCAGAGCAAACATAAGAGATCCTTGATTTTGCTGTCATTAAGGGATGTCTTTCAGCAAGAAAAGCTGAAATAATGGTTGGTGTCGTTGAGAGAGCAGCTCAGAAGTATGTGAAGCTTTATAGAGATGATGAAGAGAAATGTTTGTCTGGTTTAATAAAGCCTTGAATCAAGTGGCATTTGAAGCTCGAACCACAATATATCAACTTTCTCTTCACTATTTATGGATAAAATCTAGAAGCTATCCTTTGGCAAACAAGGGAATCATTACTTCAAGCTTTTCCCAAAATTAAACTGATTCCTCTTTCCGGTCTTCATAAATATCTAGTCTAGCACGCATCATTAACATTCAAAAGGATGGAACAAATTGTAACTGCAAACGTAGCTTATAGCAATCTTAATCTCTACAAAAGAAGAGTTCTATAATGGAAAGCAGGTAGAATTATGGATTAGAAAAATAGGTGTGTTTTAATCAATGAACAAGGCAGGTTTCAATATGCATACTCGTAGAATTATTGGCTGATTAAAGTGAGGAACACCAGCAAAGACACTGCTTCCTTCGAATAGAGGTACTACTGTGACTATAATTGGTGTTATCTGCGAAAAGGGGGGGTAATTGATTTAACCTTGTGTAAACCGAAGGCTGTTTCAAAAGAAAGCTGCTCATTCGAAAAAAAAGAAAGAGAAGAAATGGTAAAGTGGGAGACGTCAGGGTAAACACTAGAGTCAGTACACATAGTGAGCATTGCCTTGTATTCTTGAGTAATGTTATAGACAACGCTTCTATTCATAAAGTGGATAGAGTCCAAAATTTGTATGAAAATCGTGGCTATAAAGCCACATACTTGCTCCCTTACTCACCGCTTTTAAACCCTATTGAGTTGTTCTGATCAAAAGTCATGGATGGTATAAGAAGAGATTGTTTGACAATTGATAGTAATTTGGCTATCAGAATTATTGAGCCGGCTAAGAAGGTTTCAATTTAATGAATGTGTCAATTGGATAAGGCATTCTTATTTGTTTTTTGATAGATGCTTGGCTCTTGAGCCAATACTTCAATTATAAAACGTAAATAGAGAAATATACGATCCTCAAAAGAAAAAAAAAGCCCGCAAACTTAGAGTTAAAAACCAATATGTAGTGTGAAATATGTACTTTACGTTTGCATATATATTTATATCCAACATAATAAATTAATCCTTATTCTTTCTTCTTTACTATTTTGTATTTATTAATGCATTATATAGTTGGGCAGGTTACTTTTATAGGCATTTGTTGTCTAAATCAAATATATGCCATTGACACTAATTCAACAGAGAGTAATACCTTTCGAGCTGAAAAGATAAAAAATGCCTTTATACACGCATGGCAAGGCTATTCAGCCTATGCATATGGTCATGATGAATTGCAGCCTATTACAAATGGTAACACGGACTCAAGGTGATGATACAAATAAAATTATTCTGTTAATATACAAACATGTATACATATTATAAATCATTTATATTTTATCTATAGAAACGGTTGGGGAGGTATATTATATATATTCTTATTATTATTGATCCTATATTCAAGCATTATTAAATATTCTATTTATAATGTAGCATCTATTTTTGATGCTCTTGATACAATGATTATTATGGATCTCGAAGACGAATATCAGCGAGCATTACAACATATTAAACAAGTGAATTGGACAAATACTCAACAACCTTCAAAAACCTTTGAAACTAATATTCGATATTTAGGTGGACTTTTATCTGCTTATGATTTACGTCATGATCCATTACTCTTGGAGAAAGCAAAAGAATTAGCAGATGTTGTTATCATGCCAGCGTTTAATACACCGAATCGTATGCCAGCTGCTTTTGTTAATGTTTCTGTGTAAGGATAAAACAAAATTAACATATTTCCTTTGATTATTATAACCAGTTTTTATTATTATTATTAACTAGAGGTCAAGTTGTCGAGAATGATGTAATTATTTTAGCTGAATTTGGTTCGCTTCAATTGGAACTTGTACGTTTAAGTCAATTGACCGGTATCGATCAATATAGTCTTACAGGCAATCATATTATTGATAAAATATCGCAAGTGCCTTCTACTATCCCTGGTCTATATCCAATGATTTGGAGTTTACAAAGTTTTACACCACAAAGCTGTAGGTTTTTTCTCTCATCTTTATATATATATCAAAATTAGCAAAACGATATTCAATAACAAATTACTCACTTTTCCGTGTTGTATTATACGATAGCTTATATAACTATTTCTGGAGGTGCAGATAGTTATTATGAATACCTCTTAAAGACCAATATATTGATGGGAGGAAATGAGCAAATTCAATTAAATATGTGGCTTACAGCCGTGGATAGTATGCAACGCTATTTGCGTTCAGAGACACAAAATGGAAATGTATATCTTGCAGAATTTCAAAATTTATATAAATCATTTCATTCAGGGGAGCTAGTAATATAATATACATATATGAAAATACAGCAAATAATATGTTGTACTGATTTCTATATTATAGATATGTTTTATACCTAGTAATCTACTATTAGGTGCTCGTTATTTGAATAATAGTACTATTGAAAAATTTTCAAAAGAACTAATGCAATCATGCTATAATGTTTGGGTTAATACTCCAACGGGGATTGCCCCTGAAACATGGGTTTGGATAGATAAAACTGAAAATATGGACTTCTATCCCGAAGATATGCAAAAATCAGTACTTGAAACAGGATTCTTTGCCCAAGACGCAAAGTATGATTTAAGACCAGGTATTATAGAGTTTGGATAGTATTTACAATTAGTTACATACTGATAATTTATTTCATGTAATACAGAAACCATTGAAAGTTTATTTTATTTTTATCGTCTTACTGGTGATAAAATATATCAGGCATGTAACTATTTCTTCATGTCTAAATTTTCATCTAAAATTGTATTGAATAAATATAAATTAGGATAAAGCATGGACCATTTTTGAGGCAATTGAAAAATATTGCAAGACATCATCTGGCTATACACGTATAGGAAATGTCATGAACATAGTAGATGTTAAGCCTTTAGACTTTGAAGAAAGGTATAATAATGCAATGAAATATTATATGCGCATTTTCGTAAGTTTCGTAATTCAAAACTTTCATTTAAAATATAGCTATTTCTTTGCAGAAACATTGAAGTATCTCTATTTAATTTTTAATGATCCTAGTTACATTTCTCTGAATGAATATGTATTTAATACTGAGGCTCATCCATTTAAACTTGATAAGCCTATTCAAGTTCAGGCTACATCGTTTTATTAGTGAACAAAGCATAGAATAGCTAAAAGTTGGTATAGATCTATATAAAACGTATATATACATATTGACATTTAATAATACACTTGATAATAATAAAATCAATATCTAGCTAGTTAGTAATTATAAAGTCTAGTTTAAAGTTTAACTCTTAAAAATTCATATATTATACTTTACAAATAGTATTCTTTTTTTTTGTGTGTGTGTATTTCCTTAGACTCTACAATAAACTTGAAAAAAATAATGTTCTACTTGCAAAGAAGCTAATTAATAGTCTGTCATACAAAAAAAGCTATTTTAAGAGCTACCGTTATTGCTGAATATGTATAGAGTTATTATAATAACTATTTAAATTTCTATTTATGTGTGTACTGTATTGATTTGCTTTCAAAAGTATAAAAATAAATAAATACTATCATTGAAGTATTCTTTAATTCTGATATTGACGAAATAGGAAAATAATTTACCTTTTACAAATATTGTTTCTTATATATCGATATAGAATAGATCATAATATTAAAGTCTATAGTTATTAACCTTATGCTTTCCAGGATAATAAATATTAACTTTGTGTTTACTTGCCTTTGATAGAAGTGAAATGAAACGTAACATTACTTTTACTATTAGATTGATTTTTTTTTAAACATTAAAATTCTATTCATATCATTGTTTATTAATGTTATAATCTGTAGTATGTTTTTATATTTCTTATATTGTGTAGATTTTCCTCTTAGAAAAAAAAAGGAAAGAAAAGGAACAAATGTTTATAAACTTTCATTATAGTATTTCAAAAGATTAGAGCTTCGAAGAGAAACCCATTCTTTTAAGCCTAAACTTTGTGGATCACCAGTATGACCATTTACAGCAGTGTCAAAAGAGGTATTTCTACGGTTACGTAGCCCACCATTTCCAAAAGGGATTTCAGGAAGAACACGAGGTAGAGTTTTATCCCAAGCCACATCTTCCTTAAGCATATCATAAAGTTGATCAATAAAAGGGAACAAAATATTAGGATTCATAATTTTTTTCGTATACTTGAGAATTAAGCTATTTAGTTCTTCTCTGAATTGAGGGACATGGTACATACGAGAGCTTAAAGGTTTGACAGTAAAACCAGGAAATGCTGTCCAATTAGCGCCATTTACTAGAGTAGCATTAAATATTGTTTTACCCTAAAAAAGGAAAAAAAATAAAGAAATGTATAAATAATTATAATAAGCAATCAATATTTGACTATTACCATAGTTAGATCCAAGTCTTGCTCAGACATAATCAGTCGATTATTTTCAAGATCTTCATATAATATATAGTTATTACCCATAGTTAAATAACCATCGGCATTTGACATAACAAGCTCAAAAGCTAGACTACGCAAAACACTATCTGTGTCTAATTTTTCTTGCCAAAGAGGAACAACAGAATCATCAGCGAAAGTATTGTTAGGTTGTTCAGAAATAAACTTGGCCAATTCCATGATACGAGCATAATTTGCTTTACCACTAGAGGGCTTCTCTTTAAGAGAATAATACTCACTATAAAGAGCAAGATTAGATCCGATGTAAGACAAATCAGACATGTTGCCTCTAACTTCTCGAGGACCACGATGCAATTCTGGAGTATCTTCAATATCAGCATTTTCATGAATATCAGTATATTTATCAACAGTATTATAATGACTGAATCCTTTTTTATATATTGTTTCATAATGTATGGGCGAAAATGGATATTCAACTGATTTTGTAGGCCTTTTCCTAAGCTTTTCTTCTTGTAAGGAATCTGGAGTTATGCCTCTACCACCATTAAGATCAGCAATATAAAAGCTACCTTGTTTGAATTTTTTACTACCATTTGAAAATTCATTACGGACCCATGGGTTCTTAAAATTTTCAACAAGACCAAAGAGACCAAGAGGAATATCATTAACATAAAGACGAACATAGCTAAATTTGGAGGAAGGAAGACCAATGGACTCAGTAACCTTGTGGGCTATTTCTTCTCTCATATAGGATGTATCAGTAGACATGGCTCTTAACTTAAAACGGCGGTACCCATAGAGATCATGCTTCTTTGGAAGCGTAAATTTATATGAAACTTTAGATGATCGTCGAGTACTTTGGCCAGAAATAGAGAAAGTGATGTTTTCGAAAAATTCTATATTATCAAGACTTTATATACAAATATATTTATATAATGTTAATAAGGTATATCATATCAAAAAAAAAATAATTGAAAAGAAAAAATCAATAATTACCTGATGTATACCATATTCATACTAATTTTAATATCTTCATTTCGTTTAAAATGCATATTATTAAGAGCAGTTTGATCACCAGTAATATGAATAGTAGGAATTTGCCCGTCAATATGGAGATCAGAATCAATACGATGAATGATAGGAAGAGGATCCATAATTATGGGAAGTTTGTTGAGAACTTTTTTATTCCAAGATCTTCCAAAGTGCTCATTAAATGTGTTAATTTCAACAGGAGCGCGAATAAAGGGTTCTTCTTTAACAACATGATTATCTTTCTTGCTAAGAATAACGTATTTATAACCCGAAATGGCTACAGGTGCTTTTCCTATATGAAGTAATTTGGATATATTACTAGCAGGTATTAAAGGATACAGATCCCCATCGATAAAAACAGCAATAGTCTCATTATTGGGTATGAGCGAGATGACTTTATATTGGATATTAGCAGTAGTAGTAGTAACTATAAAGGCTATTACAGTTATTAAAAGGGTAATAGCTATTTATTTATTTTCAGTTAGTAAAACAGTCAATTTGTAATTTTAATTTCACGTTTACCTGACGGAAGTCGCATAATATTACTTGTATGTTAGCTTCTTTAAAATAAAATAAAATAAAATGAAAAAATGCATAAAATAAGCTTTTTTTTTTATTTTTATAAGTAAAAGTTTACGATTTCATCATGTTTATCAGATAAAGTATATGCTTGTTTGTTGCAAACAACAGTCTATATTTCTATAAGAGGTAAGTTGGCATTTCCTTCGTAAAATTTTATATGCAAAGGAGAAACTACATTACTATTGCATTTTGTAAAATAAAGTCATTAAATATGATAATTTCAAGGAAAAAAGAAAGCAAATTAAAGAACAAAAGTATAATAGTTATTATTGATATTGAAATATATTATAATAATAATGCATCAGGATGTTATATCTTAACGCCAAGCTGTAAAAAAAAAAATGGATTGTATGCAATAAAAAAAATTTAAGAAAATGTATTGTATCACTTCTATATGCATGTTTAAAAGGCTTTTTGTTTTCAATATAACTCATACTGCATGTGTCTCAAATATAACAATATTCTATATTCTCTTAGTTAAAACTATGCAAGTTTATGTAGCCTCTATGATCAGCGTCTAGTTGACTAAATTATAAGAATTCTTTACTTGACAAAAAAAAAACAAAAAACAACAAAAAAAGGCATTATTTATTTCATGTACAAAAGATAAATTTATTACTATCTTCTTGACAATATTGGTATTCCTGATTTTAAGGCTCCCATAGAGGTCTTTGACCTTGTGGGTGTATTTGACTCTCGACATGAATATTGTAATGATGGTTTTTTAGAATAACTATGAGTAGATAAGTATCCAAGTGATGTTGTACTTCTCGTAGGAGAAACAGAAATACGAGTTACTTTTTGTCTCATTGGTTGAGGGATTTTGTTTGCTGTAGATAAAGGTAAGTCACTTTTACTTTTTGTGTGTGTAGTTGTGAATGATATCGATCTTCTATTTTGTGATTCAGTTGTCATTGTTAATTTATGTCTATCTGCTGAGCCAGAAAGTTGAGTATTAGGTAAAGAGTTCGAGTTTACATGAAGGTTTGAGATAGTATTATTTTTGGATCGTATATTTTCAGAATTGCTTGGAATCAATGAACGCTTATGGTAAGAATATTGATTAGAATTATCTGATAAACGTGCTGAGGCAATAGACGTGGTCGAATTATTAGTGCTAAAAGTATGAAAATAAGGTAATAAAGAAAGCTTATTTGTTTTTTTCATAGAATAGCTACTACTTGATGAAGTAGATGTGGATACAGTAGAATCGGTATCTTGGTAGTTTAAAGATGTAAAGTAAGAATTTATGCTGTTTTTATCATTGAACCCTTCAGTATTATCTAATTATTATATATTAACACATATTTTGTAAATTAAACATAAAAGTGATTGTACCACAAATTGATAGTGAATCCAACTTGTTTATAAAACTATATCCAGTTGACTGCATAAAATAGATAGAAAATAGATTAATTTTAAGTTAAAACCAAAGCACTTGTTTTTTACCTCCTCAAAAATATGTAAATCTTTAGTGCCATTAGAAACCAGTTTATAGTCTCTGTCAAACGATGATATATGATGCGTAGTATGATAATCATTTTGATTTTTTGTTTTAGTCAATTGGGATGATATATAATGATTAAAGATCTATTTAATAAAGAAACCAAAAATATACATTTTTGAATTCCTAGGGAAAAAAGAGAGAAAAGGGAATAAATGATTTACATTATCTACTTTCCAAAATTCTTCACTGTTATCGTCAAGATGTAGCGAAGATAAAGATAGCAAGTCTATTTCGTCATCCATACTAGGTGTATAATTAGCATTGATAAAATCATCTAAACTAATACTGTCTTCTGAATTAAGTGACAATAAAGATAATGGTCTTTCTTTTCTAGTTAGACTAAATATGTAAAGACATTAATTATTAAATTTTATTTATGGCCCTTTACCCTTATTGTTTTTTTTAGGGAATCTGTATATTCTCTAAATCAGAAATGCCTATTATACTTTACCTTGACTCTTCAATTTCATTAGAAGAATTTGTTTGATAATTTTCATGATAGTTAGGAATATTTATTAACCATTTATGAACATCATGTCTATTAAATGCTTTATATTGATTCATTTGAGAGTAAAATGTAAGATAAATGAAAAAGAAAGAAAAAGGAAAAAAAATGAAGACAAGAAAAAGTATAAGCATATTATCATGCCAAAAAAAAGCCTCGGAGGAAAGGAATCACTTCACGTGTAGTTCAAATAATAAATGGCAATGATCTTTACTTCGTTGGAATTTTAAGCCAAATTAGTAAAATGGCATTGGAAATTTTAGGCAAGTTTTATTTTTGACTATTTTTTTAAGGGGAATAAAAAGGGAGAACTTTAGATTAGAATATCTTCTGAAAAATAATTGATGTTTTTTGTTAATGTATTTACATTAGGTACAGATAATAAAACACTGTCAACAACACATATTAACTATCAAACAAAAAAGAAAATAGGCAAATAGTTATATGTAGTATATCAATTAAGAAATATATTAATCATTAAAATTGAGCATCAGATTTTTTTTTTTTTTTTTTTTTTTTTTTTTGTACACTATTTTTTTTTTTTTTTTTTATTTTTAGATATTAGTAATAGACTTGCAAGTTAAAAAGAAGGACTTATTAATTTATACTTTCTCTCAGTTATATAGCTGTACGAGTCGGGATTGTGAGGAAATGAACTATAAGTCTCATGATAACAGTAGTAATAAATTAAAAATTTAAAATAATAATTATTCTGAACAGACGTTTCAAGAAATCTCAGTACATATTCGTATTAATAGTATTTTGAATGAAATATAGAATTATCTTTATTATCATGACCCGTGATTGACCGGTCTTTTTTTTTTCGACTAAGAAAAGAGATAATAGCAGTTAAAATTTAATATTAAACTGACTAATGTTAAACGAAAAAAAAAAAAAAAAAAAAAAAAAAAAAAAGGAAGGGAAAGAGCAAATAGAGAAGTGGGGGGCTAATCCAGGAATTCCAATTATTATGGATGGTAGCAAAGTTATTCACCTACAGAATGTCTCTATTTCAGTGATGGTAGCATTAAGATAATTACTAATAGAAACACTATTCACTATTCGTTTATATACATATATACATATATATTTATTTACTTCTGCCTTTGTTTAAAGTACTAATGATAGGATGCAGAAGCTTCTGAAAATAGAAGGCATATCATTTTTGATGAATTATATTTGATGGTAATACAAACAGAAGTATAAAGAAACTATAAATTGTTGCCTTCTAATTCACACTATATCGTAAGTATTATTATATTGGAATGAACAACATAAAAGCTGCGATCGTCGACAAATATGATTGGATATATCTTCTAATTAGATGTAACATATTATCATTCTATAGAACAATACTTATTAATGAATTTCTTCTTCTATCCTATTTAATATTAAATAAAGAATAATCAAATTGAAGTTTGCTTAGTTTTATCTTGTAAATAGTCTTGGTACTATTCTTCCAATAACATTTATAGTATTCAAAAGTTAGAAATCCAGTTGGCTTTGTTTTTATCTAAAAGTTTTAATGAACAGACCAGTATCAATATTCTTTAGACATAATAACTTTTGACAAACTTTTATATAGCACTTTCAATATCTTTTAAGACCCAAATGTTAGTTATACAAATCCTAGTGAAATGTAAATCTAGAATTTTTTTTTATTTTTTTTTTTCAAATTATTAAATACTAGACTAAGTAATATACTTATATTGTTCGTAGTTATTTATTCTTAAATGTATATAACTATTCAAATCTCAAAAATATCCTAATCATATGATTCAAATATATGTATTATACGGATCATGAATAAAATATCAATTAAAGAATAAAAATGTCTCTTGTATATTTATTATTTCAATATTAAACTTATATAGCTTAGTTTAAGGAAAGAAAATACGAATCTATGTATATCTATGATGATAAGTTTAGTTGACAAAAGTATTTTTAATTGCATCTGTATGACCATATTGAGCAGCTTTTCTATACCATTTATGAGCAATATTTAATGATTTGGATACACCAATGCCATTTTCATAATAAATACCTAAAGTATAATATGATTTGGCTACTAATGACTTTGATTGAATACCTTTAGAAAGCTTGGCTGCCTTATATGCCCATACAAAAGCCTCTTGATCCGACTGCATAAGACTGTCCGTTTTAATTGAGCCAGTCAAATACCATCCAGACAAAGCTAAACATGCTTCAGGATAATTTTGATGTGCTGCTAATGCATACCAGTAAATAGATTGGGATTCATCTTCTGAACAGTGAACTCCACTTTCATAACATTCACCCAATTTATATTGACTAGGTGCATATCCTAATCTAGCAGCGTTATGAAGCAGTTTGATAGCATACTTTGAATCTGATATTATACTTGTATTTTCGCATTCTCCTGTCAAATGAATAATAGCAAGTGCATGTAATGCATGAGGTAAAGCAACACCGCCATTACTACCAACAGTTGTTGCATTACATTCATCACCAGGTGCTAAAGGTGCAATAGCTGTATATGCAGCTCGTTGTAGCCAAATAACTGCTTCACGTTTTGAAACTGGCTGATCATAATATCCTCTCATCAATATAATGCCTAACTTGTACATGCTAGGAACATGCATTAAATGAGCTGCTTTACGATAAAACATAATTGCACAAGATGCATCTTTCTCAATGCCGATACCTAGTTCGTAGCAAACTGCTGCACGGTATGTAGCTTCAGTATGTCCATTTTTGGATGCATGAAAATACCATTGAAATGCACGCTTATGATTAATTGGCCAACCAAATGCACCCATACCATAACAATTACCAAGTAAATACTGAGCTTCAGATTCTATTCCCTTACAGGCTATATAGCCTGAATGAGTTAGCTGTTTCAATAATTTTCTTGCTTCTCTAATCATAGCCTCATTTAACGTGTACGATATTTGAGAACCGCTAGACAGGGATAAGCCCGATCTAAAATCTTCGAACATACTACTACTACTACTACTACCAGATAATTTAATTTCATCTGGAGAAACAACTAGAATACTATTTGGATCCATTTTCCATGCACTTTCCATTAAATGCAAACATAATGCAAAACGTGAGTTCAGATCACCTTTAGACTGTTCCTTTTCACATATTCTATAAAGTTCTTCAACTGTTTCAGGAACAGGCCATTTATCATGGAATTCACTACTAGAGGATAATCCAATTGAAGATACTCTATTAAGAGAGAGACTCAGGTTATTTGTGGAACTAAATATCAAATCCATTGGCAAATTTTCAAATGAGGCTGGAAACTCTTTATATTGTTCAAATGTATTATGTTCATCAAAAGTATCCAATAAATCAATATCTTTATGAAATTCATCAGCGATTGAGTTATTCGTATCTGTACCTGTGCTGGCTTGCCCATTTTGGCTTACTTTTGACTTCATACTCCCCTCAGTAGCTACATCTATGACAGGGGAAGGCTTTGATTCTACTAGCATAAATGCTTTCAATGTTGTCTTATCCATCTCGCTGTTAGCAGACTTGGGAGGTGAAATTGGTGACTCAACCGTTTGATCTATTACATCTGGTGGACCGGTTTGAATCTGCCGCCATTTTTCAGTTAACGATGGCATATTGTATTATGATTATTATTATTTTAAAGAAAAGAGAAAGAAAAAGAAAAAGAAAAAGAAAACCCCCAATATACTACGTAAAAAAATAATAAAAATAATAAGTAAATTCCTATTAGGTTATTTTTTTAATTCTTTTAAAGTTTATATAAAAAAATATATACAAAGAATTAGTACTATATAATATTATTAAAAATCGTTATCGACCCAAACTTTAGAAATAGTTTCCTTTGCTATTTTAATGTTGTTATCATATTCTTCGATAGATTTTTGACTATCATTCACTTTGTTTAACAAAAAGCGAATACGAGCTTCAATTTCTTTTGGAGGACGACTAGGTGAATTAATTTGAGATAGTTTTTCTATGGTATCTTCAAGTTTTGTAACTGCATCTTCGGTTTGCTTCTTTAATGCCATATTCGATTCAACTTCCATGGAAGCTGTGAAAAGCTCATCTGATACAAGTCGATTAAATACGGTATAATATACAGGTTTACCTGGTCGGATTGAATTTGGACGACCTAATGAAAATAAAGCTTTATAAATTAACCTTATCATAAAATAAAATAAAATACTTGATCGTACCTTCTTTTTGAACAATAACAATTAACTCAGCTCTTTCCATTGCCTTCAAAGGCGCATCATTACCGTTAAATATAGAACCCCATTTCAATTCATCGTAGTTAATCTGTATCGAAATGAAGTAAATATGACAATAATAATAAAAAAATAAAAAGAGAAAGACAAAGAAAAAAAAACTCTCCCTTACACTTTTGTTCTTTGCTAAAAGCTTCACAATTGTCCAAAATTGAGTTGCTGTCCATTCCATTATATAGTTGTCTACAGAAGAATCGCCAAACCCATATTTTCGAATCTCAATCAAATTACGAGTAACAATATCTTCGAATGCAGCTATAATAAAATAAAAAAAAAATATTAATACGTTATCTTTCTCCATTAGGCCATGTAGATATTACTTTGAGCATCCATTTTCATTTTCATTTTTTGTACCAAAAGCTCAAGTTCAGTCAAGCGACCTCCTAGTGCTGATACTACATCATGTAGGCTTGGATCTTCAACTTCGGATCCAAGTTGTTTATTGATAAAAGATAATGCAATCTCTGGTGGTGCGTCAGAAAGAGCAACATTTGAAAAGCTTTTTCCAGGAAGAGCTTTATATAATAATAATATCAATATTAAAATATAAATAGCATAACTGTATTTATATAATTTCTTACCTTTTCCAAGAGTCTTCATCACACTTGCATTAGAGCTTACAAACACAACATGTGCAATTTCATTTTCAATCAATAAAGCAGCCCATTCAGCAAGTTCATCCCATAGTTTAGCATTCTTTGCTGTTTCGCGATACATGTAATTATCAATAACTACAATAGGAATACTCTTTTGGTCCAGCTTATCTTCATCTGCTTCATCGCTACTCTTTTCATTGTTTGGATTAGGTTTGATTGTTTTTGCTTTATTTTCACTACCCGTTGTCAAAATACTTTTTATTTTATGGAGAAAATTTTCACGCTGAACTTCTTCCTCTACTCTAATACGAGCTTCCTTTTCGCTTGGTACTACATCTCTTAAAGCTATAGCCACTGTCTCTAAAATACTTTTAATCTGAGAATCAGGCGTAGAAGATAATCCTGTTTTCTGTCCTGTTGTAGCAGCTAAAGCAGTATCAATCATGCCACTCATTGATGAAGACCAAGTGAATACAGGGTAATATCCGACTTCTTTGGCTAAATTTTTTGTCATTTCTGATTGATTTCTTGCATTAGCAATATTTGCACAATCAATGAAGAGCTTATTCCTATGAATAAAAAAATTTTTTTAATATGTGATATATATATGTATACATATATAACTATATTGTTTTGTTTTTACTTTCTATCTTTAATTGCTGATTTAACTAAAGCAGATTTTCCACTACCTTTGTGACCCGTTACAAGCACAAACGTTTCTATTTTAAAATTAATTAGATTCGTTAAAATGCTTTTTTTTTTCTTTTTTTTTTTATGTTTGTTATATACCAGGAGTTTCAGAAAGACGTGAAACTAGCTTTTCGTTTTGTTCAGCGTCATCGGCCCATACAGATCCACTAGAACCAGAAAGATCGTGAGCGGCACCACCAGGTATAAGTCGAGCCCATGTTTCTTTACGTAACCAACGATAGATAGCATATTCTTCAAGATTGAATCGCTGAGTTATTTTCGAAGAAACACAAAAGACACGTATAGGATCAAATACTGCATACGTTGCGCCTGCAAATATAGCAGCCATAAGTGGCACTGTAATACGAGGATGACTGATTAACCAATCTTTTACGATATTTGTACGCTATAATTTTTTTTTTTAAAAAAAAGGGGGGAGTAATGATACTTAGATGTCATATTATATTTTTCTAATCAAAATTGTATTAATGTTACCAATTGTCGTTCATACAATATATTTATACGAGTGCCATCAATTGTAAGACCATGTAAACAGTTACGAGCACTAGTAGCTGATCTAATACGAGTGAACTGAGCAAGTGCATATCGAGCAGGGTCCTTATTAACTGTAGGATTGGGATAAAGTAATATATCAAACAATTTGCCAAAAGGTCTTAGATGTTTATATAATTTTTCAACACTGACAGCCTCTCCTTGAAATTCTATACGTAATCTTTGTGTTGGATACCGAGCCAAAATATCCTCCATAAATGGTTGTCCTTTTACTAAAAAAGCTCTAACTGTTTGAAAATTAAATGGCGCGACTACTTTATTATTTTTAATATATTCATTAATCCTCGCTACAATATCACTAGCAATTTCAACTTTTTTCTCATCTGGACTTTTAAATGCAAAAGATACAATGGCACCACCGTCCTTTGTACTATAAAAAAAATATTAACAACAACAAAAGAATCAGCGATATAAAGATTTATGTGTGTGCTTTTTCTCTTTTTTTTTCTTTTTTTTGACAAATGTATATGTGATTTTTACCGAGCTACTATCTCTTTGATAGTAAATTCGTTTGGTAATATATTTGAGGGTATAGCATGTTGTACCCTTGTTTCCAGAAAATGTTTTGAATTTCGAAAAACAATTTGTCTAATATCAATCATGCCCATTCTTAAGGGAAATACATTATCAAGATAAAGCTGTGCTGTTTGTTCTCGAGCAGATATATCATTTAATGTAGACTAGTTTAAACAGATATAAACATATAAACAAAACAAAAAAAAAAAGTATAATTAAAGATGTAACTTATAAATGATTACTTTGGTAACAGATTTGGGGAAACTATTTGTTGATTCCTCTGCAAGTCGAGCACTAAAAGTTTTTATAGATCGTTGGCCATTACTACTATTGATCAATAAAGTATTTCTCGGTATAAAGTAACGCGATGACCTCTTTAATAATTCACTTCTTATACATGCATTTGTCTGAATTCGTGACAATAACATGTCAAAATTTAGGTGGAGATTACAGTTATAAAAAGAAGACAATGGTTAGCATACATAGAATGCGGGGCTTATTTTATTTTTATCTTTTTTGAAAATTTTCCATAACTGAGTTAAAATTTTATATGTTTTGCAGTGTTGCATTACGATTAAAGAAGAATTTTATTTAAAAATTAAAAAATGACCAATGAGCACATAACGTTTATATATGATGTTTTGTCCTGGTCAGATCGCTATGGTAGTGTTGCATTACAGTTTTTACACTTCAAATTCACGCAATGTTAGTTTTTTTTTTTTGGACGAAACAAAAATGGAAATTAGACAAAAAAAAACAGTTTTCGGACAATCAAGTGTACGTATGTAAGTTACCTGCATCATACTTGTACTCTATCAGTATTTCCTCCCTCAGGAGAACCGTCCTCGGGAGGCATAGAGCGGACTTTTTTGGAAGTGGAGGTGGTGGTGCTTGTTGAAGCGCGTTTTGATGTTTCCCTTTTGAATCTAGAGGGACAACCAAGGGCTTGCCTGTGGCTTAACACAATATCTCTAAAATTCAAAACGGCAGCCAAGTCTCTGTTCCAGAGTCGAGAAGGCACTAAACATTTTTGATTTGTACATCTAGCGAAAGAAAATATAAGAAATTGTCTTTTTTTTTTAAAAAAAAAAAAAATAAAAAAAATAAAATTGATGTTTACCGTAAAAGGCCGCGGCACTCAACTACTGGATACTTGCCTTGCATATGCAGTCGAGGGTTCTTGACATAACATGGTGTATGAGTTCGCCTTAATGGGAAGCATGCAAATGTTTTGGAACCTAAATGTTCACACAAATCAGCTAATTTATAATATGCTTTTAAGTGAGCAATAGGATTCGCTTTGCAGTCATAATAAATGTTGTTGTTCTTGGATTTATATTGTGAACTATAAATGCTAAAAAAATCTCATATATGTGCGATCGCTTCTTTTGTTAACTGATCTACTGGTAAATTTTGGATATTTCCTGAAGCAACTGATAACTTCAATTGAGTGCAAGGTTGTGTTATCTCGTTTTCAATGATTTATTTAATCTCTTCTTCAGCCACTTTTTGCCTTTTTAATATTTTTCTTCTTGCCGCTGTTCTGTCTTTTTGCTGTGTCAGTAAATTTACGGACGTCCTAAGCTTATTGCCAAATTGCAGCATGATGCCGTTTTTGTAGGCAGTATCTATCTTTGCACACTCATATGCAGCAATTTGTTGAGAATACTTCAATTTTATGGGGGTATAGCCACATAATCCACAATATTCGTTCAAGTATTTCTTAATCAAATTTCTAAACTCTGTGGTTTTAGTTGATTTTGTAGGTGGTAACTTATTCGTATGTTGCACAAGTGACGAAAAAAAACTTGCATGTAGAAGTCTTTTTCAGTATATTTTTCGATATCGAACGCTTCATATCTTTTTAATTCACTAATGAATAAACCCCAAGCCTGTCTCTTCCATCCAAATGAACTCTTCACACGCTCACATAGTTTTTCTTGTTTGCATATGTATAACCGCCTTCAGATGCCCAAATCTATTGAAGATCCACTAACTTATCCCTTGAATCTATTATCATCAACATTTCTTACTAAGAAAATGAGAAAATTAATTGATGCCTGGCTCATACGTTGGCCTTCTATATGTGTAATTTTGTTTGGAGATGGACTATCTAGCTTCACTCCCAAATCCCTGAACCCTCTGACCACCATCTTCTTTCAATACAACAACGATTTTCTGATAGTTAATTATCATTACTTATACATACACTTTAACATTTTCCCTTTTATCCCAAAAGGATTTTTCTTTCCTTTTTTTTTTCCATAGTGATCTGACCAGGGCAAAACATCATATATAAATGTTATGTGCTCATTGGTCATTTTTTAATCTTTGAATAAAATTTCTCTTAATCGTATTATAATTTGACGTTCATATGTCGATAGTAGCCAGCAGGTTCCTCAAAGGGGATCAAAAAATGCAGCAATATTCATATTTTTTAATTTTTAAAATGAAAGTAAAAGCTAGTTGATCAACAATTTACATATATTATTTGTTCAAATGAAAATGAATGTAGATCATGTAGCTGTCTAATAATATTTTTTGAACTTCAGCGAATGTTACAAACCTTTTTTTTTTAGTCATAATATGGAATCCCTGCATTGTCTTGGCAAACTACCGAGAAAGAAGAGAGGAAAAAAAAAAGGGAGAAAATTAAAGGTCTTCTGCGATTGTTTGATGAATTCTCCTAACTTACTGTTCGTGTATAAAAAAGGGATCTAACTTTTTCATTTTTCTTTTTTTATTTTCTTTATCTGTCTTTATTTATTGTATGTATTATGTCTCTTAACACTAAACAAACTCCTCTTCTTAATCACTTATTAGCCGGTGGTGCTGCTGGTCTTATGGAAGCATGTATTTGTCATCCTCTAGACACAATCAAAGTCAGAATGCAACTTTCAAAATCAGGCATAAAAACTGTTAATGTAAGTTTTTGAGAAATAGTGAAATATAGATATTGATGTTATTACATGAAAATAAATAGGGTCAACGTCTTGGATTTTTGGGGGTAGGAACAAAAATAATTAGAAATGAATCACTTTGGGCCCTATATAAAGGATTAGGTGCAGTTGTCTCGGGGATTGTACCCAAAATGGCGATACGGTTTACATCTTTTGAGCTTTATAAATCATGGATGGCTAACTCTAATGGTATTGTAAGCACTACTTCAATATTTTTAGGTAAAAAAAAAAGAAAAAAAATATCAATATATGTATATATACATACATAAATACATATTAGAGATAATAAAAGGAAGAAAATACTGAAAAGATTAGTATACATGTATATATAGCGGGTCTTGCTGCTGGTGCAACAGAGGCTGTTTTAGTTGTTAGCCCAATGGACTTGATTAAGATTCGTTTACAGGTTTGCTTGTGTATATGGAATAAACAGAGAAAATACATGATTTATTCACACCCTATATACTAAATAGGCGCAACGTCATTCAATGACAGATTCTCTGGATATTACAAAGTATCGTAACGCACCTCATGCAGCTTATACTATTATAAAGGAAGAAGGTATCCGAGCATTATATAAGGGCGTTGTTCTAACTGTATTAAGACAAGGTATATTAAAGACGTTTCTATAAAGTTTAGAAGCCAAATAAAAGGGTTAAAAAAAGCAAATACACATATTAAATCTATCATTGTATAGCTACAAATCAAGCTGCTAATTTCACTGCATATCAGGAAATGAAAAAAATAGCGCAACGTTTTCAGAACTTATCCGAATTACCTTCATATCAACATTTAATATTAGGCGGTATATCAGGTGCTATGGGACCACTCTCTAATGCTCCAATTGATACTATTAAGACTCGTATTCAAAAATCTTCAGCTCCTGGAACAGGTTTTAAGCGGGTTAAAACAGTTACTATGGAAATAATGAAAATGGAAGGATTTTTCGCTTTTTATAAAGGGTTAACACCCCGTCTATTGAGAGTGGCACCTGGCCAAGCAATTACATTCATGGTGTATGAAAAAATGAAAATACTTATTGATCGATTTACAGAAAATGCTCAAGTTATAAGACAATATCAATAATTTAGTACTCATTGTAAAACTTTAATTTAAATAAATGCTTGAGTAATAAAAAGCAGAGGTCTTTTTTTTTCCTTTTGCAAGTGGCTTGTTCGAGTTTATCATTACATTATTGGTTTCTTTAATAACAAATAAAATTAGTTATCACTAAATACACAAAATATCATTTTATAAGGGAAAGAGAAATATTTGATAATCTTATATTTATTGAGTATTAAAGGAGGTTTATAACAAAATTAAGCTCTATACGTACACACTTTTTCAATAAATAACTTTAGTCTTTAGATCAAATATTCTCTCATTGTGACTTTAAATAGTGTTATCAAAATGGAAAAGAGTTTAAAAATAATATATAGTCTTTACATTACTTTTTTTTTCTTATTCTTTCTTTCTTTCTTTTATTTTTCTTTTCTTCTCTTTTTTTTTAACAAGAAAAATATGTCTCTTAAATTAACTGAGCTTGTAAAACGTCCTGGTATTGGGAAGTCTGGAAAAGCAGTTCGTGTTAGAGCAAACTTCTTTGAGGTCACTTCGTTCCCTTCACAAAATATCCATCATTACGATTTTACTATTGATATCCCTAAAACATCACTTGAATTTAGTCGTAAAGTTTGGAACGCTTTTGAAACTACAAATGCTAATAAAATCTTTGGTGGTGCTAAGGCAATATTTGATGGTCGTAAGAATGTATTCTCTCCTAAGCTTCTTAAATTAGGTGAATCTCAAGCTGGCCAATTTGAAGTTCAGCTCCCTGAAATTAGTTCCAAGAAGAATCCTAAATCGAATACTGTCATAATTTGTATTAAAAAAGTTGGTGAAGTTAATATGGAAGAATTAAACCTTTTCTTAAAAGGCAAGGCTGCTTGTAGTAATAACTGCTTAATGGCTATTATGGTTCTTGATGTTCTTATTCGTCATGTGCCTTTAACGATATATACTACTGTTGGACGCTCATTTTATACTCCTAATGATAAACGTTCACTTCCTAATGGTGCAGAAGTATGGCAAGGTTACTATCAATCTGCTCGTCCCACAGTTGGTAAGCCATATTTATATATATATATATCACATACTCTGTGAAAAAAAATAACGACTAACTTAAATAATGATTAATATATATATATATGTATATGTATATAGAAAAAATGATGATAAACCTTGATGTCAGTGCTACTGCATTTTACGAACCTGGTTCATTGCCTGAAGTAATAACAAAGATTCTAGGCCGTCGTTCTATTGATGACTTTAGAAGGGGCATGTCTGTATATGATATAAAAAAGTTGGGAAAGATCCTTAAACTTCTTAAAATACGTGTTACTCATCGTGGTGAACACAACCGCAATTATACGATATGTAGCTTGACGCCTACCTCTGCTGATCAGACTAAATTTGTATATGATGATGGAGATGAAATAAGTGTTGCGGCTTACTTTTCTCAACGTTATAACAAACGCCTCCACTATCCATTTTTGCCATGTGTTGTTGTTGGTAAAAATTCATTCTTTCCTATGGAGGTCTGTGTAGTCGTTCAGGGGCAGCGTATTAATAAGAAACTTAATGAAAAACAAACTGCTGAAATGATTAAATTTACTTGTCAAAAACCAGATGTTCGCGCAAATAAAATTATACATGGTTTCAATCTTTTACAATACAAGAATAATGAATATATGCAGCAATTTGGAATGACCATTAAGCCTGAAATGGCTATTATTAAAGCTCGTGTTTTACCTTCTCCCAAGATTGCTTATCATGTTTCTTCACATGAAGCTGAATTTATACCTCAGTGTGGCGCTTGGAATTTACGTGGCAAGAAGCTCACTCAAGGTGCTACTCTTTCGTCGTGGAGTATAGTTAATTTTGCTGGTGGTATTCCTGTTCAAGCTATCCAAAGATTTATCCGTGAAATGTGTCAAACATTCGCTGAAAATGGTATGAATGTTACTAACCGAAATCCTCCTGTCTTATCCGCTAATCCACAAGGTGATATTGAACGTAGTTTGAAGGAAGCATGGTTGAAGGCTGGAAACGTTGCTAAATCAAAACCCCAAGTCATTTTTTGTATTTTACCTAGTACCATTACAGCTTTATATGCTGAAATCAAAAGGGTATCTGATACTGTCATCGGTGTACCTACTCAATGTCTCCAATCTAAACATATTAGTGAAGCTAAAAAACAGTACTGTGGTAATGTCAGTCTCAAGGTCAATACAAAGTTGGGAGGTATGAACTGGACTTTACCTCCTAATTATATCCCTTTCCTTTCTCAGCGTCCTACTATTGTTATTGGTGCCGATATTACACATCCTAGTTCTAGAGATTCCACTCAGCCTTCTATTGCTGCTCTCGCTGCTTCTATAGATGCTCGTGCAGTAAAATATACTTCAGTTATATCTTTTCAACCAAGCCGTACTGAAATAATTGATAAATTAGCTATTATGATGAAAGATGTACTTAAAAAGTTTTATCAGGCGTGTGGTCAAAAGCCTTCTAGAATTTTATTTTATCGTGATGGTGTTTCTGAAGGGGAATTCAAACAAGTCATGAACTCTGAAGTTGCTGCTATTCATGCTGCGTGTGCTTCATTAGACAAGACATACAAGCCTACGCTTACCTTTGTTGTTGTTCAAAAGCGTCATCATGCTCGCTTCTTCCCTATTGAAAAGCGTGACGCTGATCGTACTGGTAACTGTTTACCTGGTACCGTTGTTGACACCAATATCGTACACCCTTTCGAATTTGATTTTTATCTTCAATCTCATGCTGGTCTTCAAGGTACATCTCGTCCTACACATTATCATGTCCTTTACGATGAAAACAAATTCACTGCTGATACTCTCCCAGAGTTAACGTATAATCTTTGTTACACCTTTGCTCGTGCCACACGTGCTGTTTCTATCGTTCCTGCCGTTTATTATGCAGATATAATTGCTAGTCGAGCACGTTTTCATAGAAAAGGTGAAAACTGGTCTGATACAGATGCCACATCAGATGTTCTCGATTCAGAATCTCAAATTGCGAGCTATGCTACTGTTATACCTGATCTTCAGAAAGTGGCATATTTTATGTAATGCTTTATATATTTATAATAAGACAGACACTTGGATTAATCATACATTTTTATGCTATTTATATTGCTAACATTTACAAATATATTTATTTTATATTATTAAAATAAAATGTATGTTATATAACTGAAATGAAGATAAGATATATTTATATATAAAAAAAAATCAAGTACATTTCTATATAAACTAATATGATATGTACATAATAAATAGTAAGAGGAATATATATTTACATAAGATTATTTTCTTTCACTTAGTTGTGTTAATTCTTCTATCCTTTGAACTCTTTCTAATTCCGTAGGGACAGTCTATAATAGATGCTTAATAAACAACTTGTATTTACTTTTTTTTATTTTATATGCTCACCTCACTTAAAATAGAAATCAATCTTATCGAATCATTATATTCCTTTTTAGCTTCTTCCAGAGGTATTGAACTTGGTTCATCAACTATCAAAATATTTAAATATATACTCCTTTCATAAAATCTTTGAACATTTATATCATTACCATCCATATCAATAAGTGCGGGCTGTATTTCAAGTTGTTCTGCATACTGACTTTGAGTTCGGCACGCATCATTCACTAAATTCGATAAAACTTCAGGTGTTTGTGTTCTCAACTTTATTACTTTCTCGATCATATTATTTAATTCAAGTTCCTTTTCATTAACTTTTGCTTTTAATCTCTCATCAATAGGTTCAGATAAACTGAATAAGGCTATTCAATTGTTATTAACAGGTGTATTATTTATTTCTTTTGTCAGTTATAATAATTTACCTTGAGTATCAACAGCTTCACCACCCTCAAATTCAATATTCTCTGATAATGCATTACATATATTACCTAACCACTATATGTTAATTTAAAAATTAGGATGATTATTTTAAATTATTATTTTTTTTTTCTTCATTATTAACTTACTTCTCCCATAATGTGCTTTACTAAATTGCTTGTGTTTTTTGATTCTAAAGTTCTTCCAGGTACAGCTTCATTAATAAGTTCGATTGAAGCTGCTTTTAATTGGTTCTGAATGCTAAGAAAATCATCTGCATCCATTTTAATTCTATCTTGATTTCTATCTTGAGGCTCCATTATTTCTTTGCTAATAAAAAAAGAAAAGAAAAAGGGGTAAAGAGCATGAATAAAAATTTCAAGTCACACAAATACAGAAATTATTATTTAAATAAAGTGGCTTATTTATACACTTTTTTTAATCGTAATTCTCTTTTCTGTAATATTGACATGAGTTTTAATGGCTGGAAAAAGTTTATAGAGGAAGGTGATCTTGTTATTGTTCACATGGTAATTATTAGATTTTACATTTGGAAGCTAGTTTTCCCTTTTTTTTTTTTAATTTTAATTTTATTTTATTTTATTTTATTTTTATTTTTTTATAGACAAGAGATCACATGTCACCTATTCGCATTCAAAAGGGTGAAGCTTTTAATAATCGTTTTGGTACTTTCAAGCATGATGATATGATCGGAAAGCAATTTGGTTCTAAGGTACTAATAAAATATGTAAAATAATAATAATAATAATAAACTAAATAATATTAGATGGTTTCTTCTAATTATAAAGGATTTGTTTATTTACTTCACCCAACACCAGAGTTATGGACACAAGTCTTACCACATCGTACACAGATTCTTTACATTGCTGATATTTCATTCATTTCAACTCAACTAGAACTAAAACCTGGTGTAAAAATGATTGAATCAGGTACTGGATCAGGTTCATTTTCGCATTCGATTGCTCGTACCATTGCTCCAACTGGTAAATTATACAGTTTTGAATATCATGAAGAAAGGGCAAATTTAGCACAAAAAGAATTTGAGGAACATGGATTAGGAGATGTTATAAAAATGCATCATAGGGATGTCTGTAAGGATGGATTTCAATTAAAGGATGAAGTAAATGCTGTATTTTTGGATTTACCAGCTCCATGGGATGCGATTGCTTCTGCTAAAGAGGCCTTCAAACAAGACAGAACCGGTAAGATTTGTTGTTTTAGTCCTTGCATTGAACAAGTTGCTAGAACTGTGGCTGCTTTAGAAGAATACGGTTTTATTGGTAAAGTAATAATAGAAAGTGAATAAAGTGCGGTAAGGTGACTAATTTCCTATTAGAGATTACAATGTATGAATGCTTGATTCGTGAACATACTGTCTCTCCTTTACAAAAAGTTGAATTTTCAACCGCAATTAAAGAAGCAAAAGAAAGAAGAGCACAAGGACTACCTACTTCAGAAAACTCATCAATTAAAAGGAAATTTGGTAAAGATGAGCCAACTCCTTTACCAGAAGAAATCGAACAAACGGCCAATTTAATGTTAGTGTCAAAGACATTAGGTGAAACAAGAGGACATACAAGTTATTTAACTTTTGCTACCTTTTTGCCTCCTACTGCTTCAGATGTAGTTACTAACAATAGTAGTGACTCAAACTAGATTTTTAAAATATTCCTTTTTGTATTATTTATGATGAATATGCCTTTTTAGTTGTTTAGAAGAAAAAAAAAATACAGCGAATTCAGGGAATGGATAAGCTCTAAATTTTTAAAAGTGCAATAATAATAATAATAATAAAAACTAGATAAATGCATTTCTGTGAGGAAAAAGAGATGTATATGAGCATATATAAGTTCAATAAGTACATAATAGATCTTACAAAGAAAAAGGGGAAAGTTAATCGAGGAAAGAGAAAGTAGAATTGCTAAGATTAATAGGCAAACATGTATTAATCTGTGTACGTTCTTGGGAGAGTTAATTTATGTATTTTTCTTATGCTCGAGTTTTGATTCTGTTTAGTAAATCTTATAGGTAAACTACTATACTTGTTTAGGTTATTTCCTGGAATCAAGCATCTATAACTAACGACTTCTGAGTTGGCTGCTATCTCGATCTTGTATACAATATGCTGTCACTACTTACTTACCATGGTTTTATTTTCATTCCTCTTCGCCAAATTAGAATGTTTTCTTGTTTATTCCAATCTATTGTACTATTTAAACTGTTTCAGGTAAACCTTTGTTATCTGGATACTACCTATATGACTCAATATAGTTATTTGATCGTATCTGATACTGCTGCTACTGTTTGCAGTAACGTTTTTAAATACCGAACACAAATTAACCAAGAAAAAAAAAAACCAGCTTTATCCTTTATTATTATTACTTTCTTTCTTTCTTTCTATCTTTCTCTCTCTGCATATAAAATATACAGTAAACTTGATTAAATTAGGAATTATAACATAAATAAAATAGAATGGCAAGTGCACTTACTTACAATGAAAATGATGGTTACGTTGATGGTATTTTAAGAGGTTATTACTCCAGCATCTTAAATTCCACTCAATATCTTAATTTCACTCAATGTGAAACACTTGAAGGTAAGTAAGCAAATAAAGAAGTAAATAAAAGCAAAAAAGGCAACTAAATTATATGAAAAGATCTTCGTCTTCAACTAGGTGCAACAGATTATGGTAATCTTTTACAAAATGAGCCTTCCCCTATTGCTACTTCCACTATTTCAGAAAAATTAACACAAAGTCTTGTTGAGGAATTCAATTACATTCGTAGTAATGCAGTTCAGCCTTTATCAAAATTTTTAGAATACATCACGTAATAATTCCTAATCAATTGTTTTCTATTATATACATATATGTATATAGATGGAACTGACATTATTATTATTATTATTAAAGGTACCAGTACATGATTGATAACGTCATTTTGATCATTACGGGAACACTTCATGAACGCGATACTCATGAACTTCTCGAGCGTTGTCATCCACTTGGTGTATTTGATACTATGCCAGCTTTATGTGTTGCTACTACTGTTGCTGAATTATATAATACTGTCTTGGTAGAAACTCCTTTAGGTAACATAGAGTTTATAATTATAAAACGCGTGATAGCTTACACGTCTGCTTAGCCCCTTATTTTGCCAACTGTCTCAGCGCTCATGATTTGGATGAATTAAATATTGAAATTATTCGTAATACACTCTACAAAGCTTATCTTGAAGATTTTTATCAATTCTGTCAAAACATGGGTGGTCCTACTGCTGAAGTGATGGGCGATATTCTTCGTGTAAAGTAATCATTTTAATTATATATTCATATGTATATATACGTATATAGTATTTACTAGACTAGCTTTTTTTATATATATACATACGTATATATAAATGTATAGTTTGAAGCAGATCGTCGTACTATCAATATTACAATTAATTCTTTTGGTACTGAGTTACCTAAAGAAGATCGTAGAAAACTATTCCCTACCATTGGCCGTCTTTATCCTGAAGGTAATGCCCGTTTAGCGATTGCAGATGAAATGGATCAAGTCAAGGCTACTTGTGAAGTCTTCCATGAATATCGTTCTTTCTTTGATACCAGTACATCCAACAAGACATTGGAAGATAAATTCTTTGAAATGGAAGTCTTTTTAAATCGACAAACCTTTCAACAACAATTTAACTATGGTGTCTTTTATGCCTATATTAAGTTGAAGGAACAAGAAATCAGAAATATTGTTTGGATTGCTGAATGTATTTCTCAAAATCAAAAGGAGAGAATCAATAGTTATATTCCCATTTTGTAAAAGAATTATTGAAATCCTTTTTTTTTATATATTTGTATACAAATAAATATATAAAATATATATAATTAAAAGTATTGTTATTAAAAAAAAAAAAAAAAAAAAAAAAAAAAAAAAAATAAAGTCAGAGTAAAAGAATGCTTGTATTTGTTTATGATATATTAGTAAGAATGTATGAACAAAAATAATATTATATGTGGATGACGAACATTCATATTGATGTGATAGCTTCAGCATACATTTGTAGTGCTTTAACAATATATGAAGGATCAGTATCAATTACTTCTGCAAGTTTTTCGAATACATTAGCAAAGTTATCCATTTTCTGTAAATACAGAGTAGACACTGCATTCTATAATAATAGGTGAATGAATGTTTAATATATGTGGATATTTTATATATATATTTATATATATATTTACCTCAACACGAGTAACACAGTTTTCCATTAAAATGATCAACTCTTCATCTGTTGCATCTTCACGTATATGTCGATCAAGCATTAATCCAAGCCCTGAAGAAGCTGTACTAATCGTATGATGGTTCTCCCCTTCAGCATCATTTAGGACATAGTGTCGTTGAATTGTGCTTCCTGCCATATGTTGAGATAGAATATTACCTGATGTTAAACGTTCCAGACGAATAGCAAGGTTACTTATTGCACATACAAGGTTTGGATCAATCGTTTTCATTGCCTTCTTCTTCTTCTTTAGTTTTGGTATGAGTTCATTCGTTAATAACAGAGGTTTTGCAGTCAAATAATCATTAGGAGTTGTATTTGTTGAATCTAAAGCAACAGGCGCTGTTGTACTTCTGGATACAAGAGAAGGAGAGGCCTCGAGAGAAGAAGGAAGGGACATGAGATTTGTGGGCGTATCAGAGGAAGGTAGTTTGTCATTTTCATTCGTAGACATCATTTGGCCTTTGTTAATCTCAATACGACCCAACAATTGTTTAGAATAAACTAAGCTTAGAGTTTCAGGTGTCTCTAATCCCTTTAAACGTCTTTCACCTAATTCTACCACATGAAATCCCAATTGTTTTAACTGTAATAAGTCACGACTAATAGGGAAGGCATCTATATTGTTGTTATTCTCTGTTGTATAGGAGGTATCAAAATTCATATAGGCTTTAAGGTGCCCCTCCTTTTCATTCATACTACTATTGTTATTTTGTTCGTCTTCATCAAACATGCTTGAAAAACTACGTAAGGCAGCAATAACATCAGAGGAGACGCAAATTTGTCCACCATCTGCAGCATTACAAATTCGACTTGCTTTATTTACCACAGGTCCAAAATAATCCATACGTTGAGTAATCGGATTTCGTTCAGAGACAGGAGCGCCCCAATGAATACCCATACGTACTGAGAGTCCTCTATAGATTATAACTCCATCTTTTTCAATTTCACGTCCTTCCTCTGTATCAAGGATACCTGTTGGCCAATCTGCCTCCAATAATTGAAGTTGAACTGTAAAACACCATAATAAAGCTGCTGTGATATTCTTAAAACAGACCATAAAGGCATCCCCTTCTGTCTTGACCTCATATCCACCTACACTACGTAATGTACGACGCATGATAGCATCATGAATCTTAATTGCTGCTCGCATGTTTTGTGGTTGTGTCTCCCATAACTGTGTAGAACCTTTGATATCTGTGAAGACCAAAGCAAGTTGACTGACAGGTGGTGCAACTTCTCTTTCTAACCGAGCCAATGTCTAATAATGATAATGATTATATTATATACATGTATACATAGTGTTATTTTATTTTTTATTTTTTATTTTTTTTATTTTTTTTTATTTTTTTTATTTTTTTTTTATTTTTTTTATTTTTTTTTTTATTTTTTTTTTTATTTTTTTTTTTATTTTTTATTTTTTTTTTTTTTTACTTACAGAGTCACCTGGCAATTCTTCTTTTCCTCTTCGTTTATTGTTACTCTTTACCAAGAGTCCATCCTCTGCTAAACTATTAGATCCACTACGTCCTTGACCCATCATCAATAAATTATTTCCACGATTATTATACCGATTTGTATTAAAGTATCGCTGTCGTTGTCCACGTTTATCAAATAAATTACCAACACCAATGATCATGACCATCAAGTTATCTACTGCACCATAGGTAATGGCAAAGTCACGTAGTTTTTGAGCAGCCACCATTAAATCATCCTTCTCCGTACGTGCAATATCGACTGCTGTTTGATAGGTCATCTTATCCCAAAGTCCACGAGATGCGATGATGACAAATTCATCTGTCTCTGCTAAATCCATTGTAGATACATAAGGGTTACAGTTCACTACAGGTATTAAATGGAAATGGCCAAAGCTACGTGATACATTGAGCTCATTATTAAGAAGCCCAGAGTTAGAGACATAACCACCAGCGGCACGAATGCGTGAGACTTCACTTGGGTTCAAGGGGATATGTTTTTGAGTAATCTCATAGGCTTGACCATTATTACGAGAGATAACAGCCAGGGTGTCTCCAACGTTAGCAACATAAAGTTTAGTACCCGCAATATAACAGACAACTGCAGAGGCACCTGCATCTTTATCAAACCCTTGGGCTCCTAAATTCTGTTCAAGTCCTAAAAAGGCACGACGAATAGCAGACACGATCGTATCATCACTCTTGATAGAGCTCAGTTCCTTTGTGAATTGAGCAACAAAGGTATCATTCAAATATTTCGTAAGCTGACACCCACTCTTTGGATGCTTGGAGCCGTCAAAGAGGGCAAAGATACATTCATCCTCTTTGCCACGGAAACGAGGCATGACTAGATCCCAGGTAGAGAGATGGTCGCTAGGACCCAACCAGTCTGCTACACCATAGGGCATACTATTGACTTCAGAAGGTGAAGTACGTACACGTCGATCATGAAATTCTTCAGGGACTGAGACACCTAAGATTGTGATATCCATCAAACCTAATAAGCGTAACCGTGTTAAGGCACTAAAGTCTGAAAGATCCTTATCTCTCATCGTGTTGAGGGGATGATGATAAAGGTGATTATTTGCTGTGGTATCATCTAGGTGTGTCTTCTTTTGAATCTCTAGTCGTTTATTACCAGATAGATTTAAATACTTGAGTCCTAGATTCCAGTTCCAATTCCAATCGTAAGGCCAATTAGCAATATTGTATTTCAAGACGTTGTTTCCTACATCTAGGACAAGAAGCTTACGAAGTTTACCAATCTCAGCAGGTAATGTTTGGAGTTTATTACCATTGATAGCAAGGACACGTAAGTATTGAAGTCTTTCGATGTCATCAGCAGGTAGAGATGTGAGTTGATTACCTGATAGATATAATTCATAGAGATGTTGATGACAGAGACCTCCAGAGGGTATCTCGTAGAGGTCATTAAATGATAGATTAAGAGTGCGTAGCTCTAGGAACAAGGAAAGAGGTGACCAAACGTCATCTGTCAAACGATTATCACCTAAAAATAATTGGCGTAACGACAATGACAATGGAGGTGGATGATTACGAGGACTTGCGAAAAAACTGGGTGGGTTAAAACTAGGATCTGGCGATGTCACTGCGGTTGTTGAAAGAGAATAAGGAGCGATAGAGAGAGAAGGAGATGAGGAAGAGGAAAATTGATTTTGTAGGAATGATACTGTAGAAGAATGAAAAAGATCAGGTATATTGGCTCGAGAGACTTGACCAAAGAAGGAACCATGATTATTAATTTTTATAGGATGCATGTTACTATTATTATTATTATTATTAGGTGTCAGTGGTGAAACAGCAGCTGAAGAGGATGCAGAAGATGAAAGATTTAAAACAGAGTTAAAATTTGAATGATTAAAGATGGGTGTTGGTGGTGGTGGTGGAAGGTGAAGAGGACTAGAGTCTAACAAACGATCTAGATATTTAGCAATACCAAGCTGATCTGTGTTTATTGCATTAGTAGTAGTATTGAAAAGCGATAATGTAGTGTCATTATCAGTTGTAGAAGCTATCTCTACATCTAAATTATTTCTATTATCACTATCTACTGCTGTATTATCATTTCGTATGATTGGATTAATAAGTTTAGGATTAGAATCTTTTGATGATACTGTAGGAGTTAAAGGTTTAGGAAAAGATTCGATTAGATTAGAAGAGCAATTCAAGGTTTGTAAAGAAGCACAGAGCCAAATCTCTTTTGGAAGGGATTTTAAATTATTTTTTTGAGCATCCAGTGCTCTAAGTTCAATTAGTTCACCAATTTCACTTGGCAATGTATCAAGATTATTATTTTGAACAGACAGCTTTAGTAGTCTTTTTAAGACACCAATACTTGAAGGAAGAGAATTGAGTGTGTTACTATCCAAGATCAGACGTTCTAAATTTTGTGTATTATAGAATACACTTTCAGGTAAACTTGATAATTTACAACATGATAAATTCAATTCGGAGAGACAAGCGATTGAGGTACAAGTCAGATTGAATTGAGTCAAATGATTTTTGTACATTTTGAGCTGTTTTAAGCTTCCGATTTCAAAATTAACTATACTAGTTGAATTATAATCTACCAGTAGTACTTCAAGTTTAGGTAAATGTGAGATAACGTCAAGATTAGTTATTAAGTTTTGACGAATATCTAATTCCTGAAGCTTTTTAAGTCGTATAAAGGATGATGGAAGGGCGCCTGTAATACGATTAGCGATAGCAAAAAGGCCAACAAGGTTTGTTAGTTGACCTATTTCTTCAGGGAAAGCTTGAATTTTATTGAAACTGATATCAAGGTAAGCTAAACTAGTCAATTCACAAACTACTAAAGGAAACCTTGTAAAAGAATTATTAGAAATAAATAAAGTTGACAGATACTGAAATGAAATAGCAAATGTATTGGGTAATGTTTCTAATTGGTTATTAATAGCACGTAAAACACGAAGGTCCTTTAATTCGTGAAGATGAGCATGATCCAAATCATGTAGTCGATTACCAGAAATATTTAAATGCTCCAAAGATGAAATAGATCGAATAGAATGGGGTAAAGTAGTATATTCATTATTAGCCAACCAAAGTTGTCTTAAACCTGTACACATCTGAATAAAGTCTAAAGGTAACTCAATAAGAAGGTTTCTTGATACATTTAATGAAATGATATGTAAAGCTTGCTGATAAAGATAAATAGGGATAGTAGCTAAAGACCTTGATTGAAGATCAATATATTGACCTAAATCTTTTGTATTATCATCTTGAGAAATAGGTTGAGTCATATTAGGCATCATTTGAAAGCGAACTAAATAACTACAATCCTCAATGGTATCCTCCTCCATGTAACCCATTTGTTCTTGTAATATTTTTTGAATTTGAAGCGGACGTTCAGTCAAGCCTAATACTCTATCTAAAGAAGAAGAAGAAGAAAAAGAAAATTAAAAAAAAAAAATGCAAGAATAGTAATACATATAATATCATTTCATGTATTTAAAGACAATATATACAAATATAAATATGTATATAAATATGTATATGTATTACCTATATTATATCTTTTGATAACCAGATTATATTTTGACATATCCGACATAAAGAATTTAGTAGCTAGTTTTTTCAAAATTTCAAATGTAGTGGTATTAAGAGGGATATGAAGGGTATTATAAGTTTGATCTGGACGATAAATCTTGATATTAGCCTATAATATACATATTAATAATAGCTAGCTACTTTGTTGTTATTATATAATACTTGCATTTTTTTTAGGTATATTCCATTTGTCTTGAACATGAATAGGATAGTCATCAAAATCCATATTATCTTCATCCATTAAACTAGCTGAAATAGACATAATAGAAGCCGGTTGAACTCCCCAACTATCTGGAGGAGCCCAAGATTCTAATAACTCATAGCTCTATATATACATTACATTTAAAAAAAGAAAAGGTCTAAATTTATATACATGTATATTTACAGTATCCTCTGTTTGATTATTTGTTCCAATTAAAGAAGGTGCAGGTGATCTTTTATAATAATCTCTATTGATGATGCCATCCATTTTATCAAAATCCTGATCCACTAAGTAATAAAGACCAAGTTAATATTTTCAGCCTTTATATATGAAAGTAGTACTTTTTTTTTCTTTTCTTTTCTTTTTTTTTTACATTTTAATAATGGATTCTAAAATAATAATTAAATAATATCAGTAAAAATAAACTTCATTGTAGTCACTATTTACCTTTCCATTTGTGTTACTATTCTTTGTCTTGATTATCTTTTTCTTCTCATTTTGTTGTTGGTAATATCTCTTTTGAATTTCGGTGGCAGCAGTAGTCGTATGAAGTGCGTGATCCAATAATATCAGTTTATTATCATTTAACTTTTTTTTTGCTGTTATTGCAACTGAAGCAGTATTGATAGAAGGTGAATTGTAATCTATTTAAAGAAATTAATTTTCCTTTGGTTACAACCTATTTTTGAAGCTTACGTTTTTTCTTTCCAAATCTAAATAAATGTCTTTTCTTTGGTAATTGATCTAAGTTATAACTGTTGTTACTAAATAGAATGGACCCAATAAAAATCCTTCCTCTTTATACCTTCAGATAAATGATATTGATGACGTTCATTTGAATTACTTCTTCTCAATATTATATTTGTATCATCAGCAAACGTTGTTGTTGTAGTTGTAGTTTGTCCAATTCGTCTACCACCTCTTGGATAAGGAATAATTTGTGTAGATAGAGATGAAATCGGAGTTGGTCCATTATTAATACTCTGTTTTGTTGAAATAGTATTGTCACCCTCTAGGGAACGTCTTCTTTGCATCTTATAAGTTGAATTACGACTAATGTAGTAATCTCTTTTCTTTCTTTTTTAGAGAAAAAAAAAATTATTGAATAATGCTAATGATGATGATGATGACTTAAGTTGTCAATGATTAGAAAAAAAAAAGGGGGAAAGTATTATGTTGTTAATATTCGTCCCCTTAAGAATATAAAGTTGGTTTGAGGCTGGGTTATTTTTGTTCAAAAAAATAAATAAATATGTTTATGAAGAAACACTATAGGTTATCTAATGTTTAGAAATGGCTATTTACAAAAAAAAAAAAAAAAAAAAAAAAAAAAAAAAAAAAATAAAGGAAAGAAAAGGTTGCTACAAAAAAAAAATTAAATTTTGTTGTTAATTAATTACCCCACAAAAAAAAATAACGTTTTCACTTACACTTTAAATTTAGACGATGTTAGTTTTTTTTTTCTGGACGAATCCAAATTAATTTTCAGACACATTGTTTACCCTTTTTGGATGGAAGGAAAAATAAAATTAGACGAAAAAAAAAAATGAGTTTGAGACACTTTGATGGTAAATGTTCAGACTTTTTCTTTACCTGTAATAATCTGAACTCCTTTCGGAGAACCGTGTTTAATACGGCGATTTATGTAAGACTTGACCTCTTTTAAACAGAAGAGGGCGCCCTCCATCTCTCCAAATCGACTGTGCAATCTTCATTATGTTTAAAGATGCATTAATATCCCTCTGCCACAGTGTTTGACATGTTTTGCAAACAAGAACACCACAGCCACGAACACCAGTAAAAACATCCAAACTTCTTGTCATACATTTAGAGCATACTTGGGAGGTAAGATACTCATCGATGGTAACAACTATCAAGTCACCATTACTTTCTCTTCTCTTTAAAGTCTTGTAAAAGAGTTCAGTGACTCCACTTCTCAATCCCTTGTAGTGCACCAAATCTTTGCCAAACATTCCGGCCCCAAATACGACCAAGGGTACCTTTGATTTGTAGTTTTTATATTTGGTCTCTCTATCAGATACATTTGTATACATGCACCTTTTCAGTAAAAATAATAATGACACTAATCTACTGGTTTTCTTTTTTTAACTACAAATACCTTGGAATACATTTCTTTATAACTTCTTTTCCTTTTCTTTTCTTCTTGGTACCCCCTTTTTTCTTCTTCTTCCTTTTGTTTTTTGCTTTCTTTTTCTCCTTGCTTCTTAAACTTTTGTTGTACTTTTTAGTTCCGTTTAGCAACATGTTTACCATTAGCTCTGGCGCCCTTTGATTTCCTTGGTACAAGAAGAAACGGTTCTTCGCCGTAGCAGCATTATAAAACTCGAACAGAGTATCTAAATTATTAAAAATATAGGTGGCATGCCGCAAGTACTTTTCTGAGTCAGAAGTCTTGTTGGTTGGTATAGAGCTTTCTATGATGTTAATGCCACGCTCATTTTTTAGTCTGGTCAATTCAGAACTGAATCTTGTTGAGCCTGTCAAATGATAGTATTTCTTGGTTGTGCATCGTCGAACATCGCGGTCTAAATCGGTAACTGCAGTAAAAACGGTTTTTCTTCCAGGGTCAATTGCTATTGGAAGAGATGACTCTTCTACTTCTTGACTCTTAAAGTCATCGACTTTGAGGTGTATTTGGTTAACCTTGACAGTCATATCATTTTGATCATTTCGTCTTTTGTAGAACAAAAAATCAATACTGAAACCGTCTGATCTGATCAAGTTTCCAAACAACTGTCTATTTCTGCCATTTGACATTATACTTTCAATTCTGGAAGTATGTTTGCTTTAATTATTATGATATCACCCTTTTTTTTAAAACTTACGTTTTAATTCTCAATGACTGGAACTTTAATATTTTAAAAAAGAGCCGAAGTTGGTCATTATAACCTCTTGGCAACTTTTCACGAGGAAGAAACGCAGATAATGCGTTTACTGACAAAGTTATAGAACGCCAGTGTAAGGAAGGTGTTGGGAACAGACTAAATCGCCGCGGAAGAGACAGTCTTCTTACATCGTATTCACAATGGTTGTCGTGTTCAGATTCAATGATAGAGAGCAAGTGTATCAATAAAGGAGTAAATCTACCAAGGGAATCCGTAAGGCAAGTTTATGTTGCTAATTGCTAAGGGCGGATGTGATATACAGAGGCTTTCTGGGATCGAGGAAGTCCTCTGTGTTTTTAAGTTGCGATTTATTAAAGGAACGTAAGGTTAAGACGCACTTCATTAAATTAGACACAATACTTCTGCAACGTCTGTGATTCACTTTTTTTTTTAAAAAAAAAACAGGGTTTTCCTTTTTGGGATTTGATGATTACAGATGAAGAAAAAGTCTGAACATTTACCATCAAAGTGTCTGAACTCATATTTTTTTCGTCTGATTTTATTTTTCCTTTCGTCCAAAAAGTGTAAGCAGAGTGTCTCCTCCACTTCTTGATCCAGGCAAGAAATTACTCAACTGGTTGTCCCTTTAAACTTGTTAGCAATATTCCTCCTTTCTTTTTCACCTTCTCTTCTTCCTTTCCTTTACCTTTTTACCTCGTGTCCCGTAAAAGGGTTTTTAAATACTTTTTTTCACGTAATTTGAACTGACCTGGGTAATCCAATATAACAAAGATATTATGTGCTCATAGGTAACTTTATAAATCTCAGACAAAATGAATTTGGTTTCAAGAACTTTGTGTTTAAAGGTAAGGAAGAGTCATTTAACTTGAAAGTGAGACGGATTACAAGACGAATAAGGATTCAACTTGAGAAAGAACAAGAGACGAATTACTGTTAGTTTTTTTTTTTGGACAAGTATGTATTACAATTTAGACAAATTACCTGTGGATATCTAAACCACTATTGCCAGCGAAATTGTTTCTTCTCTGAAAGACAGCAGATCTATCAAAATGTAGTTCTTGATTTAAGCTTGATTTCTCTCTCAAGTATTGCTGTGGCATCTGACATCTGGCCTTTTATCCTAATCGTATCCGGATTCTTCATCCTATCACCAAACGCAACGAGAGGTACACAAAGAGAAGGCTTGAATTTGGCTTTTTTTTTATCCTGCCTGCTTCTTTCCTGGTGTAGTCTTACATTTATCGTCGTATATAATCTGTGGATTCTTTTTGCCCTCTTATCTTTTCTTTATATTCTTCCCTGTTTTCAGTCTTTTGGCTTCATTATACTTTTTTCCTCCATTAAGTAAAATGTTGGTCATCTCTTTATTCGACCTTTGTCTGCCTTGATAATCATTGAAACGAAAGGGGTTGTAGACCTTTCATTGTAGAACCTGAAGATTTGGGGACACATGTTTGAGGGCATATACAATCTATAAATGCTCCATTTTTCAATGTCTACGGGGTTTTTTTTTTTTTTTTTTGTTGAAGGGAAATCTGTCTCGATGCTTTTAATTAAAGTTTTTCTACATGATAAGCCCTTCTCCTCTTGGAACGTGTATAACAATGTGTTGCTCTTTAATGCTACATATTCTTATTTCTTGTTGATCTTATTCAAGTCGTATTCTCTTCCCCTTATTTTTTTTTTCTATGTTATCTTTTCAAAGTAAGTCATAACATTGAATTACTTTCCAGTAATTGCATGATTAACATAATACTCGTTACATACTCTTTACATACAGAGAGCACTTATAACTGCCTTTGTGCTTGTGTCCAGCTTGACTCGCAGTTGGTACTTTTTTTTTTTTGATAGCTTTCATTAGATAAAAATGAAAGCATAAGTCATACGTACGTGATTTCATGATAGGTTTTAACATAAATCAAAAAAAAAATAGACCATTTTCTACTGCTATGAGTTTGAGCTTTTATCTTTTCTTTGAGGTGCTATATTGCTTCAATGGAAAACGTAATAAATCTACAAAGTTTAAAGAAAAGAAAAAGGCAAAACAGTGTTTGAAAATTAGGTGTTGTCAGATATATGTATATACATTGTGCAAGAGTTAATCACTTTTTAATTTTTGATATATCATGTATCAATCAATCAATTTACCCGCGATCACTGATTGGGTAGTTTGTCTTCCCTACGTTACGCAGAAAATAAAAATTATCACAAATAAGGAGTCTAAAGAAAAAAAATATATGATGACGAATATATTAATTTTTAGGAGGTTTTTTTTTTCTTTTCTCTTTTCTTTTTTCTTTTTTTCTTTACTACAGAAAGAAGTCTTCCCACAGTGCGCTATCTTACGGGAAGCGCCCGGCCTAGACCCACACCTGTAGTGTGAGCTTGATAATGTAGTCTTGAAGTTGTCTTGCAAAAGTGGGTTGGCAGGGGTTTCTCAACGGTTTATTGCTTTGGCAAAGATTTGTTGATTGTCCAGTGCATGAGTTTAAGTGGCCTGCTACAGCTGCTTTTACAATACGCGGAACGGTGAACACCACCCAACATTTTTTTATTTGTTGGTAGGGATCTGGGGATATGCTTTTTGGAGTCAGATAAACTTCTACCTTCTCGTGGTTGACTCTGTTAATCAAAGTAATTTAGGATTGCTTTGAGAACTAAAAGAAGTTTCTAGTCTTATATTAATTTTTTTTCTCAATAAAATATCGCGTTTGTGCCCCCCCCATTACTATTTTCTAATAAAGTCTTCTTTTATATACAATTATGAGCCATAATACCATTTCTTACCACAACAAACACATATAAACTACCTTATCTAAATAAAATTAAAAAAATAATGTCTCTTCGTTGAAAGAGATCAACGGCTCTCTTGGCTACAGTCATGTTTTTGTCTCTTGACAGCTCCAGTAAGTGTTCTTTCATATATGAACAGCATGCCATTCTTCAGCTCTTTCAAATCGTATGTTTTATAGAGAAGTTCTTTTTTTTTTTTTTTTTTTTGTTCAAATCCAGCATGTACTTCTTTATCAGTTTCCCAGAAGCGGTTAATGATTTTGCTAGAATCTTTCGTCAATTCGACACAGCTTCTTTGATTTTCTGTGGATACAAATTTTTGTTAACAAAGATTTTTAACAGCAGAGAAGCTGCTTTTTTTTTTTTGGATATACATTTCTGTCATAAAGGAAAATAGATAACTTGGTATAAATCCTTTTTCTTCGTACTTTTCAGTAATAAACATCCATTTATTTGCTGCATGTTTTTTTTTTCTGATGCACTGGTTTAGAAGTCTTTCGGCTTTTGTGAAGGATGCTGAAGTTCTTGGGACAAGAAAAAAAAAACAGTTTCATTTGTCTGGGATAAATAAGCAGCAACAAGTGTATTGTAAGAGACAATACAACTAAAATATCCTGATCCTAACAAGAAATACAAGCTTTATATACTGATGCACATATAAAATAAAAGTAAACTTGGGGGCAATTTAAAAAAAAAAAAAAAAAAAAAAAAAAAAAAAAAAGGGTATTTCAGTTTGATTGTTCGGTATGCTTTTTTCGTCTAGAAAAATTAACATCAACCCGAAATAAATTATCCTACTGTGAAGAAGGAACTTTTGGATGTAATTTATGCTTTTGCAGAAAATTTAAACTTTAAAGAATTTGACTTGTATACAGGCAGTGCAGCTGTCCGATATTTGTTCATAAAAACTGTCTTCAGGAAGATATCTGATCTGTTCGTCATCAACTCTCAGTACTTTACAAACCAAATATGAACGGTAAGGTTAGGGCAATTAAACGGAATATGAGTTGCATTGCATTCAAAAGATAAATAATAATAATAAAAAAAAAAGAAAAAAGAAACGTTGGAACAGGTCTATTACCTTCCATTTTATGTACTTGTAGAATAAAATTTCATTCAAATTTAGGAATATTGCTAAATAAAGCATTATAGGGAGTACCTTTTTCGAAATATAGCTACTGATCTTTTACAGGACTTGGGTATAAAATTTGACGTGGAAATAGTGTATTACTTAATTGATAAAAATGTGTAACTGAAGAAAAAAGAAACATCGAAGGCTGAAAGTGCGTATGATAATGAAAAAAGTTGAAGTTGGAAGCACAGTACTCATAATTAAGCAGAACAGAAAAGACCAAGTTGGATGCAATATTTAAAATTGAAAGTTTATACTGTATTTTAGAAATTTCATGATAACACGTTTGTTATATTGAACAATAAAGGAACCAGACTCAAGAGAGCAGTGAACGGCAGCCAACTTAATTTTTATTATCAAACCCTTTAGTCAAAAGAATTTTATTATTGTTATTTTCTTTGCAATGTTAATTATCATATGACAGTTTTTTCTATTTCTTATTTATTTATGTATATAGTCATATATCTTTTATCTAATGACTCTCTTTATTTTTTCTTGATAGGTTTTATTTTATTTTACTTTAGAAAAGTAAATAACTTTTCATACATTTTCTTTTATATATTTACATTATACTAATCACCCGTTGATAAGATATTTATAACAAGTCGCATACCTCAGAAATCTGTAAATACATATATGAATACATTTCTATGTTTATAAATATTTATTTATATATATGTGTGTGTAACAAATGATAGCTGCGACCTAAATCAACCTCCCCTCTCTCTCTCTCTCTCTCTGTTTAAATTAGTTTAGGACTATTGCTTCTTATTCTTTTCTTTTTCTTTTTTTTTCGGTTTTGAAGTATTAAAAAGGCTATATGTAATTAGTAACAGGAAATAAACAATATTCTTTTGTTATTATTATTATCTTGTAATTACTTTGATAAAAGCTATAGTTATTTATTTAAGCATTAACCGAAGTAAGTAGCCATCTTATTTAAGTCACAACATTACATGTGTAATTTGTCACTGCGGACAGTATTGTACTACATTCACTCTAGTTATCATCTCGCCCTTTTTTTTTATTTATTTATTTTAAAAACTGCTTATTTCCTGTTTCTTGTTTCTTTTCTTTTTTCTTTTTTTTTTCTTTTCTTACAGTAACATATATACATATACCCTCTTATATTCTTATATTTTAAAAGAATGGAAAACATTCATTCATCCAATTTAGTAGATGAGTCAGGCAACAAGACTCAAAGGCCACCCATCCTTGTTGTTAATAATAATACAGGACATCATTCAAAAAGATCTATAAGTGGCATGGATATTTTGAATGGGTTAAAAATTATTACCAGTAGTAATGATACCAGCACTAGTAGTACGATACCCTCATCTCCTGTACCTTCTCAATTTAATATAGAGTATTATCAATTCAACCAAATTGATGATTTTGAGCTTAAAGAACCAATAGGTAAACTACATAAATATGTTTATGTAATACGTATATATATATATATATATATATATAATAACATATCATCTGTAGGCTATGGTTCCTCTGCTATAGTATTAAAAGCTATTTACAAGCCATTAAATAAGACGATGGCTTTGAAAATGATTGATCTTGATAAGTTTGAACGGAACCAGATTGATGAACTTCGAGTAAAACTCAATTTTTTTTTCTTTCTTTTTATTTATCAATCAAAACAATGAAATTATTTAGAATTGACTTTTCAAGTTTATTATAGCGTGAAACTGCATTGATGGCATTATCTAAACATCCAAATGTGTTGCGTGTTTATGGTTCATTTGTTCATGGATCCAAGTTATATATCGTCACACCCTATTTATCTGGTGGTTCTTGCTTAGACATTATGAAAACAAAATTTCCCGAGGGTTTAGACGAATTGAGCATAGCTACCATACTACGTCAAACATTAGAGGCCCTTGTATATTTGCATAAAAATGGACATATTCATCGTGATGTAAAAGCAGGTAATTTACTAGTAGACGAAGACGGTACTGTTTTATTAGGCGACTTTGGTGTCTCTTCCTCTTTAATGGAAACAGGTGAAAAGGGGATGCGAAAAACGTTTGTTGGTACAGTAAGTATTATATGACCCAAAATAATTCTCTAGTTAAATTTCTGGACTCATTCTATAAATAGCCTTGTTGGATGGCTCCTGAAGTAATGGAACAAGCTGAATATGACTATAAAGCAGATATATGGAGCTTTGGTATTACAGCTATTGAATTAGCTACTGGTCATGCTCCATTTGCAAAATATCCTCCATTAAAGGTAATATTTTTGTAGTGCCCTATATAAATATATATATATATATATATATGTATATACGTATAATAATTTATAAGTTATTCTGCATAGGTATTGATGATGACGCTTTCAAATGATTCACCTACTTTAGATCGTGATCATACATTTCATAGATATTCTAAATCCTTTAAAGAGATGATTGACTTGTGCCTTTTGAAAGATCCTTTAAAAAGGTATTTAAATATCTATTATTACATATTTCATATTTATTATTATTAACGACTTACACTTATCTATCTATATAGACCACATGCAGAAAAGCTGATTCAACATCCCTTTTTTAAACAAACGAGAAAAAGGGATTGTCTTTCAAAATCAATTCTTTCCGAACTTCCTCCCTTGGAGCAAAGATCACGTAAAAAGATACCCCAAGAACAAGTAGCGATTGCAAAAGTAGACGAATGGAATTTTGATGAAGAAGAGAATGACAATAATAAAGCAGTATCAGATAATGAAGGATGTCTATCAGATCAAAATAGTACTAAAGAATCAGTAGCTAAAACAACAAAAAAACATATATCATTTGGGGATGTAGTAGTTCGTAATAATAATACATTAGTTCACCCTTCTGATGAACCCCTACTTGGTTCAATCATGGCTACTACGCCATCAAAAAAATCACGCTTTGTGATTGAAGAAGTAATAACAAAAATGGATCCAACTATAGATTTATCTTCTTCAGTTAGATCAATTAGTCCTATGACAGATGATGATCACACTATCTCAGTAGAACAGAATAATCATGGTGAAATCATGAAAGGAAGGTTTTATATTAATCAACCTAAAGTATCAGCTTGGACTAATAACCATACTACATCAAGTAATAATGAAGCATTTATTGATAATCAAGAATCCATTACACAACAACCTACATTTAACCAGCAAGAACTTTTATCCATTACAAGCGATCGTAAATCACGTTTTGAGATATCCTCTGCGTCATCATCATCTTCTTCTCCTATGATTTATCAACCTATTCCACTCTCACGTGAGAGCTCGAGCTATTCTTCAATATCTAATAAAAATAGCAATAGCTTAACAGCTGCTATTGTTGAAAAAAAATGAATCCATCTCATGAGGTAATGGATTATTTGTCTGAATCAGTCATTAATAGAAAAATAGGTCGATTTGAGTTAACTGGTTGTAATTCCTCTGTTGATATGGCATCAATCCCACGTGGTAGTATTTCAATCTCTTCCAGCCATAGTTCCTATCCTCTGCATACAGATATTTCTACTACTAATTATCCTATCTGTCAAATTGAAGAATTAATTAAAATGAATGAATCTCAAAGAATAATTTTACAAGAAATACTAAAGAAATCCAATCAGTTTCAATCAAATATGAATGCAAATGAACAACCGTTATCATTAACAACGTAAATTATTTATATGAGGGGATGAAATTAGAATTTTTTTACATTTATAAAAATATTTTATTTTAATTTTTTTTTTTATATATACATATACATGTGTATATCTTTAGCTCCACTACAACAGTTAATAACGAAGGCTTATCTTCTACAATTGAACATTTAGAAAAGTTAATTCAACAAACACTTATAGAGAATGGTAGATTACAAAAAGAAAATGAAAGTTTAAGACGAGAATTAAAGGAACTTAAACAATTGAAATAAAATGGACGCTGATGGGATTTCATTTTATTTTATTTATTTATTTTTATAAAGTTTTTTTTTTTTTTTTTTTTTTTTTTTGTTTATTTATTTTCTTTTTTTTTTTAACATTTTTCTCTATTTGATTCAAATAAAAAAAAATCGCTCTTAAATAATAATGGGTAATGTACTTTCAACAAAAAAGAAACGAAAAGAAAAACCAAGGATTATGATAACTTCGGATAGTGCATCCTTAGCTACCTCGATGACTGCTTTCCCTGAGATAAAATCGATTCTTATCAATAAAGATTACAATGAGGAAACACACCGTTTGATCCAAATATGTCGAGAGACTCAACGACGACAAAGGAAGGAACTTGAGGTGACAGAATCTGTTATTGAAAGTCTTATATATTCCATTAGTCGTAGTAACAGTTTTACTAGTCATACTGCCTTCACCAGTAACAGACGTACCCAGAGTTTGATCATCCCTAATAGTCATCATTATAATTCTTCTGGATCTGGATCTGAATCTACCTTTGATAGGCAACAGTCCCTACTACAAGTTAGATTTGATACCGGAAGCTTACCAACTCGTCGTCAATTGCGAGATGAGTCGGATGAAAGCAAACATTCTCTGGACATAAATGCATGTATTGAACGCTTATTAAATACAGGTTTAACACCTCGTTTATTTGGATCTACTAGTATTTGCTTTAAGAAAGCTGAGATCATTTATATATGTAAGGCTGCTAAAGAAATATTCATGAGACAACCTGTACGTATTTATTATATAAATAAATAAAGAAAAAAAGAAAAAAAAAAAGGAGAAGGAGGAGGAGGAGGAGGAAATATGTTCTATTTATAATTGTTTATACAAACAGAGTTTAATTGAAATCCATCCACCTGTCAAAATAATGGGAGATATTCATGGCCAATATAATGACTTACTTCGATTATTTGAGTTAGGAGGATATCCTCCTGAATCAAATTATTTACTCTTAGGTGACTACGTTGATCGTGGTAAGCAAAGTTTGGAAACTATTTTGTTATTATTTTGCTACAAGATTAGATATCCAGAAAACTTTTTCTTATTAAGAGGGAATCATGAATGTGCTGATGTTTCAAAAAGTATAGAAAGAAAGAATATATAAGTGTATATGTATGTATGTATACATGTGTTAAAAAACTAATGTACGCATAAATTAGAATATGGATTTTATGATGAATGTATTAGAAGAGTTAATGCTGATATATGGAAAACATTTGTTGATGTCTTCAATACTTTACCTATCGCTGGACTGATAGATGATAAGATATTTTGTGTTCATGGTGGTATAAGCCCCTTCATGCAATCAATGGATGATGTACGTTCAATCGTTAGACCAACTGCTATTCCTGAAAAGGGCTTGCTCAGTGATCTATTATGGTCTGATCCAGATGAATCTATCATCGGTTGGTCTGTCAATTCGAGAGGCCTCGGTCATTATTTTGGTGCGAACGCTTTAGATGAATTCATGGAAAAGTTTGGTCTTTTATTAGTCTGTAGATCACACACTGTAAGTTACCTATTAAAATATAGCTAATGTTCGTATAGGTTATAAAATTGTATATACATGTATACATTTATACATATTAGGTTGTTAGAAAAGGTTTCAAGTTGTTTAATAATCAAAAGTTAGTCACGATATTTAGTGCCCCAGCTTACTGTTCATACAACAATAAGGGTGCTATTATGACTATTGATGAAAAATTAAAATGTACTTTTGATTTAATTTCACCCGTAAATAATAATCATCTTGTAACTAAGAAAAAGTTACTCGTTTCGAACAAAGACAGTAACAGCACACTGAATATTAAAGAGGAGTTTTTGAGGTAATGAAAAAAGAAAATATTTAACAGTACTAATATACTAAATCCTTTGTTATTATAGTTCTTCTTCCTATTCTTTAATGAGTGAAGGAACAGTCGCTGCATAAGAATTTAATTGTGTATTGTAAAATCAATAAAATAGATGAGATACACATATACATTCCTACCTTATATATGAATAAATGTACGTCACGAATCTTTCATCACTCTGCATATATTAAATATAAAACTGTTTTATGCAATATATACACACAAATTGAAATATAATCAGTTTGTCATCTTTTCTTTTCCTTTCTTTTCCTTTTTTCTTTTGTGTGTGTGTGTATAAATATATATTTATAAATTGTTGAATTAATGGAGGTGTTTACCATTAATGATGATCGACAATCTCGATTGAAGTATGATTCAAATAGATCAACAAGAGATTCACATTCAAAACTTCAATCGACTCCTGAAATGATGGAGAAACCTTGGTCAACCTTGTATAGCAGTAGTAACTCTAAATCTAACATATCATCAAATACAAATGGCAATATGGATATGCCTTCTAAATATGACTGGCAGATAGAATCTTTTATGCTCTGTCATCATATCTTAACCCGAGGTCTTTTCGATGGTGTTGGAAGTGACATCGAAGTTTTGGTTCCAGCTTGGAATAAGAGATATCATCTACATCGTCTTATACTAGACCAAAATCCTTATTTTAGCTTACTCTTGCAAGGTAACTTTCAAGAATCAGGTTCCAATAGAATAACGTTACATTTTGATGATTATCATAACGATAGTAATGACTGTTTCATTACTATGGAATCGTTTCAGTTTATATTAGAATACCTTTATGGTAATAAAATTCTTGTTTTTGATAACCAGAAACCATTAAATCCAATTTATACAATGGTTGTCACTGATTCAAACGTAAAGCAGATTTTAGCAACAAGCTCTTATTTTCAAGTAGACGTCTGTAGCCTTATTTGTGTGGAATATATTTTAAAAAACTTAAATTTTAATAATGTCGTGGATTATTTATTGTTTGTAACAAAGTGGATGGTGCAAGGAAGTGATCATATCTTGGATGCTATTTATACATTTTTATGTAGAGAAGCATATTATATGGATCCTACCTATCTTGTCAATTTACCTGTAAATTGGCTACAAAAAATCATTGAAAGTGATGCCTTTTGGGTGCCAAAGTAAAGAGATACCAATATATTATAAAATAGAGTATTTATTGTTTTTTTTTTATCTTTCTTTTTCTTTCTTTTTTTTTTTTTAACACATAATAGTGAATTTGAAAGATATCAGTTTCTAAAGAAAATAATCCATGCAAGATCTAAAGTTTATGAAACATCTTCTTTTGGTTCGGCGGATCTTGATACAAGTTCTTCGTCTTGCTTCATTGTTACTCAACTAATCTACTATATGCATATGACTTTTGAACAGTTAGAAATGATTCAAAAAGATTTACACCCTTTAACTCATCAACCCCTTGTTCCTGAAAGTGTTCTCAAGCAGGCATTATGGTGTCAAATTCAATTACGATCAAAGATAGAAGCAGCCTCGGAAAAGGATACTTTTTTAAACTTTAATATACAAGCCTCATCTATGGATGAAAACAGTTCTGTTGATAAAATTTATTACCCAATTCCTACTAACGATACAACAACGCACACCGGTGAATCCGCTATTTCTTTTGCCACCTTTTCTTCTTCTACTATATCTATGATCAATAGAATAGAAACACTTCAGGAACAAGAAAGGCATTTTTCTGACACGATTAAAGTTGAACAATATTCAATTTATCCACCTTTTCGTTTTAGTGTAGAATTTTGTGATATTCGTTCTGTAAAGTATGGTGTTCGAGTTTACTCAGATACAGTCTTTTATGCAGGGTGAACTATACTTTATATAACGTATTCATCATATAATAGGATTAATATCGTTTATATAGATCTAACTGGAATATATACATACAAAAAATCCGTTCCCAAAAAAAGGGGGTATTACAATTAGGTGTTTATCTTCATCGTCATTCTATATTTCATAATAATGATCAATATCAGAAATGTTCTTTTCATACAGAGAATAGTAATGTCTCTGAAGAAGAAGACAATAATCATCTTCCTTATAATTCCAATGCTACCATTACTTTATCATCTTCTTCTTCCCATAATAATAGTCATAATACAAAGCTATTAAACCATAATAGGTCTTCTACATTCAAGTCATTTTCACGTTATAGTGACAAAAGAAGAACAACGAAAACATGGTTTAAAATTTATTGCCCATCTAGAGGACCTAAGCATGTATTAACTTTATTTCAAAGTAGTCCTGATAACTTTCAAATTTTGCAAAGCTGGGTAAAAAAATATATATCTATATATATGAATATAGAAAAAGCACATTTATACAGTATAACAACTAAAATAAAGTTAGAATATGTAGGGATGGAGAAGTACAACATTATGCGCTGATGAAGATATAGACGATTCTACCCAGCAAATAGGATCGATCATTATTAATACTGACAAGGATAATAGCGATTTGGCATCTTTTTCCATAACCAATGATAATTTTTATTCTACTTCTTTACCGCATAAAAATATACAAAGTGACATAAAATCCTCTAGTCATGAATCTATTTTAAATTGTGATGCTGCCTCAACATTACGGTTTACAGTTGCTATGGGTCATATCTAATATATCTTTTTCTCCTCTTCTTTTATTTAAAAAAAAAATTGAATATAATAAATATATTTTATCTTTATGAAGTCTAAACACAAATATATTTTGCTGTAGAAACTTTATAGTCTCTTGATGATAATATTGAAAATAGAATGCAATTATACGCAAGATATTCTTGTTATAATTACATTAAACTCATCGAATATATTTAAATCAATAATTACTTCTATAACTATTTAGTCAACGGGAAAAAAAAATTAAAGCTAAATTGTTAGAACAAAAAGAAAAAAAGAGGGACTTGTGTATATCTAGAATATTTATTTTATTTTATTTTATTTTTGTACTAGATGCCTATACTTGTAATAGTGGTTTATAAATTTATCATAGTTACAGTGGTTTTTAGATATACTTTTGAAACAGCTGGAAAGGACAAAATGCTATAAGATATACAATAACTAAGTTAATTATTAACACTTATTTAGATAATAGTGTTTTGATTAGCAAAAAGACAAGGAAAGAAAAATGAACAGAAGACAAGTCTGTGAAAACTTTGTATAGTTTATTAAAGATAATACAAAAATTGTACAACGAAAAATTATGAGGGGAAAATCGAGGGTTATTTATATATTTTTATAAGGTAAGTGTTATCAATGGAAATATGATTCAGATAAGCAAGTTTTACTATAGTAAAGTGTTTTACATAAAACATTGTCTTCGAATAATTCTATATTCAATAAGATATATTTTTATTTTTTTTTCTCCCTGAGTTGTCGCCGCTCCTAGAAACATAACGAATCATTATTATTGGACTGCGACACATCAATATTAATCCTCAGTGAATATGTCTAGCTACAACAATACCAATTATTTATGAGTTACTATAATTATCATTGTATAAGATTTCATTACTTAACAATATTCAATATTATCAATGTATATATGAAATGTATGACTCATGGATAATTATGTAATTGAATACACCAGTCATAATCCTGTTTGAATTATGTATATAATTATTATTATTGCTCGAACATTCTAACAATGATTATTGTTAAAACTGAGTGTAGAATGAATATTATGCTGTGAAGTTCAATATACTAGTTTTTATATGAATAACCTCTTTATTATGTAATAAACGATGGTTTATTTCTATTAACTTGATTATAGAGACGACTACAATTATAACATTATTTAGAGGTATATCGTTTTTTAAAAATATATATATATATATATATATATATATGTATTAAGAATGTAAATTCGTATTATTAAAACTTCTAAGAAGCAAAAAAGAATAAAAAAAAATAAATTAACTTGTTTAAAAGATAATACTATACCACACAGGGCGCAAATAATAACAGTAAATTACATAAATCTGATTGGTTGCTGGGTTTGAAATAATTCTGAATATGGCTATAATTTTTAAATTCTTTTACAAATCTGTCGAGCCTGATAATACTTATGAAGATGTACCATTAGAAGTAGATGTTCGTCTAAGGAAAGAAGCCAAGCGGAAAATGAAATTCAAGCCCATTACCAATAACAAAAGGTTACGTAAAAACAGGGTCCAAAGTGAAACATGTTAACACGTAAAGACTTCTTTAAGGCTTTTAATATTTGTTCAAATCTTATTGGAACACGTTCATACTTAGATAATATTTTACAATATTTTATTTAGTATAAATACGATTTTGATGTGAATGAAATAAACATTATCTTTGATCTTGTCTTTTAAATAAACATCTTCTTTAAATTTTATTTTATTTTGACTTACCGGTTAACCCACTGCAATCATCTGAGTATATTTTTTACAAGATATAACACAGGATTTGATTATATCTTGCACTATATCATGTACTACAAGAATTAGACATTTCTTGTATGTGCAAGATATATGTACAAGATATGTATAAATCCTGCCTCAAAATCATACAAGATATAACCAAGATATAAACAAATCTTGCACTTTTTCTACAGGATATATACAAGTTTTGAACATTTCTTGTACTTTTTTCTACAAGATACACACAGGGTTTATATATTTCATGTACTGTTTTTTACAAGTTTTGATTAAATCCTGTACTTTATAATTGCTTTTCATTTGCTAATATTTTACATACCATGTTGTTTATCATTGGCTTTATGCTTCATGACTCATCAAAACATGGTTATACATTATTGGGTTATATAGATGGTATTTTATTCCCTTTTAGGCTTTGTTTATATTAAATAGGCTTCTTTATTGCCTTTCTTTATTGGACATTATTAAATACATTGTTTACAAAAAATGTGGCTTTTTATTTACTTTTTTTTTTATTTATTTATTACATAAAAAATTGGTACATATCAAATAATAATAATAATATAATAAAATTATATAATAAAATATATAATAATAAAAGAGTATGCTATAAGCATTACATGTAAAATATTACACTTACCTTGAATATATATTCTATTGATAACATGGCCATTGATTAAAGAACCCTTTGGGGGAAAAAAAAAGAAAAAGAACACAGAGATTGCAAGGATTATCATACAGAACAAAACAAAAAATAGTAGCAATTGAAGTGATCAACAGAAAAGTATTCCATTTACAAAAGAAGCATACACTATTAATAGAATAAATAATTAATAAAAGCCAACATATGATAAAGTATAGAAATATCATATTTACCAAAAAAAAAAAAAATACAAAAGGCTAGACCTATGTTTGTGCTGCAGAGAAAAGAATATTAGTTAAATCTCGGGTATTATTATTTTTTTTCCCACACTATACCTTTCAATGTTACATTAGAATGATGTACACTTGTACTTGACCTCCCTGTTATATAAAGAATTGTTAATACACATATTGAAATAGTTAAAGATAAAGGTGTTATTTTATATACCTTTTTTCAATAGATAAATAATACAAGTCTTTGTTGTAGATCTGAATCAAATATTGCTGCTGCATAATAAAGACCAACACATACCTATTTAATTGTTTCATTTTAGTTGTTTTTGATTTAAGAAAAGAGAAAAATTAAAAAAAAAGATACATATATTTTCAAAATAATGTAAATACTTACAATTTGAAATAATCAACAAAGACCTATAATTTAAATACATATATAAAAAAGAGTAATAGCTAACAATATTAAAATGAACATCTATTACAATAAAAAAATTAGTAGTTTAACGAATGTATTAAAAAATGAAAAAAAAGGAAAAAAGGATGTGATTACCTCTTTTTTTTTTAAAAAAAAAGTTTTTTTTCGGTCCGCTATTGAAATAAAACGAACTAAATTATTGAATAGCAGCAAACTCTATATATACAATGTAAAAAGTCTTAGCAATACATTTATATTTTTTGCACTAACTTATTATCTTTTACCTTTCAAAATGTCTGTTACTTTGAACAATAATATCCTTTACTAAAAATATTTGAGAATTGTTAATTACATGTGTTAATTCATTTACCAATGTCATCTTCATTAAACAATGGAGATGTCATTACTCTTGTAATTGTAGTAATTACCTCTTGAAAATATATAGTAAAGTCTTTAGGGCTTTTTTTTTTGAGCTGATTGCAGAACATTTGCATTTGTCAATGTCGGTAATGTTGGTCATTGTTAAATAAAGAATAAAAAAAGTAAAATATAAAATAATTTTACTAGGGGGGATTAAATTTGAATTTTTTTTTTTTAAAAAAAAAAAGGAATTTAATTGAAATGAACACAACTACATTAATTATATAATTGCTAAATCTTGTTTTTATTTTTCTCTAAATTCACTAATTGTAAACGAATGTATATAATCACTAATAATGGAATTGCTTTAATTTACATTCGCAATTAGTTTTTTTTTTTCTTCATTTCAAAATTAAAGTCAATTAATAAATCAACACATTACACGATCTAATTGAAATGCAAAATAGATTAGATTGAATGCAATTTAATTAAACATCTTTTTTTTATTTACATATAATAAAAATTCTTTATTTTATTTATATAATTATAATACATATTTTTATTATATTACGTGTACTATTTTTTTTTTGGTAAAAACTTGAGTGAGAAAAAAAAACATCAAGTATGATTTGAAACAATTGCAATGTATTTTACATTATTGAAATGTAATTTACATTTTATAAGCCTATAATTAAAGTTACGCATATAAAATTTGTGGGGAATAAAAAAAAATGAAAAATAAATAAAAAAAATGTTAAAGTACTTTTTCAGAATCCGCAATTTTTATTTTTTTTTCATTTTATGTAATTTTATTGGCGGAAATGCCGGATAAAGGAAATTCCTGGTCTACAGCCAAAATAGCTGTAAAATTAAAAATTAAATAAAATGATAGAAAATGGCAGTAGAGATATACTTTTTTTTGGATACATGAATACTATTATAACCTCCAAAATATAATATTATTTTTATTTAAACATTTTTTAATAAAAAGTGATCAAAATAATAACATTTAAAAATCACTGCTAAAATTTGATTATATCCTGTATTATATTTTTTACAAGATATACTCATTGCTTGCAGTGGCACTTCTATTGGCTGCTTATCCACTTCATTGCTAATAGACTGGACAAAAACATGTGGAGAGATGGCCGAGTTGGTCTAAGGCGTCACGTTAAGGTCGTGATCTCTTCGGAGGCGTGGGTTCAAATCCCACTCTCTTCACTTTTTATTTTTGCTTTTTTATGCATTATATTTAAAATGTTTATATTCATATAATTTTTCATATTACTTGCGTCGTGTTCTTTACGATGAGACAACCGTGATTCCAATTAATTATTATGAAATATAATAGACGTAGACATTAATAATTATATGGATCATGTTTTTGTTCTTTATTAATTCTTAAAAATGAAGAAATGTGTCGCTCTTCATACTTTACATTATACTTGTATTTATAATACTATATTCAAGCTGGCTTATCACACTATAACACTTGAAACCATTTAATAAACTATTTATATGCTTTAATATAACTATTTAGTAATATTACTACTGCCTACAATTGTTTATTATAAAGATTGCTTGGGATTATTAATATTCTTCTTATTCTTTTTCTTTAAGTTACTAAAAAAACTACACTCTAATATTTTGTTTACTTCTAAAATAAACATAACACACGTATATACTATTACCATAAAATTAGGTACGATATTATATCTCTTCAAGGCATATTTTTTTCTTTTCATATTTATTATGTTAATAAAAGCTGTAAGCAGTTCTCTAACTATATTATAACTAATATTTTACAATATTATAAATGTAAAAATAACGCGATCAAATATTTTAAAGGAGGGTGGAAGCCTCAATTTGTAGGAAGGTTGATGAAACAATTTTTAATTCCTATAGTATAATTTTATGATATACACATATAAGATCTTCTTAAATATTTCAAAAACAAATGTTTTAATCGTTCATACTTTTTATCTTTATTATTTTGATATCCATTATTTCATCAATATAGTAAATATCTTTATTGATGATATTAATGCTACCTTTCTTAGAAACTATAAAATTACTAATCACTTTCTTTCTTTTTATGTAGCTTTTCTAGTTTGCGTTGCTAAATATATTCCTAAATATTCCTAATTCTAATAACTAAATTGTAAACAAAAGATGTATATCAAGAAGGTTAGGCTTTTCTCTATATTGGGAGTCATGCTAGAAAATAAAGCTATCTTTTATTAGTTTATTTACTATTTCTACATTGTTTCTTTATTTGTTAGTTTCGAATATATATAACACTTTCTTCCTTTTTTTTTTTTTTTTTTTTTTTTTTTTTAAAAAAAAAAAATGAGGCAAAATTTGAATTTTAGACGTAAAACTGAATAAAGAAATAGCCATGATTATTCATTTTATTTATACAACCTTTAGATAACTTTCCAGTTAAATATTCTTGGAAAAGGAAAATCTTGCACTTGTTAAAGTGGTAAAATTGTTATATTATTATTTTCTTTTTGAAATAGCTGAGAATATTCTTCTTTGGGCTAATTTATAGGGGGACAGTAATTGTTATTACTGTATTCTTGATAGAACTTTGAAGTCTTAATCCTTAACTAAACCATAACATAATGCATTATTAGCTTGAGGAGTTTGTTAGTTGACTAAAAAAGTCTGTATATTATGTTTATTTGCAATTATTTTTAAATGTAAATATGTATCTGTTTTTTATCTCTCTTATAAGATACCTTATAAATCAAATATAGCAACTATAAATTCAGATGTGTATGTGCTTAAAATAACACTTTCTATCTACTGCTTGAAAACCATAATAATATCAAGGTACAAGAAACATAATATGCATACATATAATAATAAAAACAGGAGGCGTTTAAATGATTTGTTTTTGATATATGATCCGACTATAATAATACCAGGTAATAATAGCAAATTTGTAATTACTACTGTTCTTCCTGTATCTACTACCGTTGCTTGGTAGAATATAACTATAACACATCATTATTCATGTTGCTGCTGCTACTGCTACTGTAAAAAGAAAAAAAAAAGGAGTCGCTGGTGTAGTACAAAAAACAAGAATAATTAAAAAAATTAAGGGTTCATTTGATTTGGTGGGGAACCCTTGAAGTGATTCGATTCCACAGCCTAGGCTTGGGCTAAATATGCTGCGAATTCTAGTCACTCTCCAAACACCCGTGTTACTTTCATCAGAAATAGAGGATACACATACGGCTATATTTACTATAAACACCCCACTTATACCACCACCGCCATTTATACCTACAACTACAATACTACTACCAACACATCCTTATCAAAAACAACTACTACTTTGACTTGTTGTCTTTTTTAAAATTATTATTGAGCTATGGAACACTCTATACTATGTATGTATGAACAAAAAATAAAATAAAATAAAAAATAGTAGTATTTTGCTTCTTTTATTCATGTAATGCATACTAACATGTTAGTTAACATATCTTGCTTTTATTTTTTCATCTTCAAGTTTTTTAATTATCATAAATTACAATTTCAAAGTATTGATAAACGAATATTTTCTGCAACCTACGATATCTATTCTCATTGCATATTATCAACTTGAGGTTATTTATCACGATCTAATATCAAATAAATTTTTTTAATAGTTCGACGATTATCAAAATAAGGTAATCAGAGTTAATTACCTTTTATATGATCCCACATATCCTTGTATTCTTATATAAATGCCAATCATTTAAAATCAATCGACTTTTAGAACTATTGTTCAACCTCATTTACTTTACTAATTGATTTTGAATATCTGTTTAAAAGATAGTGCTGTAATCAATGTGATTTGCGATGAATAATACTTTTTTATACAACATATAGTTTGTACCTTTACTTGATTTTATCTGTCTTGTAAAATCTAGAAAAATGTTTTATTTTGCCTATTCTATTCTCATCTGGATTTTTAAAAAATAAGAAAGTTTCATATTTACCAGTCATAACATATTCTATCGATGAAAGGAACGAGTATAACAAAACAATTTAAGAAAATATAAAAAGTAGTACTCTCTGGGTATACAACCATTGTATTTCTTTGGTAATATATGCATAATAATATTACATATTAGTGTCGTATTCTATTAAATAAAGTACTACAACTATACGTAAGGAATTTCGATAAAATTAGCAGAATTACAATTAATTGAGCAGCATTATGTTGACAAAGTGATATATAAAACTTTATTATATATGTAATATTTGCCCTGTATTAGATTATTAAAAGTATCGATATATTTTGATCATATCATAAGGTAGTGAAGACGGGTATCTATTGTGATTGATTCTTATTATTGGTTTTTCTCTTCATTTTCAGTTACAAAATATATATCTTCATCTATTTTTTTCTGATGAGAGTCATCTTTCAAAGTATCCAAAATCTCTTGTCGTATTGTTTGATAAATTCCAGATCTACTTCAAATCAACGTTAATCATAATTACTTTATGTTCGTCATTTATTTTAGAAAATAAACCTTTCAAGTTCAGCAGAAACATAATCGTAAAAAAAGGAAGAGTCCTTATCTAATAAACTAGGATCTCTATGAACTAAATCTTCCATGAATGCTTTAAGTTTGTCTAAAAACTTTTGCCCAGCATCCTATAACATTGTAATTTATTTAATAATCTCAATAAAAAATTATATAATTTTTTATATGGATATACTTACACCAGATTGGAACTCTGATAGTAGTTGCTTTCTTATAGAATCAAAAGTACCGTTTCGTTTTAGTCGTAAAACAATTTCTTCTTCAAACGTCATTTATTAATTAAACAAAACAGAAAAGACATGCAGAATTAACCTTTTTTTTTTTTGACAACATTTTTTATCAGCCAATCAAAACTGAATAAATACGCGTCAAAGATAAATACACTACTTCTTTATATATGTATATTATAGCATTTGTATAAAAAAAATAATAATGTTTTCTCCAAGAAACAAGTTTTAAATATTAAAATAGTTAATAAGTAGTTATCAACAATTCCTACTCTCTCTTTCTCTCTTTCTATTTTTCTTTTTTTTTATAGAAGTCTGCTCATATGGTATGTCAAATCAGTTTTCTCTAGAATAATATTTTACATATTAAATACTTGAATTAACTCTTAATGTTATTGTTGGAAATGAATTCTTTCAAATGATATTATAGAGCATCTTTTTTTCTACTAGTTTAATCTTACTATTCTATAATAAAAGAGCTATTTTGTAAAATTAGAATAATCTAATCATCTACTATTTAAATAAAAGAATCATTCTAATGTCTTGTACTTTATGCATATAATAGAATAGAAACATTTAAGTTTTATTAACCAAAAAAAAGAGGAATAAACAATAACACTTTATTTGATTCAGAAACTTGAGTGCTATATGCAATAATGTCATTAATGCAACAATTTAGGACAGCTCATTGACTATATAAATGGTTTAAGCCGTATCTATAGTATATACTAGAGGTTGATATTAGCAGAATATATATTAAAATAATTTAAAGGGGTTTGTAGATATTTTTTTATAAGGAATTACTGATAGAAGGTATATAGAAGAATATTCGAGATCTCTATTCCTTAATTAACCATCAGTTTCATTGGAATTTTTTCTATGTCTATCTGTGTTCTTGAGCAAAGACGAGTAGATACGGTTCAAGGTATCTTAGTTAGTTTTCCAATGAAACATTGAATTTCCATCTTATTTACTCATGATACTACCTTCTTTTTTTTTTTTTTTTTAAAAAAAAAAAAAAAAAAAAAAAAAAAAAAAAAAAAAAAAAAAAACTCTTTATGTTCAATAGTCTAGCAGTCCATTAAAATCATTTACTAATGAAGGCATCACGCTCCTGTCAAATAATTTCATCATTGACTCTTCACCAGGTAGTAATTTGTACAACCGAACATAAGGTTGGCTATTATTTTTAACCTGATCAAATCACAGATACTAACTGTTACAATGGTTATCCTAATGATCAAACTAATTCTTACTTACTTGCATCTAATTGCATACCTATTATATTTCTCTCTCTCTCTTTTCTTTTCTTTTCTTTGTCTTCAAAAAAGGTTTATAGCTCCTTTTTATAGTATATGGCTTGATTATCACGGATGTAAGATAATTAAGACTCTATACGCTCTAGCTAGTTATTTAAAAGAGTAATAGTGAAATTTATTTAAACAGGCTTTTCCTTGGAATATAGTTTTACTCCGAGGTCACTCAAGTGTGAGTACATAATATACCTCGGGATTGTAATAGATATTCAACAGTAGCAGTCTGTTACAAACAGTAGTATGTCTTGATATACTTATTAAAGAGGCATCGATACTAAATAGTTTTAGACTAAATAATACTAGTCTTTAGCTGACCTTTAACCTTATCTTTGTCGCTATCGTCGGTATTTAAATATAAGGTATATAACACGAACAATTGGATGGTATCATGTAATTTTTTTTTCTTAATTCCTTTTATTCAACAATGTCTACTGTTATTCCTACTATCAAAGTATGTATTTTTATTTATTTATTTAAATAATAACAACTAAACATATGCACAAATATCTTTCATATAACTTAGCTTAATAGCGGGTATGATTTCCCTATGATAGGTTTTGGTACTTTTGGTGGCAATGATGGTTCTGAACAAGTATACTCTGCTGCAAAAGCAGCTTTAGAAGTTGGATACAAACATTTTGATACTGCTTATATATGTAAGTCAATAATTAAAAGTATACAATGTACAATAGTACTTATGAAATATCACGTTGTTCATTCTTTAGATGAAACAGAAGAAGCTTTAGGAAAGGCAATTAAGGAAAGTAAGATTCCTCGTGAAGAGCTTTTCATCACTACAAAATTATGGCCAAATTTTCGAGAACCCCAACATGTTAGTCCTGTCTTTGAACGCTCATTAAAGAACTTGGGTACTGATTATGTTGATTTATATCTTATTCATTGGCCTATTTCTGTCGAATTCAAAGGTTATGAATTTTCTGATTGTAAAACTACTGGAGATATGAAAAACACACATGTACCTATTATTGATACATGGCGTGCTATGGAAAAGCTAGTAAAGGATGGTAAAGCTCGTTCTATTGGTGTCTCTAACTTTACTATTCCCATGCTCGAAGACTTGTTGAGTAAATGCGATATCCCTCCTGCTGTAAACCAAGTAAAGTATTTTTTTTCGAAAAAAAAAAGAAAAAAAAAAACGATATATTGAAAATGCATGTTTATTTTAGGTTGAAATACATCCTGCTCTTCCTCAAGAAGAGTTACTAGCTTATTGTAAGAGTAAGAACATTGTTCTAACTGCTTATTCTCCTCTTGGTAATCCTGGTTACAGAGGTGCTTTCAAAACAATGGAAGAGCCCATTATTTTTGAGTTAGCTAAAAAGTATAATAAAACGCCTGTTCAAATTTTACTTAATTGGGGTGTTAATCGCGGCTATGCTGTCATTCCCAAGTCTGTTACTCCTTCTCGAATCAAGGATAACTTAACTTATTTCAAAATGGAGGATGACGATATTGAGGCTGTCACTGCTCTTGGACGAAAAAATCCAATTCGTATATGGTAAGTTTAAATAAATAAAAATGAAAAGAACAAAATATATGTATACATATACTGACATTATATATATATATATATATATATATCTACAGTGACCCTAAGAATGTATTTGGCCCTGATTGTGACATTTTTGCATAAATAAATTAAACATTACTATATTTTTAATATGCTATTTTAAAAAAAGCAACATTTTTGAACTAAAGCATCACGTATATTAATCATTGTTTACTATATTCACGATATAATAAGGCAGAGCAGGCTAAAAATAATATAATGAATATAAATATATACACATATACAAAATTGTTTTGACATAAATGTCATTTTACCTGAATTTTTTTATTTCTATCACATTGGACTAACCATTCGGGTTTCACTATAGGTATGGAATGTTGAACAGCATGCTCATAATTTGTTCCACCTGGAAGTTGAGCTAATAAATGAGTTGTTTCTACGTTGACTTCATCAGACCATGATGCACCCATTTTTGATAGTAATTCCTTTAACCCTGTAATAGCTGGTTCTGGTTCCTCAAACGTACCAAATGCCACACGAATACCTGTCAAATTATCCATTTTATGTGTACGTGCATTTACTATATTTGATTTATATTCGCCAGATGTTGTTTTAATTATAATATGAAATTCGAATTCATGATCTACATCCAATCCAGATAGTTTAATAAAATTTATATCATTCGGTACATGCTTTGATTAAAAAAAAAAAAAAAAAAAAAAAAAAAAAAAAAAAAAAAAAAAAAAAAAAAAAAAAAAAAAGAGTATTAATACATGTCTACTTTTTAACTAGATAAATTTATAATATTTACTTGAGCTAGTTTTGTTCCATTTTTATAAATATCAAGTGAACGAAGTTTAGCTGTATGTAAAATAAGAGGATCCCATTCAAGAATAATTGAAGTTTGTGTGATATTTTTAGCTCGAAGAACGGGTATTTCAGGTTCATCTTCACCAAAAGTTGCTAAAATGGCATCTTGTAATTCCCAAAATTCTTTCATTTTTTTTTCTTCTTCGGAAATGTTACGGTTTACTGTAATATTTACAATACTACCAGATGAAACGCCTTTAGGAAGTAAAAGTGAAGGAAATTCAATAAGATGGTGATCTTCTGTTAGCAAGATGGCCTAAAGATTATTTTATAATGAGTTCGTATTTTGTTTATATTATGTTTTAGATTACTTGATAAGCGTATATAATATTAGGAATAAAGCAACATTACGTACCATACCGGCATCAAGCTTTCCTACAGTAAACTGAACGGAAGTCATTATACAAGTGAAAGAAAAAAAGACAAAAAATAAAATAAATTAATAATAAATAATAGACGTGATACGAGGCCAAGCAGCATAGAATTACAAATAGTCAGATTATCGGATACAATTAAATTCTGAGTTTTATTATTACTATTATCATTATTATTTTTTTTTTTTAAATTTTTTGGCAATGAGCATGTAGCGATGCAATATTGCCCGAGCCAGTTATAGAGGGGAAATAAGAATAAAAATCTTCCTAAAGGACAAGAAGGAAAAAGTAAAGAGCCGTATTTTGGAATTAAGAGAAAATATAAGGAGGAAAAAGCGAAATACAAACCAGACCAAAGGGACCGGGAAGACACACATTATTACTTGGACAACCAATTCAGCAGCTTGAGACCAGGATCAACAGAATCATGAGAAAATTTATCATGGAAGTATTACCAAGTTCATGTAGAATTGTACAAAGAATAGGCCATAAAGTATACCAGCTCGTACAATCAGAAGGACGACAAGGTTTATGTAGTGGAAGCAAGTTGAGGAGGAACGAGATGGGATCTTCGACTGAAGTAGGCATGTAGAGACAATGATGTACATGTAAGCATTCAATAGCATGTCGCTGGCTCCAATTATGAGACGGGTGAAATATACATTCTTTAGGTTTACCACTAGGTAGCCAGCCAAGTCGCCATCGAAGCACTCGACTACGTTCTGAGGTAGTCATTGGTAAGTAAAGGATGGGATCCAATTCAAGTGCTGAAGTCTGCAGTATTCACACTTCAAATTCAGACGATGTTAGACTTTTTTTTGGATGAATTAAAATTAATTTTTAGACAAAAAAGAAATCATTTTTGGACGAAAAAACAGTGCTTTTCAGATGCTTACCTGAAAAAATCTAAATCCCTAAAATGGAAGCCGTGTTTACTACGGTGATTGATGGCAATAAAAAAAAAATAAAATAAAAAAATTGATCAAGTTGATCTACTGGGGAGGAACATAGAAGTGTGATGGAATGTAAATAAAAATAGAAGATAAAATAAAAAGAGAAAAGAGAACAAAAGGAAGTATAGTTTGAGACTGTTTTTATTCAATAAAAATAAAGAATGTTAAAAGAAAGTTAAAGAAGAAGTTAAAGATTATTTTGTGTCTAAACAACTGCTTGTATTTATATTAATGAATCCTGAATCAAAGAAATAGAAATAACCGTCAAAGAACATGAGTCATGAAACAGTGTTAGTATTCGTATATACGTCTTGTTGATTCAAGAGACTGATCTATGGATTATCTATTGGGTGTTATAATGATCTGATCAAGTTTTAAATAAAAAATTTATTGTTTAATCTGAGTATATGTTCCTGATATCTTTTATGTTTTATTTTATTGGATCAAAGACGACCTGAATCCTTTATCAAGGTTATAAAAATAAATATTTAGAAATGATACGATGTCTTATAATTGATACATCTAGACAATTGGATGTCAATAAGTTTTATATTATTTACAAGATGTTATATACAGAGTTTTATTTCATATTCAGGCTTATATTTTATCCTGTATTATGTAATTCATCTATTATAATATTACTCATGATTATATCCAGAGCTTGTTCTATAACAAGAAGGACGATCGTAGCCATTCTAGATGTATGACGAAATGAGCGACATATTCTTAGCAGCATTATGATCCCTTTGCCACTGTTATGATTGTAGTCGTATTTACAACTAAGTTAATAGAAATAAACCATCATTTATTACATAATGAAGAGGTTATTTATATAAAGCTAGTGTATTGTACTTTACAGCATAATATTCATTCTACATTCAGTTTTAATAGTAGTCATTGCTAGAATGTTCGAGCAATAATAATAATTATATACATTATTCAAACAGAGTTATGACTGGTGTATTCAATTACATAATTATTCATGAGTCATACATATCATGTACACATTGATAATGTTGAATATTGTTGTGGTTTAGGTAAGTTTAGATAATCAAATAGAAGTAAAAGAAATAAAAAGAAAATAAAATAAAAAGAAAATAAGACAGAAGAAGTACCTTGAGACTTGTCAATAAGTTTATTAAGAGTTAATTCAATACAAGTATTGTTCTTAGTTATAAGTTATAAAAATAAGGGTGAATAATGTAAGAGTGTTTATATCTTTTGTGAATAAGGATGATGAGTAATAAGAGGATAAAAATATAACAAATTGTATTTGATAATATAATTATAGATTCATGTCTTTAGTATATATTTATTTTTATAACTAATACGTGTATTCTGAGTAGAATCAATTATTACGCGTATTTGTATTATTCTTAGTTTACCCCAGTTTAACTTGTATAAAGTTATTTTTATAAATTAATATTCAGCAGAACAATAATAGAAGAAAGTATATTTTTAGATGTAGGACTTTTTATTAATTAGTTATTTTTCTATACAAGGGTAAATATACTAAATATGTTTATAGAGAGAATTATTATACAAATGCACTATATATTCTATTATGACTATTTATCTTATTGAATTAAGTTATAAATCTTACAACCATGCGTGATTAATATTCTTTTTCAATTACCTCAGCGGCGATCGTAGTACTCAATGTACACAATCAATTCGCTATCAAAAGAAAAGCTTTCGTTGTTATTAAAGATGTTAAGAAAAATAAAATATTTATAATAATTATATAAACAAACCGAAGAAGTAGTCCCAAGTCACGTGACCGCTTAATTTCAATAAGTAATATAATAATTATTAAAAATTTTTTTTCAAGTCATTCTTCGGTAGTATAGTGGTGAGTATCCCCGCCTGTCACGCGGGAGACCGGGGTTCAATTCCCCGCCGGAGAGTTTTTACTTTGTTGTCATGTTTATTATTTTTGCCATGCTCTTTATGTCAATACAACTTTAGTTTCAATTTATTATTATGAAATCTATCGAGTGCCAATGATTACATAGACCATATTCTGATCTTTATTAATTATAAGAGAAAGAAGTGTATTTTACATTTATAATATTATATTATTGCTTACTTGTGATACCATTGCAATATTGTCGTATCTGTATAACATTGCTGCAAAAAAAAAAAGAAAAACATATATGCTAGCAACAAAACTAAAGCATAAATAAAAGGACCTTCTTTCGCAAATTCTACAATATTTATAACTCCATGTTATTTTAATATTTTGAACCTAAAGTTTTAATAAGAAACGACACTTGTAAATATAATAAAAAAATAAAATAAAGTACACTCTTCTTTTCATTCATAAATTAATAGCTTTATATAATAACTGTTTTAGATAGTAGAAAGATAATATTACTACTGATGTATCAAATACGGTAATATATTTAAATTAGTATTCTTTATTGATTTGTATTTATCTTCTTCTTCAAGCTATATGAAAGATATTGTATCTAACTTAATTATCTTTTATTAAACTTAGTTTATCAAAAATGATATAAATTTATGGATGATGTGTAAAGTTGTATTATTACAAATTCTATAGAATGAAAGAGATGATTAAGTTCGTAAAGAACCCCACACATAACTAACCAAAGAATAAATTGAGGAAGAATATCAAAATATGCACGTGTTTAATGTATATAAAGCTGATTCAAAAGAAAGGAAAAGAGCTTATTAGTTCTAAGTATTTAAATACGATAGCGCGTTATGATACAGTATATAATATGCTACTATGTGAACAGTTTTATAGAGTGCTTGGGATAGTAAGTTAAATTACCACCAAGTAATCATTAAAGTTACTGATGGATACTTCAACAAAAGACATGAAAAGCTAATGAGCAAATGTATTCAAGACAGTAATATTATTGTTCTCGATGAAAGAGTACAGAAAGGCGACCTTGACCACCTAATATTTTATAAGAGTTTTAATGATTATTATTATTATTATTATTATTTTTTTGGACAGTATTGCCATAGTAACCCACAACTTTTACAAACTAAGGCGCCAAGACAATTTGCTATTTCAGGTGTAAATTTCATTGCAAAATTAATTGACAGGTATATTTAATATATATAAAGAAGCAACAAATATTACTCTGAAAGTTTTGTATCCATCTACAATCAGCACGCATATGTATTTAATAAAGAATAAGGATACAGTGCAGTAATCATTTACTTTGAATAGATGAGAAAGATACATATTTTACTACGTTCTAAAATATGCCCACTTTGGTCAGATTTTTTGCATTTGATTGCTAACATAGAGTATTATTCTCTTAAATGATATTGTAAATCATCTTCTTACATATTATTGGCTTCTTTTTTGAACAAAACAGAATTAAAAAGGAAAAGTAACAAAATAAGATTAGTATCCTTGTTATTTCAAAGGCCCCCCTTTTTTCTTTTAAGGAGTAGGTGAGAAATATTTTTCTTTAAATATTATTAAGCAAGCTAATATAGTTGGCTAATATGGATGTATATTATGACAGTTCAAGAAAATAAGAATATTTTTTTTAACACCACACATAAATGTGCAACTTTAATTATTCTTAGTCTTATAACTATAAAAAAAAATTGAATAACAGAAAGTTGATAACTTTTCCTTTATAGTTTTCTTTATATTTCATAATTCCCAAATTATAATAATGGAAGGTAGTTCACAGCAAATCATCAAACTTAAATTAAATGCAAACACTTCTACTGGAGATTTCACTCGTCGAAAGAATTGGTCACAAAGTATTTTAGAATCTTTAAGAGATGTCGTTCATGTTTTAAATGATGATCTTCGAGTTCTTTATTGCTCCACAGCCTCCAGTGAATTCCTCGGTTATAAACCGTCTGAATTAATCAATAGGACATTTACAGAATTCCTTCATGTAGATGATATAGATATTTTTATGAGAGAGTTTAGAGCTGCCAAAAATTCTGTACAAGTTCTTCGATGTTGCTATCGTTTTCTAAGAAAGGATGGTAAATATACTACTTTGGAAACAAGAGGTCACTTTTACAAAAACTCTTTCTTTGGTAGTGCTCGAAAAATCCCTACTGAAACATCTCAATCGATTGATTTATTTCTTGATCTTAAAATGGAAAATGAATTATTAAAAAAGAAACTTACTCAGCTTAAACAGCAGCATGACGATATTGAATGTAGTAAAAATAATAGTAGTGCAGATTCTAGTAACACTTCATTGGAAGAAGGAAATAAAAAATCCAGTGATTACTTTGATGACTTTCTTACAACTATGGATAATCCACCTAATGTGTACACACAGGGCGTCAGCTCTTCGTATGACATAAATAAAAGTCTAGCATTGTTCACTGGTTTAAGATATGATTTGGGTGAACGTTCCGTTGGTATTTCATTAGGCCTAGAAAATAGCGATTTGAGAACAATCGGAATGGAAGAACTTTTATCATATCCTACTATAGTTCATAATATCGAAACTGCTTCATCCAATGAGAACCAGTCCTCTTCTAAACAGGGAAAAAAGGTATAGATGAGTATTTTTCTTTTTTAATACTAATTTCTTTTTTAACAAATAGCAACGCACTAATAATTTCAACAATATGAAAATATGCACTGACTGTGGAACAACTGAGGCGCCAGAATGGAGAAGAGGACCTAATGGACCAAAAACGTCTGTTTTTTTTTTCAGGTTTAATAAACCATTTTTATTAATTTGATTATTTATAGGCTTTGTAATGCTTGCGGTCTACGTTGGTCTAAAATACAAAAAAAAGTTGAACAAAATGAAGTTAAATAAGAGAAACAAACATAAAGTTTTATAATATTGAACAATGTAAAAATTACCTAATGAATAGATTAACAATAAGATTTTTTTTACAATTCTAAATAAAATAATTCTTCTTAATTGTGTAATAATTTGAATTATAGTCTCTGCTAACTTTTCGATTTAAAGTATTTACTTCGAATTAAATTGAAAATACCACTTGATCAAATAGGATATCTTTTAACAGTTTTCACAGCAAGTAAAAAGCAAATTAGCTATCGTCTTCTGTACTAAGCAAATATGTACTTATGAACTGCATAATGCTCTCTGTAATACAATAGTTACTGACTTCCCTCCTTCATATTCTATTAATGAACTTCATGCACTTCTAGATACTTATCTAGTAATATTAATCAACTATCTTCTCTTCTACAATAGCAAACTTTCCATTTGCCATCTCAACTTGCTGACGTCCAATATAAGATCCAAAATCTGAAAAGTTTACTCCAAAATCAAAATATTGAGAATAACTTAGTTTCCCTAAACCCTCATTCAAGCTGTCCCTACTCTCACACAGCCTACACTCATTTCAACTGAGAATTCAACTCTTCCCCCCTCCCTCCTTTGGTGTGACTCCACCAAAGGCACCCACGTTAAAAATTCCTTCTCTCGTAGTAAGCATAGGAGGAGAGCTCGTAAAGCGGAACCGACTGTTTGCTTCTTCCAACCCCCATTATATAAGCAAGACTTTATATTTATCTACTTCCCCATTAAAATTCACCTTCCCTGGTTCAATTTATATCAACCTCAAAAAACTAGGTATCAAAAACGCATGCATAATAGATATACGCTACCACCTCACTAACACAGTCTCTATCTAATTCATTTATAATATATACTTGAATTCAAAAATCAATTAACTAAATTCAATATCTTCCATATTACGAATTTCAATCCTTGCAATAAAGGCGACTACCTTCAAGACCCCAGATTTGTCAACTTGTATATTCAAAATGAATAAAGACAACGAAGCTATCAGAATATAACATGAAAACTCATTGAGAGTTCTTTCCAAACTTCAGACCCTCATTCAAGACACAGTTGAAATATCTTTCCTTGAAAATGATGGGAAAGTTTCCATAAACCCGTACCAACTCCTACTTGGACAAAATAGTTTCTTTTCTTCTCTACTCATATTTAAAATTACTTTTTTCTTTCCCCCTTTTGCTTTTTTACTTCTTGTTTTTTGAAAGAATATTTTTTTTATCTTTTTGAACTGGCCCGGATAATGCAGTAAGTTTTATTACTATGTCGTTATTTGGGTCATTTTAATTTATTTTATAATAATTTGAAAACCCGCATTTTTTTTTATCAATATAAGGGTCCTTTTTTTTTCTTTTTTAGTATTTCCAGTTTTCTTTTATTCCAATTATTTTCGTGTTGAATAGAATATTATGAGTGCTATTTATCGTTTGCAATGCAAAACTCAATCATACGATTGGGGTAAATTAGGCGATGTCTCTAAGGTTGCAGCTTATGCAAAGGCATCTGGTACTGATGTCAATAATGAAAAACCTTATGCTGAACTCTGGATGGGCACTCATCCTAATGCACCTTCTATTGTTATGGATAGCAAAAATACAACTCTTCAGCAACTCATTAAAGACAATGTTGAACTTAGCACTAAGCCTGTTTATGACCAGTACAACGGCGATTTACCTTTCCTTTTCAAGATTCTTTCCATTCGTAAAGCTTTGTCCATTCAAGCTCATCCTGACAAAACTTTAGGTGCTCGTCTCTTTAAAGAGTATCCTCAAAATTATAAAGATCCTAATCATAAAGTAAGCTTTCCCCCCCACCTTATCCATCTCTTTTCTCTTTGACATATTATAGTTAAAACAAAACAAGTTCAATATAATTTAATATAACTTTTTTTCTTTTTCAGCCTGAAATGGCAGTTGCTCTCACACCCTTTGAAGCACTTTGTGGCTTCCGTCCCTTGAATGAAATTGCCAAGCATATGGAAATATATCCTGAATTATCCGAATTATTAGGACAAGATATTTCCGAGGAGTTCTTAACAGTCGTAAAAGATACCGGTAACTCTATTTCCGAGGAAGATATTGCTCACAACAAATCTATTCTTAAAAAAGTATTCTCTGCCCTTATGCATAGCTCTCAAAATAATGTTACACAATTATTAGCTAAATTGATTAATCGTCTTAAAGAGTCAAATGCGAATGATACTGTTTCCCAATTACTTATTAGATTAGATCAACAATATCCTGGTGGTGATGTTGGCGTCTTTTCATGTTTGATGCTGAATTATGTTTCCATGGAACCAGGACAAGCTATTTTCTTAGGTGCTAATGAACCTCACGCTTATTTATCTGGAGGTAATAATGTTTTATTAGTACACTACTAAACATTTTGTTTATTTTTAATACTTTTTTCTTTTTCCTTTTTATTAGATTGTGTTGAGTGTATGGCTACAAGTGATAATGTTGTGCGTGCTGGCTTAACTCCCAAATTTAAAGATGTGGACGTTTTAGTTGACATGCTTACTTACCGTTATGGCTCCGCGGAATCACAGAAAATGTCGCCTATTAAATTTGCTGATCATTCTCTTCTTTATGACCCCCCTATTGAAGAATTTTCTGTTATCTGGACAAAGATGGACGCGGATAAAACTGAAAAACACAACCCTATTGAAGGCCCTAGCATCCTTATTGTTACGTCCGGTAGCGGTAAGATGAGTAATGATAAAGATTCTAATTCTTATGAACTTAAAGAGGGTTATGTTTACTTTGTGGGTGCAAATACTCCTTTAATTGCTCAATCTGACAAATCTGGTTTAGAATTTTATAGAGCCTATTCCCTTACTACAAACAATAACTAAAAAAAAAAACATCGCGTATTTTAATTATTCTTCTATCATATTCAATAAAAAAAAAAACTATTCTTCATCCTATTTAATATTGATTAGAATAAGGGTCCGATCAGGGATAAAAAATACACCCTTTTTTTTTAAATTTCAGTTAGGCGGGAAATTCTGGTACAATTAAAAAAGAAAAAATGACCAATGAGCACGTATTTTATAGAATTACTGAATCAGTTCAAAAATAATGATAAAAGGTAGATGAACACCTTTTTAGGACAAAAGGTGAAAAAAAAGAAAAAAAGAAAGACGATTGACTTTAGTTAAATTGGTTGTTTATTTGAATATTTTTCAGATAGCCTAAAAAAGTATTCAATAGTATCCTGAAGGGCTGCCTCATATGCTTCAATAATTTCTGTAATCAAAGCTTCCGTATCTTCCAAAGGATGGCGTCTAATATTGAATTTTACTACAGACCAAAATTTTTCAATAGGATTAAGTTACGATAAGCAAGAAGTAAGGGTAAATATGAACATTACTTCGCTTTATGATTGACAGATGAACAACTCTAGGAACGTGTATGGAAGTACTGTCCTTGATATTCAATGTATCGATGATAAAGTGCACGTAATGAGCACCAGTGGCTCACTTAGACGCTGGTATTTCTATCTTTGTGTACTTTATACTTAATTGTTCTATATACCTTTCTTTTCTTAATATTTCTAGGCCCCCGCATAGACACGTTTATAACACCAACAGAAGGTATCACCCCCTCCCAATACAGTATGTGAAAGAGTTTTTGTTGAAGAAGTTTCAACGATAGCAGGTTCATTGCATCTCAATCAAGATTTTCTTCTAATCCTAATTCAACCAAGGACACGCAATTTTTGGAGGTAGTTCATGTTGGACAGAAATAGCATCTTATGTAATTACTTGAACAAGTCATTTTAATAGTTATAGATATGTTTCTATTACTTTTTAAAATACTACTATAATTTAATCTATTTTGCTTGAGAAGTATAGAATGTCTGTTTACATGATTGGCGATATATCTGCGTATCTAGTTAGTGATGTGGCTATTAGAGTAGCTACTTGGTTAACTATTAGCTAAGATTGTATAAGAATCTTGTTTATATATATGCATATACATATATTATAAAGCATTATGGTCATGGAAAAAAAAACATATAATTCGACGTTTACGTGGACATATTTAAAACGACATTTCAGCAACACTTGGTCCAGACTCATTCTTAAATACTGATTTTTGTAAGTACTTAACTCGTTAAAAAAGTATATAATAAATATTTCAATATGGAGACTAAATTTTAGCAATATTGTTTCTGTTTGAAAACCGTTGTGCAATCTAGAAAATGGAATCGATTTACGGAAAATTTCTGTTTTAATTCAATTTATTGAATATATAAAATACGAAGTATTACATTAAAACTAACTATGCCTTATTTATATCATCTTCTTCAGAAACACTTTTATCAACATTTTGTATAATAATGTTTTCTTTGTAAATAATTTTTTATTTAAATTTACACATTGCAGAGAGGTGGGACAAGATTGGACCGGAATAAACGGTAGTGCAAAGAAAAGATCAATGTTGACAATTTTGAGTTGAAGTAAAGAGTGCGCTTTTATGGAAATTGCTATTTGAGTAATGGTGTTGGATATAACTTAGAAGGGTTTGAAAGTGGCTTGATTGATGACCAAGTTCCAGTAAGCTTTCCAGTTTTGCCACTGACCAATTGCCAGGACAATGAAAAGTTTGGAGACAAAGCATTCTGAAAAGGGCTGAAAAACTTATATAGATATCGGAGGAGAAAAAGTTGAGGATTTCAATCCATATACTCCATTTAGATGGGCAATGAACAATAAAATGAGCAACAGAATCTCTTCAAGAGTTACAAAGGCTATGAATTGGGTTAGGGACTTGACCAATTCGATAGATTTCTGTTCTGATGGGCAATTTTTTATTTAGTACACGAAACTACAATGTTCTTGCTTATAGAGATATCGCAGCTTTCCAAAATGACTTGAAGTTAGATTTATTAATAGACACTCTACCAAAAGTTGTGCTTGGATAACCATGATTACAGTACTTCCGGGGATTAAATCGTTGCCATATATCAACGATTTTCAACTGAACTAAGAGCGAGTCTAAAGCAGTGGAAGAGGGAGTTGATTGATCTTCAGTAACATCCTAAGTTATATATTTCCATAGGGAGTTCAGGAGTTTGATCGTTTGTCTCTCGAGAATATCCATATACAGTCATTACAGGAGGCGAGATAGTATACTATATTCATGTCGCACCTTCAGGCGTAAGTGGCAAGTATTGGCGTCGAATATGAAGAAAGTAGAAGCGGAAAGCCTAGGGTAATGATGCAACCAATGTATGTTTAGGTGGTACTATTTGGAGAAGATTGGGAAGGAGGATTTCATCCAGTTGAAAGTTGAGCCCCAGCTGATCAAAAGCTGCAAACAAACTAGCAACAATGGATGGTGGATGGAGCATCAAATGGTGACGGAGATGTTTAGAGAAGAATGGTAGCAGTAAGTTGGCTTTATCGGATGATATGATACGGAGATGGTTAGTCAAGAAATCCTTCATATGTACCGGGTGAAGTGTTTTGTCATGAGCTGACTTATAATGTCATGTTTCTTGATTAAACATGTGGATCATAAATTTATTCAAGGAATTCTATCTAAATTTTCCTGAAACTTTCTTTATCCACTTCATCAAATACTATTAAAACTTCTAGCACTTCATTATCTTTAACATATCTTATTCGATCGTAACTAACACTTTTCCGATTCACATCTTATCTCAGGCCTTTTTAACAAATTTTATAAATACCTATCAATTTAAATTCATAAATAAGATTATTGACTTTAGAACTATTGTTCAGTCTCGTTGACGTTTTTTTTTTTTTTTTTTGTCTTTTCATTATTTTTATTTTATTATATTTTTTATTTGGTATTTTACAAGAAACATCACACCTACTGTTTCTCCTTCGGTATTTTTGTTTTAAGCGACTGTCTTTTTCCTCTCATGGCCTGCGTTATTCTTCTCGAACTCTTCTACTTCTATGGCATCGGATTCTAGTCCATCTTCGTGCTCCTCATCCAAGCTTGACTCTTCCATTTTGTCATCGTCAGACGGTTTAGAGTCGAAATCCTCGGTGGCGCTACTTTCTACCTCAAACTCACCTTTGTGGTCGATCTTTTCCAATCGCTTGTCTAATTGCCGAGTGATTGAATCGAAATCTCCCTTTGAGAAGGAGGGCAGTCACTTCTCTCTCTTATTCCTCCGGCTAGGTATCATAGGTTATTTCCTGGGACATTCGAAGGATCGGTGTCCAAACTGGTGATATCCGTAACATACCATACGAGCCTTAGATTTTTCACAATCAAACTTCATGTGCTATGTTTGGTGACAGTAACGACACCAAGTGGGCATATCGTCCCAAGTGGCACGAAATATTTCATTTTTGTCTTCATATCTGTTATAGAACAAGCTCTGGATATAAGCATAAGTAATATTATAGTAGATGAATTACATGATAAAGAGTAAACTATAAGCCTGAATATGAAATAAAACTCTGTATATAACATGTATATAACATCTTGTAAATAATATAAAACTTATGGACATCCAATCGTCAAGGTGTATCAATTATAAGGCATCGTATCATTTCTACATATTTATTTTTATAATAACTTTTTTTTTAAAACTTAATCAGATCATTATAACACCCAATAGATAATCCATAGATCAGTCTCTTGAATCAACAAGATGTATATTCGAATACTAACACTGTTTCATGACTCATGTTCTTTGACGGTTATTTTTTATTCCTTTGATTCAGGATTCATTAGTATAAATACAACCAGTTGTGTAGACACGAAATAATCTTTATATCATTCTTTTTACATTGAATAAACAAGTCTCAAACCAAACTTTCCTTTGTTCTCTTTCTCTTTCTCTTTTTAATTTATTTTTAATTTATTTTTAATTTATTTTTATTTATCTTTATTATATTACGTTCCATCACAACACTAACGAACATTGTGATCTAATATCTGGAATTGGGAAGATACCAAACCTGCCTCCTCTTTTGGGACCGCGAGAACTGCATATCCGGCTCCTATGAAAAAACCTGTAGTAGCTTTCGTGTTTATACCTACATCCAAAAGATGACCATAAAATGTCAAGCTCTTCTTTAGATCTTCGAGAACTGTTTCCTTAAACAGCATTGGTAAATGAGACAATTTAACCATTATCATCTTGCCTGTGTCATCCACTGCCCTGCAGGGCGTAATTCGTATTTTTTATTCGTTGAAGACTACTCTATTTTTTAAAATATCGTTACTATCCTTCTCCTTCTCGAGATAAAGTTGTAGATATCGAGTGGATCCATCTCTAAGGATTGTACAGGCGTACATGTTGGAGTATTGATCCTTAAGCTCCTGCATACACTGAAAATTGGTGAACTCAGACTTGACTTAGATAATCTAACATAAAGGCGTTTGGAGATCTTGATGCCCTGTATACTCTGGATTGAACCTCCTTCAGTGGAGAGTCTAAATTTCTGTCAGGTTCGGTGATGTCTTGGTGCATTAGGGATACAAGCTGTTTTGCAGATACTATTTGAGCATAGGATTGTGATATAGGGGTCGTTTAAGGCTTTGGAGTTGAATCAAACTCTGCCACCGACAAAAAGTGTTGAGAATTGGAAAGACCTATGTATAATTATATGCTCCCTATCTTTTGATAATTTAAAAAAAATAAAAAGCGTGCTTTTTTGAAGTGAACGAAATATTATCAACACCGACAGTAAAATGACATTTGTTCCTCTCCTTGATTTAAACATTGAAACTATGTTCAATTCCATCGCCAAATAGTCATTTCTATGATTATCTTCATCATCATTATTACCTTTCTGTCTTTCTTACATTTTTTATCTTCTATCAAAATACGAAGCAAACTCATGCATAGCGATCATAAAAAAACTGACGCAACAGAAAAATCAGAGGTGCGTCAAAGAAACCTAGTGTGCGTGTGACTGCCCTAAATTTATTTTGATATTAAAACGCGCGTCGTTTGTTTTATTCTTATTCTTTTTCTACTTATTTTTTCTTAACCATTTGCCACTAAAAGCTAAGTCGTCTAAGTAGTGTCATCTTCTTAATGCGCATCTTTATGGTATTTGGTTTGCTAATGGTCACTAAAAGCTAAGTCGCCTAGGTAGTGTCATCTTCTTAACGCGCATCTTTATGATCGTTGGCCTTTTTTTTGGGAGTAAAAATGTCTCCACCTTCACGTGGTTACTCCTGTTACTAGAGCTATTTTTTATTGCTTGAAACTGAGAGAGACATTCCTTTAGGTTTATAATAAATAATATACAGTTTAAATTTAAATAAAATATATTAAAAATTTCCTCGTTTGAAAAAAACAAAACAAAACAAACTACATTATTGCTTTATTTTTTTTTCTTTTTAAAAAAAAGGCTTTGGCTAGGCTAAAATCTTGTATACTCAATAATATCATTGATTCTATAAAGTAATCTGCCTGGAAAGAAGGTATAAGGCGTTGACCATATTAAAATTAAAACGATTGCACCAATTGCTGATGTGATTGCTTCAGTCCTACTATCCATTTTTCAACTTTGTTGGCGTTTGTCGTATACACCACCATCTTGGAGAATCACCCAAGTCATACTCATTTATAAATAAAAGTTTTGCATTAGATTCAGGTAACTTGGGTCTGATTAGCTTGATGTCTGTTTTCGAATAATCTTTGAAAATACATTTACTATCCTCTAGTCTCTAGTACTTCTACTTTAGATGTTGCTCATGGAGGTTTTCGTGAATTTCGTAGTTCACTAAACCAAGTATTTTGTCCATCAAAAATCTGTACTATCCTACACTAAGATTACCATTTTACGCTAACTCTAGCTTTTCTTGATATTAAATCCGCCTATGACACTGTTGACTGTCCCTATATTTGACATAAATTGCAATTAGCCTTATTACCTTCTAATTTTTTTTTTTTTCGATGATGTCCATATTGAAGTATTGTTAAATAGCACCACCTCCTGCCGCTTTTCATCTGTTATAGGTATTCTTCAGGGATCAATTCTCTCGCCATTTCTTTACTCCGTATATATAAATGAGCTACCAGCTCTACTATGACGATAACCTACTGATGCTCCAGAAGTAAACGACATTGTTTCGTTAGTTGCCCTAATTACATCGTTATTGTACGTTGATAATGTCGTACTAATAGTAGTACCTGAGCAGATGCCGTCTCTACCACAACTCTGCGAAGACCGTAGTTAACGTTTAGGCTATCGATATAATCTTCTCAAGTGTGTTGTTGTTATTCTTTCAATTGTTGATCACATTTACAAATTATTTGGTATACCTTTACCCCGCACATATTTCTTTTCATATCTTGGTATTCCAATTAAACTGACTAGGTGGTTTTCTTGATTTTTAGCACTCACTCAACAGAATGTTAACAGGGCAACAAAGACAATGAACCAAATCGCTACTATTGGTGTCAATTCCAAAGGTTTTGATCGCTTACTTTCTATGCGCTTCTACATTCAAATGGTAGAATATCAATTGGAATACAGACTTGCGATTAGTATTTTTGAATAACAACCATATCAAGAAAATTGGAATTCTGTCAGAATGATTATGCTCGCTGTATATTTGGTGGCTCATCCCAATCCTTAACCAAAGTGATGCTTTATCTTGTTCAACAGCCATTGATGGCAGATTAAATCTCAATTTTACAGGCAAAAATTTTTCTTCATTCACTGGAGTTACTTGAAAGCACTTTATTACAACATCTATTGCCGCATATTTAGGCCTCTGCCAGACATTCACACTGGTATAAACTCAAAAAGTGACCCCTCAGACATTTATGTGCTCTTGTATTCAATATCCTAGATCATCATGCTTTTAAGCAGTTTTGTCAACAATTTTTTTTATAAAATAGTTTTGATTGTCTTTGCAATAATATCAATTCCAAACTGATCTTAGTCTACTGCCCTTCTTTGGAGCAAGGATCTAATACTTTGATTATTAATGACTTATAACAATCATAGTCAAGTCTTTCGTTAGCGTCTTGGTTAGCTTCTTGGTGGTGTTTCTCAGCCGTATCCTTATCATTCATATAATAACTTTACTCCGTGAATACTCAGATCAATGTCTTTATATGTACAGTTGACTTAATATACCATCAACTATTGCTAATCCGATTTCCTTTTTCCTCAATCAACTACCTCTGAAGAAACCAAAGTCCCTGCAATTAACTTTTCTTTGGTTAGTTTGTTGGCCAATGATCTATATTATTTTACATGAAATGGGATTATCTGTTTTATCAAACACTTCATTCTCCTTCTCCTCCTGTTAATCCTGGTATCAAGTTAATGTATTGGTTATCCTTGTAATAGACTAGTGTATTTACACTGTTTCTGGATTTCTTCTTTTCTTCTCTTGGCCCCTAAGATTTTTTTATTACCTTCTCTCTCTCTTTTTTTTTTTTTTTTTTTTTTTTTTTTTTTTTTTTTGGGACTAACTAGGGCAATACAGTATAATAAAATTGCTACGTGCTCATTGGTCATTTTTATTTTTATTTTCAAATGAATAAATTCTTTTAATCGTATACTCGATAGGGTAGTTAGATGGTTATATCTTTCTATTGAAAATACTGCTCTTCATTCAAACATCTGTCCCGAAATGTTTCTGTACATTTTTTTCTCCAGCCAATGTAATCTTTACGAGACAATTTTGCAGACAAAAATAATTCGGTGGAGGGAGGGGGAGTCAGAGTATCATTGGAGTACAAAGGTTATCTTTTAATATTTGGACCAAAGCTCTTTGAGGAATGTTGAATAAGGGGCGAGAGGGGGGGGAGGAAAGAGAATGTATGCGCTTGACATAGTGTATAAAATTTTTGGACATGGCTGCAAACTTGAAAATTTAGAAGATACAAATTGAGTTTCAATGATTGCCAAACAAAAGGAGAAAAGTCAATAATATTTTATTCCATCTTTACAGACGAGGTGAGCTGATGAATATGAAGGCTATTTTAAAGCTGACCTCTTTGCATAGCTATTTGTGCTAATCAATTTCAGCTTTCTAAATTCATCTACATTGTTTGTTTTCCTTATAGTTTTGTTTACCAACACAACACTAAACAATTCTTAGGTATAGTAGTCATACATACTCTTTGATACAGGGCGTGTTTTTATTGTTGACTTATTGTTTCTTTTTTTTTAAGAAAATGTCTCTGGTAGGAATATAGCCATCTTTGAGAATGTATCAGCTTATTTTTAAAAAGGACATGATTGATTTACGCAAAATATGCCCAGTTTTTGTGTGTCTGTGTTATATGATTAAGTTTCCTTAGTTATGAATAATCATACAAGAAATCAACGGAAGATCAGAATACTAATTATTTCTCTCTTTTTTTTTTTTTTTTTTTTTTTTTTTTTTTTTTAAAAAAAAAAAAAACGATTTATTTAAGGCTTTAAAGTGTATCTTTAGTAATTTTTATTCAATGGTCTTGGAAAAAGTCAAGTAAGAATGAAAATACCTTAAAATATTAAGAATATTGTTGCTTTGTTAAACTTTTTTTTTCTTTCTATCAGTTGTTTATAAAAGAACACAGATATGTAGTGCAAAAGATATATATAATATCATCGCGATGAAGATAAATGATTATCAGCAAATATATTAGGGACTGTGACTACACTGATAATCCAGTGATATTTATCAGATTGATAAAAATTGATAAAGTTTTTTTTTTTTTTTTTTTTTTTTTTTTTTTTTTTTTGTTTCTGTTTCTGTTTCTGTTTTTTATTGTAAAGGATATCTACGCATTGTATACAAACAAAAAAAAAAAAAAGATAAGAGGAGGGTAATTATAATATATGTACAATGAAACTAAAAGTCTTTTTTTTTTCATATAATAAATGTATGTGGATCCTAAATATTAAAAATATTAAATAAAATAGTAATAATAAACATTAGCTCTCTTTTTTTTTTTTTTTTTTTTTTTAATGAGAATGGTCCTCAAGAAGGCCACCTAATGATCTAAAACGTCCGAATGCCAATTCACCAAAGAAAACACCAAGGACGATAACAAGAAAAAATCCTCCATTACCAGTCATAACCACCATCATTAGCAAGTAACCAACAAAAGAGTTGAGTGTAGTGATGAAACTTCTAATTGTGTCTGTCTTAAAAGAAAAGCTGGGCACTACAGGTAAACATAGAGAATTAGGGTATGCAGTTGGATTAATTGATCGCGAAGAAGCAGAGAAATTGTCGGTTAAATTGGGCGATTCTTCGATATCTGTTTTAGTTATCTATATAAAACACGTGTGTCAATAATAATAATAATAATAATAAAAGGACGTTTGTTTTACCTCATGAATATGTTTAATTGTTGAATGGGTTTTAAGTTGTCTATCATTACGCAATCTTGCCCAAGCAACAAAATAGGCTTCTAGAGCAGGAATACTTCTTGAAAGTAACGAACAAAAGAATAAACCAAAACATGCACCAATATAAGCACCTTCAGATCGAGGAACCCATGAATCTAACCAAATACCATCACCAGAAGAACTCCAATGAAAAGTACCCATAGACATCATCATGTGCATTCCACTAGTACCACTTTTAGCTGTTGATGTCCCTGTTGCCATGGGTGCAGTTGATGTAGGGCTCATACCAGGCATATCGTGATGTGAATGATCCATTTTTTTTTCAAATAAATAAATAATAATAATAATAAAAGAAAGGGAAAGGGAAAGAAAAATGTAACTTTTTATGGTTTTATTAATTTCTGGGGAGCAAAAATCCCTCTACTTTTTTTTTTTTTCATCTTCCGAATACAAGTTTTTTTTTTTCGTATGATGTAGTACAGAACACAGAAGAAAGCTTATTTTAAACCGTAGATAATGAAGCATTTTGATATATAAATATAAACACGAGTACAGAGCTATGCATATTTACACAAATTAAACAACAAACATCGATTACATACATAGTAATGGTTGTAAGAATCAGGTACCTTTATTTTGAAAACAGCAAAAATATCTCATTTTTATCCAATAAAATACAAGAAACATCCTTTTTTATATATAAAATATGCACAAAAAGTATTTCTGAGAATGAAGTTATTGTGTGTATAGAAAAGAAGATAATCATAAGATTGGCTAGTAATAGAAATAATCCATCATTCAAATGAAATCAGTCTATTGTGCCTTACAACATATAATATTCGGTAATTGTTAGAGTAAGCTCGAGTACAATAATAATAAAAAATAATTATAGATTGTATTGCTAAACAATCATTATAATAGGAATATGACGAGTATATTCAATTTTACATTTATTTATACTCATGCATTATATTATTATAACTAATAATTAATGATAGTCTGTGAAGTAAAAGTTATACCATCTTAATATTGACGCGTTACTTAGGAAGTTATATCATATAACTACTCTTTCCTTTGTATTATTAAGCCTTAAAGTTTTTTATTATTATTACTTTTTTATTATTACAAACTTATTCTTAACTAAAACAAAAAGAGGAAGGCATTCTTAAAGAGAAAACAGGTGAAAAGTGAAATAATAATAAAAAAAATGGAGTCCCTGGATAAATTGACATTCATTTTTATCTAAGCATTTATGCTATGTATGCAAATATATTAGCTTAGTCTCTTATTAATCAAATAGTATTATTTTACTTGGAGCAAGAGCCATACATTTTAAATAAAAATAAATTAATAAATTAATAAATAAATAAATAGATAATAACTTCGCTATTACACAAATACAAATAAGCTAGGCTTATGATATCATTTAAATTTTGTTACAAAAGAGAAAAAAAAATACTCTGTTCTATATGCTATATTGTTTTATAAAGTAGTAAGATTAGTATTAAATACATCTCCATACCTTTTGTTTTATTATGCAATTGAGAAGAGAGGCGGTGATTTCGAGAATATACTAAACGCACCCAATTGGACAGATATTTGACGTCAGCAGCTGGGTTGTGGCTTTTAATTTCAAGATAACTGCGCGTGTTGCCACTTTTTTTTTTCCCAATTCCTTTATTATACCATAAAATAAGTTATAATGGCCGAATATCTTGCTAGTATTTATGGTACTGAAAAAGACAAGTAAGTAGACTTATGAAAATGTATATAGCATTTTTTTTAAAGAAAATATTAACCTAATTGCATGCTATTCTTTCTTTTTTTTTTTTCTTCTCTGGTCATTAGAGTAAATTGTTCTTTTTATTTCAAGGTAATTAATAGTGACAATTTCATCCCAAGTTTAATTTACTAATTCTTATTTATATTATAGATTGGTGCTTGCCGACATGGCGATCGTTGCTCAAGAAAACACGTAAAACCTACTTTTTCACAGACACTTTTGATTGCCAACATGTATAAAAATCCAGCTCATGATCCTAACAACCACATGACTGAAAAACAACTTCAAAATGATTTCGATTTATTTTATGAGGATGTATTTATGGAGCTTGCAAAGTTTGGAGAAGTTGAAGAAATGGTAGTCTGTGATAATGTTGGTGATCATCTAGTTGGTAATGTTTATTGTCAATTTCGCTTAGAAGAATCCGCCGGTAATGCGGTAACGAGTTTAAATAATAGATTTTATGCAGGTATAGTATATATATAATATAGTAATTAAATAATATACACTTACCCACCCATTTTTTCTTTCTTTTTCTTTTCTTTTTTGTAATATTTAGGCCGCCCACTATATGCAGAACTTTCACCAGTAACTGATTTCAGAGAAGCTTGTTGCAGGCAACATGAAATTTCGGAATGCAATCGTGGAGGTTTCTGTAATTTTATGCATCTTAAACATCCTTCACGTCAATTACGGAGAGAATTATATGAAGGACAAAGATTAGATATAAAGGAAAAACGTAGAGAGGAAATGCGACGTGAGGAAGAAGAAAGAAGACCGAGAGATAGAGAAAGAGATAGAGATAGAGAAAGAGAAAGAGAAAGGGAAAGGGAAAGGGAAAGGGAAAGAAATAGAGGTTATCACGACAGGCCAGAAGATGAACATTCTCATTTAAAACATGAATTGAAAGCTGAAAGAATGGAATATTAAATTTAATTTTTATAATTATATATTATAATGATAATGATAATAGTAAAAAAAAAAAAAAATAAAAAAAAAATAATGATAATGAAATTAGATGTACTTCCATTACAAATATTTACATACAAAAGAGGTGTATTCATTTGTGTTGTAGTACTAGTATAGAATGTAATAACTAAGTTACATGTAAATGAAAAAAAAATATTTTTATTAAAAAACAACTATACTAATATACTGTCTTAATACTGCTTTCAAGATATTGCTGATTGTATTTTTTCTTAATATCATTATATTATAGTCCCTATCAAAAGACACACTACTCTAATACAATGGATATAAATTAACTACTTCTGACCGATATCGCTCTATTGGGTGAGTTGTCATTTCAAGGAGTTAGTCTATAGTAGCGCTAGAGAGTTTATTTTTCGAATAATTTTAAGGAATTGCTTCTAAACATTTAGAAATTAGAAATAGCAAGCTGTCTTTGGAAGTAAGATAATGATGATTCTTTGTATTTTAGTAATCAGTAAAAATTGTAAAATAATATTTATTTTTTGTTAGTCTAGATACCATTCATAATTCCTTCTGTTTGAAAAAGAAAAAAAAAAGGAGAAAAAAGATAGTTATTCATCTATATAAAGAATATATTGTTATAGGTTCATTTGTATCTATTTAAATTATGAACGCTATAATTAATATACACAACTAGAAAGAGGAAGAGACTATATGAAAAAGAAAAGATTTATCTCTAGGCTTTTTTTTTTTTTTTTTGTAATAAAAAATAAATGACCTGTTCCTTCATTATTTTAAGGAAAAAAAAAACAGGGTAAATTTGTTTTATGATAGTAATTGTAGTGATAATATATATAGTGAAAATTATTATATTGAAGATATGAAAGATTAAAAAAAAAAAAGAAAGAAAAAACTCTTCTGTTAAGAACAGAAAAATAGCTTGTTTGATTAAGATTAAACAAGTATTTAGTATGCGATAGGCGACAAACTGTTACCTACTATAGATACTTATTGATAAGCAGGATGATTGATACCTAAAAAGAAAAGAAAAGAAAACCATTAATTGAAAAGAAACGAATACACTTCCTTTTCTCTCCTAATTTGCTTACATTCAGCCACTGTACAAAACTTGAACCCTTCATCTAGAGTATAAGCAATTAACCGCTTTGTTAATTCGACAGTTGTTTGCTCATAGACCTGTAATATATACATATACATATACATTTTAGTTAGAGAAAAAAAAATGAAGATAGAACTTGAATTAAGATTAATATAACTTACATCGTGGCTCAATACGATAAAGCCTTCATCAAGATTTTTTCTGCTGTATGAATTTCGGACATTTTCCATTTCAGACTTAAGGTTATGAGTTTCATAATCCTTTGTATCAGTAGACCATTCAATTACAGAATACCCCTTTGATTCAAGGATTTCAAGTGTTGTCTCATTAGCCGAACCATATGGAGGTCTGATAACTATAATTATTTAGTTGTGTAAGTTATTTACAAATGTATATAAAACCCAAAAAAAAAAAAAAAAAAAAAAAAAAAAAAAAAAACTTACACGCAGGCCTTATTTTTTTTTAATATGTATTTGTTAACATTATTAGAATTATATATTATTTCAGTAGCAAAAACTTCCTTCTACTTACTTGACATGAATCAAAGAATCTATCATATCTTCTAACTGACTTATTTCTCGCTCAAATTCTTCCATCGAGATTTCATTCAAGTCTTTATGAGACCAAGTATGACTTGCAATTTGATGTCCTGATCTATATGCCTCTATTAAAGCATCTTGGGCTTCAGCATCATCCTCCAATTGCCTAAATGTGTAGTAGGTAAATTTATATCAAAAAAAAAAAAAAAAAAAAAAAAAAAAAAAAAAAAAACTCCATATATTCAATAAATAACTTACAGAAAATTATCACCATTCACAAAAAATGTAGCTTTGATTCCGTTTTCATTTAATAACTTGACTAATGCTGAAGTATAGATATTGGGCCCATCATCATATGTAAGAGCCACATACCCAGGCTTACAGCTTTGAATCATAGGTTGTGCTGAAACATAATTAAAAAATGATGCAAATGCTGCACTTATGGCAATAGAAGTTTTGAGTAGATATCTCATTAATATTAATAAAATAAAGATGAAAATATAAATGTATAGATAAAAAAAAAAAAAAAAAAAAAAAAAAAAAAAAAAAAAGAAGGAAAGAACAAATTATAGGCCTTTTGTACCTAAGAAAATAAAGTAGATTTTTTTGAAAAAGGAAATAATATGTTAACAAAAGGGAGGCAATGGTGTCGAGAGAAAAAGAAAAAAAAAGAGAGAGAGAGGTAAGGTAGTTTGATTTTCTTGCATATAGAAATAAAATTTGGATATGTTAAAATGATTTCCTAAAAAGAAAACATTGAAAGAAAAGTCAAGGAGATATTTATTTAAACAAGGTTAGGTATTTAATAAGGAATAGGGGTATGTGATTTAAGAAAAGAAAATGCAAGGAGCTTATTTAGTGAAAGGAGCTGTTTACATCAATCTTCTTTGATGCCACAAGCTTATAGTATCTTCTGTGAATGTTTTTTACTGTAGTTATAATATAGCATGAATAGAGATAGGGGCATAAATACAATGAAATTTTATAAAAAACTAAATTTATAAATACAAATGTAATTTAATTTTCAATTGAACGCTAACTACTATACAAAGGGCCTCTTTTTTTTTTTGTCTCAAATATTATTATACCTCAAAATATATTGTTTTTTTTTTTTTTTTTTTTTGTTAACGAGAAATAAATATTAAATAATGAATATATAAATACGCATAAAGCTCCTTAATATCATATTCGGCAAAAATAATATACATTAGCATTGTTATATAATTGCTATATTATCTAATAATGAGGCTTATTGGTAGCATAGTATAAGGTATTTATCTATTTTTTTTTTATCTATAATAATATAAAACTGGTACAGATTTGTTATATCACAATTGTTTAAAACACTTTTCAACTTATTTTTCATGTCGAAGAGAAATATAACAATTTATTATAATTTTATAGATTTGGTCGTTTTTTTTCTTTTTTTATCGCCAAAAAAGTAGAAATTCTTATTTATTTAGAAGTTATTTTTTTTTCTTTAAAGTAGATCAGCAAAAGGATCTTTTGGTGTTACATTAGCTGCTTGCTTTTGCTGCCCATTGTTGGGTATGCCACCAAATAAATCATTCATGGGTTGTTGAGGAGAAGTAGTAAAGCTTTGCGTTGTAAGAGGAGATGCATTATTGAACAAATTCATGATATCATCTATATTTTTGTTAGTATTGGTATTAGTGGGTGTATCTGGAGTTGTTGTAATAGAAAGTAAATCATTTAGTGATCCAAGTTGTGAATGTTCTTTTGTTGACATAACTGGAGAAATAGGAGATGATTCAGTTGCTGCATCCCAATCCAAATCGAGCAAATTGCCGATATCATTATTTTTAATAGCTGCTTGTATCTGAGGAGGAGGTGCAGTCATATCATCTTCTTCGGCATGTCTAAAGTTTCAGCAAAGAAAATAAAATCAGTATATAAAGAAATAAAGAAGGGGGAGGTATATGTAATAACTTACTCCTGTAGAGATTTTTGCACGCTGTCAGCACCAAACTTTTTGCCTGCAATAAATGTTTCAGCAGGCTTATGGTAAACTGAAGCCAAGGTACCAATATCGTACAATAAATTTTCAAGTAATGCAGGTGAAATTCCTTCATTTTCACCAGCAATAGGCGGTTTTTCTGATAAAACAACGGCCTAAATTCAATAATTATAATATATTGTAGTTAAATAATAGCTTTTTTTCTTTTTCTTTTTTTTTTTTTCTTTTACCTTTGCAGCTTGTGGGTCTGTTGATAGCAAGCGCCAATATACGTAGGCTCTATCACGAATATCCGCATTATCACACTCTATAGTAGCAGTTTGAAGTACTCGTTGCACCAAATCCTGATTTTCATTTGGCTTTTTCAAAAATAATTTAACTGTTGCAGTCAATAGTTGAAGCTGCACCTATATTTACCAAAGTAAACAAATGATAGATTTAATATAAATACTTTATTTTGTTTTTCTTTTTCTTTTTTTCCTTTTTTTTTTTTTTTTTTTTTTACCTGAGCATTTTCTTCTTTAAAGTTCTCCAAGAATATACTAATAAGGTCATCTGCATTATCAATTCTTTCAGCATATTCACCAATAATCCAAATCAAAGAACATTTTGCTTCTGGTTCGTCTAAAGCCTCCAAGTTTTCGCATAACGTAGGAATAATTCCTTCATATTTCTGAGGATATTTACGAAATATATCCTATGAGGAAAAAAATAAGTATAATAATCTAAAGAATAAAATATGAGAAGAAACAAAAAAAAACCCACTTTAATCACAACAACAGCTTCTTGAACAACGTAACTGACACCGGTATTAATTAAATCAAGCAATACATTAATGCAGCGCTCTGCAGCTTCTTCAATTTTAATTGCACATCGGCCAATAGCATGAACTGATTTGCGTACAAAATCAACATCTACTTCATTTGCATATCTACAAATAATGAATTGTTTATACTATAATCTTATGACATAAAAATGGTTGATACCTTACTCTCTTAATTCACTTAACAATTGATCGACATTTCTATCATTACATAATTTAATCATAATTTCAAGTTTTTCTAACTTAACATAGGGCGGATCATTATATTTGCAAAAAAAGACACGAACTTCATTGCTTAAAACTTCAGGACGCTTTTGCAAAATTAAACTGATGTTGCGTAAAGCAATATATTGAACTTCAGGAGGGCTTGAAAGTAAAGTAACTTTTTGAAAGAATGAAGACTATATTAGGACTAACTTATTTTTTTTTCTTCTTCTTCATTAACATGGAATATTACCTAAAGGAGGTGCCATCTTTCTACACATGGATTTAATGAAAGCTTCTTCTTTAATATATTTCATATTAATCATCAAAATCTAGTTTGTAACACAAAAGTGAGTACTCGATTATTTTTAATCAAGATAAAAAGTACCTTAATAGCAGACAATACAACAGCTCCATTTGCATGTTGTAATCTAGGAATCACTCTATCGCAAATGCTTTCTGCTTCTTTACCTCCTGAAGCTTTATATTCAGCAATGGCTGTCAAAATTGCAATTTGTCCCCACCTATGTCATATATTTAGTATATGTTTTAAAATATATATATGTTTTCATTTATATACATATACTTACTCAGTACACTCATTTAAGGCATGCAATAATTTGTTTAATATATTATTATCAATTTCAAAGAGATTATGTTGAGGGCAAACTTCATTCATATCGGCTAATGCAATAACAGCATTTGCAACAACCATAGGATTGACATCAGAAACCATGTCCTTGACAACGTTAACAAAGTCTTGCTCAATAGCTAGTTCTGGATTAAGATCATATAGCTTAGCAACACAAATAGATGCCGTCTTCCTTACATAAGGGTTTTCATCCTAACATAGTAACGTTGTTTAATAAAGATAAATTTTACGTATAAATTATTTTACTTTGAGACATTTTCGAAGAGGTTCTGTGAGATAATCAATAATTTTGTCGACTCTTAAACAGCCCATAGTACGAATAGCAAGCGCTCGAATCAAGGGGTTTGGGTCGTCTGAATCCTAAAAAAAAAAAAAAAAAAAAAAAAAAAAAAAAAAAATACAGCATTTAATAAACTGACTTGATTCAATCAACATTCAAAATGAACTTACTTTAACAAATGTATTCACGGCTAAAATTACCAATTCAGGCTGAGTCTTTGCATAGTTCATAAGATAAAGATAGACTAGCTTCTTTAATTCCAAATCTTCGGTTTGCATGTTTTTAAGAACATCTGGGAATAGTCCGCTTACATCTTTACCAACCGTCATGTTGGCAATGACTTTCTTTACTGCATCCTTACGATGATGACGATATTCACTATTAAGCTCAGATTTGAGCTCATAGTTTTCACCTTTAATAATAAAAAAAAATGCATGTATATGAATTATAACCTCTTTCTCTTTAGAGTTTTACCCCACACATTATAAAACAACTTCATTCCACTTGAATCTCAGTTTTTAATCAAACTCGAAAATAAAGTCATTACCTTTTTTGTTGGTTGTAAAGAATTTAGGTCTACTAATTGACATGTTTCTTTTATTTCCTACTCCTTTTTTATTAAGAATAAAAAGACACGCAAAACCAAAAAAAAAAAAAAAAAAAAAAAAAAAATGAGGATAATAAAAAAAAAAGCAGACTATAAGTCGGAAGATTAATATTAATTATTAACCGTAGTTTAAATTGCAGTAAGAGAAAGATAAAAAAAAAAAAAAAAAAAAAAAAAAAAAAAAAAAAAAAAAAAAAAAAAAAAGTACACCATACGTTTGTTTGTTAAAGATAAAGAAGTCATTACTGTTAATTTTATTTGCTTATGTAAACTCATAATTATGAATATATCCCCTTTTTTATGCATCTATTTTCTACTTGATAATTGATTCGTAAAAACGCGCTATACACATCATGATATATCTTTAGAGTCGTGAGCATTCTTCAAGGGAAAAAAAAAAGGGTACATACGTATTTGTATGTATAATTGATTAGCTTTACTAGTATAAATAAGAGAAAACATGATTTCTGTAATAACTTTATAAAGCTGATATATTAAGATTTGTCAATGTAAACAAATTCAATATATATACATAAATACGCATACACACATATATATAGAAGCTACATATACATATACATTTATATTTATAATTATATTCATATTTTTATTTATACATCCTTGTTTATTCTTTAAATTTATTAATAGTAAAAACAAAAAAAAACTCTTTATTTATATAATATATAGAAATAATCAATTAGACAAGTATTCATTCCTCTTCTTCACCTTGATAATGATGATAGAAGTTTAAATCTAAAGGACTAATATAAAACTGATTCTCGCTATTTAAGACTGTAAAAGTTGGATTAGAAACAGGAAAGAGCTCATTTATGTAATAAGGGAAAACTCGTCCTTTGTCGATAAGATCATCATCGATTGTAGCATAACTTTCTTGTTGTTGCAGGAATTCATGGGATCTGTGATTATAACTAAGATTTTGCTCATTGCTATTGTTGTGCAGATACGGGAAATAATTATTTAGAATAATATCTTGATGTTGGTTATCATGTGTATTAAAGAGTGGCAGCCATAGCCGAAGCTCTGCTTCAGTAGTAGGAATAACCTTTTGCTCAACACATGGATCAGAAGATGCCATGAGCTCAACATGATTACTTCCTAATTCTGTTATATTATCACTGTTTTGAAGTGACGTCTCGATAGTAGAATTCACATTAGTTGCATAATAGGCATTTTCATTTACAATTATCTCATTAGCAATATGATCATTGTTTTCATTACTATCGTTTGGAATTATATCATTTATTGCTTGCTCTTCTTCTGTAGCATTTTGAGAAGACAAATCTTCTTCTTCATCATCATCATCTTCTTCTTCTTCTTTTTTCGCTATCCTTTGTCGTCTTTTGTTTTTCGCCCTTCTGTTTTGAAACCAAGTCGTCACGATTTTTCGTGGAGTCGATATACGATTTGCTATAGCTTGTATCTTTTCTTGATTTGGACTAGAATTGATTTCATATTCTTCTTCTAAAATTCGAGTTTCGTTTATCGTGAATCTACGACGGCGTTTAATAGCAGGAAGCCATGTTTCTTCTACATATTCACAAGTATCTTTATCAGATTCATGAGGAGAGTTTACTTTTTTTCTATATTCTGTATCCATTATAATGATAATTAAAATAAGTGAGTGAGTGAGTGAGTGAGTGAGTGAGAGGAAAATAATAATAAAAAAAAAAAAAAATATGAGTTTAAGAAAATAACAATAATAATAATAATCATAGCCATCAATTAATATAAAAAATTTCAATGACACTATGCTATAAACTGATAGAATACTAAGGTAGTAGTTACCTTAGTTTAATGGAAAATGATGCATAAACATAAATTGAATACCAGTTGTAGCTGATAGATTGGTTACGGGAAAACAAAATTATCTTGGTTTATATACAATATACAAAGAAAGATAAATGATTATTAAATTATTATATAAACGATGACAGTATCCTTCGGTTTTTTTTTTCTTATATAAAAAAAAAAAAAGAAAAAGAAAAAAAAACTAACTTCTAAAATTCAACATACGTTTTCTAATATGATGTAATACACTTGCCCAAATCCATGAGAAGAACAATAAATAAGTGCCTAAAGTGAGGCCCAGAATGAAGAGACAGATATAAACACATGTTATATTAAGCCATTTTTTAAGTGCTGAGTCATATTTTAATAAAGGATCCAAACGAATGTATAGAATATTGGATATCATAATTAAAGTTCTATCTAATCTAATCACAAGACTAACTCCAACAATATAAACTAGTCCTAGTAATGCTCCCCCTGCTAAACCAGTAGCAAAATGAACGGTGTTAAGCCAATTGACAATTTCTAACATCTCATGGTCTTGCCAATTTTCATCTCCATCCAGTTTTTGCCCCATTTCACTCCCCAGACCGAGCTCATCAAGAGCTCTACCTAATTGAGATAAACCAAATACAAGCCCTATTGCGGATAACAAACTTAAAAGATGACAGATGACACATAAAAACTGGGCAATCCCAATGCTGCGCTTTGTTCTGTAGATAGAGTTACATTGATTACATGTATAATCTTTATTCATTTTCTTTAGACAAATAAGATGAGCTGTATATAAGCAAGGACATAATTGCACTAAACCTGGTCGAGAATGATGGATTAAATAAGGTCCTAAATCTCGTGTTATATTAGAGGGCAAACTTTTGTTTTTACATAGATAGCAGATGCGTTGATAATTGTGATGATTTTGAGTAATGTTATTTTCATTTAAAACGGAAGATATTGGAATAGATATTGTCTCATCTACTGTTTTTATGTACGGTGGTGGTGAATACGCAGAATAAGATGAAGAAGGTAAAGCACTCATTTACATCTAGAAACATTAAACTATTCTGATTAGAATAGGAAAAAACAAAAGAAATTTGTTTTTTTTCTTTTCATTCATTCATGCATTCAATCATTCAAAAAAAAAAAAAAAAAAAAAAAAAAAAAAAAAAAAAAAAAAAAGGGGCAGATTTTGTTGGTGATCCTTAAGAAAAGGGGTTACCATCTACATATATTCAATAAACAAGCCTAGAAATACACCACTACAAAAAAAAATATCTTATAGTTATACAGAGACAGTCTATATTGCTTTTTATCTATTTACACTTTTTTTTTATCATGTATGTAAAACTTATTCATAGTAGCTTTCAGTATTTTACCTTTAATCTAAATTTAATTAGAAAAAAAAAAATCTGGGGATGGAGAATAACATCAAAAACCTCTTCTAGAATTAAAGATTTTAATTTTTCAATAGTTTAGCGAAAAAATACAAGGATATAAGAGATTATAGACAGGAGCATACTACTTTCAGAGCTGTTAACAATGCTATACGCGCTAATAAAAAGACGATTATATAATATTAAGGAGATACATTAAAATAAGAAATGTAAGTATAGACGCTTTCTCATAGCTCTGTATTTAAACCTATTAAACATATATGATGATTATGGTATTGCTAAAATAAACTTTATTATATATAATATGTAATATATATTTTACTGGTCGTATATGTGTTAATCGTGGTTAAATATACGGATAGATAAATAAATAGCGTATAATAAATATGATGACTAATAATCAGATTTATTATTATAAACTGATGAAATAAGTCTCTCAGAAAGAGAATTTGTGAATTGCTTGTGCTTTTTGTTTAACTATTCACCCACATATAATAAAACATTAATTTAGTATACATATACATATGTATATGATACTTACCAAGCAACCTGTGCACCATGGTATTAAGGCACTTGATTTCTCATCTTTATGAACCGTAGCTCCAGAGTCTAAGACTTTATTGCATCCCTTACAGACTAAACATTTTTTATGCCACTTTAAAGCTTTAGGTCCTGGTATTTCTTCATGTACAGATTGTATACGCTGACTACAACCTGCACATTCTCTTATAACACCAAAACGAGGCAATGGACGACCTCTAGTACTCATTAGCGACGAAGGCTTAATTGACGGCAAGTTTGAAATGGATAATTCACTATTAGTAGTAAATTTGACTGAAGATATGGATGCGTTTTCTGTAGAAGGGTTACTATTACAATAGTTACTTTCTCTTGGATGATAAGTACAAGTATCTAATTTATTAACATGACTAGCAGTAATAAAATTTTGTTGCAATTGAGGTACAATCTTCATGTGTTTCGTGAGCGCCTCCTTATTACTACTAGCCAAATCTTCATTTGCACAACTTTGACAGTACGAGCCATTCATATTAATATATATTGACGAAGGCGTAAGTACCTTTTGGCATCCATCGCATTTGAAGCACTATTATAATAAGGTTTGAATATGAATGATTAATAATAAAAATATATTCTTCATACCTTTGGGTGTAATGTAGATGAGTTTAATAAAATATAACTTCCAATTATTGGCTCTGTGCATTTAAAGCATGTTTGTATAATAGAATTGGAAGGAGCACACTGATATATATATATATATATATATATACATGAGGACAGTTTTTTTCTTTTTTTTTTTTCTCAAATTAGTACGAAAAAAACTACTTACTGTAGGATGGTATATGCTTTTCGATGAATCAATAAAGAGATATGTATCTTTAAAAGGCTGATTACATTCGTTACATGTTAAACATTGATAATGATATTTAATTTGACTATCAGGTAAACGAACGGTTTTACCAACTAGTTTTTTATAGCATTTTCCACAATTAGTATCATCTGGATCTATTTTACTAGTTGGTGGCCATCCTGAGCTAAATAATGAATTGGTAAAACTTTTAGGCATCATGGACCTTCTATTTTCTAAACGACGACTAAATATTTCAGGTGTAGTATCTGTATTAAATGATAATGAAGTTGATTTATCCATAGTTTGAAGAAGAGAAATAGGCCTTTGCTTTTCATCAATAGGTGATGTTAAGCTATCTAATCCTATAACATTATTCATATATCTAAAAAGGAATAATTAAGTATGTGTTCTTTATTTCAATGTGAATTTATATGCCTCACGTCGCTTGCCAACGATCTATTCTATCTTTTCTGGTATCTATATTTATAATTTCTACTCATGTTGGTCTTTTATTGAAAAAAAAAAAAAAAAAAAAAAAAAAAAAAGCTGGTAATCAATACTACTTACTACATTGAGAATCAAAACCACATCCAAAGCATAACTCACCACAACTACAATTAGGCATTCTAGTTAAAATAGAAAGAAAGAGAGAGAGGGAGATGAACAAGGAAGAAATGAGAGGAAATGTATAATAATATAATATTAAAGTTTTATATAATAATTAAATTATGTACATGTAGAATGTAATTATTATTATTATTATTATTTTTTATGTACAATTATTTAAATTTTACTAACGAACTAATACGATTAGATGTAGTAAAACGAGTATTTAGCGGTAATTTACTTTTGAACCATTCAGGTACTTGGAAAGGATCTAATAATGAAGATGGTGGATTGTAGCTCACACTTTGTTGTGATATTTCATAAAGCCAGACAGTATCTGGCTGTTGTGTAGATAATGCTTGAAATAAGTTATGGCAAGCAACTTTTAATTCCTCATGAACTTGATCATTCTGATAGTAATATTTTGTCTCTTCTAAGATTTCTTTGATAAGTTCTTGTTTCATTGGCACATAATAAGCAATACGAGTTAATGTTTTTAAGAGACATTTCTGTGTACGATGATAGACTGAATAAATGGAGTATCCAGTAGATGTAAGGTCTGAAATAGCAGCATCAACTCCCCTTTGTAATATTGACTTGAACCTTGGCCATAAATCATCTTTAAACTTTCTGGACAAGAAATCTGTAGATACTTCCGATACTCGCTCGATAAAAGTTGCAGCATGAAGAACAATGTAGTTTTGTGAATCCCCAAACCTATTGACGATAAATTCCCATATGCTATGAATTAATTGATTGAGTTGATCTGGATGATCAGATAAAATAGATACACCCAAAGTAAGTAAAACAAGTATTTGAGATCGAAACTGAGGTGAAGAAGTTGTTAAGAAATGACTAGTTTTTAACATGATGTCTTTAGCCATTTCTTGTTCATGACTTAATGGATTTTTCTTTTCCTCTTCATTCTTATTTTCACTATGAACATCATCATCTTTGGGTAAATCCATAGGCAAATTCCCTTGTTCTAGTAACGCCTTTTCTATTGTCATGTTATCATGTAAACCCTTCTTTTGTCTATCTAAAAAGTATTTGCCAATTTCTTCCATTGTTTTATATTCTTCATCTACATTATGTATATTATCTTTAGCATCATTGATAAATAACATAATTTCTGCAGATGCATTTGTACTATTTTCAGTTGCAATATTAATATTAGTATTGATTTGTTTATCGGGATTAAAAAGAACGTTTTTTTCTAAAATCTGTATAATTTCAAAAAGTACACTGCACAATTGAGCACAAATCCAGTCATTGGCAGAATAGCGTTCTAAAGCATCATAAATTTCTTGTACTGTATCATCCAAATAATTAATAGTATCATAACCTCCTACATGAATCAGGGCCTTTAATACTAATGGCACTCGGGCATTGTTTGAAAGAACAGAGATATGTTGTGATATCATATTAATAATGTAATCAATATTTTGAATTGCAAGTTCTCTTGCATTATTTAATCCGCAAGTATGTGATATTGTATCTAATGTAATTAAAGCATATGTATGAATATATACATTAGGCGATCCTAGATGAGCAAGTAAGGGATATAGTATGGTGATCAGTTGATCTTGTAAATAGTCACGATCAATTACGCAGGTTATTAATCCAACAATTTGTAATCCAAAACAAACAGTTAATACATGGCCGGCTTCCTCATCCAATTGGAATGATGAAGTAGCTGTTGTTATTAGCGAAAGGGTTTTATTGTTGGTTGCAGCAGCATTAATGAGAATGTTCATTGTATCATTAAGCAACTGGATTGCAATAATTTTAAGAAGCTCATTTTTGCCTTTACATGTTTCTTTTTCAATCATCCAACTGTCCGATTCGGTTACTGGATCTAAATCATCAGCAAGTGCACCTGACAATAAAGCGTGGACAATATAAACAGCTTGAGGGTCATTGGACTCATTAATATTTACTGAGACATATCTCATGAAATGATTGATCCAAGCTTGTAGGTCGCACCATTTTCCAATAATATTTAATAATCGAATGAGCTTATTTGTACTTGTATCAGTAGCAAAATACTTGAATCGGATTTTTGGATAAACAGGTATGGAGGACTGCATCTTATCAGACTTAAGCTCAATATATCTTTCACTTTGTTTTTCTTCCAAAACATGAAGGCTTTCTTTATCAATTTCAAGTGCTGTCATCCACCCATCGGAGGCACGACTCAGGGCAGTTGAAAATACTCTCTCTGACTGATCCCTTAAAAGTAGGATTATTCCACTTATGATAGACATAGCAACTATCTTTTCATGCTCGTCTCTTGATATCACATACTGAGGAAATTTCATGAACCAATCATATAAATTATTTTTCAATATTGGCATAATAGATTTTTCGAAAGCAGGTAGAGATAATAAGGATTGCATACGAATACGACATGTAACAGATACTTCATTATAATCATCATCGATATGCATGACAAGAAACTCAGTTAACGGTTGTATACAATTATCCAAAGTCCTTGAACAAGTTGAGAGTATTGCATATGAAAATTCAACAAATGCTAATCTTGTTCTCCAGTCAGAATGCTGTCGAGGAACTAGTATCTGACTTAATACATTCAATAGTTTCTCTTTTGTCTGAGTGTACCAGGCTTTATTCCTAACAACCTTAATGCTGTCGTCTATGGCTGATGTGTCAGTATCCTTCTCTTTATTCAAAAAAATATCGCTGAATGAATGAATTTCTGAAAGGGTCTTGTTCTTGTCGTCACACATCACAGCTTGTATTAATTCCCCAAGAGTTGTTAAAGCACTACACATGATCTGATGATTTTCTTTCTCGAACTTCTGGGATATAGTAGCACAAAGACTTGAAATTGTTCCAGGAAAAGACAAGACTAAGATATCAACATCGCGTAAATTATCCTGCAGTAATTGAGATAACAATCTTAATGATTCAAGTCTGAGATCCATATTTTGTTCGTATCTAATTGTATTGAGTAATTTCATAATACATTGTGATGCAATTGGTACAAAAAAATCTTCTTGAAGTGTTTGTGATAATTGAAAATAAGGCGAGCTTGAAAATGAATCATATCTACCCTCTTTAAATTTTGCAGGTAAAACGGCTGATAGACATTGGACAGCTAAATATTTAATTTCTTCAGAAAATTTGAGTACAACTCGTTGCTCCTTATTATCATGAAGGGGTTCGTCTAGAAATGAAGAAAATAATATGAAAAGCTGCACTGTAAATTGAGGCTTCATCCATAATTTAACCAATGTTTTAGATAAAAGAAAATGCAATATTTTTAGCCATGGTTCTATCACAGTTTCAAATCCGAATTTATCCTCTTTAATCATTGATTTATAAACATATAGTAAACATATAATGATAGAATGAGTACAAGTGCTTGACAAGGTTATTTCTGGATCTTGCAGATCTTCCAGCATGTTTAATAATTTCGTCAGTAAAACAGTTGCATTTCTACTATTGATTTTTGTCATTTGAGGTGGTAGTTTATAGAGTGAATCAATTATAGGTTTTAATTTATCGAAACATGCTTTTTGATCATCTTCATTATCTATCATTTTTGAAGGTAATAAATATGAATAATATAATAATGTATATAAAATAATTCCAAGTCAAACTTCATCACGCGCCCACTTATCTGCTGAAATATAAAACATTTTTTTATTTTTATTTTTTTATTTTATTTCTTTTTTTTTTTTTTTTAATTTTACATTTAATCATTTCTTTTGAGATTAGTAAAGCTCAAAAGTAGGTAAAAATAAAATCAAATTGTCGTACTCACAAAATAATTCAGTAGTTAACCCTCCGTGGTAAATAAGACATTATATACAATTCCTAAATAACTAGTTTTAACGATCTTTCTTTAGGTCAACAAATACTAATAATAGCCAACATCAGCAGCAGCAACAACAGCAACAACAATGGCAACAATACGCTGCATATTATCAGCAATATCAAACACCGGAGCAACAAGCATATTACCAACAATATTATCAATATAGTAATTATCCGCCTCCACCAGGTACAGAGGCACCTCCAGGTGTAAATCCAGCACCACCGGGAGTTAATCATCAACAGCAGCAATCAACACCACCACCACCACCACCACCAGGCGTTACACCACCAGGTGCTTCTTCATATAATTATAATTACTCACAGTCTTACTCTGGATATTATCCTTATAATCAACATCCTGCTTCACGTCCACCTTCATCAATACAACAACAACAGCAGCAGCAGCAGCAGCAGCAGCAGCAACAATATTCATACTATTCTCAACAAGCTCCAAATCGCTATCAACCAAGGTAATTTAAATATGTTATAAACAATGTTCAATAAATTTATTTCCCTTTTTTTTTTTTGAACAATAGACCACATACAGTACCGACACAACAAATTCGTCCTCCTCCTCCTCCTCCTCCTCCTAATCATAATATAAACAAAACAACTCATACTACTGTTTCATTTCAAACTCCCTCCATAAACAGTAAGCTTTTATATAATTTTATACTATTTTATGGAAAAAAAAAATGAACATTTATTGTATATATAGAACCAACACCAAAGATTCCACCATGGTCTAAAAAGCCAATTGAACAAAAGCCTCCTGAAAATGTATCAGTTAAACCAGCCATTTCAACTTCTCCTCCTCCACCTATTGAACAAAAAACAGTAGAAGAAAAAAATCAAGAAAAAAATGCTATGGCAGTTGAAACGTGGCCTGCTTCTTTGAAGTAAGTTAATATGTATATATATGAATAGAGTGTATAAATAACATGTTTGAAAATAATATATAGACAATATGTACAAGATGTATTTGCAAATTGTTTACTAGAAAAAAGAGACGAAGCAGAAACACAATTACGGAATCTTATTATAGAAAGTCATAAAGCAGGTACATTACTAACAACAGACTGGAGTGAAATGGATTTACCAAGGTGAGAAATTATATATATATGTATATACATATATAGGCTAAATTTTCTGTATAGCGCATGTAGTGGTAATAACAATTCAAAAAAGAAAAAGAAAGGGTAAGAGATCTGATATATAATAAACTTAAGAAAAAAAAAAAACGTGTTAATTACCCTTCTTTTGTTTTTCCCAGTAAAAAAAATATTTTCCAACCACAAAATAATATATTGCAACAGAAAGTATCAACAGAAGAAGAAGCAAAAAGATTAAAACGTTTGAGACGTTTTGAGGAAGATGCAGCACAATTTAGAGCAGAAAATGTATCAACTCCACTAAGCTCAATGAGTTTGGTAAATAATAATATACATATATTTTTTGTCCTAGGAGATGAATGACAAACCCTTTTATTGTATTTACATTTAGGATGGAAATAATAATGAGACTGTTGTAGGCACATGCAGAAAACTCGAAAAGCATTATTTACGGTTAACTTCAGTAAATACATGTTTATTTATTTTACTATTAGAGGTAACATTTGTTAACTTATCAACTTTAATAATAGGCACCAGATCCTGCTACAGTAAGACCTTTAGAAGTCTTAGAACAAACTTTAGAATTGTTAAAGGATAAGTGGAAAAATGAACAAAATTACACTTATATTTGTGATCAGTTTAAATCTATGCGTCAAGATTTAACAGTAAGTAGAATGATATAAAAGAAAACAAGGCTAATTTAACATATAATACAAAAAAAATAGGTTCAACGCATTAAAAATGAATTTACAGTGCAAGTTTATGAAATACATGCACGTATAGCACTAGAAAAAGTAGGATACATTAACTATTCGAATAAACAATAGATCTCTCTAATGATTTTGTATGTAGAGTGATTTAGGTGAATATAATCAATGTCAAACACAGTTAAAAGCATTATATGAAAGTGGTATTCGTGGCCATGTCATGGAATTTACTGCGTATCGTATTTTATACTTTTTGCATACACAGAATTGGGCAGGTAAAGAAGTATTTATATGATTCATAATATTTAAAACAGTTTGATTGACAAAAAATTGTATATGAAATAGACGTAAATGCAGCAATGGCAAATTTAACATTAGAGCAAAAGCAAAATGAATTTGTTCAGCATGCATTAAAGGTTCGTTCTTCACTTGCAACTGCGAATTATCATCAATTCTTTATACTGTATAAAACAGCACCTAATATGGGGGGATATTTAATGGACCATTTTTGTGAAAGAGAGCGTGTTCAATCTTTAATTACATTATGCAGAGCGTAAGCTTTATATATATACACGTATACGTTTTATTTTATATTCATATGCTTTATCTATGATTAGTTGTCGACCTACTATTCAGCTAAATTTCATTCAAAGTGAATTAGCATTTGATTCAGAAGAGGATGTGATTAAATTCCTTCAGGAACAGAATGCTAATTATTTGAAAGAAGTTAATGGTGACAAATATTTGGATGCAAAACCGGCTTATGCTGCGTTACTAGAAAGCTCAAAAAAGTATAAAAAGATCGACATTAAAGGACAGGTGTATTAGACAAATATAATTTGCTTTTTTATTTAATTTATTAATAAATTGGCAAAAAGGATAAAAAAAAAAGTGTAATTTATATATAGCAAATTATAATTTGAATATGCATATTTGCGATATGTTGTTAAAAGCTAATAATAGACTATATCATCAGTATGATTGTTATTATATATTATAATACAAGGAGATAAAATATGTGTTTTAAATCAATATAGAATTATGTAGTAATTTTAACTTGCACGTATATTAAATGTGATAGTCGCAGAGTAGTGTACTATTCGTAACTATATTGCCGCATGTCAACTAGAAAACTTTGACAGGAAAATTGCAATATATCTATAAATATATAATATGAATTCAATTTCTTTTAATGTAATGCAAATATTTTTTTTTTTGATTTTAGTACAACAATCGTCAGATCTGGTCAGTAAGCAGTAATATTTATTGTTAAACAGACATCAAATATTAGTTAATGTATTTATTAGAATACTATTTTCTGAGCAAAAGAAATAATAACTCTTTATTATTATTATTTTGAACTATTAATATTTACTACAAAAATTCATATTAAATAAATAATTTGCAACAACTTCTACAACGCAACATAAACGTTATAATAGTGTCGTACTTTTTATCTCGAGACCTCGTAGCTTCAATTAATTCTTAATAGTTAACGTAAACATTTATATTTTGTTTACTTATATAATGTCTTTTATTTTCAATATCAAAAGGAAAAAAAAAGAAGTAGTGATCGAAATTAGTTCTATTTGGGTTGCATTCAAAAATATTATATTCAGGCTGTCTTGTCATACCATGACAATATGCTTTGAAAAAAATTGAAAAAAAAAATTTTTGACATTGAAGAAAAAAATGAAAGCCCAACGGGGGGGTCGAACCCCCAACCTTGAGATTAAGAGTCTCACGCTCTACCGATTGAGCTAGCTAGGCTCTTGATGTTTGTGTAACAAGTATATAATACATAACACTATTTTTTGTAAAAATTTTTTCTCCGCACCAATCAAATTTCGTATTTTATTCTATTTTGAATTAGCTACTACGTCACTAGAACCATCTCAAAGTTTGGTAGTCTTTTGTTATTGTTAAAAAAAAAAAAACTTCAAAGCATACGTTTTTTTATGTCGTTTCTCTCCTTTTCTTTCCCTGGGCTACTAAAAGACTTACCAAAGAATTAGAAAAAGTAAATCCATTTAAATATATATATTTCACAACTAGCATTGATTTGTTTTCAAATAAAGCTACTATTTCTTAAATAATAACCATAAAAATCTCTAAACTAATTAAGTCACATATTTCAAGTCTTGTAAATGAGCTTTTAACACATAAATAAATAATATTAATAACACTATGAAATGATAATTAAGCCATTCTACATTATCTTTGCCTGTAAAGTAACTATTATAGAACAAGCTCTAGTAATGAGCATAAGTAGTATTATAAAAGATGAATTACATAATACAGGACAAACTATAAGCCTCAACATATAATAAAAGACATCATATTTTACTGTATATAACATTTTGTAAATAATATAACACTTATTAGTATCCAATTATCTAAATATGTCAACTAAATAAGATATCGCGTCAATTTTAAATATTTATTTTTATAACCTTGATAAAGGATTCAGGTCGTCTTTGATCCAATAAAATAGGCATCAGGAACTTATACTTAGATCAAACAATTTAAAACTTGAATAAAATCATTAAAACATCCATAGATCAGCACTTTGAATCAACAAGATGTATATCTGAATACTAACATTATTCCATAACTTATCCTTTTTTTATAGTTATTTTTATTTCTTTGATTCAGGATTCATTAGTATAAATACAACCAGTTGTGTAGACACGAAATAATCCTTATATCATTCTTTTTACATTGAATAAACAAGTCTCAAACTATACTTCCTTTTGTTTTTTTCTCTTTCTTTTCTTATTTCTTATTTTTTTTTTTTTTTTTTTTTTTTAAATCGTACCATCACAATAGGATTATTAATATATTACTAGAGGCTTTTTGCAGTATTTCCTGTTTATTAATAGCGTAATCCTAATTATCGCTTATTCATTAGTAAATATCATTTACGTATATACTGCTATTTATTCCCTTATATGATATAACTATTATATTATATGAAGTATAATGAAATATCATATATTCCCAACTTGGCTATTAATCCTGTTTTTATTTATTATATAATAGACTTCTAATATGTCTGCTTAACCAATAACGATTATTATTATTAAACAAAATATTAAATAATATTTTGCTATGTAGATATTATCAATCTAATCCAAATAATATTTTCAATATGGTATCTTAAATAATTCATCTCTATGAAATTAATCTTACAAACTACTACATGCAAGTATAGTAATGTCTGATTTTATTCTTGCCTATTAAACTAAGTTTGATGGATCCTAGAAGTTTTTATTATGTATTTCGTTTGAATAATTAGCAGGCATTTGTATTATTAGAAAATGTTAATGCAGCTTGTAAAGCTAAATTTATATTCATTGTCACTATACTTTATAAAAACTAGTTGCTGAAAACATAAGTAGATCTACTTAATTTTACTTATTCTTTATTTTAACTATTACGGGCAAACCATATTTGACTTGGCTAAAAAACCAAAACAAAATAAAATAACTTTATTTGGCTTCTTGTTTATTACAAATTCTAATATCGTGCTATTACATTGTCTGCTTTTAGTTTCTAGAATACCACTTTCTAATTTAGAAAAAGAAATTACTTTTTAAGTTTGTCAAATATTGTCCATAATGTGACATAAGTTCTTCATTGCGTTTCAATCACAGAAATTGAAGCCCATTTTTACCCAATCATTAATAGGCAAGTTTTTTTTTTTTTTTTTCATCCCCATCGCATTCTACTTGAAAATTTTTGAAAGGTTATTTTATTCTTTTTTTATTTTTTTATTTTTCAACTTACAGAAAAAAATTATTAAAATGACTTACACACTTCTCGTTATGGGAAATCCTTTATTGGATATCCAATGCAAACCTAACCAAGAACTTATGGATAAGTACAAGCTTAAGGCTAATGATGCTATCTTAGCTGATGCCTCTCACCAAACTTTATACAAGGAAATTGTTGAAAAGTATGAAGTTGTGTATGTTGCTGGTGGTGCTGCCCAGAACACTGCTCGTGGTGCCCAATTCTTCTTGCCTCCTAATTCTACTACATATATGGGCTGTATCTCTGATGATGAATTTGGTAAAGCCATGACTGATGCTGCTAAGGCTGACGGCTTATATATTAACTATGAAATTACCAAGGACGCTCCTACTGGTACTTGTGCTGTCTTGATTACTGGTAACCATCGGTAAGTATCGTGTTTTATATAAGAAAAAAAAAAGACTGAAGGAAAAAAACAACAACAAGCAAATTGCAGAAATATAATATGATGATTAAGTTTGTTTATGAGAAGTTATTCATCTATACGCAACAAAGGATAATTTCAGTTTATGATAAAATCATATACTTGCCCTCTCTGATTATATTCACTTACTTTGCAATTTGTTTGTTTACTTCATTGGATGGATGTTGTTATAGTTAATATAATTATATAATTGTATTAATCATGTTTATTTATTTAGTTCTCTTGTTGCTAACTTGGCTGCTGCTGAAAAATTCCAGCCATCTTTCCTTCAAAAGCCTGAGAATTGGAAGCTTGTTGAAGATGCCAAATATTATTATTTCGGTGGTTTCTTCCTTACACACGATGGTGGTTATCAATCTGCTCTTTTAGTCTCCCAACATGCTGCTGAGAACAATAAGACCTTTGCTCTCAATTTGAGTGCTCCTTTCTTGTCTCAATTCTTTAAAGATCGTCTTGATTCTATTATTAAGAACACTGATATTCTTTTCGGTAATGAAGATGAAGCTCGTACCTATGCTAAACAGGCTGGTTGGGATACTAACGATGTCGAAGAAATTGCCAAGAAGTTGTCTCAACTTGAAAAGAGCAACTCTAAGCCTCGTCTTGTTGTAATCACACAAGGTGCTGATGCTACTGTTACTGCTCGTGGTGAAAATGTTCATACTTATCCTGTCATTAAGGTTGATTCTAGTGAAATTGTCGATACTAATGGTGCTGGTGATGGTTTCTGTGGTGGTTTTATGGGCTTATATGCTCAAGGTGTTGAAGACGCTGCTCGTTGTGTTCAAGCTGGTCACTATCTTGCTAATATTGTTATTAAGCGTGTTGGCCCTACTTATCCACCAATGGCTGAAAGAACTAATATTCCCTCTTTCTAGCTTATTATGAGTTAAGAAAAGAAAAAAAAAAGAAAAGAAAAAGAAAAGGGTTCAACATCCTATATTCCATTACTCGTATTATTTTTGATTATACTTTATTATTGTCAAATATAAACCATTTTTATATAGATTTTTTTTTGTCTTGTTTTCTTTTTTGTATTATAGTTTCAACACTTAATAAATTATGATTATGAATTCATAGAAATTATGTATTTTATTTATGAACATATACAATGAAGAGGATACAGAAATATGGATTATAAAAGAAATGTATAAATTATTGTAAGAGGCAAGTATTAATAAATTGTAAGTAATAAATATGTTATGGTAGTAATAATAATAATAATTTAAAGAGAGATTAAAGATCATCTTGTTTGGAAACTGCTGTATATTTAGTAGTCGTATTTCGAGTTTTTGACAAAATACCTTTAGCAGCATTAGTAAATCGAATGAATAGTGAATCCTTTTGTTGATTATAAACAGTATCAATATCTAATAGACCATTTTCCTCTATATCGCTTTGTGAATCATACAGACCCATTTCAATATCTTCTTCAGGGGTAGTGGCCTTCATTTCATGAACTAGTAGAGATAATCTAATTGAAGGGTCATCCACAAATTCATTATCTTCTTCTACCTCTTTCAATGCTTGTTTCTTCCAAGTCCATTTAAGTGTCAAACTACTCATAACTACACTTGTTGAACTAGCAGCCATAGCCATGCCGGCCATCATTGGATGAAGGCGATAGCCCCATGGTGAAAAGATGCCCATAGCAAGTGGGATACCAATCAAGTTATAAATGCAAGCCCAAAGCAAATTCATTCGAATACGATAAACGATAGCCTTTGACAAATCTAAAGCAGCAACAATATCAGTTAAATCATTGCGCATCAAAATAATATCAGCAGCCTCCATAGCAATATCTGTTCCACTGCAAAGTGCAATACCCAAATCAGCAGCAACTAACGCGGGAGAATCATTGACGCCATCACCTACCATGGCAACCACAGCCTTCCTACCTGTTTTGGAACTATTTTGATGAAGAGGTAAATATGGATTGGATGTTCTATTTCTGGACCACCAAGATAGACGTTCTTGAATAAATCCTTGTTCTTGCATTTTTTTGATAATCTGGGTTTTACCATTAGGTGAAACACCCGCATGTACTTCACTAATACCTAATTGATTCGCAATATAGCGTGCAGTTAACTCATTATCACCTGTAACCATTGCAGTATGAATACCCATGGCGTTTAATGCGGAAATCACTTTTTTTGCTTCTGGCTTCACAATATCAGTTAGAGATATATAACCTGAAAGAATACCATCCATACCGATAAGAACACAAGTTCTACCTAAAGATCCTTGTCTTTTATAAACGTTCTCTTGCTCGTTTGAAAGCCTAATGCCGTTATGATCTTCTAACCATTTCTTATTACCAATAACAATAGTATGAGAGGTATTCAGAAAGGGTTCTAAAACAGGCCTCATCGTTGATATTAAATCCTTTGGTAAATCACTATTAAATAATACATCACAAGATATACCAAAGCCAGTAGCACTATTAAAGTTTTCAACGGAGGCCAATGGGTCTAACACACTTAAGCCGGTTAATTCTTTGCCTATAGCAACAATTGCACGACCTAATAAATGCTCACTAAAAGATTCAGCAATAGCAGCCAATACCAACATTCTCAATCGAGCTTGTTCATTTCCTGTCCAGCATTTAGAGTCAACCATGTCTAGTTTACCACATGTGAGTGTACCTGTCTTATCAAACACGACCTTATTAACAGCTTGTCCATTCTCTAATACATCACCCCCTTTAAAAAGAACACCATTTTCAGCGCCTACGCCAGTGCCAACCATAACAGCAGTAGGCGTAGCAAGTCCAAGAGCACAAGGGCAAGCAACAATAATAACACTAATACAAAGCTTTAAACATACAAAAAACCAGTCGCCATCACCTGTGGCATTAATCTCTTTCTGTAAACTAGCAGGTAAACGATCAGCACCTAATATCTTGAAAAGAATGGTCCAAACAATAAGGGTACTTAAACCAAGTATAATAACAGTGGGGACAAAGTAACTTGCAATACGATCAGCAAATCCCTGAATAGGAGCTTTACTTACTTGAGCATCTTCAACAAGCTTGACAATTTGACTAAGTGCTGTATCAGCGCCCACACGTGTTGCCTTCATGATAAAGGTACCAGGACCGTTGACTGTACCACCAATTACAGCATCACCTAATTTTTTAGAAACGGCATCAACCTCACCTGTCACCATACTTTCATCTACAGTTGTTGAACCCAAGTAGACTTCGCCATCTGTTGGGATTTTATCACCAGGAACCAGCTTTAATAAATCTCCTTCAGAAATTAATTCAGAGGGGATCCTTTTTTCTGATAGAAGTGTATTATTCTCATCTAAAGTCACCAGTAACGCAGTGGAAGGTGTTAAATTCATCAATTTAGAAAGTGCAGAAGAAGACTTGCCCTTTGCCTTATTCTCAAGATAACGACCGAGGACAATAAAGGTAATCAACATAGTCGATGTATCAAAGAAAACAACAGGTGGAGTTTGTGACTGCATCCATAAAGCGCGTGCCATAGAGAAAATGGAAAAGGAGAATGCAGCTAAAGTAGACACGGAAATTAAAACGTCCATTGTTGGAGCTCCGTGTAGAATTGAAACAAAAGCAGATCGTAAAAATCGTTTACCGACACTAAATTGAACGGGTATAGTCAACAATAATTGAGTAGTATCCATCAAGAAAAGACCGGGAATAAAAAAAGGAATTTCCATGACAATTGAACTCCAGCTAAACGTAGGCAAGATCATGGCAATAAAAAAGACAGGGATAGCGAAAAAAAGACATTCAAGAAAGGCTTCCTTCCATTCCTGGATCTCTCGTACTTTAGTAAGGCTTTCTAGCTGCGCGTCTTTAGTATTACTTGAAAGGATAGCATTAAAACCTAACTCTTCGATTGCTTCAATTATATCACGCGGACTTAAAAGATTACAATTAAATCTCACTTTAGTTGTTTCTGTGACTAGATTAACGGAAACCTCTATAACACCAGGTATACTTGAAAGACCTCTCTCAATGCTTGCTACACAGCTAGCACAAGTCATACCATATACCTTCAATTGCAATAAATCATGTTCTTTACGTTCAATAATTTTAGCATCAAAACCAATATCATGAATGATTTTAAGGATTTCATCAGATTGAATTGACGATGGATCGAACGTTACTGTAGCTCTTTCAGCTAATAAGGCGACACTAACATGAGAAATGCCTTTATGTGCTTTACATGCTCTTTCAATACTTGCAACACAAGACGCACAAGTCATCCCCCGTACCTCTAATTGTATTGTCATTGTTGATGTATCTTCATTATCTTCCACTCTTTCCAAGCTCAGTGCTTCGTCCATATTATCTATTAACCCTTTTGTTGTATTTTTGCAATTATCTTTATTACTTGCTTCTTGTTTTGTATTTATAATAACATCAAATCCACAATCCTCAATGGTTTCCACAATATTTGGTATATCTAAGATGTTATGATCATATACAATCGTTGCTTCTTCCTTTTCTAGGCTGACCTCAACATATAGGATGCCGTTAAGGGTATTGAGAGAATTTGTAATTGTTTTTACACAAGAATGACAAGTCATACCAAGTACAGGTAATATAATGGTTGTGACTGGAATATCGAATCCACAATCTTCAATATTATTTTTTAAATCTTTACAAGTTAAAATTAAAGAATCATATGTGACAGTAACCGAGGCATTTTCGAGATCGACATTTACTGATTCAACACCATTAAGTAAGGATAATGCATTAGTAATGGTACGGACACAGGCCTGGCAAGTCATACCCTGTACAGGTAAATGAATAACTTTACTATTGTTACTCATTATAAATTATGCCTGTTATTATTATTAGAAGAAGAAGAAGAAAAAAAAAGAATAAAATAAAACAGAACAGAGAGAAGAGTTTTTTTTTTTTTTTTTTTTTTTTTTTTTTTACGGGGGCTAATCTAAGGAGAATGTGATAAACTCCGCTAAAATTTTATTCATACAACAATTATCCTCCTTTTAGATAAAAACTTGTATGACAGTATATTTTTCTTTTATTTCATAAAATAGATCTGTCTAAAAAAAAAGGGGAGGGGGAAAGGAGAATAAATAATTATGTTTTTTATATTGCGTTTTTATATATGTAATAAGCAATCTATTTAATCTATGTTTGAGATGTTTTCGTTCTTTTACAAGATTGATCTTCTAAATCTGATAAAGGCGGGTCTCTAATAATAATAATAAAAATAAAAACCAATGAATAATTTTATCAGATTTTTTTTTTTTTGTTACCGTCGTATTCCAAGTTGAGATTCAGAGTGCGCTAATAAAAAAATTTTATGTTACAATTTACTACAAATTTATATAAATTGTCCTACTCACTAATAGAGTTTTGTGAAATATTCTGTTGTGGTGTAATTAGACCTAATAGTTCTCCTCTGTAAATATCTTATTAGTAGTCTTCATTTATATGTAATCATTATATATTTTCTTACTCTTCTTCAAATTCAGAATTTGCCAACATTTGAACAAAAAACTCATCATCACCTTCTATACATACACACACACATATATATATGTATAAGAATTAAGAACAAACAATGAGAAAAAAAAATTTAACTTTATACCATAGGAAAAACTATCTTCCGGCATAATTGGGCCTGGAGATAATGCATTGTTATTATTTGTAGCAGTTGAATTTTCTGAAAGTTTATTATCTATAACGTGTTCCTCCGCAAATGTAGTAGCTGGTAATATTTGCTCCTGTTTTATTTGAGCTTGCTGCTGTTCTTGTTTCATCTGATTTTGTCTTTGACGTTGTAGCTCAAGCTGTTGCTCATGTCTTTTCTGTTGTTCTAATTGCCTTGCTTTTTGTATTTGCTCTTCCCGTTCCTGTTGTTGCTTTTGTGTATCAAATTGAATATGACGATATAAATTTTGAGGTGAAAATTTTATCTGATTTTTAAAATGAAACAAGTTAACTTTTTAACTATAAAATATATAAATATATTTTTTTTTCTTATTATATACCTGAGGGTTTGCCATTTTACCAATATTACTAACATATATTTTATCGTATAAACAATTTCCTAACGCATTACCAAAATTGCGTAATGCACGTTTTGTTGCATCAGTAACTGCTTGTTTTTTTGCTTTATCAAATGCTGCGGCTTTCGATCTTGCATTCTCAGATGCTCCATAACCAATATCCTAAATCATAGCAGACATTTTAATTTCACTTTAAAATAAATAGACAAAAAAAAATTACATCATGAAATGTTCCATCTCTTAATGTTATTCTTATTGTAACAGAAACACCAAGACTTATTTTTCCATTATCATTCACATCTACCTATAATGGAATTTTAATAAAAATTATTTTCTTTATTCAGATATTGAAATCAACAAAAAAAAAAAACAAGCTTACAAAATCGACAACAGTTTCTTTTATTTCAGAAGTCCAACCATTAAATCCAAATATTTCATTTGCTAAATTGATTGCAGTATGGCCTTCAATATAAGTCAAACGTCCATTGGGACCACCTCTCTGTGCTAACCATTCAGGACCTAAAGATCTTCGTAGTTTCATAGAGATCTGTTGATATTCTTCTTCAGTATATGGCATTCCTTTCATCTCACTGATTTATGAACGTATACAACTATTGTTGAGAAGCAAAAACAAAAAATAATAATAATAATTGTAGAGTTTTTTTTTAACATAATTTTTCCTATTATGTAAGTCACAAAAAAAAACTATAACAAAAATTATGATTTATCCTTCTTACATGAATCTTTTTTATTTAAAATGACAACAACTATTTATATCAGTAATTTTGTAGCTATAAAAGTGAATAAAATTTCATTTTTGAACTAACAAAAAAAAAAGATAAATTTAAATGCTTCTAAAAGAAATACTTTACGCGTTATTCAGTCCATTACTCTTATCCACTGAAAAGATATGTAAATGTTGATTTATTTTAGTTGTAATCATTCTTTATTTAAAGATGAGTTACATAGGCGCATTTTACTTACAGTCAAAGAAACTAGGTTGGGCCAATGAGAAAAAATTTGGTCGTTTCAAAATTGGATTGGGACACCAATATGAAGGTGGGACAGAGATACAAAAGTAGGACAGCGATACGGAAATGGGACATATTAAGATACTTTTAATTTTTGGGCGAATAAATAGGTCAACTTACCTGTAAATATGGGGTGTCTTGCTGTTATACAAGACATAATGTTATTCAATTGTTAAGGCTATTTTTCCACAAATAATAATATTGTTGTTAGCATATGAAGTAATGAAATCTATATTAATATCAAGATAGCTTACCCCCGCCGAAACTCTTCAGGTCGATTGTTGTTGTTGGCAGCCATATACAAAAAGATAGAGCGTATGTTGAGACTCGCCATGTGATCTCTGTTCCATCGAGTATTACAAGTTTGACAATTGAGAACTGGATGGATCATCATATTGGAGTTATCACGTTGGTTGAAAGTATTTCTTGTATGACATCTGGGGCATATTTGACTTGTGAAATACTCATCAATCATAACGACGTACTTTCTTGAATTTGGCTGGTTGCGTCTGGTTGATTTGACATAATTTAGCAAGGCTTTTCTGAATACCTTTGTTGGAGAAGGTACATTCCCACGAAGCCCACCGAATAGAGCAGAACCAAACGCCACTACTAGTATGCCTTTCAGCTTCACCAGCATTGTCTCTAGGGGATAACGGTTTCCACTTCTGCTGATTTGCTTGCTGTATATCAGGATTACCTTCTTGGTATTTTCTGCTACCTGTAAACAACTGTTTACACATTTCGGTCAATGCTTTTTGCTTGTTTCTATAGCTGTGATATTTGAGCTTTTTCAACCCAATGGTGTAATAGCTTTTAATTGCCTCAAAGTTCCGAAATATATATCGCAAAGCTTCATTGAACTGGTCCCAGTTACACATCCTTGTTGATGGTGTATTAGAAATTAGACGGCGTGCGTCAACATTGACACACAAATGATGACTTGCTGCTCCATTCTTTTTAAAACATGGTGTAACTACGGCAAATACAAGTGAGGTTTAGCATAGTAATCTGCTTCAGTCAGGTTCAAGCCATGTAATCTTTGGCGGCATTCATCAATAAGATTGTTGATTGAGGTTTTGTGAGTTTCGGCAACTTCCAGATTAGCAGGGTAAATTATTTCTTGATTGGTACAAATAGCATTATATACCCGCTCAGCTAGGTTGCGTTTAACATCAGTTCGGAAAGGGTGGTTCGGAAATTCAGTTGTGTCAGAAAGCCTCGTAAAGAGATAGCGCAGCGTTTTTGGCTTGAAGTTGGTTCCAACATGATTCTCTATGAGCGTCTCAAAGCTACGCATGACTATTGAAATTAGTGTGCTATACTGAATGTTGGGGGAACTGTTGTTGCCTATTAAAATCTTCTCCCATGTCATTACTAAATTGTAAGAAAGCTTCAGTGATCTCGGTATCGGTATTCTTTCCTTGACCAACAAATAAAGCAGCAAAGTTGTATAGTTTTTTGTGAGTCAGTTTTGGCACATCCTCGACCAACAATTGATGGGTATCAGCATAAATGACAATAAAATAGGAGAAAGGGGATGTCATTTAAGTTTTCATTCTGTAGAATCGGTAGATAAAAAGATATAAAAAAACAAAAACAGTGGGTTAATATAGATGCTTGTGTGAGTGTTTATTCAATGTAAACTAATTGAAGAACTTTATTGATCCAAGATGATCTCCTTTACATACATTTATCGTTATTTGTTACATGTATGAATATAATCGTATGAAATTGTCGGTTTTCTGATCCACTATTATCACAACATTGGTACCTGGACTACATACGGAGCCCAATATTACAGAGTATAAATAATGATTGTAACCAAGACCTGGTGGCTCTAGGTCTTTCTTTCTTACGAATAATGAAAACCTTACATTCTACGTATCCTAATCACTTTACTTGGCTTTATTATTTCAAAAACGATGGTTCACTCACTCCATCAAACTCACAGAAATGCTCCTTATTGTCCTAAGTAATTCGAATCTGGAATGATTGTTCGTTCTAGGACCATTTAAGTTAGGTGAATCATATCCTAATCTGGATGATTATCTTAGTAGTCTGATAGTCTATTAGTGACCTTTCTTGTTAAATGGAACAAGATTATAGCTTCTTGTTTATACATTCGCCCAAAAACTAAGCGTGTCTCAATATATCCCACTTTCATATTGGTGTCCCATTTTTGCATTGGTATCCCAATCCAATTTTGAAACGATCAAATTTTTTCTCATTGGCCCAACTTAGTTTCTTTGACTGTAATATGTTAGCTCTTTTTTTTTGTTTTATTTAATACGCAAACTATGCTATACTTGTATCACGCGAACTGAATTGCTTCGACCATAATAAACTTTCTTTTCTCTACCATTTAGTCTTGGGTAAAAAGATTTTTTTCCATAATAGTAGATAACTTAACACTTATTCACTTACTTATTTTTTTTTCTTTATTATTGATTCTTTGTTATATAGCTTTCTTCATTGCTCTATTTTTACAGAAATCATGCACTTATTGCGGTTATTTAATTTTATTAAAATAAAATAGGCTATTTAACTGTATGCCTTTTTTTTTTTTTTTTTTTTTTTTTTTTTTTTTTTTAATGATTATATAATACAGCATCGCTTTAATACAATGTCTAATGAGAAAGCAGATAAATCTTATTTGAAACGAAGGAAATCTGATTCTAACCTTTTAAATAATAAAAAAAGAAATGATACCCAAAGTTTAAGTACTCAGGCCCAATTAAACCGACAAAGAATAACTCAAACGGCACATCAACTTAATAAATCAATTTCTCTTATGATGACAGAAAGTCAGATCTCACAACAAGTTTTAAAGAAAGATAATAATCCACAAGAAGATACCTTTTACCGTGCATTAGAAATAAAATTTCATCACTCTGTTGGTAGCATGAGTATTAGTCCTGCATGTAGAGATGTTGTATTAGCCGGGTAAAAAAAATAAAAAAAAATAAAATAATAATAATAATAATAATATTTGTAGAATAACTGCTAATGTTATATATATGTATAAATAAATATATAAAGTCGGCAGGGTTTAGTAATCATAGATCTAGAAGACCCTTGGCTAATTCCTAGAATCTTGCCACATGTATCAAAATGGGAGGTGGCTGATGTTCAATGGAGTCCTCATATTGTCCGAGAATCTTGGGTTGCCTCTACTGTACATTTTTATTTTTATTTATTTATTTATTTATTTATTTATTTTTTTTTTTTTTTTTTTTTTTTTTTAATTTTTACTTGATCAAATATTAACTATTTATTATATAGTCAAATCAAAAGTTATTAGTATGGAATTTGAATTATACAGGCTCAAGAGCTATTGAACATGTATTTCATGCACATACTCGAGCTATCTCAGATATTAATTGGTCACCACATCAACCTGATATTTTAGCAACTTGTTCTGTTGACACTTATGTTCATTTATGGGATTTAAGAGAACCACAAACTAGATCCAAAGATCAGGATGATGATAGAAAGATGAGACCTACTTGCTCATTTACCCCTTGGAATGCTGCAGCAACACAAGTTAAATTTAATAGAAAGAGCGAACATTTGCTAGCATCTGCACATGATAAGGAGGTCAAAATTTGGGATTTAAGGAAAGGCGCTGTTCCAGTAACAAGTATTACTGCTCATTCAAAAAAGATTTATGGTATTGATTGGAGCAGACAGAATGATCATGATCTCGTTACATGTAGTTTAGATAAGCTTGTAAAGTTTTGGAATATCCATACACCAGAAGTAGAAGAGGAAGTTATTGTGACAGATACCCCTATTTGGCGTGCAAGGAATACTCCCTTTGGAAATGGCGTACTCATTATGCCTCAAAGAACAGATTCAAAATTGTCATTGTATAATAGAGCATGTCCAGAGACACCAGTTTATGCATTTGATGGTCATCAAGATACTGTTAAAGAATTTGTTTGGCGATGGAAAGGTGATATTCATGGTGTAAATGGGGATGATCGTGAATTTCAATTAGTTACTTGGTCTAAAGATCAAAATTTACGATTATGGCCAGTCTCAGAAGATATTATGCGTTCAGTAGGGCATGATCTGAGTTCTAAGAAAACTAAACTTTCTACTCCTGCTACAGCCCTTGATAAAAGTAATAATCATCGTTCTCATTCTTTCCAACAAGAACCTATCGAAAAGTCTTCAAATGATATTCGTTCATCTTTCTCATCTACTACTACCCCTACTACTACATCACTTCGATTAACCCCTAGCAGTAATGCCTCCAGTATGGCACCTTATCGATCTAATATACCCAATAATACTGGTTATGAACAATCAAACGCATATCGAGAACAAAAATACTCGGCTATTAATCCTTTACTTTGGATGCAGAATGTGAAAACAGTTGGCCCTACGGGTGAAATTCGACGAGACGCTGCAGCTGAGAATAATTATCAATCGGTTGCAGAAGAAATGTCTACTGTCTTGAACAAATATTTACCAGTGGGTGTTAAAACAGAGAAAATCAATGCTGCATCACGTACATGCACAATTTCTTTACATGGTCCATGGTCTGATACTGGTGATGCTCTTTTACGTATTACAATCAGATTTAGTCCGCAATACCCAGATAATAGTCCACCCAAATTTGACATCCATAAAAATAGTATGATATCTATCTATTATCGTGCACACATGACCCAAGATCTGAATGCATTAGCATCCAGTTACACATCGCATAAAAAATGGTGTTTAGAACCATGTATTCGTTATTTATTAGGAGAAAGTATGCAAGATGAATCAGAGTATGGTTTAGAGAACCCTAATTCTTCAGTAGATTCATCAGCTGGATTGATGAATCAGCATAATAATTCGACTGGTAGCCCTGGGTATTGGAAGGGAACGACAACTATTGAAACTGATTCAGATGATGAACTAGGCCATGGTTGGAGAAGTATGGGGGAAGATTTCCGTTTTGCAAAACGCGAAAGTATGACTAGTGAAAGAGGCATCATGGTTGATATGTCGATTAAACAAAGTACAGATGCTAAGGTACCGTTTCCCCGACTTTGTGGAGGTGTTTTTTCAGGTAGTGGGCAGCTTGTTTGCTTCTTTTCAACTTTACGAGTAAGAAATACAAACAAATCAAAAGATTCAGATAATAATAAAAAAGAGCAACAACAACAAGACAATCAATCTCAAAGTGATCGTGATAATGGAGAATATTTTGAGAATACCTACAGTGATTTTTATAGACATCCTAAAACATATGAACAATTTGAAGAATATAAAGAAATTGCTGCAATGTCTAGACAAGGAAAAAATGCAACTGTATTAGTAGGCGGTACAGGAGGTGCATTTGGTGAATATGCTTATGATGATGAACAGGATGACATAGATGATGGTCTTAATACCATAGATGCATTTGGTGCTATCTATTATAAAACAGATGTAAGTTTAAGTTTAGATTAAAAAAAAAAAAAAAAAAAAAAAAAAAAAAAAAAAAAAAAAAAAACTCAGAATCATTAACAATTTATTCTCTTAATAGAATATTGCTCTCAATAGCTCAATAGGGAATGGTGATAATTTACTTTATCATGGTACTAAAACTGATAGAATTACACATAATGTGATTATAGCTGATTTTTCGGACAAGATGCCATATAGTCCATGGCTTGCAAGAGAATATATGTAAGTATATAATATATATTAATAACGATTCAATATATAACTAATTTTCTTATTTGTTAATTTTAAAAAAAAAAGTCTTTCACCTAAAGATCCTGTATTTGCATGTATTCATAATGCTAAGGTTTGTAAGAAGTATGGAAGATTTGACTTGTATAAAGTTTGGCTTCTCGTTGTTGAGGTGCTTCGAGAATGTGTTCCTATTAGAATATCAGGAATGAATCATATGACTACAGATGGCTGTCAAGTTTTAATTGATAATATAAAATCCGATACAATCACTATGAATGAGCATTGGCAAAGAGATCAAGAAATATTTAACATAAAAAATCTATTACACAATAGTAATATTCCAATAGAGTTTAATAAGGCATTAGATATAGATGTAGGCGTTGTTAAGTCATTACAAAGAATCAAATGGGGTATGCATCCATTAGGAAGGAAATTGGTTGATGCTTTGTAAGTATAGAATCTCATAGATTACTAATACCAATTTAAACTATGGTTTAATCTCATTAAAAACAAGACTTCAGCACTTTATTAGTATAGGTGATATACAAACTGCAACTATGCTTTCATGTTCATTTAAAATCCAGTCTACTAAGCGTCCTTCATCCATATATGGACAAAAGGTAATGTTACAGATGACAATAATGATAAAATTAGGTTAATAGAATATATATAGTCTATTCCAATCGATAAAAGGTCTGAAACAATAGAGTTAGATTACTTTTCTTTAAAAGCAAATCATCGTAATATAGTCTATGGGAACCAACACAGCCTTCGTGCTAATTCAGGACCTAGTATTGATACAAATGAAAAAATAACAATTACATCTACTAGTAATTCGTATGGCAGTAAACCAAATGCTATATCATCCTATTTTTGGGATAATGATACTAGAAAGATAACACCTAGTGAAAAAAATGTTGAAAAATCAAATGATACCCCTAATGAGTCTACCTCACGTAATAAGCGTAATTTACGTTTGAACAAAACTTGGGTTACTAGTCCTTCAAAACCAAAGATACCAAGTAATACCGCGCCTGGTATTCGCCATGTGGTAGAGAACTTTGGCCCTTATTCGCCTGGTTTATCATCGCCTATTATAGGAACACCTACAACACCTCTCTTTAATAAAGAAGGCAGGGTTTTGCCAGATCCTTCAGCTATAAAAATTGAATTCACAAACAAAGAATACTTTGATAGTGAACGATTCTTTGAATATAACCATATTCCATTATTGGATCCAAAGGGAGCAGCACAACGGGATGTGCTATGCTTTAATTATGCAGATTTATTGTATAGATGGAATTTATTAGACCAACGTGCTGAAATATTACAGTATCTTACATATCAACCTTTCCCACCTAATAAGGAGGTTACTTCAACAAACATTCAAGTCTCCTGTTATGTTTGCGGAACAGAGCTTTCTATGAGTGATAAATATTGCATGAGATGTCGTAAAAATCGAAAGTTGATCCGATGCTGCTTCTGTCATATCTTGGTGAAGGGCTTAGTTAATTTTTGTATTCATTGTGGTCATGGTGGACATAGCAATCATATGGAGGACTGGTTTGTTAAAAACCAGCAAACTTACTGTATGACTGGATGTGGTTGTAAATGTGCATTAGAGCCGTTAGAATTAATTATTTAAAATAAACGAACTTACGTTACATGTACTGATAAATAACTTTTCATCTTCTATGATGTATATGTATATATATTACTATATTAATATGAATTTACTTTTATTTATATATACTACTATTATGCATTATAAAAAAAAATCTAATATTCTACTATTACATAATCAAGCAGCTACTGCCATTGATTTTGTTTTTTCAACTCTAACAGCAAATGCTTTAATCTGTCGTAGCATATCTTCTACAACAGGAGCTTGTTGAGATTGAAATATTTGCTCAATTAGGGGTATCCATTCATTGTTAACGATATTCGATATTTTCGTAACAGGTGCCACCCATTCTTCAGCTAAAGGAATTAATACAGGTTCAGAGTCTTTTTCTGATTTAGTAATGGATTGGTCCTTTTCTATTGAGTTGGGAACAGATTCTTCATCAGAGTCTGAATCATATTTATCATAAACAATATTTGCATATTTGTTTTCAGTGCTTTCCATTACCAAGTCAATTACTAAAGAAAGAATACGCCAGCCAGCAAAGAATGCAGCCATAGGGTTCCCATTAGGAAGAGAATTTTTAGGATTTGGACGTGTACGAATAGAAAGATTTAAAAATTCAATATAAATCAAAGCTTCTTCTAAACCTTTCATAGTTAAGCCTAATTGAGATGCAAGGCCCTTACCAAATGATTGAGGAAACAAGACTAGATGATAAAATGATAATAATGAATGTATTATACCATGAACCCAATGATTCTTGGGTACAGGGACTTTATTCTTTTCGGGTGAAGGGTCAAGTAAATCCAAAAGATAAGGCTCCAACATACGCATCATACCTTCATTCATAGAGCGGTTACCATTGATACGAGATATAAAATTCATAACCATCACTTGTACATTATTCTCTCGTTCACCTATAAAACTAGCTTCATCATCCTTTACTTGAGCTTGACATGCGAAACAGGTCCATATCCCATGCTGATTACGATAATTAACAGGTTGATTACAATTTTTACATGCAACTCCTCTTGACCAATCCCAATCAACACAACGCTCACAAGTGCATTTAAAGAATTTAAACTTCTCCAGTTTCGCTTGACGATCCATGGTCGTTCCACAAATTAAACCGCCTAAAGTTGACTCATCCTCGGGCAAATAAGAAAAGGACAAGATATCACCTTCTTTCAAAGGACGGATTACGGTAAAGATCATTGCATTACGAGCAGGTTCAAAACGTAAAAACAGATTAGGTGAACAAGAATGAGCAAATTTAGATCCCCAACGTAAAAGAGCGATAGTAGGTGTATTTATATCTCCAGCTTCTGCTTCTTCATTACCCCAATAGCAGTTCAAATAATTATCTTCTCCAAATTTATGTTTATACATCGCACGACGTGCCCTTTTGGCAGAATGCGTTGGTAATGTTCGATTACGAGGGAGCAAAACTGTATGTGCATTTGAGTATATTTTGAGGACAAAACTACGAAGATCAAAAGGATCGACATGCGAATATAAAGGAATTGTGTCTACTACCTTTTGAGTTACAGTGTGAATAATTCTTATAGTTTTGTGATCTAACCAATGAGGCTCAGTGTCTGTATTAGGATAATAAAAGAAATCAAAGTCTTTTTGTTTATAAGTTTGACGTCTTTGTACATTATTATATGATTTAGGTGGATGAATATTCAAGTAAGCAATAATAGCTGCTGGTACACCAGGACAAAAATCAGAATCATTACTGGGCGCATCCTCATCTTCATCCTCATCCTCGCTATCATTGTCATCCTCATCATATGATTCATATCCTTGTTCTACTTTTTTCTTTATATCCTCGGTGCACTTGCTAGTTTCATCTTCCTCTCTCTTTTCTATATCTTGGACTATTGTGGTAATTAACTTCCAAAGTCTTTTAGAGTAATAGGGCGATTTACTTGATCGACAAGTAGGCTTAAGATCATACTGAATTAAAGGCTCTTCAACAAGTACAATATCTCCAGGTGCAAGAGGACGCTTTGCAACAAGTGATCTGCCTACATTTGGACAATCCTCTACAAGTACATTATTTTGAAAATCTTCTTTATTGATGACAGAATGAATGCCAAAGTAATCAACACTTGTCATTTTCGTAGATACAAAAAGTGTCAAAAAAAAAAGGAAAAACTTTTTTTTTTGTCTACTGATATGTAAAGAGCGGTCGGTGTTTCTAATATTTGTAGACAGGCAAGTAAAAATATATGATATACAGTTATGCCAGAACTTGTTTTTTTTTTATTCGTAAAAAAACACAAACACACACACACACACACACACACACAATTCCATCATGTTAACACTTGGATTAGGGCAACTATTTTATGTAATGCTTTGTTTCGTTAATGCAATTGCTGTGTTAAGTGAAGAAAGATTCCTAGCAAGAAGTAATTTTTTTTTTCGAAAAAATAAAAATAAAAAATACATCACTTATATATATTTTTAACAGTTGGATGGACAGCACAAACAGAAGCAGGATTTGGTAATGAACAAGGACAAAGTATTAAATACAAGATGATCAATTTGATATATGCAGTTAGAACATTAATGAGAAGTAAGTTGTTAAATGTTTGCATGTATAAATATTAAAATTAAATAACAAAATATTTGATAGTTCCTTTAATTGCCATAAATATAATTGTCATCATTTATGAACTTTTACTAGGATAATACATTTATATATGAAAAATAAAAAAATTCTTAAAATAAATAAATAAAATCTCCTATGTTGCAAATCCAATACCAATTAAACACCAAAAGGAATAACTTTTGATTTTATCATCATCAAATCGTAAAGAAGATTTCTTCGAACCATCAACACTATCATCCATGTCCATTTCATCCATTTCATCAGCGTCAATGTCACCTGATGAAACATCCATTCGATCTTCATCTGATTTATAGTTATATGTTACAAGAAGGGGAAACTAATAATAATAATAATAAAAAGATTAACTTTCTATATTTTTCCTGTTAGTTCCCTTTTACCTTAAATTCGCCTGTTTCTTCAGGAACAACTTCAATTAAAATACTTGTATAATTGTTCTTCTTTTCATATATACCATCTACATAAGAATATGCAGCGTAATTATTGTTATTATTGTTACGCTTATTACTATTGTTGCCCATTGGATACATCTCGTCATCATATTCGATGGTTTCGTTATAAGCTCCAACGGTGAAATGAGGTGATAATATGGTAACTTTGCCATTTATTTCTTTGATTTGTGGAGTAGCTAATGTGATATTCATTTCTTCATACAAAGGATTTGTAAACTTCAATATGAGCTGAGTAGGGACACCTACTTTTAAATGCCAATTCTTTTTTGGCAATTTTACCAACGTGATAGTTGGTATATAGTTCCTAAATAATATTAGATTTTACCTTATCCTCTTTTTTTTCTTTTTCTAACCTATGTCAACTTACATGGCTACTAATTTGATTTTGAATCTAGTTGCTTGAGCTTTTTGCTCGGGTTTAATTAAAATATGACGACAGCTACGACACCGTTTTGATCTTTTAATAGCCAAATGTATACGCTGAGGATGTATCTTACTAAATACATAATATTAGTACCTTTTCCTTCTTAAAAAAAAAGTATATAAGAAACTTAACATACGATAATTCATAAGGCTGATTATGTAATTGAGAAAATCTCTGAGATAATGTCGAAACTGTATTTTAATAAAGTAAATATATACATGTATATTTGATTAAGGAAAATAGAATACTACTGACCTCCATCGATACTTCTCATTGTTGTTATAGATTCTAATAATTTTATATCATCATCTGCTATTTGAACGCTAGGTTCATATTCACTTATATCATCTAACTTTCCTTGCTGCATATGCGTATCGTGATGGAAATGACTTCCCATATATTTACTAAATGCTGTAGAACTTGAAAATGTTAAGAAACTTGTAGGTAAAGACGGTGAAGAATTCACTCTTAAATTCTTTTCAAAATGCTCTTTCAACTGATCAAATTCTTTTGTATCTGCTAAAGCCTCCTCATTCTTTTGCAGTTGCACTAAAGATAAATACACATAAATTTAATACAAATACAAATAAAATAAAATAATAATAAAAAAGAATCTTATGTTTTCACATACATGCTAAACTTGTTGGTTTTTCAAATGTCATATTTATCTCTTGTGAATTCCATCGACACACATTACAAGCCAAAAAATAAGGTCCTTGGCCGGATCCTATACTCGATATTTGAGTTGGTTCTTGAGCTGCAACTACAGATAAAGTATTTTGGCAAATAGGACACTGAAAGCAATTTCTAGCACATCTTTTATATAAACATATATAAAGGGGAAAGGAGTAACTGATTAATGTTTTGTTTAATGAATAGAATCTAATCTATTTTTACCTATTTTTTTCACTCTTTACACTTGCTGTAGGTACCTAAAATAAATGAGTTTTTCTTTCCTTTTTTTTTTTTTTTTTTTTTTTTTTTTTTTTTTTTTTTTTTTTTTTTTCTAACACAATGAACTAATTCAACTTAGACTCACTTCAAAAAGACAGTTTGGACAATAATATGAAACAATTTCATCTTGAACACAAGATGGACACCTAATCTGATGACAATCCTCGCAAAAATAAAGACGAGAAAGTGGGTATATGTAATTCGATGCTTGTTTAGATAATAGATGAAGTCCTGTAAGTGAAGCAACGTTTTCGTTTGTTAATGCATTTTCAGTTGTGCTTAGAATGGATAGGTAATTTTCTTTCTTTGCTGAGCAATCACAGTAATATTCAACAAATGGGATAGATTCATTTTCATCTACTGCTATCATGATAATATGTATATTAATATATGAATAAAATATTATTAATAAATATACAGGCACAATATGAGTTGGATACATTTTATAATTTTGAAGTGAGACTACTACGATTAAATTCTGAGTTTTATTATTACTATTATCATTATTATTTTTTTTTTTTTAAATTTTTTGGCAATGAGCATGTAGCGACGCAATATTGCCCGAGCCAGTTATAGAGGGGAAATAAGAATAAAAGCCTTCCTAAAGGACAAGAAGGAAAAAGTAAAGAGCCGTATTTTGGAATTAAGAGAAAATATAAGGAGGAAAAAGCGAAATACAAACCAGACCAAAGGGACCGGGAAGACACACACTATTACTTGGATAACCAATTCAACAGCTTGAGACCAGGGTCGACAGGATCAGGAGGAAATTCATCATGGAAGTATTACCAAGTTCATGTAGAATTGTACAAAGAATAGGCCATAAAATATACCAGCTCGTACAATCAGAAGGACGACAAGGTTTATGTAGTGGAAGCAAGTTGAGGAGGAACGAGATGGGATCTTCGACTGAAGTAGGCATGTAGAGACGATGATGTACATGTAAGCATTCAATAGCATGTCGCTGGCTCCAATTATGAGACGGGTGAAATATACATTCTTTAGGTTTACCACCCGGTAGCCAGCCAAGTCGCCATCGAAGCACTCGGCTACGATCTGAGGTAGTCATTGGTAAGTAAAGGATGGGATCCAATTCAAGAGTGGGGCGTGAGGAAGACAATAGGAGGGAGTTAGTGTCTTGACGAAGGATTTGAAACTGGTCATCTAGAAACTTAGCACGAAGAGTGTAGAATTGTTTTAGGTCGAGCGCTGAGATGATTGGTGAGCATAGGTGTTTCCACAATGTAGTTTGAGCCAATTTATACCAGTGGGAATGACTATTTGGGAACTGAACATGAGTCAAAAGATGGGGGTAAAAAGAGTATCTGCTAGTAATTGAGAGGTTCGAAAGAGGTATTGCGCTTGGAGGACTGCAATACGGGTCTTCATGGATGGAAGATTGACAAGGTGAAGCATGACTTTCATCGAGGACCGCAAGTGACCACCAAAGATACGTCGAATGCATGAATTTTGAAAGGTATCCAGTTCTTTGGTAAGTTTAGCAGAGAAAGAACTGATTGCAAGACCATAGTCTAATTGAGAACGAATAATATACTACTACAGTGCCTCCACTCCTAATTTACCGACTTTTTGAGAACTTGGCCCATTTTTTGAAAAAAATTGCTCGCCTGTGTGAGGTTAAGTTGCCCAGAAAAAAAAAAGACTAGTTTGACCAGACGTTTGAAGACCAATTTCTGATCAAATCAATTACAAAGGTTCTTTATTTAAGCATTTAGGGAAACAGTTGATAGAATGCTGAATGAAGTTCTGCAAATGCTCGACAGTGTTTAGAATACAATAAGAACTTGATAAATTTTATTGCACAGTTTAAGATTTTTTCTTAAAAAAAAAAAGGCGTAGGGTTTAAACACAAGATTTAGAAATAGTATTGATGAGGGACATTAGTGCTATCCAAAATCGTTTAATATATTTACTCCAACTACTCTACAAATATAAGTAGATGTACTTTAATATCATAGCTCAAGAAGGAAGTGTAGATCATTGTTTCCAGTTTCAAACTAGACTGATTTTCGGCACTTTTTTTTTATTATTATTATTTATTAGATTAAGCATGAAAGGGTTTAGCACCATGTTTATTTGTAATAATGAATGCATATGAATGGCTATGGTATTAGATAAAGGTAAAAGGGTTAGTATAGCACATGAGACAGAATCATCGACCATTAATTTCCTTTAGTTTTTTTTTTGTTTCTACTGGGGGGAGTAATACATATTTAATGGCTCCCTTGCGGGTACTCTTTCAGGGCTGAGGCATATAGGAGTGGATGGGCAGCTAATGTCAACTGTCTTGTACTTACACTTCTCTTTGAAGACACCAAGGATTAGCCTTCGACTTTGATGTAATATATGTTTACGCCATTAATACAAGTATTTAATGGTGGCGCGAAAATCTTCGAGCTCGATGAGATTGACAGGCAAATGGATTAGAACTGATTTGATCAACAAGATGTACATTCTCAAAGAGCTTCAAGCCAGCGATATATCCACCAGCACTCCCCAAAAATCCATATAAATCAAGTAAATATTATCTGCATTTGTTTTGGCTATCAAATCAATCAGGATGGCGCCATTGATACGGATAGATTTTGATTGTTGGCATGTTAAGAGCCCCATCCTAGCGTCTTGTCTCTTAAATTCAATACAGCAGTATTCATTGCGAATACTGTAACAAGAATGATGAACGAGTACATCTATTCTGTGGTCAAAATCAGAGGTGAAAGTAGCGTCCGATACGGTTTCATCAGATTTTATGGAGATGTTGTCGCCTTGAAACATAACAGTGAGCGAGCAACAATTCAAAATTTGATGAGAACACGGTTTCTGTTACATTTGGGGCTCTTAATCTTCCAAAGTTAATTATGCTAAAAAACGTAACATACATGGTTATTTAAAGTCGACCTTTGGCACATACATTAAAATCTGTTTTACTTACACTATCCGAATAAGGCTTAAATCGTTTGTATCGTTCAGACTTTTTATCTTTTTCCTTATATTTCTCTTCATCAACGAAATCAATAACTCTATTAGTATTAGGGCTAAATGAACATATGCAATTGTTAATAAGATGTAGACTCATTTACTTTGGGGTTTTCACTTACTCCAATTGGTAGAGTAGCAGTATCTTCTTATTATTCATCATCCTTATCCACAAAATATATAAATACTCTTACATTATTAACCCTTATTTTGTATATAACTTGAATTATAATTGAACTCATTTTTATCTTAATAAAACTTATTGATAACTCTCAACGTACTTCTTCTGTTTGTTTTCTTTTATTTATATTTTATTATATTCTTACCTGTAAACTACAACACGTCACCATGCTTTCACTAAGGGATGTTAAAAAAGGACGCCATGTAAACGCATCATGCACACTTCATCTTCAGAGAAAGATGCGACCTTTAACAGCTTTCAGCTCTTACAACGACCTAAGGTAAATCATAAGATCCTTACATCTTTAATACGGCTTTTCCTTGAATCAGTTCATCCATTTAAAGTAAAAAAACTTTTGCAAAAAAAATTCTGTGAATTTCAAGTTTGAATTTATTTGAACTAGCTAGAATACTACCTATTACTAAACAATTACATTTAAACCGAATTTATACAAGAACTTACCAAAAGTTGGTTAATTATAAAAAAAAAAAAAAAAGAATCACTTACCCAATGATTAATGTTACAAACGACATAAAGAAAACCACATATCAGACTATTGAAGCAGACTCTTACAAGACTTCCACTGCATATGTTCTCAAGACAAACAAAGCCTTGCGTGATTCAACAAATTTCAATCCATTAGATAACAATGCCAAGCAACCTTCAATAATAGAGGTCAATGAGCCAGACGAAGGCGAAAACGAAGGCGAAGAAGATGAACAAGGTGAAGATGAACAAGAGGAAGACGAAGGCCAATAAAACGAAGACGAGGATGAACAAGATGTAGGAGAACAAGATGAAAAAGGTACTAAAATTATCTAACTAAAGATATTTACCACTCAATATTTTTCATACACAGGTATTCGTGGACGACTTATGGAATCACTGACAAATAAACTAAATGGAAAACCTTATAATCCTATCACTTATATAGCCCAAGACAAACATAATCTTGCGCACTTACTATCACAAGAGACATCGGACAACAGCAGAATAAAGAAAGTCTGTAGTGCTGATCTAGAGCTCTGGAAACTAGCCGTCTCTTCCACCATCAATTTTATGCATCCAATTTTTGAAGTTCGACTCTCTAAACTGTTTACTGAGCAACAACTGGACACAACAAAGGGTCACATGAATGATCAAAAGAAAGTATCTCAAAACACTAAGAATGATTACTAAGAATGATTATAGATATAGATATATACATCCATGTCCTTTGTATATATTTATTTTTATAACTAATATGTATACTCTGAGTGGAATCAACTGTCACGCGCATTTGAATTATTCTTAGTTTATCTACAGCTTGACTTGTGAAGTTATTTTCATAAATTTATATTCATAAGAACAATAATAAAAGAAGAGATATTTTTTAGATGTAGGACTTTTATTAATTATTTTTTCTGTAGAAGGGTGAATATATTCTTAACATGTCTACAGACAGAATTATCATACAAGTGCACTATATATATTCTATTATGACTATTTATCTTATTGAAATTAAGTTACAAATTTTATAACCATGACATGGCATAAGCTGTGTATGTTTGACCTATATAGCTGTGCGAGTAGCGTAGATGCTACAGCAATAACTGATTAACTCGCACCCTTGATACTTATGACCATGGATGACATTTCATTACAACCAACTCTTGTTAATGGTGAACTACAGTGCAACTCCGGATACTTTGATATGATTCATTTATTTTCAAAAAGCTAGTCAAATTAACTTTAAACATCTGGTCAAACTAACCTTTTTTCTTTTTTTTGGGCAACTTGATCTCACGCAGGCGAGCAATTTTTTTTTTCAAAAAAAAAAAGGCGGAGTTTTCAAAAAATCGGTAATGAAGATACATAGAATTTATAGTGCAGGTAATTCGCAGAAGTCAACTCCCGTTGTTCATCATTATCATTTAAATTCATAGAATTGATTTATTTATTAACAGAGAGAGAGAGATAGAGAGATAGGAAACATATCTAATCTGCTTATCCCCTTAAAATATCTATATAACACTTTTTTTTTATTATATTTATGTAATGCGAGACTGAGTGAGTTATAATTATTTTCATTTTTTCTTAATTCGGTCAGAAAGGGAGAAGAGGAGAAAGAGAGGAGAAATTCATATAAAAATGAGAAAGAGAGAAAGAGAGAAAGAGAAAGAAAGAAAGAGAGAATGCATACAAGTGTTTGTATAAATGTATAAGTTAAAATAAAATGTAATAAAAGTAAAAAGCTCCTTAAATATGTAGAGAAAGAGAAAGAGAGAGAGAGAGAGAAAAAGTATAAAAATACCTAAATATTTAATTGTTTCCCTTTTTCTTTTCTTTTTTTTTAATTTTTTTTTTTTTTTTTTTTTTTTTTTTTTTTTTTTTTTTTTGAATATTATGCCTACTGCAACTAGACAGCAGATTTTAATGAAACATTCGTATAGTTCAACAAATACTATTAGAAATAATAATATTAAATTAGCTCCAACAATTAAATCAGCTTCAATTATATCATTTGAAAAATCGATTGTAGATCAAAAGTTTTGGTATCTTATTAAAGTCGAACCATTACAACAAACCTCTCAAGGTCCCTTGAATGATAGTATGTATTATATCAAGAGACGCTATGAAGATTTTTGTCAATTATCTCAGATTATTCATGAAAGATTTGGTACTACAAATAAGCAACGAATTGGTTCACGACCATTACCAAAGATTAAAACTAAATTAAGCATTCTTCCGGCTGGGAAACATTTATATGCGCAACGAGTAGAGGAGCTTAATCAATTCCTCACTATTTTATTTCAAAAGCAATCTATAATAACAGAATCTAATATAGTACATGAATTCTTTGGAATTCATAGATCAGATTTAGTAAGCAATAACGACAGTCATCATTTTATATTACAAAAACAAGAAGAAGAAGAAGACAAAGACGAAGGAAAAGCGGATCAAGATAATATGAGAGAGCTAAATGAAGATCAACAACATAGTAGTAATAATGTCTCTCGATGGAAACGACTTCGCTGTTCTTCATTTTTAGCACGATCTCCTCCTTCATCAAATACTACTACTCATGGTTTATCTTCTTTCTGTAGTCAAGCTGCTAACAAAATCATGCCATCTTGGCATCGTAACCATCGTCCATCTGCCATGACAATACCATGCTCACCACAATCCTCTATTTCAACTCCAGCTAGTAACCTTACTACTGCATCAAGGTCAATTCGACAACGTAAAGGAGGGGAGGGAGGCTTAAAGAAATGTAAATCAAGTCTTTGTATTGTTTCTGAAAACAACCCTGAATTAAGTCTATCCAGTCATATTAGTATAGCCGATACAACAACAACAACAACTTCATCTATATCTCATGAACTGAAGAGTACTATTAAAATCAAAGTTATATATGATGCACATAATATTATTGTCATACAGGTTCCTCGGACAATTGCCTTACATGATTTACGTTCTCGTATCGCACAAAAATTTTCCGATCCAAGTATAGGAAGTCCTATTAAAGTCCATCATGAAGACCTTGTATTATTATTCAATGAAAATGGTAGTTATAGCAGCAGCAGTACTTCATCTTCAACACATAATTCTGATATCGTTACGCTACCTGCTATTTTGATTAATAAGGAAAAAGATTTGATAAATATGATGCAAACAAAATGGAATAGAATGAATAAAGTTACTTTGCGTTGTATCATATAACCGGCCTTCCATTATAATTACTTACTTACTTACGCTCCTTATATTTATATATGTGTATATATTTATCAAAAATATATATTCATATATTTATACATATATGTATATACGTATATATGTTTACTTTTCTCCTTACAAAAATGTCCATATTTATGTATATTTTTAATAACCCTATTTTTTTTTTCAAATAATAATTGATGCCTATTCCTTTATCTCTCCTTTTTCTCCCTTTACTTTATCCAAAAAGTTGATATTACGCATTTATATATGTATATATATATATATATTTATATGTATATATTTTTTAACACATATGTATAATAAATAAAATAGGATATTTTTCTTTCTTTATTATTATTATTGTACACGATATAAATAAACAGGTAAAAAAAAAAATCCTTTTAATTATATAGGTATACGTACAGTAAGATATTATATGTAAATAATTATGTTCTTTGATAAAGTACTAGCATTCTCTTTCTCTCTCTCTCCCCCCCCAAAAAAAAAAAAAAAAAAAAAAAACTATGCACATATAAATATATATATGTATTTATATACTTCCAAAAATGCAATATAAAAATAAAAGAGATAAATAAAACAAACTACATCTTTTTCTTTTTGGTACGTTTTTTTGGCTTTGATACCAAGTCATGATCTTTCCCATGTTTAAAGACAATGATAGAAGACGATGGTAACACATGAGTTGGAGTAGCCTGCTGATAGTGTGAAAAAAGGGACATAAATGTTGGTGTTGATGTTGATGAAGGACTGATAAAAATGGGATAGTTGTTACTCGTCTCGTTATAACTCTGTTTAAACACAAACGTATTCCCACCCACGAAATGGCGACGATGATGATGATGATTAATGGTGGTGATTTTCATCCTTGAGAATTGATCTTGAATCCTTTGTGCATACATTTTCATTTTAAAGACATCATGTGCATACGCCTGCGTACTCTTTAGTAACATGAGATTGATTTTAAGCTGTTCTTCTGCATATGATTTAATTTTACCGTTTACTGACAGGGTATCGTCGTAATTGAAGATACGTTTGGCTGTATTGTGAATAGCAAGGAACATATGATGATACGTGCTTTGATCGCATCCAAGTGTTCTCAAATGTTGAAGTGCCTGAAGTAACTCCAAATTTGTTTGAAGACAATCAACAAGGATATCTTCGGTTGGAGGATAATTTGGATGAAGAAATTGATAAAGAACTAAGAGACGCATAGAGTGATAACACAAATGAAGATCCGAGAAGGTGTTCAATTTAGGCAACTTTGAATACCAACCTATCAGACTTTTAGTAATCTCATAGTAAACCTTAGAGGGCCTCTTTTGTTGATTAAAATAAACAAAGAGGTTATCAGAGTAAAGAGCGCGAATATAACGTCTCATGTATCGTGCAAGTTGAGCAAAATGATACACATCATGTTGTGCTTTTAATTCATGAGTCAAGGGTCTATCAATTGAATCTATATTGATCCAAGGAATATGATCAGGTAATAAACATTCTCGATTCATTGTCAGACACATCCAAGCATCTACATAATACCATCGTAGATAACATTTTAATGATAGTTCATCTATAGGTGCTGCCCTTGTCGCTAAATGCTGCAATGAAATTGACGCTAAACTTCCCCAAGTTCGTTGCTGTTCATAAAGTCTTAAAAGATTAGATGTATAACTGAGACAAAAATAAGATTGAAGGATAAAAGGTTGCATATCATCGAATAAGATATCATCCAGTTTATTTCGGGCTTGCTCATAGAATACCATGGCTGCTTGTTTAGGATATACATCATTATCATCCCTACTTTGTTCATCCCTTATCGTTACAAGACTAATGGATGCAATACAGTAAATAATTGCCTTTGGCGTCTTTTGCCAGTTCTTTACCAAATCAACACTAATAGGTGCAACTTTAAACTTGATACAACACCAATGCTGCACAGCACGATTCATAAGAACCTCTAATAGTGATGAGCTTTCAATATCTAGACGAACAGAAGGCGGTATAGTCATGAATTCTGTTGTTTGTGTTGTTGTTGTGTTTGACATATGAATTAAATCATCTTCTGCGGTTGGCCAATGTACGGATGGTTTTCGTTGCTGACTTGCTAAAGCCCTTATCCTTGATGTTGTTGAATAAGGTTCAATCTCCTCGATATCCTTCAAGGCAATTAAGAGATCTGAGAATGTATTTAATTCAAGAATAATATTTGTGTCTTCTTCAAGCGAAAGAAAGGTATCGTCCCATGTTGGAAATAACGGTTGCTGTTCCTTAATAAGCTTGTAATTTATTTTTATTGTATCCTGGTATTCTTCCCATTTTTCATTCGATATATTATTCTGTTTACTTTTTTCAATTTTTGAGCAAAGATAGTTGAATAATAATCTTTCCGTTGAATCTGGAGAAGATATCTGAACTATCTTTTCTGTATTATAGTAATGATTTACCATTTAATAAACATGTATTAAAAGAAAGAAAGAAAAAAAAAGAAAGGGAAAAAAAAGAAAAAAGAAAAAGAAGGGTTAAATTTATCTAGTCAATTCAATACTTTAGAAAGGAGCATTTTATGGAAAGTTTAATTGATTTCTTTCTATAGATATACATTTAACACTAAAAAAAAAAAAAAAAAAAAAAAAGCCTGACATACATTCTCCTTTGCCAATCAAAAACAAAGTCATTTGTGGATATGTATGTATCTCATATATATAACCTGTATTACAGATATTATAAAATATTAACTTTTTTTTTTTGAGGTAATACGTAGATGAGAACAAAGAATTTAGCTTTCAGTAGCATCTTCATGGCTTTCTTCAAACAGAATAACGTAACATATAAACTAGAATATGTGAATATAATAAGAAAAATGATAGAATTATTCAATCAGTATTTTATAGTAGATGGACGCAATTGCCTTTCTTTTTCTTAGGAGTATATATTTACAATAAAGATAGATATAAAATTTCTTGCTTATATTTTGTAAGTATAAAACTATAAAGTTTAACAATGAAATATAAAATCCTATATATTTTTTTTTCAAAACAATTATAATTTTGATTCTTGGATCTTTTTGTTTCTATAAGCTTTTTGATTAGCGGTAGGGATTGTATTATGTTCACCCAACATGTCTGCTAGTCTCAGGACTCTTGTGCTCACTATGTAACAAATACACAGCATCAATTTTTATAAACTTATTTATGATGTTTATCGTAATTTATGTTACCTGTTGCATTATCTCTTCTATTTTTTCCTTCTCTTCTAAATCTTCCAATTCTTTCTACGAGCTCCCAAAGGTGTCCTCTAGGCATCAAAACGCCATTTTGTCGCTCGGGGGTATAATCAGGGCTGACTGCAACTTCAGACCATGGCTTAGGGTTCGAATATCGTTTCTTCAATAGAATCTTTTGTTCTTCATAGTGAGTAAAGGCATTACTTAATGTTTCTTTATTCACAGCTTCTAAATAACTTAAATCTCCCTGGTAATATAAGGTTTTGCCCAATGACTGTGCTCTATTAGCAAATAGTTTACTATCAACCCAAATTGAGCCTTGATTAGCAGCCATACTAGGTGGTGCTAATGTAAATAAACTGACAGCAGCTAACCAATAAGATTCAATAAATGGCCAGATCATAAAACAAAGAAAATCTATTATGTATGAATATTAAGTTTTTTTTTTTCTTTTTTCCTGTGTAAATGATATAAAAACAAATAAACAAACCATAATTTTCTCTGCCACATTGTCTTTCAACGTCATTTAAACCAACCCAACCATCTTCAGTCACTTCAATCACTTGATTCTCTGCTAGCCATTGAATTGTACGCCTGGTATTACTTTCGACACCGCCAGGCTTATAAATCATATCTGATTTCAATAAACTCGAAAGAAAGGAAATTTCGTCTAAAAGAACATCATACTTCATACGTTGCAAAGGTTTCCCCCCACCCTTTTTAATGACTGTATAAAGTGCTGCACATGCAATAGCTTCCTCGACAAAAAGATGAATCACCTGGTTTCTGTAGTAAGATAATTCAAATGCAGCAATAGGATAAAACGTTGGTTCAACAATATCTTTTCCTTTCCTCTCACCAATAAGATCTTTATGAATCACTACAGTCCTAATAATAATAATTCATATGTATACATAATAATAGAAAAAAATATACATACTTATCAACAATTTCCCCTGTGGACATTCCATGAAATTCAGAAACTTGACCACCCTTATCTTCAATAATCTTTCTTAACCAGTCAACGCGTCGGATGAGCTCACTTCTTCCTACACCTCTTCCTCTCAATGTCAAAATAACCGTACCTACCAATGCAGAAGGCATGACAACCGAAATAGCATTCTTTTTAAAGAAAAAAATAAATTAAAAAAAAAAAGAAGAAAATTCTCAGGGAGATATGAAACTTACGATATCTGCGAGAACTCTAAAATCATAAATAATACAAAAAGCAGTTAACAATAAAAAATGAATATTCAATTTCTTTTCTTTTCTTTTTTTTTTTTTTTTTTTTTTTTTTTTTTTTTTTTCACTTACCTGTATCCCAGTGATTTTAATAAAACAGATTTCTGATATGAATTTGACAGGTCCAATGGACTATAACAAAAGTTAAATGATAACATAAGCTAAATAAGTCTCTCTCTCTCTCCCTATATACATGTATATTTATATATATATATATATTACCCTCTCATTTTGATTTGCTCATCTAACCATCCTTTTAATGAATAGGGCTCACCTAAACGAACTAATGACAAGAAAATGTTAATCTAGTTCTCCCTTTCTCTCTTTTTTCTTTTCATTCATTTTTATGAAATAAGAATAATCTAGTATTATACCATCAACACGTCCCCATTTGAGTTGCAATAATCTACTGTTAGTAAGTATACCCCTATAATGAATAGATTAACCATATACAAACAATAATAATAAAATAAAGAAGAAAAAAAAAGAGAATTAGTATCGAGTTATTAACCTTTTTTTTTCTGTTTCATTATTATTTTACCATAAGCTCTCTTTTTCTTTAGGTGTACCAAGTAATTCAGTAGCGTAACTTGAAGTTTCAATAATTTTATCATAACCAATGGATATAGGAACAATATAGCAGTCAGAAAAACGATGATTAATCAATGCGTCTAAAATAATTTTTATAACTCCAAGTTTAGGTTGAAGCGGTTTTCCTAGTCTTGAACGTGTGCCTTCCACAAAGCATTCAAAGTTTACTACATTCGTATTATATATTTATATATACATATATAAAAAAAAGAGATTTATATACATATTTTATACAATTAAACTATTATTATTATTATTACATCCTTGACTTAATAAAGTAATTATATATTCTTCTAAAACTGTCTTGTATAATTCATCATTGCCCCATTCTCTACGAATAAAGACAGCACCAGATGATTTCAAAATCTTACCTACTATAGGCATATCCAAATTATCGCCTGCCACAATATGTGGAATTTGAATACCTTAAATGAATATAAAACACATGAGCATATGAATATACATTTATAAAAAAAAAAAAAAAATAGGAGATATAATACCTAATCTGAACATTAAATATGACACAACTAGATAATCTATATGAGACTTGTGAGATGGTAAAAAGATGAGGGATTGCTTTTTTTCTTGTGCTAATAATGCTACTCTTTTAAGCTATACAAGGAATGAGAGAGAAAGAAAGGTTTTACAATGCTGTTCATCTCTAAAAGAAAAAAAAAATAAAAAATAAATTAAAAGACTTTTCTACACTTACATTGACCCATTCACTTTCTCTTATATGTACTCCCTGATGATAGAGTCGTACAAGGATATTATTAACAATAAACGCAAAAAACCTATATTAGGATGAATGAACACGTATTTGTTTTCTTCAAAGATCTATTCAAACCTTAATGTGGGGAGACTGTCGACAGTAGCAACTGCTTTATCAGCTATTTGCTTAGTAACAATCTCGAGTTCCCTTCTCAATGCTTTTCTTTGTTTCCTTATTCTTTTATCGCCAAGTTTCCACTTCTTTCGAGCTACAAGGATTTCAGTTTGTTGATCAGCAAGTTTATCAATCCTGTCTTGAACTAATATGTATATGTATTATAGACTTTAACATATATATTATAAAAAGTCGTCATCATTTCTTTATCACCTTCTTTACTATCCAATACTATTTGCTTTATTTTGTTTGAAAAACCTGGATAAAGGATCTTGGTACCAATATAATTTTTATAGCCACGCCATCCCTATTATACCATAAATATTTTTTTTTTTTTAAGAAAGGGATATTGTAAATCTATATGTATATATATATATATAAAGTGACTTACAGTTCCTTGATAATATAACCCTATATTAAACATAAAGGCAAATGGATCTTCCCTTATGCGACGAGGCTCCTTTTCACTTGAACAATATAAAAAGAAAATCAGGATTGCTTTATTTTATTTTTTATTTTTTATGTTTATTCATTTACACCACATTGCGATGTTCTCTGTCATTTCGAGTTAAATCTCGTTTAACATGAATCTTTAACGCCCGAGGATTATTCATGCTATAATCATTGCCTGATTTCTTGTATTCATTAACAAGTTCTTGTATTTGCAATTCAGTTTTATTGTTATTCATAGTAATTTTTTTTTAAAAAAAAGAGAGATAAAAAAAAATGTATAGTTAAAATTAAAAAAAAATAAAATAAAATAAAATAAAGTAAAAAAAAAAAAAAAAAAAAGTTTAACAGTTTGATTCGATAAAATGTATTTAAAGCATATATTTTTTTTTGTGGGGTTTTTTTATTAAAGTATTGTGGGGTGTAAAAAAAAAAAAAGTTCTACGAATCATATTCATTTAGGAAAAGAAAAAGAATTTACTTAATTCAGGTACAAAAAAAGTGATATCAAGTAAATGGGCACCTTTCATTTATAGCTCTATACTATTATCTGTCTTCATAGTGAATACTACTATAAGGGCATATAAGTAAAGTTAAAAGGGGGAGATATTAAATATCATTTTATTATGACACATGTATATCATACTCCTAAATGAATATATCATCTTTCTATACAATCAAAGGCTACACTAAAGTAGCTTTCTAACAGCTATAAGTGAATTACATAAACATGTAATACATGGAAAGAGAGAAAAGGATATAATATAGAAAAATCCTGAACTGACACACACACACACACTTGGGCATATTAATGTTTATTTTATTTTTTATTTTATTTTATTTTATTTTATTTATACTTGGTAGTGTTATGAGGCTTTTGAGAAGAAGAACCTATACAATCATTAAAATGTTTTCCTTTTCTATTTGTTCCTTATTATTGTTACCTTTGATTGGATTTAACATATGAGATTGTTTTCCAAAGCCCATCTTTGATGAAAGAACTTTATTTTTTGTTGACTCTAATTTAATACTATTTAATATTTAAAGAGGAATATTTATGACTTGTATAGTAATTTACTTTGAATGGATAATGAATCTGATTCTCTATCATAAGATGATGGTTGTGATGTATGACTGTCATCACTACTGTTATTATTTATATAATCTAAATGGTTACTACTGCTTTCTGTGAAATGATGGTTATTATTGGAGTTAGTTGAAATAGAGTTATTAGTGTTAAGATGATGATGATGATTATCCAATCTATGATAGCCTAATTGATAATGCTGTTGTACTGAGTCGAATGAAGATAATTTTCGTTGTTTCGTGGTATCATTTGGAAATGAGTTAAACATCAGCGAGTTAGGATTATGTATTGATTCATGTTTATTATTTGACATGGATGAAGAGGAAGAAGATGAAAAGGATGCCATAGAAGACCAATTTGTATTCCCTTTGGATGCATCACTTTCACTATTATAACCTAAGCTGTTTAACGTTTGATTTTCTTTTAATTTTGAAACCTGTGCTCGAAGATTTTCAGCTTTAAATGAATGTTATTAAAACAAGAATAAAGAGAAAGACAGATAGTGAAAGAATTACCATTTCTTAATTCTAATTGATTGTTACTCGAACTATTTTTGGAATAAGCACAATCTTACATAATAAATGTATGTAAGTCATGATGGTTAATGAATGATTCATGTATACATCTATTGAAAAAAAAAATTACTCACTGATTGCTCTTGTAGAAGATGACACTACGTCAACTAAGTCTTGCATTGCCTAATTAAGAAAAATAGTCATTTTTAATTTTTTTTTTTTTTTTATTTCTCTCTCCCTCTCTGCATATTTTTTTTCTTTTCTTTTCTTTTCTTCTCTTTCTTTCTTTTTCTTTCTTTTTCTTTTTTCATATAAAGTATACTAACATCTTGTTGTTTAGAAACAATTGACCTTAAATGAATTACTTCATTAAAAAGCTGCTCACATGATTTAGTTATTCCTACTAATTGTTGTTCAATCGTCAACATGTGTTTCATGACAGAACTGTTATGTTCGTGTAGGTCTTCTAGTTTAACCACGTCAATATGCTTATCTTTTGTAGTATTATTATAATGATGAAGTTGTGAAGATTGTTGTTGTTGTTGTTGTTGACGTTGTCGTTGTGTAGGATGGTGATGTTGTTGTGAGTGTTGAGACTTTGCACTCTTTCTTTTAATATGTTGTAAATCGTTAACAGCACCTCTTCGAAAATTGGGATGTTTAAATTCCCAAGTTTGGTTTTCATTAGTCAAGTTGGAATGAATTAGATCGTTTACTTTATGAAAACCGTACACTTTTTGTATGAATAAATAGAGATGTAATATATAATAATAGTTATAAGCAAATTAGTTGTTCTTTGTTTTTTTTTCTCTGTTCAAGATACATTAAATATATTTATGTATATATGTATATATGTATATATTTTTACTGTTTAATTGTCTGACAAAGCTTTGCCAATTATTATGCTTAAAGTATTGAGGTAATACTGTCTTTGAGAAAGCTGTAGGATTGGATACACTGAATAAATCACCTTGAGTAGACCAACAGATGAGTTCTGATGTTTCAGGATCTTCCAGCATTCTATCATGATATGAGTATTCATGGTGTGTTATCTATATAAAGCACTTACTTGTACAATTTATTAACAAAAGCTGCTTGAGTCTTTATATTTGTAGTAGTAGGTGTTATTGTATGTATGTCTTCTACTGGTGATACTAATGCAGAAGAAAGAAGTGGTGGTGGTGGTGGTGGTGGTGGTGGTGGCATTGCTGAAGAAGAAAAAGAAGAAGAAGAAGAAGAGGGAGAAGAATTGACTTCTGAAGTTGAAAAAAATTCCTCATATTCACTATTGTCTCTATCTAATTTTAACCTATAAACAAGTCATATTAAAAAAAAAAAAAGAAAGGAGAAAAAAAAAGAAGTATATAAAGAAAAAACCTTTTATAGAGTTGATGATTACTATTATTTTCACCACCACTACTAGAAGAACTGGATCGACTACTCTCTTTTCCCATTGTATAATAACTTATTTTTTCATACGTTATCTTCCTCTCCTTCCCCTTTTTTTTTTTTATTATGATTAGCTAATCAAATTATATAAAATAATATTATAGATTTTACCTTAGTAAAGAATTAAATATTTAAGTTAACAAGATTATTTAAGGAGAGGCAAATTTTTTGACGAGATTAAAAATTTGACTTGAAGATTAGAAAAAAAAAAATGGGGGGAGAAAGGAAGAAGAAGAAGAGGATTAAAAAAAAAAAAAAAAAAAAAGTTATAAAATGATCGTAATGACATCACTTATCGCCCGATATGTTGGGTTTAAAGGATGTTTTTGGATTAGTTTCAACATAGAACTACTATATATATCAAATAGAAAAAAGGCGGGCGGGGAGAAGAAATAAGCGTATTGTGTGCCTTTTTTTATTTTTATTTTTTTTTGCCATGGAACATTCGTGTTACTATAAAAATTCTATCCTTCCTTTTTTATTCTTATTATTTTCTTAAACTTGAATATTATTCAAAGGACAAAATAGATAATGATTTTAAATATAATTTTTGTTATATATAGTCAATTTCTCTTTTTTAGCCTTTTATTTTTTATTTTTAATATACATTGTTCTAGTTTTCTTTTTCTTTTTTTTTTAATATTTCATCTATATTATTACTATTATAGTTAATTTAAAATTCCGTATAAAATATTCGAACTTTTTTTTTTATTTTAGCAAATTTCTTTTTTAAGAAAAATATCGATTTTTTGCTGACATTAAAATATAAACTTGAGTATTACGAATCAAAAAAAGAAAAAAAAAATTTAAATGGTTCATATTTTCTACTACTAAGCCTCAAACGTTGCATGATAGCAAATGAATAATTTTTTTTTTCCTTTTATATAAGGGTACAATTTCCTCCTTATCGAGATCTTCTCATCGAATAATTAAGTTTGGGTAAAAAAAAAAAAAATAAAAAAAAATAAAAATAAAAATAAAAGATAAACCCAGTGATAAGGAAAAGAAGAATAGGATAATGCATCGTTTTTCTTCTATCTGCAACTTTTATGTATATATATATATATATATATATATATTTTTAAAAAAAAGTCATTATACTTCAAGTAAAATAATCTTCTCGGACTTAGACTTTATCATGACCTTAAGAATGTAACACATACCTTCTTTCTTTTTTTTTTTGAGGGGGGAAGAGAAGGAGGAATGTGTAGACTATAGATCATCAAATACAATCCGTACCGCCTTTCCGATGAAAATAAAGCAAAAAAGACATCCGAGAAATATTAATTAGTATTTAGTTACACATTCTTCACTTATAATCAATCTTTATCGAAATACTCGTATGAATACTTTTATACCGGTTTTTTTTAAAAAATGGTAGTACTTCTCATTCTTTATCAAATAACACACGACCGTATATCTTACAAAACAACAATCCTATCATAGTATGTCGATCCTAATTCATAATTGTTGAGCCACTGTCAAGTTAATACTCTTTAGGGTAGACTATACAGGTGTGACTGTTATTATACTCTATCTGTGTTGGTTACGACAATGATTTAGAGATATACATAAAAAAAAAAATCCAAATATGGATATTTGTGTTCTTCTAAGCAATAATTTTTTATTCTTCTTTTTGATATGTGTAATTATACAAAAAAAATGATAATAAAAATAAAAGTAGGTCTTTTTATACCGGTAATAATATTAGTAGTAATAATAGGTCGTTATGCCACTTACTTTCTTTTTGGAAATATCGTAGTTTCAAAAAAAAAAAAAAAGATCACATAAATAAAAAGTACAAGAATATTCTAGAAGTAATGAAAGTAAAAAAAAAAAAAAAAAAAAATAAATAAAAATAAAAAAAAAAATAAGCATTCTTTTATATATTTTGAAAAAAAAAATGGGAAATCAGGATTATTACAGCATACTTGGTGTATCTAAAAACGCAACTGATACTGAAATCAAAAAAGCATATCACAAACAAGGTACATCATTGTTTATTTGACTGTGTTTTTTATTTATTTATTTATTTATAAATATTATTGTACAGCTTTAAAATTTCATCCTGATCGCAACAAAGATAAATTAGCTAAATGTCAATTTCAACAAATCAGTGAAGCATTTGAAGTGCTCAGTAATAAAAGGAAATATTGTCCTTATGATGAAGATAGTCGTACAACATGTAGCTTTAATAATCACGATGATACATCATTAAGTCCAGAAGAATTGTTTGCCCATTTATTTTCAGATACAGCAGCAGCATCCTATTCAAGTAGTAGCAGTAGTAGTGATGAGGATGATTTTTATGATCTATTTGATCAAGTGTGTGACCCACCTTATCATTATCAACAAAAGCCTCAATCTGTAAAGCGTTCTTTACCTATTTCTCTAAGCGATCTCTATACAGGAACAACAAAACGTTTAAAAGTGACTCGTCAATTATTGAACAAGACAACAACAAATAAAATATTATCAGTTCATATTCAACCAGGTTCAAAACAAGGTACAAAACTATATTTCCCTGGTGAAGGTGATGCTTTACCCTCTGGTCAAAATCAGGATATCGAATTTGAAATTCAAGAAAAGCCTCATGAGATATTTACTCGTAAGGGCGATCATCTTTACACAACACTTCAAATTTCATTGCTTGAGGCGCTTACTGGATTTGAAAAATCTATACCAAAATTAGATGGTTCGTCTTACTTGATTAAGATTCAAAATCGGATTATTCAAACCGGCCAAAAGGAAATCATTCATGGAGAAGGTATGCCAAATATGTTGACTGGTAAAAAAGGCGACATGATTGTTCAGTTCCAAGTTCAATTTCCAGAGACATTAACAGAGGAACAGTGTAGAACATTAAAGAGCGTATTTACATCCTAAGAAGAAATCACTTACTCTCTCTCCCTCTAATGATAGAATACATATATTTATAGATAATCTATACCCTTACCCTTACTTTTTTTTTTCTTTTATTTGTTTAAAATTAGCCTCTTCTTCTTTATAAATAAAAGAGAATGTACATAACAATAATGTAGTAGTACATAAAATAGCATTTTTACTACTTGTATTGCATGTTTAAGAGGTCTTTTTTTTTTAAATGACTATAAATTATTCAAAAATAAATAGACAAAATAGTCTTTTATATGAGTATGTCCTATTTCCCTTCTCTTCTTTTTATACATAATTTAATTGAACGCTTCCAGATACAGTTAACATGATAACAGAGTTCATACTCTTTTCATTATCCCCATAATAGCCCTTTGTTATTCTCCATAAAGAACTCTTACAATGAATGTTCTGTGGATAAGTTGACATAACAGTTCGTATTCCCAAGACTAATTCTAATTTGAATTTACTATCGAAACTCGAAGGCTATGTATATGCATCTAATGTTATGATAAATAGAGTTCGATAGATGTATATAATCATTTTTACCAGTTTTAAATTATTATATCCATTGGTTATAAATGACTTGATAGCAATCATATCATTATCCTTACTGATATCTTTGATCTCAATTTTGGAATTTCCATTGATAGTTGATATAGTAAAATTATTTTTCAAAGTATAAACAATACCATTTAATTGTTCATTCACCATGTTTAGAGTTGTCTTTCCAGTAGAAACGCCCCAAAGATGAAATTAACAAAACAATATTAATATACAAAATACAGTGATTTGAGTTTGAAAATGTGCTTTGGAAAAATTAAAATGAACTTTTTGAAAATGGGCAATTTTTTTTTCTTTTCTTTTTTCTTTCTTTTTTTTTTTTGAGTGAACAAATACTAAAACCATAAAGTAAAATATCAATTTATTTATACTTTTTTCCATATTCAAACACTTGTTGAAACGTTTTGTTGAATGACGGACCCAATCTTGGCAGTTCTTTGCAGTAACATTTTTGCAGGTGCTTCAACTCTATTGGCAACTAATTCATTCTTCGTAATGGGCGTTTTGCGTACTTCTTGCTTGATTTTGGCTCAGCATTCTTCAATTGGGTTTAAAAAGAGCGAGTAAGGTGGTATAAATAATGCTTTATGTCCATTGTCACGAATTGCTTTCAAAGCTTCAGGTGTCTTATGAATAGGTGCATTGTCCATTACAATATACAGGAGAATAGATGAAATTTGTTGGAAAGGATGGTCCACAGCTTAGTTTTTAAACCGCGCTTAATTTTTGAGGGTGGTCCATTTTTTGGACCACGCTTAATTTTTAAGGATGGTCCATTTTTTGGACCACGCTTAATTTTTAAGGACGGTCCTTTTTTGGACCACACTTAATTTTTAAGGATGGTCTATATTTTTTGCTTTTGAAAGAAAAAATGAATACAATAATAACAAAAGAAAAAGCCAGCTGTATTTTCTATAGAAAAAAATATACATCTGATGTTGCAAATGAATGTACAAGTAAGATCGAGAGAATGGAAGACGTTGATTTGTGCTTCACCACTAATGCATTGCATCATTGCATAATGAGTGAAGCAACAATCTATGGAGATTTACAACAGTACCATCTCTATACGACCGCAAAGGAACTAGAAGAGAGTAATAATAATGATAAGGAAGACGATGGCATTATAAAATTTGGTAATTATTTTCCTAGTTATGAATATTTATAACGCTACTAATCAAAACGGCAACAGAAACCAGAGCTCAAATTAAAGAGTTCATTAATGCTGCATTCCAGCCAGTTACTGAAAAAAATTTTAATGATGATCGTTTTTCAAAACAGAAATTGTCTACAGAGTCAATATTCACAATAGTGCACAGGTACACCAGTGAATTTAAGACTGACAATTCGTTCAGTACATGGTGCTCAACTGCTGGCTTTGGTTTTTTGCTGGTCGAATGCTCAAGAAAAACGTTGAAAGGTAGTAAGGGAGAAAAGGGAAGAAATCGTTTATTGAACGTATTAAAGCAGAAACACCATGGTAAAAAAAAAAAAAAAAAAAAACGATTCAATATTCATGTGTATTTTATTTAAATAGCACATTTAGCCAAGACTATAGCAAGTGCCCTTATAAAATACCAATCAAAAATATTGGATATGAAGAAAAAAGGGTTCACAATAGTTGGCTATTGTCGGAAGTCTGTGCAAAAACGAAAGTCAAAAAAACAAGTAGAGTTATTGCAAGCAATGGTAAACAACTTGTATGAACGGTCTTTGGCAGACTATGTATTCGTTTCACCAATGAATAATGCGAACAGCCTCTTCTCTTCTCGAGACCTTGAATGTGACATGAATATTTTAAGTGAATTAAAGAGCATTCATGGCATCTCAAAAGGTATATTGATAACCCGAATTATTCCATAATGCGGGCATATTTAACAAAATTTATGTATTAGACATGCTACACCTCATCACTAACAGACATAAAGTTTGTTTGGTCACTTGCGATTATGCGGGTCTTACAACAAACAACACCGACCTCCAAGCAGTATTAACGTAAAATATTAAACAAAGATGGGTTAAAAGATATAAAAAATAATTAAACATCAATATTATTATTTAGGCACAATGTAAATATTGAAAAAATAGCAGTCGATTTGTATTACTACGACAATCGCTTCGATATGCTAGATCGTAATGATTTGTTGAAAGATCCTAGCATGTTGAGTCAATTTGGTGAAAGTCGTACGGCGTTCAAGCAACGTCATTTATAGATAAACTATTATTAAATTCATTTATTTGTATCTTTTATATTTTGAAGGTTTAGAATCAATTGCTGCGTTTGATTGTATGAGAGGTGTTGTGATTGTAGTAGCCTTTATAATCAAGTTAACGGAAATAAATCATCATTTATTACATAATAAAGAGGTTATTCAAATAAAACTAATATATCGCGCTTCACAGCATAATATTCATTCTACTCTCAGTTTTGATAATAGTCATTGTTAGAATGTTCGAGCAATCATAATAATTATATACATAATTCAAACAAGATTATGACTGTTATATTCAATTACATAATTATTTATAAGTTATACATATTATATATAGATAGCTATAAAGATGAACATTGTTATGTAATAATATCTTGTAGGATAATAATAATAGTAGCATATAAATAATTGGTATTGTTATAGCTAACATATTCATTGTGAATTAATATTGACGCGTCGCTTACCCCAGAAATAATAATTTAATATTTTTAGTAACAGCGACAGCTCAGGCAGAAAAGAATAAAAATAAATCTTATTGTAGGCAGAATTATTCAGAGAAAGTATTTATGACTAATGCTTTATTATAGCAATATTTACTTATCCAAATCATAGTTCTATTAATATCACTTACCTTGTAAAAAACATATAAATAACCCTTCACATTTTCATATAATTTTTCTTTGTACAATTTTTGTATTATTCTTTTAAATAAAAACTATACGAAGTTTTCACAGACTTGTCTTTTGTCTTTTTCTCTTTCTTTAACTTTTTGCCTATCAAAACAAATACAATTTGTTATATTTTTATCCTCTTATTACTCATCATCCTTATTCACAAAATATATAAACACTCTTACATTATTCACCCTTATTTTATATAACTAATAACAATACTTGTATTGAACTTAATTCTTAATAAAAACTTATTGACAAGTCTCAACATACTTCTTCTGTCCATTTATTTTATTTCTCTTTTATTTCTTTTATCTATATTTAATTCTTAAACTTACCTAAACCACAACAAGGATTACGAATTATATCCTGTTCAAAGCTTTAAAGCAATCTAAGATCATCCGGCACTACAAGCTCGTCCAGACAATTCAAATCTCTTTGTCAAGTCCAACAATATAAAAGAATCGTTATCCGCATCGACTGTTTCTAAGTAGTTACATCGTCATTTCATCTCTTTGTGTACAAATGAACCTGGGGTCTCTATTCGATCGTTGGCATCTTCTAAGGCATTAGATCTAGGTATTTCTCGAGACAGCATTGTGGCTCTTGGTAACTGCGCTTCATCAGAAACATTTGTTCGTCATTACCAGCGGAATCAAATGGCGCAAGTTGACTTTACATCGACGATTCTATCCAGTCAAGACGCATTTTTTGATGCTTCTGATTCCTTTCAAGCTCTGGATTAACATAATAACATTTCCTATTTTGTTCCGACGATCTCAAGAAATTCTCTTGAGAAATTTCTTTCGACTGAGAATTGCTATTTAGACCTGAAGAACAAAATAGGAAATGTTATTATGCGCACCCTTCAATTTCTTATTTACTTTAATATATTTAGTCATTCCCTCCCTTCTTTCTTTTTATTTGACCGAGCTCAAATTCGATTGATAGTATAATATTAGAATTTTATTCCTTTATATATCTTTGAATTCGCTAGTAAATAAAGATTCAAGAAGATTCTAGCATAATAACATTTCCTATTTTGTTCTTCAGGTCTAAATAGCAAAATTAAGCGTGGTCCAAAAAAAAGACCATCTTTAAAAATTAAGTGTGGTTGTGATATTTCTTTTAAAATATCAAATAAAAAATATTAGAAAATAAAAAATATTAGAAAATAAAAAATAATATTAAGACAAAAAGAGTCAACGAGACCGAACAATAGTTCTAAAGACAATTATTTTATTTATGAATTTAAATTGATGGGAGTATTTATAAGAATTGTTAAAGAGGTCTGAGGATAAGATGTGAGTCAAAAAAGTGTTAGTTACGACCGAATAAGGTATGTTGTTGACAATGAAGTGTTAGTGATTTTAATATTATTAGATGGAGCGGATCAAGAGAGATTCAGGATAGAATTTCTTAAATGAATTTATGATCCGCATGTTTAATCATGAAACATGACATTATAAGTCGGCTCATGACAGTGGTCCAAAAAAAGACCGTCCTTAAAAATTAAGCGTGGTCCAAAAAATGGACCATCCTCAAAAATTAAGCGCGGTTTAAAAACTAAGCTGTGGACCATCCTTTCCAACAAATTTCATCTATTCTTAAGAAGGTTGGATTAGAGAACATGTATATTGTTATGGATAATGCACCTATTCATACGAGCAAAGATATTGATGAATTAATCATTTCTAGGGGCTATAGAAGCCTACATCTTCCACCTTATTCCGCCGAACTCAATCCAATTGAGCAGTTTTCGTCTGTCATCAAAAAACAAAGTTAAGAGAGGCGTTTTTTTTTTCTGATGATGAGGATCTCAAACAAGAATTGCAGCAGCCTGCAATAAATGTTCCTATTCACCATTTGAGGGCTTTTATACAACGCTCTTGTAATCAATTCGATAAGTGTAGAAATAAAGAACACATCTAACTTATAAGTTTCAGTTGATATTATATTACAAATACCCGCAATTTAATTTCACGGAAAACTGTAATTTGATGCGCATTCACTGTATATTCATATACATATATATATATTACTTGTATCATAGAATACTTGCAGTAAAAATGAAATTCTTATTAGCATTTCGTTCTGCTTTATATTCAATACGTAATTGAGGAAAACTAATATGCTTGAAATGAAATCATGATTCACCTTCATAAGGAATTAAAGGTTTCTTTGTACAATAGGATGACTGTAAATATATTAGTAAGGATTTCAACTCATATCTATTATAGGTTCACATAATATCTTTTGTTCATCAAGTGTTTCAATATCTTCATTAGGATGATCTGTATTCTTATGTTTTTGAGTACAACAAGTCAAAATAAGATAGAAAAATAAACCGTACAAGATAGCATAAGGAATATATGTCTTTAACTACTGTTTGTATCTATTCTTTGGTCGCTCTGGTAATGTAGGACTATGGCTATTTAAAGGAAGTAGTTAGTGGCTCCTTTTCATCATTTATATATATTTGGGTTTATATAGTAATGAGAAGACTTTGTTTGTTCCATATTCTTCATAGTAAAAATAAAATTAGGCTACTATTTTTGTACTTTTGTATGTATAAGAAAAAATTCACACCTACATTAGTGTAACCAAAATATCTTGGCTACTTAGTATATTCCCAAGATTTTTCGTATTTACTTGGTACAAAAAGCTGGTTTTTTATTTTTGATATTTCTAGAGAATAATACTCTAAAAAAAAAGGGGGGAATGGGGGTTAATTTGATCTAACAAATGAAAGAACAATGCAGCTTGGTCAAAAGGATTTAACTTTGCTATATATACTTTAGATGTGAACGGAAAAAAAAAGAGTGTAGGTTGGTAATGGATTTAGGAGAGAAGAGGATATATATTAGTAATCTTTACAAGTGTAAGATTTGAGATTAACTTCCCAAGAGGCCAATTCTCGATCCAATCGTTAAAAGAACTTAATGGATCTGTACATGTTGAAAAGCTGTAGAATTTACAAAGTCGTATAACTGAAAGATGAATTCTTATAACTATCCTAGCAAGCATAAAGAAGAACTGTAGAGTACTTTTTTTTTTTTGAAAGCTATCATTTAAAATGTGAATTAAATATTTAACTGGCAATGAAATAAGCTTGTTTATTAAAGCAGTAGTACAGTTACACATATAAGCAAGAATAGGGAATAAGCTACAATACGATAGATTATAAGAAAAAAGGGGGAATTTATTACTGTTTCTTTAACCTCTAAATGATGAACTTAATTACAGTACATTACTATTCCTTTTTTACTATTATTTCTAAAATAGATATATAAAGTAGTTTACCTATTTTTATTTTACACAATTAGAAGAATGCAGCAATTTTGATCTGTCTGAAAATGAAAAAAAAATAAAATAAAATAAAAAATAAAAAATACTGAGTTTATTATAAAACAAACAATGAAATTACCTTTTTTTTTTTTTTTTTTTTTTTTTTTTTTTTTATATATATATAAATATAGAATGTTTTTATTGTATAATTATAGTGTCTTATTTATAATATACTCACTCACATTATTTCCTCTTTTAATTAAATCAAGAAACTCGTTTCGAACTAACGAACAATGTTTACATTATTCTATAAATGACATTTTTACAGAAACATGTCCCATGTACCCTCAAGAAACTGAAAGTGATTTTTCTGTTGCTTTATTCCCTAATCCCGATGTGATTTCTAAACTTAATAATCCAGATGCTCCAGAAAGGAATCACGATGAATCTAACAATAATGGAAAGATGATTAATGTTCTGGAAACGAATACATTAAAAGATATAGAACATACGTTTAAACCAGTACATCCTAATTCAGTAAAATTAGATGATCATCAGTTTACTAAAACAATACAGGGGCAATCAAGCTCTCAGAAAGGAAAAGAAGAAACAGAGAAACATAAACCACTAATGTCATTTGAAGAATGGCAAAAAAAGATTATGCAAATAGAAAATGACAAGGATCGTCGGCATAAACGAAAAACGTTAGTAGAAAAAGAAGAAGGAGAGACAGTAAGTGATAATAAGCGACAGCACACAGTGGATAGTATTGATGGCGGATTTTCAGACGATTTTGGTTCGATGTTTGAAGATTTTATGGGAGGCGTAGGTGGAAAGGAAAAGAGACCTAACGTGTATGATGAAGAAGAATACATTTCACCGAGCCATCCAGGATCAGTTCTTAATAATAAAGGCGATAAGATGAATAAAAAGAACAGCAATACAAAGAAACAACAGTTTGCATCTGCTCGTATGAAATCACTAAAGGAAAGATTTAATTATGCATCCACAGACTGTGCAGCTACTGTAAGGAAGGCTAATAAAGAAGCAAAAGGAGCTCAGTCTATCTTGTATGAATCAAAGGATCAATATTTATTAAATAAATGTTCGGCTAATAAATTTGTCATTATTAACTTGTGTGAACAAATTGTGATTGATACTTTAGTAATGGCAAACTTTGAATTCTTCTCAAGTACCTTTAAGGATTTTCGAGTTTATGCCTCATCTACCTATCCTTCAAATGATTGGCGTTTATTAGGTCAATGGCAAGCGAGAAATACAAGAGACCTTCAGGTGTTTAGGATCCCTGAAAGCGGTTTTGTGGAATATATCAAGATAGAATTCCTTACTCATTATGGTAATGAGTATTATTGCCCTTTAAGTTTAGTAAGAGTCCATGGTATGTCAATGATGGAATATTATACAATGGTTGAAAGTCAAGATCGAGATCCAGTATTAGAAAGTGAACATTTATGGCCAGCTGATGTACGTGAACAGATTATTCAACCTCAGTTCGATATTACAAACACATCTGAATCATTTCCTGTAAAGATTGACAATGAAGAAGAAGAAAAACTCATTATTCCTCCTACAGATATAGATATGATTGAACCTTCTGAGTCTGAGTCTGTACTAAATACTGGGGCTGGGGGAGTAAATGAAATATATCCTGAATTAATAGAGAATGATGCACCCTCTACACACACAGTAATGAATGAAAATATATCAACAGGGTTGGACAGAAAAATCGATACTGAAGCTACTCCACATGATAGTAAGAGGATGACTGCAACTACAATACAGCAGAATTACGATAAAGACACTCAACAGGAACTGGTTTCATCTCACACTCCATCTCCTTCTAAAGCAAAAAACGATCTTAACCATCACCATGAAGAACATGGAAAGAGCTCTGAGAAATTAGTATCATCATCACAAAACACTAGCATGTCTTTTACTTCATCTATAGCAACTCCTTCTGTTATAAATAATGAATTTGATCCATCTATCATGTCAAAACAACATAAACACAATTCTTCATCATCGTCAACAGCAATCGTGTTACCGTCTTCATCATTGACACCACTGCCTTCAACACAACCTTCTCCTCAGTTACCAAAAATTGTTATACCTAATAATCATCAAAAGGAAGGCAATACTCAAGAATCTATTTACAAGACAATTATGAAAAGATTGAGTATATTAGAGATCAACATGACATTATCTCAACGATTTTTAGATGATCAAAATAAAAACCTGAATGATGTATTTATAGATATGGAGAAGAAGCATCAAGAGCAGTTAATTATGCTCATTGGGCATTTGAATGAGACTGCCAGTTATAAAATCGATAGTATGGTAAGTAATCATGCTATATACCATTTACACTGTATCTTATATATAATATTGTATAGAAACGTCGTTATGAACAATGGTATGAAGATTTGAAGGAGCAGACTGAGAATGATATGAGAGAAATGTCAACTAAAATAGCTATTCTAGCAGATCAAGTAAGATATATATATATATATGTATATATTATAGTTTATAAATGAATTACTTATGTTTGCTTTAGTTATCATTCGAAAGAAGAGTCTCAGTTACACAACTTGTAATTATGATAGCACTCTTTGTTTTTATAGCATTATCAAGAGGCACATTTAATACGCTTTCCCCAGTTATGGCTGCACAATATGAGGAGAGAAAAAGAAGAGAATCTGTTGATCAATTATCAAAAGAAACTGTCGATAGTAATAATACGTCATCGAATAGCAATCAAGTATCCCTTGATGCTCTCGTTCCTTCAGCCATAATAAACGATACATCTACACTAACATATCATACAGTAACAGATGAAACTAAACCCCTCTTATTAACACAAAAACTGAATGAATTACCTAAAAGACCCATTAATCCTAGACGATACAGTGATAATATGTCTTATGTTATGAAACAAAATGATTTACGCATACCTACTATAAATAGAAAACCTATTCTCACATCTACTCATCGCAGTGAACATGATATAATCTCCAAACAAATAAACTTGGACTCATTGGGTATAGTAGAATTTCAGAATACCAACACCTTACCTCAAAGGAAGCTTGGAAATACTTTATCAGAACAACGACAACAAGAAGAAGTAAATACACAACCCGTATCGATGCTAACCAGTAATTCAAGTCTACAAAGTTTACAACAAAGAGATGAAAATACATTATTTGCTCAAAATCTTAAAAGGCCCACCGCAAGTCCACCTTCTGATTAAATAAAATAATAATAATAATAAAATACCGTATTTTCTGTTTCTAATTTTTTTTTTCTTAACATTTATAAAAAAAAAAAAAAAAAATGAGTTCATTAGCAGGTCTTGTGAATTATTCTGATGAAGAAGATTCTTCCTCAAGTGATGAGCAACCAGGTATGCAACAGATAGTTCCATTAAAAAAAAAGAATGTACATGAGATTAATCTTTTCATCTTCATCCTTTATAGTTGCTCAAATTGTTCAAGTAAAATATGTCTTTTTTTTTATAAGTGTGACATTATAAATTAACTTATTTTTTTTTTTAAAAAAAAAAGGATAAAAAACCAATTAGATTAAAAACATCTACTATTAAAGAAAAGCCAATAGAAAATTCAAATAGTCAAACTAGTTCTTCTGTATCAACAATTAAGAAAGCAGTTAGTGTATCAAACCCCCCGTTATTACTAAATCAAGAGGGATCGATCATTGAATATAATAAACGATTATTAGCTGTATTAACACCAAAACCTGTTGAAGGTGTAGTTAACTGGGGAATTCCAGATGAGCCTAATATTCCTTGCGATCCAGAACGAACTGTAAGTCATTAAAAAAAAAAATAAATAAAAATAAAAAATAAATTCAAAACTATAAAAAAATTAGGAAAGAATAGCCCACTTCTTATCACTAAAAGCATCGGGCCATCACTTGAATAAACATTTACAACATAATAAATCATTTCGTAATCCGCGTATTTATGCCAAATTAGTTGAATTCACAGGAGTCGATGAATTTGGTAGTAATTTTGATAAAACTCAATTTGATCCTCATGGATTTCCGAAAGAAATGTATATAGATGGAATTCTAGAAACGCAAAGAAGGCTCGCTGAAGAGAAGGCAGCACAACAGCAAAATCGAAATTCAATTAATTTTGTTCCTCAACAACAAGAATTAACACCACAACAATCAAGTGCGATGGCACAAGCGATGGCAACAGCAGCTAAAATAGCGAGTCGTATTACAAAGCCTCCTACTATAGAAAATAAAACATCTACTCCATTAAGCAATGATGGTGAAAAACGAAAAAAGAAATGGGATGATGAATATGGAAGTAGCTCAAATAAAAGAAGATAAACAGCAGCGGAGATCATCTCTGATATATTAGTATTTTTGAGTCATCAATAATATATGTTAGCATATCGTTGCGTATTTTTTTTTTTTTTTTTTCGTATTCATAAAAATAAAAAACATGATGCGGTCATTACGATTAAACAATAGATCTATAATTAATAATAAGTTTTCATTAAATACTATTCTCTGGAAGCGATCATATTATCAACATGCTAAAGTACTACAAAAAACAACCTTATTACCTAATAAAGTGGGTTTAAGTTTGTCAAAAAATTTCGGTATAAGTTTTGTCAAAAAAAAAAAGATGTATTTAATAATTAAAAAACAATTCATCAAGAATCAAGAGAAGACGATTCAGAACTAATCAAGTCCCCTAGATCAAGTGATATAATACAAGCACCTGGAAGCACATATGGGTAATATACAAATACCTGTATAATAGATCTACTCTATATTTAAACATATCCATGTCTGTCTAGTGGACTCTATAATCTTAAATGGAATCAAAAGCCAAACAATATATTAATTGTTAAGAAGCCAAACGATATTAAAACAGAAAAGGCGTTTGTAGAAGTTGCAAAGTATGTGATTTAAGCAAAAAAAAAAAAAAAAAAAAAGCAATGCTTTCCTTAATATAGTATTATAGTTGGCTTCATAGATCAAAACCTGATATAAACATAATTGTAGAGCCTGAGGTAGCTGAGCAATTTTATAAAGAGCTTCCTTTCGTTCATGTAATTGAAAATAGTAGGTTGAAATAATTTAAACAGGAATTCCCCCTTATATATAATTAAATTAACCTTTTTTTTTCTTCTTCTAGATAAAATAGAGGACTATACACGTACCGTTGATTTTGCAATTACTTTAGGTGGTGATGGTACAATGCTTCATTTATCGTCTTTATTCCCCAAAGCTGCGCCTCCTGTAGTTAGTTTTTCCTTAGGGACATTATGCTTCTTAATATCTAACAGTAAAATACATACATCATCTCGCATTGAACGGTTTTTTAGTTTATTCATTATTATTTTTTTTCTGTTAATATCCATTAGAATTTGAAAAGTACCAGCATGTACTAAGTGATATGATTACAGGTAGAGTCAGACTTATGTTGAGAATGAGATTATTTTGCTCTTTACATCAATCAAATGGCAAAAGGATTGAAGTAAATGGAAGAGAAGTGGATGATAGACAAGTTATGAATGAAGTAACTTTACATAGAGGCAGGTTTCCTCATTTAACTTCAGTTGAATGCTTTGTAGATGATTATCGTCTTACTGAATGTGTTGCAGATGGTTTAATTGTGTCTACACCAACTGGTTCAACTGCTTATTCTTTATCAGCAGGTGGCCCTATTGTACATCCAAGTGTACAAAGTCTTGTTCTTACCCCTATTTGTCCAAGATCTTTATCCTTTAGAACAGTATTGTTACCTCCTAGTTCAACTATAGAATTAAAGGTATATAGTAACATTTTTCTTTCATAAATTAAACTTGCTTTTTTTTTTCTTCGTACAGATTGGTGAAAAGAGTCGAAGCCAAATAGAAGTTTCAATGGATGGACACGAAATATTTATGTTAAATAAAGGGGAATATGTCAAGGTAAGAAAGGTCAATAATTAACCTTTTTTTTATTATTAATAAAATACAAAAAAATAGGTTCGCATGTCAAAGTATCCTATACCATGTGTAATTCATAATAATGATGGCGTAGGTTGGGAAAAGGATATAAATGAGCTATTAAAGTGGAATCAAACTTTTGGTCAACAGCAACATGCTGTTATTCAATAAAGAAAAGCTTTTATTTTACTATTATTTAATTTAACTTTTTGCTTTGATGGAAATATGCAGTGTTCTAGATTGATATACATTATGACAGTAGCAATAATCTAAAAAAAAAAATTGCATTATATAATAGATTTCTTGTTCGATTTGGTGAATACTAATACAGTCCAGCTAGTGAATATTGTCAGTTGCAAAATGATATAATTGGCGGCTACAAAAAGAATGGGCCATTTTATCTTTGAGGCGATGGGTGTATTCAAACTCTACCAGGCTTTAACATAATTCTCGAAACCAAGTATACTCTTGCACTTGAAGCCATGTATTTTTCGTCAGACAACCATTCATTTTGTAACCGCCAATTATATCATTTTGCAACTGACATTTATTTTATTTTTTTATAACCGACAATATCCACTAGCCGGACTGGTATAAATTTTTCATATGATCTTGGATGGATTTTTCTTTCAAGTAACAATAAGTATGTTAGCATGATAATCAGTTGATGATTGGATAACCTTATTATCGGTAAAATATTTCGGCTTTTTTATTTATAATTTTGAATTACATAAGTACAAATGTATAAATATTAAATCTAACAATATATATTTTATTTTTCTTTTCATGTATGACAATTCGTAGACTCCTTTTTTCTACTCTTTCTTCTATAATGAGTAAAGTTAAACTTTTTCACAATAGTCATCCTGTCGATCTTTATTTACCAAATGCTGGTAATCGTAAAATCTCTTTGACGGATTACATTACCGAGACATGTCCATCGCTTGTTGGACCAAAAGCCGTCTATAACCCAACTCCTTATTTATTTAATGGGCATTTGCAAACTGGGTATGCTGCTTTTTATAATCATGCTCCTACTGTAAATGCTGTTACTTATGAAAGGTAAAAAAAAAAAAAAAGAAAAAGAAAAAGAAAAGATATACTATATTACATAATGTAACTATAGCATTATCATCGTCATTATCTCCTTTTTCTTTTCAGAGAGTTTGTAGATACACCTGACGGAGGTACTTTTGCGTTAGATTGGGCACGTACAAAAGAGAATCTAAAAGAAGATGAAACACCTACATTGGTTGTATTACATGGTTTAACTGGTGGTAGTCATGAATCATATATTCGTTGCTTATTAGAAATAGTAAGTTCGAGTAAAAAAAAAAAAAAAAAAAAAAAAAAAAAAAAAAAAAAGAGAGCTTTTTGTTTAATAAATACTAGGTTACATATCCACCTTTCAATTACCGTGCTGTAGTAATGAATTCTCGTGGCTGTGCTAACAGTGAAATTAAGACACCTCAAATGTATAGTGGTGGCTACACAGATGATTTTAGAGTGGCCATTCAACATATTCAAAAACGATTAGCACCTAATACACCTTTAGTTGGTATTGGATTTTCACTTGGCTCTAATGTTTTAGTTAAAGTAAATACACGAATTTAATATTAATACTAGAATAAGAAACTAATATAGATTACTTTTATCTATTTTAAAAAAAAAGTATCTTGGAGAAGAAGGCGATAAAACACCCTTAAAGGCTGCAATTTCAGTCGCGAATCCTTTTGATTTTAGACTGTAAGAAAAAAAAAACAGATGCGGGGTATAGATCATTAATGTATTCTTTTTTTTTTTTTAAGTTCAATGGAACTTTTAAGTCAATCATATATTGGTAGAAAAATTTATTCCCCTAAAATGGCTCAAAACTTAAAAAATACTTTTGCTAGGTAAGTAAATCTTCAAAAAAAAAAAAAAATTGTAAAATAACATTCAAAAATAAATAGACACATGGACATTGTAGTTAAAGGTGGAAAAATCAATCCAGATGAGGTCATGGCCGCACAGACAATTCAAGAATTTGATGAAGCGTGTACAAGGAAAATGTTTGATTATACGACAGTTAATAATTATTATCGTGACGCAAGTTCCTGTCGTTTTATTGAATTTGTAAAGATACCATTATTATGTCTAAATGCCTTAGATGATCCTATTGCTGCAGCAGATTGTATTCCTTATGATGAAATTAAAACAAACCCAAATGTTGTGCTTGCTACTACAGATTATGGTGGACATTTAGGCTGGTTTGAAAATGTAAAATATCCTACAAGATGGATGGTCAAGCCACTTACTGAATTTATTGTTGCCATGTTCCAGGTAAACAAAAACAAAGTAAATAAAATCCTAATTATAGTAATTGTTAATATCATATTTGATTTGATAATAGGCTTATGATGTTAGAAGTGTACAAGGAGAGCATTTTAATGCAGAAGCTGTTGACAATAAGATAGATGATATTCAAAGTCAAGTAGAAGGTACACCCCAAATTGCTTAATTATTGTTACTATTATGTCTATTTTAATTAATAAATAAAAAATAATAATATAATATATATACATATACCATTTATTTGAAACATATCAAATAATAAATAATGTCTATTCTTAGCAATTTTAGATAAATTCTATTCTTTTCTTAATGAAAATCCAAGCGGAGAAGCTGCGAAGTATAATTATTTAATAACAAATAAAAAAAAATTGATTCTTTTGTTATCATCCTTTTCTTCTTCTTCTTCTTGTTCTTAACTTACATAATGTATCCACCGGAACATTCACAATTACCGCCTCATAAAGAAGATGAGGAATTTGAAAATTATCCTTTAAATAATACTAATTTTGTAGAACAAAGACCAGTTATGCAATCTCCTTTTACGGATTCATATGTCGTAGAAGAACATACACCACCTATACCAACTTATGAAAGTAGCCAGCCACTTTTGCCACATAATAATCAATCTTCTACAGCCATGCCTATCCCACCACAACCTCCTTCTTCTAATATGATATCGCCTTTTGCTGATGGCCCTTTCCCTTTTTCAGATGGACCTCCTCCTCCTCTATCAATGCCTTCACCTTTTGCTGAACATCCTATGTCACCTCCTATCATCGATAATAATAATAATAATAACTTTGGCAATGAGTCACCTCCTGTTTATTATACTGGAGCTCCTAGACGTCAACCACGTCGATACAAGACAAGTAAGGCGCACTCTTCTTTTTTTTTTTAAAAAAATAAATAAATAATAACTAAATTTATCATTTTTTTTTATTTATTTATTAGCACGTAGAGTAAAACTTACTTGTGGTAATTTGGTATTGGATTGTCCTGTTCCCACTCGTTATCTTCAAGCAGTTCCCATCAAAGATACTAAAGAATTTACACATATGCGTTATACAGCAGCTACTTGTGATCCCAAGGATTTTGCTGCTGAAGGTTACACGCTACGTCAACAATTACTTGGTAGAGAAACTGAATTATTTATTGTTTTGACCATGTACAACGTAAAGTTTAATTTTATTAAAATGAGTACAATGACAATTTTTTTTTAATTTAATTTTTTTTTTAAAAAAAAAAATATTTTTTCTAAAAAAAAAAAAATAGGAAGATGAAGTTTTATTTGCTAGAACAATGCATGGTGTAATGAAAAATATTGCTCATTTATGTACAAGAGATCGATCACGAACATGGGGACCTGAAGGATGGAAAAAAGTGACAGTATGTATTGTGTCTGATGGACGTAATAAAGTCCATCCTAGAACTTTATCTGTCTTGGCTAGTTTAGGTGTCTATCAAGAAGGAGTTGCTAAAAATATAGTCGGTAATAAACCTGTAACAGCACATATTTATGAGGTAAAATGATAATAATAATTGTTATTTTATTAATTAATTAATAATAATATTATTATTTTAAGTATACAACACAATTGTCTGTAACTCCAGACATGAAATTCAAAGGTGCAGATAAAGGAATTGTACCATGCCAAATATTATTTTGTTTAAAAGAAAAGAATCAAAAAAAGATTAATTCACATCGTTGGTTCTTTCAAGCATTTGGTCCTCTTATTCAGCCTCATGTTTGTGTATTAATTGACGTTGGCACACGTCCTGGTCATACCTCAATTTATCACTTATGGAAGGCATTTGATGTACATTCTAATATTGCAGGTGCTTGTGGAGAAATTAGAACGATGACGGGTAAATTTGGTTCTGCTCTCTTAAATCCTTTAGTAGCAGCTCAGAATTTTGAATATAAAATGTCAAATATTTTGGATAAACCTTTGGAATCTGTATTTGGCTATATTTCTGTATTACCTGGTGCATTTTCAGCTTATCGATATAAGGCACTTCAAAATGATATAGATGGGCATGGTCCATTGGAAAAATATTTCTTGGGTGAAACACAACATGGTGGAGATGCTGATATCTTTACAGCCAATATGTATCTCGCTGAAGATCGTATCTTATGTTATGAGTTAGTAGCAAAGAAAAATGCAAACTGGATACTTCATTATGTTTCTAGTGCTTATGGTGAGACGGATGTACCAGATAAAGTAGATGAATTTATTTCACAAAGAAGAAGATGGCTAAATGGTTCCTTCTTTGCTGGTGTCTATGCATTATACCATTGGCGTAAAGTATGGGGTTCAGATCATAGTATATTTCGAAAATTAGCTTTTATATTTGAAAATATATATGCTAGTTATAATATGCTCTTTTCATGGTTTGCTTTGGTAAATATATAAGAAAGATAGACAAACAGACAGACAGACAGAACTAAGCAAATTCTCATTTTATAGGGTAACTTTTATTTAACATTCTTTATATTAATTCAAGCATTAGGTGCAGAAAGTCTTCAACCTAAACCATTCCCTGCTCATGTGGCGGATGTTATTCATGTCGTTTTAAATTATATTTATATTTTATTAATCATTATTCAATTCATATTGGCACTCGGTAATCGACCTCAAGGTTCAAAATTTGCATATACAGCTAGTATGGTATTTTTTGCAATTTTAATGGGATATATGCTATTTGCAACCATTTGGATTACAGTAGCCAGTATTTCAGCTATAGCAGAAAATGGGGCAAGCTCATTTATGACAATGCTTGGACATTCAACATTTAGAAATATCATTATCTCGGTCTGTTCAACTTATGCTCTTTACTTGGTTTCAAGTTGCTTATTTTTAGATCCATGGCATATGATAACAAGCTTCGGACAATATATCTTTTTATCACCAAGTTATACAAACATTCTCAATATTTATGCTTTCTGTAATACTCATGATGTCTCTTGGGGTACAAAGGGTGATAATACGATTGCTACAGACTTGGGTGTTGTAAAACATAAAAAAGATGCTGAGACAGGCGAAAGTATGGTAGAAGTTGAAGTTCCTACCGAACAAAAAGATTTGAATGAACTCTACGAAGAAGCATGCTTAGATCTAAGTAAAGAAGTAATTCCTGAAAAACAACATCGTGATTCAAAGACAAAGCAAGAAGATTATTATAGAGCATTCCGTACTCGTTTAGTACTCTCATGGATTATTACAAATCTTATTTTAGTAGTTATTATATCTAATACTACTACTTTTAATTGGATGGGTTCATTCCAAACTAGAAGTACAGATTATCTTGGTTTCATTTTATGGTCTGTAGCAGGATTAGCAGCCATTCGATTTACTGGTTCAACTTTATATCTTATTCTTCGCATATTTAGTGGATAAAATTAATAACGTATGATTTTTGTATATTTAATATTAAATAGAACTCCTTTTGTTACAAAAATAAACATATACACACATTTATTTTTTTTTTATTTTTTTAATATAAGACTATTTATATACATTTATTAAAAAAAAAAAAAAGGAGAAACAATTAATATTAGAGGAGTAAAAAAAAGATTGACAGATGTACAAGTTGAATACAGGTTACACAAGGTTATTAAAACAAGTCACTTTTGAACTAATTTGTTGTATTTTGGTTTTATTGTTTAAAAAAAAATCTTTTCTTTTCTTCTCCTTACAAAAGACTAAAAAAAAAAAAAAAAAAAAAAAAAAAAAAAAAAGAAGAGCTGGCTGCTATAAATAAAATTAATAATTATTATTTAAACTTATCTTTTTTTTTTCTTTTTAATACATTTCTTTTCTTGATTTCAACGCGTTACTGACTGATCAAACTAGTACCACTACATATAAACAAATATATATGTTACATCTATTTTAGATAGAAGCATTATATATATTTTTTATATATAAAAAGTATTTAATGTGCATATAATCAATTTCAACAAAAGACTTTTTTTTTTCTTTTTTCTTTCTTTTTTTTTTTTTTTTTTTTTTTTTTGTTTGTTTGTTTGTTTGATTGTTCGAATATGACAATACCTTCACCACAGTCTCAATACATTCCTGATAGAAATTCATCAAATTCATTTTCGCCACCAACTTCACCAATAATTTCAGAGTCTTCAACTTTAAATTCACATTTTGTTCAGGCACTTCACGATTATTTACCTTCTTCAGTTACACCCGATGAAGCAGTTTCATGTTTATTCTTCAAAAAAGGTTCTATCATTGAAGTATTTAATAGAGACGATTCTGGCTGGTGGGATGGCCAGTGCGGTAACGTGAGAGGATGGTTTCCAAGTAATTATGTTGGAAAAATTGGTGAATTAAAAAGACAAGATACCGACTTTGAAGATAATCATGAACTAGAAACATGGCACCAAAAAATAAACCAGCAATTCTACAATTCTTCTTCTACTGTGTCACTACTTGAAGAAAATCTTACTAAGGTAGCTTTTTTTTTTTTTTTTTTTTTTTTCAAGAAAAAAAAATTTCTTGAATTTATTAATATAACTTAAATTTTTATCATTTGACAAAAAGGTGTTATCGCCAATTGAAAATCAAGTTGAAACAACAACAACAACAACAACAACATTAAATGATGATAATTGGAAAACGGAAGCTATTAAACCTTTATCTTCAAATATAGCAAACGAAATTGATTCTTCAATTGAACAAGTATCAAAACAAGTCATAGATTTAGTAGATGCATGTCACGACTCGGCTCAATCCAACATTCAATTACATATTTTTGAGGTAGTGGCTTCTGTTAGACTTGTACTTACAGAAGCGAATGTCGTAAATAAAGAAAGTCCATTATTAAAATTGTATCCCGAATTAGCACGACAACGAAAGATTGTTTTAAGTGCATTAAGTCGACTTGTTTTAAAAGGAAAGTCTTTACAACAAGCAAATTGTACTAATAAAAATGACGATCAAATCTCTTATCTTGCCGATCAATTATTGAATGAATTAGATTTATTCGAAAAATTACTTATTAAAATACCCCAACAGCCTTCTTCTTCTTCTCCTATAAAAGAGAATAATGATGCTCTTGATTCAACTCAGCTTTCCTCTCTATTTCAGGTGGATACACCTCGCTCATCAATATCATCAATTGGCCATTCATCTATTATTTCAAATAATTCAACTTCCTTTCGTCAATCTACCATCAAAACTCGACATTCAAATAATAGTTTCTCTTCTATAGTCACTAAATTGACAGCTCTATCAGATAAAGAAAGTGTTTTGCAAAGTATCTTAGACCAACAGGCGTCTATTGATGAATTAATGACAAGTCTCGTAATGACCTTAGAGCGCTACCTTGTTATTCGTCATCGAGCTACAGAGATACTAGAGATAACCCGAAAAGCAGTAGAGGCTGTCAGAATGTTTTTGGCAGTTGTTGAACATGTCTATTCTATTATTAGTGATATTGAACAAAGTAAACGTCAGTCCATCATTCCAGAAGATCCCTCACTCGTCTCTCTTGTTCTTACAAAGGAATCCGTTTATAGTGCTATTACAAACTTAGTGACGGCTGTAAGAGCTTTAACTGGACCTCATCAACCACCGGACAGCGATCATAATCATATTTTAAAAGACGATTTTGATCACCTTTGCTTGTGCTGTGAAAAAGTAGTAAAAGCGATAAATGAATGTGCAACCTATGTGAGGGCATGCTTAGACACTGAAGAAAGTGACATTTGTTTTCAACAACACTTGATGATAGAGGAAACCAATAAATCAGAACTCTCAATTGAGAATAGCCATAAGTTTGATAGCTTAAATATCCTTCGACGTAAAGCTAGTAGTTTGCAAGCTATCCAGCAGTACCGTCGCGATCAATCAGAAAAGGAAATTGTTTTAGAAGAAAACGAAGAACTGTATAATGAACAAACCATTGAAGATCTTGCAATAGAAACAGTTCCAACGAAGGATATTGATCACGAAAATGAAATATCTCAATCTTATTCTACTCAACGAAATATACCTCGAACATCTTCATCTAATCTTACTTCAAATGACTTTTATCATACACCACGATCCTCGACACCATCACTATCAACCTCAACTAATTCATTGACAATAAAAACAAATACCTTGACTGCTTCTGCAGTGGATACCATTACTCCTGAAACAAATCCCGCAAAACCTACAAAGTTAAGACCTAGAGCTGCATCAGTCAATAATACGCATCTCCTTCAATTACCACCGAAAAATAATATAATGAATGCTGTAAAGCCTTCCGTATCAGCAGCATTTCCTCTTCCACCATGTATGGATGCCTCTACAGAGATTACAAAAATTCTATCTACTGATCAAAGTCAAAAGACTCGTCGATCTCGTGGCTTAAGTGTCACTTCTATAAAATCAACTATCAGTAAATCTAAATTAGAGCGTGTTACAACCCCTTCGTCGTCTGTCGAAAATATTTCTGAACCTCTACGAATTCAAAAAGTGCCTTCTTGGATGTCTATAAATACCAATGTAAATAGATCCGAAAACAATTCTGTGACAAGCCTTGAAACCACACCTACTCTTTCATCAAGCCATCCACTAACAAAGGTATTTATATCTATATTTATCTTTTTTTTTTTTTCCTTTACAAGATTTATATTAAATTACTTTTTTTTTTCTATTGTCGTAGAAGGAACCTGAATTCGAATTTTTAAAACAAATTGCCTTTACAGAAGAAGAAATGATGTTTAACGCTGAAGGAGAAGTGACAGGTGCTACAGTAGAAGCATTGGTTCGAAAATTGACATTACATGAAAAATCACCTGGTATATATATATCTATATATCTATATATTTGTATACATGTATATATATATTAGAAGTAGAAAGTTGAATTAAATAATATTCATATATAGATCTTATTTTTACTCGGGCATTTTTTTACAATTTTCGATTGTTTACTAATCCTGAAGAGTTTGTTCGGTTATTGACAAATCGATTTACTCTACAACCACCAACAGAACCTGAGCCTCTAACGGATGAACAGCTTGCTTTATGGACAAATCGAGTCTTAATACCTATTCGTCTTCGTGTTTATAACGTAATAAAAACATGGTTGGAAACATACTTTAATTATGAACAAGATACAGCTGTTGAGAAGGCTTTAATCGACTTTGCTTCTAATGAAATGAGTAAAGCTATGCCTGGCCCTGCTAAGCGAATGATTGAACTTATTAAAAGAACTGTAATATAGTTTTATTTAATATAGATATATATATATATATACTTACTTACTTACTTCTTTACTTTTATATACATATACACTTAGTTTTCATCTAAAGGATTAAGCTGTACTGGCAGCAAGCATGTGTATTCTGAGAATCGCATTGTTACACAAAAATCAAGTTTGTCTACTTTGCAATCATCAACTAATGGAGGGTTTGGAGGAAACAATAGTGGCTCCATTTTTTCTAATTTAATTTTGTTTGACGATCATCATCACTTTGACTCCTCTATTGATAGATATCCACCATCCATTTTAGGTAAAGCATTGAGAAATACCTTAAGAAAGGCGTTAAGTCATAATAATCTGGGTATCGTTCATGTCAATGATTTTGACCCTGCTGAACTTGCTCGACAGTTGACCTTAATGGAGAATAATTTATTTTGTCGTATCCGACCTAATGAGATGATTGGTCAAGAGTTCAAAAAGAAAGTAGGCACAAGTCAAGCAGTTCATGTGAAAGCAATGATTCAACGAAGTACACAAATTACAAGTTGGGTTTCTGACACCATTTTGAAAGAAACAGATACAAAAAAGCGAGCGCAAGTTTTAAAATATTGGATAAAAGTTGGAGATGTAAGTTTATTTTCTGCAAACATTTTTTTTTTTGTAATGTCTTTTCCAATAATAATAACAAAAAAAATAGGCTTGTCTTCAATTAAATAATTACAATACTCTGATGGCAATTCGTTCTGCACTGGATTCAACAAGTATCGCAAGACTAAAAAAGACATGGGATCATCTCTCTGTAAAATATAGAGCTATATGGGAACCTATTTACAGAGCAACGGATTCTCAAAGAAATTTTGCTGAATATAGACAACGTTTGAAAACAACAATAGCGCCCTGTCTTCCTTTCCTTGGAGTCTATTTAACTGATATGACATTTATTGATGATGGGAATGCAGATTATCGTATGTCACCTGGAGGCAAACAACTTATTAATTTTGACAAATACATCAAATTTACCCGTATTTTGAACGAAATTGATCAGTTTCAATTTCCTTATAAATTATTTGAAGTAGAGGAAATTCAAAGATATTTAAAGAAAACACTTGAATCTGTAGAACAGGATGATCAAGTTTTCTATGCAAAAAGCTTAAAACACGAACCAAAAGAGGAAGAAGTTGTAACTTAATAAATATATATTTCTATATATATATAACCATGAAATACTGTATAATGTACAAAACATTTAATATTGCTATATAAATATATATGCTCATATAAATAAAAATTGTTATTTGAGGAAAAAAAAACTCTAGTATATCCATTATGCTTGCCACAGTGGAATTTCTAGGAATTGCTCATAAATTATGATTTGTTGTTTTCTGTAAAATACTTCCTCTACCATGACTGGTTGAAAGATTGATCTTTTTTTCTAAATGTAGATGGTATCAATAACTTCCTGAAAGAAAGTATCCTAAACCCGCTTGTTGTACTTGAGCGCTTCTTTATAGAGTAGCAAGTCTAGACTACTGAAACTGGAGAGGTGTGATGATAAGATAATTTGTTTGCTATATAATATAGCAGAAGGAAGACTATTTGGGATCTGACATCTCAACTCAGGTATATTGTGTGATCGAATAATGTATCAACTTTTTCAGTAATATTAACATCTAAAAAGTAACATTATTTATTGTGAAAAATGAAACCTCAAATTTCTTATGTCTTAGTGTAATGTAATAGAATAAAAAATAATCTATACTTGTTAAACAGTGTAAATCGTTGGCCAAAGGCTGCTACGGTCAAGTATTATTTTTAGCATGCTTGATATTATACTGAACTAAATGTGTAACTATGCTTCGAAAATTCATTCTTTTTCTGGTAATACAAGAAAGAAATCAATAAAAAAATTACATATCTTCTTCTCTTATACCTCAGACATTAAAACATCGATGATAACGAAGGATAATTAGCTTTATTTATTTTTTTAACAAAACAAATCTTCTAAAAGTAGTTGATAAATGGTGAAAAACGAAATATATGAAATACATGATTACGAATCAGGGATGTTGCTGTATTTAAATTAAAGCAGATTATTGTAAGAAGAAAAACAGGAGACACAAGATTTTTTTTTTTCGGAATACACAAAAAAAATTTTTTTTTTTTTTTTTGCCCAGATCAAAAAATTTCAATAATTTACTCATAACATACGAGTAAGTCGTATTCCAGAATTGAAATAAATAAGTAAATCTTAATTAGAAAAAAAAAATAATGGTAAAAGTAATAAATCAAGAAATTGCAACTTATCTTTAGCTTTTTTTTTTTTTTTCGAAGAAATATAGAAATTTAATATCAGAAAATCAGTTTACTGCGAGACAAAAATAAAAATAATTAGTTTTACTTTAAATGTGTATAAGGAAGGCAGAACTGTTAAACTAAAATAACCGTATATATTGGCTTTAATAATGTATAATGTATGATTATATAAAAATAATATCTATTAATTTTTGAAAAAAGATAAATAGTTTAATGCTATAAGCCACTAGGAAACTATTTTGTTGATTTCCATTTTTGTAAAATACCCAATTAAAATTATGATTTGTGACCATTAATAAAGTGGCTTTGAAGCTGCGCAACAAAAAAATTTTTGCTATATTTAAAAAAAAAGGTAATAAACTTTATTGTTTTTTTTTCTTTCCCTTTTTTTTGTTAAATTTACAAGTTTTAAAGTGCGTATATATAACCTTTCAGCATTATGATAGTATATTCATTTTACTAATATACTTTTGTTTTTTTCTTTTATATAGCAATGGGTAAAGAGAAGACTCACGTTAACGTTGTCGTCATTGGTCACGTCGATTCTGTAAGTATTTTAAAAGGGCTATATATAAAGGGAGAGGGAGAACAACGTAAACTGATAATATTTTATTTTGGTATAACAGGGTAAGTCCACCACTACTGGTCACTTGATTTACAAGTGTGGTGGTATTGATAAGCGTACCATTGAAAAGTTCGAGAAGGAAGCTGCTGAACTCGGTAAGGGTTCCTTCAAGTACGCTTGGGTCCTTGATAAGCTCAAGGCCGAACGTGAGCGTGGTATCACCATTGATATTGCTCTCTGGAAGTTCGAAACTCCCAAGTACCACGTTACCGTTATTGATGCCCCCGGTCACCGTGATTTCATCAAGAACATGATTACTGGTACTTCTCAAGCCGATTGTGCTATCCTTATCATTGCTGGTGGTACTGGTGAATTCGAAGCCGGTATTTCCAAGGATGGTCAAACCCGTGAACACGCTCTTCTTGCCTTCACCTTGGGTGTCCGTCAATTGATTGTTGCTATCAACAAGATGGATACCACCAAGTGGTCCGAAGCTCGTTACAACGAAATTGTCAAGGAAGTCTCCAACTTCATCAAGAAGATCGGTTTCAACCCCAAGTCTGTTCCTTTCGTCCCCATCTCTGGCTGGCACGGTGATAACATGTTGGATGAATCCACCAACATGCCCTGGTTCAAGGGATGGACCAAGGAAACCAAGGCTGGTTCCAAGACTGGTAAGACTCTTCTCGAAGCTATCGATGCTATTGACCCCCCTACCCGTCCCGTCGATAAGCCTCTCCGTCTTCCCCTTCAAGATGTCTACAAGATCGGTGGTATTGGTACAGTCCCCGTCGGTCGTGTCGAAACTGGTGTTATCAAGGCTGGTATGGTCGTCACTTTCGCTCCTTCTGCCGTCACCACTGAAGTTAAGTCCGTCGAAATGCACCACGAAACCCTCGCTGAAGGTCTTCCCGGTGACAACGTTGGTTTCAACGTTAAGAACGTTTCTGTCAAGGATATCCGTCGTGGTAACGTCTGTTCCGACTCCAAGAACGATCCCGCTAAGGAATCTGCCTCTTTCACCGCTCAAGTCATTATCTTGAACCACCCTGGTCAAATCTCTGCTGGTTATGCTCCAGTTCTTGACTGTCACACTGCTCACATTGCTTGTAAGTTCGCCGAATTGATTGAAAAGATCGATCGTCGTAGCGGTAAGAAGCTCGAAGATGCTCCCAAGTTCGTCAAGTCTGGTGACTCTGCTATCGTCAAGATGGTTCCTTCCAAGCCCATGTGTGTTGAAGCTTACACTGAATATCCTCCTCTTGGTCGTTTCGCTGTCCGTGATATGCGTCAAACCGTCGCTGTCGGTGTCATCAAGTCCGTTGAAAAGGTTGACCGTGCCGGTAAGGTTACCAAGGCTGCTGCCAAGGCTTCCAAGAAATAAATTTGATCATTCCAGCACTATTTCTTATTAAAAAGTTAAAATGACTTTTTGTAAAATAAAAAATATTTAATAAGGATACAAATTTTTTTTTTTTTGTTGTGTTTTTTTTGTGTTGTTTGGGAAGAATTGTTTACAGTAATAAGCTAATTTTATAAGAGAGACATGTGGTTAATATGATATGAAAACATGTCTAATATTAAATTTCTGATTTGCAGAAATAGTTCTAATTAAGGTAGACGGATCAGAATTGGAAACATTTTTTTTTCTAGCTTTGAATAACGTAAGAGACAATTTATCTATACAAATTTGATATGTAAAATATATGTTCATGATGGTACTATTATAAGCTAATGTTGTTAATTTTATCTGTTGAAATTTTACAGAATAGTGTCAATAAACCTAGAAAGGCATTATAACTCAAAAATACACCGTATAATGCATACTAGAATAAAATAATCTTATTACTACAAATATAATTCATCACTATCGAGCAGCATAAAGTTTATTTTTTTTAATGTTCTCAATATTGCTTATTTTAGTAAATACTATTACAAGTAGATATGCTAATTATTATATTCATGATAGCGTATTTCCTTCTATCATGTAAACAAATGCATGACTCCAGTAGTTCTTTTAAAATTTATAAAAAGAAAAATCTAAACTTCAATATTGAACAACATATGTTTATATTTACTTTTTTTGCAAAATATTATTGCTGAAGATATTAATGTATTGATAGATATTATATATTTATCTATCTTTATCTTTTGTAGAGTATCCAACAGAGCCTGTTATATTATAATACTCCTTTATTATGAAGTAATGTCTAACTTTCACAGTATGTCCATTAACAGCTATAACTGCTATCAAGCACATCTTCTTCTAGAATTGACGAAAAAAAAAAAAGGATTACAGTATCCTTCTTCAAGTTCAAAGTCTTTCATTACGTTAGCTGCTCCTCTTTCTTTATGCAATACTTAATATGAAACATAACTTTTAATAATAAACTCAAATGCACCTATTACTCGAATTGACAGCAAACATATTATTGAAGGTTGTAATAAATTCCCTTAAAGGCTGTAGTTGTCGAATAAATAACAACAATTATCAACTTTTTTTTTTAGTCAATAGCAATAAATAAATGTTGACTTTTGAAGTCGTTCTAGCAACTGGGCATATCTATTAAAAGTCATTTTTTTATTTTTCTTTTTTTCACTTGACAACTCCTTTCTGCCATGAACAACTTAACAGTACTGTTACAAATAGTGGTATTGACGGTAAAAAAAGACAGAATTGGATTATCTTCAACTAGTTATAAAGAACATAATATTTGTTAAATAACTGCATTGAATATACTATCTCACTTTTATTATCTTTAAATATGTCTGAAAGGATTTATATATATAATCTTAAAAAGAGTCCTCGATGATGGCTATCTTAAAATCATAATCAACTACTGCTGATATGGATTGATCGTTGCATATCAAATTATTTTATATATATCTATCATCAAGTAAAGCATCCTACTTTATTACGAATAGGACCATCTAATTCATGTAATTTACAGTGTGTGTTACTATCTTTAGCTGAGAGACTCTTATATTTTGAACACTTGCAGTAAATTTTTGTTTGGTTTCAATTTTTACATACAAAAATATCTGTGGAGAGAAAAAAAAAATAAAATACTATAATGATGAAACTTTTATGTATGAATATGTATACTTCTTCAAACAAAACTACAATATTTTATTGTTTTTACTATGTGTTAAGGTTTGATCTTGTTGCTCAAAAGCATAATATCAGAAGCTGTAAACGAATATATAAGTTGTTTTGAAGATAAATAAACACTAGTATCGTGTTCTAAAGACATTAAGTAAAGGAACTTATAGCTGTACTTAATAAATATTTGCTGGATGAAATTACTATATAGAAATAAAGGGGCGCATACATCTAGTGCATTTTATATCTGATACAAAAATGAACTACATTATTTTACCTCCTGTTTTTTTTTTAATCATTCAAAAACAATATACAATAGATTCTTCTATTACTTGATAAAATTTCTTTTTTGTTTGTTTGTTTGTTTGTTTTCTTTATTTAATCATGTTTGGGTTTTGTATCAAACAAACTTATTTCTTGAATCAATTAAAGACAAGCATTTTTAGTCTAAAAAATAGACGTCTTTATTCGGTAAGCGTAAACAACAATAACGTTGCTCAATATCCATTCAAAAATCTCGATTTTCAAAATACAAATTGCTGTCAAACATGTCACCAACTGTTCACGAAGTTTCCATTATCTCAGCAATCAAAACATGGTAATATGTGTGAAGGTTGTACAAGGTAACAGTCAAATTTTTTTTTTCTTATCATGTAATAAATTAATTTACCTTAAATACGTGTTTTAGATTATTTGCACCAAGTAATTATAGTCCAATGATGAAGAACATGATTGAATCTATAATCATTCAGAAGAATATAGAGATAGTGCCCAATGATTATCCTTTCAATTTAATAAGAAACTTAAATCATCCTTTATTTGAAGATAAAAGCAGAAGGGAACTGTGGACTCTAGAACAAAATTATTCACGAAAAAATATACCACTTTATAATAGTATTGAGTATCGTTCTAGATGGGCTAAGCGGCGAAAACACAATATAGTTACTATGTCAAAAAGGAAAGGCAAGAAAGGTTTAACATATCCGACTAAAGATGAAATAATGCAATTAATGGAAAGATCCGAAGGAAAATGTTCAATCAGTGGAATATGTGGCCTATGGACAATGTCAGGGGTACCAAAATGTTTAGACCCTTTCTTATTAACAATTGATCACAAGAACCCTTTATTTAAAGGTGGAAATTCAGGTATTGAGAATTTACAAATTACACTTTATTGTCTTAACCAAGTAAAAGGAACCGAAAGTAATCATGAAATGCTTCGTTGGTTTAACATTATCAGAAGTATAACTCGACCTTAAAAAAAAAAAAAAAAAAAAAAAAAAGGCCATTTTTCACTAGAAGAAGATATACACTATTTGGATCGTAATTAGTAATATAAAGTTGCTTCCTTCTTTTCTTAACTTTATATTAATTATACTTTACAAGCATTATATATACAGTATAGTGTTTATAAAGTCATTTTTTTTTCTTTTATTAATTTGTTATTATGACGTGATAAACAATGACTTTTAAAGGAGTTTGCCTCGGAAGAAAGAGATATAACATAAACATTATAAATTGTTTATATTTAATACAAGTGTATCATGTATGTAATAATCAAGGTGTTCTCCCTCGGAATATATAAGGACAATTTAATATGGGATATAGATAATATAATATGTAACGTCATTTTACATTTGAACATGAAAATGCTTAAAGACGTAAATGTATGTGTACATGATATAAAATGCAAATGTATTATACACATGTATCTAGACTAAAATACTTATCGATATATGTATATATGTATAAATCAGTACGGTGATTCCGAGGAAATTATAATATTAAAAGAATATAATTGTAATATTATCCCCTGATGCTGTAAAATTATATCGATCATGTTACACTTACATACAAATATGACTGATTTACAATAATCCAAATCAGCTGCTTTCATATAATAATATCAAAGTTAAATATCTAACTGTTATGTTTGTAGAACAAATTGCAAATGACGTTTCAAATAAATATGTATATAGTATACATATCTCTTATATAATACATAGATACAATATAATTTTTTTTTTTTTTTTTTTTTTTTTTTTTTTACACATTATAAAGGCGACTACATATATTATATACAATTTACAAAAATGCCACCATATAATACGTGAATATAGTCATATACAATACAATATACATAGCACTTGATCCAAATAATTATGTGCAAACTTGTGTAATAATCCTTCTATTGTGATACTACATTATTAAATCAAAAAAAAAAAAAAAAAAGAAAAGATAGGTAATTTTTTTTGTTTATATGCTAAAAAAGCACATGTATTTATTTGTATAAGAAGCTTCATTCATTATCATATGGTTCATATTTAATTCAAATACTTTTCGTCATTTTGTAACTCAAGATAAAGGATCATTTATGTGGTCAAAGTCTATATAAATAGAGTCGTTAAGTCTTGCTTTTTCTTCTTTTCTACATCTTTAAACTATATATATATATACATTTCCATAAACAAACTATGTTGTTGCGTACTATTGGCTTTGCTATAGCTGCCTTATTGGCTTCAAACGGTGTTCAAGCTTCTTATAGCCCTAATTCACCTAATGTCATGTATTACTGGGGACAGGTACTATTGTATTTATATACATCTATTTCTTACTTGTTCTGATCCTTTCCCCCCATTTTTTTTTTCTGTTAGAATTCTGCTGGTGGCTCCAACACTCAGGGAACATTAGCTTCTTACTGTGAAACTGGTAAAGTAGACGTTCTTCTTTTGTCTTTTCTTCATATATTTAATGTTGGTGGTCTCCCTGGTGTAAACTTGGCCAATGCATGCGAAACTTACTTTGATGGCACCAACTTGGTCAATTGTCCTAATATTGGAAAAGGTACATACATAAGAAAAAAAAATATATATATAAGATAAAGTACATGTATAAATTCTTACATATATACCTTCTTCTTTTTTCTTTTTCTTTTCTTATTATAGAGATCAAATCTTGTCAATCCAAAGGTGTTAAAATCATTTTGTCTCTTGGTGGTGCTGCAGGTTCATATGGCTTTTCAAGTGATGGTGATGGTCAAAAGTTTGCTCAAACAATTTGGGACTTATTTGGTGGAGGATCTTCTTCTACTAGGCCTTTTGGTGATGCTCAAATTGATGGTGTAGACCTTGATATTGAAGGCGGTTCATCTACTGGCTATGCTGTAAATATATATATATATATATATATACAAATATAGGCTTTATTTAGTTATTTATTTACCTATTTATTTATAGGCATTTGTAACTGCTATTCGTTCCAAATTTGCATCTGATTTCATAGTAGGTGCTGCACCTCAGTGTCCTTTCCCTGATGCTATCTTGGGCTCTGTTATTGATGCTGTTGGCTTTGATTATGTTAACGTTCAATTCTATAATAATTTTTGCTCTGCTGTTGGTAACTCCTTTAACTTTAATGCATGGGCTAATTGGGCTAAATCAACATCACCTAATAAGAACGTTAAAGTCTATTTCACTATTCCTGGCTCTACAAGCGCTGCAGGTTCAGGCTATGCACCTATGTCAACTATTCAAAATATTGTTCCTCAACTTGTTTCTCAATATTCCGGCACTTATGGTGGTGTTTCTGTCTGGGATGCCTCTCAGGCATTTACGAATGGTGATTTTGCATCTCAACTTTATTCACTTGTTAAAGGTGCTTCTTCTGGTGGAGGACCATCACCTACGGCTACAACAGGTAATCCCCCCTCCTCCTCCTCCTCCTCTTCTTCTTCTTCTCCTGCTTCTTCTAGTATTAGTGCCGTCATTCCTACAGGCTCTTCATCTGCTACTTTAACAACCTCTAAAGCCATTGCGACTGAAACCTCTGGCAGTTGCGCTAGGGCTGGTCAAGCCTGTTCTACGGATGGTAAATATGTTTGCACCTCCAATGGCGCCTACGCTATCTGTAATCATAGTAAATGGTCTGTTCAATCTTGCCCACAAGGAACTAGCTGTCTCGCCACTTTAGATGGTGCCTCCATTTATTGTGGTTATTCCACTACAGGCTCTACAGCATGCTCTAATACAAATGTTCGTGAACTCTTAAAGATGACCCTTGACACGAGTCATGCTGCTGCTGTCCCTAAGGCTTATACAGCATCTCAAGTCTCTGCTCAACTCACTGTCGCCTCTGCTTCCTCTCAAGACTTTGAATTTGTCCTTAATGCACGTCGTATTGTCGATAGCCCCTTCAAACAACAGGTCACGATTGAATTTACAGCCCCCAAGAACATCAAATTCACTGAGGTTAATGATGGTACTATTAGACAAGTGGGTTCTAACGTTCGTATTCAGGCTCAAAATACCTATAATGAAAGTATGACGATCGTTAAAAGTATCAAGGGTACGATTCACTCGGGTGTCTTCGTTGCTCCTAATCCTGCCTCTATGCGTTTCAAATAATTTTATTTATCTCCAACACGCGAGTTCTCTCTCTCTCTCCGTCTGGAACGGAATGATATATAATTTGAATAAAATAAATAAATAAACGTATTATTGTTATGGTATAAATAAAGCTTATTTTATTTTCATTTTCATTTATTTTTTTATTTAAAAAAAAAAAAAAAAAAAAAAAAAAAAAGGTATATAATATAAAATGAGAAAAAAAAAAAAAAAAAAGTGCATTTTCCATAATTTACAAGAAAAGAAAAGAAAGAAAGAGGAGAGAGAGAGACTATGAGGGGATTTTACAGATATATGAGAATAAGAATAATGATAATAAACCAAATACCAACGGATAATTTAAAGTTGAAGTGATAAAGGTGGGTTATGTTTTGCTTTGTTTGCTATAAATATATGTGTATGTGTATATGAAAAAAAAAAAGTTAATAATTTAGAATAAATTCATCTTTTTAATGATAATTTACCATAATTAAGCTGTTGTTGTTGTTGCTGCTGCTGCTGCTGCTGCTGCTGAGCTGCAACCATAGCCATTTGCATAGCAGCCGCTTTATTTGTACTTGATGCACCATTCACAACAGCAGCCATATTAGCTGCAAGCATTCCATTTGCCATGGCTACAGCAGCTTGTTGAGGTGTCATTTTTGTACGACTATTTTGTCTTTTAATAGGAATATCTGAGGGAATGCCACCAGCAGTGGGTAAAGGGTTCATAACGGAAGATGAATGAAGCTGTTGAGACGGGATACAGGTTGGAGCGGGCGGTGTAGATATTATTGAAGATATATGACTACGGTTATTAACAACGAAATGACTACTTACAGCTGCTGCAGCATTGCGTGCCTGATTCATATTGATTATATTTAATGGAGTTAAAAATGGAATAGTAACAAGATTACGAAGTTCATTTTCAGAAAGGAGTTGAACCCTATTTTTCAAGTAAATACTATCCATGTCATCCATTTCAACATAATTAGCTAATTCATCTTCATCACTCACATCAGAATCAAATTGAAAATGTTTATATGCTGTTTGTTGATCCATAGCTTTTGTCTTGCCTCCATCATGACCCTCTTCAGCTAGAGACATTGTTGGTTTATATCCAATACAATCAATAAATACACGACCACATCTTCCCATACGTTTACGATACTTGAGTCCTGGTGTTTTTGTTTCGGAAAGTGGCTGATAAAACTGTTCTGGCGTTGATAAGGGAAACGGTTGAAATGGATACTAAGAATATGTTAGTTTAGTCCTTTTCTTTTCTTTTCCTATTTTTTTTTTTTTTTTTTTTTGGAGCCCTTACTTCTGTAACATCTTCATAGGGAAGATCCAATTCTTTTCTACGAAGAAGCTCTGCTTCAATAGCCAGTTGAGTAGGTGATTTATCAGTTTTAAGAAGATGACCCTCTCTTCGAAGCTTATGAAGAGGAATTTTAATAGTGGCGCTATAGACAAAAAGTTAATGATTAGATGTATACAAAAAAGAAGATAATGAATATGCAGTATATACTTTACCCAGAAGAAACTTCCATAGAAGATTTGCGCTTCTTCTTTGACAATAATAATAAATCATCATCTTCTTTAATACCAAGAATACGTTGATGTTCTTGTAAACTTCTTCTTTTTTCAAAAACCGTATGCTCTAACACAAGACTTTCCTTACGAATCTTTTCACGACGTAGGACCATCTCCAACAAGTTACGAGCCATTTCCATCTCTGAACGAAGTTTCCTTAAGCGTTCCAAAGATTGTTGATCAGTACGTCTTGTTTTACGAACAGGTTTAATCTCTCTTCGACGGAAACAGACATAAGGGTCTAATTCACCTTTTAATGTATCTTCTAATATTAAGTGTGGCATGATGGGTTTGCCCTCCCTTTCATGTCGACGTTGACGCCAATAGGCATATAAGACTTGAAGATTAGGGAAATGCTTGATATTTGAATAGTCAGGAACATGATCTAAAAACGTTTTAAAATCAGGAATATGGGTAGGATCCAGATAAAGATGAGGCCATTGCTGGTTTGCAATAGACTCGCATTCCCATATGATCTTTTCAAATAAATCTTCAGATAATATTTCACCAGGGTATTGCTTATTATAGTCCTTTAAAAAATTTTCATCTTTCATATCCATATAATAAGGACAACCAATGCTATCCTCTACTGTAGATGAAAATCGGATAAGTGTCGAGGGTTCCTTGAATTTTTTCTTGTATAAAGCCCCATATTCATTATTTGATATTAAACGAGAAGCATCAGGTGTAGGGATATATTTTTCTATCGAAGCGCCTGTCGTAACAGCTGCTTGTGCAGCAGAAATAGCTGCCTGTAAATCATGCTATTAAAAAAAAAAAAAAAAAAAAAAATATGAAGTCAGATTACATGTCATGTATACATATAAACGACTACGCAAAAAAAAAAAAAAAAAAAAAAAAAATCCTGTAGTCTATTAACAAAGACAAGCCCCCCCTCCCTCCCCTTCTCTATATCCCAACTCATAATAATAACGTGTAAAAGAAGATAATAGTATATGCATATAAAGTTTTATTACCTCTTCTTCCTCTTCTTTTTCAACACCTGTTTCTATTTGTGGGACAGCTCTTTGTATATTTGTAGAGTCAGAAAGGTCTGGAAGTTGAGACTCTTTATAAATAGGAAGTGAGTGTTTGGGAGAAAGTTTTTTGACTCGGAATCGAGACACCATCTGGTTCGTCATGATGTTAAATCAGCAATCTATCTTTTATTTTATTTTTTTTTATTATATATGTTGTTGTCAAGAGATGACTACTCACTTTTTAGAATATTCTTATTCAAAAATATATATATATTTATTTATATATTTATATGTAGACCTACTAGTTATTTTTTTTTTCTGTTTACTTTTTTTTTTTTTTTTTTTTTTTTTTTTTTTACACTATCTTTTTTCAGTTTTATTTTTGTTCATTTCTTTTAGTTATAGTGAGTATATGACGACATCATCTGAGCTTAAAATTTTATTATTGAAACATACTAGAATTAGAAAATATGAATGCAAATATGTATATATAAAGGGAAAAAAAAAAAAGAATACAATGCTTGTTAATAAGGAACGTGTATATATTTATATATGTATATAAATAGTATGAAAGTATAGGGAATGGGGGAATAATTATTAGATTAATTAAACGAATGGGTGTGTGTGTGTAGTTTGTAGATAAATAAATAAACAAATAAATAAATGAATTTAGGAACTAGTGCTTGATTCACTACTTGAAGTTATAGTATTTTGTCTTTTTATTGAATGCGTTGGAGACGAGGTTATAGTCTTGCTGCTATTTATCATAACTATAAGAAGAAGAATGGTGAATATAAAGTTAAAGTTAAATTTAAAATTATGTTTAGGACATGAATATTTACTTTTATTCTGTTGACTGATGTTAGCAATGGTATTTTTTAGGTAAAGAATCCATTTAGTCTGTTCTTCTTGACTGTAAGTGGAGATGATATGACTTGTAGGTGAAACCATAAAGGTTGTATTTAATGAATCAACGCCTTGAAAGGGGGAAGAAATTTCTATCGACCAATCGTCTTCTTTTGTAAGTGCACGTACTTTAGCTCGATCTAATACAATATGACCTTTATATTGTAAGATACCCGAATGTTTTCGTCTAGCAATTACAAAGATATCCGAGAATAGAAAATAGGAACGATTACTGCTACTTGAAAACTTGTTTCTTAGGTAGAGTAGTCTTCTTTCGGCCTTGACACTAAAAGGATGGCCTATCATTACACGTAATATGTTATAAACTTGATCTACATTTTTACAATCTTCAATTCTAATAGAGAGATAAAGATACAAGTTAGATATAAATATGTATACACATATATAGATATATATATATGCAAAGTTATTATATCAATGTACTTTACTTGAATTTGAATTCTGCTGCAATATTCTGAATTCGAGCTTTGCATTGCATTAAGCCGATATAATCAGGATGCATCTGTGAAGTATTATCGGCCAAAGTTGTTAATATATCTTGATAACGTTGAATACAACTAACAGGAGATTGTAATAATGATAATAATGTAGTGCCTTTTAAAGTATCATTCTTCATTATAGTCTATAATTTATGTTATTAATAATTCTTATTGTGTGTGTGTTGGGGGGGTTTACCTCAATAAATTTTTTAAAAGGCTGATATCTTGATAGTCTTTCATAAGTTGTAATTAAAATATCATAATGATCAAAGTAGATATGATATTGCTGTTGTAGACTTGTAAACTAATAAATACAAAAAAAAGGGAATGATGATGAGTGCCCAAAAAAGCGGACTTGGAGATATTGTGTAGCTTTTTATATATGCATATATATTTGTATTTGTCTGTATATTTACCCATGTCTGGATAACATCCGAAATGATCTGGGTCGGCCCCCAAATGCTTAAGCTATTATAATGTGCACAAGAAAAAAAAAATAATAAAATGTCAATTTGTGTTTGTTTATAATTAAGGATGACAAAGAAATATATATATATATATATAAAAAAGGTTTTACCGGTCATCTAGACTTGTTAAATTATCAAAATGAACTTTGTGAAGATCTTCAAAGTTACTAAATAACCAATTTATTTCTCTTTCAGTACAAGGCGGTTTTCTTAATCCTAAAAAGCTAAGCGAGGATTTATTGATATTCTTTCTTAAGGGCATAATAAATGAATTCAAAACCAAATCCAGGATTTGCAAATAATTTTTTTCTGTATCGTATAATTTTCGAATTAAAGCTTCTCTTTGCTGATGCATTATTTCTTGATCTAATTTTATCCATGTTATATAAAAATAAAAATAAAAAAATGAAAAATGTCTTTGATATTACCTATAATATTATCATCTATATCATCATAGTCAAGACTGTCAATGATATCAAATTGATCAATATCTTTTTGTGACAGTGTAGGTTCAACAGACAATGAGGAGCAACTTGTCATGTCACTGTAACGCAGACTAGAGCTACTAATTGAGCTCAGAATACTTGGATCTGACATATTACATGCTGATTTTAATGATATTTGATAGGGAAAGTTAAGCATATAATTGCCTGGTTCCTCTTTAGGCAATTTTCTATCTTTAAGGAGAATATGCATTGCTATATGATAGTTTTATTTTATTTTAATAAAAGATGAAAAAGGATTTGAATAAGGATAATGTAAAATAAAATAAAACTAAAATATATATAATATGTATATATATAAAAAAGAATGAAATAAATAGAATGAAAAGAAAAGAAAAAAAAGGAAAAAAAAAAGGAAAAAAAAAAGAAAAAAAAAAAAAGACCAAAAAAATAAATAAAAGACTGACTTTAATATAGATACACATATAAGGGTCAAGAAGGTCGATCATCGCTGTATCTATTTTTCTTTGTGTATTAATCGAAATAATTTACTATTTTTTACGTCCCTTTATTTCATCGTATGACTTTATAATCAAATGAAGTTTTTCTATACGTCAGGTTCAGGATTAGACAGCCGAAGAAAAACTACAGGCATGTTACCTAGACCTTTTGTTTTTGGAGAAATAATACAAAAATAAAATGTAACAGGTTAATGTTTTCGTAAATAAATCAGCAAACTATTAACTAAAGGACCCTTCTCTGTAGTATTGTTATTATATACACGTGCAAAAAAAAGTACGACATTCAGATAAAAAAAAAAAAAAAAAGCATGCTTCCCGTCACTAGGTTATAGTAAATTTTGAAAGGTTACTCAATGAATTAAATACTACACGTTTCTTTCTTTTTTTTTTTTTTTGTTGTAAAATGACATACATACATACATACATACAAATATATATATACTTGTTTATATTTATTTACATAACACATATAATTATAATATATCTTTTATTATTATTTTAATGTTTGTATTATGAAACAATTCGTTTTTTTTTTGTCAGTAAAAGGATCAAGTAAATAAATATAAAAGCCGATAAGAGATAGACATGCATATTAGATAAAAGTGTATGAATATGTGTGTGTGTGTGTGTGTGTGTGTGTGTGTGTAGGAATTAAGATTGCTAATGCATTTGTCCGTTATTATTTACGCACTTGCCCGGTAAGCGGTAAACCAACTAAAGGGAACATGTGTTGTAGTACAACATAATAAAATTTATCGAACCATTATTATCATTCCTTTTGAAACAAACAAAATATAAACATTGAAACGTCAAAAATGTAAATTTCCAATAGTTACTATATAAACGAACGTAATGCATTTTAATATAAATAAATTACAATGACTAAAACCTTCCTTCTATTATCTTCTTTATTGCTGCACAAAGTATGAATTCAATATATTAAAATTTAGTACCTTGTAATGAATATGCAGCTATTATATGAAATAATAAATGTTACTTATAATACCTAAAAGTAATCCCTTTGTGTCGTTAGCAATAAGAAAAATTTAAAGTTTTAACCACTACCCCACCACTGCTGAAAGGAATTTTGTCCGGACCGCATGCATTTCTATCATTGTGGAGAAGAAATAAATATGGTGAGCTTTTTTTGCTTACGAAAAAAAAAAAAAAAAAGCTTACTTTCTAATAATTTTATAATAGATGGATGATGAGCAAAGTAATTATTAAAATTGAATAGAGCATTAGACAGAAAATAAAAATAAAAATAAAAATCTTATATATCAATTTTAATTTAGTCATTTGTAGAGTATGTAGAAGTGGACCTACCATAACTCAGCCATTATTTCACCCATGTAAATGCTCAGGAAGCATTCGTTTTGTTCATCAAGAATGGTAAATTATGATTTAATAAGATCATTGCTTTTTTTTTTCCTGTCTTTTTTTTTTCCTTGTCTTTTTCTCTCTCTCTTTTTTTTTTCTTTCTCTTTTTTTTCTTTCTCTTTTTTTTTTCTTATTTTTTTTAGAATGTCTAATAAATTATTCATTAAAGCTTATTACAATGGCTTTCACATAGCAAGAAAAAGTATTAATATTTATACGATGAAAAAAAAAAATTGCATGAAAAAAAAAAATTTATTTTATTTTATATAATAGATATTGTGAATTATGTAAATATCGATTTGTATTTACACCTGTATATCGTGATGATATGCCTGATAATATACCTTATAAAGTGCTTTTAAGACAATCAATGCCTCTTATAAATTTTGGGTTTAGTCTATTGTTTCGAACACTCTTGGCTATCCTTGTTTGGCTATTTGTTATACCAGTCTTATCATCATGGATATGGAGATTTTATTTCTGGAGTGGAAGCAATGTTGGTTTTATTTCTGATTCTTCTCTAGTAGCTAGCAAGAATGATACCCATCAAACAATTATCAAAGAAGAAAGCTTTTATTCTCCATTCAAGTTCCATTGGAGGTAAGAGAGAGAGAGAGAAAAGATAGATAGGATAAACATGAATATATATATATATCCGTTATTAAATACAGCGTATGTCTTATTTTATCTTTTTAGAGAACTTTTATATGATTGTATTCAAGGATTAATTATCACAGTATGTGTAGTTATTATGTTTGTAGCAGCATACTTATTTAGAGAATGGGTTATACAAAATACAAGATCAGCACCAAGGCCTCTTGTAAATGAAGCTGAACAAAATACCATGAATAGATTACCTTCATTAAGGAATTCAGAACAAGAGAATCATGACGAAAATAGGAATGAAATCGTAGTAAGATTAGAACAATTAAGAAGGGATCTTGAAAGACGAAGAGGCGATCATGGTGGTAATAGAGTTGACTATAGAGATATAGATATCACCTTAGATCATAATGAAGTAATAGAATATAATCATAATCCTTATGCTACATCTGGTTCTACTTTATCACCTGGTTTAGTAGGCTATTTTCCACTGAACAGTAACAATATAAACACTAGATCTCGATTAGATGATCGTACGTCAATGAATAGTGATGAAAATGATATCTTTGTGAATCCACCAAGTGGAGTCCAGTCTCCCTTTATAAGTTGGAGAGATTATCAGCATCAAAATACTCCTTCTACTGAATCTTCTTCTCAAAATCAAGTCAGTGGATCTGTAATTCGTAACGAGGCATCATCGAATCATACCTGGAGAGCCCCTGATTCTTCAGTTTCTTCTTCATTCGTTGAAAGAAATAGTTATTTTGCCGAACAATTTCTTGACGAAACTATATTATTAGAGACAAATGAAGAAGAGGAAGAAAATGACCAACAGTTAGATAATATTAGATTTCCTAACTCTGAAATACAACATGGAGTACGTTTAGAAGATAATAATAATGCTACAAATAATAATAATGATAACGACAATAATAATGCTACAAATAATAATAATGATAACGTCAATAATAATGCTAACAATAATAATAATAATAATAATGATATGGCATTTGATATTATGGACGATATCGATGGCATTTTAGAAGCTATTGGTCTACGTGGAAATATTTTACTATTACTTAAAAATGCAATTTTAATGTTATTAATGATCAATCTATGTTTATGTATTGTTGTATGGATTCCTTATATAACTGGGCGTATATTTATAACAGTAAGTATTATATATGTGTCTATATACATATATGACAAGTAAACTAATAGGATTATAGATACATCCCCAGAGTATATTAGGAAATACCTATATTACAAAGACAGTTCACGTTGTGTTCAATAATACAATCCTACTGATTTATACAAATATAGTGAATTTAGTTCAACTATTTTTACCAACTTCGACTTTAACTGCTGTCAATAGCATAAAGGAGAATGGATTGATTTATTTATATTTCATTTTTAAATCAATACACATCGTATTACTTGATCAAACAGGTACTGGACTTGCCTCATTTTTGTCAGATACAACGTATACAATTGATTCTTGGGAAGTGATTAAAGAGAATATCTTTTCAATCTTTACAGTCATCTCACAACGATGGTATCAATGTGCAATAGGACAAAGCAGTTTAGATCGTATAGTATGTATATGTGTAGGATACATCATTTTAATCTCCATAGGTTCCTTTTACTTGTCAAGAAATAAAAATGCTCGACCTGGTTCGACAAAAGAAATTCTTCGTCAACAGACAGTATTCCTTAAAGTTCTCTTTTTCATCTTACTTGAGCTTCTGCTATTTCCAACCATGTGCGGTATCTTTATCGATATATCCACTTTACCTCTCTTTACAGAATGGACGATTAAAAGCAGATTTCATTTTATGCTTCTAAATCCTTATTCTGCTTTATTCTTACATTGGTTTATTGGTACAGGATTCATTCTTCAGTTCTCTGTCTTTATTGCTCTAGTTCGAGAGGGGGTACGTCCGGGTGTACTCTATTTCATGCGTGATTCAAATGATCCCGACTTTCATCCTATTCAAGAAATCGTAGATCAGCCCACATTTTTATTATTAAAAAAGCTATTTACAAATGCCATAGCTTATTTTATGCTTATTTTAGTAGGTATGGGTCTATTCACGTTGGTAGTAAGTCGATATAGTGGTATCTGTCCTATTATATGGAATTTAAAGTAAGGAGCATGCCTATTTTTCATTTAAGAGAAAGGTCATTTTTCTTTTTATATAAACTCACTTCTTATTCTATATATACTAGTACCCCTATTTCTTTATTACCTATTGATCTATTGGCTGTTCAATTTTTGTTACCCATTCTTATGGATTATATAGCACCAAAAGAATTATTTAAAAAGAATGTAATTACTTGGTGGCATATTGTTTCTCGTTATTTACGGTTATCATCCTATATGTTTGGAGGCAGATATCCTGAAGAGGAAGGTGTTTATGTCTATAATAATAGTATAATATGGATAGTATCGAACTCTTTCAAAAAATGGTGGCATGATAACAATTTAGAAACCAGAGAAACACAGGAAAATGTAGATCCCTATTTCTTTAGACGGGATGGAGAACTTGTACGGGTCCCTGCGCATGACCATATTTATGACATTGCTGCGCCTGAAAATAATAGACATCTTTTTGTACCCGTCCAGCCTGTTCATAGCGAAGAAGGACAGAATTCTTTTCTCTCTTTTCAATCTCAAAATAATAACATCGAAACCGATACGACCATTGTCTATATACCCCCTTATTTTAAATGCCGAATTCTTATCTTTTTGTTTTTAATATGGTTAACTGGATCTCTTCTTATCTGTACAATCTCTGTAGTCTTATGTAAGTTGAAATAAGTTGAAAAAAAAAATAATAAATAAAATGATGATTCATCTATCTCTAGTGAAATTAGGAAGGAATTTATTTGAGAAATTTCAAACAGGGAAAGAGAACAAGCCAATACATGACTTGTATTCATTTGCATTAGGAGCAGTAGTGATGGTTTTACTAAGTTTATTATTAAATGTTACAATTCAGAAATATCAAACAATTAAAAGAAATGATGATTGGAAAAGTCTAAAAAATGACATATTCAAAAAGATATACAAGGTTATTATAAGAGAAGTGATATATAGATATATTTATTTTTATATAATTCCTATTTAGTAACGATGTATATTATAGATAATCAAGTTTAGTTATTTTCTCTTCATGTATGGATTCTTGATACCATTTTTGATTGGTATCCTATTTGATTTGTATATCTCTATGCCTATAAAACTAACACATGAAGAATCGATTGACTTGTATCTAACTCTGGTAAAAGAAAAGAAAAGGAAATGACTTTGAACATGTATATTTATTTATTCATCTATTTTATACGTTTCACGGTTCTTACAGGATTGGGCTATTGGTATAACCATATTAAGATTATTGTATAGCATTACTTCTATTTTCCCTATCCAATCACTCAAGGACAAAGCCATTCAGTTCAATTGGAATAATCTCGATGATCTAAATATATATAATACGAGTAAAAACACTCTATTTCCCATAGTGGCTTGTTTGAGCGTGATTATCCTTTTGCCAAGCATCATGACAAAGCTGATTATATTATTAATTCGTAGGTTTTAGTTGTATAAAATGAATTAATAGCATTTTTATTAATCTTTTTTTTTTTTTTTTTTTTTTTTTTTTTTCACTTCAATAGCTTCTGTTAATTATCCTGAAATCAAAATATTAATATTCCGATCTGCTTATCCCATCTTTTTCTGTGGAGCATGTTGCATAGCTATCCTAGTATTAAGTAAACGTTTCATTAAGACATGGCTTCGTCATATACGTGACAGTCTATATCTTACAGGAAAACGTTTACATAATCTAGAAGAATTGGTTTCATCATGACCAATGGAGTCATAAAAAAAAATGCTCTTTTACTACTACTAGTTAGAAGAAATTATGTTTCATATTAAAATTAAAATATAAAAAATTTATGTGTAGAAATATTATCAATTCTACTTGCTTTAACTTGTAAAAAAAAAAAAAGTTCGAGTACCTGTGTTATCATTCAATACTTTATTCTTTTATAACTACCCATCAATTTTATTTTTTAAACCAAAAAAAAAGAGGGGGGGGCCGGGCGCCAAGAGGGAAAAGGTTTTTCTTTTTTCTATATTTTCTTCAAGCTCACTTTTCTCTGAATGAATCGGCAAGTAAGAAAGTGTAAATAGTTTTCTTAATTTGGAACAAGGTATTAATAGAAAAAATAAAATAAAATAATGATATAATAATAGCGAAGGCGATGAAACTAACTTATCTATTTTGCAGTTATAAAAATAGTTTCTTTTTTTTGGCAGAGTAACTAAGATTGATATGCAATTTTTTTTTGTAGAAAGGTATTCATAAAAGGTAATGATCTGGAGCAAAATGTTATATAAAGAAAATAAGGGTCAAGGAAAAAAGGGGGGTTTTGGGTAACGAAGAGATCAACAAGAAAAAAGAGAAGTAAATTTTCGATAAAAGAAAAAAAAAAACCATTAAATTTTTTATTGACAATTGTAATAAGCATAAAGAATAATTGCGGTTGCTTTATATTTGTTGATAATGTTTCTGTTTAAAAAAAAAAGGACTGGTTTCAAGAATGATATGACTGCATATGTTATGAAAAAATAAAACTATACAGCCAAAAAAAAAAAAGTCAATATATATATTTATATACAACTATTTTATATCTAGAATTAGTTGCATGTTTTGAATAAAATAGACATTACTTATCATTAAAAAAAAAAAGCAGATTATTGAATGCTTGTTCATATCTTTTTCCTTGAAGGCAAATATAAAGCGCGGACTTTTTATATTAAATGGTTTGAACGGAACAACACATGTAATTAGCGGTGTTACATATGAGGCGCGCGCGCGCGTACACACATTTTATTTTATAGGGGGAGGAAATAGAAAAATGAATAAATAGAAAAAATAAAATAGCTATTAGCCAAATTCAGCAAGAAATCATAAAATTGATTGGCTGTGGTACATTACATTTCTAATATTAAACTTTGCGCAACCTTGCCTCGATAACATAATAAAGGGGACCTGATGCGAGCTTACTATTTCTTCTTCTTTTTTTTTTTTTTTTTTTTTTCCTTTTATCTCTTACTCTTTGTTTCAAACCTTTTTTTTTTCATTTAATATATAAAAAGGATATTCATTATTAATATCTTTTCCCACTTCCCAATCCTTATTTATTTTAATTAAACAAAGATGCGCTCTACTCATTCCTTTCTTTTAACTATCGCTACTGTCATTTCAACAACTTTATTCTATCAAGCTTATTCAGCACCTGCTCTTTCAAGATTTGATATTTCTTCAGAAAACAATTTAAATGATTTGACAGCCTCGGCCCTGGTTGGTCGCGATGTCAATAGCTATTCCGATATTGAAAAAAGACACCATCATCATCATCATCATCACCACCACCGTCACCATAAACATTCTACAACAACGACTAGCATTACGAAAAAAAAATCAACTCTCAAGAAGAAAACAAGCTCCAAGAAAAAGACAACTACAAAGAAGGCAACAGCTAAGAAGGCAACGACTAAGAAGACAACTACTAAAAAGAAGACAACCACCAGAAAGAAGACAACTACCACAAAGAAGAGAACTACCACAAAGAAGAGAAAGACTACCAAGAAGAGAAAGACTACCAAGAAGAAGACTACTACTACCACCACCAAGAGTCCTTCTAGTTATGAATTCTCTGGTCAAGGTACCTTCTACAATCCTGGTTTAGGTTCTTGTGGCTATACAAACACTGAGAATGAGCTCATTGCTGCATTGGTATGTTTTATATCAAAATAGAATAACAATAACAGGACTTGCTAAATTTATACTTATTTATTAGAATGCTCCACAAATGCATAATGGTGCTAACCCTAATAATAATCCTCTTTGTGGCAAATATGTTAATGTCAAAGGTCCTTTAGGAACAGTTAAAGTTAAAATTGTCGACACATGTCCACCATGCGCTAGTGGTGACCTTGACTTGAGTCCTGCTGCTTTCATGAAAATTGGTAATCTTGAACAAGGTAGAATTCCTATTCAATGGAGTTGGGCTAACTAAAAAAAAAAAAGTTGTATGTTGTACACTATGCGCAATAAACTTCTTTATAATTCTTCTTGTTATCAGCTTGTTAAAAAAAAAAAAAGGAGTACAATTATATTAATTACATGAATTCAAATTCAATTACAGCAGTAGTAATGATATTAACTCTTTTGAGTAAAATGAATTAATAACTCTATTTCATGATTATTGTTGTAATAGACAGTGCTCTTCTTTAAAGTAACAATGATCTTCTTGTGTTTAAATACAATAGTGGCTGAGCTTATTACAAATCAATTAATTTGAAACAACTATTTAAGCCGTTTAATTAATTACTTTTTATTGTTCATTTGCAATATTCACTAAAGGAAGTAGTCACTATATACTTTATTTCTTCAAATTAGAAACGATAGCATTGGTCGGAATTTGTCACAATAGACTACACACTGTTGCATGACATTTTCTTCAGTTAATGATTTCCTTGTTAATTGCTATTTATTTATTTGTGGCTATAGTTATTTCTTTTTCCCTGTGTTGAACTTGTTACTTTCTCTATTCAAGAATCTTATTATGGTGACCTGGAGAGTTATTTTTTATCGTCTCCTTCAATAATAATAACAATAAGAAAAAGACTTGAATTTTATTGCCTTTTTTTTTTGTATATGTTTCGATTAAATTACAATACATTGTCTTTTTTTTTTAAATATGTATATGCATATATAAATATATAATTGGGAATATGATTGTTTTTAGAAGAAGGTGGTATGCCTTCTAACCTTGCTTACAAGATAGACAGAATATTTGATCTGAAGATAATGAATAACTATCATATAAAATAATTCATTTAGTTAGTTTATAATAGTTGCATAAAGAAGAAAAAAGTAACTTTACTCAATTATCGAACAGGTACTACAATAGCATTGCTGACATGTATTGCATTGCTGTATGCAATTTTGACATAGTACGTTTTCACAAAATGAACATCTTCCATATACAAAGGAATTGGAACATTTATAACAAGTTAATGTTTTTGATGGCTGGTTATCGTCATTATTAAAGTAATTATATGAAGGCTCATTAGTTGGTTTGTCTTTTAAATTACTTATATTTCGTTGCGCTTCCATTAATAAAGCAAAGGTACGCTGAGCTATTTAAAAAGAAAAAAAAAAAAAAGAAAGAAGGAAAGAAAGAAAAAAAAAGAAATGTCAAAGGTTTATTTTATTTTTCTTTATCCTTGCCAAAGATAGTACCGGCTTTCTGCTTTAAATAAGGATCCTCCTTTTGTTTTTGACGTAAAACATTAGCAAATCCACTGTCTTCAAGACGTCTTTTATTCATTTATTAAAAATTTCGTAAAGAAAAAAAAAAAAAATAAAACCAATAAAAAAAAAAATAATATAAATATGTACATGACATACAAAATAAACAGTCCAATAAAAAGTTTACCATTCATAATTAAATCGGTCTAAACGTTCAGCAGCTTCATCCATATCCTTTTGTACCTTTTTACGCATATAAAAAATAGGACAATCATTATTTGAACAAATAACATCCTGATGTAATGATTCTTGACAACGTTGACATTGCGTCCAAAGTCGAGAGAATTTAACCTCTAACCTATTCACAATATCAAGCTGATGTTGATAAAGTTCAGGTAATCTATCCGCACATTGTTTACAGGCCGCTGATTTATCTCCTTTAGGTAATGGTGCTTTACATCCAAGGCATGTAGCTGTCTTGACAGCAAATCTCATTAAGCCACCAACTGTAGGTGTAGAAATATTTACAACGCGTGTATGGGCACCAGATACTATAATAAATGAATGAATGAATGAATAAATAAATAAAAAAGAAAAAAAAAGAAACGAAACGAAACGAAATGAAATGAAATGAAACTAAACAAACAAACAAAAAAGAGCTTACATAATGTTTCTGCTTTATCACCCAAGATAGGTTCGAATATACGTAATAATGGTTTGGATAACTGATTTTCCAGGTAATATTTTGTATCAATAGGAATATTATTGTCTAAAACATATAATGGATCTTCTGAACGATCATAAGCAGGCGTATTATTACCAGCCTTAATAATGACATAAGCAACACGATCACCTAGTGCTGGTGCAGATCCTGGGTCTCTTTTTCTCATACGCTCTGCGAGTTCTACATGTGCTTGTTTGTTGGCATAATCTGATTTTGTTAAAGCTTTTGTAATAACCAATTGAGAAAGATCTACTTTATTTTGTAGTAAGTCTGCAATGGTTTGTTTTACAAATACTTGAGCACCTTCTACATCTCGTTCAATTAATAACTTATCAAGACATTTTGAGATAATATTTTGTACTAAGCGACAGTTATCGCGGCGAACAGTCTATATAAATATATACATATATATATAAGCTAACATGATAGACTTATTCTAATGAATGACTTACCTCGATACCTTTAGCATCTAATTTATCATATTTATCCTCTCTTGTCCAATAAAGACCTGCATATCTTTTCTTATTGATCAACAAATAAGGGAAATAAACCTTTTCAAAGTCAAGATTGATAGGTCTAATAAACTTTTCTGTTACTATTCTGGCACCTTCTTTACCCAACTCCATCGCTTCCTTTAAATTATCCACGCCAAATTTAATCATAACGGAATCAGTATCACCATAAATGACTTTAGCATCATGCTTATAACCATTCTTAACCGTAAAGTGTTCCTCTACCGTTTCCTTTGTCTTTAAAATCATACTACGTCCATAAGCAGTAACACTAGAAGAGATTTGTAAACAAGGTAATTTACCTATCGTAGCACCTGTAAAACCATATACTGAGTTAGCACTGATTTTCAAAGCCAACTGACGACCATCTAAGACAGCTCGTTTAAATGGATCTGTCTCCTTCTTCAGATCATTTTTAGCCTTTTTACGTGCTGCTAAAAGATCTCTAAGAATTTCTGGTAGTACCCCTTTACGACGTGAAGCCTTGACAAACATATCATTATTAGGCGTAACTTCATAATCTACATCTTTCACTAAACCTAACTTTTGAACCATATCAGGCTTTAATAGCGTAGTATAACATAAATTATGTGCCTGCATAATGGAAGGATACAAGGATGTAAAATCAAGAGTTGCAATCGGAACATCATAATATCCTCTCTCTGGATCAATTACAGTTGCACCCTCATAAGGCTCTTCTAATATCTCTGACTTTATCACTGGAATAACTAGATCCTGTTCAAGGGCTCGACGGTATAATTGTGAAATAACTTTAATCTGTTGTCCACGAACTAAAATATAATTGAAAGGAATGCCAGTAACTCTAGCCATTTCTGTATAATTAAAAAGTAACATAAGTTTGTCCATTAATCTTAAAGGTAAAAAGGCATCCTTAAGGCAATAAACAGCGAGACGTCGACGTGTTTCTGCATTTCCATTTTGTAATTCCGTAATAATAGAATAATGCACATCTTCTTTCTGTTCATTCAAGAATTCAGCAGAGACAGAGTTGAGTGTATAGGATCGAAGTTTGTAGTCACGTTGAATTGCTTGAAGTATATCCAACTGAAGTCGTCCTTCCAAGTTAATCGCCTTATTTTCACGAGTACCATATGCCTTTGACGTAAATTTGGTATCTTTTGCTTCAGTTCGAATTCCTTTGATTCTTCCCAGAAAGGGAAAATCATGAACACCAAGATGCTTTGCACGATCTAATAAATATGGGAAATCAAAGTTTGTTGTATTATAGCCGATAACAACATCAGGATCCACTTGTCGAATAAAATCACCCCATTTCTTCAAAAGCTCTTTTTCGTCATCAAATGAGAGAATATGAGAACCGACAATATGAGCACATGAACCAAGGGTAAATACATTTCTAATAAAAGGCCTCTTGTGGCCTTGTATTTGAACTACTGAGGCAATTTGAATAACAGGATCCACATTTGGCTCAGGAAAGACACCTTTTCTACCAGCACATTCAATATCAAAACTCAACACTCTAAGAGGAGCTATATCCGACCATTCTCCTTCAGGAGCATGACTAATTAAATCTTCATAACTACAAATACAAAGTAAAGGTTAATACTATATACATATACATATATATATATATATATATATATATTTATTGTAATGACGATGATAAAAAATAGAAAGCTAAATCATTTCTTTCTTTCCCTCCACCTTTTTTTTTTTTGTTACCTTATTTTTACTTCGATTTGAGCTAATGAGGTAGGCACTTCAACAAACGACCAAGCTCCAGCAGGTAATTCAACCCAATTAGATCCATACACTTTACAATCAATCATAAAACGTAATACATAGCCTAGATTACTTTCAAAGGTGGTATCTGATTGACAAGGACGATCTAATCCAGCAATAGTAATACCTTGTTCAATCTTATTTTTACATTTAGATATATCTCTGGGATCTTTTACAGTAACTCGAATATACGGCGATTTAACATCTCCATGGTATCCATATATACTTTGTTTCATCATTATACGAACATCATGAACGATATTTGCATTACCTACTGCAGCCTATTTTAATCATATATATATATATATACATATATGTATATGCATTTGTATTTGGATTAGTCATACACCATGAGATATATATAAAAAAAAGGTGGAAATATTTACAGCTAATGACTGTTTTAAGGCAGGAAGATGGCTTTGTTGAAATCCAATTGGGGCAGGGAAATAAAAATAGGGGTAAAAATTTCTGACATGACATACAACACTATTACCGGCCTATTCATATACATATATATAAATATTAGCATAGATCAAGTTGACCTTATATATCTACATACCGCAGTAATACCATAAAGTCGAATAACAGGTTGTTGGACAGTATAATCCATATATTCATCAATTTCTATTTGTTGGAATACTAAATTGGATGATGTATAGATATCAGTATTACTTATGTACCTATCAAGCATTTTTTTTAACTTCCTTACCAAGTTTATCTAATGTAGGATCTAGAGAGGGAGCAGGAGCACGATTCCAACTAGATTCAGTATTCTCATCTAAAAATATAAATATGAATAATTAAAAGCTGAGCATGCTGATAGATGCATGTAAATGATAATTTCAGACTAATACGTACATTTAACATCAACTTCCATAGCGTCATTTAATATTTTTAATTCATCCTCAAAACTAGAGGGATGTGAATCATTTCTTTTAACTTCTTTGATGCTATTATGATTTGTCTTTCTTTTTTTCATGGCAGTCCCAGGTTCAAAAGGTTGAGAAGAAAATGTAATATTATTTTGAGAATCTGACATTTTGAGATCAAAGTTTATTTCAGACAAAAAACAAAAAAAAAAAGAGAGAGAGAGAGAAATAAAAAATGAAAATTTAAATTTTTAAAATTTTAATTTACGCGCTCCACGCGTTTCTTCTTACTTCACTGTATATCGGTTATAATAAAAGCCTTAGTTTAACATACAAGTCAATGAATCATGATATATAGTATATATAGTTATATATATGTATACATATATACATATATACATTTAGAAGTGACTCTAAATTAGTTGTTTATTTTGCGTCATTACTGTAAAAAAAAAAAATTACAAATATACACTATTGCGTAGTAATCTTTCATTGTTTTAGTTATTTGATAATGTTTACCAATCTGAAGATGGAGAGCGTTCATTGATGCTTAGGAGGATTTATAAATATTTTCTGAGAAATAAGATTTGTCTTTTTATATAGTCATGTTCATTTATTGACGCTTGATTTTAAAAAATTATTACGGGCCATTTCATTAACCGATGACTCACTTGTATACTTTATGACAGCTTTACAATATACGCACACATTTTTTTTTTAATTGTCGGATATTGATTAAACTAGACCAGATCCATTTATTTGTCTGTCTGTCTCTTCTTTTTTTTTTTTTTTTTTTCTAAAAAAAGATAACTCATTTCCAACATGAACACCATGTTTCGTTTAAACAACACAATTGTTAAGCAAGGAGGAAAGCAGATACAAAGTCGCCTTTATTCTAGTCATTATAAACATTTAAGTGCACGTAAACAATCATTTATTCCTCAGTCAGGTGTTTATCCCGTTGGTTTCCGTGCTAGTGGAGTCTCTGCAAATATTAAAAAGAATAAGAACAAAGATATTGCGCTTGTGATTTCTAATTTACCTTGTTCTGGTGCTGCTGTGTTTACGACGAATAAATTCCAAGCCGCTCCTGTTCTTGTTAGTAAAGAAACCTTGGCAGAGAATGATAATCGATTATATGGGGTTGTTACGAACTCTGGTTGTGCAAATGCAGTCACTGGAGCACAGGGTATTGTTGATGCTAAAAGGATGCGTTCTATAGTAGATGAGTTAGTGAAATATCCAGTGAGCGCCTTAACTATGTCGACAGGTGTTATTGGTCAAAACTTGCCAATGGATAAGATTGAAGCTGGCATTCGTGACGCTTATAGCCATTTATCTGCTGAACATGAAAATGGCTGGATGTCTGCAGCTGAGGCATTTATGACAACAGATACTTTCCCAAAGTTACGTTCCGGCGAATTTGAGTTACAGGGTTCCAAATTTAGATTAGCAGGCATTGCTAAGGGTGCAGGCATGATTCATCCTAATATGGCAACTTTATTAGGCTTCATGGTGACAGACGCTTATGTTAAACCAGAGTTACTACAAAAGGCTTTAAAATATGCTGTTGATCGTAGTTTCAATTCTATTAGTATTGATGGCGACATGAGTACCAATGATACAATTTCAGCTTTAGCTAATGGAGCAAGTAAAGTTAGAATAGAGACTGAAGGAGATGATTACGAGGCTTTCAAGGGACATTTAACTGCCTTTGCTGCTGAGCTTGCTCAATTAGTGGTTAGAGATGGTGAAGGTGCAACTAAATTTGTTACTCTTCATATAAAGGTATATATATATATATATATATGCATATGTATATTTGGTTAATCCGTTATTTATTTTATCAATTATTTATTGTTAGGGGGCTGAATCCTTTGAAAGTGCTAAACAGGCAGCTTCTCATATTGCTACATCTATGTTAGTCAAATCTGCTTTATATGGACAGGATGCTAATTGGGGTAGAATTTGTGCTAGTCTTGGTCATAGTGGTATAGATCTAGATCCATCTCGTGTTAGTGTCACATTTGTTCCTACGGATGGTAGTGAGAGATTAAAGTTAATGATAAAGGGTGAACCCGAAAAAGTGGACGAAGAAAGGGCCTCAGAAATTTTGAAAATGGAAGACTTACAAATCGAAGTTGATCTTGGTTTAGGTGAAAGTGAAACTAAATTCTGGACATGTGATCTTAGTCATGAATATGTCAGTATCAATGCTGATTATCGTTCTTAAATATTTTAATAGTGTAAAGATAGACGTGTATAATTGATACATACGCATATATATATATATAAAAAGAGGAAAAAATAAATAAAAATATTACTGCTTTGATTCAACTTGAAGGTATTAAATGAGATGTCGACGTCATTATATATACACATATATACATATATATTTCAATATTCGTAAATCCTTTTAAATCTATATTTTCTCGAAAGGAGTTGTAGATAAGTTACCACGACGCATAGATAAATATTCTTGGATAGAGAGTTTCTTCGGGGACTTTTTAGCTTCAGTAGATTCTGATATTGTACAATCTTTTTCATTTCTTGAATTAGTAGCCATTGTCGATAAGTCTGTAAGCTGAACCTGAGAATCCATTTTCATAATAGATTCTTTTAAAGCTTTAATTGACGAGTTTTCTGTTAAAATATAATCTTCTTTAGTTTTAGTTTTGAAAGGAGTACTTTGTTCAAGATTGACTGCTTGATTATTGACATTTTCTGGGGTATCTTCAAGAGGCAAAGTTGATTGCGAACTAATACCATCGCTAAGGTCATCATCATAATCATATTCCATAACTTCTGTACTAGTATCTTTAGTTTCAGGTAGTGTTGTATTAGGTTTCAAATTGCTGGATGTATCAATTTTTGATAATTGTCTTGGATTTGTCTTTTGTTGTTGTAAAGCAAATTTAGCCAACCACCTTTTTTTACATGGTAATTTGTCTTTATCAGTCGAATAAAAATGCCATACTTTTTTTACTTCAGCTAATTGCATTTCATTTGTCGAATGTAATAACGCTGAACTTACCATAGTAGCAATATCCATATTGGCTTTATCGTGTTGACTATTATTAGATGAAGAAGATAATTTGGTGGTAGTGATTGTCGCTGTCGCTGTCGTTGTCGCGGTCACTTTTTTAGAGTGATCCTTGTGGCTATTTAAAGACTGTTGATTATAGGATGAAGATAGCTCACTTGAACGAGGAGTATTGATTGTCTTTGTAAACTTTTTTGAATGCTTTATATTGTCTTGTACTTTGTCAGTAAGCGATGAACGCCTTTTCTTGTTGACTGCTGAAGAATATGTGTTAATCTGATGATAATCGTCCTTTTCCAGTTCATCTTTTAAACACTCTATTAAACATTCATCTTTATCTTCACAGGCACACTCGCCAAATTCTGCTTCAATTATTTTCAATATTTCCTTTAAAGGTTCTCGTTCAGACGCATTAATATGAATAGTATGATTTTTGCGTAAGAATTCTTTATTTTTATGCCACAAAAGTACTCCTTTATGCCAGTTCCATCCAATCGTAATTTCCTCACCTTTATCAATTTCTTCACAAGTATAAATACCCATATGGATCGTTCGATCATTATTATCGTTTGGCAAAATAATATTTTTAATCTCTGAATTTGGACAACAAGATCTACGAATGTAACGTGCATCGTTTCCAGCATAGCGAGCATCAATACAAACATCTATTGCACGATAAAAGAAAATATGAGCAAGTGGTGTACCAATGATTGAGAACTTATTGATAGGATTGTTTTTATAACGTGATTTCCTTAAGAGCTCTCCAGTCACTTCCATTAAATATCGTTGTTCAGGTATATGAATATCAGCAAATACACCTTTTTCCGTAGCTATTTCTTTGTTAGTTTGTTGATGAAATGATTTACGTAATGATTTCCTTAAAGGTCGAACTGATGTTTTAGGAATAGCAGGTAACAAAAGATTGCTTTCCATAACAACGATCGTTTCGAGATTCTTCCTTATTGTAGAAGGAAGTGATGATTCGACTTTGATTTTACTGTTGTCTGTTAATTTTGATTTATTTAGCTCTGTCCACTGCCTACGTACTTCTAGAAATAAACTTTGTACAAGCTTTTGTTTAAAAATACTTTTTGCTAAGAAAATAAACTTCTTGTCCAATAGTTTAGGCGTAATGTGTTGTAGATCATCATCATCATCATCATCATCATCATCTTTCCAATAGTTATTTTTTTTTATGTTGCTACGTTTATTTGACTTTTTATGACTCCTATTCCTATCTATCACTTTTATTTGTAACAAAAAAAAAAAAAAAGCATTATACTTTAGCATTTATTATAAAAGATATTTTCAGTATTTTTTTTTTTTTTTTTTTTTTTTTTTTTTTTTTTTTTTACCTTTTGTGTTAGCATCAACAAAAGTTTCATAAATGACATTTTGAAGGACATTCAAAGGCTGATTTAACTCTTTAGCACAGTCTTTGCATACATAATGTTCTGGTATGTCGTCTTCCATAATATTCATACACAACGCATGTTGCCAGTCACCACACTTATCACATTGTATAGTGAATCCATCATCACTTATGTCATTACAAATGCATCGTATAACATCACTGTCTTTTCGAACTTGCACATCACCATTCCTTAACGCTCGAGTTTCTTCATGATTTAACTTTAATTTTGACATGGTGTATTTTTATAAGGTTTGAAAAAAAAAAGCTGTATTTTTATTCCTAAAGTCAACAGAACACAAAATAATAGATTAAAATGTGTATATTTTCATCAAAAAGATAATATTTATTTGCATATCATAAATCAAACTTTGCGTTTATTAATTAAATTCTTTGATTCAATAAATTATAATAAAAAAAAGTGAGACATGACGCAAACATTAAAAAAAAGGCATTGTTTCAAGCGGGATTTTAAAACCATACCTTATGTTTTCAGCATTGTTGATATGATGAGCTTTTATTGTTTAAAATGAGACGCATAGAAAAACGATTTTTGAGACATAATACAAGAATTTAGAGACAAAGTTCACACAATAAAACTAGACAAAGTAAAAGCTTATTTTGAGACATATGAAAGACAGCTATTAGAATACGTTAATAATTTTGATTTTAGACAACACTTTTATGCAAACAATGAAAAGTAAACAAGTATATTCAAAGTCCTTAATAAACTATATATAATGAAGAATTTCGCTTCATAGAAGAATGAATAGAATAGATTAATAGATTCATTTTGTAAGACTGAAAGAATTACCAGTATTAATGCTTACCATTCCCACTAAGACTTTGATATATAATATGCTAATATCAGCTCTTTTTTTTCTTTAATAGAACAAATAGGAAATTTATTCATATAATTACTTGTTATAACCAGTAAAGTAATAGAACTCTTGTCTTGTGGTATTTGAGCATAACAATGTCTTGAATTTTGTAAGATCATTAAATTATTGGAGCAAAATAGAAGACTCTTATTTTGAATAGTTTAATGACTAAGAACAATGTCGGTTAATTTAAGATGTAGTCTATTTATTGTCAATAGTATTTGTATACAACTTGGTGATTTGATCGTTTTGTATCAAATAACTATCGACTCACTATAATCATTAAACTCTCGCTATATATTATATTAGGATAATCATGATTTCATGTTTCTCAGGATAATACTATCAATTTTTTTTTTTCGGGAAAGATCTTATGATCTGTCACTTGCGCCTCATTCACTAGTTAATGGCTTAAGCACCGTAATAACTACTTAAATATACAATCAGAAGCAACTTGTTAGTAATTAAGGAATACATCATATGCTGCCCTAGATTATAGTTATTGTATATCTTGCAAAAGTTCTTTTTCTTTTCTTCTTCTTTTTAACTTTGTGCTATATTGACTGTTATCACGTTGATCGATAAACATCTTCCTTATAAAACATTGATAAACCTTTTTTTTCTTAAAAAAAAAACGTATGTCTTAAACAATACATGGAGTTGCAAAACGTGGTGTAATAGGCCTATTTTTATTATTATAGGGAAAAAAAAAGTCGCCCTTTTGCCATTTCATATTTAAATCTTGTTTTCATTTTCTACTTGAACCAGCTTCAATAGAAAAAAAAACGGACTAGAAATTAGGGGATTTGTTGTTTTATTGAATTTCTATTGCAATAGCTTAATTGTCTAGAGTCTTTCTATCTTATATCTTTTTTTTTTCTCTAATTCTATTAATTGCCTTTGAAATCAGCTTTTATTGCATTTTTATGTCTCTTCTTAAAGATAGGGTATGTTTTATTTTGAATGATAAGTTTATATGCTTAAAAGAAAACTTTAAAATCTTGAGGAAAAAGAACTAAAGATCTTAGAACGGCTAATGTTGGTAAATAGTTTATATTATAAACGACATTATAAAAAATATAATCTAGATGTATTCTAGCAGACTTTGTCTCAAAGTCTTCATTTACCAGCCAAATATGTATGTAAATAAAAATGATAATGTTTGTAGAGTTTAAACAATTGTATACTCAATTATTAAGATTAGAAAAGCAAGGAAAGAAAATAGTCTCTTAACTAACTGTGTTAAAAAAGGAAATGGATAAATATAGATGTATATGTAAGTGTATACATGCTTTCCTTAAAAGAGATTATCATGACTATCACTAACACCTTTTTGTTGCCCTGTGGCATCAACAGAAGACCCTTCAAGAATTGGGCTATTATCATAACAAGTAAAAGCAAATATTATAAGACAAAAAAAAAAAAAAAAAAGTAGCGAAAAAATAAAATTAAAGAAAGGACGAGGATTCTGTATTTTATACAAAAATAAAATAGGCCATTGATTATGTTGAGAATGAAGCTATATCAAAAATTTTAATGATAAAATATATACTGTCATTATATCAACTAGAATAGAAATATTAAGATTCCGCAAACTAGAAGGAAAAAGACACAAAGTACAGTATATCATATGTATACAAATATGTATATATTTTTCTTCATTAAGCTTCGATTTCTAATTATCAAATACAGCATTATGTTGATCTAAATAAACTGCAAATACTAGATATGTTATCATACCCTTATATAGGCTGAGCAGCAGCATATCAATATTTATAAATACAAGATATATGAAAACTATAAAGTTTGTAAGAAGGACTACTATAAATTTTAAAGCTATCAACAGCTTTTACCGAGTAATATGGTGTCTCCTTTATTTATTTCAATAAAGAGGGGAAATAAGCTTTTCAGTATTGCATATTATGTGTATTGCAGAAAATTTACCTTAATAAAAAAAATGAGGAGTAGAAAAAAAAACTAGACAGCTTCTTGTATAACACCAAGAGGAAAACATCTTTTTAAGGAGACAGTGTACTATTACTTCAAACTAAAAAAAATCATTAAAATAAGGAGTAAAACTAAAATTAAAAAAAAAAAAAAAACTAAAAAAATAATAATAATAAACTTTTTTTTTTTTTTTTTTTTTTTTTTTTTTTTTTTAATTTTAGTTTTAACGCACATATAAAAATGTCCGAAGAAGCATATGAAATGACTAGATCCCATTCAGGTGCATCAAACTCAACAGATCAGTACTTGGAAACTTATAATAATAGAGAAGAAGAAGCTCGTTTATTAAATAAAGAAGAACAGTCTGACTCTGGTGAAGAAGAAGTTGACGATGAAGATGAAGATTGGGCAATTATCGTTGAAGAAACAAATGGAGAACTTACACAAGAATTTATAAAGGTTTATTTATAATTTATGAGTATAAATTGAATGGTTATTAAAAAACAGTTATCATTAGGAGAATCCAATAATAAAATACATTTGTATTGGCTTAGCCATTGGCGTATGCTTTGTTATTTTTAGAATAGCGATTGTAAAGATTAGTGAAGGTTCACATCACCATGTAAGAGGAGCCGAAAAATTATATTATAATGGTTCGGACTACTTTGCTTCAACCGTTGTTTTAATCTCATTAGACGGATTTAAACCTGATTATTTAGACAGAGATATAACCCCAAATATGAAGCAGCTAGGTAGGTCTTATATTAAAAGCAAAAATATATCTTTTTTTTTATGTATATATTCTTATATTTATAACAAATAGCTGAGAAAGGTGTTATGGCAAAATATATGCATCCTGCATTTCCTGTAAAGAAATAGATGTTTATATTTATAGTGTATTGTTACTAAAATGCTTTTTATTTTTAGCCAAGTACTTTTCCAAATCATTGGACATTAGTTACAGGTCTTTATCCAGAAACACATGGAATCGTAGCCAACGTATTTTATGATCCAAACATGGATGCCACTTTTAGTCATTCCAATTTCTCATCTACTATTGACCATAAATGGTGGGGAGGAGAGCCTGTAAGTGCAATAAATATTTATACTAAGAGTTAGCAAGCTATATTTTTTTTTTTTTTTTTTTTTTTTTTTTGCTATTATAACTAGATTTGGACTACATCAAGATATAATCGAAAGCGTAGTGGTTCGATTATGTGGCCCGGTTCAGAGACAAATTATAATCCACCTGACTTGGTTGTTAGATTTAACAGTACAATGGGAATAAAAGAAAAAATAGATACAACTTTGAAATGGCTGGATCTACCTTACAATGATAGGCCGCAGATTATTACAGTTTATGTTCCACAAATTGATCAAGAAGGACATCGTAGTGGTCCAAATGGGCCTAAAGTAAGTAAGAAAGATGCGTATATAGATAGATGGATTTGCTTTTAACATGCTCATTCTATAGATGAATCGTTTTATTAAAGAAGTAGATGACGCTATTGGCTATTTGGCAGAGCAATTAAAACAAAGAAGGCTTGATGACTACGTTCATACTCTTATTGTAAAGCATACTAACTATTTTCAATTATGTTATATTTGCTAATTATTCGTTATATATAGGTTAGCGATCATGGCATGGCAGAAATAAATAGTTCAAAATTAATATATTACGACGATATTATTTCAAATGATGTCTTGAGTCATCTTAAAAATAGGGAAGCATCACCTTTATTAGATTTTCGACCTAAATCAAATGCTCCTAAAGATACTATTAAAAAATTATATGAACAATTATATAACTATACCCAAAATACAACAAATGCTCATTTCGAAGTTTATTTACGTGAAAATGTGCCTGAAAGATATCACTATAATAATTCAGATAGGATTACACCTATAGTAGCTATACCCGAAGTTGGCTACTCTTTTACCACTCATGCTGAAGTTGAGAAAGAAGGCGGCTTTAAAAAAGGTGGAAATCATGGATATGATAATTTGGCGGCTGATATGAGAGCTATCTTTATTGCAAAAGGTCCCAAGATCCAGCATGCTTATCGACCTGGAAGTATTCTGGCTCCCTTTTTTAATATTGAAGTGTATGGTTTATTATCAGAATTACTCAATATGGATGCTGCACCTAACAATGGAACTTTAAAAGCTAAATTTCCTATTATTTATCAACCACCATTTTATAAATAAACATCTTATTTATTATTCATTCATGTACATATTTTTAGTTGCCCATTTTAATTATTTCATGATATAAAAGCTTATTCCAATCATCTACTGGGCCTGGTAGACAAGTATGCAAACAATCATGATCTGGCTGAGAATGTACATCTCCTCTAAGATTAGATAATATTGATATATTAAAGAAATGAAAGCGATCATCATTTTCTCGTTCAATCATATCCTATCAAGAGTATTATCGTTATTCGAAGTATATATTATATATATATCTCAATTTACCTTCCAAACGAAATCAAACTCTTCAAACATATCCCATTCATATTCACCTTGTTGTCCTGTAGGTTTCACGGGAACTCTACTTGGTGTTCTATATTGAGAGCATTTAGCGTGACCATAAGGTGTACTCCTAACCCAAACTCGTTGATCTGATTTAACATTCTTTTTCAAATAGTCAAATACTTTTTTTATAGCCATCTTAAACGCTTTCAATAGCTCTCCTCGGTCTTTATTAGGACCCCATTTCAAATCAGGGTGCCAGTGTGGTCCCTGAACAACAGATAGATAATTAATTATACATGACATTTGGACTTAAAGGGTAAAAAAAAAAAAAAAAAAAAAAAAATTACTTAGATAAATAAATATTTAAACTTACGGTATTAATCATGATATACTTAAATCGAGGTATGGCGTGAATCCAAGGGAAGTTACTACCAACTCCGATTTGGTAACCTTCACTTTCATTAGGCTCAATTAAACTAAAATCATCCAATTTTACAAGATAGTCTGATCGAATATAACCAACTGTGACGGCATTTTCCTCTTCATTCACTCGATCACGATGAACAAGTTGACTTACCCACATCTTTGTATCTCCACCAGATAACCGTGTGTCTTTATTTTGTGCTGTCAAATCTTGACCTGTCAAGCACCACAAACTTTCAAACATTAATTGTGTGATAGAGTCTCCGACAAATAAAAGGGGGTTCCGAGATAAATGCTTAGCAAAATCTCTAGCTTGAAAAGGGATCATTGCGCAAGCATCCGGTTGCCAGCTATAGTCTAATCTATTGTCATAATATATACATATTTGGTAAGGAATCAAAATTTCAAAAAAAAAAAACTGGATTCCTCACATTGATTTACTTCTGTTGAATTCAGTAGATGGATCTTGTCGTCTATAACATCGGTGAGGGAAATCCCAATTACAATAATATCCTGCATAGGCATTAATTCCTTCTATCGTATATGATTCTAAACCAATGACTTGATGAGTCCATTTTCCTTTATTAAACTCATCTGTTGTACATAATTCTACATTACTAGGGATTGAAAGGCGTTTTGAATCAGTCGGAAGGAAAATGGAGTTTTCGTCAATTTCATAAAAGTATGTTTTTGTATTTATTAGTAAATATAACATATATAATGATATTAGACTTAATGTTAGTACAACATAAGTCCTTGATTTAAATGATAACTCATTCATAGTTATATATTTATATATGTGCTTGTGTGTATATATATTTTTCTTAAAAAAAAAAAAGAAGATAGTTTAATAACCCCACAATCAAAACTGTCTTCTAAACTTTGTTGAAACCGAAAATTTCTAATGTGACGGTAGTGTCGATGGTGACACCTTTTTTCATATCAGCATTAATTAATACTTGTCCCACATAGCCAGGCTCCATTTCTCCGGGCTCACCATCTTCCCTTTCACACTGCTCTGTGACAGCGATTAAAGCTCTATCCTCTGGATCAATACGATCATTTTCCAAAATTCCTTCATGTCTATTAAGACAATGAATCCAATAATGAATTTTAGTCTTTTGTGGGTTTGTCTCAGGATTCTTTGTTTGTGTTGTTCTCTTTTGTGATGGTGGTTTTACAGGAATTATTTCATCATTTGTCTTGAAATGTTTATTGTTGTTCTCCTTTTTAATTTCAATAGGTGGTAAAGCAATTTGTCTCATATCACGTTGTAATTCAAATCTACATACAAGTACATTTTCGTTCGGATCGTGATCTTCATAAAATAATTCTTCTTCATTATTATCTTCTTGATTTTCTTTGATATAAAGTCGATGTCGAGGCATCACTTGGGCTTCAATTTGTACTCGATAAGAGACGCCAAGGATTTTTTCTACTTGGGAATAAAATATTTTTTTGTACAATTTATAGTTTGATGTTGTTATCTCTGTCTGTTTATTTGAGGTATCTGCCTCTGAACGACCATGATCACTCTCTGTATCTCTATTCTCATCATTTTCATTGTCTGATAGAGACCAAACAGATCCATCACTTTCGTCATCATCAAATACACCCATATCCATATCCGTTGTGATCGTTGTAGCTTCCTTAAGCTCACAATCCCAGCTATTTTCTTCCGAGAATGGGGGAATGAATACTGAAGATCGAAATCGAAAACGAGGTGTACCAAGTAATAATCGTCTTCTTTTCTCGTGTGCATCTGAATTATCAACGTCAAAATACTCATTTAAAGCAGCACTTCGTTCATCATTTTCAGAAAGAGTTAATCGTCTTTGCTCTTCATTTTCTTGCTCTTGTGTTTGTACATGATAAGTGGAGGGGAATAGAACACGCTCTAGTGCCTCACGTTGCCATAGTGCTCGAAAAACAATGCCCTCATCAACAATTCCATCTTGTCGAACAGAGGTAAGTTGTTCAAATGTCATATTACTATAATGTACTGTGGTACGAAGTAAGTAAGACAACACAGTCGCTTTATCAATCACACCACCCGAGGAAGCATCTGCCATTAATTTCTCGAATGGAACAAGAGCTGAGAAGCTAAGTCGATTTAAACGATTCAATTTTTGTAAATTATCCTTTGTAGTAGTTGTAGGCAGATTTTCGAGGTCTTCTGATGGGATACGTTTACGTTTTCTTGATCTTACTACGTCTGCTGTTAAGGCTTTATTGCTGTCGTATAGTTTATTATTATTTATTCCTAAAGGTCGAACAAAGCCCGAAAGTCGCTTAGAGTCTTGATCTACAGGGCCATGAGCCGTCCAAGTGATCTTTCCTACAGATTGCATAAATGCAATCAATACTGCTCTTAAAAGACAGTAACGTTCAAATTCGCAAGATACAAATAAAAGATCTGCGCATAAAACATCAGCCATATAATCAACAGGTAACATAGCTAATTGAGATGCATATTCAGGGCCAAAGCGAAACAATAACAATAATGCAGCATCTCTTAATTGTAAATAGGCATCATGTCCTCTTGGAAGTTGACAGATTGTTTCTAGATCACGCATAATACTATCTAATGTCAATTGCTTTGATGTATATCGATTTACACATGCCTGAGCTAAATCATGAACATCCAAAAGGACAGCAACTGAAAGAATTCTTAATGTATCTTTATCTTGCATGCCTTGTATGAGCTCTTGCTTATCTAAACAATACATCCATTTTAGTACAAATCGAATATGGGACGCTAATAACGTTGAATACGAAAACTGTTCATTTTTCTTTTGCTGGATAGAATTATTATTTGTTGTCTTTTGCCATTTACGACGAACGATGTGTTGAAAGGGAGCCAAGATGAACCCACAATGGGCAAATGCTTTTGCGAGATCAATTGTGAGACATGTCACCCCATTATCTTTATTCAATGTTTGTGTAGTATTAGTTGAAGGATCTGCCTCATCCTCTTGTGAATTCGATATAATATCCATATTCTTTAATAATTTACGTAAAAATGGCGATTGACTCACAATTGATTTATGAACATTGAATCGCATGGAAAAAGGATAGGATGGATGAATAAAGACTAGAGATAAATCTGAAAATAAAGCGTTTTCAAACATTGAATTTAGCAAATACTTTTCAAGTTTTGATTTCATTTTTTTGGTCGTTGTCATGTTGATCTTATTAATCTTTTACACGTAGAAGTTTAACAGCAAATACTGTATAAATAAATAAATATTTATAAAAAAAGGGACAAAAACCTTTTTTTTTTTTTCCTTGAACAAAGAAATTGAAACAAGTCACTGTAAACGATTTTAATTTAATAAGTTTCACCTCTTCTGTACCTGACAAATGTGTCTTATTATTATAAAATCAAATATGATTCTTCTTGAGATCTTAGAAGATAAACACAAAAAAAAAAAAAAAAAAAAAAAAACGATTAATTTATTATTTCCAAATATTATTGTTTAAAATATCCTCATCATGATAAGGGGTCTCTATAGTCTTTGTATTATTTTCTTCGGGCCATTTCCATACATGCGCATCTTCTTCAGAAGGTGAATCTACAGGTGATAATGTTGACTTGTTATTTAATAGATCATTGTCAATAATTAAAGAGTGAGGTATAAAGGTATTCATCTTTTTTGGTAGTGATGATGATGATAATGATGTTTTAATAATTTCAGGGTATCGAGGCAAAGCTTGTCGGTTATTATTGCTACTGCTACTACTAGGTGTTGAAAAAGAAGGCTGAATATTTTGATTTTCTAATGTAGGATTCAAAGAAGAATTGGGGATGGACGTATTACTGTGTTTTATTGGATTCTTTTCATTATATCTAACAGCTGTTAGAGTTGATTTTCTGATAGGTGCTGCTGGAGGCTTAGGAAGCGGGTTTATAGATTGTTGAGATGTTAAATGAAATTCTTCATCTGATAAGTCATCAACAAGAACATAGTTGCCTTTCCCTTGCTGTATAATAACATCAATACATCCTTCTCTTGGACCTAAAAGCCCATTCTCATTTTTTCTTTTTTTAATATCATTATTTGAAGTAGTTGAAGTACCACCATAACTACGTTGTTTATAGCGTTCGTGACGGGCCTGTCGCCATAAAGGCTCACGAAAATCTATAACTGGATAATTGTAATCACCAAAAACCATCGTACGACTTGCTTTATACAAAATTTCTATTTCATCAGAAGAATCAGGATCTTCAAATTCTAAAGGTTCTGTGTCTTCATCAGATCCAATTTCATCGTTCATACCTCTGCCTGATGAGTTTAAGAATTTTGAAGCTGGAGCAGGTTCTAACCAACGTTTTTTAGTTGTTATATTAGAATATCGAAGTCCCGCCATAATACGTGAAGTACGACTACTTCCCATATGAGGTACTCCCTCAGATGGCTCAAAAGAGCGATAGCTAAATCGAGAACCTTTTAATGTATCTAATGTATCCATCATCACATCTTTTAAACCGAAAGAGTCTTGAATAGCTTTACGAACTGGCATTCGAGCAGAATGAACAGTTTGATCGAAATAATCCTCATATGAGAACGAAAACCTTTTTTTTAAACAAAAAAAAAAAAGTACTGTTAACAACAGAAATAACAAAAAAATCAATATAAATATATACTTTACGAATGAGCTATAGCAAATGGTACCATCTCAATACAAACAAGGAAATCTTGAATAGCAACTGATATATGCTCAGCTAAAATAATAATAAAATGTTAGCATTTTTTTTTTATACATATTATTTATTTATTTATTTTAGTATGTAAATTTACCTTCAGGAATAATTCCAGCAAATACAAGTAAAGCTACAACGACGCTTTGCCAAAATGAAAAGAAAATAATTGCTTTTACACAAAGAAATTTCGGTAAAGGCCTAATAGAAATAATACATTTTATGTAAACAAGCATTCAAACCTTTTTTTGTTTTTTTGTTTTTTTGTTTTTTTTCTTTACCTAAAACAAACCAAGTCTTTTTTCGTTGCATAAAAAAAGACCATTAAACACCATAAACTTAAGCAAACACTTAAATTGTAAAAAAATGTAATATAAAGATAAGTGCTTGTCCAAGAGAATTCACCTTCGTTATAATTTCCTGTTGCCTTTAATACCATTGTAATAATAGCCAGTATGGGTTTAACATATACAAATTGAAGAATGCCTCTTTTCACAAAGAGAAATGTATAAGGATCTCCTACAAATATTTCTTTTGAATAGAGAGTTCCTGGAAAAAAGTTCTCTGAAGGAGGGCGAGAATGAAGCATAATGATTAAAGCTCTTTCACCACCCAGCTTGTTTAATAATAAATTAAAAAAAGCATAGATAACAAACGCTTCATAAATATCTCGAAATGTGTCCACATAAAACGCTACATTAAGTGAAATCAATGAAATATAAGTACTTATGCCGTAAATGGGGACCCTAAGAAAAAAAAATATAGCGAATTTAAGCAGTTGCCTTTTTTTTTTCCTCCTCTTTTTCTCGATTATATACAAGTAATGCTTACATCCATAATATTCGAACAACCTGTCTTTGTTGATTCTATTTACAAATTTTATATAAGTTCAATAGAATCAATAATGATTGAAAAAATAAGAATTTCTTACAGGCTTTCTATAATTCTTCCAATGTAACCAGACTGAAAATGAAGATATACAGCATCCAATTATAGTAGATAATAAAGCTAATTGAATTAATATTGGATTGAATTTAGCACCAGCGCCTCCATCACCATAATTATCCATAACATGTAAATTTGGCATTATGAATGCTAGCCAAGAGGAAAAAAAAAAAAAAAAAAATAGCTACGTCAATAAAATTATTTGATAAAACAGCTTAATAAACGGCGTAGTTATTATAGTTTGAACTTTTTTTTTATTATTATTATAATTGTTACTATTATTATTATCTACAATTCTTCCTCAAATGGTATACAAGGCTAATTTATTAATTGCATTCACGTGAAATTAAATTTTATTATATCTTCAAGTCTTCTATATTCTTTTCTACAAATAATTCTACTCCTTTACAAGGTACACCATCATAAAGAACAATTAAATAACCAGAACCAGGAGGAAAGATGGTTGCATTTGGCGGTGCTATGACTTTTATAAATTCGAAATCTTCACTGACTTTATGGCGTAGATAGACGTAACGTTGAGACATATGCATTGAATGAGTGCTAAATCCTGGTCTCATGATAGCCACTTTAACCTTAGATGGTTCTCTATAGCTTTGATCTTTTTCCAAATGAAATAAAATATCAAATTCTTGATTATATACAACGACATGAGGTACATGGGATATCTTTGGTCTTGTCTGTGTCTTGAATAAATAAGGAGGAGAAAAATATTCAACTCTATACTCAGTGGGGTATAAGACTGCATCTGATGTATCAGGAGGGTCTACACTATTAGAGCCTGCAATCCATACTCGTCCATCAGGTAAAGTTAAAGCAACTGAATGATACATTCGTGCAATATCTGTTTTAGCTAAACCTTGGATCCATCTCTTTTCCTTTTCTTTTTCGAACGGATTATAAATTAAAGGTTCAAAGGTAGGATCAAAGTTTGCATTATTATAACCTGCATAACCACGCTGACATCCATTGACCCAGGCAACTGTACCATCTGCCAATATGACTCCATCTGGCATGACTCGTTTATGAATAAAGGTTTCCATTTCCCATTTTGGATCTTTAGCACTCAAATTGATACGACCACATGTATCATCTGCAGGACTATCTGGTTTAGGGCGTTCAGAACCACCACAAATTAAGATTTCAACATTATAATTCTTTTCAGGATCTAATGGTAGCATGACTGCTCCTCCAGTTAATGGATAGGATCTGGGCACACCGGGCATACGGGGTAATTCTTTAACTACTTTTTGGTGTTGATAATCATAAATGATAGATTTAGTGGATGCAAATATAAATAAGTTTCCATCAGGTAATAAAAATACAAATGGATATCTAGAATAATGGTAAAAAAAAAAAAAAAAATACGATTAGAATTTATACATATTATATTTTCGATAGAAGTTACAAATTATAAGGTAAAGTATGTAATAATAAGTCAAGTTGAATAGGTTCATCAGTTCTAGGTGGCCAGAATTCATATGAAGGTGTATTTTTCTCTTTTGTATTATATTTTGTTCCTGCATTTGAACCACCTATAATAATAATATCTCCCTCTGGTAATTGCTCTACTGTAGGATACCAACGATTACCATACATTTTTCCGGTCGAATATTCAGTCCAAGAACAATCATTATCTGTAATAGTACAAGGTTTAAAATGTCGAATAGACTGATGTCCCTTTGCTGCATTCCATCTTCCTCTACTCTCTGCTCCCCCTGTACTAATAAATGTACCATTCATCAAGAACCCACCAGCTGAGCAAAATGTATTTGTTTCTAACAAAAGTGGTCTATATGTATTTGTCTCTATATCATAAAGCGACGAAAATGCACTCACACCAGAATCTAATTTTGCTTCGTTTTCCTCAGCTTCGTATTAAATACACACATATATATATGTATTAGAATTTAACTATTTCCGTTATGTAGACTTTATATAGACATATATACCTTTATCTATAATTAATACAGTCTTTTCACTATATATGCATAAACATATGATTTTTGTAGATGTAAAGAAATGTTAAAAAATATGCTTAAAATAATACTTGTATATTATATATTTTACTTTAATAATACAGCATGCATCGCTGCTACTCCCGTCCTACCGATTTGATTTATTTTGCCTGTATTTGCATATTTTGATTGATAATTTTCCTCTTCTTGATAATAAAAAGGTGATTGTGAACTAACTAACTGAGGCTGTGATACTAATAGAAGAGATGTAATAACTGAAATGGGCAATAGTCTGATTCTCATCTCACAATCTTAAAAAGAATTAAATTTTTTTCTCGAGTAAAAAAAAAGAAAAAAGAAAAAAAAAAGAAGTTGGGGATGGGGAGAGAAAAAAATGGAATGGTACATTTGGTTGTACAAACCATTTTATTATTCAAGTTTATTTTTTTTTGTAACAGTCGTATCAGCCTATTGATTTTTTACTTTAGTATATGGATTTATTCGTTTTTTTTTGTTAGTACTTAAGGCATTGGTTCAAGAACCAAACACCTATAGAAAAACGAATACAAATGAAGAATCCAATTTTTGCAGTCTTCAACAGATAGGTGTCTATACGGCTGACTTAATAACTTGACGAGTTAAATTATCCCTTTTTTAATTAGGCCATTTCTTTTAATACTATCTTTGACCTTGCACCAGAATAATTCAATAGATGAATATGCAGTTTTATAACTGTGATCAGTAATTAATCGTTGAACATCAGAGCATTTACGGAGGATGGTATTATCGATAATTAAATAATAGTCCACCCATTATATACTTACCGAGGATATCGCGATCTGACAGCAAACAGATTTTTATCATAATTTGACACTCATTAAAGTAAGGTAATTAGAGTTAATTGTTGGTGTTATAGAACAAGCTCTGGATATAAGCGTAAGTAATATTATAGTAGATGAATTGCATAATAAAAGATAAACTATAAGCCTGAATATAAAATAAAACATTGTATATAACGTCCTGTAAATAATATCAAACTTATTGAAATTCAATCGTCTAGACGGGCCAATCATAAGGCATACTACAAGTTCTAGATATTTATTTTTATAACCTTGATAAAGGATTCAGGTCGACTTTAATCCAATAAAATAGAAATGTAAAAGACATCAGGGACATACACTTAGATCAAGCAATAAATTGTTTTATTTAAAACCTTAATCAGATCATTATAACACCCAATAGATAATTCATATAAATCAGTCTCTTGAATCAACAAGATGTATATCCGAATACTAACACTGTATCATGACTCATGTTCTTTGACGGTTATTTTTAATTTCTTTGATTCAGGATTCATTAATATAAATACAAGCAGTTGTGTAGACACAAAATAATCTTTAGAACTTTTAATTCTTATTTTTATTTCATTTTTCTTTTCATTGAATAAACACAGTCTCAAACTATACTTCCTTTTGTTCTCTTTCTTTTTCTTTAACACACTCTGTTCTAATAATTAAAATAATTAGCGTTGTTTTGTTGGACTACAAAAATGATCTAGACTGGATTATTGATTCCAAAATACCAGAAGAAGTTTTTCAGAATGATTAAAAAAAAAGGGGGGAGGGGTATGGCAAAGTATAATAATGAAACTTTCTCTATTGTCTAGAAGGACTGATCAGAATTTATGTATAATAAAGAAGATACAGAGAAGCTTTATCCCTACAGTCTAGAAAAATAATTCTTTTCACCTAAACTCATTTTTAGATAAACCGAATAAAAGCCTAAATATGTATTCTTTATAAAAAAAAAAAAAAAAAAAAAAAAAAAAAAAAATTATACACTTGTGTAACAATATATTATTTAAAAGGCAGACTCTTTTTTTTTTTTTTTTTTTTTTTTTTTTTTTGCCCTGAAAGATAGGCAGACAATGCTATTTAAATAGGGTAAAGGGTTAAAAAAAAAACTACCGAGTATTTTTTTTTTCTTTAATTATAAGCTATCTCTTGATAAAATATATTCCACTAAGCCCTTGTCCCCCCCTTTTTTTTATTTTGATATCATTGAATGGCATAATTCTTAATAGTAAAAATTTAACAGATAATTTTCAACACTATTTATGATACTGAAAGCTTCACTCTTGTTTACAATTTCTATTCATTGATTTAAATTTGTTTGATAAGCGATATGCTTTTATATTAGTATTGTTTTAATAAAAAATAACAACGAGTAATTGAACAGGTCATGATAATAAGTGCCCAGTGATATTTTATAAAAATAGAAAACCTTTTTTTTACAAACAGTTGCCGTCAATAGTGGTAACACAGTCTATTTCTTTTTTCTTTTTAAATAGAATAGATATAGTATATATTTTATACAAAATGATGATACATTAATACCGCCGTTCATTGTCTATAGAGGCTAAATGAGACGGTAAAGAATAAGATGGATCTATTTCGACAGCACCTTCTCCATGTCCAATAGCGATACCTATTGACTTGGGGCTTTTAATATCAACGTTGTTATTAGTAGATGCTTTGCTAGATTGAGAAGGCGTCCGCGGTAATTTGGATACAACAGAGGCAACAACTCCCATAAAATTTTGTGGTTGCCAACGTGTAGATATACTACTTATCTCTCTTTCATTATTCATTGGCTCTTTTTGTTGCTTTTTGCGCTTATGAATGAACAACAAACTGACTAGACCGAGGGCTGCGATACAGCCAATACCTACACCAAGACCAATTCCAAGCTCTTTATTATTATTCACTTTGTTTGTTGCTCTTTCTTCCGGAAAAGTCGCTATGACTGAAGTTGAATTATGATTGGTAAATGAAGTTGTAGTACTAGCAGCAGTAGCGATAGTAGTTGTTGTACTAACAAGATTCGGAATTGTCTGAGTTGTAACTACTTTATTAGGAAGAGAAGGAGAAGCAACAGCAGTGGTATAATAATGAATTGGTGATTTACTTCTAGAAAGATGATAATAACCAGTCGATGACGACGCTAGCATTGTATTGGACTTTATTCTATGTTTATGGTGATTTATTGATTTGTAACTATTATGGTGATGATGAGTCACTTTTTTTACGCTTTTCATTGAACAAATAGTTTTAATTAATGTTTTTGTCTTTAATATAGAAGACGATGCCTTCTGATAAATGTAAGTCTTCGTTTTATACTGACAAACATAATGATACGATCTTATTTTTATATTATGATGATGACTATTTTTAACAAATTGACTCTGACGCTTCTTTGGTAGTGCTGATAACATTCTATAATTGTATATAAAGTAAATAAAAAGAAGTTTTTTTTTTGTGGGAAGGATGAAGGAGAGAAAGGATCCTTACCCAATAAATATGTATATGAAAAAAAAAAAGTATTCACAGCACTAAATAGCAAGCTTATAAAAAATAAATGGTCATTGTTAAAACTCAATAGTAATTCGAAAAAAAAAATAATTGACCAATAATCAATTGGCAATTCTTTTCTAATGCATTATTTGACAAACGAAAATATGTATATCGCGTGTAGCCTCATTTCTCAGACATATCAATAAAGTGTTGAATAAAATCTCTATTAATGCTTTAGGGAAACATTAGCACAAGTATCATTTATTCCATTTTATTTTCTTAGATCTTTCTTTTCGCTTAAATAGTAGCTACGTCCTACTACTTTTGCTCTTAATCATCATTACTCGCTCAAAACTGTTATTCTATTGGATTGATTCTCGGAAGAGGATAGGAAAAGATAAATATATCTGTAAGCCTTGTGTTACAACCACTTTTTCGATTTCATTATACACTCTTTCTTAAATCACATGGCACACTTTTTTTTTCATTTTGGCACAAAAGTGTGCCATCATATTAAAGTGGCTGTTTATCAAAACACAACTACTATTTGGATGCAGAATAACGACAAAAGCCTAGCAAGTCACTATAAAGAATACTGTTACAAGCTTCAGAAATCCTTGAAGTGAGAGTTTCTTTCTGCAGAAGTTTCTCCTTCTTGAGCTTGCTTTTGCCGATAGACCAGAATTGCTCTATTGGATTTAATTCTAGAGAATAGGGGGGAGGGGAAGGGGAGAGATATACACAGCCGCAACCTTGATTGACAACATACCTTCCGATATCTTCATGCTTGTGTATTGGAATATTGCCCATGACAATGTAGAATTTTTTTTTGAACTCTTCACGCTCATCCATAACATCAAGAACACCCCCCCCAATAAAATTAAAATAATGGCCAGTGATAGTACCTGTAGTTTTGATAGCTTTGCATACACCAGGCAATTTTCGTTTTCTTTTTGAGGGAGCCTCGTATGGCCGCCTACTTACTTTGATACTGATGACACTAAAAGGTGAAATAGCCCTCCAATAATGTCGTTGTCTGTGCCCTTGTTGTGGGCGTTTCGACTGTCACTCTCTCGTTTTTTTTTTTTTTTTTTGTGACCGAGATACTGTTCTTTTCATGTGTAATGTGGAATGCTGCTTCATCAATGAAGACGCAGTTGTTCTCAGAATCTAGATCAGTCTCTGACCAATTAACTATCCATTCGTATCTTCTGCTGGATCTTTTCAGGGGAGTTTCTTTCCGTATAATAAAAGTATGCTTTTTTTTTTCAGTGATAGAGTGCAATCTTCTGTCATAAACTTATGAACAGTCGCCCAAGAAACTTTCAGACCATCAAATTGAGTAGTCAAGCCATCTAATACTTGATCTACTGTTGTGGAGTGATTATCATCAAATGTTTGCACAAGGTACTTTTTGTGATTCTCATTCAACAATCTCTGTCTTCCTGCTTTCTTTTTTTTTTTTTTTTTTTTTTTTTTTTTTTTTAATAAAGACACTTTCTCTTATAGTTAGATGAGCTTCTACAGATTAATATCAACTTTTAAAATTAAGAATACTTTTATTTATTAAAGGAATCCATCCATTTTTTTATTTATATATGTATTTATGAGAGTAAGAAAATAATTTAATTGTTTAGTGTACTATTATTTCAGTACAAACTTGATTGTAGAGCTTGACTATTACGCGTTAAATATTTTTTTTTTGTTAATATAGCTGTAGAGATAACAAAACCCAGTTTTTAAAGGGAAGAAGAAGATTGATTCATTTCTATTAACCAGGGACAAAAAGAGGGTATGAAAGAATATTTAAAGTAGCTAGAGTTTAGAGGCCCATTTTGTTAAACAAACTTTAAGGTAAAATAGAAAATAATCATTATAACTACTATTGCTTTTTATTGATACAGTTCATATAAATACATGAGCTATATTTCCTTGTCTTAAACATCACATTTTATTTTTACGTATAAGCTTAATATGATCTTTATTTAGCATGCACTTATAATGACTTGCGAGACTTTTGTCGTTATTTTGCATCCAAATAGCAGTTGTGTTCTGATAAGCAGCCACTTTAATGTGATGGCACACTTTTGTGCTATTAATAAAAAAAAAAAAAAAAAAAAAAAAAAAAGTGCCATAACAAAAGTCGGCAGTTGTGCCAAACTGAATTTTAATGTATTATAGATCATAAAAGAAAGAAAGAAAAGAAGCCTTATGTTATCATGTTTTCTGCTATCCTATCCATATCAATCCAAAAGTATTTAAAATGAAGTTTCAAATAAAAGCCAATGATGACGTCTTTAGGGGTTGCTATTGTCGATGTAGTTGCTTTTCTTTTACTGGTTCCATTTACCTTTTGCTTTTTTTTTTTTTTTTAGGAAATAAAATTTAAATAGCGTTATTTTACTTTTATAAAATATTGCTCTTTTTTCATGATTTGGTAAAATAAAATAATAAAAATAGAAAATCTTTAAAAAAGTCAACTGTTTTTTTTTTTCCTTTAATAAACTATTTAATGATGATGTTCATCTTCAGTACCAATAAAATCCATAACAAAAACAGAACCACATTCAGGACAACGATCATGTTCATGAGATTTATCCAAATTAATCCAAATAACATCGTGAGATTCAGCAGGGAAACCTAATTATGATAACAATTAGTTGTAAAGTTTTTTTTTTTTTCTCTTTTCTTTGTTTTTTTTTGTCAAGAACTTACCAGTGCAACCAACAAAACGAATGGGATCGTGAGACTTGACAACAATAGGATTCTTGACAGTACCAAGATGAGTCATGTTCAAAGGTTCCATATCAAAAAATTCTCTACCTTCAAGCTTTGCAAGCAATTCTCGACGTTCCAAACCAGTAGCTTGTTGAAGATCAGTAGGAACTTCACCTGCCTTAGCACCAGGGCCTAAATTTGATTCAACATTATGTCCAACAGCTCCAGCTAATATATATATATATATATAAATGTATATACAATAATAATTAGTATTCATGAGTAATGTTACTTTTAAATTCCTTTTCTTTTCTCCTCTTTCCCCCCTTTTTTTTTCTTCTTCTTCTTTCAAACACACACACATACATATATATATATATGTATGTATGCATATATAGATGCATATATTTATATGTTTAAAATTTCAAAAATTGAAATATTTACATAAACGACCACCTACAACCGAGAAAGGTCTAATTGAAGTACGTGTAGCAATGGGAGCAGCTTTAAGAATAGCACGACGAAGTCCAAACATAATTATTATTTACTAATTAAAGAAGAAGTAGAATAAATAAATAAATAGGGAGAGAGATAGAGAGATAGAGAGAGGGGGAGATACAGCTGGGGAAATTAATACAACCGACTGTCCAAAAAAAATAAAAAAATAAATTGATTTACTTTTATGGCCTTCCCTTGCACATTAAAAAAAAAAACTCACCTAGTTGACGTCACATTTTTTATGCACTGCATGTGAAGAATCTTCCCTTAAAAAAAAAAAAACATGTATATGTGTATCTGGTTGCTGTCAAAACATGTAATATTTTAGCTTTTATCATTTATTACTGTTTTATGAAAAAGTCAAAATCAATCATAAAGCCTTTTTTTTTTCTTAATGCTTATCATATAAATATATGTAGATGTATAAAATTATTTCCTTTGCTCCAACTTTTCTTCCAAAGATTTAATTTTTTGATGAAGAGGAAGGGCAATTTCTTCTGCTTTTTGTTTAATGAGTTGTGAGATAGCATCTAATAAAGCTGGATTGAGAGTGCTAGATTCAAGGTTTGTATTTGTAGGGATTGAAGTCATTTGTAATTTTTTTGAAGTTGTAAAAGGATCAATTAAATAAGAAATAAATGTTTCATGATTACTATATACAAAACACACATAATACAATGCATTAGATTCCAGTTGACTATAGATATACAATTTTTAATATTTTAACTTACAGTAACACTTTTTCAATCTTTTTCATAGCAGCTTCTAAACGTGTAGGGAACATGTCATCCAAGACAGTATCTTTACGTTGTAAAATGAAATCCAGTAGTTTTTGATGTTTTGTTTCGATATCAACTAATCGAGCAAGGATAGCAGCATTACTGGTTTCATCCGTATCCTCTGTGATATCATCTATTCTTTGTCTCTTTCTAGGCTGTAAATGATGATTATCTTCAACTGCCTTTGCTTTAACGCTCACGACAGTTTCAATCATCTTGATATTATTATGAATTAATGAAATTTCTTTCAAGACGTCTTCCATACGTTTAAGGGCTGCTGTTTGGTCAAAGGAAGTGAGTGCTGTGATGTTAGGATCGTTATGAGTACTAGATACATTTTGATTTTTAAATGTATCCAGGATGACACGAGTAGAATTAAATACTTGTTTTAAATCAATAATTTCTGATGTTAATTCCTGAATTCTTTGTTTGACAGCCTCAAGATCAGCAGGAATAGATTGCTTTCCCTCAGAAAAAGTCAATTCTTGTTGCATCTCTTTTAATGCTTGATATTCAGGTAAAGAGGTAATAATTTTCTGTAAATTAGTAGGGCCTACTTGTTCCATGATTTCTTTCTTTACAATCTGTAACACTTGATCAGGAACCAAAATGTCACTTTCTTTCGCTGATGCCATTTCATTTTGTTTTTTAGCTTCTTCAAGGAATTTTTTAAATTTATCATCCAAGATAGACATTATTTTATTTTGCACTTCATTCTTTAGTCGTTCAGCATTTAGTTCCTCTCTTTTCTTATCAAATGTGTCTGATAATTCTTTAAAACGGCTAGTAAGCATAGTCCCCATAGATCGAAGTGTATTTTTTTGAACATCCTTGAGTTGAGTCTTGAATGCTTCAAGTGATTGCAACATATTTTCCTTTTCAGCAACATCCATTTTTTCCTTTTGAATGATTTCAATAATTTTTTGAGTTGATGAAATCTTATTATCTATCTTTTCATATACACTTTTACTGAAAGTTTCTAAAAAAGATTGTGTCATATTTGAGATTGTTAAGGCATTTTTTTTAGAAGCTTCGAGTACATTATCACATATTTGTTGACAACTGCTAATTATATAATTTTCAGCTTTTCTCATACTAGATTAGAAAAAGATAAAGGGAATGTTAACGAAAAAAGAAAAAAATAAAAACTATTATCTATATAATCATACTCATTTTCTTTTTGTTTGATTTCCATCTCTAAATCGTTAATGGTACTATCTATCAATATTATTTTTTTAAACCAGATGAGTTCGTTAGGGTGCACGTATATATAGATATAGATATAAAGGTTATATATTTACTCATAGTGTTTAATCCAGCTAAAGGTTTGTTGTCATTACTAGAACATAATTTCTGTCTGATTCCAGTTAAAGAGTTTAATTTATTCTCCAATACGTGTATTTCAGATGCAATACGTGTTGATTCATAAATAGACCTATAAACAAAGAAAATGTGTATATTAGCATTTAAATGAATATTAAGAAAAGAAAGAAGAAGAAAAGAACATTACTTGAAACATTCTCTCATTTTTTGTTCTGTAAATTTGCTTGCAGATTCATTTCCAATTTGAGCTGTTTCTGTATGTTCATTTGCTCTTACTTGTTCAGACATTATGGTTAATGTATGTAATAAATATGTCTATTTTTGAATAATAAAAATAATAAATAAAATAAAAATAAAAATTAAAGTTGAAAAATCAAATGAATTCAAGTCACTACTCACATATTTTTTTTTTCAACTCCCTTTCGAGTTTAGATGAAGAAATTGTACACACGATAATTTAATACAGGAGAATTAGCACGACAACATTAACATTCTTACTAGATTCTATCCAATTATTAAAAAATGATGATAGATGGTTTCTCACTACCTCCTCTTTATTTCTATTGTTGTGTATAGAATCATTTTGATGAAATATAAGCCCTTTTATTGACTACAAAAAGGCTTACTTGAAATCATTTATTATCCATTAAGAAATAGCATCACCTTTTACAGTCTGGGAAACTAGGTTGGGCCAATAAAAAAAATAATTGGGTCATTCAAAAATTAAATTGGGACACGGATGTAGATTTGGGACACCCAAATGAAAATGAGACACAGATGCGAAAATGGGACAGAGATGTGATTAAAGAGTAATTTAATTAAAGTAAAGGCCATTGCGCATGTAGTGGTTATGAATACATTCTTTTGCCCTGGCCAGTTCTGAGTGTTATTTTGTATGAAAAAAAAACCTCTTGCAAGAAAAGAGGAAAATGTATAAAAATAAAGAGAAACAGAATCAGTAAAAAAAATATTTGAACTACTACTACTACTACTACTACTATGATTGATTTAACCAATTCACCAGTTTAACGCCAGAAATGATGAGTTCAGGAGGCGGTTTGTTATGAAGGATATAGTCCATTTCGTGGAATATTCAGCATACTACTGGCTAATGAACGGACCAAATACAGGAAACTTTAGGACGGCCGTTTTTTTTTTTTTTTTTTTTTTTTTTTTTTTTGGAAGGGAGCCTGTTCAGAACGAAGGAAAGAGGGTCAGGGATGATGTATAGCATTTGAAAGTGGATATGCATGTCGAAGTAGATAATAGCATGGTCCCAAGTAAGCCTTGAGTCTGAGTGGAAGACACGATGTTACGGCTTGCCACCGGGGAGCCAACCAAGTCACCATCGAACATATTATTATTTTGGATCAGAAATAATTGTAAGTCATGCGTCATGCTAATATTCAAAATAAAGACTGAGTCTGACTTTAACCGAAAAAAAAAATGCCCTAAAAGTATAATTCAGACAGATCGACAGCTTTGTCACTTTAGAGCGTTTTCCATAAATGGTAGAATTTGCTGAAATTTGATACTTTATTAGTATGTGTAGATTCAAATTAAACATATGATCTGTCAGAAATATTTGCAACAACATGCTCCAGCGCATTTTACTAGTCGACTGTAAAGAAGCTGATGTGGTTCTATTGCAAAAAATAACAAACAGTACAGATAAATACAGATACATATCTAGCGAAGATGTAGAAATTTTCCAATTGGGAGATGATATGAAAAATGAAAACTTGGCTGATGTTTCTCTTTGCGGGCTGGATCCCAACCGACATCAGGTTTTTGCTGCTGCTTATGGGGAGAGTGATGAATCCCATCAAATCAGACGATGCTCTACTAAAGAGTACTCTACTTTAACAGGGCCTATAAGACACGCAAAGAGAGAAACAAAAAGAATGTCTCGAGAAAATGTAGAGGATATACTTCTCAACATTCCTACAACTAAGACAGTTGTTCTTTCAAACTATTTGCAATACATAACGTATATCCTCTTACATCTAAACAGAATACTAGCATTTAACAACTTCTCAACTGTTAAAAGTCGCTTTCACCTATACCAGGGAGTTCAAAGGGCCAGACAAGAAATGGCCAATGTCCTCATTAATGGTGGAAAAAAAATACAATAAGACCAAAAGAAAGAACACAAAGAAGAAGAGGAAGAAGAGGAAGAAAAGAGAGAAGAGGAGAGAAAAAGAAGCGAAAAAGAGAGACAAAGAAGTTCCCCGGCAGATAAAGTGAGTATACTAGCATCAAAGCAGAGAGACAAACACTATATTCATTAACTATTATTTATTTCAGGAACACCAAGAAGCTTTGGAAGTCTCAACCTTTCAAATACGACAAGAGTAAATTGCCTGTTATAGCTTTCGGAAATGGCATGTTCGGAAAAGACGGTGTACATTTGAAGGGTCTCAGGGTAGGAGTGACAGGAGTTCTTTACAAACAACTCAAAATGAGACAGAAATCAGGAGAACTTTTACTTGCTTCTGTAGATGAGTTCAAGACTTCAAAGATACAACAGGATTTACCAAAACTGGTCAAAGAATAATTTATTAATACTGTAAATATAGACCTGTCATGCATGTCTTCAAATATGCTTGACTGATGCTTACATTGGGTTGCACAGTGTCCAAACTTGTCAAAGTTGCGGAATAATGTGGCAATGCGACGTTAACGCGTCGAAAAATATATTCAAGATCTCAAGACAAGTGATTGGTGGTCATAGGCGTCCACAGGAGTTCACAAGAGAACAATAGGTCTTGTTTTTTTATATCGCCGTCTCGTACACGGTTTCTCTTGTTAAAGAGATTTAGATATTTACAGGTATGCTGTATCTAGTTTTTATTTTTTTTTTTCATGATTCTAATTGAATAATTATGTAATAAAGAGTCACAATCCTCCACATTTTTTACTGCTTAAAAGGAAAGATACTGGGACAACCTGGCTGTTCTATTTTTTTTTTTTAATATTGATGAATCTTACAATGTCCATGGCACCATCGAAACAAGCAGTTATACAAGCATATCGTAGCTTACTTAGAACACAAAGACAAGTTTTTGATAGTAAGTGTCAACTTTTTATCTATTTATTTATGGAACTGATTAATGAATGACTATAATATAGCTGATATAAGGGCAATTGATGGTTGGTAAAAAAAAAAAAAGTATAAATATTTATAATTATTGAATAAATGATATATATTTCTTTAATATACTAGCTGCTAGAAGAGAAACCTATAATCGATTTATGCAGTATAAAAATGAAACAAATATTGATATTCTTGAAGAGGTAAAAAAAAAAAAAAAAAAAAAAAAAAATGCTATGAAATAGATAAGAATTATTTTTTATATCTTAGAAATTACAACTAGCAAAACAAGTAGAAACATTATTAAAAAGAATGTTATTCAAAGCGTGTCAGAAGGAAATAATGTATTTAGTAAGTTTAATTTTTCTTGTTTAAAAAATAGAGCTGAGAAAACTAAATAAGATTTCACCATAGAATTAAGGATTACAAAAGATACAGAATTGGGCGATAATGATTCAATCAAGAAAACAAAAAATATCAACCGTCAAAAGAAGAATGGATGTTGTGGAAAACATTAAAAAGCCCGTGATACAATAAAGAGCACATGTAAAATAAAGGCTTGTGTTTATTTATTTGTTTTTGCTTCTTTTTTTTGCTTCTTTTTTTTGCTTCTTTTTTGCTTCTTTTTCCTTCTTTTTTCCTTTTGTTTCTTACTACTACTTTATATGATTCATAATCACGTATCATCATTGCCACCACCAACAACAAAATGGCCTTTGCATTTAATAACAGAACAATTAGTCAATAAATTATCAACAGAAATACCAGTGACAACAGCTACTACTACTCATAATAATAAAAAAGGTGTAGTTATAAATCAATCACCACCTTCTGTTATGATGGAACAAGAAGAAAATACACCCGTTTGGTGGCTATTTTCAAATGATGGGTTTTATTCTATTTGTTCTTTATTGTTTTTATTTGGATTTATCTTTCCACCTTTTTGGTGGATTGGATCATTTTGGCCAAGGAGAGTAAAAGAAAGGGGAGGGAAAATGGCTGATAGATGGCAGAAATTAAATAGAATGATGTCTATAGGATTTAGTATCATTTTAATCCTATTTATCATTTTATTCGTCATCATTTATTCTATTGGTTGAACCTTCTTTTTATAAATCACATTATTTATATTTCCACCTATTATTTATGATATTAATCTTTATGTGTGCGTGTTTTTTTTTATACTATTTGCTCATATACTTGCGCCAATCTCTACGATGAGGTAACTCATAGGCATATCTCCATTCTCCATCCACTATAAATTTATATTCAATTTCTTTATCTAACTCCAATGGAATATGAATGACAAAACGATTCGGGTCTTTATCATCCTGTACCATTTCCATAGATCCTATTCTATCTCTGTAAGTTCAACTTTCTTCAAGTAACATGAAATCTTACCTGTCCAATTATCAAATTCGCCAGTGATTTGAACTTTTTTACCACCATGATTCCAATAAATCTAATAGTATATAATACATGAGAATATATGTATATAACAAATATCATTTCTATTATTTACTGTTGTCATTTCCGTTGATACATGATCAGCAGTAGTAGTCACAGATGTTGAATCATTGGATAAAGAATGACTACGTGCTGATATCATATCCGATGCCTCGTTATTTTTCATTTCATCCGTAGTCATCAACTCTTCTTTATTATCAACGTCTTCTTTCGTAACTACCTTCTTTAGGCTTTCATCATCTTCACTCGGGATTTCCTTATTATTGGAGTTGACAATAGTCTGCTTTCTACCACTAGTAGAAGCTAAAGGAAGAGCAAGCCAATCCCGCATAATAAACCGTAAAATTTGTAAGAAAAAGAAACGAATTGAAAATGTAAAGAAGCCACGATCATAACCTGATATCATTTTTTTTTTAAAAAAGTATATGAATTTATTTTTATTTATAAGTAGGATAAATTATATGATAAAATAAAAAAAAAAAGTAAAGTAAAATAAAATAAAATAAAATAAAATAATAAATAAAAGCAATTTAAACAATTTTATTGCATATTATTTTCACTGTTATTTAACACATACCCCTGTTTCTTTCTTTTTTTTATTATTTCCCTTTTTCTTTTTCCTTTTCCTTTTTCTCTTTTCTCTTTTTCCCTTTTTCCTTTTTCCCTTTTTCCTGCTTGGATATACATCTAAATAGAAATCGAATAAAAATGATACTTTTGTTTATGAGCATAAACAACAAATCCTTGTATTAGTAACAACAGTAATCAAATAGATATTTTTTCTATTTAATGTCATCATCTTTACTCTAAAAGAAAGTTTATTATTCTTTACGAAATAAAGACGTATCCATTTTATAATCATTTCATGTCAAAAAAAAAAGAAAAAAAAAAACCGAAAATTCCATTTATTAGCAAACTTATTTATTTAACCTTTGCTATGCTATGTACCATTTCCTAATAAATAAATAAACGAGTCAGTTACTATTCTATTCTCCTTTTTTTTTTTTTCTTCTTCAATTCTTACTTCTTTAGAAATTAAATGACACGTTTTTTCAATTAAATTCAATAAAGAATTAATGTCATTAGACCAATTATTCAAGATTTCATTAGCATCTTTTTTAGTTTGAAAATTGATGATTCCAGCAGAACGGTCAATACGAGCATAAATCGTCTTTGAAACAACCAATTTAGATAAACATTCTTCGGTATCTTTTTCACTCAAGTCTAATAATTGAGTTAATCTCTTTGTTGTAACACGTGTATAATATTTAGCAATAACTCGAATATTATGTTCAACTACACGATCATGAAGTTCCTTCCATCTCTTTTGTCCTTCTTCAGTCGATTTATTAAAAGCAGTGGATTGACTCAATAAATGACCATAACTCTTTTCAATCTCAGTCCAACGCATCAATTCAACTGTAACAAAACGTTTAGCGATTTCTTGATATTCACTCATCTGTGCCAATTTAGGATCTTCATACATTCTATAAAGTAAATCAGATTGTTCATTATCATAAGGTGCTAATATAACAAACAAGACTGCATTTTGAAGCGCTTCTTTCCATTTCTTTTCATCTGCTTGAATTGATTCTGAATCGTATATTTGTTTGTAAAACTTGTGAATATTCAAATACTGTTCTTCATGTAAAGCATGCTGAATCATCAAGTTATAATATCTAAGTTTAAGATCCTTTTTTTTTTTGTTTAATAAATAAAATGAATACTTTTTCTTCTTCTTTTCTCTACTAATCAGACTTACTTCATTTTCTTTATCTTGGAAAAATCTTGCATTAATCTTTTTAGAAATAATTTGTGTTCTAATATAATCTGATTTAGCTAAACACAATCGCATTTGCTCTAAAATAAAGTCGACTTTTTCACGTTTATCCATAGAACCAAATGTTTCAACTTGAAGCTCTTGAAGAATATCAGCAGCTTCCGCTATCTTGCCTTCATCTTCACGAATCTTGGATAAAAGACGAGTAATACGTGCTCTTTCAACTTCAACATAAATCTATTTTTTTTTTGAAGGGATTACTTTTAAAGGACAAATATAAAATAAGCCTCTCTCTCTTTTTTTTTTCTTTTTACCTTTCCATCAGTAACAGTACGAAGTGTATCAATTAATTCAAGCTTAGTGTCCATATCAGGTGTTAAATCAAGATAACTCATGGCTTGTTGGACCATTTTGGAAGTAGCCTAATAACCATTTACAAAAGGGAAAAAAAAATTATAAATAAAATGAACATTGTAAAATTCTCATATATACTCACAGCCTTCAATTGTCCATGTTTTTTTGACAATAAAACAATTTGTTCATTTAAAAGCTTCCAATCCTTAACTTCAAAACATAATTTAACAACTTGAGTAAGAATACGACCTGTTGATGCTTGATCAGCAGCCTAATTCGAAAAAAAAAAACGTACAAATGAGAAAATAATGTCAATGTAACAATAATTATACTAGTTTACATTTCTAGCTTGCTTTTCAAGAGATAATAATTTTTCTAAAGCTTCATTGATTTTGCCTTGCTATAATCGATCCAAGAATTAAAAGAATTTTTTTATTATTATTAATAAACGCGTTAGAGAATACTCCTTTCTTTCTTTGGTTTATACCTTGGTCAAAGCCTCGGTTTCAGGTAAAAGAACATCAACTTGAGGACTAAAGTCTTTGTCCATCTTTTCTAATTTTCCGTCTGACATGATTTATATTAAACTGATTTATGGATACTTGTATAAGAAGAAGAAGAAGAAGAAGAAAAAAAAAAAAAAAAAGTCAATTTCCAATGTCTATATTAGCTTCAAGTAAAGGCTTACGTTCCCGCCTTCAAGTACACGTCATTCATTTCAAACTCAATTGAATATATTTTAAAAGAGCGTTACACAAGACTTTTTTTTTTTTTTCTAATAGTAGCAGTACGTTGAGTGAATGATATTTGTACATGCACAATGGATCTTATTTAGCTACTGCTGTGAATGTATAATACATATAAGTATATTTAGATTAAACTAGTAGTCTATGTTATGCGATTATTAGTGTGAGTGTGTGTGGGGGGGCGGGAGCCAATCTATGACAACAGATATCTTTAACTACTACTCTTTGTATATTTTAGCCATAAATTATATGTTGATGTACTTTTTTTTTTTTTTTTTTTTTTTTTGAAGCTTGCTGGATGAGTGATGGAAAGAAAGAAAGAAATAGCAAGGAAAAAGCGTTTGGATAAGGAAGAATGATTAATCTATGACTTTCATATTATTACAGTTAGTCAGTCTACTTTGATTAGTCTTTTTGAAAACGAGGTATTAATAGAGAAATAAGATGGAAACAATAATCGCTCTACAATTCATTTTAATAGCTTTTAAAATAAAGTAAATAAATTGGGTTAGGATGGACACGTCTTTAAAGGAAAATTAAGCTAAAGGTATATATATATATAAAAAAAAGAAAATAGATTTATTAAGCAAATAAATTAGTTTTCTTTGATTAAATGTTGGTGTACAATAGTCAATTGAGCTTCCAAATCTACTATTCTTTGTCTGTTTTGTTCTTCTTTTACTTTGGCATGATTTATTTCAGTTTCTAATACTGCAGCTTGTACTTTTAATTCTTGATTCAGTGTCTTTAATGACTTTACCTTTTCCTCTAACGTTTCCATTTTAATCGCTTTCCTTAATCGAGATCTACGAGCAGCATCTGTATTACGTTGTCTCTTAAGAATGATACGAAGAGGAGAGGCTGTTGTAGAAAGCGACTCATTCTTTTGATTCATCTTTAACATGGTCAGATGATTCGTATTATTCATGATGCTATTTGTGTAGTTTTCATCATCTTTATTTTTGTTCTTTTGCTGAATAGATTGGATTAAAGCATATAATCGTAATAATGATTGTCCTTGCTTGTTTATACAATTTTCTTTTGTATCCGTAGCATTTATGCTCTCTAATAACAAGTCCTTCTTTTCTTCTTCTTCCATCGTATTTATCAAAATATGCTTTAATGAACATTTATTATTATTAGAAGTTGAATGCATTAAAGTCGTAGAAGAAGATGGATTCTTTAATAAATCATCTTTAGGAAGCCAATGATTTATTCTTTTATTTGAATCCAATCCATACCAGTTATTCGTACTAGTATCGTTCTTTTGTTTTACAGACATTGATAATATATATATATATATAAATAAGAAAAAGTAAAAAAAAAGTAAAAAGTAAAAGTTAAAAAGTAAAAAGAAAAAAGAAAAAGAAAAAGAAAAAGAAAAGAAAAAAGGAGGGGAATTTATATAGATAGATAGATGTAATTCTAAATATCTTTATCAACAATTACTGTCTTATATAGTAGTAGTAGTAGTAGTAATAGTAATAGTAACAGCAATAGTAGTAATCGTAGTCGTAAGTTGTAGCATGATCTATATTTTTGATTGGTTTGATTTGATGACACGTTTTGTTTCCTTTTATTAAAAATTATGATTGGTTGAACCAAATTTAACAAAAAAAAAAAAAAATAAACTTATTTTTTATTCAATTGACCACATCGTAGTCTCATTTTTATTATTATTTGCTTGTTGTAATAAAGTTTTATTTGCTGCACCTCTTTCATCCTCTTCTTCTAAACTACTATCATGATCAATTGTAACTGGATTATTGTTCTTCTTCTTATGAACAGAGTCATCTTTAAATAGATAAAGACCGTTTTTAACATTCCAAAAACATTTTATAGCTACTACAACTGTCAATAGAATTAAGAATGCAGCAATAACAGTAGTAAATATCAAGAATTGACGTGTATGAAGATAAGGATCATAACTGTCAAATGCGGGCTTTCTGGCGATAACAGCTAAACGATAGATAAAATAGACAATAGCCAGAATACCACCACCAATAAATGTCAACATGGCCAATTTATTTTCTTTATAAACTGCTAAAAGTGCTAATGATAATCCAATTCCACCAAAGAGGAAGACAAGGACTGTTTCAGTGACTGTATCATGATATTTTAATCTTTGAGATGGAATGAGTTGTGCTGCAAATGAAAAGACAAAGAAGAAATCAAGTTTAAGCAAAGTTAAGAGTAAACTAGTTGTGATTAAAGCATTTCGAATTCTAATATAGAATAGTAGAAATGATGAGTATGTTTGTTTGTTTGTTAGCTTGTTTGCTTGCTTGCTTGCTTGCTAGTTTGCTTGCTAGCTTGCTTGCTCGCTTATTTATTGATATCCTTTTTTTTTCTTTTTACTTTACCTTATATCTGCAGAAAAGTTTCTATAATTGTCCCAAGCGAATTGCTTACGAAGTCTCCAACCTAAAATAGCTAATAAAACAAAAAAGACGGGAATCAAAGCGATAATTGTATATTCAATAGGTCTCATTGAATTACGATAAAAGACTTTAGCCAGATTCATTCCACTTAGACTATCCTCCCAACGTGATTCTATCGGTTTCCAAAAGTCTTCATTTCCACTATTATAATAATATTCAACAAGATTAGTGTTTGTAGTTTAACTGTAAAATGAGTCTACTTTACCAGACAGCGTTTTCTAATATAACATGTTGTTGAAGTTGAATACCTGCGTATCTATTTATTATTGTTATTATTAGCATTATGATTATTGCTGTTGTTGTATACTATATAATTTTAACTTGTTTTACACTAACATATTATTATTATCATTAGTTTGAAAGATGAAATCATTAAATAGATTACTTTACCTACTACTAAAAGTCCAAAAGTAATCAATGCACATAATTGAGCTGTCAAAGAGAATGTAACTGTCAAGTCTTGAAAAAATGAATAAAACAAAAAAGAAGAAAGATGTTTACCTGTATTTCTTTGATATAAGGCGTCAATACATAAAATAACTTGGAATAGTTGAGAGATAATAAAGAGTGAATGGTAAATTAAATCTGATTCGCTTACACCTATATGTCTGGAATTTTAGTTAATTAATTCTCTAGGCTATCCATATCTAATCCTCCTTCTAACCTTCTCCAATAGAATCAGTATCACAATTCTGAACTAAACCAAGATGATTCATAATAACGATTCCTTCTAGAATAGAGATCACTATGGCTTCAAATGTGACAAGACAAATAGTCAATATCGATTCCTTTGATTTAAATATAGGATTCTCTCTTAATTGCATTATTTTTATGAATAAAGTAAAAAATAAAAGAAAGAAAGAGATCTACTCGTACAACTTTTTTATTTTTATTATTCATTTCTCTTCTTGTACTCATGTTAAAGTGGCTATGATACATATACACCATTTTGACACATGCACAACTTGTATATAATTAACAATTTTGAGGCGCAGTTTGTATAACGTGCTTTCGTCAAAATAGAAAGAGTCTTTTAGATCTATATTTATATAAAAGTAGTAGTAGTAGCAGCAGTAGTAGTAGTAATAGCAGTAGTGGAAGCAAAAGAAAGATAATTCATACTCGATTGTATATCGTTTTTTTTTTCTTTAGCTTTATATAAAATTCGAGTCATACTTGTTGACTCCTATTTATTTGTATGAGTAAATTGGCTTAGTAAAAGGGGTATAGGAACTTTCTCCTCCTCCTTCTATTACTATATAATTTTTTGTAGTACAATCTAATATCATACAAACACTGTTGTAAATTCGTTCATATTTCATAATTGGAAATAATTCTACTACGCTATTACAAGGAATAAAATTACGTAATAACAAAGTTAAAAAAAAAATTCCATTGTTCTTTAGTGTACTGGAGGCAAAGTAGGTAGGAGAAAAGGTAGGCTACTAATAATAATGGAGGTACTAATGCGGGAAAGTAATTTATTATCTAATCTGTTATTGTCCATAACAAGTAAGTTGAAAGAGTGACTAAGTTTTTTTTTTTTTTTTTTTTTTTTTTTTCATTATTATTTAAAGAAATATTAAAAGCTCGTTTAATGTTCTTTATTAGTTTTGTTTATTTAAACTATAACCTATCATGGATTTTGACAAGCCTATATTACAGCAAATTGAACAAATATCTCATAAGGCAATAGAGTATGTCTCTGATAGATCTAATTTGGAAAAAATAGGAAAAATAACTGCTATTTCAATAGCAACTTATGTGATTGCTGATGTAAGAAAAAATCATCCCCCCTTTCTACACAAAAATATCGAAACTTATTCTATTTGAACATTAGAAACTATATGTGGCATTTTTCGGTCCACTGAGTAGAGTTCCTGGACCTTTTTATACACGATTTTTATATATGCCAAAGTTTTTATATGATAGACCCAGTGGAACATTGTAAAGTAGTTGAATTATACAAAGATATAGACTAATGATAAATTCCTTTTTATTATTATTAGATATAAAACATTTTTATCCCTTCATGATAAATATGGTGATATGGTTCGTATTGGCCCCAACACAATCAGTATTGCAAATAAAGACTTACTTAAACAAGTTCTTGTTTCTGATGATCTTCCTAAAGGTCCAATTTATAAAATCCTTGAAGGTAATAACTTGACTTGAATAAAATTTAAATAAATAAACCTTTTTTTTTTTGATTAGGCAATGGAAAGCATTCACTCTTTAGCTCAACAGATCCAGTTTGGCATAAGCAAAGAGTAAAGCGTATTTATTTATTTATTAATTTATTAACTTTGACATTAAAACTTTTTTGATATTAGAGAAAGATTGTGTCTCCTGCATTTTCAATTAGATATCTCAACTCCCTTGAACCCTTTATGATCTCTGTGACACATTCTTTGATTAATAGAATAAATGAAGAAATTGATAAAGAACATGACAAAGATAACTATGGAATAATCGATATTTGGAGCTTAGTTCAATGTCTTGCCCTTGATGTGATTGGTGAAACTGCCTTTGGTGAATCCTTTAATATGATTGAAAACAATAGTCATTTTGTTCCTGCTGCTATAGTTGAAGAAATGAAATTAAGCGCTATTTCAGTTATGTATCCTCTTCTTTCTAAACTCTTTTTAAAAAAGTCAAGAATGATAAATCCAAAACTGACCGAGGTATTAAAAAAAAAAAAAAAAAAAAAGATTTTATTCTATTTTATTTTATTTTATTTTATTTTATTTTGGAATTACACATGTAATTATTAACTTACTATTATAAAATCTAGTTTTTAACAGGTATTATTAATCATCGCTTAAATAGTGATAAAGAGGGACGTAAGGATATCCTTCAATTCCTTATCAATTCTCAACAAGCAGAGAATGAAAATGATAGATTGACCCCTGATGCTATTATGGCAGAAACAGTTTTGTTTTTAATCGCTGGCTCAGAAACGACTAGTAATTCAATTGGTTTTGCCATCATTGAGCTTTTACAAAATCCTAATAAATTAAAAAAACTATATAAAGAAATTGATAGCATTGAAATGGAAGAAGGTCAAGTCGTTTTCTATCATGAACAACTTAAACATCTTCCTTATTTAAATGCTGTCATTAATGAAACTTTACGTTTGGATGCTGTTGCTGCTGGTTCACTTCCTCGAATTACACATAAACCTACAGTATTAGGTCATTTGATTTTACCTAAAGACGTAAGTATAAACGATATAAGAACGATGAAAAAAAAAAAGAAAAAGAAAAAGAAAGAAAGAAAGAAAGAAAGAATAATTGATTGATTATATATCAAAGATCATTGTCCTCTGTAATCTGTATCATGTTCAAACAGATAATAAATATTGGCCAAATCCTTATGAATTTAAACCTGAAAGATGGATTGAAAAAGACCAGATAGAATTAAATGATTTAGAAGCCTTTTTCCCTTTCAGCGCAGGGTAAGTCATCTCTTTTTTCTCTCTCTTTAGAATCTTTATTTTATTAAAAAAAAATCCCCTTTTATATATATATATACATAAATAGATCAAGGAATTGTATTGGTAAAAACTTTGCCCTTCAAGAAATGCGTATGGCTTTAGCCAGTTTATTGAAATATTTTGAAATTGCACCCATTGAACAAGAGATAAAAGATGCACAAGATCGTCGTTCGTTTGTTACTCTCACAGTAGCAAAAAATAGTGTTCGTATTAAAATTAAGCGAAGAGATGAAATAATGAAGCAGCAGAACGACAACAAAGTCCATTTAAAATAATATAGTTTAATATCCCCTTTATTTTATTTATCTTTTTATTTTAATCTGTCAACCGACCTGTATGCATCTTTTTAAAATTGATATATTAAAAACTTGCAGAGTCAAATGCTCAGATACATAAATAAATAAATAAAAAATAATAATTTATTATTTCCCTTTTTTTTTCTTTATATCATTTCAAAAAAAAAAAACACACACACACACACACACAAGCCAAAAACAAGGATTATACAATATGAGCCATTTGTCATCTTTTAATCAACTCAATTGGATTTATAAATACTACTTCAAACTTGGTTTAACAAATGCAAATTATTTTAAAAAATCAGTTAAATGGTTTATTATCTCAGGTCTTCTTTATACTACAAGTCGTGTAAGAAAAAAAAAAAAAGAAAGAAAGAAAGAAAAAATCAGGGCAAACTTATCTTTCTCTCTCTCTCTCTCTTTCATTATATACACAGAGAATATATAATGCATACTTTGGACCATTAAGTGGTATTCCAGGACACTTTGTTTGCAAATTTATAGATCTTCCAAGTCTTTTATTTGATATACCTACTGGAACAGTGTACTCTTTTTTTTTCCCTTTTGATATAGAATAAAGTAGTATCTAATCCTCTTTTGTTTCCCTCTTTTATATGATTAGATTCAAAAGTTTAAAAAAGATGCATGATCAATATGGTTCAGTTATACGTGTAGGTCCTAAAGCGATTTCCATTGGTGATAAAGACTTGATTAAATCAGTATTAGTCCATCACGATCTTCCAAAATCACCTATCTATAATATATTAAAGAGTAAGTTAAATATATATATATATATACACACACACACACATATATATATATATATATGTATATATAATTGATTCCTCTATGTGTCATTATTATAAACTCATCTTTTTTTTTAAAACTAACTTTTAGAACAAGGAGAATCTATGTTTAATACAACTAATAAGCAATTTCATAAAAATAGAGTAAAATTATTAAATAGAAAAAGAGATATTTTTTTCTTTATAATACTAATTATTCAATATTATATAGAGAAGATTAGTTTCACCTGCTTTTTCTATCAAGTATTTGAGCTCATTAGAGCCCTTCATGGCCTCTGTCATGAATACATTTATAAACAAAATAAATCAAGAAATAGACGAGTCAACTAACGAAGAAGGATATGCAGTGATTGATATTTGGTGTCTGTTACAACATGTAGCCTTTGATATCATAGGTGAAACTGCGTTTGGTCAAACGTTTCACATGATTGAAAATAAGGGTGATCATTGTGTTATGAAATATATGCTATTAAGATTCAAATTAGCTGCGTATGTTATCTCTTATATGTCCATTGCTAAATTTCTTTTCTCGGGGCGTATTCCTAAAAAAGTGCTTGATGTAACGATTTTTACTATTTTATTTATTTATGTATGTATGTAATTATTTAACAAGAAAACTAATCATTATATATATATGTACGTTTAGTTTTTGAATAATATCTATACAAGTCGGAAAGAAGAGAATAATAATACTAATACTAAAAGAAAAGATATTTTACAAGCTTTAATTGATACACAAGATGCTACACAGCCTGAAGATCGTTTATCCCCTGAGGCCATTCTTATTGAGACTTACTTGTTCCTTGCCGCTGGATCTGAAACAACAAGTAATACAGTTGGATTTGCAATTATTGAATTACTTCGTCATCCCAGTAAATTGAAAAAATTATATCAAGAGATAGATACCGTACCTTTTAAAGATGGAAGTCACCACTTATTATGTCATGATACCTTAAAGAAACTTCCTTATCTAAATGGAGTTATCAACGAAACTTTACGTTTAAATCCTGTAAGTGCTGTGGGTTTTCCTCGATATACAGATCAAGATATTTTACTTGGAGAACATTTGTTCATTCCAAAAGAGGTAAAAAAAAAAAAGAAAATAATTGTTATCCAAGAAAGATACTTATAACATGTATACACACACACATATATACATATATATGTAATTTTCTCTTATAGACTACTGTTGTTTGTAATGGCTATTATGCTCAATTAAATGACAAGTATTGGCCAAATGCTTCTCAATTTTTACCAGAGAGATGGATTCCCGGTGAAAAAGAATTTAAAGAGTCCAAACATGTGGATGCATTTTTTCCTTTTAGTTCAGGGTGAGTCTATATATATATATATATATATATATATAAAGGTTGTCTATTTTGTCATATATTTATTTATAAATATAGATCAAGAAATTGTATCGGCAAAAATTTTGCTTATCAAGAAATGCGTATTATTATTGCTTCTATCCTTAAAAATTATGAAATTGTACCTATTAAGGATGAAATGCAACATGCAACTCATCTTCGACAATATCTTACTCTTTGTATAGCTAAACGTAGTTTTAAGATTAAAATAATAAAGCGTGTCTAAAAAAAAAAAAAAAAAAAAAAAAAAAAAAAAAAAAAAAAAAAAAAAAAGTGAATACGATGGTAGTGGCTGATGACGGTCTTTTAAAATGAAAGCTGTTGCTATGGTTAACAAAAAAAAAAAAAAAAAAAAAAAAGGCGCGAAACTATTACAGTACACAAAATTTACAAACAAATAAATAAATATTTTTTTTTTCTCTCTCAATCATCTTTTATTAATTGTCAAAAGATACCATTAATACAATGTCAAATATTAAAATGGTATGTTAAACTTGTTTATATTAATACTACACTATTCACCTACTATAAAATATAATATATGCATATATAGTTGGATAAGAAGGAAGAGACAGACGGTGATGTCGAAGTTACCTGGGTCGATCAAGAACGAATTAATGAATTCAGTAGATACAATGCTAAAATTGATGATCTCGAGGAGCAATATGAAAAACTCAAGGTCTGTTATTACTTTATATGATAAAAAACAAACCAACAAAAACTAAACTTTTTATTTTATAAATAGCAAGAAAAGGAATATTTAGATGATGTAGCGATGGAACTTGAATTAGTAGATGAAGATGAAGCAGTACGATATAAAGTGGGTGATGCTTTTATTCATGTTAGTGCATCTGAAGCTATAGAAAAAGTTGAAAAGGATTCTGAAAAGTTAGGCTCAGCAATTGAAGATGTTAAACAACAAATTGATATTGTTCATGAAAAGATGGAAGGTTTAAAAAAGGATTTATATGCTAAATTCGGTAGTGCTATTAACTTGGAAAAAGATTAAAAGCAATTGTAATAGTAATAAAACCAAACAAAAAAAAAGGTCATTATTATTGATTTCTTTATTATTATCACGCAATATTGTCTATTTTTCACCCAACTTTCTTTCAAGTTTATCAAACTCTTGAAGAGCAATGGCTTCGTTTTCATCAATGATTTGTTCAACACCTTGTACCTCAGGGATATAATGCATCAACATATTTTCAATACCATTTTTAAGAGTAATAATAGAACTGTCACAGCCTCTACAACTTCCTTTTAATTTGAGCTTAACGATACCATTTTCAAATCCACAATATTCAATATCACCTCCATCCTCTTGTATTGAGGGTCGAATTCGGGTATCAAGTAACTCTTTAATCATCTGAACTTCCTCAGGATCATCAGGAAGAATAGTTGTATCATTAGCAGCTAAATCCTCAGAATCATATACAATAGGTTGACCAGATGCAAAATGATCCATAATAGCCGCATAGATATCAGGTTTCATCAATTGCCATTCAGCAGTTTCTTCCTTTGAGATGGTAATAAAATCGGGTCCAAAAAACACTCCTGAGATACCATCAATTTGAAATAATTGTTTAGCAAGTGGCGATTTCATGGATGAACGAACGTCTAAAAATTCTGCAGAGCCACTTCCTAAGACAGGTACACCGGGGATAAATTTAAGTGAATCATTGTTGGGGGTTTGCTCAGTCTGAATGAACATTGAACGAACTAAACACGCAAAAGCAAACACATACAGTCAATATAAATCATTATGTATGTATGTATGTATGTATCATTTCTCTTTTAATTAATACCTTGTTGACGTCCTAACAATGATCCAATATTTTGATAATGTGTACGATTAGCCCAAATGTTATTTTTTGTCATTATTGTTCTTTTCGTAGCATGACTAAATTGAGGAATAAGTGTAGGGCGTAAAGTAGTTATCCTTCTAAATTGAGTAAATAGAATACGAGAAGTCATAATGTTATAATTATGTATAAATACAAGAAAAGGATTAAAGTATTACTAATATAAAGATGGCTTTTTTTTTATGTATAAGATTATCATGGGCTCGCTGATGAATATACAAGTCACATGGTGAAATGTTAAGCTTTATTTTTTATTTTTTTATTTTTTTTTTTTTTTTCAATTACTGCGGGGAAACAATACGAATTAAACTCAATGTGTGTTAAAATGCAGCATAGATTATATTCTAACATGATAAATGCAAGGATACTACTGCTGTTAGCAATCATATTTTTCTATATAAAATCAATTTAACTATATTTTTTCCTTTTTTTTTCTTCTTCTTCTTGATAGATACACATACCCATATAATACATATATTCACAAAGAGAAAAGGCCTTATGGAATTTATACGTGATATTTGTTTAAAAGTAACCTTTATATATACACATATATATATGCATGTATATAAAAAAGTTTCTAATTGTTATTATCCCAAAGAAGAACAGGTTCTTTACTATCAAAGCTGCCGTAATATATTTTGTTATATTGTACATGATTCGTAATCGAATCCTTAAACCACCTAAATCTCTTCGTCATATTCCCTATCAAGGCTATTTTGATTTATTCAAATTAATTATTGGAAAGGAGTCGTATTGGGATTACACTCATAGACTCGTACTTCCACTCATAAATTCTAAACAAAGCAATGGCATCTATCTTGTAAAAAATAAATAAAACTATTATATATACAAAATATATATATATATATATATATATCATGCTTATTGTTATTATTAGGAACCTGGTACGAGTGGTTGGGAAGTTCATATTGCAAATCCTCAGGTTGCTAAACAAATCTTACAGAAACATGGTATAATAACAGGATGGTAGTATTGATAATACATCTTAAAATTTTATTTCTTTTTTTTTCTTGTATGCAGAAATGTTTCCCAAAGTAAACTTTAAAAATATCCTAAAGGATACTCTTGCTGGTAAATTTTCAGCAGGATCTAATATGGTTTTTCTTAACGGCCATGAATGGAAGTCTCAAAGGGCAATTGTGAATCCTGCTTTCCATCGATCAATGCCTGTTCGATTATTTGGGGAGTTGGCTTGTAAATTGATTCGCGTGATGGAAACGATGGATGAAACTGTAACAGACTTTACAGACTTGATGGAAAGATTAACTTTGGATGCTATTGGAAGAGCTGGTTTTGGTATATAATAATAATAATATGCGTATTTGTAGTAGTTTTAATATTTGAATATATATATATATATTACCGGCTAGGATTTGATTTTCATTCTATTGAAGACAGAGATAATAAATGGACACATATTTACAAGGATATCAGTGTAGGTATGCAAGATCCTCTCTATCTTCTCTTTCCCAAATTAGAAACGGATAAAATAGTTTGGTTAATTCCTAAAAGATGGGCACTTCATCGTAAAATGGATGATTTTTTAAAGATGCTAGATGAAATTATTATTGCTAAAAGAAATAGTTTAAAAGAGAATAAAGTATATAATACTGATCTTGAAGAAAATGAAAAAGATCTTTTAACTTTAATGCTTGAAGATGAATCCAACACTCAAGGTACCTATACAAACAAAGAATTAAAGGTTAGACTCTATAATAGAATGATCATTACGTTTCTTACTTCTCTCTCTCTAGAATAATCTTTGTTTGTTCTTTTTGGCAGGGCATGATACAACTGCAAATGCTCTTTCATTTGCTGTTTATTTTTTAGCAAAGCATCCAGTATGTTATATAAATAAGCTCTTTATTTCTTTCTTTATTTATTTGTTTTATGTAGGATATTCAACAAAAAGCCAGAGAAGAAGCAATTAGAGTTTTGGGAAATGAACCTAAAGATATCACGCCTTTTCTTGAACAAATAAAAAGACTAGTTTATCTCAATCAAGTGATTAAAGAGGTAATTTTAAATAGACTGTGATATATATAATTCAATTATTATTGATTATGTACAGACTTTACGTATATTTGGCCCAGTAGTTCAAACTATTCCTAGAGTCGCTCATGAAGATATTGTATTTTTAGATACTTTTATACCAAAGGGAACACCAATTGTAGTAGATATTTTTAACATTCAGCATTGTGAAAAATTTTGGAAAAATGCTGAAGAATTCAACCCTGATCGATTTGCTGACCCAGTAGCTCATTCAACAACTGCTATGGATGAAGGTTTTATTCACTATTTGCCCTTTGGCTATGGTGCAAGACAATGTCTCGGAATAAAATTTAGTTTAAATGAACAACTAGTTTTGTTATCTATGCTATGTATGTATCAATCTATCTATCTATCTATATATTATAATATAAACCTGATTTCGTTTTTTTTTTCTATATTACAGTAAGAAAATTTACCTGGAAAATACCTGAAAATTCAATTCACAAAGATAAATTGAATACTGCTGGTTCTTTCTTTATTGGCCCTCATATACTGGATATGGTTTTTAAGAAGAGATACTAACGTCATTTATTTCTACAGCTTGCTTACTTATGGTTACTATTATATACGTTCTCATTAAACACACACACACACACACACACACACACACACACACACACACACACATACATACATTACTTTATTTGATTAATATGAGACGTCACTAATAAAGGATGTCTCTCTTTTTGTTGTTGTTGTTGTTGTTGTTGTTGCTCTCATTGGGGAGAGGGAAGTTTTGTTTTTTTATAATATTTTATTTTATTCAATACTAGGATACAAATCAGTTCGACGGTGAGTCATAACAGGCATCTCGGCTCGAATCTTTTTCATATAGTCCAAATCAATATTGGCTATTGCTATTGATGGTTGAGTATTCTCGGGACATTCAGCAAGTACTTTTCCCCAAGGGTCTACAATCTATCATGAATTATTATTAAATGGATGACTTGAAAGGTAATCGTTTGTTATGAATGATATTTACCATAGCATGACCATAGCTTGCTCTTTTCTCATTATGTTGGCCTATTTGTGCTGCAGCTATAACATAAGTTTGAGTTTCAATTGCTCTTGCCCTTAATAAAGTCTCTGTTACAGTCGTGTTAGTTAGTTTGAATAAGCCCCAACTCTCTTTGTCGAATTTAATATTTACCCCAATGAGCCATGCCGGTTTTAATTGTAAAGGCACTTGGGAAAGCAAGTATCTCAGCACCCCTTTTCCTCAAGGCAATAGATGCTTCAGGGAATCGTACATCATAACAAGTTTGTAATCCTAATTTCCCAATGGGGGTTAATATAGGATGACCCAACTCCTGACCCTCCATTGTACTATCACTTTCCATAAGCCTTGGTCCATTTTCAATATCCACATTGAATAGGTGAATTTTTCGGTAGACAGTAATAAGCTCCCCTCGGTTGTCGATGACAAGATGACTGTTGTAAATCTTATTGTTGGTTGACGATACTAATTCATGAACACCGACGGAGACCCAAATATTGGCTTGTTGAGCGGCTTCTTTTAAAGAAAGAACAAATTCGGATTTCTCAATAGATGTTGTTAATTGAAGCGTTTCTTGTTTCGTAAAAGAGATGAAGTCTGATGCTTCAGGAAGAAAAATCATCTAAATCAAAGTAACAGAAAGAGAGAAGTCGTTATATAAGCAAAGCATTATATATGTATATATATAAATATCTTTCTTTTTTTTACTTTGGCACCTAGACGTGCTGCTTGAAGAATAAGATTTCGACATGCAAGTCTATTTGAATGAATAATTGATGTTGCGCAGAATTGACCAACAGCAGCAATAGTGTTCATATCTGTATATATTTTTATATTTATATAGAAAAAAAAATGGCAAGATACAAAACTGGTATGTCCCTGATAAATTTAATTATCAGTTAAAAACACACACACACACAAAAAAAAATAAAAATAAAAATCATAGTAATAATAATAACGATAATAATAAATAGGGATCTTCATCAAAATTCCTTTAAACGATTCATAAATTGTTTTCCTATTCATTATAGACAACATGCATTTTTATAACTAATGAATTATTAACCTCGGATTATTTTGTTTATAAAATAAAGGGGTTTTATTTTCTTTCTTTAATGTCTAAATACTGTTCGACTAAATACAACATTTGCAAATAACTCTTCTCTTCTATTTTGACATTAAGCAAAGTGTTACATCTGCTAACTCATAGTATATGAATATCTATAAATGTATACATACATACATGTATATTCCAATAATACACATTATTGTATAATCACGTGTAACCATTCGTTGAAGGTATAACCTATTATACATAAAGTCTTTTTTATTATTATTATTATTCTTTTCCCTTTTTTTTTCTTTCAATTATTTATATTAACAAAAAAAAATGACAAAATCAACGATTATGAAACGAATTATTACTTTATTTAAGAAAACGCATGAAAAAAAAGAAAAAACAGCCTATCCCTCAGATTTGGAAAATACATACAAAATTACAAAAAGACTTTAGGGGTAGGTTCATTTGCTGTTGTCAAGGAATGTATTCATCGTTCTACCAATGAGCGTTTTGCCCTCAAGATCATTTTAAAAAAGGCAATTGCAGGTAATAAATCTTCTTTTGTTTTTATTTTTTTTTTTTTTTTTAAAAAAATCTCATTATATTAGGGAAGGAACATATGCTTAGTAGTGAGCTAGGTAAATGCGATGTGTATATGTATATAAGTTGATTTGATAAAGATGTGATATTTATCATATTTGTATCAGATATTTTGAAACAAGTGAGACATCCACATATTGTATCAATGCATGATTTATATGAATCCAAAGATGCTGTCTACATCGTCACGGATTTAGCAAGTGGAGGAGAGTTATTTCAACAATTATTAAAAAAAGGTAGCTATACTGAAAAGGATGCATCTAACTTGACAAGACAAATGCTAGAAGGTTTACACTATTTACATGAAAGAGATGTATGTAAGTAAAAAGAAAGAAAGAAAGAAAGAAAGAAAGAAAGAAAAAAAAGGGTCAATTATCTAGAGAAAAAGATATAAATACATACATACTCATTACATAATAGATTGTTCATCGAGATATGAAGCCAGAAAATGTATGTAATATAATGCTTATACATGTTGGTAAACTCACTTTTCTTTTCTTTTTTTTTCACAGTTATTATTCCAAACAGCTGAAGATAATGCAAATTTGATGATCACTGATTTTGGTCTATCTAAAATACTTAAAGGACAAGATGATATTCTAACAACTGCTTGCGGTACACCAGGATATGTTGCTCCTGAGGTATTATTGCAAACTGGGCATAATAAACCTGTAGACTTATGGAGTGTGGGTGTTATATTGGTAATTATATAAATATATAATATTATTTAATTATATTATGTGCTGTATAGTAAATAACTAACTCAATGACATAGTTTACTTTATTAAGTGGATATACTCCATTTTGGGGAGAAGGTATATAGTATATAATAATTTAGAATATAGAGTACAAATTTGATTTTTCTTTCTATATACACATAAAGATCAAGCAAGCTTATTTGAATCTATTATGTCCGGAAAATATGATTATGATGAAGAATATTGGTCTGATATTTCTGATTCAGGTACGTTATATATACATATATACATATATACACAAGGAAGCTAACACAACATTAGCAAAAAACTTGATAGATCGACTTTTGGCATTTGATCCCAACAAGCGAATTACAGCTGAAGAAGCGCTATTACATCCTTGGATTACTGGGTCTAAAGAAGCAGGTCCACGGGCAAATACTAACTTGGTGCCTACTGTTAGGAAAGGTTATAGTAGTAGAAGTAGTTTTACTGCTGTATTACTTTTAAATAAATTAAAAGTATCCGAAGAAGACATGTCAAGTAGTGATGAAGAAAAAGTAAAGAAAATTGAGAAAGTAAAGGAATTAAATATTCCTTTTTAAGCACTTTCGCCCTAAAATTTATACTTGAAATAAAGCAATTGATATTATATTCTTTTAGAAAGCCTCAGTTTTGAGAATACTATGTGATGTATTTACACTTTATTCGATTATATACACTTTTTTTTCTTTTTTTTTTTTTTTTTTTTTTTTTTTTAGTAGATTCCATTGCTGTTCAGCAAATTACTTTACAAAAGTAAACCATCTTTGACTACACGACATTGGATGCTAGAATCAGACTAAGTAGGGAGTATTTCTTTTTTTTTTTTTTCTTTAAATAAAAATCCTCAGATGGGTGCTGTAAGAAACCTACATAATTGTATATAGAAAGCAATAATTACATAAAGCAAACCCAAGATTTGCCAGTTTTCCTTAAATTAGAGTCTACATTATCTAATTCTACAATGTCAAAGTCTTGATGATAATCTGTTGAGTTCTTTAAATCAAAATCCCAACAATAGAGTCTTTCTTCATAATGATTCTGTGCACGAACTTCAATAGAAGCAAATACTTTTGAAAAGTCAGGGGTTAATCTTATATCTGTAATTGTATAGTTTTGGTATGGATTCTCTAGAGTAGGAAGAAGTTTATAAGCAATCTTCCCCGTTTGTAAATCCCACACATTAATGCAAGCACTTGTTTGAGGTATCGTCATGATTAGATGATGGTGGTTATCTTCTTCAACTGTGTTGATAGATTTATAATATTGGTATAACTGATAGGGTGTCATGTGTGCAACTGCTGGTATCTCCTTTATTTTGTTATCATCCAGTTTTGCTATATAACCCATTGCTGATTTTCTTTGGTTATTACTATGATGATTACGTTGAAGCACTATATTTTGATCGGATGGCACTAATTTAACTGCATTTATTTTGTTGTTAGCGACTTTACCCTTTGCAAGCAGGAAAAAGGGAGTAAGACAGGGTCGAGTAAAAGCTGAGATGTCCTCTGTAATCCATTCACTATCTTGCTGCTGTTGTAATGTTTCTTCCTGTAATTCATAGACAAGTGATCCAGTCAATAATGAAAATATAAGTATCGGTCCAGATGCATCAGGAGCACAAGCTATTAGATGATCATTCACTTCAATTTCCCCTACACCCTGATACCAATCATTTCTTCCAGACAAATAGGATGAAATATTAATCATGCCTCGTCGTGTGGGTCGATGATGAGTTGTCCATTCTGTACAGTTGTCGTCATTGCATTTATCTAAATCCCATACACAAATAACATTATCTGATCCGCCACTTACGACAACTAGTATTGTTTGTTTATTATCAAATAAAAAAAGTGAAGTTTGTTTTGTTAATAACGGTAAAAAAAATAAAATAAAATAAAATAAAATAGATAGGCTTACCATCATTATTCATACTAATGCATAATGTACGTCCACGATGACCATGCCATATTCTTACTAAGGATTTAGTTGATAAATCCCAGATAGCAACTGTACCATCGAGCCCTCCTGTAGCTAACCATTTTGAAGAAGGATGAGTGTAATGACAAACAATCGAATGTACGTTTATCGCTTCTGTCCAATTATTAGGTATACTAGTAGTAGTAGTAGCCTCAAAAAAGAATCTCTCTTTTGTTCTCGGAGATTGAATTATAAGACTTTGAGATCCAGTCATAGGATGATGATAATTTGGATTTGATCGTATTATTTGAGCATGAGGAGAAACGGTTAAGTTTGTAAACATACCTTGTTCTTGTGGTGTACCAATAACTGTACAACAAGAGACTAATTTATTATTTATGCTACTACTACTATTGGTTACAACAGAAGGATAGAATCCTTTAGCATAGCCATTATACCAATTCTTCGTAATCCTATACATATCTTGCCAGCTTCGTTGATTTTTGTTACATATCCCTTTATTAGAAGAAGGTATTGGAAACTGTAGAGACCAAAATCGTCGAGTGTTGAATTTTTCAAAATCTCGGTGACAAACATTAGGCCATATGACATCATCGTAATGTAAAATAACTCGAAGCCAATGTCGACATACTTGTTTACAAGAATTCAAGGTGATACCATCCAAGTAGCTAAATATACATAATAACAATTCTGTCGGAAACAGTCTATTATTATCTTGCTGATTACATTCACATGAAAAATTCTTCATTGTAGAATAAAAAAAAAAATAAAATAAAATAAAATAAAATGAAAATTTTTAATTTAGAAAAAAAAAAAAAATATCCTAAGAGGTTGTTGGTAAATAATCCAACAACGCAAATTTAAATCCAAGCGATTACTGAGACAACTGCAATACGAAAGGATAACGACTACTCCCTATTTGCTTTTATTTTTAACCAATTTTTTTACATCTAAGAAAAAAAGAAAAAAAAAAAAATTAGAACCCCTATTATTGATACAAATGTTAAAATTGACTTAGACCAATCCAAGAAAAAAAAAAATCTTGATTACAGTCAAAGAAACTAGGTTGGGTCAATAAAAAAATTCTTTGACCATTTCCAAAATAAATAGGGACACCAATATGAGAATGGGGCATTGGCACGAAAATAGTACACAGAAGGAAATATGGGACACCAGTGTGAAAATGGGACACATAAGAGAATATGGGACTATACTGAACAAATTTAAAGATTTTTTTTTTGCTTTGATTTAAGGGGTTGTAACCCTAAAAAACAGCTACCCTCTATAGCGCTCGTATCATTCTAGTAATTCATGATCTAAGAGTCAAAGACAAAATTCATTTGTGTATAACTTTTTACTTAACCAACAAGGCCTTTATTGTTTAAATGATAGCTGAAGTAATTCTACTCAGTTATAAAAATGAATTTAAATAATCAAAAGCTATATTCGAGATAAATAGTCGACAAGATCATACATAATTGGCAGAAGGGGAACAGACCTACGATGAGTAAGGTTAGAGAGATATTTTTGATTATTTTTTAAATAATCCATTTCCCCTCTGTAATATTAGCCAATCACTAGTCTTGAGCCCACTTGGTCATGAAAATACTGAATGCAATATATGTATATGCATATTATCATCATTGCTTTCTCTCTTTCATGATAACTCATTAAAATAAAAGTTTGTTCAAAGTAAGACTAAATTTGTGATGATCATTAAGCTTAAGGAGAGAATTATGAGAGCATAACATAATGGATGAACCATTTCTTATGTCATATTTATTTATTGTTTATTATATTTTCTTTCGGGACAACATACACTTTTGCCACCATTAGCAATTAAATCTTTACAGCATTTTTTTAAATTGTCTAATTCCTTTGTACACTTTGATTCTTGATAGTTGTTTTTTGTCAAACAGTCTTGAATGGCACAAGCTAATTATTAATGTTAATAACTTCAACACCATGTTTTAATAATATAAGTCATACCAAATTTTTGACAAGGAGGGATCTATTTTGGAGACATTTAGAACCCCCCTTTTTTTTATTACAAAGAATAAGTCATTATTACCTCTGATTGTGATGTTGGCATTTGTAAAGACAAATATTCTAGATTATAATATATCTATTTCTTTTTATTTATTTTTATTTTTTAATTTTTTTTTTAAAAAAAAAAATATAAATATATATTAAAGTTAATGTAGCAAGGATATTGTATGCTATTATTTTTCAACTTTGGTATAATGCTGCTGTTCATTGTAGTAGTAGGAGGAGGAGGGCCAATAATGAACAGCTTTGCACGAGGGCAGCCAATGACAAGTGACTTTTTTTCTATTTTCCCCAATTATTAGTCTTTCATTTATGCAAAATAATAGTAATGTTAATAATACATGAAGGCAAAAAAAAAAATTGTGGAATTATCTCATTTAGTATTATTAGAAGCTTCTTCCTCTTTCATAAACAGTGCTTTCTTCTTTGCCTAATTTATTTTATTAGGGAACTCTTTCAACAACAACAACAATCCTTTCAGGGCTGCAATTTCTTTCCTTGTGACTGTCATGTTAATATAGTATTTCTACAATGGAAATTAGACGAAAGATAATTAGTTTTCAGACGAATAGAGATATATGTTTAGACCTTTTTCACCTACTAACATTCAATAATGTAGTATATTCTAATTGATAATTGCCAAATAATAATTTCTGGTCCTGTACGCCGAGAGACAGTGGATGCAGGTGGATCTCTGAGACTGAATTTATTTGAAGAAAGCTTGAAGGCTTAGCTTGGAGGGCAAGTGGGTGTGCCTAATTTTATAATCATAAGCCAAATAATCCTTTATAAACATTTTGCTTACAACACAACTGGTGATAGCCTCAAGTGTTTGAACCATAAGTGAAGGTCGAAAGAAAAAATGACAACCTCCGCTCGGCAGGATACCACACCACACCCACCACCAGTAATAAAATAAATGTTATCCGTATAATCACCTTTTTTTTAAAAAAAAATCTTAGGTAAATTGTTTTTCTTTCACTTTATTACTCTATTGAATATGTCTAATGAATATCGGTCTGGCATTATTAAAATAAAAAAAGAAACACAATAATCGACTGGTATTTAATGAAGGCCAGAACTTAATAAAAAATGTATATATATAAAGTTTTTACTAACTGATATTACAGCAAACGCGAAGTGTACTGACTGTGAAGAAGTAGGACATTTCAATAAAAACTACTACAGGTGCAAGTTTTACAAAGAAGTAGCCGTTGATGATGGTACGGCAATTTAATATTATACTATTTATATATAACAATGATCACGTATAGTTGGAACTTCAAACAAGAAAAGAAAGCAAAGCGAAAGTTTGAAGCAAGCTAAACAAACAGCAAAACGACAAAAGACCACAAATGATAATGTGACTAATCTTCATTGTAAGAAATGCTGTGGTGATAATTATTCTACAGCAAGATCTCCCTTATGCCCATACAATATAACACCTGAAGACAGTAAGATTGTTTTATGATGTTTTCAATTTTGGGAAACTGCGATACAAAGGGTGAGTATAGATAGAGATTGTATCAAATCAGGCTTATGTATTTCTTACTTTTATATTTGTAGCATTGCTGAATTAACACCAGATGGAAACTACCAGATCCTTTTTGGAAATTTGATACGGACTGATGGGTTTGTTGTGGATTTTTTGTTTCACAAAAGATGTCAAGCCAGTTACGGTCCTTATTTGCAACGCTTTGAGTTGACTCTTCGTGACTTCACTTTACCAGAAGTAACAAAGGATTATCATCCAATTTTTGTTGACCCTGGGAGAAAGTCTGTATTCACTGCTGTGAGTGGTTTAAACGAGTCTAGGCACCCAATAATCCGCTGCAGTACTAAAGAGTATTATCATCTTACTAGTTCGACTTTTTTTTTCTGCCCAGCAGCAATTTTTGAAAAGTCAAAACGGAATAGAGGATACTGAATCAAGAGTTCCCACAACCAAGACATCAAACCTGGAGCGTTTTTTAGACTATGTTCAATATCTGTTTGACAACATAAATACTTTATTCAACTTTTACAATTCCAGTACTGCAAAAAAAAAAAACGCTTCCAACTTTATCAAGAAAGGCAAAAAGCGCAAGAAACTATGGTCAATATGCTTATAAACGGCGACACCAAATATAATCGAAGTAGGAGAAACAAGAAGAGGCGGAAAAAGAAGAAGCGAAAGAAGAGACCAAATAAGAACGATGCTATCAAGTATAAATATTTTCTACTTGAATATATTCAAACAGTTATTAATTCAATTTTTTTTTCTTTAGAGAAAAACCGAACAAATGGAGGCCCATCAAATACAAAGAAGACAAGACGAAGGTTCCTCTGATAGTATTTGGAAGTGAAATATTTAATAAGGACACCAATAAGATCAGGACGCTCAGATGTGGGGTGACGGGCATTTTATGGCGCGCGCTGAAAAGGCGAGAAGCGGCTGGACAACTTATCACAATCATAATTGACGAGTTCCGAACATCCAAAGTATGCAGTAAATGCCAAACTCCAACCTTGATGCCAACCTCGCCTGTTACTAGATTGAGTATACTTGCCTGTTCTTCTTGTCATACTCTTTGGCAAAGAGACATTAATGCTTCCCGAAACATGCTGACAATCTCTATCAGCATTTGGCAGGGACGAGAAAGACCAACACCTTTTCAACGCACCACTACCACCACCACACCGCCACAGTCATCGCTGTAATAAACAAAGCTTACCTAGTGTATTTAGATGACCACATTCACTCAACTTTTGTTGTTTGGATGCTTTACAGGTAAGCGTCTGAAAATTATGTTTACTTTGTTTAAAAACTAGTCTCACTTCTTCTTTGTTTATCTAAAAAAGGTAAGCTAAACATCTGAAAGTTAATTTTCATTCGTCGAACATCGTCTGAATTTAAAGTAATTGTTCTAGGTTTACTATTCTTCATCTAGATATCATTGGTCAAAAATAGATATATAAAAATATATAAAAATATATCAATAGATGTATTATTATATCAGTACCCATTTAGAATAATAATATTAATAATAATAATAAATATGTAGGTAGTGAGTAGTAGTAGTAGATAATGATTATAACTATTGAAATTCATGGTACTAAAATTAGTCATTGATAAAAGACATAATAATAATACTACTACTATTCTTATCTAAACAAAAAGATCAATGCAGCCCCTGTCTGAAACACGACATTTATACATATAAATAAATAAATAAATAATGATAGTTTTATATTATTTAAAGAACAATTAAATACGACGGAAATAATAATAAACACCTAAAGCACCAGCAAGGACACCAACAGCAAGAGGAACAATGGAAGCAGGATTAGTTAAACAACCTTCACTCTTCTTGACCAACACGTTAGCATCATGAACAGTAGCAGGATTACAGTAGTATTTAGCGAAATAATCATTTTGAATCCAAAGTAATTTATTAAAAGCCAATAACGCCTTTGATTCTGTCTCACGATCTAATTGAAGAGATAATAAGCCACCTACTAAAGTGGACTCCACAAACCCCATCAAGGCATTAATATGAATATAATCCACGTTAATCTTGGATTTCTTTTCAGGCGTATCCGTATGAATCTTTGCAACCCAATCCAAATAACGTAAGAAACGTTCATCATAAGGACCTGAAAGAATCTTGTAAAGATATTTGCTAAGGAAATCCTTACGGAACTTAATCTGTGGGTGATCCAAGGTTAAATCTTCAAGTGAGGTAGGTGCCACACCTTCAAAGCCTTCATTCTTGGGTACAAAATGTTTTTTAGTTACGTCGAATTGAAAGAGTTTAGCATAAACAGCATCCACCACAACAGGCACCAAAGGACGTACTTTATCAGCCACTGCTTCAATAGCTTTAATATCCTCTTCACCTAATAATTTTATTATTAATAACAAGCCCCCTCTTTATATAAATATATAAAAGAATAAACCCAACTTACCAAAATCCATAAATTTAGCTACATAGTCAAAACGATATTGACTATCAGAGTATAATTGAGCAGATTCAATATGTTGCATTCTTTATTGTAAGTATTTATTTTTTAAAGGAAAAAAAAAAAAAAAAGAAAAAAAAACCCAGTACAATGAAAACTTTAATTTTTATATTAAAAAAAAAAAAAAAAAAAAAAGAAAAGACAATGGCATTATTACTAAAATAAATAAATCACCTCATTTCCAAATTAGGATTACAAACAAACTGTTATAAACAGTTCAGGGGTGTAACGAAATACAATAAGTTTATTCTAATAATTAAATTACAGCTTCAATTTAAGCCCGATGGCTTTTGAATAGTTGTGTCATAAGCACGAATAATTTTCGTTTGATCAGATTCATTTTGTGAGAAGGCATAACCACGATTACGTTTTAATCTTTGAATACGACGTACTTTGTTCACTGCTTGTCTAAATCGATCCATTCTTGGTCTGTAATCTGGTATATTATAAAATTGAATCTCTTGAATGTAATGGTATGGCATTGGCCAGAACACACGTTGACCACTAAAAATAGATCATGAATTTCATATAAACATACATTTCGTTACACTCATCATCATCCTATTACTTACTATTTCCAAATAAAGTCACGTAAATTACAAATGAAAGGAATGATGATCAAGAACAACCAAAAGTTAACATTCCCCCATAACATAGGTATAATACCAAAATATTCGGGCAAGGCGTTCACAGATATAGCGGGTAGAATATATGCAACAATAATCAAATAAAGGAACCAAATTGCCATGGATCCTATCATTGAAATGAATGTATAGTTTGTCCAATAACTTTTTTTTTTTTTTTTTTTTTTTTTTACAGAAAAATAAACCAATAAGCATTAGCGGAATACGGGGAGTATCGGTCTCATTACTTTACTTACTCTATAATTAATACTCCTTTCCATAAAATACATCCCAAGACTGCTGTAAAGACAGTTGTACCTGCCCACCATTGTCCACCTGTTAATCCATTCTTAAATACCCCTTCACTTCTAAATGCCGCTACACCTAAAAAGAACAAAAGCTAAACAATAAAGTTAGTTTACCCTCCCCCAATTCTTTTGACTCATCTATCCCGCATAAATATATAGTTACTATAGAGTGAAATGTAGCATTTCCGATCCAACCCCAGAATTTTTTTTGATTAAAAAAGACATTCTTTTGACCAAGTGAATACATTTGAGGGTATTGATAAAGCATACGTGCAGTGACAACCTTGTCAAAGATACCAATCACAAGGGGCGGTAAAAATGTGAAAATAACGTTGAAGAATGACATTGTCCATGATTCATAAAGTGTAGATCCAGAAAAACCATTATAAAAAGCATACTATACAAAGAAACATTCGTTATATATATGTATATATATGTATATGTATGTATATTTTCTCTGATATTTTACCCAGAATTGTGTTAAATAAAGTGCAATATTCTTATAAAAGTAATAAAAAATCATTTTACTTAATCGTTGATAAGCCCAAGCACCATGAACTAATAATAATTTTTTTAGAAATCGGAATTGAGAGATTGAGAAATCTGCACTTCGAGCTGCTTGAAGACCTTCTACACCACTAATACCAATACCAACATGGGCTGCTTGAATCATAGATACATCATTAGCTCCATCACCAATGGCTAAAAGAATAGATGTATCATATTTTTTAACACATTTTACAACAAGCGCTTTTTGAAGTGGTGAAACACGACAACAGATAACTGCTTTACAAAGCACGGCAAGATCAAAAAAGACTTTTTCAATGTCCTTTTCAAGTGCATAAGTTAATGCTTTACCATCGATAATAAATGCTAATGGCTATACATACACGCACACACGCACATATATATATATATATATATTTAAATTAACATACAAATAGATATAAATGTATATAAATATACATATATATATATATGTATATTTATATATATATATATATTTTTACCTCCATATCTTCTCCTCGTGTCATCACTTCATTAATATCTCGTAACTTCTTTTCTAAAAAGCTCTTTGTCTCCCAATGATTATCTTCGTTACAAATAATTAAACTCATATCTTCATTTAATAATTTACAACTATATCCAATATTGATGGCTGTCTCTTGTCGATCCCCCGTTAAAACCCAGATATTGATACCTGCTTCTTGAAGCGTATGAATGGTATCTGGAACCCCATCTTGAAGACGATCTTCAATAGCAGTGGCACCTAATAGAAATAAATCTTTTTCAATCATCTCTGCTGCTTTATCTAATTCCTCTTGTCGGTTTACTAAAGTAGTCGCTGCTGCATCTTGGATCTGCGACCATCGTGCATATTCTTCTTCTGATATCTCACGCATAGCAATACAAAGTGTACGGAGACCCTCTGATGCACATTCTTCTAATTGAATCAAAGTAGGTTCCACAAATGGATTTTCAGCTGCAAGACGTTCAAGGATGACGGTATCCGCACCTTTACAATAGAGTTTAATACGATTATCAGGACCACGTACGATAGCTGACATACGCTTTCGAGACGAGTTGAATTCACAGATGTTGAGAACTTGGAATTCTTGTTCTTGACCTCGAATCGTACAGGTAATTGAATGTGGACGACGTGTATGGAAACGATAGCCTAGTGATGCCGCACCTCGAACAAGGGCTCCCTCATCGGGGGATGATGCTTGATAGACGACTTCATCTGAACCCTCTTGCCGTTCTGGAATGACTGTATGACAGACAGCTAAAAGGGTTAAAAATTCATTAATGACATTAGCAGTAGAATGCGTATTTAAATGGGTTTGTAATTGATCAAATGTATATTGTAAAGTAGGATCATCAGATCCTTCGTGTGCTCTCTTATCCGCATCTACTTGATCAGCATAAAATAATCCACCAATCGAGACTTGTCGAAACTGCATTTCATTACAGGTTAATGTGCCTGTTTTATCTGAAAAGATAAACTTCACTTGTCCCAACTCTTCAATCAAACTACTATTACGTGCTGTAGCGGCCGTATTGGTCTTTTCATAATAGAGATCCAAATCATTTTCAACTAAATAAGCTAAAACAAATTTAACGACTTCCATTGTGACCATTAGACTGATAGGAATAAAGGCGCTGAATAAAATCAAAAAGGTCAAGATATCATAACCAAATTCTCTACCATATCCCCAACCTGAATTCATTGGTAAATAAGTCGCTTGTTGACCACGATATTTACTGAACAGAACACCCCCTATTGCCCCCGCAAAACTCATGGCGATCAAGATCCAAAAGAGATACATAATATTACGATTAGTAATAAAGGAGACGTTAGAAATCTTGGAGGGCTTTTTACTTGAATTCAGCATCAGTTTAGTCTCATGGCCTGTAAAGATAACGACCCCATAGATCCAAGACGTATTTCTTAATTGAGCACCTCTTAATAAAAGCTGAGTAGGGGTCAAGGGTAAGTCACGATGATGATGACTACCAAAGGAAGTTAAAGCCAAAGTACCATCATAGTTATACAAACGATTATTAGGTTGTTCAGAACGAATGACACCTTGTAATCGACTCATGTCAGTTGGATTCAAAATAGTGGCTGTCTGAGATAAAGCTTGTTTAATTTTTAGGTTCACTTCACCATCTAGATTACTGGTTTCAATATAGCAAAGACCTTCAGGTTCAGAACTACTAATTAAAATTAAATCGGCAGGAAAATTCTCTCCACTTTCAATACGTAACACATCGCCAACTTTGACATTTTCCCATTTTGTTTCTATAAATTGAGTATCTCGTAGTACTTTACATTTTTTAGAGTTAACCTCTGCGTCTGAACGATGAATACACTACATTTTATATGATTGGTTAGCTTATATACTTTATCCTTTTCTCACTCACTCTCACTCACTCACTCACTCACTCACTGACTCACTCACTCACTGACTCACTCACTCACTCACTCACTCACACACTCTCTCTACTTTCTCTTTCTATTTACCCAGTCTTCAATTATTTCTTTTACGGCTGTAATAATTAATACAATCACTAATGGTACAAGTGTAGTCCATTTTGATACTGGAGAAACATCAGGAATTTGCTAATACAAAAAGAAAAATAATAATATTAATAATAATAATAATAATAATCCCACTCCCTCTCTATGTTGATTTACTATCTATTTTTTTTTTTTTTTTTTTTACCTGAATACACGAAATAAATAAGAAAAAAAGATTTGCATATTTTGAAAATTCTTCATATAAAAATTTTGGTAAAAAAGTGAAAAAAGTATATTTGCCGGTGGTGACACGATTATGTAAGAAGTCTTGTTCATCATTCAGTGGATCATTGTTGATATGAATGATACGAGCACCATTTTCACCAGGGATGCCTGAGATGGGTTGCTTACGATTCAATAAGCTGGCTATCGTTTGTCGCCAAGTGCGTCTACGTTTCTTGGGTAGTTGCAGATTGGCACGTGCATAAGGTGATCTTGATTCTAATCCTTCTGGTTCATCTGCTGCTGTTGAAGCTAAAACCATACTATAATTCGCAGGTGCAGCATTGTGTTTTTTATTAGTATTATTATTGATAGTTGATTTAAATATATAGCTATTTTCCGCATGATCTTCAAAAACTTCATCATCTAATTTTGGATCTTCAAATATATCTAATTATATAATGAATAAAGAAAAAAAAAAGAAAAAAAAAGTAAATATGTATGCATATACATATCTATTTTAAGATATTCTTTGTCTTACCTGTTGGTTTAGTTCTTCTGTCACCAGCTAAATGAGCAATAGAGATCGTTGAAGGATCATTAAAAGAATCTGATGGTAATTGAGAAGGACCTTGTTGGAGGTCAATAAGGTCGGTAGTCGTAGATGGAATTAGATTATTAGTAGGAGAAGAAGAAGAGTATGGTTGAGTTTCTGGTAAAATATGTTGTTCTTCTGTAAACGGATTAAATGGTGAATGACTTGAAGAAAGAGTATTAAAAGGATTATTCATATCTTGGTCTTGCCAAGGTGATTGAGAAGTTGAATCCTTAAAAGGATTACTTGTATTCTCTTCACCTTGTTTATAATTCGTGTTGGTGTTATTTTGAGCCACTTTGATGGATTATAAAAATATAAAAAAATAATAATAATAATAATAATAAAAGGCGATTTAATGCAGGTAAGTGTAACAATTCACAAAAAAAAAAAAAAAGAGATAAAATAGAAAAAATTAAAATAAAACCCTGTTTGCATCATGAGGTATTACTATAATTATTTAATTTATTGTATTCAAATTAATTTCACCGACAACAATTTTTTTTTTTTTTTTTCAAATGTTTAAACCTCCATCAATGGTTAAGACTTGTCCATGCATGTACTTAGATTGAGCAATAAATATTGCAGCTAAAGAAATGTCTTCTACTGAACCAAATCTACCTAATGAAATCATTTCCATTATCTTTTGTTTTTTAATATCTGGTATATGACGTGTCATATCTGTCTCTATAAATCCTGGTGCAATCGCATTGACTCTAATTTGGGAAGGGCCTAATTCTTTTGCAAGTGATTTTGTGAATCCAATAAGACCTGCCTTAGAGGCACTATAGACTGTTTGTCCTACATTGCCATGAAGACCAACACTACTACTAATATTGATAATACAACCACCATTGCCAGATTTTTTATTTTTTAACATAGATTTTACAACTTGTTTAGTAACTCTTATTGTTCCTAATAGATTCGTATTGATTGTTTCTAATAAATCGTCTTCTTTTAGTTGAACAAGTAAACCATCTCTTGATATTCCTGCGGCGTTAATTAAATAATCAATTCTGTTGTGTGCTTTTAGTAGATCCTTTATAAAGCATAAATACATGTATACATTATTCTTTTTTTTTTTTTTTTTTTTTGTATAAACTTACCTTTAATAAAGTATTCACTTGTTCTTTATTTGAAATGTCTAATGCCATGCCTTGATGAGATTGATGTGTATACTTGTTTCGGAATTCTGTTTGAATAGAATTCACACGGTCAACATCATGACCAATAAGAATAGTATGTGCTCCTTGATCAGCAAATGATTTAGCTATACTAAGACCAATGCCTCTTGTAGCCCCTGTAATAACGGCGGTCTTTCCTATAAAGCTCATTTTCGGTATAGATGTATAAAAAAGGCTAAAATAATTAGATTAAGAAGAAAAGGGCTGACGGCGGACTTTGTTTCAAGATGTGATAAATTATTCTCAATTAGAACTGTTGCTGTAACAACCGTTACTGTTCCTGTCCTCTTCATGCATAATTAATTTGAGTGTAAAAAAAAAAAGAAAAAGAAAAAAAAATTGTCGTCATATAAAAATGATGATTATTAATTCATTTCTTTTTCTTTACTTTTTTTTTCCTAAAGTATTGAGATATGACAGGAGATAATTTTAAACAAGGCATAGGTAAGAAGATAAAAAAAAAAAAGACAGCAATAGAACATGGATTCTAAATAACTTATGTACACCATAGATTGGGATAATAAATGGCAAACAGGAGATACACTATGGGATGTGGGGAAACCAAGTCCTGCTCTTGTTTCTTTATTTGAAAATGAAGAAACAAAATCACTTATTCCAGAGTCAGGAAAGGGATTAGTTCCAGGCTGTGGGTCAGGTAAATTATATAAAGTCTTTTCTTTTTTTTTTTTTTCAAAGAAAGAAAATATAAATTCACATTTTTATATTAGGTTATGATGTTGTATTTTTAGCTACAAAGGATAGGCATATGACTGGCATGGATATAAGTCAGACTTGTGTTGATAAATTATACGAGGTACATACATACAAACATACACACAAGTATGTGTAACTTATATCTTCTACTTGAATAGAATCATCCAAATGCAAAGGAAAATAATTATGATTTTATTTGTGCTAATTTTTATGAATTTGAAGCACCTAAAGGAGGATATAATATTGCCTATGATTACACGTAAATAAAGTTCATACGTAATATAGTATATAGAATTGAACATGTTCTTTATCTTAGATTTCTATGTGCTATGGAGCCTTATATGCGACCTAAATGGGCTAAAAAATACAATGATATTATTGCTAAAGAAGGTATCCTGATTACATTAATGTTCCCTATTGATGGACGTGAAGGTGGACCTCCTTTTGCTTTAGATGAAGAAATGTAAGTTTAATTCAGGAAAAAAAAACGAGATAAACTAATGGCAACGTGTATAGTTATAAAGATTTATTATCTGCTAATTTTGATCTGCTTTATATAAAGGATGCTGTTGGTCATCCTGAAAGACTTGGTAAAGAAAAGATTGCTATTTGGAAGAAAAAATAAACTTGTATTCTACATTTTGTTTCTTTTTATTATTTTATCTTGTTCTTGATCTTCTTCTAATTCACGTTTATCGCTTAAAAAAATGAACTATTGTCATTAATCATCACTCTATAAGATTTACATAAACAAAAAAAAAACTTACTTGTTTATAGTTGTTGGGGATGCAAATGCTATCTCTGAACTTAAGGGAAATGAAATACAATACATATCTTTCTTTGGTGCTACATTTCTAACCCAATGAAGTGTAGTCTTTAATGGATCAGGTCGACTTCCTTTCATTGCTTGACTCACTCTCTAATAAAAATTAAAATACGGTTATTCTTCTTCTTATACTTTTATATACACTCACTTCTAAAATGTCTTCTGTAGCATTAGAACTTCTTGTAAAACAATGACAATGAATCATAGGTAATTTTGCATTTTCTGTATTATCAAACAATTCCTTTTTATCATGATATAATCCTCGAAAAGTGTCCAAGAATTCAATTGCTGTAGCAGGAAGATTCATAACAAAGTGATCAAATGTCTTCCATTTTGATGTATCTAATGCTTGCAAGTCTTTTACTGCTTGTCGAATAAAGGCTCTACCATCTAAATTATAGGGGTAAATTCCTGAAGTAATCTTATTAGCTTTAATGTTCGTCTTCATCCATTCATATGAATTTGGATTAAGATCATTTGCATAAACGATAGATCCCTTTTTAGCGGCAGGTAAAGCAAATGGACCTACACCAGCAAATACGTCACAAATATATTCTTTAGGTTGAAATAATTCAATTAAACGTTCATGTTCAGTATGTAATCTTGAGTTCCAATAGACTTTAGAGAAATCAAATTTAAATCTACATCCATTCTCTCTCTAATAAAACATTTTAAAAAAAATTCTATTCTATTCTATTCTATTCTATATTTACCACTTCTGCTATCATATTATCCTCTCCAGCCAAGACTTCCATTTTAAAGAATCTAAAGGTCGTATCAATATTATCTGTCTTGTTAACAACTGTTGTTATATTCTTATTTTTCTGTACATGTATAAAAATAAGTAATTATGAAGGAATTTACAGCTTTGTTATCTTACATCTAAAATAACTTGTCCGATCAAATGCTTCCATGGATAATACGCTTCACGCAAATTCATATGGGCTATACACCAATATTATTATTGAGTTAATTGTATTCAACTTTAATATGTTTTAATAGTCTTACCGATATGTCCAATTTGTGTAAAGGAAGAAGGAACATCAGTTAAATTCTCTGGTATGACAGCATGCAAAATTTGTTCTAAAGAAAAAGGAAAAAAAAAATTAGTACAATTCCTTTTTTTTTATCATTAATATTTATTTACCTGTAGTCCAATAATCGTAATCTAATTCAATATGATGCTTAACAACTTCAAAGCCGTTTTTTCTAATTTCATCTAATTTATCTTGTGATAGATCACCTAATACGAAAAAAAAAAAAAATGAACATGAAGCTGTCACATTGTTTGTTAAATTTACCAATCGATTCCAAATCTAGTCTTAATAAAACTAATTTTGAATCTTTTGATTCTGGATCAGGCTCGACATTTCGAAGTCTAGGCTGATTAAAAAGATCTCTAAAAAAAAAATAAGTAATTATATAAATTATAAAGTTTCTTTTCTTTTTTTTTTTCTTTTTTTTTTTTTTTACTTTGAAAAGTCCTTCATAACAACACCCACTTTTTTAGTAGGTACTTTGATTGCTAGCATTTCGACGACTTTGTTAAAAGCTGATCGCTCAAGTTTTACCATGCCTCTGTGAAGAGGTGGTGCAATTGTAGCCATTTTATATAAATTGCTTACAAAAAAAAAAAAAAAAAAAAAAATGGACCCTTCTTTTTTTTTGTGTGTGTGTGGTGTTTAAGTTACCGCTTAATTTATATTTCAAGCAATAAAAAGTAAATTTAAAATGCATATTTGATTTATATAATCAAAGGGCTATTTCGACAACCAAATTTTTATTTTTTTTTTATTTTTTTTTATACATATACATGTATATATAAATTAACAAACAATCATTATAATTACTGACTTTGTCCAGTAGTAACAGACTGACTAAAGGCTTCAGGATTATTTAATTGGGCAGCAATTTGTTCAATCAAGAAATTTAAAGTATGTTGGACTTCTGGGTTAGCCTTGATCTGTTCTACTTTAGCATTAAAATCTGCTTCAGGATTGGTAGCTTGAGTCTGTTCATTTGGGTTTGCAGGAGCAGCAGAGGCCAAAGAAAGGAGACAAGCAATACAAGTTAAAGATAAGTATTTGAATTGCATAGTTGCATAAAATATGAATATTTATTTTGCTGATATTATTCAAGAAAATAAAAGAAAAAGAAGGAAAAAAAAAAAAGTAAGGTTTATATCTATATGCGCGTACGTGTGTGTATGCTTCTTGCGCATTATTTCTCCTAAAAGAAAAAAAAAAAGATAGACATGCATCATGTAAATTTAGTTGTACAACTACCTTTCCCTCTTTTATAAGATGACTGCACTATGATAATCCTTTCATTTTAAAAGTATCGATTAATAGAGTCTTCATGCAAGCATGTCACTCCCAAAGTTTATCTTTAAAACTGTGTATTTATAACAGAGTTATTCATAAATTACATTTACATATATTACTTGAATTCATGTAAAAACTTATTATAGCTATTCTCGACGTTAAGATTAAGTTCATTTTGTTAGTATGTTCAAAATAATATATTTTGTTACCAGAATAATGAATACATCAAACTACGTCATGCATATTATAATAGAAGTAATAAAAGATGAAGATTTCTATAAGGGAAAGAAAGTATCCTAGTTTATCAAGGATTTACTAGTGCATCTCCCCTCCCCCTCTTTTTTTTTTTTTTTTTTTTTTTTTTTTTTTTTTTTTTTTTTTTTTTTTACATACATGTATTAATATGCATCCTAACTTTGGAAGCATTTATAATACTGCTCTATGACATACTACTACGATTAGAGCTATCTATAAGTATTGAAAGTGAATAGTAGTTGTATATTCTGGATATCTCTTTGTTTGTTGATATTTATTTAATAATAAGATATGTATACATATACATATATATTTGCATATATAAAGATTCTCTTTTATGTGTGTGTTAGTGCAAGATATTCTTTACAATATACCTGTAATACTAAAGAATGTTTATCATCTCTACTCTTTATCCTACTGTCTAAAAGGACTAACAATTTTTTTTTGATTTCTGAACGTTAACAGTATCTTATAGAGAATGATCAGATAATCTTTAAATCATGATAATGCATGGAATTTTATTACAAATGTAAATAGTCCATTTTCACTTGTTTTCTTTTCATTTTATTTTATTTTATTTCTTACAAATAATGCAATATAAATGCTTAAAGTGTAAACTATATCAATTGTATTGTTTGATCCTCAAAGTTTAATAAATATATCAGTTACTCATTATATGAAAGGAATTGGTATGTTTGTTAATAAAACTAACAATTTAATGAGTTATTAGATCAAATTTACGAAAGACATTTTTTTTTTATTAAATGAATATATCTAAAACACAGCAGTTACTGTGCCGAAAAAATAAAATAAAAAAAAAATAAACAAATGAAAGAAAAAAGCATGCGGAGATTCAAACATATTGCCCGGAGTGGAAGGAGTGTATGAGAGACAGAGATAGGAGAGAGTGTGTGGAAGTTGTAATGTATCAAAAAGGGTGAATCAGTATACAATCAAAGCTTCTTCCTTTTTCATCTCGCGAATAATGGATAATCTTACCTTGCGCGGTACTCTTGAAGGTAATCTTATTTTTATATTAGAAATGGATGGATGATATAGATAAAGAATGAATGGATGAGATATTAACTTTAATTTTTTCTTTTCTTTTTTTTTGGGTTTTCTGTAATAGGTCATGGCAATTGGGGTAAGGAATTTTAATTTTGACATTTGACATTTTATAAGAATCGACCATGTTGAAGAATTGGAATTGTAACATTCTTGTTAATTAGTCACTGCCATTGCTACCACCTCTGAAGCTCCTGATATGGTTTTGTCTGCTTCTCGTGATAAGACCATCATTGTCTGGCACCTTACCAGGTAAAAAAAAAAAAAAAAAAAATAGTGTTTGTGTACTTTTATGCTAATTTAATGATGGAAACAGAGACGAAATGAACTACGGTGTTCCCCGTAAGTCTCTCGTCGGCCATTCTCACTTCATTGAAGATCTCGCCATCTCTTCTGATGGTCAATTCGCTTTGTCCGCTTCTTGGGATAAGACCCTCCGTCTTTGGGACTTGAACAGTGGTACTACCACTCGTCGTTTCGTTGGCCACACTAACGATGTTTTGTCCGTCTCCTTCTCTGCCGATAACCGTCAAATCGTTTCTGGTTCTCGTGATAAGACCATCAAGTTGTGGAATACCCTTGGTGAATGCAAGTACAACATTACTGAAGATGGTCACAGTGAATGGGTTTCTTGTGTTCGTTTCTCTCCTAACCCTGCTAATCCTCTCATCGTCTCTGGTGGTTGGGATAAGCTTGTTAAGGTTTGGGATTTGACCAAGATGAAGCTTCGCACCAACTTCATTGGTCACAATGGTTATGTTAACACTGTCACCATTTCCCCTGATGGTTCTCTTTGTGCCTCTGCTGGTAAGGACGGTGTTGTTATGCTTTGGGATTTGAATGATGCCAAGCACCTTTACTCTTTGGATGCTGGATCTGTCGTTCATGCCCTTACCTTCTCTCCTAACCGTTACTGGCTCTGTGCTGCTACCGCTAACGGTATTAAGATTTGGGATCTTGAATCCAAATCTATTGTTGATGAACTTCGTCCTGAGTTCGCTCAATTGGGTAAGAGAAAGAACCCTGATCCTGAATGTTTGTCTGTTTGCTGGTCTGCTGATGGTGCCACTCTCTTCTCTGGTTACTCTGATAACATTATCCGTGTCTGGCAAGTCACCCGTTCTCTTTAAATTGTATCAAATTTTCTTTGTAGAATTGAATAATAAAATTTATTGAGGAAAAAATATACATGTACACAGTATAACAAATTATTATAGAAAATAATTATATTTAGTGACTAGAATTCCAAGTGTTGTTGGTTATATATTTAAAAATACACGCGTAATCATTAGAGAAGCAGCTTTATTATGGAACACGATTTTTATTAAATTGATTTTTTTTTTCATTTTTATTAATATTATAAAAAAAAAGGATGCTTTTCTTAGTTCTCAAATCTCTTTAGAAGAGACTTGATACTAACAGGATTAACCACGAGAAGGTGAAAGCATATCTAATCCCAAAAATAATATTACAACCCATACACAAATTGATACGGGCTGTAATTTTTTCTTCTCCCTCTAAATTTCTACTTGAAAGATAAACGTCCAATTTCAACTAGTAGACACTTGGCAAAGTACCAACCTGACCCAAGCCTTGCTAGAAGAAAAAGATAGAATTCCTCACTTCCTACCCCAATAAAAAATACAGTTGGATGTAAGTTTCACTGGAAGCCGGGCTAAACATTCTGACCTGTAGCGTGGCGAAGTGGAAGGAATCCAGATACATGAAGTGCACGACCTGACTATTGTTTACCTGAGAATGTCCCTTCTTTGACCCCTAGCATCTACTTTTGACTTAACAGTAAATACAAGTTGGGATTCTTCAACTAAATAAATAGATGAAAAAACCACGATCAGAAACGTAAGCTGTGCATCCTTATCTATTTTTATTTTATAAACAGCAACTAGATAAAAATAAAAAGAAGGAAAAACCTCCAAAAAGAAAAACAGAAAAACTAAACCTTGAGATAAGCCCTTTCAATGGTGCAGACAAAGAGTACGCTAATCTCCCTAAAAAAGGAACAGGTTTACAATTTCCAACCCCAAGTATCCTTTTTATTTCCCTCCTCCTTTGGAAATAAATCAAACTTGAGCAGTCAAAATTCGATAAGGTCCCATCAATTATCTAAGGTTGCAATAACCCAAGGTGAAGGCGGATATGCATGTAGTAACCAAAAGAAAGTCTAGGCCCTCTCCTTTAGCCATGTTATAAACGGACAGTTCTACAAACTCAAGTAAGCCAAGCTATGTGACTTGAGCACACTTCATAACCCTGACAATGTCTACCCATAGTTTCAAGTAAAAATAAAGAAGAATAGGAAAAATAAAAAAAAGCTAAAGAAAAGAAAAGAGAAAAAAAAGGGAAAAAAAACGAAAAAATGTACTTTTTTTTATAGTAAAATTCAGGAGAAAAAAAATAAACGAAAAGAAGTTATTAAAGTTTAATTTTAGCATATTTTTTTTTGTTTTTAATTTACTTTGCGTTAAATCTTCTCTCCTGCCTTTCTCCTTTTCTTTTTTTTTTTTCTCTTTTCTTTTTAATACGTTAGAGATAATTTCTGCCTTTTATTTGAATGTAGTAAAGCATTACTGTCTTCTTTGAAAGTAAGCAAGAAAGTAAGAAAATAAAGTTTGTTTACTTTTTTTATATATGTATTTATATTCATGTGATTATGCTGAGCATTCTTGTAAAGAAATTAAGCCAAAACTAGTAAGATGCTGTGACACAATATATACAAAGAAAACATAAAACGCCCCTATAAAGTTTTGCTTATTAAGGTCACAAATTAAAACAACTGTATGCTTTGATATCAATATACCCTCTGAAGACACAAATAGTATTCTTGATAGCAGCTATATACAACTTTATCAAAAAAAAAAAAAAAAAAATAAAAAAAAAGAGAATTTAAACAAATGCTATTTGTACTTCTTTGTTAAAAGTTGTCTTGTATACTTTTAATAAAGATGTAGTCTTATTGTTTTAGATTATTGAAGTAAATTAAAAATAAAATCAGTCCTTAAGCAATTGTTCGGTTCTTCAGGTAGTTCTTATAGTTTAACTGTAATTTAAAAGATTAATCTAATCAAATTGATCTTTTCCTTATAAATGATGTTCAACTAATGCTTAAATTATGTAAACAAATATAGTAAAGAAAAGTTACTATGGATTTGCCCTTAAGATTAAATAGAATTGGATCAGACGCCTAAAGATTTATTGGAAGAAAGAAAATAGACTAAAGAGCTTAAACCGGCCTTTTCTATTTGAAAGAAATCATCTAAAATTAGTGTTCAAAATAGCTTTGATAATAATGTTGTTCAGATGAAATTCATAAAGCTTTTAAAGACCCTTCAGGGGAAGGGAGGTGAACTCAAGTTTCTTAAAAATAGTTTCTGCTTTACTATTAATATTCACTTGAATATCGTCTTTTATCTCAAAATTCTATTAAAAAAAAAAGTGTCTCGAAATTATTTTTAAACTTTCCCAAATTTTTCTGAAAATTACTAATATAATAATAATGCAGTATATTTTACTCTTATTTATTTATTTCATTTTCCTTTTTTTTTTTTTTTGACAAGATTGTTACTTTCTTTAACGTGTTTTATTTTTTTTTTTTTAACTTTTAAAGTTATTCATAATGAATAATGATTTCCAAATAGATGTACACGAGTACTGGAGAAATACTTGGAAATCGGCAGAAACAACATTAGCATTGTTGTCAGTATTTGAAGGAAAAAATATTGAACTGATAAATAATGTCATTAGTCCACTTCGTAATTTGGTAAATCATGGTCAAGATTATGATAGTCTTAAACCTATCAATTCAGAAGCTGTAGTAGACAGAAGACCTTGTCCACCTCTTGTACGTTATGGTATTGAGCCAAATTGGAAATTAATCGATTTAACAACGATTGAAATTAAATTACCTAAAAGTAATCGAATTACAACGTGTATTGCTGTGACAACGCCAGAACTGTTGGATAGAGCTATAAAAGATATTTATCAAGCACCTTATATTGCTATCGATTGTGAATTTATGGCTTCAAAGAAAACTCTTCCAGAACTTAAATTACTTCAAATTGGTGTCTCGTCTACTAAAGGTTATGCTATTCAAGTGGATGTCTTGGGTGTTGATATTTTAACAGAAAAATTAAAACCAATCTTGGAGGATCAAAATTTAAATATCGTAGGTTGGTCATATCGCTCTGATGCATTAGCAATCGAATCTTTTTTTAAGGGCATTCAACAAGCACCTGTTCTGGATTTACAAGCTAAATTATTACCTGTCTCTGTTGAACAACTTAATTTGGCTGCAGCTATGACACAGTACGCTCAAGAGTGGGACGGTTTAGAAGAATTTCAAAAGGTGAAACAGTTTGGTGGGAACTTTAAATTTACGGATAATGATTGTGTTTGGTTATTGAATCCATTACCTCCTAGAGCTTTAGCTTATGCTGTATTTGATGTGCTCAGTGTTCATGCTCTCTATACATACACTAGCCAATACCCTGATATAGAAAAATATTATTGGCCTTATTCTGTTATTACTGATGCTAGCCCAAAGGCAGTTGAGAACTTTCATCGTCAAAGAGCAAAGGCTTTACAGAGGAACAATTCAAATACTCCTCCTGTCAATAAAGAAAGAGCTCGTCACTTTGCTCCTCTGATGTCTCCTGCATTGGAATCTTCTGCTACTAGTACTCCTTCTATCACTTCGACTCGTGCTAACACATCTCATGCTTCTGCTTTTTCTGCTTCTTCTACTTTGCCTGCTCCTGCTCCTGCTCCCAGTATTACTTCATCTTCTTCTCGAAAAAAGGAAAGGTTTCGTTATGTCGAAACGCTTGAAATACCACTTTCATCACTGCCTGATAATGACGATGGTTATGATGATAATAATACAAATTATAAATTAAATATGCAAAGGGCAATCGAGGAAAGTTATCGTTCTTTGGATAAAAATTATGGTAATTCATCCTCTGATCGAGTCGTATGTGAATTGGACGATGATAATAAATTTGGTGGCGCCTTTGATGAGAATAAATCTGTAGAAGAGAAAAAAGAAAGTAAACCGAAGACTACAACAGCCACTTGGGGTGAAGTCAATATGGATAATCAACCCTTCCTTGGCAATAATTTTCAACGAGATGATAAAAGCAATTTTAAAAAGGAGTCTTCTAAATCTCCTGTTACATCAGATCAAAAGCTGGCTTCATCACCTCATTATCAGCATAAACAAACGCATGGCTCACCTCATAAAACACCTTATAGAATACCACCATTGCGTCATCAGCAAAATACATATAGTAGTAATCGATCTTCTCCTGGACCCAACGCTCCTCATATAGTCCATCCTCGACCTTCAAGACCCAATCATTTGTCTCGTCCTAATTTTGATGTATCTCCAGTCAACTTTGCTCCTCCACCTAAACAGGATCATCAAAAACCACTTCAACAATCACCTCAAACACCAACAGCCAAAATTCATCCTCAGTTTGGTGGTAAACCTAGTAAGGAAAAATATATATCAGACTTTATGTCTCGTACAGCAACAGGAGATCAAGTGGGATCATTTGCATGGGGCGAGCGTGATACAGCTGCTGCTTCATGGAACACCTTTGCCAGTAATTCTAACAATAATTGGGTGAAAGGTATTGATACTGAATTAGATGATATGGAAAGATTAGAGGCAGAAGCGGCGAAAAAGACACTAGAAGAAAGAGCAAGTACACAACAAAATAAAGAAGAACATATGTTTAATATGACGGCTAAAGCTATACAAAATGTTGAAGAAGACAATTGGTTAAAGCAAGAGGAGAGACCTGACACGATGCTTATGCCTATGAATCAAATTCCTATCCGTAAAGTCTTTTCTGGGCCTCGTGTAAATAATCCAAATGATACTGATTATGATACCGATGAAGAAGAAGAAGAAGAAGAGGAAGAGGAAGAAGAGGAAAATGATTTTAATGAACAACAAACTACAGTGAACAGTAATGAAAAACAACTTCAAGTGTATGACTTGCCTAATTTTGTAGATGGTATATTTTTGTATGGTGGAAATGGGAATGAAGAATTAGCAATTCTCAAGATAACAACGCCTGAAGATTTGGATAGAATTATTTTACCTCCTCAAGGAGAGCCTCTTACGATCGTCATCTGCTTCCATGTTGCTAGGGATAAATCAAGAGCTGATGTTGATTTAAAGGCACTTCAAATTTATCTAAGTACTGGAGCATCCTATACCTGCGTCCTACAGCAAGCATGTCTCTTAAAGAACTTGCGAACACTGAAGGAAACAAAATTTGGCAAGTTACTTATAGATCCTAATGTGAATCGTGTATGCTGGTATCCGAGCTATATTGAAGAAAGTATGATTAACATGTTAGGGTTCCCTCTTGGCCCTTCTGTAGATCTCTCGACAAAAATGAATGATCAACTCGTTGGAGATAAAACGTATACTTTTAAGAAAGCGATTGAAACTTATCTACATGACTGGCCTGATCTGCAACAATATCTAACAATTAAAAGTGAATATGATCGACTCGTATCTTCCAAAAAATTTTCAGGTACTGTTTGGGATCGTGAGAGATTATCTGAAACTGTACTTAAATACAGTGCACTTCAAGGTTTAGCAGCCTATTACTTGTATCAAGCATCGTTAAAAATGAACATTTCAGATGATGATTTTATGTATCAAAGTAATAGATCATAACATATACGTATGTATCTGTATATACATGCCCTTTTATATATATGTATATTTATATATATTTACATATATACATAATGATTATACCATTATAAATTAAACAAAAAAAAAATATGTAGTATATATTTTTGTCCTTCATGTAACTTTGTTTCAATAATAATAAATGAAAAAAAAAAAAAAAATAGCTGCATAATTTGATATCAAAGTTGTTATTGACTCCTCAAATCTATCCAATCTATTTCTCTCCTGTGTATACAATGATGTCTTTATGATATATAACATATTCTCTCCTTTTATACTAATGACAGCAACTGTTTAAATAACACGATAAAAAAGAAAAAGACTTTTTATGCATCATGAATGGATCATCAACAAACATTCACGCCATACAATCATTATGTGTGTGATGTAAATGTATAAAGCATGAAAAAGTCGGGAACTGTGTTAGGAGAGAGAGAGAGAAAGGATATAAAGAGGCATGATGGAATTTGTGTATGTATGCATGTAGGTGTGTGGGGGAAGGGAAAAGGGGATTTAAAAGTGAGGAGAAAGATGAAAGTTGTTTATTCTTATTTTTTATTTTTATTTTTTATGTTTTCTTTACAAAAGGAGAAATATTTGGTGAATGAACCCTTTCATTATGGGATTTGTTGTGTAGTAGATTTATTTGTTAAATAATAAATTTTTTATTTTATTTATTTTATTTTATTTTATTTTATTTTTTTTTTGTTCCGATTACTGCTATTCTAAGGAGTTTGTGTATTTTTTTTTTTTTTTTCCTTTCTTTCTTTTCCTTATTTTATTCTTTATAAAAAAAAAGAAAATAAAGAAAAAAAATAAAAAATGGGCGGTAATATCTCGAGAGATTCAGTCAATGGACAAGTTTATCAACAACGATATAACACGAATAATATAAGTAAAGGGCAGATGAAAAAACTCAATAAAACCAAACCAGAATGTTCACTCAGTAAAAATGGAAATAATCAAGAAAAGAAATTGATATCAGAAAAGCCCAAGATAAGGCTGATAGATGGGAGGATATATCATTCAGTTGAAGGTAGTTCTTATATGTTACCCAGAGATGATAAAGAAATCGATAGGTTACATGAAGAGCATTTTGTCACAAAAGAATTACTTGGATTGTATGTATATATATGTATATGTATATGTATATGTATATATTCTATATAAATAATTTATATATTTATATATAGTAATATTATGTCCGAAGCATTAAAAGCATTGGATTTTCAAAACCATGAACTTGAAGTATTAGATGTTTGTTGTGGCCCCGCAACCTGGTTATGTGAGACAAGTTTAGAATATCCGAATTGCCATTTTACAGGAATTGATATGTGTAGTTTATGGCCTCAAATCATTCGTCCTATCAACTTGAATTTTACTGAAGCAAATATATTACAAGGAATTCCATACCCTGACAAGTCATTTGGTAAACATATTGAAATAACATAATTATTAGTCTATTTAACAATCTTTTTTTTTTTTTTTTTTTTTTTTTAATTAATTTAGACTTTATTCAGATGAGGTAATAAATAAGTATAAAGTTAAATATGCGTAATAATATTTTATATAAATTAGGTTTGTTGTACTTGCATTTCAAATAAATGAATGGGCATTCGTTATATCTGAAATTAAAAGAGTTTTAAAAGATGGTGGCTGTTTCCAATGTATCGATATGGATATGCGGGTATATAAAAAAAAAATTATATAAATGCATGCATGTATGTATATTCCGTTTAAAAACAAAGTTTTTTTTTTTTTTTTTTTTTTTTTTCTCTTTTTTTTTAATAGATTATTACATCTGATACAATAGCAAAAAAATATACAGAAGCATGTACAGTCTTTTTTTTTTTTCGGACTAGATAATTTTATATTAGGACTAATGATTCGATTATAATTATCTAGTTGAATCATTTTGTGCGTCATTTAATTTGGATGCTTCAGCAGGAGCTAAATTGGACTTATTATTAACAGAAGGAGAAAATAGTGGTATGAGGATTATACAAAGCGAATATCGAGAAGTACCATTAGGATGGGGTGGGCCTATTGGTGATGCCTATTTACATCTATTTGAAGGTCTTCTAGATGGAATATCTCCTTGGTTTAAAGAATCACTAAATATTACAGATCAGCAAAACTATCAATTGGTCTTAAACAGAATCAAAGAGGCGTTTATTCAATCAAAATCATTTATAGGATTATACGCTTTTTTAGTTCAAAAGCCTTATAATGATTGAATGGTTTTTTATGCTCATGTTACCTGGTTTTTTTTTTTTGTTTTGTTTTTTTTTTTTTGTTTTGTTAGTTATTTGGTCATAATATACACATATAAAGTTTTAGCTTTGGTCAGAAGATATGGTTCCTTTTAGACTACATAGGATAAAAGACTTTATCAAATTAGATTGTATGCACCATTATTTTTCTTTTCCTTTTTTTTTATTATTATTATTATAGTTGAAGAAAAATAACGTGTCATATTTAATTCTTGTATAGCAGATAAACATTTATGCAAATAACATTAATATGATTGATATTTCAGGGCAAAAATAAAAAAAAAAGAGATAAACTTTACGAACAGTCACGTATAAACGATCTTTTTTTTTTTTTTTTTTTTTGAAAAAACGTGAATTTTGGCGTATTTTTTTTTTTTATCTCTTCTTTTCTTGGATAAAAAGATCAAAGCTCTGTATTTTAGAAGCTCATATTTATACTATATACATATATATATATATATATATATTTATATACATACAACTCTACAAAATGGCGAAAATCACAAAGAAAGAAACGAGCATTTATGAAGATGTTGATTCCGAAATTGAAGTGGATGATATTTCAGAAGACATTGACATTGACGATGTTTTGACAGATGATTTATTAGATAGTTCTGACGATGATTTCCAAATTAACAATAAAAAGAAAAAGATGACCAAGAAAAAGACGATAACCAAGAAAAAGGCATCTGTGAAACGTAAATCTTCAAACACAACAAAAAAAGGTACAACCCGAAAAACAATACAAACAAAATTAAATCCAACAAAGGTAAATATATACAAATATATATAAATAGATACGTTTATACTTATATACCTATGTACATTTGTATATATATCTACATACATGCTTATATATCTATACTAAAATTATAAAATAGACTATAAAGTTACCACCTGAACCAAAACTTCACAAGTGGAACAAGGAAAGAATGAAGAATTTAGCAGAGAAATATCCAGACAATTATTGGAAATATCATGCTGATGCAGGCTATGAAATGATAGATGCTATCAATGAAGATAATCAGCTTGAGAGTATTCCTTGTAATATGAACGATCAAGGACCTATCACGAGTATGTCTCTCTCTGAAGACGGTAGCATGTTAGCCACCTATTCTAACATTGGCGCTGTCAAGATTTGGGACATTGAAAATGATTTTAGTCTTGTTCGAAAGTTACGTGATGCAGATGAATCACATATTGATGAATTCTATTGTGGCACATTTATAGCCGACAGTGAGTTAATTGCTGTAGGTGGGAAACTCAAAGATCGTTATCGTTGGTCTGAAGAGGATGAGGACAATCATATTTTATCTTGTGCTATCAAGATATTTAACGTAACTGATTCAAAAGTAGTAGCCAAATTGAGTGGACATGAGGAAGAGATATTGTGTATTAAGAAAGTTAAATTTTTAGATGAGAATTATCTAATTTCGACAAGTCAAGATGGGTATATTTTTAAATGGCACATGTCAAGTGACTGGACAACCTTGATCAGTTCGAATAAAATGGTGGATGAACAGACTTGTATGGCCTTCACAGTCTCGTTTGTGCCAAATACAGGAAATAAATATTTCATAGCGGCTACTGATGAACATTTAAGACTGTATGATTTTGAAGAAGGAGTGGTATGTGTATTTTATGTTCTCGCATCTTGAATGACACTCTTTCATATTCATTTATTTATTATTTATTGCTAGTTATTACAAACATTTAGTGATCTCTATTCATCTTATTGTGATTGTGGTAAATTTGTAAAGTGGCTAGACGAATCAATTTATTTTGAACAACAACAACAACAAAAAGATGATATTATGGACGTTGAAGAAACTACTCAAGAGAAATACACATGGTTTATTAGCCGAGGTGCAGAAATGTGTGATGTAAGCGAAGGGGTTTGTAAGTATGCTATTTTTATTTGTCACATTCGTATTAAACTTATTTACTTTGATAGCCTCAAAACCCAACACATGTACATTACACAAACTAATTTACCCTACAACAGATGGTGGGGAGTTCAGACTTGAAGAAGTTAAAAGATATCAAAATGAAGAGTAAATATATAGCTAGTATATAAAATATACGACTTAAGGCTTGTTATCCTAACTAAACTTGTTTAGTTATCATTCTAATTCATGGCTGGTGAAAATTACATCGAATGGTCGATATCTTTTAGCACCTACTATTTATGGGCAAATATTTGTATTTAATATGCTGACAGGACAAGTCACGGCTATCTTAAAAGATCATTTAGGTAAACAGCATATACATGTATTGTACGTAGAAATAGTATCTGTAAATCTAACGCGTCTTTATGTTGCTAGATATGGAAGTTCGTGATGTTATTTTTCATCCTTATAGACCATTAATATTCTCAAGTGGTGATGGTAATATCAAATATTCTAATGTTATATTAATTATATATATATATAAACTCTATGTATTTGATTAGATGGCTGTGTGAAAGTGTATACGTACAAGTCAGATATAGATAAGCAACTGGAGTCAGACCTTGGCATTGGTATGGCAGAAGTTAAAATTGATGATGAAGAAAGACAATAAATAAATACAGCATAAAATAGAATGCATTAAAAAAAACAGTTACCATAATTAATAAATGTGTGAAAAGACTCTGTTTATTAGTGTTATTATCCCTGAGTATGGATTGTGTCTTTTTTTTTTTTTTTTTTTGATAAAAATAAATGTCTTAATAAGATGTTCATACAACAAGCCATCCATGTAATGCATTAAGAAAAAGACCTAAACTTATACTAGAAATTGGGGATTATAGTAAAATACTAAGCTTTGAAAATTAAGGTTTAATTCACTTCAAAAATATAATAAGCTTTGATTAGTTGAAAGTTAATTAGTTTATATGTAGTTAATTTTATGTGTAATTAGTTTTTCGAGAAATATATCAAATAAACATATTTATTACTATTTTTTTTTTTTTTAATTGTTGTTGTTGATACAGAGATATAGAAACAAGATTAAACAAAGGTGTAGTTATAAAATAGAGAGAAATGATATCATAATGTATCATATAAAAATACATGCATAAGACATATAAATGTATATACATATATGTATAAAGACTAATTCGTTTTAGGAATAAGCTTGCAAGACATTCGAATCTTTACCAGTATCAGTAGAATTTTCGGAAATGCTTAATCGTACAGAATCATTAGTACTATTATCTTCTTGAACAGAATGATTATCCAAGTCCTTTGTATTAGCATTATATCGATTGTTTGATGCATCATGAGGCTTTGGAATACCTAACTCATCCGCCTTTGTTATAGCTAAATTAACACGTATGGCTAATCGATATTCAAAATCATATTTGCTATATTTTAACGCTGTTTCCCAAAATGTTCGACTACGCACTTTATTATCCATACCCCACATCGTAACGCCTGCTTCCCAAAAGGCAAAGGGGACAATCCATTTATCACCTGTAATCTGATCTTTATGATCGATAATCCAATTCAAATGTATAATTGAATCTTTATATCGGCCCATAGCATTGAAAAGTGATGCCTTAATTAAAAATAACGCACCACGTTGATCAAAGTACCTTGGTGGAGGAGTATCAGGTAATAATTCTCGTGTACGAATCCCGAATTCTGTCCTTTCCGCCTCCATAATTGCATTAAGCCCTTTATCAACAATCAACAGTGACTCCTCCAAGAATTCGGGTGTCATGAAATCAAACCCCGTGAAAAGGCAAAGATATTCGAGGGCACACAGTGTCATATCCATGTCTTGATAACCATACTCTTGAAATGCCGTTACCTTACGTAAAACGTATTTTTCCATTAATGCAGTACTATGCGTCTTGGACCCTATCAACTGGGGGACCTCAGCATAAGCTAAGATAGCTTCTGTACGATAGCCCATCATATCTAAACAGGCGCCTGTTAAATAACGGAAGATGGCAGGTGACCAATATCTTTCCTTGTAAAGCATATCAAACACTTGTGCAGCCTCCTCCCATCGATGTTCCATCATATGATTAAACCCAATTTCATAACTACATAGATGTAGGACCTCTACCTCAGCCCATTCACGCTTACTGATCTCAATTGCATAGATAAATGATTGTGTAGATAATGCCAGATTACGTGCAAGACGAGATGTGCGTCCAGCGAAATAAAGGAAGAATGCTGAATTAGGGTATGTCTTTTGAGCATCTAATAATGTCTAAATTACATATATAAATAACACTTTCAATAGATTCTGTCTAATATCCTTTTATACCTCAATAGCAGGTTGTGTGTAATCATGAGATAAAATTTGAGGACAAATAGATGTAAGGACAGTATAATAAGCTAATAACCTATTTTTTTTTTTACCATATTTTTTTTTTAGAAAAAAAAAGAAAGAAAAAAAAAACTTGTATATTAAAACAAACTTACATGAGAGATGCCATAGGAGACCGAATTCTTCTTTCTTCTACACAAAGCTTTAGCAATGCGAATCCAAGATGTTTATCCGCTTTCCATCCAAAAGCAGATACAATACGAAGGACTTTTTGAGGAAGCGTTGACAATACAAGATGTACAGCACCAATACTAAATATAGCATTATTATTATTATTATTATTACGAAATTTAGTACGTTCATACATACCCAAATTGAATACCCGAGATGGTATCACGATCAATAAAATCATTATAAATTTGGCCCATACGTTTATATTCTTGCCAAACCAAACTGTAACTTGTATAAGCTATAGAGTAATAAGAAAAAACCATACTCTATACATACATATATATATATATTGAGTATCGATATTTACCTCTTCTTAAATTCATACCACATTTGATATAACCCATTACATTCTCTTGAAGTAACTGTAAAATAGCGATTTGAAGACAGCATTCAGCTTTAGCAACATGAGCACGTAAAACACCATTTGGAATAAAATGAACACCATCTTTTCTAATTGATTTTAATGTAGCTGGCTTTGGACTAACAGGAAGTCCACCCGATCCACGTGCAAACTTGATATAATTATAATAAGAACTCATTGCTTGGTAAACAGTATCTCCTACAGTTTTCTTTGTAGAAACATCAATTTGTGCTTTAGCAATACTATAAGTTGTCGTAAGAATATCAATAGCATTTTTAGACATAGATTCATCCGTTGTCTACATGTTTAAATGATGAACATTTTAGTCCGTATTATATTACACAAGAAAAAAAAATCATAAGGCATACCATAATAGCTATATAAAAAAAAAAATGGTAGGTCAGTAAAAGGCAGCATGATTTTTTTTTCTCTCTTATCATCTACACATATAGAGATTTAACAGATATAAATATGTATATATTATTTACCTTTTAAAAAGGCCATAGAACCAAGACCTAACGCATATAAAGGATCACTAAATAATAATAGCATTAAAAAAAAACAATTGCTCTTTGTGCTTCAGATATTTATGTACATTACGATTCCGCTTGTTTTTCGAATAATTTCTTTGCCTTCATAAATCTGTTATTAAATAAATGACGAACAGCCCGAAGGACAGGCTCATCTATAGAAAAAAATAATATACAAGTCAATTTTACCAACATTCATCACCACTTGTTCATTGTATTGACTTTTTTTTTTTTTTTTTTTTTTACCTGCCCTTTCTTGTTGACGAGGAGAAAGCGTATTTTCTTTAATATTTTTTGTATCAATCTTTTCTAATGCAATCAAGTTTGCGCTATAACTATCCACATCAGTGGCTTCTTCACTTGAACGTTCATTAAATTCAAACGTCTGTCTTGGTGGTGCAATACCAGGGGTAGGTGGTAAAATGTCTTGAACAATTTCATCAAAGGTCTGAGACCTATTCCTTTCTTCTTGAAACCCTTCTTCCTCTTCTTCTTCTTGGTGGTAGTTTATTCTGGTTGAAATAATATCATCTGTATTACATGCTTTATTATCTTTATGATCTTCTTCATGTTCTTGATTTTGTTTTATTAGAGTTGTTTGAAGTGCATTTATAACGAGGCCTAATTCCTTGGATGTTTCCATATCCTCTTCTGTAGTTGTAGTTAAATCAGTGACTGTGGATCCCTGATCATCCTCCTCTGGTAGTTCTTCTGATTTTCTCTCCTCTTTTGTAGATAAATTAGCAATATCAAGACTTTCTATGACTATTTCAGAACCCTTTTCTTTATGGGTTGTAGCTTTCACTTCTTCCGTCATTTTATTATCAGACATAATTAAATATCAAAGTAACAGTTAATAAATGAACAGATAAATATAGAAACAAAATGTGATTATTATGTCTTCTCTCATATTATTTATTAGTACCGTAACTTTAAAAAAAAAAAAAAAAAAAAAAAAAAAAAAAAAAACTTTGTATAGCTTAGATTGGTTCAGAAGAAGGAAAGGGGGGAACGGCATTGTGCAACGTTAATACAAGAATAATAATTTATAGCAATACACAGTAAAAAAAAATAATCGATCTTCATAAATAGTAAAACTACATGATGAACGTCTTTATTTCTCCTTTATATATACAGATATATATGTACTTTCTAAAAAGAAAAAAAAAAAGGGACTTGTACATGCTTAGAATAAATCAAGGAAATATAACACTGTAAAACCAGTCATTATTACACCATACTCTTTCTGACTTTAAAGAGTCAATTATACAGTTAAATAAAGTTTCAGGGAGGAAAAAAAAATATGTATACTATTCTCATGTGTATAAAATACATGACATGCTTTTTAACTTGATGTAACTTTTATGATAAAATGCAATTCATTCTTTCTTATTAGAATCATGCTTACAATTCCTTGTAACGAGACAAATCAATAATAATAAACTTTTTGCCTCTACTAAACCATTTATTCTCTTTCTGAGCAATAAAATAAAAAAAAAAATAAAAATTTATAAACAATGCTAACATAAAGGTACGCATGTTCTTTTTTCTTTTCTTTTATTATATAATAAAATATAATCTAGTTACATAAGTTTAAGCACGGGCAAGACGAGCATTACGGGCCAATTGACGGGCGTTAAGCTTAACAACCTTCTTGTCAGTAGCACGAGAAACAGCTTCCTCCTTTTCAGTGAGGATGATTTCAATGTGACAAGGAGAAGACATGAAAGGGTTAATTCTACCGTGAGCACGATAAGTGCGACGACGGTGCTTGGGAGCTTGGTTAACAACAATGCTGGAGATATAAAGTTCCTCAACATTCAAACCTTTAGCCTATATTTAACATAATAATATATTAACTCTCCTTTCTATATCCTTCTTTTTCCTTTTTTTTTTATTCTTTATAGTTTATATATTATATTACCTCAGCATTGCTTTCAGCGTTCTTCAACAAGTCAGTAACAAACTTGACAGACTTAACGGGCCAACGACCTTGAGTGGTACCGAATTCCTTAACTTGAGCAGTACGACCAACACCACCGTTGAATCTACGGAAGGGGATGGCTTGCTTGTGTTCAGTAACGTTGTTAAGGTAAGCATAAGCCTTGCTCAACTTCATACCCTTAATAGCAGCAGCAACTTCATGAGTGTTCTTGAAGTGAACACGGAGATAAGAACCTCTAGACTTGGAAGCTAATAGAAGAAAAAGAAAAAAAAATTACGATTAATCTCGGCCAGAAAAAAAAAATACGCAAATAAATAGAAGTATATATAATAAGTATACTACTTACCCTTAGCGGGGTTGGCAGGTGTAGCAGCGTATCTGACCATAGTTGCTTAACAAACTAATCTCATTGAAATAAAGTTGATTTAAATATGAATATAAATATATATATATATAAAAAAAGAATATTAGTATTATTTATAATGGGTAAATAATAAAATTTTAATGTTGCAAGAAGAATTGAAATAATGGAAAATAAAAAATTAGGATGAATGAATGTCGAATAGATTTTCTAAATGTGTTAAGCTGTTTATAATAAACCTATATCGATGTAAAAAAAAAAAAAAAAAAGGAAACACATGTATCTAATCTAATCCATCCATTTTGAACATTAATCCAATTTGCTTGATGAGCTCTACATTTCCTTCTTATTTCCATATTTCAAATTCTTTCATGCATCATGTCTGTATACGTACTGTCGATTAAAAGGAAGGATTGACTATGATACTGATTGTCACAGTATAAAATATGATTTTCTTTATTGTGTATTTCAGAATTCCGGCTTCCGGCAATTCTACTGGGTTATTTTTTTTTTTTTTTTACCCTCATTCTCTCACTCTTATCTGAGTTTTAATTATTAGCATCAAAAAACAGTGGCAGAATCATTTCTTACCATTAAAGATATAGCCTTGTCCACGTTTTATGAACTTTGGTGGCAATTCTTATATATCAATTCGTTTTGGTATAATTGAATTAACGGTTTCCTTTACCCTCGACTTTATATACATATATATATGTATATATATTACAGACATCCACAATGAATATGCAATTGTTTTATAAAAATTGGACAAGGAAAAGTTGATGTTGAGTTCTGAAAGGTTTTGTTTGTTGATGAGGAGCAACTGCTCAACTTTGTAACGACAACAAGTGCCTATATTCAAAAAAATAAAAAGGGTTTTGTCTTTTAATTCTTCAGCGATGCCTTTAAACTATAGATAAAAGGAAGTGTGAATATTAGGGAGCTATATAATAAGTAACGCTATTATGCTATTTACTCAAATGACTAGAAAGACTTGTCAATGTCTTTGCTGTTATAAGAAAATTAGTCATTTAAAGGTATATCATCACAAAGATTATAGAAGCATTTTTAGGGAGAGGGGAAAAAAAAGGGGGGAGGGACCAGGTTGGTGTAATAATATTTCTAACGAAAAAGAACATAAAACTTTATACATAATAATATAAATCTTATGGAAAGCAACATTCGCCCAATTGGAAGAAGATTAGCTGTGATTTTTTGAATGTTATTTTCTCATTAAACAAGCAATTAATTTCAAGCAATAAGCTTTTTGAGAACGTGGATAAAAAAGCACCAGAACACAGAAAAGAATAATAATAATAATAATAATAATAATAATAATAATAATAATAATAATAATAATAATAATAATAATAATAATAATAATAATAAAGCGAAATAGTATACTGACAATAATAATCATAGTCATTGTAGAATGTTCCAAAGACTATAATAAACCTCCTTTCTCCCAATTTATAATAAGCAAAGAAGTTGGGACAAATAGACTTTTTGAATATAATATATTTGTATATATATATATTTTTTTTTACTAGCAAGTGAAATACCCAACTATGATTCTTATTTATAGATTTAGACTTGTATACAATATCGTTTATATTTATTATCTTGGGCTTTTGAACATATCTTTACAGATCCAATTAAATAAAAGGTCATTGTAGAAGAAATGACATGTAATTGAATCTCTATTTATAATCGACTTGTGAAAAAAAAAAAAAAAAAGGTTCAACCATAATAGTTGACTACAGCACCAGCACCAGCAATTTGAATTTTTTTTAGCTCCGACAGCACAGGCGGCGGCAGGAGAACTTGTAAAAGGAATCTACTTTAAAGCTATTATGTTGCCATGTAGATAGTGCCTCCTCTTTAATTATATCTTTTAGGTAAGATCATTACAAAGCACTCATTTTATATTGAAAGAGTTAAGAAATAGATGGAATGAATTTACAGTGATGATGGATGATAATTGCAGATGGATGATAACAAATTTTGGACAGATAAATATTAAAAATTCAGATTCGAATTAAAAATGTTGATCGATGCGACTTTGATTCAAATTTTCTTTACTCTTTCAATTAAAACGTGCGAATAATAATCGTTATGATGTTAATCTAATTATTCTCTTTTATTATTATTTATTTTCTCTATTATGTTGACTTTGATCATTTATAGTCATGGGTGGTAAAATCAATATGGAATTTGCAATGTTGATCAAAAAATTAAAGTTGAAATTAAATCGATTTTTTTTTATTTTTAAATAGCTTACAAGTATCTCGAGGAACTTGCCAGAAAGAAGCAATCTGATGTTTCCCGTTTCTTGCTTCGTGTTAGATGTTGGGAATACAGACAATTGAATGTCATTCACCGTGCTTCTCGCCCCTCTCGTCCCGATAAGGCACGTCGTTTGGGTTATAAGGCCAAGCAAGGTTATGTTATCTACCGTATCCGTGTTCGTCGTGGTGGTCGTAAGAGACCTGTTCCTAAGGGTGCTACCTATGGTAAGCCCGTCAATGAAGGTGTTAGCCAACTCAAGTATCAACGTTCCCTTAGAAGCACTGCTGAAGAACGTGTTGGTCGTAAGTGTGCTAACTTGCGTGTCTTGAACTCTTACTGGGTTAACCAAGATGCCACCTACAAGTACTATGAAGTTATCCTTGTTGACCCCTCTCACAAGGCTATTCGTCGTGATCCTCGTATTAACTGGATCGTCAACCCTGTTCACAAGCACCGTGAAGCTCGTGGTCTCACTGCCATTGGTAAGAAGTCTCGTGGTCATGCCAAGGGTCATCGTTTCAACAACACCAAGGGTTCTGGTCGTCGTGCCACTTGGAAGCGCCGCAACACCCTCTCTCTCCGTCGTTACCGTTAAATACCATTTTGACTTTTTTGAAAAGTTTACAAAAAAAATATCCTTTTGGAAGGAGTTTTTTTCTTTTTGGGAAGCTTTCAATTTGGTAAATTAATAAAAAAATTATCATAAAAATTAATAGTGAATTTTATTATTATTATTATTATTTTTTTTAATATATTATTATACATTATAAGAGTAAAGGAAAGGGATGAAAAAAAAAAGATATTATTTAATATCGATAATAATAAAAAGGAAAAAGAAATAGATATGTGTTCATTCATTTATTCTCTAGCATCAGGCTTACTAAAGACATGATGAGAATCATTACCGTCCATTGATGGTATAAATGTCTTTTCACCGCCTGCGATAGATGTCTTATAGCTGTCACCACCAAGAGCCATGCCAGGAACGCCAACAGCAGCATCTGTAGCATATCCTTCATTGAAATAAATATGATCACCATATTGATCACTACCTACATGGCTTACTCCTTCACCATGTCCGTTATAATAACCCGCATTATTATAATAATCGACATCTTCTTGATAACCAGTACCAGCTGGGGCAGGTGGATAATAATAGCCATCATCAGTAGCTGGTTGAGGTGAGCCATAATCATCTGTGTAAGGTGACATGACATTTGTTGTGGGAGTAGTAGTAGCAGCTGCTGCAGCAGCAGCTGGTGGTACGAAAGCACGAGCATCAGTAGAAGTTGTGCTTCTCCAATTAGAGGGGGTTGTATTTTCTGGAGAAAATTGATACATATCATTGTTACTTTTTTGCATTTGATGCTTATATCTAGTTCTTCTATATAAGAAGAAGAATAAGGCAGCTAACAACGTATTATACGTTACATGAAAAAAAAATAAGATTAGGATTAGAATTAGAATTAGGGGAGAGAGAGAGAAGAGCTCTATTCATTTATAAATATATATATTTATATTCCTTACCTAAAACTGCAGCACCACCAACACCACCTACAACACCACCAATAATAGCACCTTTATTTGTAGAAGAAGATCTAGCAGCATTATTATTAATATCTAAACATGTATAATATATCAATTAATTTCATTTGTTATAATAAAAAATAAAAATAAAAAATTTTTTTTTCTTTCTCCTTACTAAGACTACTTGTAGGTGATGCTTGGGAAGAAGTAGCAAAGGGTAACATACTAAGAGATGTTGTTCCTGTTTGGCTTATAGTAGATGAAACTATAGGCAAAGAATTACTACTAGATAAAGATAAGGAAGGAATAAGGGTACTCGTAGGAGAAACAAAAATATTTGATGAACTACTACTTATAGTAGGGAAAATAAGACTTTGACTAGCAACTGATGATGAGAGAGTAGTAGAAGATACAATAGAGGAAGAACTAGAAGCTATAATTGAACGGCTAGTAGTAGTAGTAGTAGTGGTGGTGGTGGTGGTGGTGGTGGTAGTAGTGGTGGTAGTAGTAGTGGTGGTGGTAGTAGAAGTTGAGGGCTTTTCTGTAGTTGTAGGCTTCTCGGTAGTTGTTGGTTTTTCAGTAGTTGTATGATCCACAGTTGTAGTCGTAGTAGTAGTTTCTTTAGTAGTTGTAGGCTCCTCAGTAGTTGCAGGCTTTTCGGTAGTTGCAGGCTTCTCGGTAGTTGCAGGCTTTTCAGTAGTTGTAGGCTCTTCAGTAGTTGTAGGCTCTTCAGTAGTTGTAGGCTTTTCAGTAGTTGCAGGCTTTTCGGTAGTTTTAGGCTCCTCAGTAGTTGTAGGTTTTTCAGTAGTTTTAGGCTCCTCAGTGGTTGTAGGTTTTTCAGTAGTGATTATAGTGTCTGAAGTGGCAGGAATTATCTCTTTATCAGTAGTTATATCTTGATTTTCTGTAGTAGTGGGAGCTTGATTTGTTGTAGTTATAGGATCCCAATTGGTAATCGTGCTTTGTTGCTTAGCAGTTGCAGCATCACTGTTGGTCGTTGCAACAAAATTTTCAGTCATTGCAGTGATTTTTTCATCTGCTTTTGAAAATTGTTCAGTAGTATCTCTCTTCTTTGTCTTTATATCTGAAGAAGTAACGGGATTATTCGATATAGTTTGTAGATTGTCTATTAAAGTAGTAGGATCTTGATGAACTTTTGAGGAAGTAAAAACACTCTTTAGCATACTAATATCTCTTGAAGGTTTATCTGTAGGTTTAGTTTGATTATCTTCAAAGGTAGTAAAAAGTTGATTAGATTCTGTTATTAAATTAGACCGTTTATCTGCAGCATTACTATAACCTTCTGATGAATAGACTGGTTTAGTAATAGGTGGGCTTACAGTATCACTTGATAAATTAGATTGATTTTCCTTATTATAATTATATGAATTTGTAGAAGAATTGTTTGATTCATTATTCAAATCAGTTTTTTGTCTTTTGCTTAATACTTTTGACTTTAGAACATGTTTATTCGTGCTACGATGAATTTTACGAGAAATTGAATAAAAAGTATTGATAGATGTAGTGATCGCCATTTTGTGTCAAAAAGGAAAGAAAAAGAAGAAAGAGGGGAAGGAGAGAAATGCTTATTTTTTGTTCACAATTCTTTTCGTTTCCTTTTTTTTTTGGCTTTGTTTTGCTTAAGGGAAAAAAAGGGAAAGGAAAAGGAAAATACAGAAAGATGTATCCCAAAAAAAAACTTTTTTTTTAATTTATTATTTGATACTGTTTATAGTATATTTTTTTCCGACGGAGATCTTTATTGTAAGTAACTACTACTATTCATTCACTTAGCAAAATAATAAAGTAAAAATAAAAAAAAATAAATAAATCAGGAACAATTTTTTTTATCGTTCTTGTCTTTTAATGACGGTTATCCAAATATGAGTCTTCATTCTTCATAAATAAAGGTAAAATAATAAAATTAAGTGTAACTTGTATTTTGACAGAAATACATCTTTTTCTTGTACCTCCGTCTGAAAAAAAAAAAAAAAAAATATTAAATCGGATTCATAATAGTAACTAATAAGAAAAGAAAATAGATTATATAAACAATTTTTCCAAATTTGCTGTTATCATGTTGACCAATTATCCTTCTCCTTGTAATAAAATATTATACTATTGATGTGATATCGTGTACATAGTTTGTCATGGTTTGATTAATTTATTAATAAAAATAGAATGAAACAAAACAATATTTTTTGCATCTGATTAAAACTCACTTTTTTTTTATTATTATTATCACTATCATAAAAGACTCTATAATATTGAAATAATATATTAAAGTAATAATAATAGTAGTAGTAGTATCTTATTAAAAGATATTATTATGACTTCTTATTATTAAAGACTATTTTTATTGCTTATCAAAAAGGAAGAATGATATTTAAATGTTCATGCACGTGTAACAATATCTTTCCATTATAGATATTCTATGACTTTATTACTACTGAGAGAAAAGAATATATGATAAATAAATGCAAACAAAAGAAGAAGAAAAGTGGGAGGGGAGGGATAGTTAACTCTATTACAATCTTTTATAACATTACTTATTGACAACAAAATAAAAAGGGACTATCATTATTTGCTACTATTTACATGTGATAACAACTTTTATTAAACTTCTTGTAATCATATAGCAGTGCCACAACTATTTGGTATAATAATAAATGTTTGTTAAAAGAAAATAATATTTAATTTATTAACCTGTTGATGACAACTGTATTCATAAAAAAAAAAAAAAAGATCATCTGAAACAGATAACACAACTGAGTAGACATTGACTGATTATTATAGAATTGCCCGCAACACAACACCTATAATGATGTTCCTTAAAAAAAAACAGATAACAAAATCTGAAACTAACGTTACACAAAATAGAACTCCGAGAGAAAAAAATGTGATTCAAGTGAGGTTCGAACTCACGCCTCCGAAGAGACCAGGGCCTAAACCTGGCACGTTAACCACTCCGTCATTGAATCACTTCCTGAGATTGAGAAATCTGACATATTTATAATCAGCTTTGAAAAAAACTGACCAATCAGATTGCGTTATTGTAGTGACGTCATCTATAGTTCAGTATTTATTATTAAAATTGTTTATAGTACTATAACGATTTGGTACAGGTTATTTTTTTTGTTATACTTTTAATTGTGTCAATTCGCTTAATTCATTTTATTAAATCTTTTTTCTTATTTTTTAATTGTTTTTTTTTTTAAAAAAAAATTTTATACAACAAATAATATTAAAAGAATGCGATCGAATAATAAATGTAATTTATTTTGAGATTTTAGTGAAAGTCAAATAATGCAGCCATAATAAAACTGCTTATAATCTGTTTCCATTACACTGTTTAAATTAATGATTACATTTCTTTGATCATTTTCATGAATGCTATATTTATAGTTCTACTCATCTGCACTTTTTCAATGAAACAAAATGCTATCATAGTTTACCAGTGTTATTATTGACAATTATTCATGTTATATCTTACAAGATTAAATAGCAGTTTGTAGATCTATTTCCTTATAATAGATGAAACTAAGAAATATACGAATTATGCATGTGATTTCAATCCATTTAATTTGCAAGGATAGAATTGGCTAATGCGATAATTAATCTTGAATGATTCCCCTTTTGTATAAATATGTATTAAATTATTTAGGATGCATCTTTTTTAAACGAATTAATGTACATACTGAATTCCTATTGTCATGCTCATACAAACAACAACAACAGTAGAACAATAATAATAGCAATAGTGTTACTGATACAAGCTATCATCTTATTATTATTGTCACGGCTAAATCCAGCCTTCACATGCCAGCGCCTGCATCTAATGATATAAATATAATCACTCTGATACTATCGGTCATTATGATAGATACTATACAAATAAAACCAGCACGAATGATAACAATCGTCATAATCATAACATTGTGATAATAAATGGATTCAATTAGTAACTATAGATAAAGGAATATATATTTATTTAGTCCAATTTGTTTTGAGTGCAAAAAGATAACGAAAGAGAAATAAAGAAAAGAAAAAAATCTTTACAGTTCTATGAAAAACAAATAATACAAAGAAAACATGGTATGGGAAAAGAAAAATGTCAGGGGCTATTTATACGTTTTTTTTTTTACAAGGTAAATGATATTAATAGAAATAAGCAAATACTGGTATAATAAAGAATCATGTCTTCGAATCATGTCTGCATGCAATAAGAAATAATTTTTATTCCTTTTGTTCCTGAGCTGTCGCTGTTACCAGAAATATAATCAGTTATTATCTTTGGAGTAAGCAATGCGTCAATATTAATTCACAGTGAATATTCCAGCTATAACAATAATACCAATTATTTATAAGCTACTATTATTATTATTATCATCCTTCGAGATATTATTACATAACAATATTCAACATTATAGATGCATATATAATATGTATGACTTACAAATAAGGATATCTTATGATTATAAAGCTTCATTTTTTATTTAATTATTTCTAAATGAAATGATATTAAAAGGAATTCTTTATTATAATGTAAAGGATTCATTAGACATAATATTTGAAGTATTTCACGATTTAGTTAATCTAGAGGTTGGTGCTATTACGGCTCTTATTGAATGATATATATATATATATATACATATATTTATATGTATATAAGGAGGTTATCAGCAGTTGTATATATTACAAAAATAAAAAATAAAAAAGAATGGTGATACAATATATATAATGAAATGAAAAGAATAGAGTCATATATGATATGCATATAACAGATTATTAGCTAAGAATAGGTAAAAACTATAAATTACAATCAAAAGTTAGGTACAATATGAATTATATCAAGAGATTTTACTTACATTGCCAATGATAACACTTGGTAAATCAAATATGTCACGTTTAATTGTAAAACAAAATGTGCAAGGTACTGGTTTTTGTTGCGGCGTAAGTAAGATACAAGAATAACTACAAGCTTTATCAGTATTGTTATTAAATGCATGGATAGAAAAATTTTCCCAATATTCTACTGCGGATTCATTTTCCATTAACTGCGATATATATGTATATATAGATGTGTATGTGAATAAATCAATTTATAATAATGTATTCTATATGTATATACTACTACTATTACTATTACTACTACTACTAACCTCATAAATATATGTCTTTTTATTTAATAGCATATCTCGTGTCCATTGAGTCAAAAGAGAAAACTCTTTACCAACTAAGCAAATTTCTCCTGTTCTTCTCCAGATAACAGTAGGTGTACCAGAAAAGCTAATTAATTTTTCATATTCTAATAAAGTACGTTGAAAGCATCTTTCCATAAACACTAAATCCTCTTCTGTTAAATTCATGATAAGTGATAAAAACGAAGGACGAAACATAGATAAGGCACGACTGATTCGCATTAAATCTTCTCTATTCATTTTTTCAGTTACATATTGAATAAGGTAATGGAAACCTTCTGCATAATTAAATGGCTTTTTTACACTACTATAGACTGCTTCTGGTGTATTTCCATAATTACCCTTTCTTTTTGAATTGGTCGTTAATTTTGTTGATGCACTTGTGTTTGTTGAAGATGTACTATTTCGTTTATTATTGTTACTATAATTATTATTATTATTATCAATATTAGTAGTATCAGTATTAGTAGTAGTAGTAGTAGTAGTACTGGTATTGGTATTGGTATTGGTACTGGTATTAGTAGTTGTACTGATATTGGTATTGGTATTGGTATTGGTATCGGTATTAGTGTTATTAGTAGTAGTGGTAATAGTAGTAGCAGTAGTAGACATAGGCGATAATAGAGGAGTAGAAGAATAGTATTGTATTGATTGAACTTGTTGTTGCATAGAATCATTATTAAATGGAAATAATGTAGAAAAGGTTTGGAATGAATTATTGACTGATTTACTTGGATTTAACATAGATAAATCAGTAGTTAACATATTTCCTAAAATACCATATTCGAGTCCAGTAGTTTCAGAACCAAAACCGAAATCTGTTAATGAAAAATTAAACAACTGAGAAGTGTCGTCATTATAAATAAAGTTTGAGTTTTCTATTATTTATTTGTGGGGTAAGTGTGTGTATATGAGTGTGTCTATAGATGATAATAATTTACCAGTAATAGATTGATCTTCTGCTGGTGTAAATGGAGGATTTATAGTAGAAAAAACTATTATATAAAAATGAAAATTAATCATTATAGGATAAACAATATACTCATTTACATTTACTGTTATTAGCTGTTGTTGTATAGTTTATTTTTGGTTTTTTACGTATTCCATCAAAGCAAGTTGTTGATAAATCTCTTTTAATACATCCTTGACAAGGTCGACCTATGCGAATGCATATGTAAAAATATCGTGAGAAAATTAAACTAAATAAGTATAATAATCTTTTTAATAATCTTTACCTTCATCACAAGTTAAGAGTGCCTAATTAAATTAAATTAAAAAAAAAAAGTCAATTCCAAAACAAATGAAACTAATTGAAAAATGAACAAAGATTTATTTTACTTTTTGACAGTGAATGCAAGGTCGAATTGATTCTTCTCTTTTTTTTGTGTTATTTGAATGATTAGAAGCAGTTGTAAAATAATTTTGATATGTTGTTGTTGTATGTTCTGGATCAATTGTTGCTGTTTCCTGAGACATGATAATAATAAAGTGAAAAAGAAGAAGGGAAAAAAGAAAAAGAAAAAGAAAAAATGTTAAATATTGCCAAAAGGGCAATTTTTTTATGACCTGTCGTGTGAGAAGAGAAAGACCAATCAATAAGATCCTTTTGCATAACATACTATAATAATCTCCTCTCCTTTCCTCTCCTTCCTTCTGTCCCTTTCCCCCCTTCTCCTCCTTTTTTCTTCTTGTTAAGTCATTCATTCTATCTTTTAGTATTACATAATATCTTATTTAATTCTTTTTTCTTTCCTTTTCCTTATGTCATAATTTAATAAGTTTAAATGCATATCTATTTTACTTGATGAGTCTTTATTACTAAATAATATAAAAAACAATTTCATCCAATAATCATTTCGAATTTATCGTGACTTTTTAGATTTATTTAATAACGGAGTTTAAATTATTGCATTTATAATAGCAGCAGTAGTAGTAATTAATAGTAGTAGTAATAGTAGTAGTAAATCCAACAAAAACTTACATTCTATTTTTTTTTCTTCTTTTTCTTCTTCTTTATTTATTATATACAACAACAAGATATATTATATAGATGCTATCAACAAAGGGTTTGTATTTCTACTTGATTTTACAAGTGTTTTAGTTAATCTTTCTTTGAAATAGAACTTAGTGCTGCTGATCCAGAACTTACAGATAAATCATTACAGAATAGAATTAGAGGATTTGCTGCTGGTATGGCTTCTGGTATAACAAAATTAGCAGTAGGCCATCCATTTGGTAAATTAGTATAGTAAAATACGATTATATTTAATACTAATCTATTTATAAACGAATAAACAAAGATACTGTCAAGGTGCGTATGCAAACAACAAGTAGATTAGATGGAAAGTTTAAAGGTCCTTTAGATTGTCTATTAAAAACAATTAGACAAGAAGGGCCTACTGCATTATATAAAGGTGCAACACCTCCTTTAATTGGTTGGATGTTTATGGATAGTATAATGTATGTTGTTATCTTATATATCAAAGGCTGTTATAAAGTTTAAATCTATTGATTATCAGGTTAGGTACACTTCATAATGCTCGGATGATACAACAGTCTTGGAATGGAGATAAACCTCTAAGTATATATCAGCATGGTTTGGCTGGATTATCGGGTGGTATTACAGTATCATTTGTAGCAACCCCTATAGAGCAAATAAAAGCAAGACTTCAAGTACAATATGATATCAGTTCAAGAATATACAAAGGTCCTATCGATTGTGCTAAGCAACTAGTAAAATATCACATATACAACGAAGAATAAAGACTGTATCTAATATATACATATATTTATATATTTATTTTATTTTTTTTCAAGATTCGAAACAATGGCTTGTTTGGACTATGGCAAGGCTTATTACCAACTATGTTATTTAGAAGCTGGTTTTTTGTATTTTGGAGTTCTTATGAAGTATTTACTAGAGAGCTAAAAAAGACAAACTTAAAAGAAGGCACAATTACATTTATTGCTGGTGGTTTAAGTGCAACTGCTTTTTGGATTGGCGCATTCCCTGCAGGTAACATTTTAACTAGTCAAAATATGAAATGACTCATACTCTTCTTCTGCCTATTTTTAATAAGATATGATTAAAAATCGTTATATGACACAACCTGATATTTCACCAAAAACGTTTCCAACCCCTACTTCTGTTGCTAAATTTGTTTATCAGACTGAAGGCTTTAAAGGTTTTTACAGAGGTTATTATAAATCACATACATACATTAGGTAATCAATGAATTGACCCTCCCTCCCCTCCTTTTTTTTTTCTTTTATTAGGTTTTTTGCCTTCATTTTTACGTGCATTTCCAACAAATGCGTCTGCTGTATTCATGTTTGAATTAGTTATGAAGTTATTAAGTAGTAGTCATAATTTAGACTAGAATACCTTCTTTCTCTTTGATAATATATTTATTATATATGATATATATATTATTTTATAAAAATAACTAGATACATTCATAAATCCTTACGTGTATATAAATAGAGTAAATATATACATCTGTTATTGTTTTCGGCAAAGCTCTACAATATCTTCTTTTTGTCTTTTATAATAGTAGGAACCATTATGTTTAAAACATATATTATATTATTAATAAATCTAATGAGCACACACTGATAACCTACATATCAAAATTGCCAGAAGGGGAGTGTGGAGGGAGAAAAGTTTTTATCTAGGGATTGTATCTAGTTTTATTTTTCTTGTGATACTTGTTGTGTTTTCCCAAAAGACTTTACACCTGTTCTTGTTTTGTCAATTTTTGTGATTTGGGCATTACTACAGTGATCTTGAACTTTTGTGTCCTTCTTAATGACAGATTGAAGCAAACAGTATATTCATTAATCTTATCATCATTCAGTTTTGCTGTACGGGTTTGTCTTTTTGTCTTTTTGATTTATTCTTTTCTTCTGCAGTATTTATTTTATGCTAAATTTAGATATAAGCTATTGTTAGTAATTTTTATGCAAACATGTATATATATGAGCATTTACCAAGAGTTAAAGTCGATTCAAAATATTCTTTATAGAATGACTATCTTTTGTATTTGACCCTAACTATATAATATAGTATAGTAAGCTAAATAGAATGAACTTTATAGCATTTACCTTATCATAAAAAAACTGCAGAATATTTCATTCTCGATATGTATAATTGATACTATTGAAAGCCGTATTTATAAACCTTTATTTATGCCGAATTACTCTCCTCTTCTTGACCTAATTGAAGAATACTGACCCAAACTCAAAAGCATATATTCATCTGTAATAATAAGTGAAAACCCCCCCCATTTTGTTTAGATTTTAAATATAAATACTGTGCTTTTTGTTGCAAATACATCCTATGTAGAAAACATGGATTATTCTATGCTTAAATCATACCGTGATCAGCTTCTGGAAGACAATCTTGATAATCATCATAATGCTCCTAATAACAAATTAATGAATGTGTGCCGTCCCAAACTAGGCATAGAATCCTATTTTTTTGTTGGCTACCTATATCATCTGTTGGACAAAGCAGTGTCCCCCCCGTTGGCGTCTAGGTGTGACTACCAGGCGGATGAACAGCCTCGATCGTATTATTTATCATCCTACCGAATTGTTTACCAAATCTCATTCAATTCATTGCTTACACGTTCATTAGCATTTATATCTTCTTCTCTCAATTGCTGATCCAATATCCTTTCTATTGAACCAGTTGCTGCCTGTTAAACCACCTCCTCTATCACATTATAGTTCTATCATGGACTCTTCCCTGATCTAAAATATACTCACCCAATCTCTATGAATTGAGTTTTATATTTTATAATAAGCTATCATCTCTTATCGAGAATCCTGGGTACTTCTAAGTTGCTGTCGTGATTATTTATCAACTTTCTTATCATTTTCTTTCACCTTTTCCTTTCTTTCTTTCTTTTTCTTTTTCTTTCTTTTTTTTTTCCTACTATTTTATCAAGTTGATCTGGATAATCTAGTAGTATCATTTAATAGATACTATGTGTGTTCACAAAGATCAAAACATTTAATTATTACATAATAATAAATTTTTACTTAGTCATAATAAGAGATGATAAAAAAAAAAATTCTGTCAAACTTGTCAATTGGTGGCGTTTTGTTTATTCATCATTGAGCTTAAAAATAATTTTCGAAAAAAAAAAAGCCTTTTATTTTATTTTATTTTATTTTTTTTTTTGACCCTTCATTTTTTTTAAATAAATATAATGGATTTTGTCAAAGATTTAGATAATAGACTTTTATTTGCCATTCCTAAAAAAGGAAGACTTTATGAACAATGCATGCAATTATTAAATGGTTCAGATATTCATTTCAATAGACGTTCACGTCAAGACATTGCTTTATGTACCAATTTACCTATTGCTCTCATCTTTTTACCTGCCGCTGACATTCCCAAATATGTTGCAGAAGGTAATGTCGACTTGGGTATCTCAGGACAAGATATGGTTATTGAAAATGAAGTAGAGGACAAGATTACTGAAATTATGGAGCTTGATTTTGGTAAATGTCGTTTATGTGTCCAAGTCCCAATTAATGGACCATTTAAAAAGATGGAAGATTTAGCTGGTAAAAGAATTGTTACCAGTTTTGATGCAGTTGCTAGAAAGGTATTTGAGCCTATTGATAAGGCTAAAGGGACAAAGACGACGATTAACTATGTTTCTGGTTCTGTTGAAGCTGCTTGTGCTTTAGGCCTTGCTGATGGTATTAGTAAGTATTTAGATATAGAGAGAGGAAAGAGAGTGTGTATATTTATTTTATTTTACTTTTATTTTTATTAGTTGATCTTGTTGAATCAGGAGAAACGATGCGTGCAGCTGGTCTTCATGACATTCACACATTATTTGGAACACAAGCTATTTTAATGTCTAATAAGAACTCCCAACATAATGAATTGATTGAAAAAATTACTTCTCGTATTCGTGGTGTCATTACAGCTAGTAAATATGTCCTTTGTACATATAATGTTGAACGTTCTAATCTTGCTCAAGCTGTTCAAATTACACCTGGTCGCCAAGGTCCTACTATTTCTTCATTAGATTCTCATGAAGGATGGGTAGCCGTTTCAGCTATGATTGAAAAGAAACAAAAGGGTGATATTATGGATCGTTTGTCTGAAGTAGGCGCTACAGATATCTTGGTTATAGCATTTACAAACTGTAGAGTTTAGATATATAAACGTCTATCCACGTCTATAAATATATATATATATATATATGTACGAATATATAGAAATCTACATTTATTTTAACTATTAAATAGTCTAGAATAAAGTCGATCATGCATTCCTTGACATACATCTAATAATGGATTTGTTTGACAGCAATCATCGATCGTCATATACCTTGTTTCTTTTATAATCTTTTCAATAGGTTTCCTTACTTTTAATAATAGTTTTTGCGCTTCATATGGTCCAACAATGTTTAATCTTACTGCTGAGGAATAAATTGTACGCGTAAATAGATATAGCCATAAATGAAATGTATTTTCTAAGTCGTCATCATTAAGAAGTATTAAATCATTTTTTTTTTCTTTTTTTTTTGTATACATTTTAATCATATATACACTATTACCTAAATCTACTTTTAAATGGCGACAAATAAGGCCATAACAAATTGCAAAATGGCCATCTACTTTTCCTTCACGAATTAAACTTTTCCATTTTTTAACCATTTGTATATTCTTTTCATGTTCCTCATTAGAGATTCCCTCAGGTTTCTCTTTAAAGCATTTCAAATAAAGGGTCAACATGGCTATTCCTTGTGCTAATGAAGCACGTCTTGCTACTGTATTTGTGACCATCACAGCATCACAAGTAGCATCTGATTCAACAAGATGAGCAACTGGATCTTGGTGATCAGGTGCTTCAAATCCAGCTCTTACAAAGCAATTTGTATTGGATGCATAATTATGTGCTGATGAAATGACAAATGATGCCAAATTTTCATTATTGACTAACCCTGCTTGCCAACTTGCTTCTAAACCTGAAGAAGCAACAAACCCACCTGTTGGTAAAGCTGAATCAGTAAGAATATATAGCAACCAGCTACTTGTTTCATTCGATGTAAAAAATGTTGTTGTTGTCATTTAATAAATTAAGAAAATTTTAAATTAAATAATGCCACACAAGATAAAAAAAGAAAAAAAAAAAAAAGCTCGATAAGGAAATTGTTTATTGTTTTATTATTAAAATCACTATAGTTACAGAACTTATTACAGGATTTTTATTATGTTACATCTGCGTGTTATAAAAGGAAAAAAAAATATATATGTATGTCTTTCCTCAATAAAAAAAAAAACTCTTCTATTTCAATGAAACAAAGACTAGAAAGTTTACTGTTAATAGATTTTTCTCTTTTCTTCAAGGGATAAAAAAAAAAAGATTATTGATATATATACATGTATTTTTCTTTTTTTTACTTGGCTTTGAAAAGAAGATTATTTCAAAATTAACTACGAATAATAATTCTTTATCATGCTTAAAGAGTAATGATGAAATAATAATGAATCTCTCTCTTTTTTTTTTTCTTTTTTCGGTTCATTAAAAAATAGGGAAATATGAACGACGGAGATGGCTGCGGGGAGTTGTTGTTTGGTTGTCGTATTTTTTTTTTTTTTTTTTTTTTTTTTTTTTTCGAATTAAATCATTGTCTTTTTCTTTCTTTCTTTTTTTTTTCTTTCTTTCCTTTTCTTTTTCTTTTGCCCCTTTAATATTCACGAATTATGTCAGCAACAAAAAACAGACTTGAAGTCATACAGAAAAAAGAAAATCGACTTAGTAGACGTTTAACAGTAAATACTCAAGAACCTTACTTTACTATTCGACCCATAATCAAAAGTAAGTTTATATATATAAATATAAGCATTTGCATATAGAATGGAAGGAATGTGTGTGTGTGTGTGTGTGTGTGTGGAAAGTTTTCTTCTTCTTTAAATATTTATATCATTCCAACTGTTATTATTATGATTATTAGAGGCTGATAAAGAGGCAGCGCATACGTTAAGTGAAGCTTATGCGGATAATGTTTTATTAAATTGGGTTACGGGATCAATTAAAGACCAGAAAAAGAAATTTGATATTTATGAGGATATCTTTAAGGTACTCATTCGAACAGTTGCGAGTGATAGTAGAGATTTTGCTATTCAAGTAAATGGTTGTCAGGGTGTTTTACTTTGGTCTGAAGGTCATAGTGAAATTCTATCCATTGGTAATGTAATGAGCAAAAGGAGACTTTGGGGCAGTTTAGGCGGTTTAGCGACAATGGTATCTAGAAAAGCGGACTTTTTATATATATAAATATATAAAATACTACAACAACTCTACTTATTCTTTTTTTTTTTTTCTAGCGAGCAACTTTAATTCACCATCGTCAGCTTTCTAAAATGAAAAAACGTATATTAGAAGGACGTCAACATCTGTCTGTAAATTTCATTGGTGTTTTACCTGCAGCAAGAAGACGAGGAGAAGGAGGAGCGTTATTAAAGTATGTATTAAAGAAAGCAGATGTTGCACAATTACCTATATTTGCTGAAGTTTGGGGTCAAGATTGTTTAAATTGGTTTCAAAAGTTTGATTTTGTTATTCATGATGAAAAGAGTTTAAGTGATAAAGAAGATATTCGTATTTATTATATGGTTCGTGAACCAAGAATGGATCCGGAGACACCTAAAATATTATCTGCTGTAGATGCCATGGCTGCTTTACATTTAGAACCTCCTCGTGAAGATGCTCTTACTGCCTTACAAAAGAATGAAGAATAATATATCATAAATAATTAAGATTGATATATATATATATAGATTTTATTATTATTATGTAGATTTAAATATGAGTAGTAGTAGTAGTAGTAATAGTAGATATCCTTTGCTGTTGCTCTTCAATATCAAATAATCCTTCCCATTGATCATAAGGTAGAATAGTTCCAAACAATAGTGACATATTTTTACCAAGCTATAGAATACCATAATAGATATAAAAAAATAATCTACACCCTCCCCTTCCCCTTCCCCTCCCCCCCTTTTTTCTTTCTTTTTTACCTTATCTAAGTCTCTAATAATATCTTCCAATACTGTAACATAAACACAATAAAACAAGTAAACATGATCCTTGTCTAATACTCTTTTGGACTTTACTACAGGTAATTTACGTAAATGTAAGATGAATGATTGCCATGCCTTTTTAGCAGGTGGTAAATACGGAGGTAAAGGTGTCTTGAGCCGCACAGCAGAGGCCAACAAATAAAAATAAAGTAAAATCGACCCTACCATCTCACGTCTCTCTTGACAAACTGGTAAGATAAAGGCATCTTGAACTTCATCAAACCATGCATCCTTCAAGATCACTGTCCTCATGGCGACTAATTTATCTGTGATATTCTGACAGGAGGCCAACATATCACAATAGGTTGCGACTGGGAATGCGCCTTTCAGTCTTGGCTCATTCGGCGTCTGTTTTAAAAGATCCTGAAGTTCAAATAAGGTTCGATGAAGTCCAAACTCTAGGTCCATAAAGACCTGCTGTGTCTGCTGTTGCATGTTGGATGATGATTCATTCGCTCTTGTCGATCTCCTCCTCGAATAAGTGGAGACAAGTCGTTGATAGAACCATGCTAATCGAAGTAAAAAATCAGATAACCCCTTACGAAGTTCTACTCTGGCTTCATAGGGCCACACATAAGCAGTAGCAAATAAGCCAAAGATCACACCAACCAAGATAGAGAGACATCTCTGTAAGGCAAGATGTGTCACCTCTATCTGGTGGGTCTCTCTATCGTTGTACTTGTTTAACATCACAAGGTTATAGGCAAGCAATGTGAATTGTCCGAATTTCCCATGTTTATTATGATGTAAGATGAGCCAGAAATTCGGTATTGAAAACAACCAGGTACACAAGATGAGAGCATACATATTATCCGGAAATAATAAATAAAGACACATTGCTACTAAGCATCCTAGAACAGTAGAATAGATACGATAGACAGCTATCAAATTTGTTCCTCCTACAGTAGGTGTCATGACTACCATCAACTGTATATAAATGAACCAAAATAATACAAGTCATCATTTATATTTATATATATATATTTCAATAACAATAAAAAAAAAAAGTACTTCTTACAGTAATCAATGCCCATTCCATACGCCATTCTCGAAATAAACTTGCAGTTGTTTCCAAAAATGCGGGTGTAGCAAGTAAAATAGCTGCTATAGTTGCCTTGGTTGCATAACGTACCTTTTGAAGTTTAAATAGTGAAAATGTTCTCCAAACACGTAAAACCATCTGTCTCCATTTTGTTTTCGGTATAGGTGTATGTAATGTATCTGCCTTGTGTCTTTCATTAGGAATAAACCCATCAATCACCTTCTCCTCTTCTTCTTCTTCTTCCTTTTCTTCTTCCTTTTCTTCTTCCTTTTTTATTTTAATAAGAGTAGCTATCTTGTTGATTATATAGAATGTAATTGAATGTTTCTTTTGTTTTGCTAATGAAAGTGCATGAACAGATTCAACTAATGATATGAGTTCTCTTGCAAATTCAATCATATTAAATACGAAAAAGTAAACTAAAAAGGCATCTTCTTTAGGAGAAGCATCGTAGTTGAGTGATTGTTGTTGTTGTTGTTGTGATCGATGACGGTTCAATCTCTTTACAGCTTGTCTTTGAGATACCTCAAACAGAGCAATTGCCTTTACCAGGTTACTCTTTAAGGTTTCATCATTCGGTTTTTTTGATGATAATGTTGTACAAGAAGAAAAGGAGGTTTGTAGATGAAGGATTGTTTGTTTACAGGTATAAGCAAGTGATTTCAGGGGCTGACGTATTGTATGAATAAACTCAATGAATGAACAATCCTCTTCTTCTTCTTTCTTTCTTTTTTCTTCATCCTCCTCTTTCGTCATCATCGACCGATCCTCCCCTATCCTTTGACGCTTTAATTCATTTTCCAATTTACGACGATGATGATCTGGTTTAATACTCCATGATCTCCTCCTTTCTTGTCCCTCCTTTGGCTTGTTGGTAACAGAGGTCAATTTCATTAATTCAAATTGAAGACCACAACTACTTCTTAATCCTTCCATACATTGCGCTAATCGTTGCATACTTTTCACAACATGATCATATTCTTTTGTACAACCTCTTATGTCACTATTCCAAAGGACCTCCCATTTTGCTTCCTGTAAAGACTTTTGAAGAGAGATGAAACTAGCGCGATGGGAATCGATGGCTAATTTGAGGGAATCATTTGCTTTAAATTCTGGAAGATCATCATCGAGTAAGAAAGTTTTGGTTAAAAGTTTCAAAAGTAATTTGTACGACATTAATGTAGCTTCTAAATCTTGTCTAGTAATAATAATAATAAAAATATACATGTGTATTTATATATTTTTATATGTATACATATATTTTTTTTTTCGTGTTATTACTTACTACTCCTAATCATTCATTACATAATACCTTAGTTTTTTACTTGCTGATGTAGGCCAAAATAAAATACAACAAGAAATCGTCACTACTGTACCTGTGGCTACAGCAGTTGTAATTTGTTCAATACGTGTTGTATCAAAATCTCCTCGATTAGCAGATCCTTCTCGAACAACAATAATAGATAGAATGATAAAGCATAAACTTGATGCTTATTATAACATGAGATATATAAGTAATAATAATACGAGAAATAGTATATATATATATATATATATACCTGTTGCAGCAGGAGGTTTATTCCAATGCGCTTTTAAAAATGATATAATAAAAGTAGCAGCTACTAACCAAAATAATAAAGTGATAGCATGCGCAGTTGTAAGCATATGTCGATCCACAAAATAGTCAGTCGTGACCATGGATCCAAAGCAAATGAATAAAGCAAAAATAACATAACCCCAACCAAAGAGAGTTGCTTCCACCATACCTCCTAATGTCTTTGCCGGATTAAAGAAAACAGTTGCAGTAGCGACAAGATGACTTGAGACATGATTGTGGCCAATACATGCGTTCAAAGCAGGTATGAAGGTAAATAAGGAGCCCACAAGATAGGCAAAACTACATTTCATAACTAAGCGTTGCTTTGAAGTTAATTTCATTCTTTCAAAGAGAGTTGATATTGATATAATAAACCTATCTTGTAGTAATAATACTAATCCTGACTTGTAACCATCATATTTAACCTTATTCTGATACAACAACGAAGAGTCATTTGATGTGGTAGAATCAGATTGAGATGATACTATACTTGCGTATGACTTCTTTTTTTGATCTTTCAATAAAGGGGTAGTTGAATCTTTTCGACTACATATAATATATGTACATGTATATTCATTATTCATTAAATGATTAATAAAGAGAACAAGCAAATGTTTTTTTTTTTTTTTTACTTTTTCAATTGTTTGTGTTCCAGGTTAGAATTTTCTGTGATGATTCCCTCTTCTATTGTATCATCAGGTAAAGTAGATAAGGAGACAGTTCTCTTTTGAAGAGTACCGTCATCTAGAACCACATTAAACTCACTATAAATAGAAGGTGAAGCAGTAGGTAAAGAACCTACTACAAAGAATTCATCTAAAGGTGGTGATAACTCATGATGGAACGTTGTTGAGGTGGGTATTGGTATTGCATTACGCGGTAATCTTTTAGTTGAATTCATTATTTTATACTATTTCAAGAAAGATAAAAAAAAAATTAATAAAGAAGGAAAGAAAGAAAAGAAAGAAAAAAGATAAAATAAAATAAGGATTGATATTATGACAGATAATTTTAAGGGGCATGACAAAATTAATCAATTTAAAGTCTTTATTATTTTGATTTGATTTCATTGGATAAAAAGTGGCTTATATAAACCCACTGAATGATTCCCTCCTAAACTTTATTTTTTTTTAATATCCACATATTTTTTTTTTTTTTTTTTTTTTTAGCTTATTTAAAAATCATTCAATCAAAATGGCAAAAGAACATATGCAATCAGCTAAAGTTGTTTTAATTCTTTGTTCTTGTTTTTTTGCTTATGGTGTAGGTTGATAAAAAAAAAGATAAAGAATAATAGTGTATACATGACCTAACTTGTCGAATTATAGACTTATTGGTCAGATTGGGCATTTGATTATTACTTTCTTTGGGCCAATTTGAATGAATATCCAAATGCAGTTACAAGAGCTTCAGTAAATATATTGGTTAATATTCAAAGTTAAAGATATAAATATTCATCTATCTATTATGTATATATACAAATATGTATATTGATAGCAATATTATGTTAATCAACTCAATGCGCCTGACATTATAAAATACATTCCTTTTGCTAACTTGTTAATTGCAGCTGTTGGATTTGCAGCAGGTTTGGCCAACATGACAGATGGTAACATTTTATTTGATGGTGCTTCTTTGGGTAAGTACATGAGCAAATAGATAAAGGATGAGGAAAGAGATATTTGACTTTATTTTTTGTTTTATTTTATTTCATAGTTTTAATGCTTTTCGCCCTTTCTACTCATTCAACCACTGTTAGGCCTGGTAAAATACTATTTCATTTATGATATATATATATTTATGTGTGTGTGTGTATATGTAATATTTATACTATCTCTATACAGCAATCCAGACTATTTCCGAAACTGATGTTGTATCTGAATTGACAAAGAATTTAAAGAATATTGCTGCTGCTCATTTTATCATTACTCTTGCCATTACTGGTATTGTTGGATTACAAATCACTCATTATATTTTAAATAAGAGAGCAGACAATGCTGAAGCTGTTACTGCTTCAGATTCTAAAAAGAACAATTAATTAAAAAAAAAATGTATTATTATTGTAATTAAATAAAACAGTGTACTATGTATTTTATAAAATAAAATAAAAAAAAAAAAAAAAAACTACCAATTTTTATTATTATAAAATGTATATGTGACTTATTTACATGGGATATATTTTACAAAAGTATGATATACATATACATATGTATATATGTATGTATGTATGTATGTATTTAACTAGGGCAGTAGGAAGTAGCAGGTTCAGCAACAGAAGAAAGATGAACCCATGAATTGATATTAACATAGAGAGTATAGATCATGATACCAGTACCAAAGATAATAAGTAGATAATCCCAAATATGATCAAGCATCTTCTTAGAGACCTTTAAATGAAACATACCAGGGAAAATAAAGCAAAGGGGAACACAAGCGATAGAGCCAACCAAGGAAACGAACTTATCTAAATTATCACCACCAATTCCAAAGGCAATAGCAGCACAAACGATACATAAGATGGTTCTATACACATTCTTGGACCATTTGATACCAAGACTCTCTCTACCGCTTGATTTAAATTTATAAAAGAGACCGTTTTCAATAATTTTCAAGGCAGGGAAGAGCATCAAGGGTGCGGTAAGACAGATAGCAAGTGAATATAACAATTGAACTGTAATTGTTAAACGATTAGCAGAAGGGAAATTATAAATGACAGCAGATTGAGTCGTATCACCATAAGCCAAATATGAAAGTGTGCCAATCAAGATATAAATTACACAGACAATAATCATACCTAGCGTTAGAACAAAAGGGAATTTTTCGGGTCGCTCCATAGATTCAACGATTGGAATAACTTGAAGAATAAAAAAAAAAATAATGAGTAAGGTGATGAAGAAAAAAGAAAAAAGAAAAAAGAAAAAAGAAAAAAGAAAAAACTTACTTAAACCAATGCCTTCAAAAGAGAAAGTGGCAGTACCAATCATTAAGGCAAAGTCTCGAGGATTTACAGCAGCCACATTTGGACCAATACCAAAGTCCTTTAAACGAGCAGCTGTAAAATAGATAATACAGACCAAACCAAACAAAATCAAGATATCCGCAATTACAGCCGTAAAAGACAATTTAGCAATATGTCTAACTAATGCAAATGGAATCAAAATAATTAAGGGCATCCAAATATAGTACTTTTGAGCAATATGAGCAGTACAATTAGAAAGAACATCAACTACATTAACAAGATTACCCGAAACAAAAATAAAATAAGAACAAACAAAACCAATTTGAGAGATGCAAATGAAAAACAAGACAATAAAACGAACTATTTGTCCATACAGGACACCGCCAATGTCACCATAAGATCCACCAATTATTTTTTGTGTATTCACTAATCTTAAAAAAGCAAATAAGCAAATAACAGCAATGACGACCATTAAAACGATAGATAAAGCTAAACCACCATTTTGAAACCTACATGAGATGATGCAAAAAAAAAAAAAAAAAAAAAAAATCCAAATCATTATTATTATTAAATCAAAAAAAAAAAAAAAAAAACTTACGCTTTGGGTAAAAAGAGAACACCAGATCCAATAAATGCTTTCAAGAACATAAACATCGCTTTACCAACCGAAGCTTTAGGTGCAGTAGTATCTTCAAGATCTTCTACATGTGCTTCATCTATGAAAGATACTTCATGTTTATGTACAGAAGAGGATGGAATTGTTGAATCATAGCTATCTCTCTTTTCCTCATCAATCATATTATTATCGAGGTTAGGCTTAGAATGTCGATGATGATGATGATGATGGTCATCCAAGTGCTCACCAGCAAAGTTACTATAAAGTGATAAAGAAGAAATCGTTCTGGCCATTGACATTCGTTTTGCAGAAGGTCCAATAAATGAAGATGTATTCGTTCTGCTTGAAACCTTTGGACGAATCTGTTGTCGATTCATTTGATATTGTCCCGTAGTATTCATTCGGTTAAAATGAGGACGGGGCATATTATTTTGATTTGGCATTGTCGCCATAGGAGTAAAATGGGTATAACTTGTCCTCTTTTTGTCCTCCTTCCTATATCTTGGTAATTCATATGATTTACTGCGAATCTTTGATAGATCTGCAGTACCTCTTACGTTATTATTATTATTGTTATCTGACATAATATTAAGAAAGCAATGAAATAAGAAATAGAAATAATTAAAAAAAAAAAAGATAAAGTCAAGAAGAGTATGTTTTATAGGTAGAAGAATGATTCATTCATTCATTCATTCGTTTATATACAAATATATCTTAGTAGGCATATCTGACTTTGAAATATTTCCCAGCAAACCATTTTCATGTTTGTAAACTGGTAAAAAAAAAAGTGAAACCTATTCAGGTTTAGGAACTCTACGTCATATCCAAAACTGGCATTTGATCGTATAATAATAATAACACACCATCACATATTTATTAGACATTAAAAAGAGTATTCGAATCAAAATCAAGATTAGTATCATTATGCATTATAAAAGCATATTATCCTCAACTTATTGACTCAACATAATACCTATGTTGCTGTATAACAAAGGATAGAGATGGAAAGTAACAAAAAGACTAGTGTCCCTGATAAAAAAAAAAGTTAATTTTGATTTTCTTCCAATTACGGCCACATATAACTTACTATTATTATACCGACATTTTTTTTTAAAAAAAAAGGGATTACCATCAGATATGTCAGTTTAAATAGTCTATTCGTTGTACCTCATAAATCTATTAATATACATACAAATAGATTATACTAGAGTGAGTAGAGTGAGTGGAGTGAGTGGAGTGAGTAGTAGTAAATACATGATAACTAGAGTTGTCTTTGAGAAAAAAAAACTAAGTTTATGATAAAAATAAAGTATATTAAAAGATATTGCTATTAAAATAAAGTATATTTGCTTGACATAACGAAACAGCATATTCGAATTGCCATTGTACTAGATATAATAGAAATATGAAGGATGACATATATTGTAACAGTAGTAATAGCTTTTGGTGTTATGGTTGTTATAATTATGATATATCTTCATATTGATGCGTGCTACGTGTCCCAGAATTTATATCTATGGTAACAGCAACAATAGCTTCAAGAAGAATAAAGATTACCAAGTAACAAAGTGTAATATACATATCAATAGCATAAAAACTTATTAGCATTAAAAGAAATAGTAAACATGATCAATTTAATGCCGCTGTTGTGGGTTATGAAACAAATAGTCAGAACATATTATATGCATAAGCTGAAAGGTTGACTGTTCAAATAATCCATATAACGGTTCTCCCTTCTCTTTTGTTGTTTTACCTTTTTGTTTCAAATAGTGACTTATTTTATCAATGGTGTAACATTGTCAACTTCAAATTATTACTTGTCAAAATAAGATTCTAATATTTATTTGGATTATACTAAAAAAAAAAAATCAATCCAGTTAAAATAATAAGTAAATTCAAGCTAGGCTCTTACAAACGACCAAGTCAAACAACATACAAGACTAGGAAAAGAGAAACAAATATAGATAAATTATACAAACAAATTAAAAGGGAATGTCGGAGGAGGGAAAATATTCAGGGTAAATAAAAGGGAAATGTACATTTATGTAAAAAAAAAAAAAATGGATCGTATCCATCAAGTAAAAGATTATATGATTGGATAAAATTCAAGTAAGTCAACATTGTTATTTATTAGCGTAAATTTATTTTCAAAGCTTAATATTCAATATATTGAAAACTTTAAAAAAAAAAGACAATTATTGGAATTTTTTTTTGGTATCAATGATGATATCATAGTAACGAATTTATTTTACCCCACGTTCATTAATTCATTGTCATACAAATGACATAGTCAAATGAATGATGAACCAACCAATTGTTGTTATTCTCTTCGGACAACGGTCATATGATCCACTATGTTGACACGACTAAAAGTATGCTTCGGAATAACTTTATCAATTATAACTAACTAACACTTGTATATTAATGCTACAATGATTTTTTTTCTTTCTCCCCTTTCCACCTCCCCTTTTTTTGTTTTCCAAATCCAGTATTATTCATTCTCAGCAGATATGAATATTATCTTGATGCTCCTTATTCACTTCACTGTGATTGAAAATAAAAATTAAAGTCATGATATTCATTTTTTATAATAAAGACGAAAGATATGTATAACAGCTCCTTCTCTCTCTCTCTTTTTTTTTTTTTTTTTTTTTTTTATTCAATTCTTCTACTCAAAACACTATGTAATTCACTAGCAGGTTGCTCCAAAGTGCCTAATAATTTACGTGCAGGAGCCTCAATGGTACCTACTAATTGAGCTCGAAGTTGATTAAGAGGAGGTAAATCGACTATCTTTAAAATATCCTCTTGAGTCAGCAAGACATCATCTAATTTACCACCCAAGAGCAATAGTTTTTTGTTCTTGGACATTGTCTCCACTAATTTTTTTAGTGCACTGGGATCTTCAACCTTATTTAAAGATAAAACACAAGTAGGTCCTGCTATTAAGGGCTTTAAATTGGCATATTTTGTTTGACGTAAAATCGCAGAAAAGATGCCTGTACGTAAGACGGTAAACTTGGCTTGATTTGTTATTTGACTTATTTGCTGTCTAATCTGAGTGAATTCCTTGACTGCCAAATTGCTGTGTTGGAAAATAAACACAGCTTGATTGTTTTCTACAATCTCATTATATTGATTATAAAGGTAGGTACGTCTAGGAGGATGAACGACTGCTTTTTTTTCTGTAGCATCTATATTGCATATGATAGAATCTATTAAAACATATACATAGATATATATCATTATTACTTACAAGTACGTATACAACAGGGGGCAGCAACAAAAATGTTATTATTATTGACAGGTTTTAAATTACGAATCAATGAATGACTAACTATAAGAATTAAAAATTAAACATCATTACAAGTCTTTATAGATGACACTCTTTCTCTTTCTCTATTTTCTTTTTCATTTTTTTTTAATTCCATAAGTTCATTAATTACCAGATCTTAAAGACATTATTATGTGGAGAAATAGTTTTTTAAAAAAAAAATATGGATGTTAATTAACGGGGATTGTTCTGCATGCTTGTCTAAACAGACCCACCAGTCTATGAAATTCAAGGTCACACTATGATATTATCCAATCATATTGTTTTGAGTTTGAATTTATATTTATTTCATATTAAAGTAGGAGTAGTAGTAGTAGTAGTAGAAGAGACTTGTAAGTACATGTTAGTAGACTGCTTAATTCATTCTATATAATAATTTATATTAGCCTAGCTTTCCCATCTTCTTTTTTTTTTCTTTCTTTCAATAACTATATAATTTATTCTAAAAGCAAAACATGTCCTATTAAATCGAGAATTGTCTGAAATTTAATAAAGTAAAACTTTGTAGTATAAATGAGCCGATGTTTTACATTTTGAATGAAATAGTTAAATAAACTAGAGTTTAAAGAAATTACAGTTTATAGAAAAATGTATGTAAGATAAACTATATTTTACTAATAAAGAAGTGATAAATTTACCAGTTTGTTGTATTAAAGTCTGCCCTTACTATTTTTTTTTTATTTATTTTGTACTTGATAAAAAAAAAAAAAATTTCCGCTCAACCAGCCAAAAATTCTCGTTTGAGTTATTTTTTTTTTTTTCTATCAAATTCTATTTTTTTTTATCTCCTTTTTTTCTCCTTATTTTATTTTTTTTTATTTCTTCTTTCCTCCCCAAACTATCTCGATATTAAAAGAAAATGACCCGTAAGTAGCATAAGGATAAGAAAGATAAGGTAATATAAAACTAAATGTAAATATGTAAAGGTGGTAATCAAAGAGAACAAGCTCGTTTAAAGAATTTGAAAAAGAAGGAAAAAGAGAATAAGGGAAAGACTAACCTTAACGGGTTAACTATAAATCAAAAGAAAGAAAAGTAATGAATCTTGTGTGTAAATGGGTTTAAAAATAAGAAAAGTAAAGAACTTTGGTTTTGTAATTAACCCAGTTCTTTTTTATTTTTTTTAGTGATGCTGCTATCATGCGAGCTAAACAAGAAGCTGCTCTTGCAAGAAAGGCACAAGAGGCTGCTAACGGTGGTGCTAATGGAAAGAAGAAATAAGATCCCTTTTCTTATAAATGTTTCCTTGAATTAGCATACACATATTAAAATTTTCTGTACTCTCATATATACACATATACATTCATATACATTCTAGTTTATATACATAAAGAAAATTATATACACTTTGTAGACAAAAAAAAAGTAAAATAAAACTGAAATGACTACACTGCACTTTTTATAATGGATTATAAAGTTTATCCGCTACAGTTAGCTTCAAAAAGTTAAATCCTCTTTTTAGTAAAGCAATACTCTTCTATCATCTGCGCTATCCTTCAAGAAATTGAAGTATGATGGCATCTCTTTATGAGTTACTTTTTTTTTTTTTTTTTTTTTTTTTTTTTTTTTTTTTTTAATTAAACTCAATCATCTGTTAATAATTCTACATTAAAAAGGAGTATTATTATCACAACAAAACCGAAAAAAAAGGCAAATGTCAAACTCTAATAATTTGATTTATTATGGTATATTTCAATGAAGGTTACATAATACATACAATAATACTAGCTACTACAACGTAGATCATAGTTGTGCAAAAAAAAAAAAAAAAAAAGGATTATTATGTAATCCGATTTTTTTTTATTTTTATTTAATATTAAAATAATAATAATCATGGTCAACTTTTCCTCTCTTCCAAAAAAAAAAAAAGACAATGGGATATAAATATAAAATTAATCCATCTTCTTACGATATCGCAACTCATGTTCAGATAGAAATCAAACCTCATGACCTTATTTATATAGATCTGATCAAACGTCGATTAAATAGAAACATTGTAAATAAATATATATAAAGAAATGTTCTTATATCATCCTATTGATCCGTTTTGAATTAGATTAGAAAAAATGATCAAATCAAGTGGCACGTTCATGGCAAAGATTTAATAATCAATATTCTCAATGTAGAAAGTTCAGTTAATTCCAATCTTGAAAAAAAGATCAATAATGATACTCAGTTTTCATTTACAAAACATGTTGCCCCCACTATTGAACTATCTAATGAGGATCAAAAAGACATTTACATTACGAGTTTAAAAGAAATGATGCGTAAATACATGTACAAACAAAGTTAATGTTAAATTAGACTAATTTACATGCAATGTTTTTAGGGAGTTCATTAGAGAATTCAGAGGCTTATTATAAACTTGGTATTCCTGTTGTTAAATCTATTTTGATACATGGCGTATCTGGTGTAGGAAAAAAGAGACTAGTAAAGTAAATATACATGATAATAATAATAATAACATTAACAAAAAAAGAAAAACATGTAATTTAATCAATTGCTTGGTAGACTTGTCAATGAAGTACTTGGTTGTACAATGTATGAAATATCAATTCACGATTTACTTTTATTTAATGAAGAAGAATATGATCTTGTTCAATTCAAAAAATATAATCCTTTCTCTTTATTATTGAATAAAGTTATTCAACAGCATATACCAGCTACAATTGTTATACATGATCTAGATGCACTTGATAAAAATAATAACAAGACAACAAAGATATTAACTATTTTATCAGAAGGGATTCAAAAGATTGTTAACAAGGGATCTAGTTGCTCTGTAATCGTTATTGGCTTAGCATGTCAGCTTAGATCATTGCCTCAATCACTTCAAAATTCAGATATATTTGGACAGCATATGTTAATTCCTATACCCTCACGGTAAGTTATCAAAAGATAAAAAATAAACAAGTACTTATACAATTATCTCAAGTCCACAACGAAAGGCGTTGTTGAAATATTTCTTGAAAGATTTGCAATTAAAAGAAATAGAATCAGAGACAATAGATACGATTGATTATTATGCAACTCAAATTAGTATGGTAAATATACATTTAGTATATATGTTTACAGTAACATGTATTAATGAAAAAAAAAAAAAAGAAAACATCTGGTTACGTCGCTAGAGATTTAAAACTACTTGTTCGACAAGCTAAATTAAAAGCAATGAGATCTGTTCATGACTCGAATCATAACTTGATTGATCAATTTAAACAATTATCGATATCAACAACTGAACAAAAGAAATATAAAGTCCAATTATCAGATTTTGAGTATGCATTAGAGATCTATAGACCTTCTCAACAAATAGGAATACCAACAGAATCAATTACAAGAAAAAAGAAATCAAAAAGCTGGGATGATTTAGGCGGTTATGAAAAGATAAAGGATAGAATAAAGCAAGCAGTTTTATTACCTTTATTAAAACCAGATGTATTTATCAGATTAGGAGTGAAGCCTCCATCAGGGTTATTATTGTACGGTCCATCTGGTTGTGGTAAAACTGCTCTTGCGCAAGCATTAATGTCAGAATCAATGATGAATGTTATATCTATTAAAGGGTTCATATTAGAATTTACTTGCTATTTTTTTTTTTTTTTTTTTTTTTTTTTTGCTAATATGTTGTAATAGGCCTGAAATATTTTCAAAGTATCTTGGCGAAACAGAACATAAAATACGAACATTGTTTTCTACAGCTAAACGTATTTCTCCTTGTATCGTTTTCATTGATGAAATGGATTCAATAGCTACAAGAAGAGGATTTGATATGAATGATGAGGGAAGTAATGGAGTCAATGAGCGTGTCTTGAGTACATTGCTGAATGAGATTGATGGTGTTGAAGGTAGACAAGGTGTTGTTGTAATCGGCTGTACGAATCGACCAGATCAAATTGATGATGCTTTACTTCGACCAGGTCGTCTTGATCAACTTATCTATGTTAAATTACCTACATTTGAAGATCGTGTAGATATTATTCAAAGACTTTTAAAAACTATCTCTGTTACAAATAATAAGGATGAAGCGATTGATCCTATTGAATTAGCTAAGCAAACCGAATTTTGTTCTGGTGCAGATTTAGAAAACCTATTTAGGTAAATGTATTTATAGTATATCTAGATTACAAGTATACTAAATAAGTATATATGTATATATATTAGAGAGGCTGGTACAGTAGCTCTCCGGAAGGATATAAATACAAAATATATTACTAAACAGCATATTCAAGAAGTAATAATACCAATTTGTGAAAAAGCAGAGGATCAAATATTAGATGGAAGACTAGATATTTATGAACGATTTTTACATGAACATCAGCAATAGACTTGCGTATATATAATATATTAACGGATTATACATGTCATTTTATACATATACATATTTGTATATAAATATACAATGTATGTCATTTTTTGATTTGTGTCGGGTATATCTTATTTTAAGGGAATCTATTTTTATTGGCTTATTTAAGGTTGATAATCCTATGTAGTATAAAAAATCAATAGCAGCAGCCACTTACTAATAATTATACCTTATTACAGTGTATAATATAAAAATAGCCCTTTTGAGTAACAAAGAAAAGGATATACATGTATTTATATATATAATACTTTTTTTTTTTTTTTTTTTTTTTTACTACTTTTCTTTCTTTCTCTTTTTTCCTTTTCCTTTTTCTCCTTATTTATATATGTATGGTGATGGTGTCATTTATATCAAAGATAAAGAATAAATATCGAATCTTATTTTTATGTACTTTATTTGTATCCTTTTCACTCTATTTTTCTAAAAAAATGGGTTTCGAAAATCAAAATTTGACATTCATCAATAATGTACAAGACGAGGATAACTTGAGAATAGAAGAATGTAAAACTACAAGCCGTCGAGACTTTATTCATTCCAATCATACTCAACTGCCCGAAAGAAATCATTTCTATTTGAATATGAATAACAATACACTTACATATCAGCCTCATGTCCTCGTCTTATCCATTGTACAAAACCATCAAGACTATATAGATCATTTCTTTCAATTATTAGATAATACTCATTATTCAAATAATCGTATCTCTATCGCCCTTTTGGTCTCTGACTCTAGTGATCAATCCCTTGAGAAACTCTATACAGCCATTCATCAATTTCAAAATAGATGGAGACAGACACAGACGTTTTATAAAATTGACGTCTATGAAAAGAATTTTCAATTAGATTCTAGACCTGACACAATGGAGGATCCCTTAAATTCAAAGAGAGCTTATTTGGCAAGAGCTAAAAATTTTCTCTTAACAGCAAGTTTAAGAGAATATCATGAATGGGTTTCATGGATAGATATAGAACTTTATGATTATCCAAGGACAATCTTTGGAGATTTGATAAAATTTGACATGGATGTCATCGTACCTAATTGTTTATTAAAACGAGAGGATGATAATGAATTTTGGGGTTACGATCGAGATAACTGGCAAGAAAGTGACTTGTCTTTAGAAAGACAATATAATTTACCTGAACACGAAGTTTTAATGGAAGGTATAAACAAAATAAATAAATAAATAAATAAATAAACTAATCACGCTACTATAACAATCCTACTCTTCTTATTCTAGATTATAATAAATATGCAATAGGTCGTCATTTAGTAAATATTCATCTACTTGTATAAGTCTATATCGAGTACTAACTTAACTTTATAAATAAATAAATATATACATATATATACATATATATTTATATAGCTCATAAATATGCCAACAAATACTGGAAAAGAGGACATTGTACCATTAGATGGGGTGGGTGGTACGTTTATATTCGTTAAATCAACTGTACATAGAGAAGGCGCCATATTTCCTCCGTTTATCTATCAACATCATTTAGACACAGAAGGCTTTGCAAAGATGGTGAAATCCATGGGCTTTTCTGTTTATGGTATTCCAAGTTATATCATATATCATTTTTAATATAAATAAATAAAATTAAAGTTACCTGAAGGATGGCCAATTTACCCCTAGTCAGTTCAAAAAAAAAAAAAAAATTAATATTAACGAAAGGAAAGTCAAGTTAATATTATGAAAAGAGAAAAGGGTTTTAGGAATAGGGTTCGGGTAGTCGGTCTATATCAGGGAGTGTGTCTAAATTCGGAATAGAATTATAAGCTAAATAGTCTAATCTCATGTCATATAGGAATATATGAAGGATCAATTTATCTTCTTTCTTGGGCGGTGTTTTCTCTTATATATCTTGGACTAATTCTCTTCGATTAGGTTTATAAAGGGTAAGTTGGGAAGCATAAATAATAGCTTACATCCCTATGCTTCAACTGCTTTCAGAATAAAATGACTGTGGTAGACTTTATAATTATCCATCATGATGAAATTCATTTATATCCATAACTGATTTTGATAAAACATAGCTCTGTCTTCCTTCATAGGCTCACAATATAATATCGAAGCTCGAATATCTAGAATACATCTCCCTCCAGGGCATATTTACTTGTCTATATGAATAGTATTATGTATTTTTTCCCCCTTAGTATAAACATATAAACCACGATACAATCGATATTTATATGTCATAATGAGCGTACCATTTTATTCCTTCTTACATTTGTAAAAATTACTGATGAATTATTATTAACCAAGTTCATAATAAAAGTCATTATGACTACTAAATAGATTCATTAAATCTCTCAAAAGATATTAACTGGTCGAGATTGTTCTTCTGCATTCTCTTGTTAACAAAAACATTAATATTTATGTCTCTTATATAGGACAGCAGAAGTTTTTATTTTTCTTTACTAACAAGTTTTACGTTGTCTAAATTTTTATATTAATGCATCTACAATTAACAAAATTTTTAACAAAGTGTTACTTTCACCCGAAAAGACTGTAACAATAAATTATGATTAGTCCTCCGCAATCCTTCATGTGAAAAAAAAAAAAAAGACCCCCATAAATTATTATTACTATTTGGTCTATCCTTCTTTTGCTCTCATCTTAGGAAAATGACCTTGATTACATCAATAAAAGATTACATAAAACGACATCGTCAAGGTCTTTTAATTACTGCTACTATTGCTGGTGGTGGTTACTTGGCTGGAAAATATGCTTCTAATAAACTTCGAGATATTCAAGAAAAGTCTACTGCTGAGAGATTAGCAAAAGAAAAGTAAATAACGTAAAATGGATTTTCATAACTTTTCTTTTTCTTTTTCTTTTTAACCTTTTCTCCCTTTTTCTTTTTAATATTATTATTAACATAGCCTTAAACGTCGATTTCAACAAAACCAAAATGATTGTGTATTTACTGTATTATCACTTTTGCCTACATTGGGAGATCAGATCTTGACAGAGATGAACATTGAAAAAGATTGGGCTAAATTACAAGAATCAAGAAAACTTGAAAAAATCGAATTAAAATTAAAACAAGAGAGGGAACATGCTGCTATCTTTAAAGAAGAGCAAGAAACGATGAATCAGTTAAAGGAGACAACAGTAGATTCTGTAGTATTGATAGAAAATAATCAAACGCAGGAAGAGTCGGAACAAAAGAATAATAATAATCAAACTATGCTGGATTCAAGTGTAGGAAGTTTAACTTCTTCAATTAGCGAAGTAGATCAACGACCTGCAGGCATTTTAAGTAAAAAGGAAAAACATATTCTCTGGGAAGACATCAAGTCAAAAAGTAACAAGTTATATTTGTGCATGTATCGTAACATTTATTCATCTATTTTTTTTTTTTTGTATTGTTTCATATGCAGGCTTTATTCGTACCTTGACATCTATTTATTCAGTCACATTGTTGACCTTATTAACTCATATTCAATTAAATCTATTGGGTCGATTTACATATATTTGGTCTGTCTCTATCCTTAATAAAAGTGAGCCTACGATTAGATTACAACAAGAAGGTGAAGAACCTGATGTTGGATTCTTGGATCCTCAAATTGAACGTATGTTTTTGAGTGTAAGTTGGTGGCTACTCCATCGTGGATGGAAGAGTTGTGCAAAAAGAGTAGAAGAAGCTGTCAATGAAATAGTTTCAAGGTATATCCCTACAAAATAGCCCAAATAATGATGATAAGCAGTTTAACTCGTTATATGATAGTATCCCATTGAAGAGTACATTGAATTATCAAGAAGCAGAAGAATTATTAAGTAAGCTTCGTACACGAATTGAATATGAACAAGACAATAAGCCAATTAGGTAGGTAAACTAAGACGTATATATCACATGCATGACTCTTAACCTCCTCCTTCTCTCCCAAAACAAGTTATCAATCATGGATGCTGCCTAATACAGAAGAAGAAGAGTTAGAATATATTCGAAGCGTTGGATTTGATGAAGTATATGCTAAAGAAAATACTTCAACTATTTCCCTTAAAAAGTTATTAAATGAAACAAGAGACTTTATTGATAGGTAAAAAAAAAAAAAAAAAAAGCTTAATAGCATCTATTGTTTAACATTTTGTCTATAGTCCTGACTTTTATCAAGTATTAAATTCATGTTTAAATGAAGTATTTGCTATCTTTAATCATCATACTTTTGTAACGTCTTTATTACCTCAAAACAATTCTTTAATGTTGGGCAGTAGTATTCGAGAGCTTTCACCTGCTGAAGTGCTTCAATTAGAGAAACAGGAAAGTAAAAAGATGACATTGGCTAATCTTTTACCTATAATTGGTAGACAGTCTCATCTAGTCATTGCTGGAAATGAATACTTGAATGTAAGAAACATAGACAGTTACTTGATATTGTTTTTATTTTGTAATAACCATCTTATAATTAGGCTTTTGCATATATTAAAGAGTTACAAGCTTTCTCTGCTTTAATTTACACATACTATGGTGATGAGGTAAAAATAGCTTAATAAAGATTACATATATTCTGATTTCATGTTTCGAGTGCTGCTGCATATAAAATTATATTTATTCCTTTTTTTCTTTTTTAAAAGAAAAAAAAAACCTTGATATGCTCAATAAATCTTGCTTATAAAATTTAGCAGATAAAATTATTTTACCTTTGTTTTTAATGCAGTATTATTCGCGTATTAACCAAAGCACTTGTCCAAAAAAAAAAAAAAAAAAAAAAAAAAAAATCTTCCTTCTGTATACTTTGATACCTTGTGAATGATAAAAAGGAACTATTCTCTCAGATGCGTAGATTAATTGAGTGTGTGCCATTTAAAAAAGTCATGATTTCAAAGGTTAATTTGCATCAACATGGACTAGATGAGTAAGTTTAAACTTGACTAGTTTGTATTGAACAAGAAAGATATTTTTCTTTTTTTTTTCTTTACATGTAAAGATAGAAACCAGTAACATGAACAAAAGTGTATTAATACTTTATTTAAATATTTTTTTCCACTTACAAGCTATTCATCATTGGTAATAAAGAAGTGTATATTTAATTCATGATGAATTTAGTAATCCATAAACATTTTTTTTCCATGTGTATACATATACATTAATAAAGAAGAAGTTATCTATCCAGCTATACACTACACATCTTTATTATTATTATTATGTTGAGTACATATTCAAGAAATACGTTAAAGAAAATTCACACTTTTAAATAATATTTAGGAAATAATAGATTTTATTACAATTATACAGTTTATAAGCAATAATATGTATTTTATATATAAAAGAGAGCTAAAAAATAAAAGTTAGTAAGAACATTATTTTATAAAAAAATAAAATAAAAAGTCAATAAAAAACCAATTGAACATTCAGGTCTAAAATATGGGGTGGAGGGTCTAAAATATAACATTATGGAGAGATAATACTAGAATGACGATTGTTGAGACCAAGTTGCTGAAGAGACCCATTTGTTGCACCCAGCCCGGTGGGGATATAGAGACGCCTACCCTCTACCTATTACCCATCAGTAAAGGGTAGAATGATATACTAGTTGCCCACCTTCACATCTACCTGTCAATGTGTCCCGCATAGATAGAGATATATTTATATGTATATCGTCATCATTATGTTCAAGTCTATGGTTTTTAAAGAAGAAGAAGAAGAAGAAGAAAGAGAATAAGATAAGAGAATAAATAGAGAAGAAGAAGTATAATAAATAGAGAAGAAGAAGGATAATAATAAGAAAAGATAATAAAGAATAAGAAGGATAATAGTAAGAAAAGATAATAAAGAAGAAGAAGGATAATAGGGAAGAAAGAGGAATTTTGTTTGAAAAATAAGACGTGTTTATATCCCTTTTTTTTTATTTTTCCTTTTTTTTTTTTTTTTTTTTTTTTTTTTTTTTTTTTTTTTTTTTTTTTTTTTTTAGCTTACTTTTTTTAAGGAGAGAAAATGTAGAGTAAGTGTATTAAAATATACGTGTGATTAATTATGAAAATCATGCATTGTATAAATTTTTTTTTAAAAAAAAAAGCTAAAATTATTATGTGTACTACTGCAGTCTAAAGAAGGAATATGTTTCATCAAAAAAAGTAAATAAATATTAATTATAATTTGTATTCTATACAATTAACTAACTACTCTTCTGTAATAAAACAAAGCATTAAACATTTTATATCTTTTTATCTTTTTGTTCATGTATACATTATTATAAGCAAAGCATAAAATGTACCTTTTCAAAAAAGGAGAAGATAAGGAAAAAAATGTAGTAATTAAAAAAGATAAACAAAGGAGAAAGTAGGAATTCAAAAGAGGAAACATGTATACAATATGTAAATAACGAAAGGAGCCTAGGCCGTTTTTTTTTTTTTTTTTTTTTTTTTTTTTTTTTTTTTTGCTTTGTTTCTTAATCAAGAAGAAGGATCAGCACTAATGTATTTTCATATCATGCATATTGTTCTATTAATATATTATTTTAGGTTAACCAAATGGCGTATAATATTACTATACTATATAGAAAGTAGCGTGTAACAAACAACAATAAGCAAAATCTAGAGCGTACATAAGCTAATGTTATCTTTATTACTACATAGTACAGCATAGTATAGTACAGTGCAGTATAGTACAGTATAGTATGTATATAATGACTGTATCATGATATTATCATTTTATATACAAGGAAATCAATTTAAACATTTTCATAGACACTAATTTAATAAGAAGAAACAAAATAAAGACGTATGTAAACAATCTAAACATATAAGCCTCATTATATATTTAATTTATGATGTGTATAGGCAATATAGTAAATTATTATGATTTACTATATGCAGCAATGTAAATACTGAGGATAAGAAAAGTATGCATATTTTTTTTTTTTTGCTAATTTCTTGTGTTTCCTCACGCAGATTTAAAAAAAATGGGGGGGGGGGGAGAGAGAAGAAGAAGCACAAGAAATTAGAAAAAAAAAAAAAAAAAACACCGGTTGTTTGAAGTTCAATTCGTGGATTGTGAGAGGGTCATTTCACACTTTATTTTATATAAAAATATTAGGTATTGAATTGGAATATGATTCAAACAGTTATCAAACTGGTTCTTTGAATGTTGAATTATATTTTCAAAATGTTGAATAGGAACTTCATTCGCAGCACCGACAATTCTTTCTTGCAGGGTTTCGGTATCTTTAAGCTTTTAACGTCTAACTTTATGTTTAACCAACGCCCAAAATTGCTCGATGGGATTAAGCTCTGGCGAATATGGAGGAAGATACACGCACTTATAGTTGTTATAGAACAAGCTCTGTATATAACATCTTGTAAATAATATAAAACTTATTGACATCCAATCGTCTAGATGTATCAATTATAAGACATCGTATCATTTCTAAAATCTTTATTTTTATAACCTCGACAAAGGATTCAGGTCGTCTTTGATCTAATAAAATAAAATATAAAAAATATCAGGAACATATACTCAGATTGAATAATAAATTTTTTATTTAAAACTTAATCAGATCAATCCCTTGAATCAACAAGACGTGTATATATGAATACTAACATTGTTCCATGACTCTTGTTCTTTTCTATTTATTTTATCTCTTTGATTTAGGATTCATTAGTATAATACATGTAGTTGTGTAGACACGAAATAGTCCTTATATCATTCTTTTTGCATTAAATAAACAAGTCTCAAACTATACTTCCTTCTGTTCTCTTTCTTTTTTTTTCTTCTTTAAATTATACCATCACATTTAATATGCACATTATTTGAACTCACACTACTGTTATAATTTTTGTCAATTATCCTCATATGTGTGATAAGCGACTTTAATAACTTTACCCAATATAGGATTATCCATATCAATTACATCCATTATACGGATTTTAGTTTCGTGCTGATTGGAGACTAGCAATTAAGAACTTATCAAAAGCTTCAGCATCCGTCATATTAGAGATACCCGATTTTAATTTTTAGAGACTTATGTGTACATCAATCAGAAATGAATGATATTTGCTCTAACCTTAGTATTTATTCTGAAAAAATCAACAATCAAAAATCAGCAATCAAAAATCAAAATTGTGTGTGTGTGTGTTTTTTTTTTTTTTTTTTTTTTTTTTTTTTTTTTTGTAACTTAAAATACGCCCGTAATTCTCATTTTAACGATATATAGCCTCAATCTATAGGTTCTTTGTCTTGTATAGCCAAGTTTTGGTACCAAATATTTATTGTAGAATTCACTAAGGTGGTAGCAGATTTGCCTGTTTGATCATTGTCATAACTTCTAAAGTTTTTATAGCTCTCTACATATCTTACCCAACTACCAATGTTAAGAGGATTCATAGATCTTCTATCATTTTTATCAGCTTTGGCCACTAAGTCAATATCCTTAATATCCTTCCTTATTATTAAAGTAGTTATTTTTAATGTTAGATAGCTTATTCGATGTATCAGCTATAACAAGTCTGCCATCAGTTTCATACCGTTTTTTTTTTGTTCCCCCATCATTAAAAATTTACTATTTATATTATATTATGTTATTATTATTACTGTTATTATTATCGTCTATCATTGATGAGTCAATTGCCTCTGAACTAATATTTTTTTTTCATTATCCCAAAACTGTGTTCTATAAAAAGTTGTCTGCTTATTTTTGCCATACAAGTTTTTTTTTATATTAACTTATTCTTTCATGTTTTTTCATGTACGTCGTTGTTTTTTAATTTGTTAAATTTAATAATATTTTCTTCGTTTGTCAATTCTTTACATAATATTTCTTCTATTTCAAGTCTTTGTGTATAACCAAACTAATTTCCTTACTGTTACATATTATAATTTACAAGTATTCTGTAACCGCAACAAATATGACAGTAGTTCTAAATAAATAATGTGTAACTTTTTATAGCAATTGTACTACACAATACGTATTAACTTTAGAGCCCATCCTCCCTTTTTCATTTTTTTTTTTATTTTATATGAGAAAAAAAAATTATTGAAGAGGAAGTCCTTTATAGTGTAGAGGTGGATTAGATTCTGTTCTTGTTTGCTTCTACTACAGCCGTGTTACTCCCAGGAATGCCCTCAATGCTGCGGGCTTTCCTCTCTTGCATGGTAGGAAATGACCCCGCGATTTAACAACATCTTTTTATCGACCTCCATTGGAGGCCTGGTGTTGAACATTGGATCCTGGAAGGTAGCATGTTATCATTAAAGCTCAGAACTAACCCCGATTTTATTATTTAATCACTCCCATCTACAGCTAACAAAGTTCATCTCTCCATGATCGCCGCTTGGCCAACAGAAAGGCGCTGCCCTTTCCGATCAAGTTGTTTTATTTACCACAATTTTTTTCTTTATAAACCCAAGATTTTAGGTGTAGTTGCCGAGTTGTGGTATTCAAAAAAAAAATAAAAATAAAAAATATTTCCCTTTTATGCATGCATATGCTATAATCTCATATCATCAAACAAAATTTTTTATAAGAATTCAATGACCATCGAAATAAATAAGTATAGTCAGAGTTATTAAATTCTAGACTTAAAGTATCTGGGCAAATAATATAAGGGAAAGCGACTTCAACTTATTTATGTATTATACTTCTTCATGTTTTATAAACTTAAGGAAGTTGGTACACTCTACTGACAATGCTAAGTAGGATTATTCTGTCGTAACTAATATTTTTCTAATGCCTCCCTGATCTTAGATATTCTTATATGAATACCTAACTGTTAAAACCATAGATAAAACTGTAGTATTACTTGTAAAATATCAAATAATATAAAGACAAAAGAAAGTCAAGAGTCAATAATTTTTATTTAGCTATTTATAAGAATTGTTAAAGAAGTCTAAGATAAGATTCGAATCAAAAAAGTGTTAGTTACGACCGAATAAGATATGTTATAAATAATAAATTGTTAGAAGTTTTAATATTATTTGATAAAGTGGATCAATAGAATTTTTCAGAGGAATCTAGATAGAATTCCTTGATCCACTTGTTTAATCAAGGAACATGATATTATAAGTCAGTTCATGACATCAAGTCTTGAAAAAGCCCGTCAATTAGGCAAACAAACAATGCGGTGTGGTTAGGTGTTTGGGAGCATAATCCTTCAGCTATTAACTTTTATACATGTCAAGGTTTCTATAAAGTGGGATGCCATATATTCAAATTAGGTTCACAAGAAGATACAAATCATATCATGATCAAGAAACTTTAGATTTGCTGCAATATAATTATTATTATTTATTTTATTTAACGTACATTAAAATGAATCGGTTCTATTCCAGTTATTACAATGGCTGTAAAGAAACCTTATAAAGACTAGAAGGGAGATAAGAAGAATGATATATAACATGTTACTATATACTAAATATAAAGGAGGAAATGTATTTTTATAACAACAGCGAAAATTTCTTTTTCAAATCTCCACTGTTGCTACATTTTAGCTCGGGAACAGCATAAATATCTCTTTTTGTAATAAAGATATTAATTAGAATAATTAGTTCTGATGATGCCTATTTTTTCCTAATATGTATATATACATATATATATACTTCATAGCAATAATACGTATTACTACTGTATTTTCATTACAGCTATCTTCTCTGTAAAATTTACGGCTTTTGAAATATAATTCTTAGCCTCTTTTGGCCTTCAAGTTTGTAGGAATTGACAAGTATTTAACAATATATTACACAGAATAAGGGATTTATTAGGCAATCTATTTCAACTTTTTTTTTAATATCTTATCCACTCGACCTTATCTGTATTTCTTTTTAACCATTTTCAAATATCACTGCGTACTTATTTTGTTCAAATAAATCAAGATCTTTAAAAGGAAGAAAGAGCCTTTTTTTTTTTTTTTTTTTTTTTTTTTTTTTGACTGAAAAAATAATATCGAATGAATACTTTTGCAACAAAATTTTCTAATCCGCAGAACGGATTAAAATATTTTTTTCTCAGGAACAAGATACTGCTTTACCGTAGAAATCAAATTTTGTTTCGTTGATGCATGGTTATTGACCTTGATGTATATACAGCTAACATAATCACTTATCGAGATTTGGCCAGCATAAACTTTTGTTAAATTTTGAATATTATGTTGAAAATCTTCAATTCAAATAAAATATAAAATAAATAGTATGCTTTTATGATAATATAATTTATATTTACTATTGTTAAGCTGTCTTCTTAAATCTGGTAACAAAGAAAAAAAATCCAATATATTTAATGAACGAACAAGTCATGAAAAAATTAGTAAATAACATCAATTTCGTAGTCTATTTCTAATAACATAATAATCATATATACAAATATATATTTTGTGAGGCAAAATATGACTTTAAATATATAAAATTGGATAAAGGAAGAGTTAAGATTATTTATTTTGTTTATACAATATCTAGATAACGTTTCAGTAAAATAAAGGAAAAAAAAAGTTATATATTCTCAGAAAAGAAATACTTTGCATTTATCACTGTTATAGTTACAGAATTGTTATATTTATCAATATCTTCTTTTTTGAAGTAATCGAAAACATTCTTCTTTACACTAGCTTATAAAGAGATATCGGTTGTTATTACAATGTTCTTGATAGAGTTTTTTTTTTAAGTCTTTGTTCCTAAGTAAGCCATAACATGATGTATATTATTAGCTAGAGAAGCTTGCTAAACAATTAAAAGAGCCTGTATATTACGTTTACTTGTGATTATTTCCTGAGATGTTGATTATGATTAAACATAACAACTATAGATCTGTATCTGTATATGCTCAAAATAAGGCTTTTCAAACGCTCTATTATCTTTCTATGATCTGAGGACCATAATGATGCCAAGGTACATCATACACATTCATATGATATATTTATATATACATTTATATATACATTTATATATAAAAGGGAGGGGAGCGTTTAAAGGATTTATTTCTTGTATATGGTCTAACTATAATAGTATCATATAATATTAATAACATTGTTCCTCTTGTATCTACTACCGTTGCTTGGTAGAATATAGTCATAAAACATCATTATTCATGCTACTGCTGGTGTGAAAAGAAAAAAAAAAGAGTTGCTGGTGTAGTACAAAAAATAAGAATAAATAAAAAAATTAAGGGTTCATTTGACTTGGTGGGGAACCCTTGAAGTGATTCGATTCCACAGCCTAGGCTTGGGCTAAATATGCTGCGAATTCTAGTCACTCTCCAAACACCCGTGTTACTTTCATCAGAAATAGAGGATACACATACGGCTATATTTACTATAAACACCCCACTTATACCACCACCGCCATTTATACCTACAACTACAATACTACTACCAACACATCCTTACTAATGTTAATCATCACTACACAATACCAGTATTACCTACTACCACTACCACTACCACCACCACCACCACTACTACTACTCTTACTATTTTGTCATGCTTTTTTTTTTTTTTTTTTTTTTTTTTTTTTTTTTTTCATGTCGTATTTTTTTAACACCGTCACGAAGCATAAATTCTATCACTGTATTTTATTTTATTTTTTTATTTTTTAACCGATCAGTTTAGATGGTCATGTCAACATTACTTTTGGATCAAGAAAACGATGCGGCTACTGTTATTAAAAGAAACGGGTTAGTCTGCACAGAAGATAATGACCTTGATGAACCAATTAAGAAAATAGAAAAAACAATTGAGGACTATACTTCGAATCTTCCTTTAGGAAAGACAATCTATTTATTGCTCAATGTACATAATCATGTTTTTGAGAAAGCAGTAAAATCTATAAAAGAAAGTACTTCAACTGAAATTTTGATAAAAATGAGTGAATGTAAGTTTTATTTTTATTATTTTCCCCATTGAATGATTACAAGTTTTTCATAAGCTTTTCCATGTCTATAGCACCTACCATTCGAGCTATTATGTCTATTGAGAATTATTTAGCCCCAAATGAAACTCTCTTTAAGCATGTGTTTGATCCATTAAAAGAAAAGATTTTGAAACGTCATCCAAACGAAGCAGCTATGCACTTGATAGGTTATTTTATTCTTGACTCTGTTCATAATAAACAAATACAACAGTTTTTTGTCCAAGAACTATCAAGATCAGATAAGAAAACACAACTAGCTATTATAATTTTATTACAATTTCTATATAAACAATCTATAGTATTAAGGGATAATTGTCGAGATATGACCCTGTTATTTCTCCCATCTTTAATTTATATAATTGAAGAGTGTGGCCAAGCAACAACATTGCTTGCTTGTTCAGCTTATAATATAGCAGCACAATTTTGCCAGTACAATTTACTTCACCTTCACGATAATTATATAAAAGAAAATGACTCCTTAAAAATTATTGAATTAGATGGATCCTGTATTTCAAGCAATACTATTGATCAGATACTTTGGAGTACTATCGAACAATTACTTATAATTTTGGAAAAGGTATTTAACTGTTTATATATAAAAGGAGATGTATATTTATTTTATATGTATAGTGGCATGTATCTAAAAATCAGCTTGAAATAATCACGTATGAAGCATTACATAAATTTCTATCTTATTCCAAAGATAATAATACGAATAAAGCTATTGCTGGAGAATGGAATCGAATTCTTACTTATTTGACACCCAAAGCAGTTTTATCTGATAAGCCACTAACACCAAAAAAGCAAAAAAAGATACTTGATGATAAAGAAATATCGCCTCTGACTCATATTATTTTACTAATCTTGCTACAAAAGGGCAACTGGATTAAACTTTATGGACTCTATCATGATACAGTTGTGCTCTCTACAGATGAAGAAGAGATTAAATCATTACTGTCAAAGGATTGCCAAGCCATTCTCAAGACAAATATACCAAACATTCAATCATGGATAGCACAATTAACAATTCAATTTCCTGATTTGTTCTCAATAGAATACATAGAAAATGAGGATTTGATCCAAGCCATATTAGATCAGACAACTGACGAGTCCACTGAAACAATGATACAATTATCATCCATCATTAAAAAGCGACCAGAATCGTCTGTATGTTATTTACTATTTCATGTTGCTCAACAAGACAAACAATCTAAATTTGCTTATCATCTTTTATCTTATCTTATTGAATATCAAAATTCAAACCAAATAATGTAAGTAAATATTGATAAAAAGAAAGAAAGAAAGAATTATACATTTAAAATAATAATCTATTATTAGATCTATTTTAGCAAAGAATCTAATGTCTCTGTTAAAGACAAATAATTCTGCTTGTGAACTATTAATCAAGTGTATGCCCTATTTACGTAAGATAGTGTCATTGTTCTTTTGCTAAAGACAAAAAAAATATTAACTATCGTATTAGGATTACTTCCTTTAATTCAAAGATTAATGCAAATGGCATCGACTATCTTATCAGATGATAGAGAAAGAATGGTATATATGGCTCTTATTTCAAAGGCTTTGCTAGATGAAAGATGGTCTAGTGATAGTATATTATTATATATCGATTTAATTAGGTAATATATACAATCTGTGAGAAAGGAGAAGCGGAAAACTTATTTTATTTTATATATATTTTTATAAGGGACTTTAAAATGCAGAAAGGTTTTATATCATCTAATGATTTAAAGGAGCATGATTTGACTCCTTGTAGCATTTCAAATAATAAAAAACAGCAGGTAAAAGATGAACTGAAAGAGGAACAAATAGAATCACTGTGTACAGTCTACATGGCTCCTATACAACTTTGGAGTATGAAAATAAATAGTGAAGCCTTTAGTTTAGGATTAAGACAGCTTGTAAGATACTCATACGGTATACCTAGAGATACTGTTTCTATTGAATCATGGAAGCATCTCTCTTTTGCCTTTTTAAAGAACCATGAACTTATTTGGCCTGTCATAGAAGAATGTACTAATATTATGAAAACTCAAATTATGTAAATATAATTATTTCAAAGCATTTGGTATTTAAAATCTTAATTTTTTTTTTCGATAGGATTACAAAGGATATGATACAAAATAAATCAGTCAAAGCAAGACAATTGAAAGAGACCATCCTCTTCTTAAGAATTAATCCAATGCTTATACTTCAAGTAAGTAGAGGGGGTTTTTTTTTAATAAAAGAAAGATTATATTAGTTACTGTAATATTCTAATACATTTAAATTACGTAGACTATACCCAAAGAAGTTTATCATGATACTGTATGCTTACCAAAGAGTTATGTCGATCTTTTAGCTAAGCAGTTCCAAACAGTCAACATTGATATACAAGATATTAAGATACAAAATATGACATTAAATCAACAAACTTGTATTCAATTAGCAGATGAGTTATTACAGAGGTATTTTATATATAACATAGTATTTCTTATTTCATCTAATTTTCCTTTTTATAGATCCTTAGAGCCTAAATATCTTGAAGATGATTTAGAAAATCCAATCGAATTTTCAAAATCCTTACTTAATAAAATATTTTGTAAATAATCATTCATTCATTAAGTATCCTCGTTTATTATGTTCATTCAATCTATACTTTATAGATATATAATATATGTGTATATACATACATATATGCTTTTTTTTTTTTTTTTTTTTTTTTTTTTTTTTTTTTTTTTTTTTTACATAGTGATTTCACCTTCAACAGCTCTAGGCTCTAAGCCCAAGTTATTTAAGCATTTATAATATCTAGTAGCATCTTTTGATTTAAGATATTTAAGAATTCTTGCTCGTTGATGAACCATAGTACGTAGCTGTTTATAGTTATGTTTATCTTTACGATGTTGATTTAAATGTGAATTTAAATTATGTATACGGACGGTTAAAATAGCAGCTATAACAATAACAATAATAATAATATACATGAATACTTTGTTTCATAAACAATTTTGAATATACTTTTTTTTTATTTCTTTTACCTTGGACTTCAGGGCTACCCGTATCACCTTCTTTTCTCTTAAACCAATCAATAGCTTGATGAACATTCCAAATCTGTATTGCCTTGGCATTCGCATTTTGGAGACCAATGATTTTTTGAAACATGGCTACTTTTTTTTGTTCAGCCTTAACAGCTTCTTCCATACCGTCTATCGCAGCCATGTGATTTTGTTCAATAAGCTTCTTGGGCATCTCTTCAAACAGAACCTGCTCATCATTCTTTGTTAAAAAATGTTGATAACCTTGTTGTTGTTGTTGATAGGCTGCAGCAGGTGTAATGAGAGAATCAAAGAATGGTGCTGATTTCGACACAACGGGTGAAGGCTTTGTACGCTCATACTCGGCTAGTTTGGCAGCACGTTTAGCAAGATTTTCTTTTTTAACTTGTTTAGGATGTTTCTTTGCAAAAGTAATGGCTGATCCATGAAATTGATGTTTTAAAAGACTAGGGGTACTTTTAGGAACTATATCGAAATTCCCCACCGCCGCCAAAAAAAAAAGGTTATAAGCAAAAGAGCTAAAAATCTAAAAGTCTAATTATTTATTTACCAAAATGTCCAAGACTAGATTGATTTAATCGACTGAACATTATGTTATGTACAAAATAATAAAAATGGTGTATGAGTAGTTGTCTAAATTCCCTTTTTTTTTTTTTTCTTGCTCCACATTAACCACCCTGTCAAGTTATTATTCAAACTCAGTTTAGCTGGTGGCTGTTATTGGATCAAATAATTCAACTTGTCTTCCTCCCTTCTTCCCCTTCTTTTCTTCTTCTTCAATTACTATATCATTTGATTTTTTTTTGTTACAATTTCTAAAGACACTTCCTTTTCATTAGTTTATAACCCTTCATTTATTTTTGTTTATTTTTATAAGATATCCTTGGATATTCGGCTATTTTAAATAAATAAGCTATAGAGTGTATTTTTATTTTGTAAGCATAATTGAAATTTTAAGTTGAAAACTTTTTTTTTCTTTGGGGAAGGGAGAGAGGTAGAGGGAAGTGCTCTAAAAGCTTGTTAAATGATAATGTCGCACACATCTTTTTATATGCGTATATATTTGCTAACTGTTAAACGATCCTAAGGTAGCCTTAGTTGCCTTCAACATGCTATATGTTCTTAAAGCTACATTTTATTGTTGTATATATAATAGTACAATAAAGCTTTATTTCCCCCCCCATCCACTAGATCTCTTATAGTAACTTATAATGAAGGGGAGGTAAATCATAGGTAGTAGTATCAATTTCAATTATCACAATGAATAACTTATCACATATCAAAAAAGTGCTTAACTTGTTCAGATAACTTTGTCCCAAAGAACGAAATTAGGCGTGTAATAAATTATCCAAAGTTTAGGATTATGTGGCTGGACAATATTAGAAAATATGTATAGCATATATAAAAAGAGTTTAAAAAGAGATGGAAGAAATAAGTTACACTTTATAACAAAACATACATTGCTGTAGCAGCAAGATTATAAAGAATGTTATTCTTAAACATAATTGACGATTGAAACATTGATAAAGGTAAACTGTCAACATCATTTATTCGTATTCTAAAGCACAATGAAGAGCAGCAAACAAAGCCCATGATAATAAATAGAAGATAATAGCTAATTAGCACAAAAGTTTATTAAGACATAGTATACCCAGTGAAGGTATTAAGATATTTTATACAAAAAAGAACATAACTTTTGGCTTATATTGACAGACCTGAAACAATTCGATCGTTGAAAGTATCTATTATAGCAAATTCGATAAAGGAGACTAGAAAAAAAAGACTGATTTTAAAATAATAAAGCACAAGAGATATTCTATCAAGGAACTATATAGTATTATTAAGACCATATAAAACAGAACATAGCATTGTTAAGGTCAAATATTATGCAGAAATTTAAATATATTCATAGGCTTTTATCATCAAAGCATCTTTAAAATCTCAAGTTAATACATCATTTTTTTTATTTATCTTTATTCACAAACTGTACTACATTAGAAGGAAGGAAATAAAGAAGAATAAACAATGCTTATATGGTCTCATTATTTAGAGATACAGTAGCACGAAATAAGGCTCTATTTATCATGAATATAACTTCAACTTAAGTATAATACGTTTGATAATAATTAAATAGCTAATGAAAGCATTTTTTTTAGTGTTATAATTTATAGCAGTTAAGCCTTTTTTTATTTTCTTTTTTTATATATCCATATATTTTTGAAGATAGACGCACTACTTCAGCAGGCGAAATGAGTTCAGATAGATCTATCTTTTTCTTTTGAACTCTTTCAATACAAGTTACAATAGTATGTAAATCTGCGCTCACTTCGTGTTTATCAATATATTTTTTGATAGCTGTAAAGTTCTTCAGCTTATAATGATTTGGCGACTTTTGTAGAGCGGGCAAACGTTTGAGCAGCTGTAATATTATATCATATTGTTCTTTTTCAAATTTTTTTTTTATAACAAATATGATGTAACATAATTGATATTAGCTCCACTATTGGATTTGATTTTTTTATATTTAAAGGATCTATCGTAGCAAAGCCCTTCTTAAAAAAGTTTGCGCTAATACATGCCCACTTATATGACGATGATAACATAAGCCAATTTCTTAAATGCCTTACTTGGAAATGTGGAGTCATATTAACTTGATAATTTGTGTAAATTTCTTCAGTATTGTGAGGGCCCATATCAATGAGCCCTTTTAACGGTATATTTGGTCCAAGAAAAGGTGTTAAATCATTAGATAAATTACTTCCACTTAAGCCTCCCGTAATTAGCATCTCATATCTATCCCAAAATATGGATATTTCGTACCAGGATCTTCCTCTTTCATTTTTATTCATGATTTTAGCAACAGGATGAATATGATATTTATCTTTCATTGTTACTACTGCTGATTCGTCAATTTGAGTATCATTCCTATAATATACTTCAAATTGAGTAACGAAGATCCAATTTTTTTTTAAATAGAATGATTGATTCCAGAAGCTTTGGAGATATTACATTTTTGATTCTATCTTCTGCATCATCTTTTGATTTAGCTTCCTTTAGAATGTTATTACAAAGCTTGTTAAGCTTGTAATTATTTTTGTCAATTATGCCATTCAAAGCATAAGGAACAAATTCTTGTATCGAAGCATTATTTGGTTCTATGAAGTTATTAAAACAAAAGGATTTTATCCTTTTAGTCTCTTCCAAAGCCTTCCTAATTGGAGAAGGTGCGCGTCTTTTTCTTCTTCTGTCACTAGTTTCACTGTTGTCTCTGTTGTCTCTGTTGCTATTATTGCTGTCACTAATAAGCTTTACCACAACATCCTTTCTAAATTGTAACTCTATTGCTTTAGTCATAGCTGAGTAAGTAAATAGAGTTATCTTTAACGTATAGATATAAAGGAAAGTTGTTGTAGGTAATTGGGATACTTGATAAGAATGAACAGCTTTAGCTACAACTTTGCCAACAGAGCCCTGGCTGTTACGAGGAAGATTTAACAAAGAACAAGCAACTTTTCTTTACAAGGAAGCAGATAAAGAACGTTTGAATATAGCAGCAGTTCTAATATCATCTTCCCATTTATCTGCACGAAGGATTCGTTGGAAACAGTTTTTAAAGGCTTCCATGGATTCATTTGGATGCATATTAAGTGACAAGAGTCTATCTATATTGTCGATTTCTTGTGCTACATCTTGAGAGGCATAAGTATAGATTACAATTGATCGTACTTCTTTCCAAGTTAAAGAGCGTCCCTTCAAAGTTTCATTGAACCATGATCGTTGATCACGATTCATCCTAATTGTTATTAGGCGACCCCAGTTACGATCAAGGTTTAATCGGCTAGAGTTAGCTACTAAAGCAAATGTGTCAAGCAAGTCTTTCACTGATTCTTGAACATTAGAATTTTTTTTCCATACATTGCCTTGTCATTGGCAGAAAGGGAGATCAGTTGGTATGAAATGAGAATCTCTTGGACTTGAGGTAATTAGGGTTGAGGAAGGAGAAGAAGTAGATAACTGAGGGGAACAATAAGTTTGAACCTCATCTAGGAACTTGATATATCCAGTTATACGGTTTGCTTCGTCCTGTAAAGCAGTCAATTTTTCAGAAGCGATGTTGTTAGCTACACCACGAGCAAGTTCTTGAGATAAGTTTCTAAGAGTTTCCTGTAAGTGTTCTATAGCATCCTCATCGGAGCCAGAGCCTTTTTGAATATCAGAAATAGATAAATCCTTCATCAAGATGTCATCTTCTTTCTTGTTATCAAAGACAGTACCAATAGAGTCTTGAATTGTTAAAGGGGGCTGAGATAAGATGCAAATCAAAAAAATGTTAATTACGACGGAATAAGATATGATAGATAATGAATTGTCAGAAGTTTTTAATATTATTTGATAGAGTGGATCAAGAGAGTTTCAAGAGAAACTAGATAGAATTCCTTGAGTAATTTTATGATCCAATACAGACGGTAATGATAACATGATGGACCTAGATAATTCTAATTATCCAGTTAGCTATAATTATAAGCATCATAAAAAATTCATTAACAGAAAACGGAATGAAAGTATTAATACTAACCATACTCTTATTGTACCTATCACTATATACTTGGTTAAAGGACGAGGTAATCAAATGCGTATCGCCTAATTCCAATTGGAATTCACCTTTAACATTGGCACCTAAAAAGGATTTATTTGGTAATTGTACAGAACATAGACTTTGTATCGGTCCTCGTAATGTCACCAATGCTTTGTCTTGGCTACGACCCACTTCTGGTAAAGAAATTCAAAGATTCTTGGGTTTGATAAATTATTTCAGAAAATATTTGCCTAACATTTCAAAAGTAACCGCTCCATTGGATAAGTTAAGATTTGAAGGTAAACTTAACGATACTTTATGGACAAAGGAACAAGCAACTGTCTTCCTGAAGATTCAGAAACTTTTATCTTTGGCTCCAGTTCTTCATCATCCCGATCTTCAACAGCCATTTTACATTGCTACTGACGCTAGTAACTATTCTATTGACACTGTTCTATATCAGATCATTGACAACAAAACAAGATATATTGGTTTTATGGCTCGTTCACTTTCTGCTTCTGAAAGAAATTATTCAACTTCCAAAAGAGAATTACTTGGTATCATATTTGCTTTAAAGAAGTTTCATCCATTCTTATGGGGGAATTCCTTTTATCTTATATACCCGACCATAAAGCTCTTACTTTCCTCCATACTCAACCCGTTGCCAATTCTATGATGATCAATTGGCTTGATACCATCTTGGATTATGACTTTAAAATTATTCACAGACCTGATATTCACAATATACTTCCAGATTCTTTATCACGTCTTTTCGAACCTGAAAAAAATGCTGATTGGGGATAAAACTCCTAAGACCATTATTACTTTACAAATTGTCAACGACGATGGATCTATTCTTACATCTCGTGTGATGATGCCCTGCTGATTTAATAACACCAGCACTAGAAGAAAGACCAAAGCTACTTATAAAGACTTATTTAGAAGGACATCGTGGTGCTCAAGCTATAGTAACAACTTTATATAGTGAAGGAATTCATCGGACAAAGCTTAAAAGAAGATGCTCTTGACACAGTAAAAGACTGTCCTGATTGTCAACATTTTAACCTAGCAAAACATGGATATTATCCATTAAAATCAGTTTATGCTAATGCTCCATGAAACCATATTTGTATTGACACCGCTAGACCTATGACAACATTTTTACAAAGAAATAACTACATCCTTCTAGTTGTTGATATATTTACTAGATTTTGTGTACTTGGAGCAATCACTGATAAATCATCCTTAACAATAGCACTTGCTATAAGAAATATATTATCTCTAATGAGAAGACCTAAAATTATCTATTATATATATATATACTACTTTATCCTACTCACGTATAATACTATCGTAGCCATCAAAAAAGTTAAATGTTATTCAGAAACTGGAGAAGAGTATTTATTATGAAAATATACAAACAAATATTAAAAAAAAAAAAATAAAATAAAATAAAATAAAATAAAATAAAATAAAATAATTCTCTCTTTTATAACTTCATTTTTGGTGAATGCGGTCACGTTACAGATAAGTTACCTCACAGTTTATTTTTTTACATGCATATCACCTGTTTCACTTATTTCATTCTTTTCCACATTTTATCTTACCAACCCATAATGCTATTGCGTGAATCACAAATATTATCCTAACACATGCTTATTCACAAATATAATTCCAAATTTCAACATGAAGTGTACTGCTTATTTCAACACATGTTTAATGATGCTTAAGAAAAGCGTAGTTCTAACCTAGAGGGAGGATAATATTACGAGCTGACTTATAATGTCATATTCCTTAATTAAACAAGCGGATCAAAGAATTCATTATCTATAACATATCTTTGTATTTAAAAAGGGAGGAAAGATTACTGTGAATGCAAGTCAAAGATACTTAAACTGGTTTTCATAGCATACATCAAAGAATCTAAAATTGTTAATCTTTACAACATCATTTGGGCAAAAGAATGATTTTAAGCACAACACAAGGGAGACTAGACTTATCAAATACCCCTTGTTAGAAAATAGTAGTATTTTGTAAATGAGATGCATATTAGTTGCCTAAATAGGAAAAAAGAAAGTTTATGAGAATATAAACAACAAAAAAGTGAAAAAAAAAGACATTTATTTTATTTACTTTTCTTTTCTTTTCTTTAACATAAACACATTTCATATAGTCATAAAGAAGATATAAAATTGACAACATTTTACTATTCTACACATTGTTACTTTTTATAAGAAAGGAAGAAAATTAAATAATGTAACTGTATTAAATGTGGGGTAACACATATTCTTATCGATTTCATATGATTGTGACTGTAATTTACAACAACAACCTCCTTATTCTTATAAAAAAGTAGATATTCAAAGTTATTTTTTCTTCTTTTTCTTCTTTATTATTACTATTTCTTTTGTAGGTAAGTCATTAAATAATACTATTTTATTCTTCTTCTTCTTCCCTGCCCTAGGAGGAAATTCTTTTTCTCATAGTTACCACTTATGTAACGCCTTCTGAATCAACAAGACACCCTATCTTGCCCTCCTTGAATTAGGAGGACATTGTAGGGTATCTTGTTGTTTCAGAGGGCGTTACATATTGTGATAGCTATGGGTTTTTTCTAACCTCCTAGTAAAAATAAAAAATACAAGAACAAAGAAGGTGCAACGAATCCTAGCCTCCACGCGGCCACCTTTGGACTGCAGTAAATATTATTATTTTTACTGTTGACGAATTGGGGATTCACTTTTTTTATATATGAAATAAAAATGAAAATAAAAATAAATAAATATATCTTTTCTTACGCGTCTTTTAATAATCTTGCGCCTTCTTTAACTATTGTTTGTATAATAAAATATCTTTTTGCTCCAAATTGACTTTAAGAAGTATAAAACAAGTAGAGAACTTATAACATAAAAAATATAGGAAATATAAGATGTAATGTAGTAGTAATTATGTAAACTATTGACTAATTTCTTATCAGAGAAACTATCATGATTATTTTTCTTCCTTTACAATCAAATTATTATTTTTTTTAAATTAACTAAGATGAGTACAATATATTAAAGATATTGAGTACTTATTAGAAAACTTGTATTTCTTTTATGTATACGTATTTCCTTTTTTTTTTTTTTTTGAAATCCCATTCATATAAAGCTTTTAAATGATTTAATAATGAGCGGTTTCTTTAGTTCTAGTGAAGCTACTTCAGAATGGGGGCGGATATTTTAAGCAAGCTATTTCTAATGTAGAAACAACTTTTGATTCTTTTCTCGAGCAACCTATTACCCAACGACAGTCATCAGCAAACGAAGGTAAATGATGTTCTAATGTTCCTTATTGATCTTCTTCTTCTTCTTCTTTTTTTCTTTCTTTCTTACATTATTATGATAACAAACACTACTTTGCACTAGGTTTTTACTGAAAAGAAATATGAGTATATTAATATCATTAGGATTATAAAAAAAAAGGAATTTATATATTTAATAGTTAAACGACTTTAATACCATTACTGAAATACAGTGTACATAAAAGAAAGAAAGAAAAAAGAGAATGCTATAGCAAGAGTACTTTAAAGAATATGTATTTGATATACCTAATAATAACGTAACTTTGACGTGCCAAAGAATTTAAGTGAGTTTGATATTTCTGCTATGCTCTCTAAGAAAAAGTAAGCAAACATAATAAGTAGCTCATTACATGTACATATATACACATATACTTTTCGGTAATGACTATATAAACCTTTCGTTTTTTATCTTCTTTTCTGACAAGCATATGAAGTATGTTTGATCCAAATAATATGACAGAAATCAATCTAAATACAACGTGCTATACTTAAGCTGATAAGATGACTAATTATTGTATGAAATGGACGCATGAAGTTAGTTTTTGTTATAACCAACTAGCAATTATCGTTCGTGGTAACCCTTTTGAGAGAATAGACACTTGCAACAGTGGTAATGTGTACTTTGCTTCTTCTTTTTTTTTTAAAAAAAAATATAATAATCTGCATTTATACATATTGCCATGAGCTGATTTATAATGTCATGTTCCCTGATTAAACAAGCGGATCAAGGAATTCTATCTAGATTCCCCTGAAAAGCTCTCTTGATCCACTCCATCAAATAATATTAAAGCTTCAAACACTTCATTATCTATAATAATAATAACATACCTTATTCAGTCGTTAACTAACACTTTTATGACTCGCATTTTATCTCAGACCTCTTTAACAATCCTTATAAATACCCTATCAATTTAAATTCATAAATAAAAATCATTGACTTTAGAACCATTGTTCACTCTCCTTGACGTTTTTTTTTGTCTTTTTATTATAATACTTTTATTTGATATTTTACAAGAAATATCACAACATGTTATCATCCTTCTGCAGATTTGTTATTTATGATTTCAAATGATTAAGACGTGATAAAAGTTGGATATGTGTGTTACAAATACTTCTTTTGAGTAAGAAGAAGCCTATTTTGATTGGACAATAGCAAACGATCATTTAATAGTTATTTATAAACTACCCCTTTATTTATAAGTTGTATTTTCTAGTTATTTTTTGTTTTCTTTTGTTTTCATATTATCGTCAAGCAATCTAATGTCTAGAACACTTACTTTAGAAGAATAGATGTAAGTACACTACTTCCTTTTATTTAACTAGTATTTAGATGTTTATGTACTCATTATATTATTTTTATTCAATTAAAATAAGCAAATGCATGCATACATAGGCCTGAATAGTTCAACAAGAAGATGTGGTATAGATATTACTTATTGTACTAACTGAGACTTTTGCTGAGTAGTATGTAAGCTACCTCTGTTCAAGAGCTTCTAATGGGAACGTCACCCATGCCACGTCTCAGAGGTTCGTAGAATGTTTGAAGATGGGAGGCATATGAGGCAGTATGAAAAGTAAAAGTCTTTTTTTTTCTTTTTTCTTTTAATGTGGCTTTAAGGGAGCAACCTACTAGCTTCATAAGCTACCTCTGTTCAAGAGCTTCTAATGGGAACGTCACCTATGCCACGTCTCAGAGGTTCGTAGAATGTTTGAAGATGGGAAGCATATGAGGCAGAGCAAGTAGTTGTTGCTTTTTAGGTACTTTAAAGGGTTGAAATTCCCCGTAACCATTCGTGGTTGCGAAAATGGGTGCTTAATGTTCAACCTCCACGCGGTGCACCTGGTTTAGACTAATCGAACATTATTTTCTCCTCTTTTTTTTTTTCTATTTTCTATAACTTTTGCTGAGTTTTGTCATTCTTAGAAAGTCATTCTACTCAGTTCTAACAAGCTTAACGCAACATTCTTAATTAAACATTGGAAGTTTAGTTCATTGTACTCAAACAAACATAGATTAAAGTGTTTATTATAGATACAAAAACCATCACGTATCTAAGAAAAAATATCCTCATTTCTGAATAGATTTTACAGTTAGTTGCCAAATCTAACTCCACTTATTAATAACTTATCTACTCTAACTGTTATCAAACAACTGTATCCTATTGCTGTGAAATCGTCATAAATATAAATTTATCCTGCCATGTTCTATGAGTAAATCGTATAATAAAGCTGTTGATACTTTTTTTTTCATGTTTGACAAAACTTGTTCCTGAATATCAAACATCAAGATAACATTTCATTTTTTCATTAGGTTTTAACTGTCATAGATGCGATCATCAAATTAAAATACGCTTTATTGAGGATTCATTCGTGTCAAGAGCAAACAAAGAGCGTGTAATATGCCTTAGAAAAAAAAAGAAACGAAGATAAATCAACTTTCTGCCGTCAGTATTACCTCTCTAGGCTTCAGTCAGTTCTTATTAACTAGTTTCGATACCTGATAGTTTAAATTTTCACTTAAATATAGAGTAACCATTAACACTTTCAAGTTTAGATAGATACTTCTGCTCATAAACATTCAAGACAAAAAAGAAGAAAAAAAAAGGAGATAGATTAACAAGTTGCTTAATAGTAAATCATAAGCTTGTCCTATATATTTGTGACAATATAACATAGCATACATACTACTAAAGTCATCATATTCCTTACAAATAAAATAGTCATGACTTCCCTGTTGATAGGTAAGGCGTATCATCTCTATAGGAAGTTTACCTATTCTAATTTTAGTGCTATTTTGTCTCTAACCTAACCAAATTATAAATATCGATTCATCTAGTTTTGTCTCTTAGTTACACAAATATTCGTATTTCTGTTTTCTTCCGTGATCTCATATATATATATAAAAAGGCTCCATTGTTACTTATAATAGGACAGTCCATGATAGTTTAAATAAAGACGAATTAGATGATATCTAAATTTGTATTCACTATTGTACAACAAGTAATGCATAGTACGCCTCCATGTGATGATATATTGTTGTGTATATATATCACATGTATAATAAAATAAACGACTATTCATGTAGTTACTATTGTCTATAGTAGATAAGATAGTTCTATGTATAAAATAAGCTATGGATGATTATTGTTAATAAACATAAACTAGCATGTCGATAAGCATTTTTTATTACTTTAAAAGAGGAATATGTATGCTGATTTATTCTGTTATGAGGCATAATAAACTCAGAAATTGCGATATTGAAAATAGAAATCGAAATATTAATTTTTTTTTTTTTTCCTTTCTATATTATACATATAAATCTATCAAATGACAAAACGACGATTAAGTCTTTACATTATAACAGCATTTCTAATAAAAATTATAAGTGCAACAGATGACGGCACTCCATTAAATAACATGTCAAATGTTACTTCTTCTTCTTCATTAGATGCTACTGATGAAGCATCAAAGAAAATAACAACTGACGGTTTATTACATATATTCAATGTATTATCAACAGCAGCGAGTCTATCCTTTTGGTTTTTTAAACACTTTTTCAGTTTTTTTATTCAAATTATTACTTTTATTTGTTCACCATTTGTATGGATTTTTAGTGCCTGTTGGTATCAATTTGTAACAAAGCCTTTTCATCTTCTTTCATATATATTGCATGTATTTTATCCTGTCATATTATTTTGTATTGCTGCAATGTGTTGCGGTATCTTTATTGGTGGCTGTGCTGGATTTGCTGCTGAAGCCTTTTCTTCTATTTTAATTTCAGCTACTTGGGGACAACAAAAGCAAAAACAACAAGTGCAAGAAGAGAAAAACTTTATAAATAACGACGATGAAATGATAAAAGAAGATGTGTATTCTTCATTTGTTCATTCAAAGAATAATAGCATTCAAAGCCTATCTACTTTCTTTGGCACATCATCAATAACAAAAAAGAAAAAGGGAAAAGAGCCCCTAAAGGCAACCAGAATAGAAAATTGGGATGATTCTTTATCTAGTAGTTATTCCCCTTCAATAAAGCATACTTCTTCTCCTACGTTAATACGAAGAATGAAACTATCTTCTATTGCATCATCAACGAGAAATAGTTGGGAATGGGATGATGATGATGAAGATTAGAGACACACACACACACACACATACACACATACAAAAAAAAAACACTAAAAATAAACATTTATTGTTCTTATTATTCTTGGGTTTTATTGGCTGATATACAGAAAGCGACGAATTAATTAAAGAAAAAAAAAAAACCAAAAACAGTTTATTTTTTTTATCCTATTTTATCTAACCTTTTTACATCAGGGATCAAACATACTATAATTTAACACAAATAGAACAATGCAGCCATGGTTTTGGCAAAATCAATCGATAGATGATGCTTCAATAAACACAACAATTCAATTGCATAAAAATCGAATCCTAATTATTATATTGAAATGGATTTTAACAGCAACCATCTTTGGTACCATTACCTTTTTTACTATATTTGGCATCGACTTTAATTCTAGAATTTCACCAAAGGATTATTTGACCTCGCCTAGAACTGATCCAGGTCCACTTTCTTCCAGTAATTGCTTCAGTCATTATAGAGAAACAAATAATAAACATTATGGAATCATACCCAGTGTGCCTGTGAAGGAAGATGATGTCTGTTTTGATTATGCTTCTCTTATTCAATCTAATCAATCCTATTATAATTTTACTTCACCCCTTTATTTTCATACCCACTGGTCAACGAAAATGACCAAACGCTTGACAGATAATCAATTAGCTGCGATTCGGTCCTTTGTTGCCACTCAAGCTAGTCAGAACCAGCTTTTATTTTGGATCTCTAAAAGAGATAAAGTGAATCTATTACATGCAGATAGTTTATGGCATCAAGTAAAAGCTAAAAATGTACAGTTGAAGATTATAGAAACAGAGACAGATTTATTTCAAAAGACTCCTTTAGAAGGCATGGATAAAGACGGTTTTTTAGAAGACACATTAAAATTAGCAGCACTTTATAAATATGGAGGCCTTTGGTTTGATTTAGATGTGTTATTTATTAGAGACATGAGTCCCTTATTTCATCAGGAATGGCTATCACAAGCAAGCTGTTTTGAAAGATCTAAATTTGCATCATCTAATACAGTAGATAGCCGGTTTTCAGGTGCTTTCATGTATTTCCATGCACAATCACCGTATCTATGCGAAATGATGAGTGTCGCCTCAGATATGTTGAAGGGTGTTATTCAGTTGACATCATTAAGAGATCACCTTTATGCTCGTGTGTATTATCGTGTCCTGCGTCATCGAATAGCTCCTTGGGCGGTTTTACCTTGGTGTTTCACAGATCCAACTCAATGTAGAAGATCAAATTCATTACCAAGTTTATTTAAAACCAGCCACCATTTTAATAAGGAGAAATTAAATGCTGTGTTTGCTTTTCATTGGCATAAAAAATGGTATTCACCTTCTGGGACCCTATTTAAATATTTAGTTGATCAACACAAGCTTATAACTACTTGGTGAACCTATTTTGTATATATTCTCTTGATAATAAATAAACATCTATATATAAATCTATATATTTATATACATATAATAAATTAAGCTAATATATATAAATATATACATGTATACACATAATAAATTAAACTAATATATACATATATACATTCATATGTACATTCATATATATCTATTACTAAAGAAGTAGTTTATTAACATGTTTCAATTTATTTATTTATTTATTTATTTATTTTTTTTAAAAAGAAAAAAGGGTCTTCTTTAACTCCGTGCAGCTACTATGGCCGTTCTTCTTTCTGCTTTGATCCCCGGCTATAAAGCACAGCTATAGGCCGATCCAATAAGACATAACCATTTGTGCATTCTAGTGCCAAAGTAGCTGCATCTGGATCCTGAAAACTAATAAAGGCCTGATCTCTTAATCTACCTTTTGACTTTAAATCAACTACAATGTCCTTTGAAAATTTAGAAAAGAGTTGAATTAAATCTTCTTGAGTTGTTTTTTTACTTAGATTTTTGATATATAGTTTTGAACTAGGTTCACCTGCTTCATAGTTTTTGAAAGCTGAAAGATGTATGAGTTCTGACAAAGGTTTACATTTATCTCGAATTGCCTTTTGTTCTTCATTTAATCGCGTATTATTAACTACAATTTTTAACTTTTGCTTTAAATGTTGATGTTGATGTGACTGTGTTTGTTGACTATTTGCACTTTTAATCGCTAACTTTTGTTTTTCAGCTGCTATTCGAGCGAGTCGAGCTTGCTTTACCTTTTCTTCTTGTAATTTAACTGAAATTTCTTCTGATTGGGTATCATCTTCTATTTCTGATTCATCACTTGATAATAAATCGTCGTGCTTTCGTTTTAGTATCGAAGGCTTTGCTTCTTTCTCTGCAAAGCCAAATGGAGGAGGCATATTAAGTTTATTCATCAAGTGGAGTACTTGAGTATATAGTCTAGGTACAGAACCGATAGCATACATCATATTTGTTAAAATAGCAGGCGTTGGATCAGGATAATAGTACTTTAAATGTGGGTTAGGCGGATATAAAATACCTTGAGATTCCGATATTGGATTAGCAGTCGTCCCTAATTCTTCTGCAGTTAATGTATGCCTAGATAAATAGATATGGATATGGATATGGATATGGATATGGATATGGATATGGACATAGACATAGACATAGATATGGATATAGACATAGATATAGACATAGATATACACATATACACATATACAAATATAGACATATTTTAATATTGATTCATGTGACTTGTAAGAGAACTATTCAACTTACATGATACTTTCTTGTCTATTTGGATTCGGTTTCGCATATTCTACAAAAACTTGCTTAAAATACAAACCAAAGTTGATTTTTTTTAATTCATTATATGCTTCTTCAGCTGCTTTCCTATCAGGAAAATCCAAAAATACAAAACCTGGCTAATACAACAAACAACAAGAATATTGAATAAGTAAAAATAAATAAAATAAAATAAAATAAAATAAAAATAACACTTGTTTTGTTATTATTATTCGTTTTTACCATTGCTTGACTTTCCATAAATCGTATATCAAGAGGCTTATACGGACTAAAATACTTATTTCTTAAATCATTTGAATTTGTAATGAAATCAGGAACATGCTTTACAATTAATGTGATAATATTATCCTTTTGATTTAATAATAAAAATAAAAGACTTAGTTTTATCTGTAACTTATTTCAACATTTTTATTATTACAATGTTTTGCAGACTCATTTCATAAGAAAAAAAAAAATAAATATTAATGTGTATTTTTTTTAAATGAAAAAAAAAAAAAGGGTATGCATTTAACAACAACTGTTAAAAGTCACACAAAGCATTTTTTTTTTTTTCATTGTATTCTTTTGTTCCTTATTTATTTATTATGAGGCTAAACGAAAACACTGTTCTTGTAAGTTTCCCCCTTTTTTTTTTGTTTAATTAAAAAAAAAAAAAAACAAAAAACCTAAATAAGTTGAATGATTAGATTGGGGAAAAAGTTGCACTTGTACCTTATAGACGAGAACATGTGCCAAAATATCATGAATGGATGAAATCGCCCTTTCTCCAAGAAATGACAGCTTCTGAGCCACTTACTTTAGAAGAAGAATACGACATGCAAAGATCCTGGCATGAAGATGAAGAAAGTAAATATTATTTCAAACTCATTTAAATGAATATTAGTAGTCATAGTAATCTAATCTATTAAAATGATAGAACTTACTTTTATCATCACTACTGTTCCTAAGGATAGTAATTTATTATTAAAAGACTTGTCAGAATCTGATATTAAGGATAATACAGGTAAACTAATCTATTATAGGATTTAATAATATATACTCATCTATCTGTTAGTAATGATTGGCGATGTGAATATTTTTTTCAATGATCCCGATAATGATCGCACTTTTGGTGAAATTGAAGTTATGATTGCAGAACCTGAATATAGGAGAACAGGTAGAGGGAAAGATGCATTAAAGATTATGATGTGCTATGGTAAGTAAAATAAGACAAAATAAATTACAAGTAGCTTGTTATTTATTTATTTATTTAGCTATGGAAATCCTTGGAGTAAAAACATTTCAAGCAAAAATTTCTTTAAAGAATGAACCTAGTATTAATTTATTCAAGTCAAAATTTTGTTATTATGAAGTGGCTGTATCTAGTATTTTTCAAGAAATTTCGTTAGAATGGACACTTTTAGAGCCTGCACCAGCGAAAGTGGATGAATATGGAAATGAAATTGACTCTTATGGATCAAAGGCAACATTGGAACAACGTCAAAAAGTTCAAAGTATTCATAAAGAGTTAATAGAATATTGGAAAACTATGGTTAGAACTTGTAAATATGATGTTATTTTATAATATTTATTTAAATGAATAAATAAATGAGAAGACCTTACATAATTACTTGTACTGTTAATCATTTACTTTCTTAAGTCAAATCATAACAATGGCTTTTACCAATATCCGTGCTCTGAATATTCAGAATTATGGCTATTATTGCTGTATATAGGAACTGACATCTGCTTTAGCCACCATTCAGGAGATACATATATTCTATCAAACGATATCACTGCAGACCCTTCATCACTCTTCTTTGACAATAAAGGATCCAAATCAATCTCTTGACAGCCATTACTGCTATTATAATAGTCTAATTTAAACTTTTCAATTAATTGTAATAAAACTTCATTGTTATTTCTTGTTTCCATATTATATTGAATCTTGAACCCTAAACCTATAACTGCCAGTCCACTACTACTACTAGTACTGCTACTGCTACTGCTACTATTACTACGACTACGACTACGACTACTACGACTACTACTACAACTATAATCATAACTCTGTTGACTCTGCCAAAGGGTTTGATCATTGACTATAGTTGCACCTGCTTGATTAACATGCTGTAATCGTTTATGAGGAGAAATCTGTGCAAAATAAGCAACGATATCTATATTGGTCTTAATCTCATTAAATAATACAATTGATCGTTCAGCCTGAGTAGCATTTACATCTGCATCAAACCCAACGTCATCAATAGGACATAGATTAAATTCTAATGTGAGAGTGGATCGATTGATTCTAGAGTATTCACTTAAAAGTAAAAGTTCAGTTGAAAAGGGGAATGATGAACAAGTATTAGTGTCTTGTTGTAAGGGGTATGATTTAGCTAATATGTCAATCTATAATAAATAGTACATATATTAGCTTATAAATAAGTGATATATATCATTTTTATACATCATTTTTTCTTTCTTTCTTTCTTTCTTTCTTAATATTGCCTTTCATACATGTATTCTCCATCCTTCTTTTCTCACATAGTGTTCGATTCTTTCACTTAATATAAACGATAGCCAATAAGTGTACCAACTATTCAATCTGGCCAATACTATTAAATCTTCAGTATCTAAATAATTACTGATAGAATACAGTATTTCTATAGGTAAACTTGATAATGTATACATTGTGCTAAAACGGAAAGAAATAAAAAATAAAAAAAAGAGGAAAAATTTTGTTCTATTTAAACCTTTTTTTCACATGATTTATGCAGTAGAAGCAACAATAAACTCACTAATCTATTAGTGGATAACTTTTTTTTTTCCATTTGGAAATATAATTGGATAAATTAAAGCAAATGCATAACATCATTTTTCTTCCACTACGTCATCGTTTATCTTTTTTTTTAGTCAATTATTGATATTATCAGTGATGATATTATTAAAAGTGAATGATTAGGTAAAGAGCTACAATTATGATTCCTATTCGATGATAATTCCTTGTTCAAGTTGCTTAGAATGAAGTAAATTGTTCTTATTATAAGAGCTATACTCTTAGTCATTGCTTTGTTTATTTTGATTTGGTACATACCCTTTACACCCCATATCAATTAAATTACGATACTTACATTAAAACAATGCTCCTGATTTTTGGTTATTAGGTAGCTTGTCTTCTTCATCATTTATTGATGACTTTGATGTATTACTATTAGAGCATACTTGAATAGAATTTCTTTATTTTTGAAGACATCTCTCTGCTTGCTTTAAAGAAAATATGCTTTGTATTTTAAGACTTTCACTTTAATATTTAGCATTTGTTGATAACATTAACTGTAGTCCCTTGTGCTGAACTTCTTGCAGTTGATGATGAACGCTTTAAAACTTATCTTTGTTAATGAGATTATCCAAGTATTCAAATGCAATTGAAATACATACTATTTTTTTTATTGCGCACTCTAACGAACAACTTTATTTTAATATCAATAGATAATTCATAGTTTTTCTAGTCCTCTCTTTAGTGTAGTTGACTTTATGATATATGTACTTGTTATTATCGTTATTCAGATATTGCTTATTAAGTTTGTCTGTTGAATAGATATATTTTGCTTATTTATGCTTAATTGACTCATCATAGCTATGATTATTTATCAATGGATTATATAAATAAGCTTGTATAGCTAATAGCCAAGATTAAATGAAAAGGGTATATGGTTGAATGTATATGAACAAGCTTATACAATATTTATAATATACTCATGTACAAAGAGAGAAAAATTTGATAGAATTCACATTTCCAAAAATATGGATAGGAGCCACAATTATAGTTTGTCCAGATAACCAGCGCTCCTTTTTATTTATTTTTTTTTTCTTCTTCTTCTTCTTTTCTGATGCCTATTGACGCTCCTTCTTCAAATAATCTCTACAAGCTATTAGGCTTACCATCATCATCAAATGAAATCAACACAATTATACCATCAGATGCAAAACCAATTATATCCAAACTGTCAAATTATATCTATCATGCTTACAAACCCTTAGGTATATCATTATGTTTTACTTCAGACAAAGAAAATCTTGTTCTTGACGCCATTGACATTTATAATGGTAAAACTCGTGATGGATTTTCACAATTTGCTTTACCAGAGGAACTTCCCTGTGGATTGAAAAGTACAATGCAAGCATATGAAATTGTATCACTGTTAGGCGAACCTGATCGAAAAGGTGGAGGTGGTCAAACACGTTTACCTTGTTGGATTGAGTACAAATTTAACAGCTCAGAAGGGAGAGATTCGGGCCTATTGATACAACTACATGGCCTCGAATGGGAAGATCGGGAAATGGGTTGGACAAGTATTGTACTTTATTAGATTATAGAATACAGCTGTTAAGTTTAAATTTGTTAATCATAAGTCAATGTTCAGCTAAAAATTGTATATTTTTAACTTGAAAAAAAATAAATAAAATAAATACGGTATTTTCGATTGGTATTTGACTAAAGTAAAATTGTTTTGAAATGCTTATAAATTTCAACTAAATGAAATTAATTTGAAACGAGACATCAAAGAAAGATTATTTTAAGCCAATCTTTCTCTCTCTCTCTTTTTTTTTTTTTTTTTTTTTTTTTTTTTTTTTTTTTTTTTTTTTTTTTTTTTAAAAAAAAAAAAGAATTATACAAAAGTACAACTGAGTTTCAATCTCGTTTTTACAATTTTTGAATAGGAATCTTTTTTTATTTATTATTTATTTTATTTTATTTTTGCTCAAGCATCTAAATTAACATCAAGTGAAAGGTTAATAGATGTCCCAAACTTCTAAACAGGAATCATCTACAACAAGTATAAATAACAGCATTCCAGATGTATTTGTCATTGATGAACAAAAGATACAGCTAAATGAAAATACAGAAAAGCAGGAATTATACATTTTACAGTGGTTAGCTCAAGTCGAACGCGAGAGTAAAACCATTGATGTAGTAAGTAGCCTTTTAAAACTTAACTTAAAATAAAATGACATATTGAACTTTATTATAGGAAGTGTTGAAAAAAGCACAACCCATTATTGAAAAGACATTACTTCGACTTATTTCACTTACAACAGCAAAGCCTAAAAGGCCTATCCGGTTTTTAATTGGAAGATGTTATGTTATTCTTTATACCCGAGGAGATACTCGAACATTATTTGATACTGTCACTACATTACATAGTCTTGCTAGTGCCAATAAAAATATCGAAAAAGAAACAAAAATGTAAATATCTGCAAATATCTAGTTTATTAATTTCATTTCATTTTATATATTGATTTATTTGTAGAGCGGCAGTATCAACGATAGGTGCAATCATGGGTTCTTCTGGTGGGAAGGTAAGACTTTTTTTTTTAAGCAATTTGAAATAGCTAGAAACTTAGTGTGCCTTAAATAGATTTTATCTTTATTTGCGGAAACAGCTGTGATATTTTTGAAAATTTTAAAGAACAGCAATGTAAGATTGTTTCCTGTATTAAATATCGTCTTTTTTTTAAAGAAAATAAAAAATAAAAATAAAACTATTTGCCACAAAATAGATACCACTTTTATTACGCTTGGAGACAATAACAGCATTTACATTATTGTTGAAAGGAGCAGGAAAAGCAGCAACTGATCAGATTTTAAAGGATTTAATGAAGCAATTAAAATATGGACTTGTTGATAAAGCATTAGTGACTAGAATTGCGTCTGCTCAAGTAAGGGAAATGATGTTTTATTAGAGACAACAATTAATATGTATATATGTATTTATATGCATGTACATTTTTGTATACATGTTTAGTGTATTCAAGCTGTTATTCAACATGCTACTCAAACTGTAACACAACATGACATAGAAACTTTATTACAACATACTTTTAAGGCATTTGAACATTCAACCTTTCCCGTTCGTAGAGCAATTTCTTCATTAGCTGCAACACTTCTTGTGTTCACACAGTCTCCAGCAACTGTAGATCCAAATAAGCCAACTATTCGACATGCTACTACAGGAGAAGGTCTAACGAATAAAACAGAAGAAATTGGGAAAACGGTGACATTGATGTCGATTGAAGAAATGCTCTCACAATTATCAACAAGCTATAATCGACCTAATGCTTCACATGAATTAAAAACTGGTATCATCGAAACCTATGCTACTCTATTTGTTTTATTAGGAACAGAATTTGTAGAAGCAAATTATTCGACACTATTAAAACATGTTTTATGTGAAATTTTGGATAATACAAAGACATCAAATGCCTCAGATAGAGCTTATTTACGATCTCAAGTCAATTTCCTATTACATAATACAATTGGAAAACGTTTATTAAGTGAGCAAGGACAAGCTAATGCCATTCAATCATTGGTTAATAATTGGATTAAAAAATGGCCACCACTTATGGCAAATCAAACTGCACCTAATAGAGACATTTTGATATGTGTAACAAATTTGGTATCTCAGTTAGTTTGTGAATTAGAAGGAGCTGCCAGTTCAGTGCAAGTAAGTAGAATTATATATATATATATATGTATATGTATATTTGGAGGCTACAGAAAAGAACAATAGTCTAATATTATCAATAATTTTTTTAGGATGTTATAGTCGAGCCATTATTTGTATTGTTAACACATTCTAGTTTCGCTGTTCAAATGTCTGCTGTATGGTGTATTCGCTGTTTCTGCAATGCAGTACCTACAAATTTACTACATTTATTGCCAAAATCTCTTAATTTACTTGAGAAAAACTTGGGTAATTTAACTAACCAGGTTACTACAACTAAAGTTTTTCAACGTACAATTGCTTATGCATATACGGTCGCTGCTATTATGAGTGTCTTTCCAGCGCATCCTATTTACACCTCATTCGAATTAAGTGCACGAGCAATGTCATTAGCTAATCAATTGATAAAACAAACCAACAAAGATCCCAAGATTGCTAGTGTTCAAATACAAGTAGCATGTACTTTAATTGGTTCAGTTATGTGCTTGGGGCCTAATCTAGTCAAAATACATCTACCACAGCTCCTACTGCTCTGGAAAAGCACTTTACCAAAACCATCCGGAAAAGAAGCTAATGGTATTCGTTCTGAATCTGAATGGTCCTTTTTATTTCATAACCGTGATTGCGTTATAAGTTCCATATACAGCTTTTTAGTTCATAATAGTCAATCATTAGCAACGCTAGATATTGTAAAGAGACTTGCAGCTTTATTGAATAATACATTAGCATTTTTGGCAACTGCTCCTAATTCATTTGCACCCACTACCATGTCACCTTGTGTGCCCTATGAGACAAGATTAATTGATCAATACTATGCATTAAGACGCCGAATCTTTCAATGCTTTAATGTTATTCGACCTCTCTTATCAACTCACGAATCATCCTTTAGTGGATTATTGCGAAATTCATTGTTAGTATTTACAGAACTTGAAAAAATTTCACCCTCATCAGGAGCACATCATCAAGTGACAGCGACTGTGCCTGGTCAGTTTGTTAGCGTATGGAATACAGCTGATGGTCATGGTTACGGCGTAACAAGTAAAATGCAAGGCTATCATATAGATATAGCTACCCATAATGATGATATTAGTGAAGAAGTAAATCGTGGTAAAGAATGGATGACTAAAGATAGATTGGAACGTGTAGAAGAATTACTTGAACGTCCAATCATTGGCTCTATTGAGCTGGATCCTTTTTACTTGTATACGAACTTAATGAATGACAATAGTAATAGTTACTACTTATCTCAACAACAACAACAACAGCAACAGCAGCAACAACAACAGCAGCAGCAACAACAACAACAACAGCAACAGCAAATAGCTAATAAAAAATCATATATTCCACAACCAGTATCACCTTCTACTTCTTATATTGATGCCAGCATCGATCTATTTGCAACACTCTTTATAAATCAGCCTCCATCCATTCAAGAATCGACATTTGAATTTATGCTTAAAGTGGTAAAAGATCCTAAATTAGAAAAAAACTCTTCAAAACGTGCTGCGATACTTGTAAATATTGTAGTGGCTTTATTAGGTTCCTTCAAAACATAATGGCATTTATAAGAAAAAGAAAAGGAGAGACGGTACCATTTAGTCCTCGTGCTGTACAACTAGTTCAAGAAATCTTGATGGAAGTCATCATTCATCCTGATCCTTATTTACGAAATGCTGCTAGTGAAGCTATTGGCCGTCTGACGTCTATTATTGGTGGATCATTTGTTGCCTCACAGATGCAAATACTAGTAGATTTAGTAGTTTCTAACCGAGACCCCGATGCTCGTGCTGGTTGTGCCTTAAGTATTGGGTACATCTACAGCCATGTAGGTGGAATGGCTGCTGCTGCTCACTTAAAAACAATTGTAGGTATACTGTTGTCTCTTAGTAATGACCCACATCCAGTTGTTCATGCATGGGCTCTAGAGGCTATGGCTATGACTGTTAGTGCAGCTGGTTTAATGTTTTCTGGATATGTGAATAGTACCCTTAGTATGGTAGCGAAGCTTTACCTAAGCGAAACACATGAGCCGGGTAGTGGATCCATTGCTGTCACTAATGCCGGTATGTCTGTTGGCTTTACAGCTTATCAAGAATTTGGTCGTATCATTTATGAACTTATTGGCACACTCGGTCCAGAGCTCCAAACTTCTTCAAAAGTTAGAGAGCTTTGTTCGAATATGGTTGAAGAACTTAAGCTAGAACCTGATGAGCGAGTAAATGTGGAGGCAATTCGTTGTATTCAGCACTTCTTGATGTTTGCACCCAAATATCTTAGAACACAAGAATTAGTTCCTTATCTTCAAAATCAAATTACTAGCCTTCATTTGCCTCTTAAAAAGGCTGCTGTAACTTGTTTATATCAGTTAGTACAGCGTGATTCAGAATTGGTATTTAAAGCAGCTCAACCAGGCCTAGATAGTGAACTATTCAAGATGTTGGATACAGATCCCCAGCTATCAGATGTTAAAAATGTGATTAGAAACTGGTTGCAGGAGACAGCCGTCGCTGAACCTTCTATTTGGGTAAATATTACTAAACGTATCGTAACTGGGTCAAATAGTGGGACCACAAAGGAGCCATCTAAAATCGCTTCTACGATGCATGAAGATTCTGCTGAAGAGGAGGAAGAAGATGAAGAATTTGGTGACGATGATGCTGATGGATTTGTTGATGAAGATAATGTGGACATTGCAACAACCGTAGCTGATGCTTCTGGTATGACAACTAAACTTAATATCAACGTTGAAATACCACCAAGGTGGAGAACGCAGTTATTTGCTCTTGAATGCCTTCAACAAACAATTGAATTAATATCAGCAAGTGGTATTCGAGAACACTTTGATCTTATTCTTGCTCGACGTCGTAGACAACAGGCTGGTTTAGGAGACTTTTTAGTATTTCGTGTACCCGATTTAATAAGACTGTCTTTTACAGCAGCCACTGCACATGTTAATGAACTAAGGTTATCTGGTATTAATTTACTGAAGATGGTTATAGAGAAATTCGCAAATACATTAGATGCTGATATGGAGGATATGCTATTACTGGAACAGTATTCTGCTCAAATTGGTGCAGCTTTAACACCAGCCTTTGGCTCTGACTCATCATCGGAAATTGTATCAGCTGCTGTCCGTGTTTGTGCTATTTATGTTGGCAGTGGTATTGTGAAGGACCTTTACCAACTTGGTCGTGTGTTAAAATTGCTGATATCGGCTTTAGACAAATGTAAAAGTGAGTCAAAATTGACAGCTGTTGGTGAGGTAAAGGATCTAAGCCCTCATGCTTCAGTTATGGTCAAGTTATCTGTTTTAAATGCATGGGCAGAGCTTCAAGTATCAAGTCAGAGACAAGGCTATTTAAAACAGGTATTACAACCTAATTTAACCGTCTTAAGCCCCATGTGGGTTCGTGCGCTTCAAGACTATGCTAGAATTCGTTTAGAGTCAGATATTGTGGCATTATCTAGTCGTAGTACAGATCGCGTTCAAGCGTCATCTAGCAGTGGTATTGATTCAATGTATTCGGCTGCTACAAAGGATGTAGTTCTACCGTATTATCGCCGTTCCTGGTTAAAGATTATGGAAGCAGTTGCTACTTTAATCGAAACCCAAGAGGAATCTATGGTAGAAGCTATTAAGAGCAATCCAGATTTTGAGCAATCAATAGATCATCCATCCAATTTGTTTTATATTTTGTTTGGTCTTTGCATTGAAAGCCTTTCTCGTAGTTCCAGTTCAAGCAAATATGATAATGTCACTGTTCCGATCTGTCTAAATGCACTCTTTACATTTATTAAACCATCACTAGCAGGAAATCAATTTCTTCCAAAAGCAGTCTTCTTGGAGCTACTAAATGTGTTGGATCGTTTAATTCAAACTGAGGGCTACCGTACTCAAATTATTATTATTGAAATCTTGCAAAGACTTATTCAGAGTTATGGAGCTTATCTCTGTGACGATTTAGATGGAGAAAATAATGAACACACGATAGATATCACATTAGATCCTGACGTTTTTCCTACTACATCCAAGCTTTATTATATTTTACGTTTATTGGTAAATGTCTTTTTACAAAATGTCCCAACGCTGACAAATAAGCCTGCTTCTTTACGGCAACGATCTTCAAAAGATAATCTAGCATTATTGCTGGGACCCTCCTTAGATACAATTGCACTACTAGTAAACATGACACCTAAAGACTATAAAGTCGATCTATTAGCCATCTGTCTGTATATTTTCTCTGGAATTTTGACTGAAAGTAAATTTGACATGACTCTAGGGCCTCGGGTTCTTATATCTCTAAAGACCGTATTTCAGAATTTTGAAATAGACTTATCTACTGAAAATATTAACTCTTTAGCTGAAGTAATACGAGCAATAATTCATACTTTACTTGATGGCTTCTTTGAGTAAGTAGTTTTATATTTATATTATTATACATATTAATTTTTTTTTTGTTATAAAGGACGAAGAATGGTGAAAAGCTTTCCGTAGCTTCGCAAAAAAATAGACTTCTTGCTATTGTATTAATCATAACTGGTTGTCCACAAGCAATCTTGAGAGAGGGAGAGGGAAGGAAGCAGTTTATTGATACTCTAAAAAAGTCTCTATCATCAAACGATGTAGAGGTATAATTATATCAATACTATTTTTTTTTTATATGAATATATATTTTTACTAACACGTAAATCTGGAATAGCTTTCTATTACTGCACATCAATGCCTTCGAAACTTTATTAGTTTTCCCGAGAAAAAAGATAGTTTTCCCGCATTGGCTAATTTAGGACAAGTTATTATTAATTCAACCTTATCATTTGTTATCTCGCGTATTATTACGGCTAAGGAAGATAAAGATAATATGAACGATGCATCCCTTGCATCTCTAAATGAAGATACTAAAACTTTACTTGCACTAATAAGTGGTGTTCAGGAAGAACAAAGTAAGTACTAATATAGATAATATTCATAACCTAACTAACTGGCAACCTTTATTATTATTTAGAATCGTTAGTATTAAGTATTATTCTTCCAACATTAACTTTCTTGCTAGATGATCCGCCATACAATGGTCGCGAAACTAAAACACATGAAGCTATTTTAGCGCACTTGATATCTGTTGCTACAAACACGCCCACTGTTTTTCGTGATACTGTAACCAAGCTTCCAGATAACGTTAAATCCAAATTAGAATCTGCAATGCGTTATAGTATCTTATCTAGCCAAGAAAAACAACAAAAGCAACAACAAAGAGAAAAGCAACTTCAGGATTCTCATAAGGACAATAAGCAGCCTACTATTGCCTTGAAAATGGACTTTAGTAATTTCGAATAAAAAAAAAATACTGAAGAATTATAAATAAGTATTTTCCTTTATATGTATATATATATTTTTTATGTCATTTGTTGAAAGAGACTTTTCCATAGTAATATGCATAACATAATTAAATTTTAAACAATAAAGTAGTATATACTCTTTATGAACGTGTATAATAGTGATAAAGATTTTTTTTTTAATTAATTGATTTGCATTTGTCTTAATAAGTATGCTAACAGTAATCCTGAAGATACAAAAAGTAATACTAAAAAAGCCTTAAGTTATATCATATATTACACGATTAGTAGACTCGATAGTAAAAAGTATTTAGTTTACTCAAATCTCGGAAAACTCTTTTTTTTTTTTTTTTTTTTTTTTTTTTTTTTTTTTTTTTTTTTTTTTTTTTCATCCAATTTCCTTTTCCCTGAATGTCACTATATTTTAATTTTTTTTTCCTTCCCCATATTCTTTTATTTTTTCACGATTGTATCTCTTCTTATTCTCGTTAGTCAAGTGCAGAACAAAAGAAAAAAAAAAAAAAAAAAAAAAAAAAAAAAAAAAAAAAAAAAAAAAAGTTCAGCATTATTATGTATTAATGTTAAATTCAAAATAAAATACATTATTTTATTATGTACACAAATATAAAATTATTTTGTCTCTTATCTAATTTAAATTAAAAAAAAAAATGTTGGAAACAGTTAATTATAAAAGTAATCTTCATTTCCATTACAACATTAAAATTGACATTTCGAAATGATGGTGGCAATTAAGTTGAATTGCCGAACGAATGTTGAAATATTTAATAAATAACATTATTGAAGAGTAATTAGACTATTTGCATTGTGAAATTACAGAAAAAAATACTTTTTTTTTCCAAAAATGGATATATAGAAAATCATATGATCATAGAGAAAGTTAAGAAAATTACTATCTTTCTACATTTGTTGTTATTTCTTTTTTATTCTATTCTTTTATCGTTTTTTCTTTTATAATTTTTTTTTCTTTTACTTTAGATTAATATTTATTTATTTACAGTTATTTTATTTTCTATATATATTTATTATATTCAAGGTAGTATAAAGATTTAGAATATCCTTATTAACGGAATTAAACTGACCAGTTTTATTTCTTTCTTAGCAAAAGAGTCTTGTTTATGCTGGTAGTAGCTTTTTCTACTTTTTATACAGAGCATTTTTCAATGTATATGAAGGTAAAATAACAACTATTGTCTATAACTCTTGTTCTTTATATTAACACATATACTAACTTGTCTATTATCTTTAATCCTACGTTTTTTAAATAGATAAACAAACGTTATTTATTCTGCAAAAAAAAAAAAAAAAAAAAAAAAAAAAAAAAAAAGATAGTTCATGTTTTTTTTCAAAGAAATAGCCAATTAAATGTAAAAAGTAATACGTACAACGGACAAATTTTTTGCAGTGTCCGGAGTAGCCACAGTATTTTTACTTAGTTTTCGGACCTTCTCAAAAAAATTCCGGACTTTCTCTATTTTTTTCTGGACGAAACCAGTTTTAATTTCAGACTTTCGGAAAATAAAATTCAGACGACTTCCTTCTTTTTTTGGCTAAATTCTTTTTAAATTTCAGACGATTTCCTTACTTAATTTGGACAAACTTTGCGATTCAGTAATGTCATAATGAAAGAAAAAATAAATGACGCAAAAGGACACATAGTACGAAATACTGGGCTTGTCCGGGTTATTCCAGAATGCGACAGAATCTGAAAATCTTTTGCCTCGTAAAAGTAAAATATCAGGCGAAGAGAAGAAGATACGGAACCTCGTAAACCCGTTACGAGGGAGGGTTGCGGTGAAGCCAAATGGTTAGCTTGGAGTCAAGTGGGAAAATCTCTAGAGGAACCTGCTCATGGAATAGGTAGTCCATCTCGTACAAGATGGTGCAGACTTCAAGCCAACGGACCGACCAGACGCTGACTATGTGTTCTTGTCGTGTATAAGAAGGATACTTTTATACACGCCTGAAGGTTATTTTTGCATCTTTGTTTACAAACATCACGAGGCATCAGAGCTGAAAAAAATTGCCTTTCAGGGAAAGGGGGTGTCATGACTATAGGGAGGAGCATTACGGAGTTTCGCGTTTGAAAAGCAAATACTCCGGAAGCAATAAATCATTTAAAAGATCACTTCTTTCCGTTGCACATACAAATGTGTATTGACTATTTCTATCATACCCCTGCAAAATCTTGGAACGCTATTGACGCCACTTGTTACTATGATTCCAAAAGCTGTTTTAGTTCGACTTTTGAACTTCTGGCAGTAATAAAAAGTGACTTGGTTAAAGTTAACAATACTCAAATTACTTTCAAGAAATTTGTTATTTCTAGTACTAATGAAATTGAAGTAAATATCTTTTATTCTTCACAAAAGAGCATATTATTTATTTTTCATCTAGAGGCTCATGAATTTGACTGTACACAAAAAGTTTCACCAAGACAGTTCCAAAGATAATACTCAAGAGAATCAAGGTGGTTCAGAAGAAAAGCGCGATAATCGTAGCTCAAACGTAGCTTGTGCTCCTTTTTCTAAAGAACAAAATATCTTAATGAAGGTATCAGACACCTTAAACAACTATGGAAAAATGACAATTTCCAGTATTTCAGCTATCCCCGCTACGAGAAGTGCTATTGTAATAAGTGAAATACGAGTAATTTTTTCTTTTAATCTCTCACTTTCTTTTTTTTTGTAGGTAGAAAGGAAACGCCAGTACGAGGAAGACTCTCCAGATATGGTAAAGTTTTTATTTCTTAGCAGTAATTATTGATATACTAACATTTGAACTTTCCAGAGTCAAGCTTCTTTTCCTGAAAATGTAAGCTAATAAGTCTCTATATTTCTCATCTACCCTTTCTAACGTATGTATACTATAGCATTTGACAAAAGTAAGGGAAGGAAAAAATCATTATCGTTTCGAGGCACCCTCTGCTAGGGCCGAAAGTCTTCATATGCCAAAGTTGAGAAAAACACAACTTGAAGCGCTAAAGAAAATGTGCCACTTTGGCACTTCTTTTTGCTCAAATGAGCAGACCTTCAACGAATATAAAGCGTGCATTAATGAACAAATGCAGAATAGTTCACTCCGGTCTCTTGAGATGTTTGATTGTCTTGTATCTTTGTTAGAAAAAGCATCCTTTGATAATTTCAATGAGACACTTTGGGCATTCAAACCTGATTTTGCTTTAACAACTCCGTCAAAAGCATTTTTGGATATTGTAAAATACACCCTCTGTTCATTTCATTTATCATGCAGATCAATACAAGAGTTCGCACAAAACCATGAAAGAACTCATTTTGTCGAAAATATAATCCCGTCTTTGTTGGCATTATCAAAATGTTACTGGGCTTGTGGAATTCAAATGGTGAGAAAAAAAAAGAGTGATATTGAGAGAAAGATGGTCTTTTATTGATTTCTTTATTATAGGTGTGAATCACCATTTTTGTCTTCACGCGTGTTGAACCAACAAGAGTACGATTACGACTACCGTTCTGCGCCGCCAAACAAGTTTATTGATGCGCTTGGTATATTTAAAACAATGAACAACATGGAATTAATACTTGTTGAAGCCTCCAGGTAGTATTTATCAAATCAAGTCAGATATCTTCATTCTTAATGATACATTTTATAGTGGTATTTTAAAGGAGCACACAACGCGCACAGTAGAGGACTCATTAAAAATATTAGAGTGCAGTATGTCTGCCTTAAGGAAAGAAGCTTCCCACTACAAGAATGCTTCAAAAAAGACCTTCGAAGAACTCAAGGTATTTTCCGTTCATGTTGTAACAACACAAGTTACACTCTGCGAGATGTCTTTCCATGATGAAAACAATTAGAAGGTCCTCGAAACAAGAACGGCCAAATTACCTACCAACTGGAATGACAGGATTTGCCTTATCCAATATCTTGAACTTTTGGCAACTTTGTTTGTATGTATAATTTGACTTGTCATCATGAATATATGTAAGCGTTCTAATTTTTTTTTCATAGAACGGCGCACTAAAGGTGCAAGAAGTACAGAAAAAGCTTGCAAAAGAAAATATAGGACTAGTCCAATTTGATGGGCCATCCATTAGATCGATCTGTGAAACTTTTTCCATTTCTAGTTGTTAGCCTTAAACTATCTAAAATTTTTTAAATAAACCGTTTATTGCTATCAGTATTTTCTTATATATGAAATGTTGTAACTAACTTTTATTTGAAAGATAAGACTAACTAAATAAATGTTAATACAATAAAATAAAGCATATATCAATTAAAATACTTATCAAAAGTATGCTGGCTTAAAAATTGTTAAAATATTGTTTTTATACAAACAAAACAAACACTATAATCATTCACCAATATTCTCAATTTTGTTAAAAATTACTACAATCACGTTTCATATATATTGAAACGAAAATTTTATTTTGTGAAGGTCAAATACGTCATCAATATCTATCATATTTAAAGGGCCGTTTGTCATGGTTGTAAGATTTGTAACTTAATTCAATAAGATAAATAGTCATAATAGAAAATGTATATAGTGTGCTTGTATGATAATTCTGTCTATAGGCATATTAAGAATATATTTATCCTTATATAGAAAAATAATTAATAAAAGTCCTGCTGAATATTAATTTACAAGTTAAACTGGAGAAAATCAAGAATAATGCAAGTATGCGTAATAATTGATTTCACTCAGAGTACACATATTAGTTATAAACATAAATATATACAAAAGACATAGATCTACATCTATAATAACTTTTGATAATCATTCTATAATTATATTATCAAATACAATTTGTTATATTTTTATCTTCTTATTACTCATCGTCCTTATTCACAAAATATATAAATACTCTTACATTATTAATGCTTATATTGAACTTAATTCTTAATAAAACTTATTGACAAGTCTCAACGTACTTCTTCTGTCTGTCTTATTTTTTATTTCTTTTATTTTTATTTTAATTTTTAAACTTACCTAAACCACAACATTAGTCTATTCCCAAATCCTGGATTGCACTGGCGATTCATAAAGATGAATGCTCAGAACCTAAACGGAATTTTCCCAGATGTTAAACAAAAAAAGCAAACTAATGAATCATCTCCTTTCGATCATAAACAAAGATGCTTCTATCAAATGTTTGACTTTAAGAAGCTGGGCATTCAAAGGTATACATTACTATTACATATATCTATAAATCAAATTACTGACGAAAAAAAAATATAGTTGTGAAAAGTTTCAAGCACTGCCTGAACGAAAAGGAAAGATGTTTCTCAATGAATTGTATACTGATGGCTACACGTACAGAGTTCTATTTGCTAGAAAAGTGCTTCCGTCATCACCAGAAAACAATAGCTGTCTAGAGTTGAACGATTTTACAAGCGAAGAGGTGGACAGGTATTTCCGTCCATGTACTGTAGACCCAGGAAGACGGGATCCTTTTGTCTCTTATCATGGTGACCACTGACATATGTCGCTTGTCCTCAATCGAATATTACAATATGGGTGGAAGTGTAAGACGAATGAAAGAGTAACAGAAGAGTAAACAGAGACTAGGTATTGAAAAGATTGAAACAGACATTCCTTCGCCTAAAACTGTGTCTGTGGAACAATTTGGTTTGTACATAACTTACATGCCGCAGCACATGAATACTTTGCTTACTTTCTATGGCTTTGAAACTTCTAAGATTAAATGGTTGAACCACCTTAGTTCCCAAAAAGCCATCCAAGAAAGTGTCAACATCTTAATAAATGGTGGAAAGAAGTATAATAAAAGCAGGAGAAAGAAGACAAAGAAAAACTCGCAAGCCTCGTACTGCTCAAGAAGAAAGAGCACTCACCACCATCCCAAAATCAAAAAGGTATACACTTTTTTTATTATTATTATTTCAGCAAATTTTAACTATTATATCTGTAACTTACAGCAGAAACAATAAAGTCTGTTTTGAAAAGGGAAACAGCAGCAAGATGCCTCTGGTGGTCTTTGGTGAGGGACTAAAAAACAAGGATCATATCAAGTTCAAAGATCTCCGTCATGACGTATCTAACAAAATATATCAACTGTTGTGATTGTAGTAGCCTTTATAATTAAGTTAATAGAAATAAACCATCATTTATTACATAATAAAGAGGTTGTTCAAATAAAACTAATATATTGCGCTTCACAGCATAATATTCATTCTACTCTCAGTTTTGATAATAGTCATTGTTTGAGTATTCGAGCATTCAAAATAATTATATACATTATATTATGTAATAATAATAATTTAATAGGATTATGATTGTTATATTGAATTACGATTATTGATACAAGTCGTACATATTATATATACATCCATAACGTTGTATATTGTTATAGAGGGAAGATACACTGTAAATTAATATTAACGCGTTGCTTATCCCAAAGACAATAATCGTGTATATTTTTAATATCAGCAACAGCTCAGGCAGAAATCTGCATACTGCATGCAGAGTTATTCGGAGACAAAATTTGTGCATATTCGTGCATATTTGTGCATAAAGGCTTTATTATAGCAGGATTCACTTATCTAAATCACACTCCAATCAATATGACTTACCTCATAAAAACATATAAATAGCACTCGTCATTTTTCCATATTTTTTTTTCTTGGTACAATTTTTGTATTATTTTTCTCAATAAAAACTACTCGAAGTTTTCACAGACTTGTCTTTTGTCTTTTTCTCTTCATTTAACTTTTTGCTATCAAAACATCAACAATTAAAAACAAGGCAAAGGCTTAGAGAACTCTTGCTGCTAGTCATCAACGAATTTAATACATTAAAGGTTATTAAGAAAAAACAACATATAGTTTACATATTGCACTTTCAGCTAAAACCAATTCTTCATAGATCTACAATTCTTGCTTTGAAAATGATATAGAAAATCTGAAGTGTAGTGAAGATTGTTGTGGTTTAGGTAAGTTTAATTAATTAAATAAAAGAAATAAAGTAAAAGAAAATAAGACAGAAGAAGTACGTTGAGACTTGTCAATAAGTTTATTAAAAGTTAATTCAATACAAGTATTGTTATTAGTTATAAGTTATACAAAATAAGGGTGAATAATGTAAGAGTATTTATATATTTTGTGAATAAGGATGATGAGTAATAAGAAGACAAAAAATATAACAAATTGTATTTGATAATATAATTATAGAAGGATTACTAAGAGTTATAATTATAGATTCATGTCTTTAGTATATATTTATTTTTATAACTAATACGTGTATTCTGAGTAGAATCAATTATTACGCGTATTTGTATTATTCTTAGTTTACCCCAGTTTAACTTGTATAAAGTTATTTTTATAAATTAATATTCAGCAGAACAATAATAGAAGAAAGTATATTTTTAGATGTAGGACTTTTTATTAATTAGTTATTTTTCTATACAAGGGTAAATATACTAAATATGTTTATAGAGAGAATTATTATACAAATGCACTATGTATTCTATTATGACTATTTATCTTATTGAATTAAATTATAAATCTTACAACCATGACATGTAATGGCCAGCAAAAATATGTTTTACATAGCTCCGTCTATATGGAATGACAATGATCGCCCCACCGTCTTCAAACGACAAACCGTCACCTCCAATGTGGTTGTCCCGGCTCACTCCGGTGAACCGACGACTTAATGATGCTACAGGTAAGAAGTTGTAACAATTTTGATTTGATCAAACAAACTAAAGTACCTTAATTTCCCATATTCCCTTCTGTGTACTATGTTCGTACCAATGTCCCATTTTCCTATTGGTGTCCCTTATTTATTTTGGAAATGGTCAAAAAAATTTTTTTATTGACACAACCTAGTTTCTTCGACTGTAAGGGAAAAAACTACAATGAAAAATTAAAAGTATTTTTAAAATTCAGCAATATTAAATTTTATAAATTCTATTGGCTAATTTTTTTGGTTGGAAAATTTTACCCTGTAAAAAAACACAGCCAAAATAGCTGTAAATTTAAACATTAAAAAAATAATGAATATTAGCAGTAGACATGTCTTTTTTTTTTGGATAGTATATTAAGCATAACATATTTTTTAGTTGGAGGTTTTATATTAAAAATTAGTAGAAATAAACAATTAAAAAAAATTGCAGCTTAGATTGTGGCGTACGACGTATAGTACTTTTATATGTCGTACGCCAACTTTTCGCAGTGGGATCCGTTATTTTTTATATTCCTCATATTTCGGTAGAATTGCATTTGCAATATTAAAAGAAATATATTAGGCATGGTTTCAATTTTTAATTTACTCATGATGCTTATTATATCAAAACTTAAGTTGGATAAGGTTCTTTAATGTTCATTAACTGGCTCTTTACTTGATTTATTTAACAAACACAAATATGATAAACTAATTTTTAATAATGTTATTGATCATTATAGTGGTATCTAGAAGTAGAAAGTAAAATAATTATCAAATTATTCATAATATAAATATGTGTATATAAAGTATAGCCGAAGAGGATTCCCAAGTTGTTTTAAACTTTATCATTTGACATAAGACATATTAGTTTAGCTTTTCTATTATAACGCTTAAAAAAAAATTAGTACTTACCTTTTCGTCTTTAAGTTAATAGAGCAATAAAAGTGGTGATCATAATTTATATGATTAATAGAAAAACAAAAGTGGCTCAGCGGTCCATTTATATTTATATGTGCTACAGAAAGAAAGTCATTAAAGCAGTATTTCACATATATTTTTTTTTACCATTTTATTATTATTATTATTACTTTTTATCCTTTATACATGTAAAATGACTCGACGAATCAATATATCTGATTCTTGGAATGATAGTTTCGAAAAAATAAACTTGGAGGACTCACCACTGGATCTTCATAAACAGGTATTAAAGTAATAATAGCGAAAAAAAAAATAATAAAAAAAGATAAAAAAAATAATATTAAACCTTTAAAGTAAAACGTTAAAAAAAATCACCAGTATAAACCAAATCAACAAGATCATGTAATTCACAAAAATAATGATATACGTTGCAGTTATGATTCACCAGTAACATTACAATATCGAGACTCTATTGGATCCAGTTCTTCTTCTTCGCTTTCGAGAAATTCTACTTTTTCATCCGTAGACACTCATTATTTTAGTACTAGGGGTAGTATTGTATTACAAAGCACTAATTCCATAAAATCAGCTGTGGAAGCACCTTCACAAGTGCTACAATTAAGATCAGAACCGTCAACTACCAAAGCAGCTACAATTGATCAAGTAAATAATATACCCCAAGCATCTTTCCCTCAACGAACTATCCCCTTTCCCAAAACTTTTCAACATCAAAAAGAATTTAATTATAATCATAATATAGCTAGTACTGATATTATCCAGCCTAATGGGTGTTTTGTGCCTATAAAACCTTTATCATTCATACAAAAGATCGATACTATCAAATATCATTATGTAATACCTACGTTTGCTATCGTATGTATATTATACATGTATAAATATATATATATATATAAAGAGTTATTTATAAAATTATTTTTTACAGGCAGGCGAAAGTCAAGCAGAAGTATTAAAATTAATTTTTAATTATAAAGATAATCAACCTTTTACGGTATGTATTTTAGATACATATATATTTATATACATATTGTGTATGTTTGAACCCATCTTTTATATTTATTTCTTAGCCAAAAGAGGAATTTGAACGAACAATCGAATGGAATATTGATTGTAGTTCATCTCTCGTTACGTTATCTCAATATACATGCTTAGGCCAAGATAATCCTGTATCAAAAAATTATCTAACAGGACTTGGTCAAAGATTGGGCATTACCACAATTCTAGTTATTATCTCTATTGAAACCATGTATGTATATTTATACTATCTTTTTGTTTAATTGTAAATATGTATATACATATATGCATATAAATGTATAAAGTCAATAATGATATACTCTTCCTTTTCTTTCTATTCTCGATATCATTTCTTTGCCTTGTAATACTTAGTGGGACAATATATCCGTTGCTCAACAATTTAGTAAAAGCTATGGAAATTGATATGACAGAACCCGAAAAATCTCTCGAGCAAGATCAATACTCATGGTGGGAACGAGTTGTGGTTATAGTCAACCAACAACATGACATTTATGATCAAACAGCTTATAGTCATCGAAAATCTTTTCTAATGAATGAAATGCCTCGTATTCAGGAAAGGTTTCGCTTATCACAGCCTCTCTCGACTTTATTTTTAAGTACATTTGCTTACAAACAAATAGAAGAAACAGATATTGGTAATAATTATCAATTGCATTGCCAAAGGATTTTATGGCAAATGTTGGAAAGACATATGCTGGGTGGACGATGGTGTAGTGAATTAATATCACTTCAAAACAGAAATATGCTTACTTCTGTAAACACCTTGAAGAAAGATAATGATGATGACGATGACGATGATGACAGTAGCTCAAGTAGTGATGATGCCTTTATCTTTCAAACTGTCATAGATTATGTTGATGGTAAAATCAAGAAACCTGAAAAAAGGAAAAAGTTAATAAAGAAACATCCTATTTCAAGATTACAAAGAAGACAAACACGGCGTCAAATTCAAAAACTTCATTGTCATGACGGTGATGATGGAACAAAACTTCCGAGCATTAACAAAATATAAATAGACTTACTGATTTGCGTACTCATATACCTCTATAGTGTGCGTAAATATTTATTTTTATATATACCATATTCTTTTTATTTTTTTGCCACAGATATTATCTTTTATAATAACAAATTATTACATAAACTCTTTTTATTATTATTATTATTATTATTATTATTATTATTAGCTTTCTTTCTCTCTCTATATGTATATGAGGACATACAAAAATGAATGAAAATTATAATATTATATTTATAAATTATTGCTATTGATATCAGAATTTACAGGAGTAAAGGTTGAGAAAAATAAAGATTGATCATAATTTTTAGGAATTTGAAAAAAATTAGTAGAAAATAACATATTTTGATCTTGATCATTCATTAAACCAACTTCAGGTGTTTCAGTTGACATAGCTGCATTATAATATGATAAAGTCCAATCCGAAAGACTATCATTAATATTTCCAGGTAAAGACATATCGAGTGCATTCATATGTTGTTGTGAGTATACCGGTAAAGTACTTTGTTGCATTTGAGGCTCTTGCTGAGCTACTAATAATCCTGTGGTTTGGTTTTCATTTGATGGAGTTTTACTATTTGTTTGATATCTTTTTAAAACATTTATATGTAAAGCATATAAATCTCGAATCATAAAGTACAGTTTGTCCGCCATAGCCCAATAATTACGAGCGGTCTATATATAAATAGGTTAGCATTATTAGAATAATGTATATATATATATATGTATATATGTATATATTTACCAATAGAAGTTCGAAATATACACCAAGTGCTTGTTTTGCTTTTTGGGCTTCTTCAGGGCGTGGTGAAAATAAGGTACTTACAACAACTGTAGCTACTGTATAAATAAAATAGGTAATATAAGGAGGTAATAATTCTTTACGATTTCTCCCAAGCCTAAGCAAGTTAGTAACATTATCAACTGCAGCCATACATTTATTGACACTTTTCCGCACAAATTCCTTAATTACAGGCTGAATAGCATCATTATTAAGTGTATCCATCATTACTAAAGAAGGACGATGTAGTAAGACGATTATCGTATTATAGAGAATGTGTATCTAGCATGAAAACTGAAATTAGTCTAATACGTTTTTTTTAATACAAAATTAAATAGAAACTTACGATAAAAAGCTGTTGATTACTGTTAGTAGGCTCAATATTTTTATCTAGTTCCAAATTTGTCAATGTATTCTTCAAATGCATAGGTAATTGGTTTTGCCAATTGTCAATATCTTGATCCAATTTAGTAAATTCAGAGTCAGGATGATAAGGAGGTAGATCCGATTGTCCTCCTTTTCCTTTCTGATTGACATAATTTGTTACTCTTCCAAGTAACTTTATTGCACGTATAAAGTAAGCAAAGTGACTTAAGTATTGGAAAGTACCTATGTCGTCATTTAGCGGGACTGTGCCCAAATTATATGCGCCCAAGAGGTAACTTTTTCGAAATCCATTTACATTTAAAAAAATATGTCGATTATTATCCAATGTTTCTGAATAATATTGATTTTCTTTATCCTGATCTACTTTTCCAGGTAAAAATACGCTACAGCTATTGTCTTGTATAACTGAAGGACGTCCTGTTGCTGCACTTGATATTCTAAAGAATAATCAATTAATATATATATATATACATATATATGTATAATCTTACCTATCAATAGAATATACTGTCCAAAATAGTCCACGTCGGATTTCTTGATTTACTAATTTTTCAGACGTATTTTCAACATGTTGATTTTCAGTTAATTCTTCATGAAGTCCTAATTCCATTGCCATACGTATTGCTATACCACTATACATCCAACATCTGTCAAAACTAGTTTAATATCAAAAAAAAAAGGCTTGACTTTGATTAAAATAAGACAAACCTTGGCCCTCTACCACATCCATATTCATGGAGTGAAAGTAATATAATTGCTTGAAGGTTAGGTATGCTTGGCTCATCAATAGCTTTTATAAGTATTTCTCGCGCTTTTTCAGCATACTTTTCACCAGAACGCCAAGGTGGATTCTCCTTTATATCAGGTCGATCAGAAAATCTAAGTCACACTTGATGATTAATTAAAAAAATCCCCCAAAGTAAGCTATTATTATTTATTTATTTATTATTATTATATTTTTGTTTTCATATAACGTACCTTGCACAAGCAGCAAGTAAACATAAAATCAAAAAATCTGAACATTTTTGATCTCTAATATCATCTCTTAATTTTCGTTCATCAAAAATAGGCGTTATCGAAAATAAATATTTAAAGAAAATATCAACTAAATGTTCAATAACACTCATTGAGGGAAATAAATTATTTTGATTGGTTTTATCTTCTTGCAGTAAAGGTGAACATTGATTTAACATGTGTATATTAGATGATGGAAAATTATGCGAAAAACTCGAATAGGATGATGGTGATGTTTCACTATATAAGTCTTCATTTGACCGCTTTTTTTGATTTTTCCTTGCATTATTGCTACTTTCACTATAGTTATTCATCGTGTCATTATCATTATTATATCCTTCAGCAGAAGTAAAATGGGTAGTCGAAGAAGATATATGTGGTAAAGTCTCGTTGTATCGCTTCTGCTCTTCTACTTGATTGCCTTTATAACTTGTTTGATCTAACCCTTTTACGTCTGACAAAGTATTGCCACTACTAATAGAATCTGACAAAAGTATCTGTTCCATTTTTGCAAGTCTTTGTTCCAAAATTTCAATATATCCTTGACGTGGTCCACGCTTTTTATTAGTTGAACTGTATGTGCAAATATTCTTAAGTCTTATACAATTATTGCAAGCTGGTTTACCACCATCACATTTTATCTATTTTTTATTATTATTATTATTTGTTTACAGAAAAGGTAAATATGCTGCGGAACAGAAGAAATAATTTATATTTTTACTTTTTTTCTTCTACATAATTCACATGCTTGTGTTAATCGCTTTCTTTTATGTTCACGATTTCCAGAATTATTGCTTGATGACATGTCAGTAAAGTAAGGTAGTAAACGATTTAGTTAATTTTTATTTATTTATTTATTTATTCAACTAAAATATGTGTTCACATATATTATAATTCATGTAAAGCGAAGAAAGAAGAAAAGAACTTTTACTCCAATTCTTGTTGTTATCTTTGATCGGACATCAGATTATGGACTCTCCGAGCCGCCGCGCTTTTTTATGTATTCATGTATGTGTGTGTGTGTGTATATATTTATCAATATACAAATATATACTTTGTAAAAGCAAATCAATAAAGTCAATATCACCTTCTTAAAACAAGTATAATATCCTCTTATAATACCAAATTGTAAGAGAAATAGGTATTACCCTACATTCTGCCCTTTACTCTATTTGAACAGTCACAATTTTCTTTTGTAAGTTAGATACTATAGTTTGTTTTGTTTTTAGAGATACAGTCAAAATTTCTTAATACTTGGGTGAACACAATAGAATTCCTTGAAGTTGCATAGAAGAGCCTTTATTATATTGATCCAAGATAAAATAATAATTTAGCAGAATTAAAATATGACATCTGAATTGAACTTACAATATTACTGTTCAATATCAAGCTGCTGTATAAGAAAAGAAAATATGAATTATACATTCTTTTAAAAGGGTATTTCTTATTTTCGTTATTATTACTACTATTTTTTTTTTGCGTTCTTCATTAAAATTACCAGTATATAATACTTGTGTAAATAGTCTTTAAAGAATAATGCCAAAGTATATAAACATGAGGTTGATTCTAACTTGTTCTAGTTTTTTCTATAAATTTTGTAGTACTTATCTGATCTGTACATACAAACAAGAACATCTTTTTTTTTTCTAACAAGAGAGCAAAAGTTCCTTCTGAAAAAGAATGAATAAATCTGCATTATACTAAAATATGATCTACATGAATATATGCTTTTCCTTAAAATCAATTATTCAGCTTAAGCTTTGATGAGAAACATAATATATTAATATGCTTTAATTAAATTTTAAGGGTTTTCTGTGTTATCCCTAAAAAAAAAAATAAAAAAACAAAGAGTCTGACTTTTTTTTTTTATGATAAATAAAAATTCTTTTGTTTTTTTTTCTTTGTAAAAAAACTATATAAATGAATCCGTTCACATCAGTATCAACGGAAGACAACTCTCCCTCTTTTAGTTTTCAAAAATTGTGTCAGCAAATGTTAGATGGAAGTTCTAGGAATCTAACAAAGAAAAATGTAGAAGATTTTCGTGTCATTCTTCACATGATCATGCATGAATGTTCAAAAGCAAATATAGAGGTAAATTCCAACAAATTACTTTTTTTTTTAAATCGACAATCCATTACTCAAAAATAAGGCTGCAATAAAAAAAAAATAATAATAATACACTAGACGGGAAAAACATGGGTCTTTGAACATTGTCAATCAGCATCTCATGTGTATGCTCTAATGGAATATATATTCTCATTATCAAAATCGCGTTCAGGACAAGAAGATAGAATTCATGTAGTTTATTTAATCAATGACGTTTTATTTCACACGTAAATTTTTGATAAACAAGCTATTTCTCTTTTTATATTAACTCAAAAAAAAATACAATATTTGATACAGAGCACGAAAGCAAATGCAATGGATGAAAGATACGATGACACCTTTTTTAGTACCCCTTTTAAGATTAGCTTATGATGCAGCTGAATCGGCGGAATATAAAGCCAAAGTTATGAAGGTAAGGTTAATGAAAATCTATAAATTCATTTTCTAAATCAACTATTATTGAACAAGGTCATAACATTTTGGAATGATAAAAGTATATTTGAACCAAATGTAATTAATACGATGAGAAAAGAAGTGTCTGAGCCAGCTGGCAATCATACATCTTCTTATCCCCCTCAATATCCTCAAACTAATATGAATTATCAACCTATGCCATATCAACCACATCCTAATTATCCATCTACTCCTTTTTCAGCCCCTCCTATTCCTTCACCAGCATTTCAGCAACAACATCCAATTCCTAGAGGCTCTTCTACCCCCTCTGTGCCATCACATCCATCACCAACATCAGTGCCGCCTGCAACTTCTTTACCATTACCACCACCACCACCTTCACCAGCAAAACCATACTATGAATTACCTGCTGGATTAATGCTACTTACAAAAGTAAATATAAACGTACTTTTATATTTATCCATTTTCTATAATTATTTAATATATTCATTTCGTAGAATGAGTACTATAAGCCGATTGATCCAAACAGTATTATAGTGCCTTATCCTCGACCACCTCCTTCTAAAGAATTAATTGAGGCTGTTGATGATTTTTACAATGGTTTAGATTTATTAAAAGTGGATGATGTTATCTTAGATGAAAAGACAGCTTCTACTACGAATATAGATGCACAAGGTTGGGAAAAGGGTTATTTGAATTCTTATATGGAGATAGCCGCTCAAAGGAAAAAGGAGGCGTTAGAAAAATTACAGAAACGACGTTCACATAGTCAAAGTACTTCACGTAGTCGAACTCATCGAGGAAGAAGAAGAAGAAGAATGTATGATCGTCGTAGTCGTAGTCGAAGTCGTAGTCGAAGTCATAGCCGTAGCTACAGTCGAGGTCGTAGTTATAGTCGAAATCGTAGCTATAGTCGTAGTCGTAGCTATAGTCGTGGCCGTGATCACAGTTATAGTCGCAGTCTTAGTCGCAGTCTTAGTCGCAGTCTTAGTCGCAGTCTTAGTCGCAGTCGCAGTCTTAATCGCAGTCGCAATCGCAATCGCAATCGCAGTCTTAGTCGTAGCCTTAGCCGTAGCCTTAGCCGTAGTCGTAGTCGTAGTCATAGTCGTAGTCGTAGCCGTAGTCGTAGTCCTGTGCATAACTATCATAAAAGAAGAAATTATAGTAGAAGTCGTAGTAGAAGTCCCCCATATCGTCGAAGAAGTAATTCTCGTGATAGAGGACGAAGCCCTTACAGAAGGAGCTCTCCAGGAAGAGGTAGAAGTCCCGTTGTTCGAAACAATTATCGAAATAATAGACGTTATAGCCGTAGTAGAAGTAGATCACCACTATCATCTACGCTACCTCCTTCTTCATCCTCTTCTTACCCTCCATCCTATGGTTCGACAAACAGATTTAAATCTGCTGATTTTAATTTACCTGCTGCAGTACCTGTTGAAAACAGATATATGGGTTTAGGTAGTCAAACAGTAACTGATGAATTTGACAATTTTAGAAGAAGTAAAAGCCAGGCCTATAATAGAAGGGAGCCTTACCAACCTTTCACATGCTATAAATGTAATAAGGTATGTAAAATTTATTAGAAAGAAAGAAAGAAAGAAAGAAAGACTCCTAATATAGCCTCTTATATATATATAGGTGGGTCATTTAGCAAGAGAGTGTGATAGTCTTTAAAATTCTTATTAAATATATAATATAATACAATACAATACAAATAAAATATAATCCACAAAACCATCACCACACCATGTGTGTTATTCTAATTTTATATCATATGTCCAAAGATCTTGAGCACAGAACACATCTTTATCTCTTTGATCCCCCCATGTATTAACAGCTAACGCACGAATTTCTTCCATCACTTTTAAGGCCTCTGGATCGTTATCACCCCGATAACGAGCACTGAAATGGGTTAAAATTAATTTTTTACAATTTATCCTTTTAGCGAAGAGAGCGGCCATTTGAGGAGTAGAATGACCATGACTCTTGGCTTTTGATTCAACGTCCTCAAACGTGAGACTCTGGTTGAGATGAGAGGAAGAGGTGGTGGTGGTATCAAGGCTAGTGAGTGCATTCGTGGCTTCGTGCACTAATAAAGTAGGAGCAGGGTCTTGTCGGATAGCAGGCAAGAGTTGAGATGGATCGTTTGTATCGCCCAAGATGACGATCTGACGACCGGGACGAAGTGGAGGTGGGACAAGTTGTGAACCATCAGGTAGATGGTAAGGTTGATTTGTACGTTGAATGTGACCCAACAGGCTCATTGGGTTTGCTATCCCTGAGGCCCTTAGCTCTGTCCAATTTTTCTTGATAAGGGGGATCAAGCCACTTACTTTACCCGGCCAATCAGGTTCACGAATCACGTAACCTAAGGAAGGGATAGAGTGTTGAATGGGTGCAGCCTGGACTTGATATCCCTTTTCTTCAGATAGATAGAGTGGAAGTCGAAAGAGATGATCAGCTTCCATCCTGACGTTTTCACCGGGGAGTTCGTTAGGGTGTCGATTCTCGTTCAGATCAACGGGATCAGTCGAATGTAACAATTCATGAACACGATAAGATCGTCCAAGATTAGAATAAGTAGATAAAAGTGTTGTTCTAAGCCAAGATCGTAATGGTGATGGTCCATAAATATCAATGATGGGGGAGCCCTCTTCAAGTTCGTCTTTTGAATCACATGCGTTAGCAGGATTAAGATTATCAGTCATGCTACAAAGAAGGGGCGCTAACCCAAAGCAATGATCGCCATGCATATGTGTAATGAAGATGCGTGTAATCTTACTCATCTTTAATTTAGACTTTTGAAACTGATGTTGTGTTGCCTCTCCACAATCAAATAACCAAATCTCCCCATTAAGTCTTAAAGCAATAGCTTGATGGTTCCTCGTAGCACTCGGTTGAGCACTTCCAGTCCCTAAAAACGTGATATCCATTGGAGCAACCATGATAATAAGCAAACGTAGATGAGTGGAAAAAAAAAATATGTATACAAATATGGATAAATTTTTTTTTTCTTTTCTTTTTAAAAAAATAAAATAAAAGTAGTAAGATTTTTTTTTTTTCTAAACAGTAGCTATAATCATTTATCAGATCTCTTCTTATCTACTGATGATCCCAAATTTGATTGATTTATAATTATTTTAAAGTTATAGCTATAAATTTTAATGTTCCCTATTCTATCAAAGTGAAGTACAGAAGAATTAAAATGTAGGCTTCAAATACGATATATTTAATTATATGTAAGTAAAATAAATGTACGTCCACGTTGATGATACATTAGTGTGGGGGAGGGGAAGAAAAGTAATATACAAGAAATAAATATTTATTTTAATAACAAACTTGTATACTTTTGCATTTATATGATATATTTCAAATAATAAATAAAAGCCATTTGATATACTCTAATTCAATCACCCCCCCCAATTTTTTATTATATTACGTAATTTACAAACGTTCAATGACAATGGCAGAAGCACCACCACCACCATTACAGACACCAGCAATACCATATTTACCATTATTCTCCTTCAAGACAGATGTAAGAGTAGTAATGATACGAGCACCAGAACAACCTAATGGGTGACCCATAGCGACAGCACCACCCCAAACATTACTATACAAAAAAAAAAAAAGTAATTAATGTAAGTTAAATATTACATACATACATACTTACACTTTATCACTAGGAAGATTTAAAATCATCTTATTAGCACAAGCAACTACGGAAAAGGCTTCATTGATTTCATAAAATGAAATGTCTTCGGCAGTTAAACCAGCATGCTTGATAGCTTTAGGAATAGCAAGTGCAGGTGAGGTTGTAAAGCGAGCAGGTGCCTGTGCTGCTTCACCCCATCCACAAATTTTAGCAATAATTGGAAGCTTATATCTTTCAGCAGCTTCCTTTGAGACAATAACAAGGGCAGAGGCACCATCTGAAAGAGGAGATGAATTAGGAGCAGTGACGGTACCATTTTTAGGTTGAAATGCAGGACGAACTGCACGAAGTTTTTCTTCGTTTAATTTAGCAACCTCATCGTCTTGTTCGATTACACGATCTGCTTTACCACGACCCCCTGATACTGTGACAGGCACGATTTCTTCCTTATAAAAACCAGCAGCAAAGGCAGCTTGAGCTCGTTTGTAAGATTCAATTGCATAATCATCTTGTTGTTCACGACTAATGTTGTATTCAGTAGCACATGCTTCAGCAGCTACACCCATTAAATAGTCATTATAAACATCGGTAAGGCCATCTTTAACAATACCATCCACCACTTGAGTATTTCCATATGTAGAGCCGAAACGTTGCTTTGGTAAATAATAAGGTGTGTTGCTCATCGACTCCATACCACCTGCAACAATCACTTCAGCATTACCCAATAAAATACTTTGAGCAGCCATAATAACAGCTATTAAAATTTTATTAGAGTCTTTTATATGTATATATATATATATATAAAGCTGTCTTACTTACCCTTCATACCAGATGCACATACCTTATTCACAGTGGTGCAAATAGTTTCATTCTTAAGACCAGCACCCAATGCAGCTTGACGAGCGGGATTTTGACCTAAATTTGCGGATAAAACACAACCAAAAACAACCTCTTCAACAGCCTCAACGGGTAAATTGATTTTCTTGACAGCCGCTATTAAACATTTGAAATATGAATTGAAGTAATAATAAAGTGTGTGTGTGGGGGGGGGTAAATAAAAGCACATACCTTCAATAGCAATGGAACCAAGTTGAGTAGCGGCTAATGAAGCTAAAGAACCATTAAATCCACCGAGGGGAGTACGAACAGCAGCAGCAATATAAACCTCTATCAAATTTAAAAATGCACAGTCAATTAAAAGCAAGCAAATAAATATATACAGTTTAGAATCAAAATCAAAATTTTCGTTTTTTAAAGAAAGAAAGAAAAAAAAACATACCACGTTGTGTCATTTCAATTCAAAAAAAAAAAAGTTAATCTTTATAAATGAGATGAAAAAAAAATAAGAAAAGAAAAGAAAAGAAAAATCAAACTTGATATCATGAACATCAAATATTATATCTTGTACAAGGCACACGGTTAGCCAATAGCTTTAATTCCTTTCAACCATGGAAAAGGGGGTCCCGAATCAAATAAGCATCATCGCAGTAACAAAAAAAAAAATAAATAAGCTACACACACATATTTATCTATATCTTTTCATATATTTGTCATTCAATAAATACACTCTAGTATACTATTAATAGTCTAAATGTTGACTTTTAAACAGGTTTATGCTTGTTGACTTCTTTATCATTTATAAAAAAAAAAATCTCTTAACCCTAATAATAATAGCCTATTTGTTTGTTTGTTTGCTTTTATCGGAGTTACCTGTAAGGGGGAGGGGAGGGGAGGAAAACGACATGCTGCTGCTATTGCCAGCATACATATTTCTTTAATAAAGAAGGTTTACATTTGTGTGTGGAACCTGTTTACAATCATCTTGACAGGTATCAATATCATTCTTTTTATAATAATTCATATAAATATATACATATTTTAACATATATAATTGCATCTTATATTAGCTACATACATAATGTAATTTTTTTTTTGGTTTTTTTTAAAAAAAAAGGGGGGGGAGAGGAGAAAGGTTTTACATAAAAGAGTTGAAATTTATATGATTAGATGATGAATAAATGTTAGTATTAGGTGCATTTATAGGTACAGTACTTGTAGAAGTAGTTGAAGTAGATGAAGATAATAATACAGGGTTTAATTCATCTTCTTTTGTAGGACTAGTAGTATTCTTCTTACTATTATCATCATTACTGCCAGCAGTGACTAATCTATCATGATTAGTTACGCTATGTTGATGAGGAAAATAGTCATGAGGAGTATTTGACCAAAGATGAGGGGGTAAAGAGGAGATTGTACTACGTATCCTTTGACTGTTATCCTCCTCTTTAGGTTGAAAGTGAAAGTGATGATGTTGATGGAGATTTTCGTCTATTCCTGATGGAGTCATTTGATTCATTTGTGAATGCAATTCATAAAGATGAGTTGGATGATTCTCGGCTATGAATGAATATGAATACATATTATTATTATTAGTATAATTCGTTGTTGTACTTTGTTTCACAGAAGAATGCTTTGCTAGTGTTGTATAATGAAGAGCGCCTTCTAATTGTTGAATACGTATTTGTTGCTTTTCAATTTGAATCTGAGCACAAGTCATTTGCTTTTCAAAATAATTTTGCATTCTTTCAAAATGTTGCTTCATATGAAAGAGTTGCAAGCGAAGTTGACCTTGATCTTGTAAAAGAGGAGAGACTAAATGATTATTTGTACTCATGATAAGATGATCATCTACTTTATCTACTTGATTTGTTACATAAGTTAAAGAAGGGGAAGAAGGTGGCATGATATCTGTTAGAGAGATTAAATTATGATTTGGAGAAGTATGTTGATTGTAATCCAATAGTTGAACTGACTGTTGTGTTAAAGAGGATGCTGATGATGAGCGACGCATCGTCATTTTATCATTACCTTCACAAAGTTGAATTGCACTTGAAGATTTCTTACGAATTCTATCCTCCTCTTCATGATGCTCTTCCACTTCTGATTCTTCACCAGAGCCAACATTTAAAATAGTTTCAGGATCTTCTTCTTCTTCTTCTTCTGCAATACATATCTTTGCTTTTTTCTTTCTAGAATATCGAGTAGCCTTTCTACGAATCAAATGAAACAGATCTCTTCGACCTGGTCTAAAACAAGGATGATACCATCTACAAGAATCTTTATCTTTTGTATCTTTAGATTTCCTTGCATCTGTATCTCTTTGAAATCCATAAATCTACATAAAAAAAAAAAGGATTCATTATTTGTGTTTCCTCTTTTTTTTTTTTTTTTGTAATATACTCACGTTTAATTGGCGTACAAATGAAGGGAATTTACAATGTTTAAAAAGACGTGGTAAGACCACCTCAGTAAATTCTACATAAATAAATTAAGATATGTAATATGTGTTTACATGCATAAAAAAATTGGTCTTTCTCACTCTCTCTCTCTTTCTTTCTCTCTTTATATATTTACCTGGTATACGATCGATAATAAACATATCTTTTCCATCATGTTTACACCATCTTGCATATTGTTGATTATTATCATTTGACTGGAGACATCTATTAACAAAATTTATCAGTTGTACAGTCTTATAAAAAAAAAAAGGGGGGGAGAGGCAAAAAATAAGGGGGAGGAGAAGAAAGGAAAAGAGGAGACCATAATATAACAGTTAAATAAACAAAAAAAAAGGAGAAATAGTAAAAGAGGGGGAGGGGAATGGAAGACAAATACATTTTAAAACCTCATACACACACACACACTTTTTTCTTTTTCACTCTGTCCCCCTCCCTTTCTTCTCTCCTTCCTTCCTTCCTTCCCTCTCTAAACCCCCCCTTTTTTTGAATAAAATAATTATATACTTTACTGATAAAGTTTTGACACAAAACCAGCAATGCCACGTTCCGTATGAGGCAAAGCTGGAATAGGAGAACTATTATACAAGTCATCGGAATGATGAAGTCGATGCGGATTCCAAGACTCTTGTATTTCCGTAATGGGTCGTGTATTCATAATCAAATGTGAAGTCTCTAGAGGAGGAGAACTTGCGTTATCAAAAAGAATTGAAGTAGATGGATTCGTGTTATTAAATATTGCATAAGATCTATTATTATTTTGTTGCTGTAAAATATTATCATTGGTATTGATCTGACTTTGATTTTGATCACTATCTAAATAAGAAGTAGTAGTCGTCGTAGTTGTAGTAGTCGTAGTGGCATGCAAAGAATAATCCATAATGGTGTATATATGAAAGAGAAGAAGGAAAAAGGGAAAATAAAAGATAGTTTTTTTTTATCCTTTAGGTGACCTGAATTATTATAGTGTACAAAAAAAAAAAAAAAAAAAAAAACTTTGTTGATTAAAAAAAAAAGACTTGCATTTACATATTAAAGAGATGAAATGGTTGTACAATATTATTCAAGGGAAGGGAGGGGGGAAAGAAAGGTAAACTACAGTAATTTAATATATTAAAGATCGATAATTCTGCAGTTAATGTATTTCCTATATGCAATAATATTGTACTTTTTTTTTTTTTTATGACTCCTATTGTTATCATATCTAGTTTGTCGTTATTTAAATAATAATAAAAGACGCATTACTAAGTAACGCAAATAATAATACATAAGCACCGTCGTGTGTCGTGTGGGTATGGGTATGGGTTTCCTGGGATTTAACCTAATAAAACCAAAAAAAAAGAAAAGAAAAAAAAAGAAAAAAAAGCAAACATAAAATATATAAATGTAAAGTCTGTAGTATTCAAGGATACTTAAAATATTAAAGTGAATTATAATAAAAGAATAAACGTATATATGACTCTTAAAGAATTGACACAAAATAGTACATAATTTTATCTCAAAGGGAGACCAGCGATAGTGTTCTTATTTTGATCGGCCGTTATTCTAATACTTGTCTATGTGTGCTACAGGTTATTGAGATCCTAAAGAATGTCAAAATCTTACAGAAATATCTTCCTGGGAATAAATTGAATGAATGATAGCACAAGCAGCAAGAGTTTGATTCCATAAGTGGTAGTTTGTATTTTTTATATAATTTTGATTCGTGCATCTTAGATTACAAATAACAGCAATAGAGAATAAAGTTAATTGAATATCTCTATGCTCTCTATTTTAAAAAAATTGCAGATAGCATTTGTTATAAATCTTGTAGACTTGCTGGTACTTTACAATAGCCTCAGACTAATCACTTATCATAAAGAATGATAATAAAAAGTTGGTTAACAGGACTTGATTAACAAGTTGTTTCCCCGAATACTATAATTTCATTTTTATTAGGCTACGAGAAGCATATTCACTAATTCAGTTTAATATGAGCTTCAAATAAATAAAACAAAGCAACAATGAATGTTCTTTATTTGAATATCCTTATCCTCTTCCTTTCATTTTGCATTTATTTATCAACTAGATCATTTATTATACATGAATAAAAATATGCTGTCAAAAATGTATCATTTTATATACTACTTTTTTTTTCATTTGCGCGAAATTATTGCTATTTTTAATAAATCATAGAACGAAGAAAGAAATGCTACGTAAAATGAACTCTCTTGTCACAGTGCAATGTTCTATTATGTATGATAAGGATGAATGGTCATTACGATACGACGGAATTTTAATTTCTAGAATAAGTGACTTGTAACATTTTTATCCAGCAAAATAAATAAAAAAAAAAAATAAAATAACCCGCGTTAAAATATCATAAACATCTCAATTATAAATACATAATGGTAATTATATAACCAAGATTAAACCATAAACAACAACAAACAATAACACTTTTTTCTTTTTCTAGTTATTTTATTCTTTCTTTAAAACTTTAGTTGATCAAAAAGTTACGGTTGAATTAAAAAATGATCTTGCAATCACAGGTGTTTTAAAATCAGTAGATCAGTTCTTAAATATTAAATTAGATGATATTCACGTAATTGATGAAGAAAGATATCCTCACATGGTAAATTATACATGTATAACATGGGAATTTTACTTTTTTTTTTTTTTTTTTTTTTTTCTTCAGATGAATTAATTTATTTATTTATTTAAAAAGGCTACTGTAAAGAATTGTTTTATTCGTGGCTCAGTCGTTCGTTATGTTCAACTTCCAGCTCAAGCAGTTGATACAGCACTTCTTCAAGATGCAGCAAGAAGAGAAGCAGCACAACCTTCAACAGCACAACCTGCTAATGTTAAAGTTAAATAAAATAATATATGCGTTATTTATATTGCAAACAATGAACGTCCTTTATTTATTTATTTATTTATCTATTTATTTATTTTATTTTATTTTATGCCACATGCTTAAAATGAATGCTTGCTTATATGCTTTGTGAGAATTTTTTTTTCCTTTTTTTTCTTCTTCTTACATATATTATTTCCTTCCTTTTTTTTCCCTTTTTATATATCTATATATTGTTTCTCTCTGTTTTATTCCAACGAATAGAATGCCATTATTTAATTTAAAGAATGCTAAAAAGAAGCTTTCATCAAGTTCACTTTCATTAAGAAAGACACAATCAACAGGAGATATTGAAGAGGAGAATGTATTTACGAATGATATAAAATCTTCAAAGTCATCACCGACAACCACGACTACTACTACAACAGTTAAAAAACCTACTCATATATCATCCATGACCACTAAAAGACCAACAACTGGAATTTTACTTAATTCTTCTTCTTCTACCACTACCACTACTGTTCCATCAAGTTTATTACTAACACCCGTAGTTGAACAACCTAATGAGAGCGTATCATCAACAACAACAACAACAAATGATCTATTGACAGCCAAATTAAAGGATATTACTGCTTGTGATATGGATTTATTATTAGCTTTAGAAACTCAAGCTCGTATGGATATTCAAGAAGAAAAACAGCTTCTTCTTCAAAGGCGTCCAACAAGATTAACCTTTGACATTCCACCAACACCATCCATTACTACTACTACTACTAGGATCGATGATCAAGGAGAGAAGAAGAATAGATCTGATTCGCAGTCATCTTCTTTACCTACCATCACAAGTAGTGGCAAGGAATTTAACTTGTCTCATACTTTCTTTTCTAAAACAAAATTATCTCGTTGGAGTCGTGCTCTTCATAAAGAAGAAGGTCATACGACTACCGTGTTGGAGGATTATGCAGATCCAGTGCCTGTCATACAACAATCTATTTTAATTGGTTCAAAAGTCAAATTGATTAAACGACCTCTACCCATTATTGGGACTGTTAAATATATAGGAAAGGTCCATTTTGATTCAAGTCAAGAAGATTGGTTAGGCATTGAATTAGATACTAGAGGTAATCATGACACAACTAGAGAAATAAAAAAGCTTATCTATACTCATAATTTTTTTTAGTTGGTAATACAGATGGAAAAGTAGGTGATACTCGTTATTTTCAAACAAAATCTAATTGTGGTATATTCGTGAGGAAACAAGATACAATTAAGGTTTGATAGAATACATTCAATAATAATAATAATAATAATAAAAAGACATTCTTTTATAATGTTTGTGTGTGTGTGTGTGTGTGTGTGTGTGTTTGTTTGTTTTAATGATTTGAAGTAGTTGTTAAAGAAGAAGGAGAACTAATTAAAATAGGTGTAATTCTTCTCTTTTTCGTTTTATCCATATTTAATGTAGTAGATGTAGTAGTAGAATGAGTCATAGATGGAATAGATGTCCTTCGTTTTTGAGACTTTGTCCAATCATCAATTGTCTTTTGAGTCTCTTCATTATTATTAGTTGGAATCTCCATCATTTCAATGTCATGCTCTTGTATGATTGTTTCTGGTAATTTTTCATATTTTGTTCCTAATTCTCCATCTGAAAAGACTGCGGCAGAACAATAACCATCTGCTGAAGCAAACATTAAGATGGATCCATCATTTGACCTATTATATATATATACATATAAAGAGAAGAGTGGCTCATTAGATATACAATCTAGCATTTACTTTTTATATATATACCATGTAAGATCAGTAATAGGAGCAAAATGCATGCCTGAAATAGCACAAATGGGACGAGATTGTTGGGTATCATAAATATAAATTGAATCTTGTGTAGCTGTTGCATAAAGCATACGATAAGGCAAGGCAAACATGGATGCTATATTTCTTCTCTTCTTAAATAACATAGGACACCATCGAATCGCTATGGATGGCTTTGGATAATTCCCAATAAAACCCACAGGGTATTTTAATATTGTATTTCTCGGGAAAATATAAGAACAATTTAACAAATCATCTCCATTTTCATCCATCTCATTTTCTTCTTCTGTCAAACTTGCTTCAATCGACTTATTCAAACCTGCAGGCGTTATCAATAATCCGCCATCAGGACTAAATGAGAGTCTTCTAAAGAATGATACTAGATTTTCATCATGATATAAACGAAATGAACCTGTTGTAGTGGTATCCTCATTTGCTGAAGCAATCTTTCCTTTATCAATTCTAACAAATCGACGAGAACAAGGGCTAAATTGTAACTTTCCTGTTTGTGTTTTACGATATCTATATATCGCCATCGAACGATCACTTGATTGTGTTGCTATATATTGTCCTAAAGGATCCCAACTTACACCTTGAACATAATGTGTATGATCTGCAAAGACATGAATACAAGTTTCTATATGTGTATATAGTTGTTAATATTTGTATATATATATATATATATATTTTTACTTGTTTGAGATAGTACACATACTTTCTAATAAACCCCATACTCTGGCTGTATTATCGATAGATGCTGTAATAAAATATTTACCACAGGGTGACCAAGCTAAATCATAAATTTCTTTATTATGTCCACTATAGAGATTGAAATAAATATGAATACATACATACATACATAGACCCTATGAATATGAATGATAACTTACTAGAACATATGGACTACAGTCCAAGTTTCCTTTTCATAATCACTATATTCATTACCAAAATTGGACTCTTTTGAAGGTGATAATTTCCATAATATAATACATGCATCTAATAAATATATATACATACATAAATGGAATAGGATATAATAAAATATACATTTAGTTCATCAAAATAACAGATTTGAAAGATGAATAGAAATAGATATAGATGTATATATATTTTAATTTTTACCATCGCCTGCAGAGGCAAGATAATCACCACGAGGAGAAAATCGAACAACATTGACAGGTGAAGAATGTCGTCTTAATTCAGATAAAAAATCAATATTGACAGGTAAAGAATCAACAAGTTGTTTATTTTTTTTTTCTACATGAACTCCATTGTTGTTGGTTAATAATACATTATCAGACCGTTTTTGAATGCTCCAAATCTATATACATATAAATATATATATTTATATATAAAGGGTATACATTAACATTTTTTTTTTTCTTAAATAATCTATACTATAATTTACTCTAACAGAATTGTCTGCACCAGCTGTTGCGTAACGTGTACCATCAGGTGAAAAATCTACAGAATATATGGCTTGTCCATCATGCCAATTAATTTCAAGTGTCTTAGCAAGCATGATACTTCAGCATTAAATAATAATAATAATAATAAAAAAAGGAACAGAAAAGTCGCGTTTAAAAAAAAAAATATTTTTAAAATGAAGCCAAACACGTCACGAAGACAGCAGTAGTATAAACATACGAAAATTATTTTATTTCGCTAATATTATGTAAGACTGTTTGTGTATTATTATTATTTTTTTTTTCTTAAAAAAAAAAGAGTTATTACAATTGATCCAAAGAAATATTTGCGCTTTGGAAATATTTAGGTAGACATTGAGAAGCTTCTGGAGATTGGGTTACTAAAGTCTTAATAATGTGTCGTTTTTCAGTTGGCATAGCCATGATTTGTTGAACTAAAAAGACAGGGCAAGGAGGCAAGTGAGTAGTAGGATCGTCTACGATTGGACTACTTGTAGCCAACTTGGCAAATGCGGTTTGATAGCCCCCTTCCTCAATATCAAGTGTATAAAATTCATCAGGTCCTTCTGTATCCACAGAGGCTGGTAATTCCAATAAAGCTAATAAAGCCATTAAGGATTCACTCCAAAGCTGATTCACATAAGGTGATTGCAACATGGCATCTGACTTTGTCAATAAGCATGTCACGCCAAAACTGCCTAATCTACGATCAATAGGCTTACTTAATTTGCTTAAATCGGGAAGAACAAATAATTTCATGATTTGTCCGAAAAGTCTATTGGTTGATCAATATTAATATGTATGTGTGTACATTATTCAATATAATTATTTACCCAGGCTGTAAGGCTTCATACACTTTAATGATCATATCAGGTCCACCTGAAGCTTCAAGTAAGAAGAAACGACACATCCATAAGGTAAAGTTACGAGTAAATTTATCAAATACAATTGTATCTCCTCTCTTCTTACTTTGAAGTCTTTTCAATACAGCAGAGAGCAAGGCAGGAAGATATTTTTCCATAACATTACTGTAAAAAAAAAGAAAAGAAATAAAAGTCAAGGAAAATGAAGGAAAAAATAAAAAGACATAAAACTTACACTGGAACACGAGATGTAATAGTTTCCAATAAGAGCATACCATAATGATCATATTGACGAGAATAGACAAGCTTTTGTTGAAAGATACCAAGAATGGGTTCTAATTGATTATTAGACAAGATAGTATTGACGCCCTTATTCAAATAAGCTTGTAATAAACGAACAAGAGCAGGATTATTACCCTGTTCCCAAATTGCAGGATTCAAAAGAGGATTTAATAAAGCAACATAAGCAGGTGTTAAATCCTGTCCCTGATGTTGTTCTAATAATTGTGCTAATAATTGGAATACATAAGGAGCAAACTCTTGAACTTCTTGAGAAAGAATGGTTTGGAAAGGACCAAAACACATATTTTCGAATTCACTTAAAGCAGCTTCAGAAATAGGGCAAATAAATCGAATCAAGGCACCAATACTTTCAAAGACATAATGATTGAATTTGGGATTACTGGGGTTCTTACTAACGATAGCTAAGATGGTGGTCAATTTGCCCATGATAACATTTACAAAAGGGACCATATCTTGTCTACTTGTGATAATAACACGCATTACGGCTCTCATTAGATAGTCATTCTCTGAAAGTTTCTCAGGTGTTTGACCTAATTCAATTAATCTAAACAACTGAGAAAGAAGGGTTTCTGAAAATGGCTTGATATCAGCAGCAGTAAACCTATAAAAAAGAAAAAAAATAATAAACAAACAATAAATATCATATTTTCTTTGGTTTAAAAATGATAATAAATATAACTTACAACATCGTCTTTCCTTGGCGCATAAACAAGATACGCTCGATGGCAATTGCGGCATAAGTATAGACAACATAATCTGAGGATTCAAGATGCTTCACAAGCAAAGGGAAAACAGTTAAGAGTTGCTCTTTCGTTAACTGATTTCTAAATGTATAAACATATTTAATGGCGTCCATCTTTAAGATAGGAATATCTGTGTTTACATCAGATTGTAAATCACATAACACATTCTTCGTAAAGAAATCAATGACATCTACAAGTTCATTTGTCTTGGTAACACCCTTCTGAATAGTAGAAGAACGAGTAGCAATAGCAACTAGTAAAAAGATAGCTGTATTCTTATCCTTCCAGTTTGTTTTAGGGTTTGAGTTGTAACTTTGCAAATAACGGTTCACATATTCTGACATGATTTTTGTTACATGTTCCTCAAAGCGTTCCATTAATCCACGAATAAAATCAGCAGCAGCTCTACGACGTGTATCCGTATCTACACATTATAAATTAATAAAAAAAAAATAGTATCGATTGTCATTGTAATTACATACCGGATCCTTCTAAATCTCTACGAATATATTCAATTGGATTATCCTCATACATCTCTTCATCCACAGCTAATAATAAAAAAAAAAAGATAAATATAAGCAAAGATATACATGTATATATATATATATATATAAAAAGAATATACTTACTTCTGATAACCATATTAGGAAGAGCAATTCTTTCACACATCATGCTTAACGTAGCAGGATCAGCAAAATTTTGAGCTTGACTATCAATCTTGACTACGACAGTTAAAACTGAAAATGCTTTACAAATCATCTAATAAAATATTTACCTAAGTATTCAAAACGAACAAAAGAAAAAAGCATACATATTTAAACTTACCGCATCATATTTAGATTCATCGCCAGTATCTGTAAGTAAATTAGCAATAAGAGGAATAAAGATACCTAATTGAGGGAAAGCATCTTCATAACGAGAGGCATACAATTCGAGAACAAGACAAATATTTGTTTTAATTTCTTCAAGAGGACCTTCTTCAATCTCATCATCAGTAACTAATAAAGGATTTTGATAGACAAGATATTTCTTAAACAAGGCCATAAACTCTTCTAAATGATCTTCAAAGAATTCAGGAAGATCTTGACAATTAAGATCATAATAAATTTTGATAAGGAGATTCAACGAGCGAGCTAAAACTTGAAGAGCTTGTAAATTATTGCTATTTTCTTCAATTAATTTGTCTGTAATCTGTTTAAAGCAAAGTTAAATAGGATTCAATTATTAACATTCATGTGCAAATACCTGAAACAATTGCAAGTAAGGTTCACAGAATAAGTCTAAAACATATTTAATCACCAGGAATAAATCATCACTTCTAAATGCAGATCTCCATCTATAAAAATATTAGTTTTCCTGTTTTTAAATTAAAAGTTATGAGTTACCTTTTAAAGATAGAATGTGCTGTACCAAGAATACCATTGTTGACCCTATAATCGGTAGGACTCAATTTACTTATTAATTCCTATTCCCCCCATCCCACAAAAAAAAATTAATGAATAAGCATACATATAGACATAGAGATACTTACAGGTAATAAAGTTGTCCATTTTTCGGGAAAATCAGTAGCAGCAATTAAACTAAGAGCATCACTAATTTGTAATTGAAGTTTATCAGGTACTGTGATCATTAACTGAACAATCTGGTTTTTAATTTCTTGACGATCTTGTTCAGCAATTCTTTCAGCTTCTCCTTCATTATCCTATTTTTTTTTCTAAAATTAAATAAACCTGTTGTATGCAAAACTTTAAAACTTACAATATCCCAATGACGTTTAATATAGTTTTTAAAATAAACGGCACCGGCCATTCGAAGTGTTTGATCTATATTTTCATCACTAATCAATTTTAATAAGAGTATAGGGAAACCTTGTTGAACTTCCACTAGTGACAAATTATATGCAGCTAATAATAATAATAAAAAGTTATGTCAGAAAACAATGTAAATGCTTTGGCAAATATACATGTATATTCTAACCTTCTTTTTGTGTTGTAGGATTTAAAGTTTGCAGTAAATTTTGCTGCAAAGCAGCATAGGTTTGCTCGTTAATCTCCATAATTTGCAATATATGTGTATATGAATGTATATATTTTTTTAAAAAAAAAAAAAAAAAAAAAAAAAAATATAAAAAAAAAAAAGACAAATAGAAAGGTAAAGAAAATTTATCGCGTCAACGTCACTTTTGAAATGTTCAATAAAAAAACAAGTCGCGTTTTTTATATAATGTTTTAAACCAAAATGAACCGTTTCAAATACTTTATAAAAAAAAATAATACATGTATACATATTTTTATACGTTTGCTTTAATTACTGTTATTCAGGTTTTTTTTCTTTTTTTTTTTGAAGGAATTTACATTGTAATTGAACAGCTGATTGTGTTTTTAGATCAATCACTACTCCTCAAAAAAGATAGTTTGTAGTACATAAACTAGAGGAATATTGCCCCGTAGATTATTCAGCTACAGAGGAGCCCCTTGCTACTCCAAGAAAGTCTTTCCTTCGTATTTCTCCAGGTGATATAGAGCGCAATATTCATCAGCAGTTTTTTTTTGGCATTTCACTAGGAGTATCCCCAATTCTCATATCTCGCATAAAATAAAGAAAGCATACTATATTAAGAGTCTTATCAGGAAATATATCTCGCTTTCATTAAAGTATAATCCGTATATGATATTTTATCTTCTAGATTATACAGAATTAAGTATATTATTAACACATTTAAAAGATGGGACAAAGTAAATTCAACCGACGAAATTCATTAAACCTTATTGCTATTAGTAATGTTGTGAAAAGGCATTAGCATCAGTAATGTGTTTAATACAACATATCAGTAATGTTTTAAAATAGCGTACCAACGTTATATTAAAACTAACGATATAGATAAGAAATAATAGCAATATCAATGCACTTTTTCTTTTCTTCTCTTTATGGATCTACTTGAGGTTAAAAGCTCAATTGCCTTGTATTAGGTGAAAGGCCCAATATGATTATTTGTTGAAGAGTTTTGAATATAGCTTCCATGTTTATTGTAATACATACTTTTTGCATTTTAAAAGTATAACTTAATCTAAGAATTAGTTAATGATCTTAAAGGATAGTGCAAATGTTAATTTTTTATATAGAAGTCTTCTTGACACTTCTGAAGAGCTATAATCCGGACAAGTAAAAGCTCTTCAGTCAGATCAAGAGGTTACAAGAGTCGTATTAACAGGCATCAAAATAACTATTGCCAACATTACTCTTATAAACTAGTAGAGTTAAAGCATGCTCAACAAATAGCTAAAATAATACTGTATACTTAAATGATGTTGCTTCTTATTTCGGAAACAAGTTATCTATATTTCTGAATATGGGTTTGAAGAAGAAAGAATTCATTAATTGATGGCTTGGGGGGGGGGGAAAACGAAATATAGAAGAAAAGCCATTCAGCTAATAGCGAAATTTCATTTTTTAGCAAAGAGTATTACAAATCAATGTGCTAAAGTATATTCTCTATAAAAATAGACCACTTTGCCAAAGGACCTTTTATCAATTCTCGCAAAACCTAATATTCATCATTTGTCTTTGGAGACCGAGATAGGGTAGCCAATTTGAAAATTTGATTCATTCTCGTAAAGTTATCTCATTTTAGATTGAAATAATGTATATGTTATGGCTCAAATAGATAAAATCATTTAGGACCCTCACACTCACACAACGCCCTTGAATAAGTTTTTCTATATATTATGTGCGTACATATTCTAATATCCTTCCCTCGCCAGTTTATTTCTATTATCTTTCACAAACTTGAATCCCTTTTTTTTTCACTACATTCACTACCTGACCAACAATTACTTGGTTAATTTCCCTCTCCTTCTTCTCCATTATAGTGCCATAGCTATATCTTTTTTTTCTTCATTTTCTACCATCACTCCTAAAGTATCTTTTATCATGGATGATCTGATCCAGGCAATTCATATTTTGTGTTTGAATTTAATATACCGTTCTATTTTAAAAGTCAGCTGTATTTTGCTATAAAATCTTTTTTCTTCTCCTGTAATTTATTATCGTTCAATTGTGCGTAATGTATAAATAATGTCAACAGCAAGAATACCCTTAAAAACAAGAAATGAAAATGAAAATTTAATACCTTCAATAAAAAGTTCTGAGAAAATAACACCTGAAAAAAATAAACAAGTTGTGAAGCCCTTACAACGTTCACAGAATACAGTAAGAAAAGGGCTTCAACCCAATCTAATCACGGTAAAAAAAAAAAAAAAAAGAAAGAAAGAAAGGACGACTATTTATATGTGTATATATTCTAATTTTGATATATATATATATTTATATATGTAGCAACAAAAACAGATTAAATGTGAACCACGAAAAAGATCTACGTTTACTGTATATAATGATGACTTTCAAATACGCCCACAACAAAGACAAAAGTCAGAGATCAAAACATCAAAAGCATCTGTATTAAAACCTAATCTATTTGATGACGATATATTTTCTGAAATTGATACACCAATATATAATTTACCTACTGATTGTTTAATTTCAATATTTAAACTTTGTCGTGGATTTGAAAATTATTGTTCATTATTAGGTGTTTGTCGACGATGGCGATCAATAGCAAGTCAACCTTTTTTGGTATATGATTATTAAAAGTAGACATCTAAATTATTAGTGTATTGAGACAGAATTTTTTTTTTTTTGGTTTATAGTGGAGAGAGTTAGATTGTGAATGGAGTGTGTTCAGTAAACAAATAGATCTATTACATCAACCACGTCGAACATTTGTGCAATTTGAATATATCCGAACTTTAACACTTACTAACAAACATAAAACGGTAATTCGAGATCCAACTATTGACATTGTGAAGATACCTCCAATAAAGCAATTAACAGAATTACGCTTAATTGATTTGGACTTGACAGATATTTCATTTCTTATATCATGGCAAAAAGATATCACGAAATTACATTGTGAAAATATACAAATAACCGACAATAGAAGTGTCAATATAGTCATGTTTTCTGGATTACGACAACTAGAAAGTTTATACCTTCATTTTGCTCGACCAAGCGCCCTCGGTCATGCCTATTTTACGCTAACAAGAGATGAAAATCGTAAATTACTATACAAAAGATTATTTCCACAAAGCCTTAGAGTGTTATCCATAAACAATACGTATGATTATGAAGAAACTTTATATAGTGCTACAACTAGAGATTTACTTGTCATGAGAGACAGCGATCAGGATGATATTATTGTACGCTGGTTACAATTAGAAGAGAAACTTGTCCAAAAATATCAGATATTTACATCACTTCATAGCTTAACATCCTTAAGCCTTGGTAGAGTGAGTGCATTTACATCACGCGTATGGCGACAATGCTTAATACCATGCAGTACAAAACTAGAATACCTCAAGATGAAACATTGGGAAGGCTTAGGTAAAAGAGAATCTCCACAAAAATATTTTGAAAGAGCAAGAACGTCCATGTTAAGACGAGGAACAAATGAGATGGATGATGTCGAGTTGGCTCTATCTGAATTTATTTCTTCCTTGAAAAACATAAAGAAAATTGAATTGCATTGCTTTAGGTGTGGCCCAGGTATTATGAATGGACTTAAAAGGTTAAAACAGAGATACAGACTCGTTGTAGACAATAATGACGGTGGCCATATTGAAGATTTTCAAGATAAACTTTTATTAGATTTTAAGATTATATTTCTTAAAGATGTATAATAAAGATCAATGAACGTTAAAGTACATGGCTTGTAGTGTATAAAATAAATAAAGTGAGAATATCTGTAACGCCTTGTATATATTTATATAAATATATATATATATATTTTTAAACTTGAGCAGCAAAGAATCAAAGAAACAATTATGAAATACTCTATGACTCTAATCTAACTAGAACGCCTTATCAAGCAATCAAGTATTACAGTAAAAGAATCCAACTATTTTAGTTCTTTGTAAAGAATAATATAGACTTTACATATGAAAAGAGAGAAGGTATATCCACAAATATCAAAAAGACATAAATGGTCTTGAAAAGATATTAAAGACAAACATCGATTTCCTAAAAGCCTCTTTTTTTTTATGTAATCCTGGAAGTTAAAATAAGGATTCAAATAAATAATAAGCCTTTTTGTGTGTGTTTTAAGCAAAGCGATTTATTAAAACATGTCAAATCAAAAATGGAAATACTACTATTCCATAAAGAAATTACTGTATTACATAACATAAAAAAAAAAAAAAAAAAAAAAAAAAAAAAAAAAAGAAAGAGAGAGAAAAAACACCCTCGAATATTGTTCTTTTTATTTTTCTATTTATTACTAAATTAAGCTTTTATACAATATCCCCCTTTTTACATATACCATGATTTTTTATTATTATATATTATTAATAATTACTACTGCTAGTATTCCTTTGATAATCGCTTTCGACGACGACAGTAAGAACAATAAAAACACTCCAAGCACAACTACAGCCGTAACTAGTACAACAGACATTTTACTTTTTCCATTAGAAACAAGTAGCGATAATAATAATAATAAAGCTGATGATGAATCAACTCAACCTGTGAATGAAGACATTTATAATTCAAAAGATCTATTTTCAACTGAACCTTTAATAGCAAATATAAGCGATGTTGTCCAAACAAGGCTTTATTGTGAAATAGATGAACATTTATGTAAAAATGTTGAAACTGCCTTGATATTAGCAGCAACCGCTATTGCTGAAGTTGTAAATTTAAAGAATAAAATAGTGTAAGTCGGGAAAGAAAGAAAGGGAGAAAGAAGAAAGGAAAAAAAAAAAAAAAAAAAAATCCCCCGCACACACACATACTAAGTGGCATATATTATAATCAGGTTTCAAGCGTCTTACTATAGTTTTTGTATTAATCAATGTTCTAATGATACGTTTGGGTGGGGTACACCTAGTTCACAGGTAAAATTAAATCTTATATGGGGATATATAGAATATGTTCACTTAGTATAATAATAGTTTACACTTATTTCTTTAAACGAAGCAGATTCAAATTTTATATACCCTCAAGCATTAGCAAAGCAATTAGTATTTACAGATAGTTCAAACTGGGCCAATTATGATGTAGCTATTGATATTAATCATGATATTTATATGAATGCTGTTAATTATGATACAGTGTCTGATTGGAATGGCACAGGTATACCACCTCAAGGAGGATTTTGGTTTCCTACACTGGGTAATATATCTTTACCTATTGAAGATCATCAAGTAGATTTGGAATATGTCATATTGCATCAAATGATTCATGGACTTGGCATGCTTAGTTCTTGGGCTCCTTACTTTTCTGACATCAATTCTCCTTTTAAGAAAATATTATCAGGTCTTATCTTAGCCGAAGATAGTCTGAAAGTGATGACGCCAAGCCCTTATTGGTTTGTTAAATATCAAACGGGGCCTGTCTATATTACAGGATTTCAACCAAACATGATCTTTGATAAATTCATTCATTTATTCATACCTACTAAAAATGAAACTAGATGGTTGGGTGACTTTGGATTTGACATGCAAAACTTTTGTGTGGATGATCATGACGCATTTATCGCTAATTTTATCCATGCTTTCTTAAATAATGCGACTCAGTCATCCAAGGCGAAAAGCATTTATGTATCTATGACACAACCTCAAACGTTAACCTTTCATTTTAGTCCAACTTGTAATAAAAGTACTTTCTATACGGATACTTATCTTAATCAGACTTACAAGACAATACAGCTGATGACGGGCTCAAATATCTTGGAGGAAATAGAAGAATCTTATTATCGTCCTGGTATTGCAACCTCTCATTTAGATGATACTTATATCGGAACAGTAGATTTTTTAATGACACATAAATTTATACGAGGTAAAACGCTCGAAACGTTAGTAGATGAAGCTTATGCATCCTTACCTATCGAGATTAAATATAATATCACTCAGACTATTCATGTGAATGTGACTATGAATTATAATACGACATTAGTTGTTAATGGAAGCCGTATGAATACAGCAACCAACATAACACGAACAGAACAAAGAGAAGAGACAGTTGAACGTATCTATAAATCACCTATTGGACCTGGCATATTGAGAATATTAGAGACCATAGGATATTCAACAGTCTTGACAAATACAAATTATACGACAGGCATCATTAAGACAACGAAGCCTGATACAACGTGTGATAATAATAACAATAATAATAATAACTTTCAAGTACGATCTGATGATATGTCATTAAAGTCAACTTTAATAGCTTCAGCGGTCACGTCATTTAACAAAAATACTGAATTTTCTTATTTTTTATCATTCATATTAATAGCATTATTTTATTGTCATATATAAGATAAAATAAATAAAAAGATTAAACATGAGAAATATTAAATATTGAATCTTTTAAAGAAGATAAAAGAGTGAACAAGGTCTATATATATGTATGTATGTATGAATGTATGTATGAATGTATGAATGTATGTATGTATGTATGTATGTATATATGTGTATATATGTGTATATATATATGTATATATATATATATATATATATATATATATATATATACTTATTTATATATTTATTTATATATGTATACATGTATACACATATATATATTTGACATTAACTATAGATGCACTAGAAGAACATTTATCATAAATATACAACATTTTGCATGAATTTAAATAAACAAGCAAGGGTAGGGAGGAAGGAAGGGAAAGGATGAATAAAGGAGAAAGAAAGAACGAAAGACGTATGCATATTATCTAATAATAATAAGATTATATGTGTGTATATATATTGCCACTTGTATATAATTATGCAGATAAAAGAAAAAAAGAGTAGTGCAAAAGGGGGGGGAAAGGATGAGGAGATGAGAGTGAGAGTGAGAGAGAAAGAGAAAGAGAAAAGTAAGATTCGGATTCATGCCGCTCCTTTCCTACAATAATCCTGCTTGAAAAAATCATCAGTTCCCCTTTATACTCTCTCTCTCTCTCTCTCTCTCTCTGCTATCATCACCACAATTATTACTGCCCCTCTTATTCCATAAATATCATGCTTTTCTGTTTCATTTCTTTATATTTCTTTCTTTCTTTCTTTCTTTCTCCTCTTTATAAAGAAATCATTACACACACATATCTATATATAAATCTATATCTATATAAATATATACATACATACATACATATATAATATAAATCTAAATATACTCCCTTATCATATAATATAATTTATTATATTATATATTTCTATATTATACATACTCCTTCTTATATCACAATCTTTGTTTATTATATAAAACAAGTATCACACACATACACACACACACACACACATATATATATATATACATTTATAAAAAATATACTTTTTTTTTTCTTTTAAATACTTTCTTTTTATTATTATTATTATTACATACATATATTCTTATAACAAATGCATCCACTTGTACATTCACCTACACAGACATCATTAAAATCAAAATGGAATAGTTTCAAGACTTGGATAATACCTGATTCAAACAAGAGGCGTCCTTCTCAATGCAGTACAACATCTACTATATCAAATATATCTACAAATAATACAATTTGTTGCTGCTGTGCAACTCATCAGCCATTTATTGTCGTAACAGACCATCAAGATTCGACCTTATTTCAAAAGAGTCCTCTTTTAGTAGGATCAGAGAGTTTAGTAGGCACTGTAGTTGATAAATGTATGTCACCCTTTCGAAGAAGGTCCTCAACTGCATCCAGTACGTCCATGAATGACAGTCTAATTCTTAAAAGAAAACAATTACTGGAGAAGATGAATGAATATTATAATTTGGCTATGGATGAAATTAATTATGCAGAGGATTCACGAGGCTCGCGGTATTATTCTGGAGATCTTATTGCAGCAAAGGAAGCAATTGATCAATGTGAAGAAGTTTATTTACTATTATTAGCTGAAGATCCAAATAATAGAAAATACTTACAATCAACTATTGGTATTAAAATATCAAAACTAAAATCAAAATATGCAACATTACCTTTACAAGACGATCCACTTTCTTTTTAAAAGAAGACTAATAATAATAATATATATATATTTTTTTTTCTTTCCTCTTTGTAAATATATAAATATATACATTTTATCAATTTATTACTTGTTTATATAAATACATACACATCTATATATGTAAATATATAACAATACAATTTTTATGAATACGTGTAAGAAACTACTTTTATTATGCAAAAAATTACTATAATAAGGATGATATGCAGCTTTATTAATTTTATGTAATTTATGCTATTTGCTTGATTTTCGAATATTCAGAAAAATAAGAAATTACAAAATTATCATAAAAAAAGTTTATATTTTATTTTATGCTTAAATACCACATATACATATATATATATATTTTATTATGATTATATATCCTAACATAGAATATCTTTAGACTGTCAATTTGAATATAGATATAGACATGTATAGTATCTAAAATTTTTGATCTATATTCATAATAATGTATCAAGATATAATTTTATTTCATTTCATTTTATTTTATTTCATTTTATTTTCTCCTTATCATTATCCTTCTTCTCCTTTCCCCTTTCTAGTAAACCAAAAGGATCTCTCCTCTCTTCTACATAATAAAAATAATAATAGAGAGGGTCACATACATATACGTTCTAATTCTTCTTTACTTGGCACAATTCTCCCCTCAATTACTTATCTTTTCGCTAGTTGCACAAAAAAAAAGAGCTTTCTTTCTTTATCTCTATCTCCCCCTCTATCATATATGCACTCTTTTCATTGAATTAAGATATAAATAAAGTTAATAGAAGGAAAAAAAAATTACAAGACTTTAGAATCAACTCTATTATAACACACAGAATTTTCGTTTGAAAGAAAGAAAGAAAGAAAATGGTAATAGATGAAAGAATGATTACAAGACAAAAGATAATATAGAGCATTGTGTCAAATAGAAAGATAAAATGTTTTAGGAAATGATTAGACCTTCTTATCTATTTACAAAACTCTCTAAAGTCCGAAATATACACCTGTAATGGCTATCTCCCATTATTTGTATTAAAATGACTATCGTGTTTTTAGTATTTATTTACATATAATAGACTTTGAGTTTATTTGAAGAAAAAATTATAAACGTAAAATTACACATAGTCATGATTTGCGCGTTAGAATATAGAATTCATTTATATCTCAGCTTTAAAATAAACTTCACTTTATGTCTCTCGAATCAAAGTTATTTCTCAACAACAATAGGTAAACTACTCTTCCCACTAATTATAAATAAATAAAGTTGAAAAAGGACTGTGGTGAATATATCCATTTATGTCAAGCTAAATAGCTGTTATTGAATCATTTCTAAAAAAAAAAAAAAAAGGTCTTGTAATAAGCATTGCTGTAGAATTTGTACAAATTGTAATTTTTATATCATTCAGGTAGTATTAAGCAGAGGAAAGATATATTCGAGTAACTAATATAAAATGATGGGATATTGCTAAAATGAAAAAAATAATAATAATAATAGTAGTAGTAGTGATAATCACAAGTAGGCGAATAAATGATGACATAATGAGGAGGAAAAATACATGGTCTAAAGATTATAAAAATATACATATTTATAAAGATTATTAGAGAAAAGGTATGTTCTGATGTAGAGAAAATTAGAAGTTTATGTATATATTTTTGATTAGGCTTATATTTTATTAAAACTATAATTTCCCATATTTATTATACCTTACTCGTTTCGTATATCTATTTTATATTATGCAATGCTTTGATATACTAGATACTAAAAATACATAAGGAAAAAAAAAATTAGGCCTATCTGTTTCATTCTTTTTTTGTCTCCCAGAGCTTATCTATCTATTCTATAAAAGAGTTATTGCATGAGAATAAATTGTTATGGGAATCATAGCAACATTCAAATTCATTATTATGTATCTTTGGTAGAAATAGAAGCATAGTCGAAACTGTCAATAATCTATCTAGTGTGTCGTAACTACCCCCCCAAAAAAAACACTTTTCCTCAGCTATTAAATATAACAATAAAACTCCCTTTTTTCTGATCAATCTATGTGACTGTAAAACGGTTGTGCATATTTGAAGATTTTATTTTTTTATTATAATTATTATTATTCATTTCATACTATGGCACAAAAGAAAGCCACTTGTTACATTTTAAATGTTCATCATTTAATGTCAAATGACTTTACAAAAGCTCTTAGTACATTAACCGATAATATTGAGGATAAGGTATGAAAGTAAAACTAGTGAATTCTTATTTTTTATTAATTATGGACCTTATTTTTTTTTTGTAGATACTTAGTGGTCGTAAAACGGATATGGTTTCTGTTTTACTTTCAGGAACACCAGGTAATAATATATATAAAAGTATATATAGTCAATTCCCTACTAATGTGTATTTTACTGTCTGTAGAAACTCATAATATTCTAGCTGAACAAACACCTGGACAATACCAAAACATCACATCATTATGCTCGATCGCACAACCCAATGTAGATCTATTAAGAAAATTACAAAATATAAGCACTTCAAAAGAAACAATTCCTTCAGCAGATGGTAGATTTCTATTATGTAAAATATAAAGCCAATTTTTTTTTCTCTGACGTGTGTACATATTTAGTTCTTGATGCTGTCATTATTGCAACACAAATGATTGTTAATCATTGTAAAAAATTAAAATACAACAAAGCAATCACTGTATTTACAAATGCTACATATCCTATTGATTGGCTTGATTTGGATGCAGTAGTCGATATGTTACAATCTAACGATATTCGATTGACTATAGTGTAAATATATATATATATGTGTGTGTGTATATGTATATGTATATATTTCCTTGCATAAATAATATTTCTTAATTTAATTTAATAGTGGTACTGATTATGATCTATACAAGTCAGCAGATTGTCCTGAAATTATTCGATGCAACTATGATAACTGGATGGAAATGACTAAAAGAATAGGAAATGACAGTGAAGTGCTTAGTTTAAGTGAAGCTTATGGACTAACACAAATGGACTATGCAAAAGAAATACGATCTGTACCATCTTATCGTGGTTATCTTTATCTCGGCAATCCACGCACCAACGAGCATTTTCTAGCCATTCATATATTTATGTATCTCCGTACAAAGGAAACAAAGTTGCCCATAGGTAGTAAATGGTCTGCCTTGAGTAATGGTCCGACACATGAAGTGATAGCAGAGTCAAAATATGTAATTGATGAAGATACAGCGGCATCATATCAAGGCGAAAATTTTATAGGTGATCAAACTGAGATTGAGATCTCCAAGGATGAACTTGAAAAGGCATTCAGATTTGGTAAAACAATTGTTAAAATATCAGATGAGGAAATGGAAGTTGCTCAATTAAGAACGAATAAAGAAATGACTATCCTTGGATTTATTCCTGCTGATACCGTAAATATTTAAAAAAAAAAAAAGAAAAAAAAAGAAAGAAAAAAAAAGAAAAAAAAAAGAAAAGGGAATTAATATTTATATCATCATAGTTTCCACGACATTATTTATATTCAAATGCACATATTATTACAGCTGGAAATTATTGTACAGAAGAATCAGCGCTTGCTCTTCGATCCTTTGCATATGCTCTTTATGAAAAAGGATGTCTTGCGCTTGTTCGGTATGTGTTTAAAGATGATGGTCAGCCAAAAATTGGTGTACTACATCCGGAACTCGTATTAGGATCTGAAGGAATACCGGATACATTATTACTTCAATATTTTAATGTAAGTTTATATCTAAATATCTATGTGTCTTTTCTTTGCTAATTTTCTTTATAAGATTCCATTTGCAGAGGATATTCGTGATTATAAATTTAGATCCTTTAAAAATCCTAGAGTGAATGATCCGAAAGGAATTGAATTAATGAATAATTTGGTTGACTCTATGAACCTTGATCAAATAGGGTAATTATATAGAGATACATATAGTGTGATAATAATTTATTTTTTTTTTCGATAGGAAAGAATATTTAGTTCCTGAATTAAATTTTAATCCAATTTTATGGCGTTTTAATAAAACCATTAAAATGCGAGCTTTGAATCCTTCTGCTAATATTCCAGATATCAAAGAATCAGCTAAATGCCAGTTTGAAATTTCTCCTTACTTTAAAGAAAAGGCCAGTGAGCTTGGTGAAAAGATTGCTAACTATTATAATGTTCAGAAAGGTAAATAGAAAATACGCTGTATAAAAATCCTATATTATATATTCTTTTTTTTTTTTTTTCTGTTACTAATATTCAATTTTGAAGTTGAAGACAATACAGAAAAAAAGAAGAGAACCTTTAAGGAAATGGAAAATAATGATATCATGACTGAAAGCTATAACATTGATATTGATGAAATCATTCGATCAGTGCAACAATCAAATAGTAATAATAATACATCAATAGAAAAAAATTTACCGAATATTCCTGAAACAGAAGTTGAATCGGTGGGCATGATTACACCTGTTGAAGATTTTAGAGCTTTATTGAACAAACCGTCTGAAATTGATAGGGTCGAATCAGCCATGACACAAATGGCTAAAGTCATTATTAGATTACTTGAGACATCATTTGGTAATCAAAACTATGCAAAAGTTATTCAATGTTTAACAGCTCTTAGACAAATTGCTATTCAAGTAAGTGATTCAATTAAAATTATTTATTATAACTAAGAATTTGAACTTTTTTTTTTTGGTTCATATAATAGGAGGATGCAGCTATAATATATAATAATCACATACGAGAAGTGAAAGTATGGTGTGATCCCTCAACAGTCAAATCCTCTCCTCGCTATGAACTTTGGGAGAAATTAAAAAGTAAAAATCTAGGTTTAATTACAAGAGATGAAAGTAAAGATATAGATAACCTCAACGTATCTAAAGAAGTTGCTATGAAGGTAACAATGATACATGTAAATAATTTTTTTTTTTGTTTAATATTCTTTTAATCTAGTTTTGGAATGAGAATGAGAATGATTCTTCTAATCTTTCAGAACAAGAAGATTTGATAAGTAACGATAATACTGTTCAATTCAATGCTGATGATTTGGTAAGGGCTGACAAAAAAAAGTTGATATACTCATTTTATTGATATAAAATCTTTTCTAGGAGGATATGCTTTAAGTTATGCATAAAAAGAAATATCGTTATTGATATGAGTGTATTAAAGTCACCTTGTTTTTTTTTGTATATACAGTCTCGAACATGAGTATGATTTATTAACCATGTTATTGGATGGTATAAAAAATCACATGTAAAAGTAGTAAAAAATAAAAAGTGTAAAAAGGAGAAATTTACATTTTTATTCTTTTTTTTTTTTTTTTTTTTTTTTGCTATTTTATTCTTTTCTTTTATTCATGATATAAGGTAAGTGTAATAATATGAAAAAGAAAAGGCTTTTCTTTCATGAAATAATATTATTGTTTTATATAGCAGTTGCTTGCAATATAAGATTTAATTTCCCATATTATTTTATTTATTTATGTATAGCTTGCTTATTCTCTTCTAATAAGAAAAAATAAGATGAAAATATATGATTGAATAAAAGTATTATCAGTTAAATATAATGAACATCTATATATATATATTTATATATATATATTTATACATGTGTATAGTATGTATAGTATGTATTAACAAAACACACATATATACAATAGATTTTTCGTATTTTTTTTTTTTTAATGATTAGATCTAAGTTTAGCACGCTCAGCAACAAGGCCTGCGCCAGGGAATGATCCCATATGATTTTCTAACCAGGCTTCATCCTTTGTAGGTTCAAAGCCTTCATCATGATTCGTCGTCATTAAATGTTGATGAACGACAGGGTTCTTCTCTACAATACCTGCTACACCTACATAATCTTGTTTACTAACAGGTTCAGCACCCAACCTATTGGGTGAAGCATATCGACGAAGAGCATCTAATTCTTCTTGTAATGTCTCATAACGGAACTGAATACGGATATTAGGTACATTTGTCTTTTGCATATCATTCCCTTCTACACCAGGACGATACCAGTTTTTACCTATCCAATGACGTTTGATTTGATTTTCCCAACCTGATTGAATGACAGAATTACGTGCTAGCTCACACATGTCTGTAGAGGACAACTTCCAGATTTGAGCAGCTACACTGTACTCTTCAATGAGGGGTTCCTTAGTAAAATGAAATTGTAAAGGATCATCCGTAGATAATGAGATATTAAGACCACGTTGGAAGAATTGAGGAAGTGGGTTACGCTCATATGTTAAGAAAAGTGCGTTATTAGAAAGGGGGGACATGGCGATACCTATTTGAGAAAGGTAATAAAGATATTGTAAGGCGGGGACCTTACGAAGCAAGATACCATGGCTGATACCATGAGATGTCAAAAATGCTGCAGTCAAATGATCTGTACTGCCAGCTTCACCACAATGAGGCCTCAAGACAAATGTGGTAAATCCACGTAACTTTCTCCAATTGTTCAATGATGCCATATTAACATACATGTAATATAAATAATAACTATAAGGTGGATTCACATTTGAGGTCCAATCCTTAGGAAGTGGATAGTCATGGAAGAGAGGCTTTTCAGGTTTTGATTCATCATCAACGGTATCAAAGCCAATAACACGTTGAAGGAAGACATGAAGTTCAGGATGACGTGTAGGATCTTGCGTTACATCAAAGAGAGGTTCAAATATGTTTGTAATCAAGTCTTGGAAATTTTGAATCGTGTTGGATCCCTTATAGACATTATAGAGACGAGGGATCTGAACTAGCCAACGGACATTTGAAGAAAAGAGCTTGTTGTTGATGACCCATTTAGCAAGCTTATCCCATTCATCAATGGATCTACCATAGATTGAAACACGATATTCAACCATTTGATACTTTGAAGATTCAAGATCAGACACAACCTCCTTTGTAATCTCAGCAAGGTATCGACCCTGGATATAATTGTCTGTCTTCATGAAGATCTCTCTCAATCTACTTTCACCAATTGGATTATATTTCAAATTGAATTTATCAAATCTATGAAAGGAATCCTTATGAGCATGCATATCTAAAGTATCGATGCTGAGGTCATAGGCGGTTAATCCCAAACTTTCAAATACACCTCGTAAAGTCAAGTATTGGGAATCACGATAGATAACGACATCATCGGGACATTTTTTCATTTTTGATTTAATAAAACGTAGCAAGTGTTTCTGATTCATGCTGCTCGAATGATGTACGTGAGTATCGACTTTTCTCACATTATAAAAGTCACGATGAGGTACACGCTTCGAGTCTGCTAATTCTTGAAATTCATTCAATAAGATATACATTTGCCACTTACTATCCAAATAACGAAGACGACGAAATGCAAAACTTTTAGCAGGTCCATCACTAATCACGCTTAAAATATAATCCATGTCTTCATAAAATTCTTCGGGTGATGGAAGTGGGTGTACAGGATGAGAGGCGGTCTGATCTAATTCATTCTTATAAACTTGATAAAATCCATGAGGTCCAACACTGTAACGATATACATGAGGTCCTGGAATTTTACATTGATTAAAATCAAAATCAGATCCTACAGCAGCCACAGGATCTGCCTCTCTTGCTCGCTCCTTAGCTTTACGACGTTCAAGTTCTTCAGGTGGAGGTAATGGCCAAGATTTGGGTGGAGGAGGTGGGTAAATCTCCCAGTCATCATGATTACGAGGATCATCCATTAATTTTTGGCTTGAAAGCTTAATGTATTTTTCACGCAAATCGAGGCATTTTTGAAGAGCTTTATATAGTTCACAAAGTTCAGCTGTAACAGCATCATCTAATGTATTAAATGTATTTTTGTAGGAAGAAAAAAAAAAGATCAGTAAATCCATTATATATATGTATATAGGTATACGTATGTGTGATATTACCTTTAGCTTCAAAATTAGCTTTTGGATCAGCAGTATGTGGAACAAACTCTTTAGTCTTTTTGGATATTTTAGTTGAATCTATATCCTTATCATCATTCAAGTGTGAATCTAGAAGATGTTGTGCTGCTGGTGATACAGAAAGACCTTGACTAAGGTATTTGCTATCATGCTAGAATAATATGATAAATTTAATATCCAATTTATTTTGAGAAAAACAAAAAAAAAAGAAAAGAAAAGAAAAGGAAAAAAAAAGGAAAAAAGAAAGAAAACTTACATTTTCTATAGCTTTCATATGATGATAATCAAAATATGGAGTATCATCAAAGCTACTAACACCTTCGCCATTTGGGATATCAATCCCATCAGCATGTCTTTTGTTAAGAGGCATTATTTATAAAGGGAAAGGGGATTGGTTATCCAAAAAAAAAAAAAAGAAGAAAAAAAAAGAAAAAAAAAAGTGATACATTGGAAATCATATTTATATTTGACTGAAGTCAAAAAAAAAATTAATCGATTTAAAGGCCGTTGATAAAAAGCTGCTTATTACATTTTATTGATATGGACACTTTGTGTACCTTTTTTTTATTTTTATTACTGCATAACACATGATCAAAGATTAACAGTTCAATAATGATTTCATTTAATCTTAAATATGATCAGGCTTTATTCTCTGTTGTACATGATCAGAAATCTAAAAAAAAAAAAAGCTGTATATTCAATTTCAAAATCAGAAATAAATAAAAAACCTGGTAAGAAATTTTTTTTTCTGAAACGCCTCCTTTTAAGCATAATAAATCTATTGTGGGTAATATGAATACGTGACACGTTGTACGAAAATTTATTTATTCATGTATATACAGAATGCTGACAATTCAATTTTTATTAATAAGAAAATCATTAAGTGTGCCCAAAGTTCCTAAGCTTTGGATTTCAAAATCTCAATCAGCAAGTTCAATAAGTACAAATGGCCTGTAGACGTTTCTCTATTCATTATCTATAAACTCTTTAAAAATATAATTAAAAAAAAAAAGGAATATCAAATTGAATTTATGAGTATACATCCAGGTACGCTACTATTACTAATACTACTACTACTATTACTATATGCTTCAGAGATTCTAGTATGCAAATCATCTTTATCATTTAATATACGATGCTTAACTTTATTTTTAACAATTGACTATAGCTACACAATAGGGTTAATCTTGGTGAACAAAAGGGGGAGGAGATATAGTAAATATATTTATATCCTCTACTAGTAGTCAATTTCTTTATGAATGTGCTATGTAGATAAATTGGTAGCTCATCCAGTAACGAGATACGTATTTTTCATTTCTAGTAAATATTCATTAAAACTGGTTTATGGTTTTTTTCTAAAAAAAAAAAAAAAAAAAAAAAAAAAAAAAAAAAAAAATGAGGTGGTGAAAGAATTAGTAAAACCTATTATATAGGATCATCAGCTCTACGCCTAAATTCAATGAATTTATGTAAATTAGCTTATAATCAACATAAAAACAAAGTTCACAAATATTATTAATAATAATATCAACTGACTCTAATAAAAGAATAATTTTACTTCCTTTACTAAATTAAGCAGCCAAGAATATATCGTACATGAAACTTATGATACTACACTATTACATAATAAATTAAATGAGTTGAAGGTTGATGAAAGAATAAATCACGCTTTCTCAGATCATAGTTTGTAATATAAGACTAACAATAAAATAGTAACATATAGTAACAATATACAATAATAGATATTCTGTATGCAATATGGATATATGTATATATTTATATATATATTTCAATCTTTTAGTAAAGAATGATTTGAAGACTCAGTTCTGCAATCCCTGTTTTATCTTCTCCTTCTAATAGCTTTAAAAATAAATGATTTTTACTATAGAGGAAAGGGAAGGGGTAGAAGAAATAGTATTGAATCGACCTTTACTTAGTGATTCATCACATCCCTTTTTTTAATTGTACATAATTTTAATGGCTATTAGAGGGATCTTTTTATTATTTTAGGAAAGAAAAAAACCCAAATGAATCCCATCAAGTACCAGTAATAGAAAGTGATATGCTTGTATAATGTTAATAAGAAGATGGCGCATATATAAATTGTTATCAGAAAAGAATGTGAATACTAGAAAATTAATTTGTGTAGATATAGGCTATATTAAGTATCATTCATAATATCTAACAATATACAATTATTCTATTTACTTCGCCTTTTGAGTGAAAAAATAAAATAGAATAAAATAAATAAATACTAAATACGAGACTTGACACAAGTAAAAATATATACAAGTAAGGAATATATACATTTCGTAATAATGCCAAACATAATAAATTTGATTTCAAATAGAGAGAATGAAAAGCCTAGTGACCTTGGTTATACAAATGATTAGCTAATTCAACGTAAAAATCCAGTCGATCAAATTCTTGTCCACATTTTGTTTTAGATGTTCTTAAGCGATATGGAATATAACTAATGAATAAAGTTGAAGTGGTTTACATGTATGTTTATTTATAATTTCGGATAGACGTTACCTTTTTCCACAAAAATCCCAATGATCTGCTTGAATAGTTTTAACATATGTTCCCCATTTAGCACTATTGATACTCACCATACCATCATTGTCACCTTCTTTTTCATATACGATTTTCCATGGAATCCCAAGTAAAGAAGACCAAGCAGGGGGACTAGCCGTTGCCCCATAAGAGTAATATTTAACTGTAGGATCATCTGGTGCATTTGGATTAAAATAATTGTTGCAAAAGTCGGTAGTTAAATGCGCATAAGCAGGTTTATCAAAACAATGTACCAATAATTTATCCATTTTTTTCCATTTTGCTATTGTAGGTGTATTAGTTATTGTTGGTCTAAAAAGAGGAATACTATGACGCTGAGTAGTCACATTATTTTGTGTCATCATTGCAATTGATAGCCTAAGAGAAGATGGTGTCCCCAGTTGATGTGGTGCAAGTATATTAGAGGAAGTTTTGCCCAGACCAATATGATCGCGAAACCAGTCCATTACAGGTGAGCCCCTATGAGGTGTACATACAGTTGTTAAAGATTGAACATGATATGATCTATCTTTAATCGTAGCTAACAAATGACGGCAATCTAATCCACCCTACCATATAAATAGTGTTATAAATATAAATACATATATATATATATGTATATCAATATATGCATATGATATTATACAAATAATACATACCATCGAGTAAGCAATAAAATTTAATTTTTTGTTGGCAAGGATTGGCTTTAATATTGTATGTAATGCGTGTGATCTTTCCCAGATACTTCGAGTTTGTGGAACTTTAGTGACTATAATTTTTGCACCCAACTTGGCTAATGCATCTTCAATTCCTGCCCAGTAATGAAATTGCAATCCCGGGATAGCCTGTGGTCCTCGAATATCGAAACCAAATAAACCATGACAAAGCACAATAGGTTCTCTTGGTGCTTTGTAACAGGGTGTAATAGGCAAACTTAATGCCTGAGACAAATATTTACTATTATTCGTAAGAACTGTTTTACCTTTGTTCTTTTTTAGTGAAGCCGGATGTTCAATAGTAGTAGTAGTAGTAGTAGTAGTAGTAGTAGTAGTAGTGTTAATGGTATCACTCTTGTTTTTTGTAACTGTTTTAGGATGAGAAGAGTTATTATCAACACCAGCTGTGTTATTAAAGAATAGTTCCTCAGATAAAAATGAAGAATTTTGAGCAGGATAAAGGATGTGAAATGACTTAATAGTAGGCTTTCTCTTCTTATTGCATAAAAAAGATATTACATTCACATTCTTCTTTAATTTGATGGTTGTGATATTTTGATGTATCCTTAACAATAAAGACGCTGTTTTATTACTACTTGTTGATATAGATTTATATAAGAAATTAAATAAGCTAATACGTGATAAAGCGACCATGAGTGAGTAACGATAATAGTAATAAAAAAGAAGAGATTATATTAAATTAAGCTAAATTTATAAGGTACATAACATGCGGTCTTCTAAATAAGCAAAGGTCGAACATGATGCATACATTCACATTTCTTAATCTTTTTACCGATAGAAAGATAGTCTTCTTTAAATAAACCAATTTGCTGTATGTTAAAGATGTAATTTTATTTTATTTTATTTCCTTTTATCTAATAATAATAATTGAATGGGAGCTTCAGGAGAGCATTATATGTGTTGTATATTCTACATCTTAATATGTATAAAATGAAACAGCGAATATGTAACCATTCTATTTTGTACAGACTGTGATTTACACAATAAATATCAAATAGTTTTGCATTTCTTCGAGTTCTTGTATGTCTTCTGGTGCAGTTTTATCTAATCCAAGTATTTTATATAATATCAAGGTTTGTCTAATTTGTGTTAAAGCTTTCTTTTTTTGCATCCTATATTTTATCGAATGTTACAATATATATGAATCTACTGCTTATAATGACTTACGAATTAAATAAAATAGTCGATAATTTCATCATTTCTTCTGCTACTTCCACACTCATTTTACCGTATATTATTTCGGCTATTTTTAATGAACGCTGGGAATATTGACATGCTAATCTCCATTCACTCTGCATACAATATATTTGTGCAAGTTTATCTACTGTTAAACCAATGGGAATTGTATACTGATAATATATTGTTTCTTGTAACTGAAGTACTTTATGATAATCTCCAATTTTTTTGTACTCTTCAATCTCTGCTTCAGTCTATAAATGCTTGAATATATAAGTTTATTTAAACCTATTTTTATTTCTCTTTCTTTATATACCTTTAAGAAATAGCCCCAATATGGATGTTGTCCACAAAGACTGCACTTGGACTGTTGTCTATATAATCTTCCCTCTTTACATATTTGACATTTAAACATCTTATCAGGCGACGATGTATCTAATCTTGTAGAAATATGAATTCTAGAATCATGTTATAAATTAAACTTTTGAATAGTACCTGTTTTCTTCTTCTTCTACTACTTCTTCTTTATGACAATTGCTACACTGACAATCAAACAAATAATTGTCTTTTAACGTTTTTAATCGTTCTTGACGATTATGTTTAGTTGCTAAAGGACCATAGCTAATCGTTATTTCTTGTCCTCTTTCCATAGTTTGAACACTTTGTACTTTTAACTGACAAGGATGGTTATAGTCACTAAAAGAAATAAGTGCATTCGGATTACAATTATGATTAAGTCGACTAGCAGATAAATAAATGGCTCGTCCTAACTGAATAAACTCTCTTGAAATTACAGATGATGATTCGACAAGAACAGATTCTGTCGTCTTGATTGAAAATGTATTATATTTAATTTGTAATAAGATAGTGATTAGAGAATCAACAGAATGCTTTGATAAAAAAAAGAGAGATGCTAAATTTTCAAATCTTTTTTGGTATTCCTTTAATTGATTGTGTTGAGTAGATTCCAAATGAGATATTAAACCCGGTAAAGTATCTATTGTATTTAAGTGAAGTGTGTTCCATGCATTACATTACTGCATCAAATGTTATATGTATGTATATATATATATTACCTTTTCCTTTTGAACGACTAGTAATATATCCTTCAAATGCAAAAAGAACATCTGGTTCTTCTTCTGCTAATTCTGGAAAACGGCATAACCACTGATGACTTCTTGACCAACCTTGACGTTCACATTCTAATGAACAATAATATATATTCCATTTGCAAGAACTGTTGTGACATTCAATAGACTTGTCTTTAAGTTTTCGGAAACAATGATTACAACGATCAGTATGATGTTCTTTATTTAATTGACGTATAAAAGGCTCTTCTGTCAGGAGAAATTCACCCTGCTTGATTTGTTGTGTAGCGATACAGAAAGTTCCTTTATCTTTTGATATTTCTTCTTTTACTTTCTGCCATTTTCCTTTTTTATCGTTTGGTAACCAAGCTGACAAGTGAATATGTGCTGGAGTTAATCTATGATGTAATGTGTCATTATTATTTGACATGTCAAATAAAAAATTAAAAAAAAAAAAAATAAATAAATAAATAAATAAATAAAATATTATATTCACATGTGTATATCCAAGACATTTATATCGCATAATTCTTTGATTTTTCACTTTCTTCTCTTTTTATTATTATTATTTAAATAAAATAAATAAAATGCTGACTAGTATACCGGCTGAATTACTACTACACATTATACAATTCATTCCCTCCATTAATGATAAATGTCAATTAATGCAAACATGTAAATATTTAAGGCAATTCTTGTCTTGTAACCTTGCTTGTTGGAGTAACTTGGATTTTTCTCTTTATGACAAGACTTTAAATAACAACCACCTTTTAACTTTCCTAAAGAATATGAATATATCTCTCATACAGCATAACACTAATATGAACAATAACATAGCCATTACTCGGCTTGATCTTAGTGGATGCTGGAATATATCCGAAACTTTACTTGAAGCGTTATGTAAATCATTACCTCATTTAAATGAGCTCTGTTTAAACGGATATCGTCTGAATAATCGAGATAATCTTCTTTTTGATCACTTTTGTCCTCTTGTTGCCTTTGAACAACATCGTGACCATATCTATCAAGTACGTCCTTCTCATGATCTCTCTTCAATGACCATGGATCTCTCTAAAAATTCAAACTATCAACTTAAGATACCCCTTATTCTACTAGTAAATATTATCAACAACTTATGTCATTTAAAGTCATTATCAATTCAATATCAAGATATCTCTTTAAGTAATAATAAACGATCTCAATATGATCTTGCCTTTTCAGCTCTACGAAATATTCAATATCTTGATATATCATCATGCACCATATCACAGCATGCATTACATTCTTTATTGCAATCTATAGGATCAAATCTAACAAGTCTAAAGATGCTAAATATCGATTTAAATTACATCATATGTCTGACTATAACTCAACGATGTAGATATCTAAAATGCCTTCATGTATCATGTAACACTACTTCAATGATAAATGTGATACGTCAAATGGTGTCTACGTTATCTTGCTTGGAAGATTTCCGTTTAACTCGTATTCGAACAGGCGAAATAGATAGTCTTATTGAATTATTAAAGCCAGGCATATTAAAACGACTGGATCTTTCTCCAAAGATGAATATCTATCCTCGGCCTTCATCCACATTCAAGACAGCAGCAGTAGCAGCAGCAGCAACAGCAACAGCAGCAGCAACAGCAGCAGCAGCAACAACAACAACAACAACAACAACAACAACAACAAAAATACATGGACAATATGGATATGACTTGTCTAATTTTGCTACAATAGAACATGATCTTTTGTTTTCGGATAAATCACTTGGTCATCTTATGCACTGTCAACACCTAGTAGAACTAAGACTCTGTTTCCCAATCATTTCACCAACTGCACTGCATTCTCTATTTAAATCAATTCCTCAACTTGAAATCTTTGAACTACGACAGCAAAAGGGACTGAAATCAAGAGAAGATTTTTTGACTGGATTAAAGCTTTGCAAAAAACTGAAAGAATTATATCTGTTTTCTGTCTTTGTTTCACTAGAGCGATTACAAGAATGGATCTCGGAAGATTACTCATTAAAGTCCACCTTAAAGCATGTCATCTTGACGGATACTGGCCCTGCTATAGAGACTGATTTAGCATACTTCTTATCGAATATGACTGTATTAAAGACATTGTGTCTTGGTCACTTGGTTCAACCTATTCATACTATGATAGAAGGCATATTTCTACATAATAGGAACATAAACGATCTACATAATGTCATTCTATTCAGACAAAACATAAGAGATGAATGGCATTTACAATAAAGTTGTTTGTTTGTTTGTTTGTTTTTTATTATTTAGTTATTTATTAAAAAGAAATAAAAAAAAAGAAGAATATAAATTCTTCTTTCTATTTTCTTTTTTAGTAGAAGGTAGTGGGTCTCTTGGCAATGAAGAGAGCACGATGCTTCTTGTCGACGTTGGCAAGACGGTGAGGTAAGGGGAAAGAAAGCTTGGGAGTCAAGAGTTGCTTAATGTATTGACGACGAACATCAGCATCCTTGATTTCAGCAACACGAATGATTTGAACAGATCTGAAACGAGCACGGTGACGAGCAGCCATGTCTTGATCTATAATTACATTTAAACAAGTTAATTCCTGCCAATTTCTAAATCTTTCTCCTTTTTTCCTCCCTCTCCCCACACACACACATTACTACTTACAGCATTGTTCAACAGCATCAACACGACGCAAGGCACGGTATTCCTTGTACATGTTGTGAGTACCGGAACGAGAATCGTAACGGATCCAGATACCAAAGTTCTTGATTTGTTCAGGACGCTTTTCAGAGATCTATCATATAATATGTTAACACTAATCCAATAACATATTTATATAACACATACGACGTTGACGGAAACAATCTCACCAGCAGCCTTCTTAACCTTACGAAGCTTCTTCAAAAAATACCAGAAACGAGACTTGGCAACAACAACGTTGGGAGCGAAGATACGCATACGGAAGAGCTTAGGAGCAGCTTCCTGAGCGGAGGGGAGCTTACGTCCAACCACCTGATATTCAGACAACTAAATAATAAATGATGAATAAATTCTGCTCAATTGAACAATTGAAGATACTGCAGTATAGTATAGGAAAAAAAAAAGAAAATTGAGTTGTAATGGGAATTTAAGAATTCTGTCAATTAATTAAACATGCTGACATGTGTGTCTTTTTTTTTTCTTTAGGAATTAACAATGTAATGCTGTCCAATAATATTTTACATATAAATACATTGAGGTTGATTTCCGTCGTTATAAAGTGTTTCGAATGCTTATCATTATTCATTTTATATAAATATGGATGGATGGATGGATTACTGATACATAATCCATTACTGTTTAGTCGTGTGCGTATAAATATTTTTTGTTTTGTTTTTCGAATTCCTTATTCCGCATTACAATGATTTCTTTTCTACTACCGTATCTTCAATTGATTCCTGTTATCTATACTTACTCTAGCCATGTGCCTTGAAGAAAAGAAAGGAGGATTACATTATGCACCCCCTTCTACACTCATTTGTTGATGGTGGCTCTTTTCCTCCGAAGAAGTTTGTAGAGTATGTGCGGTAAATAAAATTTATTCATGCAAAAAAATAAAAAAGAAAAAAGAAAAAAAAGAAAATGATAGTTTCCGGTCCGGACACTATTTTTACATACACATTTAGTGTGCATCATTGTTTTTTTTTTTTTTTTTTTTTTTTTTTTACAAAAAAAGACAAGCAATAAGCTGCATAATAATATACTTAAAATGTTATTTTACGTCATTATTGATTTTATTTTATTTACTATTCATGACAATGATGAAAGATTCTTTGACCACCTCTGGGGTGATAATAATAATATTTATCATAGTCTTCTTCGTTTTCAACATCATAGTCAAGGTCCATATTTTCATCATAGTCAATTAACCAATGATATTTTTCATCGCCAAGTTTAGCATATTCAAAATCACCACATGCATCTGTGTGCTCATCACCAACGCCCAAATATTTACCACCTGTAGTCGTGATAGAGAAATCAGAATTCAACTTGAAAATCTTATTATCGTAACCAGTACAGCTTTGTGATTCTGGTCTATCGTGACCGCTAAGACAATAACCCTTATAGTCACCATCAGTAATATATAAATGACAATAGCCTTCATCGTTACAGTTGGTTAACTTGAAATGAACACCTTTATCAGTCCCACTTTGAACCTTCAGATATTTATCATATGTTTCTTTGCATTTGCCTCCGAAAATAGGCTCCTTTTCATATTTAAAGCCTAATGTTCTCGAGGAAGTGGGCTGACGAATTTTAAAACGGTCACTAGCAGAACAAACACCTGCAAGGGCTAAAACGGAAAGTATTACTTTTGAGAAGAGCATATTTATATTAAAATAAAATAAAAAAAAAAAGCAAAGAAAAAAAAAGCAAGCAAAACAAAATAGAAAAAGTAATATTTATATAGTTCTTCTTTTTTTTTTTTGCGACGAGGGTTTTTTTTTTCTTTTATGTGCATTAATATGGGGTAATATTTTTTTTTATTGTTGGATCCAATGGAAGAACTGACTTTTTTTTTTACTATTTCTTTTTTTTCCATAGCAACAATTGAAGTTAGATAATAATGACATGGAAATAGCATAGATATGTAACACTGTATCTATGCAAAATGCATATCGTACTACAATAATATTTTTATTTATAAACATGTATATTCCTAACTATAAACCTGGACCATGTTTTGGGCGACATAACCTTGTTCATTTGTGAGGTGATTTATTCTTGGATTAAATTTAACAGCAAAATACCATCCATCTACTCTTGCCTCCGTTACTGCTAACCATGTCCCTTTTGAAAATTGAAGTTCATCAGGCTTACCACTAAACCAATCTCTTAATGTTAAAACTATTGTATATGTTAGAGAAAAACAAAAAATTATATATATATTTTCCTATTTGAGAATATATACATGTATATATGTATATACATATATGAATATTTTTTTTCATATATACGTTACCCCAAAATAGGATTGGCTTATTACTAGGGGGGATATTTATTGGAGGACAATAATTATTGATTCTGTTGACTGATACGTAGTGATGAGGGGTATTTGTATATGGGTGATAATATTGTTGTTGATGGCGTGCATGGATATAAGGATCATTGTTATTTAAAGGATGACTTGTTGAATTAGAGTATGGATATATATTGGCTGTGTTATCAGTTACCATTATAGGTTGTTGCTGTTGCTGCTTTTGCTGTTGCTGCTGTTGCTGCTGTTGCTGCTGTTGCTGCTGTTGCTGCTGTTGCTGCTGTTGCTGCTTCTGCTGCTGTAATTCAGCAGGAACAATTTTACTATTTCTGCGCTTCGATAGTTTAGTGGTAGTAGTAGTAGCAGCAGCAGTAGTAGTAGTAATGGGTTTGGTCTTTTGTTGAGAATTATTTTTTGTATCATCATTCTTTTTTTTATCCTTATTATCGTATATGCCTAATTCTTCTAGTAGACTTTGATAAGAAAAGTTGCATGCTGCTTCTAAATCAGCAGAGGGTTGACGTCTCCTAGTTGTCGTACTTCTACTTAATAACCCAGAGCTTCTCATCCTGTTATTTTTTGTTGCATTATCTGACAATTTATCATTATCTAAATTTTTGTCATCTAAATCAAGGTGACCTAAATCAAACATATTATTTCCAATAGCAAAAACAACCTTTGCCCGAGGATCAATAGTGATATTATCATCCTTTTCCTGATTTTGATTCTTTCCAGTTGATTTGCTATTATCTTCTTCATCTGAGGAATCAGTAGTAGATTCACATGATATTTCAGGAACTACAAGTGCAGGTGGCGGTGGTAAAGGTGAACTTTGCTCTACATTCATTTCTTTTATAGGTGAAGGAGGAGACTTTTTTTGTTGTCGAAGTAAAGGAGCTGAAATGGAAGGTAAAGGTTTAGCGATATTTCGAAGAATAGATTTTCGACGTACAGACGCACTTTTACTAGGTACAGAAGGTTGCTCATGATCGGAAATTAATTTTTCCTTTGTTTTCTCTCCTTCCATCTTTGTTTCTTCTTCACTTTCAGGTGGTATAGATGGGTTTCTAATCGTGAGCTCTGGCTTTGATGATACCTGTTCAGTCATAACAGGAGTTGTAGCAAGTTCAGCTGGAACTGGGAAATTGGCAATTGTATGCTGTTGAAAGGTCTTTGCAGGATCATCCATGTAATCAACAAATATTTCTGGCTCAGGAATTTTAGACCCTGTTCCTTTTTCATTTATAAATGTTTGCATATCCTTTACTGCATCATATTGATCCAAAGATTTCCAAAAGCGTTCATATGACTTTTTAAAGGAATAATGGTGGGGAGGGGGAAAAAACTGTTAGTCAAAAATAAAATAATCTAAAAGTTGATATTTTTACCTCTTGATCTTGGCTTGTAGCAGATGAAAGAACGTTGATATACATAGCAAAACTATGATGAAGGAATTCTAATCTCTTTTTCTCCATAAGTTGATAAGTCTATATATATAAAAGATATATATTATCATCTGTTTTAATAATAACTACTGTTAGTGTATACCTACGTCACAAGCCATTTTCCAAGCTTTATTCCATGATTCAGTAGCTTCTGATACTTTAATACAAGCATTTTTATATTCTTGCTCTAAAACGTGTGTTAGAATAAGTTGCAAAGTTAACATTTTTAACTTTTTTTTTTTTTTTACCTTGAATTTTAATTTCATGTTGAGTTCTTTCAATTCTTTGTCGAATCCTTTCAGCTTCACGACCAGATACATTTCCAATTTGCGACTGTAATGTAACTAGTTTTGCACAATCTGATTCATACTTTTCTTTTGCTTTGGCCAAATAAGTTTCACTTGATTGCTTATATCTATGTGCTTTTTCTACATTGGCTTGAGTTAATTTTCTTTTATCTTTCTGCTCGAGAATGAAATTATCCAAATCCACTTCCAATTTAGTTTTTAACTTTTGTGCTAAATTCAAATGTGCTTGTGCTGTCCATTCCATTTCTTGATGAGCAGAGATAAGTAAAGCGCGTAGCGTACTATTCAGTTGATTAATATAAATATATACAAAAAAAAACACATACACACATACACACATTTTATATCTTAAAATTGGCTTACCCAGATTCTTCGCGGCCCATTCCTGTTTTTGCATGTTTCATTAACTTGCGTCCAAACTCTTCATGAAGTGAAGCTCTTATTTATTATTATTATTGAATAAAATGGTAAAAGAGAAAAAAAAACTAAACTGAATCAGATATACTACCTTATATTATAAAAGCTTTTAATTTCATCATATGTCTTTTTAGTACTATTCATTTTGGCTGTTAATATATGAAAACCTTCATCTTTTAAACCCTATCATATACATGGGATTAAATGATATATACATCATTCATTATATCGTGTTGAATATACCCAAAAGTTATTTGAAAATATCTGCTCTGTTTCTGCTGTCATTATTTATTTACAATTAAAAAAAAAAGATAAAAGAAAGAAAGAGAGAAGGAGAGAAAAAGAGAAAAATAAGTGATACATGAATTGTTTATTTACATATATGCATATTCAACAAAGTAAACAACAAAGAAATGCCTTTTTTGGAAATTCCAAAATAATTAAACTTAGAGTGACGCGTATTTTAAAAAAAAAATGAGCAACAATCGCGCCTTGAATTCTACTAACTGTTATCCATTTTTTTTTTTTTTTTAATAATAATAATAATAAAATAATATAAAATGGAAAGACCACCAACTAAGAAAAAGAGACTTACTAAAATTAAAGATGGAGATCAAAATGAACAAGAAAATATAAATTCAAATAGTCAAAATATACAATCATCCATTCCTAAGGCACAAACATCGAGTCAAAATAATCAAAATGATCAATCAAGTCAGCAGAATGATCCATCTTTAAATCAAACTCTAAAATTATCTAATCAAACTAATAATTCATCCATTCAAACCGTAGAAACCTCAAGTCAATCTTCTAATAAATCAGATCGTAGAGTTTCATTTGCCCCTTTGAAAAATATACCTGTTAATAGTACAGATCAATTTGAAGAAGTTTCTAATTTACAGAAAAAGGAACCAAGACTTGTCATGAAAAAAATGGTTTTAAATGATTTTAAATCTTATGCTGGTAGACAAGTCATAGGACCCTTTCACAAGGTACATTTATTAATCATGCGTCAATTTTCATTGACTAATAGTTTCTTTATTGTAGTCTTTTAGTGCTAGTACAGTAGTATATTTATTTTTATATTTTAAAAAAAAAAATTGATAATTAACTTTTTTTTTTTTTTTTTTTTATTTGATCTAGTTGTGGGTCCTAATGGTTCAGGAAAATCTAATGTTATTGATGCTTTACTTTTTGTATTTGGTTATCGAGCAAGTAAGATGAGACAAGGGAAACTTTCAGAACTCATTCACAGTTCAGCAAAACATCCTAACTGCACAAGTTGTTCAGTTGAAATTCATTTTCAAGAAATCATGGATGGCAATACACCTAATGAATTCACTATAGTACCCAATTCAACTCTTATCGTTGCTCGTCAAGCTTTCAAAAATAATTCTAGTAAATATATGATTAACGGCAAAACGAGTAGTTTTACAGAGGTTACAACTTTGTTAAAAGCAAGAGGTATTGATTTGGATCATAAACGTTTCTTGATTTTGCAAGGTGAAGTAGAATCAATTGCATTAATGAAGCCAAAGGCAAAAGATGGTAGCGATGATGGTTTATTAGAATATTTGGAAGATATTATTGGGACATCAAAATATAAAGAACCTATTGAGGAGGCCAGTGCTCGACTTGAAGTCTTGAATGAGGAACGTGCTGAAAAATTGAGTCGTGTGAAATACGTGAGTCGTGAGATGGATAGTATGGAAGATAAAAAGGCAGAGGCTGAAAATTATTTAGAAAATGAAAATCAATTGGCCCGAAGAAGAAATGAACTCTATCAAATTTATTGCAATGAAGCTATTGAAAATACAACAGTAGCTGAATTGGCTATTGAAGAATTAAATAAAAAAATGGAAGAAGAGGCAGAAAGATTTAAGGAACTAGAAAAGGAAAAGATGGAAATGAGTTCTCTTTATCAAGAAATTGTGAAAGAGTATAATGTAATTGAAGCTGAAACGAATAAAATGCTGTCTTATCAAGCCAAAGTTGAAAAAGATCAAGTTGAGATTCGTGAGCGTAGAGATCATTTAGTAAATAAGCAAGAAAAGGGCAAGGCTACTTTAGAAGCAGATCGTGAGGCCCGTATTGGTGCTCAAGAAGCGATTAAAAAGAATGCGGAAGAATTAAAGAAACGAAAGGAAGAGCTAATGAATCTTGAGAAACAACTAAAGGAAGAAGAAAAGAAACTGGAGGAAATTAATCAGGAGTTAAAAGGCAAGACAGATAAATATTTAGCTCAAATTGAAGAACATCAAAAGAAACTAGCTCCTTGGACAGAAAAGATGAATGAAAAGCAAAAGGCAATCGATGTTAAAAAATCTGAAAGCGAACTTTTGGCAGAACGAATTACAGCAGGTGAGAAAGCTGTTGAAGAAGCTAAAGAACAGATATCAAAACTTGAAGAATCCATGACACAAAAGAAAAAGGAAGTTAAAAATTTACCCAAGAAAGTTAAAGAATCCAAGATAGAAATAAAGGAGCTGGAAAGCTTCTTGAGCACTTTAGTTACAAAAGAAGCAGAGAAACGTACAGATATGAATAATGCACGTCAGAAGGCGGATGAAGCAAGAGCATCTATGCAACAATCACAGAGTCGAGGCAAAGTTTTAGATAGTATATTGCGTATGCGTGATACTGGACGTATTGAGGGCATTTATGATCGATTAGGCAGTTTAGGTGTCATTGATGATCGTTATGACATAGCTATTTCAACTGCTTGTCCTGCACTTGATAATATTGTAGTAGAAACTGTAGAGGCAGCACAGGCATGTATTGAGTATTTGCGAAAAAATAATTTGGGACGTGCTGTCTTTACGGTTTTAAATGAACTTCATCATCAAGATATGGATGCAATTGAAACACCAGAGAATGTACCTCGTTTATTTGATTTAATTGAACCCAAGGATAAAAAATTTAGACCTGCCTTCTATAGTGTCCTTCAAGATACTCTTGTGGCAGAAAATTTAAAACAAGCAAATAAAATTGCGTTTGGACATAAACGATGGAGAGTGGTTACGATGGATGGTAAACTGATTGAAAGATCAGGTGCGATGACAGGTGGTGGTAATCGTTTATTACGTGGTGCAATGAGTTCTACTTTTAAAGATGATGGTGTGAATGCTGAGACAGTTGCAGAGCTTGAACATGAAAGAGACAACCTTGAAAGAGAGTACAGAAATGTAGTCGATGAAAAACGTGCAACTGAAACAGCTCTTCGACGTAAAAAAGAGCATTTACCTAAGCTTGAATTAGCACTTGAAAAATTACAAATGGATATTACAAGTTTAGAGACTCAACTTGAAGATGAAAAGAAAAGATTAGTGGAATTGGGGTAAACTTTCTGTTTTTTTCCTTTCTTTCTTTCTTAGAATTAAACTAAAATTCATTATATACAAATTAGAATGCAAACAAAGCCAAGTCCTGCTGATGTTAAACATCAAGCTGAAATAGAGTCTGAGATATCACAACTTCAGACAGAGATGGTTGAATTAAAAGAGAAAACAGATGAAATACAGGAAATCATTAATTCTTTGCATGAAGAAATTATGGATGCAGGCGGTATGGACCTACGTCTACAGAAGATATGTGTAAATGATGTTCGAAAACGAATTGATAACTTGAATAATCGAATAACCAAAAATATGGTTGCTAAAGCTAAAGCTGAAAAAGATGTATCTAAATATGAATCATCTATTGTAAAGTTTGAAAAAGAAAGTGAAAAATACGAGCAAAACCTCAAAGAATTAAATGATGAAATAAAGCAATTTGAAGAAGAAATGTCAAAAATTGTAAAAAAAGTAGATGAGGCAAAAAAGGTAACCTTTTTTTTTGAGTATTTATTTCTTGTTCTTTCATATCTTGTTGACATTAATAAAATTAGAATATGGAAGAAAAGAAGTCAAAGATGGAAGACGTTAAAAAGGGACTAGACGAAAAAGCAAATAATATTAATAAATTGCGTCAATCAGAAGTGGATATAAAGAGTCAACTTGAAGATTATAAAAAGACGTTATCTGATAATGAGAAAAAGGCTAATTATTGGAGAGAGCAAAGATCAAAATTAGAACTACAACGTATTGATGAAGAGTCTGATGAAGAGCTTATATTGCCTATTTATACTGGTGATAAGCTACAAGAGTTAATGAAATCTAAACAGGTTATTAAATTGGAGATTGCTGAAATTGAAAGTAAGTATTATAAATACCAAGATATAACCATGTATTTCATCTAATGGTTTAAAATAGCTTTTGTCCAAAATGCCAAGCCCAACTTATCTGTACTTGAAGAATATCGTCGTCGTCGAAAAGAATACAATCAAAGAAAAGAAGACCTTGATCAAGTAACTTCTAAACGAGATAATGTCAAAAATGAAGTAGAAGTTTTACGCAAAAAACGTTTAGATGAATTTATGAGTGGTTTCAATATTATCTCTCAAAAGCTAAAAGAAATGTATCAGGTAACTTTTTCTACTTCCCTTAAGCCAGTGTTATAAATTAAGAGTAAAAAAAAAACACACACACACATATTCTTATGCACATATTTAGATGATTACGATGGGCGGAAATGCTGAACTTGAATTAGTCGACAGTCTGGATCCGTTCTCTGAAGGCATAGTCTTTAGTGTTATGCCTCCAAAGAAGAGTTGGAAAAACATTTCTAATTTATCAGGTGGTGAAAAGGTAAAACGCACATTTATATACATATAATTAGATTTTATAAAATTAATACTAATAACATATACGGTAAAAAAATAAAAAAAAGACGCTTAGTTCTTTAGCTCTTGTCTTTGCTTTGCATCATTTCAAGCCTACACCTCTATATGTAATGGATGAAATTGATGCAGCTTTAGATTTCCGTAATGTTTCAATTGTAGCAAATTATATTGCTGAACGTACAAAAGATGCTCAATTTGTCATTATTAGTTTAAGAAACAATATGTTTGAATTGGCGGATAGACTAGTTGGTATCTATAAGACAAATAATTGTACAAAGAGTATTGCTATCAACCCAAATGTGATTGCATCCATGACATTGATACCAAAAGCACCTACATTCTCAAGTAAACCTGATTCAAGTAGATCTACACCTTCATAGTGGCTGGATAATATTATATTGAAAGTAATCATATACTATTGTATAAATGGAAAAAGAAAGTGGGGATATCTTTTTTTTTTTTTACAGCTATTTTCTAATACTATATTGATGCTTTATGTATATATGCTTAACTTTTTATATAATCACCTGCTATTGTTTATGTTTTTTTTTTAAAAAAAAAAAAAAAAAAAAAAAAAAAAAAAAAAAAATAACATTGTAAATAAATACATATTTTATAAAAGAAAAATTAATTTTATTATAAACATAAAATGTAAATGGTAGTGATGCAGTATAATGATAGTAGAGTAGTAATACATAATGTTCAAATTCTATGTGTTAAGTCAATATACATAATAGACAAAAAGAAAGAAGAAAAAAAAATATATATAAATATATACATGTATACATATATATAAATAAATAACTCGTAGTATAATAACAATGATATAGTAATGTATGTGAAGATATAGCATATATATATAATATATGGTTACAATATTGTATTGTATTTAATTATGCCCAAATACCAAGGACAGACATAAGGGCAGCACCGATATACATACACATAAAGCAGAAAATCTTACGAGTTAAAGATGATCTACGGAAGCCAATATTATGATTGATTTCAATACTCATGAGAGAGACATAGGCGCTGTATAATAGGATACCAGCCGAAAGAGAATCCAAGATAGCTTGAGCCAAGATAGCAGCAGGGGGGTTAATAGAGGAACGAATAGCGATACCGATAGCAACACCTATAGGCGTCATACAGATGAAGACGATACCCATCAACACAGGTTTCTTCCAACTTTTGCATTTAAGATCGTTGACACGTGTGCCCAATGCGATCCCTTCAAAGAATTGATGGAAGACCAAGGCGACCAGTAATGTTATAAAGGAGCTATTATCGGATGTTCCAAGAGTGATGCCGATGATGATTGAATGCATCACAATACCAAATTCTAAAATGAAGGTACCAATGTTACGAATGGATTGTTCATGTTCAAGGAAACCAGCAGAATGAACGTGACCATCCTCGTTGATACCTAAATGATTATGTTCATAAGGGTTCTTTTCAACGTGGCTAAGTTCACTTTGAGGGGACATAGCAAGATGCTTCTCGTTCAATGTATGGTCTGCTAATTCTTCAGCATGGGTCCCCTTCATCGTACTCGTATGGCTAACTGCCATGATCTTGGCATTCTCTGCGTTCTTTCTTGCAATAGCATCCAAGTTAGAGATAGCTGCTAATTCGACAATTTGAAGGAAGAAGGAAGCAAGCATACAAAACACTCCACCAAATGCATGATAAGAGTGCCAGCCTTCACCAATACATTCAGAATCAAAACGCTCAAGTGCTTCAGGAAGCATATGGATAAATGCAGTAGCAATAATCACACCTGTGCCAAAGAATTTACCAGCTGTCAATGTCCAATCACGGATAGATCCCTCTTGATAAGGGCTTACACGATAGAGAAGGATAGGAGCGAAAATACCTAAAAAAAAAAAAAAAAAAAAAAAAAAAAAAAAAAGAATATATAAGATTTAAGATGAATAAAGAGGGAATTTCTTTTTCTTTTTTTTTTTTTAATATTACCAACAGCAGAAGTACCCATAATAATAAATACGGAACCAATTCTTAAAGGCATATTATAACCATTAATTGGCTCTACTTCACAGCTTAACCCATGTGAATGGCTATGCCCACCATGCCCGCCTTCTTCAGCTGAGGCTGCTTCACCTACATGATTATGTTCAAGAGTGTTTTCAAGAGTGTGTTCATGATCGTGTTCATGGTCGTGTGCATGGTCGTGTTCATGGTCATGTTCATGATCGTGCTCATGATCGTGCTCATTTTCTATCATGGTAGTCGCATTGTTAGAGGGAACTATATATGTATATATATATAACGATATTGAGTATTCTATTATATATTGGTAAATAAAATTAAAGTATTTGGTTTACCTAAGGTAGCAGCTTCATGAGTATGATCATGGTCATCAGCTGGATGATGCACTGTATTATTTCCTTAATAAATAATAAAAAAGTTAAATCATTATTAACTTGCGTGGGGGGGGGAGAGGAGTGGGTTTCGGCTATTATACCTTCATGAGTGTGTTCTTGTGCATAAATAGTTGGGATCAAAAAGATTGTCAGCAGTAATAATAAAATAAAGATTCTTGACGTAAAGAGTTTAGAAGCCATATTTTATTATATATGAATATATATATCAAAGATTGTGATAAAATAAAATAAAAGATTGAGAAACAGAATATGAAGGGTATATTTATATATGATGTAAAAATTTTTGTTTTCTGTTATTTTTTTGATGTATTAAAGGTACTTATTATGCTATGTGTACCCTAAAAGTTAGACGTATCGTAATATCTAACCAATTACATGCAAAAATTTCTGTAAACTAGTCACATGTAACTAATAGGGTACTCATTTTCTTTTTTTTCTTAATATTCCATTTGAAAACAAAACATGAAATAAGCACGATAAAGAAGAAGATTATATATTACTGCTATAGGTATATTAATTATTTAAACAACACATATACATGTCTGTTTACCTGTTTATCTATTTATTTATTTATTTGTTTATTTATTTACTTATTTATATTTAAGCTTTATAGACTCCTTTTTTTACGTGATTGTATAATAATCTTGTTTTGAGGAATCCATTATTGTTTCATTTAAAGTATTTGGATTTTTCCTGGTTTAATCAAACAAATAGAAAACTCCAAGTTTTACAAGTTTCAAATAAAATTTTTTTGTGTTTGCGGAGTTATTATTGTTTAGTAGCTTTTTTTTCGATCTTCAAAAATAAACTATTTCCAAAATAAATGAGAAAATTTTTATTAGCAAATTAAGAAAAATCAGGGCGGCAAAAATATGAGAAAGAAGGGAGAGTTTTCTTTTTTTTTTTCCCAGTTTATGAAGAAGGCATCAATTTATATAAAAGACTTTTTTTTTCAAAGACACAAACAATCTATGTTTATATAATTTGATGTAAACAATATAACGCATGAATAAAATCTAGGAAATAGTAATAGAATCTAAAATAGACTAAATGATAAAACCAAAATTATGAAGGACAATTATTTTTGTGACAAATAATGTGGTAGATAAAGAATTAAAAATTGAAAAAAAAATTCGTTAATAAACTTTTAAGCAAATAGTGACAGATTTTGAAGGGGATTGTATTTTGCTGACGAAGTTTGTTTCTTTAATCTTTTCATTAGTTATACGCATTGGTTAGCAGTCAAAATCAAGGAAGTTTGCAAAAAAAAAAAAAAAAAAAAAAAAAAAAAAAAGGAACAATGATCATTATGTTGACTGCTGCTATCTTTTCAAATCAAGGAAAATTCGAATTACTCTAAGAAAACTTATTTTTATGAGGAAAGAGAGATAAAGGAAAAAAAAAAAGCTCTTAATAACAAATATCAGTAAAATAGATATAATAATAAGAATATTGTTGAATTATTGGGCAATATGATAAATTTTCTTGACAAGAATGGCCGAGAAGCTTATTATGAATCTGCATCACACTTTTCTATATTATAGCTTGACTCTGCGCTAATGTTTCATTCTACTATTATACATTACTGTTAAATAGAGTTGGTTCACCTCTCCATTTACTCAATTACCTTCCTGACTAAAAGAGATAAAGAAAAATAAAAGTGTTCCGCTTTATCTGTTATAACAATAGTCATTGCAAGTACTTTCATTTTGACAATCATTTCAAATGTTAGAGATAATGACATATAAGTGTTTATTTTTGTATAATTGTAAGATAAGATATATTTTATGAAGTATAATTTAGGGTAGGCTAATCATATCATACATATGAGTAAAAATGGTCTATAGACTCAATGATTTCTGTTAGTCCTAGTATTTGGTTTCCTATTTCCTCTTTACTTTCCCATGTCATCCCTGTTAATTTGAAAAAAAAAAGGTTGGATATTTAGTTAAATGAATCAGGGAAAACCGAGAATACGGCACACAATAGCTTGTCACTTATAAAAGAGGAAGTCTGGTATTTATATTAAATGAATATGATTTTATCTTGAATAGAATATACATGAATTTTCTTTAAGCTTTTTTGAATAAAACCTTTTTATAATAGCAAGCAAAATACTTGAGAACATCTGTTACTGATATATTATTACTCATATTTTGCTGTTAATATAACACAGACTTAGAAATTGATCCATTAACTGATAAAGAGTAGAGCAAAAGTGCATTTTCCTGGAGTGAGATACTCCCTATAGCTATGAACAATCTTATCAATGAATGAGCTGTGTTAATACAGATAGACTTTATGTCCACCGTTATTGATGAGTTATATTTCTAAAATACTTTAGACAATAGAAATAATCACTCTAGAATTCTCTACCTTTGTCAGTTCTAACAATAAATCTTGTATTGCTTTCTAGATTTTATTCATGCCTTTTTTTTTTTTTTTTTTTTTTTTTTGTATTCTTAACATCAAATTATATAAACATAGGCTATTTGTGCATTAAGTTGCTGTTTATACCTTCTTCATAAACAGGAGAAAAAAAAACTCCTACTTTCTTATATTTTTGTTATGACTTGATAAAGTTTTGTATTTCTGGTATTTTCCTTGTAACAAAATAGTCGTACAAAGCGTGATTATATTATAATTTTTTTTTTTTAAACCACAACATTCTATTAGAAAAATAATAATGTTCATAACGAAATATATTACTTCATATGTTATTTATTCCATGTGAATTAGGTCATATTTTTTACTAATCATAGTTTTAAATTCAACTTAATAACAATGATCAGGAAACTTTATACTATCCTAAAAAAAAAAAAAAAAAAAAAAAAAAAAAAAAAAGAAAAATTAATTCCAAGTCTCTTTCAAGACATGCATTATTACCTAATTTGACTAATAATAATGAAAGTCTTATTTATCTTTATTATCGAAAGAAAGAAAAAAAAAAGAAAGAGAGAGGATTGTATAACATTCTAGGCATATACGCCTACTACAGTAGCTACCTTCTACAATTGCTTCAATTCTTTCATTTACTGGCAAAAAAAAACAAAAATAAGCAGTAACTGTCAAAACTATCTCGAAAATAATTAAAGAACAGCAGAGTGAGAAAAAAAAAATTGATTTTTTTTTTTTTTTTGTTCTATCAAATACTTGATTATATAGAAACATTAATGGGAAAATTCAATCCAAAAAGATCTCAAAAGCCCAAAACATCTTCAAAAAAGAAGAAGGAACCCGAAACATTCGATGAGTTTATGGAAGGTAATCTCCAATAAATAAACAAAACAAAAAAGATCCCATTTTTTTTTTTTTTTTAGACATGTCAAATAATTTTAATTGTTATAATCTTGTTAGAGGCCATTCAATTTGAAGAACAAGGAGAACGTTATAAGACAGGAGATAGAGCTCAACGTAATTATGAAAGAGCAGCAGACATGTATGGAAAAGCGTTTAGTTTGAATGATAAAGATGCTGACTGTGTTTATAACTGGTAAGTATATACATACACAGATTTATTTGATTTATTCTAATACATACATGTATTTAGGGGAAGAGTCTTGTTCTTGTTGGTCGATTTTTTGCCTTCACATGCTACACCAGAAGAAAAACTAGAAAAAATAGATCAGTCGATTGAAAAGTTTAGAAAGGCTTTAGATTTGGAAACAAATAAAACAGATGCACAATTCAATTTAGCACAAGCACTTCATCAAAAATCAGAACTTCTTCAAGACACAACTGAAATAGATGATGCCTATCGTATTTCAGCCATGTCTTTACAAGAAGCTATTTCCATATTTGATAATGTGTATAATTTACAAGAAAAAGAATATCTAGAATTAAATGATACTTTTACAGACAAAAAAGAAGAAGAAGAAGAAAAGGAAGAAGAAGAAGAAGAAGGGAAAGAAAGTCAAATTAAAGAAGAACCATTACGACAAGAGTTTACTACAGTAACAAAGATAGAACCCACTACCCCATATTCACTTATCGAGACACTTTTAGCTACTGTTGAAACCATGTCAACCATGGCCTCTATATTGGCTTCTTTCCCAGCATCTATGGATTTATTTAGTCGAGCTAAAGCCAAATTAGCGTTAGCGGAAAAATGGTATACGAAGGCATCCTCTACTGCATTGGAAAAGAATAATGATGATGATCCTGAAGAAGAAAAAAGGAGAAAGAATGCACGAATCCAAATCAATTTGAAAGAGTCAGCCATGTATGCAGCTATGGCTGATCGTTCTTTTATAGCCTCAAATACAGTTGATAGTGCATTATATGAGAAATCAATTGAGAAATTGAATGAGATTATTGATAATTATGATTCTCGCAATGTAGAAGCATTATGTGATCGCGGTGATATCTTTATATCCTATAGTCAAGCTATTGCCGAAGTAGCACATAAAAAGCATTTGCCTTTAGTGCCAGAAAAAGATGGAAAGGAAGTATGGCAATTATATGCCTCAGCCACAAAGTCATTTCAAGCTGCTTTATTAATTGAACCTAAAAATCTCCGTATTTTAAACAAGATGGGCGATCTAAGCTTATTTAGGGCACGTTTAGATTTACCAGTAGCAGAACGTAATCGACTTCAATTATTAAAGAATGCAGTTTTTTATTTCAAACATGCAGTAGAAATAGATAAAGAAGTATTAACAAGTGGTTATCTTGGTTGGGCTATGAGTGAATGGGCTCTAGAAGAATGGGCAGAGATAGAAGGTAAAAAAGAAGATGCAATGAAGATTCTTCGTGTTTGGATTAGACGTGGTGGTAATGGAGCATTATTTAGAAGTTTAGCTGAAGATAACGAATCATGGGAAGAAGAATTTGTAGAGTTTGTTATAGAACACTTTTTTGCTGCGGATGATGAAGAATCAGAATAACGATTATAAATCATCAATTCTAAGCTTTGATGAAGTGAAACATAATCGTTAAAAAAAGAATCCTCATGTAGTTTCTATCATGCTATCATATTAACTAAAATAGGAAATTTTTATTTAAGATAAAGTATGCCCAAATTTAAATAATTTCTCTTTTTTTTTTTTTAAGGAAAAAAAAAAGACTCTCTTTCCCACGATTAATCATTATTACATAAAACAAGACATCAATGTTAATGTGTATAATAATAATAAGCGTGTATATACATGTATACTGCTATAGAGAAGAGATAAACAACTACCAAGATATAATAATATTACGCGTCGTAGCTGTATACTTTTTTTTTGTTTTTTTAGTGTTGCGTAAACGTGTGGGGGAAAGAAGGGACCCGAGTTATGTTGTTATTAATGACAACCGCGGAATTGATATTCTATTACTATTTTGTCTACAAATTTTACTATGTAGTAGTAGTAGTAGTAGTAATAAGAAAAAAAAAATTTTTTTTTATTTTAATTACAAACTCAGCTATCATTATTTTGACCTGTCATTAAATTTTAAAGAGATAAGAAAAGTAGGTATTGTTTTATTATGAATAATAAAATGTTTTAGCCTAATAAAAATACACATACATACATATATATATATTTGAAGGAAAAGGGAAGTCTATAATAATAAGAAATAATAATAGTAAATGATAATATGATACAGGAAATAAGTAGTATGATATGCATACAGCAATTTAAGAAGGGAGAAGGAGATGAAGCTCTTTTTCTTTCTTTCTTTCTTACTTTAATTAAGACGACCCACTGGTAAAAGGAAATAAGATGAATCCTTTGTTAATAGACCAGAAAGGGCATTATACCATGCAATAACAGCAGTGATCACACCAAATGCACCACCTGCAATTTGAGTAGTAAGGCTATTGTTAAACTTGGCAGCAGCTAATAAGACAAACGTAATAAAGAGAAAGAAAAAGAGACTGACTAAGCCTACACTTGAGCGATGAGAAGCGATTAACATAAGACCAGTAAAGATAGCCCAAGATAATAAATAAATGCCTAAAGATTGATCTAATGTATGACTATCATCACCATAAGATTTTAAAATATTAAATCCAGGAATAAAGATGACTGCAAAGGAAAGCCAAAATCCACCATAACTAGAGAAAGCAGTAGCACCAAAGGTATTACCTGTCTTGAATTCCCACATACCAGCTAAAAGCTAAATAAAATCAAACATGAGTATATACATGTACAAATCAAATATGCATATATATATAGAAAGGGAGAGATTGATTATTACCTGTACAAGACCGCCATAAAATAAAGCAAGGCCTACAACTACATTACTAGGTCCATTAGCAGGAACACCAGCACCCGCATTATGAAGTGATAAAACAAAAGTAGTTAAAGCAAAAGAGCTTAAACCTAAAGGACCTGGATTGGCTATAGTTGGTGCAGCATAAATTGGAATAGGAGGATAAGATGAAGCTATTGTATGAGAAGGATATTTTGCTTCTACATCATGATTAGTATGAGTTGATTCTGTCATTACGTAAAGAAATGGAAAACGAAAAGGAAAAAAGAAAAGTAATAAAATAAAATAATGAAAAAAAAAGAGAGGTTATTATCTGTTGCTGCTGTTGTTTAAATACATAATTATAAACATACAAAAAAAAAAAAAAAAAAAAAAAAAAAAAATTATTATCATTGACGCCACTAATTCTACCAACATTATTACTACTTTTACTACTACTACTACTACTAAATAATAATAATTCCGCCAAACAACATTATAAAGTACAACAAAATATTTATTTAAAGCAAATCAATTATACTTGATTTTTTTTTTTTGCTATATTTTCTTTATTTGATGAATAAAAACTAGATTACAAAGTGTCACCTCAAGCTACTATTTTCTTCTTCTTTTTGTAGTAAATTTTTCCTCAATCATTACATTAAAATAACTCAATTTTATTGGCTGGTTAAATTGCGAATCCCGAACAAGAGTGTTATTTGAATCCACTCTAAATCTGCACGAATTAGAATTTAAAACTTTAATCTTCTACATTGAATGTGGGAATATTGTTTACTAATAATGTATATGTTTTGTTTTAATAATAAAAATAATAAATGTATTTATTTATTTATTGTCTTGGATTAAAACTCGTTCGGACGGATTACCTTGTATGGAAAGAAAAAAACAGGTATTTAATCAAATAAAGATTGATTTATTTTATTTTATTTTTCTTTGTTTTCTTTTTTTTTTTAAATCTAATCTAAAATTCATATTTAGATTTCTGCCTAAAATCTGCATTATAGAGTTTAATAACGTGGTACTAATAAAAAAATAGTAAATAAAATGAATTCACAATATTATGTAATATGATTCAACTTGAATATATTTTTATAAAATGTTCTTTGTCTTTTTATTATTCTGCTATTTAACCTGATAGTGGAAAAAATAAAATAAAATAAATCAAAATATTATTTTAAGGAACACTATTGTTTTCCTTTTTGATCCGTTGTAAGTATTTTTTTTTTTTTTTACACAAATACTCTGAAAACATTTATCCGAAACATGGACCCTTGAACCCTGTTTTCCCTATTTTCAGGGTTTAGTTTTTTTTTTTTTTTACCTAATAATACACTTTCATTATATTAGATAGTAAATATACTGATTTCTTATTTGTTTGGATTTGTTGGACTGTTTAGAAAACTATAAACTCTTTATAATTCCATTATTTCCCAATTTTTGTCAAAATAGATTTTCTATTATTATTATATATAAATATACGTATAAAAGGAGGGAAGGAAGAGTCTATTTTAATATATTATAATTGTTAAACTTCCTTAAAGATTTCCTTATTGTTATTGGATTTAAAAGATTAATTTGGTTCATATAGAAGAAAATAGGCTATATCTATCTATATATGTATATATTAGAAAATTATTTTTTTTTAATTATTATTATTATTAATAATAGATAGAATAGGATGAACAACACATTTCTTCTTCCTTCCCCTAAAGTTTCAATTACCAACAAAGCCCTCCTTGAAAGTCAAAGCAGCTGAGTCCTTCTTCCCAGATATCAATATTCTGTAGCCCCCATTTTCCTTCTTCATTATAAAAAGCAATTCTTTTATGTAATATATCTTCTATAGTTGTAGCATTCAAGGTCTCTGTATGTCTCTCTGGTGTCTTTTCCCACTCATTAGGATGCTCTTGATGACATGAAAATGAATCACCACTATAGACAAGCGCCATGTCAAATGTGCCCACTGCTGTCAAGATGAATTCAATATCCATCCAAGCAACACCTCCTGTTTCACGATAACCACGACATGCTTTCCAGGTATCTCTATGTGCCAATGTAAAATCACCTGCTTGATCTCCATAATACCAATAATTATTTGAATTTATATTCGAAATAGGGACAGAAGGGGGCAGTTGATAATTCCCCCAATCTTGATCAGCTAATTTACAAGCTTCAAATAAAGTTGTATCATCTGGGAATGGTTCCAACTTGACAATGCTAGGTGGTAAATTTTCATGACTGTATATATAATAAGTAAGCATTAACACACATAATATACATACATACATACATACATATTATATACGTTATAAATGACTTACATGTTGTGTCTACTTTGAAATTGCGTATAAATAGTTTCATTTTTAAAAACTCGAGATTTTATAGCATTTATAAAATTATGAGACCAGATATCATCTATATATTTATGTATATAAGTATGTATAATTCATATGAAAAAAAAAAAGGATAAATTACCTTGGTTTGTACAGACAATATATTCTCCACGAGCAAATCGAATACCAACATTTTTACCTTCAAATTCATGTAAAGGAGCATGACCTTTATTAGGTAATATTTGATGAATTCTATTCGAAACAGTAATGATACGATAATTCAAATATTTTGATCTACGAAATCTCTATTAAAAAGATAAAAAAATAATAAGCTATTTTTTTCCCCTTTAAATGTATTCATTTAATTTACAAAACTATCTAGTATTCTTCTCTTATTGGGTGGTGGATTCCATTCAATAATTAGTAATTCAATTTTTTGTTCAGAGTGTTCAGCTAGTAAGTAAGCACTATCAATGAAATTTTGAAAGCGATGATGTTGGTTGCTATATTTCATATTATGAGTCTTATTTTAGGGTGCAGACATTTTTTTAATTTATTACCCTGCATAGTTATCCATACGAGTCACAACAACAATAGAAAGATAATATTCAGGTATAAGACCGGGATCAAGACATTGTGCCCATTCTTTTTTTGTCATCACAATGTCATCTCTAGTAGCTGTATTACCGAGACATTTCAAGGATCGACCCTTTCTATAATTTGGTAAAGCATCAACATAATCTTCTATTACTGATCCTAAATCAGCAGTAGCAGCAGCGACATCATTATTATTCACTGATGTTCGAAATGAATTTAATAGTATCGAAGCAATTGATATAAAGGTAATAAATGATACAATAACCAGCCCTTTTGTTAGAGCTTGTTGTTTAAACATCATGTTATTATGGTGTCAAGTGGTAGTAGTAGTAGTAGTAGTAGTAGTAGTAGTACATAAAAGAAGAATAGTAGAAAATTATACTATTTTAAACTCAATCTAACATTTTATTGGTTTCCAATCGTTTTCTTTTGATCTTTAGAAAAAAAGAAAAAAAGAACCTCCCTTGTAAGAGACACAAGGAGGTAAAAAAAAAAAATAAAGGAATAAATAAAGGAATAAATAAAGGAAGAAAAGTGGAAGAAGAGGTGAAGGAAAGCGATAGTAATATTATAAAAAAGTGAATAACGATACGCTAGCTTCAGCTGTAAAACAACCATCACAACAATTTTGAGTTATAACAAGTCTATCATGCACATAACAATAAAATAAAATCATCTGAATTCAGAGCGTAAAAAAAACTGTAATTAGAGATTAGTGTACTCCAGTATTAAATACCCTAGATTATTATACTTTCAAGCTGCTTCGTCAATATGTCGAACATAAAGAAAACAAGAAAGTCATATACATAAATGTTCCTGAAGTAATGATGTGATTGGAAAAACAAAAACAAATGCAAGAAGTATTGCCCTACCGTCGTTTCAAGAAAGCGGGTAAAAGAAACGACAGTTATATTATATATATATATATATATAACTTACCTTCTTTCCTCCTCCCCCTTTATTAACTGTTGTTAAACTTTATCTTCGTTATATCTTCTTATAGTTTATTTATTAGTACATCTACCAGTATTCCTTATTGTTGTTAGCTTTTATAAATTAAAAATCTCAATGAATCAGACCTGACAAACAATTTTTTTTACAAGATAGTTTTGCTTGTCTTTATAGTGATATCAATTCCAAATTGATCTCAGCTTGCTATCCTTCTTTGAAATAGGATCCAATCCTTTGGGGGGGAGGAGTTATCAATGATCCTACACTGAGCGTAATTGCTGTATTCTTTGTTGACGTCTTGGTTAGCTTCTTGGCGCTATTTCTCGGTCGTATCTTTATCATCCTCCATATGATAACTCTACTCAGTGAACATTTTATCAAATGTCTCTTTATACACTGTCGACTTAATATGCCATTCACTGTCGTTGATCTGCTTTCCTTTTTTTTTTCTTTTTTTTTTTAGCCAGCTTCCTTCCGTCGAACTGATATATCAGTTGTCCTCGAAATAGACTAGTATACTCATATTGTTCCTGATTTTTTCTTTTGCCTCCCCCCTTTTTTTTTTCTCGACCCCTAAGAGGCTTTTATTACCCTATTTCTCTTTTATTTTTGCTGTTGTTGTTGGAACTGGCTAGAGCAATACAGCATGAAAAAAAAAGAGGCTATGTGATCATTAGTCATTTCTATTTTATTTTAATAAATAAATTCTGTTAATCATAACTGGGGGATCCATAATAATAATAAAAAAAAAAGATAACTGTTGGCAATATTATTTAATAAGTGAACATAATGAATCATTTGATAAAGCTGCTTCCATGATACTTGAATTATAAACAGTAGGAACCTTTTCATTTGTTTCAGTAGCTACAAATATTTCACTCGATTTTCTAGGAATTATGGAAACACAGCCTCCAGGCATATGTTCACATTTACAGGTACCTCCCAAAAAGCTTGGCAAACTATCAGCGTCAATATAATTTAATAATACCGATTGAAAATCACTTCCCAAAACATGTATTTTTTCCAAAGTCTAATAGCGATTTAAAAAAAAAAAAAAAAAAAAAAAAAAAAAAAAAAAAAAAGAAGAATATTTATTAAAAAAAAATATGGATTTCTCTTTCTTTTTATATAAACTTACTCGAGGATTTAACCAATGTTTTATGACCTTAAACATGACAGTAAAAGCTGATGGAGCATTAACAATAAATAAACGATGTAGAGTCTCTGGATAATAGTGCTGGACAATCTCTGCAATTGCTTTCAGATGATATAAAGCATTCATATGAAATTCTGTATGAATGCATAAATAGAATGTGAGGTAAGAGGGATGATTACAATAATAAATATAAAATAATAGAAATGAGTTCATTTACTTTACGCCATAAACTCATGTGTGTGCAATCAAAAATGACTGTTTCGCTATGAATTGCCTTTCCTGCTCTCTCACATGCTTCAGGCATAATGACTCGATTTAAGAATTCATTAACTGCAATTTGATAATTTGTTATTTCTTTTGAAGTCACGTTATTTCCCATTTCCTTTGTATTATGATAGCCCTATAGATAGATAGATATGTATAAAGAAAGAAATTGAATATCGTTCATGTATGTATAATCTATTGTTCTGTTTCAATTTTACAGTTCGATCGATTAAAATGGGATGACCTTCTTTATCAAATTTATGAAAACAATCACCACCAATGCAATTAACAGTTCTAACGACGCTCTCAGATAATCCAGGTTGTACAGTAAAGTTAGTATCATCAATGTATTGATAACCTCTACAAGCAATTAATACAGGCACATTATTATATTTTGTAGCAATAGGTATACGATTGATATGATTGTTATCACGCCAAATAATTGTATCCATGAATTGTTGTTTCGCGTCATTCTATAATAAAAAAAAAAAAATAGATGAGTCTAAAGGGTTAGATGTATATCTATTTTGAACTTTACGATATTCCATATATTAGCTTCTAAAAATTGAATTAATAACTATGAAACAAATTTGTTAATACTCTTTAAAATCAATGTGATAGTATAAATTACATTATCAGAAAACTCTCTATTGTTATTTCCAAGTGATTCTTTTAATTTCTCAAGAATTTGTTGTTGGTCTTCAGTTGAAGGTATTTTCTTTGGAATATTCATACTTTAATACAGGAAAAGAAACAAAAATAAAAGAAAAAATAAAATAAAATAAAATAAAATGAATATGCAATGCTGCCAGTTACAAACAATAAACAATTGTTGACATTGAAAAAAAAAAAAAAAAAAAAAAAAAAAAAAAAAAAAAAAAAGTCCAATCTGATTTGACGTGTTTTTGCCTAAAATGTACAAAATTATATTCTAATAGCAGTTTTTTATAAATTCTTACTATAAGAAGTAAATTTATATACCTTATTTATTGGTTTCTGTTATATTTCAGCAAGATAAAATTTATTAGTTCTAATCCATTACATGATAATTTTTTATATCCTTCTTTGCCTGATTATGTTGTCCACATTATTATTATTATTATAGAATGTGAAAACTCAAAATAATATGAATGAGTAAACAAATAAAGTTGTTTAAGAAATCATAAATGAGAATCTAGTAAAGTGTTGCTTACATACACTTACGCTTTTATATACACTCATACTAATACAGCTTGTCATACAGTCACAAGATGACGACGACGACAACGACGACAACGACGACAACGACTACACTCTGATACGCATAATTCAATAGTCACACAGGATTCGAGTATTTGGTATTAAAATTTTTGAAACATTTTAAAATCGAGATTCCTCTTGGCGAAAAAAAAAAATATGTATTTATAAGAGGAAAGAAGGCAAATTAATAATTAATCCGAAAAAAGAAAAAAGAAAAAAAAAAAAACAACAGATAAATCATTTAATCACATTACTGCTGCTAAAACTGAGTTCATTTCGATTCGTTTCGTTATTGTAAATGCCATTTACGTATTATGTAATCTTATACTGTATTATTGGCGGTCAAATTATTACAAATAATAATTAAATCCCCACTTCCCTACTGCTAATAATAATATAAGAGATATTTTAATAAAAACAAAAACAAAGAGAACGTTATCTCAACTATAAATAGTTTATAATATCCATGATAAGATAATTAGTTATTCAAGGCTATATTCAATCAAGTGTTCATTTTATTTCTTGAAGAAGGAAAAAAAAAAAAAGTGAAATGAAAAGGAAAGAATGTATAAAAAGAAGAATATTAACAAAAAGAAAGAATTAAGATATGTAATAGTACTAGGATAGCAGCTATATTAAGTTTATTCCAATTTTATAGCCTACCTACCCCCCCGTCATTTTCTCCTATGTATACACACGTTATTGTTCTTTATTTTAAATATAACAATTACTATAAAATTCGTCATAAATACAAATAATATAAAGATGAGTAATCGAATTACTGCACAATAGTAGTAATGATTGGTGTGATGTATTCGAAGCATCGAGACTCTATTGATAGAGATAGGATAGTTACTCTATTCTAATACGTCTCTTACTGTCCTATATAAATATGTATATGCATTTATGATAAAGGAAGACAATTTATTTATTTATCACAAAATACCTTTTTTTACTATTATTATTACAATGACCCAAAAATAAGTAAATAAAATTAAACAAAAATAAAAATAAACTAATACCAAGACAAAGTATGTTACTACTAAATTTATTATCATTACTAGCTCAAAGACCTCTTTCATATACAGTCTCTGCGTATATATGCTTACTCTATTAATCGTTGTTTTGACATTGAATGTAAATATGTATACACGTATGTTTTAGAAGCTGGAGTCTAATACCGTAAATCAACAGTAGTAATATAAACTATTTCGGATGAACTATGAACCGTTATGATTTAGAAATAGAGTTACAGAACACAAGTCCAAGTAAACATGATTACAGAAAGAAGTATTATTTGATAAAGATTTATTTTATTATATAACAGAAAACATGATGGATTAAAGATGCATATATACTTGAATACAGACAGACTTTACATAAATACATAAGGAATAAATTGTTATTTTAGTACACTTTCGCTCTTGACAAAAAAAAAAAGGAAAGTAAAATGATGAAATATAAAATCATATATTTCTTTACATTACATAAGTAATAATAGAAAAAAGAAGACAAATAATAAGTCTGAAATTTAAATTTTTTTTTTTGTAGAAAAATAAAATAAAAATAAAGTAATGACAGAATTCAAAATGACAACGTGATCTTGACCTGATTTTTATTGATTATTGGTTTAATATAAATACAACACAACCCTTTTCTTATTTTTTAAAAAAAAAAACTAAACTTTTTTATTTTACTTACTTTAATTTGTTTCTTGATTTTTTAATAAAAACATGTCAAAATATACCTTATAAAAAAAATGTCAGAAGAAAATAATATATTTGCTTGTTCTCAATGTCCAAAAAGTAAGTCCCAAGTAATAAATAAAATGATTTCAAGCAAATAATTTACATTTTTTTAATAGTATTTGCAACAAGATCTAACTTGTAAATATATAAATAAATTTTTTTTTCTCTCTCCTTTTCCTGTTATGATATTTATTTACTTACTTACTTGTCTATTTAGAAAACGTCATATGGAAAACCCAAATATTCATAATATACCTTATGTTCGAAGCAGAGACCAAAAGAGATGGAAAGGTCATTCAAAGAAAATATCTTCCAGGCAAGAAACAACGGAAAGGTAAAGATATCCTATTTTCTTATTTCATGATACTAATACATGATTCTTCTTCTTTTAGAATGCGTAAATGGAGAGCAGAAAATAGAGATAAAAATAAAAGAAATGATTTACGTTGTAGAGTGTATAGATTAGCTAGACAAAAATTTGGAATAGAAGACTCTGAAGAAAAACAAAAATTTATTCATTATGAAATCAATAGAAGACTCGGACGTCGTCTGTTACTTGAACAAAAGAATAATATTCAACAACAGCAAGAAGAAATGAATAAAAAGAAAGATAGATTAGATGAATTGCCTTTCTATTGTGCGCCTTTACATAAAATAGAATTGCCTTCAATAGACCTTAGAAGATCAAGCTGTCAAAGTAACTCAACAATATCTTCTGCTATGACAGAACTTTCTGGATATAGAAGCAGTCAATCTCCTCTAAGTGACTATCATAGTCCTATTTATTCACTTGAAGAAGATTCAATAAAACGTTATAGTCCTCCTATCACATTTATAGAAGATAATCAACACGCTATTGCTTTACCACCTATGCAAGCCATTTTAACCTCTATACCATCCTCTTTCTTTATAAGCCATCATCATCATCAACAACAACAACAACAACAAACAACAGCCTTACCTTCTTCTTGTTATTATAATCCAATTCCAAAGTATTCATATTATTATAATGTACCTTTGATATAATTTATTATATATAGATTCCTACCCTTTTTTATTTATGTATATTTGTATACACACACACACATACACACTTAAAAATAGATGTATACACATATAATTTATTTTGTAAATAATAAAATTTTGACAAATAATCATAATTTATTCCCCAGCTTTTAATTTAAATAAAGAAAATTCATCGGCTTTTTTTTTTTTATTTTTTTCTTTTTTTCATTTATTATTTAATATGACAGAATTTATTGTATATGAAGATTCACCTTTTGCAGAATATTTACAATGTAAAAAAAAAAAAAAAAAATCATATCTTGTTTGTACATATCTTTTTTTGTTTTTATTTAACCTTTTTTTTTTTTTTTTTTTTTTACATATCTATTAGCTATTGATCAAGCTGAAGCTACAATAAAAGTTGAAAAACCTACATTGTCAATAAATACAACTCAATTAAAAGAAAGGCCAAGCATGTTAAGAATGTGGAGACATTCCATGTTACATGTAACTTTACTTCATTTATTAATTCTCGGTTTTTTTTTTCCTCTCTAATTAAAGAAATTACGAATAGGGTTCCTTTTCCATCTCACTACCTCGAACAGAGGAATCAGCCTTTGAAGAAAAATTTAAATATTTGATTGTAACATCGCCCTTATTAAGTGAAACCCTTTCAGTTCATCATCATCATCATCATCATTATAATAATAATAATAATAATTCAAAACAAAAGAAGCAGCAACAACAACAGTTTCCTGAATTACCCTTTCAAGCTACACCAACCACGACTGTCATGAGTAGTACGACAACAACACAACTCATCGCTAGTCTTGCCATCTTGTTTGGTATCGAACGTTATTTTTTAAGACCTCAAAAATTACCTATCATCACTTTTCTCTTTTCTACTTCGACTTCTCTTTTCTTTTATTATCGTCATCGACAACGTAAATCCATCCGTGAACTTTATCAGGTCGCTCTTGATCGAGTTCAATCCTTTATGGATCATAGTGATCAATTGGATACAAAAATGCATCGTGCATTCATCACCATTCAAGAGATCGAACTCGTTTCTCGAGGATATCGTTTATCAAAACCATATTCACCTATCTCTCGTATTGAACAAATGAAGTCCTCTAAAAAGAAATGTCAAAGACTTCGTCAACGATTAGCATCTATCCTAAGAAGAGCATTTATTATTTATGAAGAAGCTATCATAGATCTAATGAGTGTAGTTCATAAAAAGAATGTAAATACTCTTTATGACATGTATAATGTACATTCAATTGCCTCTCTTTCTGCTGTCAATAATGATAATGATGATGATGATAACAGTCTTGAACAATTAAAAAAGTTGGCTCAAATTATGCATTTAAAAAGAAGAGAATGTATGGTTCATTTATTAGCTTTAGAAAACATGTCAACGACGACGACTACTGCTACTGCTACTACTACTGTTACTGCTACTGCTACTGCTACTAATACTACTGCTACTAATACTACTAATACTACTACTAATACTACTAATACTGAAGGTCATGATGGTAATTCTTTTTTAATTCGATTAGATTATCAACAGGGATGGAAAATTGTAAATGACGTATTGAAAAAAATGCTCTGTGAAACTGAACAATGTATAAAAGATATCATTGAAGCACTTGATGCTGAATTTTGTAAGTTTTTTTTTTTTTTTTTTTTTTTTTCTTCGATTTTTTTTTCTTCTATTTTCACCACTGTTCTAATAAATATACATACATGAAATTAGATAGAAATACAAATACGAGTACAGCAACTACAACTGAAGTAAATTCGGATCATCAAATACAAGACAAACGTCTCAAGAAATTTGTGCATAAATTATCTTCTCTGGAACAACAATTAAGAACACTGGAAGCCAAAATTTATTTATGCAACGAACATGTGCGGCAATTTAATTCAGGTAAATGAACCAATAAGTTGACCAAATCAAACAAAAAAAAAAAAATACAAACACATCTTTTTTTTTTTATATATATAGAAACAAAAGAAAACCTCTATCATGAATACATGTCAATCCAAAAGGAATTTGAATTTGTAACTTCTGAATGGGAAAGCGGAAGGATTATTTTAGAATCCTTTTTATCTCCTACAAAAAAGGTAGATACGACAACCATTGACACTCAAAGGGAACAAGGAGAAGAAGAAGAAGAAGACAAAGAAGAAACAAAAGAAGGAAAAGGAATAGTGTTGGATGCAGAAGATGTAGCTGATATTTTGAACTTGCCTTTAGCTTCAAAGGCATCTGTTTATGAAGCTGTAGCAGGTGTAGTTGAAAAGAATGGGAAAGAGAAAAGTAAAAAGAAGAGAGAAGAAAGGATTGAAGAGATGAGATTAAGACGTGCAAGAGAAGTAAGTAAAATAAATAACAAGAATAGCTAAGGGAGTCATGCATGTATTCATTCATGCTGCTTTATAGGCTGAAGAGAAAGCTGCTCAATTAGATTCACAAAATATGGTGTATGAATTAAAAAATGTACTTTATAAACGTGTAACAGATCTAGACCTGAACACTGAAGAAGATAGAAAATAATGTATAAAAATCATAAGAATAGATATACCCCTCCCACTCTCAGTCACTCACTCACACTCTTTCTTTCTATCTAATTAATAAAAATGTTATTTTTATTTTATTATTATTATTATTATTTCTTCTTCTAATAAGATCGCCTTGGTTGTCTTGGTCTGACAGGAGGCTTTCTTAATAGTTTCCAAAGCATGATGGAAGTTGCAATAGAGAGTGAATACCAAGTAATTAAATAATTCAAATGATGATTACGAATCTCTACTGTAGGTGATCTTCCAACAGGAATCCCTTTTTCAATTAAACTATATTCTTTCGAAGGCGACGAATCTTTTTTTTTTTTTTTTTCGTTCAAAATAAAATAAATGAACATGTTAGTATAAAATAAAATGGTATCTCTCGGGTATTCATTTTACTTACATGATACACGCTCAATCATCACAGGTTGCGCATTGGCCATTTTAGCCATTGTTTCTACATCAGCCCAATACCATTGATGATGCTCTATATCATTATCTGGTGTAAATGTATTTCTCTATACAATTAAAAAAAAATCAATCAATTTGTATAAAAAAGGAAACAAGTCTATTCTATTCTATTCTATATATATTTACCTCCTCATTCACACGAATTAATCCAACTACTTCAACTTCTCCTCTTTCTAAACTCTCGGGTCTTGTACTTTGTTCCTTTTTTTCTGGCGCAATCCAACCCCGCTTCACTAAAATCGTTGTTCCATTATCTCTTTCAAAAGGTGTAATGACAAAATAACCTACATTACCATCTCCTCTCGTCCTTGGACCTAATAAAACCTCTTCATCATGTCTATAATGTCCTTTTGCATAAACCTTTCGATATTCATATTCCTCAAGTACATCAGGGCTAAATATATCGAGAAAAAGAATTTAGTATATAAATATACTCGAGGTGGGGGAAAAAAAAAAAGAAAGGGTCAAACAAACTTACTTTATACGTTTTGGTAAAGGAATCGGATCTCTATCGAGTCGATCTTCAAGAGTAGATATTAAATTGACCTTCCAACGTAAACGTTGAACTTGCCATGTTCCTAATCCAAACGTAACAAAAGGGATGGTGCATAATAAAGCAGTACCCAATCCAAACTTTTTCTTTTTGGGTCGATATACTTCTTCACTCGTCATTGTCGTTAAAACTCTTTTCATGGGTGGATTGAATCTGGTATTCCATACACAGTTTGAAAAACTTGATTGGCCAATTCGTTTCAACATCGTTTTCCCTTTTTAATGAATGGAGTAATAGTTGTTTATTTAGTAAAAGCGGGGGGCCAAAAAAAAAATAGGAAATAAATAATGCTTTGTGACTGTTTCGATACATATAATAAGTTTGTCAAAAAAAAAAAAAAAAAAAAAAAAAAAAGAAAAGAAAAAAAAAACAATTCTTTTCTTTTTACTGATCATTAAAAAAAAATTTTTTTTTTCTTTTTTTTTTTGTACTATAATGGCAGGAGAAAAAAAGCTATCAAAGAGAGAGAAAAAGGCAGAAGCTTTTAAAAAGAGAGTCAAGAAGCCTCAATTTTCCGAAGAAATGGCCGTGCCACAACCCGATGAAACTATTGAAGAATCACCATTGGTAACTAAAGAGGAATCAAAAACTGATCTTCAACCTGTTAAAGAGACAAAGCGTAAAGCTGAACCTATCAGTGTACCCTCGGACGATGTAGAAGAATCTGAAAAGAGAAAAAATAAAAAGATGAAAAGAGATGCCAATGCCAATAGATACATTATCTTTATTGGTAAAAAAAAAAAAAAAAAAAAAGATTCATGATTACAATATTTAATTCTAATATATATTTATATATGCAGGCAATTTACCTTATACTACGACCAAAGAAGAGCTTGAAATCCATTTTAAATCAGCTGGAGAAATCAAGTCTATACGTCTTATGACAGATAAAATAACTAAAAAGCCAAAAGGGTTTGCTTTTATGGAGTTTGAAAATGCCAAAGATCTTAATGTAAGGACAAAAAAAAAAAAAAGGGTTAACGCTGATATTAAAATGATTCTGTTGATAGAAAGCATTAGCTTTTCACCATACACTATTTAAAAAGAGACAAATCAATGTTGAATTAACCGCAGGCGGTGGTGGTAATAAGAGTGACGTACGAAAAGAAAAACTGAAAAAGAAAAATGAGCGTTTAGCAGAAGAAAGAGTAAGAAATAAGATGAAATAAGATGGCGTTTTAATACTAACATTTTGTTTTTAAGGTTAAAAAGCATGAAAAAATAAAGGGCGATTTTAATGAGCCCCAGTCTTCATACCAAATAGATCTTCCTGAATAATAAACAAAGCCTAATTATTATACAATCTTTTTGTTGTACAGATGATTGTCTTTTATTATATAATAACTGAGATTGTGTATATATGATAGTATTTCAAGCTAAAAAAAAAAATACAAGTAGTATAAATAGCCTTCTAATAAAATTAACAAAGTAGAAGAATTTAGTGTTGAAGACAACAAAAGAAGGCAATTGTTATATAAGCATATTCATTATGGTTTTTTTTTTTTTTTTTTTTGATTTATATCATGTATAAAAAAAAATACCAATTAAGCTTTATAAATATGTCAGTTAAATCCTGGAAAATTACCATTTACTATTGGAAGTAACTATATTTGTAAAGTCACTTTTTTTTTTTTTTTTAACATCATTATTATGTTGAACAAATTTAATTTCTGACATATAAAAAACATATAAAAATACACATGTTATTAAATAAATTTTTTTTCCCTCATTACATTATTTAACAAAAAAAAAAAGACATGTTAAAATTTAACTTAGATCCCTTTCCTAAATTTACTCGACTTATAGCCAACTCAGTAACCAATGCACGTATTCTTATATTTGCTGTTGTGATTGCCAAGATTACTTTAGATCGACTTTATAAGTATTCAGTGGTAAGTCAACACACACATAAACTTTCTTTCTTTCTCCGTGATAAGTTTGATAAGAAGGAGAGCTAAAAAGATAATATAGATTATCAATCCTTTGGCTTATGATGCAGATGGTGAGCCAACCTTGGATATTCTCGAATATCAAAGTCCTTCAACTGCTAATGAAGTTTATTATGCTTTAAAGAGTTATGGTGCAAAAGGTAGACAAGCTTATTTGACTTATTTATTCTATGATGTTATCTTTGCTATCACTCGTACAGTCCCCATCACTGCTCTCTGTACTTGGGCCTTTAAGGATGCTCCACGAGCCATTCGTCCTGGTGTATGGCTTCCTATACTTAACTTGGTGATTGACCTTATTGAATCCTTTTCTATCTTTGGTCTTCTCAAGACTTTCCCTCATCGTAACAGTGCCTTTGAATTATTCACGGCTTTCATCATTCATTTCAAAAAGCTTACATTCAAGGCTACCTTGGCACTTGCCTTTATCTCCATGTTGGTAGGTATTTATTATAAATTTCATAGTTTATTGTCAGATAGTGTTGTATTGGAAAAAGATCGAAAGCAGAAGCAAGCAGCTAGAGATCAAGTTCAGGATGTTATCAGAGAATCTGCTGCTCGTCGTGCTGCTACTTCCGCTGCCTTGGGTCATACTGTACCAACAATAGATAATAATACTAAGAAAGATTCTTAATCGTCAAAGAGAGTATTTAATCAGAACACTTACTTGGGTGGTTGTAAATACGTCATTATGTCAAATATATAATCATTAAATAAAATTAACCTTATAATAATCATAATCATATTATAAAAAAAAAAAAAATCAAATCACGTGTCTAATATAAATTTTTATATCATCAATAATATCCATTTATGTATATTTTTATATGCATGATATTATCAAACACGTAAAAGAAGTAGGAATTGATTTCTTCTTTTACATCACATTATTGATTTATTTTCCAAATAATCTCATAAAAATACTCCTTTTTTGCTTATCTTTACTTGCTTCTAACGAAGATATCAATTTTGAATAATAATTGGGATTTCCTGCTGGTTTAAGGATTTTATCTGAGATAGAATACTTTTTTTTTTTTTTTGATTATTATCAAGTTAATAATAAGAAATTTCCAGTATAGGGTGGGTAAATGCAATTCACCTTTTCTTTATAATTATTCTCTAATAAGCTTTCTAAAGCTTCAAGTTCTTTACGAGCCCTTTTTAAATCTAAACTAGCATTGCCTCCTCTTCGGAATGATTCCTCCACTCTTTTTTCTAACACTTGCTTCATGTCTCGATTAGGTCTCACTCTATCTATGGGCCATTCTTTGATCAATCGTAAGTAAGATCGATAAAGTGAATGAATTTGTTGTTTTGTATTTGCAAATGACATTGTTGTTGACAAAATAAATAAATGTCCCTTTTTCCTCTCAGTAATAGCCGTCTTTTTTTTTTTTTTTTTTTTTTTTAATAATGATAATAAAAAGATAAAATAAGCGGAGTTTGACCATTAAATCTTATTCTTTGCTACTGCTGCTTTCATGCGCAAAGATAGTCATTTGTTTTTTCTTTTTATTTTATTTTATTTTTTTTTAATGTGTAATAAATAAGTGTAGCTACTAATAATAATAAAACACAATATAGATATTTTATTCTCTAGCTTTAACAATAGGCTCCCAAGCTTCTAATTTAACTGTGGTAGTGTTATACGTTTTGAATGCTTTAGGTGTACCAGAAAAGTTGGGAATGGGCTCACTCCACCATTTCTTGGGTTGGTAATTCATTTCAGTAGGTGGTTCTTGAACAAGACGATTTAACCACATGTGCCTGAATAAATGAATATTAGATCGATGTATATGTATATAAATTTATAAATTAAATTAATCAGCTAACCATTCAGGAGTGATATCTCCACTATCAGGTTGACTACTTGCATACTCAACCCAACGCTCACGACCTAATAAAAACCCTAATTAGTATTTTTTTTTTCTTTAAATTGCTGTTGTTCATTTATTATTGTCATGTACCGGAAATTTCATCAAGATTTTCAAAATATTTATTGCCATTGACATCAGTGCCAACAAGACGACCCCATTTAGTATCACCGATGGTGTCTAATTGTTTAATGTAACTAGAAGGTCCAACCTTTAGAAAATTCTTTAATGTACGTCCGATGGTTGACATTTGTAATTATATAATTGTAGGGTAATGTAGTATATTTTTTTTTTTAAAAAAGAAAGAAAGGAAATGATAAAAATATGTGTATATTCATTTGTATGTGTGTATGTTACTTTGTTTATTAATATAATTGGCTGCTTTTTTTTCCATCAATTTGCTCTTTTTTTTTTTTTTTTTTTCGCCCTTGTACATACAACTAGCATAACCTTATAATTCTATGGAATTATTTGATTGGATATACTACAATGATGACGTTTATTAAAAAAAAAATCCAAAAGAAAAGTATTTGACCTATTATAAAATCAGAATCCCTTTTACTATTATTTGTGAACAATGCTTCCATTTATAAGGCCAAATAATAATAAAAGCGTACTGGAATAAAGAAATCCTAAAAGGTAAAGTTGTTAAAGACTACTTTTTTACTCTATGGTTGAATTCTAAAGTGACACACTACTATATCTTTCAAGACAATAATAAAGACTACAGAATCAATTATATATTTATATATTTATTTTTTCTCTTCAATTCGTTTATGTATACAGAATGTTCACTCCCCTATTCAGATATTAACTTTTTTTTTCTGACATCATAGAAACTGTAGTTTCTTGCAGTATATATGATCGATAGTAGATAATAATAGATTAATGACTTGTTTAAGATATATATAGATATGCACACATAATATAGAATAGTCTTGAAAGGAGAACAAAACCTAATAACTTGTTTTTTTTTTATAAAATTTATATATAAAGTAGTTGTTAATAAATGTAATAGTTTTTTTTTTCAATCTTTTCTTTCTTTATATAGCCAAGAAAAACAAAAATGAACTTCTTTTTCCTCAAGCATATTTCTTTATTTATTTATTTATTTAAAATAGATATATTTTTTATTGATACAGAGTTGATCTATCGAATCACAAACCAAATCAACATAGCCAGCGTCATAGATATCTTTAGGATCCCATTGTGCAACCAAATTAGAATGTTCCATCACATCCAGATAAGCTCGTTTCCTTCTTTCTACTTCAGACCAAGGAATGGGTTTCGATAATAAAGACTGCAAGAACTCAACCTCAGATGTATTTAAAGTGACCCATTCTTTAGCCAACTCCATGTGTCGGTAATGGTCGTGACGGTAACCGTATCTTGTTTCCACCATCTCTTGTTGATTCGATATATCAAATTCGTTCATGAAATACCATTTTAAAGAGGGTCTTTGATGGATCGAAAAGAAGCGAATACGTCGTTCCTCATCATAGGACTCTGTTCGTAAGGCATGTAATTCAATTTTTTTCAGTCGTTGATGTGGTAAATGAATTTGAACTTTATATCGTCGATCCCGTTGTGTATAAGCAAAGAGGGATAAATAATTTAGATTTGGACAACGTGGTGAGATATATTCAAAGACACCATCAAAGGAAGAGCAATGATGCATGATAAGACTTTGAAGAGGATGATGATAAAAGGCGGTAGTAGTAGTAGTTGTTGTTAGAAGTCTGCTGTTATTATTATTATTATTATTAAAGGATACACGAAGTGCGATATGATCTAATTCAAGTTTAACAAGGTTTCTACAATGACTCAAGATGATATCAATTTTAAATGGAGTTTTCAAGTTACAATGAGGTTCTCGTAAACCCAATTCTTTAAGTTGAGGACAAGCATTCGCTATCGATTCAATTAGTTCATGAGGGGTTGTATCACGAGGTAAAGGACCGAATGTGAAGGCTGTGAGATGACAGAAAATGTGATTGCGACTTTCAAATAAGAGAGTTAAAAGTAAAGAGGGCATAGGGATTGTATCACATAGATCTAATACCTTTAGACGTTGATGCTTCGCTTTATCCAGTTCATGAAAGAATTCAAAATCAGGTGATATCTGATGCCAACGTATATCCATCAATCGAGGACAGCTCTTGATGAAATCCCGATAGATCTCTGGGGGGCAAGGCTCGATGATATCCTTACCTGTCCCTGAATGATAGAAATGAAGCGAAAGAAGGTTTGGATATTTGAGACTGAAATACGGTAACCAATCTTGATAACGTTCAGCACCGTATTGACATTGGAGTTTAAATGATTTCATACGTGGATAAATAGCAGAACTTGCATCTGGACTCCCCCTCCTCCATATTAAACTAAAGTCATCTATCTCTGATCGATCGCCCTCTAACGTTAGATCCTCTAAAAGGGGACACGATTGATGTATGGATTCAACAAATTCAAATGTGATATTATCGTATTGATTTATTCCCATGAGTGTGAGATTTCGTAAATGAGGTGTGTAACTCAAGATGTCTCTGCCATCAATATGAATCGTGTTATGCAAGTCTAGAGTAAGAGAGGACAATGTAGAGGCACCATAATGGGCTATAAACTCGGTTGTAAAGGGGGGAAGAAGAGAGCGAGGAAGATAATTTCGTGTGATTAAAGAAGATGAAGTTGTTAGTTTATTTTGATAAACGAATCCAAGATAATTCCATATCCTCCAGTCAATATGAATAGATCGTAAGGCTGGACAAAGCCTCTGAATAGTTCGTAATTCTTCTTCTGATAGTTGATCTAATAAAACTTTCAAATGATGGACACAACGTCCTAAAGGTAAACTTGTATACTGAGTACTTGTAAATAAAGTTACAAGTTGCTTATATTGCTGATATGTTGTAATCGTAATTCTTTGATAAAGAAGTCTTGTAAATACTTTATGAAATGTTCTATTTATATTGACAAGTTCATATCTATCCTTGTCGGAAAGATATGAATTTATTTGATCGATAATTTCAAAAGGAAAATAAACGAATGAATTCATTTCTAATATGAATACTAAGGGGAAGAAGAAGATCAAAAGTTTACTAAATGCAAAAAGAAAGAAAGAAAGAAAGAAAGAAAGAAAGAAAGAAAAAGATGTGTATATGAATATAAATATTTGTATGTAAAATACAACTAAATGATGATGACGACGGTGCCTGAAATAAATGATGAAATTACATCTTCTTTTTTCTTTTCTTTTTTTTTTCCCTTTAATGGTGTACATTTAAATCCATAATTATGGTATTGAACGTTGACTATTTTTTTTTTATTACTACTATTATTATTATTATTTCTGTAAGCTTATGCCCTGAAAGTCTATTGTAAATCTTAGGCAACTATTAGAATGATTAATTACTAATAAATAAAGGAAAAAAAAAAGTAGGGTGTCTTTAACTCTTGCTTTATGATCGAAAACTTTCATCCGCTGAGCAAAGTAAGATGAAGATGATGAAAGAGATATTACCATTAGAAATATTACTATATATGGCAACTTTATTTCATAGATGTTTAAATTATTAAAGTTTTTTAGATTTCGATATACAATCATTATTAACTCTATTTTATATGAGAGAGAGAGAGAGAGATGTCTTATTAAAATAACTTTAGTTCACTTTTTTTTTTCTTGACGTCTATATTAAACTTTCGTCATTTTACATATCAGAGGAACCAATAATAATGAAACTTATTTCATAATTATGCTCTTTTTTTTTTTTTTGCAAGAGTTTATTATAAGGTATTATTCAAGATAACTAATTTGTTATTAATATACAAGTTTTGTACGGATTGACACTGAATGTTAACATAACCACTGTAATAAATATTTTCCGGATCCCAGTAAGATGAATCGATTGAGGTTGTATAAGGTATATCAACGTTCCTTTTAACAGCGATTACATCCCAGGCCTTTAACGTTTTTGTAGTTACTAATGATTTAAGTTTTTGAATATCCCGATCATCCAACTTGTCAAGTCGATGAGCAAACTCCATATAACGAAATTTTTGAAAAGATAATTTCCGTCCAACAGAATGAGGTCGAATATCAAACTGACTCATGTAATACCAATCATTATCATTAATAGAAAAGAAACGAATTCTACATCCAGCATAATAGTTCCTTGTTCGAAGCCCCTGAATCTTTAACGTCGTTAATCTCTGCTGATTTAATATAATCTTGACTTGATCTCGACGATCATTTTGATAGCATCCAAGTAATGCAACATGTTTCAAGTTTGGACAGTAAGAAGAGATAACCTGAAAGGCTCCCTCTGTAAATGAGGAACGCTTCATGATGAACTCTCTTAAAGGATGTCGATTTTCATGTCTGTCTGCTGCTATTGTTGTTGTTGTTGTTGTTGTTGTTATTGTGTCTTTTCTATCATTCCTACTACTACTAGATGATGCTTGGATAACAACATCCTTCATGTACAGTCGTTTTAGATTTTTACAATACTTCAAGATATCATCCATGTTATAGGCTAAATCGGGATCTAAAAAGCACTCTTGAATCTTGAGATTCACTAAATTCTTACATTGTCCAATAGCTCGAATGACTTGATGAGTCGTGACATCCACTGGAGGCTGACCGATGGTAAGTGAAGTGAGCAAGTTGGACATCAGACTACCTTGTTGGACAATAGGTGAGAAATGCAATGAACCGGGTAGTCTAAAATTCTCATAGGCCTCTATATGTTCTAAATAGAGAAAGGGTTGGATCTGTTTCGTTTCATCATGATGTTCTTTACAGAGACTGAATAAGCCATTTTGTTGATCGTGATCGACCCTGATTTTACTCCAGTGAATCGATTTCAATTCAGGACAACCATGCGTGAAGAGTTGGAAGACTTGTTTAGGAATCCCCTGACTGAGACAGCCATCGTCACCTAAACCACAATGCTTGAACTTTAAATGCTCGAGGTGAGGATACTTGAATGAAAAGTAAGGTAACCAAATCGGCCACTTTGAGGATCCTGACTTGGATGATAATGAAAAGTGACGAAGCATAGTAGGTTTCAATCGAATGATCGCATCCTGTTCCTTTCCTTCATGACCGTGGTTGAAGGATGAAAAATGATGAAACAAAGCAGGGTTAGGATCTGCTCGAGTGCATTTGATCTCTAGCGTGATTAAGGAAGGACATAATTGATGAATTGTTTCTAGATAGCCCAAGGTAATGATATGTTCATGATTTAAATTATATAACTTGAGTGTCCTAAGATGTGGACATAATGCCAAGATAGACCAAATGTCAGTTGTTTCATTCGTAGCGGTAGTAGCATCAATGATAAGATGTCTCAAGTGACGAGCACCATAATGGTGAAAGAACTGATGTATCATAGGAGGTAAACCTTGAGGAGGATGTACGAAAGAGATGGGAGCATCTGGATCAAAGTAAGTATGAAAGTCGATATCCCCCCATATATGCCAATCCATGTTCAATGTGTCAATATCAGGAAATAATTTAGGTAACTCCATTATTTCATGTTCAGAGAAATGAATCTTGGATAGACTTAATGAATGAACTAAATGACCTGGAAGAAGAGGACTTGTACGAAAGGCAGATATAATTTGTTTTTGTTTAGTAGAGTTATCAATTGAAATAGATCGATATATGGAAGCATGAAATCGATGATACCATGCTTTAGATACTAATATTACATTTAGTAAATCTTGTTTAGAAATGTTTGCAGATATAATTTCAATTATTTCAAATGGTAAAGAATTCAATACAAATGACATTCTGTATAATATGTTAATAGTATGAAAGGGGGGGAGAGAGAGAGAGATAAAGGATTAGGATAAAAAAAAAGGATAAAAAAAAAGAAAACTAAGCTAATATATGAATAATATCTTGTTGTGCCTTATTATAAATCTATATGTGGTACTCTTAACTGTTAACATTATTATATTTTTTTTCACCCCCTTTTTTTCTTAAATAGTGATTGGATAGAAAAGTGAAATGATATCATGAATGGTTTGTTATTGCTAATAATTTGATTTAATAAAGACCAATGATAAGTAATTGAATAATAATTAGATAAGACGATGAGGTTAAAAAAAAAAAGAGCCCTATGAAAGCAAAAAATTTTAATTTTAAAAAAGGTGGGGGGGAGGGAAGGAAATTTTTTTGATAATAGAAATTTTTCCAAAACCCCTCCCAAATGTGAATGTGTGTGTTATTGCTTTTAGGGCTAATAATACAAACAGCTGAAAAATTAATCTGATTGATAAATGTTGCATAAAATTAGAGTACATCTAAAACTAAGCAAGGTGACACATATTCATAATATCTACTTTTTTTTTCTTTTTTTTTTTTTTTTTTTTTTTTTTTTTTGAAGCAGTAAATGACAAGAACAAAGTATAGTAGTACCACCTATAAGTGAATACATATAAAGAGTTTAGATACGATAGAGAACTGCTGGTCTCTTATGAAATGTAGTGTCAGTTATTAATATCGACTATTCTTGTGATATACAGCACATAAATTCCTCGATATAACATCTAAACATGTTTATTATATCGAAAGTAAAGAGTAGATTAGCAGATACTTGTCCTGGACTGATTCAAACAAACAGTAGTTTAAATGTCATTTGCCAATTATATGTAACAGCTAATACGCTACTAAGTATAACTTTAAAAAAATAAACTTCTTGCCAATCAATACGACCATCTTAACGTGATAACTATTTGTCCTTTACTACAATGAAGTTTATATAAATAAGTATATATTTTATTATTTTACGTCATAAAACAAAGTAAATACTCATTTGCCATTATGAATTTGTGATATATAAGAAGACTTTTTTATCGAATAAAAAGACGATATTGCATAAGCTATTTGTTACCTTTTACGGATTTGATTACATAATCTAGATAAAGTAGTACCAGCAATGAAGTATTGAGTTGTTCATCTATTTTATGTAAATAACATGATTTTTTAATAGGAGACACGATTAAAAAAGAAGAAAAAAATATTTTATTTCTATTAGCAATTGTATTTTTTCTTTTCCCTTTTTTTTATATATATATTCATAAATATATCATTTCTTATAAACTTACCATTTTAATAATAATTTCAATTTACAAATATGAATCAGGATGAAGAATTATCCTACTTGAATGATTTTCACGAAATCCTACAATCTGAAGTTTATGTTGATCTAGAAAGATTGCGTATATTATCAAGACATGGTATACCAGACCAATTAAGAGGGGTAATATACATGCGCACGTTTTATACATTCGAATGAGTTGTGAATGTGTTAACTCTTATATATATGTATGTATGTATATGTATATGTATATGTATATATATACATTTAGGAAGTCTGGAAATATTTATTAGGCGTACAACAAGCGGATCGTTGTAAGATTTACAAATAAATTGTTGCCTTTATAAAAGAAAAATGAAAGAGTAATAATATCTTCCATTTCCATACTTCTTTCTCTATCTTTTGTCTACACATAATGTATATATGTATATACATATACATATTAATAATAGCAAAGGAATTAAGTTCGAGTAAAGCAAGAAATGAAGAGTATGAGCAAATGGATAAAATTGATAATGAAATAGCCAAAAGGATTCGAGGTGAAGTTTCGAGGTATCAGAGAAGGGTGCCTGAAATACAAGGCAATGAATATGTTCAGTCATTTGTCAATATCATCTTGGCTTATTTAAATGCAAATCGAGACGTAGAATATAGTCCTAATTTAGTACCTTTATGTGCTCCTTTTATTTTTATTTTGAAAACTGAATGTGACGCTTATTACTGTTTTGAACGACTTATGAATGCAATAGGTAATATAATGTGGACATCGTTTTTTTTTCTTTTTCTTCCTTGAAAGGAGAGAGATTGAGAGAAAGAGAAAATGGGTGTACTTAATATATTTTATTTAGAGGAATATAACTCCACTTTTAGTTTAAAAGAACAAGTTGCACAATTTATGACATTATTTCGTTGTGGATTACCTGAATTATGTAGTTATTTTGATGAAGAAGAAGTCGATATTAATGAATGGTCAACTTCTTGGCTACAAAATTTATTAGCAAAAGAAATGAAATTAGAGAATTTGGTTCGATTATGGGGTAAAAAAAAATGGTCAAGATAGATGAAAACATGGTATTAAAAAAAAGTATTCTATAGACACTTATTTTGCAATACCAGATCCTTTCGCTTTTCATCCATATATTTGCTTATGTAAACTAGATTAAACTTAAGAAAAAAAAATACAGATGTATATGTTTCTATTTAACATTTGAATACTTTAAAATTAGCTATTCTATTAAGCGCGAAGGAAGCACTTGAAGACTTGGAACAATCAGAAATTAGAACCATGTTACTTCGTTTACCCACTTTGAATATGGAAATGGTAAGTATATCATTAAAATAAAATAAAATAGAGGACAAGGGTTATTCATGATGACTTTTAGATTATTGCAGATGCTTATAATTTTAGACATGAAACAATTGAGAGACAAATGAACGAAGATGGTGAATTATAATAGATTTATACATAATCTTTTTTAATAAATAATAATTATAAAATTAAGCACTGCTTGCTGTTGGTTGAGGGCTGCTACTTTCGCTATGATTTCCTCTTGTCTAATATACATGTTATTTGTGCTGAAAATTTATCAAATACAAATATTATTTATTTACCTGTGTTCCAACAATGGAGCCTACACAAATAAATATGAATATATAAAGGGGGGAGAATTAAATACACAAGCCATATAATATACTTGACTGTCGTACTTACCAATAATAATAGCCAAGATAACGATAATTGTTACAGCAATAATAATCTTCCATTTCAAATCTTTCCACCACATTCTCTTACGTACTTGATTAGCTCCACGGCGAAAATGGCCTGCAGTTGCTTGTAAATCCTCTAATGTTGACCATTAATACTATATCAATCATAATTTCATTTTTTTTTTTTTTTTTTTTTTACCTGTTTTGCCCCGAAGATCATCTAATCTCTCACCTCTTTGCATGACTTTGTCAATATTTTCTTGCATGATACCAACAACTTCATCTACTTGTTGTTGCACTCGAGTTGTTTTGCTATTATTTCCATCTCCATCCCCACGAGAATTATTAGGAATGTATGGATCGTAGGGTTCTGACCTAAATAAGATATAAGATTTTGATACATAAGAAGCTTACTCTATATAAATAATTTTATTGTATCTTTTTTTTTTTTTTACATTTTATTATATTTTTCTATATTATGAAAGAAAAAGAGAAAGAGAGAGAAAGAGAAAGAGAATTGGGAATTTTTCTGTACAATGAAACACTACTATGTATTTTATTTATTTTCTGACCAATGAGCTCAAGATATCATTTTAACTCTAGTCAGATCCAAAATCAATTATTATAAATAAAAGTAAAAGGAACAGTTCAGCAAATTAAAAATAGCGATGATAAAATATTAAAGGAAAGCAAACCTAGTATGGAAGCTGACCTAAATGAATGAATTCAACATGAGCATGAAAAAAAAAAGGGGGGATAGTTTTAGTATAGTTTTTGATGAAGGGAATTGTAAGAAGACTTGTTTAATAGTAAAGTAAACTAGACTAAACACACACACACACACACATTTGTTTAAAGGAGAGTCTTTTGAAAAGGAATCTTCAAGCAACAGACATAGATATGACTTGTAATTTATAGAAAAGTAACACACTACATGAACGTGAAGGAGAAGGTATATCTTCAGAAGATAAGGATAAGAAGAAGATATACATTTATACATATTTTATTATTAGAAAACTGATCAAAATGCTAGAGGCTGTATTGGCTCTACTCTGTATAGTAATATATCATTCAAGAGTCCAGCTTAATAATAAAAAGTGCGATAAAGGAACAATGGCTTTATCGTAAGTTTTATCTCTGAGCTGGAACCGTTTAAAATCTATAATCAAGTTTTTATGTATGCATAAAGCTTTTACATTTTATTAATGGAACTTGTGAAAATTAAAGACTTGAACAGACAAAACAAATGACAGTTTTATGCACAATAGAAAAAAAAAAAAAAAAAAAAAAAAAAAAAAAAAAACTTATATTAGGACTCCGATAGCTTTTAGTGGTAAAATACTTCTTTATAAGTAAATATCATATAGAGAAGATGTATACAAAATTCAAGTTTAACTCCTTTTATTATAGCCATAAAAGACTATTCTTGATATGATATATATTAATAACTTGTCATCGCTCGAGAGCTAACTTGTAACAAATTAGCTCTTTTTTTGTTTTGTTTAGATATCACGGGTTCAAGTATATAATCTTAAAAAAAAAAATACTGCAGCAAGACCTTTAATATGTCCAAGGATGATTGAATAACTAGGAATAAATACAAAGAAGAGTGGGGTGGGTATTAAAGTTTCTAAGAGATCAAATAACAAATTTCAAATTTAATCCTTCAAAACTACATCATGTTGATCGTCTATTCACTGCTGGTTATATGAACCACCGTATTATAATAAATGATGTTTACTTTAACTGAGAAGGCTTATAGTAAAGCCTTTAATTTATGAAGAAACAATTAGGGGAGCTCTGTCATTAATAACTGAAAAATATGAAAATATTTCATGTAGTATAATGAAATATATATGTATATGGTATTAACTTTCACTATAATACACATATTTAGCTTCTGACCTAGTAATAATCAGATATTTCTTCCTATGATTGTAATCAGTTGAAATTGAAGTGAATAATGATAAACAAGACAGTCCATCACAGAAAGATTTAACAATACGAAATCAATAGAGTTCATTTAGTATATATCTACTATTATAAATTATTTTTTTTTTATTTATTTATTTACTATTAATGGAAAAGAGAACTCTTACTATAATTTAAAATTCAAGAGGATCCACTTTACCAGGAAGAGAACCGCAGCCTACACCGGGGCCAAGTTTTTTAGGCCCACGATTTGCAAGAGAAGATAAACCGATACTATTACTATTTGACTTGATAACATCTGATTGCTGTTCACTATTATTCCTTTTATTAGTTTTTGTTGTTGAAGATGGCGGCTCAGTTCGACGTGTAACAACGCCTCCTTCTGGAGGTAAATGGAAGGTTTCTATTGCAAATCGTTTACGACGAAGTTTAAATCCTAAATCGTTGCTACCTCCACCTGATAATACAGATAACTTGGTACTAGGAGGTAAAAGTGAATTTAAAACAGGGAGTTTATGAACATGGAAAAAGCCATGGTAATTTTGAATATAAGCAGCCTCGTTATGTACGGGGTCACCTAAAAATAAAAGTATATAAACAACGAATACATAATGTGCGTATAAGTCTGTAAAATTACCTGCGAATGATTCTATTTCAATAACTGCATCCACCATATGCTCAATACGTTTTATAACATAAGGTACTTCATCATAAAGATAAGCAGGAACTGTAATAATAGCTGTACCAAATGAAAATCGAAGTAATCCACGAAGTGCATGACAAAATTTATACAAGTCCTATATATGTATTTATATGGTATATAAGTCATATTATTATGTAATTAAATCAAGGATCATTATTTACATGAGGTGACTTGGATCTCCAACTTGGTGATGCTAAAGAATGAATAGCTACTCTTAACGCATGACGTGGTGTACCAGGAGCAACGGGTATAGCAGAACTGAAATTGCCTTTCAAAACGACTTTTTGGATTTCATTTAATAAGCACTTGTAATCATCTTGATTATCTGTCTCCTCTATATCATTTCCCCAATGCATAATATGTGTATTTGCCTCATCTAAAACTGTGGATGGTATTCTCTTTGTCAAGTCAAATTGGCTACAATAAGGCTTTGGTTCATCGCCTGTCTTTTCTGCTTGATCTGAAGATTTGGTAACAGGCGAAGAAGTAGGTGAAGCTGAAATGATAACATAAATGAAATGAATACACACATACATATACTATTACAAGTATATATATATATATATATATATATGTTACCTGGCTTGGCTTTTACAGTTGTTTCAAAGCGCTTTAAATGTGAGTAACGCCATGCAATCTTTAAACGATCACTTTCAGCATTGTTACGTGCATTTTTTGTTGTTTCACTTTCTTCATCATCGTCTCGATCTGAAGTTGATAACCACATGAGTGTTTTTAACATTTCTTCTGGATCCTCATCACGAGAAGCAATTGCACAATGATGACCTGAACTAATACCTTGAGCAAGAAAATATTTGAGTAAAAGCTGTGCATAAGTCGTAGCACGATCTTCTTTGATGAGCATAATTGTGCCTACTGGTTGTCCACCTCCTAATATATCATCCAACGAAGGGACACCAGTAGAAATAAGTAGCTGACCATTATAGGCACTAAGTCTTGTACCAGGCGGTAACTTGGGTTGCTGATCTGCGTTACGCTTTTTGAAACTCATGTATTATTAATCAAATAAAGAATATTTAAAGAAAAAAAAAAAGTATTAAAAAAAACCCATTGGGAGTAGTCTCCCGCCGTGACTCATCTTGTGGTTGAAATATTAAATCACCGCCAATGTAATCCTTTTTTCTTTTGACACAATAGCTTATTTTATAAAATGATATAAAATTAATAATTTAGCTTTTTTTTTTTTTTAATCCTATAATGAGTAGTTTTCTATAATTTAAAAAGAAGATGCGCTATACAATGGTTATTTTACACACACAGGGAAAGGAAGTTTATCTAACCTTCCGATTCTTCATTTAGTATTTTTTATAAGACATCCTATATTGAATAGAATAGACAGATCATCGTTCGTTTCTATTGAATGAATAGTCTTGTGAACATTACATCTTTTTTTTTTTTTTCTTTTTTTGCCTAAAGCTGAAAATGCAGTAAAGACGCTACATACTGTTTTATTATATACAGAATAATAAAACTTTAAATAAAAAAAATTCATTTATTATTTATATATTTATAAATATAAGGAGAAAATATACAATAAAGAAAAGGTAGTGGAAATATACACACACTTACCCATTTAACATAATTTCAATAATAATAATAAAAAAAAAGAGAAAGTGACTACGCATAAAATATGTAGTGTAAAGACTGGCTTAATTACATCGAATGAAATAATCAACATCAAACTTATGATCTTGGAATGGAATACAAGTAAAGTCTTCTTTAGTATCAACATCTTCTTCATTAATTTCATAAGGAAATTCTAATAAACAAATACATAAGTACACGTATGTATGCAACTATACATTGTAGAACTAACCCAGATTATCATCATCAATACAAGCAATAGCAATTTGATCAAGCACATCTTGATCTTCATATAATGTAAATTCTAAATCTTGATTGAATAAACGCATTAATTCATAAGCAGATAAATCAACATAAGGATCGAAATTGGATACATCAATAATGCAACTTTCATCAGGTAAATAAGGGAGTTCTATAAATTATACAATAAGTTAACTGTATATAATTTGTCCAAAAAATTTATATACATATATATTACCTTCTTCTCTAGGAGGTCCATATTCGACTCTAGACATATCTTCTTCTTCTTCTTTTTTTATTTCTTGTACTGTAGTTTCGATAGGCTTAATAAAATTAGTAGGCTCTTCTGTTTCAAATGCTTGTTCAATATCTTCTTCATAATCATCTTGTAACATGTGTTCCTTAGCAAAGTAGCTTGATTCATTAATTTTACTATCAAATGGACTAAAATCCATGTCAAGGCCAGCTGGAGCCCATTCCAATTCTATTTTTTTTTTTAAAAAAAAAAAAGGAGGGAGTTATTTATTAAAAAGGGAAAAAAAAAGATTGATTAAAATTACTACCTTCTTCATGATGACGATATGTACGCTCAATGCCTTGTATGTTTTGTTTTTTAGCTTCTGGCTGATGAATGGAATCTATAATTTCCTCAATAGTTAATAAATGAAAGGAATGAGTTTATATAAATATTTATATGGCTCTATATTTACTAATAGTTGATTTAGATCTTTTAAGTGGAATGTTCGAATTCTCTTTTAACTCTAATATACATGTATAAGTAATTTTTTTTTATATATATAAAATAAAACAAATGCGTAAAATTACTTGATTTTTCATTAATATTCTTATTGAGAGAGACTTTTTGGTTACTTGATTTTATTTTCAAAGCAAGATTCTCATTAGTTCTATTTGAATGTTCAGCTAAATTCTTTGCACTAGAAGGACCAAATTCTTTGTTTCCTTTGTTTAAAATAGCTGAATTCTGAACATCATTTTCATTCCTTTTTGACCTTCTTGTCCTATTATGTTGCATAAACATTTTTGACTTTGAAGAAGAAAAGAAATTATTTTTATTGGCAAAATTTTCTGTTTTTTAAAAAAAAAAAAAAAATAAAAAAAAAAGAGTGTGCGCGTATGGATCTCCGCGAAAAAAAAAAATGAGACACGTAAAAAGCACACACACACACAGGCAATGAGTCGCTAATATTTTTCAACCAATCTTATTTTAAGAAAGAAAAATACGATTAAAGTCTGAGTTTATTATTATTTTTTTTTTTAATTTTTTGGCATTGAGCAGGTAGCGATGAAATAAATGCGCAATATTGCCCGAGCCAGTTATAGAGGGGAAATAAGAATAAAAACCTTCCTAAAGGACAAGAAGGGAAAAAAAAAAGAGCAGTATTTTGGAATTAAGAGAAAATATAAGGAAGAAAAAGCGAAAAAGTGAGAAGAAACAATTTAAATACAAATAAGACCAAAGTGACCAGGAAGACACACACTATTACTTGGATAACCAATTCAACAGCTGGAGACCAGGATCGACAGGATCAAGAGGAAATTCATCATGAAAGTAGTAATCAAGTTCATGTAGAATCGTATAAATAATAGGCCATAAAGTATACCAGCTCGTGCAATCAGAAGGACGACGAGGTTTATGTAGTGGAAGCAAGTTGAGGAGGAACGAGATAGGACCTTTGACTAAAGTAGGCATGTAGAGACGATGATGTACATCCTTTAGGTTTACCACCCGGTAGCCAGCCAAGTCGCCATCGAAGCACTCGGCTACGTTCTAAGGTAGTCATTGGTAAGTAAAGGATGGGATCCAATTCAAGAGTGGGGCGTGAGGAAGACAATAGGAGGGAGTTAGTATCTTGACGAAGGTTTTGAAATTGATCATCTAGGAACTTAGCACGAAGAGTGTAGAATTGTTTTCGGTCGAGCGTTGAGATATTTGGTGAGCATAGGTGTGTCCACAATGTAGTTTGAGCCAATTTATACCAGCGGGAATGACTATTTGAGAGCTGAACATGAGGCAAAAGATGGGCAAGAAGAGTATCTGCTGGTAATTGGGAAGTTCGGAAGAGGTATTGCGCTTGGAGGACTACAATACGGGTCTTCATGGATGGTAGGTTGACAAGATGAAGCATGACTTTCGCCGAGGACCGTGAGTGACCACCAAAGATACGTCGAATGCATGTATTTTGAAAGGTATCCAGTGCTTTGGTAAGTTTAGCAGAGAGAGGACTAATTGCAAGAACATAATCTAATTGAGAATGAACCATTTGACTATAAAAACAACATGCAAGCAGAGGTGGAACACCTTTGGAGTTGAGACCAATAGCAGCAAGTTGATTCATAGTGAGAGAGGCTTTATTGATATTATGTTGGATTAGAGCAGCATAATCAATTAGACCACCAGGTTTTATAGGAACACCAAGATAAGAAAAGGAGGATTCTTTGGGAATAGCAGTACCATATAATTGATATGGTTGAGGATCATTGGTAGGAGCGACTATGACACATTTTAATGGGTTCCACCGATAACCTAAGGAGTAACTATGAACTTCGCATTGGTGCAGTAAAGAAGCGAGTTTCTCAGGGGAGGCAATAAGGACGACATCATCAGCATAGAGTAGACAATTAAGGGACGGTACAAATGTAGTAACTACATCAGTAGTGGAGGAGTCATTGAGTTGGTGTGGTAACCTCAAACGAGCTGGAAGTTGGTTGATATAGATTGAATATAGAAACGGAGAGAGAATATACCCTTGTAAGACGCCAGTGACAGGAGAGAAACGATACGATATATGATTATCAAGAAGAACTTCAATTTGAACCTGATCAAAGAGATTTTTGAGAACTCCAAGCAAAGCCGGGCAGAGATGAGGTTGAAGCACTTCCCAAATATAGGAGCGATCAACAGTATCATACGCTGATTTGATATCTAAAAAAGCAAGGGTAGGAAAACAATTGTGGTTACGCCGAAGAATAGAGCAGATCTCGACAAGACAATGAACTTGATCAAGAGAGCTACGAGATTCACGAAATCCGCCTTGAGCAATATCAAGAGTAGGGGATTGATCTAATAGGCTAGGGTACAAGCATTTTTCAAATAATTTACGAAAAATAGATGTCAAGCTAATTGGTCTAAAGTTCCCTGGGTCACTTTTGGAGCCTTTCTTGTGTATCGGTACTACCTGCGCAACTCGCCATGATAGTGGAGTATAGGAACATTGCCAGCAGGTACGAAAGAGATGTAGAAGCTGGGGAACCAAAGTGTGAATTAGGGGTAATAACATTTCCGTCTGTATGTGATCAACACCAGGAGCTTTTTTACGAGGCAGTTGTTTTAGAGTCTCATGAATTTGTTCAGATGAGAAGGGACAAAGATTTAAATTAAAAGGAAGACCACTAGTTATAGGAGAAGATGAACCCAAATTAGATGGTGAAGTGAGGAATTGCCCAGCATAGATACTTTGAAGATGGTCGGCCATAACGTCAGCCGGAGCACGGTTAATATCTGGATCTGGTGAGAAGGAAGGCTTCACCGATCTGTTTTTACGAATTCTGCTGAATCGTGCAATTGCTTTAGTATACTCGCCTTTAGACATCTTGTCGCAAAATTGTCTCCAAGTTTCTCTACGCCGTTGTTGGATTAGTCGTTTTAGTAAAGCAGTAGTTTCTTGATGTTTTAACCAATAAGTTAAGCAATTCAGTCCATTTGCTTTTCGCCATTTCTTGTAATAGAATTGTTTAAGCTCGAAAGCAGATGTCATTTCAGCGGTCCAGAACTGTTTTAAAAACACATCAGCAGTAGTATCCTTTTTTCCACAGATTTGATCCAACGATTCGTAGATAGTTTGGCATAGTGAAGTTGAGAATTGGTCGATGTAAGCACGAGCAGCATCTGTATCTTGAAACGTTGGGGCTGAAGAGTCTACTATACGCATCTTTTTAGCACTATCATTTGCATACTTAGCTTGGTACCTTTCATAGTGATCTAATTTTTTCAGCTTTTTCAATCGCCAGTGTGGACGATGGACCTCAACGGAAAGGTTGTGAGAAGAATGGACTTGGGGTAGATGAAAAGAGAAAGTCATAAAAGTGTGGTTAGAATTTAATGATAGATCGTCGCGGATATTAAGGTCAAGTGTCTCCAAGTCAGTATTTCTAAGGAAATAAGCAATGATACTTGTACCATGATAAGTATAACTAGTCGGTTGTCCAAAAACCAGCCGTTGGTTTCATAGAATCAAACCGTGTGCTTCCATCCAATTGTAAAAGAGACGTCCGCTTGTGTTCCACCGACTGTCACCAACCAACTCGCCAATACGAGAATTGAGGTCACCACATATAATAGTCTTGGTTGTGGAAGGGTAATCCATAGGTAATAGTGAGAGAATTTCTGATATTTGATCTGATTTTAAAGAGGGGGGAAGATATAAGCAATGAATTAATAATTTAGAATTTATAATGATTGATAATGTAAACTTGGCCAATAATGGATTGACATGGTTGATATGATGAATTGGAAGTTTGAAGTCCGGATTAACAAGAAGAGCTAAACCAAGTTGACCACGATGTTGGTTATAGGAGTTCACCGGAATACCATAGGTATGGAATTATTTCCAAGAGAGAATTGGATATTTGTTGGGAGATAGTAGCCATGTTTCAGTAATAAAGAGTAGAGATAAATTTTTAGCAGTATTTAACACAGGATAAATAGATTATTTAGGGAGACCAGTAGCATAAAAAAGTGATATTCTCAACGGAAGACCACTCATTGGTTCAAATCAGTATAGGTGGAGTTCACATCATCTTCATCCATCGTACTCGTGTAAAATTTCTGGTGTACTAGATGTTAATAAAAAAAAACCCTGCTGCTAATAATCAAAGCCTTTCTGTTAAAGCAAAGTCTGTCTCTGCTAATCAAAGTTCGTCTACTACTAATCAAAAATCACCTACTGCGAATACAAACACAAGTTTTGCTAAATCAAGCAAAGATATAATTACAGTCAAATCAACTATAAAAAATGTTTGGAATCCGAGATATTTGCAGTCACTATTTGACTTGGTCCATACTATTAACAAAATAGTTACCCATACCTATAACTTTGCCAAATATATATTTTTGAGAGAATTGACTGCAAACAGCAATTTCAATTTGGCCGATTACGTATGCAAAAACTTCTTCGTGAAGGTATTTTTAGCTCTTGTTGCCCGCAATACTGGCAGAGTAAAACTAAAAGACACGACAGTCAAGTATCGCGAAGTGATTGCGCGGCATCAAGCCTCGTATATTGAGCATAGTAAATATACTCCTGTCAAATTACCAAATGCACAGCAATCCGCGCTGTACAAATGCACAAAGATTCATACCGCATACTATAACAATGTTAAGGCTCATTTTGACCAGAAATTTCGTACGCTACTAAACAAGCTCTTCAAAAAGGAAGAAAAATCGCGTAGTCTTCGAGAGAGAATGGAAAAGAAAGGATTATCCAAAAAAGCCGTACAAGAAGCCTGCAAAAAAGAAGTGTATGGTCCTTGTAACCGAATGAAGCTTTTGGTAACAAAAAAAAAAGAACTACCTGGTTCAGATCTATTAGATGAAAAATCAAGGTCATACATACAAGCTTTGCTGTCAACATATCCGTCTAGTTATACGTTTGAGAAAAACTCCATATACTATGATGTCGTAGCTCACCCCAATAACCACTTCAAAGACTACTACAAGCTTGCCACTATATTAGAAGCTGAGAATATGAAAACATTTATATGTTTCCCAATAAGAACAGCCTTTATTCCATGTTACATTACTTTGGACACCAAAATTGTGCACTTACACATATTGAAAAAGAAAGGCGCGTATACGAGCCAAAGCAAGTTTGAAACTTGGGGCGATGTAGTTGACTTAGGCAAGAAAACATTTAAAAGGCAAGGGCCCGATAGACTTTTACGATTTCAAGGCACAATTGAAACGGATGGTGTTGGCGTTTCTGTCGTCAAACAAGCTTTCGATGTAGGTAGAAAACAACTCAAGGTTAAGGCCAAAGATAAGGGAGTTGACAATAAGGTGATAGATTACATTGAAAGTATCAAACCAGCAGAACTGAGGCAGAACGAAGGAAAATATGTTTTAATGGATCCTGATAGGCGTGATTTGCTGTTTTGTACAAAAGAAACAAGCACGAGAGAGAAACCAGAGGTTCTTATATACACAAAAATGACAAGGAGCAAGCTAGTGAGACATAGTAGAATCTTAAGAAAGATGAATATGCCTGAAATGGTCAAGGAAGCCGAACGCGTCTTATCCAAGACTAAATCTTCCTCAGTTGACTTTGAAAAGTTCAAAGATTATATTAAAGCAAGAGCTTCTGTAACATCAGTATTAGAGGAGTATTATGGGAATGAAACTTTGAGGACTACAAAAACATATTTTCCCGATTCTGTAACCAACTTTTCCATACAAGGCAAAGGACTTTTATATTTTGGGGAGTTATTTGTAACGAAAATTCGAGGATGCTATCCTCAAAACAAAAACCCCATTGACAGTTCAACTAGTCTACACTTATATGCGACTTATTTGAAAATAATGATAAACCAAAAGCATGTTGCGCGACGTTTGGATTCAAGAGAAAAGGATTCATTGATTAAAATTATCCAAAGAATGCTCAACAGCAATGATGAAAGCAACGACTTGAAACAGCTTGTTAGCAAACAGCTAGAAAAGTTAAAACTTTTACCGTTCAGAAAGATGAAATTTTCCAGCAAGTTGTATTACGACAAAAACGATTGCAATCTGGTCAAACAAATATGAGCCAAATTTGGATCAGATAGTATTCTTGTAATTGCAAACTGGTCAGCTCCAAACATAAAGTACCAAGAACCGACCAGAAACAAGGGGTTGATTAGCATGTTAAAGAAGAATGACTTTGAAGTTTATCTTATTGATGAATTTCGAACATCTTCCTTTTGCCCTGATTGCGAAAGTTCTTTAGAAAATTTCAAGGAAATCAAGAACCCACGTCCATACATGCGCAAAGAAACGCCAACAGTCATCTGTCATATGCTGCTTAGGTATGTAATATTAGGGTTAGAAAGCTTTGATAATGATATAACAAATTTATTTGAAAGAGCACAAAAACGGAACTGCTGTTAAAAGGAAACTCTGGAATAGAGATTTGGCTGCAACCCTTAATTTCAAGAAAATCTTGATAAGCCTTCGGAATGGCAAGCGAAATTCATTATTCGCTCGTCAAAAACAACAACAATAACAAAATATTCCGCGAAAGTTATTGCTTTTGTAAATTATGCAGGTAAAAGAACTAAAAAAGAAAAAAAAAAAGAAATGAAAAGATCTGCAGAATAAATATAAAAATCTTACTTAATAAGTTGGTAATGTAATGCTGATATAAAAAAAAAGGTATTTTAGATGTAGATAATGTGGGAAAGAAGAAATGGCTATTAAAGAAATAATAGCTTCTTCTTATCCTGTTTAAATGCATATAACATATCTTTTAGTAAAAGCTTATTTACTTGGAAAATGCAAGATCATGCATTGATTTGCGAAATTAACTCCCGCCAAAAGAAGGGGATATTTTTGACGTCATACTTTTTCCTCCTTCCCCATTTTTTTTTAAATAATATCATGTAAGCAAGAAAAAAAAAATAAGATAAAAAAAATGATGGAGGCATATCTGCAGAGTAGAATTTAAAGCCCCCTGTAATTCTTACTAGTAAAAAAAAAAAGGGCAAAAAAAAAAAAAAAAAAAAAAAAAAAAAAAAAAAGAGCCAAATAAGAGCCAAAAAAAGAGCCAAAAAAAAAAAAAAAAAAAAAAAAAAAAAAAAAGCTAAAAAAAAGAATGAAAAAAAAAACTTTAATAATTATTATTATTTTTTTTTTTTTTTTTTTGTTTGTTCTTTTTTTTTTTAATACTTACAAGTTACAATCATCATGGCCGATCAACATTCAGCAGTTCTTGAAGAAATTAAGAAAAACATTCAAGATCTTCAACAAAAGTTTGAAACACTTGAAAAGAAGGTAGCAGGTGGTGTACCTAAACAAGAACTTCGTATGGTTATTATGGGACCTCCTGGTGCTGGTAAAGGAACCCAAGCACCTGCTATTAAAGAAAAGTATTGTGCTTGTCATTTAGCAACAGGTGATATGCTTAGAGCTGCTGTTAATGCCAAGACACCTCTTGGTTTGGCTGCTAAAAAGGTAATGGATGAAGGTGGACTTGTTTCTGATGAAATTGTTGTTGGTATGATTAAAGAGAATTTAGATACAAATCCTGAGTGTAAGAATGGGTATGTATTATCATCTATAGAATCTGGAAGAATGTGTGTGTATATAGATAAAGACGTCTTATGATTTACTTGTAGTTTTATTCTTGATGGTTTCCCTCGCACTGTTGTTCAAGCAGAAAAATTAGATGAAATGCTTGAAGAAAAGAAGAAGCCTTTGAATTCAGTTGTTCAATTAGTGATTGACGATAGTCTTCTTGTATCACGTATCACTGGTCGTTTAATTCATCCTGCTTCTGGCAGAAGTTATCACAAGGAATTTAAGTAAGATTTATTATGTAATCACCATCTATCACATACTTATTCATCTTTTTTATTTTATTTTATTCGTCTTAATCAAGTCCACCTAAGGTCCCTATGAAGGATGATATCACTGGTGAGCCTCTTGTTCAACGTTCTGATGATAATGTCGAATCTTTAAAGAAACGATTAGACGCTTTCCATAAACAAACAGTTCCAGTTGCTGAATATTATAAGAAAAAGAATCTTTGGTATGGTGTTGATGCTTCTCAATCCCCCAAGGCTGTTTGGGCTTCTCTTAATGCTATTTTTGACAAGACTCTTTAGATCCTATTTTTTTTTATATATATATATTATTCTTTCGTTTATATCTATTCATACAGGTAACAAGTTCCTTTTATATATTGTGAAATAAAATAAAATACAAAAAGCAAATTTAATTGGATGAAACTTCATATGCCTTATAAAAAAAGTCACAAGTAAAAGAAAATTGATGCAACAATTACTATTATATGATGATGAAGTATATCATTTATTATTATTTATTGACTGCGCTACAGTCCTTTTCTCTTTTCTTTAAATTTCTACTTTAATAGTTATTTTTATCATTTATTTATTTTTTATGAGAGATATCTTGGAAGCAAATAATAGAGTGTCTGATTCCAATGGAAATGAAGCTGTTAGTAATGAACTTGAACAACTTGGAGTTGATTTAGTTGATCAAAATGAATTAGAAAAGTCACTTATGGAAAAGGTAAAAAAAAGAAAAAGAAAAAGAAAAAAGAAAAAAAAAGTAGAGGTTTTCTCTCTTTCTTTTTCTTTTGTCCATACATGTATGTATATATATAATAAATTTAATAAAGGCAGACGAAGCCTTAACTAAGAGAGAGGATGAATTGGATCAAAAAAGACTTGATAAGGCCATTAAAGAAATCGAGTAAAGAAATAAAAAAAAAATAAAATAATAACAATAATAATAATAAATGCATTTTTTTTTTTTTATAGATCCGCACAAAAGCAACTCGAAAGTTTAAAAATAAAATTAAAAGAGGCTACAGATAAAGAAAAAATATTACCGAAAATTAATCAACAAGCAAAGAGATTAAGGGAAGCTATTCAAGATAAAAAGGATATAATGAATAGGTTAAAAGAACGTGAGAGAGAGCGTACGATGACTGCAGATCAAAAGCAATTAAATGAATCACAAAGAGATTTTTTAATTAGAACTGGTAAAATGACTCCCTTTGATAATGTATCTAAAATACAAGAGGCAAGTCATTCTCAGCCTGTGATTTATCCTGGTACAAGTCATAGTGATCCTATCATGTCACATCAGAATTTAATTACACCAAGTCATAAAGCATTAGAACAGCAGCAGCAGCAGCAGCAGCAGCAGTCAACTACAGATGTCGGATCAAAACGAAAGCTAAGAACAGTAAATGACGATGATGACTATCAACATACAGAAGAGGATGAAAGTGAAGAGGAATTGACAGATGAAGATAGACTTGATTTCTCAAAGAAAAAAGACTTGATAAGAAAACAATTAGATGAAATAGATAATGACGATGGATCAGAAACAAATTATAGAAAACGATTAAACGATTGGGTACAAAATAGACACATTCTGCGATATAGAACAACGCATGTAATTTATCAATAGCCTTATTTATTTATTTATTTTTTGTTCTTTAAATTGTTCTATTAACCCATTACATATACGCATATTAGGATGATACTGCACAGTTATCTATAGAAGAGACGATAGAAAGATTGAAAATAGAAAATTTAAATGGAAATGAAGAAGAACAGTTTAAATCGCATCCTAATTTTCAAGATATCCAATTTGATCATGGTTTAAGAGTTCCTGGTGAACTATGGGATTGCTTATTTGATTATCAAAAAACATGTAAAGCCAATATACTTATGCAATGTATATTGATTGTTACTTTTGATTTTACTAAATGCGTATATCTATATCAAAGGTGTTCAATGGCTATGGGAACTTCATCGTCAACAAGTGGGTGGAATTTTAGGTGATGAGATGGGTCTTGGCAAAACAATTCAAATTGTGTCATTTTTATCAAGTTTATATTATTCTAAAATTCTTGGTCCCGGTCAGCCTTCAATCGTTATTTGTCCTGCTACAGTAATGAAGCAATGGGTTCAAGAGTTCCATAAATGGTGGCCTCCTCTTAGAGTGGCTATATTACATTCAAGTGGTGCGGGTGTAAGAATATCTACTTTAGCAGATGAAAATGATTCAATTCAAAGTGATTTTGATAACATGGATTATGACGATGATAATGGCAGTTATTCAGACAAGTATAAATATTCATCAAATGATGAATATGAGCCTGATCGTAGAGGGAAGAAGGCGAAAGGAGTAAAAAAGAAGAAAGGCAAATCTATAGCTAAAAGTATTTTATTTACAAAGGTGGGTAAAAACGCGGCTGCTCTAGTTGATCGATATATTAGATATGGTGGTATTTTGATTACTACCTACAGTGGTGTACAAAGCTATCGTGAAATCTTATTAAGACATCAATGGGGTTATGTTATTTTAGATGAAGGTCATAAAATTAGAAATCCTGATTCAAGCACTACATTAGCTATTAAGCAATTTAAGGTATTCAAAGTATTTTATACATGTATCCTGTTCATTTATTTATTTATTTTCATTTAACATGTGTTAGACTCCTCATAGAATAATCTTATCAGGTACACCTATTCAAAATAATTTAAAAGAATTATGGTCTTTATTTGATTTCATATTTCCCGGTAGGCTTGGTGTAAGTAGATAATTTATATCAAGTTATAACCTTTTTCTTTTCTTTTTCTTATATATACATATATGTATAACCGTATGAAATAGACCTTGCCTGTCTTTCAAACACAATTCTCGGTGCCAATTAGTATTGGTGGATATGCAAATGCAACAAATATGCAAGTACAAACTGCTTACAAATGTGCTTGTATGCTCAGAGACTTGATCAATCCATATCTTCTTCGTCGTATGAAAGTGGATGTAGCCGCTGATCTACCAAAAAAGAATGAACAAGTTCTATTTTGTAAACTCACAAAGCCTCAACGACAAGCTTATTTAAAATTTATTCATTCAAAGGACATGGATGCTATTCTTGAACGTCGACGTCAGGTACTTTATGGCATTGATATAGTACGAAAAATTTGTAATCACCCTGATCTAGTAGACTTGACTTTACCTAATACAGATCCTGACTACGGAAACCCTGAAAGAAGTGGTAAGATGATAGTTGTACAAGCCTTATTAAAAATGTGGAAACAGCAACACCATCGAGTTTTACTTTTTTGCCAAACAAGGCAAATGCTAGATATCTTGGAGATAATGATAAGACATACAAAATACAATTACTCAAGAATGGATGGAACAACGCCTATTGAACAACGAATTGCACTAGTAAATGAATTTAATCGGACACCACATATCTTTATCTTTTTGTTAACAACAAAAGTGGGTGGCCTAGGGTTAAATTTGACTGGAGCTGATAGAGTCATTTTGTTTGATCCAGATTGGGTAACTCACTTATTATTTAAATGCAAATATTACTTGAAAGAAAATAACAATAATATATATTTGTGTGTGTGTGTGTTTATGTTTGTTTGTAGAATCCTTCCACTGATGTTCAAGCACGAGAGAGAGCTTGGCGTTTAGGACAGAAAAAGGATGTTACTATTTATCGACTAATGACAGGTGGAACAATTGAAGAGAAAATTTATCATCGACAAATATATAAACAATTCTTAACAAATAAAATTTTAAAAGATCCAAAACAGAGAAGATTTTTTGATGCGAGTAACTTGCAATCATTATTTACTCTTGCTTCAGAGGACGCAATAGGGACCGAAACAGGTGAATTATTCAAAGGAACAGAAGTGAATTTCCAAAGAGAAAGCTCCACAGCTAGGAAGAGGAAAAAGAAGAGAAAGAATGATGATGATGAAAGGCAATTAAATGCAATCGAGGGTGTGAGTGGTTTAGTACAATATATTGGAGAAAGACTAGAAGAAGAAGAAGAAGAAAGAAAGAAAGAAGATGAAGGAAAAGATGCTAATGAAGATAATATACTCAAAAGTTTATTTGAAATGACGGGTATTCAAAGTGCTTTAAAACATGATCAAATTATGGAATCTGCTTCTCAAGATACTGTTTTCATTGAAAGAGAAGGTTTTTTTTAAAAAAAAAAAAAAAAGAAAAGAAAACACATTCATTAAAATAAAAAAGCAAAAAATGACTGATTTTTTTTTGTTTCTTTAGCTACACTTATTGCGGAACGAGCTGCTGCTGCTTTAAAAGAATCGAGACGTCAACGCCGCCAAATGGATATAGGCACTCCTACTTGGACTGGACGCTCAGGTGTAGCAGGTGCACCAAGACAGTTCCTTGAGAATTGCACCGGTACACCTCCTCCAAGGTTTGGACCAAAAAACACATTCTCTACAAACAGTGCCCCTGTCTCTCCAAATCAGTTTGGCTCAGGTGCCATTTCCGGATTCAAAAGTACACAGATGAGAGAAGGAGGACCAAAAATATCTTCAAGTGCTTTACTTGCTCGTATGAGAGAAAGAAAAGCACTAGAGACAGGAGCTCCACTTCATAATTCACAAGGTAATTTTGTTTATTATTGTTATTATCATTACAAGCATTATTTTATGAATTAGTTACCTCTTTATCAGATATATCCATAGCAGTTCTTGATAATGCTAAGCGTGAAGGAATGATTGTAAAAATACGAGACTATTTATCTCAGCATCATGGTCGTGGTACATCTCAAGATATTTTAAATGCTCTAGATATTAACATAAATCAAGAACAAATTATCATTTTCAGGAAAATGTTGCAAGCAATAGCCAAATTTGAGAAAAAGGAAGTAGGCAAAGGTGAATGGGTCTTAAAAGAAGACTATTTATAATTAGAAATAAATATGAAATTTAGATATCTATTTCAGGAATATTTGAAAAAAAAAAGAAGTATTTCAAGATAGGATAAAAAACTAAGCTCACTGTAGGCAAATATATATGCGTATAAATATTTTTTATTTTGAGTCCTACGTCGCTTACTCATTAAAGAGGAATATAAATTTGCAATATATTCTTTGATATATATATATATATATAAAAAGGCTATTTTACCTTAATTGTTTATTGATCTAAGAGATTTCAAATTCAAATTTTACTATAATGCAAATGTCGTCATGCCATGAATTCAGTTTCCGAAAAAAGAAAAAAAAAGGTAAAATTCATAACCTTTGAAGAATCCCTTCAAAATTGCATAAAGTATACACGCACACAGGATATAATTATATACACAACAACGCATACTTTAAGTACTTTCGTGACTTATAATATTTTATTTCTTACTCTTTTTTTTTTCTTTTCTTTTTTTTTTTTCCTTTCTCCCTCTTAAACTTCTTTTTCTTTTCTTTTTTTTTTTTTTTTTGAATAAAGCAAGCAAATATACAATATATATCTTCTTTTTATATTTGCAATAGCACTAAAACTCATCATTCTTCAATAAGTAGCTGTAGAATCATTGACTGTGAGTTGAATATTCACCTTTAAAAAAAAAAAAAAAAAGGGAAGATTAAGAGATCTCAACCTGAGTTAACAATAATCTATTACAATTACTATAGTTACCAAACATGACCATTGATCAGTTTGAGCCTGAAGATCCTTTGTTAGAGATTAGTCGTAAATTATCCAACGTTAATATCTATAAAGTACCTGCCCAAGGTGGTTCTATAGATAAAGATGCAGTGAGTGAAAAAATAAATAACTTTATTATTATATTTTTATCACATTGTTTTGTATAATTACTTCTTTTTTTTTAAAAAAAAAAAATGACATGTAGTTACCCACTATTCAATATTTGATTTTCTCTCAAGAACCTGAAAAAATCAAAGAAAGTATTCGTATGTTGCGTAGATATTTGACTCAAGGTAAAAATAAATATATACATTTATACACATATGTATATATATGCGTATAATAACAATTTATATACCGAATGCGAAATAATTACTATGATTCTTCTTTTAAATACATATACACACACAAGATTCATCAGGTAAAAATGATGAACATACGGTCAATGATATTTTAGCATTAGATATTTTACCACGTATAAAGGAATTATTAGAAACTCATTCAAATAATTCAATCAAGGTAATTTCATTTATTCTCCTTTGTGATACCTATTAACTTCCTTCTCCCTCCTCTTCCCTCCCCCTTATTTTTTTTTTTTTGTTTTTAGTTTGAATGTGCTTGGATTATAACAAATATAGCAGTAAGTTATGGAAAAAGAAATAAATCTATGTTCATAAATAATAGTAAATAATCAAACAATTATATAGGCTGGTACATCAGAACAAACAAATACCATTATTGCTGCTGGTTTTGTTGATACGCTCCTTGAGTGTTTAAGAAGCAAAAATTCATCTCTTGAGTTGAAAGCTCAAGCTGCATGGGCTCTTGGTAACATTGCTGGAGAATCGCCTAGGTATCGTGAAGAGCTTTTAAAAAAGGGCTACACAAAAGCAATGATTATGGTACTCGATCATATCTATCATCATTCATTAAAAGGTAGAAAAGTCTGTCTTTATGAAAATTACGCCAATGTGGAAGCATTGTTATGGGCATTGACGAATATGTCTCGTGGAGGCTTTCATGTAGCGAATTACAGTCAGTTTGTAAGTCTTTCATTTTTTTTTTTTTAATATTAGTATTGATATATTATTAAAATAGTATTTACCTATGTTCCGTATATTCTCCCAATATCTCGAGGTTGATGAGATGAAATTAAAGATTGAAGTGTGGTATATATATATATACATATATATATATATAAAAAAAAAAACTACAAATCTTCTTTGAAGTATGAATACGAATATATAAAAATAATTTTATTTATTCTAATTAGTTGGGGTTTAGCGCGTATATTATACAATATGCATGAAGTTGACCATTTTTATAATTCTAATATGATATCTGTCAAACTTTGTGAACAACTATTAGATCTCTTGCGGTAAATATACATATATAGTTATATTAAATATGAAGTTAAAAATACTACAGAATATCTACATGGATTTTTTTTTTTTAAAAAATGTAGTACTGGAATACCTAAATATGTAGTCCCCGCCTTGCGAACTATTGCTAATATCACGTCTGGCCCAAATAGAAGCCTCCGTAATTTGTTAAATACACCGGTATTACCAGTAATTACGCCTTTATTACATCCTAGTATACCTGCAGATATCCGAAAAGATGGGTTCCTTGCTATTTCAAATTTAGCAGCTGGTGATGAATATATGATTAAGAAAATAGTTCAGTATTCTGAACTAATAAAAAATGTCTTGACTCATATTACAGTACCTGGACACATATTTGATGAAGAGCGTACTGTATGGGAACCTACTATCTGCCATGCTTATTATAACCAAAATGTTGAATGGAAGTTAACAAGAGATGCATTATGGATTATATTCAATATTATTTCACTTGGAAATGATTCTTCTATTTTGTAAGTTCAAAATAATGATAATAATAGTGAAAAAAAAATATATTCATACAATTCATTCCTTTGCATATTAGGGACTTGCTTTGTAATCATCCTAATATACCAGATATTTTATTGAAATTGTTTAATTATGCTTGTTTACCCCCTGATACATGTGAGAAATTGATACAAGCAACAACAAGTCTAGTTCAACGAACAAATAAACATTCTACAAATGGTAAAAATCCATCAGTCACACTCTTTATCAACCATGGTATTCTTTCCTATCTCGAATTAATTCAAAAAAATTACAATGAATGTGGAATAAAAGACTCGTGCTTGAAACTTGTTACATTACTCAATGCTTCAGAACAAAATGTTGCTCAGACAGCTTCTATTTCAGATGTGGCAGATGTAGCCTCTGCTTTTGGTCTCCCAACAGTGGGCGAAATAAAATCCAAAAGTAGTAAAAGAAGAGTCCTTCGTGGCCTTGAGGATGGAGATGTTAGATTTATTGAAAATGCAGTAGGAAATCTTTATCTCTGATCTCATATATACAAATATATATGTATATAAAGGCTATAATTAATTATGTGGAATTAAAATTATAAAGAAAAAAAAAAGAAAAGAAATATATACATATTATTTGATTTTTAGACATTTTTCTTTCTAATGTAATGCTCTTAACATTAGTTGGCTAAAAGAAGGTCTTTAAATGGGTTGTATTTGTTTATTATGATTATTATTATTTTGCTTAATGAGTAGGTTTTATTCGCATAGAAAGTATATCAAATTGAGAAATTCAAATGAAGAAAATACACTAAATTAGTTAAAGTGTATCCATTATATCTTCACTAAAGTGAGTAAAGAAAAGTCCATAAGTGACTTTTCTTGATTATGAATAAGTCAAACATTTCTACGTAAATTGTATACACAATGTTATGATAGTCTTCTTTAACTATTATCGATGTAATTAGATAAGATATAAGGTAAATATCCATTTAAAATACACTTAGCGATAGCAGTAATAACAATAAAAATCACTTGAGCAATTCATATTTATATGAACCGAGCGCGTATATTTTCTTTGATAATTTCGGAAAAAATGAACTTTGAAATGTGACTATATGAATACAGTAAAGTATAGGCAGACTTATTATGTATATAGAGCTTTATCCAGCCATAAATTTATATACTAGCTGAAGAAGACTATCATAACATTGTGTATACAATTTACGTAGAAATGTTTGACTTATTCATAATCAAGAAAAGTCACTTATGGACTTGTCTTTGCTCACTTTAGTGAAGATATAATGGATTGATTAAGTTGATACCACTTTGTATAAATATATATATATACATATAACATTAAGCCTGCCAAAAATGGTTTCCAGCTGCTAGCTCTTAATTATTTTTTGATATTATCCTCTGGTTGTAGAAGATATAGCTTGAATAAAGCTAATGTTTTTCACAGGAGACTCTACTGGTTATTTCATAAATAATTTCAATACTGAGAACATTGGTTAAAATTGTTTTTTTTTTCTTTTTTTTTTTCGCTGGAAAAGATACGATATTCTACCTGAATATGCATAACCAGTTATATAAGTCTTTAATAGCCTGAAATTTTTAATTGTTCCTTCTGGATTAATTATCCTCTCGATAACACAAGTATTCCACCATATTGGTTCTTTATTTGTACCTTGTTGTATAAGACAAAGCATTTGACTCACAACAGAACCCTCCTTTCTCTGCTATTCAATTTTTTTTTAATATTACTTACCCAATTGGTTATTCTGTAACTAATTTTGTTTTATACTTTAACTTCCATCATATTTGATTTAAAATATTTTATTGAAGAAAATAAAAAAAAAAAAAAGTTGAATCTCAGCTGTCTACCCCATATTCAAATACGATTGCCTCATCCCCTTCCTTCCTCATACTATTAAAATTATTATTATTATTATTATTATTATAGCATGTCAAAACCGCCAACAATACTATTTAAAAAGCTTGTTAATCTATATAAAGTATCTCGTTTTCCTTGGAAAAAGCATGCATTGATTGGCTTTGATCTTCAAGGAAATGAATATTGGGATTGTCCTAATCCATTAGGTAAGTCAGTGTGGTACATTTGATCTACATGGCATAATTATAAATTATTATAAAATAATCTAGGTGGTAGGCCAAAGCGTTGGGTACAAATGGTTGATGGAACAGAAAATGATTTGACAGTGTTTCATCAAAATAAGTTACCAGGTATTTAATGACTTGATGACCCCTCATCGAATCTATGTTGACAATGAACATAAAAAAAAATATATATATATATACCTGTAGTTCAATGGCAATCATGGCTACGACATACTCGAAATATAGCACCTACTCTAGAAGAACTTGTCTTAGAAGAGCGAAGGAGAGCTATTATTCAAGGAAGAGTGAAGACTTTAGAGCAGGAAAGAGAGCAGGTAAGTTAAGTTGGTTTTTATTTTTAAGTGAATTTTAATTTTTTTTTTTCTGGTAGCGTAAACTCGAATTACAAAAAATAAATGAAATTGAGAGTAAAGAGTTAGAACGATTATCGGTAATAAAAGAAGAAGGTAATACATGTATTTAAAAAAAAATGCATAAATAATTATACTTTTTATTTATATAGCAAATGATAAAAAGGAACAACAAACATCAAACTCAACACAACCAACTGGGCAAGGTGATACGTTTTCACCTGGTGAATGGAATCCTGTTAGTTCTAGAAGATAATTTGTAAAATTTGTATATGTAATATATAATAAAAAGTCACTCATGTACGATACTGAAAAAAAAAAAAGAACATTTGATAATGTTAATGAGATAAAAGGTATAAAATTAAGAATAATACATAGGCCTAAAGTTTAGACTATTACCGTCTGTTTATCAGTATGATATAATCATAGCTTTCGTCTTTATTTACTGCATGATTATTAACAACTATTTTATATATAAGGCTATTATAATGATATTTGTTTTGAAAAATACTGTCATATCTAATCTAGGAATAGTAAAGTCAATTTGCTATATGGTCTTAATTGATATATTTAATAGTAGCAGCATTATCTTTATTTACTAGAAGAGGTCTTCTTTATCATATATATATATATGTATATACGGATATATCAGAGTTCTTTTTTATGTTATATTTATAGTAGTGCTTGGCTAAAAATTTTGTAATATATAAATTAAAATTACAAACCAAATGCGTCTCAATTATTAAAGCTGAAAGTCTCTTCTTTTGAATTGATTTCTATGATATTTAAATTGAGTAGAAGCATCAAGGCTAAAAAAAAATATACATCGTATTTTATGCTATACTATTATATTGAATATTATTTCTATTATTCTTATTTTAAATAATGTTCAATAAAATATAATGAGATGATAGAAAAGCTATTCTTTTTTCTTATCATATTACAATATTTATATACATGCTTTGAATCGCGAAAAAAAATAAAAGAAAAAATGAGGAGTAAGAGAATTGAACTCTTGACCTTCAGATTTGGAATCTGACGCTCTACCAATTAAGCTAACCCCCCTTTTGATGACTTTGAAATTTATAATAAATATATATTTAGTACGTAAAAATTTTGCCGAAAAGTCACGTGACTGTCCGGTGTAGACTATTCTCCCTTTTTAAGTAAACTTCATTATTGCTTCCTGTGTGATCATTATTCATAATGCGTTCCTCGAATGAGTTTATCAGTTTTTTTTTTCCTTATCTTATTATACTTTTATTTAATATTATTCCTTTGTTTATGTATATGATACAAATAATTATTCATTGTAATTAAATGGGTAATAAGGACAGTTGCCAATATGAATAGAAAAGGTTAGAATTGATATATTTGGATTATTTTATTTCAAACAAGATACTTAAATTATTGACATCAGATATGTTTATCATCTCTATACCTTTGTCTCAATATAAGTATTAAGAAAAAAAAAAGATAGAAAGTTCAATATCTATATAATAAAGCATCATGAAATTGGTATTAATTATGTCAAACTTGATTCTAAGCATGAATATCAGACTGAAAAAAAAAAACCCCCCATTTGTATAATGCAAATATTCATATTTTTAATTTTAGCTGTGAAAAAAATTATATACAGATATATGATGAGCATTTTGATCAATTGGCTATGTAAAAGTTAAAAATTTAAGGATTAAATAGACTGAATTAGGCAGCTGAAGTGAATTTATTATAATACTCTTCTTAAATGTCATGAACAATTATTGTTGAATATTAAATATCATATATAGCAAACGCTTATTTTTAACTTATTATCAGAGACATATATGTATTTTAATGAAGACTTATATTATCATATATCACAAAAAAAAAAAAAACACAAAAAACAGTTTGTTTTATTTAAAAATATCGAGTCATTTGAACATCTGTTTCTTTTAATTGACATTTCTCATAAAATAAGATTTTTTCTCTGCTACAATTAAGTATTGTTTTATAACAGTTTGTTTGTTGAGCAATATAATGAAGTTGGTCAATAAGTCTAATAATAATAAACAAGTCAAGTCTCTTGTGATAACATAATAAAATAAAGTTAAATAAAATGATGTATTTACCGTTTACCGAGTCTATTTCCTCTTTCTGATTTATCAACTACAACATCTTCGATATGGCCTACATTACTACATTCATGTAAAAACTTATATTCAATTAATAGAGTTGCACAGGCTACAATAACATTCTGATTTTCAACCACTACGATAAAAGATGATTGCTTTTGCTTTAAAAAATCAAATCGTTCTAATATAATATAAATAAATAAAAAAGGGAGGATGGTCTTATATATGATATGTATGTATACTTTTGTATTGTTCAGCTGTAATATTCCCAACTTTAGATAATTGAGATAAAAGCTGTATGTATCCATGCTGATAGTCATTACGTTTTAAAGGTCGAATTAAATAAGATAAAGGTAAAGAAGATTGAATTTTTGAAGAAATATATTTTTTACTATCAAATAATTCTTGTTCACTATTTTCTATTGTCATTTTGGTTAAATATATTTATGTGAAGAGAGAGAGAGAGAGGAAAAAAGTAGCTTAAACTTTCTCCTCCTCTTTTTCACTTCTTATGTGTAAATATATTTCCGTCTTTTTTAAAATAAAATCCAAGTTTAGACTGATGGACTCGAATATTATTATATTTTCTAATATTATGCATTTATTTAATTTTATTATCTCAAAATATCTATTTAATCAATTAATTCAGCTACTTGAGGATCAATTAAATCTTCAATATTCTTTACTGGTTCCTTCACAACATCTGCCTTTAATAAAGTCTTTAATGTAATCTCTAATGCTTGACGAGATACTTGCTTATGATCAGTCGCATAATGCACTGTCTTGAACCATTCTCGTACATCCTCTTCAGGATACTTTAGCATTTTCATAATCAGTTTTACTGATTCATCTTGTTGTTCTACAAACTCTCTAGTAGCATGGTTGATAGCCTTTAAAACTTTCTGAAATACCTCTACGTTATCTCTCAATATGTCTGTATGTGCAGCAAACATAAAGGCTGGCCAATCGGGCGTAATACTTCCAATCTTCTTAACTTCGCCTGAGTCATGATAGGGTTTTGTTGTAAATCTCTCCCACATAAAGAAATCACTCGTTCCATCATTTACAGCATCTCGCATTGCCTTGAAGTTGTTCAAGACTGTAAATTCAAAGGGCTGTTCTTGCCAGTCTTGTTGGTCAGCAAGAACAAAAGCCATAATATGAGATCCAGACCCATAACGTGAAATAGCCACATTCGTTTTATTAAGTGAGTCAATAGATGTGTAACGAGCATTTTTACCTGTTGATAATGCCCAACCTTCAGGTATATATATATATATATAATAAAAAAATTAGGATAATTATAGTAATAACTTCTATCCTCTATTGACTTACAAAGTGGTGCATCAACAAAAGTTCCTATAATTTTATACCAGTCTTGTCCTTTACTAATACCTGCAACAAGTCCTTCAGTCAAAGCAATAGCTAAATCTAAAGATTTGTCTTGAAGTTTAGACGTCATCTAAATAATAATAATAAACGAGAGAATATAAGATATGGGTTTATTAAAAATAAATGTATTTTATTCTACCTCACCAGTACCACCTAGTAAGAATAATTCATTCATAAATAGGGTATTATTATAAAAAAAAAAAAAAAAACAAATATTATTATTTATTTATGTACCTGGACATAAAACAAGTTCAACATTTACACCCTCATCTTTAAAATAGCCTTTATCTCGTGCAATATATAAAGGTGTTGAAAAGTGTTCAGGAACTAAAAAAAAAAGAAAGCTCGTTCAAGACATTCATATTAAAGTTATTTTCTTATTACCATAACCAATACGAATAGTAGCCATATTTAATAATGAATAATGGTAAAAAGAAAAAAAAAAAAAAAATAGAAAAAAAAAATATATTTATAAAAATTGATGTCTTTTTTCATGATGAATCACATCAGTTTTTACCCCGAAATATATATCATCAAAAATTATTATTATTATTTTCAATAAATTATATGCAAACACCATATATATATTTCTTCATAATAATAATAAAAAAAAACCAACAAACAAAACAAATGCAAAAATGCTTTCCTTTTAACGGTAAGACTTTTGGTAACGGGCACGAGCACCTGGACCGCCAAACTTCTTGGGTTCACAACGACGAGGATCAGCAACAAGTAAAGTACGATCATATTGAACAAGGATTTCCTTAATTTCCTTCTTAGCAGCCTCATCAACAAACTTTTGATAGAAAGCAACAATAGCCTTAGCAAGAGCTTGACGAATAGCATAAACTTGAGAGGTGTGACCACCACCGTTTACACGAATTCTGATGTCAACATTAGAGAAACGCTCTTCACCCAAAAGAAGGATAACTTCATAGACCTTGAATTTGAGGATCTCAGGTTCGAGAAGTTCGAGAGGAGAGCCGTTAATACGGATAAGACCACGACCACGCTTACAGTGGGCAACAGCAGTAGCAGTTTTCTATTGTAGAAGATATATTAATATAAATACTCTGCGTTTCAAAAAAAAAAGGAATGCTGGAATGCAGATTTGTAAATGTAGTAATGTATTGATTTATGTATTCTGACTGACTTAATTCACTTATATAAGAATGTGTAATTCGATTTCCTAATTTTTGATTTAAGTTTTGTCTCTTTATTCTATTAAACACAATCAAATAATAACATAAATATTTCTGCATAATTCATTAGATCATCCATCTACAATTTCAACAATTATCCATAATTTTCATCCTCAATTAAACTAGTTTTAACATCTCTCAACTTAAATCTACATGTATACATCCAGGTTATAATTTATATAATTCTTTAATCAAATCGTCTGTATGCCAGTTACTAATTCTCATCATTTTTGATTTGACAATCCACATTCAACATTTCATAATCCACAATCCACAATTCACAATCCACAATCCACAATCCACATTCCTGTTTTATTTATTAAACTAACCTTGCGACCGAAAGTTTGGACAGCTTCCATTATCTAAAAAATAAATAAATAACAAAAGGATGGATTTTAGTTTGCTTTGATTAACTGACTATTATAGGATGTGATAGATTTACCTTTTAAGTTAAGAGAGGGAAGTGGACAACTTGGTGATTCCGAACTTTTTGTTTACACACTCCCTCTGTTACAGCAGCAGCAATAATTAAGGATGAAAAGTGGGGGGGGGAAAGTCAGTGCGGGCGACTGTCATCATCACTAATCGCACCCTACAAAAAAATGCCGCGGACCGGACTTAACTAATAGTAAAGATTATGACAGTGTTTAAAAAATAATATTGAATGATGAACACAACCTTTGGAATCTCTCAGTTTGACCTAAAGAGCTGCTCTAATCGTATTTTCCTAAATTTTTTCATTATGCATTAGTAGTTCATCATTAAATAATTATGTTATAGCCCTATCTTAGCACTTTTCCAAAGAGTGCTGAATAGGACGGCAAATAAGTGTATTTAATTTCTCTCTATTAAATGCATGGTTGCAACATCATCTACTCATAAACAGGAGAATTATTGATCAGAGAATAATATACTATAGCACCTAATTACTTGATCTCTTGGATAGTTTTTCAAACAAAAAAAAAAGAGCTATTATTTTTATCCGGTTACTTTTTTTCTATAAACAAAAAAAGACTCAATAAAACGATTAGTCTTTTACACACTAAACTGACTATATACTAATTACATAATTTTAAAAAATAAAACTATTTTGACGTTCCTGAGAATCATCTTTTTTTTTTTTTTTTTTTTTTTTTTTTTTTTTTATAACAATATTGATTGGTTGTTTAGAAATGAAAATGCAAGATAATAAAGATACACGCTGTCTTAGCTTGACTTTTGAAAGATTAGCGATATGCTCGACAGTTTTAAAGTTCTTTATAGGATTTTATTTAATTATTAACGTTAAATAAATCTATGTTTGTGTGTGTAATTTATTTTCATAAAGAATAAATAAAATGTTTAATGTATAATAAGGCTTATAACCAAGAATAGAAGGAAAACAAAGAAAGAAAGAAAGAAAGAAAGAAAGAGAGAGAGAGAGGGTGATAACTGATCACTATAAATGGTACTCAGCATAACTATAATATCTTATCCGGGAGAGTTTCTATAACTGTAAGATTTTTTTTATTAAACTATCACTCAAATCAAGTACAATTGTCATTGATCGTTCGTTCCTGAGAATGTAGCGTTTGTTGAGGTAACTATACTATTGGTATTAATTAACAATTGGATAAGTTACTGCAATGGCAAATACAAATCTTAATACATGTAATTAAACGTTAGCTTGTGTACGCAAAAAAGAAAAAGGAAAAAAAAAAAAGCCTTTCTAACTCATTCAAGTCATTATCAATCATTCATTAACATATTCTATCAGCAAAATACAAATCTGAATCTCTACATTTTTATACATATTTACTATTGAGTTCTGAGTCTATATATGTTTCATTCACTCTTCTTTATTAACATTAAAGATTAGAATTCATAAAGATGAATATAGATATAATAAATACTTGTGTTCTCTTTTCTACCTTTGAGTATTATCACTATAAATATCAATGCTTGTATAATTACTGTTTCAGTCATCTATTTCTACCTAAACTTATAACAGTTACTAAAAAAACTTACTTTGACGTTATCAATAGTAAGTAGCCTTTCTAAATGTCCCTCTAGGTTAAAAAATTCTACTTTTCTTATTTTCACATTTACACATCCCATATAATTCTACTAGAATATCTATTCAATTCTCTAATTAAACATGGAGATACTTTTCCTCTGTCCTCACCCCTTGATTTCACCGCATAAGATCAAACAGATATTTCTCCAATAAAAAAATTTTTTTTTATTCCAAAAAAAAAAAAATCTCGCTGACTTGTAAAATAGATATGAAGACATTTCTTATTTAGTATTTTCATTCGTAAATAAAATAGAGGGCTTACACTGTATGTTTGAAACATTATTAAATCTTCGAGAAAACCTGTATAAAGAGGACTCATATCATCATATATGAGGAATACATAATATGAATGATTTCATAGTTTTATCGTGTCATTTTACATTACGCAACCTATTCATTTGCTCATCAATTTACATCATGCATTTTTATTTTCTTCGGTACTTCATAATATGAACTGTTAAATAATGTTTCTGTTTGCATTAATTAACTAAAAAAAAAACCTATTGCTGTTATTATAACCACCGGAAACTGACTTTACTTTCTTCTTCCATGACTCAGCCATTCGCAGCAGCGAGCCAAAAAAAGTTTTCAATCTCCGATATTCTGTTTCTTAAGATAATTTTTTTTTTCTTTATCCTTCTTTTTCTTTTTTTTTTTTTGACAAAAAAATTAAAGAATAACAAAACAAAATGGCCCTTAAACGTATTAACAAGGTAATGTTATCAACTAAATACAAATAGAAAAATCAACCTTGAATAGCACATTTTACTTGAAAAAAAAGACGCAATTTTGTGTCTCCTTTTTTTAATTTGAAATGTCTACTTTCCTAAAAAAAAAAACCAGATGAGAGTTGATAAATATAAATATATACGTATATAGAATACTAATTCATATTTTAATTTTAAATAGGAACTCAAAGATCTTGAACGCGACCCTCCTTCTTCCTGCTCTGCAGGTCCTATTGGTGATGATTTATTCCACTGGCAAGCTACCATTATGGGCCCTGTAAGTATATAAATATAATATGACGAAAAAAAAAAAAGTAAAATATATACATATTTATTTATTTACATGTATAAATTATTATTTTTAGGAAGATAGCCCTTATCAAGGTGGTGTCTTTTTCTTGTCTATTCATTTCCCTACTGATTATCCTTTCAAACCTCCTAAGGTAAAACAATTAAACAAACAAACAAAAAACTTGTATATATTTGGGAAACTAACATGCATATTATGTTAGATTAACTTTACTACCAAGATTTATCATCCAAATATTAACAGTAATGGTAGCATCTGTTTAGATATTTTGAAGGATCAATGGTCACCTGCACTTACAATTTCAAAGGGTAAGTTAAAGAGATGAGAGTTTAATAAAAGAAATATGTATTGACTTTATTCGTTTATAGTTCTTCTTTCTGTTTGTTCTCTTCTTACAGACCCTAACCCTGATGGTAAGGATAAAAGATAGATACATATTCATACATAACTTATCTCTCTCTCTCTTTTAGATCCTCTTGTTCCCGAATTGGCTCATATCTATAAGACTGATCGTGCTCGTTATGAAGCTACTGCAAGAGATTGGACTAGAAAATATGCCAGTAAGTTTATAAAGTAATTTTATTTATAGTTCTTTGGTTTTAATTTATAATTATAATAGTGTAAAATTGAGGGTTTATATGTGTATATACTTATGATACATGTATATAATTCTATATACATAAAAAAAGAAACTTTTGTTGGGAATTGTATTTGTATTGAAAGTAATAAATAGAAGTTACAACTACATATTTCAAATAGGTTTTTTTTTATCTTTTCCCTTTTTCCTTTTAAATCAGTCTTGTTTTATTTCATTTGAGTATTTATTAATGTATTATAGAGAATATGGAGTAGGGATAATAATTTACTCTTCAAACATCACAGACTAATAAGCCATCTTCATAAAGGCCAGAGACAATGAGCTTTGAATTTTTCAAGTCAAAGGCGGCAGTGGTTGAAGAACCAAACAAAGCACCATCATCTTGTATTATCAAGCTTGTTTTACCTGAATTAACATCCCAGACGGCCACCTGTGAGGGGGGCTTCTGGTGTTGATAACGAAGAATATACTTTATAAATTTTAAAGGTTTAGGATGGCCTGCTACAATAACCCAACCCTTAGTCTTTTCATAATGTAAATTATCAACAGCCATTTTAAATTTAGTCTTTGAGACATAATCCAATTCAATACGACCCTTCTTTTTAACAATCTTGTATTGTCTTATCATTCTTTTGTGGGTCTCTGAAACAAATAAGATATCATCTGTGCCTGCTAACCCATTAGCAAACAATAGACCATTCACACCCTTTTCAACTTGTCCTGTACGCGCATTATAAATTCCAACATTACTGAAATACAAGATATAATTTTCAATCTTCTTTAGCAAGATACTTATAAAATTCTTGTTACTGAAATAATGGTCATTAGAGAAAAAGAAGGAAGGAGTGCCGTCTAGAGGTGATCGATATTGAATATCATTCAAGATATGAAGTGAGTTTGGTGAATAGATTTTGGGATGTTGAATTGTATGTTTGTGAACAAGAGTATCGCCATTAAGACTAAAGAGTTCAATACTGGATGGTGCATGATGTGCCAAGTTCATAATAAATAGCGTCTTTTCACCAGTGACTGGATGAACGTCAAGTGCCATACCTAATGGATGAAAATCTGCGAGTACATTTTCAGGGCCAACAAGTTTAAATTTCTCAATATTGGCTGGCGTCTAAAAAAAAAATGGGATATTTTTTAGCATGGATTTGTCACCACCTACTAGAGGATAAAACCTTATATGATTACCTCAGTATAGTTTACTTTCCAAATGGCACCTTGAATCACAGGCTCATTAGAGCTCAAATGATTAATGCCCATAACCTTATTATATTTTATTCGAATAGGATCACAACCAACATAAGCAACATCATCCTCTTTACTTAAAACAAAATCTTCACATTGTGTAAATTCAGAAGGTCCTAAAAAAAAGAAAAAATAAAAGAAAAGAAAGTATGAGTTATATACATGACGATGAATTTGATATAACAAATTATTATTGCTCTTTTTCTTTTCTTTTCTTTTCTTTCTTTCTTTCTTTTTTTTTTACCTTCAATTTTAACGCAATTTTCCATGTTGTAATCTTCCACTTGGTAAAATACTCCTGATAGAGAAATAATCATGTCTATTTTAAGGGATTATTAAAGATATACATGTTTAAAAGATAATAAGTGAGAGAGCTTACATAAAAGTGATGTAACATAAGCAATAGGAAGGATAATTTTCCAATGCTTTATATGAAACCAAACATCTTTATGGGGTTTTGCTTCTTCTGACATATTATTAACAGAAAAAGAAAAAATAAATAAAAAATAAATAAAAAAATAAATAAAAAACTTTATTTTATGTAACAATATTTTTTTTTTTTTTTTTTTTTTTTTTTTTTTCCTCTCTAAACTTTTGGTTTAAAAGTGTTTGCATTTTCCTTGAAAAATTCTTGAATTGATTTTGGCTTTTGATGAATTAATGATTGAATTTCATTTGTGGGTATACTTCCTGCTGTCTTTTCAACCCAATCAAAATAATCCAAAAATACATGAATTTGATTACCTAATATGATTGTTATTATGATTGTTCCCCTTTTTTTTTTTTTTTTTTTTTTTTTTTTTTTTTTTTTTTTTTCTTTTTTTTAAAAAGAAAATACAAATAATTAAAACTTACGACTAGGTGGGTCAAAGGCCATTAATCTGTAACTTAATTCTTTCTCTAGTGGATCACGATATATCATTGATCTTTCCTTTTTAAGTCTTTCATCAAACCAAATATCATGACCAAGATCTTTTAAATAGTATTCTGTGTCCATCAAACGTACTTGTTGAAACCGATGTTCTTTATATTTTGTAACTAAGGACATGATTTGTACCAACTTATTACCCGTCAGAGCCTCGGAGCCAGAGAGGGTATAGATTTGCCCCTCATGATCACTGCCAATCAGTCTCATTACTGCCTCACACACATCAGTCATGTCTACTGGGCAGATCGTGCTAGTCTGACTTAAGGGTAACTTTAACAGACTCGTCTTCTCTACTTCAGGAGCCCAGTGGTGAAAGTATTGTTGAATCCAATCCACTCTTAAAATCGTATAACTCATCTCTTCCTCTCCCAACTTGACCAAGAAATCTTCAATAACGCCAAAGTCAGAGAGGGCATGATGATGAGGTGACTGAGCGCCGACATGAGAAAGAAAGAGGATAGATCGAACGCCTGACCTGATGGCTACTTTGCACAGATATTTACACTGTTCAACACGATCCGGATGACTATGATGTAGGGTAAGGATCATTTGATCCACGTTACGCATTACCTCTGAAACTTGATTAGGGTGCATGTAATCATCAAGGTAGCAGAGTTCAATACCCTTGTTGGCAAAGTTATTTAGCCATGGTTTCTTTTCATTACTGTAAATCAGACGGAGTTCTTTACGAAGGGGAATTGACTGGGCTAAGTGAGAAGAGATGCAATAGCCAAGATATTCATCTACAGAAGTAATTAAAATCATAATTTATGTCAATATTTCTAATGTGGTAAGTAGTATATATAAATGTATAAAAGAAAAAAAATAATAATTGTAATAAAAAAAAACATTTTTATACATAAAAAAAAAAAAAAAAAAAAAGATGAATAAATAAATAATACGCATAATGACATTATGACTTTGATCTTGTTACCAGCAACTTACTATTATTGAGCGATTATAATTATAGTAACAAAAGCTTGTTAAAAAGGCACTTTTACCCTTTTTTTTTTTTTTTTTTTTTTTTTTTTTTTTTTTTTTTAAATCGGTGTATTTTTAGTATTACCACTGAACTATTTTTATATGATAATAATGTAAGTCAAGTTTATATTACAATATGTCATAATGGATCCCCATTTTTATTTTTAAAAATATTTTAATAATTCTTCATATGAAGTAGGTAATCGAGGGGCTAATTGAGGGGGTAAGATAATAAGTGCAGAAAAAGAAATCAAAACAAAAATAAATAAAGGTCCATATATCAAGGCAATTTTTCGACGTCGTCGTCTTTCCTTCGTTGGTAATACTGAAGGTCGAATTTGCTTTGAAGGCCTTAACCAAAATAATATTAAAGAATGAATTCGATCGACGGAAGGTATTAAGGTAATTGGAAATAAGACAAATAAAATAAAATGGCCCAATATAAAGTCAATTGAAAATAATGACATTTCTACTATTTTACAGATATATTCTCTTGCTGCTAATCTTCTAACCTATAAATATGTATATAAGTAAATATAAATTATCCTCTATCTTTGTGTGTGTGTGTGTGTGTATGTGTGTGTTTTTTTTTATATTCATGTATATCTATATATATCTATATATTTATATACATCACCTTACTGGCTTTCCATCTCCCTGACCACCATGCTCTATTCGTCGCATCATGATGTAGCTCCCTAGTTAAAAATAATCCTACAAATGTCTTGAATAGAAACCGTTGCACTGAAAAGACAGACAACAGAGCTAGTAGAGTAGACCTCACATGACATTTTTCCATTATCCAAAGAACTTCATAAGCAAATAGAAAGCCCAATACAGCTAATGTATGTGCTAATGTTGACATATAGAATCCTGTCCTCTTGAATCTATTGCCTACCATTAGAGATATCATTTGGATTATAGCCAATATCAACGCATTGTAGAGGACTGGCGCTAATGTGACCAACATGATCCGTCCAAGGGCTCCTCCTGGACTTGAATTATCTTCAGTAAATCGCTCATCCTTGCTCTCAAAATTCAATTCAAATCGGCTCTTGTAGAAGGCATAACAGGCAACACAAAGACAACATTGAATAAATGGCATCAAAATTTCAGAGATCAAAATGTTGGAAAGACTAGCTCGTGGGACGGCCACGATAGGTTCCTTCTCCTTTAACGTCGACCTCTGTCTCGCCTTTCGTTTATTACCAGTCACTTGAGTACGTACATGACGACAGTAGGAGATCCAAGCATGATCGTGATAGCGTGTTGTGTTCCCACGAGAGAGCCAACTCAAGAATTCTCTATAGTCATAAATGAATTCCGTCAAGACAAACTGATGTGGATTAAAGATAAAAGGTGAAATGAGAAGGGATGTGACGGTAGCCCAGAAATAGATCAAATGAGGAATCCAAACAGCCACTGAGACAAAGAGCAACATTAGCATCGTACGTGCACCAAAATAAATACTTGGTTGTGCAAATCGTGAATAGAGGACGCTAAAGGGGATACGAGCGGTTGCAAATCCACGTCCAGTAGCGATGTAGCGAGCGCCTCCAAAGCTCAGGTTCGACATGACAGAGTTGGCATAGATTTGAGTCATAAAGATCTCAAAGAGGGGGGATAACGACAAGAATTGCTTTGTAAGACGCCAGATGGCCCTACCAGTACCCTTTTCAGTTAACTCTTGCAAAAAGAGGGGTAAGAAAGAGATAAAGAAGACCATAAAGATAGATAGAATACAACGTTGAAACCAGTCATAGACTGGTTTGATATTAAAACAATCGCCCTCCACGATCTCTACGTAACAAGGGGGTAAATTAATAGCCATGGTGCTGACCATCATCATACAAAACAAAAAGACTTGAACAGCGAAGAGAATTAAGATGTTATTCAGATGAAAGCCAGGGTGGGCATAATAAAAGGTGAGGAAGCGATCTAAGGGCAATTGGGTACCTAAATAGTAATACTCGCGTGACAAGAATTGCTCACCCATACCTGTGCCGATCTTTGTCGTGAAGTTGAGGATCGATGAGAAACCGAGATCTCGACCTTTACCGCATTGTAAATATTCTGTATGTTTGATAATACCACCTCGCATAAGGGCGTTCATACCAGCATAAATGTCTTCATTCAAGTGCAATCCACGTTGTGCTTTACTGACACCACCTCGTGTAGTCATGAAGACGGCATTCAAGAAATCTGGATGGCCATAATGTAAACGCCCACCTGTTTTGGCCATAATACGCTGCGTTAATGTGCCAAAGGTTTGTTCTTTACCAGCTGCGACATCACCTAACATACCTACATTCTCTGAAAAGATATATTCTCGGGCTCCAACAATGGCCACAGAGGATGAATGGTCATGTTCACCATAGACCCTTTCTAATGTTACTGTTGTTTGATGCTCAAATTCACCAAAGATACTACGAATTTTAAGACATTCTTCAAGATAGTTATCTTGATTAGCATCAACAAGTTGCAAATATTCACCACGATAAAAGATGAGTGCATGGTTTTGGTTATCTGATTTGCCATCACCCAAGATAGGATTACCGGGTAAGCGAATACGATACTTTGGGCTACGCCGATTGTTTGCAAGTAATTCACATTGGCCATCAATAAGTACCGAATAGTAAGTAATCTCTTGCGTTCCTTCATCTATTTCTTCATCGATATAGGCAATTTGCAGATATGGATATTCAGTTAGCAGGAACTCACAGTTAGAAATTTCCTCTTCATTGAATTTAGCATAACGTTGCATAGCCACTAGAAACCGAAACTTTTGGTGGGCTACAGATTCCAATAATTCTTCATTCGTACCCGTTCGTTTATTATCTGTTATTACCGAAATAGGCTCATGCTCATCTTCCTTCTTGTTTGTCGTTGGTGAAGTCAAGGTAGTCGATGAAGAGAGATCATGAAAATTAGGATATTCTATACGATGTAAAATCTTTATAGCACGAGCATAATTCATAAAGCCATTGATAGTGCGATAGAGTGTTTGTGCACGCAGAGAGGCCCAGATACGGGTCCTCAAGGTATACTCTGGAGCAGAGGACTTGAATCCAATGCAATAGAATGGTAAATCATCCTTTTCTGATGGCCCTGACGGGATGTCGTTTTCTTCTGCGATAAACATGGTATCCTTTACAAAATTACTCCATTCGGTTGGGTGTAATTTTTTTAGATACTCTAAAAGCGTTACACGTGTTGTTGAGTTCTCCTCTCGAATGATCTCTCGTAATGACAACAGTATCTTTTCCGAGTAATGAGGCGTAAAGACGGTAAAAGTCGGCATCTTTTCAACAGAACAGGGTAAAGGAAATTGTGTAGTAAGACTTTGTGCGAAAAACGACAAACGACGTTCTGCCTCAGAGTAAGGTGGGAAGTAATCTTTATCAGGGATAGTTGCTGTAGGATCAAAGATAGGAGGAGGTAAAAGCTCTCGTTGGACTGTACCATCTTCAGCTTCTTGATCGTGGACTTGATAAAGCAGAGGTTGAAGATTATTGACTGATAATAAATGATCTCTATACATGGAAATAATGATGGCATTCCACATCTGAGAACAAGCCGTATAACGTACATGATTTGTCATCGATTGTATAGGCGCTATTATCTTTGCAAACATATTCTGAGGTACCTTAGCAAAGAGTTGTCTCCAAGACACCATGACTGAGATACCAAGACGCATTGATTGTGCAACTGAAAATATAGTATTCCAGATGACATACCATAAATAAGTATCCAAGAAGAACAACGCTAATTCAACAGAGAACATAAGGATAGTCGTCAAGATGGGTATCATTGTGCATAACCAACGACCCAGCAAAGGGTCTTTACCACAAGTACTAAGCTGCATTTGCATGGTTGCTGAAAGTGCATCGCGAAATGATAAAGCTAAAAAGAAATAAGTTTCAAGAAACTTACAACTAAAGACACAAACCCATAGAAGAATAGATAAAAATCGATCGTCCTTCCTCATTTTAGGAAAATTAGCAGTAAATGCTTTAGAAGATAAATAAGCGTCTGTACTTGAATAATAGAACAATCTCGCAGGAGGAATGATAAGAAAGAGAATGGAGATAATAGCACCAAAGACAAGTTGAATGATTGAAAGAATATGGGCTAATAAACTTGTTGAGTCGGTGGAAAAGATGTAAACTGAACTTCCAAATTGACCAAGGGCTACAACTAGCAACATGACCATTCTTACAAACAATATCTGTGCCTTATGACTATTTATCCTCAGATGCATCATTTCAGCAAAGGTGGCAAATATCATGATAGAGACCGCAGCAAGACCACCCAAACCAACAATGGATAACCTCATCGGTAAATTAACTGAAATCGTTTTTAGTTTACCACCTGTAATATCCATATGTACAAAATCTACACTAGCAGCCATATAATACCAAAAGGATGTTGCATGAATGATCCATACTCTTGAGAAATTTGTAAGCAAATGTAACCAGGATCGCTTTTCGTAGAACGTTTTACGAAAGGCACTATTCCAATCCACATCTTTTAATGACAGAAATTGCAATTCTCTAGAGATATCCTTTAAAAGGCATTGTTGCTCATCATTTTTTAGTTGCAAGCTAGCAATAGATTGTTTATTCCAAAAGAATTGGTTAATATCATCATAGCCTATAATTTTATCATGGTCTTTTTCGTGACGCACATAATGCTCCTTAATAACTTGATAAGATTGATCTCGTATGAAGTTGTAAATAGGTGATATAATATCATCTAAAAAGGATAGTGATACACGTTCATCATCCATATGATGTGGTGGTGGTGGTGGTGGTGGTTTATAAGCATCCGCCACATAAAATAAGAAGCAGATCAATTCAGGGGTATATCTTAATGTGGCTGCTTCACCCCAAATAAGCAAATAAAGAGAGATTTGACCTACACGTTCAAGATCTGATAAGGACTCCATCCTTTCTCTCCATTCTCTTTTTGCCTCCTCCAATAAATGATGAGTAGGATCTTTAGATGAATAACGATCATTCAAGTTAAGATGAGCTGCAAAATACCATTTGCGATAATTGGCATGCTCGCCTCCAATATAATCAGCATGTAAACTCCATAATGCTAGTTTAGGCGACATACGTGCAGATCGTGAATTTAGCATGGTTAACAAATGATCATGCATATTTCGTATATTATCATGTTGAAATCCATATATTTTTTCTAATTGATCAAAGAGATTGTGTATATCATTTAATGATATTGGTGGGTTTTCATGCCAGTTGGGATAATTTGTTTCTTGTCTAGATAAAGTAGGTTCATTTCTGCTTTCTTGAAGTAATGCTGTATATATAGAATCTGATGTTGGTTCATTTGTGTTTTGTATTAAATTATAATGAATTGGAAGTTGTACAGGAATTGATACTATTCAATAAAGAGGATATTAATATATAAAATTGAATGCCAGACCCCCATTCTATTTTACCACTATTTGAATGTCTAAGTAAAGAAAAAAAAAAAAAAAGAAATAAATAAAAATAAAACTATCTTAATATTTTACAAAGCTTGTTAACTTACTGTGTAGAAGCCATAATTCTTTTTTTTTTCTAACGTTTGATTTAAAAGAAATGACTATTCATATATTTATATGTGTATTCTAATAGAAAGAAAAAGAAAGAATTAAAAAAATAAAATAAAATAAATAGTAACGATTACATAGGTAAAAAAATAAATAAATAAACAAATGCAATACGTAATAAAGATAACTTTCTATAAAGTAAAACACAATTACGTTCACATAAACGTTAAGGGGATTCCTTTCGAGACGCTTATAAAAAGGTAGATTAAACCCTTTTTTTTTTGTAGGTGAATAAGCTTAATGTTAAAGGGAAAAAAAATAATTATATTTATTATTCAATGTTCTTTGATAAATTCAATCTTTTCATCCTAATGGATATCTTTGTTAAAGGTGTAGACATTAAAGTAAATCTATTGACTATTAACATATTTATCTATATCACATTCCAATAAAAAAAAAAAAGTACTGTGCTAATCAGGAATTTGACCCCCTTTTTTTAAGAAAATGTTAACATTTTATTGGAGGAAGTGTTAGCGATCATGTTGACGTATAATGATATGCAGTATTAATTTTACAGGATATATAGCGTATAAACTTAATTCTGTGTATCAGGTACAGATCTAGTTGTGTCGTTGATTTAAGAATAAATTCTATGTGGAACTTTATGAACGCCATTTCTATAATAAATCTCTTATTAAAAAATTGCACGTGGAATATTAAATAGCCCTTTACCTTTTTTTTTTTCTACTGGTAAAATAATTATTTGTGTTCCATATTGTGTACTATTTTTATATAAATTGACGAAGAAAGAAAAAAAGTAAAAAAGTACATTTTTTTGAAAGGTAAGAAAATGAATGTATACATGTCAAATTAGTTACCTGCTGGTTTTATCTTGTTTTCGGTTAAGAAGAACTACATAAACAATAGTCGACATTCAATTGTATTACGAGTAAAAGTACGATTAAAATATGAATTTTATTTATTTATATGTTTTTTTTTTATATTTTTTTTTTATGGCCAGGAGGGCACAGTGCATTTTTCATCTGCGATTTTGCCCGAGCCAGTTCAAGTAGTATATATAAGAAAGAAAAAACCTCTTAAGAGACAAGAGGGAAAATGAAAAAAGTAAAAAAGTTGATAGTAAAAAAGGAAAAATTCAGCGATTGTGCAGGAGTATGAACACTGTTATTTGAGCAACCAATTCACGAGAGAAGCACCAGTATCAGTGGGAGGTTCAGGAGGGAGTTTTCCATGGAAGATATGATCCATCTCATGTAGTATTGTACAAATCGTTGGCCATCGAATCGTCCAAGGAGCAGCAAGGTGTGCGGTTGATGGTTTTTTAGTAGGCAAGAGATTCAGTAAGAAAGAGAGAGGATCTTCGATCGACGTCGGTAATAACAGCCGATGATGCATGTGGAGACAGATGATGGCATGGTGACGAGTAAAATGTTCGAAAGGGTGATATATACAGGGACGAGGTATACCACCAGGTAGCCATCCAAGACGCCAACGTATAACCTGACTGCGTTGGGTTTTGGACATCGGCAACCAAAGGAGAGGATCTAGAGTCAACGTTGGACGACAGGCGGCAAGCAGCTTAGTATTTGGGCCAGTGCAGAGTGTTTCATGATATTGTTGTAGAAAGTCGTGCTGTAGTCTCTTAAACTTGCTTTTGGTAAGATCATCCAAGTAGCGGGTGCATTCTCTCCATAAAGAGTTCTTGGTCAGTTTGTACCATTGTGAGTGGCTTGCAGACGTTTCCAAGTGGGGTAGTAATTTGGAGAGCAAAGTATCATCAGGTAATTTCATGGATCGTACTAGGTATTTTGTTTGGAGTATTATTGATCGGTTCATCATCGACGGTTGATGGATCATGTGAAGCATCACTTTAGTAGAAGATCTCAGGGAGGCACCAAATATACGACGAAGACATTCATTTTGGCAGGCTTCTAGTTGCTTAAAGTGAGAACCGTTGAGCGCAGCGATGGCAAGGCCGTATTCCAGTTGTGCTCTGATCATCTGAACATACAAACGAACTGAAAGGAGACGGCTGAAACCTTTTGAGTTGACACCGAGAACAGCTATCTGGTTCATTGAAGATCGCGCTTTAGCCGTGTTTTATTTAATAAGAGCAGCAGTATCAATAGAACCACCAGCTTTTATAGGAATACCTAAGTATGCAAAAGAGGGTTCACGAGGTAGAGGTGTGTTATATAGGTTATATTGGTGATCATCATTGGGAGGCGCAACAACGACACATTTGGACGGACTCCAACGGTAGCCCACATGATAGCTATGGTCCTCACAGCTTCGCAGGAGTGAATGCATTTTAGTTGCCGGGGCGATTAGGACGACATCATCTGCGTAGAGGAGAGATGTGATCTTTGTAGCAGATTGGGTGGCATCAGAGAAAGCATCCGAAGTTGCATGCTGTGGTCTTAGAAGTTCAGGTAGATCATTAATGTAGATAGAATACAAAAAGGGTGATAGTATGGATCCTTGTAATACACCTGTGGCCGGAGAGAATCGAGAAGATACTGTATTATCGAGTAGAACTTCAATCTGTACATCATCGAATAAATTCTGTAAAATACCAAGCAATGGTGTTGGTGCAAAAGGTTGAAGTTTTTGCCATATATAGGATTGGTCAACAGTGTCATAAGCTGATTTGATGTCGAGGAAGATCAGGGTTGGGGTAAATCGATGATAACGTCGTAGGATGGTACAGAGTTCAGTAAGACATAGGACTTGGTCAAGGGAGCTTCGAGCTTCACGAAATCCACCTTGCGCAATATCTAGGGAAGGGCTAGTAGTTACCACGAGTAAAAGTACAGGGTTTTAACCTAAAATTAGACAATTGCAAATTTTTTCTTAGACATTTTAAATTTTTTCATTAGACGATTTTGCAATTTCTGTGGACGATTTGATATTTAGAATGAACGATTTCAAAGTGTTATATTAGACGATTTCAAATTCATGTTAGACACATTGCCATGTTTTTTAGACACTTTGTTTTTTTTGTTTAGACTTATCTTACCATTTTGGGTTTAATGTCCTGGTTGTATTTATAAGTAGTTTTTTTCTTTTTTCTTTATTATTCTTTGTGGTAATCAATATGAAGCTTGTTGTGATACTGGTTGAAGTGCTTGTTTCAGAAAATGAAGCAGAGGATTCTTCTGAAGAAGTTTTTACTTCTTGTCTTTGTTTCCAGTATAACTTCGCTTCTTTCGACTTACTCCACTTATTGTAGTTATTGAGAAGTGTTGCCTTTTTTGATTCGTCGTTAATCCAGAATTCAACAATGGTTTTAAAACGACGGACTGCGCGACGTTGGTGATAGCTAGAGAAGTAGTTGAAAAACAAGATGTGATCAAATTGATCAAAATTGTGTTTAACCCAGCCTAACTCAGGAGGAGCAACTCGTTTTTTAGTGGATGTAGTCGAACTCATGTTTTAAAATAAAGGAAAATACATTTTATTGCGGTCTCAATTAGAGCAGCGTTCAAAAATATTCTATGAGTTTTTTTCCTATTTCCCATGTACAGTAAGATACTCCTAGTTTAGCTTTAACATATGACTAAAAAGAACCTCCTTGGTCAAAAGCTTTCATTCCCATACATTACTACTATTTTATGTTACTCATTTTGATTGTTTTAAATACCTAGCTCGTATCTATCGTTTCTTTGTTGATGAATATCACATTAGTAATAAACTTAAATTACCTGGTTATAGTCTTTTATTGAGTTTTTGTTAGTTTCACTGTTTGAAATATGAAGGGTCTTTTTAAATAACCTGTAAACGATAACAATATTCTTGAAAGGGAAAAAATGAATTTCATGGTTTGTTGAAAAACGTTAGAAAGCTTTTTAAAAAGTCATCAAAGATAAGCGTATATCTACACAAATACCGAATTATACTAGATTACTTATGAGTAGACAAACATTTAATATATAATAAATAATAAACATTTCAGTAAAAAGACAAAATAAAAAAATAATTATAGTTTGAAGTTTAAAGAAGTTTATTGCTAGTTTTCAATTCAATTTGTATTATTCCTTTTCACCAGTTACACTATTCAAGACTTGTGCCTTGGAACCAAACTAAGTTGCTAAAAATCTGTTTTAGTGACCATAATAACAAATAAGCATTTAAATACATATACTTATCTTAAAAAAAAAAGGGTTTCTAATCTCTAATTCTCAAACATCAACTTATGCATTCTGCGAGGGTGCAGGCCAAATAATGCTAGTAAAGTAAATTCACTAACACATTGCATTCTGCGGGGGTGCAGGCCAAATAATGCTAGTAAAGTAAATTCACTAACACATTGCATTCTGCGGGGGTGCAGGCCAAATAATGCTAGTAAAGTAAATTCACTAACACATTGCATTCTGCGGGGGTGCAGGCCAAATAATGCTAGTAAAGTAAATTCACTAACACATTGCATTCTGCGAGGGTGCAGGCCAAATAATGCTAGTAAAGTAAATTCACTAACACATTGCATTCTGCGGGGGTGCAGGCCATTTTGCTAATGTTTGATTATTAAAGAAAAGAAACAAAGAATCAAAATTCTTGTGAAAAAATGTTTTTATTTGTTTGTGTCAAATATCCAATAATATTAATTTGCTAAGTCTTAACCTTTTACCCGTAAGTGTGACAATTTGTGATCTTTAGTGTGGCTTGTATATACTTTTCATTAGATTTCAGTTACAGATTTATGCCTACGATTTTGTTTCCATCTCATTGTTTCTATTATTTTATTAACATGACATTTAGTTACTTTAAAGATAAGGACGCTGATCAATGGATCATTAAAGATGCATTTGAAGAGCTTGAGCAAGAGAATCCAAAATGTTCAACATGCAATTTGCTATTTAAGTTAAAAAGGACATTGGTTTGTGTTGCAAAAAAGTCTGAAGATTCCACCAAATGTCTTGCCGCTGAAGGAATTTTAAATGATTGGGAGGTAGACATTCACTTTTTTTTATCACTATGGTAACTAACTATTGTACCTGAATTAGAATGTCAAATCATCTCTTAAAGAAAAACGTGATAAAAAACATCAAAAGTAGTAAATAATGTCAAAAATAGTGGCATCAATATCAATCAAACATCTGGAACAGTGAATTTAACTGTGCCAGAAACTTTATTATCTGGTAATTATAACAAACTGCTGTTAAAAAAAAGAAGTATTTTATTCATACTAACAGTTTTATAATAGTACCTACTAAGCGATCATTAGAGGAAGTATCAAATTCCACCTCCAATACTTCCTGGAACAGTGCGGAAGGTAGTAAAAAAAGAAAGACAATGAATATCTACATCAGCAGTACATATCAAAAAACCGATTTTGGCGGTGACAATGATAAAAACCCAAAGGTATTTATATATCCATTCAATTGCTAATAGCATGGTTTAACTGATATATGTATTTTCTATAGTGGTTGGCCCAAGATGTTGACGTTACGTCCATTCTCCGCAATTATCGTCAAAGATCAGTTGAAGGCGCTCAAATGCGCAAAGAATTATCTGATACAAGAATTTTGTAAGTTGATATCTAGCTCTTCTTTCAACTTCTCTACCCCTCTAACAATCTTTTGTTATATGTATAAGATCTTTATCCAATATATTTTTAATCTCCAACAATCGCCACTATGGCGGAAAATATGGTAGAAAAGTTACCAATATGGTAGCAAAGTTACCAATTTTGACAGTTAGAATATGGTAGGAATGATATTCTATAAGCACCCAAAAGGTAGCTTTTCTACCATATTTTTTTAGTAGCCTATATACAATATTGGTAGCTTTTCTACCATATTTTTTTGGTAGCTTATATACGATATGGATTGCTTATTTATCATATTTTTATAAATATAAAATAACGCTTTATTTTTTAAAACAGTACAAAACAATAGTGGGATAATGCTTATCTGCTTATTATATATGTGTTTTTTCATATAAACACTGAAGAAGATTCTAAACGTTTAAACTAACTTACCTTTTTAAAACTTGGACTAAAAAGAAAAAGTAATTTCTTCATGTTAGCAAGATAAAGTAACAAAGAACTTCCGGTAATTCGTGTATTTGCCTTTTCTTTTGTACGAGTCAAGTAGCGTATAGAGCTTTTTTTTTCTAAGAAAACAATGACTAATGAACAATATAAACGAATGTTAGAATTGAGTGCAAGATTATAAATAGCATAAAAAAGAACTAAAAACAAGATGGAATCTACTACCTTCTCAAATGAAGAGTCTTCTATACATAATAATGAACGAGATTGAGAGTTATTTTAAATAAGAACCATAATGAATTAGGCTAAAGAGAAAAGTGAAAAAAAACTTCATGCTTATTGCCATCATGTTTACTTACTACTTTGTTTATAGGCCAGATCTATCCATCAACCAAGTGTCTTTAGTACGCTAAATGGCTTTTCTGGTTCTCCTTTCTTTGGCTTGGATGAGCTCCATTTGATCGCTAGAGGCATCGGCAAACAAATGTACGACATGATTACCGTTGATCTCAACCCAAGTCAAAACACTGTCTTTTTTTATACCCGACAGGATGGCACAAAGGTGGTGGAGAACTACCCTTTTTATATACCCCAAAGAAGCCTTGTAAACATTGGAAAAAGCATAACAGAGTCAAGACAATATATCCCTACCTCATTTCAAGGCAGTTTTGACAATGTTGTTGCAAAAACCGAAGGAACTCGTGCTGTGGATTGGCTGGACTTTCTGCTCTATATTATTCCAACTTTAGTTACCCCATATTTACCCAATAGAACAGTCCAAAAAGCTGTATTATCGCTAGTGAAAGGTTGCTCTTTGGCCCTTCAATGGGATCTAACTGATGAGTTGATCAGTGAGATGGATGGGTAAGACTCAAATTCTATAATATTACACAAACTGATTAGTAACCCCTTCTACACTAGGCACTTTAACGACTGGCATAAGTACCTCCTTCAACAGGTTAACCATAAACATATATCGCGCAGCGTATTCAGACCAGTACAACATTACCTAGCTCATATACCTTTCATGATAAAAAAGCAAGGCCCTCTTCGAGCGTATTCAACAAGGTCAATGGAGCGATCGATTGGGGTTTTTTCAAAGCTGATCAAGTCGAAACGTGAGGGTGGAAAAAACGCAAGTAACGTCATTGAAAGACTGGCAATCCACAATCACGTCAACCGCGTTTTAAACATTGCTGAACTGGCTAATCTGATTCAACCCAGACAATATACCGATGCCAGCTACATGAATATACCCAATGATGCTAATGGTCCACAATTATGGGAGTCTTTCATCCCAATTTCTGAGCTGAATGACGATCAATTGGTAGAAGATATACCCGGCAAGAAAATTGTAAAAACTATAAAGAGATTCTACACTCGCTTAAATAATCAAAGACTCCCCATCAATATACCCAGCACTTCTATAACCCTTGCATCCCGCCTTTTGGTTTCTTCAACTGTATATTCATCTTGTATGTACAGGCAATTAAAAAAAGAAACCAGTAGAGGGAATCAGTACATCATGTTTTCCTGTTTAGATAACACGTAAGTTTTAAAAAAAAAAACTAAAACAACTATAAATTCTTATTTACCGAACATATTATTTTAGAAGAAGGAAACGTTGGTTTGTTGGTTCTGTTCTGTTCTATTTCAAGCATGAGCTTTCACAATCGAATGTACAATTTCTTGCGTTCATTGAAGTCATGAGTCAACATACCACAGCTTCGCATGACTCATCTGTCCCTCTAGTAAAGCGAAGCAAGCCAATAGAAGAACAAACTGGCAATACTTCTATTATATACCCAAAATACGCTGTTATCAGTGTTTATGACATCGATAGGTAAGCTGGTCTTGTACAATACCCTGGAGTTGATAACCAGTTTTATGTTATATCCCCGTACTTTGTTTTCGACATTAATCTTCGCATAACAGTTGGTAACATTTCTTTAATTTAAATTATTATGCTCCAAATAAAATAAAAAAACCAGCTCAAAGCTTGTTTGTTGAAAAGAAAAAAAAATTCAATTAAAAAATTAGAAGCCCGTTTTGGCTCTGACAGAAATTCAAGCGCTGAAATATGGTAGCTAAAATACCAATTTGGTAGCTGTTGCCAATTTTTTTTTTTTTTTCCGTAAAAAATTAAAAATCATTATTCTAAAATGAAGTTCATGGCTTAAATGAAGGGAATAAAAAGACACCCAAACATATAAAAATAATCTATATACTTTTTACTATTCACCTAGTTGCTTCTAGACTTAATTCTAGGGATTTAAAAAACATCTCACCATTGCTAGCCATCTGGGATGCACCCTTCCTTAAATGTGATTGACTGGTTCAAAAAAAATTGGTAGCTTTTCTACCAATTTTTCCTCATTTACCATAATTTCCGCCATAGTGTCGAAAGTGCTTCCTTACAAGATTAGATCCTGAACAAAGGAGAGCCATCATTAAAACCTTGGATACAAAAAAAGAATTACGTTTATTGGATGATGATGTTATAATAACCTGTAGAAACGTACATAGAGTGTTGACTGATGACGAAGAAAATGATGATGATATGAATGATAGATTAGACCAAACTAAATTAAGCAACACCAACAAGGATTCAAAGGCATTGGTTACGATTGTATCTTCATTCATTGACAGATATAACACAAGTGAATCAAGCCACCAAGATGGCGAAGCCAAGTTGATCATTGAAGGGTTACGCCCATTTATTATGAACTGTATTATTTCCAGCATCAAAAGTGCAAAATTTGACTGGTAGGTTAAAAAAATAAAACAAAAATCCAATGTCTTGTTGCTAATTAATACTTTAGGCTTACTTACCATCTTCTCCCACACCCCACCCATCCCAACAACCAAACAATGATATCTGACTTCACGTTGTTCGTGGATCCATTATCGACAATGAATTTCGAATTGTTTTTCGTGGAGGTGAAAAGACCAGGTAACACCAGCAATGGTACGTTGGAAAACGACTTGACGAAATTGGGGAAAGAAATGCAGATAGCCTTGAGCAAACTTGTCCTTCAAAAAGTGGATAATCCTGTGGTCGTTGGTCTCTTGATCAAAGGTAAGTTAAAAGATACTTTTTATTATTGCATTTGTATTGAGACATTTTGAATATAGGTACCAAGGCAAGCACCTTTAAAATGGATATTGCCTACAATGGCCAATATAGAATGGTTGAACTAAGCCAATTTCACCTCCTCCAAGAGTATACTGATGATATCATGCTTGTGCCCATAATCATGGAAAAAATGTTCCAAATTCAAGTAAGAGCAATTGAATCAATAGTTTGATGTATTTGAGTTATTAACATTATATTATATAGGCAATCATAAAACAAACAATCAATAACATTTACGAGGCCATCAATGATAAAAACATACCTACATTAGACGCCTCAAATTATATCAGATACCCCTGCGGCAGCCCATTAGTTGTCAAAAAATAATGTGTCTTATATGCTTTTTATTATTTTTATTATTATTATTTTATTTACATTTGTTCAAATATATTATTATTTTTAAAACATAAAATAATATCGTTCATTTGAAAACATATAAAGTGACTTGATTTAATGCATTTTGTTACAGTAAAAAAAAAAAAAAAAAAAAAAAAAAAAACACTTCACAGGCGTGTGGATTCAAAACGTCACTTTCCATGTTCTATATTCACTTATTGACCATCAGATGGCTGGCTGTGTATGACTAATGTCCTAAAAAAAAGGATTAACAAACAATATATTGGCAAGAGATAATGGCATGTCTTGCTGTTACCAGGTAGTGGGCAAGGTTTGGTGGCCTTGCAGGTCCTTTCACATAAAAATGATATGTGCACATTTGTCAAAACCTTTGGCGAAGATGCTGCTATGTTGTTACTTGTAGGAGTACGTGATCATCCATTCACACCATAGCCTTGCTGATAGGTCAGCTACTAGGCTTGGGCAAGGTTTGGTGGCCTTACAGGTCCATTCGCCTAATGTATCTAACATGTGCACTTCAACCCAATGTTTTGCTAAGTAAGCGAACTTACCAAGTCAATCCAAAAATCAGTTCATATTGATTACCACAAAGAATAATAAAGAAAAAAGAAAAAAACTACTTATAAATACAACCAGGACATTAAACCCAAAATGGTAAGATAAGTCTAAACAAAAAAAACAAAGTGTCTAAAAAACATGGCAATGTGTCTAACATGAATTTGAAATCGTCTAATATAACACTTTGAAATCGTTCATTCTAAATATCAAATCGTCCACAGAAATTGCAAAATCGTCTAATGAAAAAATTTAAAATGTCTAAGAAAAAATTTGCAATTGTCTAATTTTAGGTTAAAACCCTGTATCAGTAGAGAAGGTCTGGCTTTCCAACACTATTACTAAACTTGGAAAGACATTTACAACACTATATACACATTCAAAACTCTCAACACCTTGAAAAACATCGCAATAACTAGGTAAATGCCGCCTAATCGACATAAATATAATAAGACTCCTAGTCGAGTTTTATCTGAAGAAGAACTGGCAGCCCTTGCAAAAGGCTTCCTTGAACATCGCAAAGCGATACCATGTCCTGAATGCAAAAAAGTCACTACCTATCACAGTAAGGGTGATTCTCCTTCTAAAACGCACCACTACCAACCCTGTTACAAGTGTACCTTATGCTCTCATACTATACATGCACCTGAAATGCTTGATATCATCACTGCTCCCTCAAGGATGGTAGAAGATATATCTAACAATGTACCCCCAACAGCAACTCCAACCCCTACCATTGTTGTCCCCGTAACCCAATTCGACAATAGTGCTACACCAGACGTACAAGCGCTTTTTAATATGATTACCCAACTAACCACCCAGCTTGCAGAACAACAAAAAGTAATTGTGCAACTTACTGAAGAACTCCGTCTCTCTAGATCAGTTCCACTACAACTACCTCCTGCCGCCATCCAACCTAGCACTGACGAGGACGACTTTCCTACTCTTCCAGATACACAATTTTCCTCGGCTCCCTGGCACCAACCAGAAAGAGTCTTAGCTCTCAAAAAGAATCTAGTCCAACACCATGCGAAACGCGAAGCTGCTGCTGCTCGTTTCTTTCAAGCCCCTTCAGCTACTCAAGGTTTCCAATACTTACATATACCTACCAAGGCACGTGTTCCCCTCGGTAAGTTAAGAACTACTTTAAAGAAACTAGGAGTCAACAATGGTCGTCTCCTAGATTTACACTACCCTGACCGCAACATTGTTGCAGTGCTCGTCCATAATGACTATGCTCCTGAACTCCAAGAACTGTTAACTAAACGAGGCATCAAACTCCATACTACTTTTGATCCCTGTAATGGAAGTGTACTCAAAGATCCCAAATATGCCAATGAATCAACTGAACAACGTCAACAGGTCGCTCGTGATCTTCATAATCAACGTCTCCAAAAAGCTCTTATTCATATCCGTGGTCCGGCTAAATATGCTGTGGCACGTTTCTTTGCCCATAAAACCTGGATTACCAAAGACCAACTTGCTGACATACTGACTACTGATCCCTACTCCAGTCGCCCCCAAGAGGACATCTTCGAGCTTGACGTTGCTGCTTCTGAATCTTCTAAATTTCACGCGAGTGCGATGGATGAAGATGATGTGAACTCCACCCATACTAATTTGAACTAATGAGTGGTTTTCCATTGAGAATATCACTTTTTAATGCTACTGGTCTCCCTAAACAATCTATTTATCCTGTATTAAATACTGCTAAAAATTCATCTCTACTCTTTATTACTGAAACATGGCTACTATCTCCCAACAAATATCCAATTCCCACTTGGAAACAATTCCATACCTACGGTATTCCGGTAAACTCCTATAACCAACATCGTGGTCAACTTGGTTTAGCTCTTCTTGTTAATCCGGACTTCAAACTTCCAATTCATCATATCAACCATGTCAATCCATTATTGGCCAAGTTTACATTATCAATCATTATAAATTCTAACTTATTAATTCATTGCTTATATCTTCCCCCCTCTTTAAAATCAGATCAAATATCAGAAATTCTCTCACTATTACCTATGGATTACCCTTCCACAACCAAGACTATTATATGTGGTGACCTCAATTCTCGTATTGGCGAGTTGGTTGGTGACAGTCGGTGGAACACAAGCGGACGTCTCTTTTACAATTGGATGGAAGCACACGGTTTGATTCTATGGAACCAACGGCTGGCTTTTGGACAACCGACTAGTTATACTTATCATGGTACAAGTATCATTGATTATTTCCTTAGCAATACTGACTTGGAGACACCTGACCTTAATATCCGCGACGATCTATCATTAAATTCTAACCACACTTTTATGACTTTCTCTTTTCATCTACCCCAAGTCCATTCTTCTCACAACCTTTCCGTTGAGGTCCATCGTCCACACTGGCGATTGAAAAAGCTGAAAAAATTAGATCACTATGAAAGGTACCAAGCTAAGTATGCAAATGATAGTGCTAAAAAGATGCGTATAGTAGACTCTTCAGCCCCAACGTTTCAAGATACAGATGCTGCTCGTGCTTACATCGACCAATTCTCAACTTCACTATGCCAAACTATCTACGAATCGTTGGATCAAATCTGTGGAAAAAAGGATACTACTGCTGATGTGTTTTTAAAACAGTTCTGGACCGCTGAAATGACATCTGCTTTCGAGCTTAAACAATTCTATTACAAGAAATGGCGAAAAGCAAATGGACTGAATTGCTTAACTTATTGGTTAAAACATCAAGAAACTACTGCTTTACTAAAACGACTAATCCAACAACGGCGTATAGGAACGTGGAGACAATTTTGCGACGAGATGTCTAAAGGCGAGTATACTAAAGCAATTGCACGATTCAGCAGAATTCGTAAAAACAGATCGGTGAAGCCTTCCTTCTCACCAGATCCAGATATTAACCGTACTCTGGCTGACGTTATGGCCGACCATCTTCAAAGTATCTATGCCGGGCAATTCCTCACTTCACCATCTAATTTGGGTTCATCTTCTCCTATAACTAGTGGTCTTCCTTTTAATTTAAATCTTTGTCCCTTCTCATCTGAACAAATTCATGAGACTCTAAAACAACTGCCTCGTAAAAAAGCTCCTGGTGTTGATCACATACAGACGGAAATGTTATTACCCCTAATTCACACTTTGGTTCCCCAGCTTCTACATCTCTTTCGTACCTGCTGGCAATGTTCCTATACTCCACTATCATGGCGAGTTGCGCAGGTAGTACCGATACACAAGAAAGGCTCCAAAAGTGACCCAGGGAACTTTAGACCAATTAGCTTGACATCTATTTTTCGTAAATTATTTGAAAAATGCTTGTACCCTAGCCTATTAGATCAATCCCCTACTCTTGATATTGCTCAAGGCGGATTTCGTGAATCTCGTAGCTCTCTTGATCAAGTTCATTGTCTTGTCGAGATCTGCTCTATTCTTCGGCGTAACCACAATTGTTTTCCTACCCTTGCTTTTTTAGATATCAAATCAGCGTATGATACTGTTGATCGCTCCTATATTTGGGAAGTGCTTCAACCTCATCTCTGCCCGGCTTTGCTTGGAGTTCTCAAAAATCTCTTTGATCAGGTTCAAATTGAAGTTCTTCTTGATAATCATATATCGTATCGTTTCTCTCCTGTCACTGGCGTCTTACAAGGGTATATTCTCTCTCCGTTTCTATATTCAATCTATATCAACCAACTTCCAGCTCGTTTGAGGTTACCACACCAACTCAATGACTCCTCCACTACTGATGTAGTTACTACATTTGTACCGTCCCTTAATTGTCTACTCTATGCTGATGATGTCGTCCTTATTGCCTCCCCTGAGAAACTCGCTTCTTTACTGCACCAATGCGAAGTTCATAGTTACTCCTTAGGTTATCGGTGGAACCCATTAAAATGTGTCATAGTCGCTCCTACCAATGATCCTCAACCGTATCAATTATATGGTACTGCTATTCCCAAAGAATCCTCCTTTTCTTATCTTGGTGTTCCTCTAAAACCTGGTGGTCTACTTGATTATGCTGCTCTAATCCAACATAATATCAATAAAGCCTCTCTCACTATGAATCAACTTGCTGCTATTGGTCTCAACTCCAAAGGTCTTCCACCTCTGCTTGCATGTCGTTTTTATAGTCAAATGGTTCGTTCTCAGTTAGATTATGGTCTTGCAATTAGTCCTCTCTCTGCTAAACTTACCAAAGCACTGGATACCTTTCAAAATTCATGTATTCGACGTATCTTTGGTGGTCACTCACGGTCCTCGGCGAAAGTCATGCTTCATCTTGTCAACCTACCATCCATGAAGACCCGTATTGCAGTCCTCCAAGCGCAATACCTCTTTCGAACTTCCCAATTACCAGCAGATACTCTTCTTACCCATCTTTTGCCTCATGTTCAGCTCTCAAATAGTCATTCCCACTGGTATAAATTGGCTCAAACTACATTGTGGACACACCTATGCTCATCAAATATCTCAACGCTCGACCGAAAACAATTCTACACTCTTCGTGCTAAGTTCCTAGATGATCAATTTCAAAACCTTCGTCAAGATACTAACTCCCTCCTATTGTCTTCCTCACGCCCCACTCTTGAATTGGATCCCATCCTTTACTTACCAATGACTACCTTAGAACGTAGCCGAGTGCTTCGATGGCGACTTGGCTGGCTACCGGGTGGTAAACCTAAAGGATGTACATCATCGTCTCTACATGCCTACTTTAGTCAAAGGTCCTATCTCGTTCCTCCTCAACTTGCTTCCACTACATAAACCTCGTCGTCCTTCTGATTGCACGAGCTGGTATACTTTATGGCCTATTATTTATACGATTCTACATGAACTTGATTACTACTTTCATGATGAATTTCCTCTTGATCCTGTCGATCCTGGTCTCCAGCTGTTGAATTGGTTATCCAAGTAATAGTGTGTGTCTTCCTGGTCACTTTGGTCTTATTTGTATTTAAATTGTTTCTTCTCACTTTTTCGCTTTTTCTTCCTTATATTTTCTCTTAATTCCAAAATACTGCTCTTTTTTTTTTCCCTTCTTGTCCTTTAGGAAGGTTTTTATTCTTATTTCCCCTCTATAACTGGCTCGGGCAATATTGCGCATTTATTTCGTCGCTACCTGCTCAATGCCTGAAAATTAAAAAAAAAAAAAAAAAAAAATAATAATAATAATAATAATAAAACTCAGAATTTAATCGTATCAGTAGAGAGCACCAAACGGAGAATAAATATCTCGTTTTCAAATTGGCATTGTAAATCTAAAAATATCAGCATTTTCATTCTGTGCACGAGTGAAGTTACACAAAAAAATTTTATATAAAAAAAAATGTTTTGCTACCTTCTCTTTTTCGATTTCTTTTTTTTTCTTTTCCTTTACCTCCTTGTTTATAAAATAATAAAAATGAAGTTTACTATCCTTACCATTCTCTCCGTTATTGCTTCTGCTGTTTATGCTCAAACTCCCGATGCAGGCGTTGCTGTCACCTTACCTTCTCTCGGTGTAAGTTTTCCATTATATAAAATTGATACTTTATATGTAATTAACACCTGAATTATTATAGCAAGTTCTTCAAGCTGGTAGTTCTTTTACCATTACTTGGTAACTAATTATATTTTTTTTTCTCGAAATCTCGATATTTGTTACTAACTTCCCCCCTTTTTTTTTGTCTATAGGACTGTTAATGCTAGTAGCAGCACCGCATCAAAGAACATCAATTCTATTGCTTTAATGGAAGGCAGTTCTTCAAACTTGCAAACTTATATTCCTAATATCCTTTCTGCTCCCATTCCTGTCAATCCTCCTTCTTACAATTGGCAAATTCCCCATACTGTTGAAACTAACCCTTCTTGTAAGTATATATGTTTTTGTATAAAATTATCAGGCGATATTTTTTATTTATTTATATTAACATGTTTGAATATTTTAGACGTTCTTGTTCTCACTGGTGATAATGGAGGCCGCACTTACTCCACTTATTTCACAATTTTAGGTGTTGCTCCTGGTACTAATGTCACTACTTTAACTACTTCCTCTGCTGTTACTTCTTCTGCTACTGGTAGCGCTAGCACTGGCAACCCTACTGCTAAGCCTACTACAAGCGGTGATAAGACTCCTAGCTCATCTAATACTGCTGCTACTACTACATCAACCAGTGGTGCTTCCAACTTTAAGGCTGGTATGATTGGAGTTGCAGGTATTGCTGTTGCTGTTACAGCTCTTTTACTTTAAATAGTATAAAAGCACGTTTGTTATATACAGTATAACGTTTCTTTTTTCTCTCCCTTCCTTTTTTTTTTTTTTTTTTTGTTAGCATTTAAACCTTAAATTTATTGTAAAAGTCATCTTTCTCTTACATTTTATTTATCTAGTAGAATTTTATTATCTCTTAATATCTTACTTTATAACTTTACAAATATATGAAGTTCCTTTTCTTTTTTAATATATCATTATGTGGTGTAACAGTTGAGCTAACGCTTATTTTTTTTTTTTTTTATTTTAATAATTTTTTAATAATTTTTTAATTGGTTCTAATTTACTTTGATTGTCTACAAAAAAAAATCTGGAAAAAAAAGGGCAGAAACAATTAGTTAAAGTGAAACAAATAAATAACAATAATAATAATAAGTATTGATCATCTTAGTATTACGTGTTTTGGCTCCATATTTATATACTGAGTGAGAATTCCATCCTTGTTAAGTCTTCTATTTACAATAATTTTTAAACATTATATACATTTATTAACAAAGCTGAGTTCAACATACATAGTAAAAAGAAGTCTAGATCGTCTCTGTTATTTGAGGAGAGCTAACCAAGGCAGCAATACCTCTCTCGACAAAGGAGTTATTTAGAAGTATGTGTAGTTTGTGAATAAGGATTTACTGCTATTACTTTATCAGTAATAAGCCTTAGAAAGCCATTCCTGAGAAGAAGAAGAAAAAAAAAATTGAAAGATAGAAAAGGTAGTAATCCTACATATTTGAACACAAATTGAAACGTAACCTATGATTTATTAGCAATAGTAGATCAGAAAAAGAAAACTATTAATTATTGATGGATACTATTTTAATTACAGTGAGTTCATAAATTATTGTTTTTCAAATCGCTTCCCGAAATTTTTAAATTCGCCAGTAAAAACATAGTTGAGAACAAATTAATTTGTTTTGTTAATAAAAAATAATTTGCTTTTGTGCTTTCCTCTAGGTGTTTACTACATTGACTACGAAATATTTCATAAATAATCATTTAATAATATTACAATAAGAAGCTTGAAAACCTATAGTAAAATTTCCTATAAAAAGCTCAGGGGAGGAGGAGGAAGAGAAACAACTTGAAAAAAGCAACATATACCGAATTAGAAAAAAAACAAAATAATTTAGTAATCTGGTATGTTCTTTATTGTAATATAACGATTATCTTACCTGTATAAATCTTTAAGTCTCTCCTCCAAAGAACCAACCATATTCGTTGTGATGCTTCTATTTCATTGTTTATAAAAAAAAAAAAATATTGGATCGTCCCCGACCAGCGCATATCTCTGTTGAAATGGGAAACACGTTTTTTTTTTACAGGCTATAATACTACTATTCAAAAATATACCATAATTATTGCAAATCAGTATATGATGAATATAGGTGCTATATTCGGTTTTAAGTTGTTTTAAATTTTAAGATAAGCAAGAGTAGTAAACCTATTATACAAATGGTTATTAAGAAATATAGCCATGTTTTATCGTTTTACTCTCATAGTCCTGAACTCATTTATATCTAAAAGCAAAACCTCTCTACACTTTTCCTTCTCCCTCAAGTGTTTGTAGATTTTTTTTTTACCGATACATCATGTCTATATCTATGTCTTTAAAAATAAACATGACTCGTGTATTTAAGATCATCTCCAAAAAAAAAATTACTAATAGCTTTCTTATTTGATTTCCCTCTTGGAATTGACTTTTGTACTTTTTTTCTATAAATGAGCGATATGCCAAAACCAAAGTTTTATTAGAGATTATAACTCAGTTCGACCGACTAATGAGCAATCCCTGGATTTCTTCTATTGATCTTTTTTTTTTTTCTTTTGTTCTTGTTATATATATATTTTAACTATTTAGAAGAATATTTGTGAATTGACCAAGAGCTTGCTGTCTTCCATGATAATTCTGTCAGTTGATTTTTGCTGTTCTGAAACAGTAAAGATCGAATAAATTATGGATATGGCCTATTATATACTGTGCATATTAGAGATATTGTTTAGAAGATGAAGTTTTTTTGGTGAAGGAATATTTATTTTAATATCTTTGATTTTTCGTTGTTGCTTTAATTCATCTTTTTTTTTCTCTCATTTTATTGATGGAACCAGAAGAATGATAATATTCTTTTGTTAAAAGCTTTTTGATTCTATCGTCATCATGATAAGATAGAAAAGCATCTTTTCTCCCCCCCCGGATCAACCATACACGGTCTAGAAAACCCTTGGCTTTCTAGAAATTGGAAGTCTTCCAATTTAAGTTTAACAGCATCTATCGCTAGTTTTTCTTTGTTCCTCCTACAAAAATCGGTTGAACAGGTATTATATCATCAGTATATACATCATTGAGAAACATTTGGCCTTAACCGGTTAACCCATACTAAGCTTACATTCAACGTATTGCCATTTAAAGTTTGGAGGATCGTGCAGGCCTAACTTAATTTGACGAAGAATGGATACTTTGCAATTACATATTCTATTGTGATTTTATCATAAATAAATTTAAATATAGAATACCAGAATTAAGTCTAATATTGGCCTTTGCTTTCGTTTTTTTTTCCTTCATGTGTCCAATTTATCGCAACTTTCTCCTAAGGCATCTTTTCTTTTTCTCCCGATTTCTTTATAAACATTATATTAACATTCTTGTTCTATTGCTGCAAAAAAAAAAAAAAAAAAAAAAAAAAAAAAAAAATAACAATAATAATAATAAATAAATAAATAAATAAAAAATTGAGCAATATAAAATTACTCAAAATGACAACAAGACGTTAATTATTTAAGCAAGTAATCTCTCAAGTATTCACCATAACATGTCTATCTCATAATACCCCCCCTAAGAGAGATGTTGAAACTTATTTAACAATAAAATTCATTAGAAGAGCTTTCTCTTTCGTTCATAAATTATAAACAATTTATCAGCGTGCTTTCTTACTGTTAGCACCTACTTTTAATTTAATTAGTTACTTATACATTCGGAAACTATCAACCTGAGAAACAGGTAAGTTGCTATTTAAACATAAGATGGTTTTTAATAACATATGGCTTTCCTTCTGGTCCTGTTCTAGGCATACTTTTTTTTTTTTTTATTATTATTATTATTATTTATTTATTTATTTATTAATGTATAATAATAAAAGTCTAAAGAGGTAAAGTATCTTTAATAATATATCATATGTACAAAATGCTTTTTTTTTATATAATAAAACTGTAGCTCTTATAAAATTCAAGAATATTAGAACTCTTTTGAGAGATAAATCCCTTAACACTTGACAATACAGTAGAGTCGATAGAGTCATTAATAGCCTGATCGAATGTTTGAGAAAGACTTGTAAAGTTAAAGGTAAATCCTGAGGGGATGAAATTCATGGTTGTATTCATTCTGTCAGTAGAATTGAGGACAGAGAAAGGGAATTTTATGGCTTTAGCAACACGAGGTAAGGATTGATCCCATTCAACATCAGGATGAATCATGTTAACAACACTATCAATAAAAGGAAACATGACATTGGGATTAATGAGGGATCGAGTTAAGTTATACATAGTGTATTGCAAGGAGTTTAGTAGATGATCATTAGCAAAGAGCTTTTTTGTTAAAGGACGGATATGGAAGCCAGGATGTTCACTATAATTTCCACTAAGCATTAATCTCTTATCGAAAAGAGATATACCGATGGTTGTGTCTAGATCAGCAGGAATATAGGTCATTTTACCATCTTCCTTAGGGTTGCTATAAACATAAAAGTTATCTGCAAGTGTCATATACGCATCGGAGAAACCAAGAAGATTTTCAATAGCCATACTATATATGAATATATTTAAACCTCATTAGAAACCAACTTTTAACTATATCTCTTTTATATGTATTTATAGATATATATCTATACTTACGCTCTGATAAATCCTACAGTATTTATATGCTTTTCCCATTCTTTAGTAGTTGTACTTTTATTTGCGCTATCAATGAATTTTGTAAACTCTTGTAAATCTTTATAATCCTTTGAGGTTTCATCTCCCTGAATACCAGCCTTAATTTTGTATTGACCCATAGTATACCATGTTCTGTTTTCATAATAGCTCAAATCAGAAAAAAGAGGTATACTCTCATTCATAGCAAGTGCTTGGCCTTGATACAAAACACCAGGCTTATAATGTGGATTGCCATGATCAAATTCATTTGCAAGCCAAGGATCTTGGAAAGTTTCAATTAAACCATAAAGACCAATAGGTCTCTTATTGATAAATAAACTATTTTTTTTTTTTTTTTTAAAAAAAAAGGAGGTTATAATTACATTTTTTTTAAAAAAAAATTAGAAATTACCGAACATAAGAGTAGCCACTAGCAGGTATACCAACAGCATTCAAAGTAGAATAGGCAATGCATTCACGAATATAAGAAGGATCATAAGCAGAAGCACGCAATTTAAGGTTTTTATAACCATAAAGGCTTTGTTTATCTTTTTTAGGCATCTTCAAACTGTATGAAAGTTTAGGAGCAAAACGGGAACTACGACCAGCTAAAGATACTTTTACATCTTTAAATGTCTGAGTGTCATTTAAGCTATTTTAATGTAAAAAGAAAGAAAAAAAAAAGAGAGAGAAAGAAAGATCAATAGTTTAAATATGTTGGTAAAATTTACACATAATTAGTATTTACCTGTAATAAGTCATATTTAAACGAATAGTAATATCCTCAGTCTGTCTTTCATGCATGTTGTCAATAGCACTTTCATTACCCCAAAGGTGTATAGTAGGTATTTGATTAAGAATATGTAAAGGTGAATCAAGTCTGTCAATCTCATGCAAAGGCTCATAAAGTTGAGGCAAGGTAGTGAGTGAATAAACGTTAGATGAACGATTAAAGAATTCGTTTACAGTATTGTCATGAGTAGGAGAACGTATAAAAGCTTCAGTTGCATTCATTGTAGTATTATCCATAATAGCATAGTAATATCCATGTGCTGCAATAGGAGCTTTACCTGAATACAAAAGACTTTCAGATGAATTAGTAGAGAGGGGATAAGTTACATTATCAACAACGACGAAAACTGACATATCATTTGCAGCTGGCGAAGTAATAACATTGTATGTAATGTTTTGCTGTTGCGCAGCAGCTAATGCAACAAACAATGCAGATAAGCCTATAATTGGTTGTTATTAAAATAAATAAACCTTCATATTTGCAGATAACAATTGTTTTTTTTTTTTACCTATTCTTTTAAGAATCATTAATAATATGAATTGCTGATTTGGAAAAAAAAAAAAAAACTGCTTTTTATAAGCGTCAAAAAAAAAAAAAAAAAAAAAAAAAAATTTGCACTATATCCGCGGCAATGTTTAAGAATAAGTAGTAAAACTTACATTTTGCTCCTACCAGGGATATACATACTTGACCAACTTTTTATCTATCTGAAGTTTGCTTGCTAATAATGAGATCTACAAATTTATATCAGATCTACCTGATTGTATGCATATAAACGTCTTTTCTTTTTCTCAACAACTCATAAAAAGAATAAAGCCTTGATCCATTTTAACAGACAAGAAGTAAATCCAAACCTTTTGTCTGTTCTTTTTCTTTCTTTTTCTTTCTTTTCTTTTTTTTTTTTTTTTTTTTTTTTTTTTTCCACCACAGATACAACACTAATTTTTGAAAATCAATCATTTATTATACAATAGAAGTCACTCCTTTTTTTTTTTTTTTTTTTTTTTTTTTTTTTAAGTCTTGTTGGGTCGAACTGAAACCATTTGAATGACATACGTTTCAACTCAGAATTATAATATTATGAATTGAGGTCATAGCTCGTTTTCATAATCTAAAAAAAAAGGAGAGCTTTAGGCAACGCAATATATCATATAAAATATAAATCAAGGTTTATAGAAGAGTTGTATTATTATCCCGTTTTTTTTTAATTAAAAGTAATGATTTAGTCTTTATATGTAAAGCGAATGAACACATAATGTTGGTCTATAACATATCAAATATCGCTTTTTTCCCCTTCCTTACTTTCACAATATACATATATTTATACATATATATATAAATATGCACTTATAAAACATAGTACTTTTTTAGCAATAAAATAAATGGGCACGATTTTTATAACTGTGATATTTGCAAGCTTATTATATTTTTTTTTCGAAACATATATAGAACTTCATAATATTTACAAATTTGAGTTCGTTCAATATCGTACTTCTGTAACATCGTTTTTTATTTTAAAGTTATGACAACAACAATATGCCTAACAATAAAATATTTAATAAGATTATTTATATTTATTTTTTTTTATTTATTTTTTTTTAAAAAAAACGAAAGCAATCATCAAAGATGATAAATATAAATAATTTTTATCATATGATGCTGCACTATTACTAGTTGCAGCGGACAAAGGAGGGGACGACGACTTTTTATATGCTTTCATGATGGCAGCATATTTCTTGGAAATGAAAGTTTTTACACTTTCATTGTTGGTTGCTGGAGAGGAAGGGCCTTCAAGGGCTTGATCGAATGACAGATTGGAAATAGTTTTCCAATCTATCATTTGGAAACCAGGCAACATCTTGGACAAAATAAGGGACGTGTTGAAGCCGTCTTGAGAAGTAGGTAATGTTCGATTACCCATTCTTTTCAACGAGAGGTCCCACTCGACATCTAGGCGAATCATGTTGACAATACTGTCAATAAAGGGGAAGAGGACAGCAGGATTCACGAGGTCTTGAGCAAACTGATACAATTTGCTTTCATAAGCTGCCATGTATTCCTTGTAAGACAATAGTTTCTTTGTCAGGGGTCGAGTAGTAAGTCCAGGATGGTCAGTCATGTTCCCACTTGTCATCAGACTTATGTTGTACAGACAAATGCCCATTGATGTATCAAGATCAGCTGGTATGTATGTATAACGTCCTGTCGTTAGATCTTGATACAAATAATAATTGTCAGCCATGGTCATATAACCATCAGATAAGCCAAGGAGATCTTCAACAGCCATCCTATTTTAATAAACAAGAGGAGTCATATACATGTATTTATAGTTTTAGCTATATAAATATATTGTTGCCATATCAACAAACTTACGCTTTAAGAAAATTATCTACATTTAGTAAATTTTCCCATTCTGCCAATGTTCTGTTTAATACAGTAGACTCATTAACAAATTTGGTAAAGTTCTGTAAGCCTTCATAGACAATTAGATCTTTACGAGAAAAGGGAGCTGTCTTAACCTTATATTGTCCAATGATGTATTTTGTAAGATTAGTACCTTCATATCTCAAGTCAGAGATAAACACTTCATTATTAGAATCAATTGCAAAGCCAGTGCCTTGATACATAAAGCCAGAAATATAATTTGCAGAACCATTACCAAAAGTGACAGCTACCCAGGGATCCTGAAATGTTTCAATAATACCGAATAAACCAATAGGTGTATTATTAATAAAAACACTATATCATTTTTTTTTAAATATATATATATATAAATATTAGATATATACACGCATTTAATGAAGGTAAGGGGAGGAGGAGGACTTCTTATGATCATTTATTTACCGAATATAGGAAAAACCAGTTGTAACAATACCAGCAGCTTTAAGGATATAATAAGCAATACATTCACGTATGTATGAAGGATCATGAGACAAAGCGCGTAACTTGAGGTGTCTATAACCAAATAAATTATCATTCTTTTTTAATTTTAATTTATAAGATAATTTAGGAACCCAACGAGAACTACGACCAGCTAATGTCACAGAAACATCATTAAAGTTATGAGTATCATGTAAGCTATATGCATGTCATCGTGAATGATAACAAAAACAAGTTAATATAACATTAAAAAGAAAAATAAAAATTCGGATTACAAACCTTATATAAGAAATTTTCATTTTAACAGAGGCACCATCACCTAATTGATTATTGTGCATAGTGTCAATAGCTTTTTGGTCGCCTTGGAGATGAATAGTAGGGATTTGCTCTAGAATATGAAGATTAGGTCTTGATAATGAAGAGCTAACATATTGAAGCAAATGGTCCAAGTTATAAACGTCATTCTCTCTATTAAAGAAATGATTAGGGGTAGTTGTAACATTAGAAAGAGGTGAACGATGAAAGTGCTCAGAGACAGAGATAAGATTAGAATGATCAGTATAACCATATTTATAACGATATTTAGCAATAGGGGCTTCTCCACGAAAGACAAGAGAACTTGTAGTGTCAAAATAAAGAGGATAAGTCACGTCATCAACGATAACAAAGACAGAGGAATTAGAAGGAGCAGACAGAATAATATTATAATTAATAAGATCAAATTGAAGTGTCCCAGGTAGTAATAAAAATAGTAGTAAGAAAGCTAAAAGAGTGAATATATTAGTTGTCATAATTGACTCATGTTATTTGTAATTCTCTCCTTCTACCTAGTAATAAAAACATGATGTATTGTAATAAAAGGAGAAAAGGAAGAAGAAGAAGAAGAAGATATTTGAACACTTTATTTTATTTTATTTTTAATTTCTATTTATTAATGTGCATTGTTCTTTTTTTATTTTTATTTTTATTTTCGTTACTGTAATAGATCAGCAAAATAATCTTCAAATTCTTGCTCCCTTGATTTTTCTTGCTTATTTTCAACAGGTTTACTCCAAATAGAGGATTCACTTTGCAACCTAAGCCCCTTGTGTACTTCTGCATCATCTTTTTCTATAAAAAAAAAAAAAAGCTCAGATTTAGCTAATACTTGTTTATTTATGTATTGTTTACCTTGATCTGATTCATTAATATTTTCACTTTTTGCATGCGTTTTTCTTCTTTTTTTCTTTTCTTGTTCCACATGCTCCTTCTCTTTTCTTCTTTTAGCTAGTCTTCGTTTTGTCTTGTAATTCAATTTGTCGGAACATTCAGGACAGAGTCGAACTTTAACAAGTTCATTTTTCTTTTCACCCTCTTCAATGTAACCAAAGTTGACTTCCCAGCTTTTTAGTGACTGCGTTTGATCACAACGAGTAGAGGCACAAATAAACTGTCCCTTCCCAACTACAACTTCCTTTTCCGTTCTCCATCGAAGAGCTATTCGTCCCTCCTTATAATACTTTAATTCACATATTGCGTATTCTTTAAATAATGCATCATAATACTTTTTGGCAACTCGTTGTTCCCAAGTTAGATTTCCTTGATCATCAAGTTCTGATCTTATAAATCTAAAAAAATAAATAAATAAATAGATGATAATTTATAAATATTTTCCAACAGGTGAATAGTGCTCATTATTTATTTTCCTACTTGTGATTTTCTTCGATAATATCTTTTTCTGTTCTATACACTGGAGGAATATAAGGTTTTGGTTTTTCTTGTTTTTGTTTCAAATACTCTTTCATGAGTTGTCGATGTCGAATAAGCTACAAATTAAAATTTAATCACTCTAATTAGCTTTTTCTTTTTTTCTGTTGAATAAAATAATTTACGTTACTAGACTATCATCTTTAGACTTCTTTTCTGACATTGCTGTTATAGATAATTTGAAAAAAAAAAATGTATACACAAATATTTATAAAAAAAAGGCTAAACAAAAGAACATTTAAACTCAGGACATATATTTTATATTTCAACAAAACGACTACAGATGTAGATCTTGTATTGCATTTTTTTTTTTACTTGGATATAATGGAATCGTCTTTACGTGATCAAGTCCGTGAATATATAACAGAATTTTCAGATAATGTGAGGAAATATTTTTTATCTTTATCAGCAATAGCCGAAAATGCCACTATAGATAAATCGAATAGTCCAAAACAGATCGTGGAACAGATGGCAATTATTGACAAGAAATTACAAGAGGCTGTTAAGCATAGTAATGCAACAAAATATAGAATAATAATAATAAAATATTTCCTGACGTTTTTTTTTCGAAAATTAACATTAATTTGGATCTAGTCGAAAGTCATCAAATTCGTCAACAACAAATAATTAAAGTGCAAGAAGAAATTCAACAACATAACATTGCTTTATTAGAAATTATTCAAAAACTTGGATCTGTACGCGATGAGCTGGATCTCTCTTTAGAAAAAGCCAAAACCGAATTAAAAGCAATGAAATATGCAACAGACTGTAAGAGTTTTCTAAATATTCAAATTGTTAAAAAAAAGTGAATTGAATGTATTTTTGTTTGTTTTTTTTATAATTAGCCAATGTGCAATTTACAGACGTATTAGCTTATGCTTCTAAATTATCAAAATATACCTCGGCACCACCTAATTTTGATAATACTAATATTAAAGTCGATTTTGAAAAACCATACCCTGATGAAGAGAGGATGCGTCGTGGATTACTCTATTGGCAAAACGCATCTCAACAACGAACAGAAGAAAAATGTATAATAATATGTGAAAGAGAGAGTATTGCTTTGTTTTAACTTATTGCCCTTTTTCTTTCTTTTTTTTTTTTTGTATATAGTTGAAAGCTCAGACAGTGAGGCTTCATCTAATGAAGAAATGGAAGAAATTCATATTAATAAACAGGCTGAAGATGCAGACGGAGACCCATTCTGGATTCTAGACTTGAATCCTGATATGCAACCATGAATGAGGAAATATGAGATTTTTAATAACAATAAAAACTAGTTCTCTTATAAACATTATTTATTCATACATAAAATTCAATTATATGCATCTTAAGAAGAGTTATTTTCGTTAATGATAGTAAAATAATCCGAATAAGTGTAATAGGAATTATTTCCACGCATGGCAATGACATCTATCATAGACCAAAATAAAAAGTTATTTCATCATTTCTTCTGTAGTCACTAGTTGCTTTGACTTTAAACTTACAGTCATTACGAGTAGTAAGATTGGTAGGGACAGTCCAAACATACTTTCTATCAGAAACTTGAATAGGGCCATTAGTAAGAATATTATGAATAACCCAATTCAAGTTAAGTGCGTCGCCATCCATTAAACTGATAGCATTAATGGTAGTAGCATTTGCATCCAAAATAGTCCTTTTTTTTTTAAAAAAAAAGAGCAAAACAAAATTTTAAAAAAGTTATTTTAACGAATCATTCTTACCATCATACTTACCAAGTAATGGTTAAGTTAGAGCCAGCATAGACAGTTTGCTGTAAAACAATATAAATAAACTATTAAAACTCAAGATACAACTTACATTAAGAGTTGGAATATTGATAGCAACACCTGCATTTACAGGTGCTTGTCCCAAAATGAAAGCAACAAAATATGAAAGAATCAAAGTAAGGATAGCAAAGATCTTCATTTTTCTTTACAAAATATTAAAAAGAAAAAAAAAGCGTTCTATCTCTCTCTCTCTTTTTGCTTTTACATGGTTTGTACGCTTTTTTTTTCCTTTTATTATATTAAGCGAGACATTAATCTTATCTCACATATTGAGTAGACATGTTTTACATTTTTTTTTATCTATTGTAGTATTTCAAACATGGCATATACCAAGCATAAACATATAATTGGTTAGAAACGAAAAGAAGAAAAAAAATATGTCACAGCAATGATGTTATATCTTTATTATTAAATCCATAACCTTCTTTTTTAAAACATCAACAAGCAGAAAAAAAGTATTATAATAGGCTTGTAGTGAGGCAATTTTTCTTTCTAAATGCAGCGTTATAATATCTTATATTACAGTGCAATTTGTAGCTTTTAAAATAATAAATAAATGTTGGTTTCTCAAATTCAATTGTCGCACATAAGAACTTTATTTCAAACGTTTATCGTAAGTGAAGATTCTATTTCCCCTCAGCCACTTTCAATAATTGTCGTTTTGAGCAACGAGATTATTTGATTGCTGATCATTATTTAACAGAGCAGATTTGTTTATTTTATTTTATTTTTTTTTTTAAAAAAAACATGTATTACCTAGAATGCAAGTAAAAATACAATACCTCCTGGTTTATGCTCTGGGATTCTTTTACAACACAGTCTACTTATTTTTTTAAATCATAATGTTTTTATTTTTTTTATCAATATAAAATGTACACTCTATTAATTAATAGAACTGAATCAATGATTACTCAGGGATGGAGAACACAGCTGGTTTCTTGGTAGCAATGATATCAAGATATTCGTCGTAGTGAATTTCTTTTTTCCAACTGGCCTGAATAGCATCTAAACTCGTATTACACGCTTCCCAAAAGTATTTGGTGATCTGTAATATGTCATTTATCGTTTTCATACTAATTGTTATAGAACAAGCTCTGTATATAATCATAAGTAATATTATAATAGATGAATTACATAATACAGATAAACTATAAGCCTAGATATGAAATAAAACGCTAAATATAACATCTTGTAAGTAATATAAAACTTATTGACATCCAATCGTCAAGGTGTATCAATTATAAGGCATCGTATCATTTCTAGATATTTATTTTTATAACCTCGACAAAGGATTCAGGTCGTCTTTGATTCAATAAAATAAAACATAAAAGATATCAGGAACATATACTCAGATCAAACAATAAAGTTTTTATTTAAATCCTCAATCAGATCATTATAACACGCAATAGATAATCTATATGAATCGATAGCTTGAATCAACACATTGTATATCTGAATACTAACACTGCCTCATGATTTATCCTTTTTTTTATAATTATTTCTATTTCTTTGATTCAGGATTCATTAATATAAATACAAGCAGTTGTGTAGACACAAAATAATCTTTAGAACCTTTAATTCTTATTTTTATTTCATTTTTCTTTTCATTGAATAAACACAGTCTCAAACTATACTTCCTTTTGTTCTCTTTCTCTCTTCTTTTATTTTCTCTTTTATTTTTTATTTACATTCCATCACATTAATAAAAGAAGGTAAATCATCTAAACAACGAAGGAATAAGATCTCTCCCACTTTCTTCATTACGTATATATGTTCATTCTCTATACTTGTTACAAAAAAATTAATTTTGAATCCTTCTATACTGAATGAAAATACATTTTGCTTGTTGTTGATATTTATGGTGCGCTGCGTAAGTATTGCTAATTTTACTACATCCATATTCAATGCTTTTTTAGAAACATTTCCAAGCTTACATTCGCCGTAACCAAGGCATAAGTTTTGATCGTTACTTATTGCACTGATAATTGCGTCTGGTCTTTTTGGAGTGTAGTTTTCAGCTGCCTTGTTCGTCTATCGCAAAAGTATGATGCATTGAGTTTCGGAGAGTATTGAAGTAAGTAAAGGGCTATAATAAGTACTCCATAACTCGGACTCTCCAAGCTTTGCAACATCAATCTCTTTCTTTGGGAGAAAATTCAGTATACAAGCAATGCCTTTCAAAACTTTTTTTTCGTAAATGGTTATTTCTTCTTTGAGAGATAGTTCCAAAAGCTTGATCATCCCCATTTCCAATAAAAGTACACCACGCTGGATATCATAAATAATCTTTGAAATTGCTAAATATACTGTATCCATAATCGTAAAGGTGTAATCAAAATGAGTGCATTCTTTAAGTATTTGATCTAATAATGCACCACCAAAATACTTAATTTGCAAGTCATTATGCTGATTATCGGTTACAAGAAGCATGTTAAAACGAGCAGCCAATTCTGTAATGTTTTTTTTCAGAAAATATTAATCCTTGTGTCATGGTTGTAAGATTCATAACTTAATTCAATAAGATAAATAGTCATAAAAGAATATATAGTGCATTTGTATAATAATTCTGTCTATAAACATATTTAGTATATTTACTCTTGTATAGAAAAAGAATTAATTAATAAAAAGTCCTACATCTAAAAATATACTTTCTTCTATTATTGTTCTGCTGAATATAAATTTATAAAAATAACTTTATACAAGTTAAACTGGGGTAAACTAAGAATAATACAAATACGCGTAATAATTGATTCTACTCAGAATACACGTATTAGTTATAAAAATAAATATATACTAAAGACATGAATCTATAATTATAACTCTTAGTAATCCTTCTATAATTATATTATCAAATACAATTTGTTATATTTTTTGTCTTCTTATTACTCATCATCCTTATTCACAAAATATATAAATACTCTTACATTATTCACCCTTATTTTGTATAACTTATAACTAATAACAATACTTGTATTGAATTAACTTTTAATAAACTTATTGACAAGTCTCAACGTACTTCTTCTGTCTTGTTTTCTTTTTATTTTATTTTCTTTTATTTAATTACTTAAACCTACCTAAACCACAACAAACATAACAAATTGTAGGTGATGATATAATTATAGAATGATTACTAAGAGTTATTATAGATCTATATCCATGCCTTTTGTATATAACTAATATATGTATTCTGAGTGGAATCAATTATTACGCGTATTTGTATTATTCTTAGTTTACCCCAGTTTAACTTGTATAAAGTTATTTTTATAAATTTATATTCAGCAGAACAATAATAGAAGAAAGTATATTTTTAGATGTAGGACTTTTTATTAATTAATTCTTTTTCTATACAAGAGTAAATATACTAAATATGTTTATAGACAGAATTATTATACAAATGCACTATATATTCTTTTATGACTATTTATCTTATTGAATTAAGTTATGAATCTTACAACCATGACACTATATCGCAAAAGAATGGCCAAAAAATCAATCTATCGACTTATATGAATTACAACAAAAAACAATTTTATTGTTATGCTTGACGACTATGGCAAGACCAAGATCAGATGTTGGCAGAGTGCAGTTTAGAGATGTACAAATGGAGCTTAAAAACGAAGAACCAGTGTCAATTCTTATACATTTTAGAGAAGTGAAAGAGACTCAAGTGAAATCTGTTATACTAGGATTGGCAGATGACAATGACATGTGCCTTGTTTCCACACTTTTCGACTTTTTACAAAGGTCGAGCCATCTTCGAAATAACCTTCCTATAGACCATAGTTTGTTTTTGGCATTCATTCTCGAACCAGACAAGGTGAAATCCGCTAGTCCTTCTACTGTAGCTACATGGGTTTCAAAAGCAATGGAAAAAGCGGGTATTGACACTAGTTCTTACAAACCACACTTTATCAGGTCAGCTTCAAGCACCAAAGCAGTTGAAAATGGAATAACGATTTCGGAGGTCAAGCAACATGCTAATTGGAGTCACAATTCCAATACATTTGAACGATATTACCTCAAGCCAAGCACGCAACTTAATGACAGCACCAGAATAACGAACTCAATTGTTTCTATCAAAGGAAAAAATACCACATTGGAGTCCGAGTCGCAGTCAACAAGGATTGTTGAAGGAACGACCAACAGTACGTCCGTTGACGAAGACGAGGATGAAAATGTGGTAACAACCCGACCCAAATAATTTTCTTGGCTACAAGAAACTTGGAAAAATTGATTCCAACTATCTTTTTATGTTTTGCTTTTAATTCTATATTTATTTCATTCATGTTCCCCTCCCTTATATCAAAACCAATTGAGTCTTCTTCCGACTTTTGAAGGTATAAAGGGAAAAAAGGAGATTCTAGTATATTTTTATTATTATTTTTTCATCTATAAAAGGAAAATAAAGCTCGGCTCTTGGAGCTTGTTACCACATTGGAGTCTGAGTCGCAGTCAACGGACGTATTGGTTATCATAACTAAATTGTTCAAAAAATTTTTGCGGTGTAAGTTTATTCGCATTTTCCAAGCACCATCTCGCATCAATAGATATACGTTGTTCGGGGTTTGTTTGTTTAGATTTTTTAGGCATTTTTGATCAAATTATTCATTTGACTTCCATAAATATACTTTTTTTTTTTTTTTTTTTTTTTTTTTTTTTTTTTTTTTTAAGGGAGTAAACTCCAGCTTTTATTTAATGTCCTCAAATAACTGAATTTTATTGAGAATAAGAGTTGAAAAGCGATTACTTATGCTAATACACATACTGATATTTATTGCAGGATTAAGTATATTGACACGCCTACTTAGCTTACTTTTGTACCTATAACGCTAGATAGAGATTCTTTTGTTTCTCACTCAAAAGTTTATTCTTGATGTAATTTTGCAATAATATAAATAATGAGCTCAAGTCAATTTTTTTTATGTTTTGTGTAGCCACTTGAGCATGTATAGTGCGATCATGTGTATTAACAAGAAAAAAAAAAGGGGGGGTGAGGCTTTTTCTTAGCATCCTTAAACAAAAGGAGTTTTAAGGAGATTAGAAATATGGCTTCTCATTTTGTATTTATTTTTATTGATTGGAACTTTTTTTTTTTCAATTTTCCTTTTTTCCTTTTTTTTTTGTAGTTTTTTTAATGTAAGTTCTTTTGACTTACCAGTAATTTATTTCTCGTATGGAACTGCAGTGAAGCTTTTACTATTAGGCGAATTCTCCCCTTGATCTTAGCGTCTTGGGAACCGCGGATAGTAGCCGAACGTTCTCGTTACTGGGCCTCTGCCTTCTTTCTTGCGTGAGTTAGAAGCTTTGGTTTGGGTTCCTTTCCATACAACATTTTTAGAGGTTCATTACTGATTTTTTTTTCTTTTTTTTTTAGGTTTTTTAGATTTATTATAGGTTCCCAGTTCCTTGAAATTATTAGGCTCCATGGTGCTGAATATAGGATATAATTATAAATGCTTGTATAAATTAATATCATAATAATAAATACATTTTATTGTATGTTTGCTGTTACGTTTTTTATACCAATTTATTGTCTCTTTTAAAATATGTATGTCTTTGAGGCTATAGAGTTATGTTATGTTATGTTCCTTCCACCATATTCACTTGAATTAAACCTCATTAAGCAGTTCTGGGCGATTGTGGAAAGGAGAATGAAGTACTTATCTGGTAGAATATGTTATGCTTGTAACAACACACCCGTTAAGAACCTTGAGTCTTTTTAAAAGTCTAGTTACAAATTGTTACACTAAAACACCATTCTAAATAATATTTGTTTTTTCTTAAAATAAATAAAGCTACAAATTCTCCACCTCTCGCACTATATAAATAAATTACTATGTATTTTTTTTTTTTTTTTTTTTAGAATGAACATATCGTGCATGTAAATAGAGATCAACAAAATGCATTTAATAATATAATGAATTACACGCATATATATACATATATAGCATGTCCAGAAATAGATTACACTGTTGTGGTTTTATAGGTAGGTTTCAGAGGTAAAAGACTAGAAAATAGAAACAAATGTATAAAATAAAAGAAATAAGTAAGAGCATGCTGAGACTTGTTAATAGTTTTATTGATATGAGGGTTAGGCTATAAGTTAAATTTTAAAATAAAGGAAAGCAATGTTAGAGTATATATATATTTTGTGAATAAGGATAATGAATAATAAAAAAATTTGATAATATAATCATTATAATATTAAGAATCATTCTATACTTAATATGTGTATAAGCAAAATTATCATAGTATTGCACTATATGTTTTATTATGACTATTTATCACATTGAATTAAGTTACAAATCTTACAACCATGACACGGCAGCAGATTGTGACCTCTCCTTTGCCAAGCAAATACCATATATAAGTTGAGCAAAACACTGCCTCGTGATGGTATCTTCGACATTAGAGATAAACCAACTCAATACCGGAAAAGAATTACACCCTTTGCAAGCATCAGGTTACTTTATTTGCTCACAGGCCACGTCAATTAATGCTTTGGATTAATATAAGGGAATAAAAAAATGACAAAATGGTGAAATTATTATATTCAATTGCATATACTAATACTTAAAACAATTAAGTGGAGAAGAAAATAGAAAGAAAAATAGTTGACACTGGTCAAATTCAACTTCAAAAGATAAAAAGATGCCTCGAAAAGGGAAATGAAAATTTCAAATGAAAAGACATTAAGCTTTGTAGACGATACTTTGGAGTTCTTGAGACGACAAGAAAGAAAAATACTGCGAAACTGTAAATACAACGTCTATTGAAGAAACTCCTCCCTTGGCTTATGTAAAAAGCAGTTAAACCCTGTTAAATTTCAATAACGAGGACAAAGCAGAGCTACATACATTTGTACAACGTTTTAAAAGTATCAAGTCAGGAAAAATCAACTAGGAAGAGATGCTTTAAGCGAGAATATTTTGATAATATACAGGCAATCAAGCACCTTTAAACTAGTGAAAGTTTGAAATGTCATTACAATATATTATTGAAGTAAAAATATAATTGTGAAGAAATGTATGTATATAGTTTATATGAGCGTATCAATGCTTTTTAAATGGTACATCAGAAATATCTATTCAAATTTTAGTTTACTTATACCCAATACACTACTAACTTGGGGAGGTTTTTTTTTCTTCTTTTTGTTAAAACGAATACCAGAGAAAATAGTAAGCCATCTTATACAATACATATTATTTATTTATTCATCATCATTGTCTTCAATTAAAAAGTCTTTGATTTGATTTAATAGTCTATCATCTCTACTTTGATTAATTGCATTCTCAGCAACATAGGATGGTAGAGATGATATTGACGTTTCGTTATAATCTTTAAGATTCACTTGACAGCTATAACATAAATGCTTGTTCAAATCTAGTTTCATCTTTTGACAATCACCATTACCATTACAACAACTACTCTGTTGTTGTTGTTCTGGTCTTGGTTCAGCATCTTCAACATCTGTCACCGTGATATGTTTTCTCCAAGCCCCAATGCCACTTTCATAAGGCATTAAACACATAGCACAAGTCTGTGTCAAATCCATATCGGCAGCAGGTGTCAATTTCATTACTGTGCGGCATACTGTACTTACAGTAGACGGAAAATCACGCTCAAGCCCCACAATAAATTCCTCTGTCAATCTTTCAATAGAGCTTTTACCAGGCATCATAGTACTAAAATTAAGTGGTGATATAATATATTGATCCGTCTTTACAAAATAATTATACAATCCAATTTCTTTAGCAAGCATGTCTTTCATAGGTCGCATAATACAAAGGTCCTTAAAACTTTGTTGATCGTCAACGCTTACATCTAAAGCAAGACTATAGCCACGTCCTTTACTTGTCATTGAAATCATTTTGATAGCTTGACGAGTAGCTGAATCAGCCATAAAAATATAATCACATCTAAATAAGATATATAAACAGAAGGATGTTAAAAAGGACATTTCTTTACATTAGATCACACCTCCCCCCCCTTTTCTTTAAAAAAAATTACTTTTCACGTCTAGCCACAGTCACAAGCATTTCCATTTTAAGATTCCAAAGTAAGTCTTCCTTAGCTGTCGTCTTTTTAATATTAGCAAACAATTGTTTTAATTGCTCAACTGGTGATTTATCTAATTGTTCCTTTTCTATACATTTAACATAATGTTCTATCATATATGATGTGAGTCTTTTTTTTCTCTATTCGTAACCTACAACGACTTTACTTACCATAGTCACCATTCTCAATTCCACCTGAAACTGATTTTAATATTTGATTAAATTCAACATTTTTTGTAAATCCTGAACCAAACACTTCTTCTAAACGATAACTAAAATATTCAAATTCTGTAAAGTATTCTTTCATGTGTTGAGCAAGTTTTTCTGCAGATCCCTCCTAAATATGAACAATAATAAAAATTCAGCCAACAAATTTTTTAACCCTATTATTAATCATCCAATTTTACATTGCTACCAAACAAACTACTTTCATCAATGTGACAAACAATAGCTTCGGGTATAAGCTGAATTTTTTTCTTTTCGTTAGGTAATACTTTCATAAAATTTTTTGTTAAATTAAGCATGGCACTATAAAAAAAAATAAATAGGTGAATTGATGATCTTTATCAGGTAATATAACCAACACACTTACATTGAAGAAGGACCACCTGAACAGGCTAATAAAACCTTTCCTTTCTTTCTATCATTATTTCTTAAGCGAAGTAAAATAGATCTATATTTCCCGATAAATACAAAAGTAAAACAGGATCTATTATAAATTAGTAATCGACATTAGTTCCTCCGAGTCATACATAATACAAAAAAAAAAAAAAAAAAGAGATTTTCTTTTTAAAGCAAGACTTACTGACAATAATATGCTTGTCGAATTAAGACTGTAGCAGGTTCAGTTTTACATTTACAACAATGCTTATTTGTAGCTTTCATTTTTAAGTATTGAACAAAATATAAAAAAAAAAGACTAATTTAAATTCTTATTTATTTTTTTTTTTCGATAACTTTAAAGTCAGTCAAAGCCACCGCATTATTTTAATTACAAAAGGGGAAAAAAAAAGAAGAAATGTTTGAAGCTAAATTAAGTGAAGAATGCGATTGAAACAAGAATATTTTATTTATTATAGCAGATAATACAATTGATTCATGTAATTAACTTATTTTTGTCCACTTTTTAATAAGTCCAAGAAGGTTGACTTTGACATTGTAGAAACTATTAAAAAAAGAGTATACATTAACAAACATTTACTAAATGAATATATATACATGTATAAATATATATTTACCATTTTTAGCCTTTTCTATTGATGCAAGTGTTTTACGAGTAGTAGCTGCATTTTCAACTGCAACTTCTGTCATCTTTTGCTGTGTACGAATAGCATTAAACAATTTAACTACACCTCTTGTAGCTACTTTTCTTAAACGTTTTTCGTATTCAAAAGTTGTATAATCAGGAATGACACGGCCCTTTTCCTTTAGAGCTTTCTTTTGGGCTGATAATATTTTACGTGCTTTATAATCTAATTTTTCGTCTTCAAGTTTACGTTCTACACCCTTTGACCTTGCAAGAATGGGTTGCTGATAAAAAAAAAGAGGAGAGGCTTAAGTTTATATAATATTCATGTATTTTCAAAAAACTACATCCTTTACCTTTTTGTCTGATCCAGATAACGAACTGGCTAAAATGTTTGTCATGGCATTAGAAAATGCTTCTGTAGTGTATTTTTTAGTCTTTTTTTTCCTATCGGTAAAGATCAACATTATTCAATGTATAAATATATATATTACTAAGCTCTAATTTAATTTTACCATCAATATCCATCTCATCATCTTCTGATTCCTCGTCTTCCTCATCATCTTCCTCATCACCTTCCTCATCGTCAGCTTCATCATTCATATCTGTATCTTGATCATCATCAACATCATTGTCTGAACTCTGTTCAACTGAATCATTTGTTTCTTCATTTAACTCTTTCATTGATGATTCAGCATGAGATTCTAATTTATCATCTTCTTTAGTAATTTTATTTACTGATTTAGTTTTCGATTGCTTTTTCGCTGCCATTAGTTGATGTTGGAGTTAAATTGATGATTAAATTTAATTCATTTTTTTTTTCTCGAAGAATAAGACATTATCTCATGCCACCTATAACAAAAAAAATGTGTGACGGGTTTTCCTTGAAAAAAAAAATAATAATAATAACAATGACCAAACTCCTTTTAATTTAGATGAATAGTCTAGAATAGTTCCAACATGGACGTCTCAACATACATGACACATTTACATGATATGTACTAATATAATTAATGAATTTCATCATGCAACCAGCCCATCTTGTTTTATTCTCTTTAGTTCCATCTAAACAAAAAAGTTTGGCAAACATTTAAAGAGTTGTACTATATTATCTAACTTTTAAAAGGGGGATTGCTTTTCCTCTTTAGTACATAACATGGCAAAAAAAAAAAAAAAAAAAAACGATGAAAGCCTTTTAATTCAGTATTGAATACTGTTCTACTACTACTGCTGTTACGAGTATAGCATTCATTTGAATACATTATTTTACAGAACAACATGGATCTGTAATAAATCAAAACAATTATTCAATCCCACATTCCTAGACAAAAATTCACTTTTATATGATTTGCGAAAAAAAAAAAATAAAATAGATAAAACACATTTTATTTATTCTATTTAAATATAGTCTATTTAACGCATTTCATATCTGTCAATTCGATTAGGAAGCTCATCATCATCGCGATACGAAGTTAAACCTCCATCGATTAGTAAAATAGGTGTACTTTCTGCTACAGTATTATACATGTGATAGGTAGCTGAATGTCTTCCATCTTCATCTTCACTATCATCTATACTGAAATGGGCTCCTTCCAATTCTACATTTTCCTGAACGTTTGCAGGACTAATTTCCTTGTTGTGCGAAGTAGTTGTTCGCATAACCTTTAGTTTAAGCCAATTATAAAGACCAATACCGAACAAAGTAATGCATAAACCAATGATGTTAATCAAAGTTAAGATATCTCCAAATACAAGAGAGGAGATAAAGATGGTTGCTACTTCTTTAAATATACCACAAACGCTTAAAGTGACAACGGATGTACGTTTGATTAAAAAGAATTCCGAAACAATCATACAGAACGCAAGACTACCACCTGCTAAAATGACAGCCATCTAATATTACATTATTAGTGCCTTTAATCACATCTTAATTTCTATTCAACTCTATTTACTGTATGTAATCCTTCTCTAAAGGTAATAAAAAAAGCGCTTTTAAAGATTGTCACATAGCCTTCTACACCAGCAGAAAGAGTTAATAAAATAAGTGCTTGAGAGGGCGCCAAGAAGAAGATAGAGGCAAAGGGATTTGTTAGACCCATACTTTCTTTACGTAAAAGGACTTCAGTTAAAGACCAACGTAAACCACCAAAACAAGAAGCCGCCATCACTTGTATAAATCCTATCAATGAAAAATCAGTTTCGTCCGAGACCATCAAGACGACACCCACAGTGATAATTAAAATAATCAAAATCAATTTCCAGTTTGGCTTTTCTAGCTTAAAGATAAAAGCAAATATTAAAACAAAAGCGAGAGTGGATGATTTGCACATTGCTATGTTAAAAAAAAAAGAAAGTTATATATAAAAAATTGCTATTATCCAGTTACAAGTGCTACTTACTATAAAATGATAAAGTAATTGACTTTAAAGATAAATTTGACAAACCAATATCTAAACTTGTAGCCAATGCGCAAGGAAGCACTTTATATCTAAATGGTAAAAAACATGTTAATAATATAATTAAATCAAGTTCCATTATAGGTAAAGTACTACACATATTTGTTACATATAATCACGAAATGAAGGCTGTTTATTTGGTCTCAAGCTTGGTATAATGAATAAAGAAGTTCCTGAGAATAAAAATTGAACAATCATATGTATACTAGTAACAAATAATGGATATCGAAAGTTATAATGCTCTTCTGAAAACATCCATTTATTATAAACTGACAAAATAGTAGCAAACTAATAAATAGATTAGTGTATACATGTATTATAAAAGTTACTTGAAACTTTACAATATACCTAAATAGAAATGGAATTAAAAGGATAATCTCTTTTAGTGAACTTTGATAACTAGATGACTTACCACATTAATATCCAGAACAGATTGATGGCCGAAGTTTTAATGATACTCTTTTCCTTATGTTGTATTACTTCATTTGTAGTATTTAGTAATGTTTCAGATGGTAATGAAAGTGGGTCCTCGTCTTCTAATGAATATGTATCACTATTAACTTCTATTTCATCTTCTCGTAAACGTTGATGTTGAATAGATTTAAAATTCTGTTCCATTTTTTTTCTCTTTACATACAAGCACAATAATTAGCAAAAGAAAAAAAAAAAAAAAAATAAAGAACAGGAAAAAAAAAAAAAAAAGTAAATACAACGGAATTACAAAAAGGTAATTTTTATTATTATTATGGACGTTCACCAAACAATCTTTTTCGTGCCTTTATTTTAGCCAAATGCAACAAGTACAAAAAGGAGAAAAAAAAAAGTTATAAGTTAGAAGCAATTCTTACTTTTTTTTTCTTTTTGTTTAAAAAATAGTGATATTTTTCTTCATAAACAATGTATAACAAATTTACACACACACACACACACACACACACACACTTACCAAATCTAAAGTTCTATCTCTATAACTATCATTAAGTGATACATCTCTTTTTGTAGATGCACCTATGCCCGCTGACTGTGCATAACTTTCTGCTTTAATAGGATTTAAAATACCAGTTCCATGTTTACCTAAGCCTTCACCCTTTTTCCATCCCATGTTAGCTAACATACGTGCACCTTTATTATCATCTGAAATAGGTGCATAAACAGAAGCCTTTGGTAATGTCTCTCTATCATATAAAGGAAATTGAATAAAAAAAAAACTCACTTTTGAGTTTTATTCATTCCACTCTACTTACAATTCATGTGACTTGGTAAGAGGTCTAGGTGGTGAAAGTGGTGTAGTTAAAATAGGCTTTTCAGGTTGTCCATAAGCTTGTCTTCTTTCTGCTGCTCTATTTCGATACTAGTATATAATGTAAGCAATACAATTCATATAATCATCTATCTCTCCTCTTTCTCTCTTTCTTACTTCGACTGTTTGTAATTGCTGATGTTCTTCTTGTTCAGATTTCATAAAATCCATTTTCATTTTTGCTTTATTTATAGCAACAGGATCATTCAGATTATTCTACATAAAAGCTCGAATGGTTATCATCCCTTTTTTTTTGTTTGACATAATAATACACATCCCATACTTTATGAAGTTCAGAAACTTGTTGATGTTTTTCTAAATCTTGTTTTGATTTAAATTTTCGTTGACAAAGAATACAAATTAGAGATTTTAAATCAGCAAAATTTTTTTTTGCTTTCTCTTCCTCCTCTTCGGCTTCTCTTTCTTTTTTAAGTTCTTCCTTCTTTCTATTCCAACGTTCAAGTTGACTATGAATCTAATAATCAAACTGTTAATACATATATATAAAATAAGAAATAATGGACTAAGGGGAGGGGTAAAAAAAATTGAACTACCTTTTTAGTAGCAATAGGAGGAGCATTGTTACCCGTTTCAATACGTTTACGTTTACGATCTTCTAACAATGATTGCTTTGTGTCATCATTTGTATTATCGACTTGCTTGTCTATTGAAGAAGAAGAAGAAGAAGTTTCTTCTATTTTTGAACGAATGACGAATTTAAAGGCTGGTTTCTGTTGTTGATTGAACATTGATTTTTTTTTTGTTTTAATAAAGAAAAAAAAAAAAAAAAAAAAAAAAAGGGAATTTCAAGAAAAATGGTAATTACTATTTTTTTTTTTTTTTGTGCACGACAAGAAATTAAATTTCCGACTATTATCTCTTATAACAAAATGAATAATAGTAAAAATGCTGTTCATTTGATAAGTTTTAGTAGTGTGTCTCCTTTCACTTTTAATTTGGAATTTAGAGAGAAATAAAGAGTATTCATTGCAGATAAAAATAGAATTAAGAAGAAAGATTAAAAAGTTCCTTTTTATTATTAATTATTTAATACCACATGGACAACTATGGACCAAGATTAAACAATTTATTATATTTTAATTGAAGGGATACAATTGATGAATAAATATCTCAGTTTTAGAAAAAAAAAGCATATTATAGAAATAATAACATGATTTTGGTAGAATTATTACTGCTTTTTCCAAATTGTTTAAAATATGAATTCGATTTTTTTTTTTTTTTTTTTTTCAAATAACTCTAATTGATATTTCAATTAATTTTTATTTATATTTCAAAAAATTCTAAACTTTTATTTAAATTATTTGAAAAATACAGTGTAAAAGTCTTCTACAACTGCTATTGCTATTATTTTTCAACTTCAGAAATACTCTGATTGGCTTTTTTTTTTGACAGACTCATGGATATACAAAAATAGAGGCCACACTAAACCAGATCATCTCCTGTTGCAGAGAATCTCAAAATAGTTGACCAAGAGAAAAAAAATATTTCTTCTAAAGAGGGACATGGACGGTACATGTACCCTTTGAGGAAGGTAAAAAAAAAAGTGTTTAAACATAAATTAAATGAAGGCGTGTAATTCAAAGTTAAAAGTTTATTGATTGGGATTTAAAATTTTCTTACTAATTTGGATAAAAAAAAAAACTGTCATTTCAAATGAAATGAAATAAAATGAAAAGAGTAGAATAAAATAGAAAAGAAACGAAAAAGAAAAAGCTTGTTATTTGACACTATAGATATTGTATGTATTACGTAATAGTAAAAAATGAATAAAAACAATACAACTTATATCTTGATGAGTTATTCTTCTTCCTTTACTGAATAAAATAAACAAGTGTTGATGATTATTTCAAATGTTTGGATAAGTGTCAAAAAGTATTCTTTCTCCGCTAATAGGTTTTATTATAGTAATCAAACTTACAATAAAAATGTCGCTTTTTTCTTTTCCTTTTCTTCCCTCTTTTTTTTTTTGTTGTTATTATTAGCACAGAAATGGCAACTAAAAGTGGTCAATTTAACTATAGTGATTACCCCGTTATTGTGGGTATTGACTTTGGTAAATAGATAAAATAGAATAGAATAAAAAAAAATTTATCTGATGTATATATTTTAGGTACCACCTTTTCTGGTTGCTGTTATGCTTTTGCACAAAACGAAGAAGTTATTGATATTGTGAAATGGTAAATGAATAAATAGAGGCATGTTCTATTTTAATAAACTAATACATGATTCTTATTGTTATTTTAGGCCTAAGCAAAACAATAATATTTATCCAAAAGTAACAGCTCATACTATGTATATAAATACATATTTGATATAGGATAGCGTATATAACACGTTATTTTTTATTTTTTATTTTTATTATTTTAGACACCTACGTTATCACTTTATCGTAAAGGATCTACTCAAATATTAGATTGGGGACACGGCGCTAGAAGAACCGCAATAAAACCAAATAGTTCAGATTTATTATTATTATCAAAATTTAAACTTTATCTTGATGAACATTTACAAAACGAGACATTACCTAATAATCTTAATATTATTGATGTCATTGCTGATTATCTACATTTATTTCATAATCATGTATGTGCAGAATTATCGAAAGGATTTGCTGGTAATTATGATCAAAGTAAATTTAGATATGTAAAGTAGAATAGTTTGACATGACATGACATTGTATAATAATAATAATAATATGTTATAACTGATATCTAATTTTTTTTTTGTTTAAAAGTGTTTGACAGTACCTGCTATGTGGACAGATCGTGCAAAGGCAGCTATGCGTGAAGCATCTATTCGTGCTGGACTTATCTTACGTTCAGACCCTCCTGAACGATTAACACTTATTTCAGAACCAGAAGCAGCTGCATTATATTGTGAAAAGAAATCAGAGCAATTTAATTTAAGTCATGGTCAACGTTTTATGATTTGTGATGCAGGTGGTGGTACGGTAGATTTGATTGTATTTGAAATTGACGAAACTATACCAGGAAGGTAATAATAGTATACATGTATACAATTTCACTCTTATATATACATATTCATCATGACTTGAAATTGAATAGACGTACTTTAAAAGAAGTTACAAATGGTCATGGTGCTACTTGTGGATCAGGATTTCTAGATTCTAGAATGAGAGATTATATTATACGTAAGTTTGCACATATTGGTCCTATTAATGATTCAGCTATGGAACATATTATGGAAGCATTTGTGAACATTATTAAAGTAAATATATAACATATATATATGTATATATTACATATGAATTGCATACTTATCATATACATATATACATATATATATATATTTAGCCGGAATTTGATGGAACTGAAGATCATTTCTTGGATTTACCAGCTTCTATGGGATTAGGCGATTTAACAGATACATCCATTGGACTGGAAAATGGATGTCTTTTATTACCTGCTCATGAACTCTGTAATGAAATATTTGAACCCGTTGTATCTCAGGTTTTGGGTTTAATTGATAACCAACTTATGCAGTCACCTAATTTAGAGGCTATCTTTTTAGTTGGAGGATTTGGACAGTCCAACTATCTTTTTAAACGAGTAGAGGATGTCTTTGCTGATCGTGTAGGTATGATTGGTGTCCCACCTCGAGGTGAATTAGCTGTTGTCAGAGGTGCAGTCTATTTTGGTCTTAATCCACAAACTGTCACTGAGCGTGTCTCTAGACGTACCTATGGAGTTGAAACACGTATGTTATTCCAAGAGGGTATAGACCCTCCAGAATTCTCTGTTGTTGGTGTCGATGGTCGCACTTATTGCAGACAACGTTTTAGTGTTTATGTTCATAAGGGACAGACGATTAAAGTAGATGAATGTATTTCCAAGGTTTTCGTGATAAGTTATCCAAATGACACCGATTCTGATCTATATGCTTATGATGGGGATGGTCCTGTACCACGTCTCACAACAGATCCATCTATCCAGAAAGTCGGTCATTTCCCGATTCGCATGCCAAAATTAGAAGGTGTCAAACCAGGAGATAAAATAACACTAACGATTCGTATGTATTTTGGTTTAACAGAAATTAAGATTGAATGTGTCATTCAAGATCAAGTCTTTGTCTTTACTTCTGCCTTTGATACAATGGAATCAACATCAGCTCCTTATCATTCATCATCATCACCTATGATACAACAAAATGTAGCGCCCAATTATCTTCATAGAAATTCCACATTAAGTAGTTATTATCCACAACCGTCGCCAAGGTTATCACAACAAGGTTATCCAATTCAACCTTATTATGACCAACAACAACAACAACAACAACAACATCAAAATACGCCAGCATATCCTAATAACACATATTCATCAGCATATTATAATAATAACAATTACCGTTAATTTTTTTTTCTTTTATAGAAATAAGCAATAAAAAGAATTCCATATTTTTATATACATGTATAAATATATATATCTTTTTTTTTTAACATCAGATTACTTGTTTTTTTTTTCCTCGAGATAAGTCATTTTCTTTTTAAATTCAATTCCTTTTTTCTTTTTCTTCCTCTTCTTTTTATTATGCAAACATCATCAATACAAGCTGAAACTATGAATACAAGCCATGCGTCATCAGAGCATGAATACAGGAAACAATCTAGAAAAGTAATAGGGAAATATTTTTTATCAAAGACACTAGGTAAAGGTTCAATGGGAAAAGTGAAATTAGCCTTAAATGCAGATACAAACGAAAGGGTAATATAATATCTAATACACTATAATATCTATCTATCTATCTATATATGAATGAATAAAAGCATCATTTGTAACATAGCTTGCTGTCAAAATTATACCACGTAAATTTAATACTACACCCAACATGACTCGAAAACGAGAAAAAAATAGAGAACTTCGTACAATTCGAGAAGCGAATATTATGCTTTTATTAGATCATCCTTATATCGCTAAAGTATATGAAATGGCTTTAGTAGATGATTTTTATTATTTGTTTATGGAATATGTGGATGGAGGACAGTTACTAGATTATATTATTTCACATGGTCGATTAAAGGAAAAGCATGCAAGACATATTGCGAGACAAATAGCAAGTGCATTAGGTAAAAAAAAAAAAAAAAAAAAAGAAAGGAAAAAAGGAAAAGGAATACATACACACATATGTACACATATTAAGCTTATTATCTACTTAGACTATTGTCACCGTAATTCTATTGTACACCGAGGTAGGGTTATAAAGTTTATATATACATACACATATACATAACTTGAATTGGGACTCATATAGAATTGAGCAATAGACTTAAAGGTCGAAAATATTCTTATTTCTAGTAGTGGGGATATCAAAATTATTGACTTTGGTTTATCCAATTTATTTTCACCAGATTCTTATTTATCTACCTTTTGTGGTTCACTTTATTTTGCCGCTCCTGAATTATTAGAGGGTCGAACTTATATAGGCCCTGAAGTAGATATATGGAGCTTTGGGGTTGTTATCTATATCCTGGTCACAGGACAAGTACCCTTTGATGATCCAACTATAGCAGGAATGCATAACAAAGTAAAGCAAGGCCATATTGAATACCCTTCCTACCTATCCACAGGTATATATCAAGCTTATCCCTCCTCTTTATTATCATTATTATTATTATTATTTTTTTTTTTAAAAAATGACACAACTTAATACTATTGTATGCATATAGATTGTAAATCACTTTTACAACGTATGCTATGTACAAATCGTAAGAAGCGTGCTACTTTATCAGAGGTCATCATGCATCCATGGATGAATAAAGGCTATGATTGTATTGTGGATAACTATCTTCCTGAACGAAAACCTTTAGAATTACCAATTGATATGAACATTGTGCGTGGTATGCAAGGATTCAAGTTGGGATCAGAAGAAGCTATCAGTGAGGAATTGAAGAAGTTGATCACATCTACAGAATACCAGCAACATTCAGAATCAGAGCCCTATCATCCATTAATTTCTATCTATTATTTAATAAAAGAACATATGGAACGAAATGACAAAGCTAGTTCCGTTGTTGCAAATCATAAGGTATCATCGTCTTCTTCTTCTTCTTCTATCGAGAACACACACATGTTTGACAATTCAGTTGTTATTCATGATGCAGATAACAACCAAGGACGAGTACAAGTGTCTTCTTCTTGTCCGACGAATAACAATAGAGGAACAACACAGGATTCACAACAGACAGACTTGTTATTCTCACCTCCTCCCTATTTTTATGACTCTTCAAATAGAAGCTATCCTTCACAACACAGGTCAGATGATACAAGTTCAAAACCTTCGACACCCTCTAATCTCTTTCGTCGATTGAGTCGTCGATTCAGTCGTCAACATGCTATCCCAATAGAGGATAATTCGATTTCATTCAATGAAAAGAGGACAACAACTACATTAAACAATCATACGCATCTCTCTTCACCAGAGACAACACCGAATAGTAAATTAGATCGGTTCCTAAGACGTGCCAAATCAATTACTATCAAAGATATACCATCTATAAAACAACAACAACAACAGCAGCAGCAGAAGCAGCTATACAGTCAACGTCGTAAATCAATGATGAGTTATAAAGAGATTCATCGTAAAGATGATGAAGCACTTGTGCGTAAAAGACAATCAAATGAGGAGCATCCCTCTTCTAGGGATTTACTCGATCAAAACAATAGTACCCAACAACCACAGGCGGATCATATCGTACATTCTGTTTATGTAAAAGGATTGTTTTCTGTTTCAACAACATCTACGAAAAAGGCTTCAGAGATAAGGTTAGAAATTATTAACATATTACATAAACAGAATATCAAGTATAGAGAAATGGATGATCGATTTGAATGTGTTGTCTTGAAAGGTGGTTGCATTAAGTTTGATATTTATATTGTCAAGATACCATGGCTATTAGGTATGCGTGGACTCCAGTTTAGGCGTACAAGTGGTGATTCATGGCAGTATAAGGATTTATGTAGAAAAATCTTAGATACTATAAGGTTATAAATAAAATTATATGAGGATGATATTATGAACTTTTAAATATCCGAAATTCAATTCTCCTCTTTTCTTTTTCTTTTATTCATTCATTCATTCATTCTTTTTTTTTGCTGTGTTATATAATAATGAAGCGACAGGGATCACATCAAAACGATGATTCACGACCCACAAAGCGTAAAGCGTTTGATAAAGAAACATCTATAGCCTCAAGTACTAAAGGCAAAGGTACCATTAATCAAAAAGAAGAAAAGAAACCATTTGGAAAATTCATTTATGGAAACTTTCCTGATTACTATACGTAAAGTATAATAATTAACAATTTGTTTTACATTCCCTTTCCCTTTCATTTTTTTTCTTCTTCTTCTTCTTCTTTTGAAGCTATGCCTAACATTTTTTTTTCTAGAAAGCGTCGCAAGCAAAACGGTACAATGATTGATCCTCGCATTGACCTTTTGGATAGATCGCTTTTTGAAAACAAGCATATCTTGGATATTGGTTGTAATACTGGCAACATTTGTATAGCATTAGGTAAATATATATACGTATATATTTTATAAAAAAAAACAAGATGTGTTGATGACCAAGGATAAAACGTATTAGCCAAGAAATACAATGTAGCCTCTGTTCATGGTATTGATATCGATGAAAAGCTAATATACAAAGCACAAAAAAATCTTCGTATTGCTTATTCACTTGAAAATCCTCACAAACAAACTGACGATGCAATTGACCTTAGCTTTCGATTTCACTATTTCCCCCAGTCCATGACAAATATGTTTGGTCTTATGCCGATGGCACTTCCACCTACACTTGAAAGTGAAAAAAAGAATCAATATCCTTACAATGTTCATTTTGAAACTTTAGATTGGATTGCTACAAAAGAAGCGGAACATGCAAACCATTACGATACTATATTAGCGTAAGAAGATAACAAAAAAAAAAAAAAAGAAATGAAAACTAAATAATGTTTTTATAATAGATTAAGCATAACAAAATGGATTCAATTGCATCACGGAGATAAAGGATTAAAATCGTTTTTTAAAAAAATTTATGATTCCTTAGCACCTGGTGGTACATTTGTATTAGAACCTCAAGATTTCGATACTTTTCAAAAGAGAGCCAAGGAAATTAATGTAGGTTTTTTTTTTCTCAATCCCTTTTTTTTTTATGTGTGTGTTCTGGACTAATTCAAGTTATAATTTACATAGCCATCCAAAAATGTTCAAGAGGAGCTCGAGTTTCGACCTGAACATTATACAGATTTTTTAATCAACAAGTTGGGATTCAAAGAATATCATGATTTAGGTATACCAAAGGGAGAAGTTAAAGGTAAAAAAATAAAATAAAATAAAATAAACAATTTATGTTTGAAGTTGTTGTACTAAAACCTATATTTTGTATAGGCTTTTCAAGACCCGTTTTAATTTACATTAAATAAGATGATGATGAATAAGTTTGATTGATTATAATATACATATTTCTTAAAAAAAAAAAGTCTAAATTTTGAAAGCATTAGAAATGCTTGAAATGGATTAATGAAGGGATTGGCTACTAAGAAAAAAAAATACCCCATTGACATTTACACTACTTGATAAAGAAGAAGTCTATGTAGTCATTTAGAATAAAACTAATGGATATGATGTTTTACATAAAAATTGTCACAACTAAAAAGTATATTATTATATGTAATGCTTTATTGTATTTAAATCATATTTATAACGCTTTGGGCTTTTTCTTTTTTTTTTTGGATTATAATCAAAGTATTAAATGTCTTATTTTATTATTCATTTCTGTATCTGTAACATCTGTGAACATGTAAATAATGGTTCTCAATAATGTATTTATCCTTCACAGTATACAGAGTTGTATGCAATTAACTCATATTTTAAGACCTTCAAACACTATTTTTTATGCAAATTGATGGGTATTTTTTTTTTTTTTTTTTTTTGACAGAAAAAAAAAATTGATGACGCAAATAGATTTTTTTTGGTGCTTTACATTTTTTTTTTCTTCTTCAATTGTATCAATATATTTTTTTTATATACATATACTAATTAGGCAGTTTATTCAAATATAAATGTCGTTAGCTGGCTATTTCTTTGGCAACGTTGATGAACAAGGACGTCTTGAAAGTGATTTAGATGATGTAAAAACTCTCTCTCTTTTTCTTTTATAAATATACACACATGTATAGAGTTTTGTATATATAATTATTAAATACTTCATTAATTTAGGATTTAAAAGAAACACTTTCTAGCGTCGATGCCAATGTGATGTCACGAATCTTTAGTGGTGACACATTTGGTCTTGAGAATGTACAAATTAAAGAATCAGATAATGGTGACGATGAAGATGAAGAAGAAGAAGACGATGATAATGTGTCGGATCGTATACCCAACCTACCACCTACAACACATGCCAAAGATGCCGTTGACTATTCCGATTTTGACGAAGTGATACCAGAAGATCCTATGTTTTCTGAGAAATATTATCGACGTGGAATGGGCATGGTGCAAAAGAGTTTACCTCGATCACGACTTTCTCTTGTTACTGATAATTATGACGATGATGAAGAAGAAGAAGAGGAAGAGGAGGCAGCAGCAGCAGCAGCAGCGGCAGAAGCAGCAGCAGCAGCGGCAGAAGCAGCAGAAGCAGCAGTAACGCTAGAAAAACCTATTAAGCAGGAAGATACCAACGTTACTTTAAATGATATTGTAAAGCCTTCGGAAACAGTTTCATCGATGGACGAACAACAACAACAACAACCTTTAAAAGAAGAGAAAGTGGATATTCAACAGCTATTTCCTGGCTTTGAAAAAGATAAAATTTTAAAATTTTCAGAATTATTTATGCCAAAAATCAAACGTCCTCCTAAATTAACGCCTCATAAAAGAAGTAAATGAAGACGAATAGTTTTAATTTTGAAGCAAAGTATTAATATTTTATTTTATTTTTTATTTTTTTTGGTTTAGTTGTATTTGGAGATGGTTATGAATATGAAGTTGAACGAGATGAACGAGCTATGTTTTTAAGGCCCAGTAAATTTGATAGATTTCGAATAGACCAACAAGCGAAACAACCAATGAAAAAGAGAAGAATAGAAACATTAAATAAAGAAAGTGATAGCAGTAGCAATGAAAGTGAAGATGATGAATATATGGAAGAACTTGCTGAAAGAGTAATATACATATATAAAAGAGGAGTTTTTTTTTTCTTTTTCTTACTTATTTATTTATTAGGCTGCAACAACTGAGTTACCTCCTAACATATTACAAGATGAAAAAATCTATCATTCAGTTGTGTTAGAGAAATGGGAAGATGATATTATTTGGGACGATAATGATGAGTCAGAGTCATGGTAAGTTTTTTATTTTCGTAAGCCTAACATATTATTCCTTATACTTACTTTATATATAGTAATTCATTAACCGTTGTTGAACCAATAAGTAAAGCTGAAGAAGAAACACAAGTTATTAAGCATTTGAATATGCAGTTAGAAGAAGGTGACTGGCTAGATGCTGTCATTTGGGACAAAGAAAAACCATCAACGGAAACAATGAAAATTTCACTCGATCTTAATGACCCTAATATGCTATTTGATGTAGAAGAGGTTGAAGCCACCAAAGAATTGTTGATTCAACCTAAACATGTTAAGAAGGGGCGTAAGCCTATTCCTAGACCTTTGCCTAAGATCCAAATATACCATACTGACACTGAACCACATAACAAATTACCATTAAATCGATTTAATTTATCAAACGATAAGCATTATGAATCACATTTAACAGGACGTCTTATTCGTGTTCGACAGACATTTGGTCAACTTGTTGTACAACATGCCTTACCTGCCCTGAGATTGCATCCTGCCCTCTATAAAACTAAACTAAGCAAGCAAGAACTACGATCTTTCCATCGTCCTCTTATTCAATTACCCATAAATACTGATATTCATTTTTCACGTATGAAAGCCAGCAAGAAGAAAAGGAGAGATAAAAAGAAAGGACATACGGATGATATTCGAAGTACAAAGGAGCTAACGCTTAAGGATAGTTCACCTTTTGTCCTGATGGAGTATTCTGAAGAAAATCCACCTATTATCTCTAATATGGGTATGGGTACACTTGTGATTAATTATTATCGAAAGACAGAGCCAAAGGATGAATATGTTCCTACAGCTGATATTGGTGAACCCTTTGTACTTGATATTGGAGATACATCACCTTTTATGACGTTTGGTAATGTTGAACCTGGCCAAACTATCTCTGTCTACTATAACAATCTAATTCGTGCCCCGCTCTTCCGACATGATGTACGACATACAGATTTTTGATGATCAAGAGTACTTACAAAGAACATACACGCTATTATTTACGAGAGATCCCTGCCATATTTACACTCGGTCAATCTTACCCTGTACAAGAAGTACCGGGACCTCATTCGCGTAAGGTCACGACAACTATTAAAAATCGATTACAAGTTGTTGCTTATCGACTTATTAAACGTAATCCATTACACCGCCTCAAAATGAGTAAGCTTGCTCAGAAATTTCCAGAATATTCTGATATTCAGATTCGTCAACGACTTAAAGAATTCCTTGAATTTCATCGTCGTAGTAAAGATGGAGGAGGTGGATATTGGAAGACGCGGGGAGGTGGAGAGCCACCCAGTGAAGAAGAATTGCGCAAGATGGTGACGCCTGAAATGGTCTGTCTCTACGAGAGTATGTTGGTAGGTGAGCGACATTTACAAGACTTGGGTTATGGTGATGTGAACGACGATGATGAGAATGGAGAAGGAGATTCAAAGCTAGAAGTTGAACAACAATTAGCACCATGGTTTTCAACACGTAATTTTATTAATGCAACTCAAGGTAAAGCTATGTTGAAGTTGTATGGTGCAGGTGATCCAACGGGTCGAGGTGAAGGCTTTAGTTTTATTCGTGTCTCAATGAAGGATATCTTCTTGCGTGCTGGTGAATCAGCAGAAGAAAAGTTAGCTCAAATTGAAGCAAGACCTAAGAGTGCACATCGATATAATGTAGCTGAACAGCAACAAATTTATAGGGAAGAAATTGCACGAATCTGGAAAGCTCAATTAGATGCCCTGAGTAACAAGGTAGAGCCTGAGCTCTCTGATCACGAAAATGAAGAAGAAGAGGAAAGAGATGTAGATCAAGTAGATAGTCCCTCTGAATATGATTGGAATGGACATCGCCATGGTATGTCACCCTCACCAGCAACACCTTCCTTCTATCATAAAAGCCGTTATGATCGTGCTACATCTGAAATTGATGATGACGATGTCTCTGTTACCGGTAGTATGAGTTCCAGCTACCATGTCAATAATCAAAATAAATATTTGATTATTAAGCGACTGATTGCACAGAAGAATGGAGAGAAGGTATGGCAACAGGAGGTTGTCCGTGATCCAGTTGTGATGAAATCCTATTTGAGACAGCGTCAAATGATTGAAGAAGAAGCTACGAGTGCTGAAGCCCTTGAGCCAACTGATGATGAAGAAAAGAATGCTCGCATGAAGAAACGTATTCAAGACCAATTGGCCAAGTTGAAACGAAATGCAGAACGACGTAGACAGCGACAATTAGCCAAACAAGCAGCATTAGCTGAAAATCCTGTATTGGGTTTGATTAGAGGTAAACGAGAAGGTGCTATGCGTCGATGTGGTAATTGTGGACAATTGGGACATATGAAGACCAATAAGAACTGTCCCAAATTTTATCTTAATTTTGTTGAACCTGGATCTGAGGTCACACCAGCGGCGTCAGAGGGCAATCCACCTGCTACACCTGTTAATGCTACACCAAATAGTGACAATAATAGTAACGTAGAGACATTATAATAATATTGCATATACACAAATATATAAACATGTATTTTTAATAAAAAGAAAATAAAATAAAAAGAATACATATTTCTGCCCTAATTTCACATTTACAAAATAAAAAGAGAGAAAGAGAAAAAGAGATTCACACCCTAAATAAATACTAATAATTATTAATTTACACGTAAAATACCTTATATAATTGGAGATTTTTTTACTATTATTATTACACACATACATATAAAAAGACATTATAATGAATGAAATAGATACATACAGCAACAAACTTTTTTTTATTATTTATGTTTTCAATGTCTTTTGACGTTCTTAAAAGAAAATTAGGAGAGAGAGAGAGAAAGAGAAAAAAAAAGAGCTTTTACTATCATACTAAACCTAAAAGAAAAGAAAAAAAAATAATAATACCTAACGTAAGGGAACATATCGTATTTATTATTTAATACTCAGACCCTGCACTAAAAAATATAATGATCTACATTTCGGATAGAAAGTTTCGAGACCTTTATCGATTTACGTAGCTGTTACGCTGAATACTATTTAAATTTTATGGAGAGAATTGTTGTTGTTGTTTTAATTTACTAGCATAGTATTCGTAAACTAGCTCAATAATATGCAGGTATATATCTTCGGATTAAATATTTATTGGCATTCATTAATAATATTCAAATGAACTTTCTTTTAAAAGCTTCTTCAGTCATTTGACCAAATCTTTTTTTTTTATATGAATATTTTTTTTTTTTTAAAAAAAAAGTAGTCTAATTGTTTATAAATTTTTTGATCGAGTTATTTTCAAGCGAATGACCAACTGAGAATAGAACAATTGAAATAACAGGAAAAAAAAAAAAAGGAGGAAAAATATAATGAGCAATGTAAAATAGAGCAATGAATAACGATTATAAATCTATAATGTATATAAGGAGAGCATTTCGCTTATACATATAATGCTGTTACATACACATTATAAAGCCTGTTTATACAAGTTTTCCAATATACAAAATTTTAATTTTGTTCTACATATGATTCTTAAAAAAAAAAAAAAATAAAGACCGAAAAATAGTATTGTTTAAAAATAGTATTGCGTACTATATAAGAATAAAAAGTCAAATAATGAATTCAACAACAATAAATAAGTTTATTTGTACTATATAAATATGTATACGTGTGCGTGTGCGTGTGTGTGTGCGTGTGTGTGTGTGTGTGTGTATGTGTAGAGTGAATGTGTGTGTATTTAATTTAAGTATAAATATAAAGAAAAATATATATAAATATATGTATAAGATGAGAGTGAGGATGATGATAATGGTGAAGTGTATTGTGATAGGAAACAAAGCATGGTATACGTAATAAAGTTCTTTTTTTTTTCTTTCTTTCTTCTTTTTTATATTATGTATACATGAAGTGATACAAATGTATATGTAATGCATATTAATAATTTAATGATTTTCAAGTCCTTGAAAGACAAGCATAGTTCGAAAAAAACTCAGACAAGTGATTGTCGTTAAGGGTAGATTTTTCCAATAAAGGCATCAATTTAGATTTCACAAATACATCATTATGTGACCATGGTGTAACTTGTAAATAAAGTTGCTGATTATCATTTAAAGAAAATAATCTATTAAAATAGTCGAGAACATCTAACAAATCCTTGGAGATATCTAATAATAATTGAGGCAATACATTATTATCGAGTGTCCTAAAGACTTCTATTAATTGAGACTCGATATAATTGTAAAAGTCTGTTGAAAGTTGTGTTGCATTCTGTTTTAAACAAAATGCACCCAAGGCATCATGATCTAATCCTCCGCAATAATTGGATACAATTTGTTTGATATGTGATTCTAATGCAGGTTGACCTAATGTGTCTGCAAGACGATCCCATGCAAGGTGTAGACTTCCTTCTGTATGCGCCTGTATTGCACCAAATATCTGTGCATATAAAATTTCTAAATCCATCATATCCCAGGAAGATGAAGGTTGAATAAATGCCTTTTGTTGTAGTGATTGGGAATTAGATTCTATGATAGAAATAGAGATGTGCTTTTGAAATTGTTCGGATATAATTTTATAAGTCTTTGTTTTGATTGAATCTAAATGATCAAAGTGCCAATGTGTGGATATAAGTTGAGCAAATCTTTCAATAGGTATCCTGTAGTCTGTCTCTGGACATGCATTAGGATCTTCCTTCGACAGTATAGATAAACTTGCAGTAGTTGTTAATGGTGTTGTTATAGTTACTGTTGCTGGGGTAATCGTTGTCGTGGTGATATCTGATAATAATAATTTTGCAGTATCTAATAAGCTAGATGTCTTTGATTGCTTTTTAGTAATTATTTCTTGTTCCTTTTGATCTGACGTTGAAGGAAATAGAGGTAAAGTTGAAGTTAATAAAATTGAATTAATCAATAATAATAGAAAAATGATTAAATGCTTTTTCATCTTTCTTTCTTTTTGATATAAATATTACATATATTTATAAGGAAAGTGAAAATAAAAAGGGAAAGGGAAAAAAAGAAAAAACAAAAAATAAAAATAAGCATTAAATTTATACAGACGAAAAGAAAGGGGTGAAAGAGGAAAAGAGGAGAATTAAAGGGAAAAAAAAGATATAGTGAAAAATTGAAAGGGGCAATGATAGTAGTAATAGAAAAGGGAAGGGACAAAGAGATAGATAAAAAAAATAAGCATACAATTTTAAGAATTTGTCTTGCTGTTGTTGCCTATTCAGGTTAAGTCAATGTTTTTTTTATTACTGCTGAATCATTCTTAAATCTTCTTTTTCTATTAAATAAGGTATTATCACTTTTTTATCCAAGTATTCATCACTTATTTGCATCTATAATAAAGTAAAAAGGGAAATATAAAGATAAGAAAATAAAAATAGTGAGATAACATATTAACTATCATCAAAATTGTAATTTCTCTCTAAGTGCAAACACACGCTTTTTTATATAAATATACTCTTAATCCCTTTCGCTCTCTCCCTCTCTATAATATACATATAAATAAAAATAGTATATGTATATCTCCTTACATGTTTCCCTGGACATACTAAAAGTTCTAGACGTCGATTATCATCTAAAGACTTTAATCCAAGCCAATCATCTTGATATAGAGTTTGATTTTGTAAAGGTAATAATTGACGGTTTTCTATTTCTATCCAAAACCACTATAAAATTAATGAAAAATGAAAAGTTAATTTAGTTAATCTATATTTAGTTAAAGATTTGCTTTACTGCTGTATAACTTGGCTTAATCATCACATCTTCACTAAATCGAATCATTACAAATCGATCCAAAGAAGCCAAGTTTTTTCTATACTCTTCATTTTTTTCTTTTCTTTCATTATTCAATTTAGGTAAGAAACGATTTTTTTCCAAGTATTCTATACATTATCTATTTCAGTATGTATTTATATCTTTTTCTTTCTTTTAAAAATTACTTTGCTGATCATTTGGATCTCTAAAGTATTGTGCCTGAATTACCCGATTTTGGATATAATCTGTATAAACACCTTTATGCACAAGAGATCGCATCCATTTACATGTGAAATCTTTAGGATTTGTACAATTTGGAATATCAGATACACCTAGAATAAATAGTAGTTCTAATCAAGTTTCTAATATTATATATATATATACATATATGTATGTATGTGTATATACCAGCGTGTGGTGAGCCAAAGGTAATTAATCGATGAACTTTAGGTCGATTGCATTGCTCAACATACGCTCTTTATAACAAGCAAAGTTAAGTTGTACAAATAGAGAATTACTTTATATTCAAATAGTAGCGTACCTTAAAAATAATCCACCCTATTTTTTCATGAAAAATAAAAAAAAATATAAGCATAAAAATAATTGACTTGAGTTTTTTTTTTTTTTTTTTTTTTTTAACCTGAGAAAATCCAATTGCATTAAATCCATTTTTTAATTCTTTTATCTTTGAAAGCTCTTTACAGATTGTATCCACTTGTTCTTCTATTTTACCAAAGAATCCTGCTTGATGATCATCATTAATTGTATTACCTATTCGAATACTATGTACAAAAGTATTTGGTAATCGATGTTGAATTAAAGATTTTATTCTTCCCATAGAGTCAACATTACAGCAATCATCTCCCATTCCATGCCATAGAACAACTTTTATTTTTTAAAGAGAAGAGTTTAAATATCTTTATCTATGCTTTTATGTATTATAATTTAATATTTACCAGGTTTTTGTTGTAGTTGCTGCTGTTGTGCTTAATAAATAAATATAGAAGAAAGGGATATATTAATTTTTTTTTCATTTTTGAAGAAAAGCCTATCATGAAAGTGTGGCTATTGTTTTTATTGATATATATTATTCCATACCAAATGAAAGACTAATAAAGAATAATAAGCTGATAACTTTTATAAGCATTTTTGTTGGTGAAAAAAAAAACAAAACAAAATAGAATCTGAATTCAACACAAAAATATAAGCTTTATAGTAAAATTTTAAAACACAGAAGAAAGAGAGAAAAAAAAAATTAGTAGTGGATTGAATCATCAAAGTAACAAATACTTTATGCTTCGTTTATTTTAAACTTTAACGAATTTTCATAAATTTATAAACTATTAAAGACTTAAATAATAAAGTCTTTCATTTGTTTAATCCATGTATTTTCTTTAAATTTTGGAGCTTTTTTTTTTCTTTCTTCAGTCTCTTTAATATCGTAAAATAATCAGAAACAAACTTCTATTTGCTTAATTACATAAGAATAACCTTTAAAACTTCCTAAAACGTGCGTACATAAGATAACAGTCTGTTTCATTTCTCGCATTTTTTTTTCTAAGAGGTAAATATACTTGAAAAAAAAATTGTATTTGTTTGTCTTTTACTATTATTATTATTATATCTTTTTCTGAGAACAAGATGTGCTTCTTCACTCTCAAGCTTGATAGCAATATACGCAATCATTTAGATCATAACGGTTTAAAATTTGATCTGTCAAATCAACCAACTGGGTAAGCTTCTTTTTCTTTTCTTTTTACAAGTGTTCAAAAAGAAATGGTAAATTCTGTTTAAATATTAATATGGTAATATTACAGGCTTGCTAGTAATATTGAAGTGATTCGACAAGCTATTAAAAGAATTGCACTTGAAAAAATAGATTTAGAATTACATTTGAGAAATAATCAATTAAGTTCATTTGAAGAATATGCGCATGAATTGTTAGTTGCTAGACACTATATAAAGTATATCTCCTTAAGAGAGAACGCCTTTGACAAATTCCCAACTGAACTTACTATCTTTTGTAATCTTACTGCATTATCATTATCAAGAAACTTTCTATTGGAAATTCCTAAAGGTGTTTTCCCTCGACTAAATGCTCTTCAATGGATTAACTTGGGATTCAATTATCTTGAAGATTTGCCTTCAGATTTTATAGAATGCAAATATCTTAGAGGGATAGAATTGTCAAACAACAAATTATTAGGTAGAAAAAAAAAAAGAAAAAGAAGCATTCAGTATATTCATGATATTCTTTTTTGGATTATTAGAAATTCCTAAAGTTTTATTTAGTATTACGACAATTGAGGAATTAGGTTTACAAAGTAATAAAATAAAATTTATTCCTAAAGGTTATATCTTTCCCAAGAGACTACGAACATTGAATCTTTCATTCAATGAATTCGAAGAAATTCCTATGGCTTTAATTTATCAAGTCCCTGAGTTACTTTCTGTGTTGCTATTATCTGGTAATCCCTTGGAAGAATTGCCTGATAATTTCTTACATTCTGGTTATCAACAACTTTGCTGTCTTGATTTACATTCATGTAAACTTCTTTCTCTTTCATCGACTTTATTTCTGAATTTGGGAAAGATATCCTCCTTTGTAAGGTTAAATTTAGCAGTTAATCGTTTACGAGAGATTCCCAAGGAGATTGGCTATCTACGTTCCCTTCAATGGCTAAATTTGAACGGTAATCGACTTCATGAGTTGCCCAATACAATGGCTTCCTTATCTTGTCTTATAAAGTTAGGACTTGCTCAAAACCGGCTTGAATCTTTACCTAGCTTTCTATTTATGCATATGATGTATTTAGAAAAAATAGATATCCGTGCTAATCGGCTTCAGTATTTGCCTTCTTCCACACTTAGTCTTATTCGTGCTCGAGAAAATGATTCAATTCCTCAAGCTTTGGTGCCTCGTACGGTCTTTAAAACGTGCAATCGACCTCAATGTATTCTAAATGATTGTTACACTTGCGAGCTTCGACGTAATGAGGCATGTGCTCACCTGAAATCAATTATTATTGAAGATAATCCTAAGCTCAAACGTGTGGATGGTATCTTTTACATCTTTGATGAAAAGAATACATATGTTCAATTGATATCTTTGAGTGATGCATATCATGTTTTTGACATGATGTCTGTTGGATCAAATGGCATTATTTGGAAAGCAGATCGTGAAAAGATGACAGCTAAACTACTTTCAGAGATCTATTCTACTACTGCACCAGATAAAGTTGCGTCATCTTATAGCCCCATTCCATCTAGCATCATGGACGATCATGATTATTTTAGCGTGAGTGATGACTCCTTAACAGAGATATCAGATAATGAAGAAGTATCAATCATTCATGTTAATATCCAACGTAATAGTACTGAAGGGTCTTCTGTATTTCATAAACGTCATCCTTGTCCAGATAGATCACCTTTATCTCTACGTGAAATTTGCTTAAGAGTCTATTTTACAAGAATGTCTCAACAGTTTGAACAAAATTTTTTCTATTCTGATTTCCATGCTAAGGTGAGCCCAGAAAATGTGTTGCTAACACGACTCGATCAAGATGAAGATGTAACTAAAAAATTTTTGAGCTGCGCCTTAAACCCTTATGAAATGCCCCCCTTTATAGTTGACAGCATTTTATTGAAGAAGACAACACGACAATGCGATCATTGTCATATTTGGTTTACAAAATCAAATTATCAGGTGGGTTGTATCGATAAACTTGGAAGTTTAGAGGAAGAAGTTCCTATCAGGTTTGATATTTGTTCGTTGTCATGCGCAGTAGATGCTGTAGTCAAATTATATATAGCTCAAAAAACCTTACTTTGAAATTATACTTAGTGCAAAAAAATATATACATGTATATTCTCGAATAAAAGATATAAAAGAGTAAAAAAGTACTATTATCTATCATAATTTATTTTGTACTTCTATAAAGGTGTAGTATATAATTTACTACTTGTTTTTTTTTCTTAAAACCATATAATTTATTACATGTTATATTTTCAAGTTATCAAGAACATTTTAATTCCTATTATTGTTTGACAATACTCGTGTGTAAATGATTTAACTGATTCACTCTATATGTCTCACTTGTAAATGAAATAGCTTTAAAACTTTATTTTATAATTTGATTGTATAACGAACTGATTTGCAGTTTCAAACATCAGGATCGCATTTACTTGAAAAAAAAAAAAAAGGAAAAAGGATTGCTAGCTTTGCAAGTTCCGAAAATGATTTATTTAGCAATATATCCATTGATAAAAAATCATTTTTTAAATAAAAGCCTGAACGGCTTATTCGATTGAAAACCTTCTCCCCCAAGAGAATTTGTAAATTAATCCTTTAAATACTCACATAAATCGGGTTAGTTTTATTTTATGATAATATAATTCATTCTAAAGACAACAGTTAATATAGTGAATAGTTTAAAGACATGAGGAAAGGAAAAAAAATTATGGAACAAAAGAGACTTAATAAAACACGCTAAAGATGCAGTTTTAAAGTTCTCTTTGCATACCAAGAACAAAATTTATTAATTTTATATGCTTTTCATTCATAAAATTTCTTTTTTGTATTAAACCTACTGGGAAAAAGTAAAATAATGTTTAGTTTTTAAACAATTTTACATATTATCTCAATCAATATCTTAGACTTGAACATGAATCAACATGGATAAAACTTAAATAAGTGTTGTAATAAACTTAATTCTCTCTCCCTTGTTTCAGGGACACTGTATTGATTTTTTCTATTAAGAACATATATAAATAAGCGAGTGAAAAAAAAAGAAATAGACATTTTATATATTTGTAAGAAATCATAATCATGAGAGAACGCCCTAAAGGTTTAGTTATCAAAACTGCTGTTAGAAACAAGCCACCAGTAATTCCAACACGATCAGGACTACGTAGACAATCAAATGCTCTTCCTCCTATTACTGAATTTCAAGCCACTAGCACTGAAACGAAGAACAATCACCTTCAGTCATATGAAGTTGAAAATGAGCTTGTACTTGAAAAAAGCCCTATAAAGAGTAAGGAAAACGGTACTGTTGATATTGAACAGATATTACGAGACAATCCTCAGCTAAATAGTATAAACATGAAAACGAACAACGATAAAGCTTCTCATGAAGTTTCAAAGATAAACATCAAAAAGAAGTTTACCACTTTTTTAAGAAAATTCAAATTTACTACTAATAAACAATCCAAAGTTATACTTGAAGACCCACCTGCTATTCAAACACCAACCACTCATATTAAAGATGGCGCTTTAAGAATCGATTATACACATCAAGAAGTACATTTTAATGAGGCATCACCTAGCATAGTAGCACATCATTATTTACCAAAGAATTCGATACGTTTACAAAAGTTTTAATAGCCAAAGAAAACTCTTTCCCTTTCTTTTTAATATATAATTATATATAAGGATATTAATTTAATACTAAATAAATGTGCTTTCATAAACATAAAGAAATAAAAAGTGATATACATGTATACATATATATTTATAGTTTATTTTATTTTATTTTTTTTACAAAAATCCAAGATACAAAAGTACAGCAAACTTTGTAAAATGCTGCTAATGCCTCATCCAATTCAAACCATTTAAACACTAACTCTTGCTTACTTAAATCCTTTATGTAATTTAGCTTATATCTTGCTGCTTCCACAGCCTGCTTACAGATTATGTTGGTAATTTTTGTATCAGATGAGAATGCAAAAACATCCTCGCGGGAAGGACTACGAGACTAAAGAAAGGGTGATATTAACTCCTATCTTTTGAGAACATATTGAAATTCATTACAGTACCATAGTAGATCTAATAGAATCAGTATGCTTATTCATTTCTTCTGCGACTCTCTTTTTGTTGTTTCTTAAAGTTATGAGCTGAATATAAAGTGCTCAGTTCTTACAATCACAAACTAAACTATTATATATGACTTACTGGTTTTCTTAGCATCATTAGATCACTCCAATCAACCCTGTATAAGTCCATTTAGATCTATTTATGCTATGCCTTTTTAATTTGATTTCACTCAAATAAGCTGCCAGTTCTAACGACTTGCCTCAACATCTTCATTTTGTGTTTTGTAACGTCACAAGATTAAAGACTATGCCTCTTTCAAAGCTTTCTAGCCATCATCGTCAGCAACGTTAACTTCCAAGATTTGTGTGACTATGTCTTCTTTAAGATCTTCTACAAACATAGAGAAATGAAATTTATTATTCCCTTCGATGCAATATTATAAAATATCCATTATAATATAAAGATGAAAGAGCTTTATTGATAAAAACGACAAGTATTCGAATCACAAAATATATTTTGAACAATAAGTATTTATAAAAGACGTAGTTTATATTATGATTTATAAGAATGAACTCGTGCTTAATCTGAAGACAAAGCATTCATTCTGCTGAGTTGTATAGCTTTTTGGTGTTTCAAAATGTCGAACAATAGGTACATGTCAAATTATAAGAATTCAAATAAACAGTTCCCATGCATTCTTTGTCCGCTATTACTTGTCCTACTTACCTCTATTATGTATTCTTAATACTAACAATTTATCAGGTAAAGAACTTTAGCTCAAAAATACTATCTCTTTCTTCAATACATTAAAAAAAAAAGAAAGGCAAATAATTAGATAAAATAACTTGTTTAATAAAAGACATTCCCTACAAGAGAAATGGTTATCCCGTTTATTATTACAATACTAGTTAAATGCTTCTAGTTTCTGCTAACTGCTACTTTATTGTTTAAAAAATAACTATATCTTCTTCATCTTAAAAAAAAAAGGAAATATGCATATTTTTATATTTATGTTTGCTACAGTTATCATATCAATAATGGGAAAATATGACTGAATAGCTTAAAAAGAAAAAAGAGTATATAGACACAATATACAGGTTGAATCTTGGAAATTAATGCAAATAATGACAGTTTATAGTATTCTGTACATGAAATGAATCGAAAGTAATTCAATTCTTAAAGGGCAATGGTACAATATAAGATTACTTTAAAAAAAAAAGTAAATCGAACGATTCATTAATTCTCTTTTAGTTATTCATCATGAGCAATAATAATACATTTAAGAGTTTTTTTTTTTCGTATTTAGTACTACAATTGCTCTCCAAAGGGAAATAAAAAATTTTTTTTAGTCTAAATACTTCCTTGACATTAATTCAATTTAGAATTTCAAAAAGAGTAATCAGCTTTTATTATATAAGTTTGCGGTCATCTGTATAAACCAATAATAAAATTCTCTTCCAAAAAAAAAGGGGTATATTTATAACACATTAAGTCTATTGATTAGAGTAGAACCTTCATTATTATTATAGATAAAAAAAAACAACAAGAAAATATCAATAAGCTAAGCAGTTTCTTTCTAATAAAACGCAATAGTTTAAATTGTTTTTAGATCAAACAAACTATATAAACATATTCGATCATGGCTTAGAAGACAGAACTCTACTTTATAAATAATTAAGCACATATTATCTAATAAAATTAGTCTTAATTTACAAGCTACCTTAAAGTATTTAAAATGCTTATTAAAATACTATTGCTGTATATTTTACACCTTTTTTTTTTCTTTTTTCTTTTTTGTTTTTGTTTTTTTTTTAGTGATGTTTGATTAATAAAAAATATAGAGAAAAGGATGTATTATTTATTTAGAGTTAGCTATTAAATAATAATATTAAAACAAAGTAATTACTTTATTCCTTCTATTCTCCTTTAAATACCTATTGTATAGTTTAATGATATAGACAGTATGTTTATTTATTTTTAAATAATGCATTATTCTAACATATAAGAATAAACTGTATCACAAAGCATAGATACACAAACTTTATGAAATGCACTATTTGTAACTGTTAAATCTTACTGGACCGTGATATCCAATTATTATTTTTTTTTTCTAGCATTTGCTGTAAAAGAATTAGAAAGTCAACTCTAATTTTTTTTTTTCTTCTGTTATAATAAATCTTCTCTTTATTTATTTAAGCTCTTTTTTTTTGTATATTATTTTATATTCCTTATCACTTATAAAATATTTTCCAATTAATCTAAAAATAAATTCATTATGAAGGATGGTTTTAAACTGTTAGAGATTGAACCAACAGAAGGCTATCTTGATTTTGTAGGACCTGCAAAGATATCAGAAAATAAATTAAATGAGCCATTGCGCGTTTTGAAAGGAGAGGTCAGAATTACGCTTACAAAACCAGTAAAGATTCGAAATATGTTTATCAAATTCAAAGGATTTAGCAGTATCACACTCTCAAAACCTTATAATATAGAAGCCAATTGTCCGTTTTTACCAAAGTTAAAACTATCTCTTTTTGGAAAAACTACCCTGCCAGCTGGAGATCATATTATACCTTGGGAATTAGATATACCCAATATATACCCTCGTAGTTTACTTATTAAGAGAGCAAGTATTCACTATAAAGTCATTGTTTCTATATCAACCGGAATTACTAGTAAATCAATAACCGCAGAATATCCTATTATTATCAGACGTCATCTGTTACCATATAAAGAATTGGCTCCTCTAATTGAAACAAGAATCTTTCAAAGAACTGTACCTGGTAAATTTCATTATGAAATTGATATTCCACAGATTATTTGTATTGAACAAGAATATATACCAATGGCTATCAAATATGTTAGCATTGCAAATCAAAAGCCAGTGCAATCAATTCGGACCCGTTTAATACAAATAGAATTATATAGGTAATACAAATTATATGAACAAAGGAAAGAACAAAAAAAAAAAAAAAAAAAAGGACTTACATAAAAATTTTAGATTTCAACCCTTATCTAAATCAGACTATAATTTAACTACAATGGATCGAGATTCCTTTATCTTCAATTTAGATAAAAAAATTATAAATTCAAACTATTATAAAGATAATCACGTTAAATATATTAAGAGAAGTGTCCCTGCACTTATTCATTTAACAGGTACATCAACGTCTATATGGAAAAGGCCATGTTTAGTTCGACATGGTCTCTATCCTTATTTATCATATACCTTAGTTTCTCCACTTATTTCTATCTATCATCAAGTCGAAGTAACTTTTCAATTCGGTCAAAAATACGAGGAAATAAAATCTAAAATTCCAATTATTATCGCATCTGTGCCACAACAGGGTGTATCGAATAACGAAAATTCTCCTTCACCAGAATTGAAGTATGCATTTGAAGAAGCTGCACGTTCAGATTATTTGAAATATGTCACAGAATCTTCAACTAAAAATAATGATATGATAGATAATAATCGGAATGAAGAGGACAGTTATGGATCACCATTACTTCGAGATATCTCAACAAACATAGATGTTTCTCTGGATAGTTCTTTGAACGATAGATTAAAAACTATGAACCCTATATCTACAACAACAACTGCTACTACTACTACTACTACTACTACTACTAACATAAATACCCTATTCCCTGTTTATAATAATAATTCTAAAAGCCTTTTTTCACTTTCTCCACACTCTGACTATCACTTAGCATATAACCATAATCATCAAAAAAAGTTTGCATCAGCAGTTGACCTTAGTACTGATTCAATTAAATCGATCAATGATGTGGATGATTTTGAAGGTTTACCTACAGAACGTCCAAGGACTACAACACCTACCATGAGAAGAAATAGGAAAATATTAAAACCTATTGACGTTGATTTAGCGAATGGCAAAAAGCAATATCCAACACCAGCGCAACTGTTATCAAATGAATGTGTTGATCCCGAAGATATTTCCAAAGCAGATATATTTTCAATTGCTCACTATCAATATAAGCAGCTAGCAAGTGCCTCTATTAAAAATCAAAACTTGTACCATTGTGATATCACTGCTTTTGATAGCATAAATCATGATGATTTACTATCTGTTTGCTCTGAAACATCTATTCTGAGTGCGAATATGCCTATCTCAGCTGTACGAAGTCATCCATCTTCATTACATTCGAGACCACCTTCACCTGGATTTACTCCAGCACCAGGTATACCTGCTACAATTGCCTTACAACCCCAATATCAAAATAAACAAGCCATAGAAGAATTATTTCCAGCAGCACCCGATTCAGCTACTATCTCCTTATCATCCTTTGCTATGAATACAATAGCATCATCCACTTTACTATCACATAGGACAAGTGATACAACTCAGAAACGTATTGCATTATCCTCAATCTCATCCTTAACGAATGATTCACTTATTGTAGGGCCACCTTCTTCAAATAGTAGTCATCGTCGAGTTCGATCATCTTCTGCTGTCGATCCAGATATACAATCACTTATAATACAACATAATGCTCTCTATTCTTCATCCCTTCAATACATTTATGAAAAGCTGCCTCCATTACCATCTGACTTGAAGTCAACTAAACGACTAACAAAAGTTTATTTAGATGATAGTGATGAAGAAGAACATCATAAATATGAACTACCACCAATTCCTTCTCAATTACCATCATTAAATGAGAATAATAATAATAATAATATAGAATTTACTCAAGTTGATATTGAGCCTCCAAAATTACCCAGATTATCTTTTGGTAAAGATTTTAGTATATCCCTAGGAATTCAATAAAACAGTGTCCCTTTTTTTTTTTTTTTTTTTTTTTTTTTTTTTTTTTTTAAGTATAATTACTGTTTTTTCATTGGACAAATATAGTGGGGAACTCGGTATATGAAATTTGAACATTGTGCTAAATAAACTTTTTTCTTTTTCACATAAAAAATAATATAACATTCAATGCTTCGATTACCATCGCAACCTACAATTCCCGAATGGAAGAACAATTGGGAAGATATTCAACCCGCTTTACATAAAATAAGAAGATCGTTGGCTTCCTTAAGAACCTCATCGTTAAAGGTGATGAGAGTAAGCCAGCTTGATTCTGATATTTTGGACACAGAACTGGTGGATATTTTAAAAGAACAGCTTTGGAATGCCTTGTCGTTATTTAAGGTATGATTGACAAATTTAACATACATTTATAAAGAATAAAACTAATTTTATTTTTATTTTAAGCCTACTTTCAAAGAAGCTTTTGAGCCTGAATTATTAGGTCTTCTTAATCTCATTTTATTTAAACTATCAGTTTATGATTCTTCAGCAACTTATGGCTCACAGCTTCAAAACTTAAAATATCGTAATGAATGGAAGCATGGAGGTGCTTGTAAGTTATTATCCATATTATTATTATTATTTACGTGTTAAAAAAATAGGAAATAAAATAATTATAACGTATATCTGTAGTTGAATCTATCGCAAGAGATGCACCATTAACAAAGGGACAAAAGATAGCATATGGAATATTGACAGTAGGGGGGCAATATGTATGGACAAGAATGAATCGATATATAACAGCAAAAGGTTGGGGAGAACTAGAAGAATCAGATACTCGTAATAAAATATATCGTGTTTTACAAACTGGTGAAAAATATTGGAAAGCATTTTCTTTAGTGAACTTTTTAATCTTTTTATGGAATGGAAAGTATCGTACATTAATTGAACGCATGTTAGCAATGAGACTAGTTTACTCAAAGAAATCAATGAATCGACAAATTAGCTTTGAATTCCTAAATAGACAGATGGTCTGGCACGCATTTACGGTAAAATTAAAAAAAAAGAAAAAAGATAAAGACATTTTTGTTGTAGAAATAAATGCTCATCAAATATTTTATCATGAAGGAATTCTTGCTGTTCTTAGTGCCTTTGATCAATATTGAAAAACTGAAAATGAAGTTAATGCGTACATTACTGCCCAAATCATATCTTGTGTCTTCAAAGGGATATGACCAACTACCCATAAACCAATGTGCAATTTGTCATGATTCGAGTTCAAGTGAAAATACACCACTTGGTCAAATCCAAAATTTTACTGTACATAATCCATATAAAACTAATTGTGGTCATATTTATTGTTATTACTGTATTCAAACTAAAATCTCTATTTTTGGTGATGAATGGCCATGCTTTCGTTGTGGTGAAAAAGTAACTGAAATTCATAAATATATTGAAAGAGTAGAAAATGTAGATGAACAAAAAATAAAAGAATAATTTAATCGTAAAAAAATAAAATGAAAAAAATAATAATAATAATGTACAAAGAACCGTTTAAATCTATTTACAAATCGTCTGCTGCTTCCATTTCCTTTTCATCAAATACTTGCTTAGCTCTTCGAATATCTTCACTCATATATAATAATTCTTCTACACGAGCTAACTTTTTCGCATCCTTACGTAAAATAAACTTAAAATCCTCGACACGAACTTTATTACGATGTTCCGCTACTGCTGAAGCCTTTTGACACTACATATCCAAAACATTAAAAAGTTGAATAGTTTTCATGTAATGTATGTATATTACCATTTCAACGATATAATCAATAACCAAATCATCTAGTACTGCAATAGAATCTGCTGCTGGATTAGGTACATCACCAAAACCATACATTAATAACTTTACTGATAATAAAAAAAATCAGTATATGTTTCAAATCAAGATATTACTATGAGTCTTACAATCTCTAGAGAACATTCCCTTCCTTACGGTCTTCCTTCTACCAGGACCAATACCTGGCTCGCGATGATCTTTTGACTCTCTTACATCTTTAAATTCTTTAGAATCACTCATGTTTTTTTCTTTTAGTTTAAGGAAAGAGATATTTAGAGAAAAAAAATAAAATAAAATAAATAAATGCAGTTTATAGTGACGTCGAAAAGCAATGTAAAAGCGAGTCACTATTACATTGATATTTATTTAGCATTTGATCAACCACGTAGAAGAAAACCAGATATGCAAAAGAATAAACAGCCTTTTTCAAGAGCAACTTGTAATGTATTTAATAATACTGACATACCATTTACAGATGGAGAATAGATCATGCCATTAAAAGGCTGATAACATTTAACGATTTTAGTAGAGAAGGAATCGATGAATAAGGGCTACAGTGTGAATATTAAATATTGTAGATTGAGTTTAGAGCTTTAATAGCAAAACCCAAATATGTTAATGTATGGACAAACAAAAAAAAAAAAGAAAAAAGTCGAATAAATGATGCTATGCTTAACAAGTTGATTAATACTAACAAAAATAGAAAATATAATATTACATATAGACTTATAGGGGGAAGGAGGATATCAATGGTAATATGGCTCACCCCCTTAAATTTCAAAATAGCGGTATTATTCAGAGCATTTATATAAATATTTATGTTAAGAGTGGGAAAGGGAAAAAAGAAATAAAGATAAATGGTAAAGTCGTAGTTATCATTGATCCTTCCTTCATCATAATTGACCTATTTTTTTTTATTTCCACAATTCCCAAGAAAATAAATACAAAAGTCGATATTTTTGCTTATTTACAAAGTGTTTGAATGAATATTTCGTACTTGGATTAAACAGTACCTAGCAAATAAAACATATTAAATATTGAATAAGCTATTTAATGGAAATAAAATACAGGAAGAATCTTAAACTCTCGAAATAAGATACAACTTTATTGTAAAAGTGAGAAAGTGGAAGTCTAAATCAATAATAATCAATCTCTGCTGCTTACAGTTTCTTTTGAAAAGAAAAAAAATAAAAATAAAATTCCTAGTGTTTATGTATACTCTATTTTCTCGTTTCACCCAATGATATTTATTTCATTTTTGTGAGTTCTAAATTTTCCATTCAGTTGAAAACTTTTGCAAGACACCAAAAATCTTGACCAGCATCCAGCTGTTGCTGTCATTTCTTTCTCTCTCTCTCTCTTTTTTTTTTTTTTTTTTTTTTATTTTTCTTTTCTTTTTTTTTTATTTTTCTTTTCTTTTTTTTTCTTTTAGCGTTCACACATATGCCTAAAAAGACATCTTCATCAGTTCAAAAGACACCAAATGAACTAGTGTCTTCAGTTAAATCTTCCAGCTTGAATTTAACAGACATTGAATCTGACTCCATTTCTAAAATTGCTAAGAAGTACTTTTCAGATAATGTTGAGTGGGATCCCGAAGTAGTCAAAACTATCATCAAAAATGAGCTTGAGCCTGCCGAGTTTAGTTCCCAGAAACTTTCAGTTTTAGAGTTTTATCACTACTTGGAAAAGGTGCGTGTTATTGATCAACCCTTCCAAAAAAAAAAAAAGAATTATCGAAATTAAACAGTATTTTTCTTTTATAAATAGTATCTCTGGCCTCATTATAATGAAGAAGCTTCTTTAGACCACGTTATTTCTATTTGTTTACTTGTTTATGAGAAAGCACGTCAAAGCATTCCTCTTTGGGGTAAGTTTATAAATATACATTTGTTTATTTAATTATAGTATTTATGGCTAACCATTTCTATTAGACGCGTTTGCTGATGACACTGAAAAGTTCTCTTTGTTTTTTAGGCGTATTATTCATTTGATAGTTGATCCTGAATTGCCACTATTCTTTTCTAGACAATTATTAATCTTTTTAATTCATTGTTTCCAAAGTTTCGATAATAATTTTGTTCGTACAGAATGTTTGAAATTGGTTACTATTGGCATCTGGGCTCATTTAGCTCACGAAGGAAAACGAGACCAACTCTTTTCTAATTATCCTAATCTTCTTAAATTATGGAATACAAATAACAAAAAATTAGCTGCTGCTAGTAAGTTTCGAAGAAAAAAAAAGTTTTAAATCTTCATGTCGGATCTAACATGTGTCTTCTGTTAGAGAATACAGCTCAAGAAGAATTAGTATTTGAGAGGAGTTGGCTAAGCGCTATGTTGAAAAGATACATCGATCTAGTTTACAAAATTCCTGAAGACGAAGATGGTAATTAGATATAATAGTTAAGAGACTTAATTTATTAACAAAATGCAATAGTTGACGAGGAAATCATCAAAATGTCTGAACGCTTTTTAGAATTCTTCATTGATTTGGAATCTCAATTATCTACCCGTCGATTCTTTAATACATTATTGGATGATCATCAAATTGTTGTATTGTCCCAAATGGCACCATTTATACGTCGTGAAGATAAAGATGTCGATCTTTTAAAAAAATTATTAAATACACTCTCCTTTTATTCTAAATTTGAAATCAATGATCACACAGGTGTTCCATTAACAGATATTGAAATGACCGAAGCTCATTCTCAACAACTACTTCAATTACAGGTATATTAAAAAAAATAATTAAATTATATCAAATAACTTACCATAAAAAAAAGCATGTTACATTCCGTTATTTTAGAGATGATATTAAAGAATTACCATTGGCTAATTTGAGTTCTATCGAAACAAGAGAGGGACTCTTATGGCATTTAGAACCATTATCAGAACAAGTATTGACTCGTCTATGTACTATGCTTAATATTCGTAGCGAACCACTTGATATCTCTATTGATGTTGATATAAAAGATTTTTTGATAAACGTTCTTATTGATAAATATCAAAAGAGAGAAAGTCAGATTGATATTATCAATAATCAGCCTCTTTATCCAGATGAGGAAGCACTCTTTAATGATAGTTTAATTCAATCTCACTTTTATCCCGGCGATCATCCCTTGGCTCTACCTAAATTAAATCTTCAATTTTTGACCTTTCATGATTACTTTTTAAGAAACTTTACCTTGTTTAAACTTAAGAGTTTTTATGAAATTCGTCAAGATATTGAAGATACTGTAAAGCAGCTTCAACCTAGGTTAACATATCCTGATTATATAACTGAATTTGCTGGTTCAGCACGCATGGCGGTTCCTATTAGCAGTTTTGGGTATTTATTATATAATATAGTAGTATAGTATATAAATTGATCTAATCTATTTCATTCTTTTACATATATAGTGTTATTGATATTGGTGAAGCTAATCTCGGTGAAAATAAGCCTTCTCGTGTGCGGGCTGATGTAAGTTTATTTTATTTATTTTTTTCAAAGAAAAAAAAAGTCTGCTTTGCATGTTATTTAACATTTTTTTTTTTTAGATTACTTATGATATTAGTCAGTTTTCGTCTAATATTCGTTTTGAATGGGATGCTTTACGTAAACATGATGTATTATTCTTATTAACTATTGAAGCACTTGAAAAGTCATCAGATCCACTAGAAGCTGATGAAGACTTTAGAGAACATTATGGTATTAAGCATATTCGTGGTTGTGAAATTGTCGAAGTAATTGGTAGTGATGGTAAATATATATGAATGAATCATGCACGAACTGTATACTGATTTATTTATTGTATAGGTCGTCCTATTGATGAGTTTTCGATGATTACTGCTGAAGATAGAGCTGGAAAATTAAAAGGTACACGACGCACGCTTCGTGTAGAACTTGATCCAAATCAATACAAGGTAATATAAAATAGAAGTGATAAATGAACAGCATGTTAATACATATGTGTATGTATGTATATTATAGATGGATATGGATAAAGTGAATAACAAAAAGGCAACAGACCCCCATACAACTTTTAATATCCTTGTACGTAGAAGGCCTCAAGAAAATAATTTTAAATCTGTTTTAGAAACTATTCGTGATTTGATGCAAACTCATTTGATTGTTCCTAGCTGGTTACAAAAAGTATTCTTAGGGTATGGTGACCCTGCTAGTGCTCATTACACTAATATGCCAGATCGAGAGCATACTATTAACTTTTACGACGCATTATTAGATTGGGATCATTTCAAGACAAGCTTTGAAACTGGCAAAAATATTCAAATTGCTTCCGGTGAAAAGGAGCCATTGGACCCACCTTATGTTGTGACTTTATTAGATGATCCCATGGATGAAGATAGCAAGCCTACAAAGAAATCTAAAAAATCCAAAAAAGCAACAGTGGTGGAATCCAAGTCGGAGACATATGAGGTCTCCACTTATAAGATACCTAACATGGGCCCCTATAAACAAGATAATTCTAAAAAGAATCAAATTCGTTTTACACCTACTCAAATTGAAGCCATTTATTCGGGTATGAACAATGGTTTAACAATGGCTACTGGTCCTTCTAATGCAGGTACAACTGATGTTGCTGTCCAAATTATTGCAAATTTATATCGCAACCACCCTGAACAGCGTACATTAGTTTTAACACACAGTAATCATGCCTTAAACCAAATTGTAGAAAAGATCCTTGAATTAGACGTAGATCCTAGACACATCCTTCGTCTTGGCCATGGTGAAAAAGAACTTAATACAGAAATTCGATTTAGTAGATATGGTCGTGTTACTGCAGCTTTAGAGAATCGTATTACTCTTCTCCAAGAAGTAAGCCGTTTATCACAATCACTTGCTGTACCAGGCGAACATGGAGCAACATGTGAAACAGCTAATTATTTCTTTAACGTACACATCATACCTCGTTGGGAGACCTACATGAATACGGTATCTGACGCTGACTCGATAGAAAAGATTCGTGATTTGTTTCCCTTTTCTGAGTACTTTACGAATACACCTTCACCTATCTTTACAGACAAAATGACCCCGGCTGAAGCTATTGAATCGGTTAAGGGTTGTTTTAGACATTTAAGTAACATGTTTAAGCAACTTGAAGAAATTCGACCCTTTGAACTTCTGAAGACAGGACATGAACGAGCCGATTATCTATTGACAAAGGAATCCAAGATTGTTGCAATGACTTGTACATATGCTGCTTTAAAGCGACGTGAATTAGTGGAAATGAATTTTAAATATGATAATATTATTTTTGAAGAATCTGCTCAAATTTTAGAAGTTGAAACCTTTATTCCATTATTTTTACAAAAGCCTCAAGATGGTATGAATCGATTGAAACGTGCAGTTATGATTGGTGATAAACAGCAGACACCTCGTACTGATAAAGAGTCTGCTTTCCAACAATATGGTAATGTAAAGCAGAGTATGTTTGCACGATTTATACGATTAGGTGTTCCTACTGTGCAATTGGAATAATAATAATAACGTATTGTTATCCTAATAAATCGTGAATATCAATTTACACTATTGTATCTTGTATCTTTATATATTATGCATTTCTAATAAGTACAGAATGGTAAAATTTTATTTTTTATGTGCAATAACATAATGGTTATCTCTATCATAGCCAGAAGTTTCTATCACTGAATCCTCAATTTGTTCAAATAAAGCATCTAATTCACCTTTTTTAAATAAATGATAATATCTAGTATAATAGTTGAGATAAATTTGTATTAGTTTTTGGTGAAAGAAAGAAAGAAAGAAAGAAAAAAAAAAAAAAAAAAAAAAAAAAAAAAAAAAAAAAAAAAAAAAAAAAAAAAAAGAGAGAGAGAGAGAGTACCTATTATAGACAGCATTATTCACCTCTTCTTCTTTTTGTCCTTTTCTAGGTGTCAACTTCCAAGGTACAAATACATCTTGTTGCCCAGGCTCAAAATTACGTTTACTAAACTTTGTTTGTTCTAATGCCCATACAAATACTAACACTTTCCCCCCAGGTTTGACAATCTTGAATAAATCCTTAATAGCCTGTAATCTTCTTTCTGGACTAGCAAAATGATGTATGACAGCAATAGAAATAGCAAAGTCCTAACTTTCAAAGTTAGTAATCACTTTTTCAACCATTTTTTACTATTCTATATACGTATGTATGTATGTATATGTACAACTTACGAATGAATTAGATCTGTATGGTAAATTAAGTCCGTCTGCTACCATGCCCTCAAATCCGCGATCATGCACAATCTTGATCAAGTTGGAGCTCCTAAAGATCAAAATAATTAATTTCGTTAGATTTAATTATAATGCATAGAAAAAAAAAAGGAAGGGAGGAAAATAAAGAAGGAGAAGGCGATTACCTGTCTGAGCCGAGGATCATAAGATTAGGGTTGACACCAATGTATTTACCATTTCCACAGCCTACATCAGCACCAAGACTACCAGGTTTTAAACTATGTAAAAAGTTTTCTACAACTGGCCAAGGTTTATAACGAGTATCACTGAAATGAGTCGCAATTACTTCATATACTTCGTGTACATTTTTTTGTTCATATTCTTCCTGATTTTGATTTGGTATTGTTACCGCAACGGGTTGTGGTTTGTTGGCCATTCCGACTTTATATTTATGTAAATGTAACAAAAAAAAAAAAAAAAAAAAAAAAAAAAAGAGCTTTTGTATTTATTTATTTATTTAAGCACAAATTTGACTTCCGTGTATAAATTATTTAAAATTGGAACTTATCTCTCTACCTTATCAACATTATTTATAAATCACAAGAAAATAACTGTGAACAGTATGAAAACAAATTACTGTCTGTCGCAGATATACTATATGATGTGTGGCAACATGCAACCATCCTTGAATGAAAACTCAGAAAGTTTTTCAAACTGGTGCTCTAGGAATAAATTGGATTTTTTTGAACAGATCATCGTAACGTCCAGCAAACTTTTCAAATCAAAAGAACATTCCAGCGTTCTCTATACATGTTAAAAGAAGAACTCAAATATAAGTAATGTTTAACGCTTTAATTGAATTTTTTTTTTAAAATCTTTCATACAGGTAATGTTATTGAAGATATTATTAGCCTTAAACGAAAACATCAGGATTATATGATTAATTTGAAAGCCGATGGGGTATATATTAATTGGATATTGTAGAAAGAGTAAAACGAAAAATACAAAAGACGAAGTTGTCAAGTCATTAAGTGGAATGGTGTTAGGTTTGCAGATGAAATATATATGACAGTTAGTTGCAATGCAAGTACCCCCACGTTTAAACGTGATATGAAGAAAAATGGTATCATTAATAAATTATCTGGCGCCCAAGGTATGTTACCTAATGTATTGTGAGGCTTACAGTTCGTGTAATGCTTAATTCCTTTTTTATAGATTTAATCAAAAGATTGAAAGAGATGAAGAGCTTCTGTTTAGTTGTAATTGATTTCTCAGGTTTAACTACTAATATGGACAGTTTAATTGATGTAATGAGGAAACTACAATATATTGCTTTTTAAATAGAACAATTAGCTTACTTTTGGTTGTAGAGAACATAAAAAAACCATTATTGAAAGTATTGTAAATGCAAACGATATACAAGCTTTAGATTGTGAGGATGAGTTAATCATGTTGAAACATTTACACAATTTCGATGGAAGACAAAACTGTTACCACAGATCAAAAAATAATTGATTTTTATGTGTTTACAATTACCATAAGATTAAATCATTCATGTTCATCTATTATAATTCAATAGATGATAACTTAATAATAAACACTATCGATACTTATGTTTTTTATTATAAAAAAAAGAAGAAAAAGAAACTATTACTGATTCTCCTTTATTGAAGTGTGGTTATTTAAAATAGCAGGATATGGTTTGTATTCTGATGGATTTAGATTCATTGTTTTTATTGAACAAAGAAATGGCCATTTAGGATTTTCAGAGTAACATATATCCACAAGCTCCATTTCATCAATTAATTTGGTATATTTTTTTTTTGTTTTCTTCATTATATTCAACAGCATAGAACAAGCAAACTGCTTGTTCTCTTGAAATGGTTGTCATTTTAGTTTGTTTTGCAAGATTTTTTTTTTTTTTTTTTTTTGTGTATGTTAAGAAAAAAATACCTATTTTTCAGCTGAGTGACCCATTTTAAGATCTTTTTTCATAACTGGTGGCCCAAACTTTTTTAAAATGACCCAAAATTATTTTGTGCAGACCCAACCTATTTTCTTCAGCTGTAATAATAAGAATAGTAATAGTAGAGAAGGAGAGAATTTATCAAGTACATCACATAATACAATAATTTATTTTTTTTTAACCTAGAGGATAAGGTTGGAAAAGCATAATTACTTCTGAGGTATAAAACACATATACAATCTAAATTGATGTTCAACAGTCAATGACAATATTAAGCTTTTATAAATGAGTTATGCTTGTTAATTTCTCTTTTCCGATAATTCTTTTACTCTTGTCTCATCACCAGGACGAAGCCAAGTGCCACTTGTTTCTCTATTAAAAAGTTAAAATGAATAACGTGGATATAATCCCTTTTTTTTTTTTTTTTTTTTTTTGCTTTTACTCTTCATATTCTTTTAATAAAGGCTTAAAAACATAAATTCCTGTACTAATGCCAACTCCAACAGCAAGTGCGACTTGAATAAGCTTATTTGAGAACATCTCTATAATACAATGTTAATGGCTTCAATTGGTAGGACTAAAAATCTCCAAATTTCGTTTTTACAATTAAAAAAATGTATTTTTTTTTTTTCTAAAATAAAATGACCAGTGAGTACTTGCAATTTAATTATGTTGTATTGCCCTAGTCAATTTCAAAAAAAAAAAAAAAAAAAAAAAAAAAAAAAAAAAAAAAAACTCACATTTATTTTTAGTTGTCACTTGAATAAATTTCCTATGTTGTCTAAAGCCAGTGTAATCGATGATTACTAGATGAATGTACTTGGCTGATATTGTGATAGTATCTATTATATCTTGTTTATATAAGTATTGAGTGAACAACAAAGATTGATTATATTAAATATTAGTTTGTTTAAATCACTTTGGCAGTCTTTTATTATACTTTTAATATGCTTGCTAGTGTTGGGGTCATTGATAGATTCATCGATGTTAGAACTGTAGCTTGTAAATACATGTTCATAGAGATACTTTACTGTTGGCTTTCGACACCTATAGGTTGAGCAACTTCTCTACAACAGATTTTGAAGTCCTGACGTTTGACTTTCTCATGTGACCAATAATACTATCGTCAACATCAGATTACTAACAACTATTGCTTGTTATTCTATCGGACTAATCTTAGAGCGTTGTAGTAAATTTTAGTAAACAGAAAACTACTCATCATGTCTAGGTGTGGTGTCTGAAGAAACAAATTGTATCCAATAATATTGTATGCTGGTATTTAATTTGACTGAATCAAGGTTGTACCTTAGATGTCAAATACAATCGTTTCCTTTGTATTAAACATTCTTAATACAGAATCAAGACATTGATAAAAGATGCCTGCTGAAAAACTATAAAAGGAGAAAGACTCCAATTATCATATTTTAATCTCTTTAAAAAATAAAATAACTAATTCTTACAGATTATTTTTTGTTTGTCTATTATTTTCATAATGATATGATATAATACAAATAAATAACAATTTAGTAAATCATTCAAAATTTATTAAAATTATTTGCAGAAAAAAAAAAGAAGCATTATAACTAATGGCTTTGTGTCCATTGCATTGTTCTGTTCCAACAGAGTATATAACCACGATAATATGTAGAAAGATCAGGTATATCATTTGGTGCGTCCAAAACACAATTTGACCATTGTCCTGTGTTTGATACTGAAAATCTTAAATGAATATGTCTATCAGCCTCTCTATCTCTGCGCATACTCTTTCTATTCCAGCTTCCATCTGAATGGTCATGAAATCCACCACAATACCAATACTGGTTTTGATTTCTCCAACCTGTCCTCAATCGAGCTTGATTTAAACGTTGATCAGTTATACTTTTACCAGCTACAACTGAAGGACACATCTTATTGAAGATGGCACCTTCACAAAATTGCCAACAGAGAAGGAATAACAATACAAATACTTTGAACATTTTTTCTTAACAAAAAGAAAGAAGACAAAAAGCTATTGATAAAGTAAAATAAAGGAAATATGATAGAGTAAGTTTGTGAAAACTTTTTTGATTGTTCAAAATGATTACAGAATAGGTCCCTATTTATATATTGTTGCACCTGTATGTAATGATAATATACGATATAATAAGACATAAATATTAAGTATTCATTACACAATAATGTTGTATAAACAGCATCATCATGTCAAGGAATAATTATATAACTATCAAATGAAACCCTTATTGAATTAACAATTTGTCAAAAATATAATACCATAACATGATCTGTACCATGACTGTTAATACCATCATAAAGAGGTTAATATGTGATAACACAACATCAGTGAAACAAAGCATCTATAAATGTCATCTGTAATTACAAGGAAAGTAGAAATAGCCAGAGAGATTGTACAAGAAGAATGAATACTTTTATATACAGATATATATTGATATATGTATATTTATATATATATGTATGTATGTATTTCTTATGAAAATCCTAACTTACGCCTGTATTTTGCGAATTACTTTTGCTCCTTATAATTGAACTTATACTACATATATGCTTTGTAGAATGAATAAACTTTGCGATATATTCATGATGACTAAAAGCATATCCTATAAATAATTAAAGTTGTAATGTTTAATATTCATCTATGCCCTGATTAAATAACAACTTTATTATTTAGCAGTAATCTTACCCGACATTTTCCTTTTTTTTTCTTTTTTTTCGAAACCAAATAACGAAATTTTGTTCGCTTATATTAGTAAATGGTCTAGGAAAAGCATAATAAAGTATAATATATTTATATCTTTAACACTCCTTCCCTTTACTATAATCATTCTTTAATGTGTGTCTTAAATGAATATCATTATACACAATAGAGTATATTTGACATGTATAGATCTACTATGGGTACTATTTGATTATATTCATCATATATCAATTGGACTAATATAACATGTATATAACTAATTTATCCAGTATATATATCTTTAACAGTAGTAGTATCATTCATGACGCGGGCATTTATTATTTTCGCTTATGATACAAGAATGTGTTATAAACTGACATTTAATAAGAGTATATAAGTATAAAATATACGATTATTAAAAATAATTATAATACCTCCCAGTTTTACTACTTAGTATTACTATTATTATCACAGCATATTATGTAATACATCATCATCCGCTATACAACAAAAACTTTATTCTAAACTAAACGATATCACAATATTATACATAGTATTACTAATGAATTCGTATATGATAAACTTAGTTAAAGTAATTTTAACATAATAAAAAAATGTAAAGAGTAATAATAAAGTTGTTAAAGTGATTATAATGAATTATTTTTACGAAAAATATTGTTATGCTCCATTTCTTCAATTTCCTTTTTTAGATTTCGTTGCTATCTTTTTAACCTTAGCTCGATTTCTATTGGCAGATCTACATTAATGACATGAGAAGCGATTGGTTTTTTTTTTTTTTTTTTTTTTTTTTTTTTTTTTTTTTTTTTTTTTTTTTACAAAGATGGTCTCAGTGAACAAGGAAATGAGGCAATAGAACGGGAGAAAAACTTGATCCATACCTTGGGCTAAAAAATTGATAGAGAATCTTGAATGGGATATACATGAAAAAAAAAATTAATAAAGTCAATCATTCCAAAAGTCAGCTATAAGAAAAGCAAAAGCATTATCTTGAAAACTATTTTGATCAATATCCCTCTGTCACAACAAAAGATGCAGTCGATACTTTAACATAAGTCTTTGAAATCTATTGTTGTTGGAGAAGTTATATCCATGGAATGTGATATTTCAACCAAACGAGTTTTATTTCATGCTGTTGCAAGAAATGATGAAGCTAGACTTCGAACAAGATTTAAATAAATAAACACATATATGAATTTTCTCTAAAATTGTATTTTTATTGATGAAACTGGTTTTTATATTAATATGAAGCTGGAAACTGTGCATTCAGCTCGTGGAGCTCCAGCTATGATTATTATTCTGGTTACTAAAGTAGTACCCCATATAGTTCTTAGAGCAATTTCTGTCGTAGCAGGTATTATAAATACCGAGTTGAGGATTCTTCAGATTCAAAGGAAATAAAGATAGATGGAGCTCATAAAATAAAGGCGACCTTTCCAAAGGCCCCAGCTTCTAAAAATACAATTACAGATCATTACCTGATCTTTATTTCGAAGACGCTAGATTATATGGATAAAATGCTTGAAATGAAAGAATTCTGTCCTATTATGGATAATGTGTCAATTTAGACCTCTAAATAAGCTGAGAGAATAATTATAGCACGAAATTATAAAATATGTTTATCTTTCTCCTTACTATCCCAAGCTCAATCCTACATAGTAATTTTGAGCAAATGTCAAAGATAAAGACGTAGTTATTTTAATGAAAATGAGTGTTTTAGAACAAGAATAACTGGAATCTGTAATAATATCCCATTAAGAAATATTATAGTCTTTATCCAGTATTCTTTTGGTATTCTTGAAAATTGCCCAAGTATTGAATTCGTATAATACTTATATTGAAGTTTTTGAATTTTGCTAATTGAGTTTAAAAAAAAATACCTTTATTTTTAAAAGCTTGCCATTTGGCACCGTGAGCACTGTACATAATGACATAGACCTTTTCCCGCTTTCCAACACTTGTGATAAATTTTTACCATATTTGGCAAGCGTTACTAAGACTTCTATTATTCAAATAAAGCTACAGTTCGACAATAAAACCTTTGACGAGTGTAATGGTACCCCTTCGAGGAGCCTACAATAAAAATGCAGAGCCTGCCCTCACTGAGGAACAGCTGTCTGAACTCGACATCAACTTTTCGACATTTCGAAGACAATTAACATGTCCTGCGTGTTTCAAAACCACTACTTTTCATAGACATGGGTCTTCAAATAAAGAACCCTTCCAGCCTCAATTTTCATGCCCCTCCTGTCACAAAGCTGTAAAAGCTTTTGAAATGTACCCTATAGTCCGTTCTGCTGCACAAAATCAACAACCGTTGTCTCTAACGACCTCCAACGTGGAGATTATGCCACCCGAATTGGAATCTACTACTGCCAGCAACAGCCAATCTGAACTTATCAAGCAGTTATGCCAAACTGTCGAGCAGTTGACTGCAGAACTCTCTTAAGCACGTAGTGAAATCCAAAACTTACATGCCCGACTTAACAACATGCCTACCGTTACAACAACCTTGGAGTTTCCCATCCTCCAGGAATCCCAAAACCAGCTTACTAAGTTCCCAGATGCTCCTTGGAACAACAAAGAGAAAGTACAAGCACTTAAACAACCTTCACTTCAACAACGTGAACAACGCCGTCTCCAACGAGAAGCTGCAGCCGCCCGCTTCTTTCAACCACCATCATTGAACCAAGGTTTCAAGTTCGTCTACATCCCAACAAAAGCCCGAATTCCTGTTGGCACCTTACGCACTACCTTTCGAAAACTTGGTGTTAATACTGCTCGATTACTCAACATTCATTATTCCGCTCGTAATACAGTTGCCATTCTTATCCATAACGATTACGAAACCGAATTTACAGACCTTCTACGCCACCATAACATTACAATCAAAGCAGATTTTAACCCCTCTAGTGGTAAGATCCTTGCAGACCCCAAGTACTCCACTCTTACAACTAATGAAAGAGACGCCATAGCGTCAGACCTCCAACAAACCCGTCTGGAACGTGCACTTGACCATATTCGTACACCAGTTAAATTCGCTGTTGCCCGTTTTTTCCTCGACAAACAATGGATTTCTAAACGAAAATTTGACTCACTCAAGGCCGACCGTAATACACAACTAAACAATATCTTTGATTCTCCTCAACAGCAATCAAAACCACCATCGGACGGTATGATTACTGATGACACCGAAAGAGAAGACGTTCCTATGGACGGCACACAAGGAGAATATTATGATTGTAGTCGTATTTACAACTAAGTTAATAGAAATAAACCATCATTTATTACATAATAAAGAGGTTATTCATATAAAACTAGTGTATTGTACTTCACAGCATAATATTTATTCTAAACTTAGTTTTAATAATAGTCATTGTTAGAGTATTCGAGCATTAAAAAATAATTATATACATTGCATTATGTAATATAATAAGAATTCAATAGGTTTATGGCTGTTATATTCAATTACATAATTATTGATACAAGTCATACATATTATATATACATCCATAATGTTGTATATTGTTATAGAGGGAATATTCACTATAAATTAATATTAACGCGTTGCTTATCCCAAAGACAATAATCGTGTATATTTTTAATAACAGCAACAGCTCAGGCATAAATCTGCATACTGTGCACACTTGTGCATACTTGTGCATATTTGTGCATAAAAGCTTTATTATAGCAGTATTCACTTATCTAAATCACACTCCCATTAATATGACTTACCTTACAAAAACATATAAATAGCACTCATCATTTTTCCATGTTATTTTCTTCTTGTACAATTTCTGTATTAGTAATCTTTAATAAAACTATACAAAGCTTTCACAGACTTGTCTTTTCTTTTTTTCTCTTTCCTTATCTTTGTACTTAAAACAAGTACAACATCATCAGCATACAGGAGACAATTGATGGATCGAGCAAAACGGCAGATATCTGTTGGAGGTACGTCATCAAGCGGTTGACGACGAAGTAGAGAGGGCAACTGGTTAATGTAAATGGAATACAAAAACGATGATAGAATGGAACCCTGTAGGACGCCAGTGGTAGGTGAAAACCGATAAGAGGTAGCGTTCGAAACAAGAACTTCTATATAGACATCATCAAAAAGATGTTGAATTAGACCAAGCAGTGCTGGAGATAGGTACAGTCGAAGGGATTGCCAAATAAAATTCCGGTCAACAGTATCATATGCGGATTTAATGTCAAGGTAAGTGAGAGTAGGAGTGACTTTAAGCTTTCGACGGAAAATTGAGCATGTTTCTACGAGGCAGAAGGCTTGATCAAGTGTACTCCGGGAGCTACGGAAGCCTCCTTGGGCAATGTCAAGTTTTGGACTCTGGCATTCGAGGTCAGTGTATAGGCATTTTTCAAGTATCTTACGAAAGGTGGACGTCAAACTGATGGGACGAAAGTTGCTTGGGTCAGAGATAGAGCCTTTTTTGTGTATCGGGATTACTTGGGCCACACGCCAGGAGTGAGGTGTGTACGACCATTGCCAGCATAATCGAAAGATGTATAGGAGTACAGGATTCAAGGTTTCAGTCAATGGTTGTAGCATCTCAACAGTGAAATGATCCACACCAGGTGCTTTACCACGTGGAAGTTCTTTAATTGCTGTGTTAATACAATTAATATCAATAGGACATGTATGAATGTCATCTGTTTTGTGTACAAAGATAAGGAAAGAGAAAAAAAGAAAAGACAAGTCTGTGAAAGCTTTGTATAGTTTTATTAAAGATTACTAATACAGAAATTGTACAAGAAGAAAATAACATGGAAAAATGATGAGTGCTATTTATATGTTTTTGTAAGGTAAGTCATATTAATGGGAGTGTGATTTAGATAAGTGAATACTGCTATAATAAAGCTTTTATGCACAAATATGCACAAGTATGCACAAGTGTGCACAGTATGCAGATTTATGCCTGAGCTGTTGCTGTTATTAAAAATATACACGATTATTGTCTTTGGGATAAGCAACGCGTTAATATTAATTTATAGTGAATATTCCCTCTATAACAATATACAACATTATGGATGTATATATAATATGTATGACTTGTATCAATAATTATGTAATTGAATATAACAGCCATAAACCTATTGAATTCTTATTATATTACATAATGCAATGTATATAATTATTTTTTAATGCTCGAATACTCTAACAATGACTATTATTAAAACTAAGTTTAGAATAAATATTATGCTGTGAAGTACAATACACTAGTTTTATATGAATAACCTCTTTATTATGTAATAAATGATGGTTTATTTCTATTAACTTAGTTGTAAATACGACTACAATCATAACAGTGCTCATAGCTGACCCTACTGACCTTGAGGACCTGCTGCAGAAATGTGAGGAGCATAGTCAACGCTTAGGTTATCGCTGGAATCCACTGAAATGTGCTATACTGGCTCCTAGTCCTAATAATCGTTCTTATTCTCTGTATGGCACTACACTACCTCGTCAGACATCCTTTTCCTACTTGGGTATCTCTATTAGCCCTGGCGGTCTCTTGAACACAGCTGAACTAGTACAGAACAATATTAATAAGGCGCTTCAAACTATGAATCAAATGACGTCCCTCGGTGTCAATCACAAAGGATTTGATCGACTTCTCTCTGTCCGTTTTTACACTCAAATAGTACGTGCTCAGCTTGAATATGGCCTCGCTATTAACTCGGTCTCTGTTACTCAAATCACAAAATTAGAAGCATGTCAAACACAATGTATCCGAAAAATTTTTGGTGGTAGTACTCGGTCCTCAACTAAAGTTATGTTGCACTTGGTCAACCTGCTCAAAATGAAGGAACGTATTCACCTCCTGCAAGCTAAATTCTTACTTCGGTCTATCTACTCTCCGGACGATACTCTTGTTTCCAAGTTTTTACCACATATACGCCCCTCTTCAAGCCATTCTCAATGGTATAAGCTTTCGAAACACCTATTTGGTAACGGTATACTGCTTCTTTTGAAGATAATATTTATGATCCTCGTGCTTTTGATGGTATCTGTAAAGCATACCTGAAAGATAATCTTGGTGATCGACGAAACAGTAAGAATGCCGTTCTCTTGTCTACCTGCCGTCCTACCCTAGGTATCGATCCTATCCTCTGGTTACCTATGTCAAATGCAGAACGCAGCCGAATAGTCCGCTGGCGTCTAGGTTGGTTACCTGGTGGTACCCTAAACCGTGCATCTATCACCCTAATGCCTTGTTCACAAGATCTCGTGCTATATGGTGTCTACATATGCATCGAAGATTGCAAATGCCTTTGACCGAACCCAACCCTTTGTCCTTCCTCTTGAATAAGCTGCCAAATAAACAAAAGCGCAGGCCGCCAATCTCAACACATCTGTCTTTTTCGCCTGGACGATTCGTTAGCCTGCTATGTGCCGTATAATTTTTGAACTTGACTATCTCCATCATGGTAAAATTCCTCCAGAAACTGCCCCCCTTGGTACAAAACTTGTAAACTGGCTACGTAACCCTGAATCTAGTATTTATTGATATATCTTGCTTTTCCTCTTCCCTTCTCTCTCTTTTTTACCCTTTTGCCTATCAAAAGGTTTTTTAGTACACTTTTATCCTTTCTCGAACTGACCCGGGCAATCCAATAAGCCAGTATTATGTGCTCACATGGGTTGTTTAAATTTTTGTTATAAAAATTTTTGTTATAAATAAAATAATCCTTAATCGTACATAATGACATATGGACTATCTTGCTTCACTCCCAAATCCCTGAACCCTCTGACCATCATCTTCTTTCAATACAATAACAATTTTCTGATAGTTACTCATCATCACTTATACATACACTTTAACATTTTCCCTTTTATCCCAAAATGGTTTTTCTTTCCTTTTTTTTTTCATAGCGATCTGACCAGGGCAAAACAGCATATACATATGCTATGTGCTCATTGGTCGTTTTTTTAATTTTTTAAATAAAAATCTCTTTAATCGTACATAATGACATATTAATTATCTCAATATTTTTTATCCGGGGTAAACAGCCATTATTTCATCATATAAAATGAAACAAAATTATGCAAAAATCAAAAATTAAGTAGATCTTTGTATAAAAGTCAAAGTTTTTATTTTATTTTATTTTATTTTATTTTTTTATTTGTTTTTGTTTTTTTTTTGCTTAAATATTTTGAGGAATGATATCATCGCAGCCTTCCTCAAGTTTAAATAATAGTAATATTGTTCAAAAGGATGCTAATGCTGATCATGGTATGGAGTCTTCTACTGTTGCCGCTGATCTAAGTAATAACCAGCAGCATGTTAACTTTACCGAGACAAATCCTATGGATTCTCAAAATCAAAATCTGAATGATTCTTATGATTCATTGGAAGGTCAGCAAGACTATTCTTTTATAAATGATAAGAAGCGTATGAATGAAAGTAGTAGAGGATCAAGAACAGATACCTCGAATTTATCAGATCAAGATCTCCCTACTTTGGATAACGATATGTATGTGGGTCCAGAAGAACAAAAATCAATGATAGACCCTTCACAAGGCAAGTTGAAAATAGATTAGTATAAATATATAAATTTTTTTTCTTTTTATTTGTTTATTAAATTTTTCAATAAATAAAGATTCTTTACATGCTTATAAGCTTATAAATAATGATTTGCAAAGCCAAAATGATCAAAAGACAGTTCAGCCTCATAAAATTTGTTTCAAATTACGTTATCCACAACCTTTAACTTTAAATGAACCCTGGATTATCGTAACTAATTTAGAAAAAAAGGCTCTCAAATATTTATTATTAACGTGCGCCATCTGTTATTTTTTTGGGCGTTATGGATGTAGTTGGCTAGTGTTTACCCTAACTTGTGGATCAGGTAAAATCGTGTACATGTGTATATATCTATATATATATATGTGTGTGTGTGTGTACATATATTATTGTGATTAGTACTAAGTTATATATAAATATATATATATATATATATATATATATATCAAACTATATATTTTTATATAGGCTTAATTGCATTTTACATGTTATCCAATTCAGTATTAGATAGTCTTTATTGGCAAATTGAGAAACTCAATGGCGCAAAAAAAGTAATTCATTATCATCATGATAGTATATACATACATGAAAAGAAATAACAAATTTTTCTTTATATTTATATATATATATAAGCTTGCTGATTGTGGTAGCAGTGATAGTATGGGTGAATCAATGGAATGGCTTAACGATATGCTTTCTAAAATTTGGCGATCCATTGATCCTAAAGTATTTGCTACAGTTGAGGATATATTAGAAGATACACTAGTTAGAGTTGCTCCAAAAATTATTGTAAGATGACGTTATACTTTCCTCACTTCTTGAAAAAAAAAAAAAAAAAAAAAAAAAAAAAAAAAAAAAAAAAAAAAAAAACTAAAACATCTTATATAGAAAGCTGCAAAAGTCAACGATTTTGATTTAGGCTCAGCTGCACCACGTATTGAAAAGTAAGATAAACTAATGCCACTAAATAATAAGATAAAACAAGAATTATGCTAACATTATTTTGTATAGAATGCAAATATTTCCACCTACATCAAACCAATCGCCTGATAGTATCGTAAGTTGAACCTTTAAATAGGATGCACTTTATATATGCATACATACTTAGACCCATTTTTTTTTAATTTTAGTTTGGTGAAATATCATTTAGCCTTCGTACAGATTCTAGTTCATCAGCTGCTTCAAAAACAAAAACTCATTTCTCTACCCCTCCTGGTGCATCTATTCGCTTTAAATCAAGTGTTTATGCTGCTGTTGATGTTCGTGCTGAATTAATCAAGTTTACTGGTAATATTAGATTTAAGATCGTAACTTCTCCAGAACCTCCTTTCGTATCACAAGTTGTTATTTCTTTTACAAAAGCACCTGTTATTGAAACTGCCGTGATGCCGATTACTAAGAAATTAAATATTATGGGGGTAAATGAATTGCATTATTTATGCAAAAAAAAAAAAAAAAAAAAAAAAAAAAAAAAAAAAAAAAAAACATGATATTAATTTAGTTTTCATTTGTTTGATATATAGCTTCCGATGTTACATGGACTAGTAAATGAAGGTGTTAAATTGGGTTTTAAGCCATTAGTAGATCCAAATACAATTGACCTTGATATTGCACAAATTATGGCGGCACAACTTGATACATCTGCTATTGGTTTAGTTAAAGTAGAAGTAAGACAACTAAAGAACATGAGTCCGACCTCTGAAGGTATTATAGTTGTATAAATCGATTAAAGTATAATCTGATATGAATTTGTTTTATAATTTAGATCCTGAAAACTTATTTGTCACTTTATCATTAAGTAAAATTGAACAAAATGATGTACAAGGCACACGCATTTTAACAAATAAAATTGATCCTTATTGGAATGAAAATCTTTATCAACTTGTAGCATTGGGTAAGTATTTGTGTTCTTTTTTTTTTTTTCTAATCCTAAAAATTAACAAGAGCACGGATAACACTTTAACGCTTTATCTATAAATATATTAGATGACATTAAAAATGATGTTTACGTCAATATTAAAATATTTAAATCTGATAAACTTGGAACAGACGTCATGTATGGCTCTATCTCAGCCTCTGTAAGAGATATTGTTCTTGGAAAATTAGATGAAGTTGGCAATATCACAAATTGGTGCACAAAAGAAAGAGTTATGTTTGATGGCTGGGCACCAGTAGATGATCGACCAGAGAATAGCTCAAGAATCATGTTAAACTTCAAATTATCTTTCCATCCTAAATATATCATTCCAAATATGCATCATCCAAAGACAGAATTAGCTCGACGAAAAGCAGAGAGAGAAAAGCAGGCTGAAAAGAAAAAGAGTGAGGGACTTGATATAAGCGATGGTCAAAAAAAGCTAAGATTAGAAATGGGTGATGAGTTAAAAGAAATAATTGATACTAAATTGGAACATCCAATTGAAGACATATCTCAACAAACAAGTGGTCAAAGTGATTTACGCAAAAATAACAAGTCAGATAAAGCTGATGTTACATTAGCCTCTAATGAAGATGCTGGTGTTAATAAAACACAACTAGTTGCTTCTAAAGATAATTCAAGTAGGATAGATAATAAAATTGATGAAGATGAAAGTGATGATGATATGGATATCGAACTTGGTGAACCTGTGTCTCGGGAACATATCTCAGGTATGTCCTATTATGGCATATATATATATATAATTTCTATTTACAAATATATGTATATATCATTAATGGATGTATTTGTGTAGGTATATTATCGATTAGAATTACTGAAGGTAAAGATATTGAAATTATGGATCCCGATCTATTTAACTCCAAAGAGCGAAGACACCCTTACAAGCCAGGTAGACCCGTAAACCCTTATGCCATTATTTACATTAATGATCAAAAGATTTATCGAACTCGTGCTAAAATGAGTACTCCTAATCCTGTAAAGTTGAACAGTATACACAAAGTAAATTTTATTTAAGTCTATATCTAACTCTTTTTTTTTTTGACATGATACATAGTGCTGGAATGCAGATACAGAATGCTTTTTGAAGAATTACGAAACTGCGTATGTTCGTATTAGTGTCAAAACAAGTATTGACTTGGAGCAAGATCCTGTTATTGGCACAGTGGTATTCAAAATCAGTGAGTTGTTTGAAAAAGGTCGCAAAAAGGTTAGTTTTTTTTTTGTCTAAAAAAATAAAATAAAAAAGATAATACTAATTATTTTTATTTAGGTTAAGAAAACTCAACGATGGGTTGGAATTGGCCATGGCATTGGTTTTGGACAAGTGTTCCTTGATCTTACTTATAAACCAATCAAATTGACTCTTCCAAAAGAGCTTTTAGGAGCTGGTAAAATTAAAGAAGTTTATATTTATATGCTATTTATTTATTTTTTTTAACTATTTTTAACTTATCTTTCTTCAGAGGTTGGAACTTTAGTCATTGAAAGTGTAAGATTATCCAATATTAAAAATGCCTTGGATAGTCAAAAAGCAAGCTCTACGAAGGCAACATTCGCTCTTAATGTTGAATCTAAAATTACAAAGGAGTTAGACTCCAACTTACTACAAGAACAAACTGATGGTATTTGGGCTTGGGCAGAAGAGAGTATGTATTTCCCTCTTCTCATGAGATATAAAACTGCACTTTTCATTCATCTCTCACAGGGTATGACAGATGGGAAAAAAGTTACAGCTTGTTTATGGATGAAAGAAATTCTTGACTATGATTGGCAAGAAGCTGTGTTAGCATTACGTGATTATACCTCTGAAGTCTCAGATGAAGCTAACCGTAATGAATTACCATGGGGTTCAGATGGACCTCATGGTAGTATTATTGTTCGTATCAAGTTTATTCCTGGATTTTCTCCTGTTCATACTAGTCTACCTTCGTTTACGACAGATATGTTGGGTGCAGATCCATTCCAAAAGGATGATACTTGGGAAAAGGCACATCTTTTAGTACGACAAGAAGGCTCTGAACATTATGCTATTAACGTTCCTGAAGACACAGTTATTGATAACAATAAAAGACAACCCATACTTGATACAATCAATAAACATCAAAAGGAAGGTTCTTGTAAGGGCTCATTGTCCAAATTGAAACATAAGAAGGATCAGAATAAGCATTACTCTTTAAATCATTTGAGTGAAGAGCAAAAACAAGAACTTATAAATATTCGGAATGAAGAACAGCTTCATAAAGGAGGGAAAATGCCTATTACTGAAACAGAAACAGCGACAGCAACAAACCCCGCTGATGATGTTCCTTACTATACATCCGAAACACCGTCAAGAGCTGTTGATAATAATGCTATCATTGAATCATCCTACAATTCACAACCTATTGTTACCAACGAACCAGTAACTTTTAATACAGATACGTTCGATATATTCAACGAGAAATCTTACTCAAGTGTTCTAGATCAACCTACTATTACGAATCCAGATTTAGAAAATAAACGAGCCTCTTTATCAAGTACAGTTAGTGATAGACCTGTAAACAGCTTTGATGTCTTAAGGAAAAACACAAATACAACTGTATCTAATAATGGTGGAGCCTCAGTTAGAAATGAAGGCAAGCGAGATTCAACTTCTTCTAGTTCATCAAGCAATGTTCCGATCTCGCCTACCCACTCTTTTAATTATGGAGAAAAGAGGAATTCAGTAGCAAGCACATCATCTAGCGGGCAACACGCAGATAATGATGGACCCTATGTAAAGACGAATATTCGAAGAATTTCAACGAGCAACATGCCAATGAATAATGACAGATTGAATGGTATTATGGAAATTGAAACTGTTCCTTACTTGGATTCTATGAAAGATAATTTATCCAATTCAAAGATTCATAATACAAAAGTGATGCGAAAACTTTCGAAAGGAAAAGATTATATTCAGCAACAAATTAACACATTGCGACAAGGTCATAACAATGAGTCGCGAGCAAAGCAGTCAGTTAAAAAGGAAGTTTAATATACATTTTGCATTCTTATTTTTCTTTTCCTTTTCCTTTTTTTTTTATTGATTACTTTGGTATAAATATTCTTTATAATAAATTTATGTTTTTTTTGCTGTAATGACTGAAAATTCTTTTATCTTGTCGAAAGATAGAAAAATATACATTCAGATCACTGTATATACTATACTTTTTTTTTGTCCTTTTGAAATTATTATTCAAATATCTTCTTAATGCCATTATAATACTCTGGTGATACGTAATTTCTTATTTCTGCATGACTCAGCCATCCAAAATCAACGATCTCTTTACCATCAGGTTGACATTGGCCTGATAACCATTCTGCTCTAACAAATTGTACCTTTAAAATATTATTGTTAACATAAAAGAAAGGATAACCTTATTATTATTATTTTTTTGTTTTTACTTTGGCTCCTGCATATCTCTTTTTCTTCTTTTTAGACATAATAAATTCAATAGGAAAAGAGTACTGGTAAACACAGAATGGTTCCATCTCATCAATCAATTTCACTTGAATATCCTGTCCACATTCTTCTGCTAGTTCTCGAAGTGCACCTTGTGGTATTGTTTCATTATGTTTCTTTTTGAGTCCTCCTTGAGGAAATTGCCAAGCATGGTCTTCTCTTGGTTTCTTCACTAATAAATAAAGTTTTTCGGAAGGCTTACGCTGAACATTATGAATGTCAGCGTCATTGCTATCATTCATTGCTGTAGTAGGGGATCGATAGATTGAAATTCCTGCTACTGAACGATACTCAAGTACATCTTCACTAGGCATTTTACAAAAAAAAAGGAAAAAAAAAAAGAGCGATAATGAAAAATAAAAACCTGAGTTATAACATGTACAAATATACATTATTCATAGCGACTTTTTTTTTTTTTTTTTTTTTGTTGTCAGACAAATCATATTTTTATTTAAGCGTCTTTTAATATGGGTACAAACAATAAACTAACAACAAATGGGGAGAGGACAACAGCTATGATATGTTTCTTTACAGGTGTAGCAGCTGTACTAATGGGTTATTCAATCTATTCACATTTAAAGACAATTCATGATCGCAATGTAGCACCTAAAAAAAGTTCAAATAAAGCAGGATTAAGACTTGAGGATTGTGAGTTATATTTACATGGAATAAGAAAAAAAAAAACATTAACTCAATTTATTTGTTATTTTTTAAGCTATTCGTCTAAAGTCTTTAGCATATTTAACACAATCAAATAATGTCAATATACAAAGCAGGTATAAATATTATTGCATGTTGCTGTCTGTTTATTAATGTTTATTAATCGTTAAATAAAGTTCTGTCAAGATAATATTAGAAAGAGCCATGTCACGTAATTACACATTACATTTAAAAAGAAAAGTATACACATTAGCAGCGATTTATTTACCCTTTTTTTTAATTTTATACAGCTACTTATCTACCAAAAATTATCACTGCATGCAGTAAAGATCAGCCAATAGAAATCAGATCAAAAGCACTTCCTGCCTTACAATTATTAACAAGAAAAGGTTAAAATACGCACATTTATGTAAAACAATATTACTGAAAGAAAAAAAAATCTCTTCATTATCTAATAGAGAATAATAAGGCTGTACTGATAGCAGAAGGAGCATTAGAAGTACTAGTGGATGCATTAAAATGTACAGATCCAAATATGAAAGAAGTTACAAAAAGATATGCTGCTGTAGCTGTATGTGATTTAATTCAAGGAAGCGGTAATATGAATTACGCAGCGTATATCAAATGTGAATATTAATATTTATTATGAATAGATATAAATAAGTATCGTATTTTAGAATTAGGTATATTAGAATCAATTAAACAAATTCTGACTTCGGAAGAAATTCGAAATAATGAATTAAAATATTGGACATTAATGATTTTGTATCAAATATCATTAAGTGGTAAAAATGCAAAAAATATATATAAATATATACAAGTATAAAAAAAAATATAGATAAATCATTATTTTATTATGTTTATGTACACATTTAGATCCTTTACCTAAAGTATTGACTGAAAACGAGTTTGTTAGTTTAATAGCAAGAATGGCACGTATGACATATGGTAATACAAATATGCCAAAATTCTGTATGCAAAGTCTTGTTCGAATTGCTGCCAATGTCGATGTAAACGAAGCGAAGAAAGTTTTGACAAAGCTTTTAGAATACAATATTGTTGATTTGATATCGAACTGTCTAAGAGGAGATGATGTTGAATTAATCTACTGGGCTGCAGGATTAATGCATGAATTTGTCTTAAAGGATATAGCTGCTGATAAATTTAGAGAAATTAAGGGCATTCATACTATTATGGCTGGGCTGTTATCAGCTGAAGAAATGTATATTTCTCGTGTCATCTTAAGAACAATTAAGTTTATGGCATATGGACAGGATAAATTTCGACGAGAAATGGTAAGATCTGGTATGGTCAAGAAAATTATGCGCTGTCTTTCATTGGATGATGAAGATGTACGTTATTGGTCTATTTTATGTATTCATGTTGTTGCTGGACAAGTTGAATCACATGAAGATATTATTACTGCACCTGAATTTGAGATTTTGTTGGAATTGGCATTGTCAACTAAGATAAAGGTGGCTATATTTGTCTCAGATATTCTCTCATTAATATGTTGTATTTGTAAGTTTTTAATGTGAAGTAATAATTGGATATGAAATTTTGTTAATTATTTATGATAGCAAGTAACAACACATTTATGGAACCACACATTACGCCCATTGTTAAGACACTAAATGCATTATTATTAGAAGACGAGCTTGATGTTCAATATAATGCAGCTGGAGCAATATTTAACGTGATGACGATGACGTGTAAGTGGTTATTGTCTGTATTTAAATTAATGACAAAGTCTAACTTTAACATTTATATTAGTTGCCTTTGCTAGTAAAGTGCGTGATGCATGCTTTGAAAATTTGATTCTTGTCAGCAAAAGAGCTTCACATGAGAGAGTTCAACTTATTTGTGCAAAAGGAGCATTAATGGTGACCATAAAAAGTAAATAATATTATAAATATCAAGTTAAATGAGTCCTAAATGTGCAATATATACAAATATATTATCCCTCTAGGTCGCTTTTTAATACCTAAACTAAATCAGCGAGTAACCGAACCTCTTATGGAAACTATTAATACTATAGTTCGATCTATCTTACCAGTGCTAATGTCACAGACACTGGTACGAATAACAAAAAAGAATACAAGTCCTTCAGCTTCTAGTTCCAGTATTCACGATGATACAATAGATGACAGCGATTATGATGATAAAAATCTGGAAAAGGAGAAATTATCACTAGAAAATGACTATGAGGATGAGGATGAAGGAGCAGAGACCTTTTTATGTTCTCCCGAATATATCGATATTACTGATCAAGGCACTATTTCAAATGCGTCTCGTTTAGAGCATGTTCTTAAAAATCGTGAAAAAGCAAGTCAAAAAACTGCAAACAAGGATGATGACGATTCTTTTAATATTGACTCGACTAAGCTTGATATCTCTCATATGTTTGATACCGCGGTACCCTATAATGAACGTGAAGAATTGTTGATGAAATATGAATTATCTACAGCAACTAGAAATCAATTTGTGGGAAGCTTAACTACGCTGAATATTCTGTTGGAAAATGAAAAGATAGTTACTAATTTAATGACTGAGGAGGAATCATTTTTAAATTTTCCTTCGTTGGATGTAGGGGATAATATTTTAACAGATATTGATGATGTCGCTGCTACTATCTATAATGAAGATTCGGCAATGAACAATGATTGTAAGGATACAATGAAGGAATCTAGTAATACTACAACGGCATCATTTCGAAGTTTAATTAAAGAATCACCCGAATTCATATTACCAAAACATATCTACCAGCTAACTACTAATCTTGTCTATCTATGTGCAACTCCTGCACTTGATGTATGGGCTGAAATATATTATGAAAAATATCCATTAGAAATAATTAATGAATCAAGGATAAATGGAATGTATAATGATTTAATAGATTGGATTTGCTCTTGTGCTAAGCTTTTTGATCACGATAAAAAAAAATCGTCATCTAATAAAAACCAATCCCATACTAGTGACTCCAGCATCAACTTGGATGAATCTAGTAGTATAGGAATTTATTCGCAACAAAAAAATAAACAACAGCAAAAAGAGGATAGAGACGATAGCTTAGGTAATCATGATGAAAATCAATCTGTTAATTTGCACGTTAGAAAGGCTGAATTAGGCACAGGACAACTTGGAGGAGAAATAAGAAGAAAGGGTAAGAATTTTGATCTATATATGATTATATATGACTCTTATTTTTTTTCTTTTTTTTGGAATATTGTACAGGCTTATTAAATAGAGCTTTAATTCTATTAAATTCACTTATGCATTATGGTAATATGCAAAAAAAAAAAAAAAAAAAAAAAAAAAAAGATATAATGTTTTCATTCATTAATTACCATTACTTATATCTATCTATATATAGCTTTTATTCGAAAATTTTTGATAGAAAATGCTAGTATTATTCCTATTTTGATTTACTTGTATGAAGAATGTAGCGACTTAACCGATCATGTGATGATGTGCCTTGGTAGTTTGTTTGCTAATGATTCTGATCTTAAAATACCGGATACAACACTTCAACTGTTGGTTGCCTTAGTTTGGCGTTACATTTATAAATCTGACAAAAAGAATTCTAACCTGTTTTATAGCCGACTTATTCTTAATTATTGTAGTCGTTATATTTCTATCAAACGAAAGCATGATCATTATAGTGTTAAAAGTAACAATCCTGCTTTTGTGGAAATTGATCTTGCATCACGATCGAAATATTGCTTTGTAAATTATGAAAACCGTCTACAGGTTCGAAACGATACTTGGACTTTTGAATCTGTTAGGGCAACATATGGTGTACCTGCACTTGATAAAAGCGAGGAGGGAAAAGATCATAAGTATGCTTTTGAAGTAAAACTAGAATCAAGTGGATTAATGCAAATTGGTTGGGCTACTGAGCACTTTCAATGTGATCCAGAAGGTGGTAAAGGTGTAGGTGATGATACCCATTCCTATGGCTATGATGGTAATCGATCAAAAAAATGGCATGGCCGTTATACCAGCTTAAGGACATCATATGGTCTTAAATGGACTGAAGGTGATATTATTACATGCGCTATTGATATGGATGCAGGTGAAATTCGATATTATAAAAATGGAAAAGATATGGGTGTTGCATTTTATGGTGTTTTAGTTTCTCGTTCATGGTATCCGGTAAATTAAATATGTTAAAATCTACTTCATTTTTTACTGAGCAAGTAACTTTATATAGGCTGTATCATTAGCTACAGGGCAGCAATGTAAATTTCAGTTTGGAGGATCTATAGACCCATTAAAGTAGTAGTTCTAAAAAAAGCAATTATTATAGATGCTTATATATTAACTTTCAATATTATTTAGGTATCTTCCCGATGGATATATACCTATAGCATCTTTAGTGCCTAATTCTGTTATAAATATAGAAGAAATTCCACTTCCTAGCCTTATTAAATCTTATGAAGAAAAGGGTATAATTACAGAAGGTGTAGATAGTGCATCTAATGACAAAATTGATGATGAAGGACCGATAGATGATATATCCAATACATCTACATCTCTTGGACTATTAGATGAGAATATCTTACATGTTGAGATGTCAAACAATATATATTCTAGACCATCACCTTCACTCTATTTTGAAGTAAAGATTGGTTATCTTCCTAATGATCAAAACAGTGAATCATCTTTTCATTACTTAGAAAGGTATAAATTAGTAATAATGAAGGGTATATTTACAGTAATTTCTTACCATTTCTTTAGCTCAATTATGTTTGGTTTACAAAGTTTAGCACCAAATACAAGTATCTATTTCGAATACATTTCAAATAAAATGATATGCTATTTGGAACTGGACAGTGTAAAGTATCAGTCAAAGCCCTTCGAGCTTTGTATCCAAGACGGTGATAATTTAGGCATGTTTTACATTGAAAAGACTAATGAAATAGGATTAACCGTGAACGGTAACGTTAGAGGTAAACGAAAAAAAAGAAGACACGATATTTTATGTATTTGGTATTTTTATTGATTGATTAATTTCTTGTAGTGTTTATTGCTTTGAATAAAAAACTAGAGACCAGAGCCTATATTCCATTTATATATGGGCCTATAAGAAGTGAGATTGTTTATGGAGAAGCAGCCTTTATGTGGGATTTAGCAAACAAAAACTTATTCAAAGAATCTATATCTAACTATTTCCTTAATTTACTCGGAAATAGAGAGAAGAAGGTTTGCTATTTTTAATTGCGGGGAAGGACTTTTAAAAAAAAAATCGTGACTTTCGTTCAGTATTATTATTGTGTAAACTGGATTCCTCACCCCTCCCCGCTCTTTTTAAACCTTGTACGTTATACGTTAAATAAAAACCCAGGTTCAATCTTTATTTTATTTTATTTTATTTTTTTTTTTTTTGTTACATATAAGCTATGTCATTACTGAATCGTACATTTTCACAATTCAACACAACGACAATTAAACATAATTTATGGTCAAGTACAATAACGAGACCTATTCTTTCACCTATAATTAAAAATACACCAGGTATATACATATATATACATATATATATATGTTTGACAGCTCACGAATATAAAAAGGCTAATAAAAGATGAATATAGAAACCACTCAGGTGCGTTGGGCAACAAAGAGATCCGGAGGTTCGTCACGTAATGGTAGAGATTCAGCAGGTAGAAGATTAGGTGTAAAAAAATTTGGAGGACAAGAAGTGATTCCTGGAAATATTATTTTACGTCAGCGAGGAACAAAATTTCATCCCGGTGATAATGTAAAGAGATATATGATATAACCTATAAAGACATCTCTCTCTTAATATACATGAATATATATTATTTTATTTTCTAGGTTGGTATGGGTAAAGATCACACATTATATGCACTTGAATCTGGATTTGTTCACTTTTATAAAGATCCACAACATCCTAAGCGACGATATGTGGGTGTAGTTTTTGATCGTCAGGTAACACTTCCTATTCCAATGGATCAACCAAAACCGCGAAAATTTGATTTAATTGATTTAACTGCTTTATAATGAATAAAAAAAAATGATATATAGAAGATGTATATATAATGGAAGTAAAAACTATATACAGTTTATTTTATTTTATTTTATTTCGTTTTTTTAAGTTGGAAATGTCAGTTTCCAGTCATATGGCGAGCTTGTATCCTTTTTAATATGCCAAGTAGGCCAATAATGCGTGTCTAATCTAATAGCTTTTACATGCATAACATTATCCATCGTAGCATATTTGATTTGAACATACTTTAGCGTCTCTTCTTTTTCTATATCCTGCTCTTCTATTTCAGCTGGTAAAGTGAGCATACAATTTAAAACGTGTTTTTGTCGTTGTATATTAGAAGAATATTTTTCTTGAACACGATTACTACGTTGAATAACTTTTAAAAATTGATCTAACGTTGTGACAGGTACTTGATCAATTTGAGTTATCCAAATATTCGGTAGTAAGCTTGCTTGGGCGGGAGATCCACAAAGACAACAAGAGACATAAATACCCTCAGGTACTTGCTTTTGTACTTGTTCTTTAGCTGCTTGATGAGCTTGTTGAAGTAACATGCCTTGCCATCCTACAACTTCTGTAGTTTCTTGTCCATCATATTTTGTTGTTGGAACTATCAAATTTTGTTCTTTTCCATCTCGAAGAATTGTCTATTGTATATTTATTTGGTTAGTATAAATTGAGAAAAAGTTTGTGTGTATGTGTATGTGTATGTGGCTTTTTTTTTTCGTTCAATACCATTGGTACATATTCGTAGTCATGTATATATTTCAGATCTGAAATACATGTTATAGTATGATCTTCAATTGCAAGCAATATATCTCCCGGCTTTAATAGTTGACCTGATAAGCTTGATTTATCCGTTATTCCTAACACATAAACGACAGAAGCTTGTCGTCGTCCAGCACCTTGTTTTATCCTATCAATCCATTTATCTGGCACCCCTACAAGTCTAGCATTCGAAATTTGCAATGGCCAAAATTCAATATCGAGACCTCTAATGTTGGGGTTTTGACCTAATTTAATGGTATCCATAACGCGCTTGATAAGACGACAAGAGAGACCAGCTAAAATACTAGATAATTCATTTTTATCATTATCGATCGAAAAGGTCATCCAAATAGCTCTTACTTTGCCCTGTTGATCTGCAAATAAGCCACCTTGGCTCCCTAGTGTGCCATCACTCACTTTAAAGACTTCAACGTTTATGGCTCTCCATCTAGGAGGTACAGTTTCTCTTGCACGAATAGGAGACAAACTTATGATTGTTGTCGTTTTGATATGCACCTCATTGCTACCTATGATATCAATACAGCAATTATATATATATATGTATGTATATATGTATGTATGTATTTATATGTACCTGATAAACCAACGTATGTTACTTTATCACCTATAGCAAATTCGTCCTCTGTTAATTCTGCTACATACATTTGGATATCTGCTTTTATAATAGGTGTAGGGTCAAATTTCAAGATGGCAAAATTATAAAACGGATGCAGAAAGACAAGCTCAGCAGGAATAGTGAGTGAATTATCAAATGTAACAGAAATGACCGACATATGGATGGGTACTGTATCCCTATCACAAATAATGAGAGGTGGATTTAAGGAGACAATGATGCCTGCACCATATGAATGAGCGTTCTTTGAACCATCAATGATAAATGGTGGGCAACAGTCAATTGAAACTATACTTTTTGTTAAATTCTTTATAGGATCTTTTATAAAATTATTTTCATTATGAATAAGAGACTTTTCCAGTTTCGGTATTAAAGAGCGTGGAGTATAACTTTTTGTTAATGAAGTTTCTAATACACTATAGTCCCAATAACCAGTAATATCTATTTATGATCATTTTTATGAGCTTATATATATAATAGATAGATAGATAGATATAGATAAATAGATGTTACCATTTCGTGTTGCCATTCTAAATTGATGCCATCGCCAATCTATGTGAATAATTGCAATTTTAATTTTCATGGGCCTCGAAAGAGAATAGAAATGGATAGGTACTCTTTCTCCTTGCTCAATTTCTTGAACTACTGAAATAAATTCATCAAGTGATCTTACAGGTTTATGATTCACACCTACAATAATTGATTGTCGAAGCACACAAGCAGTGCTACCCAATATATATCCCGGTGTACCAACATAAACGCCGGGATTCTTTAAAGATAATCCATGCAATCTTGCAATTTGATATGACACATCATTTAGGACACCTCCACCAAATTCCACATAACGAAATGGTGTTATTGAATGAAGATCTTGTACTTGCAATGTAATTTCTTTTGGCTCACCTCCTCTTAACACCATTAGAGTTATGTAAGGTGGTGTATCTTGTTGTGCAATAATAGTGTCTAAATGTTCTTCCAAATCAATAAATAATCGTGATAACAATATGTGTCGATTACATGCCAAAAGAATGTCACCAGGTTCTAAATACCCATAAGCTGGGCCATCCTGTAGTATGGTCTTTACCACTAACAATCCTTTACTCTCCTTTTGTTGCTCCCTTAAACCTCTCTCAAGATATCGACTCAGTCCTAACTGACGTAAATTATCATATGACTGATACTCAAACGTAACCTGTATAGTTCCACGTGGTACAGGTTGGCCTGCTATCAACAAAGAGAGAGCACGTTGAGCACGATCTAAAGGTAAGTAGTAACTAGATGAGGAGTTATAAGCACAGCCAGCATTTAATGCTATTGCCCGTCCTTGTAAATCTAACACAGGGCTTCCGCTTGATCCAACACTTGTACTTGATGCAGCTTGATAATAAAAAGTATTAAAATCATTGTATTCATTTGTGCCATAATCAGGAGTTTCTCTGTCTAACTTTGCCAATGTTCCTGATAAAATACTAAGTTTCTCGCCGGCATCGTTTCTGAAGTATTTACATATAGGTAGATATTATATATTTTTCGTAGTAAGCATATATATATATATATATATGACATCTATTACTTACCCAACGACACGGATATCTTGACCTATTTTAGCCCCTTGTGGATATAAATCAATTCCAGGAATATCTAAAAATCGAATTTTAGTAGTATCGTATTGAAAGAAACCAAAGTCATGAACTGGGTCACGATAAATCGGTTTAAGTTCAATCTCTTCATAATTACAAAGAATTGCATAGGCTTTAACGGGGGATACTGAAACAACATGTCTGTTAGAAAGAATGATACCATGTTGTGTATCCACAACAAATCCAGTAGCTATAAAAGAACCAGGGAATTCTGTATCAAGTCCACGTGTGCGGCAAACTTTGATAGAGACTATACTTTTTATGCATTTCTCAATTGTCTCTTCCCAGCAAGTATGACTAACAACGTCTGGTTCAGACATTTTGTATAAATAATTAAAATAAAAAAAAAATGTTATTATTAGAATTAAAATAATAGTTTTATATATTTCATTACGTTCTATTTTTTCTATTTTTCTATTTTTTTTTTCTCTATTTAGGGACGCATAATAGCATTGATATTACTATTTATTTATTTTTTAAAAAATCATGATGAAGAATGCTTTATTGGTAATACTATAGGTGGAACCATAGTATCTTTACTAATGAACAGAGATGGAGCACCTTTGAAGAACCTAAAAAAAAAACTCTGTTTATAAACTTAAGGTCTACATATATGTTGATGCTTATTTGAAAAGGCAGTATTCTCAAGTTATCAAGCTTCGTTGAATATAAGGAATATGTACAAAAACCTCGCATTTATTTATAAATTTAAATTAACTTTACTTTCTTCTCTCTTAAATACGATCGTATATCATTATAACGCAATATATAAATATCACGTAATTCAAACAAAACGTTATCTCCATCGATTTCAACATGGCCTATATTATCTAAAATCTGACAAAAGACAGGAGCATTCAAATTGGGTTCAACGACCATACTCATGTCCACAAATACTTCATCTTGTTTATGCTGTGATCTCGGTAACTGGTGTAAAAAAGTTTTATGATTGTGACTTTCAACTAACTCTTGGTATCTTCTTGCATAATCTATTTCTTGTGGCGATAATATTTCTCTTAAATTAGGTTGTCTTAAAATATAAAGTGTAAGTTTTTCGATCTATTATTTTATTTTGAAGATGTAAGTTTTTCTTTTTTTCTTTTGCCCAACGGATACTTTCTTTCTTATGATTAAACGAAAACCTTACCTTAAATAATCGAACTCTTAAATAGCTCTTTAGTAAATATTTAATACGTTCAACTTCAGTTTGATACACCATACTTTCAAATGAATTTGTTGTATTATTTTCCATGTCTTCTATAATTTTTTCAGTCTGAAGGGAAAAAAAAATAACGTTAAGCTATATATTCAATAAACTTGTTAAACTACTCACTTGTGATTCAATAGCTTCAATTAAGGGTTCTACTAGTGAATGCTCGTAAGGTAATATTTCTGGTGCGTTACGTTCATCTATCCACACTTGTGTCATTTCTGCAATCATCTCTCCTGCTGATCGACTTAAAATACCAGCATTCTCAAAAAAATTCGTTTGTGAATTTAAAAAACTAGGTCCATCCAACGATGTTTGAGAAAAAGAAGGTATAGAAGAAAACATAACTTCATTTTGGCTTGTATCCTGTGATTCCATTTTATTTTTACTTGATTATATAACAAAAGACGTTAAAAGAAGAAGAAGAAAAAAAAAATAGTTACAGTAATTTTTTTTTGTGTGTGTGTGTAGGAGTCACAATATAAAGAAGTTTCAAAAAAAAAAAAAAAATTATTGCACTAAAAACAAGTTTTTCACTATTATCTGTCATTTTTTTTTTTTTTTTTATTGTTCTTCTATTTTGTTAAACACATTTCTTCCTTTAACATAAGCACGTATGATTTCACCAAAACTTTTGCCTTGATAGTGAGCAATATCCAATTCCTTTTGGGACACATTTCTAGAGCCATCATTAGAGGCAATTGTACCAGCTCCATAGGGAGAACCACCTATCACTTCAGACACATTATTTAACTTGTCTGATAATGCAGGAGGATAACCTAAAGGGACATAAGTCATGCCTTGATGAACAAAATAAGGAATTGTTGTTAATGCAGTTGTTTCTTGTCCACCATGCTATTATTATTATTATGTACCAAGATGATAAGAGTTTATAATAGTTGTTATATCCTATTTTTTTTTTATTTCAATATATCAATCTATACCTGAGATCCAGTACTAAAAAAAGTCCCAGCGAATTTTCCGTTCAGAGCCCCCTTAGCATATTGAGCACCTGTGGCATCCAATAATCTGTATATAATAACCAGTAAGGTATACAAGCTTTTTATTTATTTGTTTATTTAGTTTACCCTTTCACTTGACTAGGCATTGAACCAAATCTATATCATATATTCATAAGCTTATTGCATAGTTTACACACACACACTATATATTTATATACCTTGTAGGGAATCCAAAAATAATACCATCAGCCTCAGTTAATTGTTCAGGTTTAATAATAGGCAAATCAGGCTTTGGAGGTGCATTTATCTTTTTTAATATACTTTCAGGTAACGTTTCTTGTACTATAGAAATACAATATTGGTAACAACATTCTCCTCAGAAAATAAGATAAAAAGAGCTATATGGTTTATTACCTTGGAACATTTTTGTAGCTACACCAGTTGAATCTAAACCTTTTTGTACTTCAACAGCTAATTTATGAACATGATGATAAACTGTATAAATGACAATATAGACCTTAGCTTGTTGTGACTTTTTTTTTTTTTTTTTTTTTGGAGTATGTGATATTAAAAAGAAAGTAAATAATAGATTTATTTTTTATTTTTATTGTTTTAAATACAATGTATAATTAGGATGCTTTGTAAGAAACAAGTCATGCTTATTAAAATAAAGTGGTTTATTTATTTATTATTATAATTATTAATCATTGGGTAATTCAAATAAATTTATTTGACAATAGCATAGGTAAAATAATAGATATATATAATTACATGTTATACGTAATAAAGAAATAATGGGAAAGAAAGAAAGAATGAATGAATGAATGAAAGAATGAAAGAAATGGTAACTATTTTTTCTTCTTCTTCTTTTCTTTTAATATTCCTTTTCTTCAATCTTAATTTCCTTCTTTATTTCATTACCATCTTCAAGTGACTCAACTTGACCACCCACCAAGAGTTCAGGTGCACTTCCGTCTATAAGATTATCTACTTGTTCTACAGTAACATTAGGCACCTTGATACAAACAAGATAAGCCAAGATCAAGCCACAACCTTCAATGGCTAAATTGATATAGATTTGAGTCATAAAGGGTACATGAATGGCATCCACTTGAGCAGCAATAGCAGCAGCAGCATTTTGAATTGTCTTGTAGAAACCACCATAACGAGCGGCTCTTTCTGTATCATTAGTCATGGTACCTAATAACCAATAAATAAAACCTTGGTAGAAGGCATCTACTAAACCAAAGACAGCAAACAAGATACAATAACCAGCATAACCCTCTGAATAGACAGTGGTCTGAACATATCCAGGCACCTTGACACTGTCATAAGTAAAGTTTTTTTGAACAAAGATAGCACCAATCCAGGAAGCGACAAGGACGAGCAGGATAAAGGTATTACCAAGAATAGCACGTAAACGACGATTACCAAGACGACTCCAATCAAGTAACCAACCCAAGATACCAGCTCCCAAGATTTGACAAAGCCAATAGATAAGATTATTAATAGATCTCGCGCGAAGATCAAAGTAACCCCCACCATTATAGACTTGGAATTGATACGTGTAAAACCAGTTAGAACCAGCAAAGAGAGGAATTAAACAGATCATTTTCCAATCCTTAAAGAGTTTAAAGACCTCGATTGCTTCACGACGCCAATTAGAGAATTTATGAAGAGAGACAGGAGAACCATTAGGACGAATGACTTTACTAGCAGGTAACAAGACAAGAGATAAGAGAGCACCAAAACCCATAATACACATAAAACCAATATAAGTGCCTATCTTGACTGTATTTTCACTATTATTCCAATTATTACCAAGAGGGATAGCAGCACCCACGGTCGCACCTAGATTGAAGACCATCCAAAAGATTGAAAATGCTTTCCCTTTATCTTTTTCATCAGGATAGGACATCATAATACCTGCTTGAGCTGTCCATAAGAAACCAGCGCCAATACCTAAAATAGCTCCTGTAGCAATTGTAAATGCAGCATTTGGAGTAAGATAAGAACCGACATAAAGTACATAAGCTAAACCTGCAGGTAAAAGAATACGATGACCAAAAATATTATATCTAGTATGATGGTAGTACAATAATAAGTAAACCACAAATGTGAATATATAATTTAATTTTTTTTTTATTTTCTTATATTTATACATATCTACATATGTGTATATATATCCATATACATATATATATCTCTATATGTATAAATATAAATATTTAAACCTACACAGGTGCACCAATTAAGGAACAAATCGTAAATGTTACAGCCAAAGCTGTATTTGCATCATTTGTAGTCTTTGGATCAGCTTGACCAGCACCACCCATACCGTTCAAGGCATTAAACATACCAGGACAGCAAAAGCAGATAAATCCAACTAAAAAGACTTGAAAGTTAGGATCACTGTAACGAAAAGGTAATTTAAAACCCATTAAATATGTATATTAAATGTATATATATTTATTTATTTGAAAGAGAAAAAGAAAAAGAAAAAGAAAATATGTATAATAATAATAAAAAGAAAAAAGAAAAAAAAAAAGGTTGATTTCGTCCTTTATATGATGGGTAAATCAGTATTGAGTTTAAAACAGTCACTTGTCCTTTTTTTTTTTTTTTCTTTCTTTTTTGACCCTTTTTTTTACGTTTGTAACATTTCATAATGAAATGTTTCAAATTCCTTTTTTTTTTCCCACACAATTTTCACTTTTTTTTTTAGGTTATCATTTCTATAGAACTTTATTACAAGAAACCCTGAAGAAAGAAAAAAAAAACCCTGAGTTAATTTCCAATCATGATTCAAAGAAAAAAGAAAAATTATTTCCTTTTATTATTCTCGATTCGCTTATATTTTATAAAAGCATTTAAATTGTCTAAAGCTTCATCTCCTCTTATTCTCAAGTCAAAGTCCTTTCTTCTATCAATTGATTTTACCTATAAAAATACATAGATATTTATATTTAGTCATGGTTATTGTGTGTGTGTGTGGGCAGTAGTAGTTGTACCTTGGAACGAACAAAGGGAACGATCTGTTTCAAAATACTTAAAAATCCGCCATGTACAAAAACAGGTAAATCGTAATCAAATGCAAGGTCAGAGTAAACATCAAAAATTAAATTTAAAGCTTCTATCATAACAGACGTTTCACAGTCCTTATTTGAAAGTAAATTGATAATAAAGATACCAATTGTCTAATAATAATATTATTACGTGTTATTTTTTTTTTTACTTGAATAATAATGTCTATTACCTTATTTGTTTCAATATCACCTTGTCTCATTGCAATTGGACCTAAACATCCTACTATTTTTACACGCATTGATTCTATTGGAATTATATCATATGTTCCGCATAATGAACCCACATCTGTTGGTTCTAATGGCTACAATAGAATGGGTGTGAGTCATGTGATTTAGTTGCTTATATAATATTTTTTCTTTTTTTCTTATTTACAATATCTTGCATTAATCCTCTTCCTAGTGCCCATAAACAACTAATGATAATTTCTAATATTCTATTTTTATCCTCAGTTTCATTCATAGCTACTTGATTTGCACAATTAAATAACCAACGCCACAACTGTATAGCCTCTGATTTATGTTCTTCTTTAAACCAAAATTTACTTGGAACTTCATTCATAGCTAATAAAAAGTTATTCAGACATTCAAATGCCCTTTGTTGTGTTATTGTAAATGACTGATTTTGATAGCCCATTGAGGTTAATGTACTCAGTCGAATTAAGTGGGGAAATACATGATTTATATAAGCTTGAACAATCTTATTTGATCGAATTAAGGTATCATTCATCTTGGATTTATCTGTAAAAATTGTTTCATCTACTTCATCATGTTCTTCTTCTTGTTCTTCTGTCATCATGGATTCATCTTGATAACCATCTTCTTCTGAGTCATCATCTTGTACACAAATATCTGCTAATAATTCTAATGCTAATTGAATAATGGAGAGTCTATTTTCTACATCTTGAATATACATTTCTTCATTTGTTAACCGTTTTGGCGTAATATCATTTTCTTCTTTTTGTGGCTGATTATGACTATTTTTCATAGCTGTCATCATATCTATAGCTGCTTGTTGTATATCATAATCAAGTGCTTTAATGAGAATTGGAATAATGAGTTGATTTAATTCCGCTACTACATCTGTATCATCATCCCAAGAAGAAGTAAATCGTACTACATCACGAATATTGACCAAGACAGCTACAGAGATTCAAGTTAAATATAATACTATTGGATATACATGAAAACGTACCACATGTTAACACTTGTATAAACACATTATTATAATCTTCATTACGAACAATATTTAACAAAGATTGTATGTATTCTGAATGATGCTGAAATTCAATATATAAATCCTTATTATCATCTGTTAACGTGTTTAAGCATTGACCTAAGAATAAAATAGGTTAAATATCATATTTATAAATACAACTACAAATATAGCTTATATTTCACTTTATTACCGGCTGCTAAAATTACTCTTGTTGGACATGAATCACCAGATATTAAAAATGATGTTAAAAAGGGTATAAGATTCATTCGATTAATAGCCTTCACATATTTATCAGATGCTTCACTATGAATAGAAATTATTAGTTTTATATATTATTATCTGAGCGTGTTTTTTCTTTTCTTTTACCAAATACACCAAATAATATAAATAAAATTTTCTGTTACATCCCAAATGGACTTTCGTCTTTCTTGATCTAATTCATCTTGAATAGGTGCCTTTCTTAATACTGAGTCAATCGTTTGTGTAATCTAATATTATATAAACTACATGTTAAAGAAATCTAAAGAATATATCTTGTTAGGACTTGTTTTTACTTGTGGTAATAAAGCTGACAAAGGTGTTAATATATTGCGTGAATAATATTCTTTAGCAATTGTATCATCTACTGAGGCAAGATTTCTTTTACAAATGTATATATTTATATAGAGTGTGTGTGTGAAAGAGAGAGAATTAGAAAAAAAAATCTTTATTTCATTTTGTCAAGCACTATTTTTTTTTTAAAAAAAAAAATACCTTAAAGCTCCTAATGATTCATCTCGAACTTCTTGTTGTGGATCACTTAATCGCTCAATCAAGATAGGGACGATACCCTTTGTTAATAAAAGTTTACGGGTTGAGGCATTAGACAAGATGAGATTAGAAATACAAGCTGCTGCCCAAGCACGTTCTCCTCCATTATCTGAAGAAAGCTAATTGTATATATATATATATAAGTTATGATGCATAATAATAACAGACTTATTTTATTGAATTACTCTTTGAATGACAGGTGTTAGTTGTTCAGTAGTAAGCAAGTTGGTGTTGGCTTCATTTAAACCAGCTTGAACTCCTTTTCTTTGAAGTGGGTTCAAGCGTCTTTTTGAAGCTTTTCTTCTTGCTCTTTGTTTCCCCATAATATATAATATTGAAGTTTTTCTTTTAAAAAAAAATAAATAAATAAAGAGAGTGTTTATTTTAATGTAATTATACTGTGGCTTGTTATAATGCCTTTTTTTTTTTGCTGGACAATAAATTCAAATTCAAATTCAGATCATTTTGGAGAAAAGTAAAAAAAAAAATGGTAAAATTTGATCCGACCTTTTTTTTTTTAATTGTAGACTTTATTAATACATTGCAATCCCATTGAATTAAAAAAAAAAAGGAAGTTTTAATGTTTAATACAAACTCAAGTTTAATATGGATATATCTTGCACGGCTTTTATTATGACCAATACAGCGATGTATAATAGTTTCTTCTTCTTTTTTTTTTTTTTTTCTAAAACATAAATGGTGACTTCTTTTCCATTCTATCAAACATATTCAAAAAAGTATTTATGTTCCTCTTTCAGTATGTTTTATATCTGTGATAAACATTAACAGTCATCATTTCTTACTTTTCTTAAGATTCTTGTTATGTCGATCATGATAATAATAAGCCCTTTTTGGTACACTTATCTTTTCAATTCCCGGGATAAGTGACCTGTAACACCTTATTTCTATTTTTATCCTTTGATTTACACGAAATTCCTCGTTAAACATTTCCGCACCAAAAAAGAAATATTTATAAAAAAAAAATGGGGGGAGGGCATTTGTGTACTTTATAACCATCAAGACTAAATCAAATAATAAAAGTTAAAAAACTGCAAAGATTTCAAGTCGTTGAATTTGTGTACATAGGGTAAAAAGTGATGGAAGAAAGAAAGAAGAGAGAGGTAATTAAAGTTCAACGGAAGTCTTCATCTTCTTGGGTTTGTGTCCCATTTCATAAATGTTTAGTGAGGGTATTTTTGCGCTTGAGAAAAGTTGACCTGTTCTTCTTTGTAACACAAAAGAGCCCATAAAAATTGGCTAATCGTTTAAATATCATCCAATTTCATGATGAAGCCAGATAACTCAAGGATTGATTTTGGAACTTCAATGCTATTAACTTCAAAGACAGCATAAAAACCACCATCATGATGTCTGCACAGATATACAAATCACAACGGTGTCCTAACCAAAAAAGAAAAAAAAAAGTATGCGTAAATACATTTTACAATAGCAAGCAACAAATACTAAATTTACCAACTGCTTGCAATAAGACAACATTCTCCCACAGCTTCATTGTCAATAGTGCCCTTGCCGAATATACATAATCTAAGTAAATCAAGATGTGTACTAAGAGTATTCTTTTTTTTTCATATAATCCGCTTCCACCTTCACAACTGCCACCATCAGGATGTCTATTGCCCGAAGACTCCGTTACTTTATTTAGTCTAGTAACAGAAAAGCCGTTGGCATACATATTTTTTAGCATCATGATCTAATGATCTTTGCGTTTTGTACCTACCATCTGTACATCAGTTTCTTTTTGAGGATCATGAAATATAGGACTGAGGACCATATCGATTAAAAAATTATTTTATTTATAACAAAAATTTAAAAACCCATGTGAGCACATAATAATGATGTATTGGATTGTCCCGGCTAGCTCGAGAAAGGATAAAAGTGTACTAAAAAAAAAACTCTTTTGATAGGCAAAAGGGTAAAAAAAAAAAAAAAGAAAGAGAAGGGAAGAGGAAAAGCAAGATATATCAACAAATACTAGATTTGGAGTTACGTAACCAGGTTACAAGTTTGTTAACCAAGGGGAAGGGAGTTATTGAAGGAAGTTCACCATGATGAAAGTAGTCAATCTCAAAAAGTAGAAGGCACATAGCAGGCCATCGAATCGTCCAGGCGAAAAAGACAGATGTGTTGAGATTGGCGGCCTGCGCTTTTGTTTATTTGGCAGCTTATTCAAGAGGAAGGACAAAGGATCAGGTTTGGTCAAAGGCATTTGTAATCGTCGATGCATATGTAGGAACCGTATAGCATGAGATCTTGTGTAGAAAAAACGACAACAAAAGTCCTGCATCTAAAAATTTATCCTGTTCTGCTGAGTATAAATTAATAAAAATAACTTTGTAAGATAAACTGGGGTAAACTAAGAATAATGCAAATACGCGTAAATAATTAATTTCACTCAGAGTATACGTATTAGTTGTAAAAAAATAAATATATACATACAAAAGACATAATGATTCTTAAATAAATAGTTATTCTCTTCTATGATCACGTCATCAGATATAAGTTATTATATTATTACTTATCATCTTTATTCACGAAAGGTATAAATACTCTTACACTATTAACCCTTATTTTGTATAACTGGAATTGAACTTAACTCTTAATAAACTATATTGACAAGTCTCAACATACTTTTTCTGTCTGATTTACTTTACTTCTCTTTTATTTTTATTTCTATTTTATTATATCTTACCTGTAAACTACAACATACAACAGAATGATGACCTAACAACACCTCAACGTTCACAATAGAACTTGAACAAATTGAAAAAAAAAAGGATGTCTCCCAAAAATATTGCTCAATTCTCTTACAAAAATCAGATTTACTAGATATACCGACAGATGTGGATTTCACCAATACATCTAACCGAACGAGTGTATGTAAATTCTATTGACCAAATATCAACAGCCCTCTGTAATACAATATATAAATCTCTTGACGAAACATGTGGAAAGCGGAACTCAATAACTGATCAATTTCTTAAGGAATTTTGGACACCACAACTGAACAGCCGCCTTTGTCCTGAAAGAGTTATTTTACAGAAAGTGGAGAAAGGCAAGAGATACTGTCAACAAACTGAGATACTGGATAAAGCAGCAGGAAGCTGTAGCAACTTTACGTGGATTGATTCGACAACAAAGACAAGAGACATGGAGCCAATTTTGTAACAAAATGGCACAAGGAGAATACAACAAAGTAATAGCTAGATTTAGTCGCATCCGAAAAAAAAAATAGAACCAGGAAAACATATTTTTTCATCACTTGACCTATAACAAACTGATGCAGATTCTATGTCTACCTACCTTTAAACCATTTATTCAGGCTATCTCTTAAATCAAATCATCAACCACATTAGATGCACATACAATGACGGAAGATGCACCTTTTCACACAAGATTACTTACCTTTTGATATAAATGATACCCAAGATCTTATCAACCACCTACTAAGAAAGAAAAGGCTCCAGGGATAGATCATATTACAACTGAAATGCTTACATCAGTAATTGATATAATAGCATCACATCTATTCTTACTGTTCAAACTTTGTTGGTGTTGGTCATATACACCTCTCTCATGGTGAGTAGCCCAAGTCATCCTAATCTACAAAAAGAGGGCTTGCTTCTGGTCCTGGTGAATTTCATACCCATTAGCCTAACACCGATTTTCCGCAAAACTCTCTGAAAAAAAGTATATATCATGCCTTGCAAGTATCAAGTCTTCCACTGGATATTGCTTAAGGGGGATTTTAGAGAATGCAAAAGTTCCTTAATTTAGATCAAGTCTTATGTTTAACTGAAATCTGCAGAATATTGCGTCAATATCATCACTTTATCCCTACTTTGGCTTTTCTAAATATAAAATCAGTCTATGATACCGTTGATCGTCGTTTTATTTGGAATCAATTACAACCTTTTGTCTCTCACCCTATGTTAGTCATTTTCATGAACCTCTTTAATGATGTACACATTGAAGTGTTACTCAACAACTCTGCATCAACTAGATTTAAACTAACCACGGGGGGATACTCCAAGAATCGATTTTATCTCCCTTTTTAGATTCAATAATCTATATCATATCAATGGCTTATCAAATCTTCTACGACCACAATTGCCTGCACTAAATAAACTCACAGATGTCATCCAATTAACCCCAACAATTACCTCTCTTCTCTATGCTGATGATGTTGTATTAATTGCCAAACTAGAAAAATTAACTCAATTCCTGCAAGCTTTTGAAGCACATAGTTACAGTCTAGGTTACGGTTGGAATCCAACAAAATGTGTTGTTGTTCCTCCGTCAAGAGACGAACAGATCTATCAACTTTATGAAACTAATCTACATAAAAGAAGCTTCGTTCTCATATTCTTGGTATCACTATCAAACCTGATGGAAACATGAATATTACTGTTCTGATTCAATATAATGTCAATAAAGCCGAACAATCAATGAACCAAATCACTGCAATTGATGTCAGCTCTAAAGGATTTACCAAATTACTCTCAACGCGTTTCTATATGCAAATGATACATGTTCACAAATGGATATATGAATTAGTGATCTTTGACTTGAACCAATCTCATATAAAGCAACTTGAATAGGGTCAAAATAAATGTGTAGGTAAATTGTATAGTGGATCTCGAATATCTACGACTAAAGTGATGTTACATATGACCAGCCAATCTTCAATGAAAGATAGATCAATAATACTACAAGCCAAATACATAATTAGAACACTACAACTAACCTGTTGATACTTTGATACAAAAACTACTACCTCATTTACAAACATATGCAAACCTGCTCACAATGGTATAAATATAGTCCCCAACTCTCTTTGGCAAAAAAAAAATGTGAACCTGTGCCGGATACATTGGATCGTCATGATTTTAAATCGCTGAAACAATAATTTCTACAAGAAAGTCATGACACACTCTGTAATCGCTCGAATGCTCAAATAATCTCTACTTATCGTCCAACCTTGGTGATTGGTCCTATTTCATGGTTCCCAATGACACGTATGAAACGTAGTCAGGCACTTTGCTGGCGTCTTGGTTGGCTCCTTAGTGGAAAACCTCGTCCCTGTCCTGTCCTTTCCATCCTGCAGTTCATCTTTCTCGTGTCCATGCCACCGAATTTCTGCACATACACCGTCATCTACAATTGCCCCAGATCCATCAAAGACCCTCTTTCCTTCTTACTCAATTTATTACCCCAGAAAAAAACCAAAAGAATGTTCCATCTATCTCTTCCTGGTCTTTACGTTGGCCTGAAACGTGCCTGATCCTACAGGAAATGGGACCTATATTCCATGGTGAAGATCTTCCTCCTCCTCCTCTAGCTGATATTGCTGCTAGTTTGTTGAAATGGGTTGCAATGATAAAAATGCCAATGTCTCTGTCTTGTTTCTGATTTTCTTTTTTCTCTATCTTTCTTTCGTTTTACTTTCCTCCCTTTTATTTTTTCTTTATTCTTCAACTACTTTTATTTTTTTCATTTCCCCTCTTGACTCTTACGAGGGGAGTTTTTCTTATTATTATTATTCGTAACTTTGCGAACTGGATCGGGCAATGCAGCTATTTAAACTTTCTAGTAAATTTATCATTTATTCATAGTGCAAAGATTGAAAATGAAATATGAAGACAGCTGGAAGTGAATTCACAAAATGAGTACTAGTCAAAATGTGTGAATAGAGTGATATAACTATAGTGTGCCGAATAAGGGAAGGTTGTCTATTTTATTAATTTACCACCTTAGAAAAAGTTTAGGCATGATAGTATGATGACATTATTTATTTTTTTATATACAACAACAAAAAAAAAGCATTTTTAGAAGTGCAAAATTGTGACAAATCGATGCATTAACGTGCTCCCAATAAATATACTGCGAGAATTGTATAATTGGAGCAACCCAAACTGAAACATTTTTTTTAATAAAGATAAAGATATTTTTTTTTTTTTTTTGCTTGTGATAGAAATATAGAATATAAAATTTACTATTAAAGGGAAAAAATAAAACATGATTTAGATAAGTGTATATAATGACTCTGCTTCATTTCGTCTACAAGATTAATACTCTTAGGAACAACATTAAAGATGTCATTTAGAACTCATAGAACTCCCCACATTGATTTTTGGTTAATTAAGATACATAAAAACGGTTAATTAGAATTGAGAAGGATTAAAAACTGTACTATTTAGAATTAATAAAATTTACCATTTGGCATAGTGAGTACTGTATACGGGGGGAACTCATCTTATTTAGTCAGGCAATGTGATTCCATTACACAAAATACAGTCATTTGCTTATAAAAGAAAATAAGAAATCATTCAGTGTATAAATTTAGTAATTCTATTATTATACGTATTTTCATAAAATGTGGGGGGGAGGTGGAGGAAAGTGAAAATAATACCAGGAGATACGTTTTAATAAGTGTTACAATAATTATAGTAAAAAAAGAAAAAAAAGAACCCTTCGATCCCTAAATATTTTTTCACTTTATCATCATTGGCTGCAAAGAAAAAATGCAATGAGAAATGGGAAAATGACTGAAAAATCTTTCCATTTTTTTTTAAATGGATAAAAAAATTTAAAGTTTTCCAGCTTAAAGAAAAAAAAAACATATTGCCGATGACCGGAGTTTTATTTATGTTGTTATTATAAATCTGCGTGAGAAAGGATAAGATAATTTCCCAGAAAAAGAGTTGTTCTATGGTTGTATATGAATGGTTATAATTATTACCAAAAGTAGTATTTTATATAATAAGCAAAAAAAAAAATAAGATTAATTCTTACATTCATAGTAGTTTAATAAGATAAACTATTTGATGAAAGAGAATATATGAATACTGAAACGGAAATGAATATTTTGGGAGGAAAACGGGAAGAAGAGTAAACAATAAATAAGCCAAATGATAAAGAAATATTATAGGTTAAACATATGAAATAAGATTTTTATGTAATAAACGGGAAAAAAATATTATTTAAATTCATATGAAAGGACCCGTTGCTCCCTTTTTTTTCTTTGTATTTTTTTATTTATTTATTTTTTTTTTTTTTTTATTTTTTTTTCGTCTCATGCTTAGTTCAGGAAATACACAAAAGCTCAAATATCATCAACAGCCATTTTATCCACCTTCTCCTCCATTATCTTCTACTTCATCCATGTCAAATAAAGCAACTTTAACGAATACTTTATTCTCTAATAATAATGAAACCTTTTTAAATCTTGAAAAAGTCGTTCAAACGTATGTTCATCATCCTGAATTATTAGAGCTTATTCTTTCTAGTAAAGTAGAAGAAGATCGTAGAAGAGCAGAAGAAGCAAAACTTCGTCAAAAAGAAATTGATTATATTATATCTCAACAAACAAAAGAAAAAAGAAAGCCTTCTCTTCCTTCACTTCAAAATTTAACCCAGTTAACATCATTAGAACAACAACTACCAAAAATACAAAATAAAAATATTGAAATGTTATTAAATACTCCAAATCATTCTTCAATAAAATTACCTGAAATGATGACCTCCTCAGCGAATTCTTCAGCAACTTTTACGAAACATAGAAGATTAAAGTAAAAAAAAAAAAAAAAAAAAAAGTTTACATGGATGGAAAACAAAATAAATTAAATATAATTATTTTCTTTATAGCCTCTCTACTCCTTTGCATCTTAAACGTCCTTATTCTATTTCAAATGAAGAAAAGACTAAATCATTTATTTTACCCACTACTTCTTTGGCTCCCCCTTCCCCTCCTTCTGAACCGAACCATCTTCCTTTATCACCTTCTACTACTTCCCATAATAAACGACGTAGACGTGAAATGCAGCCTATTACGACTGTTATTGAAACTAAAGAATTTCCTTATAACGATGATTATCTTTGGAAAAATAATGGAAATACAATTCATAAAAAGACTGGATTCAAGAGTATCTATTATAAATGTTCTAATAATGCCAAGGTAAATAAAATAATTAAATATGTATACAGAATGTATTTATTTATTTATTCTTGATAATAGGGATGTCCTGCAAATAAAACTGTGACCTTTAGAGATAACGGTGAATACCTTATTAAATATAGAGGCCATCATTTCTCTGAGTGTAATCGAATTAAACGAATTACAAACCTTTAGAGTAGATCGCCTTCCTTCATGTATTCGAATACCCCCCCCTTTTATTTTACATATACATATATCTTTATATTTTACCCTTATTATTATTCTCTCTTATACACTTGTTTGTATTTATGTAAATAGTCACTATTCATGTAATCTGTATTACTATAAAAGAAATGAAAGAAAACAAAAGAAAACTTGTTACATTTCTTTAACTAAACACATGACTTGAATACTTTAATAACTACTAAACAAATATCTTTTCTCTCTCTCTATGAAAAAAAAGAAAAAAAAAGAAATGGTATTGATATTTTAACAAATTAAAGATTTGTCATATTTAGTTACAAATGATTCTTAAACTACTATTAACTCAAATAACTTGAATATCCAAGTCAAGTTTAGAGAAAAAGAGATTAAAAGAAAAAAAAGATACAAAATTAAATTTAGAATTGTACAAGAACAATCATAACGAGGTCTATTGTATTATTTCTTTAAAGTAAAAAGTTTATGTGCTACTAAATTATGCCTTTTCTTTTGATATACGACGTAATAATAAACTTCTTGACTTTAAGTCTTATTGTAACTTCTTGACACCTGTGACCTTTGTTCTTGTTGCAGAGGAGTGAAGAGCTATTTGTCAAGTCTTTTACAAAGCAAAGCAAATTAAATTATTATCTGCTACTTTTATTCTATTTATTATTTCAAGACGATAAAAAGATATAAAACTGCTTGGTATACTTTGCTAATAATCTATTTTAGACGACATGAATAAGTCAAGATGAACTGAGAAAGATAATGTACAACATCATCTAACGAAATTTGTACACACAGAAATAATACAATTTGACTTTATTTTTATTTTTTATTTTTTATTTTATTTTTTATTCTCTTTTCTTCCTTTTTCTTCTTTTATTGTTGTATAAAAATGCTCGTTAATAGACCAAATAATGTTATTGCTAATCAGCGTTATTTTCAAGCACCATCTCAAACACCACTTTGGATTAAAGGAAAAAGAGATAAATTGTTTGTTACAATTATCTTTGCTGGACTCGGTGTAGGTGTAGTAGGCGCTATTATTGGAACTGGAAAGTAAGAAGTGAATTCTACTCTACTAAATATATAACATGATAAACTGATTTATATCTATTATATTATATAGAATGATAATTGGAAAGAAGGATTAAAGCCATCGTCTATTTATTCTTCAGAACAGTTGGAAAGGGAAACAACTCAATATTATATAATAAAATAGTATAATAAAACAAAGTATTTATAATCTTTGTTATTCAGAAAACATCATCATTTTAAAAGTGTATTTACTAAATATTTATATGTATATGAGCCATAGCAAATGTCACGTGAATTGTATATAAAACGAGCATAGATGAATATTCTAATTCTCTTTAATTCTTTCCTTCATTATTAAGAGCTACTGTTCATTTCATATTAAATAATTTTCTCAATAGATCTCTAAGCGTGAGAATGCATGTTAGTCTACTTTTTTTTTTTTTTTTTTTTTTACTTTTTTTCCAGAAGATTTTAATAATATATCAGCCTTTTTGTTTTCATCATTATGATTTGTATCAGTTTTATTATGAATGGTAGTATCGAACAATTCGGCCTCTTCAAGTCCCATAGAGATACCTCTGGATCGTTCACCAGAATCAAAATGGAGTCCAGTAAAGAGCGCAATAGACTCATTGACACCATATCTACTTAATATACCTTGAGCATAAACATTCTGTTTTATAGAAGGTTGTAATGTGATAGGTTCCTGTAATTGTTCATTTTCTTCTCTAGAAGATGTGCTACTCTGGATTAGAGCCCCTTCTTCTTCCTTTTGTTCATTATCATGATGATTTTCCTCCTTTTCTTTTTTCGTTACTGCAAGTATCTTACGTCTTAATATCTCGTTTTGAGTTTTATAATTTAAAAAAGTATTTATCATCTTGGTTGCTTTGGTAGGAATAAGACGAGCAGATACAAAATAATAACTTTCTCGACCGGCTTTTAATGTACAGTATTGACCACGCATTTCCATTAAAACATACTGTCCATCTTTTCTTTTGAAACGGTATATCGTTCGCAATACTCTCTTTTGTTGTTGATTAAAGAAATCACGTTTAAAAGAATCAATGTCATCGAGATGCAAATACTCTGTATAGGTGTGTCCAATAAGCTCTGAAGGTTGATAACCAAGGCACATACGAGAAGCTGAGGAACAATAGAGAATATCGAATTTGGAGGATAATACATGAATGATATCACAAAGCTCGTCAAGAATAGTTTGAGACCAATTTTTACTACGTGTGAACTCTATAGTCGATTTGTGAGCTGTTTTAGATGAAGATGGTTTCATTTTATTTTATTTAAGAGAAAGAAAAAGAAAAAGGGAAAGGGAAAAAAATTAGATTCATATAGATTAGGGCCTATTTATTTCTATTAAAATTAATTCAATCTTATGCAAATTGAATATATTATTTAGATCTTTTTTAAACGTTCATGGCTGTAGTGTTAACTTTTGTATTCCCATTTTGATATACCAAACTGAATGATATCGTTGATTGTTTGAGGATTAATCTCACGTAACAGTTCCAATGTACAGCTACTTTCTTCAAATACTACATATATATACATATATACATACAAAGAACGATTACAAAAATGAAGGTGAAGAAAGGAATAATCACTTACAACTGCAACTTACAATTATTTTGCTTATAATGACAAGAACAATTTTCTAGAAGCTTATTATCCAAAGGGCAATAGTTCCCCCACAAATAATGGAACCCTATATTATTAAAAAAATGAACATCACTTTTATCCAGAAACATGGCAGCTGCAAGGGTTCTAATAGTAGCATCATTCCATCTATAACAGGAAACAATTTTCTATATTTGTACATATACATCTATATGTATATGTATACACACATATATAAAGGAGAAAAAAGGAAAAAAAAAAAAAAAAAAAAAAAAAAAAAAACTACGTTTACCTTTCATAAAAGAATCCTCCTACAATATCGATATAATGGAAAAAGGCTTTGTAAGGTTTTGATCTTAAGAAATCTAAACTAATAATTTCAAAACCTGTCCACATATGACAAAAGTTATACTGATCATGAGTGATTAACCAATTCATGATAGTTAACTCCTTTGGTTTGATCCATTCAGGATTTTGTTCCATAAAATACAAAGTCGCCCGCCATAAATTATAACTTGTCTTTGGATCTTCCTTTGTCGTAATGGTGAATCCTATTTTCTTATTTTCTGATTGCATAACCTGAAATGGATCTTGCTCTTGTTGAAATAGATCACAACTGTAGCTCGATCCAGGTTCTACACGCCATACATAATCAACATCATTAAATAAGGAATGATGATAGAATAGTCCAGCTTGATACCTCTTTTGCTTACGATCATGTAGACTGTGTGCATTTTGTATATTCAGGTCAATTGAATATTGCATGGCACTCTCAGCTCTTGAAGTATCAATCCAAGGTGGGAAGGTCCAAGCCTCTAGATCTATTTGACCGAAATAAAGATGATCTGGATTGCGCGTTGCGTTACGAATCGCCTTCTTATAATCAGGTACAAATCGTTGACTAGTAAGAAATATCCAAGGATAAGTCCTATTTGAAGCAAAAGCTGGAATAAGACGATCCTCAAGACTTTGTATGCTGAATAATATCTGTTCTAGTTGAGTAGAATCACTATCGTGTACAAGCATATAGAATGCTCCTTTCACTGATAATCCATCCCAGACATCCTTCTTTAGGTGAATATCTGTTGCTTGATGCTGGTGATCATTGTACATAAACTCTCTTTCGGTCACGAGTAACTCCTCCTTATTTTTTACACTAGATTGTGTGTTGAAATTGCTATTAGAACAAAACTTGTTTAAATACATGTTCATTTTTCGTTGAGAAGAGGTTGTTTCATCAAGAGATCGATAAAGCCAAATAAATAAAATAGCTCCCAAAACAATTAAACTACACCTATTTCTTGAGCTTCTTATCATTTTTATTATTATTATTATAAAGAAAAACGAGAGAGAGAGAGAGAGGGAGAAGGTTTTTAGTTCTTTTTTTTTTTTTGAGGTAGACAAAGTAAAAAAAAAGGGGGTGCTGGATAGATGGGTATTATGGTATAGACATATTAAAGAATGTAAATAATACTGCAGTAATAAATTAATCGATTTCCATTGGTTGAGCTTGACTATTATACTTCTCTTCTTCTTCTATAGAAGACCATGATTGCCTTCCTTTATTATACAAGGTTAACTCACCCAAGTTACTTTTATTATTATTATTGTAAAAAGTGCATTGTCTGTATATAATAACGATAAGTATGTATGGCTTCAGTAAAGGATACAATTAATTACTTATTCAGGATGAAATCCGGAATAGAATATTTTACTTCTCCAGGTCTTTGTTCCATAGGTAATAATGTACCATTCACATCAATGGATTGTATGCGTGAGTTATTAAAATCATTCTTTTCTTTTGTTGCTGGAGAAAAAGACTCTTCATCCTGTTCTATCCTATCTTCTTCAATCTTATTTATTATTATAATAAATAGATTTGAGACAACAACAAAATCTATATCTTTTCTATTACCATACCATTGTTGTCTATGATGGATGTAATGTCACTTATTGTTGAAATTAGTCTTTTTTTCAAATAATGACATTCAAAGTCATCATCTTCGTCGGTACTTGATCGTGATCTCTTTTTGTTATTTGCAGTAAAATTGGTAGGAGTTAATAAAGGTAACACTTGCATTGATGCGAAAAAAAAAAGAAAAAAAAAAAAAAAAAAAAAAAAAAAAAAAAAAAAAAATCAATGATTTTCTATAGATTAATGCCGAATTTAAGTTTATTTTCTTATTAGACGCTATTTCAAATTTTCTATTACATGCAAGAATCAACAAGTTATATTTATTTTTTAGTTACTATAACAGTTGTTTATTTAAGGAAAAAAAAATAAAAGTAAAAATACTAATTAACTTTCTTTCATGTACAAAAGAAACCAAGATATTAAAATGTATATAGACATTATTAAAGGAAAAGAATGCAACTAAAAGAAATTAAGATATATATATGAAATATGTAAAAAGGGAATTTTCTTTTTGGTTTCTTTACAAAAAAAAAAAAAAAAAAAAAAAAAAAAAAAAAAAAAAAAAAGGTATCACATAAAAAAAAGGGAGAATAAGAAAGAGAATTACAAATCTTGGATAGGAAAAGGAGATAAATCAAAATCATGAATTTCCATCACAGTTTTACCTTCTTCTATTGAATCATTTGACCTTGATCTTTGCATTAAAATAACTGCCTTTGTCTTATTAAACTGAATCTTCCAGACAATTTTAGATGGTTGAGTAAAGTTTCTTACAAGTCTTCCTTGTTTTATATCCCATAGTTTAACTTTACCATCATTTGCTGCACTAAGAATATGATCTTCATCAAATTGTAAGCATGTAATAGAATTATCATGCGCCGAGAATTGATGTGTGCATTCAAATGTGTTCATATTCCATACTCTTAAACATCCATCTGCTCCTCCACTTACTAGAGTTGTGCCTGATAATTGTAATTGACCTACTAAGGAGGTATGACCATGTAAAGTCGATAGACATTCACCTGTTTCTAATGACCAAATACGGATATGAGCATCCATTGACCCAGTCGCAATAATATTTCCATTTGTAACAATTGTATAAATTTGAGAAATATGACCTATTAAAGTGTGTTTGCATTGTCCTGTCTCTAAATCCCAAATACGTGCTGTAGAATCATATGATCCAGAAATTACAAAATTATCGTAAATATCGACACATCTCACAGAAGCTTGATGACCTGTTAATACATGTAATAGTACACCTCGTTTAATATCCCAAACTCTTAAAGTTGTATCGCGTGAGCCAGTAACAGCAATTCTTTTGTCCCTTATCTTTAAACATCTTACAGTGGATGTATGACCACGAAGTATATAACGTAATTTGCCTTGATTTAAATCCCAAACTCTTACATCTCTATATGTATATCATAAAATAAATAAATATCTATACATATAATCTATAGAATCGATCTATATTACCTATCACATCCACCTGAAAGTAATACTCTTTCAGGATCTTCTTTTTCACCTCCTTTAAATTGTAGGGCCCAAACACCACCTTCATGTCCTTCTAAAGTTCTAATTTTTTTACCAGTGCTGGTGCTAAAAACTTCTATGCGATGATTATCGCATCCAACAACAATAAATTTTTCATCAAATTGTAAAGAGGTAACAAGTCCCTGAGAAAAGCCATTATCGACTGTTGTTACTTTACCACCTTGGTTCCAAGCACAAGCAATACTATATCTGCGTTTGAATAAATCTCGATAACAAATATGGCTGTCATCACCGACATCAACGAGGTAATCATATTTTTTACATAATAACTTCCAAAGTCGGTTATCATCACGAATAAGAGAATGCCAATACTTGGATACTGAAATAGCATGAAGCAAGTCAGAAGGAAGATCAACAAAGGATAAGATGTGAAGTGCAATTTCAGGTGGTAATTCTTTAATAAAATCAACTTTAAGTCGTGGTGCAATTAGACTGTTTAAGAAAGTAAGTTGAGAATTATCACAACTGTCAACGAGTTCATGTAAGAAATATTTTTTTTGAATTGGGGATAGTAATAAAAATGATTGCAATAATAATTGATGATCATCTACAGGTTTCCGTTCTAGTTCAAATCTATAAGGTATTGGGCTATAAGTAGGTGGTGTTGCTGGGGGTGAAATATCTTTAGTCATAATTGATAAGAAGAAAAGAAGAGAAAAGAAAAAGAGTAAATAATAATAAAAAAGAAAGAAAGAAAGAAAGAAAAAATAACTTTGTGTAAGGGGGTGCTTTTATAGGGAGACAGCAAAAGAAGAAGAAAAAGAAGAAGACATCAAATTGGATTTTCAATTGTATTTTGCGCCGCTTGAATATTTATTTTGCGGTTCTTAAAATTTTTAATTTGTCTATTACATTCTATCTAAATTGCGTTTACTATTTTCTGAATTTGGATAAATAGTATATTTTAATTTGTCTAATAATTAAAGTCGAATCTTGGCATTTCTTTTTCTCTTTATCTCTCTCTCTTTTTTTTTCTTCTTCTTATATTTTACATCGTTTTATTTGATTCTTCATATTGTCCAACAACGATACTCCTACTGAGTTTATACACTGTTTTAATCATGCTAATGAAATTTCCTCTCTAGATTCTATGGAGGTTAAAGATTAAAATGCAGATTTATATGAAATAATAAAACTCTGGGATAGCATCATTGGGTAACTACGTTTTGATGAGCCTTCAATCAGTTAATTAGAGAAACTAGAAGCTATAAAATGAATAGATATGGATACTTACAAAGTTTTTCGGTTTGAATTTGAAAACATTGACGAGGTATTAACCATCGAATATGACTAATTAGTTGAAGATGAAGAGAAAAAGTATATTTATCATCTGCAAAGGTTAGATGTTTATACTGATCTTATTCTTTTGCTTAAATACTGAAAATACTCAATCTTATTATTGAACATGGTATGCCGGTGAAACAAGCAAGGTTATCTGTCAGCAATACTGTAAGGACAATGCAACATTATGTCAAGTTATATAAAAACGATAAACAAAAATAACTTTCTAAAATAGGAAAGCGGGTATAAAAAAAAACTGAATAATCAATATACGGACTTTTTATGCAATTTTGATAATAGTCATGCAGCAATAGTTTTCTGGATACATTACGTTATGTTTTCTTTCTGAGATAAAGTCAATATGTATGTCAGCCTTACATTACCATCTGATTAGACACTCATTTTCAATGCTTAAAAAAAATTTATAAAAGCTTGGTATGGCAGGGATAACTTAGTCAACTCTAGAAGAGTAATAAAGAAAAAGTCTAGGAATAGTTGACTGACAAGAAAATGAATTAGACTAGTGATTATATTGAAATAGATGAAACTGAGATTTAATATGCACATAAGACGCGATTTTAGGAGATCTGAACAAATTATGCCTACCAAAGACATTATCCTTTCTAACAAAGACATTACTATAACCATCCTCGAAACAGCATGTGAAGAATGTGTTATTGATTCAACATTGCGTAAGTCTAAAGTTGTTTATAAAAAATAATTCAACTAGAAAAAAGAAAAAGAATAGAAAAGCAGAGAATACAGGAAAAGTATATGCTAAAGTTGGTACAAGAAGTGAGCATTTCCCTCAATTTATGAATAGGGTTATGTATAGACTAGATTCATGTTATATGAAAGGACAACATTTAGTTACAGATAATGCTTTCACTCATAAAGGTTCTAGAGTATATGAGTTGATTGAGGGTCATGGCTATGAAAAAAAAAGTGATTACTATACTCTCCTTTTATAAATCTAATTGCTTTATTTCAGCCAAAGATGAAGGCAGATCTAAAATATATATATTTATATTTATATATTCTTATCTATACAGATAAGCATATCACCAGAATTATTAATTCTGCAAAGAAAGCTACTCTTGATGATTGCGTAAGATGGATCAAGGATTTAATGTCATACTTTGATAGATACGTGGCCTCTGAGCCCATCCTGTTTCCACTTGATATGCAAACGCAAATTAAAATATATTTTATGCAAAAATAAAAATAAAAAATATACAAATTCAGAAAATATAATAAGCAATCTAGAGAGAACATAATAGGCAAATTAAAAATTTATATGTGCAGAATTCAATCCAATATATAACAATAAATTATAATTAAATTTTTAATTGAAAATCAGCTGACATATTATTAAATAGAATATTCCTCCTTTCTATGTTTATTGATGTATACTATGATTAAAGAGAAAAAAAACCAACAAGTACATAGCTTCATAGAATTACTGAATTGGCCTAGTTATTTTAAAAATAATGATAAGCCACTAAAAACCCTTTTAGGACAGAAGATAAAAAAAAAGTAAAGGCAAAAGTAAATGATCAAACACATTATGAAAAAATGAATAAATAAAGCGTTAGGAAGGGGATTAGATAGTCAGTGTATCAATAACGTTCCTAGATTAGAAAGAGATAGAAGAATAATGTTCTAATCTAGACAGTCCATCTCATATAGTATGTAATATATTGAGGATCAACGTACCAACCATGGGGAGACAGATATCATCATAGTAAAAGTTTTTTTTCATTTTTTTTCTTTTTCATTTTTTTTCTTTTTCTTTTTTTTTTTTTTTTTTTTTTTTTTTTTTTTGAAGGAAGCTTAATTATAAGAAAAGAAAGAGAGTCCTTAATTATCTATAATATTTTCAATCTGTAGTGCATATGGAGACAATATATTGAATGAGTTCTACTAAACAGTTGGTCAGAGTGAAAAGGACGATGTAAAGGACAAGCGTGGGGCAACTAATCAAGACACTAACAGAGACATAATCCTTCATACGATTGTGCCATAAGCAACTAAAGAATAAGAATATCCATTATTACTGTGTTACGGCAGATAGACAAATATTTGGAACGATGAGTAGAACATTTTTCGATCAGGTTGTCTAGAAGGAAACAGGGATGGGTTGAATATTTTGAAATAGACATGTGTCAAGGCTTTCAATAGAAGAGATATATCGTTTCCAAAGTGATAATTTGTAAAGATAATACCGTTGTGACCAAATTTCTGTTTGTTAAAGATAGGATAGCAGTTTAGTAAGTAATGCATCATTAGGAAGAGCACGGGATCGAAGAATAATTTGAGCTTGCAATATGTTTATCTATCCTTGCATAGTAGGGAGTTTGGTAAGATGTAGAAAGACCATCAAGTTTACAATGGAAGCGGTTATTTTAACAGTTTTCGAGGAATTGATAGTGTTGAGAATAAATATGTTAATAATGCTGAGCGGAAATGATACTCTGTACATTTAGTTGAATAAGCATCTCATTTTATATAATAGTTTAATGTAATCTGTATTTATGATTCTCTTCTAATAGAAAATGGAGTTAACTACAATGATCTGGCTTAATATTTTATTTGAAATCTTCTAACGCTAATTTGTAAGACATCATGTAGGATAGACAGAAAGCTATACAAAGTTTATTCAGTATAGAAAGACATGAATAGCAGAACATGCATTCTCTTTTGTATCAATAACAAGTCTGTTTGTTATTATTTAATATACAAGATATATGTCACTTATTACTTCTTTTATATCGTAATGAATAAGTTTAAAGAAAAATAATATACAATAAACTTCACTGTGTAATCAATCATAACTAGTTAGAAAAAAATTATGTATTATAGCATACAGCCAATAACTTGATCGTCAACAGCATATTGTTAATAAATATATAATATTATTTTTTATCATATTTAATTTAAGAATACTATAGTAGATTTTGGTGAAAGGCTTATGAATGAATGAATGAATGAAACGGATAGTGCCTAAAGAAATCAACTGTGTCAAATAACATTGTACACTAAAATTTAATTTAGCTGAATTAAAGAAGCTGTACCATAAGTATTTAATTTAGATTAGTTACTGTTGTATCCTTCAGGATCAAGACATCTATAAAAGATACTTGTTAAAAAAAAACTACAAAAGTAGCTGATTTTTATATATATAATACATTCTCACAAACTCTTATCTTGTACCAATTATTCTTTCTTTCTTTCTTTCTTCATCATTCCAACAACAAAAATGATAACAGTAACAAATGCTTCACTGTTAGTTTTATCTCTTTTTCTTCAAAGGTAAACCAAATCATGAAATAAACATATTTATATTGTAGCTCATTGTTATAATATATGCTAGTATTGAATATATACTATAGTGTGTATATCTACATAATAAAATCTATCTCTCCTTTTTCTTTCAGATATTTAGTATACACTGTACAAATGCTACATAATAACTTATTGCAACATAACGTATATTATTTTACAATATACATATATAATTAATAAACAAATAGTCTTCATCTTTGTTTTCTCTCTTTTTTTTAATATAGATAATGTGTGTGTATATAAATGTAATATTGATCAAATTTCTTTTAGTCAAAGAAAGCTCTGTTAGGTGAATGGCCGAACAAAGCAACACGAATTTGAGGCAACATATCTTCTTTGGCAATTTCTAAACGGGCATCAAGCGTATTATCAACTGTGATTTTACCATTGAAACCAGACATAACAACACCACCAGCACTATTAATAAAAGTTATATTACTATCATTTTTTTAAGGGCATATAGATTAATGCTTACCATGAAGAAGGAAGATAATTTTCACTAATGTTAAAGTTAGGTCGATACTTTAAATTTTCTTCATATTTATCTGATACAGAGTCAAGAGCAGAGTTAACACAATCTATGTCTTGTTCACGACAACGAATAGTAACATCCTTTTCCATAAGAGAATAAGCTCCTTGAAGAATAAGGCCTTCAATCAAAGTAGTATATAAATCTTTGTCTTGAGAAATTTCATAAATACGACGGTTTGTTTCTTCAAAAAGATCATCGAGCACTTGCTGGCGTTCTTGAAGTATTTTAAGACGTGTTTTATTAATATGATTTGATTGAGCACTATAGAACATGGTAAATACAATTTAATTGTTTCAAAAAAAAAAAAAAAAAAAAGTTACATTCTTTTCTGAACTTCAGCTTGCTTAATCTTGCGTTCAAAAATAGCTTCAATATTTAAAGATTCTTGACGAACAATTTTGGCCTAGAAAATGAACAACGATTAAAATAAAGTGAAACGCGTGTTTAAACTACAATAAAAAAAAATAAGATAGTACACCTTTTCAATGTTGAATTCTTCATCAGCCTAAAAAAAAAACATTAATATATAAATGTTAAAGTAATTAGACAGATAACATACCTTGACTTTAATTTCTCTAGCTTTTTCTAAAGCTTCTTGTTTGATGAAAGCAACCTATTTTTTTTTATTTTGAAAAGTAAATAAAAGCCAAGTTTATAACTCGAAACAAATTTATAATTTACCATCTTCTTCATCTCATTGAAAACTTCGTCATCGTTAAGAGGTCTGGCTGTGGACATTTTTTTTTTTTCTTTTTAAAAAAAAACTAAAAAAGAATAATAATAAATAAAATAATTTTTATTCAAAAAGATATAGTAAAACTTACTAAGATGTATGATAAATATATAAATATAAAAAAAAAAGGGGGGGATACAATACGTGAAAAGAAAATAAAATAAAAGAGTTTCAAAATAAAAGTGAGTAATACGGTTAAATAAAATTTATTTATTTAAGAAAAAAGACGACCAATGAGCATATAGCAATTTAAATATGCTGTATTTCGAGAGAAAAAAAAAAAAGAAAAGGTAATATAAACTTTCCAAAAGGTCAAAAGCGAAAAAAAGAAATCAGAAACAATATGAATATACGAGGACAACCCATTTATCAGTTTGACTCCAGGAGGAAGAGAAATGTTTCATGAAATAGATAACCCCATTTCATGCAAAATGATATAAATTGCTAGTCAAAAAGTGTGTAATACAGCTTTTTTTTATTCATTTTCGGACGTATCAATAAAAATTTCGAGACCAATTGCATTAATAATCGTGTAGACCTTTTAAAATTGCTCCATTTATTTTATAAAACTTTGATGAACTATAAATATATAGCTTAAAAAAAAAAACTTCTTCTAAGCAAAGATATCAACATAGATGGTTATGAAACTATATTCAACAAAAGAAGAAAAAAAGAAAAACTATAAAGTCTTGTAAATTTAATCAAGCGCTGTGTTTTGTAATGTGATGTCTGGTTGATCTATTATACTTTCTTAACTGTCTTTATACATTTTGAGGTGTACTGAGCGTGTTTGACATAATGTATTCTCAGAAATAAGGATAATGATATAAGTAAGAAAAAAAAAAGTAGAAAAAAGACTTCAAGTGATTAATTAGTTACTGACTATTCAAAGATAGTTAAAAAAATTTTTTCTTTAAATATTTTTTCATTTTATTATTAATGAGTATTTATGTATGCGTTTAAATATTATTATTTAAGATATGCATTACTAATAAGTTACACTATAGAATTAATTAAAAATATAAATCAAAGCTTAGTTCCTGATATATACAACATGTATCTAACAGAACAGATATTCGTATAAACTATTTTTATCCTTATCAATTAAAGATATTCAAATATATAGATTGATCCAGCTCAATATATTGTTCCAATAGTTATTGTTCTTATATATCTTGATTTGGAAGGACTTGTGCAATTAATGATATAAAATCTTAATATTATTTAACAAAAGTTACATACATTTATTGGAGTCTATGTCTGAATAATACATCTAGATATAAGTACTAGATAACATATATATTGCTGTGATTAAAGCTAGTACAATAGTTGGAATAAAACATGAGGGCCATTTATGGGATGTGGTTGTTATACAGTAAATAAGTAAGTAACCTTAATGACGCCATATAATCGGTAATTTCATATAATTATAAGAAGTTTATATGTATTGGATTTGTTAACAGTGTTTTTTTTTTATTCTTCTTTCTTCTAAACTTTGAACTGCTCTTTTTTGTTGTTGTTGTTGTTGTTGATCCCACAATGCATCAAGTATCAATCTTAAATAAAAAAAACTACCAGTCTTTAACAAACACAAAAATGAAGCGGTAGACGAGCGTTTTGTTTGTGAATGTTTTATCATTAAAAATAATAGCAATGGCGACTTCTAAATCCCTTATATTTAGTCATTTAATATGTCAATTGTAGGGAATTGGATCGTTATTTACGCAATTCTATTTCAAATTCAAACTATACAATTTAGACATGTTAGTTCAAGATAATGTTTCAAATCTATGCATTTACTAGTATACTAACACTAGCGTAACACAATTGGAAGCTTTTGAAAAAGCAGAAAAGGCAATGCTACAAAAGTACAAAAAAAAAAAAAAAAAAAAAGAGGGCTGCAAAAAGATAAGAAATAGACAGTACCAATATCCAGAGCATGACATGCAGTCAAACCGATTATTACAATGCAAGGTCACCAGTGCTCCAATAGAACATCAAGTTCAAAAAAAAAATCATATCATTAACTAACGTTTGGGTCAAAACTATCAAGTTCTCCCAAGGAAATTCTTGTTCAGCAGGTGTGGTATCAAATGGAAACCATATTTGAAACAAAATATAACTTAGGCTCTATAAAGACATTTGACAAGTTGTATTCAGGGAAAAAACTTTTTTTTTGTTAATAATTACTATTTTTTACAGTATGTGAATAAAATTACCCCATCTGTCTTCTTCTAACAAGAATTTTGGTATACTAGATTTCAGCTTACCAATGGTCGAGCACTAACAAAACAACAACAACTGATAGGTAATATACTGGACAAATGGGACGAATATAAAAATCAACATGAAAAAGCCTCTCATGAAGTCAAGCTAATTCCTAGTACTAGCCAATATAATGCTGAGATGCACAAGAAATTGGTCACAACATAAACAAATACAATCGCTGAGTCATTTGAGGAAAAGCTCTTGAATTACATTTGATATCAATTGTTGTGTATATAATGATGTATTACATAATATCTTATTGTGATATTTCTTTTAAAATATCAAATAAAGATTATTAGAAAATAAAAAATAATATCAAGACAAAAAGAGTCAACGAGAGCGAACAATAGTTCTAAAGTCAATTATTTTATTTATGAATTTAAATTGGGGTATTTATAAGAATTGTTAAAGAGGTCTGGGGATAAGATGTGACTCAGAAAAGTGTTAGTTACGATCGAATAAGGTATGTTATAGATAATGAAATCTTAGAAGCTTTGATAATATTTGATGGAATGGATCAAGAAAATTTCAGGAGAATATAGATAGAATTCCTTGAATAAATTTATGATCTGCATATTTAATCAAGAAACATGACAGTATAAGTCATCTCATGACAATACATCACATCTATTTCAAGACCATCAATATTTAGAAAGTCTTTATTTTAAATAAATACGCATGTATGTTTACATATATGTATACATAAAGAGACATAAGAGATTTCTTTATTTAAGAACTTTATATGTGACTGATTATATAAATAGAACAAAAAATCAAATTTGCTGTTTTTTTATGTAGAATGACTATTGACAATTATACTTAAATATGGTGATGCAAGCAGTTTGGATATATATTATAATAATAGTGATAGTTGATGGCTGACGCATAACTCATTAATCATATTAAAGAACGTGTTACAGTTGACTGTAGTTGATTTGATAATTAATTAAAACATTATGTTGTTGGTTAGTCATTGGCTTTTCTCTTTCTGCTTGATCTTGGTAATTGACATGAACTATAAGAAAGCCACGATTTCGGAGGATTGCATGGTTGACGATGCATTGAGCTGTTTGCTGTTATAATGCAGTCTTCTGCTTTCTTTACATTTTCAAGAGTGATATTCTTGTTATAGAACAAGCTCTGGATATAATCATGAGTAATATTATAATAGATGAATTACATAATACAGGATAAAATATAAGCCTGAATATGAAATAAAACTCTGTATATAACATCTTGTAAATAATATAAAACTTATTGACATCCAATTGTCTAGATGTATCAATTATAAGACATCGTATCATTTCTAAATATTTATTTTTATAACCTTGATAAAGGATTCAGGTCGTCTTTGATCCAATAAAATAAAACATAAAAGATATCAGGAACATATACTCAGATTAAACAATAAATTTTTTATTTAAAACTTGATCAGATCATTATAACACCCAATAGATAATCCATAGATCAGTCTCTTGAATCAACAAGACGTATATCCGAATACTAATACTGTTTCATGACTCATGTTCTTTGGCGGTTATTTTTATTTCTTTGATTCAGGATTCATTAATATAAATACAAGCAGTTGTTTAGACACAAAATAATCTTGAACTTCTTTCTTTAGCTTTTCTTTTAACTTTATTTATTGAATAAAAAACAGTCTCAAACTATACTTCCTTTTGTTCCCTTTCTCTCTTTTTATTTTGTCTTTTATCTTTTATTTACCTTCCATCACAATTCTGTTTGTATTATTTATGTTTTGTGTACAAAGATAAGGAAAGAGGAAAAAGAAAAGACAAGTCTGTGAAAACTTTGTATAGTTTTATTAAAGATTACTAATACAGAAATTGTACAAGAAGAAAATAACATGGAAAAATGATGAGTGCTATTTATATGTTTTTGTAAGGTAAGTCATATTAATGGGAGTGTGATTTAGATAAGTGAATACTGCTATAATAAAGCTTTTATGCACAAATATGCACAAGTATGCACAAGTGTGCACAGTATGCAGATTTATGCCTGAGCTGTTGCTGTTATTAAAAATATACACGATTATTGTCTTTGGGATAAGCATCACGTTAATATTAATTTACAGTGAATATTCTCTCTATAACAATATTCAACATTGTGAATGTATATATAATATGTATGACTTGTATAAATAATTCTGTAATTGAATATAACAGTCATAAACCTATTGAATTCTTATTAATACATAATGCAATGTATGAATTATTTTTAATGCTCGAATACTCTAACAATGATTATTATTAAAACTGAGTGAAGAATGAATATTATACTGTGAAGTACAATACTCTAGTTTTATTCGAATAAACTCTCTATTACTTAAATAAATGTTAGTTTATTTCTATTAACTTAGTTGTAAATACGACTACAATCATAACAATTTAGAAAAGAAATTAAGGTTAACAAGATATAAAAGTTTTAACTAAACACTTTGTTCTTACTTTAACTTGAATAAGCTTGGAAATGAAGGCAGGTAATAAATGTAATTCTTCGATGTTTCTACATAAAGTAGTCTTTGATAGCTTCACCATTCGATATGTGTAAGGAGATGACATATCCATTACATATGTGTTTAAATTTTTACCTTGACTTATCAGCCCGTATACTGTAGGTTTAGGTACTCTTTTCTTGTTGTATTTGTACATAACATCATAAAGATATAATAAAACATAAATGTGAACATTCATTACACAATAATATTGTATAAAAAATATATATCATTATGTCAAATATAAATTATGTAATTATTAAATGTAAAACCTCCAAATGAAACCCTGATTAAATTAGCGATGTGTGAAATATACTACCAGATCATGATCTGTATCATGACTGTCGATAATGTCATAAAGAGGTCAATATTTAACACAACACCAATGAAATAGCATCTATAAATATCATCTAGAACTACCAAGAAAAGTATAAATAGCCAGATGGTTTTTACAAGAAGAATATTTAGTTTTTTTTATATTTAATTTTTTTTCTAATAAAAATTATTCTTACTTGTGCCTGTGTCTCACGATTCAGTTTTGTCTTCTTAACCATACAACATTTCTCTATTAAATTATTATACATGAGTTTCATTTGTTTTCCTAATTTAATCAAGCCAGATTCTACGGCTGAATTATGAGACTTGGGTTTAAATTCTGTCACAATTACGATACATCTTATGTTAATAATACGGCTAGAGACCTGAAAGTCAGGCTTAAATATAGAATCTTCATTTAAGGCACCATTGGCCCTATAAAAATGTATCAAATACATGTAGATTAGTCATCTATTTCCACAAAAGCTGCCAGCAAAACTGCTAACTTACCATCGAACATTAAATTTCTTATCCGTTCTATAAACTGACTGGAGTATAGGTGCTAAATAATGGTGTACATATGAGTCTTCGACCGAACTATCATGAGAACTAGCAACAAAAACAGATAATCTAAATAAATATATGGTATTTATTAGCAACTTATTATAGCATATTGGCGGTTATATATATTTACAGCTGCGTCAAAGTATGAGCCATATGTAAATCGACCTCATTGTCTTGCTTAGTCGCTTGAATTAAAAAATCAGTACACAATTTTAACGCTGACATTAAATCATCAGGAGGATTCTTCAGACAAATAAGTTTATTAGCTATCACAACATATACGTTAAAACTTATAGTATTAACTTACTTCAGCAATTTCTAGACACCAAACATGAGATTTATTTGGCCTGTGAGGGCGGTAACAGTTAAAGCTAATATCGGACATTACCACTTTATGTAATCCTACACCAAAATATTTTGTAACAGATTCATCAATACTTTCGTCAAAAATATATATGTCGTTAAGTGATCTATGAAATAATATACTGTGATTCAGTCATAATCATACTTAAATTTTTTTTTCTCATCACTTACAGGAGTCTGATGTCTGAAAGACTAGCTGGATTCTTTTTCAAGCTTAAAGTGTTTTTTTTTGACCGATTTACATATGTCAGACACATTAAAATTCCCAATAATCCAATCATCGTCATTACTTTGTTCATCTATTTCTTCAGAGAAGTCATCGTGAAGAAGAAAATAATCTGCAGTCCGTTGAGGATGATGGTCAAAAGTCAGATCAGATGGAAATTCAGCTTCTTCATCTTCATCAATTTCGCCATTTTCTTGATCTTCCCTATCCTCCCTCTCTTCCAACTAAAAATAAATAAAAAAATGTTTACTTTTTTGGATATATGCCTTTAAATGGATTTTAAAAATTTCTTTGTTTACAGTTTCGTGTGATTTTGAGCCTGACACTAATTCATCATAATATTCATCGTTACATTGTGATGTTATTAAAGTTGTATTTCTGTGTCCTTGTGTTCTGTTGAATTTTTTCAATTTCTCCGTTTGAAATTTTATGATTCTTAAGGCGAACTTTTTATCAAACAGACTCTTAATATGATCCTGTTTTAAATAACGACTACACTTCAAGCTATACGAGGCCAATGTAGTATTATTTTTCATTTTTTTGATGTATCCATTCCAAAGAGGTAACAATATTATTAAAAGCTTTTGTGCTTTCAAGCGTATCGTGATAACACCTAATAGATTCAGCAATCAGTTTAGTCACATTAGACCATTGAGTTATTGGTAGATTACTGAATACTTCATCAATCATTAGTGAACCGCATTGTTTCTCTGTGTTGTGATTGTAGTAGCCTTTATAATTAAGTTAATAGAAATAAACCATCATTTATTATATAATAAAGAGGTTATTCAAATAAAACTAATATATCGCGCTTCACAGCATAATATTCATTCTACTCTCAGTTTTGATAATAGTCATTGTTTGAGTATTTGAGCATTAAAAATAATTATATACATTATATTATGTAATAATAATAATTCAATAGGATTATGACTGTTATATTCAATTACATAATTATTTATAAGTCATACATATTATATATAGATAGCTATAAAGATAAATATTGTTATGTAATAATATCTTATAGGATAATAATAATAGTAGCATATAAATAATTGGTATTGCTATAGCTGACATATTCACTGTGAATTAATATTGACGCGTCGCTTACCCCAGAAATAATAATTTAATATTTTTAGTAACAGCGACAGCTCAGGCAGAAAAGAATAAAAATAGATTTTATTGTAGGCAGAATTATTCGGAGAAAATATTTATGACTAATGCTTTATTATAGCAATATTTGCTTATCCAAATCATAGTTCTATTAATATCACTTACCTTGCAAAAACATATAAATAACCCTTTACTTTTTCACATAATTTTTCCTTGTACAATTTTTGTATTTTTTTTCTTAATAAAAAAACTACGCGAAGTTTTCACAGACTTGTCTTTTGTTTTTTCTCTTTCTTTAACTTTTTGCTGTCAAAACACTCTGTCAACTTGAAATCTTT